CTTCTATTATCTTTAACTATAAAGTAATAACCTAGGGAAGATACTAGTTTAAATATAAATCTTCCTATATAGCCTAGTTAGCTAATTTTATACTAGATTCTAAGAATCTCTACTTATTATAGATACTAAACTAAGGATAGACTTCCTCTAAGGATATCTTACCTAGTTTAAACTAGGATTTCTTATATATAAAATCTAAAGTTATTATTAAAGAAACTTTAATAATATAGCTTTAAATTAGGGCTAGTAATTTAGTCTTTAAGATTCTTTTAAAATTATCTATATATTTCTAGAAAGGATTATCTATAGGATTTCTCTTACCTATATAATACTTAATAATAAAATTAAAAGAGGTTAGGAATAAGTACTATCTTACTTATCTACTATTTATATATAGTTAATATATAAAGACCTATAAATTAGTATAATTAGAAAGAACTTTAATAGTATAAATTACACCCTTAAGGTAGTAATACTAATATTTAAAAGAATAAATAATAGTATATAACTCTTAATTAGGTATAGAATAATTCTATTTTATTAGTAAAAATTTTTATAACTAGATAATAATAGGATACTATATACCTTATAAATTAGGTTATAATATAATACTAGCTATTCTATTTTTTAAAGTATTAGTCTTAATTTAAATAGGTAAATAGAAATTAAAATATTATAATAATAAAGTAGACTTAAATATAGTAATAAGTTATTAAAAAGTAATCTTTTTATATAATAAGAAGTTTATAGATCTAGATTTCTTACTATTTTTACTACCTTAAAGTAAATTAGTAAGAGGTAAAGTAATTCTAGAATAGTCCTTAATAAATCTATAATAAAAGTTATAAAATCTAAGGAAAACTTATATATTATAGAATATCTTAGGTTTATCTTATAATATAATAGTATTAATATAATAAGAATCTATTAATATTTTATTTTAGGATATAATATACCCTAAGAACTTAATTTTAGTTTAATAAAAGATATATTTACTTTCCTTAATATAAAGGTTAGCTTTTTAAAGATATTTAAAGATCTTAATAATATACTAAGTATAAGAGACATAGTTAAGAAAAAAAATAAGAATATTATTAAGATAAATAATATAAAATTAATTAAGAATATTATATAAAGTAGATTATAAATAGTCCTAAAAGATACTAGGAGTATTTATTAAGCTAAAAGATATAATAGTATACTTATAATAACTATATTAATATTAAAAAGTAGTTTTCTAATAATCCTACTTATTAATATAGATATAATAGTAAGTATCTTAAAGGTTAAGCTTAGTAAAGAATTTAATATAAGCTAAATAATCTAAAATTTCTAAAATAAGTAGTAGGGGGTATTAATTCTTTATAGTAATCTTATTAAGTCCTTAATAATTAATATATAATTAAAGACTACTATTATTTTTAGATATAAAAAGAATTAGAGCCCCTATAGAACTTTATAATAATTAAATTTATCTAGAAGTAATATTATTATTAATATATTTATATAAAGCTTTAAGTTTAGATATTAATAAAGGATATATTAGTTCCTAAAGAGATTTTATTCCCTATTTTAGAATAATAGTATATTAACTCTTCTTAAGTATTAGAGGGGATTTTACTTTAGTCTTATTAAATAGATTATAAAACCCTTTAAATTCTAGAGGTAATTTATTAGGGTTTAATAATAATTTTAAATCTAATTTATTTTCTAAATTAAGAGGGAGCTATACTTTTTAAAATAATTTAATAATAGTAAATATATAGGCTTTATTTTAATAGATTTTTATAAACTTAAATTTATTAAGGAGTTTAAACTTAGGTATCTTAAATTACTATTTTTAGAATTTAGAGTCTAGAATAATATACTTATCCTAAAGAGTAGTTATTAATAGTAAGATAAGGCTACCTTTTAAGAATAGATTATAATTAATTATAATATAATCTTAGGTAAAATATTATTTAATCCCTTAAGAATTAGTAATAAATATAGGGACCTACTATACTCTATAGGTTAGTATTTATTATAAATTAATAATATAGAGATTAAAGGCTATAAGTTTTACTTACTATAATTTTAATAAGTAAATAAGATAGTAACTAATAATATTAATCTTAGTATAGGTATCTATATTAGTATAAGTAAAAATATAATATTTTATTTAGATATTAATAATAAAATAAGTAGCTATCTCTATAAAAGAGTATTTAGCTAAGGATAAGAATATATTTTTAATTAATTATTATTTTCTAAAGTAGTTACTTTAAGATTAGAAAAATTAATTAAGTCTTACTTAATAATTATCTTCTAAATAGTAGTTTTATACTTAAATTTTAGTTTAGAATAATAATTAAAGAGATAAGTATTACTTTAATAATTATAATAATAGAGAATATTCTTATCTTTACTAATAAGATTTTATTAGATTTTCTTAGAATTATTTATATTATTTAGCTAATCTCTTATATTCTAATTAAACTTTTTATTTAGGTAATAAGTCTTTAAGATAGGACTAGTATTATTTTTTTATAATAGAAATACTACCTTCCTTATAAGATATTAATATTAATTTACTTTTACTACTATTTTCTTTTAGATAATAAATAGTTAAGATATAGTTTCTTATATTTTTTAATAAAAATTAACTTAAAGCTTAGAAAAGAAAATTAAAGTATATTACTTTTTATTAACCTAGAGAAAATAATATTTAAGACTTTTAAAATAACTATTAAAATCCTAAGGATCTTAATTAATTTATTATTAAGTATAGTTCTTTACTATTATAAGATTAGAATAAAAGATTATTAAGTTATAAAGTAAGAATAGTATCTATTCTTTAAAATAGTCTTATATTTTAATTTTATTTTAAAGACCTCCTATTATTTTTTTTATAATATATTAATACTACTTCCTTTAATAAGTATTATTTATTTTATTTTACCTAGTAGTAATCTTACTATAATTAGTATTATATTTTATAGGGGTATACTTAATAATAGTTTTAATATTTATAAGTTATTCTTCCTATTTTTATAAAGTAGTTTTAAATATAAAAGATTTAATATACTTAATCTTAATTTCCTTATAATAAGATTTTAATATAGGTTTAACTACTCTTTATATACTTAATAGTTTAGGATTAATTAAAGTAGATAGTTATTAAGGAGGAAATAAGTATTCTAATTAGTTTATTTTTTACTAGAGGTTATAGATTTTTTACTTAAAATTATTAACTTATTTAAGATAATTAACCTTCTATTTTAGTTTATTTAATTATTCCTCTAAAATAGGCTTCTTAATACTATTTTTATTTATTATAAAAAATTACTAGGGCTATATTTTTTAAGGAGGTAGAATTTATTTTAATACTTAAACTTTATTAGTAGAGTAACTTAATTATAACCTAGTTAAAGGGCTATAAAGAGGGAATAATAAGGAAACTATAATAATATTATAAGTAATTAAAGATAAAGAATTAGAAATTATAAAAGTTTTAAAAAAAAGTTAATTAAATATAATATTACTAAGATAGATATAAAATTAGAATAAAACTAATCCTTACTTTATAAGATATCTAGGACCTTTAAGGGACCTAAGTAACTAGCTATTAAAAGAATAATATTAAGTTAAGGTCTCTTAATTTTCTTAGTTAACCTCTTAGCTTATCCCTTAGCTAACCTCCTTAGGTTGTGTAAGTGGATTAGCTAAGTTAACTAAGTTAATTAGTTAACCCCTGGCTATTAGCCCTTCCTAATGAGCCTGATCCCTTAGGCACCTCATGTACCTGAACCGTTCTAACCAGGGGCCTGACCCTTCAGGCATCTAGGCCGCTCTGACTGTGACAGCTATTTATATCTTTAGAATAAAGACCTTAAAAGAGAGGGATTATTAGAGAGCTATACTAAGAGATAGGATATTATTAACTAATAGATCTACCTAGTAAGATTATAGAGATAATAGGATATTATATTATTAATAAGATATAATATTAGGAACTAGAATCTAAGATATTCTAACTAAATATATTAAAGGTCTAATACTAGACTAGTTTAGGACTATACTTAGATTATAGATCTGATACTAACCCTATATAATAACCTTTAGTAGACTAGTAATCTAATCTAATTAGACTATAGGTCTAATAGAAGCATAGTATTCAAGGATACTTATTATTATTATATATAATTAGTTTTAGTTACTATTTATTATTCTTAGAATCTAAGGGACCCTATCTTTCAGAAAACCCAGTTTACCTTCTTTATTTATAAATAAGTAGTCTTCTCTTTTGATATTAGAATATCCTTAAGACCTCCTGGTCCTAAGCAGGAACGATAGGGCTTATCTGACACACTTACGCTACAAACCTCTCTGTGGATGAAGGACCTTGTAGCTGGTATAAACAGCGAGCTGCGCGCATGGTACACATCCGATTCTAGACTGGCCGAAGGAGGGAGCAAGCTGGAGCTTGTACCACTACCATTGTTTACAATATTTCTAAAGGCCATCTGAAGATACCTTATATGCCCCTGGTATCTGTGGTAACGGTCCAATATGGTAAGCGACGAGATTATAATGTACATAGCTGGGGCGAAGTGGTATTGCTCAATCCAAGACTCATTTCTTCTTCTTTGCTGTTCTTGATTCTGTAAGATAGTTCTTAGCAAGACCAAATCAACATAGTAACGGACGAATCTTACCAGCAGCAGTTCGCTTCTTTTTCGGCCTCCCTTTCCCTCGCAGCTTCGCGCTAACACATTGTGAGTAGGACTCGCCTCCGCAAACACCATGAGAAACGTACATCTGAATAGCTTCCTCCCTGTCGTCTTCCGCTTCGTCGAAAGTTGTCAAGCCAAGTGGCTTAATGGCCTCCCGCAAATCTCGAAACGACACTGTTTTCTTTGGATACCACGCCGCCAAGGTCGGACCCCGTAGTCTCTGGCGTAACACTTTGTTGCCCAGGCGTAGCCCATCGGGGTTAAAGGTCATGGAAAAAACTCGGCATTGGACCTCAAGAGAGATATCAGAAACGGGATTATCAACATGAAAGCGAGATGCCTGACTTACCTTGACCAGGTCCAGAACCCGGCTATATTGTGTTGCCATTTTGAAGGACAACAATTGCAATTGTTGAGAGTCTCCATCGGGACATTCGGCAGACTCTCAAGGTTTGCAGACAAGCCCGAGTCACGTGGGAATTAATCCATGAACGTCTCGCAATTGGAACTCTTCCCGCCACAACTTTTACTAACAATTCATGCTACTAGTATGGATCGCAAAAGAAAGTCGGTATTTTCATCACGTTTTACCGATGGTAATCCAGTGGAGAAGATAAAGGTCAACAATATCACAAGTTTATAGGTCTTCCCTGCTCACCACTGACTTTGGCGTAGAAACATTCTCATAGGGAACATGACACAAACAGAGTTCCGCCATTCCACTTTCTAATCGAGCAACTCACCAAGATCGTCGACAAAGAGGATGTCAAGCCTAGCGAAGATGTTCTCAAAGCAGCCACGGACTTAAGTCGAGCCTTACAACGCACGCCCTTGCCAAGCAAAGCATCAGCGAACTTGACCGGCATAGATACAACTATACCCCCAAAACTGCCCAAAGACCATGCCAGCCCATCCCAATCCCTACCACCGCTGCCTCGAATTACGGACGCCAACCTTGAAAAGACAGTATTTACACTTCCGGCAATGAGCAGTGATCCCACAAAAACTTACGACAGGCTCGAAATCCTTGGTGATGCATACATCGAGCTTATTGCAACAAAACTTATATGGAACAGATTCCCAGAGATACCATCTGGCCGAATTTCACAAATCCGGGAATCTCTTGTGAAGAATGAGACGCTTGCGGAATACTCCACCAAGTATGGCCTCGACAGTAGAACATCGTTTCCGCAGGATTATCTAAACAAGCCGAAGAGGCTGATAAAAACCAAAGGAGATCTGTTTGAAGCCTATGTGGCTGCTATTATAATCTCCCACCCGAACGGCTACTCTATCGCCGAGGATTGGCTTTCGCAGTTGTGGATTTCCAAATTAGAAGCTCTTGATGAATCACCATCACATATGCATGCCAAGCAGGCTCTCGCTAAGAGAGTATTGAGGCGAAAAGGTTTCAGACTAGATTATATTGACGAAAAGCCACCGGTCCAGCATCAAGGCACGGAAACTTTTTTTATTGGGGTCTACCTTAAAGCGCCCGGCCTGAACAACAAACACCTGGGTTCTGGCCAAGGGTTGAGCAAGGCAGCTGCTGGCAATAAAGCCGCTCAGAGGGCGTTGGAAAACGAGGACTTGATGAACGAAATTACGACCATGCGACCCCCTCATGGAACGGAGTGTGGATAGATTGATGAAATGTATCTTCTCTCTATAGGGATATTTCATATTCGCAATTATCTAACGGACCAAGTTTTAGGTTTAGGTTGATCAACCCATCCTACGTACATTTAACAACCGTGCGACAACACTTTGAAAATGGTACTTGCAATTAGAGAATGGTCGACGTTGTGTACGTTGTATCGCAGCGCTCGGGCTGTACGTATCTACATAACGGGAACTGTCACATGCCGGGAGGATGATTCAGCATCTTCCCCCAACTGCCAAAACTCCTCGTCTGCTCTTCACTTCGCTCCTTCTATGGATTCTTTAGGCAAAACTTATGGATAACGACCCCCCGGTATTCATTGCTACGCCATTCTTGCGCCCCCCCCCCCCTTGATACCCATCAACACCAAATTGCACTCCACCTCATCCTTCCAACCTCGAGCTTGAGCACGTAGTCGAAATTGGAGAAGCGGAAACATGGATTGGGACCGCACGAGAAGGTTTGTGGTTCTATTCTTTCACTGCATTCTAGTCAAGTTCTTCGCCATGTACTGGCTTGAACAGAAAGACTAAAGAACAATTTGATCCAGGTTTGATGATCACCGTGGCGGCGAGAGCTATCGCCCAGGAGCCTCGCGAGGATACAGCCGACGCAGCAGGTCGCCTCCACGCATACGCTCTCCGCCAAGTCGCCTTGTTGCTGATACATGGGTACCGTCTACTGGCCGGGCATATGGCCGTGCAAGAAGCCGATCCCCTCCTCCTTTCAGACGCCGTAATTCACGCAGTCCTTCAGCCTATAAACGAGACACCGGACAAGGGTCGTATGCAAAACCATATTCTCCTCGCAAATTTTCGCCTCGCCGGGATGTGAGACCTAGATCACCCTTACCGCCATCGAGGCGACCAAGATCTCCGTATGGGGAGGATCGCATGCGTGACATCGGCTGGGGCCAGTCCGCCTCAACCTCGAGACACCCAAGGAATCCTTCATCACCGGGTCGGGATTCTGGCTACTTCAGGAATGATCGCCATCTGCCCTCTGTTGGTCGATATACGAGGTCTCGCTCACCTCCGCGGCATGGCCCTTTATCCGAGGACGATCAGCGACCGACGACAATGTCGCGGCCACGCAGCCCTTATTATAGTGGACGGAAGGAGTTCACAGCCGATCGATTCTCAGGACACAGGCGCCGGTCACAATCCCCGAATGATTCCATGCCTAAGCGTCCCTCTGCCCCCGGTTCCAGGCCCAACTCCAGACGGTCATCACCTCTCCACGATAAGACCATTATTACGGCGCCGAAAGCAAACAGAAGTCGGTCACCGTCCGCTAAATACCTTGACCGTCGCCTTTCTAGAGACCATAGTGTTTCCTTCACCCAGAGCGATCGCATGTCAACCGCCAAAGCCAAATTGGGAACGCCCGAAACGAGGAGTAGATCACCTACTGCAGAACAGGCTTGCGCAAAATTAACCCCGAATCAGGATGACTTAGTCTTGTCTCGATCGAATGAGGTACCAGGAAGACCTAATTTTGCAAAACCTTCATATCCCAGCAATATCCCAAGCCAACCGAAGGCATTTGCTAACAACGGCTACCGGTCACCACCCACTGGTCTTCCCCACGGGCCTAAGACTCTACCGTCTCATCCACGTGCTTCGAACGTATCCATTTTGTCCGCGCCAACTCGGCCTCGCGGAAACCCAGTGTTCAAAGAAAACAGCTGGATAGGCTCAGCGAGCCGCCGTGGTCCGACACCTGCTGGTGCACATGGGGCACCAACTGCCCCTCGCAGTGCACAGTTGACGGCCCCAGGCGTCGAAGCGCAACGCCCTCGCTCCTATCGCTCCGAAAGTGTATCCGGAGTGTCCACAAGCTCTCAAAGATACTCCAGACATTTGGTAGGACTTAGTACGATCATTCCAGGGGGTAGGCCCGCTCCATCGGAGCTCGACACGGTAACAGAGCGACGCCTCCTCCAACTTGATCTGGATAAGGATCGGCTATTCGAACAAAACGCGGAGATCCAAAAGCTGAAACGTATCGGACTACGGGATTGGGATAGACTACACAGGGAAAGCTCCATTTGTGCCTTGAAAAGCGAGTTAGCTGAGAGTCACTTGCAGTGCATAACGGATACCGAAGGTGTACTCGGGAGGGCCGTCTTTTAGATTATTACTACATCAGTAATACTAATGCTTGATGCATATCCAGTGTTATTGCTATACCGAAAAAAAAATTGTAAATACATCGTCAGAGCGTCCGCTGTTTTCAAGCGAAGAGTATCTTGATAATTCGTAGAGACTACTGTGGTAGTAACATCCACCTAGTATGTCCTCCTGCTTTGAAGCTGTGGTGAAGATTATTACATAAGTCAAGGCATGGAACTGCTGTGGGGCCGCCACACAGGACTACGTATGTACAATCGTCAATCATTTCCGCGGTCGCGCCTCTTTTCAGGCTTCGTGTCAACATTTGTCCACAGCGCTTCGTTCTCCCTGTGGAAATCCTGCGATCTCAATTGAACGGTGTATGAATGAAACTGAAGCCCATTTGACTTGCAAACCTCACACTGTCAATCCCGTCTTTGTCTTTTCCTTCGGACTACTATTCATTGTATCGGTTTCCGCGCACGCGCCCACCTTTGCTATCCCAGAGCATCACCCTCCAAAGAGGAGTTTTATAGCAGCATGAATATTTTTAGATTGCTGGGTGAGTGCTCAAAGTCGCCTCTAATTTAGTGATAGGCTCTGACACCAGGCAGCGGATTTTTCCCATCTCGCCTCGATCTTTATCCTGCTACAGAAAATGAAGTCCTCAAGTGTAAGAGCATCCACTTGTTCTACTGTCCACGCTCTAATTATGATACAGAGCTGCTCTGGCTTATCGTTCAAGTCCCAGGCCCTCTATTTGATGGTCTTTGTGACTCGTTATCTTGGTTGAATCCTCACTCAGTCAACATGCTCGATCCAATGGCTAACGGGCCGGTTCATAGATCTATTCTGGGCCTTCACCGACTCGCTGTACAACACCACTTTCAAACTTCTGTTCATCGGCTCGTCAGGCTATATTATATACCTTATGCTCAATGACTATCGCCCTACACATGACCCAAATACCGACACCTTCAAAGTCCAGTACTTACTTGCGTCGAGTGCAATACTGGCTCTTGTATTCCCGCACGACTACAGCATTACAGAGGTCAAATAGATATCTCCATCTTCCTTGATTGTGTTTTGACAGTTTACAGATCCTTTGGACCTTTTCAATCTGGCTCGAGTCCGTTGCTATCCTACCGCAGCTCTTCATGCTTCAGCGTACTGGTGAAGCGGACACTATAACCACCCACTACCTATTTGCTCTCGGCCTCTACAGGGCACTCTATATCCCCAATTGGATTTATCGGTATTTTTCTGAAGGCCACTTCCAACCCGTCCCCGTCATCGCTGGCATCATCCAGACGCTGCTGTATTCCGACTTCTTCTATATCTATTACACCAAGTCAGTTACCGTCCCTCCCTTAGCTCACCACCATCATTGACTAGGCACTAGGATCATGAAAGGCAGAAAGTTCTCTCTGCCGGTTTGAAAAGGAGCCTTTATCCGCCGGGTTCCTTGTTAAGAGTAGTATCTGCTCACCAGTGGAAGCATCTACCTTTGGACGTTTCGTGCAACCAAGTTTTGAAGGCCCCTGGTATCGCGCTTCAAGCTACTGAATTCACGTGCAGTATGAGGAGTGCCCAGTTCGACCTAGCTGCTATGCGGAATATGCTTTGAACAGTTGCGTCTGCAGTTGTTTTGCATGCCGCTCCCAGAATATGTATCCGCCTGGATTTACGGTTAGTCCAAGTTATATGTACTCATATGATGAAACACCAATGAACACGAATTATCACATCGGTCTTTGAACTTAGCGCGGACATTGGTGTCGCATTACCAATACCATGAGTTGTCTTTCTGAGATACTGGGCAAGTGTACTGGAAGAGAGAATCCATTTTTTATGATTCTTAAAATACCCCAAAAAAGGCTGGTTAGCCTGACACGATAAGGGCGAAGGTTTCACATCATCTCAGGTATCCCATTCAGCAGCACAACTTCCACCCGTCTTCAGGCAGAATACCCCGGAAAGCTTGGGCCGGCGAGCAGTTTTATTCGTCTGACATGCAAGCCAATAGCATTTTTGTCGAACCACTGGCACAAAGACATCAGCAAGAGAAATCCCGGTGACTGGAAGACCCGTGCGCTGGGCCGTATCCAGTACTGTAATGGACTTGGAGAGATGGGATTGGGAGCTCGTTCTGGAAAGAATCCAGCGGCGCGGGGATTGCTCCCGGTGAATGACCCAGTACTCCGCCACTGACAGACCGTACCGCGCCTATGCTCAAGCTTGGGTGTCGCTGCTGCTTGCGTCCGGATTCAACCCAGTTTGTTTGCTGGTGGAAATACTCTATTTGTGGCCTCCCCAGAGTGGCTGGTCCAGGAATGGCCGGTTGGCGCCTGGAAATAGGGGGAGAAGGTAGTTTCGGTGAACGTGAGCATATCTCGAGCGGCGGGGAGCTTCTCCGCGAACTGGGAGGTGTCAGACGTGTGCCACCACGGCGCACCTGACAAGTTGGGCATATTTTCACGAAACGTGATATCAGCTCCTTGGGAACCCTTCGGCCCGTCAGTGATTCAGTTACGAGGAGTGGGCTTTCCTAGCGAAAGCTGGAATGGAATCGGTGTGAACATACCATGAATATATCTGCCGGACCTGAGCAGATGTTTTATCTCGCCCACCATGTTGGCACTGCTGGTGTGCTTTAATGAGGATTTTGAACAGCTTTTCTCTGATAGCGACTGGCTTTCCTTCGTGACATATCATCTTCGTGCACTGGGCGGATTGTTAATATAAGGGTTGGCGTCGTTGCAATCGGGTGATGTGGCTTACGAACATCTGAGGTATTTCCACCGACTCCTTGAAGCTTGAACATTTTCTTGACCCAAAACCTGATAAACTCGGTTAGCAATTTTTGACTATCTATCGTGAACAACAAGTCAGTGGTATTCCTTACCGGAACTGGGCGGACTCTATTGCCGTATCCTTGGGATCTATCAAGACGGTTCTGATGTTTCGCGCCCTCTTGGCATGGATCAAGGCCTTGTCTTGCTTCTTCACGGACAAATCGTCGACATAACTATAGAGACCGCTATAAGCTTGACCTACTTCACTGAAAACCGCGCGGTAACATTGCTGGATACGCAATACAATGCATTACCTTTTCACCAATTGGTCGAACTCCTTTACATTGGGAAACCCCTCTAGAGGGGGGATGATTGGTTCAGAAAGCATTGTGGCCTCGTTCCTCGACTCCTGGCTCTCGAGCTCTGCCTCGGCCAATGCCTCGTGCAGCGGCAGATATGCTGGTCCTTGGAGGTACCGTGGTTGCGGCATACATTGTGTCGGCGAGTGGTGCAGGGATGCATGGTCCGGGATTGGTGGGATGGATGCTGCCGGTGAATGATGGGATGGCATGCTTGTGTGGTTGTAGGGCAAGCTGAAATGGGGCGAGTATGAACTGAAGTGGTGCTGAGGAAAGTGATAGGGACCTGCCTCGAACTCATGGCCGTCTCCATGGCTGCTTGGAACTGGTAATGATAAATGAGGGTTGATGAAGTAGCCTTCATGCCCGTCGTTACCACGTCTTCCAAAGCCGCTCATGATGACTTCGTGAAAGGCTACCGGAAGTGCCCAATGGTATGTTTGGAATGAATAACGACAGCTCGTGGGCTTGTTGGTAGAGAATCTGAGGCTAGAGCTGCTGACCAGCGGGCATAATGCTCGATATAAATGGGGTAAATCTACGGCTTGATATTTCTATTCCCGTATTTTCTTTTTCGCCTTCTCTGTTTTTCCAACAGCTAATGTGATCTGTACATCTAAGGAGCGCAATAGAATAGCCCTTCAAGGGAGGATGCAAGGTAACCATCAAACCGCGTTTCAGTGTATGAAGATGCAGAAAGCAAAAGGAATTCTTGGGAGCGGAGGGGTCTGCAACAGTGAAGCGGATATATTGCGGGATCGGAAGGACGCCGGCAGCAAACATGGCATGAAATATGAGAGGAGATACTCTCCCAGAGAGGCCACTGTAAGGCACTTCAACAACGGGTGCAAATAGAGCGGCCAAAGCAAGCTGCAGTCGGAGATGCGGCCAGGGATCAAGCATCGAGCCGGGGTGTTAGGGGGCGGAAAGGCGAAGGAGGACTATTGTTTGGTGGAAGAGAGCTCTGGGAGCTTGAGAGTAATCAATTCAGCAATGATCCGGGATTTTTGGTGCCACATGATTTACTGACGAATCCCAGGCCGAGTGCATGACGAACCCCCCTGGCCAAAGGTTCCTTCTCCCCCAACGCCTGGGTTGGAGGTTCACTTGACAGCGGGACGATCCCTCTAGAGCCACCCTAACGAGAACCCACTGCCGAGTAGGCTCGTATGGAGTATGAGTGATTGTCTTCGTGCAATTATGCTTCGGTCCTGCCTCATACCCGGCTTATCTCCCCGGTGCAACAGTTCTTCAATGATTGATGCACCTCGTGGCTCTTTGCTTCTTTTTGTGCCACGTTTGCTTTGCCAGGACTGCAGATTCACCTACCAACGAAACTGACTCGCAGATACCCCCGATACCCCCGCTCTGACGGTGCGCACCAGCCTTTCGTTCTGGCCCCAGACCCTGTAGTGGGAGTTGGACAGAACGAGACTTGCTTCCCCATGCATGTTAGCGGCCGCTCCTGGGGCTGCCCAAACTGAGCATCCAGAGGCAATTAAAGAAAACCCAACCTGCATGGTAGAAGGTTCCTCAGGTTACCGATCGATAGCTCTGTTGCATGCCCAGGTTATGTCAGTGTTGGTGTCGCCTCACATCCTTATGAAAAGACGATCAACGCCAACCATGATCCTCAATGTACGCTACACTCCCTCTGTTTATGGGTGTGCTGGCAGCTATACATTTGGATAAGTTCCATTGGCTTGGCGTGGCGTGACTTGCATACGGGACACTGTCAGCGGCCTCAATTCAGCCTTGGCTGGTGGGTACTGACTGGTGGAGATGGTCAGCACGGCCCTGGTCTTATCCTGCTCGAGCAATGCCGAATGGTAATGCGTGGCGAAGATGAAGTAAGGACTATTATGCCAATGAACCCAAGGCGCATGAAGACATGGGTGGCGCTTTACATAAATAGGCATGTGCGTAGCCCGCCACAGCGATTGAGCGCCTACGAGCGACCCCTCTCGTCTCCACGCCATCAAGACAGCGCCAGGTACTGAGAAGGCCTGGATTCATGCTTTGGAAAGCTGTGAAATCAAACAGACCCGTGAAAGGCCCCAAGTGAGCCATGCTTCCAAATTTGGGGCGGTTCCGCTCCTCGAATCTCAAGGGATGTAGCTATGCCAATACTTTATCAAGACCCGACTGGGCTGGTGGTACTACATCTCTGTAGACACATTTCTCCTCCCCTCCCCTCCCAGCCCCGACGAAACAAGGTAATCCCTCCTCACCCTCTAGGATGGTTCAAGGTTACCTGCTGGTGTCAGAAATCTTGTACTTCCCCATGGATGACTTAGCTCAACACCGTGTACTTTCCCTGCGATTGCTTCTCAACCCTGTCTTTTTGCTTCGAATTTCCGCATGTGGCCACCAAGTCTCTGGGAGGGTACCAGGGAAGCCCGTTCAGCATGTAGTGTATGTGGCCGACATTTTTTAGTGGATCATGGCTCTTATTCTATCAAGATATCACACTCATCGATGTGTAGCAGCGAAAGACAGGTAGTGTGGCCCCCAAAGGCTCTCTCCTTGCTTGGGAAACAGAATCGATTAGGGTTAAGTCTCGTAATCTTTATTTTTGTCATCATCCCGTGTAACAAGAGTATCCACTAACATTGAACAAATCAAGGATACAGCTATATAACAATGTTATGCACCGGAATAACGAGACCCAGGCAACTGCAATCATCTTGAAACTCGCCGCCACGCATTTATGTCTGAACATATCAATTAATAGAGGCTCCAGTAAATTCATGGGTATCATCATTATCGTCTCATTCCGTGCCACCACGAGTCTGAAAGGAGAGAATCCGGGCAATCATGCAGTATTGAGCTCTTGAGCCACAAGGTTGCTGTTGAACCTTACCAGATCCCGGATAGCCCATCTCCAGTTGCTTCCGAAACCAGCATGGTTATGGTTCATCCACTTATCAACCTTGCGTCTCCATTTTTCTTCTTCCGTATGCTGGCGTCTAATGAACTCCGGCCCAACGTCAAACTCCTCTGTTATCGGCCACTCGTCTGACGAATCCTCGCCGCTCCGGTCGTCCCCGCTCGCGGCAGGCCTGAGATCCTCATGGGTTCCAGGAGTCCTCCTCCCCAATGCACCAGACTCTTCCAAATCGGCGAGGCTGGAAAAGACATCGTCTTCATCCTCAACTGCAACAACACCATCTAATCCGGGTTGCGAGGGAGCCAGTTTCAGCCAGCACATGCGTTGCGGATCGAAAACCATTCCCCCAACCACCTGAACATTCTGCATGGCCCCCACGTTGGTGATTAGTGCGGGTGATGGTTTCGGCGACTTAGGTGCGGTGGTGTCAAAACCGTGAACTAAGTTTTCGTTCCCCTCCCATCGAAATGAAGCGGGATTGTAATGCATACCATTCACAGCTTGGTAAAATGTCAGCGCCGAGTTTCACGGACACTTAGATGGTTACTTACATTTCGCTTCGTGGACCCCCGCTCCAATGGGTTTAATAAGCTGCGGCCGTGTTGACGAGATCGAGCCAGACTTTCCCTTTTTGTTTCTCAACGACCCTGGTGTGGATGGAGCACGGGAGATATTTTGGGTTTTCCAATTTGAGCTCAAAGGTGTTAGTGGGGTATTCTCTCGGAGTTTGGGGATTGAAGACATAGAGGCGATGCGTTGTTCTCTGGCGTTCCGAGAGGCATTTGTATCGCGTGCAAATCTAGGAACCGACGATTGTTGTTGGGATGGTGGTGGCGGGCTGACCGCCACCGGTATCTGTTGCGTTGTACTTTCCGGTTTCGACGGTGCTGGTTGGCTTTGGCTGAGTTTAATCCTTAGGGAACGTGGTGCCCCTCGGCCACTGGGCTGCTTTACGAACCTACTCTCCGTTGCAGTGGACGTGGGTAAGTCGTCGAAAGAAGCCAATTCTGATCCGTCACCATAATTTCGACGGCGGGTTGGCCGGGTGAGAGTCCTCTTGGGAGTCGTGTTTACTGTTTCCGAGGTTGTGTCGTTCGGACTGAAGCCAGAATTGTCGTGACGAGTGGACCGCTGTAATCGTTTAACGGTGCCCTGAGAACCAAAGGCATCGCTGGTATCATCGGAACTCGTACGACGAGAATATTGGTAATTTTTTATGCTGGCGTGATGCGACTGTTTATCAGATGCACCAGCGGGTAGAAACGGTGTTTGGGGTTTACGGATCGACAGCTTCCCGTCCTGCCCCGTGCGATCAACCGGAGCCCAGAGGCGGCTAGTAGACCAGCTTGGACCGCCTTGACGGGGAGGGCTGGGGAGGGAAGTGGCGGATGCCGTCTGCTGCGTATTGCGCATTGACGGCATGGAGCGTTTTGACTTTAATAACTGCTTCCCTGCGGCCCGCTCACCTGCTAGGGCGTCCTTTGAGATCCGTGTCCCTACAAGTCGTCGAGTGGGTGTAAAAGGGTTCGATGACAGTGTCGTTGACGCAGATATAGGAAGACTGGAAACCGAAGAATGGGATACATGGCCTGGCCGGCGGGGGGAGGTGCGGAATTTTGATAAGGGTGCACCACTCTCTGACACAGTTTCCAAATGCGTTGAAATAGGTCGGTCATGGCCTGAGAGACGTGGAATGCGAGTTTTTGGGGATACTGCGGCGTTTGTAAACGTAAGGGTAGTCGCAGAACGGCGCGCTGGACTGCCCAGTGATTCTGATTTGCATTTAATGTTCGGGTTTATTGAAGGCTTTTTGAAATTGAAGGCTTCGCCGTTGTTGATTTCGAGACCAGAGAAGAAGTCGTCCGGGGGAGATTGGTTGTTCTCTTTACAATCGGGCACACGGCGGGATGCATCGGCAAGGTTCAGATTCCTCGGTTTGTTCAGACGTGCGCCTAGATTTAACGGCCCTTCTGGAATCACGAGACCATCAAGCCCTTCATCATCACTTTCGCCAGTCAAATAGCTCGAAGCACTGGGACTGACCACGGATATCGAGGAACTAGGGTTCGAACGATGTTCTCGCGCAGTGCCACCAAATCGCACACCTATGCTGCCCTCGGACCAATCGACATCGAGATCCTCAGGGGCAGGGCTAGAGCTTCGTGTCGTGGGATGGCGCAATTGGAGGAATTCATCTGTCGGTATTTCAAAATCATCTTCAAAACTTTCGGAAGAGGTCTGTTCGGTTCTCGGCATGGAATCGCTCGGAATACTTGGTATTAATGAGGCCCGCTGGCTGGTTGCCTTGACAGTAGGAATATCAAGAGTGCTGTCCGTGTCGATGTTGTCTGGAAAGCTATTCGAAATGTTGTAGGCGGATAGTTGATGTGTTACATCGCTGATAGATTCAGCGGGTTTCACTGGGCACGCTGGTCCACAACCAACTTGTAGAAGCGAGTCAGGAAAAGAAGTATCGGGGAATCGCTTCAACTCCAGGGCGACATCTGGACCTGGTAGCTCCAGGTCATCAGACCAATCGTCGATGAACTCTCGCTTGGTCTTCCTCTTCCCAAGGCGCTTGATAGTGCCCCCAATAAGGGCCGAGCGGGGAACATTCGCGGGTAGTGGGATTCCGGCATTCTTGACGGATGATATAGCTTCCTCGTCCACGAGTTCATTATCATCTAGTAGCTGAATCTGCCAGTCTTCATCTCCACCAGTGATGGAGTCAAGGTCGGAGCGAGCAGAAAGACGAGAAGAAATGGAGTCACGATGACCTGATCGGCGGACAGATGAGGCCGTTAGAGACGCAGCACTTGATCCAGCGCGTAGATGGATGTCCTCGTAACACTGTAGGTCGTCGTCGTCGTCCCAGCATTCAACAGCCCCCCCGCTATCGTGTCGCATTTCAAGCGTTAGTGGCGCCATGTTTTGCGGCAGCGCGGCGCACTTGAATACAGCACAGGCACATAAAAATACTATATATCGGTAACCCGGAGCTCTAAGTTGTCTGCTTCGAGCGTTCTGGCGTTGATATAGGGCTTAGGTAAGGATAGACCTTCATGCCGTACTGCCGCCGAATCAGTTGAGTTAGGGCCGTAGGACTCGATTCGGTCAAAGCGGGCGTCGGTTCGATGGGTTGGTGGTAACTTGTGGCCTCGAGCAGCGGATTGATATGATGGGAGAGGAAAAGGGGAGGTCGAATCTGGCATCCAGGTAGCAGGAGAGGCTAGCCGGGTATATGGTATGACAGTAAATGAGATTGCGTGCGTGGAAGAGCGAGAAACACGAGATGAGCTCTCGAGGTTGGTGCACAGCGCTCGTGTGTTGTGAATCGTGACAGGGGTGGCTGGTGGATTATTTCCGTCTGGCATTAACAACGCGAGCATCCACAGGCCGCTGAGCCTCCTGAAACCATGCCAGCCTCACCAGCTATGTTTATGAGTAAAGTATCCAGAATAATATCTTGACGACAGAATGATATACGAGCAAGGAATCTTGACTGAGGTCGGTCTCCCTCAGGCTTTCTGGGCTGTCGATGGAGCGAGGTGTGAAATTGGATGTTGCGGCCACCCACTAGTTCTATAGTTACTCGTAGTGCTGAGTTTGGTTGCTCGGACGTCGAAGACTAGTCCCGTCTGATATTTGGTTTTACGCAGTAATGCATCACCCAAATATGAGATGCATCAGATAGACATCTCCACTAAATACCCCGATGTTTAGGGTCTCATTTACTGACGTATGTTTTGTGCCTCGGTCGCGTCTCCGAGCATGATATCAGACCAACAGATAGGCAACTACGAGCAGCCGTCGGGTTTGCGAACTAACGCATAAACGCATAAAACATCGACTCGAACTTGTCTGTATTGAAATTTTCCGTTGAATACCGCCCACCAACTTGGCAGAGAGTGCCTGCGGTGGAGCAATGCGGGTACTGTTATGATTTTGTGATATGGTATGGCAGAGAATTGAGAGAAGCTCTTGAGCTGACACAAGGTGCATGATGTCAGTTCTTGCACTTTGCAGTACTAGTATCTTGTATTTGTAGTTCGAGCTTTTTGAAGCTCATTGTCATCTCAACCAACCTAGAACGCCAAGCCTGTAAGGCTACACTGTCCATCGGAGGCACCAGCAGCTCTCCGAGTGCTTAAGAACGGGCCTCTTGGGGCTCGAGGCACGCAAGGAATCGCATTAGTTATCACTGCATAGCAGCAGTTTTGAGATGTCTCCCTCAAAGCACGTTTCTGGCCCGCGCGTTGTGCACATTCGTCGCTCTGACGCGGCTGATGCCCATGTCCTTCTCCACGTTTCCCGCACTGACTCGTCCACCCTTGAACTGGGCATCACTGCGACGGAGGGAGACAGCCCATATACCACGACTGGTACGTGAATCTCTCGATGTTTCTCATCGTTTCAGAGCACTAACATGTGAGACTAGTGCGACAGGCTCAGCTGAAAAACCTGCGAGCGAAACAGTACCAAGGCAGCGATGACGAATGGAGAGACACCATCCTTCATGTTCTGGGTCTCCTGGAAGAACCAGAAAAACACTCTGATCTCCTCACCGGCATTGAAGTTTCGGCCACCATCAACGGATCCGGGGATGAGGATAAAGAGCTGGTATTGACCGTGAGAAAGAGGATACAGGACATCACGGTAGGCGCTCCCTTTAATGTATGAGCCACCGATTCGATATCTGACTTGTCACAGCAAAAACTAGGCTCGTTGACGCTTAGCCAAGATGACGAACAGGCTATCGAGTTATTTGAATGGTCGAATATTGCCGTCGCTAGAGCAGATTCGATGGAGGAACGTTATACAACACTGCTCGCTCGCTTCCGGACAGCGGAAGACACCATAAGCTCACTCAACAGACAGCTAGACGAGTTGATTTCATCGAAAAGTCTGCACGAACAGCAGCTCATGTCTGATTTCGTGCACCTTTTAAACGAGAAGAAACTAAAGATTCGCAATCAACAGCGCCTGCTTGCATCAGCGAAGGTCGATCCAGAAAAACGTAAGGCACTTCTACCGACGATTAACTTTCCACGACAATTTCAGTTACTGACGGACAGAAAGTCTCTACAATACAGAAAGCGACGGCTGCAGACCGCTCTAAGCCAGATGCGAAAGGTCGGAATCAAAAGCGCTCCGCGCGAGCGATTTTTGATGATAACTCTGAAAGTGATGGTGGATTTGAGAAGATGGACGTTGACCAGAAACAGCGGGCAGATGAAGGTTCGGGTCAGGAAACAGACGATCAGGAACAATCAACACCCCAGCCTATGGAAGATGAGGATACAACTACTGATGATGAAGGGCCTGCCGCATCGACCCACGTTACGAAGAAAGAAGAAAAAGAAAAGCAAGGACCGCCCGGGCGCGCCCTAGCAAGATCACCACCTCCAAGAAGAGAGCTACCTTTTGCAAGAAGGGCACAAAAAGAGCCGGTCCCGGCGAAATCGCCGCCAGCGCAGGACTCAGATGAGACAGAAGGGGAGACGGATGATGATGAACTATAGCCTGTAGACTAACCTGCGGGGTTTCATATGATTGTCAATAACGATTTTCATGATTCTTGTACATTCGGGCTACTTGCTTATTGGTGGCTCCACGAGCAAATTTCAAGCCAGGTCAGAAAGCATCTGAGCTCTTCCAAAAGTATATCGCAGCCAATAGACGTATCCATTTCGCATAGTTGATTTTATTCTTATGTACAAGCTTACCTCTCATACGTCTAGAGGCTACACCACAGAGGCGCTGGAAGCACTTAGAAAATATGATGAAAGTGATATAACCATCAAACAGTGAGACCAAATAGAAAGGTTTAGGTGTTACAACAACAACGCCTAAAAGAACAGAAACAAACCACATCGATCCCATTAATTAGGGCTCAAAAGAGGTTCAGCCATACATGTGCTGAGGGGACATTTCACCGCCGCTCGACAGGTAGTTTACATCAGGGTTTCCAGAGGCTTTCGCCGCCGAGCAACGGGCCATGGTCGGTGAACTATGAAGTTAGCTACAGAATCCTAACAAAGGATGTCAATTGTTTCTTACCTCCTGGAGATGGAATCTGTGAAATAGAAATCTTCGATCACCTTCTTGAATGGCGTAGCGGTTACTTGAGCGCCTTTGTTCTGATCTACCAGCTGAACCTTGCTCAATTGGGCTAGAGAAGAGGATTCGACAACGTCATAGCGTCGCATGACAGGACTGATTTCCTCCATGCGGTCGCGTAGGGCTTCAATATCATCGTAAGGGAGGGGAACGTTCAGAAACTCGCTAGCGGCACGGATGATTTTCCAGTCATCGCGAGAGGCACCGGGCATTGAAGTTGCTGCTCGAGTAACCTGAACACGGCCCTCGGTGTTGATGTAGGTTCCCGACTTTTCGGTATATGCCGCTCCGGGGAGGACAACGTCCGCAATTTGAGCACCGCTGTCACCGTGGTGGCCTTGGTAGACGACAAATGCGTCCTTGGGAATTTCAGATTGGCTAACCTCGTCAGCACCAAGTAGCCAAACCATCTTAGCCTTGGTTTGGGCAACTTCCGGGGAAGGTGTAGTAAAGCCGACTTCGAAGGCGGCGGCACGGGATGCTGCGCGCTGGAGAACATTGTAGCCCTGCCATTCTGGGGTGTTGAAGCTGCTAGCGTGCTTCTCAACAAATCCACCAACAGCTTCGAAAATTGCCTTGGCGCTTTCGTGCTCAGCCGCGGCACTACCGACAATAATCATAGGTCGCTTAGCGGTAGCCAGCTTCTTGCCAAAGTCCCCTGACAGAGCGGATTTCAGAGCAGCAACGTCAGATCCCAAGTGCTCAAAGTCGAAGGTGCTCTCGAAGGATTCTCCAACAAGACCGATCTCGAGATCAGAGCGAAGATATTGTTTACGAATGCGGGCGTTGAGAACAGATGCTTCGTGGCGGGGATTTGTGGCCACTAGGAGGATGGCGTCGGCCTCTTCAATCCCGTAAATTTTCGAGTTAAAGAGATAGCTTGAGCGGATGTCGACACCATGGGCAATGGGTGAGCTACCTCCAGGTTGATCCAGGGCGAGGTTATCGGAGCCAAGCTTATTGGCGAGGTCTTTCATGGCAACCATGGTTTCCGCATCCACAAGATGGCCGGAAACAGCCTTGAACTCATTTTCCTTTAGCTGAAGTCTTTGATGGGCCGATGCAATCTCGGTCAGGGCTTGCTCCCAGGTCGCAGGGACGAACTTTCCTTCTTGTCGGATCAAGGGAGTGGTGAGTCTCTGAGTCTTCAGGCCATCGCATGCGAAGCGAGACTTGTCGTTGATCCATTCCTCGTTGATATCATCATTCAGTCTTGGGAGAACGCGCATCACTTCCATACCGCGTGTATCAATCCGGACGTTGGAGCCGAGAGCGTCGTGCACATCGATAGACTCGGTGTGTTTGAGTTCCCAAGGACGGGCGCGGAAGGCGTAGGGCTTCGAGGTCAGGGCACCAACGGGGCAGAGATCAATGATGTTTCCAGACAGCTCAGTGTCCAAGTTTCGTTCCAAGTATGTTCCGATCTGCATATCATTTCCTCGGCCGGAAGTTCCAAGTTCGGGAGCACCAGCAACATCATTCATAAATCGGACGCAACGTGTGCACTGAATACACCTGTTCATAGATGTCTTGACAAGGGGTCCAATATTCTTGTCTTCGACAGCACGCTTGCCACCCAATTCATGGAAGCGTCCACGGTCCGCACCATACCGCATCGACTGGTCTTGAAGATCACACTCTCCTCCCTGATCACAAATCGGGCAATCAAGTGGATGATTGGCTAGCAAGAACTCCATAACTCCTTCCCTAGCCTTGTGCACCAACGGGGAATCTGTTTTGACGACCATTCCGGGCTGTACCGGCCAAGCACATGACGCCACGGGCTTTGGGGCTCTTTCGACTTCGACGAGACACATGCGACCTAAATTATTCCGGCCCAATTAGTAGAGTTCCGTCATAATAGATGGTTGCCTTGAGCATACAGTTTCCGGCAATCATTAATTTTCTATGGAGTGAGTTAGTTGTCAATCCAAAAAAGGTAAAGGGGAGGGGGGGTGGCATGAAAGCGTACTCATGATAACAATATCTAATAGACTGTTAGCAATTGCTCACGTATCGACTAATCGGTTCACGCATTTTCGTACCTAGGAATTGTTGCTCCAGCCTTCTCGCAAGCTTGAATAAGAGCCGAACCAGCTGTGGGACCGTGTTAAGTAGCGTTCTTGTGAAACCGTTCAAGGGAGTTGGTAAGCACCTTCTACGGAGACCTTCTTGCCATCTGAAATATGGAATATTAGCACCTAGCCTGATTGACTGCTACAGGCCTTCAATGGACATACCAATCGTGAGTTCCACCTCGGCGGAGCGAGGAATTGTCGTTGCAAATGTCCTAGCAGCATTGACCTTTGGAAGCCGGATAGACCGCGCGGCCGCGCGAAATAGCTGCGGCCGCATGTTGTAAAAGAGGAATGCAAAAGAAAGAAAGAGGAGATATGAGGGTATAAGAAGGGTTGATAAGCCGAAAGAGCCGTCGTGCAGCTTGGGGGGGAAGCTGATATCTTTCGGTCAAGCACTTTGGCGTTTGGATTCTCGCAAGCCCCGGCCTGGGCGTCACTCACAAATTGCCGTACGCGGATTGGCTCGGATATACGGGAAATCTATTAATCCTTTGCACACCATTTTGTTGGTTTCTCAGCGGCTCTGGGATTTGGTTTTCTTTTCTCCTTTTCCAGTATATCTCATTCACGGGCATGTTTATTGTAGGTGGTAGGGCAAATCCCGTCCCTCCCTCCTCTGCATCATGATCCAAGAGCAAGATGCACTGAGCTGGAGCTCCTGAGGGCCGTTTCCATCAATTTCTGATCGAGATGCCTACTGAAGGCGTAGTTCCTTACCGACAGCTGCAACAAAAATTTTTCTTGTTTGTTTCGAGAAACTGATATCCACGCAGCGTAAACAACAACAAACCTCAGAGGCAAAGATCGCCTAAGTCAGGGCTTACTGAGCTCCCGACGATGATTGTTACTGAAATACAATTTTGTGTTCCAATCGAGAACGCGTCCTGATCTAGGACTAGGTCGGCTTGTCATTCTGAAAGTCTCGTAGTACAATTGATTCTAGTATATAGTAGTTTTCTATCATGCCATTCGTATGATGTTACAAGAAAAAGCACGGCCACAACCTTCGAGGCCGTGGCCTCGTGCCCTAGAATAATTTATCTAACCCAAGATGTTCTGGAAAAGTAGCCAAACTCCAAAATATGCTCACAGCATTCAAGAGTCGCGCGCTTGCCATGTTGTCTCTTGCTTTGTGCCAGGTGGCAGCCATGCTTTCGTGCTGCTACTAGCCCTGGAACGAGTTTGGCCAATGCTATCATCCTTTTTCGAGTTACTTGTCAGAGAAAAGGAGTTGTCCGGAAACTGCTGACCGGCAGGCCGCCTTTGCGGGAAAGAGTACCCGTTTGAATCCCAGACCTTGCTTGACGTACGGGTGCTCAAGGGAAGTACCGTGCCCTTGGAATGGAAGTGGTCGGTGTTCGCTTTTTGGTCTGCGGCGTCATCATGACTGTTGCGGTCGTAGAGGTAAAGCCCAAGGAAAGTGAGAGCGATGCCAAAACCCTGAATTGGGGTTGTATTGCTGCCAAACCAGATGATCGCGACAAAAATCACAAACACCCTTTTGATTAGAGACGCAACAGAATACGATACGGGTGAGATCATGGAAAGGAGAACGAAAGCAAGGATATTTTGAGCAAAGTGGGATACCCCATTGAACACGAACTCAAGCGCTAGAGCGCCATGATCCAATGAGCCAGTTTTGCCTGACAGAGAGATGGAACCATCGTGCATAAAATCGGCGAACAGAGGATAACCTTCACTGACAAGCCATATTGGCAAGGTAAGGATGAAGGCCAGTCCAGAGCAATAATAGAGCAGATTCAACTTGTCTAGCTTCCGGCGACCAGAGGAGTGCATATCCGACTCCGCGCGTTCCGCTTCGTTAAAGAGCTTCTTGGAGAAGATGTTCTGTGAGACGAAGACTATAGCTGCAATCAAGGCGCATATGATTCCAAAGAAATTCGTGGAGAATCCGGTGGAGCAAGCAAGCATAACACCTAACGTAAGTGGCACAAGGGATAGATATGTTGCCTTGGCATAACGTATGCGGAAGAAAAAGCGATATGCTAGTACTGTGAAAAGAGGTGAAAGTCCCTTGATAGTATGAACAAGCGAGACTGGAATCTGAGAAGTAGCCATGGAGCTAAGGATATGCCCTGCGAGTTGGAAAACAGCGAGGGGCAATGCGGTCATTAAAACGTCGCGTGACGGTGGGCGAATATCATTTTTGAGTGCTGGTATGCTCGTTTTCAGCCAGGGTAGTACCCTTGACAGATGCGAAAGCAGCAGGCACCATATTGACACAAAGGCAAACTGGACGATTGTAAGGGTGATGGGTTTCGGGAGCGCGTTCAATATGGATTTCGATGACGTGTTGGTGAGAGCTGAGGTGGTATACCAGATGAGGCAAAGCACCTGCGTAGCGAGTAAGCAACTGCAAGCGACAGAATTTGGATAAGGATATTGAGCCGTACGATTAGTTTATACGAAACAGGAGCTTTGAGAGCTTGGGCAAGATCTTGCGCATTCGCACTGACACTCCCATTGCGGGTCCGAATGGCACTTATAGTCTCACTAATGCTCTTCCTAGGTCTTCGCTTTGGGTCTCTGACTGGTTTGTAGTCCCACCGGTCGTTTGGCGCATACTTTATTGTCGTAGGATGATGCCCATTCGGCTCGCTCGAGTCATATTGCTCGTCATGGAACGGCGGAAATTTGTCAATGGGGCTGGCCATTGGTTGAGAGCTGGATACTTTCACAGACGTCTGCAGTTCCGGTTGCCGTATTGAAGCGCGCCGCCCAGTGCCTGTCACAGTGGTCGTGGTCATTTCCCAGTCTTCCTGACAACTCCACTTGCGTTGAGATGTGGAGGGCTTATGTTCAGGGGTCTACCCAGCGGCTTAACCAGGGGTTGTTGGTCTTGGTTTGTTCGTTCTTGTTGACTCGTCTGCGTTTCACACGAGTAATCCGTCAGTCGAAGGGAGTTCTGTTCTGCGGACTATATCGAAACAGAGTGCTGTGGCGGATGCGACAGGCGTACTCGGGAAAGTCACTTCGGACAAGTCGCTGAGACCGAGGGCAGGATTGTGTAGTTATCTGCGGTCCTTGGGCATCTGGAGTCTGACGCTATATAGCGCGCATAGCACAGGTCGGCTTCAGGAGGGTAACTCTGGCAAAAGTGATATCCATCTGTAACCATTGTGCTCCAAGCAACTTGCAGGTCGTATTGACGGAGTTATTATTATCGGACGGAATAGTATCTTGTGCTAGTACCATTTAGTACTAGCGTACTGTGGGATGACGAGTCGCCAGAACACAGCTGGCGAATAAGGGTTGAGGACCGAGCACGCTGTCATACCTTATGGAGTGCCCTTCCAGGCTTAGGTTGTACTCCGTATCCGTGCCTTTCTGCCCACCCATACGACGAAGGCGGTGGGTGGGCAGAAAGGACGGACATCAGCTTATTATTCTCCAAGCTTCTTCTATCATATGAGCCCTTGTTCTTAGGGATCTGTGGACCTTGTTGATGCTGTGCGATGGGTTCGACCAAGCCACAGCGAACCCGCATGTCTCGGACACTCTCGCCCTTGGAATATCTAATCATCGAATGGGACGATAGTCGTCAAAACACGGAGAATCGTGGTGCGAAAGGGTATCGGCACTCAACCGTGGCCGATGCCAGATCTGCCAAACTTCGCGTCATTGGCCAGCCGAGGCCGCGCCGTTTTATAACACCGAAACACAGGGTCTCCGCCAAGCACGAAGCTCTTTCTCAGACTTGTTGACGTATCTATCTTGAAAATGCTTCGCTTTCTCTCATTTCTAACAATACCTTCCTTGGTAGTCTTTTTCGACGGTGCGTCATGGGGTGTAAATACTCTGGATGCATGGCTTCATACTCCACCATCTCGGGCTCATTTTGGCGACAATGCTGCTGTTCGCTTTTCAGAGAGCTGGGAGGTGCTTGGGCCATTTCAATGTGGTACAAGAGGTTGGTCTTTGTCTGATAAGGGCTGAATACAAATTGATCAACGTCCAGAGGCTGTCTGGGGAGCGGATCCTCTGGAATACTGGGGTGGATTCAGCAACCTGTCGTATGATGAAAAAGAGGAATACAACAGTCCTCTTGCTCCTGGTGGAACTGTAAAATGGGGGTTGGTTCGACCCAACGTTACGAGTCTTCGCCCAGATCAGAGCGAGACGGGAATTGTGGTAAGTTTTCCAGAAGTCGACTGGGACTTTCTCCAATCCATCTACGGGTGGTCTGCCCTTCAATATCAGGCATGGGTACGCGGCACTCTACATATGAACGGCCCAATCGACCAGACAGTCGCGATTTTCATGGACGGTGTCTTGGAGGTCTCCATTGACAGTCGACGGCACTTTGGTGGGGACTTCTACAGGTATCGTAGAGCGCCTTTGATTTTGGAACTTGCACCTGGAGAGCATATCATTGAATTCCGCTTGATTCGTGATGTCCGGGCTCTGGGTGGCCAGGGTGTCCCCGCAGTCAACATGGTCTTTGAGACTCAAATCCGGCACGAAGTTCTCCTCGTTGACGAATCAAGCCTTTTGATACCAGAAACAACTGACCAGAGGCTCGGAAGCGCTTGGGCAACAGTAAACGTGCAGAGTAACACGGCAGAGTGGGTGGAGATCACTTGCATCAGCTCCCCCGATGTTAGTGTCAATGTCCTTCTCTTGTCTCAAAATATCATCTCATAACGATATATACGGTATCAGATCATCCTAGTGATGGGAAAGCCAGTACATGTGGCACCGTATCAGATTCGACCCCTGATTTTCCGAATCGCGGGTGGCCATGCGTCCAGTATTGAACTTGCAGCCGTTGTCCGCTACCGTCTTCATACAGAGGGCAGCGTTCGCACTCTTTCTTTCCGATTATCATTCGTTGATAAGTCACAATCTGAGCCTCAAAGGCTGACATATCTCCACCCAGCGGGCATTGTGAGCTATGCCATTCTTCGTCCACCCGCGTTAGAGGCACCTTGTGTGTTTGACCAACATAGCACTTCATTGCCTATCCTGATCGGCCTCCATGGAGCCGGGCTCGAGGCTGATAGCGAGGAAGTGCGGCGAATGCTTGATGCTGCCGATGGTATTTGCGCATGGACGCTATTTCCAAGCGGCGTCACTTCATGGAGCGGTGATGACTGGCGTAAGTTCCAGCTTCTATTGCCCACATCACAAAGCGGGGAGGTCGATAGTGTTAATCTCAATTAGACACTTGGGGAAACGCGGATATCAAGGCCGCCGTCAATGCAATTTCTCACTGGGTCGAAGCTGTCCGTTGGCGCGGCCATGGCGTCCTCCCCAACGAGTGGATAGTAGTAGGACATTCAAATGGAGGTACAGGATGGTAGCTCTCTCGTTGGTGTCATTTACTCACCCTCATAACAGGTCAGGGGGTGTGGTTTCTCACCACGCACCAACCGGATAATGTTGTCGCTGCTGCACCTGTATCAGGATATTCCTCCATTGAAAGTAAATCACCCAACCTCATATCTCCTCTCAGATCCTAATCCATGCTAGAATACGTATCTTTCAATATGTGGCATGACACTGAGCCTCTGATATCGTCTATACTCCTCCGAGCACGGTCAAGTTTTCGACACGAAATATTGTTGGACAACACTGCTGGTATTCCAATTTTGCAGCAGCATGGCTCTGATGACACGAATGTTCCCGCATACCATTCGCGTCTTATGCATGCGCTACTTGAGGAAACCCGTTGGTCGTCTAAATATGTTGAGTTAGCTGGTAAAGGCCACTGGTTCGATGGCGTGATGACGACCGTTCCACTGTTGAAATTTTATCAAGACGCTTTGCATCCAAATCGAACCCAGGCTCTTACAGCTTATACAATAACCGTTCCATCATCTGGAGATATGGCGTCCAAGGGAGGCATATACGTGGATCAATTACAGTCTCCCGATTTGGCTGGTCGATTGCATGTCAGAAGAGATTTACAGCATGGAGTTTGGTATCTGAAGACACAGAATATCCATCGTTTTCATCTCACCGCTAGAGCATGCGAAGCTGAGACGTCTATTCTCTTAATCATTGGCGAACCAGGCGTCCAGTTCAGGGTCAACCTGCGGCAGTGTGAATCCACGTGGTATATTAAAGATGCTGGGGGAAAGTGGGCGAGCTCCAGGGAGACTGAATGGCAATCCGTATCCCAGAGGTATGGCCGTCAGATAGGCGCAATGGACGCTATCTTGCGCACTCATGGGCTATTTACCATAAGGATGTGCTCCAGTGGTATCGATCACGTGGCCCTTCAGATCAGCCGCAATCTATTACAATACTTCGCTGCGGACTCTCAAATCATGAGGCATTGCAACCAGTCAACAAATCAGGACAGTAGGGACTATGAAGCCATACCAGGAAACATTCTCACTCTCGCACTCGGGAATGGACTGTCCAACTCGTCGTCCCCGTCATACCCTATCCGTTTGACAGATAGTCAAGTTCTGCTTTACAAAGGGTGTTCTCGTTCCAACGCCAGAGGTGAATTCGGCTTCAAGAATTGCCACTGTTTTGCGTTTGATTATGAACCGGGTATGGGTGCCTTGTTTCTTCGCCCTTTGGAGAATGAGGGCCTAGAACTGGTGGTGTGGGGGGCAGATGTCGAAGGGCTTGAACAGGCAGCCCGTCTCGTGCCCACACTTACCGGAGTTGGCCAGCCTGAACTTATAATTCTTAGTAGCAGTTGCCGTTGGAAAGGTCCAGCAGGCCTATATGCCGCTGCTCACTTTGATTATTCTTGGCAAATCTCGTCGGGGTCATACATTGCCAACGGCATATAGCATACAGAGCTGGATAATAGGTATGGCATGCTTGACACCATAACTTTAGAGCAAATACTTAGACTTGGTTTGACTTATAGAAGACGAATTCTACCTACGCGCCTAACCCCAACTCCAGAAAAAAAAAGCGTACCTAGTAGCATGAGGTAGGCTGATGTATTGAAGAGCGTCCCTGTCAGTTCCAGGATTGAAGTCGTTGCTTTGGCGGTAATAGGGCTAGGCTCAAAATGAACATATAGGTACGAATGAGCAAATTCTGGCTCATGATACTCGACTACTACGCCTTTACTGTATGATGAGGTCGCCCTTTAGAGCCTCTGCTTTGTGGACTGGTTGTTGAATAAGCCGTCAATTTGAGCGCATTTTCTGCAACTTCCATTTTCAGCAATCTCAAAATACCCGGCCCAAGGTTGATGAGACTCTTGCCTGGTTTCCTTTCCCGTACCTCTTCAATGCGCTTCCCTTATTTTTTTTTGTTACTTCTGTCGTTGCTTCCCGATCGCCTACTAGCACTTGCTTCTGCAATCTAATCTGCTGTTCTATTTTCTCGACTCTCTGCGTCTCTCTCTTGCCGATTTCTTTTCTAGATACTGCAATCTATCCTGTGTTTTGCCTGGGGAAGGCAAGCAGAAGACTCCCCTTTCCCTTTCTCCGTGATCTTTGAAGCATCTCCTTCAACATCATCAAGTTGCCATTGCATGTAAGATTGTTTGGATCCTGTGCAGCGTGCTTGTCCTTTCCACAGCCTGTTTTCAACTTCTCTGTTCAAGCCTTTCCCCCGTCTTTGCAACTTTCTGCAATCAGAGGTAATACACTTTGCTTGAGGCCAATATGTCTTTGCTTTCTGCTGCTTCTCCGGAAACTGGCCGCAAAAGTACCGATGAGACGCCCTCTAGTCATGGGAGTGCTGACATTCATGTGGCACCTGCTGGACGGGAAACATCAGTAAGTTGTCCCAGCTCATCTTGTAGTTTGGGGAACGACGGCGTGTGTATATCTCTAACTTCTCTCTTTGATGGCTATTCTCCAGGGCCACAAGCACTCGAACCCCTGCGATATCTCCCCCGATCCGCTTGCGACTTCTAAGCTTGGAAACCTGCAGTCGTCCTTTGGTCGCAAGAATGACAACTCCTCTAGCAAGGTCAGGTTTTCGCATTCCAAGGTCAAATATCCGAGCTCGCTGTCTAACAATCCTAGAAGCAGAAGCTAGAGCATTCTACCAATGCCGTCTCTCTAACAGGAAATTCCGAGATGGAGCGACTCCTGGCGAAACTCTCACCAAAGTCTCAGATACCAGATACCAAACAAGCTGCCAACGAAGAAATTCTTTCCAAATTCTCCGAGCAACAGCTTCTCCTCGACAAGCAAAACAAACTTTTGACGAGCAACAAAGTCAAATCGGCTGTCCCTGAGGAGCTCGAGAGACCCTCGAACTTGTCGCACCGAACCGGTTCGAATCAGCCTGGCGGCATCGCGGATGCTGCCTGTCTGGATACTCTGAATATGGGAGCTTCGGAGGTGCTTCGCCTAAAGCAGGAACTCCAGGTTGCCAACTCCAGAATTGCACTTCAAGAGCAAGAACTGGCACAAACTCGTGTTATCAAACACACCCTAGATCAGGCTCTAGGGCCTCCATCAGAGGCTGATTTTGGTGGGCGCGACATTAGCGAACAAACGATCAACAACTTACAGAGTGCTTTCAACGCATCTGTTCCAACTCCTCATTTACTGCAAGATGGTTGGAACACACAGGAAGACTCACAGTCTGACATATCTGACGCACTCTCCGCCGGCGCTTACAACAGGGCTAGAGGGGGATTTTGGGGGGGCCCTGCTCAGCAAGTCTACAGCATGGGCCTCAACTCGGAGAAAGCTTATGGTGACTCTAGTCTTCCTTTGCCTGGCACGTCGTTCGGTCAAGACTCGAGCAGATTTTGGGGGCCATCGGCCACGAATCCCTCTGTTGCAGGAAACAGTGCTTTTCAAGCTCACCGTGTGCTATCAGGTCCTCCGGCCGCTCCCTGCAGCTTTGATCCACCTTTTTCAGAGGATCAAGGTAGGTATATGCAAAGCTCAGCTTTTGGGCCACGACCTCCGACGGCTCAACCAAGTCGCCTTGGGCCATGCTTTCCTGGCGCAAACTCTCCTTGGGGCACCTTTGCTCCTAGCTCATCAGACAGCCAGGGTTCCCGATCACCTCCGAGTAAACCGGTCGGCACTTATCAACAAGTTGGACTGTACCCGTTACCCCCGTATCATCAGCGGGCAATTGCACCGCCGCTCTCGCCAACAGCGACTGAATTCACATCTCCCACAGGAAGTTCAGTTCCTTGGGCCACTTCATCTGTAAGTTGTTATTGACAAAACCGTTATATACTCCACTGACGGGAATAGGTCAGCGGAAGCTCCATTCAAACGTACATTTCGCCACTCGAGCCCTTGAACTACCGGCGGCTTCTCGACAAGAACGTCTCTTGCGATTGGAAGTACATCGTGGACAAGATCGTCTGCAACAACGACCAACAGGCTTCTATCTTCCTACAGCAAAAACTGAAAGTCGGGACTACAGAGCAGAAGTTTGATATTATTGAGGCCATTATCCAACAAGCGTACTCCCTCATGGTGAATCGGTTTGGAAACTTCCTCGTCCAACGCTGTTTCGAACATGGGACTCCGGAGCAGATCATCGCTATCGCAAATGCCATCAAAGGCAACACTCTCAGTCTCAGCATGGATCCATTTGGCTGTCATGTGGTTCAGAAGGCTTTTGACTGTGTTCCTGAAGAGCACAAGGCAATTATGGTACATGAGCTTCTCCGCAGAATTCTGGAGACTGTGATCCACCGGTATGCATGCCACGTCTGGCAGAAGCTCTTTGAACTACGCTGGAGTGAGGAGCCTCCGCAGATTATGGCAAAGGTCAACGAGGCTCTGCGCGGTATGTGGCACGAAGTCGCATTGGGGGAGACTGGAAGTTTGGTGGTCCAAAATATTTTCGAAAACTGTGTCGAGGATGAAAAGGTATTTATGGATCTCATTCCCCTTATATCCACAGCTTGCGCCGATATCTCGAGGTATGGTTCTAACTCTGTGCTTTAGCGCCCAGCTATCGAAGAAGTTCTCGCAAAAATCGATGTGCTTGCCCATGGCCAATTCGGGAATTGGTGCATCCAACATATATGTGAGCATGGGGCGCCGCACGATAAAAGCCGTGCAATCGAACATATTCTTCATTGGGCAGTGGAATACAGCATGGATCAATTCGCATCCAAGATTGTCGAGAAGTGCTTGAAGATTGGGGGGTCAGAATTCTTAGACCGTTATCTTTCTCGAGTCTGCACTGGCCGTACGGATCGACCTAGAATGCCCTTGATTGATAGTACGTTCAGAAAACTTTATCCTTCACGTTGAACGCCATGCTAAAGTGCAGAAGTCGCAGGGGATCAGTATGGCAATTATCTCATACAGTGGATTCTAATGAACGCTGCGCCTCATCAACGTGAGCTTGTTGCAACTCATATCCGGCAAGGCTTTCCGCAATATTCACTTTACAGTATTGCTGACTGGATCCTACAGCAAGCACATGGTTTCTCTGCGTGGGTCCAAGTTTGGCTCGCGCGTGGCGATGCTCTGTTGTAACCTTTCCCACACCACTCGCCCAGGGCCTGGAACGGGTGTGCAGATTGGCAGATTCAACAATTTCAACGACGATCGATTCCAGGCGCAGAGTCAACACGGAGCCCGCTTTGGCCGGGGAAGTCAGTGGAACCCTAGTTATCCACCATTTCGTTAGGGGACTACGAACCGAAGTATCGCCGATACCCAAGAAAGAGCTTCTCGAAAGCAAGAACACCCGGCACGGCCAGTCCAAGACATAGATTTGATCTGATTTCTCTCTAGATGTGATTTGTGCGCATGAATGCTCTGCGAGTCGGATTTCGAGGCTTCCACACGTCGTTTGACTCCTGTTCATCTCATCATATTCTCATCTCGTTGACCTCTTAGGATTTTTACTGCTCATTTTTCCTGGCGCCTGCTCTTTATGCCCCCAGCCCCGATGTGGCCCATGCTATCTCTTTTTCTGCTTCTTCTGTTGAGGTGGCCCGCATCTTGTTCGTCTAGAGTTATGGATGTGAGATATGGCAGCGGTGGGTTGTTATGCCGCTTTGCCTGTACAATGCGTCTTGCTTGTTTATTGCCTATTACTAGACGTGAATGTGTTATAACTTATCACCCCGCCTCTACCCCCGATCGTGGCTTTGTCTCCGTTCGGCATATAATCTTCTCGGAGTGTGGTGCCTTTTCTTGCTGCCGTTGTAGCGCAATCGGGGAATACGAATGAGTTATCTATAGGACTATAGAATCACGGAGTTTCCCGGCATCAACGTGGACAGGCCCATATAACTCAAGGTTATCCCAACGATCTCCGATTCTTGTCTGCCCAAAGACTGTGTTAGGGCAGCCTAGGATACTTCGGCGAATTCCTCCTTTTCCCAAGGTTTTCGTCTCTTTGGCTTTTCGCTTGCGGCACCTTGACCCGTCAATAGGGTGTCTGGTATCTGTTGAATACCTGGAATCGGCTGACCAGTCGTGATAAGCTCAACTATATGAGAAAATGATGTGGGATAGGTTGGCTCCTGCGGTGAGGACTGCGCCGGTTGCTGGTCTGATTTTGGAGGCGGGGATGGCGCGGCGGTTACCGGTGATATATTTCCCGTGGTTGCGAGATTGGATGCTTGATTGCCCAAAGTACCTGATCCAACTCTGGCTCCCAGCCACAATTTGTAGTCTGCAACATTGAGGGGCGACTCGAGATTTGCTTTCCTGCGGAGTAAGGCCAGTCAGCACAGCCTCGCCGGATGCGTGTAGAACCATGGTAATATCGATAGGCGAGAGCCGAGTGGTGCAGTCGCTGTCGGAACGTACCTGGAGAAGTAATAACACTTTGCCTGCAGGACGAGATCATCGTCCTGGGATATCTCTTCCTCTGAGGCAGGCGTTTCAGGGTGACCTAGAATGATTGCCAGACCCGTTGCGAACTCCCGGTCTGTGACGAAAGGATATGTCCTCAGTCTTTCATATACGTCTGATTCTGACCTCTGATGAGCCGTTGACGGTGTCGGAAGGGTAGTGCTGGTGCTCTGGTGCGGGTGCGGGGAAGGGTCCTCCGAAGCTTGCTCCGCTGCGGAATGCATTAGCGAGAGTGAGGACGCTCGAGTTGTACTTGTTCGTGTGTCGATATTTTGAGTATCCGTATGTGGCCTATCGGAGATCTGTTGGAATGGGTTGGTAATGCTTGAAAAGGTGCCTCGCAAGATGTGGAATCGAGGTTGCAGCGGACCTAGGTTGGTTAGCCGAGGTTCATGGCTAGCGTCTCCCAACTATATATACATGTAAAGTTCTGGAGGATAGCTAGGTAGTATGACGACATGAACCAAAGATGGCGTAGACATGAGGAGAGTCGGGTCTTGTGTGTAAAAAGTATCGATCTACGCACCGCTTGATATCTGCAAATGCTATGCAGACATGCATTACTCGCTGTCGCGTATAGTTGTTACCTCGAAGTGTCCATTTGCTCTAGCCCAACCTGACCGCTAGATACATCATCATGAGAATGAGCCGCCGCTCTGCTCTGACAGCCAGGACAGTTATGCACCACCTCATGGGCGAACAGATCGCAGTCGATACAAAAATGATTCCTGCACACGGTACATTCGTAGCGACTGCTTACGCTCATCCCCTTGGCAAGATTTTCCGTAACCTGCCATTGTTCCCTCGGAGGGACTGAAGGGAAAGGTGTGCCGCAGGCGAAGCAGGCAGAGCTGTGGGATGCGCGCTGCCATGTAACCTCCACCCAATTCATTAGGGGAAATAGATGGTGATAAGATCGAGCAAGATGAGTAGACAGGATCAGTGTAAGACCGCAGGAAGGGCACTCAGCAGGGAGGCCACAAACCTTGCTGTTGCATCGTGAGCATAAGTACCCTCCGGAGGTGGGATTAGAGTGGCATGCGCAAAGAGAAGGAAAAGGCTCAATAGTACGAGACGGGAAGCCCATCATCAGGAGAGAGCTCGTGGATTGTTTCTGAGAATATGTAGCAGGTGGAGTTGTTACATCCATCACCAACTCCCGAAAGTGCTGCTCATTGAGGGCCACACCGTACGAGGTATCATCACCACCATTTGTCTTTGCGCACAGTTCTCGACAGATCGCCACCTGTGCCGCGAGACCCACGATTCCAACACGAATCTTATCATCAATGAGTGTGCTGATGGTTTGGTGGATGTCGCCAGGGTCAGAGGATAGCAGTGAGCCAAAGATTATTAGTACTTCTCGGGTCCCGTGGCTGGGGGTATGACTTTAGAGGGCCGTCAAGATCAGTATTTAGATCGAAGAGATGAAGGGCCAGTCAAACGTACAATAAAGCTCCACGGGCCATCTCGAGTCCATTCTGTAGACTAGGAAGACCCTTTGGATCCTGACTTCTCAGATCTTGAATCGCGGTAATGTGTTCCGTAGGATTTCCGCTCATGTCGCTAATCCGTACGGCAAGTCCGTCTCTCAACCCCAGTACGCCAATCTGCGAGATGGGGTTCTGCTCGAAGAATTCTCTGACAAACTCCTGGGCATACCGTAATGTTAGAAGATATCGGGTGGGACGCAAGTCTTTCTCCATCATCGACTGCGATAAGTCTAGGAGTAGGATGACGTGGCGGATAATGCCGCGCTGTAACGGAGTTGTGTCCTTGAGAAGCCTGCATGGAGCATTTGGGGTCAGCACACTTGTTCGTCTAGAGAACCCGGCTCTGCGGCAACACTCGCCTCTTTCTCTTACTGGCCTCTAGCAGCCCCTCGACTGTAGAGCTGATTGTGCCATCTGCGCCCTCGACCAAGGTTTCCCATGTTCGCGAGAGTTCGAATTCCGCTCCGCCCTTTTGCTTTCTTCGTTTCGAAGCCGGACCGGCCGCGCCTCGCGTTCCTCTTATATTAGTGTCGGCTTCATCCTCGGAGATACTCCCAATATACTCTTCGTCGGAATCGGCCATTGTAGTTGAAAGGATGGTTGGAGAGGAAAAACTCTCGTTGCTCGTCTCGTGAGTTGCTGACCCAAAGGGTTTGGCGGACGAGCTAGGGATCGGCACCAGCAAAGCTTTGTGTCCAAGCTCCTCCACCCAAGCTCCAGAGTTCGGGGCGTACACCTTTTGATTCTTTGCTAGCCTTTTGTTTGAACGGACGGGGTTCGAAATATACATATTGCACAGGATTGCTAGCTCCTCATATTTTGCTAATCAAGCCACAAGGCATCCTTCTCGAACAGGCAATTTAGTAGTTTGCTCCGGCGATAACCGCCTCGATCTGATGTGGGGGAGACGCATCGCGTCAACCAGATGCGCTGGACTCCGTTGTTGCCCTGCACGAGTCTATCGACCGCTTCGGCCAGTCTCATCGCTCTCCCGCCCCTCCCCCTCATTTCTCCCGTCAAAACCTCACCTAGCCCCTCTTTGCTGTTCACCTCTCTACCTCCGCACACTCTCGGCTTGTTTGGCCAGACCCGCGATATCGTTCACTCCCGGAAGGCACTGTTCTTCTGAATTCCGTGCCATGGCATTGCAGGACAGAGAGATCCTCCCCAGCGAGCAAGTCAACCCTTTCATTGCTGGCCGAGACTTTTTTTGATGTAGTGATCAGAATCTAATATATTCTTCACAGGGTCAAGCCCATCCACTATGGCATCTCCCTTTTTGACCTTCAACTCGGCGGCTCGTGGAGCTATAAGGGTGTCGTCAAAATCAGCTCCAAGGTCAATGGCCCGACAAAGGAAGTGGTCCTTAACTCGAAGGAGATTGAAGTTCAGCACGCCGAGATCATAGGGACGGACGGTACGTTTGACCCGCTCTTGCGAATGCTCTCCCTGGCCTTTATACTGACGAGCATCATGCTCTTGCTCCAGGCGCAGAATTGGCAAAAGCATCTGATATAACCTACGACAAGAAATCAGAGCGTGTGAAGCTCAAGTTTCTTGATGATCTTCCTCAATCAGATATCGTTGTGTCCATCTCCTTTACCGGTACAATGAATAATGCCATGGCTGGGTTCTATCGCTCCAAGTACAAGTCTGCAGTCGAAGCAACTCCTGATACACCAAAGGAAGGAGACTTCCACTACATGCTGAGCACCCAATTTGAGTCTTGCGACGCGCGCCGGGCCTTTCCTTGCTTTGATGAACCGAATCTCAAAGCTACGTTTGACTTTGAGATTGAAGTTCCCAAAGGCCAAACGGCGATCAGCAACATGCCGGTCAAGTCGGAAAGAAGCGGTAGTAAACCCGAGCTTAAAGTTGTTTCTTTCGATACGACCCCTGTGATGAGCACCTACGTTTGTCTACCACGGCCTATGATCTCTGCTTGAACTAACTCTTCTTTTCTTAGCTCCTGGCCTGGGCAGTTGGTGACTTTGACTATGTCGAAGCTCTGACAGAACGTAAATACCAAGGGAAGAGCATCCCTGTCCGTGTTTACACGACCAAGGGTCTCAAAGAACAGGCCCGGTTCGCTCTTGAATGTGCTCACAGGACTGTTGACTACTTTTCCGAGGTTTTTGAGATTGAATATCCATTGCCCAAGGCGGACCTCCTGGCCGTGCATGAGTTTGTCAGTAGATCACCGTCCATGACCTCAAGGAGCCGAAACTGACGTTACATTTAGGCCATGGGGGCCATGGAAAATTGGGGTCTTGTGACATACCGCACGACTGCTGTTTTGTTCGACGAGGGCAAATCAGATACCCGCTACAAGAATCGAATTGCCTACGTCGTTGCACATGGTCAGTCGAAAGTCTATGGAAAAATGAAAATGGAATTTCTGACTGACACGGCTATCTTAGAACTGGCCCACCAATGGTTCGGCAACCTGGTGACCATGGACTGGTGGGATGAGCTCTGGTTGAACGAAGGGTTTGCCACATGGGTTGGATGGCTCGCTGTCGACCATTTCTATCCAGGTAAGTACTCCGAGCCCCAGATATATATCTTCTACTAATGGTCTGTAGAATGGAACATCTGGTCTCAGTTTGTGGTACGCAGTTCTCGAGGTAAATCCAAAAGTTCTTGACAGCGGGGTTAACTGTTACATAGGCTGAGGGTGTCCAACAAGCGTTCCAGCTTGACTCGTTGCGTGCCTCCCACCCCATTCAAGTACCAGTGAGAAATGCTCTAGAGGTCGATCAAATCTTTGACCACATCAGCTACCTCAAGGGAAGCTCGGTAATCCGCATGCTAAGTACACACCTTGGCCGAGAGACGTTCCTTAAAGGAGTAGCCCAGTACCTAAAGGCTCACGCATACGGTAAGATCATTTGTCTTTTGGGTGGATGTTACTTATCATCTCATAGGCAATGCCACCACTAATGACCTCTGGTCTGCCCTGAGCGAGGCATCCAAACAGGACGTTAACAGCTTCATGGTGAGCCTTACACTTTATCTCACGCCTATAAACTTTTTCTAATACATTGTTTAAAGGACCCCTGGATTCGCAAAATCGGATTCCCAGTCGTAACTGTCGTGGAAGAGACTGGAAAGGTCAATGTACGCCAAAACCGATTTCTTTCAACTGGAGATCCCAAACCAGAAGAAGACCAGACAACTTGGTGGATTCCCCTTGGCATCAAGTCCGGCACAGAACTAGTGGCCCAGAAACCTCGTGCTCTGGTTTCCAGAGCGGACACCATTGAGGGTATTGGAGAGGATTCATTCTATAAGATTAACAAAGACCTGTCGGGATTTTATCGAACCAACTACCCAGCCTCTAGACTAGAGAAGCTCGCCCAATCCCTTGATTCACTCAGTACTGAGGATAAGATCGGCTTGATTGGTGATGCTGCTGCTCTTGCTGTCTCTGGAGAAGGATCCACCGCTGCCCTGCTGTCGTTGTTGGAGGGCTTCAAAGATGAAAAGAACTACTTGTGGGTTTCCCGCGCTTCTCCAGCCTACATATGTATTCCTTACTCACGGATTTGTAGGGTCTGGTCTCAGATTTCGTCTTCTGTTGGCAACTTGCGGTCCGTCTTCTCCCAAAATGAAACTGTAGCCCAAGGCTTGAAGAACTTTGCTCGAGCTTTGTCCTCCCCCGCAGCCGACAAGGTCGGTTGGGAATTCAAGCCGGATGAGGATTACCTCACCGTACAGCTCCGGAAGCTTTTGATCTCAATGTCAGGCCTTGCAGGCAACGAAAGGTGCGGAATCTCTGCGTTTGATATATAACAATCCATAATAACCGATCGATTTAGCATCGTCGCCGAGGCCAAGCGTCGATTTGACCTTTGGGCCACAGGAAAAGACAAGGGCGCCGTGCACACCAACCTCCGCTCCACGATATTTAGTATTGCGGTATCCGAGGGCACACGCTCCGAATTTGACGCTGTGAAAGACGAATATCTCAAGACTGATTCCGTCGATGGAAAGGAGATTTGCCTTTCTGCCCTCGGACGCACAAAGAACGCCGAGCTGGTCAACGAATATTTGGACTTTGTATTCTCAGACAAAGTCGCGATCCAGGATGTCCACAACGGTGCAGTTTCCTTGGCCGCCAACTCCAAGGTTCGCCACCTGCTGTGGGAATACTTGAAGAACAACTGGAAGTTCGTAGAGGCCCGCCTTTCTGCGAACAATGTTGTTTTTGAGCGCTTTGTGCGAATGGGTCTGTCAAAGTTCGCAGATCATGGCATTGAAGGAGATATTGCTTCCTTCTTCCAAAACAAAGACACGAGTGTCTATGATCGTGCATTGGTGATTGTGGCGGACAGCATCCGAACCAACGCCAACTACAAAGAGAGAGATGAGAAACAGGCTCTGGAATGGCTTCAGACCCATGGATACGCTTGAGCAGGGAAGGATAAGTGCCATTTTGGAATATTACTCGACTACCAGGAGACCACGCAGTAAGGCTACATTTTGGAGGGAAAGAATCAATATACTACTTTTACTGGTACCAACAAATTGCTGGCTACTAAAGTGGCCTTTGATACAATACTTTGGAAAGCCGCTACTACTAGTACCCAGTATTCTAATTATTATTGAGATATTGACATGCGCGTTCTTTGTAGTTGTCTGGGACTGAATTCTGGAAACTAGGGTGGGGCGCTTGGTTCGAAACACTAAACCAACCTTGGTGACTGGGGTGGGAACGTGAAACGGTCACAGGCTAGTTTACCCAGGCTGCACGCTGGGCTCCTTTGCTTTCCTGCACTCCAGCAACACCGCCAAAGTCCATCTGGCTGACAGTTCTCAGCAACTTTACATCACCTGAATCTCCCTTTCTTGTCTCGCTGGCCCGAATACTTAATCCTCCGCTGCCCACTTTGTTTTCATCTTCATACTAACGATCCGACCACATTTCAATATGAACCCTGAGTGGTAAGTTGTTTGAACGTCTGCCCTGGGTTTTGACGCTCACAGAGATAAACGGCTGCCGTTTCTTCGTTACCCGCGTTATGATGCCTCAAAATCGCCTTTTGGTCCAAGCTGTGTACCTTGTATCATGTCTGAATCACTTACTGATGATGCCTTTCTAATCGAATAGAGTACTCACCACCTTTGCGCACTTGATGCCAACCGCCGATCCGGTCGAAGATCGATGATACCCAGAGTTCTCTTTTCTCGACCAAGTGTTCTGACAATCTAGTTAGATACGACTACCTCTTTAAACTTCTCCTTATTGGAGATTCCGGTGTTGGAAAGTCCTGTTTGCTCCTTCGGTTCGCGGACGACACCTACACGGAAAGCTACATTTCCACCATCGGCGTGGATTTTGTGCGTACCCTCTGCTGTCGAACGTGTCTATCTGCGTTCGGATGAATAGTCCAGTGATGGCAGTCAAGTGCTATTTTGCTGACAGTTTCTGTGCTAGAAAATCCGCACCATCGAACTTGATGGCAAGACGGTGAAGCTTCAGATTGTATGACTAGCCTCCCACCTATCCCCACAAACCAAACCCAGCTAACACCATCTCAGTGGGATACCGCAGGTCAAGAGCGCTTCCGTACCATCACATCGTCTTATTACCGCGGTGCCCATGGCATCTGTGTTGTATACGATGTTACGGACATGGATTCCTTCAACAACGTGAAGCAGTGGCTCCAAGAAATCGATCGTTATGCGACTGAGGGCGTCAACAAGTTGCTCGTGGGTAACAAGAGCGATATGGAAGACAAGAAGGTCGTGGAATACACCGTTGCAAAGGTTCGTGATCATACATCGGTCAAAACAAAGTTGCCTAACTAACTCCACTCTTTTTCGACTTTAGGAATTCGCCGATAGCCTTGGAATCCCGTTCTTGGAAACCTCTGCCAAGAACGCTTCCAACGTCGAGCAGGCTTTCTTGACAATGGCCAGACAGATCAAGGAGCGCATGGGCACCGCGACCGTAAACAACAAGCCAACTGTGCAAGTCGGCCAAGGCCAGGGTGTCCAGTCTGGATCTGCTGGCGGCTGCTGTTAGACGACTTGTGAGATTCATGACCTAATTCAGTGTTGCTGAACTTTGCTTTTGGTACGGGCAGCAGAGAATCATCCGCGGGACTCTTCTTGTCTGCTAAGCTTGGCGACTCTGTCCATCCTTGGACATGTTGGTCGTTTTAATCAGCCGAGGACGACGACTCTGGGGAATATTCCCTATTCCCCGCCATGCTTCAGCCGGCCTACTACACTTTGTCTTTATACAGGATCACTTTAGGGATTAGCACCGATTTCGCTACCTCATTTTTTTTTCCGCGCGAATTTCCACACCCCTTCGCTTTCTGCTTGCTTCCTGTCTTTGTGGCTCTATTACAGCACCTTTACATTTATGTCCTTCAATGTTTTTTTTTTTTTTTTCAGGTTGGATTCCTTGCGTGTCTTGTCAGGCTCAATTAATGGGGAACGCATGAAATGACTCGTGGACTTGTTATCAAGGTAAATTAGAGGTTGTAGGTCAATCTGCAACCAGTACTTATTACTAAATTGAGAAACCATTGTCTTGCTTCTCAAAAAGCGACCCCAGGCTCTCATTATGCTGAACCGTTGTATGTTGTTTGCAAAAGAAGTAAATCACAGGGATCTCAGGCCATCATATGACATGTGGTCCACCACACGACTCCCAGCAGAATCACATGCAGAACTAGGTTGGGTCAGCACAGTCTCCCTTAACTCAAAAATACCTGGGAATGCAGGTATCGACTCCGGACCCGCATACCTTTCCATACGATGGATGGATAAGTTTCAACCTCGGCCAGTATGGAGGAGGAGAGAGCTGCAGGGAGCCAGGAACACAATATACGGAGTGTAGAAAGCTGGTTCTGCGACTCCAGACTTTGCTAGAAACAGATAGCCACGCCGCGAGTTGTCTCTAGACTAGTGAAATTACTCGTGATAGGTAGCGTCGACTACCTAGGTACTAATATTTGTTCAATGTTGTAGCTGTCTCTTTCGGTATGCGTTTTCTGACCGTTGAGTTCGGGAGGGAGAAGCCTAGATCAGCCGAGGCATAGGATTCGGCAAACGTCATGAAATGGATCATCATCTTATTCTCCAATCGAAGCCGATCCAAACATCCTCTGTCGATTCGGACTCGGTCCCCTTTCATTTCGTTCCGGATGTAATTCGTATATTTCTCCTTTTCATAACCCTTTTTTAATTGTTTCTTCTCGTCTCTCCTTCATTTCTTCAACACAGTGTCCCCCAACATCTCATCCCCGCCATCGGCACATTCACCTAGGTATCGCGATGTCTCTATCGAAAGTTGAGGACCCGAATAAAGTGGCTGCGGCTGCTGTAGTCCAGCAGAGCGATAATGTTGCGCATGCTTTGGCGGGCGCTGGGGGTGGTGTACTTTCCATGATTTTGACGTGCGTATATATATACCCTTTGGCTTTCCAAAACACTGCGCACACTCTTACTTTGGTGCCTCTTTAGGTACCCGCTTATTACTCTCTCAACTCGAGCGCAAGTCGAGTCTAAGCGTGCACAGTCATCGACGATTGATGCCATTCGCCGAATCGTGCAAAGGGAGGGAATTACCGGCCTATACTCGGGCCTAGAGTCAGCGCTGTTCGGTATCAGTGTCACAAACTTTGTGTACTATTACTGGTATGAGTGGACTCGTTCAGCGTTTGAGAACGCAGCCGCAAAGGCAGGTCGCTCAAAGAAGCTATCAACATCTGAATCCATGATTGCCGGAGCCATTGCGGGGAGTGCCACGGTTTTGATAACCAACCCCATCTGGGTGATCAACACCAGGATGACTGCGCGAAAGTCTGGGGCGGATGAGCAGTCGCTACCTGGTGCTTCCAAGAAGCAACGGGCGTCCACATTCAGCACACTGATGGAGCTGCTTCAGAAGGAGGGTCCAACTGCTCTTTTCGCTGGTGTCTTGCCTGCTCTCATCCTCGTGATCAACCCTATTCTACAGTATACCATTTTTGAGCAGCTGAAGAACGCGGTGGAGCGGCGGCGACGCATGACACCGAAGGATGCGTTTTACCTCGGTGCCCTGGGCAAGATCCTGGCCACCTCGATAACGTACCCATACATTACAGTCAAGAGTCAGATGCATGTCGCAAGTAAAGACGGGCCTAAGGAGAGCCTGAATGGAAGCCTGAAGCGAATTATCAGAGAAGAAGGGTACACGGGTTTATACAAAGGTAAGTTGGGTTGATATAAATGATGCGCCCTTTGCTTATTGTATGATACAGGGATCGGGCCCAAGGTCACCCAGAGTGCCATCACGGCAGCATTCTTGTTTGCGTTCAAGGACGTTCTATATGAGTTGATGGTGTCCCTTAGGCGGAGGGGCCGCATTTCCAAGTAGTCAGGACGGGTTTGGTGGTGGAAAATTGGAAATGGAGGCCTGCGGCAAGCAACCTATGGACTGTTACTACTGCCCCCACACTGCGGAGCAGTCATAGAAAAGGGGGTCTAGCATCATACCCCATGGTTGAATGGCCTTTCTTCCTGCATACCTAACCACTGGTAGTACGGAGTATACCTTGTCTATCTATGGCGTCATGGTGTATATATCCTCCTGTTGATCATGGCCCGTTTTCTTCATATTCTCAAGGAGAAAGGACCTATATCAACTACTTTTATAATTTCAAAATTATTATCTACTCTCAACCTTGGTACCTCATTTTCAGAACTTTTTTTGATTCAGACTCTAACTCTAACTTAGTTCACTAACAATATGCTTTGTCAGCAACCGCCCCACCGCCTACCACTTAGGGGCCTAAAGGCCTAAATCCACAAGCGCGTTCACACGCGTTGATTGATATTCTGCCTGATCCCCCCATGTCTTCTTCCTTTTTGCTTGACTGACTCTCAACCATTAAGCAAGGCCCCCTCTTTGCGCAAAAGGAAAGATCGGATCAAAATACATCCCTATCATCTTGCCTCACTCAAGGCTTGATTTCCAGTATTTCTAACCGCTACTTACTCTCTGGCTGTGAAACCGCTGTGAGTATCCTTAGCAGGCGTTTCCCTCCCTCACTTACTGACCATAACTGGGAAAGGAATTGCTTCTATTCGGCCTTACTTTCCATGGCCGGTGGCTTACTCTGGTCTTTCTACCGTCCTTTTAGTTTCCACGCTACGCCATAATCTCAACCGACCCAATACCTCTTGGAAGCTTATATCTAGGAATAATGCTCCCCGTATTTTGAGGAAAAGTGAAGTGGTTACTGATCCATGATTCCTTCACACCTCCGTGTCTTAATAAACTTTGTGTTTACTCCTTCACCCAAGTCTTTCCCAGCGTTCTATCCATCAGTCCCAATCCTTATTCACCTTGCCAACCCTATTTCAAGAATTTATGCCCTGATCTAGAATCTATGACCATTGGCTGCTATGAAAACTAGGTATATATTTCCCTAAACCAAGGGTTAGCTTGAAATCAGTTATTAATATTTCTACCTAGGCGCTACCTCAAGTTTGGCTGACATGATACGGAATCATTCCATGTCATCTTCAGCAGCCCCGTCACTTTTGGGATCTGAAGATCCCCTCATGATTAGAGAGTCAGAGGACCTTCTTTCCCAATTTATGAGATCCTCCTCTCTTGAATCACATGACAATCATGCCCAACCTCAGAGCTTTCAAGAGCCGTCTGCCGGCTCGGTGGGGCACAGAAGAGCGTCACCAAAGTCCAGGGTGAAGATTCCCAGATCGAGGGTTCAGTTGCGCCCGGAAACTGAAGTGCGGGTGACGGTTCCGCCAACCCAGTTATCTGCACATTTAGGGCCTACTAGAATTAAACGGGAGAAGCCTTCTCTTATCTCCCAGGAATCACCACCGCTCGCAAGAAGAAAGCCTTGCCAATCTTCGCCACCTCTTATTGACCTTTGTCAATCTCCATCAATTGCCAGCGAGCATCCTCAATCGTCATCGTCAATTAGTGGGTCTCGCCAATCCTCGTCTCCTGCCAGTGATGACGAAGCTAGACATATGGTGGTCACACGACGCTCTCAACGCGCAAAAGGCCAGCCAACAAACTACTACAAGAATCCCTACCATATTGAAAGTGAAAGTGAGGAAGAGCCACAAGAAGTACCAAGTCCAAGGGAACTACTGCATCGCGGACGCCATTCTTTGCAACCACCCTCCGCTTCTACCCCACCACGACTTCCTGTGCGCCATGCTACTAGGAAAGAGCCACCCTCTTTAGGAACTTTTTTGCAACGGCGGGAACTAGGCTCTCGTTATAATAATCATAATAATCTCGCACTACAATCGCAATTCGAAAGCAGATTCAGACCATCAAAGACATGGAAGGGAGCCTCTAACGATGTCATTACCCTAACATGGTCACCTGATGGGACCAAGTTTGCCGCGGGCGCTACTGCACACTGTGATGAACACATGATGGCGTATAATAGAAAGAACAATCTCATACTTGGAAACCTGGTCAGTAACGAGCTGTATGAGCTGCCAGATCATTGGATGGCGCGCCCTCGGGGTATAGGTTCTTCTGCGAACCACGTGGTCAACGATCCCCGACTGTTTATGAGCGTGAGTTCTGTGCAATGGCATGAAGATACTCTCTACACCGCTAGTTACGATCATACGGTCAAGTTATGGGATACCTCAAGACGCAAGGCTAAATGCTTCCAGACCTTGAAGCACGGATCTCAAGTAATTGTCATGGCACGCTCGAATTTTGATGAGAAACTACTGGCCACGGGGACCCATACAATCAACTTGTGGGACACGAAGGCAGAGCAGTACAAGGAACTTGAGCTCCCCCGGGCACGATCAAAAAAGGACATCGAGTTGGTCCCAACGTCAATATCCTGGGGAGCCAACTTTGCCATTAAAGACTTTTTGCTCGCGGGAATGTCCGATAAAGAAGACAGTGGCATAGCTCAGCATGGTCTCCTTGCAGCCTTTCGCGTCTGCGAATCATCAATCCATACCGAGAACTTTTCGCCTAATTCTCAGAATGTCTTTGACGTTGCGTGGCATCCAGTGCTGCCAGTGTTTGCAACTGCTTGTACTGCTGGCCAACAGGCACCCCGTGGCACCCGGTCAGTCGTGAACATATACGAGCCTCTTAGGCATAACCGGCGGGTATTGGATCTTGACTGCCCTGCTCAGGATATGAATGAGGTGGTGTTTTGCCCTCTAAACACCAACTATATCTCCGCGAGTTGTACGGATGGGGTTACTTATGTGTGGGATCAGCGCAATCCTGGTGAAATCCTTCAAAAGCTTGCACATGGTCAACCTCTTAACCAGTTGGATGAAACCATCCCCAGGGAACTTGCCGATACTGGCGTAACTCTGCACACGTGGGGCAACACATATGATCAACTTTATACAGGTGCCTCTGACGGTGTCCTCAAGAGGTGGAACATTTTTCGAGCATCCGAGGATGCACTGATGGAAGATGTTGCTACTCTTCAAGAAGGCATCATGTGTGGAGCTCTTGCCCCAGATAAATCAAACTTATTGATTGGAGATGTCTCTGGTGGAGTACAGCTGTTGTCAAGTTGTCCTTTTTCACTTATGAAAGATGAGCCGGGCAAGGACCATGCATTCACTTTTATTGAAAGCACGCATGATCACTTGCTAGATATTGATTCAGATTCCGGAGTCAAGGCAGCGCGTGAGTTGATCTTGACGGGCCAAATCACTCGGCACCCCGTCTTTGGACCAGGCCAAGGACCACACTATAAGGGGCCGTTTGCTGCCTGGGCACGAGCAGAAGGGACGCCCCCAGATCAAATACCAACGGCCCCTCTTGCAGAAAAGTACAGCAAGCGCCAGCTGGACCAGCCTAAAGAAGGACTACAACTCGAACTACACCCAGACGTCAAGGCCAACATAGCCCTAGCGAAGATACGGAATCAAAGGCGAGGGGCTAAGAAACGACGGACACTCGAGGACATGAAAATCCAGAAAGAGTCATTTAACGAGAACAATATCATTGACCTGTGCAGTGACGATGATCCTATTAACTATAGGATGATCCGGAAGCGCAAGCAACAGATACCAGAACCAGACACCCCCATCATCACAACTTTCGGCAGCGGTGTTATCGATTTGACAGGTGATTCGGAGGAGGAGCCGATTGTTAGCGTGGGAGATGTGCTGGATGACTTGGCTGATGATTTCTGGTGGCCCGAAAGTGGTAATATAGACCCGAATTGGCCCAAGGAGCTATAACAGTTGAGCGGTTGATCCCAGCGCATGTGATAGATTGAATGATAATGATTGCATACTTTGTACTCTAGTGGGAGTGGAATTGCCTAGAGAAAAAAACCGCTCATTTGGCAAACTAACATGTGGCTTGGAGACTCAGCCACAGTGCTCACCTCCAACTCGGACCTGGACCATGTCCGACCCACCAATCACATCATTGCATAAGATATGCGGCAATCATGACTATATAAGCCATCCCCCGCATCCAGTTTGTTCTTGAATCCCATCACATCTGACATTTTATCTCTGCTTCCGTCTCAAAGCATCATTTCTCGGAGACAAACAAGAAAAATCTTTGTAAATTACCTAGAGCCAAAAGTATCCGATATACTTTTGATGTCGTTCGCCCCGCCACCCGGTCCCCCTCCTCCGTCAGTTCCGGAGGGATGGACCACTCAGTTCGATGACAACTACCGACAATGGTACGTCGCCCTCATCACTCCTGCGAATCCAAGTTCAAATCTGACCGAGTGTCTATAGGTTCTACATCAACTTAGCCACAGGGAGATCGCAATGGGAGCCGCCACAAGCCGCGCCTACGCCGACGCCACCAGCCGTTGCACCCGCTCCCCCGTCTGAGCAACAACAACAACAGCAACAACACCACCACCAAGCGGACCAGCCAGGGGGCCTGCCACCGTCATACGAAGAATCTGGGCCCGGGAACCCATCCGCCGTCGCAAGTGCAGAAGAGTCGGAGAAGAAGAAAGCAAACCTCTTCAACTCGAATAACCCGTACAACGCCGAGTCTTCGGGACCAAGCGGTAGTAGTGGCGCCGGCTTGGGAAGCGGGATCGGAGAAAAGGGCGCGGCATCAAATACCGTGGAAAGCGACGCCGAGCTAGCAGCACGCTTACAAGCTGAGGAAAACGCGCGATCCGGTGCTAGCTCCGCTGGTCCTGGCGCAGCATCAAACTACTATGACGACAACACCCCGCACTCCCCTACGCCATCATCAACAGCCGGAACGGGGGAACGAGGCAAGGACAAGAAGAAGGGCTTCTTTAGCAAGCTGATGAGCAAGGCCTCCTCGGGCTCTGCTAGCCCCGGTCATGGGTTCTCTGGCCGCCCCGCCTTTGCGGCTCCGCAGCATCACCATCAACAACAACCTGTCGGGTATGGAGGATACCCGCCACAGGGCCCCTATGGTGCTCCCAGCCCCGGTCCAGGGTATGGTGCACCCGGTGGCTATTACCCGCCGCAGCAGGGGTACGGGCCGGGGTATGGACCGCAGCCCGGATATGGATACCCACAACAGGCTTACTATGCGCAGCCGCAGCGGAGACGCCCTGGTGGGGGTGGAATGGGGATGGCCGGTGCGGCGGCGCTTGGTGTTGGCGGTGGGTTGATTGGAGGTGCGTTGTTGGCGGATGCAATAGATGATGATCATGATGATTATGGCGGAGGTGATGACTTTGGGGGCGATTTCTAGACTCGCTCTCCTTTGTACCAGTAGCTGTAGGGTGATCATCCCACGCTTTATGACGTTCTTTCTGGGTGGTTCCGTCTTGTGTTTTTTTTATGAACGCGGGCTTCTATTACTGACAAGCTCAATGATAATGGTACGATACCTAAACCAGAGTGCTTGATCAGTAAATTTTTTCCATGTGTATCTTAGTACCCTAAGAGTTCCATCTATACCTCATACACATCACCATCCACCCAAATACACAGCGACCCAAGCGCAAAATACGCACCCGCAACCGCAAAAGCATACGCTCATGCTCATGCTCATGCTCACCTCCTCCTTGCACCGCCTCTTTGCTCCCTTGCGCTCGCCGCACCAGCACCAGCACCAGAAACGGGGGTCGCACCTCTCGGAGCCGCGCCAGCCATCCACCCCGCGAGATCAAAGTTTCCAGCGCCACCGCCCGCCATCGCGCTCTGGGCTCCTGAGATCGGTGAGGACCGGGATTGTTTTTCGAATTCGGCGCGCATTTCGGGATCCACTGTACAACGTTGGTATAAATTACAAGGTAGTTTTGAGGACAATAGATACAAGGCAGAAAGCGAGGGGATATAGCAGGGCAGAGCAATAGAGGGAAGTACGTACTATTCTCCATAAGCTTCGGCATGCCAAAAGTGAAACCCAGCGCGACGAGAGCAAGCAAAATCATCGGGTTCTTGAGAAGAGACAATGGCGAGACTGTTGACAGCATTAGCACGTCTATAGCAAAACAGCAGAAGCGCAGAGAAAGAGGACACATACAAGTCTGCCTGGCCTCGTAAAACCCCTTCCTCCCCATAACCTTCACATCAACGACGACATCCTCCTTCGATCCAGTGTCACCCGCAACTCTAAACTTTTCAACCCCACGGTTTCCCCACTCATTCCCGCGAAATGTCTCCCAGACACCCACCACAAACCCCGACGCATCGACATCAACCCTCAGCGGCGCAAATACATACTCTGATGACCGGATATCGAGCAGGTATGAGCCGGAAATGTCGTCCTTGTGCGGTATCTTGTACTCGGAGGCGGTAGAGGAATTAAGGCTAGGAAAGACAAACGTTGCGGAGCTTGTGAGGGGCGCCTTTAAAGGGGCACTCAGGGCTGCGGAGGTGAGGGTTGCGTGCGTGTCGGCGGGGAGGGCGTGAGGGTTCGGCAAATGCGTTGAGGGAGTGATTGTTATCGTTAGCTTTTGAGAAAGGGTTGGTGTTATTAGGACGGAGAGAAGAGGGAGAAGAGCCAATGGATTGAGGATAAGCATTTTTTGCAGATGAATTCGTGATCGGCTTTGGGTGGTTTGGGGGAGGAAGTCGGAGAGTTGCAAAGTCAAGATAGGTGGTAGCTGGTGCCAAGCCCAAGGGTTACTACTAGCAAATCACATGCTCCACAACCCTACTCTATGTAGGTATAAACTCTAGTTGATTTATTGTACAATGAAATGATAGACTCATACAGAAGAACACTGAGCTCGCTATATACAAGAAGGTCATGGTTGTGAAACTACAGCTTCGCCTTGGGAGCGGACTGCTCAGCGAGAGCAACCTCGTACAGCTGGTCGAGAAGGGTGCGGTACTTTTTCACAACCGGAGGACGCTTGAGTTTGAGACTAATCGAAAGTTAGCAGTTGAATCAAAAATTTGAAGACAAGAACTTACGTTGGAGTCAAGAGGTTGTTCTCCACCGAGAACGGTTCAACCATCAGAGCAACGTTTTTCACCCTCTCGTATCCTGCAAGCTTGTGCTTCTTGGCCACGCGCTCCAGGTCCTTTAATACGGCCTTTCTAATCTTGTCGTCTTGCAGTACGGCCTTGATGCCTTCTACATCAGTAGGATCGATGGTCTGGCCAAGCACCTTGCTAGCAAACGGAGCAAACAAGTCGGGCTGTACGCCAAAGATACCGACCAGAAAAGTCTGGATGCTGTCTCCGTGGACGTAAGCTTGAGCAAAGTAGCCAATCTCAGACATGAAGACACCCTCGAGTCGCTCAGGTGAGATGTACTCGCCCTGCGCCAGCTTGAGAACGTTCTTTCGGCGATCGATGATGACAATACGGCCCATGTCGTCAATCTTGGCGACGTCGCCGGTTCGGAACCAGCCGTCTTCGGTAATCGCCTTGTTGGTCTCCTCTGGGTTCTTCAGGTACTCTTTGAAGACGTTGGGCCCGCGCAAAAGCAGCTCGCCGCGAGGGAAGGGCTTGTCGTCAACGGAATACTCCATGTCTGGAAGAGAGAGCAGGCACGCCTCTGTAGACGGAGCAATACGACCGCAATTGCCAGAAGTCAGGTCTTTGGAGGACTGCGCACACCCCATCGCATATGACTCGGTCAGACCATATCCTTGTGCAAAGTCCGCACCGATTGCGACACGGAGAAAGTCGTGAAGGGAAGGATCCAAAGGCGCAGATCCCGAGACCATAGACTTGACGTTTTCTAGACCAATAGCGGATGCGACCTTTTTAGCCCAGATACGGTCATACAGGGCATGCTTCACAGTAGCCTTGCTGGGATCCGGATTCTTCAAGGTTGCAGTCTTGGCCGCAACAATGTGTCTGGACAAAGCTCCTCGGAACCCTGGGGCCTCGAGGGTTGCCGCACGGATGGCGCTTCCGAAGCGGCTGTAGAGGCGAGGGACTGATACGAACCCGGTGGGTTTGAGAAGCTTCAAATCATCGACCAGCTCGAGAATGTTTCCATGAAAGTAGCCAATGCGAGCTCCAGCCCAAAACGCTGCATGCTCGGTCAACCGCTCGTAAATGTGGGCTAAAGGAAGGTACGACGCAATCGTATCACCCCGAGCTTGAGGAATAGTTACCAGCGCAGAAGAGGTTGCTGATACAGCGTTTTCGTGTGTCAAAACTACACCCTTGGGAGCACCGGTTGTACCGGACGTGTAGTTGATAGTCACAATGTCGGAGGACTTGGGCGGGTTGTAAGGGCGGTCTGCGGCAGCGCCGAGGGCCTCGACTTCATCCATGCTGTAGATTAAGAGATCGTAATCCGCAGCCATTGATTCCAAGAGCGCTCGCTTCGAGTGACCGGCTTGTTCACCAGCATCGAGAGAGTCCAAGCTGACAATAATCTTGAGGTTTGGCAACGCGGGTTTCAGTTTGATAAGCGTGGGAATGTGAGGCAAGGAAGCAACAACGCAGGTCAGCTCGGCGTGGTTGATGATGTATTCGGTAGCATCGGGGGAGAGGACATCATAGATCGAGACTGAGTACAAGCTTTGGGACATGCATGCCAAATCTAAAAAAAAAAAAAAATTGGAATCAGCAGTGTGCCATGCAAAACCAGGGAAACCACTATTATGAGCGTACCTGTAATCTGCCACTCCGGGCGATTCTGGCACCACAAACCGATACCGTACTGTCCAGGACGAGCACAGTGGTGTTTATTGTGTAGCTCCACCAAGCCGGCGCCAAACTCCGCACGCCGCCTCTGAACAGTGCCGTAATCAATCCATTGATATGGACCAAAATTTTTCGTCACCGGGTCAAACGGGCGCCATCCGAGACAAGGCGCCTTGGGCTGTCGGATCGCGGTCGTCTCAAACATCTCATGGGCGGTAGTAATCTACTAACGTTAGCCGGGGAGAGCAGAGGGGAAAAAAAATCAAAATAAAAAGGCTATATACGTACAGCTGGATCCAGTGACTTGACGAGTTCCTTTTGCGCATTCCAAGCACGATATACCGGACTCCGTCCCTCTTTCTTGGTACCTGGGATGGCAACAGAGTAAGGGGTGCCTTTCGGTGGCTCCTCGCTGAGCTCCGCGGCGCGGGTGAAGTGGACTGGCTGCTGAGAGAAGAACATGATTGCGTAGACGGTGGAATCGGCGTTTGGATGGGAATCTCAATCTGGTCAAACCGGATGTGCCGCAGAGGATCGTTCGGAAGCAAGTCTGATGACTAGTGCCGTGCTGGGGTCCAGGACACACGGTAAAGTTGGAAAGGAAAGGCGAGAATGAAAGGCAGAGACGAGGGAGTGACACGGAGCAGGAGGGAAAGGGAGGGAGAGAAAGCGAGCGAGCTGAGCATTAACTATGAAGCGTACTTGGAACAGTCTGGAGAAATGGGTTCCCAGTCAGCAGCCCGAAATTTAGAGCAAGCGATCTGACTGGTCGACGCAGTGCGGATGCTCTCCACGCGACAGACGTTTACAGTAAGAGCCTCGGTATTTTCCCAGTCTCAGCGCTCTCGGCTCTGATGGCGACTGTTTTCCCAATGAAACTCGCAACAAGACACAGAAAAAGAGACAACCGAGGGCCACCAGTTACATTGCAGACCTGTATTACTGGGAGCACCTCCAGGGATCATATCCAGGATTGCCTCGAGGATCGCGCTTGGTCATCTTGTGACCCGCCAACTAGTCCTCACATGCTGGCGTTTGCATACAAACAGCCTGAGGTGCGCCTTTATCGCGAAATTTGGCCAAGGATCGATTAGCTGGAGATTTAACTCTACAAGGTGTGTGCCCCGGAATCCGCCCAGCATGTGAACTCTCCCCGGTTTGTTGTCTTGATGACTTTGGCGATTGTTGGTCGGTGGCGACCATCATTTCGCGACCACGTCGCTGCCGAGTGGTCCTTGACTCCTTGGCCATCCAAAATCCCCGAGCACGTCGGGCTACCGTTGGTTAACTGATTAGACTACTCTGATACTTCCGACCAACGCTTTAATGATAATACAAGTTCATTCACCCAACTCCGTGCGATGCCAATGTCAAGTATATAAACGTATAATGTACAGTGGGATGGATTTGATATCAAAAACGCCGACAATATCTATACAAAGAGGGATTTATACGCCCGCTTGTACCACTTTTCATCCGAGGTCGTGGTCTCCCAGTATTCGTTCTCCAGAGCGACACGCCCGGTGTCGATATCTGCTTCAATGGGCTTGACAAATGCCGGTCGGTAAATGATCTTGTGGCCCAGGTAAAGCACGACGAAGAGAATGACGCTGATATACGCAACGAAAAAGTCCGTCACGTTGAACTCTGGAATCCAGGCAGTAAAACCTTGAGTGATGATGATCAAGATATTGAAGAAAAGTCCATACCAAGAGTACCATGGCTGCCACAGCGCTTTGTAGGGAAGTAAGTCGCGGGAGATATTGCGCGCCTTGAGGGCGCGCATGAACCCTAAATGACATCCGACGATGGATGCCCAAGAGATCAAACCAGCCACACTGGAAATGTTTAGGAACCAGTTGAACACGGTACTGCCCGAGTTGGAGACATTTAAAAAACCAAGTAGGCCAAAGGCAGAAGTAAAGGCAACACTCCAGTATGGCACGCCCTGCTTTGATGTCTTTTTGAGCCAATGCGGGGCAAACCCTTCTTGAGACAAGCCGATCAGAATACGACTGGCACTATAGACGTTGGAATTGGCGGCAGAAAGCACCACAGTCAAGAGAACAGCGTTGATGATATCCGGCAAAACTGATACTCCAGCCCGGTTGGCCGCAATGACAAAAGGCGAAGAGTTGGCGTCGTTTCCACTCGCGTTTAGCAGTTGCTTGTCGTCGGAGGGAACCAAGATTCCGATGAAGAAGATGGTCAACACGAAGAAGAATAAGATACGAAAAAAAGTCTTGCGAATGGCCGAGGGCACAGTCTTGCGAGGGTTTTCGGTTTCACCAGCAGCAATACCAACAAGTTCAGTTCCCTGGTACGCAAATCCAGCTTGTATAAGCACCGCCCAGAAGCCGACAAATTTCGCTGTCGAATCAGGTGAGACGTCTGGATTGGCAACGAATGGGCCTGGATTGGTCCAGTAGCGGAAGCCGATGTAGCCCTCGGCTCCCGCTCCCGCATTAATACAGATTCCAAAGATCATGAATCCAATGACGGTAAGAACCTTGATGCTAGAGAACCAAAACTCGATTTCTCCAAAGAAGCTGACCGGGAGCAAGTTGAGACAAGTGATGACAACCCAGAAGACGGCAATGAAGATGGCGATATTGAGGTCTTTGTCCCAGAACTGAATAATCAAGCCCGTCGCCGTAAGTTCAAGAGCAAAGGTGATGGCCCAAGAAAACCAGTAGATCCAACCCATCGCGAAACCTAGACTGGGGTCGATGATTCGGGTTGCATAAGCTGTAAAGGCTCCAGGAATAGGAATGTAGGTGGCGATCTCTCCTAGTGCTGTCATGACGGAGTATACAATCGATCCGATGAAGATGTAGGCAATGAGAGCGCCAACTGGGCCTGCTGTCGAGATGGCGGAACCGCTACTGATGAAAAGACCTGTGCCAATCGTTCCACCTAGGTACGTTAGCCTAGTACTGATGTGAAACTGATGTTCATCGACATACCGATTGCGATCATCTGAAGGTGCCTGCTCTTGAGCTTTCGTTTCAAATCCGGCAGCGGATTCGAGTCGCGGCCTGCTCCATACTTTTCGCAGTCCCTCTCGTCCATGTCGGGAGATGGAGCCGCAGCGGTGACCCGGACGGCTTCATCGTTGCCCATCTTCTCCTTTGCTACGGGGGCCCCAGCTGAATAGGTGTTGATGTCGTGCTCGGAGGCCATGACTGGCCCTGTACAGTCCAATGGCAGGAGGCTTTGATAAGGCAGCGTTCGTGTGTTCTTGAGGTTCGGCGAGGATGATGGAAGAAGAAGAAGAGGAAGAGACTGATCCGCGAGAAGAAAAAAAGTCAGGACCGACTCCACCCAGACCAGACTCTGACTCTTGCTTTCGATCCAAGGAGGCGAAACGTTGCAAGACCCAGCAGGACCCCAGAAACTGCAACCTTATAAGATTCACTGTCGGCTCTATCTCTCCCCTCTTGCGGAGTGAGTCAAGAGATAAAGATCTATGACAAATGACAAATGAAAATAGTAAACTAAGAGAGACGAATCAGTTAGGTAAAGAAAACAAGGTCGTATGGGAGTTTTGAACCCATAATAGGTAGCTGGGGACGGCGATGGATGCAACGCTGACTGATACTACGGAAACTGCCCATCTTGCACCACGTTTTCTTAAGGACTCTTCTCTCTTCCATTGGCGTGCTCCGTACATGTCACTGCCTGATCTGGGATAATCGTAACTCCCCATGCGCTGTCTGAAATCCAATAACCGTGGCGGTTGAGCTTCGTGGTGAGCAGCCCAGATATCCGAGGTGGATCCGAAGATTTTTTTTTCTCGTAACGGCAACGCCACTCCAAGCGCGCAACGGGACCCAGAGTCTAGAGAGGCAATACTCCGAGTAATCACCAACATCATTTCGATATCAGGCGGAGAGCTCTTCCTGTGGTTTAGCAACACTGGAGTTTCTGCTGGCAAACATGAATTGATCTGCGAGACTTCAATTCTCCTGAGCGGGCAATTGATATACCAAGACTTTTTGCGGGAGCTAACAGCACCAAGCCAGTCCAAACATTGAATTTCGCTTGCAATGTCTTGTTCGCAGTAGTGTTCTTCAATGTGGTTACACTGTAGATATGTAGTCTCGACTCCTACAGGTAACAGAGTAGGTAGATAGACGTAGTCTAGTGAACCAAGACGTTCTTGAACGGAAGCCCATTTTGCTCCTAGACCCGAAAGCTCGTGGCTTCTCACTACTCCACAGCTTAGCGCAACTAAACACCAACAAGTCAAAGATATTGGCTTGACCTCCAAGCCAAGCTTTTCAGTGCAGAATACAACTTCTGTACGTTGTAGACATTTTCTGTAAGCTAGCATTTCTCGCTTCGAGCTATGGTCGTGAAAGGGTCTTGTATAATAATAATACTTTGGAGATCCAAGCATAACATATATTCAAAATCACTTTCCAAATCATGCTACACGTGTGGGTATTATGCGTATATATATATATCAACAAATCCAGGGTATCCACGAGCTTAAAAACAACTATTGACATGCCAGCGGCAATAGAAGACCACACTACACGAGTACTGCACCATGGATCCGGGAGCTGCGAGCAGGGCATGTAGGTAATATTACCCAAGGGACCAATCGCGCCAACGCACCAAATGCCGGGGGTTGCCTGTCGCCGATCAAGGTACGGACGCAGTAGGGGGCTGGGCGCTAGGACCAGGATCCCTTCGAACAGCAGCCAAGGTATTGAGGACGGTAGTGACAAGGAATAGAACCCTAATGCCCACGTTAGCAACCAAAAAGTTTGGAAACCTTTGCCCTCTTCCGAGCCACGTACCAATTGAATGCGCCAAAGGCCGCAGCCGCTTGCAACCCCTGACACCAGCTGTAGTCAGAGCATTCAAGGTAGTCGTTAAAGTCGCCAATCGAAACAGCAAGAGCGATAAATCCAGCAAACCAGAAGATCATGGTAACACCATCCACGGCTGCGAGGGCGTAACGGTGAGCCAGCACAGGGACGAAGATTGGCGCCAGGATGAAATATGGGACGACGATGAAAAAAGTCCAGACGCCATTGAAAACCATAAAGTTCACTTCATCAGCTCCAGAGGTATTAAGCTCGTCGATGGCTGCCAAGAGTCAGTGCAAGCTTGGAGAGAAGTTGCGTGGATATACGAACCATGTCCAGCCAGTCCAAGAACAATGATGGCGAAGATGGCTTGAACAGCGCGAAGGATATAGAATATAGGAAAGTCGAATTTCGCCATTGTGTATAGGATTGGAGGTGATTGAGAGACACTTTTGTTGTATGTGTTGGCACGCTGTAGGTATTTAGCGCTGAGCGATCAAAGAAAGTCTGCTTGCTTGGGCGCGTGAGCAATACAAGTAGGCCTTGATTACCCGAGTCTCTTTGCAGGTGCTTTTGGCAGCGGTTGGGAGAAAAGAAAAGGAGATCTCGGTACAGTTGGGAGAAGAGCGTGAAAGGGTTGAAGATCTGTGGGAAAGTGGGACGCGGCTCAGTCGCAGGGCTGGAGCTTCAAATATATCTATTCAATAATTTCCTCAGGAAAGCCGAGCTGAGCCTTGTCCAGGTATCAGACGAAATTTTGGGCAAAAATAAGAGCAGCGTCATCGAGCGGAGCTCGTAATTGTTCGCAGCCACACATTCCTCTCATTTTAGTCTGCCTGCAGCTCGCGTGTGATTGCAGGAATCTGGCTGCCTTGTTGACAAGCGTCTGGGCGCGCCGCCAAACACGAGGTCAAATGACGACATGTTCATTTGCTGTGCATCAGTTTGGGTGCCGTGCCTTTGTGCAGCGCAGCAGCAGACTCTTGCTGGTGGAACAAGAGTCTGCGGGGTCTTTGCAGCTTGTTGGACTTATTGTTGGGATGCTGGAGTCGACAACAGCTTCGGCAACCTTTACTCAGTATTCCTTTAGATTCCCCATTTCTTCAGCCCTTCAGCCTCGCTAAGAATAACCTGCTGCTATCAGATATCTGGGTAATATTAGGCGCTCCGACAGCCAGTAGATTGTACTCCCGACCTTGTTGACATGTGCCAGCTCGCTTTTCAAGTCCAGACATAGTAAGGTACTATATTGATATATGGCTAGCAGGCGAAAGGCTTATCTTTCACCAGGCGACTAGAGCTGTGAACTACTCGTCCGTAGACTCTTTTTGTGTCTCAGAGATAAATTGTTGACTTGATTACTCACTGAGGCCTGGACCCTGAATCGAGGCTCTGCGACAAGATCCACTGTTCTCCCTGATTAATTTATTATAGTACTCGATAGTGCTCGAGCTGAGTGCGGACGAGGTGAGTTTATTAACTTACTGCTAAGTTACAGGGCCATGCATTTTGAGCCCCATTTTCATCTCCAACTTGCTGGTCGCCTTGCCCAAGCTCCTGAACGGACAACAACCACCGCACCCGAGGCATCACCCCTCTGGAACCATTCTGTTGGACCTTGGTCCACGAATAGACAACGATGGGTTCCGGGCTGCTTGGTTTCAATTACTCACGCCATTGCAATGGAGCTCAATTTTCTTTTTCTCGCCCGAGTCAATCTGGTTAGGACGCGATCACGCCATTGCGGCCATTGGAGAGGTGCTGCTTCCCCCGCCTATATTACCCCTCGTCCTGCTCTTAGGCGATTGAAACCTTGAGAGCTTTCCCTTGGAATCTGTAACTGCAAGATCCTTTTATACTACTGCCGTGATACCCGACAAGAGGCCAAAGAACCACCATGTCCAATCCGCCACCCCAGCGATTCGAGACTCTGCAGCTCCATGCGGGGTAAGGATCCTTCAGGCTAGATACCTTTTTACAACATTTACTTACCATTTCAAGCCACGAGCCGGACTCCGCGACCAATTCTCGAGCGGTCCCAATCTATGCCACCACCGTGAGTTATTCGCTCTTTTTCTCTCTTTCGCATTGTTACTAATGACTATAGTCCTACACCTTCAATGACTCGGCACATGGCGCCAGGCTGTTTGGCCTCAAGGAATTTGGCAACATTTACAGTCGGATTATGAACGTAAGGGCCATTTCTCTGAGCGAGTCATCCAATTGAGGAGAGATTTTTTGGTCGGCTAAATTTTGTCTCTAGCCGACTGTCGATGTTTTTGAAAAGCGTATCGCGGCTCTTGAAGGAGGTGTTGCGGCTGTTGCTGCATCCTCAGGCCAGGCCGCTCAATTCATGGCCATCTCTGCTTTGGCCCATGCTGGAGACAACATTGTCTCCACTAGTAATCTTTACGGTGGCACATACAATCAATTCAAGGTCCTTTTACCGCGCCTGGGAATCACCACCAAGTTCGTGCGGGGCGACAAGCCCGATGACATTGCCGCAGCCATTGACGACCGCACCAAGGCTGTCTACGTTGAGACCATTGGAAACCCACGTTACAACGTCCCTGACTTTGAGGCCATTGCAAAAGTCGCCCACGGAAAAGGCGTGCCTCTGGTGGTAAGACAGCAAAAAAAGAAAAAAAAAGATCCGGCAGGCTAACAAGGTGCAGGTGGACAACACCTTTGGTGCTGGCGGATACTTTGTCCGTCCTATTGAACACGGCGCCGATATTGTCGTTCACAGCGCCACCAAGTGGATTGGAGGCCACGGTACAACCATTGGCGGTGTTGTCATCGACAGCGGCAAGTTTGACTGGGGAAAGAATGCAGCACGCTTCCCACAGTTCACCCAGCCTTCCGAGGGCTACCATGGCCTCAACTTCTGGGAAACCTTTGGCCCCATTGCATTTGCTATCCGTGTCCGTGTCGAGATCCTCCGCGACCTTGGCTCCGCCCTGAACCCGTTTGCCGCGCAGCAGCTCATCCTGGGCTTGGAGACCCTGAGCCTCCGCGCCGAGCGCCACGCTAGCAACGCCGTCGCTCTGGCAAACTGGCTCAAGAAGAACGAAAACGTCAGCTGGGTGTCCTATCCCGGTCTCGAAGAGCACCCCAGCCACGAAACTGCCAAGCGGTACCTAACGCGTGGCTTCGGTGGCGTCCTATCCTTTGGTGTCAAGGGTGGCGCAGCCGTTGGCAGCCAGGTGGTCGACAACTTCAAGCTGATTTCCAACCTCGCAAAGTAGGCCGAGACCCACCAATAATGTACCATGATAGCTAACTCCGTGCAGCGTCGGCGACTCGAAAACTCTCGCAATTCACCCCTGGACCACAACACATGAGCAACTGAGCGAGCAGGAACGTCTCGACTCTGGTGTGACCGAGGATGGTATCCGCATCTCCGTCGGCACTGAGCACATTGATGACATTATTGCCGACTTTGAACAATCTTTCGACACTTCGTTCAAGGTGGTCAGAAGTGTTTAGTGTGTGTATCTCATCTTAATTTACGAGACATGAATATACCTATACGTACGTCCAGATCGAGATTTGGCTTACCACAGTCAATATGGCAGGCAGGTTCATGAATCATTGCTGCCTGGCTTCGGCTAGTAGTTTGACATTGCTACTTCTACAACCGGTCCATCGAGTAAGACTGTGCCTGTACTCGAGAATCGTCAAGTACTCGTAGATCCATCCCTAGCCACCCTGACGTTAGATAAGCTACGCTTACTGTTTACGCCATACGTATGTTGTATGCATACTACTAGCAGTCTACTAAGCTAAAAAGAAATTGAAGAATTTTTGAGATTGAAGTACTCCCAGAATCACAAGAAGCCATTCAAACGGGTTACAGTTAAAAGGAAAGAAAAAGAAGATAACAAACTTCCGAGTACTGGCGGTATATCAGCATGGCCCATGACTTTTGACCCATAGCAGTAGATACCGGACGCGAAAACAAAAACCCAGCTGAAGATAAGCCTGGAGAGCCGCCCGTACTCCCATCCGTTCCGCCGTAAAATGACACAATAGGTATATGTAGAATAAGTACAGGGACCGCAGGGTAAAATGCGTGAGAAAGGGCGAACGACGTTTTGGTTTATAAATGATGACAAAAACGTAGGTGCTTGAATAATGCATGTTGTGGGCTTCTTTTACCCTGCCCCCCCCAAAATTCAGAAAACTCCTGTTTTGAACAGACAAAAGAAGAGTATGGAAAGAAGATGAAGAAAAAAAAGGTATCAAGACAAAGGTTGAATCGAAGGATGACGAAAAGGATCATTCATCGTATCTATCATGGTTTCGAAGCACGTCGCAAAACTCAGTTGCCTCCTTGGCCAGGAGGTGGGGGCTGTGCCGCACCCTGCGCGCCGCCCATCATGAAGCCAGGAGGGAACATTGGCATGCCGGGAAAGGAGAAACCAAAGCCGGGCACTGCGGGAGGAACCCCGACGTTGTTGGTGCTGTTTGGATCTCCCATCGGGGGTCCGTCACGATCCCGATCCCGGCGAGGAGGCCGATCGTTTGATACACGAGTAGAAACCGGCCCGCGTTTGCCTCCAGTGTCGGTCGCGATGCGTCTGCTGATTGCTATTGAATCGTCAATACCGGGCCAAAACGAGAGTAGTTCCAGACAACACAAACCTTTTGACGAAACACCGGCGCCAATTTCGATATCGGGCTCCTCAACGACCATACCGGATTCAATGGGTCTTCCTCCAGTACCGCCGTACTCGGCAGTGAGCATCCACTTTCGATCCGCCTCTGTCAGTCTCTCGACAGGAATTATACTGATGCCGGTCTGGTAGTCGCTGCAGTCACGGGGACCAAAGCCAACACCCCAACGAGTCTAGAGTATATGTTAGTAAGCGGGGAGGACTCAGAAAAAGAACAAGCTCACCCTGAGTTGCATATCTCCCGACTTGTAAGATTCCATTCCGTCGCGAGCACTCACGGCATCTCCGCGACTGATCATTTTGATGAACGCATGACGCTTGTCGATGTTTACGATGCAAGTTTGAACGATTCCAAATCGAGCAAAGAGTGAGCGTAGATGAGCCTCGGAAGATCTAAAAAAATGCCGTTAGAACGAGATAACTGTAAACAAGGTTGGGTACAACTCACGTTACGCCACCGACAAAGAGTGTACGACTCAGAACTATACAGAGAATTAGTATAAACACTTTGGCTAGGGAAAAAAAGGCAGACCAACCTTTGATATTGCCCTGGCCAATGGAGTAGTCCCACTCTATATACTTGGGACCCGGGGGAGGAAGGTTTGGATCCTTGCGTGGAGGAGAGGGAGAGCGGCGTCTACGCCCAGGGGGGCTGCGTTGGCGGTAGTCGTTGCCTCGTCGTCCTCGTGGATCAGCAGCACCACCCCTGCGGCCGGGGGAGTCACCGTGGTATTCGCCATAGACAGGGCTGTCGCGGCGACGAGGTGGAGATACCTCACGACGCCTGTCCCAGCCAGGAGAGCGAGAGCGACGGCGGTATCCGCCAGGGGGAGAGCGCATGTAATCGCGATCTCGCTCGCGGTCTCGGTCAAAGTCACGTGACTGAGGGTCACCCCATGCATTGGCGTTGGCAAGACCTTGGACAGGGAAACCGGGCGCTTGATTCGGATTAAGGCCGGGCATACCGCCGGGCATACCGCCGGCATTAGAAAGACTAAGGATTTGAAGCGCAGTGCCCCATTGGTCCTGTGGGATGCCTTGCGCAGCCAGTAGCTGCAAGAGTTGAAGCTGTTGTTGCAAGCCATCGGGGGTCATATTGGGCGGCTGTGCTGGGGCGGCGGCTGCGGAAGCCTGCGGCAAAAGGGCAGCGAGAGGGTTTTGCGCAGCTGCCAATGGGTTTGGTGTGTGGCTCTGGCTCTGCGGCTGCACCAATGCGGCGGGATTCTGGGCCAGGTTACCTAGAGCCGCAAACGGGGTTGCCATCGCGCCATATGGGTTTACGCCAGCCTGCGATTGTGAAGCCTGGTCTACGGATGATGACACCGGCTGCTGTGGAACTGTACCCTGCTGGCTTAATGCACTAAGAGGGTTGGTGGGGGCCGCTGCCGCTGGCGCTGTCGGCGCTGCAGTGTTTTGCTTAGCCATGTCTGCTAAAGCCTTCAAGATGCTTGAAGTATCCGGCGCTGGCTGAGCTGCGACAGCCGAAGAAGCTCCGTTAGCAGGCTGACCTCCTCCTCCGAGGGGGGCGTAGTTGGGAGCCGGGGACCCTTCTGGGGTGGTTGATTCGACATCTAATTCACACGTTAGCCCGAAACCTAGAGATGGACTCTTTTTTGCAGGCTGCTTACTTGCGCTGAGCTTCTGTTTGAAAGACGCAAGCATGGGGGCAGGAAAGGTGAAGCCACGCTCCCAGATGTCGACGAGCTTTTTGATTTTCTCCTAAGATTGGTAAAAAAGTACGTAAGTTGAACTATTCGTCACCCAAGCATCACGGTGCGGATTTTCTAAAGGGGTAATTCTCGGGGTATACGTGAAAAAAAAAGTCTTATAAGGCCTTATATGCCCGCAAAACCCACTGAGATGGGAGACGTTTTCTTGCATGTTGCATCTAAAGCGTACCTTTTGATCATCCGGTGCATTGTTTATGATATCAGTCATCAGGACGGGTAACAACTCGGTCACTCTGTTCACTCCAGCGGCAAAGGTTCCGTCAGGAGCAGCGCTCCCCGATGGTTGTCCTGCCTTGCGCGCTGCATCTACCCATTGTCGAGTTACAGAGTCTACGACATAGAGTACGCCCAATTTGTGTGTGCCTGGTGCCTTTTTGAAGTGTGTGTAGATTTTCTGGATAAGGACGGATTCATTCTGCAAAGAGAAAGAAATAGTTAGTATGCTGTTCTCATATCTATATACCGTTTTCCGGCGGGGGAAGGCGGGGGGCGCGCGCAAGTACCTGAACATTGGCCGTGCATAGCGAGGTGATACTGTTTATCTTAGAGCCGGAAACACCAGGGGCCTTCAAAGCCAGCATCGACTGGAGATAATTATCCAGTTCTGCTACTGCCGACGACATGGCTGTTTGTGGTAGAGTTCGTGTTCCAATACGGTAGGACGATATGGTGCGCGTCGCAAAACTATCGCGCGAGGAGAAGTCGTCGCAAAAGGCGATCAAAAGTCGCACGAGTCGCTTCTACTGGGGAATCCAGCAAAATAACAAGGACAATATTGTATGCTTAAAATAAAGACGGAGAATACTCTGTGTCGCAGTGCCTCAGCCTAGATACCGAGTGTGAATGCCTAAGCTGACTTCGGGTCGCGTCACTACGGCCAGGGGGCCTTCTTTGGCCTACAGCTGCAACACAGCCCAAGCGAGATCGTGTCTAGGACTTTGCAGCTCGTCAAAAGTACGTGTACAAGGTACAGCCTAACGTGAAAACGGTGAGAGTCAAAAAGAGAAGAGAAGATGATGAAGTTACAATGAGGAAGTTTAAGAGGCGTCGAGAAGAAAGATGACGAAAAGCCGACCGAGTCGTTGAAAGAAGGCAGGGGAAAGCGCAATCAAAGAAAAGTTAACAGGCAAGTGAGGTCATGTGAGCGAAAACTCAATAACCTTGCGCTAGTCTCGGATAGGATAAGCGCTCTGCTTAGTCAGTAAAATCAAAGTCACGTGTAAATAGTTACACGTGATCTCAATCGGTGAGCCGAAACAGTCGCGGGTTTGATCAAGGTGTTGGGGCCACAGGCAAAGGAGAACTGACAGTTTTGCAGTGATCGTTCCCCCTTGTCCTCCATACAAATAAGCATTCTATAACCGGGGAACTGCGCCGATTCTTGACTATATATCAGATAATCAACGGTTTTTCCCGATAGATGGGTGGTCGAGGCGACAGCCCAAAACTTACCGAGGAGGCCATGAACTCTGAACCATGCTACTTGCCGACGTCATTAGCCATGGCGGCATTGGCCACGACCCATACTCTCCAGAGAGCTCAGGAATGGATGATGGTGGCCATTTGGTAAGAAGCTGAAAGTCTAACGGGCGCCACCTCCTTTTCGAGTCGAGTGTGTACAAAGGACATGTCAGAATAGACCCAATTTCTTCAAGGCATTACAAGCCTCTATCTACGTACTCGTTACTCTTGGGGTAGATTACTCCGGACTCCGCCTCTGCGATGACGGAAGATGGCGGATAGTACGGAGCACGTCTGGTGGAGCTGCCGAGTGTTGTTGTTGGTTGGCACCCGTGACTCGGGAGACCGGCCCCGTTCAAAGCAGTAAAATGCAGCTTTACCTTACGGTACACGGTCCCACCCTTGGGTACAGGAAGAAAAATGTCGTGCTCAAGTGTTCCCATACAGATCTGGTACCGGCCTGTCCTTGTTAGCTGTTACGGCCAGATGGAAAAAATGAGGATGGACCGAAAACAGCTTTCTCCCCGACCTCAAACTTCTTTTCCTTCTTCTTCCCTGCTGTTTTCCTTGATCCTCCTCACTCTCTCTCCTCTCCTTCTCAATCAATCAACTCCACATTTCAGTTGTTTGATCAGGTATGGCTTCCACACTTCGACTCGGTACCTCTGCTCTCCGCTCCAGCACTCTTGCTGGTAAGCCGGTTGTACAGTCCGCTGCCTTTAATGGCCTGCGCTGCTACTCTACCGGCAAAGCCAAGGTTTGTCTATTCTGCTGCATACTCTGTCATTGACTCGTGTTTCAAAAGTTGGCTAACGAGAATTGAATCATCTAGTCCCTCAAGGACACCTTCGCCGACAAGCTCCCTGGTGAGCTCGAGAAAGTCAAGAAGCTCCGAAAGTGCGCACATATCCCACTCCATCTGATTCACGGCTTGCGAGACAGGTCGCTAACCTGTTGCTTTTTAATCTTGCAGGGAACACGGCAGCACAGTCATTGGCGAGGTTACCCTCGACCAGGCCTACGGTGGTGCCCGTGGTGTAAAGTGCCTTGTCTGGGAGGTATGCTATGCTATTCCCGCCTCCATTTCTAAAACTTGATATCGGCATGCTGACTTGCTATTGTAGGGTTCCGTCCTCGACTCTGAGGAGGGTATCCGTTTCCGTGGCCTTACTGTAAGCGGCATCGGACAACACCAAACGCTGAGGTGCCAACGTACTAACGAACTGTTCAGATCCCCGAGTGCCAGAAGCTTCTTCCCAAGGCCCCCGGTGGTGAGGAGCCTCTTCCTGAAGGTAAGCGCCGAGCCCAAAACAAACCGCAAGTTATCAGCGAACCGCTCTTCTAAACCGATATCAGGTCTCTTCTGGCTGCTCCTGACTGGTGAGGTTCCCTCTGAGCAGCAGGTTCGCGACCTCTCCGCCGAGTGGGCCGCTCGCTCCGACCTGCCCAAGTTCATCGAGGAGCTCATCGACCGCTGCCCCAGCACTCTTCACCCCATGGCTCAGTTCTCTCTCGCCGTCACTGCTCTTGAGCACGAGTCCGCCTTTGCCAAGGCCTACGCCAAGGGTATCAACAAGAAGGAGTACTGGCACTACACCTTTGAGGACTCCATGGACCTCATTGCCAAGCTGCCCACCATCGCGGCCAAGATCTACCGCAACGTTTTCAAGGACGGCAAGGTTGCTCCTATCCAAAAGGACAAGGACTACTCCTACAACTTGGCCAACCAGCTCGGATTCGGTGACAACAAGGACTTTGTTGAGCTGATGCGCCTGTACCTCACTATTCACTCTGACCACGAGGGTGGAAACGTCAGTGCTCACACCACCCACCTCGTTGGTAGTGCTCTGAGCTCTCCTATGCTCTCCCTGGCTGCTGGCCTCAACGGTCTTGCTGGTCCTCTTCACGGACTGTAAGTATACTCCTTCAACGCGACTGTCGCATTAGCTAATAACAATTAAAACAAAAGGGCCAACCAGGAGGTGCTCAACTGGCTCACTGAGATGAAAAAAGCCATTGGCAACGACCTCAGCGACGGTGCTATCAAGGACTACCTCTGGTCCACCCTGAACGCTGGACGTGTTGTTCCTGGCTACGGCCACGCCGTCCTTCGCAAGACCGATCCCCGCTATATGTCCCAGCGTGAATTCGCTCTCCGCAAGCTGCCCGATGACCCCATGTTCAAGCTCGTCAGCCAGGTCTACAAGATCGCCCCTGGCGTCCTCACCGAGCACGGCAAGACCAAGAACCCCTACCCCAACGTTGATGCTGTAAGTTTCTTGTTCCCCCTTTATTCTGGAAACATAATCTAACGCACTCTAGCACTCTGGTGTTCTCCTGCAGTACTACGGCCTGAACGAGGCCAACTACTACACCGTCCTCTTTGGTGTTTCTCGTGCCCTGGGTGTTCTGCCCCAGCTGATCATCGACCGTGCCTTCGGTGCCCCTATCGAGCGCCCCAAGAGTTTCAGCACCGAGGCTTACGCCAAGCTTGTCGGCGCTAAGCTGTAAAAACTTTTTTCTTTGAACGATATGAAGATTTTGGAGGGACTATTATCTCTTAACGATTACAAACACAGCCATCTTGTATTATTTATTTGACGTCTAGAAGACTCGGACGTGTCAAGTGTTGGGGTTAGTTCGATTAATGTATGATAGCTTGTTCGAGCAGGCCTTGTAACAACACTTCAATTCCAAGTCATCCATTACTTTCTGGCTCGGAGTTTTGGGGGCTCCGTAAAAGCATCGACAGTCGTAGCAGTAACAGCCCATAATCGTAGTTCAGGAGTAGACCGCGGCTGAGATGTCAAACCCGAGTCACTTCGGAGACCGAACAGCAACGGCGTGTTTAGTATTCAGCTACGGTGAGAGGTTTCTAGAGCTATTGTCTGCCGCCCATGTGTACTGTTGAGTACAATACTCGACCGTGGTAGACTCGATCGAGATTCATCGGTATAATTATCGCCCGAAAGTCGAGACAGCAACAACCTCAACGGTTTCTCTGTTGGGGCACCCGATTTCCTCCGGCTCCCAACTGATGGCCCGAGGAACGCAGTCCAGACACCGCCCACCCAAAATTAGCCTAGTGTGGATCGGCCCGTCACCTCCCTTAATCGGGACTAGAACTCCAAGATGTCCAGGTGATTGGCCAGACGCAGGCCTGCTCAAGAGCGATTGAGAGGGGATTCGTTCGGAGCCTCAGGCAACTCCGGGCTGTTGTCCTCCTGAGTGACAGGAGCTACCGTGTACAATCCCTTCCGACAGGATTGCAAGCAAAGGAATCAACTGGCAGAAATCTCCGTCCCACCTTTAGCTTTTCCATATATTCTGCGTCTGCCAAACTTTCTTTCTTTCCCTTTTTCCTCCAATCTTCACCTCAACCCCTGTACCTGAGTTTCAACCCCCTGGCTTCGCCTACACAATATCCTCCTCTCCCCGCCAGACCAGCTGAATCACAAGCTCTGGTAGCTCTCAATTCCCCGAATCTCTCGTGATCCGTTAGGCGACGAACCCCCTCAAATCCCTTGGTCAGGGCCCCTTTCAGTGCACCCCAAATTCAGAGATGTCTACCGCTACCGAAGAGTTGGGCTCCATCCCAAAGCTCGAGAAGAAGCCTGTCAAGTTCAGCAACTTGCTACGTATGTACTATTACCTTGCTCTACGCTCTGCGATATCCTAACATTGGTCTTCTTCCTTGTTACAGTCGGCGCAGGACTAAACATGTTTGAGTAAGTCCCTCGGCATCTCAACTCGGGTCCTCGTTTTTGCTGACATCGCAACCAGAGTCACTACATTGGGACAGGTGCATCACCTCAGCACTGCTGAATTGAAGTAATACTAATCGTGTCTCAGCCACTGGAAGTGATCAAGACAACCATGGCTGCAAACCGGGGCGATAGCTTCGCTGGCGCTATGGGTCGGATATGGGGTCGTGGCGGGATCCTCGGTTGTAAGTCAACCCGCAACCCGCAACCCGCAACCCGCATATTCTGAGGTGGGGGGTGGGCACAACTCCAGCAAGCTAACGCGTTGATGACTACGCAGACTACCAAGGTCTCATTCCGTGGGCCTGGATTGAGGCCTCTACCAAGGGCGCTGTCCTTTTGTTCGTCGCTTCGGAGGCAGAATTCTATGCCAAGGTGGCCGGTGCGCCCGACTTCCTCGCCGGTATCTCTGGAGGTATGGCCGGTGGTGTCGCCCAGGCCTATGCGACTATGGGTTTCTGTACCTGCATGAAGACAGTCGAAATCACAAAGCACAAGATGGCTGCGCAGGGTGTCAAGCCCCCTGGCACCTTTGCCACTTTTATGGACATTTACCGCAAGGAAGGTATTCGGGGTATCAACCGCGGTGTCAATGCCGTTGCCATTCGCCAGACTACAAACTGGGGATCTCGTTTCGGTCTTTCTCGCTTGGCTGAGCAGGCTATCCGCAAGGTGACTGGCAAGGACGAAAAGGAGAAGCTCGGCGCCATTGAAAAGGTTATTGCCTCCAGTCTGGGAGGTGGTCTCTCGGCCTGGAACCAGCCTATCGAGGTCATTCGAGTTGAGATGCAAAGCAAGACCGAAGACCCCAACCGACCCAAGAACCTCACGGTTGGAAAGACCTTCAAATACATTTACGAGAGCAACGGTATCAAGGGTCTCTACCGTGGTGTGACCCCCCGCATTGGTCTCGGTATCTGGCAGACCGTCTGCATGGTGGCTCTTGGTGACATGTAAGTCTCGCCATCGCGTGGATCAATGTTTCCCTTTTCCCCGAAGCACATGTGATATACCGAGGTTTGAGAAACAAGGCTAACGGGTGGATCTCCGTTGTACCGAATAGGGCCAAGGAGGCAGTCGAAAAACTGACGGGCGATAAAGTCACCGCGAAGCATTAGAGAAGGTTTGAAATACCCTTCGGCTACGCAAGGTCCGCTTTGCGGCTAGACGGACCTGCCGGGATACAGTGCTGGGTTTGCTACGGACTCGACTGGTTTCGAGTGCGAAAGATTTGATCCATGTTTTATTTACTATTTGTACTCTGGGATAGAGAAAATACCCTAATACATCTCGTTAATCAATGTACTCTCTGTGATACTAGGAAAGCTTCTGTTCCTGCAACGCCTGGCGGTGATAATCATATTCTCGGTGTGGTCCTCAATACATCGCCAGTAATAGCCGCCTCGGGAGTTTTATCCGACCAGTTTCAGTCTGAGACATACGGTCCCTTGCAGGCTCTAGTGATAATAATCTATTGCTTCCGAAACCGCGCTGCAGTCGCCGTAAATATCTTGTCCGAAGCGCATGCTGTTGGCCACATGTCAAACTGGGCTATATATACTTAGAGTGGGCTCTGATAAGACCTTGAATCTATAATATGTTCTCTAATACCGCTTTTAGGGCTAGCGACATCATTTATAGGCAAATACTACCACTGAGCTGGTTTATATGCAATACTGATATGATGTGTTACTACAATCTACGTTGTACTATAAACCACATTATGTATAAAGCAACCACACATCGGACGTAGCCTACTACTGTGAATATACTACGCTTTAAGGAAACAAAAACATACATCAAGTGAATAAGGGTACAAGGATTTGATTGTATTACAGTCACATACAGCTACAGCCACAGCAAGTATCACAAAAAAAGGGTCAAAATAAGGGAGAAAACAAGGGAAAAGATATCTGCGGAGATTTATCTAAACACATGGAAAGGGTTCGGCGCTCAGGATTTTCGTTCTTTTGCCCCGTCTAGCAGCATGTATTGTGTACATTTGGTTTAAAAGAGTCATGGTGGGCGTGGGTGTGCAGAAATTTAAACAGTGAGGCCCAAGTCGGAGGCGTAGGGAAGCTCGGCAAGGTCACCGACGGCGGCGACGGAGCCCTTGGATTCGAGGACGGTCTTGGCGAACTGGAATGAAGGGGTTAGTTCCTAGGGACTCGTACTAAGCGAGGAAAAAATGAACTTACATCCTTGATCTTGGCCTCGGTGACGCTGTCGAGGGCCTGGGCGACCTCGCCAATCTGATATGGTTTGGTGTTGTTGACCAGGGCATTCCCAGTAAGCTCGAGGCCGGTTTCGAGAGTCTGGGCGGACTCGAGGGCGCCAAACTTGGCGAGAGCGGCGGCCTTTTTGAAATCCTCGGCGGAGACTTCACCAGCGGCGACCTTCTTGAGGGCGTCGACGGCGCTCTTTCCAGCAGCGGCGAGCTGGTCAGCCTTGCCGGTCAAGGTGATGGTGAGAAGACCGGCGTCGGAGTAACCAACGTTCTTGGTCGAAGCCCGGACCTGGGCGAAACCCTGGGTAACCTGGCTGAGAAGCGAGAAACCAGGAGTCCATTTGATGGAAGACTCCCCACCGAGGAGGGCGGCGAGGACATGAGCAGCGGGGTTGAAGTTTTGGGTACCAAAAGTGCTGGACCCGGGGAGAGCAATCACAACAGCGTTGCCAGCCTTGCTGGAGATACGCTGCTCACCACCAAAGTAGGTGGACTTTTCGTGGGACTTGAGCTGGTACTGGCTGGAGCCGGTGCCGGGGACGGCCTTGAAGAAGTCACCAGCCCACTTGGAGAGCTCTGCAGAGCTGACACCGCTGCCAACAAGGGCAATGTTGGACTTGGCATAGGCGTTTTTGGCGAACTCGGCCAGAGCCTCAGCGGAGAGGTTCTTCTCGTATGGGACATGAGCCGAGGCGCTGATGCTGTTGCCTAGGCCGCGGTGGAAAGCAACACCGTGAGCGGCATCGAGGGCGATGGCCTCTGGCTGGTTGGCCAAAGCGACTTGTCTGAGCTTCAGGAGCTTGGCGACAATCTCGTTGAGTTCGTAGCCTACCACTCGTTAGCCTCTTTACACACCCGAGAGTCTTAGTCCGAGGTGGTTGTGTGTACCTGGAAATTTTGTCTGGGAAGCAACTTCTGCCAGCAGCTCAACAAAGTAGGGAAGGTCTTCGGCGAGGAATTTGGTGTTGAGAACAACGTTCTCACGGGAATGTGATGCGGAGAATCGACCACCCAACAGCTCAACCTCCCGAGTGATCCGTAGCGCCGAACGCTTGAGTGTAGACTGTCAATTGGGAGAGGCTAGTTAGTGCCAATTCCGGTTGATGCGGAGAAAACAAACCTGGAAAGCGAAAAGTTCGAGGGCGTCGGCGAAACCAGGAAACGGCTCGTAACGGGTACCGGCCTTGGCCACCAGAGCAAGAGTGCCAGTGACACCAGCAGGTTCTCTGTTGGCAATCTTTACACCACCAGCCTCAGAGACGTCGTACTGGAGGCCCGGAGTAGCGGCAGAGGCCATGCCCCGACGGCCGGCAGCGTTCTGGAGCGCACGGGGCGCATTTCGACTGATGGCAGACCGCGACAGCATCATCGCATGTGTGAAAGAACAATCGGAATGAGAGGAATGTAGAAGCCGGGCGAGGGCTCACAGCAATTGAGGCGGTGGTGGTGGAAGAGGGGGTTGGTGAGGAGAAGGAGGTCCGCTGGGCTGGTGGTTTGACGACGTCTGAAAAGCTTCAAGTTGAGGCCGGCGTTGGTGATTACTCGTTCCCTGATTGGCCAGGATCGCGAGTGCGGGCGGAACCGGCAAACCTGGTCAGGTGATATCAGGTGACTTGCAATCGCTCGTGAGGCGCTGCGCGATAAGAGAAAGAAGAGACAAAAATGCTGGAAACTTACACAAAAGACTCACGCTAGACACGGGAGCCGGATTTAGAGGCTCTTATTTCAAGGTTCTTAGGCCGGATGGATTCCTCATGAACCTTTTGCGGTGACAATTGTGCCCCTTCTAGAGGATCGAAGCTGGAAAGATTCTCTAGAAGACTAAGAGATGGCCTCCCAGGTATGCGAAAGAGCAAGACAGACGGACCGATCACAACAGGTTCGCAGTTGGCTAACCACAAAGCCAACAAACAGTACGCGGCGGAGCTATGTATGCTCCTGGTAGAAGATAATTTTGGCGAGCTCTTCGGGGTATGTTTATGGCTTGACCCCAGTGACTCGGGCTTTTTTTTTTTTTTTTTTTTTTTTTTTTTAACAAGTCGATGGCACCGTATCGACTGACCATTTGCCCTTGACTTGACAGCGGATATTCTCGACCCTGCATCGCTATGAACGCCTTACTTTGCAGCGACTAGTCGGCTTCACTCGCATCTCCGAAAGTCGATTGCGCGCTGCCCTGGTCGCCATGATCCAGCATCATCTCGTGCACCACAATACTCCCCTCGACGAAGGCATTACGTACTACAGCGCAAACATGCAAGCTGCTTACTACCTTGCGCGGTCAGGGAAAATCTTGGAATTTGTTGAGGATAGGCTAGGACACTATGCCGCCACCGTCATGTCGACGATAATGTATCTCGGCCATGCTCAAGTGAGTCACCTTGAGACATTGCCAGAATTACGACTCGACGCTTCTGAAGCGAACGGGGTCCATGAAGAGCAGGAGGAACTACAGGGAGATGAGAATGGAGTGAACGGGATGAATGGCGACCATGTGCCAGAGCAATCAGCACTGCACCCAACACTCAAAACGCTCGCCGCTCATGGATATATCCTTCGGGTCCGGGAAGGGCACTTTCAAAGCTACGCCGATAACATCTTGGATATTGAACGCCAGATTAAAGCGGGAGACTCGGCGCAAAGTCTCAAGGGAAAGAAGCTTGAAGAGTACGTGCTCGAGAAGACGGGCGATATGCTCAAGGAGCGGCTAGACAGTGACCTCAGTCGAGGATTACTTGTTAATGGAGTTCCCCGAGGAGTGAAACGGAGGCGCGCCAACGGGACTATAGACGAAGACAACAAACGGGCGCGCTTCGACTACGACAACGCTGGGGATGAAGAAGAAAATGAGTGGTTCGATGATGAGATCCCCATGGAGGTGCGCGCGCTCTCTCTACTTTGGTCTTCTCCGCTCACAACTAACTATCATCTAATAGTCCTCATTGACCGTCCGCGTCAACTACGAAAAGCTTGACGTCGCCCTTCGAAACCGCCGATTCTTCGACCTCGCAGAGCGCGACGCACCCCCCGAAACTGCACAAGTGTACGATTATCTCCTTCGTCGGATTGAATATCAAACAACAAAATGCCGAGACTCGGCCGAAATCCCCAGAGAGGGCGAAGAAGGCGAACAGTACTCAGTTGCTATCCCTCTCAGCGCTCTATCTCAGGACATCGACCCATACCTTGACCTTGTGGGATCTCTCGGACCCACAGGAGTTTCTCCCAACAACCGACTTGGGAAACGGGCCTTTGACGACACAGTCAATGGCGACGATGACTACGACCACGAAGGTACCAATGGCACTGGCGGTAACCGCGCCTACGAAATTGACCAGCACCTCTCCCTTCTCTCCCACCCCCCCTACAGCCTAACATCGAAACGCCTTAGCGGCGGCCTCATCACCTGGACCATTGAGTTCCGCCATCTAGCCCGCAAACTCCGCCACCTCGAACTCGAGCGTATTGTCGAAGCCCGCTACGGCGACGTCGCCCTCCGCGTCATCCGCGTTCTCCAAGCAAAAGGCAAACTCGATGAAAAGCGCCTACAAGAAATCAGCCTTCTTCCCTTCAAAGACCTCCGCCAAGTCCTTGCATCCATGCAAACTGGCGGCTTTGTCGATCTCCAAGAGGTGCCCCGTGACGCCCAGCGCCAGCCTTCCCGGACAATCTTCCTATGGTTCTACGACCCTGACCGCATCCGCGACAGTATCCTCGAAGATACGTACAAGTCTATGTCGCGCTGCTTACAGCGGTTACGATTCGAACGGAGTCGCCTGAAGGAGTTTCTAGAGAAAACAGAGCGCAGTGATGTAAAGGGTAATGAGAAGCGGTATCTTTCAGAGGGAGAACTGGAGAGACTCCGTGAGTGGAGAGCCAAGGAGTCACTGCTGCTTGGTGAAGTTGCACGGTTAGATGATATGGTTGCTGTCATGCGGGATTATTGATAGCCTTGTTTTGGAAAACGGAGTCATGAGCGATGATATTAAAAGTTCTACTCTTCAAATATCGGCAATACAAGGGCCTATGCAGCATCAACGGCTTGTTTGGATGATTCAAAGGTTGCTACTCCGCCCCACGGGTCTATAAAGTCTTGAAGCAAATCTGAATACTACATATATCATTACATTGGGCGCCGGGACCACAGAAGCTCGCCCGTTAAGATGTAGAGAAAAGAAAGGATTATTGAAAAGAAAGAAAGCATCAATACCAGATGCAAGCAACCATGCTTGGTCCGAAAACACCAGTACACTGACACAAAACCCCCACCAATTGCAAAAAAAGGCAACAGGGGAATTAAAGTAAAAAAGAATCAGAAAGCCTCCCTGGCCCATAAGGGCTTAGAAAAATTGTCTCATAATACAAACCCAACCCCGGCCGTGCTTGCTCTGCTCTTTTGGCTCATCTGTACAACCCATTTCTCGTGAACCATGTCGCATAAACGCCTCCACCATGAAATATTTCATGATGTTGCGTCGGTTGAAGGTTGAGAACCGTGGACGTGGGAGACCTGTTTAGATTCCTCGTGATTCGTGACTCCATTTGTCAAGCCATCGGGTTCACCGTTGACTTGAAAGTCAACAGTCGACAATTTGGCCTCTGCGGCTTCGAGTTTCATCTTTGTCGACTCGAGCTCCGCCTTTAGCGATTTGATATAATCAATAGCCATCTCCACAGTGCTGGCCTTGCTGATTGGTTGATTTCCTGCCTTTTCCTTCTCCTTGTCGCTGGTTTTCCCATTGCAGGCCGAGGCCTCCTTGCTGTGCTTCGATTGAACGTACGCTGGCGGGATAAGTGTTTCAATCTCCTTTAGAGCATTGTTGATGCGATTCCGTCGTCCCTGCTCCGCGAGCTTATGATTAGTTCGTTTGGAGCTCAAGTTCTCGGCTAATGTCTCTGGATATGAGACGCCCGGAAGAAGTGTGCCATCCAAGATGTGCTGATAGTTGGACTTGGAAGCCAAGAACATTGCTGATGCATCATTCGAGATTCCTCCTGTATCCGATTAGTATTAAAAACAGACTATAAAGGGTTGAGGTCTTACCGTCGCCGCGCACCAATGGCTGGATATTAGGGCTGATTTTTGGTCTTAAACTGGGGCTAGGATGTGATGAACTCAAACTTTGCCGCTTCCTGCTCATAGGTCCTAATTTTGGCGTCTCGGATTTCCTTGCAACCGGACCGCTGGGGGAGGGCATCGGACCAGATCGCGGGCTCGGGGCGACAGAGCTGGGGTTCCTTTCAGAAAGCGCGGCCGGATTGGAATCCAAATGTGGAGTAACAGTGGCGGATATACTTGGGGACGAGGTGCCAGTGGTGATGGCTGTATCGATTCGAGCAACATGGGTTCGGAAAAGCTGGGTTGCCGGGGTGGCCGCCTCTGGAAGAATCACATCCTCCATAATATCATCGTGCGGTTCATTTACGGCCGGTTGTGTTGGAGTGAGGTTATGATCGGGAACGGAGCGAGTGTGGGGAGACCGCTGCATCCGCATCAACATTGCTGGTGTCGCAGGCTCGCCAGAGTTTTGTGGTTGTGGTTGTTGCTGCGTCAGAGGCGCGATTGCAGGGGACTTGCGGACAGTTGGGAGTGCAGGTGGAGGCATCAATGGTTCAGACAGTGGCTCCGGGGACACGGAATCCTGGCCTGAGCTCTCGGCGCTACCGTATCGCAGCCCGGTGACACTTGCCGGATGCGATGTAGGGTTTGGGTGTTTTTCTGAGAGAGCGGTCAGGACCTCGTCTGTCAAGCGAGATCTCGTGCGCGTCAGAGGTCGGACCGAAGGAGATTGCTGCTTCTTAGCCCGGGACTGAAAAGTTTTACTGGTGGCCGTGGACGGCCGTCGTCTTTGTTTGCGTGCGAGACCTGGAGAGGACGGGACCGACGATGCAGCGAAGCCATTATCACCGGGCGAGTGAATAAAGGTCATTTCGGTCATTGGAGCGGAATGCATGGGATAACCGTGCGGATTTTGCGCCTCGATCGCTGGCGAGGTGAGGGGGCTAAAGTACTCGCCAGGAATGGCATAATCGGGTTGCCGGCACTGAGTTTCCAAGGGAGTCATGGCAGGAGAAACAAGGGGCGTGTAGAGGGCCTATACGATACATTAGCTGTCGGGGGTAAAAAATACCGGCTGGTACACTGCGCACCTGTTCCTCAATCATGCGAGAATATCGATCATACATTTCCGGATTGTCGCCAACACGTTGAGGATACGTCGCAGCAGATCCGTGGAATTCAATGCTGCTGGGGGTCGGAGGAATCACCATCTGTCCTTGGGGAATATATGGCTGAGTGGTGTGCTGTGGCTGCTGCTGCTGCCGCTGCTGCTGCTGCTGGAACATTGGAGGCTTCTGGGCGTAGTAGGCCGGCGTCATTGGGGCATTGGAGTACGATGTGCTATGTGGTATACCCTGCGGATCGACAGAAAAGTCTCCCATCATGCGGGTGTAGGACTGCGCCTGGCCGGTGACACTGTCGGGATCCATGCAGGCCATTTGTTGCTGCTGCGCCGGAGCGGTCGTGGTGCCCATTGCGACTTGCGCGATGGAACGAGAAGGGAGGTGGTCGGTCGGCCCGTGCTGCCCCTCCAGATCGCCAAACTGCATGCCGAACTCGAGGAAGCTGCTGAATTCATCTTCGGCGGGGGGAGGCATGTCCGACCAGGACAGTGAGGGATCTTGCTCCATGGCGAGGGATAACTGGTGTTCTTCTAGGACAGCCCTCCAGAATACTCGATTGTCCTCCTCCACTAGGATTGCTGCACTTGTAGTACTTTTGAGTTACGGTGACGCAAGGCGGAGAAAAGTATGTAGTAGTCTCGGTTGCAGATTGAACCAAATGATCAACGGCGGGAAAAAAAAAAACGAAATCCACCACAGAGGGAACAAAAGGTTCACAGAGCGAGCGAACGCCAGAGATGGACAGGGAGCGAAGGGTAATGCGAGGGAGAGAGCGAATGTAAAGACTCAATGAGAGCAGGTGAGCATCGCGAACTCTGGAGGGTTGAGGGTTCGACCGGGGGGTGAGAAAGCCTCGCAGGATAAAAGGCCAGGCGGAGATATAACAAGCGATAATATAAGACAACCAACCTCCTGGAAGAAGAAACCAGGTGACGGGGCGTGGGGAAGCGAGACTAGAAGAAGCCCGAGAACTCAGAATAGGAAGAGAGTGGGAAGAGTGGAACACGAGACTGCGAGTCTATGAGACGGCGCCCGGCTCCAGCGAACTTCACCTTGATTGCTTCGCCAGCTTCAGCCTATATATCTACCTGCTTGAGTAGGAAAAGAGGAGGATTTCCGTCTCGGCCTTTCTGTGCACCTCCACCATTGGTCCGCGAAACCACATTTGATCTACGTCCGGGATGGTTACGGCTTCAATCATTACATCGCTTTCGACATTTAGTGAAATTAGAGGCTATCCTTCTCAACTCTCAATAATAATGCTCATCGCGTGTTCGGTGGCATCGTCGTTGACTCGATACCTCTCGGGAGGACTTCGCACACCCATCCTATGGGAAATCTCGCATGCACCGTTTCCCATGGGTCTCGTCGGAATAGTAGCCCCAGAAATCCACCTCCCGATTCGCTCCAGAGACAGTGGCGAATCACGAACTGCGGAATTTTTGAATTGTCGAGACTCCTTCGTTTGAAAACTATAGGAAACCATGAAAGACAGAGCCCGAGAATGATCTGGCGCTGAACATGCAAGAATCCAGCATTGGCGAGTAGGGCAGAATAATCGTTTCCTTCTCGTGCTTCCGAACCTTCTAGGGCGGTTTTCGAAGCGGCAGGTGCGCTTAGGGTTTAAATTGGCTGGTCAGTGCCTCAGTAGTGGTGCCCGTCTCAACCGGGATCTTGAATGGAGACTTGCCCTGCTCCGTTGTCGGTGCGTTGCAAACTAGGCTTGTGGGTTTGGAAGAACTGGCCTGAAATCCGGTAGGACAGGGGCGGGTATCCGTGGCTTTGCTCCCTTGAATATTCTCAATGCTCCAAGTTTTCCATCGCCGAACTCTCAACGAGTCAACCCCGACTGGATTGCACCTTTCCTCCAGACCCTGATACTCGCTGCCGAGTATCTCTTTTCGAGACACTAATTCCTTCTGGGCGATCCTTTTCCAGTTACGTAACAGTGCGCCGACTGGGCTTGACGCTAAATCGACCAGCCTTGAATCCTTGACTGAGTGAGTGAACAAAGCCATCAAAGCCAAAGTGGCTAGCTCTCTATATCATAATCTGACACGGATGCATGCAATCTGTGAGCCTAGTACGGAAATAAAAATTCATGAGCGCTAGCATCCAAGGTTAGGGACTTTTCGCTTCTCATTTGTTACCTTGCTCGAGATCCATTCAAGCCAATATTAAATGCTTCAGCCACTGGGAGAGCTAAAGTAGCCTGTCGGCAGAAGAACCGACCTGAGCGCTAGGTTTGAAATGGCAAGAGAGACGGGCTGAGCAGTCGGAGAATAATAATCCCTTGAAGAGTATAATAATTAAAAGAGTTGCCCAGCCTTGACAGCCAACCTGTTCCGGAGACCGTTGACATTAGTAGTTTAAGGTTGACGTGGTGGTGGTGGGATAGATCATGAGCTTTGCAGATATCAGGCCACTTCCATCAAGTTGAATCTTTCGTATCGTTGTGACGGTAAGGATGCGGGGTACGCTGGCGTTGGAGAGGGGTTGGTCATCGTTGTCCGCGAACGTGACTACGAGATCTGACAATACAGGAATCCCACTGGCAGTAGTGGCAGCGTCCTTTCAAGGTTGGCTTTCAGGTCTCAACTCGCCCTCGCATCGAAACTTCCATCAGCTCCCTTTGATGCTTTCTTCCTCCTACTTAGCACCTGTGGTACAATCCCTGCCTCACCATGAGACCGCCTGTCCCGGAGGTCGCGACCCCGCGGTCTCGCAAGTCCTCCCTTGAGCAGCAGCAGTGGATCGATCCCCGCACTACTACGACTCCGTCGACCTTCTTTCTGGCCCGCAGTCAACGCTCCGATGGCTTTGAGGTCTCTCCGATCGAGTTTGAAAACACAAGGGATAGTATGTATGGCGTGCAGAGCCTCGATGAAACACTTCCCTCTGCTAGAAGTGCAGCTGCTTCCCAACCTGAGCTGGACCCCACCTCCGCCAGTAAGCCCGTTTCAATATCAGCTTCTCCAGTCCCACCGCAACAACAATGGAGCAACGATCAAGACAAGAATTGTCACTTGGAAGCGAGCAAGTCGATCTCCGGCGATATCAACCCAGCTTTCCCTTTATCTAACCTGACATCGCCTCGGCCTCTAACCCCGCTAAACCTTGTCAACGCTGACGATCCTTGCTCCCTCCCGAGCAGCCCAAAGTCCTTTACAAACCAATCTACAAGACATCTCGATGAAATATCAATCACAGATGAACTGGGTAGTCAAGCGATTGCTTCCAGCGAGGAAGATGAGGAGTTACACCCTACCTTCAGTCAGAATACCGACTCCATGTCGCAGCTTATCATGCCAAGTATCGCCATGCCCAGCCGGAGGCCTTTCACGGATAAAGGACGAGCCTTTGGACGACTGAAACTTTTGTTTGCTGGTGCACCTAGTGAGTTTTTAGTTTTCATGTTGTCACCAGTTGTTGACTATAATGACAGGCTCCGGCAAAACATCCCTCATCAAATCAATCGTCCAGATTTGTGAAGACATTGTCCATGTTGACCCGTTTGACGAACCAACACATTCCCTGTCACCCTCTCATTCCGCGCGATCACCCCGCACCAAATCTGACAACTATGCACTCGTTTCGGAAATATATGCCAGCTCCAAGCCCTATCCGACATGGTGGTCAGACCTAGAAGACTCGCGCGTTCTCCGACGGCGGAAAAGCATGGGAGACGTCGTCCTTGAGCGTAACATATGCTTTGTCGATACTCCCGGAAGCCGGTCAAGGGATACAGGGCAGCTTGACGCGGTCATTCAATACATGAACCAACAACTCTTTCGTGCGACTGCCGCTGCTGATTGTTCCAATGCCGATTTTCAGAATATGATGGCAGGTAATGGGGGATCCCAGGTAGATGCCATTCTATATTTCATTTCGCATGGTATGTCGTCTACTTATAATAGGTATGAGCGAGCTAACAGGGTTAGATACGCTTTCTTGTGACATGGAAGGCATCCGCAAACTGAGTAGTTGGACAAACGTAATTCCTGTGATTTCCAAATCCGACCTCCTGGCACAGGATCAAATCTCGGGCCTCAAATTTGCTTTTAGGGAAAAAGCACAGGCAGTTTCCCTGAAACCTTTTCACCTTTTTGGGGCAGATTTCGCCCCATTCGCAATATCATCGGCCAAGTCGAATGATGATTCCATCATGGACGCCAGTACGCTGATGAGCCCGGACTATATACAGCCTCTAGTTGCCTCGGAGCTCGCATCATTGGTAGAGCGCTTATTCGATCGCGAGAATATGGCCTGGATTCGTCACTCGGCTGCCAAAAAATTAGCACAGCGGCAGAGGGATTTGCTCGCGCGACGGCAGAATCTCTCACAGCTGTCCTTCTCTTCCAGTCCCTATGGCAACGCCCAAAGCTACACATTGGCACGGATATCAGATTACTCACGGCAGGAAGAGAAGCGAGCTCAGATCCAATTGGCCAAATGGGCGTCGGACTTAAATCAAAGCCTTCAGAATGAACGAGAGCGATACGCATCGTTGGCAAGAGGAGAGCGAGCCATCTGGCTAACAGAACGACTAGGAGAATGCGTCGTTGACGGTTCTCTTGTCCCCATGACCCAAACCCCAGGTTTCTGCGGATTTCGTGGGCCATCCGGCAAGGCAAATAATGGCGGTGTTCTCGTTCGAACCCAAAACGGTCAGAGCGTTGAATATCGCATTGCGAGCATCAGTCCTCTTGACCCGCTTGGGGTTGTCCGGTGGTCAGATGATCTCAAACAACGAGGCTGGGCCATTGTGCAGATTGTGGGCAGCTTTGGCGTCGTCGGAGGGCTGGCCCTTGTACTTGCGAAAACTTGGGGCTTGTCCTCACGAAGTTTTTCGGAATGGCGCTTTGATTGGTATTGTTCCAGTGATTAGAGGATCACCGGACCATAATGCATATAGATGAGTCTATCAACCATTTCACGAGACCGCGGGGTTGCGATCTCGGGGACGTGATCTCGGGGACAGGCGGCTCAGACGCAAACTCTCAATCTCTTCCTTTATCCATCTGCTGGGCTGCATCTTTTGTCAACACTACACACACAATATGCATGCATTCACAGGGCCGTCAATTCATACCCAGGCGTTATCAAGTTTTCTTGCCCTGTTCTCGTCTCCTTCTGTACACTCGTTTTCTTCACCTCTCAACGTGCGTCTCCTCTGCTACCCCATATGTGTCTTATCTATATGTGTCATTTCTTCGGGAGGATACGGCGAAATGGAATCATCTTTTTACCAGGAGTTTGGGGTTAGCTACAGGTTCTCTAATCTTCATATCGAAGCTTCTTCACCTTGGTTTGTTCAACTACACCAGACCTTTGATTGTGAATCATAACCAAAAGTAGAGCTCTCCACTGCTTTATAGGGATGTGATTTCTCCTTGGACGGCTATGAGTGTACGGAATAGAGAAGATGTGTTTCGATTGGACTCCCGACAGGGGGGGAATCCACCCTTACTATAGTTATGCTTGGAGAACAAATGAAGCAGACCGTATTGTATTTGGTTTAATAAATAGAAACGCTCAAAACGCCATTAGATTGACATCGTCGTTGGTAACATAAAAGACACCATCTGCTGCCATTCCATCAATTAAAGAAATAGACCGAAGCAGTTCGGAGAATCGTAACAAAAATCTGTTAAAATTTTTTTCCACCTTTCCATCAGTTGATCTAGTCAACCTCCTCCATGGCGCTCTCACCGGCTGTAGCGGCGGCGGGAGTCTCCTCGGTGGAGGCCTCGGCAACCTCGGCCTCCTCGTCGATGTTCAAACCGAGAGAGACGAGCTTGTGGATGCGCTCAGCGAAGCTGGCGGGCTCATCAATGGTGAAGCCGGAGACGAGCAGAGAGGTCTCGTAGAGGAGCTGGGTGATGGACTTGACGGTGCGGTCGCTCTCGCCATCAGCCTCAACCTTCTTCTTGAGCTCCTGGATGATGGGAGACTTGGGAGAGATCTCAAAGGTCTTCTTGGAGGACATGTAAGAGCTCATGGAGGTGTCACGGAGGGCCTGGGCCTTCATGATACGCTCCATGTTGGCGGACCAACCGAACTGGCCGGTACGGATGGCGCAAGGAGAGCCGATGAGCTTGTGGGAGACAACAACCTTTTCAACCTTGTCGCCGAGAATGTTCTTGAGGCTCTTGGCAAGGCCCTCGTACTCCTTCTCCTCCTTTTCGCGCTCAGCCTTTTCCTCCTCGGTCTCCTCGAGCTCAAAGTCCTTGGTGATATCGACGAGCTTCTTGCCGTCAAACTCCTTGAGCTGAGTGAAAGCGTACTCGTCAATGGGGTCAACAAGGAAGAGAACCTCAAAGTCCTTTTGCTTGAGACTGTCAAGGAAGGGAGACTTGGCGACGGCCTTGATGGACTCGCCGGTGATGTAGTAGATTTGCTTCTGGTGCTCCTTCATGCGGGTGACGTAGTCGCTAAGGGAAGTGGTCTCGTCACCAGACTTGGTGGACTGGTAGCGGAGGAGCTTGGCGAGGGTGTTGCGGTTCTGGGCATCCTCGTGGATACCAAGCTTGATGTTCTTGCTGAAAGCGCTGTAGAACTTGTCAAACTGCTCACGGTCCTCGGCAATCTCAGTGAAGAGCTCAAGGGTCTTCTTGACGATATTCTTCTTGATGACCTTCATGATCTTGTTCTGCTGGAGAGTCTCACGAGACAGGTTGAGAGGAAGGTCCTCAGAGTCGACAACACCCTTGATGAAGCTGAGCCACTCGGGAATGAGGTCGGTGGCATCATCAGTGATGAAGACCCGGCGAACGTAGAGCTTGATGTTGTTCTTGGTCTTTTTGGTCTCGAAAAGGTCAAAGGGAGCACGCTTGGGCACATAGAGGATGGCACGGAATTCGAGCTGGCCCTCGACGGAGAAGTGCTTGACAGCAAGATGGTCTTCCCAGTCGTTAGAGAGGGACTTGTAGAAAGCGGCATACTCCTCTTCGGTGATGTCGGCGGGGTTGCGTGTCCAGATGGGCTTGGTCTTGTTGAGCTCTTCCTCTTCAATCTTGGTCTCCTTGATCGTCTTGGTCTTCTTCTTCTTTTCTTCCTCCTCATCGTCAACCTCCTCAATCTTGGGCTTCTTCTCATCGCCTTCCTCCTCCTCCTTGCTCTCAGCCTCCTCATCGGGAACCTCCTTCTCAACCTCCTTTACGACGTGGAGGTAGATGGGGTAGGAGATGAACTCGGAGTGCTTGCGGACAACCTCCTTGATGCGGCTCTCCTGAAGGTATTCGGTCTGCTCATCCTTGAGGTGGAAGATCATCTTGGTACCACGGCCAAGCGGCTCACCCTCGGTGTCTTGGGTGAGAGTAAAGGTACCGCCGGCGGCGGACTCCCAGATGTACTGCTCGTCATCATTGTGCTTCGAGATAACGGTGACGCGGTCAGCAACGAGGTAGGCAGAGTAGAAACCGACACCGAACTGGCCAATCATGGAAATATCAGCACCAGCGGAGAGAGCCTCCATGAACTGCTTGGTGCCGGAGCGGGCAATGGTACCCAAGTTGTTAATGAGGTCCTACATGAGTCAATACCAAGTTTTGAATGTAGGATGTAGGTTGCGGTTACTTACAGCCTTGGTCATACCGATACCGGTATCACGGATGGTGAGAGTCTGGTTTTCCTTGTCGGGAATAATGTCGATGCGGAGGTCCTTGCCCGTGTCGAGCTTGGAGGGGTCGGACAGAGACTCATAGCGGATCTTGTCAAGGGCATCGGAGGAGTTGGAGATGATTTCTCGCAGGAAGATCTCCTTGTTGGAGTAGACGGTGTTGATGATGAGGGAGAGGAGCTGAGAGATCTCAGCCTGGAACTCAAAGGTCTCAGACATTGTGGCGGGTTGTGTTCTGCAAAGATGGCTGTTAGTCGACTATAGGAAGACAATTGAGCGGTTCAAGAGGTTCAACGGGCGACGAAAGAAGCTCCGCGACACAAGTGGGAGCTGAAACTTTGAGCAAAGGAGTGACTTACAGGACGAGAGGGGAGCGGTGAGGGGCGGAGTCGGGCAAGATAGCGGGGCACACAGCTGGGAGATTGATGGAGGAAAAGAGGAATATGTGAGAGAGGGAGGAGAGTAAGTATTTAAGCACAGGGAGGATTGAAAGAAAGAAGGAAGATGGATGAAGGAAAGAAAAAAACGAGGTGCAGCGGGAGACTTAATGTTTCTCTGGGCCTGGAGGGACACACAAAACTAGACTTTCTACGATGATCCAGCAACTTCCACAGCTTCTCCGCCTCTTCACCTGGACAACTTCCAGCGCCTTCCACCTTTGATTTCAGCCTCGCCCGCAGTGTCTGCCAGTCAGACTTGTGCGCTTCGCCTCACTTTGACTAGTACAATCTCGCATTAATCCATCAGCCTCTCAATTGCTCGAGAACTGAACCTCTCACTCGGCTGTTGCCTTTTGCTCCCGCTTGACTGGAGAAATTGCTAAAGTGATTTATTTGCCTCGTTGCTCAGGCTTTCCCGAGTCTCCGTAATCTAGAACGTTCCGCTCCACCATATGCCGGCGGGACCAATCACTTTTCATTTTCTTGTGTATCGTACTGTAACAACCGTAGATTTGCTGCAGCTACCATTAAACACTGCCGCCAGGTCTTTTGACTGGCCCCTCTCAGCGACAGATCCTGCAGAAAGAACAATGAAAAGGGCTAGGCTGGACCACTGGATGGCCTCTGCGGAGGCGAAATCTTGAGGCTCCCGAGTCAGCCTGTCAGCCTTCAGAGAAGGCAGGCAGCCAGGGCAGGAGGCTGAGGGGTGCGCGCGGAGATGGCTGGGGACCTTGAGGTTCAACTTGGAAGTTTCTCTGTCTTGGGTTTGCTCTTCAGCTGGGATTGACTCTTGTCTGAAATCAAATTATAGAGATCCAAAATCTGCGAATAGTTCTTACTTATTTCTTTGCATTGAGATTCATCTTTGTTTTCCTTGCAGTATGGGCGCCACTAATGGCAAGCTCTTAGGCTTGGATGTTCATAAGAACGAACGCCTTGGCCTTGAGCGAGATGATACATTAGCTATAAAAGAAAAACACCGCCATCTAGATACCGTCCTCGAAAAGAAAACAAGGGGGATATAGTAGATGGGAAATGGGATGGCAGGAAAATAAAATGTAACAATACGGGCGTTGAGCTCGCTATGCTAAGGAAGAAATGTCAAAACAAAAACGTCATGAATTGCCGGCCAAATGAAAACCTCAGCCTGAAATGGAAATGAGTATTGAGACTTTTCCAACCGCTAATATGCATTGTGACAGGGGGAATAGAGGTCACATAACACATGTCATTATCAGTAAATGGGGAGTAATACAGGACCTGGCTCATAGAAGCATTTATTTAACCGCTGTGAACCAGGGCGAAGGGTTATGTAGAAGGCGTCAGAGAATCGGAGAACACTTTAAGCGGCCTGGGCCTGGTTGCGTCCCTTGGGATTGACATTGCCGCCACGACCGCGGGGAGCAAAGTTTCCACGCCCGTCACGCGGGAAGCCGCCCCGGCCCTGGCTGCCGGCACGATCACCACGGCCACGGCCTGCACCACCACCGCGGCCGGTGATTCCACCGTAAGCGTTACCGCGGGTGCGGCGCTCTTCAACATTGACTTGTTCGGTGCCAATCTGGTGAGGGTTTGCAGCGACGGCGGCATTGTAAGCAGCGGCATCACTAAATTCAACAAAAGCGCAATTCTAAGCAGGGTTAGTGAATTTCGGACCAGGACAAACTGTATATTTTGGGAAATACCTTTTGGCGGCTCACGTCAAAGTGTTTGAGCTTGCCGAACCGCGAGAGGGTTTGCCTGAGCAAGTTCGCATCGACCTTGTCAGTGACATTCTTGATGTAACCGAGCACATTTTGGTCTTCCGCGGAGCGAGCCTGCGACTTTTTGTGGTCATGTCCTGCAGTTTGCCAGCCGGAGCCGTCGTTGGAAGATGGCTGGCTAGGGACACTCTCGGCAACAGGAGCTGGGGTTGGGGTGGCAGGGGTGGCAGCCGGAGCGGGCGCCGCCGGCTGAACTTCCTTTTGGACCGCGGGCGTGGTAGGAGCGGGCTTCACAGAAGCAGCAGGGATGGCCGGAACAACGGGAGCTGCGGCACCGATTTTGGAAGCAATGTTTGCCCATGTCTTGGGAATAGCAGCCTTGGCTGCGGGAGCTGCTTCCGGCTGGACTTCCTTTTGTGCAGTGGGGACAGGAGTGGGCTTGGGGCTTGCGGGTTCCTCGGGCTTCTGGACTTCCGTCTCAGCGTCGGCGGCAGCAGGCTCTGTAGCTCCAGGGGCGGCTTCGGGGGTAGCTGCAGGGTGCTCGGCTCCGTTGGTCTGAGGAGCGGGCTCCTCTTCTACCTTGGTAGCAACCTCCTCAAGCTTCTCGTCCACCTTCTCAACGGCTGGCTCCTCGGCAGGAGCTTGGACAGCGGCGGCTTCAACCTCTGGCTGAGAAGGTGCCTCGACCTCGGGCTGCTCCTCGGCAGAAGCTTCGACAGCGGCATCTTCAGCAATCTCCTCGTCATCGACGAGATATCTAAAAACGTCGTTGAGGACATAGTAACCATTCGGTTGCTCAGCCAGAACAAATGTCTGCACAAACTTGCGAGATGGCTCCTGCTTGTTCGAAATCTCGCCAATAACCGAGACGAGGATATTGTCAAACGAAGCCTGGGAATCCACGTTCAAGACGCGTACTTTACAGTCTTGAAAGTCCAGCTGCTTGATCTTTTCTTGGATGGCCTGGACAAGTTAGTGGCGAACAAAACGTAGAGCAAACTCGACACACCTTTTGGCCGACTGTAACCGTGACCGATTCAGCTTCGGTTCCGAATACCAGCTGCGAGCGTCGAGAATAAAAGAGGTGTAGCTTGTCCGGGCTACGGCTCATGTTGGTATAGTACTGTTCGACAAAATACCAACCTACCTCATCTTTGGCGATACCATTCTTCTGTTCGTTGGATGGGGCATTGGAGGGCGTGGAAGACTGTGCCGGCTGGAAGTTGGAGACGCTGTTGACAGCAGTGTGGGCGTGGTTGAATGATTCATGGTAAGAAGGCTGTGCGTGGTAAGTGCCGTTGATGGGAATCTGAGCGGAGTCGGCCATTGCGTCGTAAAATGTAACTTTTCGGACACTCGGATCGGATAGAGAGTCTAACACGGCGGATATTGCTGTATATGCGCAATCAAAGATCTCTATTCAGCGCGCAAGAAATAATTAATTAACGAAAGGCGACTTTATCACTCGACTAACAGCACCAATGGTTAGCATATATGCATCGTTTCGAAGAGCGGCCGCCGAAGCAGAGTAGAAAGAAGGAACGCAAACGACTCGGGCTACCCACAATTCAAGTATGTGATAACTATTCTTGGAAAGAATAAAGCGAGCCCGTAGATGAGAACACTTGAATTCAAGTGACGAAAGTATATTGCGTCTGAAGTGGTTGTATCGAGGTGGTTAGAGGTGGGAGGTGAAGTTTCTTGTGTTGAAATAGGAAGCCGGGAGGCAAACAGACAAGACAAAGTAGGGAAAAAAAAAAATCAAAGCTTGATACAGAAAGACAAGTGGGTAGAACGGTCCTTTACAACTGTAGAAGGGTAGATGAAGGGAATTGAGTGTGGGAGGGGAGAAGTGAAGAGCAATGGTCTCAAGGACTGGGAATTGGTCAAATTGCAGCAAGAGATGCGAGGATCCCCAATTGTGGTGGTGATTGTGACGGGTTCCCAGTGTGGCACTCCCACCGCCTTCCGTCTTTTCAACCTTTCTGCCCACATTATATCATTCGAATTGGTTGGAATGACTACCCAGGTACTTGCACCACTGGAGATTTACTAATCAGGGAAGTAATGTTCCAAAAATCATTCAATGGCTTGAGTATAGATCATTGTTCAGGGCAAGGACATGCACTTTAAGCATGGGAGGGAATCTATGCAGCAGCGAAGAAAAATAAGAAACAAGAAAGAAACCGACAATGGTCCAGAGCACGAAACAGACAGCAAAACTCATAAACATCAAGGGGAAATAAATGGTCGACAGTCAACTTGGGAAGGGGTATGAGAGACATGAAAGCGCAAAGTTCTCATCAGTGACAGGCATCAAAATTCATCCACGATATCCACAGCAAGAAGAAATGACTAGGAAAAAAAGAAAGGCAGTATTTAAAACATCAGGGTAAAAGGACAATAAAAGGCCTCCCATAGACTCATATATGAGAGAAGGCAGGGGTGAACGAGTGGACATCATGATGCTTATGCTTGGGGCTCGACAACTGTCTTCTCGCTTAGAGCAGGCTTCTTCCGCATGACAGCATCCTGGCTGGTCATCCTTCGTCCGAGAGCGCGCTCGACTTTGGCGCCCAGCGCGAGTTTGCTCAAGTTATCAGTCTTTTCGGCGCTGGGTACGAATCGTTGTTTCTGGAGAGGCTTGTTCTCCAGGCGTTCCAATCCATCACGCAAGTTGTGAAATTCAGCGAGTCTGGGGTCGCCGCTAGGCAGGGTACGTTCAGATGATGCGACGGAGGGGCTCCCACTGATGGTGGAGAATCTCTTTGATGCACGGTTCTATATTGCGTCAGACAGTGTTATACCAGTCATGCTGCAGCCGAGGTAGACTTACAGATTGTGCCATTATGGGCCGCTCGGAGTCAAGGGAGGTGTGTCTTGCCATGATTTTTGTATCAGGTTGAATACAATGCACTGAGTCGCGTCCTTTTGTATAGAATATTTTATCAGTGATGTGTAGTACTTCAGAAAAGACAGCAGAACATTAATAGAGGTGGGGAATGTAGGGAAAAGAACAGGAGGTTCACTGGTCAGTGAGAAATCTTCAAAAAAAAAAGGAGTCAAGCCTGAAGGATCCCTGATTCCCCAGGTACGGATGATAACTTGGGTTTAGCGGAATAGAAAAGGCTAACTGGACGTACCTTGGAAAACCCCAAAGTACGAAGAACTAGTAAACGGCAGATCCCAGAGCAAGCTGTTGGAGAATAAAAGTAATGGCCAGAATCAAAGAGAATGGTGTCTGGCAAACGATGTGACATGCAGCTGAGATGATTGGATTCAGGAGAGGCGAATGGGAGTGGGTCGCGATTTTATGGCGGTTGGGTTGGGCGTTTGCTCCTCCCAAGGGCTACGGTAGGTTGTCTCCGGGGAATTTGAGTTCTTAAGAGTCAAACTCATGTTAGAGAATCAGTTCTAAATATGCTTCGGGCGAGAGACAAAGTGGGTGCTTGCATCATACCACCAGAATCCGCTGTCCTGACCCTCATCCGCTGGCGATGAAGTCAGCGCAACAACCTACGTATGTAGTCGCCTATGTACGGAGTACTCCGTAGGCGGCCTCACTCGGGGGGTTCAACTCTGGACTTGTAGGCTCTGCTACTACCCATACAAAAAATCGATAGCATCTAGAGGCTTGCGCAGCCCGTCGATAATCGACTTTGCTCGGACTCATCAGCTGCCACGTGTCGGAGACAAATCAAAGAGAGCTCCGTCTGGTCCCGACAGCCAAAAGCCACGCGAGTTGATCCTTGTCGCAGTGCCCAGCTTGCGAACCCTGTACGCAGCCTCCTTTCTTCCTTGCCTCGTCCCCCTCTCGTGGCAAACATTCCAGTCCGTCCTGCATTGACTTCATAATGATAACAATGTTCCGGACCCGCGATAATCGGCTGATTGCTGACCTTTGATAGTTCTCATCGCTGTTTTGTGACCGAGATTCCATCTTCCACTTACTATAGTCCTTGTCGGGTTTTAATCCACTTTGGTCAGACCAAACTCTGCAACTTTCCAATGGCCAAGGGCACCCAGCAGCCAGTAAGGATTTACTTCCAACATTAATCACTGTTGACACATTAAACTATTACTCGGCTAATGCAGCTCAAAGCTCGGCCAACATCCTTCAATATTCAAGAACTAAGCTTAGCGCGGTGTCTAATTCATTCTCAGGACTCAAGAGGTCGACGTCGCTTCCCACTTCTTGGCTTTCACACTTCCCTGCTCTGTGATAGGGCCACACTGCTTTCTCAAAGAACTACTGATCCGAACTATGCCACTACGCAGTATTCCACTGCAACTTCGGCACTCATTTTCAGGGCCTTGCTCTCTCCGGGTCGTAGTCGTCAACTCGCTCAAGACCCATACAATCGATGTAGGGTAATGCACCTCTACTTTCTAGGTCCATTCACTACAGACAATGGTGGGAATGGTTCGCACTTGTTCGACATCTTCGGTCCTATTTTACATCACGAGCTGGCTATGTGGTATCATATCCCAGTCAGGATACCGAGTGCTACCTACGTCTATCCGCAATCGTCACCAGGTGAGCCGGAGTCTTTGGAAAGATATCAGATCTCACTGTGACGATTCATGACACCAGATATAATTCGACCTTTCTGCAGGCCTGGGACTACACAATTTACACCCTTACCAGGTGATGAATAGAATCATCCTGTGATGCGCCTAGTAGCGACAGGTCTATAGGGGCCAATCACTAAGACTAGATTGGGACTTACTTTACCATGTAGTATACTCACTAGCATATTTTGAACTCCCTTTGATTCTGGTTATGATGGGATAGTATTCTATTGGTAGAGCACTTTTGAAGTGTCATATATATCAACCGCAAATGTTGGCGTAGAACCACAACTCAGCCACACGTCCATAAAGAGCACAAGCACGTACATTAAAGCTCCACCGTAGTAGTCTGAATTGATAACACAATGGATATAGGATCGAGAATAGTAAAAGCATCGAGTTTCACAGCCTCAGAACAATAGGGAGGCGCTTTGACTATTTAGTAGATACGCGATCAGGTCCATACACCGATTCAGGGCACACTTCTCCCCTCCCCCGTAAACCAATCAAACAGATAGTCAGCCTATATAGTAATGGACTATACGTCGTATTTCAGACATAGGCCAAGTTTTTCAGTCCGTAACCTATCTACTATACTATATACTCCATACACCCCGCACCCCACTAGAGCGGCGCCCCAAGCGGTATAGTAATTTACTGGCAATATACAGTAATTGTCGTTGGTGGGGGTTATACGTACGCAAAAATATGCAAAACGTCAAGCGTGTCTTTTCATTATTATCTCATTTTCTACACAACATACTGGTATATACGTGCTTCATATACTAGCCTTGAAGGAATCCATCCAAGAAAACTAATCTTGCTCCGAGGATGCCAAAGCACAAGTCATTCCTCAAGGAGACAAAGTCGAAGAAGAAGGCGGTGCAGCAGCAGGTATGTAGCGCTGCCTATGTTCCCCCTACTTGTTGAACCTAGGAGTCCTCGTCTCTTTAGTAAAAGAGCGTGTTTTGACGAGCTTTCATCATATAGGCACCGAGAACCGCAGATGAATTCCTAGCTGGTAAGCACCTAAGTTTCCCCGCGACGACTGTGTGCTGATCGGACCAGTCGGTGTCGAACAGGAAGAAGCCGGAGAGAAATGGCGCGCCGGTGATGCAGCCAAGTCACTACGATTCTTTATGCGCGCCATTACTACCTACGATGAGGGACTCCAGAGACATCCAAATGCATTCGACTTGGCATATAATAAGTATGTTGTGCTCGGCATAGACTCTGGATTTTATGGATTGTACATCGGGGTTGCTAACTAGATGTGTAGAGCAAGAGTCCAATATGAGATTACGCAGCATCCGAGGTTAGCTGCCCAGCTATCGGCCCCGCTGGGGGAGATGCTGCGGGTAGCACTGCAATCACATCGGGAGGCGCTGCAGCTCGAGCAAGATAACGCAGATGCTATTTTCAATACAGCGCAGGTCCTCACAAGTCTCGCGGAGCTGGTCACCGATACGAAGCGTCCAGTGGAGGAGCAACTCAACCAAGCAGTCGGATTCCTGCAAGAGGCAATCGAGCTCTTTCAACGGTGTCTGGTCCTCCAGGAGTTGCAATATACCGAGATGCAGGAGGAGATTCGGCAGATGCAGTCCGTTGCGCAAAAGCAAAAGCAGGATGTGCAGGAGCCCCAGGAAGCTGGTGAGAGCAAGGAGTCAGCGGAGCAGGAGCAATGGGCCGCTGTTGTCGAACCTGTAACAAAGGATACGCTCGTGGACACTGCTGTCGCGCAGCTGGATGCACTCTCCACACTTTGCAATCTCCTCACGTATGACCCAGGCGTAGGATTGAACTGGGTAGAGGAGTATTCGACCGAGTTGCTTCAGGAAAAGATCACCGCCTATGTCCAGGGCTCGAACCGACTCTATGAGGCGGCTCTGGCCCGAGCAAAGTTCAATTCCGCTCTCAACGAGGTTCTTTATCGAAGCGGTCGAACGGACGTTGAAACATATTATGGTGCCGTGCTGAGTTCATTCGGACCGGACTTGGATATTTCCTCAGATCCAGAAGGCCTGTGCAGCAAAGCTGATGCACTCGTATCATTCAACACAGCCACGACAGAGCAACCGGGAGATCCTTTGAGGGCAGACCTCAAGTGGCAGGCGCTTTCCACCGCTGTGGATGCTCTGAATAAGGCATCCAAACTTCCCGATGCTGAAAACCTGCCCAAGATTCACCTGGCAAGAGGCGACGTCGAGATGAGCAGATGGAGGCTTGGTTTTACGCCGTGGGAGTATACCATGGCGCAGCAAAATGGCGCGATCCTGCTGCGAAATGCTCAGACGTATTATCGTGGTGCGGCAGCTTTGGCTCGGAGAGACGGAGGTGCCGACGAAGAGCGAGACGGAACATGCAAGGAGGCAATCGCAGCCGCCATTGAAGGCCAAAAGGAAAAGCTTTCTCAGCTCAAGAGCGCAGCACCAAAGGAACTGATGGTTGTCGCCGAGGATGTGGTGGAGGACGGATGGGTCAGCGGGCCTGACATGGAGACCTTGTTGCTTTGATATCAAAGCGATCCACTCTCGTAGTATCAAATATCCTCCCTCGCCTTGACCTCCTCGTCCATCTGCAAAGCCTCCTTGCGGAGGTTATTTTCGCACCCGTATTGCGTGGCTGCCGCAGCGGCGCCCTCGACATCTCTCACAACTGCTTCTAAACCAGCCAACAACCGCTCAATCTCAGCCCTCTGAGCCTGGACCTTTTGCGCCAATTCCACATTCTGCGTCTCTGTAGCCTCTATCTTCCCATCTAAAACCGCCTTTGTCTTTTCGAGCTGCGGCGTCAAATGTGCCCTGAACAGCTCGCCTGGGGGCAATGTATGCGGCCTGCTGACGGTTAATTCTGACAAATTGGAAAGCCAGTCGCACATGGATAAAAGGTAGGATCAACATACGGAACACGCTCCTCCCCCTCGGCTTCTACCCCCTCCATCGCATCCCTCTCCGTGCCATTTCTCGCCTGTTCCCTCCTCGCCCTAGCCTCCCCAACCAACCGATCCAACTCATTCAGCTGCCTCACCGCATCCCTCTCGTTCAAAATATCTTCAAACTCTGCCTTGGCGCTCTCCTCTAGCTTCGCATTCAACTGGCGCCATACGCTTTCTAGACTGGCAGGGACATGTTTCGCAGGCGTCGGGAAGCACGCCGCAAAGTTCGCGTACGAGTTTGCGCGCAGTGTGCGGGCGAGTGCCTGGGCGTAGATGTCTTGTAGTCGCGTAACTCGGGGACCAGGGGTCTGGGCGATGGGTGGTTGGGGCGGTGGGGAGGGGGATGCCGCGTCGTGCGGTGGTTCGGCAGACATTGCTGGGACTGGCGACTGTGTTGGTGGTGGTATTTATTGAGTTGCACGTCGTGAGAGTTTCGTATAGGTTTGTGGTGATGAGTTATGAATTGTATCAAGATCGAGAAGAGGAATGGATCGCGGCGCGCGCTGCTCAGTTTAGGATATGCGTTGGTCACGTGATTCCATATTGAGAGAAGTATGCAGCAAAATGAGCGTTATAGGAGGTGAATAACAAATATTATGTTTATTATTTATTTTTTGTCAAGATATCATTATTTTTGTACAAGTGGATGCAGACCGACTAAGCAGTCAGCCGCCGAGTGCTTTCATGACCGCTCGACGGACGCCGGTGACCAGCACCAGCATGAGCACGCCCAAAAGGACATTTCCTGAAGTTCTTGTATGCTGTCTTGACAGAGCGCCATGAGATAGACAAGTATATGAGGCTGTTCCAGAACCCCTGCAGTGGAAGGACAAAGCTCGAAGCGTAATTCAGGCCAAAGTTGAGCTTGTCCGGGTGGGCGAGGGCATAGACACGGTTTATTGTTGAGGGGACCTATTCCATAGGTTAGTACTTTCTGTTGAGATGACAAGACTGCAAAGGACATACCCAGGTGACGAGCAGCGCTACGAAAAAGAGCATTGCATACTTTGTATAGGCCCAGGTTGCCCCGTTTACCTCGGATGCTGTTCGGGAATTGCTCCAGTATTGGTCCGACTCTTGCTCTGCGTATTCTTCCAGAATATCGTCACAGCGCATTGGCTCTAACTGGACCTGGCTCGGTGGTGTGATGCCTGCCTGTACATTGACAGAGTAAGGACGATGCGCTGGTATAAAGTTTGGGCTTTCCTCGATTGAGAGGCCGGGTGAGTCCAATTGATACGGTACTGCCTCCTCTCTCGTAATTCGAATCTCTGTAACTTTCGAGAACGGGGGATCATGGGGGATGGAAACGTCGATTGTTGCGTCGAGTGCACCCACTTCCTTGAGCTGTCGTCTCCGTCGCCAGACGAGGTTGCCTATGCGTGTATATATCGCCAGAGTCATAAAAATGACAAACCAAACCGGGCCGTAGAAGACGGCGATACGAAGAAAGTCCCAGTCCGGAGCAACCCAGCACCAAAGCTGAAAGAGTAAGAATATGATCAGAGAGTATCGGACAGTGATATACGTACTATAGCCGAGCCGTACACTTTCCCTCGAGATTGGCTTCTTACGAAGAAGTATATAAACGCAGGTATAAAAGGTAGGCCATAGCATAGTGTGACGTACTTCCACTCCAAGCGCCGCAGCTGTTCTGAGCTGTATTTGCGGAAAAAGGTGAGATAGACATTGAATGCCATGGCAAACGTCCATAGAGCGTCGGCGGGCATAAACCTATAAATGTCAGATCTTGATTCAATGATGTCTAGTATGCTTCCGACTTACCATTGTATTAGAAAGGCCTGAATCTGACACAGATTACTGTTGGTTCCGGCCGCGATACCAGATTGCGAGATTAGAGTAGCCACATTGGCCATGATATTGCCAAAGGACGCATAAAACACCAGTCGATTGATGGGTTTGCGAAAGGATCGTGACGATAGAAAGGAAAGAATGATAATACTAGTCGCAATCAAGGACACAGTAGAGCAGGTGCGCTCCGTGGCCGAAATGGCAGCGAGTTGGCCTGCCGACAGCGACATGGCGACATGACTCGCGAAGCGAGCAAGCCGAAGGCGCAGGGAGCGAGCGAGCTACTAATTAGTAGTGTCGATGTTTTACATCTCGAGCGCAGACGGAAAGGGCAAAAAAAGGAGTCAGGTCAGAGGATCACGAAGTAGAGAAAAACTTGCAGCCAAAAGGTGAGAAGAGGGAACAGTTGATCTAGGGTGAGCTGTGAGCTACTGGCGCATATGCAGGAGGAATTCATCGGGTCAATACATCAGATTACCATATTATTATGGATTCTAATTACGAGTCCCGTTTGCGACTCGGACTTGCTCTGGTTCGAATCAAGAGGCCTGGCTGGTTTCAAGCATGCAGCGTTGGACAAGACTAGGCCAATCCCAGCAAACAGTAGGGAGGCCCGAGACTCCTTCACCCATGGGACCGACGACCCAGTGTCCACTGTCCGCGATCTCGGGCTCGCGGAATGCGGGGGATCGCATGATGGAGAACAAGCGGTCAGCTTTACTTGAAAAAGAGAGAGCTGCTGCTTTCTGTGACCTGTGGCCACTGGCACCTCTAACCAGAGTACCGTTCCCATACAGTCAGATGAACAAAGAAGGAATAAAACAATCATCCCGTGGCCCGACGGACAAGGCCATGCTGAAGAAAAAAAAGTTCCCAAAAGCGAGCCGGAGTACGGAGAAAGAAAGTGACGGATCAGTTGGAGCGAATCGCCACAGGAGGAATGTTTGTTGAGCTGCTCACTCGGCCTTGGAGAGGAAGGATTCGCTTCCCGGTGCTTCAAACGGAGTAAGCTCCTGGTCATGTGCCAATCTGGCACTCGAGTCTGGCCAATGATGGCGGGAATTGCCGGACAAATCACTTGTCCAACGGGACGCATTTTTGGGAATGTCGGTTCCCATTCAGTAGATACTAGTTGTCGTGACCTCCAAGAGCATGGACTGTTTGATGCCCCATGCAAGCTGCAAGGTGCATCGTTAGTGTCATTAGATCATCCCCATTACCCGCTAGATCAAGATGCACCCATGGCGATCATTGATCCTGGGCGAGACTTTCACATTTTTTTGACTGGGTTACTTTACTCTTGTCTTGTGCGTCTGGAATCATACTTCATTACCCGCCATGTACCTAACGCCGTGCTTTCCATATCTAAAACTAGGCCTTTCGTCATGTCTGAAGTGCAACGTAAACAAAAGAATAAAACTTAGTATGTCTGCTGCGGCGGCATCATTCCTCCATAGCTTCCAGCCATTTGCTGTTGCTGTTGCTGTTGCTGTTGCTGCTGTAGTTGTGCCTGTAACTGAGGGAGATCATGGAACCATGGGTGCTGAAGAGCATCGTGAGCGCTGATACGCATCTCGGGCCGTAGTTGAAGCATTCTGTTCAGCAAGTCGAGGCCAAGCGGGTCGATTTGGGGAAGAATGATGCCGAGATCCTGGGTTGCGTATACATGGAAATTGGCCCTGTACTCTGGAAGCTGGGAGATGCCCGGCCATGAGCGCTCAGAGGGCGTCCCCATCAGGCGGAAGATTTTCTGCAGCTGGTCTTCGTTGGTTGTCCCTGGGAATAATGGCCGGCCGGTGTATAGCTCTGCCATGATGCAGCCTGCCGACCAAATATCGATGCTGGTATTGTATGTTCTGCTCCCGAGGAGAACGTCCGGAGCCCGATACCACAGAGTGACGACTTCGTTTGAAAATGTGTTGACAGGAATACCAAAGGCGCGCGCAAGCCCAAAATCTCCCAGTTTCAACTGCCCCTTCTTATTGATCAACAAGTTCTGCGGCTTCAAATCGCGATGCAGCACTCGGTTCTCGTGGCAAAACGCAATGCCATTCATCAGTTGGTGCATAAACGACTTGATGGTCGCCTGGTCTAGTTGTCCCCGGTCACCTCGAGTGTCCATATACTTTTTTAAATCTTTGTCCATGTATTCGAATACAAGCATGAGCTTGTTTTCTGTGTGAATCACATCGTAGAGGGACACGATGCTCTCGTGTTTCAACTCTTTCATCAATGAAATCTCGCGAATGGCGGTCGAAGGTGTGCCTTCTTCGGAATCGAGGTGGATTTCTTTCAAAGCGACAAGTTCGCCCGTTTGGCGGTTTCGTCCTTTGAAGACCTATGCGATATCAGCACGGTTTCCCAGGGGCTTGAAATAGGACAGGCGTCAACGTACGGTAGCATATGTGCCTTCTCCGAGCTAAAAATCAAGACAGGCAGTCAAATTGAATTCATAGTATAGCGCAAGCCCGGACAAGGACGCAAAACTCACCTTCTCCAACTGCTGGAAAGAGCTGGGCTGCTGCGACTTGTCCATGGTCGGCAAGCGCTGAGACGAAAGTGGGGGAGGGGTAGTCGTGCGATGGGAGCCAAACAGGAATGATTTGGGAGAAACGAGCGTGGCAGCGATATCCAGAAGAGAGGAGGTCGTGCTGTGTTTAAGATGTAAAGTCATGTCAAAATGGCGTCGATTCGGTCATGATTTGGGCCCCGCTGGACTTGCAGAAGATGAAAGCACGGGACATTGGCGCCGAACATCTATCGTCCCGCCCGCCCTTTCAGGTTCTCACAAATTCAGATCATCTTAATCTAGGATAGTATTGTACTATAATTATCTCCCGCCTTCATGAATTGTCCAATAGTATTTTTCTATCTTCCAACGGCAGAGGTCTTTCTACAAGCATATTCTATATTTATGCTGATGCAACGCGAAAAACAAACTCAATGTGATATGCTCGGTAGTTGAGACGCCACGTACGGCAGGATAGAATCCGAGTGAAGGCTGCAGCGGATATATCGATATCCCGTATCACCCCCTCTGTCCGTCTCCTTTAAAAGGATGGATTCATTCCTGACACCCCCCAGGTTGATGATACCGATGGGCATCCCTCGCTTGTAAGCTCTTTCCACCAGTCTCCAGGCGGAATATGTGGCTAGCGACGTTCCCATTATGAGGAGTCGTCCGGCATCATCAATCGCTTCTTCTGCAGCTGACTTGATCGGTGAGTCAATGTTTTCCCCAAACATGATGACTGCGGGCTTCAGGATCCCCGCGGTAGACGTGGGCAACCAAGCGCCGTCCTTTTCAACGTCGACTTTAGTGGGGGTTCCATCTAGCAGTCGGGGCGGCTTCTCAAGACAGGTCGGGCATGAAGGGTAGCGGAACGTGTTATACGGGGCCTCTGGTAGCTCAACATCCCCGTCTGGGTTGAGCTTCAAACCCCTACGCTGCTGTTCCTCCGGGTTGTCCGTGTCGAGAGCCCCAATGTCCACCATCTTGGCCAGGAACTCCGCCCAAGCCGGGTTGAGTTTCTCGAGCGTCTTTTGATACACGGCTCGTGAAAACTGATTCCGGCAGCTCAGACAGACAACCGACCGCAAATATCCATGTAACTCGATGCTTGGAATCTCAGGATGAGCCTTTGGATGAAATGAGTCGACGTTTTGAGTGATCACAGAGCTTATGTATCCCTTTGCGCCGAGATCCCGAACAGCCCAGTGCGTCGAGTTTGGCTTCGCCTTTAGAAGCCCGGGCCAACCGACAAAACTTCGAGCCCAGTATCTCTTCCGCGACTCATGCCTTGTTGCGAATTCGTGAAAATAGATCGGCCGGTAGGTCTTATTCCTGATGTAGGTCCCGTTTTCACCGCGGTAATCCGCCAGTCCAGATGCAACCGAAATTCCAGCACCGGTCAGTAGAACCGTCTGGGAGTGCCGACCGACATCAACGCCGCGCAAGTAGGGGGACGGTGGGGCGGTAAGGAAGTTGAGAAAGGCATTGATTGCCCCGGAGACCGAGCTCACGGACGGAGGTACAATAATCGGTGGAGGCAAAGGGCCGGTGAAGGGAATTCGAATTGCTGAAACCGTCATCGATGAAGCATGATTGAACTGAAAGGATGTCAAGAGGCGAGCCTGAAAAGGCTCAATTGACGGCGTGTTTTTTCGAGGTCATTTCATCATGTCGCTTGCTCAACGTCAGAGCTGAGTCAAGAATCACATGATTTTGATTCACTGTAGATGCGGCCCAGGAAATCTGAGAGCTCCCCACAGTCAAGGAAACGGGAGATTAATGATTGATTAGCAAGGGTTAAGAGTGCTATAGCTTGAAATTGTATTCATTTCTTCGGAAAACCCCAAACTTGTTCAACTCGTAAGAGTTGATTGTGCCAGGTGCGAAATCGATGTCGGAAATTTATACTATTGGCCCAAATAGCATTGCATGCATCGTCTCTCCAAAGTATACCAAGTAAGCCATGTGCCATGACATACTATAGAAGTAGCCCAAAGTTTGTATCTTGTCTCTGGGAAAAAAGTCAAAGTTCGGTAGCCAGCTACAATTATGCCATTATGCCACTGTTTTAGCTAACGTAATAGCAAAGCATAAGAATGGTCCGGACTTACGTCATGAGCCCTAAATGGGTCAAAATAAGAGACTTTCAACCCCGGATCTTTCCCTTTGTCCCCTCCAGTGAAGATCAATCCCGCCGTCAATTGGGGTTTCAGTTCTCCACGCTGCTATTCCGGACATGTTTCCTCCTCAGAATGTGAATATCGACCTGGAGGCTTTGAGTGGGATATGTGGGTGCGTACAAAACAACCCCCAAGCACCTGCAGCTTGGGACGTTCGCTGATCTTTCTCCAGTTCAATCTCAATCGCCTGCTGGGTCGTCGTATTCTCTCCCCAGATAATTGAAAATTTTCGTCGCGGTTCGGCCGATGGCCTCTCCCTTCTCTTCCTCGTTGTTTGGCTGGCAGGCGATGTCTTCAATATCCTCGGTGCCGTCCTACAGGGTGTGCTGCCCACGATGATCATACTCGCCATTTACTACACGCTCGCGGATATAGTACTATTAGGGCAATGCTTCTACTACAGAGGGTTCACTTTGAAAGACGAGGCCACATCCGCTTCTACACCAGAAGACCCCGAGGAGGTTGAGACAGCATCTCCCGTCATATCAAGAAAGCCAACAGAGCACACCTCACTGCTCTCCGCGCATGATACCCACCACAACTACCACTCAAATACCGGCCCTTCCAACGGAAACGGACCTCCGCTTCTCTCACACGGTCATCGTCGACACTCGGCAACCTCGTTTCTCCATTCCTCCGTCGATGGAACCCATCTGTCCCCCGCAACCCCTTTCATAGAACCCACAAAGCCTTCCCGCCAAACAAAAACGATTTCGACTATACGCACCGTCTTGCTCAACCTTTCCGCCGTCGCCCTCGTCTGCGCTGCAGGAATCGTAGGCTGGTACGTCAGCCGCTCAGCGCCAACAAAGCACAAAAAGCACCCCGATCACTCTCCCAGCGACACCGCGCTTGCTTTTGACACTCTGGGACAAGTGTTTGGGTATCTATGTGCCGTTTTATATCTCGGGTCTCGCCTTCCTCAGATCCTACTCAACTACAAGCGAAAGTCTACAGAGGGCGTATCGCTGCTGTTCTTTCTCTTTGCGTGCATCGGAAATCTAACCTATGTACTGTCTATCCTCGCATTCTCACCCGTGTGCGAAGGTGGACGCCAATGCCGTGGCGACGACATTGGTAGGGTGTACGGCAGATATATTCTCGTTAACCTTTCCTGGTTGATTGGGAGTTTCGGGACGTTGTTTTTGGATATGTGCATTTTTATCCAGTTTTTCTTGTATCAAGATAACAACGGGGCTTCGACCTTGGTCGTGTCATGAGCAGTTTCTGACTTTGGATAATTTCGCACACTTTCCTCGCTAGAGGACGCAGCACAAGGTTACTGGCGTTATGGGATACATTTTTGATGCAGTTGGTTTACTTTTCTAGCGAAAACATTACTACTTGGAAACCAACACAAGAACAGAAGCTAGAATGACCTAGAATGCCTCGAAGCAGCTTTTTTCTTCTTCTTTTTACTGGTTGGGTGGTTGGGGGGGGGGGAAGAAGGGAGGGCGTTGGGAACTACTAGTAAACTGCAGAGTGACACTGAAACTTGGAGAGAGATAATCGATCCGGTCAAGAGAAGAGACAAACAGCCGCTCCAGCGCTGCGCGCAATTCTTTCAAAAACTCAAATCAACCCAACATAGAATGCTAAAACTCGCTCTTCTCAAACATTGAATGCTTGACTTTTGACAGACGCCGTTGCTCAGTCACTGCTGGACTGATATTCCTGCACTTTGCCCTTTCCAACCTCACCCCAGTTCGTACTGAGCGAGGTACCATTACTCTCGGTGAAACTCTTGATCATAGCGCGCCGAGTGTCATCATCTGCGCCGGCGTAGAGTTTCTTGAAGAAGCCGTCGACGGGGTCGCCGCCAAAGTCCGAGTCAACGGAACCCTCGTTGTCGGAATCATCCGCGGCCTCGGCCTTTTCATCTTTGTGGTCATGGTCATGGCCATGGTCGTGGCCGTGATCGTGTGAGTGAGAGCGAGCTTTGGCTTTCTTGGTTTTAGGTTTCTTGGCTGTGAGTGACGAGGCGAGTTTGTCCCAGTCTTTGGCGCCGTGGCGGGAGGATGTTGGGTAGGAGGGGGCTGATTGAGCGGTGGGGGCGGGGGCGGGGGCAGTGGTGGTTGATGTGGTAGTGGAAGTATTGATGCTTTGTGATGAGGATTCTAGAGAGCCCCATTTCTGACCGGGGGTTTTCTTCTTCAAAACGAGTTCGATCTTTGTTCCGAATGTGGTGATTTTGGAAGTGGATTCGTCGATGGCGGCGTAGAGGGGGTCGAGGGTGAAGTCGTATCCTGATCCTGATGGTAAGGGGAACTGTACGGATACCTAGGTTACTCGTTAGTTGGGTTTCAACGTCAATCAGGACGGGAGTACGGATACCGAGTCACTCTTAATCTCAGCGTCCACGCTGTCTTTGGCTATGCCTTTAGCATAGAGTGTCACGACAACAGAGTCATTCGACTGATACCACTCGTGTCGGATCTTCTCTGGCGCCTGCACAGCAGGGGCAGAAGGAGGGGCTTTATCACCCTTATCCGCCTCGGCAATTGCTTCAGCCTTGTTCCCCGCACCACCAGCAGCAGCAGCACCCTGTCCCTTCTCATCGCCAGTAGCCTTCCCAGCCTTGAGCGCCTCGAGCTGTTTCTTCAACTCCTTCTCCGTCGGCACCTTGACACCGACGGGAAACTCCTCAATTGTGACCTTTGCCTTCTCGTCCCCCTCCTCCAGCCCCGCAAGCTTGCCCTTGGTCTTAACCAGCCAAATCGGCAACTCCATAGAAAGACTTTTCGCACGCCCCGACGACTTCGCCCCGCCCATCACATCCTTCACTTTGTCTGCCGCCGCATCATTTTCATTTTCCGCACTCTTAATAACCTTCTCCTCGAGCAACCCAAACAAGAACCCCGCATCACCGTACCGCCCCAGTTGGTACAACGCCACAGCCCTCCTCAATTGCGCGGAAAGGATAAGGTCGCGCTTCGCACGCTCCCGCGCAAGAGTCAACGCGATCTCGGCGTCAGATAGGGAAGCGCGGTAGTTTGGGCCGCCGTCGGCAGGCTTGAGGCGGTTGTATGCGGTGGAGCGTTTGATATAGTAGATTGGTGCACGGGGGAGCTCGACGAGGGCTCGTGTGTAGTGCTGGAGGGCGGTTACAAAGTCGGACTTGGCGAGGGCGGCGTCGCCTTCGGATGCGGCGTTCATTTTTATTTCTTTTGGGTATTTGGTTTTTTGGTGTCTGGTGTAAATCTGGGGTGAGGGTGATTGCGACTTTGGAGGTCTGAAGATCCACGTGGATGTTTCGGAGGTGAGACGACGTAGGAGAATTGAATCAGTAGAGCAGAGTGCAAAGTATAGAGATTTATATAGATTAGGAAGGGCATGAGGTTAGGAAATCTTCCTTTGTGTTTGTTTGGCGCAACAATTCGATGACTTTCTCCGAGACCCTGCGGGGAAGCGCTTATGTCATCCATGCTTCTTTGTTCCTAGCTCAATAACGATGAGAGGCCGACTCCACTGTTTCTGGGGCATTTCTTTGATAAGATCGTGTATTGATTAGGTATATTACATGTTATCTCATTATAATACATGGCTGGACCAGGCTTGTGTGCCCGGCTATTATTATCCATCCATAGACAGGCCCGAAATGCATACGAGTACAAAGAAACCGCCAGATCTATAGCAGCTCTTCATTTCCAAATTTCTTGGCGTAGAGACCGAGAGCGCGAATGGGCCAGTAGAACTTGTAATTAGGGTACGAGATCATGCTATTTCCGGTCAGATTCATGGGGAGGTTCAAATCGAACACTGGGCGACTTACCAAGACTGGTTAAACACGCCCTCAATGGCCTCCTGCAACCATTCGCCGTTGGGTTGCTGCCGGGACATCATGAGTTTCATCGCTCTCTCGAGAGGCTCTTTGTGTGGATACTTTGCCTCCATCAGGGCAATACATGCCCACGCTGTTTGGCATACTTGGGACTTCTCGTGCTGAACATACTCATGTCTTTCGCTGCTGAGGTACGATTCTCCCCAGCCGCCGTCTTCTTTTTGTTTCTCGATAAGGAATTCGCAGGCCCGACGAGAGTATGAGCTCGTCTCATACGTCTCTCCAATGCTCCCAAGACTCTCAAGGGCGAACAAGGCGGCGTAAGTGAAGCAAATGCCCCATGACCCATACCAGCTACCATCGGGTCTTTGAACACGCTTGATGTATTGCACGGCTCTTTCCTTTGCTGCTCTGATTTCGTCGGCGCGGTATTTGGGATAGTATTTACTAAATAGTGATAGTGCCGTGACCGATGCAGTGGTGCATTCGGGATAGTCGTAGCCAATCATGATGCCACCAAACACCTCGGCGGCATTGAGCCATTCGATCTTTGGAGAGCCACGCGTAGTCTCATACTCGGTAAAACCACCAGAAGGGTTTTGCATGAGAAGCAAGCAATCGACACTGTCCTTGAGGCGTTCTTCCGAGATCAAGGCTGGGAAATCGTGCATCTCTTGAAGTTGGATTGCTGACCGCAGCCCCTCGGCGGTGCAGTCACTAACGGTATATCCTTGGGTCTTGTTGCTAAAAGGCCATGCGCCTTTTCGATGCTGGCGATAACACTTTTCCTGGTCAGGGACATTTTCCCGGAGCTGGTGGTTATCAAGGAACTCCAGAGCTTTGGTGAGCATTGGCCGCCATTTGGGGTCATCTGCAAACCCAGCCACAACAATGGCTTGGGTGATAAAAGCAGTGTCCCAGACCTGAACACCGTTGGTGCCATTCATCAGCATGCCCTCGTCCTTTATCCACATGTAGTCATGCAAGCGCTCCTGATGACGTCGAAATGAGTAGCTATCTGGCCCATCATGGATATAGCATGCAATCATGTTCATAGGGTTGCTGACTGGACCAAGGCCGGCGTAATCAGTATTTTCATCTTCCATACGGATCAGCTCCCACGTCCAATCTTCTGCGCGCTTAACAACAGCCGAAATTCGAAGAATGGGGTTCCAGATGTTGACAAGCAGCGAGTTAATGGTGTTCAAAACCCACGTCTTGGGATAGTAGTTGTCGGCTTTGTGGATGGAGTTTCGATGGCTTGCAAAGTTGATCGAGTCATAAGGTTGAGTGTACAGCTCCTGTCTTAACTGCTTTGTAAGGGGATCAAGAGGATGGGTGAACTTTTTGGACCAAAGGTAAGACATGGGCAAAAACACCTGCCGCATATGAATCCACCAGCGCCATGGGGCAAAGGGGACCCAGTCAGGGAGGAGCCTGTCGATGTTAGTATTAGTCAACAAAGGCACAGGGCTGCTAGCAACACGAACCATATCTCCGGAGGCACGGGGTTGACACAGTCCCAATCCATGACACCGAGAACACTGAGCCAGAACTTGGCCCAGTGTGGCCCGTAGATAGCTCCGCCAAAGCTATGCAAGAGCCCGCGGGCTTTGATCATCCTGGGGTCTTCCTCGCTGACGCCAAGAATGCGAAGCACAACATAATTCATGCTAGTCCCGAAAACAGAGCTATGAGCCTCAATATGCAAGCCCCAGCCACCATCTTCTGGATGCTGTCGAGCAAAGAGGTACCTTCTGATTTCAGTCGCATACTCTGGTGGAATTGGGGTATTGGTGACATAATAAGTAATGATTAGACCTGGGAGCAAAAACATTGGACCTCCATACTCGCACGCCCAGTTCCCTGGGGGTAACTGTAGCTTGGAGAAGAATTCCAGACCATTCTCCGCGCATTGCATTGGGGTCTTTGCCTTGGGCAGCTCTGGAAGACCCTGGATAGAGTTTAGACTCGGTGGCGGAATTGAGCAGCGGGAAAAAGGCGTACCGTAGGAAGACCTAAAAAGTACTTGTCTGCGATTGATTGGGGCCATTCTTTAACTTGTTCGTCAGATTCAAGGTAGTGCCATGTCTGGCGGCCGTCGTCGTCCAGCAATCGCCATCTTGAATAGTCGGTTTTAAAGTCGTTGTTAGCGTCAGGGGTAAGGTGGCCCTGAGCTTCCGTCCTCCAAGGAGCGATGTGGCCTTGAGGCATTGTCTGTGATCTGGTGGGTAAGACCAATTGGCCTGAGTGATGAACGGGACCAGACAATTGTTTTAGGGCTTAATGCGCAATTGGCAGGATGTCGACAGAAATTGAGGAATCTAGGATCGAAAGATCATCTGGGGAACTATTGACGAGCTTAGTCAGTCGTTGCCTGGAAACCCATGTGATGCCTGAGGATGGCCAGACCGATGTATACAGTACAAACATAATGTCATTTCATTGATGTTTCGTTCTGATCTCAAATGTGGCTTTTCAATTGTTGTAGATTATCTTAGTCGGAAATGGTAGTCGGGCTGGCGAGCATGTCTAGCACGACTTGCAAATGCACCACCATCCCACAAAGCCGAGTTCCCACAGTCTATAGAGCATAGAGATAAGACAACTGAAGGATATCTCAAGGATGCTGAATCAAGTTACCCTCCAAGTAAATAAGCAATGATCATCAGTATTACCTGCAGCAAAGTTCGATCTGGCGGGCTGTTGTGTCCAATGTCACGGGTGGAGTTTTAGAAGCGCTACATAATCTCAGACATTGAGGAATGGATCTACCATCTTCCCCTTCTCTGATATTATCCGACTCATTGACCCGCAAGCCAAGCCATGGACACCTCAGTGAGCCATAACTATGATACGACTTCCCAGTCTGCATCTCTGAATGCTCGACCCGAGAGCCCCCGAGCCGCCGTCCGTCAATACATCGAAGAAACAATCGCAGCATTGTTTGAGCAAGTCTGCATCCCCGACGGCAAAGGCAAACCGAATATTACAATCAAGCGAAGACACGCTGCTGCCATGAACTTATACCGCGTCAATATGTCAACTGGTGCTCTTGAAAGTGACAATACAGAAAGGAAAGTCACGTATACATGGCCTGGGAAAGACGCCTATGAAGCTTGGAGATTCAGTAACCATCCTATCTGTTGCAGCACAGCAACGTAGTCTTTCTAAATATCTTACAGGCATAACTTTGCGTGTCCTCACGGCAATAGCCGAGGCATTCGACTCCGGCGTGGTTGTCTCCAAAAGGTCAGCTACTAGACGACGCATAACAGACTTGTCCTGTGTGGCTGATACTGTACGCTGCAGGGATATATACTACAGTGATCCGGCGGCTTTTGAATCCCAACAGGTTGTCGATACGCTTGTTGATGATCTTGCTTATACGATTGGGGTGAGCCGCTTCGACTTGAATGTGGTACTAGTTCATTTTCTCCCACGATTTTATGCTGTAGCTCGCTGACGCTGTATGATCTAGGAGGCAGCTGCCAAAGGCCTTGTGACGGGGTTCTATCAAGTGACAACCACAACAGGCGAGCGAATTGATGCACGGTTGTTGACGAACGTAGGTAGAGCTTGCAAATCAACTAAGCTGGCGGGGGCTGACCTGATTGTGTCTAGGACTGTCTCATACCGAGAGTACAAGATATATCTAGGCTGGATATCTCAGACGTTGACTGGGTCCTCATCCTTGAGAAAGAGGTATGCTCTCCTTCCACTAACCATCTTACTTCATACATATTCAACGTATCCAACAGGCTGTCTTTCGCAGACTCACATGGAGCAACTTTCACATCCGCGCCAGAGCAGGAATGGGTCTCATAGTCACCGTAATCCTCACACCTCCAGACAAGCCTGAAATGCAACATACTGACAACCCATCAGGGAAAAGGCTACCCAGACCTTGGAACCCGCGCCTTTGTCCGCAAGATCTACGACTCAATCCCTTCATCACGATCTCACAGGCCCCCACCCATCTATGCGCTAGTCGACAGCGACCCAGACGGCATAGCCATAATGTCAACGTACAAATACGGGTCAATGGCGCAACCGCGCGAGAACAGCAGCTTGGTCGTTCCCTCTCTGCGCTGGTTAGGGCTGCGGACCACCGATGTTGTGGAGGACGGTGAGGAGGCCCTCAATGGCGACGATCTGATGCCTTTGACGCTGAGGGACCGGAAGAAGATTGTTGCTATGCTGTCGAGGAACCCGGTTTTCGCTGTTGATGGACCAGAGCCAGAGTGGAGGGTTGAGTTGCAGAGGATGATGATGTTGAATATCAAAGCTGAAACTGAGATTCGATATGGAAGAGACGGAGGGCTTGAGGGGTGGATTGATGGGGAAATGGGACGGCGAGGTGGCAGATAGCTTTCCTGCGTGCGAAATAAGTTGTATTTCACTCTAAACTACATGGATCAAGTATGAATAGTTCTACCTAGTCTGCATGTCTCCCAAACGTTGAACCTGAAAATGAAAGAGAGAGAACATGACCTTAACGCCCACAAACCGCCCGAAACGCAATGCATGAAAGGGGAATATATCGTAGCGGGTGTTATGCATGGACTGAGCAGCGCAGCAATCGAAACCCAATAGTATATACAATGTGGAGGAAAAAATCAAGAGGAACGGCCTTACAGTCCCAGTCCCTTCCGGACCTCCTCCCTGACTTTCTTTTCATACTCGGCCCGTCTTTCTCTCCACATCTTTGCGGCCTCCACATTGGCAGGGCTCTCGTCATTCGGCTCGGCAAGCATACTCATGACCGAGATAAGAATCTTCTCCACACTCTGGATAGGCGACCACCGTTCTGAAGCATGCTCATAATGATTCGGGTCATCGCCAGGCGGGTGAAGGATAGAAATGCATACTGTCCCATTGGGGTAGACTGGTCGACCAAGATTAGCCACTTTCTATCTCATACCAAGGAGAAACAACAAAGAAGCTACCGTTCGGATGCCAAACCCCGCCCCCAACAAACTTCATCGTCGGCGGCGAGAGCGGATAATCTTTGGGGAACTTCAATTCCGCAGCGAAGACCCCGCCTTCGTAAGGGGTACCCTCGGGACCCTGGATCAATGCCTCCCAGTGGAACATGTCATCCTCGGAAACGGGACCGGCCGTGATGCCGTCAGGTGGGTTTTCTGAGAGTGTCTTGTATTCGCGGAAGAGACGGTTTTGGGTCATGGAAGACATGGTGGGTGCAGGTATAGTGTGTTTATGTTGTTTGGGGCTTCGAAAACCGGGCGAATAGATGACAGAGTACAAAGGCAATGGCTTTCGATTGAGATTGTGCTGATGCGGAGACGATGTGGGCGGGGAAGGAGAGCGTAACTCGGTGGGAGGGAAGTGGTCTTGTGGGTGAAAAAGAAGAGGAAACAACGGCCGCGAAAGGAGGAAGTCTTATAAGAGGTACAGCAGTGGATCTAGAGAAGATCGGAGTAAATCCTGTGGCAATGGCGAACGAGAGATGAGGGGAGGAAGAACCACTGATCTCTTTGGTTGTTGCCACTGCCTCCGAGGCCAATCTGGTCATGATGCGTTTATGCCTCAGGCATTAATTGAACTGAACCAATCTCTACCAACAAAAAGATCCTCCTATTTTATATGTTTATATCGTGCCTCGTAAAGATATGGTAGAGTTGACTCTACTAACTATAGTACATTGTATCAGGAATTGCCCCAAAGCGCTGGCCAATGCCTAGAAGAAATCATAGTCGTCCCCACCATCGTCTCCATCATCATCTGCCCAAGGATCTTCAGGCGAATGCTCGTCCATTTGTTCTGGAGCCCAGGGATCTCCGTATGGAGTTGTCTGATCCTGACTTGGTGCGTTTCGATCCGCCGGCGGCTGTTGATCTGGTGGACCGGCTTGCTGTTGGCTCTCGCCCCTACTTCTAGACAAAGCATCATAACCTGCGATTGTACCAGCGCCAGCTGCACCTGCAGCGGCACCCTCAGCTAGCCCCCCGGCAGCGCCGGCTCGCCCAACGGTCCCGGCAGCGGCCTCCCCTACAGCTCCAGCTTCGCCGGCGGCGGCAGCACCGCCAGCGGCGCCACCAGCTGCGAGGTCCCCACCAAAACCGGGGAACCACATCGGAAAGAATCCTATTCCGCCGGAGCCGCTGTGTCGACTGAAGTAGTCAAAGTCAATGCTGACAGCAGTCGCAAGCATAACGGCACGCTGATCAAGGGACATGCCGGTAATCGCAGTACCCTGGTCCGGGGCTTCTACAGCCTTGAGGGCTGCAGAGTCCATTCGCAGAGCATAGACGCCGGTATCTGTAAAGATCTCGCGAGCGAAGCCAACAAAATCGCGATTAACGGAGCCAATTAGACGGCTGTCAGCCGAGCGCAAAGAGAAATCCCAGGACAAGAAAGGCTCGTCGACATAAGCAAACTGACTGAACTCGCCAAAGTCGCGATCGCCTTCTGCAGTATGAGCTATTTGCATCTGCTGGGCGTTCGATAAGCCGGTTTGCTCAAGTGGTATCTTTCGCGTCCCCATCTCGGTTGCTTGGTTTGGTGAATGGTGGTATGTGAAAAGATTATATTTTCGTCGCAATGGTGCCCACTGCTGTTGTGCTTCGCCGATGACGCGCATCTGATCGAGTCCGAGTGGCGAGATTCGAGCATGAGACGCATCTGTAGCCTGGGTAAGAGAACCAGAGATATTTGTTTGGAGACCTGTCGATGAGGAGTAGGAGTTGCTGGCAGGATCAAGAGGATCGTACACTTTGATCCGGGAATTGATCCACGAGAATGGACGGTGAAACTTTTTAAGTCAGATTGGTCGCACTACTGAGGACTAGAGCAAGGCTTACCCTAAGGACTTCATTCGCATGCCTATCAAAGACATGCGTCACAAAGCTTCGATGTGTCCGGAACCACTGTCGCGCCATCATGTTCGCCATGCCCTTTTCTTGTTCTGCCATATATCCAACATGGTTTCCTGCTGCATCCAGTATGACGTACTTGTTCGCTTGCTCGAAGCCACTGTGTACAAAGTCAGCGATTGACCTAGTAACCGCACGAAAAATAGATACTGCTCACATCATCACATTCATTAGCTCCAGCTGGCGCTGTATAACCAGGCCTGAGTTCGCGAGAATCCCTGTTGCGGGGTGGGACTCTTTGAGCACACCATGCGGATCTTCAGGGATATAGACGGGGGATAAAAGGGTGTTCTGGGACGGATCATAGTCCGTGACCGGGTCGCCGGTGTTCCCTACTGGTTTATCCTGAGGAGTCGCTTCTCTTCTGATCGGTGGTGGTCTTCGAATGGAGTTCCGGGGACCGCGAGGATTGGCGCGTCCCCGGAAAGAGCTGGCAAAAGCTCGAGGCGGTTGAAACCAGCGCGCTGCTGGAACTCGTATCCTCGTGCCCCACATACCAAGAAGAAGATACTGGAGGCCAAGGGTAGTGTAAGGTGTGGAAAAGTGTGGAAAACTATGAAAGAATGTGATGGTCTGATAGTGAGAGGATGAAGCCCTCTTTGAGCCGCGGGAACTTCTAGTGACGAAGGCGGCGGAATTAAGCGGGGATAAGAAGCAGAGAAACCACCAGAAGACAAACAACCGAAAACTGGCTATAGATGATTACAAGTGGCGGGCTGCTGTCGTGCGCAATCTACTTATATTGCTTCGATAGGCGATCTATGAGGCGACATTCAGCAATTCCTAATCGATTCATGACCGCTTCGCGCGTAGAACAACCATGAACCTTGAAACAACCCCTACACAGCCAGACGAAGACACAACCGTTTTTAAAACATATGAATCCTTATAGAAGCCCTTTCCGAGCTAACTCAACCTTCCGCGCAGCTTCTCCGGGCTTATACCCCCCTCGCGAAACACAGACAGCGCTGCCTTCACCGAGCTCGAACTTTTCCTCGACATTTGGATGTGGGCAGGGACAGTGGTGCGGAAAGTGAACACATGCAAGCGTATCGGGGCATAAATATTTATTGCATCGAGCTACAAAAGAAAAGATTAGCTGCACTCTCTGACAATGGTAGAGATGTGAAGTAGAGGATATCGAAGAGTGGTCGTACCTCCTTCCCACATGCTCTGGTAGCGTGAACTATCGCTAGGGACGTTCTGCTGCGATGCTTGTTGGCGCTCCTGGCCACCACCAAACATGTGGTCAAAGAATTGAAACTGAGCGTGCGCAACTGACACCAGGAGGAGGAGAGCTCCTAGATATCGAACCACGCTGGATAGCATTGTCGGAATTAGATGGGCCGTGACTACTCGTGACGGAGTTCAGAGTATCCAAGTAATGACCACTGCCAGCATTGCACAAATAGACGCGATAGGATAGCTATAATACAAAAGGGTAGGAAATGGAAATTGGAGTATGCTTTGAGATGACACCTTCGCAAGAACCCACGGTGCACGTGACAAATGCCAAGCCTCCCGTCCCCGAGAAAAAAGTCGCTCCGAACCCAGCTTCATCTGGACCTCCGGAGTTGAGATTGACCAGATCATCACGCCACGATGCTTCAACCCCGGCTCCTAACGCCCCTCCGGGCTCTGGGAGCAGCGTTTACCCGCCCAAGCACCTCGATAACCCGTCTCATTCCTCAACAATCACAAACGCAATATCTCCTGACCCGGACAACCTCCGCACTCCGACCAGCACAATCATCATCTGTTCTCTCCAACCCGCTCCTCTCCTTCTCCCAAGTCCGACACGCCTCCCACTCCGCCCAAGGAGCCGCAAATAAGCACTCCCGCGACCCGGCTGGAAAACGTCTCGGTGCGAAGCGAACAGGCGGAGAATACGTGGTGCCTGGCTGCATTATCTTCCGCCAGCGCGGCACGAAATGGTTCCCTGGTGAGAATTGCGCCATGGGCCGCGATCATACCATCTACGCCGCTGAAGCCGGATATGTGCGGTACTACCTTGACCCGGCGCGTCACCCGGATAGAAAGTACATTGGAGTTGTCTTTGAGAAGGACGGAAAGCTGCCCACACCTCAGAATGCGCCGACACGCCGCAAGTTGAACCGCATTGCCGTGCCGAGATTACCGGATGCTGGAGTTGAGGGACAGTCGGATCTGACAATTCTTGTGAGCGAGGAGACAGGTTCGATGGTTGGGAGTGCTCCGGCTGTCAATGCTCAGGAGGGGAAACAGTTACGCCCTGGGTACATGTGGCGTGAAGCCAACTGGTCAATTGGACGTGCTGCTGAGAAGGCAGGGATCACTGCTGCGCCGTATGACCGGAATGATCGGTGGTTGGCGTGGAGAAAGAGACAGGCCAAGGTCCAGCGGGCTATCCAGATGAAGAGCTTGAAGAACAAGAAGAAGGCGTCGAAGAAGGCTAAGAAATGATTTGGTTGTTTTGGGATTGGTGTTCTTGTACAATAGTCAATAAACTCGACATTTTTTCTATGACTCTCATCAACTTTCCCCATTGACTACGAGCAGGCATGAGGCGACTTTGGCAACTTGCTTTCCGGAGTGCGCAAGAAAGAGACGCCAAGAGCTAAAATCCTCTAGTTCTCAAGAGAGACTTCTTCCACGATTCGGAAACTTGGAATTCTTAGTCGAGGAATGGATAAAGCAGGAAGCTTGGCTGTTGCTGCTGTTGTCGGATGGGTATATGGTTGTGGGGGTTTGGGACTGTGCTTTCGGCATTAGTCGTTTCCTACTTTATTCTATACGCGAACCCCTCCTACTCTGATATGACCTTGCGCAGCTGGATCTATCTGTCAGATGATTCCCCCAACCTTTATACTGGGCACACCATCAATTTGTCCGTGCAATGCTTCCGCCTCGTTTTGGCCTGTTTAGGGCTTCGGCACTCCGTCTACGAGAACAAGCCTGGCGATAAGTGAGGACGGCCGCGAGGATAGAGGCTTCGCTGGCGAAGAGAAGTTAGCTCTTGGTCACCGAGACCTAGAGTTCGGTACACAGAACGAGAGCTGGGCTTTGATATTAAGATGGTCATTTGATGCGCAAGTGAATGGTAGTATCTTTCATATGTGATTTTAGACGAACATAGGCGTGCTGATAACCATAGCATTTTTCTCATCCGAGACACTAGTCAAGGTCTCATCGAAATCGACATAAACATGACATGTTTGGTAAATGACAAACAAACAAGGGGGTATAATATAACTTTACTTCGAACATGTTGCGGCCACACCTCAATGGAGAGCAAGCGTAGATAAATCATAATTCCGCTTGATTAACTAGTCGACCAAGCGGCCGAGGATCAAGCTTTGGCAAACAAACTCATTGCCCACGACCCGAACATTCGTGCCCAAGCCTAGCCCATCTCCATTGGTGGATTCCATGAGCCTGGACTTTCTGCGCTTCTTTGACAGGACGGAGCCCCCAGCGCTAGTGGCCATGACATTCGTGGCCTTGTCGTCGTCATCAATATAGATCCAATCCCAGGTAGATGTTCCATCTTCATTTTGAGATTGCTCGAGGATAGCCCGCGCTGACTGAGAATCGGGGACACGCTCGATCTTCGAGGCGCCCAAGGCATATGTCAGGAAGAGGTATGCTTTTCTTCTTTCCTCGTCCGCTTTGCCATTGCGGCCTGTGATGAGAAGGACGGATTGTCCACTGAGCAGATTGGGTCGCGCTGCGACGGTTTCAGACAGCTTCGCCGTGGACGTTGGGTAAGGAGTGAGATTCCTCGACTTTGTCGCTCCGTTAAGATAAGACGATTCGCCCGCAGGGAGCAGATACAGCTCCCAGTCCAAGATCCGGTTTTTGACAACACAGTCCTCGACCCAGCGGTCTGAGAGACAGGGAAGGTTGAGAGCTAGAGCTTGCATATACTTTGGGCGGCGGGAGTGCTTGTCCGCAATCAAGCACGTAAACCCGACCTCTTCCACTCCGGGTTTGAGGCGAAGGTTGACGTTGGATCCGGCCGCTCTGAAACCCGGGGGCTTGGCGGGAGTCGTAAACGGGGCGTTCAATGGCAACTCGAATAGCTCGTTGAAGCCATCCTCTAGAATGCGGCCATCGTTTTCCAGGATCATTTTTGTGATGCGGTATTTGGCTTCGCTCTTATCCCCGTATGATACCGCAAAGACCATCCCCGAGAACAAGCCATTCGATGGACGGAAGCTGCGCGAGATTCGGGTGCTTGGGGATGTCGGTGTAATGTGCCTGTCTGAAGGCGTCTGAAGTCTACTGTCCGAGCTTCCAGACCCTGAACTGTAGTTGTACTGCCGGTCCTTGAGTTGATTCCACAGGATAGTATCCAGGTATATTTTGGAAATGGGAACACTGATAACATTCTCAGGAACATGAATGCCCGCTCTTGGGAGACTCTTGCGTTGCTTTGGACTTAAGACAAGAGTAGAATGCCCATAAATGTCCGTGGTTGGGATTCTTCCCTGGGCCGCCTCGCTTGACAGCACATCTTCACTAAGCTTGTTCGCAAAGCCTCTGATAATGTGGGTGACCTTTGGCACATTTGGCATGTCAACCTTGACTGCATCGCCAATTCGTAACTCGAGTCTCTTCACAGTGCCTATCGGCACCCCAAGAGGAGCGCTGTCTTCAAACTTCACTAGATACTGACCCTGAGCGGTTCCGAACGGTGTGCCAAAGCAGGTTGCGGGGTAATAAACTCGCTGTCGGCCCCTCCAAGGCGCAAGAATCTGATTGGGGGCTAATAGAGCACTCTCTGGCGGTGTTTGCTGAGCCTCGTGGGCCGGGCTCGCTTCTAATGATGGCTCGCTATTGGGCACTGCGGAAACTGGAGTAGAGGCTGGCACTTCAATGGGATCATCCTGAGCATTTTGCGGGGTTTTCTTCGGCTCGGGTTCTTCACGTGGCTGAAGTTCCGGGGATTTCTGAGGTTGTGGTTGCTGCTGGCGTTCTCGAGTCAGAGAGCGGGCAAAAACCCTGGACCTTTCTTTGCTGGATACGCGAAGTTTTGGAGCATCTTCCACATCCCAGATAGACCCAGATCTCCTCGGTGGTTTAGTGCGTCCCGAAAAGCTTGATTGACGACGCGTTGCCGTTTCTGTTGGGTTTGGAAAGTTTGACAGCGAGACTTCTTCTTCCTCCTGGAGAGGGGGAACTAGATAGCGGGAGGGTTGACGAGGCGTCATTGGGACTATTGGATCCGAGGCAGGAATACCTCGGCCATCATTGCTGCGTCGTTTCTTGCGGGACGAAAGAGGAGACATTGCAATGGCAGACCTGAACTCCTGATCGTCAGCGGAGAGGATATTGATATTTACATCAAATGTTGCAACCCCAACTTGAGGTGAGGCATCAGCCGCTATCTCCGTCAGCGCCCTGCGCTGCCTTCCACTTGGGCTTGAAAGGATTTTCGAATTTAATATATGCTTGATGGGGGATGAGCTTTCAGAAACTACCGGCTGCGACTGACTAGCCCGCTCAAAGGTTCGTGGGTAGAGAGGAGGGAGGTCATCATCCTCCTGGTCTGCTCCCTCGTTGTTCGCATCGCTCATCAAGCCTTCGTCGTGATACATATTATTCGGACTAGTTTCTGGAATGGTGGCAACTGTAGCTAAGTCACTCGAGCCCATCTGCCGCCGACGCACAGGCGTCTCGGCGACGCGTGATGGCATTGAAGAGGATTTGCCTTGAGGATCAAACATCAGAACTTTGTCTGGGACCCCTGCACCATTCATGTTTGGAGGGTTACTTGAGGTATCGATAGGGGCCTGCTGAACAGGAGAAGCATCCCCAGAAGGATTCGAACGTTTGCCCGAATTTGTAAATGCTGGTAGAGGATGATCATCGTGTCTTTGAGATGCTCCTGGAGATACCATGATGGCCACACGCTCCTGTACGATAGTTGACCTGCTTTGCAATGGTGCACCATGCAGTTTAGATGGGCTCGCGGCGATCTCTGGTCCGGCCTCGTCTTCATCATTTCGCCCAGGCGACCACTGAGAATCTTTGATTACCGTAACCGGGGATGACCTAAGTGCATTGACTGCATCCAGATCGTCATCCCGCATCGGATATCGCGCCGGCGAGAGCGGTTGGATGGGCTCGCGGGTAGCTACAGGACTTCCATGGAAAGAGAGAGCCTGCGAAAGCCGGTCGTGGGCACTCGCCGTATGAGACAATCCAACTGTCGTTGGATCGTCACAGTTTTCCTTGTCCTCCTCGGTTAACGAATTTGGTACTTGAGATAAAATAGCAGGCTCTGGCAATTCCTCTTCCTGTTCAGTTTCCTCCTCACTCATTCCAACGGTGTGTACTTCCGAGGTGGCGGCGGCTTTATCTGCAGAGCCTCCTCGCTCTGAGACTTCAGATAGCCCGGGCTGTAGTTCAGAGCGGCTTAATGGCTTTGCAGGAGCACTGAGAGCTGCAAACTGTGCTGCAACTTCCTGATCAATCTTGCGCTTGCGCCTTGCATTCTCAATGAAGCTCGGCTCCTTATCAAATTCCCCATCACTCTGGTCTTCCGAGTAGATATGATCAGCCGAGCGCGTCATTCTCTCCTTATCCCTTTTCGCTTGCGACTCCTTCATCGTGACATAGTTCAACTGGGTCTCTGAAGAATCTCGCGGGAATGTGGCCGCGATTGTATTGAGTGGAGAAGAGAGGGCTGGAGCTAGCGGACGATGTTGTATGGGAATATTTGGTGACGGCCGATCCGACAGAAGGTCTGGTCGTAAGGGATTGACAAGAGGCGAGGACGGTGCTTGCGTTGCTTGGAATACCTGACTCAACGCCATCACGCCGCTGCCCGATCCGAGGCCCGGTGCAAGAGGGTTTCGGGAGACGAGAGGAGACACGGTAGCTACACCTTCGTCATGGTGCTGCTTCGCTGCATTGACAGGGGTTTTTGCGACGAATCGTTGGGATTCAGGGAATAGGTTCGGTTCATAAGTAAGAGGGGATGATGGGGATGACCCACCCATCCTAGAGCTGCTCTGATCATCATTTTCGTCTGTATTAGACGGATGAACGTTGGTGGCATCAAACCCTGCAAGCAGGTCGATGTGGCCGCTATCTCCCTCATGTAGCGTCAAAAGTGTAGCCCGATCCATAACGTTACTGTCCGACCCATCTTTGCTAGCTTCCTTGTTCTTTCGGATGATTTCGTCGTATACTGATTGGGAAATGACCTGAGTGTCAGAAGGGAGGGTATCGGTCGAGCTCATTTTTGCAGTGGGTGGCACAGGCGAGTGAGGTCGTGGTGATTGCTTGGGAGACTGCCGGTTCGACTCTAGAGATTCTGTGGCATTGCTTTTGCCATTCGTAGAAGCTCCGTGTACAACAGACTCGCGGGGGCAGTTCTGAGAAGCAGGTATGGAGATATGCTGATCCGGGTGAGGTAGTTGTGCCAGATCACGTCGGTTCTGGGGATAAGTACTCTCAATTATGCTGGGCTCATTGCAAAAAGGCTGGGATGAGATAGATTCCTAAGGCGAGGATTGGCGTTGGGTTAGTGCAGAGATCATTCGCCAGGAATCAACCTGTAAGAACTCACTAATCCCAACGCGACGCGTTGCAGCCTCGCAATGTCGATGCTATCCTCTTGGGTTTCCATTGTTGCTTTCATCCCACCGATCCAGAGACGAGAGAGATAAGCCTTTGCATCGTCCGCCTGCTCTTTTTCCCTCGCTGCAGGGGTTCTGCAAAATGTCCCGAGATATTAACTTTGCAATCCGGGCCCTCTGGGCCAGCTCCGAATTAGAACGCGCGAAACGCGTCAGTCACGTGAGAGCCAATATGGCCTTTTTGGGATTAGAGCCGTGACCAACTCTATCCACCTATCAAATGGCTTCCAGACAATTGCTGAGAATACCCTGAAGGGCTGCGGGAAGAAAGAGGAAGTGTAAAAGGGTATTCCATATCGTGTTGTGCATTGTAGAGGATCAAGATCCCATCCTGTGCCAAAGGCAATAGAGTTACATATAGTTACACTTTGTCACCCCCAAGACATTCCACACAGATAATTCAACGGGTACACATCCTCCGTGATCAGTCGCGAGTGCGATTCGGTATCCAACGCCTGATAATAAGCTCCCGCACCCTATAGCGAGTAAGCAAAGCTCCGATATCCATGCTGCCAGCCGACGACGCATGCTCAAGCTCTTGCGACGGCGGCGGGATCTCGACATAGCAAACTACGAGCGTCTTTTTCACTTGTGCCTGCACACGGTTCACGCAATGCAGCCACCACCAGCTGCGCGCCTGTTTCCGGGCACACTCTGTCTTTCGATCTTCTGTTTCAGACCAGTAAGGGTGGTCGTAGGATGGAATAACAACGATTGCGAACTCGGCATGTGAGAAGACGGGACCACGGTTGTAGATGATATAATCGACTCCGAATTTAACGCCGGAACGTACGATCCAGCCTAAGGAGCGGAAGTGGTGGTACACGACGTAGGAAACGAGGAAGGGGTCGTCGGGGTTCAAATCCAGAGACGGATCTCGGGGAGGGGTGTGTGAATGATGGCAAAATAATTTGAGCAAGGAGTCAGGAGACAGCACAGTCTTTCGGTCTTGGTCAAAGACGTGCAGGGCTCCTAGTCCGTACACAAGGAACAATGCTTCCTCGTTAGAGAGTTGGAGATGCTCTTCGTTGGTAATTGTGATTTCTTCACCCTCGTCGATAGGTGGTTCTTCCCTCAATCCATGCGCAGAGCCATTGCCGTCCGTTGTCGTAAAGTTAACGGCTTTGCCATTAGCTTCCCTATCCCGCCGGGCCAGTTGTTGCGCCTCAAGAAACCTGGCCTCTCGAGCCTTTTTCACAGAAAACTTCTCTGCAGTCAGAGCGACGCCATTAGTAGCATTGGCTAGGGATGCTGGCGTCACAGACTCAACGACTGGAGTGTGACCTTCACGTGCAGCAGCTTCCGCCTGAAGTCTTTGCTCTATAATCAACTTCTCTGACCTTGCTCGCTGAAGCTTCAGTTCCCTGCGCTCAGCTCTCCGTTGACGAGTAACCTCTTCGCTCGTCACGCCTTCAAGAAGACCCCTCCGCTTCTTTTCCTGATCCAGCCAGGTTGGCTCACTTCGACTTAGACTTCCTTTTCCAAAGAAGCCCATCTCCCACAGCGCCCGGACTGTCTTTTTGTCGGTGACATGGACCGACGAGGTATTCGAATCGAAGTATGCCGAGTAGGTATCATTTTTGGGTGTCGTGATAAAGTACGTGAGGTACGAGAGTAACACACTGATAATGGAGAGGGGATTATGCGGGATCAAAGGAGGAAGAGGATGATGGACTTTCAAAGGGAGAGAAAAGCGATGAATGTGTCTATAGTCGGGCTTCTGGCGTCTGGGCGGCCGCGGCTTGTGGATCAAGACGCCTCCGTCCTTGGTGGTGGGGAGGACATTAGTAGATGGGGGTTGAGAAGTCATATTGGAGATACTTCAATTGATTTCTTTGACTAGCTACTACGGGACGAAGATCAGCAAGAGGCTCTTGGCTGCAATATATAGACACGGAGACTCAAAAAAAAAAAAAGTGAATGCGATCATGTTCCTCAGATACCGTTGTAGTCAATAAAAGCAAATCATCGACAACAGCTAGAAATCAAGGTTGCCGTTGCCTTAGCTTTAGAAAAGGAGTCATCACCGGAGCAGCAGCGCAATCACTTCTTTTGAGTCTAGGGTAATTCCAGGCTGAGGCTTACCAGAAAGCTCTAGCCCTTGAATATCAAGCCCGGTGGTACAACCAGCACGGTGAAGGGGAAAGTGATAAAAGGTAGATGAATGAATGCTGTTAGTATTGGATGGCAGGCACTTCATCAAGTGTCATGTTCGGATCACGAATTGCAAGATTCCAGCATTCTCATCCTTATTATTCCTCAGTTGATCATGTCGTTTTTCATTTTCATGTCTTGCGAGTGGGATGTGGAAACGAAAAAATCGAGCTTGCGGTGCGGTTAAAAAGTAACATTTGGATGACTCAGCGCCAGCTTTGTGGCCCGTGCACCATTTCCCCAAAAAATTTCCTGCCTCGAATCGCGAAGTCTCAGAGGCACAGCTACTGATTCCGCCATTCGAATACCACGAATAATCGCTAAAAACACCTAACAAGTGAGTAACCGAACTCGAAATTTTTATGCTGCAAAAACTAACAGATTTCCAGAATGCATCTCATGGTATGTTCCAGCACGTTTTACAAATCCCACAACAGACAGCCCCGAAATCATACAACACTACTTTTATACTGGCTTTCCCGCGCAATAACTAAGACTTGAATCAGTACACCTTGGACGCGGAGGGCAAGCGTGTTTACACGCTGAAGAAGGTCACCCCTGCCGGCGAAGTCACAAAGAGCGCCCACCCCGCTCGCTTCTCTCCCGACGACAAGTACTCCCGGTATGCTCTCACTGATGGATGGACATTTGGCAAAAATTCTCAGCGATTGCGGCTAATACTGCGATTTATAATTACAGGCACCGTGTTACTCTGAAGAAGAGATATGGTCTCCTGCTTACCCAGCAGCCTGACAAGGAGGCTGCTCAGTTATAAGTTCCGAAACGACGGGTGGTGGGAGTAATATCAAAAGAAGGGCTTGATTCATTTATTGGCGAACGGTGTTATATGCGGCTTCAGGCGGTCTGAGAGTTCAGCCTGGTTTTCTCCAATACCAATTATCTTTTTGGCAGCAACTTTTATCGTAAGAGCCTTGGCGGCGTCTGGACGTCGAGTAAAATACTTGAGAAGGGTACATCTACGTCCATTCCTCGTGGCTGTATACGTCTAAAACCCACCATCGACCGATCATTACCGTAGAAACTCATAAGGACACGTGAAACCCGTCTTGACTTTTGCGCACCATAACTCCGATTCCGTGAAATGCAGGCATGAAAAGCAATCATTTATCGCTTTCTGGAGTTGACATGGCGGCCAGCACCCACTCTCGGACGCCCAGTCTGCTTGCTCCTCTCTCCGGTCAGAATACCCGGAAGGTAATCTTCGTCCATCAAGTCTCGCTCCTTTCTCAGCCGTCGGTTCTGCTCGGCTGTAGCTCTGGTGTATTCCTTTTGATCTTCAGCGAGGATCAACTCTGTTCCCCAACCTCCTTTGCCGCCACCACCTTGCCACTTTCCGTTGGCGCTGCCGTGGACCGGTTTAGGGACGCTGAACCGGTTTCCTCGGTTGTTCCACTGCATATTCTTCTTTAGGTGCATCTTGAACTGGCCGTTGGCGTCAGTTGTGCAGGACACACGGGTGAGAGTATCTCCACCGCATCGCGGGCAGAACTGCTTGTTCATATCCTTGGTAGTCGAGAAGCACGCGTGGCAGCGTTTGATGAATGACTTGAGATGCTTGATCCTCTGCAGGGTGGTTGTAGACAGGAGGTTCAAGTTCATCTGCAACAACACATTTTGACACTATCGTAGGCCGTTAGCATTCGGGTTTGGGACAGTAGACAGATTGACTAACCGCAAAATCCGTGGTCATCGTAGCGACTTGCATCACCTTAGGCTCCGGAACAGCAGTTGCTGAACCGGCTTCGTCACGGGCCTGGCGCTTCTTCAGGTTTGATGGTGTAATCCACTCTTCACCATCTGACTCGGAGGCAGCTCCATCCTCCTCCTCCTCCTCCTCTCCGGCTTCAGTCTGGTCCGCAGGAGTTTCAGCGTGAATATCCGCCTCGTCAGACTTGGTTTCTTCGGGTTTTGTCGCCGCGGGCGCTTCTTTACCCTGCTCCTGCTCTTCTTGCCCGAGCTTTGTGGATTCCAAGGCGTCCGAGATGTGTTTCGCCGTGGGAGCTTCTGTGTTTTCCTCTGCCTTTGCAGCCTCCTGCGCCTCTTCCGCTTCTTTCTCAACTACCTTGACAGGAGGCTTGCCATTTACCTGTTTCTGACCAGGGACACTCCGTAACCTCCAATCACCGCCATTCCGCTCGCACTCAATCTCATATGCAAGGGCCAGAACCTCAATATCGGTCCTACTCAGCACGGCCCTGTCACCAGTCTTTCTTGCAAACTCGCTCAACACGCTGAAACTCTTCGGAGAAGGGCTGCGCTGCTTCAAGAATGGCAGGTAGAGTGTTTCAATTCGTTGGCGAGCGTCGGGGTCCCGGATTTCGCTAAGGACGGAGGGTGTGATGACGAGTTCCTCGCATTGCGCTAGAAGGGTGGAAAGCGGGGGGTTGTTCTTGAGAATCGGACCGGCGTCGAGGACGATCGTGTGCACAGGCTTCGTCGTGGTGGTAGGGTCCACCATGTTGGGCAGTTTGGACTAGGCTATAATCAATCTCAAAGCCGGAGCGAAAGGTGTAGGTTGTGTAGCGTTGTTGTCGAGATTCCGACTGAAGATCGTGGGCCAGAAATTCGGCTTGATTTTTTGGTGGTCTGTGCGTTATACTTATCTTATCGGCTGCCCAACACTGGCAGATCTGCGTGTCATGCCCACACAACCCTCAACTAGTTACAAACAAGGTCTTGTGCAAAGTATGATGAACTCTCTTTTTGTATGCTCTGTATAGTGATGATGCTTACTATATGTTTCTGCTCGGAGACTTCACTTACTCACGAACATTATGCTGCAGTGGTCCACTTGACGGGACCATGAAGAGATCATCTGCCTTGATATATATTGCACGCATATGCATTCTCAATCCAATTGACCTGTTCTCGCTTGCTCTTTTGGACTTTTGGTTAAATCTGCTTCAGAGTTTTCACATGCTAGAAATCCTTGTTTGGAACTTTGGAGTAGCGAAGAACGGAATATGGACCAAGAATTAATTTTAGGCCATGCCATAGCACTATGTGACTTGCATCAGGAGACCAAAGCCATAAGCCTTGTCGCAGAACCGCCAGCTTGCAGATCCCATGTCTTGGACCCCGCATCTTAGGCATGCGATGGCACCTACAAGACAGGGGTTGTCGCTGGCGAGAAACACTAACGACTTTCTCTCAGCACACAAGGTAAGGAGCACTGGCAGTCTCCCATCATCTGCCCTTTTTCCGATTTTTTTTCTCGACCGACACAGGAGCATTGACTCCAAGATGCCTCGCTGTCTCTTTCCTTCACTTGCTATCATATCTCGTTTATGACACCTCTCTCGGAGGCGTTGGCCCTTGCCATACATAGACCTGCCCTTCTACCTCGAGTCAGTTCTGAAGCTGCCAGCCAGTTCTCTCCATTTTCATTATCGAGTCATGCAGCGCTATATCCAACATGGTTAAGCGTACCACTTGATGATGATACCGACATTTTATGGCTTGGTCGTCAGCGAGACCTATCGAGCCGTTGCCAGCCGATCAACGCGAATGAGCGGCGTGCAAACTAGTATCAAGAAATGGCGCACGCACTTCAGTTCTGCGATCAACGAAGATCAGCCGATAATTTCGCCCCCAACATCTTTGTCCTCTGCCCAATCCGGCATCAAATATGTCAAGCTGCTACCGGACTGGAAACGGCGTCGTGCGATGCACCTCGGAGATTTCTTCCCAGCACTCGATAATCGATCGTATAAACCATGCTACCAATAATTGGACGGATCCTCCTGAGATGCTCTTTAGCTTCCACTGTCATTGTTTTATGCTGGCTGCCCGGTAAAACTTTGAAGACTGCAATATGACACATCCAATCTCGCTTCCCACAACAAGTCTCAAGGTTCAGGACGACAATTCGGCAATTATTGCCAGGGCTGAAAGAAGCTTGGAATAGAACAAGATCCACTAGATGTATGGAACTTATGCGCCTGCAAGCCCGTTAGCCATTGTGGCTCCAGGCTTGTCTGTTCGGGAGCGAGTCCTAGAGGAACAGGCAATGAAATTGACAGATCGGACCTCGATAATATGACATGTCCTGTCACCTTTGACGCAACGGGCAACCTAGATGTCATCGGGTTCTCGGTGAATTCTAAGGCAGTGAGGTTGCCTGTCTCCCTTGCTCTCAATTTCGACTCCTATCTTGGGATTAAACTCGCCTAGCCAAAGCTTGCCGCGGGACCAACTTGCACTTCTTGCCTCGCTGATGGGCCTTGGGAACTATGGAGCGAGGCTATGTCTCCGCGAGTCAGTGGATAAGGACATAACGCCGAGTCGCAGATGGGGTTCACGTCGGCGATGGGGCCTGCATCGCGCATGGAAGCCTCAACCACGCGAGACTGCACACCCGATCTGTGTCTGTGCATTGAGAAGGTTTCGATACGTCGCTGACCCTAGGCTCACGTCTCCACTAGGCTTTCCTCACTGGCCAAGCGACAGAGCCCCGACATTTGCAGAAAGTCATCTAGCTCAGTCAGGTCGAACTCTGTATGGCCCGGGTGGTATTATCTCGTCTTTCTGAACCAATCCCGACCAAGACTCCTTTCCATCATATGCTTATTCCTCTCCCTTGCTTGCAACGCCTGTCCAGACTTTCTGTCTTCTCGGTATCATGCGTACAGATGGACAGGCTCCTGTGAACCGGTTCGTGGGTTAGATTATATCTAGATCACCTGCAGTCTAATGTTATAATCTATCCAATCCTCAGCCGGATCTCGGCTTGTCATTCTTTCCTGCGTGGAACAACCCTCTGATGGACCCTTGACGCGTATAATATGTTGCTCTAGGCCCATATCTATACAGTCCCTATCATTCGGAATCAACCATTCGTTTTTCCTGGATGCGACAATGGCACCGTCCTTCATTCATTCGTTATCTCCCCGCGGGGAGCATTACAGAACATCGTATCTTTCCCTCCGCGGAACTCAGAGCTTGGTGGTCAGTATCGTCTTCACCAGCCTCGCTACCGTCTTCGTTCTCGCCCGTGTGTACACCCGCACCAAATTGATCCAACGGATGGAGGCCAACGACTGGATGATCGTCATTGCCCTAGCCCTCTCCTTTGTCTTTATGTCGTTCTTCACCGTCGAAGCCCTCAACGGGATGGGCATGCACCTTGTGGACATCCCCGAGCCAATTCTCTTGAAGCAAATGAAGGCTTTCTGGCTCACAATACCTTTCTACAATGCTTCGCTCCTCTGTGCAAAGGCGTCCATCCTCATGCAATACTTTCGTGTCTTTCCATCGCGCAGCATGCGCCATACTTGCTGGGTCATGATCACCATCCTTGCCACCTACGGCTCGTGGGCTGTTCTGAGCGCGTTTTTGAACTGTATCCCTGTCGCTCGATTCTGGGATCCTACAATCCCCGGCTCCTGTCTTAGCTCGAAGGGACTTTGGTTTTCCAATGCCTCGATGCACATCGCAACGGATCTTGCCATCTTGATCATACCTATTCCGGCCCTCGCTGCGCTCGAGCTCCCAAGAAAGCAAAGGCTTGCGTTGATATCCATATTTGCTCTAGGCGGATTGTACGTCTGCCTCCTAACCACCCTTTCATCTTCACCTTGGCAAGGAAGCACCTAACATATCTCGGTTAAGTGTCTGCGTCACCAGCATCTGCCGCCTCGTTTCCTTGAAGAAGATCTCCGATTCCTCAGACCCAACCTGTACGCTCCCCTCCTTCTTTCACCCAACCTCCTCGCAATAAGCCCTCACTAACCCTTTCCTTCCTCTCTCTTAAAAGACGATAATATAGGCGCCGCTTCCTGGTCGTCGATAGAATGCAACACAGGCATAATCTGCGCATGCCTCCCAACCCTCCGCCCACTCATCTCACGGATAATCCCACAACTGCTCTCATCACTTACAAGCCGGCACCCGCACTCCAAGTCCAAATCGAAGAACTGCTCCCGCAACCACCTGCACGACATCAACCCACCGACATACTGGGGTGTCGCAGGGATGGGAGGCATGGGTGTTTCCACGACCATCACGACGCACATCGATGATCTTGAATATGGGAGTTGTGAGGGGGATGCGGAGCGGTGGGCAGCTCTTCGGGGGACTGGATTTGGGTTCTCGGGGAGGATGTCGACGAGGGTTTACGTTGGGAGTAGTAGCAGTAGGGGCCATGTGCCTGGGGCTGACGGGGTTCGTGGGGAGGGTGAGAGGGAGCAAGACATTCTCGACTCGAACGCCCTGGCAAACCGTGGAAACAAGGGCCAGGACGAGAATAGCGACAGGGTAGGCGTCGCCTTCGCCGACGTGGGACCTAACCGGAAAGACAGCGAAGAGTTGAAGAAGGACACCGTGATTGTGCGCACGGAGGTGAGGAAGGATTCGACATCGTCGTCTTCCTCGAGTCCGCTGGCTCGTGGGGAGGACTCCGACTCATGATTGCTTGCTATAGTTTTCTTGATTTGAGTTGAGTCAGCTTCGATGCCGTTGGCGGAGTGTTGGCAGCTCGGATTTCATTCATTATCCACTTTCTTTTATGTAAACTGATCCTGTCCTTCTTGTTCATACTTGACTTATCCTGTTTATATTATTTTCCTCTACGGAATGTGTTATTGAAAGTCGTCGATTCGACTACGTGCGTCCGGTCAAGGTGTACATTGATTGGATTCGATGACTGCAGTTAAGTATCACGGTATCAATTGGTATCCCGAGGTAGGCCAAAGTACTACCTAGAAAATGCATATCCAGTACAGGCACGCAAGACTCCATACCCTAGTCTACCTAACAGGCTTAACCCTAATATTAGCGTAACACCACGTCTATGCGAACCAAGCTCGCAAGAAAATGCCACCTAAAAAGCAGTAAACTCCTTATCCACTTCTTCAAAGTAATCAAAGAAACCCTTGAACAGCTTAACACCAAGACCAGGATCCAGGCTTCCTGTTGTCGCGCGAATACTATGCATACTCAGCTGTGGGATACCCACATCGATCGCTCTCATTCCAATCCTCGCGCTGGTCATAGGCCCGATCGTTCCGCCGCTACGGGAGTCGTTGCGGATCTGGAAGACCTGCAGCTTCGAGCCGACGCGGTCAGCAACGCGATGGATGAAGCCTGTGCTTACGCTGTCTGTCGTCATGTGGCCATTTGAGTCGGCGGAGACGGTCACGCCGACGTTGAGACGAGGGGAGTGTTTCTCTAGGTAAACGTTGAGGAAGTTAGGGTTTACGGCGTGGATGACGTCGGAGGAGATTAGGAAGCTGTTTGCGACAGTTTGGGCGAGGAGGTCTGGCCCATAGTTTGTGGCGAAGGCTTGCGTGATGCGCTCGATGACGCTAGACATGAAGTTGGAGCGGGCGCCTTGGCGGAGGAGAGAGCCGATTTCTTCGTCGTCGAAGTAGCCGACCATCTTGATAGAGGACTGGGAGGTGTCGTCGGATGAAGCGATGAGGGCTTCCTGCGCGGCGTAGCAGCAGAGTTTGTCGTCAATGCGGCCGGCGAAGATAAAGTCCTTGTCGAGACCACCGATGCGTGCGGGCTGGCTGTCGTAGAGCTCCAGCTCCCAGTTGAGAATGCTGCTGTAGTCTGTGATACCTAGTTCGTGAGAGATAACCTTGACGAGCTTGGAGGGCTGCGTAGCAGCGAATGTGCCCTGCTCGATCCCTTCATCTGTAGCATTGGCAGCGCCGTCCGCGGATCCTAAGAGGTCGGAGTTGTCGACCCCAATGATAGGGACCATCTGGGTTTCCTTGTTGAAGGGACCCTGAGATGGAGCACCAAAGTGCTCTGCAAGCGTTGGGATACGAGCAATTGGCCAGTCAAGCTTCACGAGCTTGGACTCTACCTTGCCCGAGCTGGCATCGCGGACGAGAACTCGCCCGCCAATGGAGAGATCACGGTCCCACCATGTCTTGCCGAGTGCTCCAGCATAGGGCGCAACGGCTAGCTGAGCGTAACCGGCCTTGTTGGGGAGCTTGGAGACGGGCTTGAGCTTGGCCGTGAGGGCATCAATGTGGCCGGCGATAATGGCTGCGCCGTTTCCGCTCTTGTACTCGCGGCCGATCGCGAATGCGATAAGAGCACTTCCATTCCGCTTGGTATAGTATTTTCCTCCACGTTCAAGCCTCGAAGTCCACAGTTCCCGCTCGGACAGGTACTCGTAACCCTTGCTCTCAAGTTGTTTGGCGAAACCGTCGACGGCGTGGAAGATGGTGGGATGGTTCGTCATGAAATCGCAGAAGGGCTGCGAGTAGTCTGCCGGGTTGATTGACTCTACTTTGGGGCTGGGGGTGGGAAGCGTAGTGGGAGTCGGTGAAGCAGCAGCCGGAGCTGGAGTCGGAGGCTGGTACTGGAGGTGGAGGGTCTCAGGCAGCTGCCCATACGGGCGATAAGCCAGATTGGGCTGGCTGGTAACGATCGTCTTCTTGGCCATTGTGCAAAATATTATAAAGGACGGTCGGTATTACTATAAGCGTAGAACTGAAAAGAGAGGACAGATGTAAGGAGGATGATGGCAGAGTTGGAGATGAGATGGCGGAGGAGTCATGCGGAGAAGAGAACCGGCTCCGATAAACAATGTGGCTGGCGGCCTCAGGCTGGCGACAACACGGATCGAAATTGCACAAAATTAATGATTTATTTTCTTTTATTCTCTCCTACCCAGAACCACTGTAGCTCGACCCGACAAATGCATTCCAGTTTACCAAACCATCAGGGCATTCTTCCGTGATGTCAGGCCCAACGGCCGTCTCGATCTCTCTCCCATGCCGTTCAATTGCGAATCTGACGGGCCCTGACTGTCCATTGAAAGGAACTGAGAAATGATTCAAGCCAGGCTGATTCGCCATTAAGATTGCCGGTGCTGCATGTCCAATCCGAACATGCACATGGCTTGGTTCAGTCACAAGCACACTGACAAACACTCGGTCCTGCGAGACTTCCCCAGGTTTGAGTTCAGGCTGGCCCATATTGGGATTGTTGCCTGTTGTTCCGTTGGCACTTCCGGAGGTGCTGGGATTAAGTCGATACCAGTAGACGATCTTGTCTGTGTACGAAATGGGATACTTTGGCGCGTACGAGGTCACGGCGTTCGGATGAGACACTCCCTCTCGCAGCATCGCGTTTCGTCGACGATAAGCGTCGATGTAATGAGGCAGGAATGTGCGCCACGCGTCATGAGGGCACCCTTTTACATAACGGGACGCTCCGTCCGGAATCCCGGAATCATAGATTGGACCGATATAGTGCGCCTCGCCGTAGTCGTTCCAGGTGAGAATCTGCGAGATTGTTAGAGACCACTGGCTACTGGGATGGGACAACCATACCTGAACCAAAGCCGGCTGTAACTCAATCACCTGCTGCCAGCGATAATGCCACAAGTCATCGCCCCTCCACAGCCAATTCTTATTCCACTGGGGCAGGTTCGTGTAAAACCACGGAGACACCGCCATCATGTATGGCTTGCCGTGGAGCGCATTAATCCATGCCCTATCACTAAACGTATCCTTGTCCTGTGCACCAACCGGCCAAGCATCCCAGCTAAAAGCCCCATCAACTGTCTCATAGACAGTATGTAAGCCTGGCGGCGCGAGACTCGTCCAATCCGGTATGAACATGCATCCCGTAGCACTCTTGATATAAGGCCAGTCACCCGAACTTCCAACACCTTCAAAGGTCGAAACTAGCGGCCCCCCCTTGTAGAAGTACTGGGCCGGCCTGTTCTTGTACGCATTGATCGTGCTGATGACTCGGTCCCACGGCCACGGCCCTCCAGATTCGTAGTCAAACGAGAGAAACAGTGAGAAGTTTCCAACTCGCTCGGCAGCAGCGTACGCTGTTTGCAGGACACGGTCGGTATAGTCGTCTTGGGGTGCGATGTTTAGAGCGAATCCGTCAATATGCGCTTTTTGTGCTTCAATAATGTCGCGCTCCCACTCTGCCTGTGTCATAGAGCCAGCAACTCCAACCTATATTCATTGAATAAGTGGGAAACTAGCCTAGGGATGGTGGGCTCTTACTATAAAATGGGCGAAAACGCTTAGTGGCTCTGCCGGTGGATATGAGGGTTGCGGCGCATGTTGGGCGAAAGCATTGGGCGGTGGATGAGCATATGCCAGAGGTCCAACTATAGACAATAATAGAGACTTAATGAGCATGTTCCAATAACTTCCTCATGAGCAAAGGAACGATTATAATAGACTGTGAGGGACGCCTTCGGCTTGACCATCACTAACGAACTGCATCTGCGTAGAGCGTCCCGAAGGCGAAAACATTTCAGATGATATGAGATATGAGCGGAGACTCGATACATTGATAGAATCGATCAACCATTCTTGATGGGCGATGTTTCTGACGGGAATGAGGGAAAGTACGGAGATACGAACCTTGATTGGAGATCGAATGCTGTTGTTTTGATTCCTCCCTGCCCTGGATATGACGTAGCAGGCGGTCGAAATGCTTCATCCTGGCCACGCGGCTTGAGAAATGTAGGCTACTGTGTGCAATTGGAGGAATGAAGGACACGGTTAGGTTTAGGTGCTGATGAAATCGAGGTAGATTGTCTCACTTGAAGGTGGAGCCATCATAAATAATGCACACCACATTTTGCCTTTACAACTGCAACTCGGTTTAGAGCGAAGCGAAGTTCATTAATTAGTAAGTATACATGCTTTGCAGGGAGTAGTACTAGAGATTTTGTACAATATAGTGACAGTGCAGGTGCAGCATTATAGGTCATCAGAATTTTATCCAGGTAGCCTAAAGGCAAAGAAGGGGGAGATATATATATTATGGTAGGCAGAGCACCGCTATGTACATAACCGCCATGGGCAGATTCCAAAGACCCATGTAGAATAAATCCATATACAATGGCAATAACAATATATTAGTCTCAACGTGAAATGTGCCAAGGAGATGTCAGCGACCCCTGTATAACATCGGCAGGCTCCATTGATGACCTGCCATGGTTGACCGATGGTTCTATTAAGTACGCACGGTCAATCTTGCTTATTAGCAGAATGTACTGAGTCACTCTACTTCAAATGCACAGGGGCGATGTGAAGACGATCTCCTTTCGCCATGGCCAATTCTGTCTAGAAAAGGCGCTTCAAACGACCTCGGAGCCCTCGTAATTCGCATGAGTAGTAGATGCTCACCGGTCTATAGCAGACGAATTCAAGAATCGCAACATGGCATCCTCACTGAGACACCGTTGTTAGATAACAGAAAAGGCAGCAACCTCTCTCCACTCTAGGGTGGTTGGATCCCGTTTTGTTGTTTCTCCCATTTATCGGTGGTCAACGCGCAGAGTTGAAGCTTAGCCAGAGCTGCCACAAGAGAGGAAATGCATTACCGAGCTCTATGAGCCGTTAGTAAAAGAAAAGAAATTTTCATGGGCCCCTCTCTTGGAGCTCCATTGAAGCTGCTATTATTGCTCAGAGTCCAGGGGAGTGAGCAGCCGGGATTCTGAAAGCGGAATAGCGCCATCAGATAAGATCAGACGACGAGGGAAACTCGGTTCCGTTCATTCAACTTCTGATACCACAAGTTGACTGGCAGTTTCAATCCCTCAGAACCCGAATTTATGTGATACGGGATTGACCTTAGACTGACATATTCTTCTATCCCAAACCTAAGGAGAGACACTTGCGTTGATGTTGAAATCATTAATGACATCTTCAACCCTAAAATATGGAGGTGCGGACTCTCTCCAGACTTGTTGCAGCTGGAAAAGAAAGGAAGAGGTCAACCTTGGATGCAGCTAGCCCTATCTAAACCAATCAATCGCTCGTATTTGGGTGTCTGAGGCCCACTGGTTGAGTCAAGAGCTCGCTCCGAGGTCGGATGGACCGCACGATAATCTAATCTGATCCCCGATCGACTTTTCTCCCCTCCCGAAGTCCAACTTCGTTTCGCTCTTAAGAGAGCCAAACCCGCTCCCATCTCTCTTCGCTTCCCACCCGTCCTCCCCTCTTCCCCTCCAGTCCCTGCCGAATCCCCTCTCTTTCTCTTCGATGTGAGATCATTCATTTACAAGGAATAAATAACCTCTTCCAATTCTTCCCTCTTATCTCTCGACCACTCGCTTCTGCCGAAGGACGCACTTCCGCTCCTCCGGCCGAAGCGGCAACTCCGTGACATAACACCCCTGCCGTTCGCGTTTCCCCTCTCATGGACCACTTATCTTAGAACTAACCTTTCTCTTAGAACTCTTCCAATCGACGTTATGGCTGCCCCGCCAGCGCTCACGATCGTCCCAACTGCTGCTGCTCCCTTGGCCCCCGCGCTGGCCGCCAAGCCCACAGTCTCACCGTCTCCCGGACCGGGCACTCCCGGAAGCGTCACTTCGAAGGAATGGGTGATCCCCCCGCGCCCCAAGCCAGGCCGCAAGCCAGCCACCGACACGCCCCCCACGAAACGCAAGGCACAGAATCGCGCCGCTCAGAGAGCCTTTCGCGAACGTCGAGCCGCCCGTGTGAACGAACTCGAGGAACAGATCAAGTGCATTGAAGACGACCATGAGATCCACGTCGTAACTTTCAAGGAACAAATATCAACACTCTCTCGGGAGCTTGAGCAGTGCCGGAATGAAATGTCCTGGTGGCGTGACCGGTGCCACGCCTTGGAAAAAGAGGTCTCTGTCGAGCGGGCAGCGAGGGAAACCCTGGTGAAGGAGTTTCGTTCGAGTTTGCCGGAGAAGAACTCTTCTTCCGCAGTGCCTCTGCCTCCTCGTAGGTCCCCGAGGGCCCCGAGAGCAAACCATGCAAGAGAACCGTCCAGAAGCAGTAGCCAACCCGAACAGGAAGAAGTTCCGTTGGGTTGTAGCAGTTGTTCTACCTCGCACTGTCAATGCATTGAAGACGCTTTTGCCATGCCGGGCATCGAGATGAAGGACCCGCAGTCGAGTCGCCTGGCATTGGACCCTGAGCCAAAGATTAAACCCGAGCCCGAGGAGATGGAGATTGACTTCACCACCCGGTTTGCCGCTCCCCACCACGAAGACACCGTCAGCCCCGTCGCAAGTCCCCCAGTCGACCCCTGCGGTTTCTGTACCGATGGTACCCCCTGCATTTGCGCAGAAATGGCTGCTCAGGAGGAACAGCGTCGACGGGGTACGGGGTTTGAGAGCAATCGTTTAGCACCGATCCAGATGTCTCAATTCACACCTCCACCATCTGAAAGCGACGTCCGCTCAGAAGTCACCCTACCATCAATCGGCCAGGCCACGAACCCCTGCGCAAACGGACCGGGCACATGCGCCCAATGTCTTTCTGATCCTCGACGAACTCTGTTCTGCAAGACCCTAGCTGCTTCTCGATCCGCCAGTGGCACACCAACAGGATGTTGCGGCGGCAAAGGGGCGGACGGCGGATGTTGTCAGACTCGCGCCGCGCCTCCAGCTCCTCGCCCTGAACCTGCATCAGCACCTTCACCACTTACCCTCTCCTGTGCTGACGCGTTCACCACTCTTTCCCGCCACCCGAACTTCTCTCGCGCTAGCGATGAACTCTCCTCCTGGCTACCAAAGCTCCACACCCTCCCCAATCCCAAAGAAGTCAGCAACGCTGCCGCGTCTCGAGCCGCAATGGAAGTCGAGGCCGCCAGTGTTATGGGCGTTCTACGCTACTTTGACCGAAGATTCGCGGACAAATAGACATGCTCTACGCCGTCATGATCGTTTCATCTCTGTTCTCTTCTCTTCTCTTTCCATTTTTTTGTTTCCCTTTTCAATTTATGATACCCAAGCCTGACTCACTCATGTCTTGAGTTTGTATTATACGAAACTACCTACCACATGACTACACTGGGCGGGATCCCTGGCATCAAAACAAAATTCCCATAAAGTCCATCTCCAGTCTATATCGAGATCGGATAAAATACAGAGCTCAAACATAAAGCAGCACATACAAGGGGACTTGGCTCAAATGTTGGGGATTTTTCTCTAACTGGGTTGGTTGGGCTTCCGAAGAGGTCCGTTTCTGTTACGCTACACATACTGCTATGATTAGACGGGTGTATGACGGCGTTCTGGTTGGTTATGTTTGCTTCCTTCTATCTTGGGGATCTACGGGGGCATTTATACCTATTCTGACACCATTATATGGATCTGAAGTTACGGATTAGTGCTTTTTTTTCTGGTAGAGATAATCAAAATATTGATGCTGCAACTTCCAAGTTGTTACAAAACCTCATGTAAGATCGACTTCTGACAATGTACTATTTATTATAGATAAAGGATAAGCAAGGTAGTGATGCTTCATATGTAACTCAATAAAGAGTAGAGATGCGCTAAATCCAGAGACACATGGAGAGAGATATCAACAGGAAGCAAGCAAGCACAGAGAAAGAATAGGTGCAATCAACGCCTATACTCCCCAGTTCAGGTCCCAGTATATAAAACGCGAATACAAAGGGGTATGCTCCATCACGGCGTTAGAGTGGTATTACAAGGAAGGATGAAAGCGAGAATGATAGAACAGGGTATAAGCACGGAGATGAGATGGAAAGGATGGAAGAAGATGATGATAAGAGGTATCAAAATCGACCACCGCTGGGCATAGAACCATCATCTGTGCTCCCCGCCATGTTTCCAAGAAGACTGGTTCCCCAGTATCCGGCAATTCCCCACATGCCCATTCTCCAACCCCGATAGAGGCCGTGAATGCCCTGGCCTTGGCGTTTGCGGTGTTGGACGGGTTTGCCGAGTAGTTCATGGGCGCGCTCTGCTTCGGGGGCAGGTTGCACGCCTTCCTCGTAGACGATGCTCCACATGGTTCCAATAACGCCGCGGTAGGTTTGCGGTGTCGGGACGATGGTTTCAACTTCGGCGGCTTCGGCTGCCGCGTCTGCTGTTGTAGTATGAAGAGGACCGGCGGATTTCTGCCGGATGCTGGGGGATGTGAATGTGGCGATCTGCGCGCGGCGGAGGACAGTTTCAAGAGGAAAGCGGATGGCGAGTTCTATGCCGGAACCGATAAACGTGAACAAGTTCCAGGTGGATGGATGCAGGACCGGGTCCAGGGAAAAGTATGTTTTTAAGAACAACGGCGTGCTGTATGTGATCAAATTCGGTAAACTTGAATGAAGGATAGTGATCGGAACCAGGTGCGGCGGGATGGTGTAGTTGGGTGTGGGAAGTTGGCGGATGGCACGTAGAAGAGACCGCGGGCCGTGTGTGACGGGAGTGAGGATAAGATATGTGCGAGCGGTGTCAATCGGGGCCAGCAGCACGGCCGAAAGAGAGGAGGAGATAAACGAGAGGACCAGAGTTGCGACTGGCGAGGTGGAAGTGAGAATATCGCTTGCCATCGACGGCGTAATGTCATCCTCGGGCAACCCAACAATGGCGGAGAGCAGACTGCGAATGAAGGTATTCAGGGTCGGAAGGAGCAGCGAGTAAATGAACGTCGCGTTGGTAGCCTTCCACGATGACGTCGGGCCGCTGGTGGTCCAGAGTTGGGAGAGGACCTCCATCAGCGATGAGGGGTTCTTGATGGTCAGCGCATGACGTGAAGTGGATTTTGAAGACGAAGGTAACGCGATGTAGCCACTACGGTCGGTAATCCGACGACGAGGAGTTTTGCGGCTCCGTCGTGACGGACTTGACACTGTCGGCGCTGCAGAGGTGAAGTAGCTGCTTTCATCATCGGAGGACAGGTCCTAAAAGCTTGTTAGTAGATCTCCGATCTCACCGGGAAGCCACCCACATGTTCTTCGTCCTCATCGGAGCCCACATCATCGTAGGAGTCAGTCCTGCTGCCTCTTTCCGATCGCTGCCGGTCGCCCTTTGGGAATTGGCCCTCCGAAGAGTCGCCGGGAACGACATATGCTTGCAGTATCGTCTTTGCGACGTCGAACGGTTGTGCGGTCAAGACACTGATGTAGCGCCATATTGCACTGTCCAACGCATCCCGAATCCAGCTAGAAACCGAAGGCGAGCTATCCAGGTAGTCGGAATAATCTAAATCGGGTAGCAGGTCGCGCGCGGAGCCACCGAAGACCTGGGCCGAGGACGCATTGGGAGGCGAGGAGAACGAGGAGTCTTGGTCAAGACCAATCGACGGAGGGATATAGTAGGGACGGAGAGGGTTTGGTCCGTCGCGAGTGGACATCTTGAGCAGGTGAAGACTGTTAATGCGAGTCTGTCACGGTGGGTGGTGAGGGGTAGCTGCGAGGATAGGAGAAGAAGAAGAGAAAACGTGAAGTCGTGAAAAGTCCGAAATTCCCGCCTTCGCTCGGGATTTTTATTTCCCTGCTTCTTTGCTTTTTGACCCTGATCTGTACTCGACCGAAGTGGTTCCTGCTCACTTCTGCCTTATTTTTTCTACTTTATTCAACCCACTTCTCATTACATTTCTTGAACCGCAATGTCCCCTTGGAAGGACGCAGGTCTGAAACTGCTGCGACATGCTGTTGCCGCGGAGCGCATTCGTGGCTCACAGCCAGCCCGTTCCCTCAGCTACTCCTCGCGGATCTCTCAAGTCTCCCGCCCAGGTCGCATATCGGTGACCACATGCCGGACAGTTCTATCTCGAGACCAGCAGCTCTGGAAGCAAGCTGCGACACCACGGAGCTTCTCCGCCACCGCAGGAGTACACCACGGCCATATCACACCTCCGAAGCCTGGAGAGGAGTGAGTCACTCGATACAGTCCCCATAGTTTGGGCCAAACAGAGATGTGCTAATTGTTAGAATCAATGTGTCTTTCATTGACAAGGACGGTGAGAAGTATGACTTTCAGGTATCAGAGGGGGACAATCTGCTAGATATCGCGCAGGCCAATGATCTTGAGATGGAAGGTCCGAAACGTCCCTCCACTAACCTGTCCCTTTGATTGACGGACCTTTCTGTATAGGTGCCTGCGGCGGCTCGTGTGCTTGCTCGACGTGCCATGTCATAGTAGAGGACCCGGATATGTTTGACAAGATGGAGGAGCCCTCGGACGACGAGAATGACATGCTTGATTTGGCGTTTGGCTTGACGGAGACATCGCGACTGGGATGCCAGGTGTTGATGAACAAGGAGTTGGACGGGCTGGTGGTGCGTCTTCCATCAATGACGCGGAACTTGCAGGCAAGCGATTTCCAGGCGAAGAAATAAAATGGGAAGCTATTGAGAAGTATGTATGATACTGGTGAGGATATACGAAAAGTAGTACGAACCCGATATAAATGTAATATAAACGAGGGTATTCTCATCTCCATTCAATTATCTGGCAGGACCAGACGGCCAAAAAATAAAAAATAAAAATAAAAAGAATTGGACATGACTTTTGACCCAATGATACCGCAACGCCGTGTATATGACCCGATCCAGTGCAAACGAACAAATATAGAAGGGTTAAGCCTCCTCAATATTGAGAGGTTTCCCCTTCTTTCCATTGATCAACTCCAAGAACCCTTGCTTGCTGACCTGGTTGACTGTCTTTTCCCGCTCGCCCATACCGACAGTGCCCTTCTTCCTCTCCTCCTTGGCGGCCTCTTCACCACGAACCTGTGCTGCGCGGACGGCGTTGAATAGCTTCACCACACCACGCTGGGCAATCTTGCGCAGACGCTTCTCCTCCTCGGCAACCGCACCCGCCTGGCCGAGTCCAATACCCAGAACGTCACGAACACGACCACGATCTAGCTCCTCTTTCTTTTCCGCTCGTAGCTTTGCACGTGCCTGATTGTCGAGCTTTTCTTCCGCGAGGTCGGTAGAGGTCTGGGTGACAATCTTGCTGCGAGACAGCACAGGATCTGCGCGGGCGGATGTCGGCAGTTTTGTAGCAAGGATCTTGGAAATAGAGGTCGAAAAAGCAGTAGGATCATTGCGCTTCGGAACCGATCGCTGTCCTATTGAGCCCGTTGGCAATGAGGCGTCGGAATCGGCATCATCTTCGTCGTCGTCCGCATCGGAAGAGGTATTTGAGCCGGGTTGTTCCTCCTCATCGTCGCTTTCTGCCTTTTTTGGAGGCTCGTGTTTCCGCGCTTGTTTCGTCGTCGTCTTCTTTGGAGCTACTTTCTCGACCTCGTCGTCGGAATCTGCAAGGTTGACTGCTTTAAAGTCTGTAGGCTCGTCGGCGTCGCTGGCCTCATCGGAGCTGCTGTGGTATTCGCGCTGCTTTCTGAACTTCTTGTTCGGGCGACCTGCCTTGCCCTGGAAGCCCTCGAGGACCTTTCTTTTCTTTTGACTCGTCGTGAGCGGCATAATGGCGTTGTGTTATTCGATCGAGTGTTGCGTCGAGTGATCGAGTTGCGGCCGTGACTTTTTTTCTTTGCTCTGCGGGCGGAAAATAGCCGCAGGCTCTGATTGGCTGCGGGGTCAACGTTGTCCTCTCGCCTTCGCCTTCGCTTCTTGGATCCCCAAACTACCTCCACATCTTCTCCTGCAACGTATGCAAAGTGTTATCGGCTCTGTGATTGAAGTTACTCTCTATCCGACACCAGCAAGATGGTCCTTCAGGATCTGGGACGGCGAATCAACGCCGCAGTCAATGATTTGACTCGGTCTCCTAATTTGGATGAAAAGGTGCGATCCCCGCCACTAACAATGGGTAGCTGTGAGATGCTAATCCGGAGGAAAGGCTTTTGAGGAAATGCTGAAAGAGATCTGTGCTGCCCTCCTCTCCGCCGATGTCAACGTCCGTCTCGTCCAACAACTCCGGAAATCCATCAAGACCAGCGTCAACTTCTCGTCTCTCCCCGCAGCCGTGAACAAGAAGCGAGTGATTCAGAAAGCCGTCTTCGATGAACTCGTCGCCCTCGTCAACCCCCATGCAGAACCCTTCAGACCCAAGAAAGGCCGGTCGAATGTTATCATGTTTGTCGGTCTTCAAGGTGCCGGTAAAACGACGACATGTACCAAGCTCGCCCGGCACTACCAGATGCGTGGGTTCAAGACGGCCCTCGTCTGCGCGGACACCTTCCGTGCCGGTGCCTTTGACCAACTGAAGCAGAACGCTACAAAGGCCAAGATCCCATACTACGGAAGCCTGACACAGACTGACCCTGCCCTCGTAGCGGCGGAGGGTGTGGCTAAGTTCAAGAAGGAGCGATTTGAGATTATCATTGTTGATACTAGTGGTCGACACAAGCAGGAGGAGCAACTATTCACAGAGATGACACAGATTCAAACAGCAGTGACGCCCGACCAGACAATCCTTGTTCTAGACAGCACCATCGGTCAGTCAGCAGAGGCGCAATCGTCAGCTTTCAAAGCTACCGCGGACTTTGGAGCCATCATTATCACGAAGACCGACGGCCATGCAGCAGGTGGAGGTGCTATTTCCGCCGTCGCAGCAACTCACACTCCCATTATCTACCTCGGTACAGGGGAACATCTCATGGACCTTGAACGCTTCGAACCAAAGGCGTTCGTTCAGAAGCTTTTAGGAATGGGTGATATGGCGGGACTTGTTGAGCACGTCCAAGCCGTAACCAAGGACTCCGCCGCCGCAAAGGAAACCTACAAACACATTGCCGAAGGTATCTACACACTTCGCGACTTCCGCGAGAACATCACCTCAATCATGAAAATGGGACCCCTGTCCAAGCTCTCTGGAATGATTCCCGGCCTCTCAAACCTCACCGCAGGACTAGACGATGAAGACGGCTCCATGAAACTCCGTCGCATGATCTACATCTTTGACAGCATGACCGCCGCTGAGCTCGACAGTGATGGCAAGCTCTTCGTCGAGAAGCCCAGTCGCATGGTTCGCGTCGCCTGCGGCAGCGGCACAACCGTCCGCGAAGTCGAGGACCTTCTCTCACAGCACCGCATGATGGCGGGCATGGCTAAACGCGTCGGCGGGCAAAAGAAGCAGATGCAGCGCGCCCAAAATATGCTCAAGGGCGGAAACAAGGAGCAGCAGCTGGCAGCTATGCAGAAGCGCATGGCGTCGATGGGTGGTGCCGGTGGGATGGGCGGTATGCCCGGCATGGGCGACATGGCGAAGATGATGCAGATGTTGCAGGGTCAGGGTGGCGGCGGTGGTGGTGGGCTGCCAGGCCTCGGAGGGATGGATCTACAGGCGATGATGAGCCAGATGGGTGGGTTGATGGGTGGGATGGGAGGTGGTGGAAGAGGTCGGGGTCGGTGATCCTCCTTTTTTTCCCCACTACCATCTTCCCTTTTCCCATCTCAGCTTCTCGCTTGTTTCCCCCTTGCGCGCGTTTTTTTTCGCGCTTTTTTTTTTTCAAATGAGGGATATATTTCCGCATGGATGGAGTTTGGCGTCTGCTTTTATTACCCTTTCTGTGATCCAATATAACCACAACCTCAAGGTTCAATTTCAACTTAATCACACTATCGGTCTCACAATTGTATCCAAATCTATATATAACTCAGATGTGCACATAAAAGTCAAGACTTTTTACACCCGTCTACAACCCAATATAGATCCACTATAATCCAAGAGACTACACAATCCAATCTTTCGCCGGATGCTCAACCATCAACCCAGTCCATCGCAACACCCAATCAGTAACAACGTCCACCCACTTCTCAGAAGACTTATCCACAAGCACCTCTCCAGGCTGGAACAACGCGTGCGACGAAGAGACGCCCTCTGCACCTTCAGCTGCGCCCTGAGCTTTGGACATCGGAGCCAGTGGCACACTCAACCGATACTTCCAGACAACTTCATCATCGATATATAGAGTATACGTGAGCACCGAACTCGGCACCTCATCAACAAGGCCATCATCAATCTCAACGAGCCCAAATTTCGTGTTCCCGTCGGGGAGGTACTTCAGGGGCACGTCATCGGGCCCTGATTGGTAGTATGTGCGGACGGGGAGGTAAAACATGCTTAGAGGCCCAGTGCAGAACTCGATGAGTTCCTGGTCTGTTTCGAGATCTTGCTGATTCACTGAAGAGGAGGACGGAGGGTCATGGGCTGTAGGGAGAGGCGGGAATCTAGTCGCGGCGAACTCGTGCCTATCGCCGGAGAGAAGGACAATTCGGATTCCCAGATTGCGCTGCGCGGCGCGCATTGCAGCGAAGACGGTGGCGCGCTCGGATAAGAAGCCACCCCATGTGTCTGAGGTGCCGGCGTGCCAGTTACGGGTGAAGGGGACGCTGGAGGAGACGATTTTCCAGCGGACGTGGGCGGGTTCTGGGCGGGCGAGGAAGGCGAGAAGGGACGAGAGCTGGGCCTTGCCGAGGATAGTTTCCTCCTCTGGGGAGCGGTAGGAGCGGGTATCTGTGAGAAAGAATGCTGCGGGGCCGTTGGTGAAGGTTGAGTAGGAGGATTTGGTGTTTTCGGTCTCTGTGTCGGGGGCTGGGGGGTTGATGGAGGCGTGGTAGTGAAGGTAGGGGTCTATGGCAGCGGGGTAAGGGGGAGTCGTATTCCCGTGGTTCCAGTCGTTGGCGATCTCGTGGTCGTCAAGGGTATGGATCCATGGGATATTGATGGCTGATGGATACCAGGATGGGGAAGAGTAGACTCGGCGGTACTCGCTGCGGTAGTGGGCGACGGATGAGCCGAATCGTTGTGGGACATCGATGTAGATGAAGTCGCCTAAGAATAGCATGAACGAGGGAATACGGCTCAATGACGAGACGGCTGCTGTCATTGTCTCGAGTCCCTGAATACGTAGCGGATGCCGCCGAGGGTCGTAAGGGAAGTTGGGCTTCATGCAGCTCGAAGTGAGGAAGCTGAGGCGATTGGCGGCCGAAGACTCCGGCGCTGGGTTTGTGACGAAGAGACCGGTTTTGTTGTTGGAAAGAGCATAATGGTACGAAGAGGAGGAATTTAGTCCCCTGAAGGTTATGGTGGTTGTGAAATCGGTCGAATCGTCCAGAGTCTCCACGGTCGCTGCGTGAATCCACGGAGTGGGATCGCTGTTCGCGTTGTCGGCTTCCTTATATGACACCACAAGTGGAAGAAGCGCCTGATCAGGCTCACGAATGAGTAGCTTGGCCGTACTATGTGAGATATATCCGATGCGCGAGACACGGAGGTTGGTGGTGGGATACAGGACGAAGCCTCGAAGGAGAAAGTCTGTTGTGAACAGGCCGCAAAGGAGGTTGATCAGGATGGCCAGGCGTGTGGCCCACGATTGGCGGCAGGGCACTCCAGTGATAAGAGATTTGAAAATGCCATTGTTCTTGTTCCTAGGCGGGGAGAGGTAGATTGAGGTGAGATAAACGGCGAGCGAGGTGAAGATGACCGGAGGAAAGACATGGCCGGGAATCTATCGAGCGCGTTAGCAATTGCGTGCGGGGTAAGCGGAGAGAAATACCCAGCGTAGGAAGATAAAGGACGCGAGACGGACAAGAATAGAGCTTGTGATGGTCAACATGTTGCTACATCTCAACCCTCGAGAGGTGAAGAGGAAAGAAAAGACGAGGCGGAGGAAGAGGCGGAGGTGTAATAATGGCATGATGTCATACGGGGATAGCTTCAAACTATCCCAATCGGGAGCCCAGCAAACTCCTCGCCTTCTGCACGAGCAGTTTCATTCCCATACTCAAAGACATTTCCGCTGCCCATTCCCAGGGCCGTTCCCTCTGCCCAGGCATCGAATTGAAATACTCCCAGCCCATTACGCCGCCAAAATTCGGGAATTGTTCTACCAGCATGGCCAGCACTTGCCCAATCTTCTCACGAGGTACATAACCCTGCGATCCATTTCCAGGATTCGTCAGGAGGCCATATACTACCCTCGCCGGGGACCAGCCTTGCGCCACAATAGCTGCGTACATGCGAGGATCCTCTGCGGGACCCCAGCCGTTGTAGAATTGAGCATTGTACCAGGCGATGCTGCCAGCGCGCTGACTTTCCAACTGGCGGTAATCAAAGCCAGAAAGGTTTCCAATTCCCAAGAGAGCCGCAGCCACGGGAGCCAGGGTAATGAGGAAGCTCTCGCCGAGATCGTCCTTGAGCCGGTCGATGAGGCGAACAATGCCGACTAGGGACATGGGCTCCTCAACGTCCAGATCGACGCCATCCAAGCCGTGTCGGCGTATCATAGCCAGGAGAGGCGCATAGTACGACTCGAACTGAGTCTGGTCGCCATCAAGGCAGGAGAAGGTGCCTTTAGCAGCGCCTCCCAGCATGCCTAGTACCTTCACGCCGCTCTGCTGAAGCTGGGGCACTTCTGCCCAGAGAGCATCGTACATAGAGTGATGAGGTGGGTCATCGTTTAGAGTAATGTGCTCGGGATTCGGAGCATTGAGATGGAACGCTGCGAGGATGACGTGGGTAATTCCTGTGTTATTGCGCACGAGCGGCATCAGAGACACGTAAGGGCCACTGTTGGGACATAGCGTCTGGTGGTAGAGCACAATGCGATGAGGATATGAAGGAGGAACTGGTGGCATTCTAATTGATAAAATTGAGGCTGTTTACATCAGAGCAAAGGGAGAAACAGGAGGGACAGGAAGATAAGATAGAGAGGGGTAATTGGAGCCCCAGAAACCCTAAAACCCTACCATTGCCCCAAGAGTACATCAGCACATCAATATCAGTAGCGTAAGATTACAATAAGTGAGACATCTAGAAACACTCGATCCACAAATCTTCAAAATCCTCAATTTTACTCTCGTCGATCTACAGGAAGATAGAGCACCGCACCACAAAGCTGGGTTTGAGGCGGCGGGGGAGCTAGCCCGAACCAGCAAATCATCAGCAACGGGGGCCGTGCGTATGCCTGAAAACGCAGGCCTCTTAGGCCTCTCCGCGCGTCGCGTTTCGACCTCATTTCCATCCGCCTCATCTCCTATGTCATCAACCTCCCTCAACTGCCGTCTTGCGCATTGGCTTATCTCCTCTCAACATCAATCTTATTGATTTGATATTTATATGTTGTTGTACGATCCTCCATATGATGCGCTGATTGCCTCCCATGGCCGATACAACATCCCACGACACCGTCGGCGCATCCACCCTGGTCGCCCCCTACTTCTCTCCCACTTCACCAACCCCCTCTGAGCATCCACCGATAGACTCTCCGGACCGTCTTCCAAGTCCAGCCAGTAGCGCCGGTGCTCGATCTCCGTCCCAGTCACCTCCATCCTCTCGCGAAGCATCCCTTGATCGTGCGGCACGGGAACTCGATGCCCGTCTCGCCCAGTATACAGTTGATTTCAGCCAGTTCCCCAGCGGACACGCGCGAGATGACGTTTTAGACGAGCAACCAGAGGAGGAAGAAGAGCGACTATCGGCGGTTGGCGGCCCTGAAGACTTTACTGCAAATCTCGAACGCTACCTACTTGGGGAGGACGACTCAATAGATCAGGAGTTTGATGACAAAGATGACGACCGGAATGAACCCGAGGAACAACTAGAAGCTGAACCTGAATTAACGGAGCACGAAGAGCACAAACAGCCCGATCAACAAGCTGAACAGACCCGTCAACCGGGAGTGGAGGATGAGCACGAGCTTGGCGAGTATAGTGAATTTGGGCCTCCGGTCGACATGTCTACACCATCGCGCCTATTGCGCCGAAATGTTGCACCAATCAGGGACGTAACCCACCTCGAGGACATCGAGGAGGATCCCGATGATGAACCGAGTATCACCGCAACCCCAACGGCCCGGAAGCCTAGATCGCCGACCAATCAGTACGAAAAACATACGAATGAGGACCTGCATCGGCATATTGCCGAACTGACACATGTGCTCAAAGACCGTGACGAACAGTTAGAGATGAACCGGACACACATTTTGGAAGCGGTCTCCGCTGGAGCCGAGATAGAACACTTGAGAGGCGAATTGCAGAAAAAGACGGCCCTCCTCGAGGAGCTTCAAGAGCGCCGCTCACAGGAAATTCCGCGAAGACCCTCTGTCAGCACATCTGACTTTAGTGCTCTCCAAAAACAGATCGCCGACATGCAAAAGCACCTTCAAAACCAGGGATCGCATGCCGATATCGATGTGGAACGTCTAGAGACAATATCAATGCTGCGCCAACAACTATCCCTTACTCAAGAGCAGTTGAGGAAGCGCGATACAGCCCTCGATGAGACCCTCGCTAAACTGAAAGAAGCCACCGCAGCCAAAGAATCGCAACTTCACGACAAGAATGCCGAGATCGACAGGCTTAGTGCGCACATCACCTCCCAGGATAAAGCCATAGAGAAGCTCGAGGCCAACCTCTCACGCGCTAACCGCGAGTACCGACTTCTCGAGGACCAACTGGTCTTACTTGAGACCAAGAATCGCCCGTTAGAAGAGAAGAACAGCACTCTCGAGGCCGACCTTACGCGAGCCCAGTCGCAGGTCACAGCTCAAGGGAACGCGTTGAAGACATTGGCGGCCGACCTCCCTATGGATACCGTGGGCGGCACCTACAGTGAAATCTTAGAATTGATCAAAGACCTAGGGCCGGATACCAGCCAGCCCACCAAACCCAGAGACGCAGACGAAGAACTTGAACATATTCGGGAAGAGCTCGCTAAATTGCGCACCGAGTTAAGTGAAACAGCTTCGGCGAACAAGACACTCGAACAACAACTCGCCCGCGCCCACGATCAAGCCGCAGAGTCCCAACTGCTCATCCAATCCATCGAAGCAGAAAACACTCGCCTCACTAAACGCGCCGAAGAGCTCGAATCCTCTCTCGACCAAGCCCAAACCGAATTCAATCGCCTCCGAACCGACCACTCCAAAGCACTGGAAACTATCGAACGCCTCCGAGACAGCAATCAACAGCAAACGACCGCGCAACAACCCCAACCTATTAGCCCTCCCTCAACACCACACGCAACCCTGGAAGCAACACACAAATCCCAGATTGCGTCACTCAAAACCGCTCACGCAACCGCAATCACAACCCTCCGCTCCGCCCACGCCGACTCAACCCGCAAACTCCGTGCCCTCCTCGCCGCTTCGGAAAAGCGCGAGGCCGACCTCCGAAATGAATTTGCCCAACTGCAACAGGCTTCGCAAGACACAGACGCCAAAGCCGAAGCCGACGCTGAAAGAGCAACCCTCCGCGCCGAAGTCAAACGCTTGAACGCTGTCATCGCAGCCAAAGACGAGACCACCGCGGCTATGGACCTGCGTATCGCAAAATCCGTCGAGAAGCGCGAACGTGAGTGGGAACGGCGCGTGGAGTTACTGCTCAAGGAGCGGGAGCGGATGAGCCGTGCGCTTTTGTGGAGCTGGGGTGAGAAGGAGATTCCCAATGGTCAGGTTACTGTAAAGGAGAGGGATAGTAGCAGTGGTACTAAGGGGAAAGATAGATCGGTAGGGAGTGATAAGGAGAATACTGATGAGGACGGAAATGCTGTTGGCAAGAGGAGGCATGTGTATCGGTATAAGTATGCGAAGAGGACGTAGATGTTTCATTACGGGTTTGCTTTGCTTTGGTGTCATTTCGGTTTCGGTTTGGGTGGCCGGCGCAGGTCATATGCGGGGAAGACATGGATGGTCGACTCGTGTAGTCCATGACTGGAGTAGGCGTCTCGGGATTATTGGTTGCTTAGATTTTGATTCCTGGTTGATTATATCATATCCTCGAAGTAGACCTTGTTCTATTGTCCTTTCATCTTATCTTTAAATAGATGTGGTCGTATTGCGCTATAGCCCTTATCCAAATGACGGCGTACGAACCCTACACCACAAGAAACGAAGTGACAATTATTATACATCCATATCCCCCAAATCCTCGCAGTAATGGCTACCGATCATCTCTGTCCCGCAGAGCTTCAGATCTGCTCCTAACCTCGTGTGCTTTCAGCTCCAGCTCCCCGGTCAAAGCTCGGGGGCAGTTCATCCAGCGACGCTCCGGTCTCGCGAATACAATCTAAATGACCAGGGACTGAAACGATACTCACATTACCGAAAGTGGAACTGCGTGGTCGGCGTAAGCTTGAATGCTGATATGGTTCGAAGTCGTTTCTCCGCAGGTGGCGGCTATATCGATTGCGCCCGCTGGGAAAGCGCTGGCTCTGGGTGTAGCGAGGGGCATACACGGGGTCAAATTGGGACTGTCGTTGTGGAATGCGCATTGTGCTCATGCGCATTGGCCTTGACTGTGTCGGGTTGAGAAGGGTGGCCCAGGACCCTGAGGCTCGGTTGGGATTCAGTGAGAGGGGAGTAGCCGCTGTGGTGCTTGATCTGCGAATTTTGAGGGGTGCCGGGGTAATGACTTCTGGCGCGTCGGCGGAGTTCGTGGTTGTTGACCTTGGTAGGGATGGAGTTAAAATTGCTCGTGTGGGTTGAGATGGTGGGTATGGTTGATTGTCCTTTGGAGGCGGCTGTGGTGACTTTGCTGGGGGTTCTGGCGGGGACTGTTGCCCTTGAAGTGTAGGCTCCTGCGGTAATTGCGGTACTTCTTGCTTCTCAAGGTCAATGTGGGCGCTTTCTTCTGCAAGGGCCCGGATCTGAGGATCTGCCGATAAAGGCTGAGAGGCGGGAAAAGACTTTGGGAGAAACCGGCGGAGGGAAGATATCGAGGATTTGTCTCTTTTGTGGTTTGTTGTCGCGGGCGTGCCAGAGCCAGCAGGCAATTCCGGCAAAGCCTGGCCTTGAACCTGATGGGTGGTGTGCGTAGTAGCAGCGGAAGGCGTACGAGAGACACCAGGGAAATACTGATCACGCAGAGTGCCAGGGGTGGCAGTGGTGCCAGATAGGTATTCAGCTTCGGCTACTGGGTCTGCGCCAAATTGTAAGAAAGAGGTTGGACGTATCGGACTGGGCTGCTGGATACTGGGAGTAAAGTTCGATGCCTCGCTGTTGTCGCTTGATGTCGTATATGGGTTTCGGCCGTATGTGATGTCTGGATTGCGGCAGACACAGAAGATGTCTCTTTTCAGATTTTTCTCGCTACTCAGGGTTGACTCCGAGACAATGCTGCCCTCCCGGCTTGAGAGAGGCTTGTAGATACCGAGTAGCGAGACGTCATATGGGCGATCGCAAAGCTCCCTGGAGCAGAAGTATAGACAAACGGTAAGGCTAGACGATCATCAGTAGAGCTCTCTCTCAGTCTTGCATTTGACTTACAAAGATAAGACGGAAACGATGACGACTGCTCGATGGAGAGCACAGCTGATACCGGCTTTCCAAAACCCGTCGGTGGCAGTCTCAGGCAAACAGAACGCTTGCTGGGACACCACCACCAGACCTGCTACACTGGCTCCTAGCCAGATGAGGATTGTCAAGCGCAGAATATAAGTGCATACACCATGTAGCACCTTTTTCTGACTCTCATACCCAACAATCCTGTTGTACTGCCAGCCGAGAAAGCTATGCAATACTACAAGAGGTACCGTGAAGAAAGCCTAGAGACTTTAGTACCAGTTATAACACTGATCAGAAGCATCGCTTACCGCTACGAGGGCGAAAATCAAGCTCGGCGCCATCTTGAAGTCCACATGTTTGATCGCATAGAGATAGACAACGACAACCCATTCAATAAGGGATTGGAACAGCATAACATAGAGTGAGATGAAAATGACAACCTTTGTCCATGAGCCTCCTCTCCGCGAGGACATTGATTGATAAGGCATGTTGATAGACATTCAATGAGGTGACGAAGATCAGACGAAGCCGCGATGTAGCTTTACGCTACAAAAGTTGGTAGCCCCCGTGGAAGATAAATGAGATAGGCCAGGTTATGGGCAAAGGGAATACTGAACTTCAGACGTCTTGAGAATCGCCTGGGAAAGATGCCTTTACAGCTGGGCGGAGGAATTGCTGTATATGAAGGCCCCCCATTGTGAGATTGAAAGGCAAGAAAATGATCCAAAGGATACATGATACGCAAACGATCGCGTCAACGCGGGTTAAGAAGGATCGGAATGGAGGAGCTTCAAATATGCTCCTAGGCAGAAAGCGTCTGACATGTCTGGTACTTGTTGCCCTGGAATGCGGGACGGGAAAGGTGGGCAGACCGAGATTAGCGCCGCTGTGGAGTTTGAGCTTACTGAGTAGATACTTTGGAAATGCTCAGGCAGATCGACTCATGTGTTGAACGATTGCGAGGAAGTCCAGCCCTTGACTGCTCCCAATGCGACAACTGTGTGGGCATTGAGTCAAACACAGACGACGTGATGATGCCTTGATCGGCAAGATATGGAAGTGTTCAAGAAGCAATCGAGTTACTCAGTACGATGGGAAGATGGGATGAGCGAGGGGTAAAGCAAAGGATGGAGAAAGGATGGAGAAAGGATGAAAAGTGAGGGCAGGAGGGAAGAAGCTCAATGAAGGGCGGGCACGTGACACATCGCTCAAGGGGATTATCCTCTGAAATCAGATTTGACCTCTCCTTGAACCCTTGTTAACATTGATTCTCTTCTCAATTTCTCTGATGATTGTTTGACTTGACAATGAAGGGTGGCTAGGTCATCATCCTAGGTATACTCCTTGAAAGCTCACACGAACCCTTACAACACCACCACTGACTCGCGCTTTTTCTAGAGCAATTCTTCCTCGCGCAAAAAAAAAAAAAAAAAAAAAAAAAAAAAGCTTCGTGGTAACCCGTGGTCCTGGTGCAACTATACCGCGCTCGTCCGAGGACTGGTTCTATCACCGTCGTCCTTGGGACCCTCCGAGCCTTCGCTGCTGCTTTCAGGTGTCGCTCGGTTCGTCCCTTTGCCATTCTTCCCAAGTGCAGAAAGGAGGGGAAGTCTTCCGTGACGCTCCTTGTATCCCATTGTCACAAACCAGTGAATGATCGCCAGCCAATAGAGGTTATATGGAATCACAGATCTATATGCGGCGGAGTTGGTCCAGCCAATTGTGTTAAAGATGTCCCATCCCCCACCACTGTTTAGTGAAGGATTGCAGCAGTCTACATGCCAAACACTCTGTCGTATGTCGTACGAGCCAGGCTTAGATCCTGTCAGACCCGTCGCCACTGATGAGGTGGTTCCAAGTCTCATTCTCCAGGCTCCACACCCCACAATAGAAGTCCAGCAGCCATAAGGTACAGCAGGCATGTTGATATGACAAGGAAGGGTTGGAGGGAAGCCGAGTTTCCTCCCCTGTTATCATCAGCCTTGGATCTATAAGAGTATGAATCAGACTTACCAGTACATTACGTAGCGCACCACAACGCCTGCTGCGATTCCCCCGAACACCGGCAGTGGGAAGGCATACGCCGGATAGTTGAGACCAACAAATACGACGGGCTCGAGACCTTCACGAAGCACTGTGACAAATGGTATAACAAACATGGCATACTTCTGGGACCATCACTTCAGAGAACCCTTGGCTGGAGCCTGCGAGTCAGCGCTGCCTTCGAACGCGCGTCTTAGCTTGCCAGACCACGTCTCCTTCAATTTGTTGACTCGGAGCAATGCTTCACCCATTATGGTGATGACAATGCAGCTGACCAAGGAAAACACTCCCTCCCAGATGTCTTCAGCCTTGGAGAAGCTATCCTTTCCAAAGCTGTAGAAAGCACCAATCACCCCACAACCTAGACAGAGACATATGGTCATTCCGAGCCTAACTCCCCACCAGACCTAAAGAATAGGCCAGAAAAAGGCCACTTCATAGTAATATGGCCGAGCAAGAAAAAGAACTGAGGCTCTCTTCAGTGCCTGTTTGACCGGCCTCTTTCTGGTTCGTCCATCCTCCTCCCTAAATAAAGCCTTCTCTATAAATGCAAGCAAGACAGAGATGATGATGCCGGTCTCAACACACTCCCGGAAGCAGATGAAGAAAACCTGAGATTTAGGGCCCCTTGTGATCTGGCTCGCACTCGGCGACCAGGTCCTCGAGGCGTTCGAGGGGTAACTAGAAATGTTGCTAGATTGGTTTACCTGGCACTGCGAATATGTCCTTGGCCACTCTGCTGGGAGGTCAAAGGACAGTATTAACGAAAAGAGGCTTCGATTGATGAAGATCAATAGGAGGGCAGAAGACCAGGTGCCTCTGCTAATCTTTGTGCCCTAAATGCAAAACGGGGGATTTTGGCTGGATTGCGGACGAGAAGTTTCGATTCTTCAGCCAAAGACACACCGAAAGTCTTCACAAACACAGTTATCTCAGTAGCTTTCAAGCTCATTAACTCATATTATCCATGCTTTCTCGGCACTCAATGTCACATAAGGAGATGGTATCATTGCCAACGTCTATAATGGACTTGAAAATCAAACAACAAGCGTTCATTGGCATGGGATCTTACAGAATGACACGACTCACATGGACGGTGCGCCAGCCGCCACCCATTGTGGGATTGCTCCTGGAAGCAGCTTTACATATAACTTCACTGTGCATGGTTTTCCACCCCCTTTGAAGCTTCTCTAACCTCTGTAGGTTGATCAAGCAGGAACCTACTGGTATCACTCACACACTCGCGGTCAATACCCCGATGGACTGTGGCAGGCCCTAATAATCACGGACCCATTGAATCCATATCTCGGACAGTATGAAGAAGAACAGGCCATTACACTTTCTGATTGGTATCATGACCAGTTGCTGGATCTATTGGAGAAATTTATCAGCCTGACAAACCCAACTGGAGCAGAGCCTGTGCCTAACCTGCCTTGATCAACGACACCCAGAACTTCACCGTCTCTATCAAACCTGGGAAGACATATCTATTTCTTCTTGTAAATGTCGGTGCCTTTGCGAGTCAGCGGTTCTGGATCGAGGGCCCTAGTATGCGGGTAGTCGAAGTCGATGGGGTCTGGACCAGTCCTTTGGAAGCGAATATGCTCTAAATTTCGGTAGCACAGCAATATAGTATTTTGGTGACGATGAGAATGAATCAACGCGCAATTACCCCATGATGGTAAGCATGGACACGGTAAGTGCCTTTCGGTATTAATACTATCCGGTCTAGCAACTGTAGGATATTTTCATTAAATTACAATGTCACTGGTTAATTAAGGTACAATGACGAGGCAGATAGAGCACCTGCGGCTCCAATCCGCACCTTTGACACGGTCGATGATATGAACCTCGTTCTGACTGACGGCCTCGCTCTATACCCTAGACCAAACCATGTCATCACTCTGGATCTCAGCGTGGATAACTCGGCGATGGCGCAAACTAGTAAGTAACCTTACCCTATTGAACAATCCAGCTGACGGAACAGCGCATTCTTCAACAAAATAACCTACATCTCGCACAAAGTCCCATCTCTATACACCGCACTATCATCCGGCCCAGCTGCCACTGATCCAACTATCTAGGGCCGAAACACCAATGCCTTTATATTGGCAAAGGGTGAGATTGTTGATATTGTCTTGAACAACGACGACACAGGAAAACACCCCTTCCACCTCCATGGCCACGGTTTCCAGGTTATCACTCGTAGCGCCGATAAAGTGGGACATTTTACTGCCAGCGACAAGCATGACTTTCCACCCGTGCCCATGCGTCGGGATACCATCCTTTTAACCCCTTCTGGACACTTTGTTATTAGGTTCCATTGCAGATAATCCAGTTTTGTCTGTCCTTCCTTGGCATATATATAGCTTTTTGACCCTACCATTTACCAAGATAGAAAAGGGATATGGCTGTTCCACTGTCACATCGAATGGCACATGGCCAGCGGCCTTGCAGCAACAATGATCGAAGCCCCACTAGACCTGCAGTGGACACTGGCAATACCTCGAAATCATTATCGGGCCCGCTACGGGACTAGGACGCCCACAGAAGGAAATGCGGCAGGTAGAAACGAGAATCTATACGACTTCTTCCGGGCAAATATCTCGCCAGAACCGCTACCTGACGGGTTTACAGTTCGTGGCATAATCACATTGATATTTAGCTGCATCGCGGCTATTCTGGGGCTCGCGACGATAGTCTGGTATGGCGGGCTCCATGCCATGTCAACGTCTAGTAGAGAGTTTTATGAGACTGCATTTTATCTCTAGTAGAAGTTTTAATCTTATTCTCACACTCCGACATCATATCAGTCATAGCAGCATCACAGATGCGCAACGCACTCAATCTCAACATCCGTATTCAGCGGCAGAGTCTTCACGGCGACACATCTGTCCAGCGTAACGGATATAAATCAGCTCAAGTCTCCTTCTACCAACCCCAGAAAAGAACAAAGAATCCAAAGAACACAAATGAGTTGCAAGTACTCACGTCCGACAAGGCTTAACATCACCCCAATGCTTCATATACTCTTCATTCATACTGGCAAAATCATCCATATTGGACAAGAAGACATTTACTTTGACGACCTTTGTGATATCACTGCCGGCTTCTTCGAGAATTGCGGAGAGGTTTTTTATGCATTGGGCCTGAATGAACATCAGTTAGTATGAGTATTTAATATATAGCTTGGCCCTCTGCAAGGGAGGGGTAAGGGGGTGGAGGAGTGAAGTACAGTGTGAGCCTTGACATCGCCATCAATGAGCTTTCCCGTCTCGGGGTCCATGGGAACGGCGCCGGAGCAGTAGACCATGCCATTGCAGATGATAGCTTGTGAGTAGATTCCCGGGAGGGGCTTGGGGGCTCTAGTTGTTAAGACGGGAGTTTTGGAGGCCATTGTTGTCGATCTTGAAAGTACAAGGGGACTAAGAGAGGAAAATTGAAAGAAGAGAAGAAACTCAAATATGGTATTTATTGTTGGCTGGAAAGAGGGTGAAATGAGATGCAAGGGTTGGAGACGGTGAACCCATCATTGGGGTATCATTGATCGTCGTTATCTTTGCTTCCCCTCATCCATTATTAGTGGCTTATCGCAGCTATTGTCGCAGCGTCCCTTGTCCGTCGGCACGGAAGGAATACGACAGGCCAATAATGTGAGACACTCATATGTAACCTTCTCCAAGGTTATCGAGAGACTGCCCCCGACTCCAACTCGATGATAAAGAGGCGGGGTGAGTTGTCGACAATCCTTGCATGAGTCACACGAGCTGAAACCTGCTGCTGCATGAAAGAAGAGATAAACGCCGTTGATAGCGCCCTTCTCAGAGTCATCGATCTCTACAACGACTGTTGCTGATTTTTTCCACTCAATCAAGACGACGAGCAGAGAAAGATGTCGCTCTCCAATCCTTCCCCGCCCTACCCGCTCCACCCATCGGTCGAGAATCTCCTGGACCCCGAATACGTCGAGTTCTACAACACGCACGTATTTGACAAGCAGCAGGTGCACCTACAGCCCGTTGAGGCGTCGCGCACAAGCGGCATCCTTATCCCCGGGGGTGGGCCACTTATAGAAGTCGGCAAGACTGTCGATATCACCATTAAGCGACGGGCAACCGATGGTCCCGACATCCTGCTGCGCGCATTCACACCTGCAGGCGAGAAACCTGGAGGAGGATGGCCGGTTATGTTGTACTTTCACGGAGGCGGGTGGGTTTTGGGGAACATCGATACGGAGAATGTGGTGTGCACCAATCTGTGTTCGAGAGGTGATTGCGTGGTTGTGACCGTTGATTACCGGTATTCTCCGTCCTTCCTGGCGTATATGGAATGAGCGACTGACGGGCTAGTCTCGCACCGGAAAATCCGTGGCCAGCTGCAGTACACGATTGTTGGGAGGCGCTCCTGTGGCTCATATCAGACGGCGTTGCCGCCCTTGAGGTCAATATCAGCAGAATAGCAACAGGAGGGTCATCGGCAGGAGGAAACTTAGCAGCGATCATCACACAAAAAGCATTGACTCTGTCTCCGCCTGTCAAGTTCCTCGCTCAGCTGCTTTCCGTCCCTGTTATGGATAACACGGCGCTGGTATCGAACAATGACTCCTACAGGCTGTATGAGTTCGCACCTGCTCTCCCAGCCGCCAAGATGCTGTGGTACCGCAATCACTACCTCCCGAAGGAAGAGGACTGGACACACCCGGAGGCGAGTCCGTTGTTCTATACTGGGGACTGGTCTGCTCTGCCACGGGCGCTGATCATGGTCGGCGAGCTTGATGTGTTGCGCAGGGAGGGTGAGCAGTATGGGGAAAAGCTGACGGAGGCCGGAGTCCAGGTCGATTTGCAAGTAATGAAGGGGATGCCACATCCATTCTTAGCGATGGATGGTGTATTGAAGGAGGGAAAGCGGTCAATAACGCTGATGTGTGACCTACTGAAGGACGTTTTTTCGACCTAACGGTCTCAGTGAAGGAGAAGGTAGACTTCAGAGAGTCCAGATACAATAAGCCAGATAGTTGATATCAATCGAGGATCGAGTATGAGGTGGCCTGAAGGGTATAGGCTGCGACTGTAGGGCTTGTAGGCACCACCTAGGTCTGCTGCCTGGGCCCGCGAGGTTCTCAGACGCATGATATGCCATTTCAAGTAAAGCGACGACCCGGCGAGGCTTAATATTGGCTGAGACGTTGTAGACACGACATTCAGGAGTCTCTTTTCATGTTTGTTATCAACGAGGTCCATTTTCTATGCGCTATTATTTTGATGCGGCGCTGAGCTAGAAATGAAGGAATAGTAGAGTATCCGCCGTGGGCCGGTAATTGAACGGGGAGCTCCAAGTTAATAGTTGCATTCCGCGATATCGGCTTCGCTCAATGGCTAGCAGGATCCGGCATTGGATTTTTTTTTTTTTTTTTTTGCTCTTGACTTGTGTCCGATGTTGAACCTGCTCTCAGCGTTTTCTCTTCTGTTTGTAGTAAATGCTCACCCCTGCATGGACCCTCGCGGGGACAACTCGGACGAGTCGACCAGACCCAAGGAACCGGACAAGCAGGGCGGGCATTATTGCAACTTGTGAGTATGCACAAACATTTATTCGCATTTTGGCTCTTCGACTTCCTAACGGTGTAGCCCCGACCGTACCGTCGGGGTTCTCTCGGAACGTGGGTCTCTGGTCCATCTCCAATCATTTCGCCTTCGACCTTCTTCGGACCTCAGGTGTTTTGAGTAATATAAGCAAGCTTCTGTCGCCTCACGACTGTTGTGATCCTGGTGTAGCTTTAGGAACGGACCCTCTTCCGATTGAGCTGGCAAGCTCCTGCCTGAATAGGTGAGCAGATTGGGCTTTTAACCGCCGGACCGTGGGCTCAGGACAGCAAAGTGTTGGTGGGATTAGGCACGGGCCCAAGTTGCCTGCGTTAGCGGCTATATAGACCCAATGAGGCTCATGGCCAATTTTACTGAGTGGGGGCGTCTAGTTTGAGGGTCCAGTAAAAGTGCTCAGCTGCGGAGCGCAAAGTTATCACCGAGCTAAGCCTGGCACTAACAAAAAGACCCTCTCGTTAGCGAGAACAACGTAGGGCCGAGTCCCGGTCACAGACAGTCCGAATGATGGTCGAAATTGATGTAACCTCGCCTAACGCCTGCGGCGTCCTGGGCTTGCATTTGAAAGAACCTGAGTCAGTGCTGTTTGTCCACGAGTTGATCCCACATGGCGCCATGTGCGTCAGACGGATAAGCACAGTCTGTTGCACAAAAGTTTTGAAGTTTCGAGACAGCATCGAATCATCGTGTGGCGATCTGATGATCCGGGTGCAGGCCGATATCCGTCGTTGGACAGTGTTGATCTGTTGACGCTAGACAGTTGGGGAAAGGAGCAGCATCAAAATGGCCAAATCCTCGAGTTAAGTGGGAAAACAGTGCTGGGCGACGCGGGCGTGTGATTGGTGTTCCTGAGACCTCAACCCCGCACTAGTCCGCTTCGGGGTCCAAATCTCCGACCAGAACGACCCAAGTTCATCGGAACTCTTTCCACATCCACTTCTCGACGCTAAGCTTAGCGAGCCACGCTTCCAGGGCCCTGGCCTGATTCTAGCCAACAAGGCAGTTGGTCGGCGACTCGGCTTCAATCATGGTTTGGGCGTGATGGGAGACTCCAAGAGGCGTCGCCGTGGCTGTTGTTCAAATCCACATGGGAGGGTATACGTTTTACATTTCTTACTTTGGAAACATGGTAACTCGACTGTCAAGAGGCTGATCTGCCCTTATGAGGCTCTGCCGCTCTGCCTTGCTCGGGAACTGTCCGTCCAGGCACAACCCGCTCCACTTCGAATAGACGACCCATGGCTTGGTCGCTTTTGTACCAAGCCGACGATGGGTCGTTCAGTGAGTTAGACTGCCGGGCTTTCCCCGTTGACTGGCTCAATGCACATCTTGCCCCATGAAAACACCGGACCCTCCTCAGAGAGGCCTTAGGGTGCTGTGCCGCAGCCAGTTCTCATTTCCCATGACGGAGGCTTAGCATGACTCGGGCCATCATGGCTACTGGAGGCTACACTAGATAGGCCAATCGCTGTGCGGCTCTGTAATCATACGCCAGAATTTGCAATCTCCCAGTCGGCGGGCATTCATATATTACTCGCTCCTCTCCCCTAATCGTAGTTCTCTCGCCAACTGTCTTTCGCTGTAGGGGCCGTACGAGCAGACGTTTGTCTGCGTCCTTTCTTTGATTCGAACACTGTCCACTGGTACACAACCAGCAGTCATTCATTCTAATCATGCTTTTCAAGCCACTTACTTTCGTTTCGGCCATTTCGGGCCTGGCCTCGCTTGCCTCTGCTTTTGTTCCGGAGGCGAAGTCCAATGTTGCCATCTACTATGTAAGGCTCTCAGTGTTCTCGTCAAACACACTCTGCTCGACGTGCTAATACCCTATCTTTATAGGGTCAAGGCTTTAATCAGCCGCGCCTCGCCGAGTTCTGTGGCTCAACGGCGTTCGATATTATTAATATTGGGTTCATCAACTCGTTCCCCGACCAGAACCCTTTGACTGGGCTGCCCGGCAGTGACTTTGGAAATCAATGCTGGGCTGATACCTACTGGGTCAACGGATTACCATCCCAGCTGAAATCGCACTGCGCAACCTTGGTGGATGACATCAAAACGTGTCAGGAAGCCGGCAAGAAGATCTTCCTGTCCCTCGGTGGTGGCCACAACTCGTACAAGCTTGACTCTATCCAATCCTCGACCAACTTCGCCAACTGGCTGTGGGGAGCCTTTGGACCCAAGAGAGATAACTGGGTGGGCGAAAGCAAGCCTCGTCCCTGGGGCGATATCGTCGTCGATGGGTTTGACTTTGATATCGAGTACAACGGTGACCTTGGTGAGTCAATTCTGTTAACCATGCATCAACTATTATGAAACCATTCTGACAAGAGCAGGGTATGCCAACATGATCAAGGTGCTTCGAAAGCGCTTCAGTGAAGACCCTGACAAGACCTACTACATCTCTGCCGCTCCCCAGTGCGCCATTCCTGACGAGCAACTCGCTGTTGCCATCAAAAACGCACCCATCGATTTCGTTTGGGTTCAGTGGTACAACACCCGCCCTTGCTCTGCCCGTGACTTTGTGGATGGCACCAAGAACGGCTTCAACTTTGATCAGTGGGTGGATGTCATCAAGGCGGGCGCCAATCCTAATGCAAAGCTTTATGTTGGACTGCCTGCGAGTAAGGGCGCAGCGAATGCAGGTTTCTATCTCACCCCTGAAGAGGTCAAGCCGTTGGTGAAGAAGTACATGAATAAGTATCCCAAGACATTTGGAGGTGTCATGCTGTGGGAAGCCACGGAGTCGGAGCGCAACCAGATCAATGGTGTGAGCTATGCGGATAACATTAGGGAGATCCTGTTCGGTCTTGACCCCAACCATCCGATCCCCACCATTTCAACTCCCACCCCGACTCCTACCCCTACTACGACCACCACTTCCACCACTTCGACTACCACCACCACCACCACGACGAGCACGACGACAACTACTACCTCGTCGACCACCTCATCGACCACTTCGTCCACCACTTCGTCTACCACTACCACTACCCCTACCCCCACCCCTACCACGACTACGACGACGACAACTTCTCCAAGCACCACGTCCACCACGACGACCTCGACGTCGACCAGCTCCAGCACCACGACGACCTCAAGCACCACTACGTCGACCACTTCAACTACGTCAAGTACTCCTGTAGTGTCTGAGACTCCTAGCACCACTCCCTCTGGATCTAGTACCTCGACCAGCACCTCGACCAGCACTTCAAGCACTCCAGTGATACCAACAACTCCTTCTACCACTGTTACGCCGACCCCGACAAACACCCCGTCTGCCACCGAGACTGATACCGATTGCTCTGAGACCGAATCGAGCACGTCTTCCTCGACGAGCATTGTTACTCTGACTGTCTTCCCGACACCGCCCACTTCCAGCTCTGCCAGGCCTACCAGCACCGATACAGATGACTGCACCGGGACTACCGAGACCATTTCCTCGAGCGCTTCCCAGACAACTAGCCACTCGACAAGCACGCCCGTGATTCCGACCACGTCGTCTTCCACCACGAGCACACTTTCAGGCACAAAGCCTCAGACCCCCACCCTAAGCGGGTCCGGAGTGCCAACCTCGTCCGAGACCACCGGCACAAGCACGACCAAGACTACCACCGAGGGTGGCACTACCAAGCCCCCTGCCACGCAACCCACCAACACCGGCTCTGTCACCTCCAAGCCTACCACCACGGAGCCGGCCATGACCACCACCATCATCGTGACCTCGTACACAAGCATCTGCCCTACCGGGTTCACTACGATCACGACGACTCTGACGTCAACTTACTGCCCCTGCACTGCCACGGCGACAGCCACTCACCCTGGATCCGGCTCCCCAACCGACACCCCCGACATCCCCGAGGGCTGGACCACAACCGTTACCGTCTGCACCGTCTGCGCCGCGACTCCCACGACCGTTACTCTGACTCTGCCCCCAACAACCCCAGCTCAGCCCACCGATGTCTCCGGCGGTGAGTACCCAAGCGGCAGCGGAAGTGACAGCGTCCCAACCAACCCTGGTCCCGGCTCCGGTCCAGGCCCCGCAACCACCAGCAGGCCCGTGATCGGTGGAGGCTCAGGCAACGGTGGCGGCAACTACCCGTACCCATCCTCGACCTTCAACATCCACCCGTCCAGCTCCCGCCCTGTCGTCCCCGCTCCTAGCGGAACCCAGGATGGCGAGTCTCCGGCCTTCACGGGTGCCGCTTCCCGCGCTTTCGGTTTGGCTCAGGGTGTTTCCGTCCTTGTGGCCTTTGCGCTCTCTTTTGTGCTTATTATTTAAATTTAGCTCTCTCTGCTCCCATGAAGGAAATGTTTTTCCAGAATGGCTAGATAAGATGAGATGGAATGAAAGAGGAAGAGGAGGGAAATGCGTATGTTGTTATGTATTAAAGAACTTAGTATGTATAGTTTGTAATGTAAGTATCCTGGATGCTGTGATATGAATTTGCCTTCGTCATGAACCACGTGTGTATATAAGCGAGAGTTATGATCGTCAATAGATGTTGTGTTCATACTATATTTTCTTATCGCATTGGAGCAGCAAAAAAAAATCACACACACTTAAGGCTTGGCTGGCCTATCATCATTCATCTACAAGAGAAGTAGCTAGATTATTAAGAATAGAGAACCAATGTTGGAGGGAGGTTTGATAGCATGACATTGTGCCGTGGCCAGCCAACTTAGGATTACTTGTGTACAAGGCTGTCGTGCTCGCGCTAGCGTGGGGCGTTGTAATCTGCTGTGTGGGTATGTTTATTGTTCTTACCGCGTCGTATGCAATGAGAAAGATGGTTTGCGCGATGCTATAAAGACAGATTTGACAGAAGATCGATGGATGAACTGTCAATCAATAACTGTACGCACGATGCGGCGCCGAGGTTGAATAAAGCTAAAGATGACGTGCGTGCTAGCGATAGAGCAAAGGATTGAGAGCCTGACAGGAGTGTAGCAAAACGCAAAAATTCCGCTTGTTTGCAATATGTGGAGCTCCAGGAGAAAAGATGAGGCGTGAAATACTCCGTAGAGCCGCCGGCGTTGTCAAGTGTCAACCTGTCCGCTAGTGGCTTTGACGGGCCATGTTGTGGAGTCCAATCCGGGCAGATGGATAGAATGCCTCCAGCTCTATTCTTGCTAATATCTTCGTCTATATACTAGCCAGCGCAACCGGGAATGAGCAATTGTACGTATTATGACCAGCCCACATTCGTCAGTACGTAGCTCCGATCTCGGGCTGCCACGCATGAGATATAGGTATGCGACTTGCCATGAGATCACATAGTACAAGAAGGCCTTGCTTATCACGAAGATTCTGTAAGAGCATTGGAGTTTTCTGCTGGTCACTTTCCCTGCAGAGCACGCTTGCTAGTCAAGTCTACGCTGCTCTGCGATGTAACAGGGCGGATGATGCCTCGGTATCTGTTGTTATTGAAGCTGGAGGTTGAATCAAAGTGCTAGCTAGGGCTCTGATACTATGTGATAGTTTCTTAGTATCATCCAATTGCATTTCCACGAAGAACAACCGTAAACACCTTCCAGCTAAGAAAGATGGCCGATGCAGGGACTCGATCGGAGACTGACCTCGTGTTTTCAGCTGAAGATCCTTCGCCCCATCCCCACCGAGCTGATGCTAGAGAGCCTATTACCCTCTCTCCGCCAATCACTTTTCAGGGTCCAAGCCGAGCGTTTCAGGCACTGGTCCGCTTCGGCATAGATAGGCACTCTTGGCAGCTCGTCACTGCAGTCCGTCAGAGCGGACCAGCGGTAGCATAGCCACACACCGGGAATCCCGTTCGTTGGAAAACGCGTCACTGATCTGCAAATGGGGAAACTGCGCTTATTGCGACTGAAGATGCCAAACTCAACGACTTTGAACGTGTTATCTACCTCCAGGTCTTGTCCTGTCGCTGGCGGCAATGTTGATATCAAGACCCATTCTCGCGCGCTACGCCGGCATCGCCATCATACTCATCGCCCTGATTCTCCTGGCGTTTCGCGTGCCGCGGCTCGTCAATTCTCACCTTTACGACCTCTCTTATGGAACATATTTCCAGCGACAATTCCAAGTCTTTGCGCTCACAGCTTCATGTGGCCGCTTTACCCCCGATGTAGCGGCGCATTTCGACTATGACTCCCTGACTCTCGTCCCAAACCAGCAAGATATCGCAGAATGTGCCGCTTTGAACCGTAAGCAGCTCGCCTTGAGTGCTACCAGAGACGACCCCAGCGCAAGCAAAGACGACCTCTTCCGGGAGAAATACGCACAAGTCCTCGACGCCTGCACCAGCGGCACCAAAGCAAAATGTTTGATTCTCGAAGACGACATCGTCTTCCTGCATACTCCGCAGCGAACGCGCGAGATTCTCGTTGAAAATACGATTCCACTCTTCAACGATGGAGAAATCGATGCGTTTGATTGCACGAAGAGGGGATTTGGATGGTTGTCTAGTACGACTACAGGGATGGGAAGCCAGTGCCGCGTTTATAGTAAGCATTCGGCGCCTTGCATGAGTCAGTGCTTGAGGGATCAGAAGAAGGGCTCGCAGCTCGATACTGGGCTTGCGAATTGTCAGGTGCGGTGTAAGTTGAATCAGAAGAGGTTTTTGCTGGTTGTTCATGGGGGGTTATCGTCTACCATGGAGAGGCCAGGAGCGTGATCTTTATCGTTTAACATACATTGCATACGATAGACGGTGCCGTCCTATGATCTGTACATGATACATTCCAAAACAGTCAAATGGTAAATGGACAAGTGCCCTGATTACCTGGACATAGATTTCAATCCTAGTGCGGACCCTGTCTCACCTAGGTACCCCTTAGACTTCCCTTCCCTATTCATCCTCTGTTTCACCCATCTCCCCTTTGCCATCATCTTTGGCCCGATAGTAAACTGTCACCATTCCATTCTCAATGACATCCACCCCAACCAACGTATATTCCAGATCTCTCCTCCCCTCCGCTTCCAACTCCGGCCCCAACCCACCAAACAACCCTCTCCCACCCCCAGCCAGCACAACTGGCGCAACAGTAAGCACAACCTCATCCACCCACCCCCTTCTCAGAAACTCCCTCGCCGTCTGGCCACCGTCAACATAAACCATCCTCCCCCTGTTCACCTCCGCATCCAAAACCCGCTTCACCTCATCAATCGACCGCACAATCCTCACCTTACCATTCCCATTCCCATTCCCACTGACACGCAACCCCTTCGCAACCATCAAATCCACAGGAAGACAATCCATCCTCCTCGAAAGAACAAGTAACTCCTTGTCCTTCGGGTACGACCAATCCGGTAGTGAAAGACACACGTCGAAGGTCTGGCGGCCCATGACGATGAAGTCGACAGTGGACATGTGCTGTTCGAAGGTGGGTGTTGTTTTCCGCTCTGGCGGACTAGGGGCCGCATGGGATGGGTTCGGGCTTGGTGAGGTCAGCCAGGTTATAGAATGGTCGCTGCGTGCGAGGTAGTCGTTTAGGCTTGTTGCCGTGAAGAGGCGCGTCTTCCATGTACGAGAGGTCGAGGCGGACATTTTGGGCTGGATTGGGATAGGAGCTGGAATTTGATCAGGAGTATAGAGGTTTTGATGGTTATGTCTCCAGTCTCGAGGCCTAAAGTCGAGCGCGATATTAGAGCAGATAGATAAGTGAGTCAGAGTATGTATGCCGAGAAACCTCCAAGAATGTAACCTCGTATTGTGAGGTCCTGTTGCCTACTCTCGGAAATGTTCTTGGAAAACCAGGTCGATCAACATCCGGGGAATCAACATGGAGTATATCCACAAGGTAGCATCTTATCGGTCGAAAACAAAGGAGAAACCTAACTGCCTCAACTTTTTACTGTATGAGACTAAAGACGAGACCCACTGACTCAAGTCTACCTAGGTACCTGGTCGTGGATAGATTGGCCTATACGGAGTACTACCTAGGTTTCTTTATCGACAGCCCTATTCAGAACCCAGCAAAACTCACGTTCTTATCGTCGCTTATTCGCTCTTCCCACTGGTCGATATGACATTTCTGCAGGGATAGTAACTACCTAGTATGTCTGCGTAAAGGTTACTAATCCTGCGTCCTGCGCCAATTAAATGTCACAAAACCGACCAATCCAACTTACTAGGTAGTATTCCTAGTGCTCGATTGCCAGAGAATAAAGTCAGTGAGCATTCCATTTATCGAGTTGACCCCGAATGCTGATTCTGGTACTTTGTCGATTGGAGCCCCTTTAAGAATCCTTGGTCTGGAATATACATAGAGAGATAGACAAACAAATCTATGGAGACGGAGGCTTTTTAACTTCACTAATCTTCAGTATTTATTCGTTGAACAGCGCAAGTCTCAGATTAATGAACACATCACTCCGGCGTAATTGCCTGACATTTAGGCCGCAGTGCTTACGCCAGGAGCTGTGCTACGGCCTTATTGGGCGCCTGAGCGCCTGAGCCTGAGGCGCAGCAGCTGCCTTGGCGCGGCTGCTTGGGTTTTTCGGCGAGGCTGAAGTGAACCTTCCTCTCCCTCACAACTTTCAGCCTTCCTCCAATGCTCAAGTCCCATCGACTACGGCCTTACTTTATCCTTTATTCATCGACTAACGCGGCCATTAAGTGGCCTTGTACATGATAATCATCCCAGCTAACCGCCTTTAATTATCGATGATGAGCCCCGTGTCGCGACCATGACTTCCCCGCACACCTCCAGGCAAGGCCTAACTAGGCTGGGCTCAAGACGTCACCAGGATCCGGAAATTACAGAAAAAGACCCGATTGATTCTCAAAGATTAAGAGAACTAAATCACAACGACATTTCACAGCCCAAAAGCGCCGAGGCTCCGGTGAAGGTCGATTTTCGCAAGAAAGTCGCGTCTCGCAAAAAGTTGCCTCACCGTATTTATACGTGTCCCTTTCGGCACTATGGTTGCACAAATAACTTTCCCACGAAAAACGAGTGGAAACGCCACGTTGCCATCCAGCATCTACAACTAGGTTTCTATCGCTGCGATGTCGGCCGCTGTGGCCTCGTAGAGCGGCCCGAGCCATTGTCAGAGCCAAGACGAGTGCAATTTAGCGATTTCAATCGCAAGGATTTATTCATCCAGCACCAGCGTCGGATACATGCGCCGTGGTTATCGGAACCCAAGGACAAACGTTCGGTCTCTGAGGATGAACGCGCAGCGTATGAATCGAGTCTCGAGGATGTCTGGAAACGGTGCTGGATCCAGACGCGTCTGGCTCCTCAGGCAAGTCGGTGCGGGTTCTGTGGTCGGGAATTCAGAGGTGACGGGAGCTGGTCCGAGAGAATGGAGCACGTTTCGCGACATATTGAGAAAGGTGATCCGGGGCCTGAGGAAGAGGATCCTTTCCTTCGCGAGTGGGCGCTCGAGCAGGGGTTCGTTCGATGGGTGGATGGGGCATGGAAACTGACAAGGTACGCTACAGCCGCGGCGTATGATCTCATGGCTATCTGGCTAACCATAACGACTAGTCTACCTCGAACTGGCGCCCCTGGTGCTTCACCAGACCAACCAGGCAGTGGAGAAGCTGACTCACCGGAAGAGGGACAGTTTAGACAGGCCATCCCGCGTCCTGAAAGGCCTGAGACTAACTTGGACAGTCCACGTAACTTGAGATCAAATGTTGTGGTGGTAGAGAACATAGGTCCACAACAACAACTCATGAACGAGTTAGAAACTCATAGCCGATCTCATCCCCGAGATCCTCGACACATGCATCAACCGTCCAATGGCCTTGATCGGCTACACAAAGAAGATGCAAAGATTCAGAGGCGGCAGTCCGACCCTGTTGCTTGGCCTCCGGGCAATAGGAATGGAGTGCCAACGGATTCAGGCTATGGAGCACAGATCATCCAATCTAGGCCGATGTTGGCTCCCAAACCCGCACATGGCGGATGGAGGCCGGTGAATCCATATCCAGTTATTACAGGATACCCGGGTACATCGTCAATTCCCTCAGCTAATGACGGATTCATATCTACATTTACCGACGCTCTCCTGAGAAGCGTTTTCACCAATCAACGCTACTGGGACGTCAAAACGAAGTCTTTGGAAAGAATTACCGAACTGTTGCAAGCATTTGCTGATAAACTCGGATACGACACAACTTCCGAGTCCTTCCTCGACATTAGGTATTACATTCATAAAAAACGAAAGTGAGACCCTTTTCCGCCCCCTGCCTTGCACACCAATGATAACTGACGACATGTGGCAACAGTGATATTGCCGAATGTATATGGGAGAGGTATCCGGAGGATATTATTTCTCGGAATGCCCGTGTCGATGATACCGAAAAGACGTCTATGCAGGAGAGGGCACGGCCTTGGCTTCACTTGGAGACTCAGGCCAAAAGCCAAGACATTGCGCACCAAAATGGTAACACTGTAGACGGCCCTGAGGATAGTGAATCGCAGGAGAGTTCTTCTGAAGAGGAAGATAACGACACCATGTCACGCCGGCTTGTACGGTATCTGGACTCCATTCTGAGATCCCCAGCGTATCAGTGGCTGGTTGACAGTTTTCAAAAGAGCATCTCGTTAGGCTTCCTTGAGAAACAGTCTATGAGCGATATTGCGGCTGCGGTATTACAATCGTTCCCCCCATCGCCCCCAGTTAGCAGGAAAACTGGCGCAGAAGCTGTCAAGGCCTCCTTTGTCATGGAATGGAGCCCTATCGCGTTTTTCAAGGGGCAGAGATACGACGGACGAGCGGACGTAATTTTTGATAAAGTTCTTACTCTAACCGGATCTCTAGATGACATTCAAGCCATGACCTGTGGGGAGTATATGCGCCAAACATGGCCAACAACTGGGATGCACATCGTGGCTGCCATCAAGAAAGCACTTTCAGCTAATCAAGCAGGGTCAAATGAATGTGAGTACCAGTGCGGAGTAGAAATCCTCAAGTATTTTGCTGATAACCAAATTTCTTTAGGCGAATTGCCCGGGGGTACAACTGTTAATCTGCGAATCAAGAATTTCACGGTAACCGTCAAAGCCATTGGAACACGAGCGTCTGTTGCAGAGGTAGCAGAACAATTCGCTTGGCTAGGCGCTACACTGAGAGCATCCTTGAATGATCACGGCGTAGCTGTCTGCCGACCGAAAATTAAATCCGTGCACGGATCTAGATCCAGTTCTTCCGATGAGGGTCTGAAGGTCACTTCCAGCCTTCAATTTCACATTGGCTTTAATGTCAACGAGGGTGATCTAAACGAGAAGCCAAGAAATGGCCGGTGTTGGCACAATATCTTCAGGAATCCCGTGGTTGCTGAAGGGTTTCCCATACGAACTCGGCACATGCCAAACATTGGAATGGAATCGTCGCTGGACGTGCTGGGTGCACTCGTCCCCAGCCGTCGACTGACTATTTTTGGAAACAAGCTCTACATCAAGGGGTTTTCTACTGTCTTGGTTCCCACAAAGGTTATTGGAGACATAGTAGTCTGGCACATGGTGTTTGATAAAAATGGTGGCTATATCTCCTACGTTGACCCCGAGATTGAGGCACTGCCTGGCTTGTACCCTGCGAACATATCAGAATGCAGTCTCGACTCATTTAGGCACGTTCTCGGCTGGTGCCCTGAGGTTGAACTGCTAACAGGTACGAATGATCGATGAGACCTGCTTGCTGGTCTTGTGCTAAATGAGTATAGGTGCTCCAGAAGCAAATTACAGCATTGACTGGTCTAACTTTCGCATCGCCGGGCGCGGCTGTGGACTTTTTGCTGTCAGGGTACACCCAGGAAAGCTCATTTCGAATCCGAACGTGGTGGCTTTAGGTGAAAGGGACAAAGCTGTCCATACAAGAGAAGACTACGCTGAACAGATCCAATGGATATCAAAGCGGTGGGTTGTTTTGTACGACGCGGAAACTAAGCGCTCATGGCTTGTTGACGGTGCAAGCGCACTGCTGCACTTGGTTCGGGCATCTCTTAAAGAGGATGAGGCCTATCAGGTCGATGACGATCTCATATACAGCCCACAGAATCTGCAAAAACTACCCCCTACCACCATCGGGCGTGAAGCAGCCCGTAAGACTCTCACGAGTGCTGCGAACGCCAAAGTCAAGATATACGCTAGCAGTGGTCAAACGTTCCGGGATCGAGTGGACCGAGTCTTTCACATTTTGGAGCAGATCTTTGCGCATCAAGATAAGCTTAACAGAGAACGAGCTGCAATAGCTGGATTCAGTGGGCTCGCTCGTGAAAGCCTGGAGGGATTCGATTTCATGGATGTGGCAATGAACAATCCTGAGGTCCATGCTCGAGTACATGCAGATCAAAACTACAGTCCCAGCTGGCTATTTCTGATGAATAAAATTGGTGCCATCATTCTTTTTGGTAGGAACTTCAAGGATCTGATCATACCAAAGGGGGACAAAAAAGTTTGCGCAGCATGGACCGAGGTGCCCGCAGGTGCGGACTATCTTACTGTTTCTGCAGCAGATCTCAAGGACATCATGGAAAAGCAAGGAAACCCCAACACGTCTCCAATGAAGCTAGTGAATGATGTATACTGGCAGCCCTCTGATTCGATATACGACCCCTGCCCTGGCGACAAGGCCACAGAGGAGACATGCAACCATACGCAAACACTTTTATACATACGTGACAGTAGTCGAGTTGACACTGACCCTAAAAATACGAAAGAACTGCCTTCTGAGGGCGCGGTCATCTTCAAGGCGCAGTGGGGAGGCGACAAGCCGAAAGTGGAAGATCCGCCTCCTCCTATCACCAGCCCGCAGCCCGTGCCTCCAGTCATGCAAAATGGGCCACCTATTAACGATAGTCGAGTCATTCTGAATGCACCCTCGGAGTCTCCTGGAATGGTCTCCAGGCGAAATGGGATACAGCAGAAACGACCGGCTTCCGATCAAGAGCAAGAACAATTTGCCAAACGCCCTCGTCAAGCGGCTCCCTTTCGCAGCATTCGGCCCTTGGTGCCATCTCCACCTAAGTACGCGACTCCGCCATTGGCCAATCACCCTGTTCCGTATGGGGTAAGGAGTGCACCTCCCCCGCAACCCAGGTACCATCCGGAGCAAAGACCACCTGTCATGCGCCCGACTCCTCGCCCTCAAGCCTATGAGCCTCCTCCTCCTGTTGTTCTGCGTGAGGAAGATTACACCGTAGGATGGATATGTGCTCTTCCCGTGGAGCTCAGTGCTTCGCGGAGGATGTTGGATAGATTGCACGACGTGGGTTTTGGTCCCGGAACAGACGACAATCTTTACATTCTAGGCCAGATCCGCCAATTAAACGTTGTCATTGCCTGCCTCCCCATGGGCCAAGCTGGGGCGAACATGGCAGGAATGGTAGCAACTCGGATGTTGCAAAAGTTCCCAAAGATCGAGATTGGTCTGCTAGTCGGGATAGGCGGCGGTCTTCCTAGCCCCAAGCAGGACATCCGTTTGGGAGATATTGTGGTCAGCAAGCCACATCTGCAGCATGGTGGTGTTGCTCAATACGACCTGGGGAGGGCTACAAGAACTGGATTCGTTGAAACTGGAAGCACCAAAGCGCCATCAGAGAAACTTCTCCTAGCGCTGAGCATGATGGCATCTCGCCCAAACATTCTTAGCAACAAAATGATCATCCCCCGTCCTCCCACCGACACAGATCGCCTATACAACACATCATACGTACATAACCCCGACCACCCAACCTGCGATTCATGCGACAAGGACCAACTTGTACCCTGGAGACACCCACGGCCCGACCTGCGACCACGCATTTTCTATGGAACAATCGCATCCGGAGTCTCTGTGATCAACGATCCACAGACCCGGGAAACACTGATAACGAAACACCAAGTCATTTGCTGCGAGATGGAAGCTGCAGGGCTGATGGATACGGAATTTCCCTGTATTGTGATCAAGGGAGTAGCGGACTACGCGGACTCTCACAAATCGGAGACGTGGCAGGAGGTTGCGGCTGAGGCGGCGGCGCTATATGCGAGGGATTTCCTCTGTTCTATCCCGGGGCGGCTGTCGTTTTTGAAGTAGTTGGACTGAAAGAGAGAAAGATTGAGGGAATGGAAGTCAAAGCATACGTGTTGGAAGTATTGATTATAGTTTACAAGCGTTCTTTTTGTTTGGTATGTCATAGCCTATCTTTTCAATCAGCCTGTTTATCCTTGTATGGTTTGATGCCATCTGGACTGCCTAGATAGCCCACTTGTACTCTACTTGCTGGGCGTATTTCCCCTCTTTGACCCCCAGAACCTAGGATCCAGAACAGATCGCATTTATTTCTCCAAGTATACAAACTGCTCTACCCATACAGCAAGGAACTCGTACTTTATTATCGATATACTACGTTAAGCAAAATGACCAACACACTTGTCCAAACCCCAAATTAACCCCAGAGTACGTCCTCTCACATTTACCTATCTATACATTGCCACAATTCCTGTGACCTACCCAACTAATCAAGAAGCAAGAGCCTTCCTCTCGGGCCCATCCGCAGCCACGCAACCTCAAGCAAATCCGGCCTCTTAGCCGTCTACACCGAAGAAACCCTTTCCCTCACCACGCCCACAGCAGGGCCACGCCAATACCACCGCCAACGCTCAATCCGCGTCCTTGAAACCGGCACACCGCGCTACTGGGTGGTAACCACGAGCCCGCACGCAAGTTTCCCGCAGTGGCTGGGCGCGAGCGATGATCTGATCTGGCTCGAGTATGTACCAGAGACTGGGCAGACGAAGCTCGTTGTCGGGAGTGCGTGGTTGCTTGGGGGACCGAGTGCGACGTATGTTGCTGGGGTGACTGAAGGGCCCGTGAGGGCTCTCAGAGTTTCCCTTGGGGGGAATTGAGTCGTTGTTTGGAAGGGAGGATGGAGATTGCGGGGATCTTTTGTTTGCGGTTATTGGGCGAGTGGATGGGGAGGGTGGATTGCGGAATCCGGTGGCTGCTAAGCTTCGGAAGATGGGATCAAGTGATGATGATCATGGTGGTGAAGAGCAAAGGAATGCCATCTGGTTTGGGAACCTCGTGCGTGCCTCCAGGGAACCACGCGCGCGGTATTGTACATTGAGGTTTACGAATCTGATGGACTACTTCAACCTGGGTGCCCTTTCAGTCGAGAACGTCCCCAATTCCGACCTTGAAGAGTGCCGGGAATTCTTCCTGTGCTCCTGGGTTATCCTCTTCGTGGGAAGGGACCGAGAGGTTGATCCTTCTACGCATACAGCGTGCTCCTGCTACATCTGCCCTATGATGACCTGGGATGGATACCCCATCCCCGATGACTACTACAAAGCGACCCGACAGTGGGGACTTGGAGGGAAGATCTCTTCGCCGTATGCCGATCCAGATGGCAGGATCATGTTTCTATCGCAGAAGCAGGATGGGTATGCGGCGGACAAAAACCGGATCGTGGCTGTGGCGGGTGTGTCGAGCGAAGGGTGCACGGAGCTCTTTGCGAGCGAGGATGGGGCCTGTTCGTGGGATCTTAGTCCCTCGGCTGTTTGGTATGCGTCTGACAGGACGCTGTTAATTCAGGTTGAGGAGAAGGGGGAGAGGGTTCTGTATCAGCTTCCGCATGTTCCCTGGCCGGATACACCTGCTCAAAGCACCTGCGGCGCATCGATACCGCAGGCTCTGTTCTTGATATTACAGCGGTACCAGGCGCGGAAAAGACGGACCTAAAATCCAGGGCCTCAAAATCACTAGTACTCGCATCCAGCGACGACTTTGCCTACAGCCGAGCCTACCACCTTATCGACCTAACAGCCAACCATGCCAGCTTGATAGGCCCCCGACACCCGCACGGCCAATTCGGTTTATCATCCTCGCAAGTTGAGCAGATCATGTTTCCGGGTGCCCACGGCCGAGACGTTTATGCTTGGGTAATCAAACCGTCCTTCTTCGCCCCCGACCAGAAGTACCCATTGGCCTACCTCATTCACGACGGCCCTCATGAGAGCTGGAATCGAGCCTGGAGCGTCCGACGTAATCTCGCCCTCCTTGCTGAACAGGGGTATATTGTTGTTGCGCCGAATATTGCAGGGAGTACTGGGTATGGCCAGGTTTTCGCGGATGCGACCCGGTATTCATACGCTGGTGCACCGTATACGGATCTAGAGCGGTGCATTGAGTATGTGGAGGAGCACCTGAGATACATCTACATGTCGCGCGCCGTGGCCTTGGGGCTCGGTTCGTACGGTGGGTACCTTGTGGATTGGCTGCAGGGCCATGAGTTGGGTCGACGATTCCGGAGCCTGGTCTCTGATAACGGGATCTTCAGCTTGATGACCCATCTATCGGCTCCCGTTCGCCATCCAATCTTCCATGAACTAAGAGGCGCGCCATGGGATAATCCCGATGAGTGGAAAAGGTGGAATCCTGCGAGCCCTGAGTATCTAGGGAACTGGAGAACGCCGCAGTTGATTATTCCTGGCGAGCGAAATAGGCTGGTTCCGATTTCTGAAGCCAGGGCTGCGTATAACGCTCTGCGCGGACGTGGAATCGAGTGCTCTCTGCTTGTACTCAAGGGCGAGGGTGGGAGTGAAGGAACGGAGCCTGAGGATGTGGTTCTGTGGTATCGAGCTGTTTTGGATTGGATGGAGCGGTTTACAAAGGGCTGACGAATTTCCTTGTAACAATACACCTCAGTAAGGAGCGAAAAGTCGTCGGCTGCGTCGGCCGAGGTGGAGGAGAATGCGCAGAAGAAAAGAGTAGTTCATGTCTGTCAAAGCCTGAGATACTCTCAGCTGCCATGCTTCTCGAGTCATGATCCACTCGAGTGAATGTCCAATTGATATCTTCTTTGTGCTGGCGCCAAATACGTTTCTGAGATGAAGAAGTTGTGTGAAAGCTGTGCAACATCTTAGAAAAGAATCCGGCCTTGAGCCATCGGTTCTCATCTTCTGGCTAGTTCTGCAGCTGAACAAAGTAATACTCTATCCTTCGGAGAGTAGAAATGTTGTGCTCGAGGAAAGGCCTCAAGGTCTCATACTCAACAGCGGTATTGAGTATATGAATCTCTCTGAAACTCAACGGCGTTCTTTCGCACAAGCTGAGGATATCTCCACATAAAGACAGCATAGCACAGCTGACTCCTCCAAGAACCTGCTTTACACAGTCTCTCAACTTGACTCTGGATGCCTCGTCGTCGCCGCCGAGTACTTGCGGTCCTCGCCTCTGTGAAAGCCTAACCCCCACTAGCCGAATAGAGCTGAAGCGTCGCCCAGCCGCTCTTAACTGGGAGACGGCCTGTGCAAGTGTTAGGAGGTGATATTCGAGTGTTTCCTTTTGCGCAACGAAACCATCCAGTTTGCGCGATATAGGATCTCGCTCGCCAGCGTCGAATTTGCGAAAGGTGAGGTATAAATCGCTCAGGTTATGCAAACTCTGCAAAGCAAGTGAAAGTGCAGCGAGGTCCATACCGTTCTCCATAATATACCTATTCTCTTCCGAGCGTTGGCGTACGATTTGCTTGACTTCTGCAAGCAAGGTAGCTTCCGCATCGTCGTCTTCCTCATTGAGAATCCGCGTCGACACGGAGGTCTGGTCGGGCTGCTTGACAGCCGGCTTGAGAAACGGTGGCATATAATAGCTCAGATACTCAACATATTGTCGACATTTCCGCCTGTGCCAATTATTGAAGTCCTTCGAGGCCTCTTTTCGTGCATGAAAATGGAACATCGTAGCAGAAAGATGGTGCGCAAATGTGCCGGAACTTCCAACACACGAGGGATAGGTTGCTTTGATCTTGAACCTCGAGGTCGTTGTCAGTACATATCAGTATCCATAGCTCGGTGGGAAGTTGTGCGAGGCTCATTCTTGTTCTTGAGAGCGGAAGTTGGAGGGGGAGATGGTGTTGTGAGAGATGAAAGACCCCGCTAGGTATCAACGCCAAGGGCCTAGACTAGTGCCTGCCTACTTGGGTATTTATTTTGTGTTCCTCTCAAGAGCCTCCTTTTTTTTATCCACTTTTCCAATGATCCCTCCACCTACACGACGGGACATCCCTTTCATTGCCATAGTCGCTATCACTATCTATGTTTTGCTCTCCAGTGTTCGATCCGAAGGGCAGACATTTGAGCGCACAGGAAAAGTGACTCGCACAACACTGAATGTCAATCGCTGCATTGAGCTGCACAATGCTATCATCCGCGAGAACGCCGAAGCCCCCGGCTTTGAGCCTCTAGAGGTGGTCAACTACACCGACTACTGGGAAGATGAGAAGCTGGATGAGCTGAGATTGCTCAAGCAGAACCTCAAGGCCCCGCTGTTTGAGTTTCTCTCGCGAAGCCATCAATTCGTGGATGTCCCCATAGCTATGTTGCCTTTTACCTGGGGTCTATCGTCGCCAAGCCAACTTAACCCTGACTCGAAGCTTCTGTACTGGAGAGATTATGGTGACCCTGTGGTGCTCTATAGAGCCGCTTCTTCGCAATACAGTTCCGGGGGACTAGTGTTTGATATGAAAACCAACAAAGCCACTTGGGTTAACATCCTCTGGGATAGGCCTCCGGAGTACAAAGAGCATATATGGGCGCCACTGGACGTGATCCTGGAGGCGTGGTTGACATATATTCGTCGCCGAGGTGTCCCTCGCTTTTGGGATGAGCATGCCTTTGGAGGCCATACGCTAGGTTGGGGAATCCGTTATCCACCACCGCAGGATGTCGAGGAGGATTTGGAAGTGTGGAACCGGTACGTGGCGCTGGTAGAGAGCAAGCTTCCAGAAGGCTCATATCCCACCATTTCCAATACCAGCACCAACGCCACAGAAGGACCTGAATTCCTGGGCTTCCCGCAGGCATTCTTAAATCAAGCTCGAAGACCGGCGTTCAAATATGTCGCACCGGAGCTGGTATTCCCTTCTCCTTCACAGCTGGCTGCGCTTGCCGAAACACAACGTGCCGGCTGGGTAAAGAGAAGGAACCCACGTTGGTATTTGGAGGAATTTATAGACCGCGACACTGATATCGAGGGGGCATTAGACTCCGACAAGGTCTTTCCCACCGTCCTCTTTCCGCTCGGCGAGAATATCAACGCAGGGCTCTCTACTAGTAGCCACAACGCCTGGCAAGATGGTGTGGGACTGATTTTGCCCACGCCAGGGGTCTACGATCTACATTATGGAGAAGGGTTAAGCAAATTTGTATCGCCGCGGTTTAAACGAGTGTGGCAGGTCGAGGGTCGCGACTCCCCGTTTTGGGCACCTCATCCGGCGAGGCTTGCGAGGGTCTTGGAGAAGTGGATTCAATACGTGGAGGAAGGGACATGGAAAGTTGGCAAAGATGGAATAAAAGGAAAGCTAAGTGGCTATCTGAAGCATGAGGTGATCCGTGGGAACTGGGGGTTAGAGGTCGAACCATATGGCATGTTGCTTGATGGAGTCGACGCCTCATAGAGATATATTGTGATATGTATACTAATGTACCACCATACATGGCACTGGTTCTCTCTTCAATAGTTACTATCAAAAGAGCTTGTCCAGTCCAGTCTGTCCTCATTGTACGGATACAGATGCAAGCCTTGGCACCATGTTTACCCCAAAACAAGCTTAGCGCGTGGCCGTGCATCTCCATCTCGTGATCAACTTACTTTCTCAACTCCAGGCAGACAAACTCCCCTCCTCACCCCGAGCTGAGCCTCTAGCTCTCCTCTCGCTCGCATGCGCTCCTCGGTCCTCAGTCCGAGAGCCCCTTTTGATGGTTATCCCGGGTGACACCATCTGCGCCGCTCTTGACAAAGGCGGCGGCGTCCGCTTCGGCCCCGACACATTCGCAATCTACACCCGCGCGCCCCTCCCTCGCAGCTTCGCAGACCTCGACAAGAATGCCGCCCTCCATACCAAGCTGACAGCCGCCGCGGCGCTGGTCTGTCAGACGCTCCCCGTCTACGTGGATCTAGACGCTACGGACATGACGCAACTCGCTTCGCTCCCTGTGCCCGTACCCCTCACTTCGAATGTCGAGGCGGTATCGAATAAAACGACCAGTCACCCGCCGTGGTTCCTCATCAACGCCGCAACGATCAAGAAACACTGTGTGGTCGGAAGTGGGTCGGTAGCTCAGGCGCTCCTCGTCATCCTACAACGCCCCTGGTGTGTCCTCGAGATATGCTGCACGGATCCAGCGACCATCGCAGCCGTATTGGCGTTCGCGCGGCTTGCGGCGCAGGAGGATCTCGATAGTTACGATGCTTCAGTCCGGCTGTTGAGTTATGAGCAAAGGGCGAGGATCACACCGGCGCCGGCGTCAGCACCAATCCCGGCGGATATATCTACCCCCTCCATTTCTCAGCACGGGCCTAGCCCACGATGCTCGATAAACGCGCTTCGCGATATCTATGCGGCTACTACGCTCACGGCATCCTATAACCGGTTCTGGCTGCCGCTTATTTGCACCTGTGCGTTCTACCTGGGTATATCATTCTCAGAAGTTGTGAGGCGGATCCGCAAGGATCTAGATGTCGACGGCCCGTTAGGTGAGAAGGAAAGGGGCTCGACTTGGACCGGACTTTATAGAGAGATTCTTAAGATGATTAACGAGTGCCTTTGAGATACGAATTACGATGGATATTACACGACTAAGCTATGCGGGACAGATTGATTGACTTGGCGGCGCGATTCATGATCTTGATACAAGGGAATAGAATCCAAGTGTTATATTCGCACCACTGCCGCCTTTGATCTGTTTTCCCATAAATCATAAGGATGCTTGCAGTATCGCTTCATTCTTCTCTCTGAAAATGGAAGGGGAGACATACCCCACTCCTGCAGGCGGCAGAGGGCTGCCACTGCGTGGTGTGTGGGTCACAGCCTGAGGTGTGGACAGCGCAGTATCTAGATATAAGTTCCAACGACAGGGGCAGTCGTGCAAGCAATCAAGCAAAGACCTGAGCAAGGACCTGAGTGAGTACATAAGCGAGTCACTGAGCAAACGACCGGGCAAAAAACGCGAACAAGAACGAGTAATCTGTGGACAACATAGTGAGTAGTTACATGGATAAGTGACGGGTGTATGTAGGAAAGAAATTCTGGTCTGATAAACATGATCAATGTGCCATAGAACATTTTCTGAACTAATTAAAATCTCTGGCATTTCCTAGAAACCTTTATATCTCTACTAGTATCAAACTAGCTCACTAATGCCCCGTAGAACCAACGCCTCTATGTTTGTTTACTTGCAGCTTTATAGATCATGCACCGCCAAGGCCCTAACTCCGGGTCTGAACCAGATGAGGATACTGGACCAAAATCCAGGTTCATTGTCTCGATTCCTCAAATTCCTAAAGAATCCCGTGAGTTGCCGACTAAAATGCCCCCCGGTGGAAAAGAACATGAGTTGAGAGAAACGGGGGGTGGATACATAGAGATAGAGACACAGCCCTCCCCAGCCGCCCGCGACGCTAGACCCTCTCCTGCAGAATCACCAGCAAATAAGATCGAACCAACACACGAGCGGCTGAGAATCCCACTCCGTCGCCCTTGCCACAACAGCACCATGTTCTTCGTACTACGACAACCTCCTGTTGGACCCCGGAGACTCCTCTGGCGATGCCGTTTTCCGGCGCAAGGGCAGGACTGCGCACGGTTGCCTTCACGCTCTGCGCAGCCCTAGTCGAAGCAAAATACCCCTTCTCCTCAGACGCCCCCAAAGCAACTCTTCGCGATGAAGACTCCGTGTCATTCGACCCGCTCGGCGTGGCGGCCGTGCTGGGAAACCCGCGCGCTGATGCAAGCGCTGCAAAGCTCTACGTGCAATTCGACAAGGACACCTTCCACTGGCCGCACTCGAGCATGGTCGGGGGCACGTTGCCCGCAATCCAGATGCTCGTCGAGTACTTCACCTCGGGACTGCCATCGCAGTCGCTCTCGCCGCCCATCAAGATGTGTGCGAAGTACATCACCATGATCCCCGTCCGCTCAAGCTTCGTCTTCAAGGAGCTGCCGCTCGATTTCACTAATGTGTGGATGAGCCCCCTCATCTCTTTCCGCTCGGGGGACGTCAATCCCGGTAACGACTTTATGATCATCTACCTTGACTCGATCCCCAAGTCATCTGAAGACATCGACAGGCTGACCAAGGAGAAGTGCGACAATCTGGCGCTTGACCCGGGACTCGGATGGTGGATGGTCGGACGGCTCACGCTGTACGTGCTAATCCTCATCAACGGCGCCATGATTCTCACCGCGATGCTCATTGGCATTCTGGCCGCCGACCTCTGGGCATTTACGCTCTTCTTCCTCTACGGCAGCCACTGGATCGCCTCAGCGCTCATCACCTTCCTGCCCATGGTAACAGTCTCAACACCGCGCATCGACGAGGACAAAACTCCACACTATGCAGCATACGAGCGGCCCGAGGGCGGCACCGTCATCTTCAAAGGCCCCAAGGAAAACATGGAAGCCTGGGCGCGCACAACCTGGAAATACGAGCCTTCCACTCTGCAAACCCTCCTCCACTGGGCGTACATGACAACAGGAGCGCTGGCCGCTTTTGCATCGATCGCCTGCATGGTGAATATGCGCGGGTACCTACAGCTCGCGTTCCTCGCGGTCCTCGTCTACGCAACAATCGCCGAGATCATCGCAACCAAGGTCTCGCGCTGGCTGCAGACTAAATCGATGGGACATGTCCAGCACGCTCTACTGACCAACAACGAAAAGCGCACGCAAGGGATCATCTCGGCCACTGTGGCGGTTCAGCCGATCTGCCGCCTGGAAAAGTTCGATTGGATCGGCATGGGGCTGCTCCCGCCTCTTCCCGCGTTTACGGCAATGCAGGTCGCTCTTGAGGAGATAAACAAGTTCCAAAAGAAGGTTGAGAAGGCAGGAGTGGGGCCTCGCAGTGGGGAGGAAAAGGATGCGCTGCGCGCGGAGATGGAGGCATTCTACGAGCGGTATCGGGCAAGGGCGAGGGAGGATGCTGAGCGGGGTAAGGAGACGGAGGAGGCAAAAGCTGCGTCGAGAAGAGCGACGGATGGCCTTGCTGAGCGGTTGGTTGACCAGATGAAGGTCGCGGTTGAAGGGTGGTTCAGGTGGATGGATGAGAACCCGGACCAGGGTTTGGCTAGGGATGAGGTTGTGTTGGAGAAGAGCTCATAGCACGGGACGTCAGGGCGAAGGGCTAAGTCATAAGAACCCAGGCACCCTGCTCTGTCCTTTGATGTAGGTAGGTTATATTTCATATTGTCAACCTACATGTGTAGTGGAGCGTTCAAGCAAGTTAATATTTTGGTGACTATAGCACCTATATAAGCACCCAATCAAGCATCTAATGAGCCTCTAAATGAGTTCTGATTGAGATCTAAATGAGAAAGCAAGGAGTAACCAAGAGAGACCCAAATCCTGAGACCAAGAAGCCCAGTGAGCAACTAAACAGCAGAGCAAGCCTTGACTGGCACCTAATATCTTCCACTCCCAACTATCTCTCTCTCTCATCTCTCTCTCTCCAGGGCTCTAGGGGGACTTTACCAAACTTGAGATGGCAGATAAGGAGGAATCCTTGAGTACCATAGTAGTGCAGTATTGTAGAAGAATTCTGAAGGAATGAAGAATACTTGTCATTCAATCAAAGGACCACTCCGTAATGCATACAGTAAAGATCTGAGATGCTTGTCGAGGTCAAAGACGTCCGTAACGATTGGGAGGTCTTATAGAGGTCGTAGAGGTCATTGCTCGGTCCTTCGCCTTCTTCCAACAGTATTCCTCTCGAAAAGATCAAAGACAGGTCTTCTATAGTAAGTAGCGACTACAGAGTAGTTGTATCCCGCTGGCCTGAGGTCAACCGCATAGCTCATTTCAGCACAAGTAAGGCGATCGTATCAGGGTCCCTGACAATGTTGTTTCCGTGCCAGGGACTCATGCCCCCCTAATTTGGGTCACTAAGGCTAAGCTCAGCCAAGACGGGACGATCCGATCTGCCATGAGGCACGATGGCATCAGAACAAACCGGGATGACTATGAGACGCATCAAACTCCCCAGGCTTTTGAGGACAATCTGATGAAACAGATGCAATGTACTGCTAGCATTTGCCACTCTTTTTCGAGGATCGCAGGCAGCAGCGCGAGTCCCTCCCCCTGAAAATCCCTCATTATTTATCCCCCACTCGAAATCTGCCAGCCAGCAATTCTCGCACCATGTGGCCCACCACCGCCACTTAGCAGAAGCTTAGACTGAGCTATGCATAGCACAAACTAGCCTATGGAGTCTTGTTTGACTCAAGATTACCCCATTGCTATTTCCTGCTGGTGCCGAGGGGCCCCTTATCATCCTCGCCCCTCCTGAACTCACCTTGCTCACTCTTCAGATTCGATCACCACCATATTTACTTTATTTACCTCACCTATCCTCCCTCTATAATCTTCAACCGATCCCCGAAAACTACAGCAATGGGCTTCCTAACTGACCTGATCGAAGACGCAATCGAGTCAAAACTCAACGGCAGCAGCTCGCAATCCCAGTCCCAACCTGCCACCGAAAACAACTACTCCTCCTCTTCCTACGGGGGAGGATACCAGTCCGGCCCTCCGCAACCATCCCAAGTGCCCTACCCCTGGGTCGCCCGCTGGGATGACCGCGACCAGCGCTGGTTCTTCCTCAACGAACAAACAGGACAGACAAGCTGGGAGGTTCCGTCCTCAGGAGGTTATTCGGGAGGGTATTCTGGAGGATATAGTGGCGGAGCGCCGCAGCAAGGGTACTACGACGGCGGCCGTGGTGGTGATTATTACCAGTCCTCGGGATACGGGAGTGGTGGTGTCCCTCAAGGAGGGTACTACGAGCAGCCGGTGCAGCAGGAGGCGAAAAAGGATCATACAATGCTGTACGCTGGTGCGGGTGTCGCGGCTGGGGTTGTCGGTGGGGCGTTGTTGATGCATGAGGGGGAGGAGATCCGTATGTTCCCTTGCTTTCTTCTTCTGTGGCCCATGAGTCTCGTCTCGTGGGTTGTGCTCGTGACAGGAACTGATGAGTAAAGATGACGATTTCGAGGAGAAGAAGGAGGATTTCGAACAGGGCATTGAAGATTTCCCGGAGAATGCGGCCAGATGGACGGGCGAGGCGGTATGTATACTTACCTTCAGATTATTCATGCGCTTTCTTTCTCGGCGATTGCTTGGTTTGATGTGTGATTGGGCGACACTAATGAGTATAGGTTGGCGAGGTCGAGCAAATTCCCGACAGGATTGAAGACGGGTTCGACGCTGTTGGCGGCGGTATTGAGGATGCGGTGGACGACGTGGAGGATTTCCCTGAAAATGCCGCTGGGTGGGTTGGGGAGAAAGTTGGCGAGGTTGAGCGATTCGGGGACAATATGGAGGATGCGTACGATGATGGTGTTGCCGAGGGAAGGGGGGACGATTGGTAAGATATGGTACGAGATTATATCACCCGTGTTAGTCCGTTTTGCGTAGAATAGATGCCAAATCGTGCCATAAAGTTGTAGAGTATCAATGAACATTCTGCGAGCCGCACTTGAGGAAAAGTGACGCCGAGAGGAATGCAACTTGAAGACATCTCCGGATCGGAAGCGTCCCAGAGAACTCGGCAGAGTGATCCACGGTCCGAGTGAGACAATCCGAACAGAGCCCCCTGGTGAGCAGCCTGATGATGATCACTCCTGGACAAAAGTCGCGTATGATTCGTCCGGATGCGATAAAATGTTCAGATGAGCAAGGGCAGGGCTGAGCTGAGCGTGAGTGTCTCAGATCAAGGTTAGCCACACGATGAAAGTAACGGTTGGTGAAAGGTTGCAGGAGTGTTGGTTCAATGTAACTCAACACATGCTGGACTTGTGGGGAATGATTCGCTTTCTCCTGCGAACCACTCGCTTTCCAGCGCTAATTTTTGTTACTAGTGTTGAGCAGACCAGTGATGCTCACGTCATTCGGGTTCTCTGGTCCTGGCTGGCTGCGGAGGACGTGCCATAACGTGGACGAAGCTCGCAAATCTCCGGCTGAGTTTCGCGATACGAGGAGCACTGGCCCTCAGATTTCTTCCGCCCCTCTCGCTTCAAGTTCCCCTCATACGATCGAGGAATCAAGAGTACAATTTGTTCGTGCCACCGGGCTTTCCGGGCGCGACTGGTGGGGCCCGACGTCATGATGAAAGGCAGATGAACGTGAATCCATCGCTCTGATTTGGGTCTGAGAAATGGAAATCAGGTACACAATCTCTGAGCGCCGTTCCTAGCGTCCGGTACTGGTAAGGTCAAGCCCGAACTGTATTGAATAGGTCACTGTTTGAAATAACCAAGGAACATCTTGCACAGCCGCACCAGGTGATAAAACATAGACATCTTTTAGGAAAGTGTGGCTTGAGTGATGAATCATCGTTGAGGATCTTAGACTGTCGAGTCCACTATGCGATCATTTCTTCTCTCTGTTTCAGATTCTCGTCATTATTGCCCCGGGATCCCGAGACATGGAGCAGGATGGAGCCAGATGGGGAAGGTGCTGCGCCATCGCTGTGGCTGCGCAGCAGGGTGGTTAGTGGCTTGGAATCATATACTCCGGAGTAGTAGCAGTCATGATATGTGGATCTTGAGTTGCATGGAAGACGATAGATGCTTGGAGCAGGCACTAAGATGATATTCATGACAGACAGTATGTCTCCAGCTCTTTCGTGGAAGGGGCGTACCCAGGTTCCTGCATAGGGGGATTGTATTCTTCTCAGGGAGCCTCAAACTATTGTTCATGAGCTTTCTGTAGCGACTATAATAGTGCTTAGAGTCTTACTATCAGAAGCTGCTAATCTAAATTCTATGGAAACTCATTCTCCTGTGCAAAGGATTTTCCGGCGATGATCACGTGCCTCTCAGCCACATACGATGATACTGTATCATACAGCAGTCTGCGGTAATACCATGACGAGTACTAGTAGCCCACCACGGCAGGAACTCTTACTCCTTCTCTGTCTCCCAGAGTCCTTCATTATTATCTGCAGCTCAGTCCCCTTCCCCTCTTTCTCCCTCAGGTTCAGCTTTCCCAGCCCTATATAACATTACGAGTCCCTCCCGGCTACCCGGCTAATTGGGATTTCCTTCTGCACTGTCTGCAATTGCCGACTCAGAAACCCCTTCTACCATTCCCCACTGGCAAACGCTCTTTCAGCTGCAGGTGTTAGTAACCTTGGATAGGCGCCGTTGCTGCCTCCCGCCATCCTCTCGAACACGACCCAGCCGCTTCTCGAGCGAATCGCTTCAATTTTCGCGCTGTTTGACAAGAGACTCGTGTCTCGCCAGCCTCGTTCGTTGCAAGTCCTGCGAGGGGTTGCCCTGTCCCTCCTCACCTCGACCGTCAAAGTTGCAGATTTGGTACTTGTGCGACTTCCGCAGTCACCGGCCTTGGAACCACTCACTCGTCATCCTCCTTTGCGCTGTGTCGCGAACCCTAAGTCTGGTCTGGGGTTTCCGTGACATTCTTCTTATTTTCGGATCCATCTCAACCGGGCGCTAAACAGCAAATAACCCTTCCCTCCCAACTCGTGTCGATCGGCCTACATGGCCAGCGTACAACTACAATCGCCCAGCATGACAGACTATCGATTGCCAATGCATCAAGTTCCATCCCGGAAGCCGGTCTCTACGGCACCGCCGGGTCAACAGTTCCAGGCCTATCATAATGGTGGTTATCCGCAGCAGCAGCAGTACCGGCCTCAACAGCAGCCACCACAGCAACTCTCCCAGCATCCTTCGGTCGCCTCTCTCCAGCACAGTCGGCGTCGGACATCCTCCTCGAATGCCCTCCCCTACAATTCACACCAGCAGCAGCAACAGCAACAACAATACCAGCAACCCTACACTACCGGGCCTTCTCCGCAACACAGCATGACCGTTCCCCACAACCCTTTGGCGAGACGGCTGTCTAGTGCAACTACCTCGACCACCTCGACCGGAAACAACCCCACAAATCAGGACATCCGTCGGAGTTCATCGTCGCGCTCAGGGAACTCTCAGATGAGCTACGTTGCCCTGCTAAGGCGGCAAAAGGCAACGGTTTGGTGTGACCGTGCACAGCCGGAGGATCCCCGGCTGCGGGCCCAGAAGCTGGTGGATAAGAAGCGGGCATATCTTGAAGTTCATGGTGCAGGCACTGGACGCGCAAGTACGCTCGGAAGCGGGAAGGGCAAGCATGGTATCAAGGTCACAGATCTCTCTCCGTCTGCGCTTGTCGGAGCGACCGTACCTGTTCGACTGAGCGCCAACGAGATTGGTGATGCGGACGATGACGCGAATAGCGAGAGGGGCTTCCCTTATCGCCGGACGGGGAGTGGGCGAAGTTCCATTGGCAGCGGTCACCGTTATCCTAGCGGGTACCAGCGGAATACGCAAGGCACAATGGGAAGTAACAGTCCTCCTCCTAATGAGAAGAATGATCTACCGGGCGTGTCTGAGCATCCTTCTACGGATAAGCCGGAGGAGCAGAAGGACACTGGATCTATGAAGGACAATGCCACCACCAACAGCAAGGACAGCGAGCAAGAGGATAGCTTTGGAACCGTTGGTGATTTGGGCGCGCCCAGTGCGGCCACTCTTGCTGCCGAAAAAGCCAAGAAAGCGGCCGACCTCCGGCGACGAGGCAGTGTGGACGAAAGAACAACCTCGATGACGAACGTACGACTGTTTGTCGCAAATCCGGATTTAAGCGATTAACAAAAGGGGCATATTTTATGCCCTTCGTTGTTCACTTGCGTCGAAAACTCAGTCGAAGCGTGAATAGGTCCCAAGTTTTTCTCAGCATATTGATATCCTCCGTCGTCTTCTTTCTCGCCCTGCTTTGTTCCGCATTCATCCAGTCCCCTTCTTTTCAGCCATTTGTCTGGAGATTCTTCTTCACTTTGTGCGTGTCAGACGAAGGATGCACTGCCTGTAGGACTTTGTCTTCTACGGTCAGCTGCTTCTCTTACAGTGGCATCGATGTCTGAGCCAGTCCAGCGGCTTTGTTCCTCCCCGTGGTTTCCTCCTACCGGCATCAATCCCCCCGGTTGAGCGCTTTTGATCGAGTGTTGCTAGTAATAATAATATATTGTACATACTCATACTAGTATATACCAATTTTGAAACATGAAGTTATCTGCCATCTATGGTGCCGCTGTGCCTGGATGAGTATTGCCCATCTTTACCGCCTTATAAAATCTGTCACGTGTGTGGGTCTACACGAGCAGGCGCGTAAGATTCGCAATTAACGCGTCCCTTCCACAAGGGATCGGCCCACCCCGAGACTCTCGAATCGGGACACAATTCACACTCTCATTGTTGACCATAGTTACGACGAAAGTCCACGGTGCTATTCACCCTTTCCAGTTGTCTCATGACTTTTTTGTTTTCTATGTCCATTCACTGTCTGTCAAATTCTACTATAAGCTGCGAGTAAGGCACATTGCCCTGGCCGCTTCCCTGTATATCCTTCCCGCACCAATTTGCCCGTTTCCTTCGTCGTCAACATCATCGGACTCGATCTTCCTGAGTATAGAGAAGTATAACATGCAAGCAACAATGGCAGTGGATGCCAATTCAGGGTCCCAGCTACCCGCATCAACCTCCGCATCGAGCTTATCACCGCCGCATCCCACCCAACAGCAATTATCCACGCAGACACAGATCCAGTTCTCTCCCGGGCAGAAACGCTCTGCTCCCGCGTACGAAGCCGACGTGCAAACAACTTACATCCGTTCCACCTCGAGTGACTCGAATCCACACCCAACATTGACGAATGGCGAAGATAAAGAGAACCGAGACGACTCGTCGGAGACGAAGAGCGTCGGGTATACCGCAACTTCGGCTCTGACGCCAGCTTCTCTAGCTACTATCCCTATGCATACCGGTCCGGACGGTCATGGTACACCTACGCCCACCGGTCAACCGCACACCCAGGCTGGATTCAATACACCCCCGGTTTCGAAGAAGAGAAAACTATCGCCTGCGGAACGCGAGGCAAAGCAACAAGAGAAAGAAGTGAAACAACAGGAGAAAGAGGCGAAGGAGAAACAAAGACTAGAGGAGAAAGCGAAGAAGGAGGAAGAAAAGGCCAAGAAGGAGGAGGAAAAGAAGAAACGAGACGCGGAAAAGGAAGAGGAGCGGAAGAAGCGGGAGGAGAAGAAGAAGGCTAAGGATGAAGAGAAAGCTGCCAAGGACGAGGAAAAGCGCAAGAAGGAGGAGGAGAAGCTGAAGAAAGAAAGAGTGCGTTCTTTCTATTTCGAATTCTATAAGCTATTGCTAACATTGAGCCAGGCCCAAACCAAGTTGAACTCCTTCTTCGCCAAGCCCAAGTCTACAGTCGCTCAACCCCAACCTCCCTCGAAACCTATTAGTATTTCACCAAAGAAGCCCTCCGAGGATAGAATGATTGTGGACACCACCACAGAGGCCAGTGGTGTATCTGACTATAAGCGAGCATTTCCGGACTTCTTTTTACAGCGACATACCTATCTTGCTCCCCCACATCGATTTGAGCGAGACGCACAAGCCGTTAGCCATCTTCAGGACAAAGTCGATTCATATCTCAAGTCTGCTGGATCTGCCGAACCGCTGGTTTTCCGACCATCTGAACTTTTCAAGTTGATCCCATACAAAAGGAGACGGGGAGCTTTGAAAATGTCGGTCAGGGACATTCTGCTGCAGATGCAGAGCTTACACGACGCGCCTGAGACTTCTGAGGCCACTAACAAGCTTCAAAACTCGTTGAGGCAAGTTCGGATGAAATCTCTCAAGTTCGGTGAAGATGTTCGGCCCCCGTATATGGGTACATACACGAAGCAATTGCCCCAGTCAGCAGCAGCTCGGCTCATGCGCAACCCATTCCGCCGTGAGCTTCCTGAAGTGAACTACGACTATGACTCGGAGGCAGAATGGGAGGATGCCGAAGAAGGAGAGGAATTAGACTCTGAAGAGGAAGAAGAGGGCAGCGAAGAAGGCGACGACGACATGGATGGGTTCCTTGATGATGAAGACGATCAGCTACTGAACGGCAAGCGACGCATGCTGGTAGGAGATCTTGAACCGGTCTCCACTGGGCTGAAATGGCAGGAACAGGAACCGGATCCAGAGCTGCAGGCCTACAAGATCGAAACTATCCTGCCCTCTGTCGGGTTTCCCATTGACCCGTTCTCATCTGCATATTGGCAGAAGGCGGAACCGGCACAGCCCAATCGCTCAACCCTTCGTTTTATCATGGGCCATCCAGGATCGCATACTTTGGGACCCCAGGAGAACCCGTCCGGTAAGACCAGGCGGGTGTTGCCGGTGGAACTACTCGCCGAGTTCAAATCCGTGGTTGAAGGGAGCAATCTAACCAAGACCGGCTTGGTCGAAGTCTTAAAGAAACGGTAAGTGACCTCACATCGAATCAGCGCAGATCAAGGCTAAAATGATTGGCGACCAGGTTCCCGAAAATCTCCAAGGACACGCTGAAGGGCACACTCGATAGTGTGGCTACGCGCGTTGGACAAAAGGAAGTCGACAAGAAATGGGTCTGCAAGTAGGATCTGCATTTGAGTTTGGATGACAGTCAACATCAGAAACGGCTCAGGTGCGCCCTGAGGAGACTTTGAGGCCACCAAGATCATCATTTTCTTATCCGGTATTACTACGAGACGGCAACCACGGTTAGATGTTGTGAAAGACGGCGCAGTTGTATAGCGTCGCGACCCTTGTCCTTCGGTTACAAAACTTCAGTGACTGATTCTACCGAGCGAGATGTAGTCCGACTTGTTGAGAAGGAGGGGCACACAGCGCAGGACGTCAAGTGTACCCCACCTGGTTGAAGCGATGGAGAGGAGGGGCAAAGCAAACCCTAGGGCCATTTACCCTGACTACATGAGATCATGGATCTATTTTTTCGGCCAGCACGGAGTATGGGAGACAAAGGCCATCCATATGTCATCGAGAACGTGACTTGACGATATCAGGGTTAGTGCGCGCATGTGGACACGTGCAGGCAGAGCAGCAGAATTAATAACATTTATCTCATCCAGCATGGCGCTTCTTTGTGTATGGTATCCAGTAGCAGAACATCCTATCCTGGATGGAGATCTCAGATGAATCGTAGCAACAGCCAAAATCGAACGCGAAAAGAAGACGGAGAAAAGCGACTATGTTTCGTCGCAGGCGATCATGTTTCAGCATCGGAAGGAAGAAAAGAGGAAAGCCAGCCAGGCGAACTCCACCAAGGCAGTTGTTGAAGTCGAGAGCAGGACTGTATTCTGGATGGCTGCCGTGCTGGTGGAGGAGGCGAGGCAAGGAGGGCGGGCGACAAATCAGAAGCCACAAGCGCAGGGAGGAGTCTTCATGCATGCAGTGCCAACGCATCACTTTGCAACTGGGAGTCATCCATTTATTATTGTCCCAAGGCGCCTGTGGAGGGTCGGTTCAGCTGGCACGAGAAAGAATAAGCCCGGATTGAGGGCGATTCACAGGTCAGGTCGGTTCTTCAGAGCGATCGACTGGGAATTATCGTCCAATATCCGTTGTCCAATATTCACACTTTGTAGACAGTCAAAATGATCAATGCTCAACAACAGCACCAGGTACAGTATAGCACAGCATGTTAAGCTGCAGGCGGCCGCTTCGAGTCACCGCCTGCCAGCTCACGCCCTCCTCGCCCCTCGATTTGTTGGCATCGCATTCTCCATCGTTCAACACTTCTGCTGCTCTCTTCAAGTCCTCGTCTTTTAGTCTGCATGTCATCCGCTCAGCTCCCCGCTCTGTAGTGTATCATCGTCTCCTCCGCCACTCACTAACTTGTCCTCGTTTCCTAAACTCGGAGTTTACCCCGTCGACTCGCTCTTATACCTTAGTACTGCAGCTGCTCTATACCAGTGCCAATAGGAAGCCCGCTCTGCTTTAGCCTCCTTGCCCTCGCATTTATTACTTATTCACCTGCCAGGTGGTTTCATCTGCTCTTCAAATCCCTCTCTGTCTCTTTCTCCTTGCTCTTCCCTTCCCGCTCTTATTCTGCGACTCTATCTTCATCCACTCTCCCCTCCTTAACCCCGTCAACACACTGGAGACTTTCATCGGTTCGACTTTGCCCTTACGGCTGCCTTTCACATCGGACCCTCCGCCTGATGAAATCCGTCCGTCGCCGTCTTCGCCCTCAGTAGAGGAGCCATGCGATAATCGAGAAGTGGTCTCTGCCGCCGCGGCCGCCGTGCAACCTCCACCATCTCCCTCCTATTATTGCCAGCCCTCCAAGCCAAGCGTTCCACGGACTCCTGCCCATGGCAACAACATCATGTTCGATGCCCAACCTGATGGTCTCTCGTCCCCCCTGGCGTTTGTGAGCAGTACGTTCGCTCTCTTCTTATCTTTTTTTTCTTTACTTTTTTCCCTTTGCGCCTTGAAGAACTATTCAAATTTCTCCCCCCTTTATCGCGACGAGATCGTCGCCTTTTGGGCATGAACGTCCGCGCTTGCGATTGATTATCCAAAGCTCTTTTCTGCGACATTTGATTGCGCACTTTCATTCCTAACGTTGGCTCGCTCTTTCGATTATTTAGACCTCTTTCCCGCTGCTCTCAAGACAACCCGACCATGTGAACCTGCGGCTCCTTTCAGTGCTGACGCGACTGCCGGCATGTCTCTCTCCCCCGACTCGACTTCGAGTCGCACCACAGGTGAGTCTGGAGACTCGGACCGTTTGAGCTGGCGATTCGTTCCAACCCCCGTTTATTCCGAGGATGGACATTCCACTGTTGAGGAGCCCGTCCCCGTCCCAGTGGAAGAGCGCCCCAAGGTTTCTTTCGAGGAGTTAGCCAGCCGATACCGTCAGAACCAACACAAGCAGGCGCGCAGGAAGAAATTGGAACAACGCCTCCATGCGACCAAGGTTTCTATGGGAGTTTCGGCGCGTCTGGTCCGTATCGGTGCTGCTGTCCAGCGAGGTCTGGTCGACAGGCTCAAGCATGACGACAAGGCCAATTTCATCGCTCTCCACCATACCATGATTGATCTTCAGGAACCATGTACTTTAGTTGCCCGGCGCCATACACACCAATCTGATTCTTGGGAAGAATGGCCCAGCACCCGCGGGTCTGCCCTAGATCACTCTCCGGACTTCTTCCTCCAGCTTAGCCCACAGTCCAGGGCCGATCTTCTTGAGATTTTGCAATCCGTTCGGACTGATTCCCAGTTCGTTTTTGAACGTCTATGCAGCTTGACTCCAGCTCAGCTGTCAGATTTGTTATCCTCATCTGTCTCCTCCTGGGAGACCGGTGGTGATTCCGCGTTCCCTTCCACGTCCCGTTCCAGGATCTCTTCTTTAAATTCGAAAGCAGGCGTTGCATCTACTATTCCTTTCAAGGACCGCGTTTTGGCTTTCGAAAGGACCGACCCCCTGTCTACTTTGCTGTTTAATGTTTATGCAGCTCCTCTGGATTCCGATGCCCCGGAGGCTCAGCTGCGCTTGGATATGTGGTCTTCTGTCTGCGCAAAACTCATTGCAGACGGCGCCAGTAGGTCATATGCTCTTGTCGACCATATCTTGACTCTGTGGGCTACAGGCAGTGGATGGACGGCCAAACCCAAGTTTGAGCTCTACCTAATGGACATCCTCCAGACCGGTGCGTTCCTCCTGGAGCATACAGAGGCCCCTCCCGGCTATGATCTGGAATCTATGGATCCGTTAAGGACGGATGTTGCCGAGGAATTCTTTGCGTCCACGGTGGATTCGTTGCTTGAGCTTTTGGATGATCCAGATGCAGGATTACCCCAGACAGTTTTACAACTGAGCAAGGCCGTTCTGCAGAAACTTGACCGCCAGGATTGCCGCGATCGCTTTTTGGATTTCTTATTTGTGCAGTGGTTCTTCTCCAAGTTTCTCTATCGAGCTTTGACATATCCAGAGGTGAGTTCCGCGTCTTTCACCTGATTACCGACAACTACTGATTAGAGTTACAGGGCCACGGTCTCTTGCTCGACTTCCATATTAGGAAAGAAGCGCGAGACAAATTGCTCGGCCAGGTTGGATATCAAGCTTATTCGCAAACCCTCGCTGTTCTCCGTTCTATGTGCGTCTTTTTACTTCTAGCCCGTTTCCTCGAAATTGTTATCTTGTTGCTGATATATGAGATGTCAGGCACCATTATTCCATGGCTCGCCCTAAGGTTCGCCAACATGTTGAGAACATGCTTGACCGATTTACCTGCGCGTCCGTCAAAATGGAGACCCCCCAACCATTGTCGCCCACAGGCCCTTCTTACGGACTGGACTCTCCTACGATTTTTTTGATGCTTTCTGCTGCTGATGTTCTCACTGTGTTGAATGCCCTTTTCCCCAGCGCTCCTTCCCCTGTGTACAACTCCCAGTCGCCCGCCTCAGGCATTTCCCTCTCACCACTTGGGTCGCATCCAGATAAGACCGTGACTTCCACCTTCGAACCAGGGTTCTATCGACCGTCTGTGCCCTTTTCCTCCAGGCTGGCCTCACACGCCAAAAGTATATTCCCTACAGATGTTCATTTCTTCTCGCAGCCGAAAAACACACCGAGCTCCAAAGCTGACAGGATTCGCTTTGAGTTGTCGGATTTGGGAGAGCATGATCTTCACACGCATCTCGAGCCGCCTTCAGCCGAGGAGTGGACTATATTTACTCTCTCGCAGGATGGCATGCGACTCGTCTGGGGGTTATTCCCGGATAGTCAAGCACACTCTCCGGAGAGCCTACCCTCTGACGAGGTCAGCTTCTCCACACTGGGGATGGAGGATAATTTTGAAGCTCTGCAGACGGCGATAGTGAAGCTAATCCACGAGAATCCCGCGGGTGAACGTGTGGAGCACGGGTTACCCTTGTCCCATGGCCTTCCCCACAGAGCTAGCCAGTCACTCAAGGAACGTTTCAATCGCGCAATGGCACACTGCCATCAAACTTCCGACTTCATTGGCGCGCACTACTGGTGGAATGCTGCTCGACTGCTCCGCCGCACTGTCGCTAACTCTTCGACGCAACCCGTTGATGACTCTTGGATCCTGGAACCTATGTACTCGACTTGTGTCCGCTCACTCCAAATTTCTAGTTCCGTCATCGAGCGCTGTGATGCTGATTTTGTCGCGCTGGACCGTCATGTGCAAAAGCTCGAGAGAACAGTGAAAGAAATGATGAAGACCATGGGCCGCCTTCGAAACAAGATGTGGTATATGACCGATGTGAGGAACTCCAGACGTTATGAGGAGGCGAAGAATGTCGCGCTCGCACTCAAGACAATGCCCTATGCGCACCTTCTAGCCCACAGTGAGCCTCGGTCTCGTGGTGGCCCTCGTGCTTTCGGCGGTGCTCTGCTCCAAAAACCCGAGCTCCAAGTCATGAATGTGATGAAGGCTCCGAGCAACCAAGCGGGCCCAACTAAGCTCGCTGACGACCAGGTTGACCTGATCCGCAAATGGCTGACTCACAACAATATTGACAACTTCTGCAAAGGTGAAGAGCGTATTCACCGGTTTTGCTATGAAGTCGGCACAAGTATCAACAGGTTGGTTGGTGAAACAATGGCGGAGACGCCAGTCCTTTGGGCGAGTGAGCTGTTCCACAAAGAGCGGGCCAAGTACGAAGGTTCCAGCAACCGAAGCTTCCTCAGTCTCACTTCCAGCTTGCGGTCGTTTGGAATGGCCGGTGATGATTCTCCTCATTCTACGCCTTCTCTGGCTAGCTCTGGTCTTCGCCCGCAAGAACCGTCAAGGGTTCCGCAGGAGCCTCCCCGCTTGAACCTCAAGCCTTCGTTGGAATCCGACCGATGGAGATCTCCGGCTGCCAATACAGAGGCGTCTTCTGTCCTTGGCGACAGGCCACCGTCAACTACTACAGGAGACTCATGCAGTACCTTCTGGTCGACACCACCGCCCCATACTCATTATGCACCTAGCGCATCCAGCCTCTACTCCCGGCCGCCGTCCATGCTCAGTGATACTGCTATCCAGCAGCCGCGACGTGAGCGCAAACCACATGGCAAAACAGCATTTTTGGACGATCTAAGACGGACACTAACCAGCCTAATGCTGAGTGATCTTGGCTCACCGGTCTGGAGCTGTGGCACCGAAACAGATGCTTGGTTCGGCAACGTACTTGAACAGAAAAGGATTCAGGCGCAAATGAGGAAGCGATCTCGTATTCAGAAGTTCTTTGCCGAATGCGATGAGCGAGCAGTCCGTCAATCTATTCATCGGGTTCCGTCTCATCGAAGGAGCAAATCCGTTGACCCACCCAACCGGGGTGAGTCTACTAATGCTCCCTCTCCAGAATCTGCCGAGGACGTTACCGCTAGGTTGGATGACCCAGGTCCATTCGGGTATGGTACTGTTTTCCGTCGCCTTCTGGACGTGTTTTCCCGCCACGGGAATCCGTTCGTCAAGCTAGACGCGCTTCGGGATCTTCGCAACCTCGTCGTTGCATCGTTGAGTACGGCCAATGATGATGAAGGTCTATCTCCTTCTATCCTAGCTCCCACCTCACGCCAAAGACGTGCCTCTGTTATCCGCAGAAATCGAGATGCAAGGAGTAGCTTCTCAGAGCTGAATACTCGCCGTCGATCAGAGAGAGATCCTTTGCATACCCCAACCTCCCCTCCGGCTGAGTCTGTAATCTTCGGATCGCGGCCATCTGACTACGCCGCGCCCACCGAGAAACAGATTGTCGAAGCGCTGCGAGAAATAATCCTCGACATGAAGCCAAAGACCTTATTCCGCGATCTGCAGTTTATCTCGGCTTTTGTTCCTAGTGACACTCTCAACAAAACGGATAGCGGAACGGCATTCCTGCAATTTGGACTGGCTGCACTGAGCCTGAAGGATGAGGTATGTAACAGCATGGTGGAGATTGCGGACGATATCGTTTCTCAAGAACTCACCCGTCGGCATCCCCCAAACATGTACGATATGTATCCTCGAGCAGGTGATCGCATGAAGGACGCTGCCAACATGTGGATACCCACAGCGAAGGAAGGTCATCCCGTTGCACAGCGGGAACTTGCCATTCTTTACCTCACGCACCCGGAGCTTGTTCCGCGCGTCACTTTTCCTCTTACTTTGCTGAGAGATACTTTCAAGGCGGAGATGATGTACCGCCGAGACAAGGACTCCAAATCGGATCCCCATACAATGTGCCTAGCCCTGCACTGGATGCAGTTGTCGGCTAATGGGGGAGACGAGCTCGCGCGGAACCGGCTTCGAGAGCGAGAGGAGTTTGAGTCTATTGCTTAACCATTTTTTTTAACTTGCCGTTGCCCTTTTGGCTTATCTTCGTTCGATCTTTTACTTACCTTTACTTTGTTTCTACTTACTTTCTCGATGATACCATCTCGGAGCAGTTGGGCTACTGAATACCTTACTCTTTCGATGACGTTAATTTCGGAGCAGTGGTTTTCCTTTGGTTCTGTTTTTATTACATATCGTTTACCTGTCGCGGGTCTGGCATTTCTGTCTTGATATCCTACCGCATACAAGGTTTGGGTGGCACTTTGGGCTGATACAGTCTTCGATTATGGCTATAATATATGGAGTTGGAATCGATAGAGGTTCAGCTACTGTATTCTTGTATCTGTACAATATTCTACTTTATAGTATGAGGGAGGTTCGGTCATTGCTGAGTAAGAAAGCGGCGACGTCATTCTTGAGCCCCACGAGGAATCAGACGAGCCTAACCACGTGGTCTTGGCGCTCGGTGTCCCTTCTGCATCGTTCCATTCCAAGGTCATATTTGCTTGGAAGTACTCTCATTCTATCGTGGCTGAGACAGACTTCGCAGTCACTTTTGATCACTTGGTCATCTGCGAAATCCGTGACCACTGTATATGAATAGTGACCTGTCAGGAGGGTAAGTGAAACCGATACCTGATCTCAGCTCTTGCGGTTAGACCTTCAGCTGACTTGGGCTGTACTGTATAAGTATAGGTCATCGTGCGCTTGTTTGCTAGATCCTGTTTCTCCTGCAGATAGATCTCTCGTTTGATCTGCCCGCCGCTTGTTCTTTAATTAAAGAGTTGCGAAGCGCAACACCGATAGAGAAAGACTGTTTCTTTGTTTTCCATTCCAGCCCCACGTCAGACCACCATGGCGCAGAACACTGATGCGATTCCCAAGAGGCCGAGGGGTAAGTGCGGTCGGATTTGAAAGACTCCCTCTGTTTGCAATCTGTCTAATGAGCATATGTTTTGTATTACGTTTAGGGATTCTGAAAAACTCCAGCTCCCAACACCACCTCCACGTCTCCTACGACGAGCACCACACGCCTACCCCGCCTCCCGTCGACACCAAGGAACTCACCCTGCAAAACACCCTCCAGAACGCGGGTCGCCGTCCCTCGTCGTCTTCCCGACGCACCTCTCTCGCAAGCTCTCACGGTCACCATGACGACGCCTCGCCGCGTTTGAAGTGGGACGAGGCAAACCTGTACCTAGCCGAGCAGGAGAAAACGGCAAAGATGAAGATCGACGAGCCGAAGACCCCCTATGCGCCGCACTATGACCCTACCGAGGACGAGGAGGAGATGAGACTCGCTGAGGCGCAGGACAGCCTGATTAATGCGCAAGGTGTTGTTGTCGACGAGCTGGACAGGAGCAAGAAGGGGTCGCAGAGGAAACCTTCCGAAGACGATATTCCCGAGTTGGAGCTTGGTGAGCCTGAGGAGTCGGTTGTGGATGGTGGACAACTTGGTGATAGTGATCGAATTATGCGCTCGCGGAGTCTGAGTAATGAGTCTCACCGCAGCGACAAGCATGTTGTCGTTGGTGCGAATGGGACTGGGGAGGATGGGGATGAGCTTCTCACGACTGAGGAAGCAAAGGAGAAGCATCGGCAGTTTGAGAAGCAGCGGAGGAAGCACTATGAGATGCGAAATATCAAGGAGCTTCTAGCGTAGGTTCCTTTCTCTTCTAATCCGGGCGCAATTCGAGACCATGCTGACCATGACAGACATCACGAGGAGGATGAGATGGATGAAGACGAAGACGACTCAGGCGTGCCACCCCCGATGCCTCGGATTCCACAGCAGTTCAGCAACGGAGGCCAGTGAAGCCACCTCTTCTATTATGTTGATGTTTCGGTTCCCTTTCCCAAGTGCACACCGTATATTCCCCAGCGATTCCAGGTTTCTGATGACAGACGAGTGACGAATGACCCATCTTCCTTTTCCTTTTTCGAGCATCTTGTCTTATCTATGTCGGTTATTTTTTTTTTTTTTTCGTTCTCAATCCCTCTTGATAGATCATAACTCTATGTTGGAGTGTAACTGTTGTCTGAACTTGTTCTAGCTATACAATATACAGAGAAGCAGAGAGTAGATTGACTCCTCTATAACGAGAACCTGGTTTCTGGATTGTCTGGACAGCTCCATCGGCTAGTGTCTCGCTATATATAGCTCTCGCGGCCTAAGTATAGACTTGAGCACAGCAGATTGGCAGAAGCAGCTCAGGAGACAATCGGCAAGAGACTCAACGGACGAAGGATCGTACGACGTTTGTCCTAAACAGTAGTGTGCAAATAAGAAAAGAGTGGAACTGGGTAGTATTGATGTATCTACTTACTTACTTACAGAGGCTGTTCTAGCCTGGTGACAGGACAAGAGTTGTGTTTGTTTGTCCTTTTTTCCCACAACTTTTCTCTAGGGCCGCTCCTGCACTGGTGATCCCAACTTTCTTCTTGCGCTCCCTCCCTTTTCTCCAACACACTTTTCTGCCTCTCACATCTCTTTGTTTAAAAAGGACTTACAGTACATATTCCATCAGTTTTGAACATAGAAATATTGCCACCATGGCCGACCAGAACAAAGCTCAAGAACAGCCCCAGACAGCTCCTGCTCCGGCCGCCGCTGCTCAGGAGCCCGACACCACCAACTCCGAGGTGAAGCCCACGACCACCGAGTCTGCGCCCGCACCGGAACCTGTCGCTGAGCCAGTAGCTACTCCTGTAGCTGCTGCAGCTCCTACAGCGACCGAACCAGCCACCGCCCCTGCTCCTGAACCGGTCCCTGCTCCAGCTCCCGCCGAGCCAGCTCCGACTCTAGCTCCAGAGGCCAAACCCGAAGCGCAGCCTGAACCCGAGCAGACAGCTGCAGCTCCAGCTCCCGCCGCCCCTGAAGAGACAACGAAGCCGGAGGAGGACAAGAAAGATGAGCCCTCGAAGCCCGCGTACTTCACCAAGACCCCTGCGCTCGAGCAGCTCTTCGACCGCCTCCCGACAATCCTTAGCACAACGGGGCACAGCGAGATGTGGGGTGTGCCCCTGAAGAATGACGCTACCGATGTCCCCACCATCAACGTCCTCATTAAATTCCTCCGAGCCAACGCCGGTGATCTGAAGCTTGCCGAGGAGCAGCTTACCAAGGCGCTGGAGTGGCGCAAGGAGTATGACCCTCTGACGCTGGTGGATTCGGAGAAGAAGAGCTATGCCGAGGCCAAGTTTGGCGGGTTGGGATACCTGACTACTTATGAGCGTGAGGGCAAGGGGGACTTGATTGTGACCTGGAATATCTATGGAGCTGTTAAGAAGATTGACGAGACTTTCGGAGACATTGAAGAGTATGCTTTCCCTTACCCTTGGCTTTGTCGTTATTTCGTGGCTAACGGGGAGTGCGATAGGTTCATCAGGTGGCGCACAGCCCTCATGGAGCTCGCTGTCAAGGAGCTCAAGCTCGACCAGGCTACTACCGTCATCGATTACGATGGCGAAGATCCCTACCAGATGATCCAGGTCCACGACTACCTGAACGTCAGCTTCCTCCGACTAAACCCGACTATCCGCGCGGCGACCAAGAAGACTATCGAAGTCTTCAGCACGGCGTACCCCGAGCTTCTGCGCGAGAAATTCTTCGTCAACGTCCCGGCCATCATGGGCTGGATGTTCGCTCTCATCAAGCTGTTTGTGAACGAGAACACCACTCGCAAGTTCCATCCCATCTCCAACGGCGGCAATCTGGCCCGCGAGTTCCCTGGCTTGACGGAGAAGTTCCCAAAGGCGTATGGCGGAGAGGGACCAGAACTCGAGGGCTCCGCGAGGACCGTCGCCCTTACCAAGGAGTAGATGTGTGCTGAGGGTTTCTTCTCGTCTTGATGGCGAGGTCACTCGGTATTGGCTGGTTGTTTTCTGTTTCGTATGATACCTCTAGAATTGTTACTGCGGGTGAGCGAGGAGTATTCTCCAGATTATTATTTTGTTGGACTCCGGCAGCCTGTCTATCACTGTATAGTTAATTTCTAATCAGACACTCTTCCATCTTTATGTTGACGTTTGTATGCGAAAGGAGCATTATACCACCGACGAGGGCGGGAGCGGGAGATTATAAGCCCGAGCCTCACTCCGCCTTTGCGGTGCGAATCTCCGGGTTCACCAGAGCTCCAGCCTCCAGAGCTTCACCTTCACTCGGAGCACTCATCAATCGCATTTCCAGACGATCAGGGCTCTTCAGAATGCCGATTGTCCTCCGCGATTGGACTCATCCCCCAATCTGAGTAGCCACTCCGCAGTTCCAAAATAACACCGCCTCTCACTTCCTCCTCACAAGACCCTTACCTCTTCCAAGTTATCCACATCTTCAAAACACATCAAAATGTCCCTCTGGAACCCGGACAACATCCGGGACGTCGCCGAATCCGTCGGCATCGTCAACCTGAACGACGATGTAACCGAGAACCTCGCCCGCGACGTCGAATACCGCATCGCGCAGGTCCTCGAAGAAGCCTTCAAATTCATGCGCCACAGCCGACGAACACTCCTCACAACACAGGATATCGCACAAGCCTTACGCGTGCTCGACGTCGAGCCGCTGTATGGGTATGAGTCGACGCGGCCGCTGAAGTTCGGGGAGGCGTCCCTAGGACCCGGTCAGCCACTTTTCTATGTCGAGGATGAGGAGGTGGATTTTGAGAAGTTGATTAATGCGCCGTTGCCGAGGGTGCCGAGGGAGATTAATTTTACTGGTATGGCTCTTTCTTTTCGAGGGGTGGTGGTTTTGGGGTTTGAAGCTAATTAGTATGATGCGCGTAGCACACTGGCTCGCCGTAGAAGGCGTGCAACCCTCGATACCGCAGAATCCGACAGCGGCAGACTCGCGCAACCTCGAATTGATGTCCAAGGGCCCGAACGCCAACGCGACATTGGCGGCTATGAGCGGGAGCGGGAATGTCGCTGTCAAGCCGCTCGTCAAGCATGTGCTCTCAAAGGAGCTGCAGCTATACTTTGAGAAGGTGTGCAATGCGTTTTTGGACGAATCGAGCGAGAAATACCGGACGTCGGCGTTCGCGAGTCTACGCGAAGATCCTGGGCTGCACCAGCTCGTGCCGTACTTCGTCCAGTTCATTTCGGAGAAGGTCACGCATTGCTTGAAGGATATCTTTGTCCTTACACAGGTCATGCATATGGCTGAGGCGCTTGTGCAGAATAAGTCTCTATATGTTGATCCTTACGTGTGTCTTACCTTTCCACTCCCTGTACAATTTGCGCTATGTACTGACGATATCAGATCGCATCCCTCGTCCCCCCAATTCTAACCTGCCTAATCGGCCGCCAACTCGGCGGCACCGCCGACCTCTCCGAACAATTCGCCCTCCGCGACCTCTCCGCCGCCCTCCTTGGCCTCATCTCCACAAAATACTCCCACTCCTCACACACCCTGAAACCCCGCCTTGCCCGATCTTGCTTGAAAACCCTCCTCGACCCCTCAAAACCTTTCTCCGCGCACTACGGCGCCATAATCGGCCTCCACGCCGTCGGCGGCCCCGAGGCCGTCCGCGTCCTCATCATCCCAAACCTTCCTACCTACGGCAGCCTCCTGAAAGACGGCGTCGCAGACGATAGCTCGCGGCGCGCAGAGGCGGAGAAGGTTCTCACCGTGTTATTGGTTGTGCTTGCTTCGTTGAGGGAGGGCGCAAAGGTCCCGCTGACGAATGGGCATGGGGCTGGTTCGGTGACTGGGGAGTTGAGGACGAGGCTTGAGGGGAAGATAGGTGGATTCTTGGCGGAGAGGGTTGTGGAGTTGGGGGATGTGCAGCTTGTGCATGCTATTTTGGCGGATTAGGCCTGTCGTGCGGGCTGGCTTTACCGCCTCTTAGAAGGGTCATATAGCTGTTTCTAGTCGTCGTGAGTGGTAGGGCTTGCTTATTCACTCTATTATTTTAATGCTTAGACGAGGTAGTAATGACGATACCTTGTCTGCTTTCTCAGTCAAGCGCAATTTGATACGGACTTTGGTGTCCAGCGTTCGCCTAATATGTATACTATACCTCACTGTAGTTTATTTTTCTGATACAGCACAGCAAGGGGTCTCCTATCTTCACATTCTACCAATATAACCAGGCTCGTTGAAATCACGTTGGCAGTCTTTGGCCCAGATTCCATAGGGTATAAAACCTTATATATATAACTACCACCTTTAGGCATCATGTAGCGCGATATCCCAGTACACAACCACCAATACCCTAGTAATCAACTGCTCGACGGCCCATTGAACTCACGCTCTACCTATTGCTCCAACTCCATGGCACTATAGTAATATAGCAGTAATTGTATATAGTAGTCCCCACACTCGGTACATAAATTCGGCTCTCAGGAACGTGCGAGTCCGAGGGATCGGCGTGTCCCCACTCGGCTCTTGACAATAACGGCGGGATTCGATAGTAGATTCTATAGATTCTAGAAATTCGGCGAGGAATATCCTGGAGAGATTAGTCTTCCCCAGAGTGTCCCCACTACCCCGGTTTTGGACGTGTTCCCCACTGATGTACGTTGTATAGTCCATGGGAGTGGGTATATAAGCATTGCTCTTTGGCTTCAATGGGAGAGACTCAAGACTGTTGTTCAAGCATCAAGTAGAACAGAACAAACAGAAAGGATGCTTTACAGCAGGATCCTCGCCTGCCTAATAGCATTCTCTACGGGAACCTCATCCCATGCAACTCTTCCAGAACTCGGAGGCACAAGATTGTTCCCAGCGGTGCGTTACCTTTCTACTTACCATATCTCTTGTCAGAAGGAGCAGTATCTAAAACAAGATAACAGACCTACTTCACCGACCCAACTCTCCCCGAGCACACAATCTACATGCCCCGGCCCCAAACCCTCCCATCACGCGTGACGCTGGCTGTCCTCATCTGGGCCGAGGGTGGCTGTTCCAACAACGGGACCAGGTTTGAGACCTTCCTCACAAACATCGCCTCGCACGGCTTCATCGTGCTGGCCCTTGGGCCACCGAATGGGACGGGATATATTTTCCAGGATGCGATGGATGATGCTGTTAGATGGATTCAGAAACAACACCGCGCAAGAAACAGCAGATACAAGAGCGTCGATAGTAGCAGGATTGCCGCTGCGGGTCAGAGCTGCGGGGGCCTGTTGGCGTATACGCAGCGGCATAATGACGCCGTGAGCTTTTTAGGCATTTTCAACTCCGGGTTGTTGGGGGATACCCCTGAGGCTAGGGAGAATCTGCCTGAGGGGATGATTATTGAGGAACCAGATGTTATTCATGAGGTGAAGAAGCCTGTTTTCTGGTGGTTAGGTGGGGAGGGGGATGTTGCTTATCGGGCGGTATGTATTGATTGCCCTACTAGCCCTCCTGTATCAGAAATTCGCGCATTGTTTGCTGACAATGAGCAGGGCACGGCTGACTACCGTAACCTGACCGGAGTGCCAAAGTGGATTGGCAATTATCCGGTGGGACACTCGGGGACGTATAGAGAGCCTGATGGAGGCGAGTTTGGTGTTGCGGCGGTGAATTGGTTGAAATGGGTGCTCAAGGGAGATAAAGCTGCCTCAAAGTTCTTTACGGCAGGCGGAGCGGAGAGGGCCGGATGGATTGCGACGGAGAGCTGGGGGCTCGAGCGAATGGGCTGGTATATTTGAGTGACGCTGGCAGTTTGACTGGGGAGAGAAGCGGGGGAGATCGATGAGCTCCGGCTGGCTGAGCCTGCTTGTCGCGTTACGTCACCGTTCCTGGCGGGGAGGAGACCGCCTGCTCTTCACGGCAGAACTTCGAGTGACAGCCGTACAGCCTGACCGTACGGTACCAAAGTTACCGTACTCCTACCCAAACTTACTTTCCAGACCGACGTCTTCGTCCTCATCTTCCAAGTCCAGCTGGATTCTCTCCCCTGTGCATTTTTTTGCTCTTCAGCTTGCTATCCCGACTCGATCCGTTGCTTTCATCTTTTACTCCTCAACTCTGCATCTCCCTTAGCCTGTCTCAGTCCGACCCCCTGCAGAACAGCGGCCCAACTGAACGTGTAACAGAGGAACCGTGCCCCACGCCTGGCCCTCGATTTTCTCGGGCCCACAGAAAAAGCTGCGACGGCAATAAATAGGAAAAGAACTTCAAAACCCAGCGCCAACAACCATCGCACCTTGCTTTGTGCACCCCACGTCTGCCTGGTTTCTTTTTTCTTCCCCTCTTGCAATTCTCAAGCCTCGTGTCTTGAGATATAATAAATCTTGTGTGCTTGTTTCTTGCAAACGTGAATATCAATCAGATGTCAACAGCCGTGGCGCCTCGCTCCATCGTGCTCATTTAAGCCCGAATTCTTTTCTGCCTTCCATGAGCTCAAGGGACCTACTGCGATTTCTATCCAAGCCCGCGAAGTGAGTCGCAGCCGTTCAATCTACCTGCTCAATCCCTCTCACCGAGCCCAAGTTCTGGTTCCACCTTCCGTCACCATCCAGGAAGCACGCGACTGACCTTTTCCCTCTACAGGCCCAGATAACACCCCCAGCAACAACACTGATTCCTCGCGCTTTTTACCAACATCCTTAAACCGAATTGAAGCAGATCCTCGTCTGCTAGACCCGATACTTTGAAAGGTATCGGTATCTTCAGCACGAGGTAACAACACATAGTCACCATTCCCTTTTCTCGAGGTTTCTTCCTCCTCTCTCTCTCTTTCCGACCTCCCTAGCACCCCTTCGGGTCTACTGCGATTTCACCCTAGGCTGAGCGCCATTTTCGTCCTCGATTTTTCAAGGGCCTTCTCTTCTCAGGCGGGCATTTCCCCCCCGTTGTTCGTCTGAGTCGCAGATAGTGCTTCTAGGCTTCCTTGTCTACGATCACAAGCCGAATCGAGCTTCTGCACAAACATCCGCATTTTACACTTTACACGTCTGTTAAAACACCGAAAGCTTCTATCGCCAAGAAAGAGATGGTCACCATCGGAATTCCCAAGCATTACACGCAGTCGCCGTCTTCGTTTGCGGCGACTCCGTCCTTGACGATCAATCATGAGGCAACCCAGGATCTAGACTCTACCAATGCCTTTGAAGGTGTGTTTTCCGAAAGAAGGGCTTGGAAAGGTGGAAGCTGACTGTTTAGGCCCCGAGAAACTCCTGGAGGTCTGGTTCGCTGCCTCTCCCAAGGACCTAGGCCCGTCGAACGCGCAAGGTTTGAAGGCCGTTTCGGAGGATGTCTGGAAGGATATGCTAGATATCGTCAACTGCCAGGTGCTCTCAATTGTCTCGTCCGAAGATGTGGACGCCTATCTCCTCTCCGAGTCCAGCATGTTCGTCTGGCCACACAAGTTGATCCTCAAGACTTGCGGCACGACCACTCTCCTCTCTGGTCTGCCTCGGATTCTCGAAATTGCGGCCATGTACGGCGGCTTCCCCAAGTCTACTGCTCCCCCGTCGCGCGGAATCACCATTGCAGCTGCTCCCTACCGGGTGTTTTACAGCCGCAAGAACTTCCTGTTCCCCGACCGCCAACGCGGGCCTCACCGAAGCTGGAGAGACGAAGTTCGCTCCATGGACAAGCTGTTCCTTAACGGCAGCGCCTACATGATTGGCAAGATGAACGGCGAGCACTGGTACCTGTACCTTACTGAGCCGAACACTCTGCTCACTCCTCCTGCCACACCAACTGCGGAGTCCGACGATGAAGGCACCGAGACCAAGTTTATCCAGCTTCCAGACCGCTCCGACCTGAAGATGAGCGCTGATGACTCTTCCGATGAGACCCTAGAAGTGTTGATGACAGACTTGGACGAGGAGAATGCCAAGCAGTTCTACCTCGACCACGCTACCGCTGTTGCCGAGAAGCGGTACAGCAACTTTGATGCCCACAAGGACGAGCACGTTGACGTGTTCAGCAACGGCTCCGACCTCGAAGTTGACGATGTGTCGTCCAGCCAAGACAGCGGGATCTTACCCGCCGAACTCACCACAGAAGGCCACGCTCTTGGTACTGTGGTGTCCGAGTCCTGCGGCCTGTCGGACGTCTATCCCAAGGACAAGTTCCCCGAGTCGCGCATTGACGCCTACCTGTTTACCCCTTGCGGCTTCTCTGCCAACGGCGTGATTCCAGCTCCTACCGGTACCAGCGGAGGCACTCACTACTTTACCGTCCACGTAACGCCAGAGCCTCACTGCTCGTATGCCTCGTTTGAGACGAACGTGCCGCACTCGCAGAACGGCCAGACCAGTGCCGGCATCATCCAGCAGGTGGTGAACATTTTCAAGCCCGGCCGTTTCACCGTGACTGTGTTTGAAGCCAAGCCCGGATTGGACGGCGACTGGGACAGCGCGAAGGAAGCGCGGTACATTGAACGGCAAGCTGCCCGACGCATTCCCAAGGGCGAGAGCGTGGAGGGATACAAACGTGTTGATCGGATTGTGCATGACCTCGACGGATATGACCTGGTGTTCCGTTACTATGAACGCCTGGACTGGAAGGGGGGGGCCCCTCGGCTCGGCGAAGAGCGCGTTTGAGGTCATGCCGATTCGGAATCTCCTTAATAATAACTAAATTGCCGTTGTCGATGTTTATATTGTTATTCAGTGTTGGTTTAGTTTCAGCTGTTGATAGTCTTTCGTTCAGCTAGCGTGGATTTAGTTACGGTCCTTACAGATCTCGCGATGATAATCAATCTCGGGTTACTTCTTGCGAACCAGGAGTCTACTTTGTAGTCAGTTTAAAGTTGAGAACGACCCTGGAACTCCCCTCAGCCTTGAGTTCTTTGTAGAACGAGATTGAGTTCAGAGAAACACCCCTGGTCCTGGTATGTATCTGGAGCGGAACCGGAACAATTTGCCTCCGGCAGACCACGATCGCCGATAAGGAAAGCTTCTGGGAAAGCTCCAGAAAACAGCAAACCATCCGATCATCGACTCACTGCAACCTATATAATCTCTGATTTTACGACCCTATTCTGACCCCGATATCTCACCTAAAACTCAATATATCATCAGACTATCCGCCTCCCATCTCATCTCTCGACGCGCGCATTGTCAATCTCTACTCCAACCTCACCTACACCAATTCGCAACCAAAAAGCGAACAACTACACGAACACGACGAACTCACGAACTCTTCTTCCATCGCTCGCTCAAACGAGACACATCGGAGCGCAATGTCCTCCCCACCACCTCCCTCGAATCCATTAAAACGCGCCTCCATCTCCTCGGCCTCCCAACAACCATACCCCAAACGCCCACGCGCACACCCTCTCCGCCAAACCTCCTTCCCCGTCGACCCGGACCTCCGTGGCTTCAGCGCAACCAGCGACGCAGGCAGCGTCACGGGCAGTTTCACAGGCAGCGTCGGCGGAGCAAGTGTCGACGGTGTATTCAAGCGGAAACGCGGGCGGAAGAGCAAGGCCGAGAAGGAGCGGGAGCGCGAAAGGGAGAGGGAACGGAGCGAGGATGTTGGGAGTGTGAGGACGGGCGCGGGATATACGGGGGCTGGGACGGGTGGTGGTGCTGGTGGCGGTGGAGGGGGTGGAGGGAATAATGCGGAGGAAGGGGATGAGGAGGATGATTTTGATGATGAGGGGGAGTTGTTGGGGAGAGAGGAGGGTGGGACGGCGACGGATACAGAGGCTGAGAAGAAGAATCTTGCGTGAGTACTCGAGTCTTCCTCGCCCCCTTCACTGTTTTGGTTTTATCTACAAGAAAGTGGATTTTGGGGCTGGTTTGGAGATTTGAATAGGCTAACGGCGGAGATAGATTACTGGTGGACGCGTTTAACCCGTTACAGTCGGAGAGATATGACCTCTTCAAACGGGCGAAGTTGAGAAAGGAGACGCTGCGGCGGATCGTCAACCACGCGCTCTCACAGTCCGTCCCCGCCAGCGTGGTGACTACGATCAATGGATTTACAAAAGTGTTTGCGGGTGAAATGATTGAAAAGGCGCGGACAGTGCAGAAGGAGTGGGCGGAGGCGCACGACCAAGCGGCGTTGGTGAGGCTTGCGCAAGAGGAAGCTGAAACAACGGCGAGGGCGGCTGCTAGCACTAACAATGGGGTCGTCAAGACAGAGCTAGGAACCGACACGAACACGAGCGCGACCAGCATTTCCTCAAACTCAAACTCAGCGGTGTCTCGGGAATCGGCAATGGCCGCTGCAACTGGTGGAAACACTGTTGGAAAGCGCACGCGCACGGCGGCGGAGCTGCCGCCGAACCCACACCGCGGGCAGCTGCTCCCTGCCCATTTGAGAGAAGCGCTTCGCCGGTATAAACGCGATGGCGAGGGTGGGGGAGTTGGGTTTTCTGGCCTGAGTCTGGGGAATCTGGGAGTGCGAGGGTCGGTAACGTGGAGTGCGGGCAGCGTTGGAGGGCGGCGGATATTTCGATAGATATTTATTATTTGAGCCTTGACTCGTTGACAGAAGTTAACCACGGTGTTTCAGCTGAGATTGTTCAATACGAAAGCCTATCGAGGGCGCAGCACTATTGAACCACGATGTCGCTATTGTGGAATCCAGTGATGAGATTGCCGCATGGTGATTGGACGCCAAGCGACTAGCCGATCCATAAAATGCCAATTCTGGATGATTCTGAATGGCTCGGATGCTGGTTTCTTCAGCGCGCCTAATTGTGATTGGCAAACCATTGCGCCATTCATTGCCATGGTTGAGACACAGTCGCTGGGACCCTGTCGGGGGGCCTGTCCCTGTCCAGAACTGGCCCCAGCCAAGCCCGTGGCTCCATTGTGTTTCCCCAACGCCGTCCCTGAACCGTCGCCCTACGGCGCTGCCGTTGGCTGTTGCTGCGCTGTGAGTGGCCCGCTGCGGTGCTCGCCGCCCCCTGAATGGCCTCTGTCTTGAATCTGCTCTGGAGCAGCTGTCTCGCGTACTGCGGCCGCACTGGCTCTGGTTCTGCGGCATGGACCACCACCTGGGCACTGCAGAAGAAATGGTTCTGCCTTGTATAATTACTATTCTCGTTCCCCCTGGGCGTCTTGTCGTGGGTTCCCTTGCCTCTGCTTTTGCGCTCTGCTGTTTCTTGTTTGCTCAGCTGCTGTCTCAGGAGTCGCGGTGGATAACACTCGTTTCTCGGCAGTCTCCATCTTTTCTCCATCTCGTTGATCCATTCCTTTCGGACCGTCCGGTCCTTCTCTCGTCCCTTTTTCTGGACTCTTTGCGCCCGTCGGGAGAATCCCAGAACATTCCCCAGCAGAACCAGCCCAGCAAGGCCAGCTAGCTTCTTTTCTTTTCCGGTGCCCATCTTTTTTTTTTTTTCCAAATCCTCGCTCTTCCTCCTCTCCCTTGCTGCGGACTTTCCCCCTTTGTCTTACCACTCCCTGGGGTTCCCGACATTCCATGCGGCCGTGAAGTCAACTCTGTTCATTTCTCATCCCTTCCCACACTCCTTTGGTTTTGGCTTGGACCGACGCTCCGGTTTGAATTTGTATGTGCTTGGCTTTGGTCTTCTAGTCTCGGTGCAGCATGTCCCAGGCTTCTTATCTATATACGCGGATCCGCGAGGCCCTCCCGTGGAGTGGCGGTGATCCGAACGTCAAGGGTGATCCTCGAAAGAGCGTCAAATGGATTGATGTACGTTGCTGTCTTAGCTCAAATTTTTTGGCATCGCAGGGATCGCGAACTGACAAAACACAAGGGCCTTCGTGGTATCGCCTCCTTCCTCGTCGTCCTCACCCACCTTTCCCGCGCCTGGGACCGAGAGCTCTTCGCTCCTCGGGACACTGAAGATGCCTCTCCCAGGCTGCTGCAGCTACCCTTCTTCCGTATCCCGTGGCAGGGCCGTATCGGTGTTACGATTTTCGCCTTCTTGACCGGCTACGTCTGCGCGTTGAAGCCCATGAAGCTCTTGAGAAATGGAAACCGTTTGGGCGCGTTTACCGCCGTCGGCAAGAGTGCCTTCCGCCGCCCTCCGCGTCTTATCATGCCTGCAACGATTGCCCTCATTATATCCTGGATCATGGCTCAGTGCCGTGCGTTTGTGACTGCCAACCGCTCCGACTGCTGGTGGTGCCGATATGCCGCTCCGGATCTCGAGGATTCCTTTGGAAAGGAGGTGCTCCGGTTGTTCAAGAACTTCCTGACGACCTGGACTACGGGATACATGGCCTACGATGATCACCAGTGGGCTCTGCTGCCGCTGCTGATGACTTCCATGCTCGTCTACCTGTTGACTTGTGCGACTATGTTCATGAAGTTCCGCTGGCGGATGTTTGTCTATCTGATTATGTTCCTTTACTTTCACCAGGACGCTGCTAAGAACACTGGTATGTCTCCATCAAGCTTAACCGAGTTGACTCAGGCTAACAAGGTTAGAAACCTTCCAAATGCAGGGTGTCTACGGCATGTTCCTCAGCGATCTCTCATACGAAGTGTCTTTCCAAGAATTCCTCCAGAAGTGGAAGTGGCCCCGCCGCGTTGTTGCGGCCTTCCTCGCAATTTCCGGTCTGTTCATTGCCGGATATCCTGGTGACCACCCCGAATGGGCCGACTGGTCCAACTATATGCTCAAGCTCGCCCACTACATCTTCCCTCCTGATGTCAACATCGGCAAGCGCTACACCGCTATCGGTGTTGATCTCGTCATCTTGGCCATATACATCTCGCCTAGCGTCAAGGAGTTCCTCTCTAACCGCCTCCTGCTCTGGCTCGGTGCCCAGTCCTTCGCCGTCTATCTGGTCCACGGTACCCTTCTCCGCACAGTTCTCTGCTGGATGCTCTACGGTATTACTGGTCAGCCCTTTGACCCCGAGAAGAAGCAAGAAGGCAAGGATGAGCCCGTCTGGATTCCCATCCGCCCACCGTGGGTCGTTGCTATCAGTATCCCGCTCTGGATCTGCCTCGTGTACTTCTGCGCCACGATGTGGACCAAGTACGTCGATCCGTTCTGTGCCCGGATGACCCAAAAGATGGAGGACCGCATGTTTGTTGAGGATGAGAAGCCTCCTACGCAATCCGAGTCGCTACCCCTGACCTCGATGCCCATGCAGACTGCATAATTGGATCGCTCTGCCGAATTCATGAAAAGATGACGCTGCACAAACAACACTCGCACCGACCTCGAATGCTGTAGAGGTCATGGTTGCTATACATAAGAACAGACAAACACACATACATCCAAGACAGGACTACGATACATCTGCACGATATATTTCCATTTCCATCTTCTATCTACACTTCACTTCGCCTTCTCTAGATTACACTTTATTTTACCATTTTTTCACCGACCATCCACATTCTCTCTCGATTTACGGCTTGGAGACCTTTCTTTTCGTGTTGCATGCATGTTGCTAGCAGGTGACTACGACCGAGTGATATGGCGGGTCCATGGGATTCTTATGGGTTGGCATAAAGCGAGGTGGAATTTGAGTTCCATTCTGATTTTTGGTGTTTCATTTGGAGTTGGAGTTGCTCAGCCGACGACGACCAACTGACTGACTTTGCTTTGATCTTCTTGAATTTGCCTTTTTCGCATTTATATTCGCTTCTTCCACATCCTTCCTCTTCGACCATATTTTTATTGTTTATTAATGTACAAAAGGATCAGACAATCAATGAACATAGCTATGATTTATAAATTCTTTTCTTCTCTCTAAAGAGCCTGGTGAGCTGGAATACTGATCTCTGACAAATGTATTCTTTTATACTTCCCCTAACTGCAGCCTATTAATATCACATCAACCCAACAGGGATAAACCCAGAAGCAACATTATGGCGTCGTCAGCAAGGTGTGGCAAGTGTTAGCCAACGCTGCTCAGTGCTGACATGCGTGAAGACTAGTAACAGCTTAATTAGACTCCAATCCTGGCAACTCGAGCCCCATGCCAATACCTCACTGTCTCTCGGCATTCTTTCCGTATCTACTGTGCAACATAAAACAGGGGGTGACTAGCGCAAAGGACCAAAGGAGTCGCGTCATGATTATTAAAGGGCCCCCACTGTAGCTGTCAGCAAGAGACCTGGACAAAAGCCTACCGATCGGGTACTACTGCCGTCTATAGCTCTGAGAGTGTCATTATTCGTAGAAACCCCTGATATGTGTAGGTTCTCTTGGTCCTCGTGATATAAATATGTATAGTATGGGCTGCGTCCATAGATTGGACTGCTGTGATGGCCATCCATCCCTCATTTGGGGAAGCACAACCGCCCATATCTGTATATGACCTGAAACGCGAAGACCTCAACAATTGATCGCAGCCCTAACAGAAGGTGGAGAGGTCAATTCCGAGGCTCCATTTGGATCTATGTGTTAGGATACCTAGTAGTAGATCCTAGATTTCTCTGGGTATATAGTCATCCAGAGACTTTTACTATGAGTATAGATGTACAGTCCGCACCAGAAAGCACATCCTGGTAGTATAAACTTGCTCAAACCCGGGCGGAGTTTCCTCCCTTTTCTCCATTCCTCTATAGCCCCATAAATGGAGTGCGCAAAAAAGCACGAAAGCTAGAGCTGAAATGCCCCTCCTTTGAGAAAATCCTCTCTGCCATTTGAGGCAACTCGTGGCCATGGTCCGGAGCATGGTAGATAGAGGATGGGTCTCTTGATTTAGTGCCCGACGCAGTCTCGTGCTCCCTCAGATTGATCAGGGAGTGTTGAGGCAATTGGCAGCTTTTTAAGTGGTGCGTGACCGGGCAAAGGGACTGGTTCTGCTAAACAAAGGTTCATGTTGACATGGTGCCTGAGGCTACTGATGATGTGCCCTTTCTCGTCTGGTCAACAACTCGACATGAAATAACGCCTTTTAGTGCTGACCCATGTGTGGGATCACGAATCTGACTTGTTCTTGATGGGACTCAGGGAGAACTTGATGGGTCTTCTATGGTCCAGAGATGCACTGGGAGGAGGGACAAGTGGTTTTGCTAAGTTAAGGCCTCTTTTTTGCAAGCTTCCTGTGTGTTTTGGACCAGTCAAATAATGAATCCCACGAAGCTGCGAATATGGAGTTGAACCTGATTATTGTCCATAGTGATCAGGTGAGCAGCAGCTCTTGTCTTGAAGTACGTGATTCGAAGATGCAGCTGCTTGCACGCATACGTTTTCCCGGAAGAGAACGCGCTCGACTGAGCTGAGAATCAAGCCTCACTATCAGAAAAGCTCTCCAGAAGATGACCATAATCTAGGCAGAAAGAAGTCAAGCCGAACATGTCTGACGCTCGCAACTATACCGCTGGCTGGATTTGCGCCATCAGCACAGAGCACGCGGCCGCGCAGGATGTGCTTGATGAGGAGCATCCAGGGCCAAACTATGTGACAGCTCACGACCATAATGACTACACACTCGGCAGGATTGGACTGCATAATGTCGTCATTGCTGTCCTTCCCGACGGCGAACATGGGACAGATTCTGCTGCAGGCGTTGCTCGTGACATGCTGCACTCCTTTACAAACATACGAATGGGCCTGATTGTTGGCGTTGGTAATGGTGCTCCAGGGCCAAGTCGCGATATACGTCCTGGAGGTGCCGCCGAAAGTAGCCCGGTGCATGAGAAAGGGGCGCTTTCCCGTATGATTCTGGGGAAGCGGTGCAAGATCGGACGGAACTTTGAGCATACAAGAATCTTGAATCAACCTCCCACCCTGCTCCGAACGGCTGGGGGTTGCCTACAAGCACGGCACGAAGCCCAGGATCATTCGCTCAGTGCGCTCGTTGGCGAAGCATTGGACGAATCCCCGACTGAAGAATAAGTACAGCAGATCAAACCCGTCATCGGATCCGCTCTACAGGAGTAATGTCCTCCATCAGCAATCCGAGCGCGATGATCTCGCTGGCTGCTCAGATATCTACGGAGAGAGCCTCTGCAAACCTTATACTGCGCAAGGAACGGCTTCCCGACGAGGAGAATCCTCTCAGCCACTACGGGCTCCTTGCTTGAGCAAATCGCCTCATGAAGGACGCCCATATCCGCGAAATCCTTGATCAGGAGAGTAATGTCTTGAGCTTTGGGATGGAAGCCGTTGGCCTTGTTAACCACTTTCCTTGTCTGTTTATCCGCAGGATATGTGACTATGCAGACTCTCATAAGAATAAAGAATGGCAGGTAGAAGCAGAAAGGATGATCCTCCCAATGTCTTGAAGGATACAGTGAACACCATTATCAGCCCGCGATTCCGAGATGAACCCTCAGCCCAACCTCGGAGTGCATCAAGTAGACACAGTGTCCGGGCTAGACGACACAATAGTATATTCATTGAAATGAACTTGCAGGTCTACCCCACGAAGCCAGCAACAAAGTATCTTATGGAGATTGACGAATTCGTCAAAGAACACAGTTCATTGAATCACTTTCTCAGAGACAAGCTAAGCTTCATCCAAGACCTAGCTCGGAAAACTATCGAGCTGAAAAACGATCCAAGCACAGATTTCGGGAGTCAAGATATATTGTCCAAAACTATCAAAGTGTCCCTGTCAACAAGTGATATACTGCGGCGAGCGTCCCGGATTCCCGAGCTTACTTGGTCTTGACATCTCTCGCAGACCACAGCCAGTAAAAGAAGCGCTAAAGTCCCTGGGGCGGCCAGCAAAGCCTCAATCGGCGAATCACCATAATAACCTCCCCGGATCCTCTCCGACGGGGAAGCGGTTGTGCTACGCTTCATCAACCAGGACATAGATAGCTCCCCAGCCTGATACCCCCGGGCATAGATGAAGCACTGGGGTCAATATCGTGGAAGAACCATGATAATACTGAGTTTGTACGTATCTAGGATCCTGCCCCTAGTGCAAAGCAAGATCAGCAGCAAGGAACTCAAGAAACCACTACTCATCTCTATCACCACGGACGGCATACCAGGCAAAGAAAAGACAAACACCCTCGCCAGTGCCATTGTGGAGTGTGACGAGCAACTGCAAAACGCTGGCTATCCTCGCGAAAGTAGTTGATGTATATACAAAAGCATGCTGCTCTTCCACCTCATCAACTTTCTGACTGACGACGTGGAAATGCAGGTGTAAAGTTCATTATCGGCCAGATAAGCACAGCAGAACCGACGACCAAGTTCCTCGAATCCCTCACGCACAATGAGAATGTTGCTCCGGTTGCATCCGTTCCTTCTGGTGGGATTCCACTTCACCTGATGGCTCGGCGCTGACAATGTACGAAGCACACGCGGGCTTTGAGGTGAACCAGAATTAGTTAGCTTGGGGATTAGTTATCCCGCGCATATTATGCAGATACTAGGGTACTTGAGGGGTTGGATTTCAAAATCTGGTATACATTATGTGGCTTGTTGGTCTTCTCTTTGTTCTGTCTACAGATGGCTCTAGCACTTGTGAGCACCCTTTCATCTAGTTAAGGTATACCAGACAAGTATAGCCTCATAGCCTCTTCCTAAGCACAACTAAATGCATGATAGCTGAATTAGTACCTTATAAACCCAGGTCTCACCCTGCAACAGCCTTGCGCCAATCATCAGAGCAAGACCCTCCTCACTCCCTGGCTCATGGCCACAATGTCAACCTTCAAGCTTGAAATTACTCAGATTGACCCTATGGCGAAGGCGGCTAACGGCAGATATTCCAATTTCAAAGCATTGCAGGTTACTCAATGCTTCCTAGAACCCTTGATGGTGACGGGGATAATAACAATCATGAATTGAAGCATCACCCAAGCAGACCTACTACTATACAACATGCTAGAACCCAGGTATGAACATGTCCAGACCAAGCCCAGCTTTATAATACCTGTCTCCTGCTCTTCAAGATAGCACAGCGGTCCCAACTCTCACTGGGCCCAAAGGGGGCTGCTCAACCTCATCCTGTGGTTCATCGAGTGCGACAAATTCACCACCTGGGTGTATGCAACGAATGGGAATGAGATGCCTGAGAGTTTCTTAATGGACCTGTATGGCCACGTGCAAGATATGTTATTTCATTGCGCTTTACTCTACTTATCACGGTCAAACCTCCTTCCCAACAAATGACGACCCAAACTGACTCCCGTCCTCTCTCCAGCTTGCTGGAAAAATTGCAACAAGGCAAGGCAATACTCCAACAAAGTCTCCTTCATTGCACGCCTAGCCTGCCAAGGAGTCGCGGACATATCAGGAAACATGATCTGGGACACTCGAAAGATCCTCGAGGAGGAAACCGGTCGTGCCTACGCCGCTACTGGACCCAGCGCCAGCAATTCCCTGAGCGTAGCAGCAGTCTAGATCCTGACTAGCGGAAGTCACTTGTTTGAAGATCTTGTTCCGTTCCCCGGCGAGGAGGGCCGCGGATTATATGGCTGCTCTGCAAGGCATATCACTTGGTAGGCTGGGACGCATGGAGGGATCTAAGGTAGACAAGAAAGAAGGATAAACCGTCGCCGGACTAGTCATAGCCTTATGCAGGTCGGACTGAAAGCAAGAATACGTATTCCTGCTCTGATTCATCTGTACCTAAATCTAATCCAAGCCCTAATAAGTGCCTTGAGGAACCATTCGGTGAGATAGGTTGTTATACTTAGCTACGGTCGTACATCATCCTTACTGCCGATGGAAGGGGCTATGTTGGCTGTCTGTCCTCCGGGACACGGCCCTGGGATCTATGCACGGCTCGAGGAACTCTGAAGGGGTAGCGATACTGTGAAAGCGCTTCAAGGCCAACCCACGCTGGTTGGTGCTATTATGATAGATTTGGTTTACTATAATGACAATGAGCCTGAACGGCAGCACTTCGTATACATAGTGCACGAATATGTACTCTCTCTCGCCTTAGCTGGTATAGACCACAACAAGATTTAACCAGCAGTATGTCATGGACGACAGACCTGAGTATTAAAGAAGAATAGGTATTGTGCTGGCTGGCTTAGTAAGTGGTCACTTTGATGAAAGGCACCTATAGAGCATTATTGATTCCAACAACAAAAGGGGCATGACGCCCAGCTGGAATCCGTGTACGCATGTTGAGCCAAGGAACAGAGTTTAGGCTCATCTAAATACCTAGGTGTCGTTGCGGTTCTTTGGTCACTTGGAGGGGTGCTGCATCATATGGTAAGGAATAAGAGAAGATGTAGTAACTCCGGGTATATTTCTTTGCCAGACGCAGAAAATTCACGAACGTCATGATTGTCAGGGCTAGCTGGAAGAGCAAAATTGTATTTACAGTAGGACCGCTTCGTGCCTCAGGCACCAGTGGGCAAGAAAGGAGGTCACGTGCGAGCATCCAACACACCAAAAGGCGCTCCGCGCGCCATCGCCGCAAGTCCGGGACAAAAGAAACTCTGGATATGTAGTCGTCGAGGCCGATACATCGTTCAGATGAAAGAGAGATAAAAAATAAAAAGAAGATGGGATGAACCGGGATTGAACCGGTGACCTCGCGATTCCAAATGATGGACCAAAGTAGGCTTCAGTCGCGCGCTCCTGATAAGACTGTTAATTACTGGGTCGGCCGGTTACGTAAGAAGTGGATACATACTCCCAACTGAGCTATCACCCCGACTTGTTAAAATATAGGCCAATGGAACGTACATGACTACTGTTTTCTACCAAATAACAGCTCTTCTCAATCCCACGACAGAGATCTGATGCTCAAACATGCAGAGGTTCTGACCAAAGGTTTCATGTCAACGAGAAACGACGCGCTATTCGCAGGCGAACCTCTTACAGGTTATCCCAAAGCTCCACGATGAACAGTAAAATGTCGTTTGAAGTATATATTTTCAACACTCAGTACTGGGTAGCCTAACCGCAGTGTGCATCAGCAACATCCAATTTACACATCTTAATACACCCCACACGTAATCGGAACCATTGCTGATGTACTGAATTAACTGATTTATACCTATTTCACCCTGGACATGACGGAAGATACACAGCCAATTGTGGTTAGCATTCGGGTTGAACTACGTGACCAGCTCAAGGAGCGTCAGCATACAATACTCGATCGATCTATCCCGCCTCGTACTAGCAACGCGCCATACCAAACATTCTTAACTACAAACAAGCACATACGACCACAGGGTGTGGAGAACAGGGCTTCCCGTCCGCTCAGCCGTACTTAAGCCACACGCCGGTAGGTTAGTAGTATGGTGGGTGACCACATGCGAATCCCTACTGTTGTATGTTTTTATTGCTAATTTTCTTTTTTGGACTCCTGGGCATTCGTCGGGTCAGCGGTGCGGCCGCCTGGGGACGGAGATTTACATAATGGATCCATCCCGCTCATGTAACTTTTCGAGTCAGGAAAGAATCAATATTATTCTCTATCATTCAATATAAGAAGTTCGTCAACCAGCACTCACCTTCGCAGGTGAGCAGATTACCTCTAAAGGGTGAGCAATTTACCCTTAAGGTGGGTACAAAAACATATATACCCAAGCTTCCCTGGGCTATAGGATTTAAGAGAAGTACCTCCTCCTGCCTAGTTCATTATTAAGAAGCCTAAACCACTTCCTCATGGCAAAATTGGCAGCCTCAAGAAGAAGCCGTCGCCGCATGGCTAATAAAAGAAAGGCAAGGATTAATAATATTAATAATAAGGAGACTCCTTGTTCTATAAAGCATTTGCGTGTTCTTAAGAAGGTAACACAGATGTTTTATTGATTATTTAGCTAAGAAATAATAGCTAGACTTTTAGGTGAAACTTAGATAACCCATGGCATCTAACTATCCCTATAAGACTTAATAAGTATTATCCCTAGAGCTTCCTTGTTGTGCTAAAGGTGTTTAGGCAGTCAACTAGCCCGTACTAAAAGGGTAACTCGGTAAGAGCTGGCGGCGAAATATAAACCTTGAATGGGAAAGCTAAGACATATCGAAAGACAAGGAGCTCATGCTCCTGTATTGAGAGTGTGCCTGTGGTGGAAAATCAAATTCATTGGCCGCATTCCAGGATACAGATGGAGAAAGTGGGTTTAGGCAAAGGGTTTGCCAAGGGAATCTACAGAGTACATGATTGTGGGGGTGATCAAATGAGCTTTAGTTTTATTCAATGCTAGTATTAAGCTTCGTGTATGTTTATTACGTACGGAATCGCATGCGATGTCCAATCGGTCTGAAGTCAACTCTGTGTATAAACTCTTCTTCTGAACCGCAATAAGCCTATCTCATCCCTCTAGGGATTCTCTAAGCTCGTTTGGTAAGGCCAAGGTATCTGGAAGAAAGTGGGCGACTGTTTTGACCCTGACAGAGGTGGGACCAAGGAGTCAGCCTGGTGCTCGAGTCAGCTCAACTTTGAGATAGGTGACCATGTGAGTGACAGTCGTTTTTATTTTATTTTATGGAAAACGACCTCAAAATCTTTCCCGCTAGCCCGTATATTGACAAATACATACTATAGAGCCATGCATCTATGGTTCCTCAACAACAATGTCCTAGCCGACTGAAAACTCATGACCAGTCACAAAGGAGCGTATAGGGTCAAATAAAGAGACTACAGAAGAAAGGGAAAGAGAAGGCCGGGAAAAACATCACTGAGGGAGCAGACGCCAGACCTCAGCATTCGCAACAGAACCAGACTTCCCCTCGAGAAGCATCTTCTCAATGATCGTTACGCATGTCAAAGCGCATCCAACCGCCAGAGTCCACCCGGATCCTCCATGACCATAATTATGGACAACCCTGCAGGAAGTCGTACGGTTGTCAGCTGCAACGCGCACGTTCGAGTGGGAACAAGGTCGAAGCCCTCTCGCGAACCGTCCTCCCGTTGGCTCTACCTTTCCGTGAAGTTGGCAAGACAACCCAAGAACTTGGCCGCCCTTTGCCACATTTGCTTGACCTCGGGAGACTCGGCGGCTAGGCTGGCCAGGTCCCAATTGTTACGCTGAATGATTGATCCGACAATAAGCGTTTCGTCGTTGCGAGGGACGATGAAGATCTTTTTTCCGGGGCTCCCGTCTGTGTGATATTGAGTAGGGACGAGCCATGCATTGGCCTTCACAGTATTCAGGTTCGAATCATCCAGAACCTTCACGGTTGAATCTGGAGAGACAGCGTTCACGTTCTCAGCGTCCAGTGATACCCGCTTGACTGCACCGCGGACAGGAAAGACCTGGTCATTATTGGCCAGCTCGCGAGCCCCCAGACCGCTGGCATTCACGATCAAGTCTGCCTTGAAGTCGTCCATAAGCTCTCGCTCGTGGAGATGGAGGTCTCCCTCGATCGTCCTTATCTCCAGTATGGCGCCCTTGCCTTCAACGATCGCCCTGAGCTGCTCGATAGCGACGTCCGTGTCGATGACTGGCGCTTGATGACAGTACGCCCACTTTAGGGCTGTCGCGTTGACGTCAATTTTGCCGCCTTTGCAGGTAGAGTTCTCCTCCAGGATTCCGAGGATGGCGTGTTCATCGGAGCCGGTGTGCTTGACCTGGAGTTTGCCTCTGAATAGGTGCTTGTCATTCTGATATAGTTCCAGCAATTCGTCGTACTTTTTCTTGTGCTCTTTGATGCTTGCCGCTGTCCTATCGTTCGGTCCAGTGCATGGCTCATTGAGGTCGTGGTAGAAGAACTGATACAGATTCTTCATCGTCACACCAAAGTCCTCGTCTGACTTCTTCGCCGACGGCTCGTCTGACTTCTTCGCCGACGGCTCGTCTGGCTTCTTCGCCAGCGCCTCAGCTGAGTGTTTCGCCAGCGCCTCGTAAAACAGAAAGCTCTGCAAGGCCCAGATCCGGTATTGGTCCAGCTTCGAGTACGCCAGCACAGGCACTTCAATTTCCGACAGCCCACAGCCGCCCGGTGGGTACTCCCAGAGCGCACCAGCAACCTGAGAGGTGATCCTTCCCTGTTCGGATGCCTTCCCCAGGGTTGCCCATTCCTTGGCGACGATCAAAACGCGGTATCCCTTGTCGAGAAGAACCCAAGCAGTCATGAGCCCGCTTATTCCGCCTCCTACAATGAGAATGGTCTTGTTGCAGTGGTTGTCGTACTCGTTCATGAGTCCTTCGGCTTCGTCGAGGAGGATGGTTCGCTGACGGCAATGGCCGGACATTGTGACTTTATTCAAAGACTTTTTGGAAATATGGTCATTAAACGTGGGGATCAGCTCCTCGGTTTTCTCATAGGCCGACTTGACCTTCGTGGCGACATGGTGTGCAATTCCAGGATCTACAGCAACCCAGGCGCGTCTCTGAGCTTGCTCACGTCGTATGCGGAGGGTTCATCTTTGCTCATGTGGGCTATTGCTTTTTTAGCATCAGAGATTGCGTTTCGCAGGTTTGATCCAAATGATTCCGAATTTGTTTCCGACAGAAGGTCCTTGAGCTCCTTGGCAACGCTATTGCTTCCCATTGAAAGGCTCATGTACTGAGCATCGCTGGTGCCTCGAACAGTGGAAGGGACTTTGATGTTGATGTAAAGGGTCATACTGGCTGAACACAAGGATGAATGGATTAAAGGAAATTTTTGTTTCTTGAAGGAAAGTTCTTGTTTGATGCTTGGTAGCAATGAAAGACCTCTAGAATAACCTTTTCAGGCCCTTTTATGCTCGAATCAGCCTCCTTGGGTTGCAAGTGGGCACCCACCCACACTGAAAATATCGCAAACCTGAAGATTTCATTTCATCTTGGGCATCAGTCGATCGTCGCCAGCTGCGTATGATAGACCATATCGATAATACCATTGTTTGGTTCCTGGCTAATGATTCCGGAGTCGGAGTTCAAAGAACTTCCGTATCATGAGGGTAACCCATAGAAGCTTTCGGGGCTGTGGTGTATATTGGGCCGATGTACTGTACGTAGCAAGCACTTCGAAACAGCCTGGTTGGACTTCTGAGGTGCTGTGTGCTGGGAGTAACCCATAACGGCTCGCAAGGCTCTGCACTCCCTCGACATGAGATTGTCGGTGAAGGAGTTCATGGCCAACAATCTGAGGGGTAATGGACGGGTGAATGTCTAGTGTCGTCTACTTGGTCATGCTTGCATATCGCCGATCTGTGTATCCGGCAATCGAGCACTCAGAGTAATATATCAAGATTAGGCAGGGGTGGTGCATGACCAAGAGGCAGATCCGAGCGCTCCGTATGGAGTAGTCTGCCAGCAGCCGGAAGAATTAGACCATGGTCACTACGTCAGCGACTATTGCGAAACGTGAGCTATCGCCATCGAAGAGATACTCAGGAGCCTTATCAGACTGTGAGCTCCATGAAGTAGCCAATGAGTCAACAAGGGGGCGGCGAAGCCAGGGCGCTTCACCGAGAAGCCTCGGGAGATGGACGGAGCGCAGATGCCTATCTCAGCTACGCACATTGAGTATACGTAGTCGAGACTCGCCACGCCATAGTTGTAGACGCATGCGCACATCGAGAACCGCTCAGGCTCGCGGGGGTATTGAACACGATCATTCTCGCATCCTGCCTCATGTGTGGTATGCTCGGTATGTCGGCCGTGTAGCCCATCCAGGCCAGCCGACGGAACGCGTTGCAAGGTGTGAGCCTGTCATCAACAGCGGTTGGGCATTTCCGCTCTTTCCTATTCCCATTGACTGGCCGGGTGTGTCCAATTCCCTGGAATTGGGGGTGTGGGAGTGAAAGAGAACCTGGCACTGGTCCATGGAGCGACTTCGGCCCCGTTCACCCTCGAAGCATATATGCCGATAGACAGCGCACTTGGCCTGTCAACCTCTCACAGATCTTGCCTTCTCAATGCAGCCATTGCAGTAATCCAAGACCAAATTTGATATTCTTTACTCTTCCTCAACTATCGGAATCACTACATCTCCACCTTGTCTATAGCCAGGCCAATGCAAAGAACCACCCTGCCCCTCCGAATCCCAGTTCCCGGTTCCGCCACGATCGAAATCAAAGGAACAACCAATGCCGCCTACTATCAGCGAGTGACCATCGAAGACACAGCCGAGGGCGGAACAGACACCTTCTACGGCCAAGGCGAAGGAGTCGCAATGCAGGTCCGGCACCACCACGGCACGGACCTCGTCCAACTCACGGAGATCGAACGCCATTACCGTACGCTGGTTGTGACCTGCCAGTATTCCCGGACAGGATGGGACGGTGACTAATACCCGGAGGCTGTTGTGAGAGCACGGACCTGGGCGGAGTACGGCGAGGGCGATGCGAATACGCCGGTATGCATTTACTGGGAGATTGACACCGAGGATGGCGAGTATGAGGACTTTAATGACTCGGTTATTGTCATTACTGCGACCATAAGTGAGGATTGATTTGGTTCAAGCAAAGCATGCTTCCAGACTAGAGCAAACTAGTATTAAAATATCAACAGGCCTGGAAAGCACTGCCGTGCTTTCTACAAGTATATATTTCTTTTTTTTATTGTGCACGTACGCCTTAGTTAGGGCTACCTGCTCCTGGAGGATGTGCTACTAAGTACCTCGAGTTCTAATCCCGCGAGAGACCGTCGCCGACTAGAAGCGACGGTATCTAGCTAGCTAGGTTCGGCAGGGGACAATGGAATAGGATTCTCTAGGCTGCCGCGGCTTGCGATTACGGATCCGAGTACGCAAGTTGTTCCCCCATAGATTGTGCGAGGCAAGATCGTCCAGATGGTACTGGGACGCTCAAGTCAGCGGTACAGGAATGAGGCTTTGTTACGGATGAATTCGGAAATCAAGCGTAGCATACGAGAGATGAATAGTCTTCTTTTTTTTTACCCTCCCTCACCAAATCCTAGTAGACCTCCAGAACGAGCCAACCCCAAGTGGCTACCGAGCCAGCCAGCAGACCGCAGACAGCAAATCCAACCTCTCAAGTAAACAACTTGAACCCACCGGGAACAAGCTTCTGAAACACCCCCTCGGGGTCATACTTCCTGCTAACCTCCCTCAGCCTCTCCCCACTCTCAACCCCATACGACCCGATCGGATCCTGCTGCGAAAACGCATAGTTCAAGAACTCAAACGAAACATGAACGCCGCGGTTGGCGGCCTCGGCCCGGATCTTGTCAAGGGTATCCTTTTGCGCGGTGATCAGCTTCTCGTCGTCGTCTTTCTTCGCCCAGTAGGCGAGGAGGAGCAGGGAGACGAGGGGGCCGGACTCGGGGCTTAGCCCGAGAGAGTTTCCGCCCAGTTCGGCGGATTTTTGGAGGAGGGAGAGGGGGTATGGTTGTAGGGTGAGTGAGCAGACGAGGCCGTCGATGGATTTGATGGGTTCCAGGGCGGTTGTGTAGATGGAGACTATGGCTTTGAGAGTCGCGGCGTCAGCTTTGATTGTTGTGTTCATGTATGCGCAGCTGGAAAGGTCGAGATTAGCATTGGCGATAAATAGTTTGAAGGGCGTGGCTGGGCTGGGTAAGTAGGGCAACTCACCGCTGGTTATCCATCGCCGCCGCGGCCTGCTGGGCAGCCGCATCCTTCAAACTCATCTGCTGCACCGAACTAATCTGATCGAGCTTCGGCTGGATATCCGTAAACACCCTCAGAACCTCCGGCACAGCACTTCCCTCACTTTCCCCCGTGTAATAAACCTGATTCTGGCACATGGTCTGCCCAAACTGCGCCGCATAGCCCACACTCAGCATGAGATGCGTTTCTTCACTCGCATCGCCCTTTTTGTTCAACTCGCCCACGAGCGCATCAATCTGGCCCTCGAACGACGGCTGGAAGTAGTAGATGCTTCCGGACCAGAAGGGCTGCGGCTGCGGGAACGTGCGCAGCTCGTAGCGGGTCACGATCCCGAAGTTGTTGCCGCCGCCGCGGAGGGCGAGCCACAGGTCGCTGTTTTCGGCGCTGTTGGCGTTGATGGTTTTTCCCGAGGCGAGGACAATTTCGTAGGTGAGGACGTTGTCCGAGATGAAGCCTTCGCGCGAGGAGAAGAAGGAGAGGCCGCCTGATGCGCACTTGGAATTAGAGATATGGGATTGTTTAGAAGAGAAAGCAAAACGTACCAGACAGCGCCAACCCTCCAATTCCACCCTTTGAAGAGCGCGAACCCGTAACACCAAGCTTCTTACCGTCCAACGCCTCATAAACACTCCCCCACCTCGCCCCCGCGCCAATCGAGACCGTGCCGTTATCCTTGACCTCAATGCCCGTGAGGAGCCCAAGGTCAAGCGTGATCCCGTCTTGGATATTCGCACACCCGGGGAGAGGCTGCTGCCCCGCGCCACGTACTGCAAACGGAGCCTTCAGAGGATGAATGATCTGCAGGAACTGAGAGACCTCCTCGGTGCTCTTGGGCTGGAAGATTGCGGCCGGGGTGAGGTCGCTCTCGAGGGCGGAGAGGTACGAGTTGTTGCGGTCGGTGAATTCGTCGGTTCCCCGGAGGAGGATCTGCGAGGCGGGGAACTTGGCCTGCAGCGCTTTGATGGCGAGTGCGATGGACATGGTGGTGTTGGTGTAGTTTTGTAGAGAAAAAAGGGATAGAGCAGGTTGATTGCGAGATGCTTTTGAACAGCTGGGAGTCAATTGAGAGATTCCAAAGGGGAAGGAGTGAAATCTGTGTAGAAAGCTGCGTCAAGAATGGGGTGAAGTGTTACTCTTGGGTAGTTTTATGCTCCCCAAGAGCTCCAGGCCGCAGGCTCAAACGAGCTCGATCCCTTTCTTTGTTTGATGTCAGCACTAAGCCCCTCCCACTCACGCCTTGACGTGTCGATCATCGGTCCTCAGCAAACGGCGAGCGGGGTGGTGAACCCAATCAAGTGCAATTGAATTTGCCCATCTAGGTGTTGTTGAAATTGGCTGGTCAGATAGTCCCTGCCTACCTGTGGCCTACTGGGTGGGACAACCGCAGAGTTCCCAGAGCACATCGAGTCCGCAAAGCCCAAGAGGCGAAGCCTTCCCCGGGCCGATCCAGAAATTTTGACGCCGACCGAGCAGGCCATGGTTGTTGTGTTGGGCGTGCATACCCACTCTCTGCTTCTGGATCAGGCTGATCAGCAAGCCAAGAGATACAGTCAGTCGGTGGGGATAAAGCCCGAGCGATGCCGGAGAATAGTGCCAGGGACGAACCGGAAGCCAGGGATCCCAGTCGGAAGAGGCTGGGGTAACACAGGCGGACTCTTGCATCAATGCCGAGCGGGGACCAGTCCCAACGGCCACCTTGGCCTGTCACACAACTGAAAGGGTTGGATCTTGGAAGCCCTTGGCGGCTGCTGCTCTCTGCGAGGTTCTGATCAATTCCAAATCAGCTCCCTCCAGGGTGTGTTGTCTGGACACGGCGGCTTACTTGAGCCAACTGGGGTAAGATGGCGGCGAGACCGGGGAGATGTTGGTGACACTGTCGATCAGCTAGTACTCTTCACCCGTGGCTAGCAACTGTTGAAGATGGCCCTGGTTCTGGCGCAATGAGGCTCTGCATGTTCAGAGTGGAATCGGAGATTGTCGATCCCGGAGGTGACGGTTTGAGTATGCATATTAACATAGGGGGGATTCAGCCCCATGGCCAGTAGCACATCAGCAAGTCACACAATGTGCCACTGGGTAGGCGCACGCATTGTCCCGAATAAGATCATCTCTTACTCGTGGAGGATTTGCTTTGCTGACCACGGATCCTTCAGCAGACAAGTTTTGTTGATTTATTGCATGCAAAGCGTATGCGGATCCAAGGCGAGTACCCGTCATCTTCAGTGGTTTCATGGTAATCAGGGAAAGAGAAGAACCGGCACAGCGCAGACAGGACCGTCGAGTGTTCTGTCAGTCTTTCCTCTGTCACTTCTCCTCTGCTAAAGGAACTCGAGTCGCATATAGGTACCCCGCATGACCTCCACACTGTAATCAGCGTGGAACCATTGTCCTCCAAAATACTTGCCCTAGCCATGGGACGAGGGAACCTGTCATGTGTTCTCTGCAAGCTCTTACGGAGGAAGAGCAATTGCTGTCGCGAGTTTTGGGATACAGGATGGGATTGTTTCTTCAGCTCTCAAGCTCCATTCTTCATGCGATTCTAGATCGTCGGCCGTGGGCCGGAGCTCGACGTATCGGTAACCCGAGGTAGTCTCACAAACAAAAGCTTGCAGAGCTAGAACACAGATCAGAGGATGTATACATTTTCAGGATCGGGACTCGGAGAGTTCTTGAGATGTTTCTTGAAGGTCCGGGGTAACATCAGCCATATGCGTACATGTGCTGCGTGGTCTTCTTACTACATTTACTATCGCGGGATTCTATAGTATTGGACCGAACAGGATTCATACTATTACATCTACAGTGTCTAGCTCTTTCACGAGTTCTATACAGGACCACGGACACGATTTCTTCGCTATCATCAGTGGTTCCCATTCTGAATTGCTTACATAGAGCCTAACTGGGGCTGTGAACACGACATAATACATACAAACAATGGCCTTTTTGCCTGTCAGTCTTGGGCTGTGTGGCCTTGTTGCATTGGCGTGATATACCTAAGCTAATATCCGGCAAAGAACCAAGCAGACAATTTCTTTGATCAGTCCAGCAAGCGAGGTCTCTTACAAGCAGATATCAGCTGTCGCCACGATTACCCAGCACACTGCCATTTCGAAACGGCGAAGCAGATGCGAAGAAGGGCAGTATCTAGAACACTCAAAACAAGCTATATCTAACAGAACCAGAAAGCAATGCGACGATAGTATTGTCCTGCCATACCATTTATTCAGCTTTCGGCTGTGTTGGAATCATCCGCGGCCCATTGGACCAACTCCTCTGGTATGCACGCTGCCCGACAGACTCCGAGCAACTGCGCGAAGCCAACACAGGCTTGCTTTTTGCTGACAGCGTCAGGATAAGAAGGCATTGAGCCCCATCCCCCAATGTCTAGGACTGGCCTAGGCAAAAGCACACTCAGGCAACCAGCCGCTCCCTCCTCAAGGCTAATCATTCACCACTATCCAGTGCCATTTTTGACCATCGACAAAAACACAAAAAACGACCATGTCTAGCAATGAGGGAATGAGCCGCGAGGCATTCCTGGCTGTTGGGGTATGCTTTGTCGTCGGGACTTCCCTTGGCGTCACCGCGCGTCTGTGGATAAATTATCGGTATATTCGGAAGAGGTTCAAGATGGATGATGGTGTGTCTCTCCCAATACTCTTAGGTCTAAATCTATACTAAAGACGTTCCAGCCGTGGCGGTCACTGCGATCTTCTTCCTCGCGGCGACATTTGCTCTATACGATATAATCCTTCGTAGGATATTCATGAGACTGATCAATTAACGAGTCTCGCTAACATGTTCGCCAGAGGCCACCCCAAAACCCGACACGACACTGCATCTCCTTGCTCAGGTTGGAATACCTTGAAGTTACCACCCGTGAAACCCACCCACAGTCCACAATCTAACCTATACATCTCCAGCTGGCCGTATCCAGCGCCCTAATCGGCGCCGTAGCAATGTGGATCACCAAAGTCCCCATCGTGCTCTTCCTCCTCCAAGTCTTCGGCGTCAAGACATGGCTCAAAAATCGCATCGATTACAATCATCTGCGTCTCGGGCGCCTGCTTCATCATCGGCTCCTCGGTCGTTGCAGGACGGTGCACCCCGCATACAAGAGACTTGTCGCCGCAGTTTATTCTCAACTGTGCAGACACGAGCACGACGGTGGGGGTGTTTCTCGGCACGGTGGCGGTCACTATGGACTGCATCATCCTCCTCATACCGATGCCGGTTATTGCCAAGCTGAAGTTGCCGCCGAGGGTCAAGCTCAATCTGGTGCTGTTGTTTCTTACGGGTGTTTTGTGAGTACCGAGGAGCTCTTTCAGCCGCAGTAGGGTCTGGTTGACTGACTCGCGCACACAGCGCCATTACAGCGAGCGCCGTGTCCACCTACTACAAATGGCTCTCCTTTAGCGGAGCCGAGAGCGACTCGACTGCAGCTATGCTATGCACGTAAGTCAACATTCAAATTGCTCCGTCATAATCTCCCTTCCAACCTCATTGAACTACCTCTAACGAATGGCCTACCCACAGAACAATCGAATGCTCCATCGCCCTCTTGATCGGCTGCGCCCCCGTCATCTACTCATTCTGGACCAAGTTCCGCCCAACAGTATTCACCTGGTCAAGCTTCTCCTGGCGGTCCTCATCATCCGGGCCACGACGCATCCTGGACACCGACAATAGCGCGCCGTTCAGCGAGGAGAATTCCCTGGTCAATCTGGATTCGAACGGCGGGGTCAGCAGCGTGAGAGATGTCAAGGTGTCTGCTGAGGCAATGCGGTCGAACAGAGGGTTTGATTTGATTGGATTCGGGACTCGTATTGGAATGGCATTGGGGTGTCTAGACTCTGGCATGCATGCATCAGGTAGGGTACGGCAAGGTTGATTGGATGGTGTGGTAGGACCTGAGTTTAGCGCTTACTCGACTGTATGACGAACGGATGTTTGATTCTTAAATTTGACTACCTAGTAGCTGATCTGTATGTAATCTGCGTCCTACCAGCCAGTGACAGCCTACAAGAAATAAATGACCAATCGTGCTCTGTTTCTCAGCGGATTCCGCGGATCACTGAGTCAATGGTCCGAGCCTTGCCCTCCAGCTGCCGTCCAACCTGAGACGTGGTGCTTCGTCCGAGCGTCCGGAGGCGCTAGAAACAGCAGAGCCTTTAAATCCCAGCGGTGGAAGTAGCGATAGCGGCGGGGAGGCAGATTCGGTCTGACACGGAATTCGTCCGGAATGCTTCTGAGCCGCAAAGTAGCCTGGTGCAAGTCAAGTCGGGTATTCCAACTTCGCCCAGGCCATGGCAAGTTGACAGCATTTTCATCGCTTCGCCCTCAATCTAATCTCGCCAAAATTTGGCCCCCAATGGATCAACTGTTTCAGATGCCTTGGCTCTTCACGGCCACTGCCATGATCCTGAGCTATGCTCTATACCATTACTTCTCGCCAAATCCGACCCAAGGCCTTGAAGCTCATCTTCCCGTCGTCGGGTTACAAGGCCGACTGTTTCCATGGGCAATGGCCACTCTGGCTTCGTTCTCCAAAACCAGAGAATGGGCCCTTGCCGGCTACGAGACGGTAACAAATGCCTCTCTGCCCCTTGTCCCTCCCTTTTTAACCTTCAAAATACTCACAAAAACCCCAACAGCACTCCCGTCACAACCAGCCCTACATCCTCCCCAGCCTAGGCCGCGGCTCCGTCGTGATCGTGCCCCCCGCGCAAACAAAAGCGTTGTACGGCGAGTCCGAAGACATACTCGACGCACACGCCACGGAAAACCAGACAATCCAAACCAAGTGGACAATCGCGGATCAGGAAGTCGCCAACAACAGCGCTCTCCATATCAATGTCATTCGTCGACAGATGACTCGGAGCCTCGACCACCTCGTGCCTGTGCTTGCTAGCGAGATCCGGCATGCGCTTGAACAGTCGTGGGGTGCGAACAGTGAGTGGAAGACGGTAGCCGTGTGGGATTCGTGTTTGGAGATTGTGGCTGCCGCGGGGAATGCGGCGCTTTGTGGGACAGAGCTGTGTAGGTGGTTGCTTCCATTTCTCGAGATCTTGATTTTGACGGTATCGTTTATAATGATATAATATGAGTATAGGTCGCAACAAGGAATTTCTCGCCTCGTTACAGCACCACGGCGCCAGCGTCCTCGGCGGTGCAATGGTCATTAGCGCTGCACCGAACCCTCTGAAGCCGATTGTCGGGACCATCATCCGGCAGCTATGTCTCTACTACTCGAATAAAGCAATCGAGATGTGCATGCCACTTGTACAGCAGCGGCTAGACGAGACGGCAAGAGCAAAGAAAGATCCGTCTTATTCTTGGGATCCTCCAGTAAGCCACCCACCCCTTCCCTGCCTTCTCTTTCTGTTCTCACTACTACACCTGCAGAGCACACATACTGATGAATGATTCCAGAAAGACGCCCTGCAATGGATAATCGACGAGTGCTACGAGTCCGGCCAGCCATCACAACTCTCCCCCGAGCGCGTTGCGCTCCGGCTTCTGATCTTAAACATGGTATCGCTGCATTCAACGAGCTTTACGCTGCAAAATTTGATTCTAGATCTTGCGAGCACAGACCCCGAGCTTAAGGTCATGGAGGCTCTGCGCTCGGAGTGCGCCACTGTACTTGAAGAAACAGGAGGGACGTGGACCTTTGACGCATTGAAGAAGCTCGCCTTACTCGACTCGGTTATTCGCGAGTCGATCCGCCTCACGCCGTTTGGGAATATAGGGTTACCCCGCACGGTGAGTTCGTTCTCGCAGAGCATGGGATGGCGTACAGAAAGAGCCTCTAACCTGATAAAACTGTCCAGGTCGTCCACCCAACGGGCCTCCCCATCCAAAACCCATCGATAACCCTCCCCCGCGGCACAATCCTCGCCCTCGCCCTCGGAGCAGCACACCGCGACGCATCCCTCTACCCGAACCCAAACGACTTTGACGCGTTCCGCTTCGCGCGCGCATCTCCCTCATCCTCATATTCATCCTCCTCCAGCGGCAACCAACACACCCGGCCCTCCTCCGCCGTAACCCCCGACGACAAATTCCTAGGCTTTGGCTTCGGCCGGCACGCGTGTCCCGGGCGGTTCTTTGCCGTCGCGGAGATTAAGCTTCTGTTGGCGCATATGCTGCTGGATTATGAGATTGGGTATAGTAGCGAGAGGCCGCAGACGAGGCCGGTGATGGGGCTCAATTATCCGGCGGCGGGGGCGATTGTTAGGGTTAGAAGGAGGAGATAGGCGAGAGCTTCAAGTAGGTGGGGAGAGGACACGCCCAGTGGATTGGATATCCATATGTCTGTGAGTTTGGTGTAATATGGGGCCAGAAGCTATTCGTAAAATCATTTTGGGTATTTAATTCGTAAAGCCTTGCGTTTCTATTAAAGTGGTACTCCGATGCCCCAACTAGACCATACCACCAATGACCCTGGGTACCTCTCAGACCATGAATCATCAGACGGGTATTGTTTGTCTCAAGATCTATGATTGTTAACGAACCCTAACGTATTATAGTTTATTAGATGAGACATTCTAGCTTAACTCAAGGCTTGATAGTACAGGTAGGTTAGAGGTGGGTCAGACAAATCTACGTATAACAAACAAATACAATCCCGAGTGCGGACCAGGCACTGGAGCAGCGTGCGAACCGAATGTGTATTGTGTCACTCGGCATGGATGCAGAGTGGGATGTTCCCGGGGACGTTCGGGAGCTTATGGAGCGGGGTTTAAGGGGAGATGGTGATGGAGAGGTCATATTGTACAAGATGTAGTTGTAGTTTTGCCACTTTTCCGCTTTTTCCCCGTGTCTCGCCTTGATTACTTTCGAGGTTTTGTTCACCTCCTATAGGCTGTTTTACATACTTAGACTGCGTCGTGTAGGTACCTGCATTCTAGTACTTCCCTGGGGTCCAATTACCTGTTCCTTGCAGTCTCTCAAGCCAGCGTAAACTGATTAGTTATATATGCCGTATATGTATTTCCTAAGCTACCATGGCAGTGACTCTTTTGGTATTAGGATTCTCTACATAAGGAATGGATAGAAATTAGCCCTGGTAGAGCTTGCCTATAGGAGTGGGAGTAGTTGAGATTCCTGGTTGGTATTTAACTCGTTTCTATAGCCTAATCACCCCGTACCTTATACATAGGGCTAATGCCTGCGTTATACCTAAGTACTACATAGGGGAAGCATTGCTAATTAGCTCCATTTGAATGAAACAAAAAAAGGAGGACAGAAAAAACACCCACTGTGCTACCAAGTTAAAATCGGAAACATGGTGAGAGCTTCCACACAGAAGCCCCCAAAGTACATTGCTAGGCACTTTACAGATGAAAAGATGCTGTTAAAATACTGGAGAATTATAGCTGGCTACCTCGACATGCTCTACATGGTTCTTAAAGGACACTTATTGCCGCCTCATGGTTACGATTATACCGGAACTAAACCCGAAAATCGCCTACAATTGGTTCGGCTCCTCTGCCGAAAGCCGGATGGAGAGCAGTGGTTGGTCAGTGCATTGATCTACCCCGCGTCGGCTCCGAGACGCGGCAAATATACCAGGTTAGGTTATAAGCACGAGGTCCATCGCAGGGAGCACAACACGAAGAGTTTCACTTCATATACTGTTATACTCAGCCTCTTCAACAGCCCGCATTGCAGGGATGACTCTGCCCATCTCAAAGCTACAACAGGGCGCGGAGGTAATCAATCCAGGAAACGATTACAAGATCATTCTCCGCAACGACATCCCCGTTTCAGACCCAGGGAGCAATGAAGTTCTGGTCAAATTAACCTGTACTGGTCTCTGGTAAGCAGAAGATAATTACATACCTCGACACGTCAGCAGGCCCTAACGGCAGTGAGTAGCCACTCCGAAGTCCGCGCCGTGCTAGGCTGGAGCTCATACTGCTCGATCATCGGCCACGAAGGGATAGGAACAATCGTGAAAACAGGCCCGGGCGTTGCAGAATCCGCAGCACTCGGTCAGCGTGTCGGTGTCAAGTGGCTCTACAGCGCATGCAACGCATGCTCCGTCTGCCAGCGCGGGTACCAGCATAATTGCCCGCGGCAAGTCAACACTAGTCGCCATGTCCCCGGGACACTCCAGCAGTATGTCGTAGCGGATGCGCGGTTCCTCACGAGGATTCCCGATGGGGTATCCGATGAGGTTGCTGCGCCGCTTCTCTGCGCCGGGCTAACGATGGCTGGTGCGCTGTCGAAACTTGATAATGTTCTGGAACAGGGAGACTTTATTGTGATTTCAGGTTCTGGTGGTGGGCTGGGTCACATCGGAGTGCAGATTGCTGCTCGGATCAAGAAGCTCCGCGTCATTGCCGTTGACGCGGGCGAGGAGAAAAGGAAGCTGAGTCTGAGTTCCGGGGCTGAGGTCTTTATCGATTATCGGGACGAGGATGTCGCGGCCAGAGTCCATGAGATAACGGGAGAAGGCGCGCATGCAACAATAGTGGTCCCAGGTACCAGAGAAGCCTTCGCGATGGCTCCAAACGTGGTTAGGAATATGGGATTGATTGTCTGTGTCGGATTGCCGCCGAATGATATGGATTTGCCCATCTCAGCAACCGCATGTGCGGCGAGAGGTACGTTTGTTATTCTTGTGCTCTTTATTTCGGCTGTAGAGTCAACAGCTGACCAGGGAAACTGTCTACAGGTATCTCAATCATCGGCTCATCCGTCGGCACTGAAGACCAGATGGGCGAGCTTTTACAACAGGCTGCAACAGGACATATCACTCCCTCGATCCAGACTTTTGATTTCTCGCATACGCCGGCTCTTATCAACGGGTTGAAAGATGATGCAATCACAGGGCGAGCTGTTGTTAGGATTCCACCGTAACTTCCGTCTTCAGCAGCATACTGCATGTCTGATGTGTCTTCAACTTGATATATGCCGTGAAGCAGTAATCTAGCTATTAGAATTCAATTATATCGTCGAAGCATCTATCAGGTAATAAGAAAGTAATTTAGCGCAGATTAGCACTCCAAAGTATTCGCTGAAAACTACAAAGCCACTACTATAGCCCCGAGTCCCACACCATTCGTCGATGTTCTCTCCGCATAGCCAAACCATGAAATTCCTGGCAATGCCCCAGGTGATTCCCGTCCTGGGCTACGTACGCTAAAATATGCTCCTCGCCAGTTTGTGTTGGAACGCTGAGGTAGATGATGGAGTATGTAGTGGCTTGCGGGCGGTGGAACTCGAGTCAGCTTTTAGGATGGTTAACACCGCTAGTATATCTACCAAGTCTAACATAGGGCTTAACAAAATAACTCTCAAGTAAGCAGCTTAGTCATGGCAGCGGGCTAGCGCGGCCTATGCTTTTATGAGTCAGTGAGTTGGAGGCACGGAGTGATCAGCACAGTTTAGTTTCTGTGGATCGGCCCCCATTATTAGGCTGCCATAGGCCATACGCATACGTAGGCAGTAGCGCTCACCGTCAGGCTGTACAACCTATTTATAAACAGGCTGGGTCTTGATGACTCCGCTGGGTCACGAGAAACACGATGGTTGCGAATTTTATATGAACAACTAGCTGGACGACAGCTTACCCGCTTATCCTTCTTCACAACCGGGCTGAAAAGGAAGTAACCATGTCTCCCCCCAAGAAAATCCTCGTCATTTGCGCCACAGGCAACCAAGGCCGCGGCGTGGTTCAGCATTGCCTCGCGGCAGGTTACACCGTCTCTGCCTACGTGCGCGACCCAGCGACAGCCGCCGCCAGGCAACTCGCGCAATCGGGCGCCACTCTTGTGCCGGGCGATGTGGGCGACCTCGATGCCCTGCGTGCCGCGACTCGCGGCGTGGACGCCGTCTTCCTCACCGAGGTGAAGAGCGGCGACTCCGCAGGCGACCTACAGCGGAGCACCAACGTCATCATTGCAGCCGAGGAGGCCCCCACTGTGTCGCATGTTATCGTGTCGACGGCAATTACTGCGGATGAGCATGACTCTGATCCACAAGATCATCCGATGCGACAATACTGGCGGAACAAGCGCGCCCTCGAGACCCGTGTCCGGGAAGCAGCGGAATCATCGGCCATCCAGCACTGGACGATCATCCGACCAGGCCACTACCTGCAGAACCTCCTCCAACCAATGGGTTCATTTATTTTCCCCGGATTCGCGCAAGATCGGGTCCTGCGTGTGGGGTGGCGGCCCGAGACGCAGATACCCTGGATGGATGCAGCGGACGTGGGAATTGTCACCGCGGCTGCGATCGCGGACCCCGAGCGCTACTCGCATCGGGCCATTGACCTCGCTACTGAGGCGCTTACGGCGCAGGAGTTGGCTGGGAGGATTGGGCGGGCTCTATCCGTTCTCAGCAAGGAGGATGTGCAAGTGCAAGTGCAGCATCGGTCCGAGGAAGAGCTGGACGAGAGGATCCGAGCGGGGGATCCCATTGCTCCTGCGCAGCAATGGGCTAATGGGGTGCGTGGAGAAGATGTGGTGGCGAGCTGTCGGGATGAGCTGGGGCTGCTTGCAACAAAGCTTACGTCGGTGGATGCATTTTTGGCCGCTCATGCGTCGAGGCTTTGATTGACTGAGTATGCTTGAGTTAAATTATGGAGATACAAGGAGGAATGAGACTTTTTATCTGCTCTGAGATAAGATGAGATCTTCTGCGTCACGCTTAGTAGACTGCTCTCCCATGTCTTCCCTTTTGATACAACTCATAAACTTGTTGCATTGGCCATTTATTTGGTCACATGTCGTCCCACTGTTCGCTATCATTAAACATATAAAATCCTCGCCACCAAAAGCCTCCTTTGCATTTCCAAATCGTAACCACAAACGCGCCCCAAAAGTACCCTTTCCTGACCTGCTCCACGCGCCAACAAGCCTAGAACTCTTATACGCATCAGTTTACACTCCCCAACAGCCTTTCTAGTGGTAGTTACAGACCTTGCTTGCTAAGTAGTAGTGGCTTCCACTGGCAGGAGCGCTCTTTCGCGAGCCTGCATAGAAGGATAAATTCCAGCAATGTGGGAGTGCTTGCTATAATACGTCACATGGTTGACTTGGCAGACACCCTCGATACCCTTTTCCGACTTGTGCGCCTCGCAGAAAAATCGTGCGCAAAGGAGGCATTTCTCCGTAATTCTAGAGTTTGGATTAAACAGCAAGCCTTGATGCTTTTTTCTCGATGCCATTTGCTCGCAGACAAAGCACATGTCCATTGTGATGAGTGTGTGTTGGGGGAGTATAGGAAGAGCTGGACAGGAAGGGTGGGTTGGGTTGTTGCGGTGTGGTCTCAGAACAGCGCGGTGAAAGGGAAATGAACAGAACAAAACCTGTTAGGGAATGGAGACGTTAGTATTGCAGGAGGGGAGAGGTTTATATCATGTTGCTAGATTCTCGCCCGTGTCTGCCTTACCCCTCTCTTGGGTGGCACAGCCCGACCTATATTTCGCTGAGATATGCCACCTGACATAGGCCAGGGTAACCTAACGTCCATATATAGGCTAGCCCATTTCCTGGCAAGTCCATGCACCTCACGAGCCTCATGATGGGTCGCTTAAGCCTAAACGGGTTCGTGACACAGAAAAGAGTCGTGTAGTACAGCCTCTGGTTTACTATACGCCAGATTCTCCTGTCTAAGTAGCTTCACACAAGTCTGGGCCTTGAAGCAAACACTTTCTCTTGCATGTCCTAGTTTAAGAGCCAAGGTGGTTGCCGCTCACTTATCCCTGGTGCGGCATTAACCAAGAAGCCTGGATCACTTCGACACGTAGAGGGCTTGACCTAACGTCTCGAAGGGAAATCGAGATTACTTCAGATCTTAATCAGGAAGAGAGAATACGTGCTATGAGTATCCTACGGTGGAATCTATTTGGTTGATGCCCACTCACAGTTTGGGAACTCAGAGCTGACAGAAGCTCTGCCGTCAAAAGGACATTTATCTTTGTCGTACCCTTGCCTGATGCTTGGGATAAGTCCCGTGTTAGTTACCAGATAAGGAAGCTCTGCCGGTCGCTGATAGATATTCAGAGCAACCTCGAGGACTGATCACGACCCATACTATTCACCTAATGCATTCGTTCATCAAGGAGCTTCTGATGCAGCACATGGCCCCTGCAACCAACTGCAGGCGTGAGCTATCTATCAATATACAACGCAGAGAACATAAAATCCTCGTGAGGACTTGGTTGTCCTTATCTCTGAGAAGGGTTTAGTCAGGTTTAGGGAGGAATGTGGGCCATACAGAGTCCACCTGCAGTAATATCTTCTTCTACTCTACCTACCTACTCCCCATAGTATATCATTATGATTAGTTATAGCGCTCCACGCCCCCGCATATAACTCCACGACCTCGACCAGAGTATAAAACAGTGACGCAATAAGGGAAATCTATTCCCGCTCTTGAAATGCCCCACGCCTCGGGTTGACAGTAATCCATCTCCACATATTTTGCGATGCGACTACCCCGTCGAATAATCAAACTGATTCTAATCGTCCACCTTGCTTGGTGGCCGAATCAGTTTGACCTGGTCAAGGCAGAGTATTACTGAAAGACGTGGTACAGAAATGTGCACTGGTATACTAAGGGCTATTGCATACGTAGTAAATATACAACGATTCAAATGAACTTTTGCAGAGGAAGAACGAAGGCGAGGGGACATCAACCAATCCAAATCCAGAACGGGGGTAGCGGTCTATGTCGTCGGCGAAGCGACAAAATCGGGAACGAGCATTATATTGGTCTTTGTAGTATCGCCAAGAGAATTTATTCTGGAACACAAATTGTCCGGCGCCAATGGCAAGAGGCTGAATGTCACACCAATGTTGGATAACATGGTCCAACTGTCTTGGAGGCAAATAGTCTGGTGGCCGGCGTGGACCGGCCCCTCGCAGAGCCGGATTATCCGTTCGGGGACATAAGCCCATTAGGCCATTGGCTCGTTTTTGTTGTAGGCGTTCGCTAAGTAGAAATCGAAATTGCACAGAGCCGCCAAGTGGGTCGCGCACTCAGACCCTGGGCACTGCGGCGATGATTTGAGATATTTAGGTAGCGAGAAAGCTCTTTTTGTAGAGTCGTTGAAGGCCGACGGTCAGCAACTTCAGAGGTAAAATCGCGAGGATAATCCAGTCTCGGCTTCCGGTATTCGACAGCAAGCAAACAGAGCAGACTCGACATGAATGATAAAAGAAAGTAGTCACACAAGCCAGCCAAAAAAGCCAACAGGATTCTTGTCCCTGCCAAGCCAAGCCAAGCTGCAGCCCAGCGCTTGGAGATTGGTTTTCTAATTACAAAGAATTCCGGGTACCTGAGAGACGATGCCTAGCTCTGAGCCGCATATAAGGCCCTGCTGGCCCACGCGTGTCTCGGAGTAAGAACCTTGTTTTCTTCTCTAGATTTCCAAGTTCGAATACCATCTTCACCATGGGCCTTCACGGCATGAACGTTTCAGTCCTCGCGGGCTGGTGCACCTTTTCCAACCTTGGGCCCCTTGCAACAACTTACACTCCCTCGCCACAATGCACCGCCTCTGATCAAATGTACATTGGAAACGTCAACCCCACCGCCGGCAACGTCCTCCTCAACTGGGCCGTGCAATGCACGACCGAGATCGCCTACTATAGCGAATGCATGCCCACCACAACCCAAGCATCCACGACTGCCCCGCCGGAGTTTTACGGGGACATCAAATGAGGAGTACGAGGACTGGGAGAGCAGCCAGATCTCCTGGGAAGGGTATGGCGAGTACTACTCCCCCGGAGTGGAGTGTCCCTCTGGGTGGGCGACGGTTGGCATGATCGGGCGGAATGGTGCGGGCGACAAAGTGACCTCGTCGGGCATTTTGTCGCCGGCGACGACGACCACGGTTACCAGGTACACGACGGGGATTGACATGTACTACTACGACTACGAGGACAAGGCGTCGGTGATGAAGAGCTTCCTTGAGCCGGAGCAGACTATGGCCATTTGTTGTCCGAGGTAGGTTTGCTGTCTTCTCCTAGTTACCTAGTTCATCGTCGTTCCCGAGCCTTGCTAACCTTCACTTTCCCTTTTGCAGCGGCATGACCGCCGACAATCGCGACGCCTGCTACTCTGTTGTCAAGGACTACAAGCCGACATACGGCTGCCTAGTCCACACGGGCGAAAACTACGACTACGGTGAGGTGACCACAACGTACCTGGACCCCATCGACAACACCATGGCCACTGTCACCTACGACACCCCGACAGCGACCCGCACCACCGTCGAGACCAACACCTACCACCTCGACCGCGACGAGCAAGCGCTTTATTCCGGGCTGATGTATGCGCCTGCCATTACCCTGCTATACCACGAGTCGGACTTGCAGAGCGCAGCGACGACTGCGGCTGCATCGGCGGCAAACAGCGATGATGATGGTAACGATACTACCGAGTCGGAGGCGACGCCGTCGAATGCGGCAGGGAGACTTGGTCTAAGCGTGTCGGTCTGGGATGGGATTGGGCCAGTGATTGGGATTTGGATTATTGCGGCGGCTCTGGGGGCAGCGATTGTTTTGCCTTTATAGATTCATCGTATGTGGGCGTGTGTAGGATCTATGTCAAGCCTCGAACCAATGGATATTGTTGGGACTCGCGTGCTTTGTGGTCAGAAACGCTTATGTGTATTACCATCTAAGAGGGTTTGAACCCGTGTCTACAGATAGACTGCATTGAGGAATAGTCTACAGCCAGTTTCAAGGCGTTTTCAGTTAATGTACATCTGCTAGACTACCTGCACACGTTAGGTCGGGCCTCGAGAAATATATATCTGATCCGGTAATATAGTTGTAGTGCAGCCACACAGTCATGGCAGGAATCCACCAAGTGGTTCGGTTCCCAGGTGTACCTGTCAGCTATCGCGCGAAGTATAAGAACTTGATTTATATGTAGGTAGATTTATGAAGAGGCAAAATAACCTCCTGGCTGTTTATTCCTCGTCAGACCGCTGACGAAGGGATATTAGCGATCCCGGGACGACACCCAGGCGGCCCTCATTCAGACTGGGACTCCGTGATTACCTGAAAATCTCCCGTTTCAGTACCGGCCCATCCGTTCCAGTCTCCCACTCGCCCTGCTCGCCCGAGAGTGTGCAAGTAGCCGGCGGCGTCACCAGCACCATCAGGAAACTGCGTCTTCCTAGAAAGAGAACACAGTTCCATGTCGTGCCAATATAATTGAATGTAGGAGAGCTACATAGCAAAGTCGACAACCTGCCGCCATATCAAGGACCTACCTAGAAGTGCTGGAAAATGGACTCGTGAAACCTCTTGTAGTAGGGGGAATCTGTTTAACTTATAGTCATTTTTGATCCCCAGCAACAACATACGACCACAGGGTGTGGACAACTGAGCTTCCGTCCCAGTTCAAAGTAACCTAGTTTAATATTAAATTTACTATAGACATATATGATAACAAGAGATCAAGACACTTAGGGTTAGCGCATTCTAAACTAAAGAGCTACAGAAATGTCGTTTACCCCGTTGATAGCTCACTCCATGCCAGTTACAAGAAGAAAACGAAAGTTAGGGAAGCACAATTACCCTAGTAGACATTAGGTGGCGAGGTCTCGGCCATATCAAGGGTTATAGGCCTGGCTATGTATAATGCAAGGCAAGGCAAGGCAAGGCAGCAAGAGAGTGATCAGTGGTTTCAGATCAACTAAAGAACAGAACATGAATATATAACCAAGATAGGCATAAACATGCAAAGGTATTGCCAAGGTCAGGCAGGTAGTTTCTTGGGTTTGGGAGGAGTAACACCGTAATCACGAAACAAGGCCACAAGATCCCAGCGCTTCTTCTTCTTTGCACTCTGAAGGCATCGGAGAACCGAGTCTCGGTTTGATTTGTGGTACCCTCTCTCAAGTATTACCTTGAGGGCACAGGCCTGCACCCTTCTCTTGACCAGGTTAGCACCCAAACAGTCTCCATTGCTATTGAACACTGCGCCACGATCCAAAAGGAGGCTCAGGGCCCGTGGATATCCAGCAGTTGCTGCGGCTGTTAAAGGGTGATCCCACGCCAGCCGCGACAGGTTTACATTTGCGCCTCGGTCCAACAGCAGCTCAATGGCCTTGTTTTGCCCCTTTTTAGCCGCGTAGAAGAGCGGGGGATTCTGGCCCTCCAAGTCGCCATTGTATCCTAGCGGTGTACCGGCATCTATTAGCAATGCCATGCAGTCGAGATGACCCCCGCCAGCAGCCTTCTTTAGTGCTTGATCTAGCACCAGTCTCTTGAAGCGCGGGCCAATGGCAGCAAAGTCGGCACTAGCCATGAGCACCCGAAGAACGTTAGCACTACCCCCCGTCGCGGCGGATATGATGGAGTGGAAGAAAGTGCAAGATGATCTGGAGAGGTTGAGGTGAGGCTCAAGGAGCAGATTAATAATATCTTCATGCCCCCCAAGTGCGGCTGCCTGCAGTGGGTGACAGACAGCAGGCGCCCGTATAAACCAGCCCACAAAATCTTTCTCATCTTCTGAAAACCCGCCGTCTATCTCTTCTCTTGATACCTGATATCCTCCAACATCATGAAGCACATCTTTATGCACGTCGGCGCCGTTTGCAATGAGAAGGCGGACGAGGAGCAAATGGCCCCAGCGCGCGGCGTTGACAAGAGCCGAGTCGAACACATCACTCTGCGCGTTCACATCTACCCCCTCTTCCAGGAGTGACTGCACGAGGGCTGGATCGCCTACACACGCTGCAGCAGAGAGGCGATGTGTGGGAGCATTGCTGGGTTGATCGTGCCCGGTTTTCCTTTCGGAATAGGACGCGTCTAGACCGTCGCGGTCGGTGGCCCATAGAGTGGACCAAAACAAGGGACTCGGTCGGGGCTGTCGGGTGGCTGCCGAGCGGGAAAGTGCGCGACATATCTCCCCTCGGCGATCTTCGGCTGACAGCTGGGCCACTATCCAGTCGACGCTTTGTCGCACGGTCCGGATGGTGTAGTAGACGTGCGCGTCATCAGCCATGGCCCGGTAACAGAGATAACTGGAGGCCGGAGGCTCCCAGGTGCGAGGGCGCCCCCACTTGCGAGTAATGAATACAACTATCAGAACCTCGCGGGCAAAGATTTCTTGGGCCGGTGTCAGCATGGTCTTGAGTTTGACAACAGGGGGTTGGTCTCACTGTTGACAAGCTGCATTTGGGTGATATGGCTTCCATGATGCGGTGGTAATGTCCGCTCCAGAATCATGTGGAAAATCTCGAGTGGAAGGTCAAAGATGTGCATTTCGAACGATTGAAGGATGGTTGTAAGCGAGGAGGGGAGGCTGGCGGTTATATCCCCCTCGACCTCCGATAGCGCCTGCGCCAGCCAATCCAGTCAGCGCCTCACACCAACACAAAAAGGAAAACAACCGTCCAAACACACGGGGCAAATCCCTTCCATGCAGCTGGCTTTGTGACATACTCTAGACTAAAGTACAGGCGGCAGCTACTCAATCTTCATCGCAATGTAGTTTTCCAGACTGCCTCCTCTCCAGACCAACATCCCTGTCACTCGTTTGCCTTTAAAGCGACCACCGTCATGGTTGGCAAGAGTTGGTAGTAGGGGAAGCCCTCGTCTATACTCTAGATTTAGGAACTATCATATAGCGCCACGTGCCAGCTTAGTACTTATATCTAGAAAGTTAGTAGTTTTGAAACATGTGATTTTAACGTGGTTTTCTTAAAAATAAGCATGTACCATGTCTTAATTTTCTTCTAGATTATATAGAATTCTTATATATTATAGTAGTACTATTAAAATATAATAAAATAGAGCATGGAAATAGTGCCTAGGGGAGTAGAATTTTATATAAACTACCTAAAAGTAGTATTAAAATAGAGTTAAAAAAAGACTTTACGTCTTAAATACTCAATTAATAGTACCTCGTGATTTGGAAAAAGGGAAAACTAGGTAGAATTATATATGCCTAAACCTACTCCTCTTAGCCACTTGTTTAGACATGTAGGGGTAATAGAATTAGGTAGGAGCTATGTATTAGTCTAAGGGACAGGCGGACTAGTAGGATTACATAGTGCGTGGGAGCCTAGTTTCCTTTCCTTTTATATTATATTGTGGATCGTACTTGGGCGAATGTCTCTGGCCTCATACAGATCCAGAGATCGAGAGGGATAACTGCTTCAGAACACAGAGCCCGTCCCCCCCCCAACCAACAAACAAGGCCTCCGGACAGAAAAAAAAGTTATCCTGTCCTTGTAACTCGCTTGGCCGTCCCCGCCCAACGATGGGCGTCCCCTATGTGGCCTTGCTCAAATAACCGGTCCCACATTCGATCTGTCTGAAGGCCACAGCCCAGCTGCGTGCACTGTCTGCTCATAAATATCATCTTCGGACAGGTGCAAATAACCACCAAACTCGCATGAAAGGCACGTAACATGTACCAAATTTGGCACATCACTTTCCCTCCAGGCTGCATAAATCCACGCATCCCTTATGGTCCTGTTCCTACCACGCACAAACATCCACTCCCACTCCCCAACCTTGATATCCAGTCCAGCCAAGCGGCGTTCCGTGCGTGCATCCACGTACTGAAATACCTCCCTCGTGACTGACTTGTCAAGCCAGAATTTTGAAGAGTAGGCATTCACGGCTGCACCGCGATAGCTAGGGGTGTTTAGTTCGAGGTATTTGAGGCTTGAGAAGCGGGCTAGTGCATCGAGGTAATCATAGTGCTGAAAAGTATTAGCATCATTCTCTTCAAGGAATGGGCTACCGTCTGCGTACGATTTTGTCCTCAAAGCGCAGGTCGAGACCGAGTCTTTCGACATGGGGGAGTTCATTTGCTAACTGGTACAGTTCGTCGCGAGAGAAAAGGCAGTCCTTATACTCTGGGCCTTGAAGGTGGATTCTAGAGTAGCCCGTCTCCCGGAAGCGGAGTTGCCGTAGATGGTTCCCATGGTATCTTATCACAGAGACGAGTACTGATTTTGGGAAATTATAGGTAGAGAAACACTCTAACTTGGCAATAGACTGTAAGAAGCGATCTAGTATAGCAAGAAATTGAGGGCCTATAGGGTGGTCTTCGTCGTTAAGGACACGGAGTGTAAGCGATTTCAAACCAGAAAGCGGGCCAGAAAGCGCTTCAAGCAGCGTTGATAATTGCATGTATCCATCCAGCGCCAAGTACTCGACGCCCCGCGCACACCGAGCCCATGCAGCTGCCTGTTCTTCATTAAATGTAAAATTAGTAAACGAGAGTATTCGAAGCGAGGGTGGCAGCTTGGAGTCTGGCGCCAAGCGAAAGGCAGGGTTTTGAAGAGTTTTGTTGTCCCTCCAGTAACGATCACCAGCCTGCTTCAGGATTAACCGTTCAAGTCTAGAGAGGGAAAGGATGAGCTTTCCGAGCTTATTAACAACGTGCTCCTCGACTGGCGCAGGCTCGCAAGTTATACTTAGTGACTTGATAAACGAGGCGCCGATAAACAGGGAATTACTGGTAATGGCCTGTGGTAGGCCTTCGTAGTAGAGCTGAGGGGGTGAGAGTCTGTCGCTCAGGTTCTGAGCCAGGTTCGGAGGAAAAGGGATTCCACGCCATCTGAGTCCGTTAGTAACAAGACCAAAACATATAATAGCCTCACCTGATAGCCTCTAGGTTTGGGAGATTCTCCACAAGTCGCTGAATTGGTTGACTATGCTTGCCCTCCTCATAGCCGTGCCCGTACCACACAATGAGTATCCGAACATGATGCTGTATTGTGTGGCCAACGTCTGATTCGAGTAGCGCATGTATTCGGCGTTCTTTGCGGGGCGCGGGGCTGCTAATATAAGTTGATGTTTTGAAGCCGGTGGCTGTTCTGACCCGGAATTCCTGGAAGGGGCAGGGTAATGCAGGGGAACGATTAATTTGAGCGCGATAGGTCTTTTTGGCAGGAGGAAAATGAAGCTGAAGGGTTCGGAATAGTACTGGAGATACTATTTGATGAAAGGCCTGGCATGACAGATTCAGTGAATGAAGCGTTGTCCACGAATCCCACCTGAGCTTGCAGGATGATGGTTAGCTGCGGGGTTCCCATGGGCCGGGTACAAGGGAACTCACAATGTTAACTATGTTGATCCAGATTTCAGTAGAAAAGATTCTAAGAACGGTACTGTGGCTATCAGAGGACATGGTGAAAACAAGTCAGCAGTGAACAATTCCCCTAGGAGGAGGTCCAAACTGTCGTAATTTCTGTGCGAAGGCTGCAGATTGCGACGAAGGTCATATGTTGCTGCATAAATTACCCTTTGTTAGTAAGCCATGTAAGGCATTAAACAGTATTCTCAAGAGCCGTATAGAAATGGTATAGAATCTTATTAACAACCTTCGTTCTCGTCCTTGACTGGATCCCATTTTAGCATTACATCTGGATTGCACGAAGTACGTAGTTCCTCTTACTAAATGTGATTAACGCGGATGGCATTCACCAACACATTTGGTAATACAGAGCAACACGTCAAAGCCCTTCCAATTGAGGATCTATGCGTTCTATTGTGAGCCTTTGATCCTAACGGAACCGAAAACGACCTGTTAGTGTATATCTGGGATGAGTCAAATAAACCTCTGCAATATAGGATCATACACATTTGCTACTTCGAATGAGATAATCCATGTTTATTCACTAAACGAAATCTAGCTCAGTTCATACGCATCGCCCCCTTTCAACTCTAGGACTGGCGCCATCCAGCTCTATCGAACATATAGGCTCTACCTAGCTGCTATCCTCGCATCCTGGTTGGAAGTACTTTTTCTGGAGATGATGGTAGGAAAAACCATCCAATTACATACAAATCCAAGAGAAGCCGACCTAAACAGTCATAGGGTCCCCATGCACTCTCAAATGGTCAAGCTTAGACATCCGACCGCGAAACGTCGTTGGTGACCCCTGAAACATCCGAAATAGGATCATCTTCCAAGTACTGTTTAGTCCACTGATATAACTCTTTCCCCGGTTCCCCATCCACAAAAAACGCTTCTCCAATTGTTCCAGGCTCGTCCATTTCCGTTGGAGTGTACCGCCTAAACCAGTCCAGCGAACACAGGGTCAGCCTTTCCTCACTAATGTCGATACGAGCCTGCATGGTGATATTTTGCTTCGCATCGAGGAGGACCAACAGGAACTGATCTGTCTGGAAGGCTTCTTTATCCGCAATTAACACCTGAGTGGTAGAATTGTAGTGCAGGAGGGGCCGTGTTTCGACGTTTTCAGTGACTAGGAGATTGAGATCACTTCTCCACCGTGTCGGGTATTTGCGCTTGACCTCGTTGAGTTCCTTCTTGAAATTCGCCTGATGTTCATTATGGAGTGCCCAGTTCCTGTGGCGGGCATATCCATCGGCAAGCTTGGAAAGCTCCGGCAAGATATAAAAGACCTGCCGCCAATCTGATCCCTCGAAGTTGAAGAGCTCCGGGTCATCTAAAATCGACCAGTGTGACACATCTTCATACTCCTCAGAAAGGTTCGCCCAGCTTTCCACGCGTTCGTCGTCGTCCGGGTCATAGTATGTGCGGATGATCACAGGATTCTCCTTGTCATGTCCTTTTTGCCAGAGTTTCCAGGCGCGATATCGCATCAGGTCTGAGCGCCACGGACGGAGGATATTTGCGATCTCTTCCTCGGTTGGAATCCGTGGCCCACCATCCGCTGGTGCAGTCTCGTACTCGGTGAACCATATGTCTCTTGGAATTGGGTCTAGTCTCAAAAACTCCTTTATCAGGCGAGCCCGCTGCTGGTCTGCGGATTCAGGAGACGAAGGGTCCCAATGACGCTGTGGTATCAAACGGTTAGTGGTCTTAAGGGATAGGGATGGGTTTGAGCCCTACAATTAAGTACTGCTCGGTTGGCAGCTGTCCCCATCTGGGAAGTTCATCAGAGCTGGCAAAATCCATTCTTTTGTGAGGTGGCTGCTCAAGCTAAAAGTGATCCTTGAGTGTTCACAGCGGATGGAGAATGAGCAAACCGTCGCCCGGGCGAGATGGAGCTGGGGCGTACACAATAGCGGGTATCTCTCGGGTTATCTGATTGGGCGGTAGGTGGAGGAATCAAGCCTGAAGGATCGATCGGGCGGCTACTACCAATCAAACGCGGTTATAATAGACGGTCGTATTGGGAGGAGACTATAATAATCCTATATGAAGTTGAAGCTATGAGCACCTAGTTGCAGCCCGCAACATTTCCCGAACAGAGGATTAAGTGGAATTGGCTCCTCGTACCGCGCACGACCAACTAGACATGAGAAAACGGGTATTTCACAGTCGTGCCCGCCACTGCAGGGAAGATGAATCTCTCCCACTCTTCCTCTGTTTATCCCTCCCTTTCCCGTGTTCCTATCGTAACTCGTGTATCGAGTATCAGGCAATATAATCCCATCGTCGCCAGATTATGTGTAGCCCAGCACCGCACATCTCCCGGGGGCTGAGTCTGCAATGAGACCACTTTTGTCTTTTGTGGCAATCGACTTATTTCCTTGGTTCCTACTGTTGATTCATTATGTGTCTCTTCAAGTACCCTCTGCTTGGGGCCAGGGCCTAGGGGAGCCCGGCGGTACATGCTCAGATGCGGTTCCGTGCTACCAGGGGTGCTGTAGCAAAGAGAACTAATGTGGGTTTACAGACTTGCACTGTGGCGACGGCTGCAAATATAACTGCAATGCGACTGCCAAATGTAGAGAGTTTACTGCGCTGGGATATCATGATTGTCCCTTTAATGTGTGCTGCAGGTAATATCATTCTATAAGAGCTATGGAAGGAGCTTGGTGAGGCTAACGTAATAATGGCACTAGTGAGCATGGATACTGCGGCGTCACCAAGGGGTTTTGCAGAGATGGCTGCCAGCCCAACTTAGACGGAGGAGGCTGTGGTACACCCGAGTGAGTTTTCTCTTTCTCGTTCCGCCTGCTCAAGGCCCAAGGTTCGATGTCCTAACATTGGATAGCCGTCCACAGTGCTCAGCAAACACCAATGCCCTGTCTTACCAGCGACGGATTGCTTACTATGAGCTATTTCACCTTACCAAAGCCTGTAATGAGCGACCACCAGAGAATATTATTATTGCGCCCTTCACTCATATCAACCTAGCCTTCGTCAATTTTACCAGTGACTTCCCTCTGCTAGACAAGTACGGTGATTTAGTTAATCAGATACCAATTCTCAAGTTCAACAACACTGGCTTACGGATAAACATTACAGCAGGGGGATAGGCATTCAGCAATCCTCCTACGCAATATCTATGGTCCGAAAGTACGTATATTTTTCTTAAAATACAGCACTTTACAAGTGATGAGCCTTAAAAGCTAACTTTAACTACCACTAGTGACAAGCACCTATCCTAATCAGCAGGTCTTTATTAAATCTATTATCAAGTATCTACAAGACTATCATCTCAATGGCGTTGATCTTGACTGGGAGTATCCAGCGGCTACAGACTAAGGTAGTACCGCTGATAATATTAATAATCTAATTAATCTACTAGCAGAGCTTCGTGAAGCGTTTAATAGGGAAGATCCTGGATAGGAGATCTTATTAACCCTTCCCACGAGCTACTAGTATCTCCGTGGATTTAATATAGAGCGAATACAGAAATACATGGATTACTTTAATATAATAACGTACGACCAACATAGCATGTAGGATTAAGATATAGAATAGACAGGCCCCTGCCTCTGCAGCCATACTAACATCTAATAGATCGACCAAGGCCTGGATCTACTATGGCGGAATAGGGTGAAACCAGAAAATATTATCTTTAGTCTTACATTCTATGGGTGATTATTTATAATAGACAACCCTAACTACTATAAGCTAAATAGTGTTTATTAATTCTCTAATAGCGGCAGGCTGGGGACCTATTTAGATATATCTAGGATCCTGACCTTTACTAAAGTCTCAGCGCAGAACTAACTACCCTAAATTAATACCATATCTATTAAAAAAGTATTAAATAAGAGGAGATAGACTTTTTAAATCCTCTAACTTACTTTAGACTATCTGTAGTGCACCTGGCGATTCACCTTCTGGAGGGTTGCCTGCAGCATTCCAGTTTCGTTGAATCTTCTCCATAGCCAGTCAGTCAGTCAGTCACGCCGCGATAGTGGTGATGACGACCAATATCTAGAATAACACTACACTCAGAATAAAAAGAAGTGGATACGGGCGCTGCTTACCATGGGCCAATAGACACTGTCCGAATACGAACCCTCAAACAGCGAGGCAACAACCAGCACAGCCCCAACCCCAAATATATTTACGGGCTGCAGCCCGCCTTCCACCCCCCACTATTTATCAACACCCAGCCTTCCCATTTTGACCGCGCAGCTCTCTAACTTTACCTACTTCGTGGTCTCCAAAATGACTCCATTGCCATTACCACTAGTATCCCCTCAAGGCCCCGCCTCACGCCGCACAGTGGCTTCCGACTGGGGGATCAAGCCGTTCCGGAAGCCTGCTACGACACCATGGAAGGTCCCAATTCCCGTGCATGCGATGCCCCGTCTTCTTCAGGGGGACTTCCCGCAGGAGATGGAGGATAAGTGGTTTGTTTACGCGGACGGCCCGGATGGCCCGGATGGGAGCGGTGCGTTTGTTGTCCACCTGCATCGCAGCTGGACCGGTTTTAAGGTTGTTGAGTTGAGGGGTATGGTTGAGGCTATTACTACTACTGGCGAAGAGGAGAAGGATGGCAAGGTGGATGGGCAGGTCGGGAAAAGGGTCGCGTATATCTCGGAGATTGTATGGGAGTTGGATCCGAAGGTTGTTCTGGACACCACTGAAGAAAGGGCCAAGTCGACGGCGAGGGATGTTTGCGAGTTTGTGCTGGGTGTTAAGCTGGTAGGTGAGATGTGATAATTCAAAGATGCTGAGATAATGAGATGGAAAAGAAGAGAAATAGTCCCGGGGCAGTGGTCATCCTCGGGGAAGACATTCGTCTGGATAAAGATGTTCATTAGGAGACAAGTGAAATACAAAGGGCCCTCCATCAAGCCAATGCGTGGGGACAAGGGCTGTTTTATTTAGAAGGAGCCAGCTTGAATGGAACCTATCGCGGCTGGCGATAGGGTCAGGGGTTCAAGGGGAGGAGGACCTGTACGCCCGCGTTCGCGCGCCAGGGGAGATGAATTATAACTGGCATGACAAGTTTGAGCGGATGGTTGACAGGCTTAAAAGTGCGCAGACCGAGAATTCTAGGCTTCGTTCGTCCAATGCTCAGCATGTTCAGGAGGTCATACCCCTCTTGGTACTAGCGGAGACACGCAGACCAATATCATGCTAGCTTAAAAGAGAGTGTAAGCACTGCTATTCATGATCTACAAACATTTTAAAGTTGCGCCTATTCCTCTTCCTTCTCTTGAAAACTCCCAGCTGGTGGATTTCGTCCTCACCAAACTCGACCCACCGTGAGGCTTGTTTTCTGCCTTGTCTCTAGCAATCCTTCTCGTATTGGAACTGGCATCTGCCCACTCAAGAGGACGATAGCCGCCAAGGGGCTATTGTTGGTGGGTTCTCATTTCCTCTCGTGCTTGGCCACCATGTTAGGGCTAGTCTTTCGGATTGAGAACATCTGATTCGCTGGAGGTGGCCCAGACTGAGAACGGGAATACGAGACAACATCACGAAACCATGATAATTGTATATAAACCAAGGTCTGCAGCTGAAGCAATTCACCTTTGTGTTTTGAACCATTTTCTCTATTTTCCCAGCGTTGGGATAGCCATTCTTTTCTATCAGGAGCGAGCTCCTCGTCACTCATTACTTTCGGCCACTCTTTAGGCATCTATTTATTTTGTTATTTTGAGATAACATCCACTCCTTTATAAGACTGATAAAATGCGGTTTTCCGTAGCAGTAGCGGTTAGTTTCCTAACCGCTTGCGCGTACGCCCAGACGCCCTCCTACCACTACGACTTCGACCTCACTGCGGCAAACTACGAGGACAGAGCCTCAGAGCTAGGCGGCGCGTACCGCCTCTCCAACATAAACGGCCATGTCGATGGCGGCAAAACCCTTTTCACCGCAGTCTGGGAGAAAACGCCCTCCGACGCCACCGAGCGACAAGTCTTCATCGACCAAACCCTCGACGAATTCCAGGCAACCCTCGCCTCCCTCAAGAACACTTACCACCCAATCGTCCTAAACGGCTACCTAAACGCAGCGGGCAAGACCCTCTTCGCCTCGATCTGGGAGTCCTCCCCGGCCGATATAGGTTTCTGGGACGTCACGTTTGAAAATGTATATAGTGTCCTCGACAAGCGGACGAAGGAATACGGCGCCCTAACCCCGCCCATCCGGCCACTGTGGTATAGCGCATACCTCGCTGCGCCAGACGCCGACCGCTACGCGCTTATTTGGGGCGTCGACCACTCGCAGCCCAACGACAATGCCACGAACCCGGATAAACCATACTACTATGGCACAGCCCCAGCCAAGTATTTCCACGAGTACGTCGTCTCCGCGGGGATCCGGGGGACGATGCCCGTGACCGTGGACGTGATTCCGTTGTATGGGCAGCCCAAGTTCTCAAGTCTGTGGAGGAAGGTTGCGCCGGCGAACTCGTATCCGAACTGGAGTGCGTACCGCGAGATCAACCGCAAGACCATGCAGGCTCATTTGGAGGAAGGCGCGCGGAATGGTGGGCGACTGCTTAGCTTGGTTGCGTATAATGTGCAGGGCGTCGGGATGCAGTATGCGGCCGTCATCGATGATGCACCGCCTGCGGTGCGTGAGACGTATCTTCCCGGTCAGCCGCTCTGGCCGGTTGTTACGACCTCGTCGTCGACTGTTGATTGTCCGCCTACGAGTACTACCTCTGTGGTGCGGATGACGTCTTCTGTTACTACCACGACCACTACTACTGCCAAGCCTACGACAACGACGACAACGATGCGTACGACTACTGCGGCGCGCACGACGACTACCAAGCCTACAACCACTACCAAAAAACCCACGAGCACCACCAAGCCTACGACAACCACCAAGAAGCCCACCACTACGACGACTACGAAGAAGCCCACGACCACGGCAACCACGAAGCCAGTCGCCAATGGGAGTCCGGGCTGGGCTGCGGTAATCGAAAAGATTAGAAACGCTGCTGTCAAGAAGGTTGTCAGCAAAAAAGCCGGTGCATAAGCTTCTGGCAACCTCTGGGAAATTGAGTTCCTAGCAGCTACGCTCTAGGGACGCTGGGTTATCGAGGTGATGTGGTAGAAGAACCTTTTTCTTGGCAGACATGTAATATTATTTGGCCTTGTATTGACATGGTGACTCAGGATTAATCAAGCTTATATGGTACTAAGAGGACAAGTCATTAGGGCTAGTGAACCTCGGGAACTAGATGGTTACCTAATTATTTTCTCAATACTATTACCCTCGATGAACGGCTTCTTTCTGAGGATTATGTGCCCTTATTTCAAATCTTGATTATCTTCGTAATTGTCGGGATAGAATTTTAGAACTCCCTCTACGCACTGATACATTTTGACGCGTGTTCTCTTCTCTCTTTCTTTCTCCCCAAGCTCATTTTGGACCCAAACGTTACCTCCATCTCATACCAGTCAAGCACCTTGGGGACCATAACTGAGATTCAACTGCCGTCTCGAGTTGTACGGACTTTTCACATTTGAAAGACTGGCTTCCATAAACCCGTACCTGGGAGGGGAGGAGGGTTTGCAGTGTACATAACATTGAGATCCGACCAGTGGTTTAGGTGTTCTCGCAGAGTCTGGAACGCGACATGGAGGGCATTTTTCGTTCCACAAAAATCAGTCTGCGTGACTGGGAAGGGATTCCTCCAAACACCTTTTCTTGACATGAATCAACCCCTTTGCCTGCTTGACCAGTGGGCAGCAGCTACGTGCTTGGAACTTGGTATTTAGCTTCTGCTTGCTTGGCTTGCTAGATGTTCCGGGCCTAGTTGTCTTTATTTTTCTTATAACCCTAACCTGGCGCTGGGTCCTTTTCTCAAGGTGTCCTGTGGGAACGTGATCCACCAAGTTTCCTATACGATTTCTGACTGGTTGGTTAGTCGAAGGCATTATCAGGCTTCTGCTATTTGATTTATATTATATTAAGCAATAGCCATCTCCAGCATAAAGGAAGGTGCTTTTCCTTCGTCATACTAGTGAAACTTACTCCATCACATGAGCCTCCTCGATCTTCATCAGATCCAGCAAGACTGACATTGCCATTTACTTTTTCCGCTGCGAGATACTAGACCTGTTATTATTGAATAGAGTAGCTCATCCCAATGGTAGCCTTCAATCAGGGTTAGGAACAGTTAAGCCTGTAGCCATAATTAATCAAAGCAAGATGTACGCGTGGCTTGGTATCATCTTTATCTTTTGAGCGATCATGCATTGGACTAACTGGTTAGAGGAGTTACGCCACATAAATACTCATGCTATCAGCACGACCTACTGTTCTACTACTACGTACGTACACAAACTCAAACGCAACATGGAAGATTCAGCAGATCAAAGATCAAGGTATTAATATGGCAGAAAGGTAGAGATCACCTAGGTATCTACTTTTGGACTGGATCTTGTGTGGCTTGTATTTGGGTAATTAAACAACCTAGGAATCCAAGAGCATTCTAAAAGATTTTTAATGCTTTATGGCAGTCTCCAAGCAACAAGCGGCCTAATATTAAAGTCATTAGAAGGAACGAGGCATGCGCAGTCTCTGCTAAGTATTCATATCCTTCAAGGCTCTTGGTTGAGTTGTCACTCTGTCTAAAATTTTATGGTTGTGCGAGGCTATATGGGAGTATGATTCCTGTGGTAGCAGTAGGGTTTGGCTTTAGAACAGCCGGGTTATTATCCCATGTAGTGTCTGCTGCTGTTAGTCCCACATCACCCACCCCTGCACCTGAAGATCAGTCCACGCGTACCATGCTGTTGTAAGGACCAGAGGTAGAGCGGTGAGTTATCTCGGGCTTCAATCGAGGAGACTTGGGGAGATACTTCCTTGGGAGATTTATCTACGTGTACTAGTAGGGAGGTATAGACCATATCTTCAGGTTGAAATTAGGGCTTGGGCTAGCCCACCGTGGTCCGTGCATCTGTGGATTTTCTCCAGTTTGTTTTGTTTACATCGGCCTCATCAGCAATGTCGAGGAGACTGAGCTTAGTGGCCCTTGATTACAGTGACGCAGCGCAGCCAGGCACCAGAATACTACCACGCCATTTTAAGCCGCGCTCATAGTTCTCCTCAGAACCCTCAAACCGAAAGGCGAAAGCAAATACGTGTACACTTGACTCTAGATTCGCTTTTGCATGGCATGAAGAATCCATAAAAGTCTCACAATGGCTATCTGGAGTGTAAACATCTCGAGCTTTCGGATGGGTGACTGGGGCAAGATCCACCACAGTCCATAGCAGTTCCAAACCCGTCCGGTGATATCTCCGGAGTATGTCGGTCGACCGTCAGAGAAGCGAGGATGAACCCAGTGGCCTTGACTGACTCGTTGACGGAAGATCATTCTATATGCTCCAGCTTCCACTAGCAGCCCATCAGAGGCTATAGCCATTTCAGTGCAGCTGGGAGTTTGCTAGCAATCCACTGCAGTAAGAGTCTCAGCCTCCCAACGCGTGATCACAGTTTTGAGGCATAATAGTCATTCTTACGCATTGTCGAAGGGGGAGGGTGGGAATGACTGCCAATTCGAAATTCGAATATACTATCAACTGGACCGCTTTGTGTACTCTCTCAGCATAAAAAACTCCGTAAGCGTGCCGATGTTGGAGAGGCAGTTTTTGGAGCGCTGATATGGACTTGATTTCGATATAGGTGGTATGTAACGGCTAGGGTATGGGAGGGAGAGCGATGGAATTTTATCTACACCACAACCCCAGGGTCATAGCGTGGTGGCTGAGAATGCTCCATGGACCAAGAAATGTACCTGACCTAGATAATCTCTGCTTCCTATTCATGGAATGTAGTGGAGATGCCAAGCTAGCCAGCCCAGGCGGGGGCGGGGCTCGCACGTCGACACCGTCAAGCTGTGTATACGTAGACTGGTTACTCCAACTCCAACTCCAACCCCCCGCTTCCCATCATAAATAATTCACAGCGCGAGCAATCGGTAGCCTCTGTCAACGGTATCCACCTTCTCTGTTTGAAATATTTCTCATCTCAAGTGTCAGAGTCATCTATATCACCATGGCAAACCTCCCTCCAAGTGTCGCGCAGTCTCTCGCTGCCACCAAGGTCGACTATCGCCTCCTCGGAAACTCTGGCCTCCGCGTCTCGGTCCCCATCGTCGGCTGTATGAGTATTGGAAACCCCGAGTGGGCGGACTGGGTGATTGGACCCGAGAAGGCGCTGCCGCTGCTGAAGGCTGCGTATGATCGTGGTGTGACGACGGTAATCTCCCCTGCTGTAAACCACTGGTGGAGAGCTTAGTCCCTAATATATCAAAGTGGGATACGGCAAACATCTACTCGAATGGCGACTCCGAGCGCGTCATCGCGCAGGCGATCAAGGAGTACAATTTACCCCGACACAAACTTGTTATCATGACCAAAGCGTGGAGCTGCGTAGGCGAAGAGCAGTTCCGCGCGTATTCGATCCTCGATCAACTGCGAATGAGCAAGGACTATGTGAATCAATTCGGTGCGCACTTGTTCTCCATCCCCTACCCACCCACCTATAGCCCTTGAAAAGACCCTCTAACCCCACAAAAGGCCTCTCCCGCTCCGCCCTCTTCACAGCAGTAAACGACTCCCTCAAGCGCCTAGAAACAAACTACATCGATCTCTTCTGGATCCACCGCTTCGACCCCTACACCCCCATTGAGGAGACGATGCGCGCACTGCACGACCTCGTTACGGCGGGGAAGATCCGGTACATTGGGGCCTCGTCGATGTGGACGTACCAGTTCGCCATGATGCAGTTTTGCGCGGAAAAGAATGGGTGGACCAAATTTGTTGCTATGCAGGTGAGATTCCTATACATGTGATTCCAGCTGTTTCCAGGTCGTTGGATTGTTGGTTGGGGTATGGCGGCGAAGTATATGTGCTGACTTTATTCGATTTGGTGCAGAACCACTACAGTCTTCTCTACCGCGAGGAAGAACGCGAGATGAATAAATACTGCAACACTACTGGTGTCGCGATCGTCCCCGTACGTCCATCTATACCCTTCCCCTCTGCTCGCCCACTCAATTACAACCCCTTCATCCATCCCCACCATCTACTAACTCCACCTCTTCCAGTGGGGCCCCCTAGCCGCAGGCAACCTCGCACGCCCACTCAGCGCCCGTGGAACAGCAGCCCGCTCCTCCTCTGGCTCCGGCAGCCCTTCAACAACCCGCCCCGAGTCCATCGAAATCATCAACCGGGTGCAGGAGCTCGCCGAGAAGAAAGGGTGGACGATGACGCAGGTGACGCTGGCATGGACGCTGAAGCGGGTGACGAGTCCGATTATCGGGTTTAGTAGCGTGGAGAGGATCGATGATGCGCTCGCGGTTCGCGGGAAGGAGCTTACTGATGAGGAGATGAGGTTTCTCGAGGAGCCGTATACGCCTTTGGAGGTTGAGGGGCATTTCTAGGCTGGTTGATGGGGGTTTGGTAGTTGGGAATGCATGTGTGGTTGAAGCTATGTGCTTGGGTAGGGCTTTGTGTAAGGAGTGTATTGTCCTATGTGACAGCTGGAATGGTTGGAACCCAGGATTCTATACTATGTCAATTAAGATGAGGCAGATTTCAACAAACCTTTGCAGCTAACAGGATACAGCCCCTTTGTATGTAGAAGTAAGAGTTATTTCACTATGCAGATTTCTGCAATGCACTTTCTTTTCTGACCCATTGCTAGCATGCATGGCAGGGGAAGGCTATTGCTACACTCTCTCATGGTCTACTAGAAATTGCCTGAGGATTGGACATCAAGGTCAGTCATTTTGTCACTCTCCGCCGTTATTGGGGTCTATAATTAGGCTAAGCATTGGTATACCATACCCAACGAGCATGGAAAGCTTATACTAACTATTTCCAGATATGCGCACCACTGATAGATTGTGCCAGAGACGGGGGTCCAGGGGCGTCAGCCACCGGCGTAATAGCGAATCGGCACTTGAGAGACGTGGCGCGATGATAACCTTGTTTTACCCCAAGCTTGTCCTTTTCGGGGGAAAAAGCGAGACATGGGTTCTCCGGGGGTATTGGCATTTGGCTTCTCCCCACCGGTAAATTACTCGACATGGAATAGCGTCCCTTGCAGCATACTCCAACTCTCTCAAGCAAGGAACCCTACGAGGCTCTTACATCGTCTTCTCTTGGCCCTTTTGTTGTATTTAAATCCTACCTGGCCCTGAACAGAAGAATGCACACAAACATACAAGTCACTCCACTTCTTCATCGTTGATATACAGCTGTTGTCGACACAAGAGTCGAACCCACACCATGGCGATCCCACCAAAACTCTACCAATTCCTCCTCGCCATGATTGCCAGCCTGGGCAATCTGCTCCTCGGCTACGATCTTGGTGTCATTGCCGCCGTCGTCGCCGCGCCGAGTTTCAACACGCACTTCAATCAGCCGGACTCGGCTGAGATAGGTGCTGTCGTCAGCACATTTACCGCCGGAGCCTTCGTCGGAGCGTTTATTGGCGGTCTCTCTGCGGATAGATTGGGACGACGCATAACGCTGATGATGGGGTCGGCACTCTTCTGCCTTGGTGGTGCGTTGCAGACGGCGGGTATTCACCTTAGTTATGTGATCTCTGGCCGTCTCATTGCAGGGTAAAGCCCCTCCTCTCATCTATCCCGATGCTGTTTCTCGAGCCTGAAGCTTACCATTTTATTCTTGTCAATTAGAATCGGGGTCGGCTTGCTCATCATGGCTGTCGGGCTATATCAAGCCGAACTGGCTCATCCGGATATTCGAGGAACGATCGTGGCTCTGCAGCAGTTTATGCTTGGAATTGGCGCTCTGGTCAGTTGCAACTCCGCGAAGAACTATATACCTTTCAAGTTTTCAGAGCTAACAATATCTCGTGGTGTAACAGCTCGCAGCAGCCATCAGCTACGGCACTTTTGTTGGAGTTGCTGACAACGACAACGCCCAGTGGCGTATCAGCTTGGGTGAGTCGGGTCTATCTGCCAGTGATTTTTACTAATACTTGATTGTCCAGGTATCCAAATTGCGCCAGCCGCGATAATGGGGTGTGTCATTGGCTTCTTTCCTGGTATGTTCCAAGCTCCATAAAGCGTATAGATTCTGGCAATGGCTAATATCATATCGTAGAGTCCCCTCGCTGGCTTATCGATCATGGGCAGGAGGCAAAAGGCCTCAACGTCCTTGCTCAACTCCATGCAAACGGAAACGAGTCAGACCCTTGGGTTCTCGCCGAGTTTGAACAGATCAAGCATAGTCTTGGAGCAGAGCATGAAGTGCAAGCAAAGGTATGTGGGCGAGTCAAACGAAGGCAACCTCAAGATGCATCAACCTTGGTGATTGTTATCAGCTCCTAATATCCCCCTCTAGTCCTATCTAGATTTATTCCGCTCCATGTCCTCCTTTCGCCGCCTCCTCATCGCCGTCGCCCTGCAAGCCTCGGGCCAAATGACCGGCGTTTCGGCGATCCAGTACTACTCGGTGACAATCTACGGCCAGATCGGCATCTCGCCCGCCGACGCACTCAAGTACCAAATCATCAACAACGTCATCGCGCTCCTCGGCGAGCTAACGTGTATCCTCCTCATCGACAAACTGGGCCGCCGCTGGCCGCTCATCGGAGGCAACCTCGCCAACGCCATGACATTCATCGTCGCCACGGCGCTGCTCGCCAAGTTCCCGCCGACCTCCAACTCGACCGGCGCGCACTGGGGGTTCATCATCATGACCTGGCTCTTCAACTATAGTTTCTCGTCGACCGTCGGCCCGCTCTCGTGGATCATCCCTGCGGAGATCTTCGACACGCCCACGCGCTCGAAAGGCGTGAGTCTCGCGACGATGACGACATTCGCCTTCAATACCCTCATTGGACAGATCACGCCGCTGGCGATGGAGGCCGTTGGTTGGAGATTCTACATCACCTTCATCGTGTGTAATGTGACCAACGCGCTGTTCTTCTGGGCTTTCCTCCCCGAGACGAAGAAGGTGCCGCTCGAGGAGATGAAGGAGCTGTTCACCGTGACTCCGATTTTTGTTCCTGGAAGCTCGTCGAAGTGGGGACGTAATGAGCTGCGGAATCTTGCGGAGAGCATCGAGGGGGGGAACCTTAAGGTGCAGGCGGCCGCGCTGCATGTGGAGCGAACGGCATCGGGCCACGACGGTGCTGTCTGATGGGCCGGTATATCTATCTCAAGGGATATGCACATGCGCTCATTGGCCGATAGAGACCAACAGGTGTTTCTGCGAGGAAGCCCAACATTTATGTGTTTTTACGTGGCCACTTTCATTCCGTTAATAGACAAGTAGGCGGATTGATGGTTATTCTCTTGGATAGATTGTCACGTTGTTTGATCTTAGAGATAGCTTCTAGATGATATATATGCCAAATAACCGAGCCCTACAGCACCAAGGGGGCGCGGCTCCAAAGGCTACCATAGCGCCGGCCACTGCAAAGTACATTACTATGGGAGAATTGGCAACAGTAAGGCCGTATCCTAGGACCTTGAGTTAATGTAAAACGAACAGTAGTTCAGCATCACGTAAGTCCAACTACAGATATTTGGTGAAAAATTCCGCTATCTATGCTGGCTATTAGGGCCCAGGCGGCCGGTTAGTAGTGGCTCTTGCCCCCACACTCCGCCATTCTGCCCCCTGGGGTCTAGGCGGTCATAGGCAGCTTGGTATACTATTCAGAGTTTAGGATTTTGTTTCATATCTATATCCTTTCATTCCGTACGCACTCGGCGACCAGGACTATGCCCTTACTGGGCACCACAGCCACAAGAGCGTCATTCGGACCCGTACCGGACTATACCAGACTATGCCCTGTTCTCCGTATATTCTCGGTACATTATCGGGCCGAGCACGAGCAGTATTGGGGGTTTTATTTGGCTAGTGAGCTAGGGCTGCAGAGAGCCACGATAGTATACCAGCCTTTACGGTAGGTGAACCTGGTTGGTCCAAAGAGTATATATATTTAAGTCTCTTATCTTGTTAAATCTCAAGTGCTTAATGGAGAACAATGCTATCCAGGATTTCTAAAGACAGGGCTTTTGCATGTACTCGCTTACACGGCTCTACTTCAATCTATTAGCTGCCTGCGGCCCAAATGGCAGTACTATAAAAAGCTTTTTTAGTCCTGCATCAATACCCCCTATTGAATTTGTGCTGTACTTCTTAGATGCGGCCATTGCGCGGAGAAAAGACCTCATGGCTGACAACAACCCCTTGTCCATCACCGTGTTTTCGAGTGACAAGCGCGGACCCGGAGCTCAAAGGCTCTACCGAGACATGGTCCAAATCCTTAATGCTTGGGATGCGTCACTTAAGCTCGTCACGGACTTGTATTACCTCGCGCGTTACAGAAGCCGGGTTAGTGGGAAACGACGTCTGAGATATCCAACATTCTATATCGAGCACTGAGCGCCGGCCCGCTGTGAATATACACTCTCTTGCATGGCTCTGCAAAGGCCCAGTGGGGAAGAAAGAAATAAGCAACCTTTCATGCATGCACAACCCAACCTGGTACGAGGTGACGAGGAAGTACCTCAATGAGTCACAGCGACTCGACTGACTACTGCTCCTACTCCAATCTGGAGCTCCCTTGTGGACCAAAAGCTCTCAGCCTTCTATTTGGCATTGTATATACAGTCCTGCAGACCCGCCACTGTGCCCATGGTCGTTGACGAGCTCTGCCACCGAGTAAAGCACCAAGTGGATAATCTCTCTCTCTTATACCGCATGGAGGAAGTAGTGAACTCTCGAGACTTAGGAACAAGGTTGCGGCTCGTGCCTTTCATACTAATGACCTAGGCTTACAGGCCTACTACTTTCACCCATCTTATAGCCTCTGGAACACAAAGAGAAGGGTCCGAAGAAAAGCTTTCCGGAGATATGGGACTATGAACCATTACTTTGGAAGGACATTGTCAGTCGTTTTTCTCTCCCACCAGCCTGGCGCAAGATCCCTTCCATCCGGCGATTCAGAAGGCCGTGTAATACCTTTGAAGAAGAGTGGCCACGGTCCTACACGCTGACTGAGGCCCGGATCAGCCTTTTGGAGGTCCCACAGGTAAGAATCGGGAGGGCTCAGGGGAGAGCTGGGGGATCACTGCTATCTCGACGTCCTCCCCCTTATACGCCATCGAGGAGAAGGCGAGGTCAACGTGTTTCGATTAGACATGGACGGCCGCTTCCCCAGCTATGACAATTACTGGTTTCGCGCAGAATGGAACACAGAGTCAAACGAAGAAGATGTGCTGGCTCGCCTGAAAGACCCTCCGGAGCAGTGGACATTTGCAAGCCGTGTCAGCCCGGAGTGTCGTCCAGACTAGTATGCCTTTGTGATTACGGTGACCATAAAGTCTCTTGCTGCGAGCTATGATCTCGGTTTAATGCGTACATGATACCTGTCTGTAACTTCCACCAGAGGGAACTAGGATGAAAATCTGCAGTCAGAATAAGCGGGCGAGTTAGGGCTTCTGAGGAATTCATGACCAATCCAAAATCAGCCTCAGCTCCACGATGGCGAAACTTCATCGGCACAAAGTCTTCATGTACACCAATCTCTCGGCTTATGGGTCCCGGGCAAAGACCAGAAGGAGGTTCGGTCTAAGTTCTAGAGACAAGCCTTTCACATGCTCTTGCAGACTTTGGCTTCGAGGGAAACCAGCCGCCCGCGGCCCGAATCTTGTCCCTTGGATTTCCCCACCACATGACGAGCAGGAGTTCGATCCTTCGAGGGGATATAGCTCCGAGAGAGCACCGATAGCTTCGCAGCTGGAGCAGAGCAAAAGAGCAGTGAAACAAAAAAGAAGCCCACTTTGAGCAACGATCTCCCTTTAACAAGAGCAGTGCACCATGGCCGTTCCTCCGGAAATCACAATCGCAAATCTAGCGGGCCAATTCATTCCCGTATGTAAACAGGGACCTCAAATCCAGTTTGCACTTGATCTAGCTCGAATGCTAATCTGGTCATATACAGGACAAAGCGCTCTCCGATGACGCTGATGGATTCCTTAGTCTGGTCCGTTCCTTCCCTCCCTCTCTTACTCCTTACCCCACCCGGAGAAATAATATACAAGAAAATACTGGCTAATCCTGCCACAGCAAGGCGTCCCGTGGCTCCTCCGCAAAGCCATCGGCCTCGCAAACCCCAAGCTCACCATCGCCCAGTCGACCAACGAGAAAGGCGTGGCAGTCATCGACCTCAGCGTTGTGGGGATTGGCGGCCGCACTGTAACTGAACAGCGGATTTTGGACTGGGAGCCTGTTCCGAGTACGAATCCGCTGTATGGGAAGACGATTAGTACGTCCACGATATATCCCTAGACCACCTCCACCACTACCACTACTACTAGGGATATTGCGTGAATCACACTAACGAGGACTAGCCCGCTCCCGCCTCTACACAACCCCCCTCCCAAAAGAACCCAATCAAAACGACGAGAACTACGCGTACCTGAATGCGCAGATTTCACGAGATGGTTCACCGAGTAGTTGGATTGAGGACGAAGATGGACAGCACCTGCACTGTGTGATTACGAACGAGGAGGCTGGGTGGACGATTGACCAGGTTTGGGGGTTCGAAGAGATAAATGGGGAGCGGTATCATACGAGGCGGTCTGTCTTGGTCAAGGGGGATGCTGTGGAGAGGGGCAGGATTGTTTATAATTATGTTCCATGAGAGGTGATGTGGTGGATGGACCCGAGTGAAGACTTAGGGCTAGGTTCTGGGTGAGAAGGTGTGTTGATTTTATGTCTCAGATGGGCTTTATTCTACCAATCGAGGATTTTTGATTCAACGAGGTTCGAAGTCACTGCCGGATAAATCGTACCAGCATAACTAACTTGCCATAACTGATACAGCTACCCACGAAGCCCCAAAGACGCATAACCGCGATGATCAGTCGGACAGGAACGACGAGTCAAGGGATACAGAAGTCTTTTATGATTTTCTTCATCATGGTAGTTGATTATCTGTTTGTGTAGGAGGAAGGCAGTAAATGTGAGATCTGAAGGGCAAGCTAGTGACTATCGCATCTATGACCGGAAGGCTTACGCATCTACCTCAGCTGATAAGGCTACGGCCCCTGTCTGGACTGGTCAGGGTCCATGAAAATGCAAACGAACTAGACATCGTGCTTTCTCAGTGTATAGACAGCCGGTCTGACCCAAAGCAACAAAGAGCTGGCAACTTCGTCAAAGTGGTGGGACGTCAGGCTGTGGCTGTACCAGGACCCTTGGGCTTTTCTATTCCCAAGATTCTCACCCTAGGCATCTTCCTACTCGCCTTATCGAGTGCTTAGGTCAAGATAAATTGTGTCGAAGAATGAATCGAGAAGACGGCATTAGTGTGGCTCCCCAACATGTCCTCCCTCAAAGCTCCATGTGAGCGAATTAGGGCTAGCTAATCAGTTATTTAGTATACTGGCTAGCCGACATCCGGCTTTATGCCTGTTGCAAACCAGCCCAAAAATGTCATTTCATGTACTGATAGCCGGGCTTACATGGCAGACGTCTGCCATCGAGGCACATTACAATTCCCTGTAGTGCTTGTCACGTAGGTAGAGCAATGCTTTCCTGCAGAGATATCAACTGTTCAGTACTGACTTAGACTAATGATGAACGCCAATATCATACCTTCACTCGTCTCGGAAACAAGTCTTTAGATGCACCGCAACACCCTTCGAGGAAGCATTTCCCTCGTGACCTGTGGAGTGCGAAAGCCGCGTCCATATTGAAACCAGAACTTTAATCCGCTCTGAGAAACTGGTTGGAGGCCCGTCTGGTAATAGAAATTCAGGTAAGGATTTAGTCTTACTTTCTGCTTAGAGCAAGTAAGTACGGTGTACTTGACCACTTTTTTCTTCTCCGTGGTCCATTGCCACGAGTCTTGATCTCAGGACGTCGATATATCTCACCTCTACTTCGCCTCACCTCATCCTCACCCCGTGAAATTCTTCGTGCCTATAAATATCCTCTTCCGCCACAGTTTCTCCTTCTCACCTACACATCTCTCTCACCCTCACTGTTTCCCCCCTTCATCTTCTTGGAAGACGCCTCAAACTCAATTCTCATAAAACCCTCCTCCTACACAAGCCAAGCGCTACAAACTTCCTTCTCTCCCATCTAACCAATCCTTCACGACAACAACTCTGCCTGCCTTCGACAGCCCACCACCGTGAGGATATTTCGGCAGTGCTCTTTCTCCATCAGAGCCACAATTACATCCACTTCAATCTACTCAGTCACAATTTTCGAAACCATCATCAACACCTCCTCCGGCACTACTACATACCCAAGAACCTCGACGAGACAAGATGGCAGCCAGCGCACAGACTGGTCCGGATAACGCTCCGCGCACAGTTCGAGATCTACCCGAGAACACACGTTTGAGATCCGGTCTCCCAACGCACAAGGGCTACGACGCAGTACAAGACACCAATCGCGTCTTGAAGGCCCGCAAAGCCAAGTGCAAATGTGGAGAGCAAGGGTATATGAGGAAGAAAGTCCGAAAGGCGATCGCAGTACAGGGCGACTGGCTACCTGCCTCGAAGCGATTCATTTCGCAGTTGCAATACATCGAGTTGGAGCAATATCGTATCTATCTGAAGATTATCGAAGCTCGGCGAGACGACCACTATGACTCTCAGACGATTGCTGAAGCTATTCAAATGTTGGACCGCCAGAATCCTCTTGCCTGGATGGACGATGAGACTGTGGATATTATGAAGGAACACGAGAATGATATCGATGGCTGTAAGGAGCTTGACTGGTTCATGCAGATTGCAAATGTCGAAACGGTGCGGGAATCCATTGCGCTAGAGAAAGAGCTGGGCTAAACATTGAGCCAACGTCGAGCGAGCGAGTGACATGGTTCTACTTCCCTTTTCCATCATATTGATTATGGAGGCACTTATGACTATTGGATCTTTGAAACTATTCTCAGACTCGCTGCAAGTCAAAGATGGAGGTTTTCTAAGAAGGGTCGAAAGAGCAAACAAGCTTTCCTCCATTTTGGGACACAAGACATATATTCAGGGTAACTGGCGTTTGCGAAATCAGCCCAAGTTCTTCTTCCTTGCTTGTATATATTATCCGCCAAATTACCCTGCGCTCGTGTTCACAAAATCGAGCAGAGAGAAAAAAAAAAAAAAAAAAAAAAAAAAAAAAAAAAAAAAAAAACAAGCGCTTCTTAATACACTTTTTTGTTATTTCCAGCATACCTATCTTAGGCCCCGGCCTCTCCATCTATATCAAACAATAATTATAAAGATACCGTAAGCGCACAAGTAGCCCGCACTGAAGGGCCGGACTACGTAGGTCGTATACTCATACCTTTGGACCATCCTTTCAAGTATCATCATCCGTCGACTAATGAATTGGGCGGCCGTACTCAAGGGTCCCTGTATAGTACATTCTAGGCGCACTGAACAAGCAGGGATTACCAAGCTATATTATCATTCATGTTGGACACCACTAATCCAGTAGCCTATTCAGAGCCATGTGCAATTTCAAACCAAAGTTATTATACACGCTTTCTAGCATCCACGTCAGGCTTGAATCCAATCCTCGCCCAACACTCAGCCGTGGGACAATAAGTCACCGCACAAATCCAACCCGCACCCTCGACCCTTCAGGCACACCAAGTCCTCGCGTGAAAGGATGCGCCACGTCCTCCATATCCGGCAGATCCTCTACCTCGATCTCGACCATGAGTATCCTTTGCCGGCGGCGGCGCGTCACGTTGTCCAGATAGATCAGGCCCAGACGAAGGAATTCGGCGGAAAGAAGCGCTGCTAGGAAGATGAATAGGAGGGCGAGGAGGTTCATTTCTGGTGGATGGAGACGAGGTTCTCGATTTCGAGGGGAGTTGGAGATTCAAGCGTTAATGCTTTGGTGTGTTGGTTGGTGATGCTTGGTGTTCTATCGGGTGGATGTGTTGCCGTTGGATTCGGTCAGGATGCGCTGTTGAGCATCTGTTGCGTGCTATGTTAGCAGGGTGGAACTATTTGTGGAATTTAGGACTCTACCGATGAGATGGTAGGAGCGTGTATGCAAGGTGAGTGTATGTGTTCCCCTTTGCCTAGTTTGTCCCAGGAAGCAGTGATGATAGCGCGCTGCTAGAGATGGGTGAGGAGAGAAGAGTAACCCGGCCCATCCAGTTCACGAGAAACTGCCAATGTTTCTAGGTTGAGTGGAGTGAATGTGGGCATATTTACTGAACTTGAGTCCCCGAGCTAGTGGTTAAACGGAAAACTGACGGGTACTCGTCTGTCTGCAGCCATACCTCATCTTTGGGGATGAAAGCTGATATGGTGCTCTCGCGATAGGAAAGGTGAAGTAGGTCGGGGAATATGCTGCGTTGAGATAGAGATCACCCGTCTGTTGTGTTCCTGGTTGATTGTTGCGAGGTGCTGCTGTCTTTTTATTAAAAACGAGCGCATATAATAGCACCGTTATGTTGGAACAGATTCTAACAGAATGAACAATCTGAAGAGGTGAATGTTGTTCCAGATTACCCAATAGTAAAAAAATGTACGAAGAGATTATCTCTAATAAAACAAAATATAATATACTCCTATGATACAATGCCCAAGATGCAGGTGTAGAACCGTAAATCACGCCTTCGTCTTGGTCTTGGAGCGCTGCCACGCCGTGCGAGCCTGCTCCCGCTGCCTCTCCATAGCCTGCAGATGCGCCTCCCTGCGCGCATGGTTCAGCTCCTCCCGCTTCCACTCGTCCTCCTCCCTCCGGCGCTTCTCGTAGTCCTCCGCGAGCTTGCGGTCCTTTTCGCTGAGCCGGTCCGGCGGGGCGACTGTGCCGTCGGCGTTCTTCTTGGGTCCCCGGCCGGTCATCTCGTTGACCTTGTCCGTCGTCTCGCGGACGAGCTTGTCCTTGCTCTCCTTGGCGGACAGGAGGGCGCGGTCAATGACGCTCATCTGCGCCTTCTGGGCCTGCTTGTCTGCCTCCACGGCGCGTCTCTGGTGTTCGGCCTGCAGGCCTTCGGCAGCTTCTACGAGCGTGCGGAGGTGTCGGCTCTGCTCTGTTTCAGGAGTCCCGGGAGGAGGCTTTGTGGTATACTTGCTGGGGAGGGCCATACCGATGGCTTGGCGGACGGCCACGTTGTTGAATGCGAGGGATTGCGTATAACCAATGACAGCAGTGACGGCGAAGTATAATTGCAGAGCAGCGGGCAAGGTTGCAGTGAACAGCAAAGCCAGGCCAGGCATAACGTATCGCATCGCTTGTTGAAGCCCTGCCATATTCGCGTCAACATTTCCAAACTCGCCTCCTTTCTACAAAGCGCACAAGTTAGCAAAGGGTATCCCAAGCAACAAGGAAAGAAAAGAAAAACGTACTTTAATGGTTAGATATTGAAGGGTAGCCGCCACTACAGGTAGAATGAAAAACGGGTCATGTGCTGTGAGATCGGTAATCCACAAGAACTGCTCCATTGCTAATCCGGGAACAGGCATGGACGCCATATTGCGGATAAGACGGAACATTCCGTAGCCGAAGAAGACCTGGGAAAACAATGGCATGAGCATGGCGCTGGTTTGGATACCATGTTCCTTGTTGATCTTTGCCAATTCCGCCCGAAGCCTGATCCCCTCGGCCTGCTTGCCCTCTTGTAAGTTGCGTACCATTTCCGCTCTGATAGGTCCAGTAATGTGTCTGATGTTGCCGGTTTTTGTGCCTTGGTCTATGGCGCGGTAGAAAAGCGGTAGCAACGCAAAACGGACCAGGGCACCAGTCGCGATGATACTTCCTATCCAAGGTAGCCCGCCCCAGATGTGAAGATGCTCGACAACGAATTGCATGACTGACGTCGGACCCCAGCCGAAATCGAGTCCCAGATCCTTCAAGTACCCAATTCTTTCCGGGATAGAGCTGATGTCGAAGTCGACGTCGAACTGGTCCGCGCCGGGAACATTGGATCCGGAGTTCGCGGCGGCTGAAGCGTCGGGGACGGCACCGCTAGCCGTTGCGGAAGAGGTCGAATTGAATCGGATAGTGGCAGCGCCAGAGATGGAGGGCATTGACGTCCTCCATGTCGCTGTTCCGCTGAGAGTCTTGCCGGACCGCACGGGGAGTCTGGAAATCTGCGGGCGAAATGAGGACATCTGCCAAAGTCAGCGCGATAAATTAGGCTTCCAGAGGGAAATGACAGACCGATCGGCTTGGCTGTGCAAAAGCAGCAAATTGCTGCCGGGCAATGCGCCCTGTTAAGCCATGTCTCCCCAGCATTGTGACTGACGGCGACGGAGCGACGGAGATGGGCAGATCAAAACCAGCGGCGCCTGATTGATGGAGCACTTTTTTGTGCCAAGATCGCGATATTGCCGGGCGGTCGGCGGACCAGCATCGGCAATGAAATGGATTCAGCGGCCATTTGGAGAACAGAATAACTACCACTGGTATTACTTGTATTGCTTCGAAACCTTGTATTCCCTGATCAGTGATGTCGACCTTGTATAGTAGTTTAGATTCTCGCCAAACGCCGTCAAGCCACCGTAAGTACTGGATGCTTCCTGCTGCGGTCTATGTATGTACATGTAAACATCACTCCAGGTGCATCCCATGAGAAGCAGAATAAGAAACAAAAAGATTTTGGTAGAGAGTTCATGCAAATGCCCAGTTTTGGATGTCTATCACTGTCCCGAGTCCCAGCCCACGACCACCGCACGGTCTCACCACAGCTCACCCCCGAACCCCTGTGTCACAAACACCTCGCAAAGCCCGCCTCTATAAACCCAGGCCTGCAGCCACTGGACGAGATCGCCGATACGTGGGGAAGATCTAGGCACGTCGTTAGCCAATGCGCCTTATGTATAAGAGCAGATTCCGGCCTCGTACCTTTGTCCCTGACCATCCAAGCCGGAAGGCGGCCTCGTGTGCAAATAGCTCACCAAAACCCAGCATCAGGCCGTTCACGAAAGGGAGGACTAGGTTGATCACTGCGCCGCGGAGGACGCCCCAGACTGTCGTCGTGGGCTTGTACAGGATGAGCGGTGAATCGGAAGAGGTCGATGAGGCGATGTCAGGGTTTGCTGAGTAAATTTCTGAGTCGGAGGGAATCGTCAAGCCAGATTCGTATAGGTCCGCGGTCGAGTGCGAAACTGAAGCCCCGTTTGAAGCCATGATATGATACTGTGGGGAAAGGAGGAGCACTGCGGAGAGCGGTCGGTGATGCGATTTGGAGCTGAACTGCCTAGTAGCTGAGATAATCTCAAGAGTCAACAGCTAAAGCGGTTCGTAAGAGAGCTGTTACGCGGTGGATAGGTGAGTTATGCTGGACGGTGTCTGGACAAGCTCATGATCAGATGGAGCGCTGATGACCTCCGTGTGAAGATGGGTTATGTAAGCAGGCTATTGTGGACAACATTCAGATAGCCAGGAATCCAGCGCCCGTGGATGAAGGTGCTGACTAGTGAGTCTGGAAAATTAGCTGCAGGGTATATATGACTCACTTGTGGTATAAGTCAATTAAACAGACGCACTACATCTGAACCAACACCAGGTTGAGGTTGTACTGTAGTTCAGTCGGTTCCTGAGGCAGCTCGGACTATGGTTATTCCGCATGACCAACCAGGCAGCAGTGACGTACTGTTGCTTTTGCTTAGTCGAGGCCAGAATTCTGAAGCAATCAGATCCCCTCACTCTTCCCTCATCTGCTCAGCCTCATCTTCCCTAATTCCCGCTCTCCCATTTGAACCGGAAGCTTGCTTGCTTGACTCAACTCAGCTTCAAACAGCACCATGAACCCCGCCGACCGCGATGAGGTCGTCTCACAGTTCTGCGCCATGACCAGGGCGCGTCCTGACGATGTTGGTGTCTCCCCCCCGACGAGAGGCATAGCTAACACAAACTAGGCACAAGAGTATCTGGCTACCAACGGATGGGATCTCGAGGCCGCAGTGACAGAATTCTTCGCGGAGCAGGACGAGAACGCACATGACGGCGGGGCCGACGCTGCACAGGAGTCTTCTTCATCCACCCCCCGAGAGTCCTCCACGTCGCGCAGACAGCCCCCAAAGAAGTTCGCCACGCTTGGTGATCTTGCATCCGGTGCGGGTGACAGCTCTGACGACGACGACGAGGAGAACCAAGATTTCTTCGCTGGTGGTGAGAAATCCGGGCTCGCGGTGCAAAACCCCGACGACCTGAAGAAGAAGATTATTGAGAAAGCGAAAAGGTCAGCTTTTGGAACTCCGGTTGTCGATATAAGCTGACCAGTGCTAGATCTCAACACCCGCCGTCCGATGACCCCGAGCCCCGACGAAATTACTTCACCGGCTCCGCCCGCACATTAGGTGGTGATGACACTCCTAGCAGAGTGATCGAAGCCCCAAGCGCCCCCGCCCAACCACAAATCCCCCAACGCGTACGAAGAACACTACACTTCTGGGCTGATGGTTTTTCTGTGGATGACGGTGATCTTTACCGATCCGACGACCCTCAGAACGCCGACATTCTCAACAGCATCAGACAGGGCCGCGCCCCGCTCTCTATCATGAACGCACAGCACGGTCAGGACGTAGACGTCGAGATCAAACAGCACGATGAAAAGTACGTCAGGCCAAAGCCCAAGTACAAGCCGTTCGCAGGCCAAGGTCAGCGCCTCGGAAGCCCTACCCCCGGCATCAGGGACCCCGCTCCGAGTGCGCCCACTCCCGTCGCCCAGACCAGCAACGAACCCCCGAAACCCGATGTGGATGAATCACAGCCCCTGGTTACTCTACAAATCCGACTTGGTGATGGAACCCGCCTAACTTCCCGCTTCAACACCACGCATACGATCGGCGATGTCTATGGTTTCGTGTCTGCCGCCAGCCCTCAAAGCCAAACTCGTCCTTGGGTTCTCCTGACAACGTTCCCCAGCAAGGAGCTCACCGACAAGTCGGCTGCTCTGGGCGATCTGCCTGAGTTTAAACGCGGGGGTGTTGTAGTACAAAAATGGCAATAGACTACATCTAGAGCTTGGCTCTCGATCTGTCCGGTGGGACATGACGCTAAATGATTGATGAATAGCTACCAATAGGGGCCTGAATAAAATGAACTAATATTCATCACTATGTTCCTTCTGAGTAGGCACAATGAGAATTAATCAAACAAATTTCTTAATCAGTCGGAAAAATCAAACTTCTCCGATTGATAAGCAGCTCCGCGGAATGACGCAGAAACCGCTGACAGCGAGATCGGGTTCCCCAACTTTTCCCTCGACACTCCTCATCTCAAATATACCGACCTCAAAATGCCTCTAGAAGGAGTAAAAAACATAATCCTCGTACGTTCACATCTCCCGCTTCACCAACAGCACACCCCTCCCCCTACAGAAGAAAAATCCCACAACCCCTCCTCTTTTCCTCTTATCGATAACATCGCTCGCCCCAGAGGACCCCTCACCACAACCCCCAAACGACCCAAATAACCAAGCTATTGAACTAACAACGAAACCATCAGGTCCTCTCCGGCAAAGGCGGCGTCGGCAAATCCTCCGTAACGCTGCAGCTCGCCCTCGCGCTCACATTGCAGGGCAAATCCGTCGGAATCCTCGACATTGACCTCACAGGCCCGTCGATCCCACGGCTCGTCGGCCTCGAGGGCGCGAAAATCACGCAGTCGGCGAATGGATGGGTTCCGGTTCCGGTTCATGATGCGGGGGCTTTACCTCCACCTGCACCCAGGAAAGAGGTAGATGGGCATGGGCAAAGGGATGGTGATAATGAGAATGCGAGTGGCGAACCTACAACCACACCAACAACGCAGTCGACGATAGATTCAGGATCACCAAGTGACCTAGGCAGCCTCCGCTGCATGTCACTCGGCTTCCTCCTCCGCGACCGCGGCGACGCCGTCATCTGGCGCGGGCCCAAGAAAACAGCCATGATCCGCCAGTTCCTGACAGACGTCTACTGGGGCGCGACGGACGTGCTCCTTGTCGATACACCGCCCGGAACAAGCGATGAGCATATTGCGCTTGCGGAGGAATTGCTCAAGATATCTACGACGGATCCTACAGCAGGAAACACAGCGGGGTCGTTGCCCCGCCTCGCCGGCGCCGTCTTGGTGACAACCCCACAGGCAATCGCGACGTCGGACGTGCGCAAGGAAGTGAATTTCTGCGTCAAGACGAATATCCCCACCCTCGGAGTTATTGAGAATATGTCGGGTTATACGTGTCCGTGCTGCGGGGAGGTGAGTAATCTGTTTTCGAGCGGGGGTGGAGAGGTCATGGCGCGGGAGATGGGCGTTCGGTTTCTTGGGCGGGTTCCTGTCGATGTGCAGTTTGGGGCGCTTGTTGAGAGAGGGAAGGTCGAGGGGGAGGATGGGAGTGATGAAGAGGATGGCGAGGTAGAGGGGAATGGTGCTGGGGAGGATAAGATGGAAGTTGAGGTTGATGAGCGGCCGTTGGTGGAGAGGTATCGGGAGTGTTGGTCGTACGGGCGGTTTGAAGAGTTTGCTAAAACGTTGGTTGCGGAGATTGATCGGTAATCTTCTCTTGGTGTGTTGTGTGGTGCTTACGAGGTAAAGAGCAAAAGCTTGGGTTTGGTTATGTATAGCATGGCATTTACGGAGATACCTTGGTTAGACAATATATATAGATTCATTATGTTCATTAAATCGGGCAGTCTGTACTTCGTGAAGGGTAGTGGGCGTATGGCGCTAGGTATATGGCCAAGTCAAATCGTATATACGTGAATCAGCTGATTCATGTGCTGGGTAGAGAGGTGGTATAGTGTGTCATATAGCTTGCTCAGCTTGCCGCTCAAGCATAGCTCGCAGGCGCATTTCCGCCGTTTGGTGCTCAACGTCGGCGCCGTCGCTCCACGCGGCTTGTTTCAGCCAGCGAAAGAGCGACTGCATTTCGGAGGGTTTAGTAGGGTCCGACCAACGATTGGATGCGCTCTGACTCTGAGGCGGTTCGGGTAGGTCTTGGTTCAACAGGTGATCATTCGCCTGGGCGTCGAGGAGTATCTCCGAAACGAGCGCTGGAGTTAGGATGGTTTGCACGCGGTCGTCGATATTTATTTCAGCCGATGTTGCCAGCAACGCTCGGCCGCCTGCTTTGGGCTTGGAGGCAAACTCCCGAGTGGTAGGCAGAGAATCTATAGCGGGCTCATCGGGGGCTAGATGACCTGATGGAGCCCCAGCGTTGATAGTCGGAGACGGACCGGGAATGGGAGGGAGGAGAGTGTCGAAGAACGTATAGTTTGAGAACGGACTGGGCTCTCGTCCGTCTGCGTTGTCATCATCGTAGATGACTATATTGTCGCCAGAGTATCCTTCATGGTCCGAGCTGGCTTCTTCAACGGGCAAAAGCCCACCAGGCGGAGCACGAATCTCGCCTAGAGGAGCAATGTGGCTGCCATATTCGTTGGCCAGACTGAGCTTGCTTCGACCGCAGATTTCCCCGATCGAGTCGAGCGTGCTGCGGATATTGGGCTCAATGGCGCGGAGGATGCCGTCTATGCTGAATTCCTCGACAGCTGGGAGCTGGGGCTCCCGCCGCTGTGAGTGAGAGGTCGAGGTTGAGGTACCAGGGAAAATGAAGGACCGCCGCGTAGGCATATTGGAGGGACCGGAATTCTCATCAGGACCCCCAGAATACGACCTGACTAGAACAGGCTGCGATGCTAAGCTCGACGACCTGCCGCTGCTGCCAGAAATATTGGCTGCTTGGCGCGCCTTCCAGGACAAGGGTTTGGGATTGCCGTTCAGGTGGCGTAGCGCGGTGGTGCGATAAGCTCGGGTAGACTCATCCAGACAGGGATTCAGCTGCTGGGCAGAGGAGCTAGCAGCAGCCTCGGGGATGGGGGAGAAGGAGGAGAAAGACGAGGACGAGGGGAGCTGCGACCACCTTGAAGAGGAGGAGGGTGGTCGCAATGCATCGAGGTGGGAGGACAGCCTGTCGGACGGCGTCTGATCCATTTTCGGCGACAAGACAGCCAGTCACTCTCAGGATGCGGCGGAGGTTGCGTCTGTAGCTCCAGGCGAGAGCGTATTCCAGCTCCTCAGTGACGCAGGGAGAGACACGGATGGGAACACGACAACAACCACCACCAGCGCCAGAACCCCGCTTCTCGCCTAACAGGATGGCAGACCGACAGTCAGGCCGCAGACACGTATACGGGCGTTGTAGCGGTGCTCCAGCGCATTGCAGGAGGAGCACAGGCACTGCATGGGTTCGGGCGGCGTAAGACAGGCTGGCATGCAGCGGATAAGCATAATCCGGTGTGTCGATGGCAGCTGATTGATGGCCACGGGAGGATGCAGATGAGACAACTCATCAACATCAGGCCAGCGCCCAGGTTGGGTCTGGACGATGACTGCGTCGACATTGACTAGTGCTTGTGCTTGTCCCGTTTAGCGCGGAGAACAGCAGACCCGCCTCGATTCAGCGGTGGACGGCGGTTCTCCATCAACTCCGCAATTGCCCCAGCATCCCGAGCCAACTCTGTCAAGGATAACTCTGGAAAACAAACTCAAACCTTCACATGCAGAGTTCCCATTCTCTTGCCACCTGTTCGCACATCTGGCACAATGACCGCCAAAATAAACCGATTTCGCGTATGCAAGCCCACACCTCCCCTCCCCTCACTGCCTCCCCTTCTCCCCGATTGGACTGCGCCAAACATCAGACTGACCTCGATCTGAATCCTTCCGTCATTACAGTTTGGCGATTCCGATGAGTCCTCTTCCGAGTTCGACGATGATACGTCCGGCCTCCCGTTCCCCGAACCTCTCTCGCGCGCTTCATTCCTCTCCCCGGACTTCGACCCCGCGACTTACCTCTCTTCATTGACCAATCGGCACCAGAGCCTCGAAGACCTGCGACAGGAACTGCGGGAACTCGATCAATTGCTCAGCAGACAACTGCTAGATCTGGTCAATGAGAACTATCAGGATTTTCTATCCCTGGGGAGCGCGCTGCAGGGCGGGGAGGAAAAGGTTGAGCAGGTCCGCGTTGGGCTGCTTGCGTTTCAGAGGGATGTCCAGTCGATTCGGGATAAGGTTGAGACGAGACAGAAAGAGGTTGAGGGTTTACTGAATGAGAAAAAGCGGCTCAGAGCGAATGCGAATATCGGGCGCGCGTTGCTGGATTTTGCGGATCGGGTCGAGGAGCTGGAGAAGCGGTTGATGATTGGTGAACATAATACAGGCGAAAAGGGTGCAGACCAATCTGAATCAGAGTCAGACCTGCTGGAGACTGACGACGAGGGAGAGACTGATGATGATGGTCAAGCTGGCGAAAGTACAACTCTCGTCTCTCTCAAGCGGCTGGAACATCATTTACAGAAATACGTATACCTGACACGGCTGTCATCCCGGATTGGAAACGACCATCCGTTTCTACTCGCACAGCAGCAGCGCATGTCCAAGATTCGCTCCGCGTTGCTTCTGGATCTGAAGAAGGCCCTGGAACAAGCGAAACACGCGGGAGAGCGACGGGATACCAAGGCGCTGGCCGTTTTGCGTCTCTACAAGCTCATGGGAGAAGACACAAACGCGGTCTCTGCTTTGAAGAACCTGACAATATAGACAGACTTTGTTGCTTTATCGCATAGCGTCGGCGTTGAGAGTATAATTCTAACCAAACCATTATTGTACAATCCTTCCTAAAAAAACATGCTTTATACATCAATCGAAATAATCTACGCACCGCACAGGGCGGCAGACTCGGGTGAACTAGCAGACTTGAACTCGCCAGTCAAGCTGAATCCAGGGCCGTGGGTCGAGCTCAGCACCTTCGACTAGTTAGCAACGTCCAGCAGTATCATGTTTGCAGAACTCACAATTTCGTAAATCTCCTTTGTAAACTTGTCCGTGATGGCGGAAGCGTCCTTCTTCACCTGATCGATGGTGGCTCGGAGGTTGTCCCGCAGCTGCTCCGGAGTAAAGGCTAATTGCCCGATAGCAAGTCGAATAACCGCATCACGCTCCCTGTATACCGTACCGCCACGGAGATCCTCGACACGCGCAGCCACATCTTCAACAATCGTACCCATCTTCACGTTCGGCATCAGGCCTCTAGGACCAAGGATCCTTCCCAGCCCAGCCTTGTTCATCGCGTCCACACTGTCCGGGTGACACAGGCATCGGTCGAACTCGATGCGGCCGCTCTTGACAACCTCAAAGACCTCCTGCTCTCCAACCAGAACCGCTCCAGCTGCGAGGGCCTCCTTGGCAATTCGTGAGCCGGGCGGGCAGATAACGCAAATCCGGGACTCGGTCTGCACGGAATGGGGGAATCGGATCATGTTGCGGATGACTGGGCCGTCTCGCTTGGACTTCAATCGGATGTGGACTTCGTACTTGGCGTTCGCGGGCTCCCGGCCAACCTCGAATGCACGGATGTATCTGTCATTGGCAATTAGATAAATCACAGGTCGGTGGTCCCATCGAATGTTACCTCATAGCGTCGCAGAGCGCGAACTGCTCCATCTGGGACAAGTCCACCTGCGCATAGTCTCTCGGGCCCTTCTTCTTCTTATCAGCAGCGGCTTTTCCCTTGTCCTTGGCCTTCTTGCCGCCCTTCTGCGGAGCTGAGGCCTTTCCTCGGACCTGCTGATAGCTGGAGAAAAGAGGAGCCGCTATTGACCCTTGACGGAGCGGAGAGCGGCATATTGACAGCATGCTCCTGGCCCCTGAGGGCATGAGCGAATTGAATGAGGCCATGGTCTGTCCCGGGCGCGAGTGTGGTTGTCCTTTGCACTGGGCCCGACCGTAAATATTGTCTCCGAAGCTTTGCGCTGGCCGGAGATGAGCGGAGAAACGTGCTTCCGGCCGAATCTTTTTTTGAGTCACCGCCTTATAAAAAGCCCCTCCAAAAGATCATCCCACCCGCTTCAATTCTTGCTGGACTTTGTCTGGGGATTGTACAAAGATGTCTCAATTTTCGCTCACTTTGGCTACCAAGGCCAACCAGGCTGCCCTGCTGCCTGTCCTCCTCGTCGCGACTTCTGTCAACGAAGCCCGACCCACTCCGATCATCGCCGTCAAGTACGAGGATGCCGCAACCCTCCAGCAGGGCGACAAGGCCATTGTCGAGTTTATCGGTGCCAGTGGCTCCCCCGTCTATGGTGCGCAGAATGCCCTCCAGGAGTTGCGCACCACTTTCCCCTTTTTGAACAGCAAGGAGGAGAAACTCGTAAGCACATCATACCACTAACAACGAGAGATACTGACATGCCTAGGAAAACGACTGGCTCTCCGAACTCGACGCCTTCACCTCTCTCGATTTCAAGGCCATTGACCCCAAACTCCAACAACTCAACAACCACCTTATCCTCCGCTCCTTCGTCGTCGGATATGCACTCTCCACCGCCGACATTGCTCTCTGGGGTGCTCTCCGAGGAAACCGCGTTGCTATCGGTGCTATCCGCAAGGGTGCGTTGGTCAACTTGACCCGCTGGTTCACCTTCTTGGAGGAGCTCTGCCCGTGGGCAATCGCTGCTCTTGAGGCTTTGAATGCTTCCGCTAAGGAGAAGAAGACCGCCAAGGCCAAGGAGGGCGCCAGCTATGACATTGCTCTTCTCAACACCGACAAGGGCGTGGTCACTCGATTCCCTCCTGAGCCTTCAGGATACCTTCACATCGGTCACGCCAAGGCTGCTCTTCTCAACGACTACTTTGCCCACGAAAAGTACAAGGGAACCCTGCTTGTCCGCTTCGACGACACCAACCCCTCAAACGAGAAGCAAGAGTTCCAAGATGCTATCATGGAGGATCTCGCCCTGATGGGTATCAAGCCTGATAAGACGAGCTTCACCAGTGACTACTTTGACGAGCTCTACGAGTACGGTCTCCAGATCATCAGGGAGGGAAATGCCTACGCGGATGACACCGACAAGGAGACCATGCAGTCTCAACGCATGAACGGAGAAGCCAGCAAGCGCCGCGACGCTTCGGTCGAGGAGAACCTGGCTCGCTTTGAGGAGATGAAGAAGGGTACCGAGGAGGGTGTCCGCTGGTGCATCCGTGCCAAGATGTCGGTCGACAACCCCAACAAGGCCATGCGCGACCCTGTCATCTACCGCTGCAACCCCGCCCCTCACCACCGTACCGGTGAAAAGTGGAAGATCTACCCCACCTATGACTTCTGCTGCCCCATCGTCGACGCTATGGAAGGCGTCACCCACGCCCTCAGAACCATCGAGTACCGTGACCGCAACCCCCAGTACCAGTGGTTCCTGGACACGCTCAAGCTCCGCCACGTTCAGATCTGGGACTTTGCCCGCATGAACTTTATCCGCACCCTCCTCTCCAAGAGAAAGCTCACCAAGCTTGTCGACCAGGGCGTTGTCTGGGGCTGGGACGATCCTCGTTTCCCCACCATCCGTGGTATTCGTCGCCGCGGAATGACCATTCCCGCTCTGCGCGAGTTCATCCTCAAGCAGGGACCCAGCAAGAACATTGTCAACCTCGACTGGACCCTCTTCTGGGCCACCAACAAGAAGTACATTGACCCCGTTGCTCCTCGCCACACTGCCGTCCTCAAGACCGGCCTCGTCAAGGCTACCATCAAGGGCGGCCCCGCCGAGCCCTACACCCTCGAGAAGCCCAAGCACAACAAGAACCCCGACGTCGGCACCAAGAAGGTCACCTTCAGCAGCTCCGTCCTCTTCGACCAGGAAGACGCCAAGAGCTTTAAGCAGGACGAGGAAATCACCTTGATGGCCTGGGGCAACGCCTTTGTCCGCAAGATCGTGACCGACGCCTCTGGCGCCGTGACCGAGCTCGAGCTTGACCTGAACGAGCAGGGCGATTTTAAGAAGACCGAGAAGAAGGTCACCTGGTTGTCCGCGGACCAGGACCTCGTTGACGTCGAGCTCGTCGACTTTGACTACCTCCTCAACAAGGACTCTCTGCAGGAGGACGACCGCCTCGAGGACGTCCTCAACCCCAAGACCGAGTTCCGTGAGGCTGCCGTGGCAGACAGTAACGTTGCTTACCTCAAGGAAGGTGATATCATCCAGTTCGAGCGCAAGGGCTACTACCGTCTTGACTCGCCTTCTGCGCCGGGCAAGCCTGCTGTTCTGTTCAATATACCCTCTGGTAAGACCGGTAAATAGATTTAGAACTTTATGAGACATGTCTGCATGAGGCGATTTAGTGAATACATATGATGCATGATTTAGACATTTCTCGCGTATATCAGCCGAGACCCCAATTCTTGTTCCACGGGTTATCCATGGAACTGTGGCCCGAAAGACTGGGAAATGATCTCCGCTGTCACCTTCCTATCCTCACCAAGGATCCCAATCCAGACAGAATACGAGCCACGTGGGTACCAAACGAGCGGCCCTTCGCTGATGTTATATACTATATTTTCCTGACGTTGCAACGGCTCATCTCCGACTCCAAACCACGTTCTCAAACGACTGCATGAGATTATGCAAGGAACGACAGTCCAACCACCATGCTACATATAAATACCATGCAGAGAATGAGAACCTTGGAGACTCCCAATCGCACACTCTCGTACTCTCCGCAACAATGCTGCTCTCCACGGTCTGCATTCTGGCCCTCCTCGGCCCCCTCATCTCAGCCCAAAACACGACCCTCAAAAAAACCCTAACGGGCCACATCGACCCCTCCCAAGTCTTCACCTTCGTCTACGCTCCCTTCGAGGTCCCCCCCAGCGCAACCTCCATCACCGTCCTCCAAACCTACTCCCATAAAAACAATGGCAACGCCCTCGACCTCGGCCTCTTCGACCAGCGTGGCCTCTCCCTCTCCGCATCCCGCGGCTGGAGCGGCGGATTCCGCAACAACTTTACCATAACCCCCTCATGGGCTACACCGGGATACAACCCGGGTCCAATCGAGCCGGGGACCTGGAATGTCGTTCTCGGACCGTATACCTCTGTCCCCGAGGGGACTGGCAACTAGATATCGAGATGGGGTTTGATCCCGTCCATGAGTATTTCGCCATCGACCCCGCGAGCGTGGATCTCAATTCGGTGTGTAATGGTCTCTGCACGGAGGATGAACATGGCCGAGGCCACTGGCTCCGCGGGGATTTCCACATCCATACGATCTACTCGGACGGGCGATACACTCCCGAAGAACAGATTGCGATTGCCGTGCGGCAGGGTCTAGACTTTATTTTCTTCTCCGATCACAATACGGACTCGAGCAATAATGCCATGGGGACTTTCCAGGCCCAAGCCCCGGACTTGCTCATCGGCCGTGGAATCGAGGTTACGACTCGCGCCGGACACTGGCAGGCACTGGGCCTCGACCCCGGCCAGCTCGTCGAATGGCGGTACCAGGATCCTGAGAACTACACCGCTGCAGCGAACGACGTCCACCGCCGCGGCGGCCTCGTCTCGATCAACCACCCGTTCGCCGCGTGCTCGGCGTGCAACTGGGTCTTGGACACCTGGTCCGTCAACGACGCAATCGAGGTCTGGAATGCAGAGTGGGATGGCACGGATGCTGCCGCTGTAGCCAAGTGGCAGGAGCTCCTTGTTGAGGGCCGATACACGACTGCGATCGGCGGGAGCGACTCGCATTCCCCGCCTGCGTTGAATGGGGTCCCGACGACTGTTGTGCGGAGTCGCGGGAGGTCGCAGGCGGCGATTGTTGAGGGGGTCAAGGCCGGGAGGGCGTATATTGTCAGGGGCCCTGGGATGGAGATTGAGTTTCGTGTTCGCCTTCCTTCGCAGACTGGGCTGCGGACTGTTGAGACTGGGGATAAAGCCAAGGCTTCGGCTGTAGGTGCGACTGCGGTTGTCCAGGCGAAGGGGTTCGAGGGGCGAACGAAGATTTGTTTTGTGACCGAGCGCGGGTACGTCTATAATGCGACGCTGAGAGGTGATGGAGATGGGGAGGTCAAAAGGCTTGTGCCTGGGGGTTTGCGGTTCCTGCGTGTGGAGGTGAGGAATGCCACGGGGGATGGGGATGAGATGCTCGGGTTGACGAATCCAGTTTGGTTCCTGTAGGTCTATTGCGGAATAGTCTGCTTGCGTACTGGCGAGGAGTGTTCTAGGCTGCTTACTCTTGCTCACACTATGGAACTTCATGTTCTGCATCCCTTCTCCTCTGGCATAGGCGCTGGCCAGAGTAGGGCTCCAGTAGGCAGGGAGAATATAAGGACCAATTGAAGTTGAGTAAATCCCTGCGCATATAGCAGTTTCGTACTCTACACGCAACAAGCGGCCTGGTAGGAACTAGGAGAGTCATTGTGTAGATTTATACGACGGTTTGCCATATCTTCTGCCAGGGGTATCGGCCTGGTTCTCGAGAGAGCAGGCTCACACTATCCACAATGAGAAAAGCAGCTAGTGACCCTTTGATACTTTGCAACCTACAACGGGCACTTCCAATCATAATCATTCATCACATATATACCGCTACAATCAATTTGAATCCCATCAACCCACGGGCGTCGAACTCGGTGCCTTCACACCCCCCTCCCCCTCCGCTTCTCCCTCCCTTTCATCTTCACCCGCCATCAACGGCGCCAGCTCTTTCCTCGGATTCCACAAACTCTCCTCATCCAGCACATCCCGCCCATCAACACCAACAAACTTATCCTTGACCTTCTCGCGCAGCTGCGGCGGGTAAATCTGCAGCACGATCTGGATCTCGGCGGGGCTCAGCCGCCGATAGTCGACGACCTTGCGGTCTCCGTCAAAGGAGCGCAGCACGCCGTCTGTGGCGAGGTGCGTGAAGCCCCGGCCGGCCGGGTCGTGCTTTAGGGAGGACATGATGTCTTTTGCCTCGGGGGTGGCACAGGGCTAGAAGGGGGATTAATTAGGTGGGTGGGATTGTTTTGGTTGGGGAGATGGAGGGGACGAGGGGGATGTACCGTACCGGCATTTTGGTGCGGATAGCGGATACGTGATATAAGGTCTGTTCTGGTCTTGTTTTGTTTTAATGGACTGCGATTGTATTCTTACATTGGGTAGGATGTTGTAGGATGTTGGATTTATATATCATGTATGTACGCATGGCGATCTTTGCGTCAAGCTGCAGGTGAGATTGGGGGCTGTTTGCCCGCTGACCCAATCACATAACTCGGCATACATATACTTACTAAAAAGTCACGAGATGATAGCATCTCATTGCTTGGCTGCCTCATCTCACATGGAACTGCGCCTCAGTTGGAGTCTGCCAGTTGGAGACCTCCCTCTAGAGTCTGAGTCATGCATCTGCAGAAATTTCCTGGGAATTGATTGGCCAATCAGCAGCCGTCTATAATATTCACAAATTAAGCATACAATGACGAGAACTCGTGGAGAGCACTATACACTCAGCTCTATGATTGGTTTGGCGGGTTTTCAGCTTCGCGGGTGACTCAGTCGCAATCGCATTAGTCATTTGAGATGAATACGAGTAGATAAAGACGGCCTGGTCGCTGATGATGTTCAACCTCGATTCGACCGCTTTCCTCGACAGCTTCTCGGTCGACAAGATGAGTATAAACTCCGCGTTACGAACAAGCGACTGCGGGCACTTGGTCAAGGTGGACATCCACCTCAGGAACTCGCCGTTGCAGGGCTCCGCGCAGACGTACGTCCAGTCCTTTGCGACGGGCGAGACCATCGAGGGGATAGTCTCGATCGTCCCGCAGGATGATCTCGCCTTTGATAAGCTGCACATATCATTCACCGGTGCGTACCCTCCTCCCCATCTCAGCGGAACCCTCAAGCTAACAAGATCTCGCAGGCGAACAGAGCACCTCGATCCCCAGCTCGACCCCCTCCAAAGCAACCCACCAATTCCTGCACCTCATCCAACCTCTACCAGAATCATCCCTTCCCAATCCCAAGATCTTTGCCCGCCGCACAAAATACGACATCCCCTTCTCTTTCCCCGTAACAGACTACCTCCCCGCAACCGCCTGCCCGCACTCCTCACACCCGCTGGTCAAAGCAGCCCACCTGCACCCACCACCAAGCCTCGGCGACGCCACCATCGCCGGCTTCGGCGGGCGTCTTCGCGACGACCTTGCGCCGGAGGATGGGTGCAAGATCGTCTACACCATCATCGCGAGGCTCGAGAGACCCAACCCCACGAGTGGGATCCAGGAGACGATCATGGAGAGGAGGGTCAAGGTACGGATCAAGCCGCATGTTGGCGAGACGCCGTTGCCGGATCTGGATTTGGGGCGTGCGCTGGAGGGCGAATACAGCCTCTTCCAGGATGGGGTCGTAAGGACTTCGTCGACGAAGAAGGGTGGTGGGCGCCTGGCGGTTACCCTCGAGAAGCCAAAGTGCTTCTGGCATCCGTTGGGCGATACCGTGCGGCTCATCAGTAAGGCTGTCCGGCTGACGCTGGTGTATACGCCTTCGGCATCCTCGGCTGGGGGTCCTGCCCAGGCGGGTAGCAGTCCTGCGACTACGCCTGCACTCCCGGAAATCAAATCGCTCCGCGCGCAGATCACAGCGACGACGCTGTACACGACGCAGATCAACGCCCCGCACCACCCGCCACAGAAACGACGGGATTTCTTCGGCCGCCCGATCAACTACCGCGACGCCGAGATCCCACTCTCCCTCCCTTCCCTCCCTCAACTGCGCTGGACGCGCGTGCAAGGAAACCAAGACCACAGACAAATTTCAAGCCCCAACCCAGGTTCGGAGCACGGACCCAACTCTCCATCTCCACCACCAGTCGCACAGCCAGCAACAGAGACTGGCGTAGTATCATACGTCGCAACCGTCCTTGTCCCCGTAACATTGACAAAGGACAAATCCTTCGTGCCGACCTTCCATTCGTGCCTGATCTCGCGGATCTACAGCCTGAGCTTCCAGCTTGATGTCAAGGGTGCATCCACGAGTTTCAAGCTCAGGGTGCCGATGACGATTGTGGCGGAGAGGGATCCGGCCGCGTTGCCTTCGTATAATGCCAGTTTGGGGGTTATTGAGACAGATTGAGTGAGGGGGTGAGAGTGTCGCTGGAGAGGGGGGTGAATGGATGGGGCGTGGAGGGCATAAGAGGACATGGGCTATGGAGGGAGAGGATGGATGGATGTGGATGAGGGTGCAGATGCGTTTATGAAGTTATGAAGTCGATGTTTCGAGCGTTGCTTATTGTGTATCTTAGCCTTGTCACGCCCTTTTGTCCATCTGCGTTGGAAATCCTCGAGTCCGACTTTGCTTTATTCAATTACCTTGCTCGCCGAGTACGTTGTCACCATCCCCGCAATACAAGTCACTACTTTTCCCAAGCCCTAAGTGTGTCATGTTTCGACCACAAGGCCCGAGAGCTCTTCTCCCAGAGATGCGGGCCAATCGGACATACCCCTGGGCGATTTCGCTCAGTTCAGCCATGAAAGAAATAAGCATTATATATATGTGGTTTAGTACCTCTAAGCCCCGTGGGGAGACCTGGTCGGTTGCTCAAACCAGAGAAGAGTACGACCATGCCAGAAGCGATTTGTACACTCGCTAATGCAAGCTGAGTCCTGTCGAGAATGATTGCAAACTAGCAGGTCAATTCTGCGAGAACAGGGTGTTAGTTCAACATCTACTTTCTGTTCCGATACTTGGCAAGTGTGGTTAGGGTTATATCGAACATGGGGGACGGATGAACCTCGTTGACAGACGATTTTCTATATCTCTAGGTGCGGGGACCAACCCATTCGTAGTTATAAATAAGCTTGATATTCGGCAGATCGTCCCTTGCTTTTTTTTGATGGTAACCGAGGTACACATTCATCCTTATGTGGCGTGCTCCGTAAAGGGGAAATGACGACTGGAAGTACGCACATGTATCTGTCGAGCTCACCAATGATTTTGCTGCATATAACCACGCTCAGACAAACCCCGTATGGCATATGTTATACGGAATATCCCCTAGTCGAATCGTCTTGGCGCCCACATGCAGATTCACAAGGGCACGGGGAGCCCTACCTACCAGTGAGGAGGCGGATTCGGAGGGCGGGGTTGCCCCGCAAATCATCGTGGGCAATCCTATGTCAACGACAAGCCGACGGATCAAGGGGCGACGTCTCGCCTTTTGAAGTGCTCACGGGGTATAAGCCGTGCCCCGCCCTTCAAGAGCCCTCGCCTTTTCACAACTGCACCAATTGCTCTTCGTTCCTGTCGCCGCAGTCATGTCCACTCCAGTCACCGAAGTCGTCGTCCTCACCCTCAAGCCCGACGTAGATGTCGACGGGCCAGCTGAGAGTCTCTTCAATATCATCGCAAGACAAGAGGGCTTCCGTCGTCTGAAATGGGGTCGCTGGGAGGAAGACCCGACCAAGGTCCAGCTGATGATCAGTGCGCACCCTTCTCATAAATCGTGGCTCGACTGCTGCTAATATGACTAGACTGGGACGACATTAGCTACCATGTCGCCTTCACACAGTCAGGCGCCGACTATCAAGAGCTCTTCGCCGGACTCACCCCCCTCATCGCCGCTCCCCCTGAGATCTTCCATCTGGAGCTCGACCCGGAAACTATCAACAACGTCCTCGACGACCCCATCGTTGAGCTCGCGACATTCTTCAACGTGGGTGAAGGATTTGAAGAGGCCGTTGCCAACACGCTTGCGGTTGGCACCAGGTCTGAAGGATGTCTGGGGTTCGCTCGCGGCCCGGTAGTCGAGGAGCTTGCGTATGGTGACGGCGCAAAGGGAAAGGCGCACTATGCAGCCATCTCGTGGACTTCGCTTGAGGCGCGGACGGCGACGACACAGCGCGAGGATGTTAGGGAGAGCGGACAGTTGCTGATGAGCAAGATTGGCGGGTATGAGGTCCACCATGTAAAGTTTCAGTAGACAGTTCCGCGCCTCTCGCTTAGGGAGTAGAGTTTGTCGGTCCGGACTGAGTCAGTACAGGCAAAGAAATTTCTTCAAGAAGGTTTCTTCAAGAGGCAACTGCACGTTTCTTTCAAGTTGGTAGTTCCTTCCTTACCAACCCGCTGCTGAAGTTGCACCCCTTCCTCCTCAGTTAAACATCGAAAGAATGGCCGAACCCCGCAAAGCCCTCCTTATCCCGGAGGTGCTCACCTGCATCCTCCTAGAGGTCGACAACAACACCCTCGTCAAAGCCCAACGAGTCTGTCGCCAGTGGAGAGACCTCATCCAAGCCTCACCCGACCTGGAGGTGAAGCTCTTCTTCAAACCGGCCCTCGCATTTCCTTTTGCCGACGGGACGCCCTCGCTGAATCCCATCTTTACTTCGAGCTGGTCATCAATCATCAGCCCCTGGACACAATCAATGAGGTCTCGGAAAGATTCGAGCTGGCAAAGAATGCTCGTGTTCCAGCCGTACCTGCAAACGATGCTCATCTTCGAAGACGAAAGCGACTTGTCCGATTCTCCCCCGACACCCTTTCGAGCGACAGTACTCCGATTCGAGCCCGAGGTCATCAAACATAGGGATCAGTTGCGTGTCTCTCAGATTCATTGCCGTGAGCTCTGGCACTGTGTACTATCTCTGCCGATCGCCACACGCATCAAAGACGGCAGAGATGGCAAGGAGGTCACTCATGTTTCATGGAAGAACATCTTGGTCGTTAGCGACAGCTTCCCTGCCGACGTCACGTTTCTAAAACGCATGTTCTTCAACCGGGCGAACCGTCCATGCGCGGATTTCTACGATCTTGTCTTCATTCGCAAGCCTTGGGAAATACTGCCGCATACAAACTTGGTACAAGGAAGAGATGGACAGTGGAGCGAGAAGGTGCTATCGCCTCTTGAGAAATGGCTTCAGTCGGTGGAACCCTGGGTGCGTGTGGAGAAACAGTGGTGCCTGTCGCGTCCCGAGTACAAGGAATTGTCTAGGATATAAGCCCATACTTCTCGGGTGATTTGGGCAGATGTACCGAGATATGATACCAGATGCAGCAGACTAGGAAATATTTTAGAAATTTCATTTCCCTTGCTTCGTTCTACACTACACACAATGCCCTCTCGTCGTACCTTGATTGTTGCTTCCATTCACACCTCGGACACGACTCCACGACTCTGTTGAGTATAGCCAGGAGGTGAATACCCAGCTATCATCGGAAGAATGTCTTTCCCTGGGCGTTTCCTACAGCCTACAATTTATCTGAGCTACATGTCCTTCACCCTACCTTGTGAAGGTTCCCCATCTCTGAATGTGAACTGGCTAGGCTACGGGGTGTATAAAGGACCCCCTCGCGCCCGTTCCCTCCTCGACTCTTTCTCCTTCTCTCATATATGTCCTCCAAGAAGCAGTCTAACATGGTCTAATCAGATCCAATCTCACCCGCTCCAATCCCGAAAATACAGGAACAACGAAGGAGCCACTTTATATACCTTCCATAGTCCCCTCCCTCTGTCTGTCCTCTACTGCGCATAAACGAACCTTTGCCCGGACTCGATCCTACCGCCGGCGCATTACAACCGTCAGCATTGTATTCGTTAAGAGATGGCCACGAACTCACCTATGTACCCTAGCCACTGGGCAACTTACCCTGCCGGGAAAGCCTCAGCATGGCGACGCGGCGGGGTTCACAAACCAAACAACTGTGCACTGAGAAGGACCGGTGCAGATCAATCCACTAGCCAAGCAGCCTTTGGCCGCGTGGTTGGTCACCCAAATTGAAAGACCAACTGAGCAAAACGAGGGAAGCCTGTGGCGCGGTCTCGGTAATATGGAACCAAAAAGTCCAATCCACAAGGGGAAACTGGTGGCGCTCTCTCCGTACCGACGAATAAGCTGGGATTTATGCTCGCCTTTGCTCAACCGTGTAAACATTTCGAAGGGCTGGGCCTGGCGGGCAGGGTCTGTGTCTATCAAGCAAACGCATCGTATAAGATATCCGTTCAACAGCTTTCGTCTCCTTTTTCTCCCCATGGGTGCCCCCTCGCCTGAACTTGGTTTATGACTTTCTACTCACCAGTCTACGACCCTCCCGTGTAAGGTTTGCTCTATGATCTCACCAAATTCTCACCCTTTTTGGGCATCCCAGGACAAGATATCAGGGAGTGATGGAGCCGTACCAATGGTACCTGTCGTACTCGCCCTGAACGACCTCCTTTCAACAGCTTTGGCTAATGCCACGGCCGTCTTCCACAAAAGGACAGGGAGCTCGCAGCTAGATCTACTCTGGTTGCTGTGAAAAGTCCTGCAGGCGACTCAGCAGCACTGAACCTGCGGGAGTCTAATAATAGCCCAGACTTTCCGTAGACTTTCCGCCACGAGCTGGCCATACGCCGCCTCTAAAACCTTCGTGGTACCCAAGCAAGAGTAGCTCAACACAAGATCTTCAATGCAACTACCAAAGGGCGTCGTTCTACGTGAGGTATTGGTACGTTTATTAGCTGACCAGCTCCATTGGTACGACCATACTCGTTGCCCTACTTGTTCGCCACTATAAATATAACGGATGGAGTGACCCAAGCTAGTCTCCTAAGTCGGCCATATCGAGTGCTTCACTTCGTTCCAGATAATGGAATGACGGTTATGGCGACCAGAAGGAAGGAGGAGGTGCATACCAGTCGGAGAATATTAGAGGATGATGGTGCAGCATGTTTCACGCGGAAAAGTCATGCGGAGGGCATATGATGGTGATGATGATAACAATAATGGAGTGAGCAGCAGTCTCTTATCCCTAAGCTGTCTCGATCTCGGATATGTTGATTGGCAACCAGCCCTGCATGCCTGTATCTGCATAACCAGAGCCAGATGTATCGAGTTAACTATGCGCGGCTGTACACAACCTGGCATAAGTCGCCAGATCAGGAGATCCACGACGAAGGCTTGCGAAATGGGAACCAGGCCTGACGGTGATTCTGCACTCTGCTAAGTTGTGCTACAATGATCAGTGGCCTGACATAGTTTAAGAAACGAGTCAAGTGTGCTGAACCTGGGACTGTGAAAAGACCAAGCTCGGTGCGCGGCTTCTTCCTAGCGAGCGCGTTTGTACAGCATGGCACAGCCTATGGCTCGTGGGTATGCTGCTTTCATGCAGCCCTGCTGTGGTACTGCCCAGCACCTCACCCCCGACACCTCGCTTGGCTACGTGTGTTTATCCTCAACATCATTGGTAGCTCTCGTCGTTCGTACTCATCCCAAATAAGCTCTCGGGTTCCCCATCCATCCATTCGAATCCATACACCTAGTGCGGACGCTATGGTAGACAAGGTACTGCGGACAGTGATGACATCCGCATTAAGCGACTCTCTACCAAGCCAACTATGGAACACCTTGCTCCAACTGAGGAAGAGGGCCGGGAAATGAGAGTTATAAATGACCGACTGGCTCAGGTTATCGCCCAGCCTCCCACATTTAGAAAACGATCCCAAAGATACTCCAGTGACAAGATGGGATACCTCTGGGATACCTCCTCTATAACAAAATCAACTGGGATTTCCTCTTTGCCCGGAACCAAGATGGTTCCTACAAATGGAGTGACAGTGTGCAAAGGTCAAATATACCCGGATTCCGCGGCTAGAGGACAAAAGCATCTGGGCCCCAACCTTTTTAACATTGCGGGGGGAGTGCTAGAAAAGACACGACCAGCCAGGGAACGGAACCAAATCAAGACCATGGCCCGATGAAACTCAGGTTCCGGTGACTGTTGATGGCCAAGATCCGGGGAAAGTAGTAAGAGGGAAGGAAAGAAAGGAAAGCATGGCTTAAGAAAGCTACATAAATCATAGTAGCTCAAGCTTCCTCTAAACTATCTCCAGCAATGTGGCTGGACTCGTCATCACTGTATTCCTCTTGGGCTGCTATTCCTAACAACCTTTACCAGCTACTTGGTCTTCAACTTTCTCTGTGCGTCTGCACCGACATTTGGCGCCCTTCTCGTCGGGCGGCTCATCACGGGGATACTTGCCAGTGCCCTGTTCGTGTGCCCTAATTATTTTGTGGCCTGGAGATGCCAGGTGGCTGTGCTAGATATATGAGGAAAGTATTATTGAATTAATACCTATTACTTTGCTCGTCTCGTGGTTCTGGCAAGCGTAGAGATCAGGCAATGAAGCTTGTAAATCCAGCATACTTTGATTCACTCATGTACTATAAAAACACCAGTATCCAATTTCAATATGAGGTATCGCCATAATCCCTGCTTACTATACCCAGTATTCCTCCAATCCCTGGGGCAGTGTCATTCTTCAGTGGAATGTGAACCTAGCCTAACTATTGTCTTATGTCAATTCGGCCCAGTTATGCATGGTCAGGCTCGTCTCGCATAACCACAAATGTCTTTATCGCGATATGAAATGCTAGCATTGCTACGGTGGTAGACTTGGAGCTAATTGTCTCGAACAGCCCAGTGAGTTGCTGCAGACCCCCGGGGGCTCGTTCGAGTGTGCCACGACGCGACATCCGTCCCCAGTTGTATAGCGAGTCTGGGCTTCTGCGTTAAAAGACTTCGGGTACCGGGGGATCACAGACGGACAGTGCTTGCGGGCCTGCTTCGCCCTGCCTGGGATCGGCTCGTGTGCTTTGTGCCACAGGGCAGCCAGGATGTCCAGTATGGAGAACCTATTCTCGCCAGCCCCTTAGAACCCAACAACCTCGATGAGCTGGCCGATGCTGGAAAACTAAGGGTCCGCGTCCTGGAAGGGGAGAATCCTCTTTCTGCAACGGGATAATCCTCGAGACCGGCTGCTCCCCACCAGCGTGTCCCACCATCTTCACCAAACCAAGCCCTCCGTGGCCGACCACGGCAAGGACATCCCCATCCCATCCACGTGGCTGGGTATACCGCGGGCAACGACGGGAGCGCACGCGACTAGCAAAGCGAGGTAGAAAAGGCCGGCCCTGTACCACGGTGGACATTCAGCAAGTCCTTTCGCAAGTACGGACTAGCCTCTATTATGCGGGCAATACGCTCCTTATGCTCTGCAAGATTCAGGCTGCAGTGAGGGTAGATTCTTACTACCTAGTTCCTCCTTGGGAGGTGGTGGGGTGGCCTGGAGCTTGGAGCCGAGTAGTAGGGGGTCCGCGCATCCTCTTCCTAGTCTCGACCAACACCATCCAAACCTCGGTACGGAAATCTCTCTGCCGTTCCCTCATGAACTGTTTATAAAGATATCTGGCCCCTTGTTTGTCTTGTAAGATTTACTGAATGTCCCAGGCTACCATCTTTGTAATGTCTTGTCCATTCGGAGTGAGACGAGATGGGAACTATGTATCTTAGTCGCTCGTCGTCAATATATGGGTGGCTACTACATTTTTTTACCACCTAGCAGTGTATTGGGTGGCTAAAAATACTTTGCCAGACTGTTATTCTTCACCCAGGAAACTTGCTATTGCTGTTTGTGGTAGACTTGACGAGTGGTGGTGGTGACGGCATCAAAAGTCAAAATTCCAACCGCGAAACCTTTTCTTTGTCCACACACTCGCTTCCATCTTCCCAACAACTTCTCCCTCCGCTTTTCATCAGTAAACCTACATGGGCTTGATAACCGTCATTATATATTGATGTAAGACTGATGCAAAAAGATGAAACGGCACGTTTGCGCTGTTCTGTGATGGTTCTGTTACGTCCAGCCCGTCAACGTCGCATTCAATCTCACCATCGGAACCACCGGAAGAGTTCCACGAGCAACAATGGATCTATTCCCTTTCTGCAATGACAGTTCGGAGATCTCTATCCAGCTCTTTTACTCGTCTGGTTGTTCCTTGGGAAAGTCAATCTGTTCCACGGTACTGGACCACTCCTGCATTCGGATAAGCTCATGAGCGTCTCTCAAATGAATTAGCTTTTACAGCAACACCTGGCCCGGGCTTTCATCCACCAAATCAGGAAAATTGTTTCACACCTCCTCGTGGACGTGTCGGATATCGGCGTCTTATACGTCAAGACCTCCGAAAACACCAGTCATTGTGTCAACGTCAGACTGACCATGGACTCTTTGCCCTACACGCGAGTCGGCTTTGTCCTCGAGGTCTTCGCGGCCGCAAACTCAATGCAAGTATCATACGCTCTCCCGGAAGTTTAGTCGACTCAACTACGTCACAGCCCGGATCGAAAGGGCCGAGATGAGGGATTCCGGCTCACCGGTCTGGTTTTCTCTCTCTTCATGAAGATACTTCCTGCCCGCGGCTATTCGGCGTTGACTCTCGAAAGCACAGGGAAGACATCAATTCTCCCGCAGAAAACCAGTATTCGCCAACATGTCCGAGCCCGCCGGCGCCTCTGGCGATTCCAAAAAGGCCCAAGGGGGAGCAGCTGCCGCACCGGGTGCCCCAGGACGAATCTCCTTCTCTGGTGAGCGAGGCGATACGGAACGCGGCGACAAGAGCGAGCGAGCAGGTGAGAGACGGGCCTCGAGACGTGTTTCTCGCGCGTCGACAAAGGAAGACTGGTCGAACCTCGACGAATACGGCAAGCTCGTCAAGTACATTTCGTCGTACCGCGAACGGGGCGAGGAAGAAGGGGAGGAAAATGTGGAAGAGAAGCGAGTCTGGTATGCGCCGTGGAAGAAGCGCAAAGTTCGTCGCCAGGTCCAGGAGAAGGAGCCTGGCAAGTTCCCTGATGAGTGGCTTATCACGGACATCAGGCAGGGCTTGCCTAGCTCTGAGGTGCCGATCAGACGCCGACGGTCAGGGTGGAACGAGCTGGTTTCTGAGAAGGAGAATCCAATAGCGAAGATCTTGTCGTACTTCCGGGGACCAATTCTATATGGTATGTACTCTCAGTGCTACCTTTTTAGGCAGTCTAACGAGTATAGTCATGGAGCTTGCTGTTCTTCTCGCCGCGGGTTTGGAAGATTGGGTTGACTTTGGTGTCATCATCGGAATTCTATGCTTGAACGCCGCCGTTGGTTGGTATCAAGAGAAGCAAGCTGCCGACGTTGTTGCCAGTCTGAAAGGAGATATTGCAATGAAAGCGCACGTTGTTCGTGATGGGCAAGAACAGGAGATTCTGGCTCGAGAGCTCGTGCCTGGAGACGTGGTATGTCTGCCGCTCCCAATTCCATTTCCGTACTAAGAGCATCAGATTATCGTTTCAGACGGTCAGGTCGTTCCGGCCGACGCCAAGGTCGTTTGCGACTACAAAGACCCCAACGGTTTCGAGGAGTACAAGTATTTGCTCGAGCATGGCGATCTCAGCAGCACCTCTGAATCCGACATTGAGGAGGAAGGGGAAGCAGAGGGCAAAGAGAAAGAGGCTGAGCAGAAAGTGCCACCAGCCAGAAAGCGGGGATATCCGATTCTAGCATGCGATCACTCTGCAATCACAGGCGAATCGCTTGCCGTGGATCGATATATGGGCGGAATGATCTACTACACGACAGGCTGCAAGCGCGGCAAGGCCTATGCTATCGTCCAGACTACTGCAAAGTACTCGTTTGTCGGCCGCACGGCTAGTATGGTGCAGGCTGCACAAGGAGCAGGGCATTTTGAAAAGGTCATGGATAGCATTGGCTCATCCCTCCTGATCCTTGTTATGGCCTGGATCCTGGCTGCCTGGATTGGTGGTTTCTTCCGCCATCTTCCTATTGCCTCTCCGCGCCAGCAGACCCTCTTGCATTACACACTATCTTTGCTGATCATCGGTGTTCCTGTCGGTCTTCCTGTCGTTACGACAACTACAATGGCCGTTGGAGCAGCGTATCTGGCAAAGAAAAAGGCAATCGTGCAGAAGCTTACTGCAATCGAATCTCTTGCTGTACGTTCTGCCAGATTCAGGTTAACCAGTGCTGACTGTTCAGGGCGTTGATATCTTGTGTTCCGACAAAACCGGCACGCTGACCGCGAACAAACTGAGCATCCGCGATCCGTATGTGGCCGAAGGCGTCGACATCGACTGGCTCTTCGCTGTAGCTGCACTTGCGTCTTCGCATAATATTGACTCTCTCGATCCCATTGATAAGGTCACCATCCTTACACTCCGGGCCTATCCCCGTGCCCGCGAGATTCTCCGAAGAGGATGGGTAACCGAAAAATTCACCCCATTTGACCCCGTGTCGAAACGGATCGTGTCAGTGGTCACTTGTGATGGTGTCCGGTACACATGCACAAAAGGCGCGCCAAAAGCGGTTCTCCAGCTCACCGAATGTTCCAAGGAAACAGCTGACCTCTACAAAGCTAAGGCACAAGAGTTTGCACACAGAGGCTTCCGGTCCTTGGGCGTTGCGGTCCAGCGAGAAGGAGAACCGTGGACGCTTCTGGGAATGCTGCCTATGTTTGATCCTCCACGCGAAGATACAGCGCACACGATCCGCGAGGCGCAGAACTTGGGAATCAGTGTGAAAATGCTTACAGGTGATGCACTAGCGATTGCAAAAGAGACATGCAAGATGCTTGCTTTGGGGACGAAAGTGTACAACTCTGACAAGCTGATTCATGGTGGCCTGAGCGGAGCAATGGCTCTTGACTTGGTCGAGAAGGCAGACGGCTTTGCAGAAGTCTTTCCGGAACATAAATATCAGGTCGTTCAGATGCTGCAGGAGCGAGGCCATCTCACTGCAATGACGGGTGATGGCGTGAACGATGCACCATCGTTGAAGAGGGCAGACTGTGGTATTGCAGTTGAAGGAGCTTCCGAAGCAGCGCAATCAGCCGCGGACATTGTCTTCTTGGAGCCCGGCTTGTCAACAATCATCGACTCGATTAAAATGGCACGACAGATCTTCCACCGAATGAAAGCATATATTCAGTATCGAATTGCCCTCTGCCTGCACCTGGAAATCTATCTCGTGACCTCGATGATCATCATCAACGAAAGCATCCGCGTCGAGCTTATCGTTTTCCTCGCACTCTTTGCCGACCTTGCAACTGTTGCAGTTGCCTACGACAATGCCTCATTTGAGCTCCGACCAGTAGAATGGCAGCTCCCAAAGATCTGGTTCATTTCAGTTCTGCTAGGCGTCCTCCTAGCCCTCGGCACCTGGGTCGTCCGCGGCTCAATGTTCCTGCCCAGCGGCGGCATTATCCAAAACTGGGGCTCGATCCAAGAAGTCCTGTTCCTTGAAGTCGCGCTGACAGAAAACTGGCTCATCTTTGTAACGCGTGGGATGGATACCTGGCCATCAATTCACCTCGTCACCGCAATTCTCGGCGTCGATATCCTCGCGACAATCTTCTGCCTCTTCGGCTGGTTCAGCAACGAGACCATGCCGACGAACCCGGCAACCTCGTTCGTCGAAACTACCAACGGCTGGACGGATATCGTGACTGTCGTCCGCGTGTGGGGCTTCTCTCTGGGCGTGGAGATTGTCATTGCGCTCGTCTACTTTATGCTGAACAAGTTCAAGTGGTTGGAGAATCTGGGTAGGGCGAAGAGGGACAAAGGAGATCTCAAGATTGAGAATTTGTTGGGCCACCTGTCGAGGCTTACGGTTGAGTATGATCAGCCTGGACAGCCGAGGGGCAAGTTCTTCCTTGCTGCGAGTAAGGAGGAGGAGGAGGAGGTTGAGTAGGTTAGCCATGATTGCTCTTGGCGGGCACCTGTGTGAGGAGAAGAGCGGTGGTTTATGGTGTCTAAGTGGAAGAATACGTCTTTCTGTTTTTGTCATGGTTTGAGATCGTGGATAGTAATACACTCCACGTTCGATAGTGATATCACTAGCTAATCAAATGGTTGCGTTTCTCACGTCCGCACTGGACGTCTATACCTGCTCGGCAGCAATCATTAGGGCTACTGAAATCCCGCCCATCCCACTTCCTCCAGCTCTTTGGCCCTCGTTGCTTCCCGGAATGTTGACATTCCTCAGGGCCTCGATCCCGGTCTCCATCGCTATCCCAACCCAGTCCCCTCGCCGAGCCGGCGAGCCCCGACAACCGCTCAGGTACGCGGAATGCTGGAATGCCTTAGCAGGAATCCCACCACTCATGGTCCTACATCAAATTGCTCGAGATTCCATACACTCCATAATGGGACCTGACAGTCCCGGGCTTGCGTCTGGAATGCGTGATCAAAACATTTCGCTCTTTAGAAAAGGCACCCACCGTCGTCGTGATGTTGAGTCGATTCTTGTTTCTCTCGTCTCTTTCTCGCCCTTCGGTCTCGTCTCGGTCTCGATCCCGGTCTGAAGGTCTGTGGGATATAGGTAAGTTTGTTAAAAAAGGATCCGACAACGGAGCCGGAAAACAAAATGTCCTTCCTGAGACGCTCTCTCGGCCTCTTCGGCGCATTCGCCGCGCTGCAGGGTGTATACGGCGGCCTGGATCTAACCTCGAACTCGACGGTGACTGTTTACTGGGGTGAGTGCTGCCATACTATTTCTTTCTATACTCCTGTCGAGTATACGCTGATCCCCCAAGATAGGCCAAAACTCCTTCCGCGGTACGGGGACCCTCGCACAGCAGCGCTTAGGGTATTATTGTGATGGTGAGCTCACACCCTTCCCAGGCATATAGACTAGAGAGAGGTGCTAATACGCGTTCTAGATCCAAACATTGATGTGCGCCTACCTTGTCAAGCCTGACTCACACTGGGTGCTATTGCTTGAGGAACTAGAGGACTAACAAAGACCAGGTCATCATCCTCGCCTTCCTAATGACAATCAACGGCCCCGGCGGCGCCCCAGAGATCGATTTCGCAACATCGAGCGAGAAGTGCGCGACGTTTGCTGGGACAAATCTGAAGAATTGTCCTGAGATTGGGTGCGTCATCCATTCCGCTCTTCCATATACCCTACCCTATATATCCTGTCTACCAGACCCATAACCAACCAGCCATTATAAATATACTAATCAAGGCTATCTCAGCACGGACATAACAACCTGCCAGTCAAAGAACAAAACAATCCTCCTCTCCATCGGCGGCGCAACCTACACCGAAGGCGGCTTCACCTCGCAAGCCGCCGCAGAATCAGGCGCCGACCTGCTGTGGGCAACATTTGGTCCTCCTGCGACAACAACAGCCGGTCGAACCAGCGGAATAGGCAGCGGAGGCCGCGGACAAGCCGTCCAAGCGCTCCGCCCCTTCGGAACCGCCGTCCTCGACGGCTTCGATTTCGATTTCGAGGCCGCCGTCACGAATATGGCGCCGTTTGCCAAACGATTGAGGGCGCTTGCCGATGCTGATACAGTGAACAGCCAGAGGAAGTACTTCTTGACTGCGGCGCCGCAATGCCCCTTCCCCGACGCCGCGGATAGGGATATCCTGAATACAGACGCGAGCGCGACGATCGATGCGGTCTGGGTGCAGTTTTACAATAACTACTGTGGCGTGAACTCGTACATTCCGGGAAGTGTGGGCAACTTCAACTTCGAGACCTGGGACAAGTGGGCTTTGACTGAAAGCAAGAACCCGGATGTCAAGGTGTACCTGGGGGTTCCTGCGAACACGGGGGCTGCGGGAACGGGGTACTTGCCTATTTCCTCATTGACGCCCGTGATTCAGTACTCGAAGAAGTTTGAGAGCTTTGGAGGGGTCATGATGTGGGATGTTAGTCAGGCGTATGGGAATCAGGGGTTTTTGAGTGGCATTAAGGGGGCGTTGCGTGGGACAAGCACGGTGCAGGGCCCGAAGCAGGGAGAAGAAGAGATTCCGGTTCTCGGGGTTGAGGATTCCTCTGCTTCTGGATCTGCTCGCCCTGCAGAGACGACGTCAACTCCAGTTCAAACTCAACCCGAAGCCCAAACCCAGCAACCCTCGGCATCCCCGTCAGTCACACAACAGCAGGACACAACCTCGGGCACAGATGCAACTGCAAGCCCCGTGGCACCACAAGCGGGAGAGCTGCAGGAGAACCAAGATGAGTGGGCCGACCAGAGCGCCGATCTGCCCCTGTTGAATCTGCTTCCTTCGTTCATGGAGTCGGATGCCGATCTGCCCTGGATTGAGATTTGATCTGCAAGACATGCAGGATGATTTGATTTGTACTCATTTGATTCTCGATTCTATTTTCTTGTACTACTCCGTACGGATATGGGGCTTATATTCTTTATATATGTGTTTATAATATGCTTTTCGGGGGTTAGTGCTGATTTGTGGAGGAGAGAATACGTTACGTTAGGGTTAGAGTTCAACATGCAATGGCGTGGAAAACTTCCGCGATCGTGTAACTTGATTTTATGCAGAGGCAAAAGCCAGAACCGGCCATCGAGGTCATGCCGCATGAACTATTACGTTGATCACCGGCAGCTGCTTGTTCCCATGCCTCTCGCCGTTCATCATCTCCTACTTCTGCAGCCGCCCAGCAAGGCCAAGCCGTACTCCGAGTACTTTCCAATCTGATCGGAGGACTGTGGATACAACGCAGGTATAAAGCAGCCCCCCGATCGCACTGCAATCGAGTCTCTGCTTTTGCTGTCTATCCCAGCAGTTGCACAGAGTCGCCGTCATGATCCTCCCCAAGGTCTTCCTCCCCCTCTCTCTAGCCCTAACGGGTGCATTGTCCGCCACAGTCCCCGAGACGGACTTTGATGTCATTGTCGTCGGTGGTGGACCTGCAGGGCTGAGTGCCCTCAGTGGTCTGTCTCGTGTGCGTCGGACAGCTGCGCTCTTTGACTCGCACCAGTACCGTAATGATCCGACGCGGGAGATGCATGATGTTATTGGGAATGATGGTATCCTCCCATGCCTCGTACACATCTACTCCAAACCCAGAAAGTCTAACTATAAAGAACAGGAACACCCCCGGCCCTCTTCCGCGCCGCCGCCCGCTCCCGAATCTCCAACTACAGCACCGCAACCTTCATCGACAACGCCATAGCATCCATCACCCCGCTGGAAATCGCAGACAGCGCCAACAACTACACGACCCTCTTCCGCGCAACAGACAGCACGGGCACAGCATACACCGCACGTAAAGTCATCCTCGCAACAGGGCTCATCGACGTCCTCCCCTCAACCCCGGGCCTCGTCGAGGGCTTCGGCAAGGGCATCTTCTGGTGTCCCTGGTGCGACGGGTACGAGCACCGCGACCAGCCCTTTGGGATACTGGGGTCGCTGGATCATATTGTTTCGAGTTTGCTCGAGGTCACGACGCTGAATACCGATATCATTGCGTTTGTCAACGGGACGTATACCGATGAGACCGTCGGTGTGTTGGAAACTCAGTACCCGGACTGGCGCGCACAGATCGCAGCGTATAACGTCCGCATCGAAAACCGGACCATCGCATCCTTCACCCGTCTGCAGGACGGCGGCGAGGTGCAAAACGAAGCGCACGATCAACAGCTCGATATCTTCCGTGTGGACTTCACCGAGGGCGAGCCCGTGATTCGGAATGCGTTCCTGACGAATTTCGGGACGGCGCAGCGCTCGTCTCTACCCTATGATCTGGACCTCGTCATGACGGACGACGGGAAGATCGACACGAGCAGTTACTCGGGGATGCGGACGAGTCTGGCGGGCGTCTTTGCAATCGGGGATTGTAATAGTGATGGGAGCACGAATGTGCCGCATGCGATGTTTAGTGGGAAGCGCGCGGCGGTTTTCGGGCATGGTAAGTTCTGACCTTTCCTTGCACTTTTCTGGCGTTCAAAGTTGGATGTTTTTGAGAGAACTTTGCTAATACTGCGGTATGTATAGTCGAGCTTGCGCGCGAAGACATGGCTGCGAAGATCGCGAAGCGTTCTATCTCGGCACGGGCATTGCAGAAGGAGGCTGAGCGGGCGATCGGGGATGGGTTGGAGAGGATTTGGGAGGCGGTTAAGCCTTGAGCTATTATTGCACTCGGATATAATTAATGGACAAATAATTGAGCATAATTCAAGCTTATAGTGAGGTTTTATGGACGCAGATTAATACTCAGACAGAAAAGCATAGCAACGAAGTTCCTGGAAACGAGATTAACTTTGGTAGATACATCTCGTATCAAGCTATACTTGTCCTCCTTCATGCTTCCACGAGGTAGGACTTGATACTGACTTTCATTTGGCTTTGCAGGGATGATTAATGTCCGCTGGGGATGAGGTGTTGGCCGCGATAACCAGCTCTGGCATAAAATAGAAGAGTATAAAGGGTGTACAGATATATGTAGCCCTCCAGGAGCTTGGGCTGATGCCAAATCCTCGCGCTACTAGGTATGATATGTAAACGGAGATCGAGCGCCTGGTTCAGACCCCACGGCTCAGTGCCAGGCGGCTACTATCGTATAGTACTCCATATTTGGAACATTGCCTTTTTCTTACTCATTTCGAAGAGGCTGGACACTAGACAGTGCGCCAATGCGCCAGATATCCGTAGATCCTGCTCCATACAGGCATCGCCTATAAACCACTCACCTACTAATCCCCGTAACCCTCTTGACAGCCTCATCCCTATCAACACCCTCCCCAATAACCCCCGCTCCCTTCAAAACATCCACGACACCCCCAAGCACGTCCCCACTAACCCCCCTCGTCCCCTCGGAGAACCTCACATCCCGAATCCACTCGGCCCCATCCTCAGCAGAGTAATGGCAGCCGAACTCGCCAGTCCCGAGCATCTTAACCACACCCTCATGGTCACCCTGGAACGCCTTGATTCCCTCATCCAGTAACGCGAATAACTTGTCCAGCCGGTCATCAGACTCCGGGTTCGGGAAGGCAGAAGTCGACGCAACGACCATCCACGACGGCCACGGTGTGAAGATCTCCCCGATCTTCTTTAGCGGCGCAGCCTCCCCCGTGAAGGAAGGTTTCGTCGTGAAGTGCTCCCACATGAAGAAATCCGCTTTGCCCTGCTCGGACGTTTGCCCCGCGCTCGTGCCCGTGACGCCCTCCTTCAACGACCCAAACGGTCCCAGGATAACCGGCTCCAACCCCCCACCGACGCCCTCCCACTTCTGCTCATCAGCAAGCACAAACGACATAACATGCGACCCGCTGCCCAACCTCGAGACTCCAACCTTCCCACCGCGCAAATCATCCACGCCCTTCAAGTCGCTGCGATCACGACCCGTCACAATCGCCCAGCGGAGCGGGGTGTCGACCCAATGACCCACGATCTTGTATCCGGCTTCGGATTCTGTGGTGGGCGCGGATTTGCCTGCTATCCCGGCGACCCAGCCTTCTGTGAGCCCGATTGCGAGGTCGATTTCGCCGGCGCGTAGCGAGGTGATCATGTGGCCGGTCCCGGAGGGGAAGGGGACTGGTTCGAGGGTGTAGGGGAAGGCGGGGGAGGTGTAGGTTGGGCTGCGGAGGGAGAGGTGGAGGGGGGCTAGGTAGTGTTCTGTGATTCTTTTGTTAGCTTTTGTCTTGGGAAGGGATTGAGAGGGGGTAAGGTTGTTGGAGTGTTGCTATGGGACGGGTTGAGACGAGGGGAGGGGTGACTGACCTGGCACGTAGCCAATGCGGAGGGTTGGTTTCTCAGGCATGGTGGCGATAAGATCGAGGATTCAGATCAATTGATGGGTGTAGGGAGAGTCAAGTTCATCAGTGTATTATTAGTAGTAGGCGTGATTAATATACAGCTTCGTCGTCATCCATGATTTTCTGGTGGGGTCAAACCGCCGCGCGGGGCACTCCCACCGGTCCACGCCGGCTCGGCACATGGGCTTGAAGCAACGCATATACTATATAAAGTCAAGTACTATAAGAAGTAAAACAAATCTATCGCCAGCCGTCTACATGCTTCGCGCAATGCAATGCCATACCATCCATGCCAATTAGTATAGGTTAGTTCATCAAGTCATTCGGATATCCTTCTCCTCGAGCGGAATCTCCTTCTCCAGCCGTTCCTGCACGCTTCCCGGCCGGAAACTCCCCTGGTTGTACATCCAGAACTGCACGCAGAGGTAGGCGTCGCAGACACACTGGAACATCGCACACAGCCGGAACGCCCAGGGAATGCCATCCTCGCTGGTGAAAAAGTAGCTCAGCTTCATCACGTCACCGAGGATCCAGGCTGCTGCGACGGACAGGCGGAAGCCCTTGCACGAGCGGGAGCGGTGGTTGGCGATGACCTGCGGCAGAGGGAGGATCGCTTCGACGGCGAGGCCGACGTATCCGAGGAGTTCAATGTAGAATGTACTGTTGGAGATCGGGGGAAGGCAGATGTGGATGAAGGCAAGGGCGCCGGTGAAGTAAGCCAGGAACATCCAATATCTACAACTGTCAGCACTGGCAGAAGGTTTGGAGGGTGAACGTACGGCTTCGCATTCTTCCACTGCCAGAAATCGTACGGCCTTGCGAATCCCCTGTCTCCATTCGCATCGCTGAAGGGGATATGTTCAACCCCGCTCTTCTGTCCCGGAGCCGGTCGGTTGTCCAAGGCAACTTTCAACAGCACGAGCTGAACTCCGATCATGATTACGGCTTGCGCCAGGAGCGCGACGGAGTAGTAGTCGCCGAACCAGTAAAAGACCCTGCGATGTCAGCATTGGCCGGGCGCCTTGACCGAGCGGCTCACTTTAGAATCGACGCAATCAGCATAATCAGCGGAATATCGAGCGAGAATCCGGCCGAGCTCCTGCTCCGGTGTATACTGAGGATTTGGTCCGTGTACGAGGTCAAGGGGGACGTGACGAGGCTATTCCGGGACGATGTCAGCACGGTTTGCGATGTAGTTATTTATCGCAGGAGGCACACACAAGATTGGAGCTCCATATTCGAGGAGCTGTGACACGATATACATCGCGTTGGTGTCGGTCAAGTCGTGAATCAAGAGTAAGCGCGGTTCGACTGGTCGTGAGGCTCAGGGGACGTCGGCGGCGACGGAGGACGGAGACGGGATCGAAGCTGAAGGCGCGGGACCAAACGGATCGGAGAAACAACAAGATCAGAGACAAAACCAGCGATTGTGATCTTGTCTCGAGCTCAACTCCTGAAAGTAAGACGTAAGAAGTAATCGTCCGCAAACGTGCTGGCGAGCGTGAGCTGCTTTCTTTTTTGCGCGCCGCTGAGTCAGCCGCTGACCCAGCGTTGATCCCCACCAAAAACAAGCCTTTCATTGGCCTCACTTGCCCCGATTCGTGCTGCAATCGGCCGCTAGCGTGCGCTAATCTCGAGAGGCTTGGTTCCTGCAAAAAAAGGGTCAAAGGTCGTGTGAGGAGCTCAACCTTATATTCGTTCTCTCAATGACAGGTAACATGCAAGATGCATCTATCTATAATCTACCCAATCGTCCAAGAGGCTACATTAAAATTCGATCCGCCAGGCCTTGGAGATGCCCACATTCGGGTTCTTCACCACCGCGTACGGAGCTTTGCCGACATCATGAGCGTGGTACTCTAGCGACGCCGATGTCGATGCCTTGGCCCCGTCCTCAATCACGGTCACCGTAGTCCTGTCCTGCCACTCCTTTGGAGCGTCGATAACAACAACCCTTTCAACGCGGACGCTGGCAATGGCCTTGAGGTACGCGGATGTTTGAGAGCCGTGAGTCGCAATGTCCTCAGACACTAGCGAAGAGCCGTCAAAGTGGAAGCGTCGGTGGAGGTATCCTCCGCGCTGGTAGTCAAAGGTTTCGCCGTCGTCAACATACAGCGTGCCCTCGGCCTGTCCATTCTTGTCGAGGACAACAACCAGAGTATACGGGTCGTGCTTCATCAGACTGCTGCTACGGCGGGGTCGGTCCTTTCGGGGAATGACGTGTCCACCCTGCATGAGGACAGGCACCTTCTCCATTGGAGCGGGAACAGAGTGTCTCTTTCCAGCTCCTTGGTAGACGGTATAGTCGTAATAGTCAAAGTACTTTTCGTCGTCGGCAATATAAATGTCGGCAGTCGTTGCTTCCTCGGAGACAACTGGTTTCGCAAGGATACCAGTGGATCCAAGGTAGAGCTGGTCGTCAATGTCGAAACCGGCGGCATCAGTGGGGTGCACGTAGAACTGAGGTCTCACAATTGGAGTCCCATTCACCGAGGCTTCGTGGAAGGCAGTGTACCAGGCAGGTAGCAGCTGGTAACGCATGCGGATTGCCTCTGTAATGATAGATCGGAACGGCTCCTGGATCAGGTACGGCTCTCGGCGACGAGTATCGATATGGGCGTGGGCACGGAAGAATGGATACCAAATGCCGGTTTGGTACCACCGGGTCAGCAGCTCCTTGCTCGGGTTATGGAAGAAGCCGCCAACGTCAGCACCAGCGAATGGGTAGCCAGAGATACCGTTGTTGAGGACCATGGGAAGAGACGCCGCCAGATGCTCCCAGGTAGCCTGATTGTCTCCGGTCCACATGGCAGACGTGCGCTGAGCACCAGCAAAAAAGGACCGGGTCAGGACGAACGGCCTGCGAACCTCACCCTTCTTGCGCTCCAGCAGCGCCTGGTACGTGGCATTGACAAATGTAATGCCGTTGACGTTGTGAATGTCACGATGCTCCCAGTTACCGTGGTGCAGGTTGTCCTTCGGCATGGTGGTTTCCGGTCCGTTGAAGACCGATGGCTCGTTCATATCGTTCCAGATAAAGACATTCGGGAGGGTTCCCTTGAATCTGTCATATTTGAAGAGGCTAATCCACCACTTGATGGCTGCGGGGTTGAAGCAGTCAATCCAGTTGGAAGAGCCTGGCCAGCACCAACCTTCGTAGATGTTTCCGTCCTTGTTCTTCACAGCCAAGTCTTTGCTCTTTAGCTCTTTGGAAATGTCAAACTTGTCTTGGTTCTTGATGTGCGGGTCAATGATAACCACGAGCTTGCGCTCAGACTCGTCCAACTGCTCCTCCATGCCAATTGGGTTAGGGAAGGTCAGAGGGTCCCAAGTAAAGTACTTGCGGTCGTCGAGGTACTCGATGTCGAGCCAAATGACATCGTACGGGATCTGATACTTGTCGAAACTACGGTCGACCTCCTTGACGTCCTCATCAGTGACATAGTTCCAGCGGCACTGGTGGTAAGCGATCGCAAACTGCTGGGGCAGTTGAGTGTATCCGGTGAGCTCGCCATACTTTTTGCTGATGTCGCTAGGTGACGGCCCCAAGAAGACAAACACATCAAGCTGGCCAGCCTCGGAAAACCAATGGGTCTGAGTCTCGGTCTTTGACTTGACAATGTCGATCCATGTTTCCGCAGCGTTAAGCCAGAACACACCAACAGTCGAGTCCTCGCGGTGCGCTTGCATCAGGGGAATCGAGCCGTACAGAGTCATGGGACTGTTGAGTTCGTATTCAAACACGTCTGCGTTGTACAGACGGTAAGGCTCCTCGTGGTTACCATTGCCTCCTCTGAATATTGTCAGTTGAGTCACGTTATATTACAAGAAAGCGGCTTACCGTGTTCCCCGTAGCGACATGGAATCCGCGTGCTCTGGAATACCAAACACATGGTTGTAGCCAGAGAAGGTAATGTCCAATCCCACACTCTCAGGCCCTCTAGGCTTTGTGTCCGTGTTTCCGCCGAAGGTCTCTTCCCACCATGTGCTCTCATCTTCCTGGGCACCGAGAACTTCCTGCTCACCTTCCACAGCCTCCACTTTGCGCCTCCAGTGCTCCATGTTGAGGTATCCCTTGTTGTTCAGCTGCACATGAGTCTGTCCATCTCTTTGGAATTCCACTGAGAAAGGCGCGTGACGAATAACAGCTTGGTAGGTGTTATCAGGTCCATACAGAACCGTGGTAAAGCCTTCCTGAGCTTCGGTGCTAAGCGTAGCCGATTTGCTGAGGTCCGTCCCACCAACAATGACCCACGACTCCGCATCGTTATACCGTTCTTTGCGTGCTTGGCTTCCGTGTCGGATCTCAATGTCTCCGGTCATGCGCTTCGCTTCATCGACGGTAACTCGCGCGACTCCGGATTCGAGGAAGGAGATAAGGATAGGCAGCTTCACTTTTTGTTCGTGGGATACGGTCTTCAGGATGGTTCCTGTCAATTGGCCGTTTTCGAAATGAAGATCGGTAGCGTCGAGCTCGTACGGCGAGCTAAAGGAGGAGCCCTTTGCGGAGACATCATCGGCGAGCGCTCTGTTGCGCTTACAGAAACCAGATTGAGCGCATTTTTTGAAGTTTTCGTGTTTCACGGTAGCTAGAGCGAATGTGTCAGATATTCAATTCTAGCTTCATCCAATACTAAGGTGCCTCAAGCAAACGCACCTCCAGGTATGATGAAACATCCAAACAGTACTGCTAGAGTAAATAGCAGGGTCCAGCTGGACAGCCGGCTCCGTGCCATCTTGGTTGAGGCAATATGTGCAATCAGAGATGCTCAACCTCCGACGGTAACAATTGTAATAAGGTGTCCTGACCGCATCTACCAGAGCTAGGTCAACACCGTTGTGAAAAGCAGGTTGTCACTCAGTTGGAGTCCTTCCAGGCTGGCCTCAACTGCGGGCGGAGCTCCCAGTCAGGCTAGACTGTTCTCGGCGACTGGGGTTAGACACCTCATCATTCAGGCCACAGTGAGCTTGACTCCTGACCACTCAGGCCGCAAGGCGCTCAGGCATGCACCACCACAGCCCCTCTGAGACTCCTCGACTTTGCGCGGCCCCACACTGGCGTTTAGAAGTGGAATAAGAGGAAGATTTTCCCAGCTCAACGCCAGCTTCCGCTTCTTCCCTTCTTTCTTTATCGCATCCATTGACTTCCTGTCTTCGATCTCTCTAATACCTTCAAAATGTCTAACGAGCAGACGTAAGTTTATTCCCATCACTCTGCACCATACAATTCCACCCCCGGCTCCCTTATTCACCGGATTTCTGGATGTTGTTTTACCCCTCATCGCTGGCCAAGCTAACTCACCGTAGTTTCATCGCCATCAAGCCCGACGGTGTCCAGGTACGCATTGAGCAGTCATGTATACTCATCAATTGAACATCAATTGCACTGAACTGCATCCCGAATGACGACCATCGACTGACGATCTATACAGCGTGGACTCGTTGGCCCCATCATCTCTCGCTTCGAGAACCGTGGGTGAGTACCATATGATTCCAAATCAGGCCGACAGCAGAACTAACTTATACCAGCTTCAAGCTCGCTGCCATGAAGCTCACCTCCCCTCCCCGTGCTCTCCTCGAGCAGCACTACGCCGACCTCAAGGAGAAGCCCTTCTTCCCTGGTCTCGTCACCTGTAAGTCTGACGCGCAAAACTTTTCGCTATAGCGATTGTGCTTACACTAGTTAGACATGCTCAGCGGCCCCATCGTCGCCATGGTCTGGGAGGGCCGTGATGCCGTCAAGACCGGCCGCAGTAAGTTGCCCACATATTCGTCGTACGTTCCCATAATAACATACAACAGCCATCCTCGGTGCCACCAACCCCCTTGCCTCCGCCCCCGGCACCATCCGTGGTGACTTCGCCATCGATGTCGGCCGCAACGTCTGCCACGGCTCCGACAGCGTCGAGAACGCCAAGAAGGAGATTGCCCTCTGGTTCACCCCCGAGGAGGTCCAGAACTACAAGCTCAACGCTTTCGGCTGGATCTACGAGAAGGAATAGGTTCGCTCATAGCTTGACTCCTAGGCATCTGCCTCCTTTGTTGTGCATGTAAAGGACCAGAGACGGGACGTGCGATGAGATAATAGAATCTATACACTCGAATAAAAACATTCAGGAACAGCGCTCTATGGCCTATATACAGTCTATGTGTATCATGTAGATCGGTAATCCTGCGTTCGTGTAAAACCATCTGGTCTATTCACCTCCGAAACAAGCGCCTGACGCCGCTCCCAACCGGCGCAATTACAATCCTCGCAAACCACGGCGTCGCCCAAATGCTCCCCATAATCCTAACAGGTAACAAGGCCTTCGTGACCGCATACGCAGTCGCAAACTCCAACACCAGCCGCACGCCCTTCTTCTCCCCCGTACCCTCCTCCACAGCTCCCTCCGTAGTTGCTAAACCCCCCGCAACATCCTCAACCTCAACATCCTCCCCAACCCACCCCTTCTTCCTCAACCACTTCGTAAATCGCCTCGTCCCCTCCTCAAACCCACTATACGTCGAGAAATCCGGCAACCAGTTCCCGTAGTGGAACGCCGCGACGAGTCCGAACAGTGGCACGACAGCCGTGATTTCGTGCAGGATCAGGAAGGATGTTATGTGTGTTGCTGGGGCGCCGAGGAGGGGCGTGGTGTAGGCACGCAGGAAGGAGGGGAGACGGTCGTTGAAGCGGCGGAGGCGCGATTGAATTTTGGCGTCTTTTGGAGCAGTTGCGGGAGAAGGATTTGGTGGTGTTGTGAGGTTTCGGCGGGAGGACTTGAAGTAAGGGATGCGCGCGCGCAATTGGCGCGGGATTGTCAGTGCCGCTTTTGTGGGCATTTTGAAGGTGAATCTTTTCGAATTCGCGCAGTCAAATACTGTGATTGTTTGTGAGGCAAAGAAAGGAGCTCAGCGTTGATATCTTCAAGAGGATCGGCCTTCTTCAGCTCCGCTAGCTCGAGCTTGATGATGGGGCGCCTTCGGAGTGTTCGTGTTCTGTTTGGAGAGTTTGCAACGGATGCTACTCCATCAACCCACGTTACTCAACCGATAAGCCCGGCCTATAGAGGAGCCTTAAGGAGGGAGGATCGCGAGTCTAAGGTGGTGCCGGTCTAACATTCGGCAGCGCTCGTCAGCGATAGACGGCATGTCGGCTGTGCGGAGGAGACTCGGAGGCAGCGGGACAGGGAGGAACCGACCAATGTCAAATTCATTCGCCGGAACAGATGCCGCGATATGAGCAGGCGACTGGCGGGAAAGCTTGAAAAAAAGGTTGCAAGCTTTAAGAAACGAAAGCCTCCACGAGGTCAACCCATTTGAGAAAAAAGCAAAAAACCGAGTGCAGTGTGGTTCGAACACGCCTCCGAGAACAGGAGCGGAAAACCCACCAAGTCCGCCCCTCAAAAGTCCTCCCCGAGCCAGTTTGTCGTCATTTTCCTTCCTCACACTCCAACTCTCCTCTCTGCAATATCTGCTGTGCGAAAGAACATCTCCAATCATGGAGAAGATCACAGACAAAATCGCGGCCTTGCCGCCAGATGCTAATTACTTCTCTCTCGAGTTCTTCCCTCCGAAGACTCAAATGGTGGGGCTCACCTCCCCGCATTCGGCCGTTTTGCCTCTGATATTGAGGGAAAAGCTAACGGTGGCCGCGCATACAGGGATTTGCCAATTTGCAGGCCCGTTTGGAGCGTATGGCGCAGGCGCTGCGCCCACTCTTTGTTACAGTCACTTGGGGTGCTGGTGGAAGCACAGCGGCCAGGTCCCTGGAGTTGGCGGAGATATGCCAGAGACAACTACAGCTGACGACATGCTTACACTTGACATGCACAAATATGAGTCGCGCCCTGGTGGATCAGGCGCTGGAGGAAGCAAAGGTGCTTGGAATCAGAAACATCCTGGCGCTGCGTGGTGATCCTCCGCGGAGTGAAGAGTACAACATGCTCGGCGAGGATGACAGCAACAAGGACTTTACCTTTGCTGTGGATCTGGTGCGGTATATCCGGAAAAAGTATGGCGATTACTTTTGTCTTGGTGTTGCAGCCTACCCAGAGGGTCATCCCGCAGATTCGTTCCAGGATGTCCAGGACCCGAAAGTTGATCTACCCTGGTTGGTCGAGAAGACGCAGGCCGGTGCCGACTTCATCATGACCCAGTTGACATACGATATCGATGCGTACACTAAGTTCGAGAACATGCTGCGCAACCATGAATCTGGCGCCTTCAAAACGATTCCCATTATCCCGGGTCTTATGCCCATTCACAGCTACAAGATCTTGACGAGAGTAACGAAGCTCAGCCACGTCAAGATCCCTCCCCGGATTCTTGCAAAACTGGAAGAAGTCAAGCATGATGACGATTCGGTGAAGCGCCTTGGTGTGGATATTATTGCTGAGCTTGTCGATGGCATCAGAAATCTCCCCACCTCCGGTTTTCGTGGGTTCCACTTCTATACACTCAACCTGGAAAAGACGGTATCATTCATTCTCGAGCGATGCAAGCTCATCCCCGACTACCCAGACGAGGAAGCAGTAGCCGTCACCGAAGACGTCTCCTTCCTTACCGTTGAAGCAGCCAAGAAGGCCACATCCAGGCGGCGCGCTTCATCCATCAGCTCAATCCCTCACAACCGCGTCATCGTCGACAAGATTTCAGAACCAGGCTCCAGGGACTCCATGACGCATGAAGCCACCGCTGCCAGCGCCGGAATGCCCGCGCAACCGCCCGACCGCAACACAACCCTTCAGATCTCCGAAGGCCTCGGCGCCCTAGGCCGCGAAGCCACCTGGGACGATTTCCCGAACGGCCGTTGGGGAGACGCTCGCTCACCCGCCTTTGGTGAGATTGACGGCTATGGTCCTTCTCTGCACGTTGCCCCCTCCGTCGCCCACCGTATCTGGGGCTACCCAGTCACCCCCTCCGACATCAGCACGCTCTTCCGCCGCCACGTCTCCGGGGACCTCTACATGGTCCCCTGGTCCGAAGGCGGCGCAGAAGAAAACACCAGCGGCCTAAACGCCGAAACAGAAACCATCCGCCCTGAACTCCTCAAGCTCATCGACGGCAAGGGCTGGTGGACTCTCGCCTCCCAACCCGCCGTCAACGGCGTCCGCAGCGACGACCCGATTTTCGGCTGGGGCCCGCCAGGCGAAGGCTTCGTCTTCCAAAAGCCCTTCGTCGAGTTCTTCTGCCCCACCTCCGACTTCACCAACACGCTCAAGCCCACCCTCCAGAAACACGGCCACGAGAAACTTGCCTGGTTCGCCGTCAACGCCCGCGGCGACTTTGAGTCCTCGCTCCCCGCGCAAACCGCCGATGCCGATCCCATCGAGATGAACCCCAACAACGTCAACGCCGTCACGTGGGGCGTCTTCCGCGGTAAGGAGATCATCACACCCACCATCATCGAGGAAGTCAGTTTCCGCGCCTGGGGCGACGAGGCGTATAGGATCTGGGACGAGTGGCGCCGGATCTACCCTCGCAACTCGGCGACGGAGCGGTTCCTCGAGGAGACCAAGAACGACGTCTGGCTTGTCTGTGTTGTTGCGCAGGATTTCGGGGCCGGCACGGAGAATGGGTCCAAGGAGGAGGAGGAGGAGAAGAAGTGGATGTGGAGGGTTTTGGCTGAGTGCTAGACGCTGACTACCCTTGTACTCACCTTTACTTGATTCCTGCAAGTGGCTGAAGGATGGCTTGGTGCTCGGATATCACCGAGCAGATCATTTACTAGTTGTATCTCGCTTAGCTGGCTGCAGCTCATCTCAGCGGATTGCTATTCCTTTCTATTTGCTACCTATGGTGCTTTCAACTTACTGTACATAAATTCAACATGGCATGTCGGATGGGGTTTGATAGAAGTCGAGGTTCGGGTCTTGCTTAGTTTTGAGTTTACTTACGAATGAATGCTTGCTTCTTTGCTACATCTCTCTACATGGCAGATTTTTCGAGCCGTAGAAAGTAGACTACTTCTGAAGTATCATGAACTGTTCAACAGGTTGGGATAAGGAGTCCAGACTGAATCTCCCAAGTATGAGCGGACCATCGCTTAGTCATTTACGTTCATGTGCCAACGTGGTATACTAACACAACATGTATTTATTATGCTTGCTAAATTAGATGAATCTATACAGCTCGGTTCACTCTATCCGAACCTTCTCAGCAAAGCCATGCTCCTCAAGTCCCTCAGCGCCTGTATCAGGGGTCGGAACCGACGACTCAGCCTGGGCGAATTTCTCAGCCGCGAGCTCCAGTTTGCCGTAGGCCGGTGGATATCGTCGTGGCTGCGAGGGGCCTGAGGCTGGGAGCTGGTAGCCGCGGAGTCTGTGGTACGTTTGTTAGTACAACGTGTGCATAGTGGCGGTGTGGTGGATATATGGAGGGGTAAACGTACCTAGGTCCTGAGCCTGTGGCTTGAGGAAATTCCGGGGCGTATGTCTTCTGGAACGTCTGGACGTCTGCTTCGAATGTACCGCGTTCAATGCTATCACGAATCGCGGCGAAGAATTGGTCCAGAACGTGGTGGTTGTGGATCTGGAAGAGTGTCCAGGCGAGCATTTCTTTGGCGGAGAGAAGGTGGTGGATGTAGGCGCGGTGGTGCTTTTGGCACGTGTAGCAGTTACATGATTCAGCTAAGGAGGCTGTGTCTGTCGTATATGAGGTTGACCAGAGGTCCTCGGCGAGTGGGAGAGGGTCGGAGGAGGGGCCGGAGTCCTCGCTGGTTTGGGGCGGGGATGGGAAGACGAAGTTCAAGGCCAGTCCGGAGTCCGAGGCGATGCTTAGGAAGGGAATCGTGAGAAGGTCTGCGCCGAGGGACACCTCACGGAGGATGTCGTGGGGAGTGGTTGGTCCGCTGAAAAGGAGACGAGGGAGGTCACCTAGTTCTTCGGGCACGATTGATAGTGATGCCGGCTCGTACAGGGCGAGGCCGGAGATGAAGGGTCTGAGATCCGCCTCCAGATCTTCCAGGTAAATCTGCTGCTCCGTGTTTTCTAGCGGGAGTATCGGCGCGAAATAGGCAGCGTTCGATCGGCTATGCTCAGAAAGATGAGATCCAAGGAGTGCCTCGGTCCCATGCATGGTGAACGCGTGTGTCCGGTCGACCATCTTCGCCCGTCGTTTGAGACCAGGGGTCTGACCTATCGTCAAGTCCGACAGCCCGATTACAATATCCGGGCTGAGCCTCTGGACTGCTTCGACATATTTCGTCTCCTCTAGCTGTGCAAAGCCCACGGATGTGAGAATGGCGATTGAGTTTGGTGTATTCGACGGAGCGCAGGGAATCGGGGGCTCGCGGCGTGCACCGAGAATTAACAGGAGGTCATCGGGAAGGCAATTGAATTTGCGCAGCGCCGACTCATGTGGTTTCGTTGGGACTGCATATATCGGGATAGGTATCGAGGGCTTTTTGGTGCTATACTCTTTCTCCAAGACTGATATCTGAGCCCCAGTGGGCATTTGTTGTCAGCGTCATGCAATCCCTTTCTTTGGCTTGAGCTCCGTACGTACAATCTTCCAGGCCAATGAACAGACTTGAAATCGAAGTGTTATCTCGCATCACATCGTGCGACAAGTGAGGAACCGCCCCTCGCGATGTCACTGGGACATAGTTTGGCGTTGAGATCGGCTTCCGGCCAGCAATCGACAGTCTTCCGAGCCGCGGGGCAAGGACAGCAGCTGCAGAGCCCAGAAGGCTAAAATTGAACATCTCACTCGGCGACGGTTGAGAATTATTGTCTGATAACATGGCGATCGTTAATGGAAATCAGCAATCGAGGGGCTGTGTCTGGAGAAATGGCTGTTGTGGTGCCAAAAAAGAAACTTTGTTATCGCTCTGGCTCCGCTTCTCGATTTCTCCGCGTCTGCCCAACTGCGCGTTCTAGACTCCTCACCACAACCATATCTACCGCAATTTACCGAATCACAGGTTCTCCGCAATCCAAAGCCACTTCTAGAGCTCCGAGTAGCACGTCGGGCCTTACTCGTTTACAATTTATAGGCCGAAGCTCGTCTCTTTGCAGCATGACCACGAACGCGACGCGCGGGGGCCGCGGGGCACTCATTGTCGTCGAAGGCCTTGATCGAGCAGGCAAATCCAGCCAATGTGAAGCTCTTCGCAACTTCTTACAGCGGGAAGGGCATTCGGTCAAATACATCCGGTTTCCAGGTAGTGCTCGAACCCCCATACTGGCTCGTAATTACACAGGTTGACAACCTCGGCATTACCAGACCGAACTACATCGATAGGAAAGATGATTGATGGCTATCTACGAGGTCAGTCACAGTTGGATGACCACTCGATCCATCTTCTATTTTCCGCAAACCGATGGGAGCTCGCGCAGAGCATTGAAGCAGATATCGCCAGTGGGACCAGTGTGATTATCGACCGTTATTCATATTCTGGCGCGGTATATTCGGCCGCAAAGGCCAATCCGGCGCTGTCACTGGAGTGGGCATGGTCGCCTGAACTCGGGTTACCGCAGCCAGATCTTTGCCTTTTTCTCAGTATTTCCCCCGAAGATGCTGCAAAACGTGGTGGGTTTGGTGGAGAGCGCTACGAGAACGCGACCATGCAATCACGGGTACGTGAGTTGTTCAACACCGTCTTTGACCTCCAGCAGGGGACAGAAGCCCAGACGATCGACGCCGGAAGATCGTTTGACCAAGTATCGAATGATATCTCAAAGGTCGCAATTGAGTGCATTGCACGCGTGGGCCACGCAGGCCCTCTAGGAAGGTTGACGGCTTTGTCCAGATGATGAAACATCGATAGGGCTTTGTGGTGCCAAACACACATTTTGAACAAAATAGCTCCATTCATCCAGCTCAGCCTTCGATCGTTCAGTATATAGATACCACCCGCCTTCAGAGCGCCCTGCAGATGCATGTTCCAAGGATGGGCATGGGCGGTTTGGATTATTTTTGTGCCTTAAACATGTTCAATTCATAGAAACCATAGACGGAGACGATCACACCAAACCAGCACAACTAGACAGGTGATTGGCATAGATATGTTTGCTAGGGACTCAAGGACAAAAGATTCGAGATTTGACTGACGTTGAACAGAAAAGAGCGGCTATAGCGCTTTCCCACTTTGGACGGAATCACGTGGTTTCTTGTTGAGCCTCATTGCCCATGTACATAAAGGAAGCTTCAAATATCATTTTAAAATGAAAAGTAGTATATAACACTCGGCAGCAGCTATCTATCTCTCATACCATTCATCTCAAGCTCATCTCGTTGCTGGTCTTGAGCGGCACGTGATTGCCCCGGTGACGAAATATATATTCCGCTTGCCTGAGGCGCAAACGACGAGGACATCAACATACCAAGCAACGTTCAATACATTTATCGCTTGTGTCGCAGTACTTGAAATGTCGATCAAGTAGGATCGTCCGATGATTCGACAGAACTGATACGCTGAAATACCCCGGCGTACTCTCAATGCCTAAAAAGTCCAAGAAACTTGTTGCCACTGTGGCCGACGACCAGCCCAAGAGTATCCCAGCCTTCTACTGTTGTTACTTGCTTCGGTCGACTGGCACTGGCTGTAAGACGCAGACATGGTACGTTGGGTCAACTCCGGACCCTGCTCGCCGTCTCTCTCAACATAATGGGCTTTCCAAGGGTGGAGCTAAAAGGACGGCAAATGACAACAGACGGCCATGGGAGATGGTCATGTTTGTAGAGGGCTTTCCAAGTCGTATTGCGGCTTTACAGTTTGAGTGAGTCCCCGATACCTGATACCGGCTCGCTCGCTAAGTCTTATAGATGGGCATGGCAGCACCCTGCCGCTACTCGCCATATTGGACCGGATCTCGAAGATGACGAAGAGGAACAGGAGGGCCAAGAAGGTGCCAAAGACGCTAAGAAGGCGACGAAAAAAGGGAAGCCAAAGACGGCAACAAAACGCAAGACCAGAACAAAGGCGCAGGATGAATATCAAGGTGCCGATGAGAAACCGAAGAAGAAGAGGAAACCACCTGCTCGCCGTACTCGAATGTCGATGAAGGCCCATCTAGAAGATCTGCATCTTCTACTGCGCTCAGCCTACTTTGGCAAGTGGCCTCTTGCCGTACGATTCTTCGCCGCGGATGTTGCGCAGGCCTGGAGAGTCTGGTGTGACCGTGTGGATGGAACAATTCCAACGCATATCAAAACCATTCTGGACGGAAATTGCGTGGATCTATCGGTCGACTCGGGGAATCAGGTGAAATTTGGAAGTGTCAAGGACATCAAGCCTAACTACACACATATTCAGGGTTACCTAGAAAAGGCGACATCTCTATTGAGCGACCTTGAAGGGTCGCAGTGCAATATATGCGGATCCCAGTTTCAAGGGCAAGAGCTGGTTGTTGTCTGCCCACACGCGAGCTGCAATTGTACTACCCACATCCTCTGCTCATCAACGCATTCGAGTACTACTAGCAATCCTGACAGCTTGGTGCCACTGACTGTGGAGTGTCCTGCGTGCTCGCAGACCGTTCAATGGCAGCTGATGATGCGCGAGCTGAGCATCAGAACCCGAGAGAAAGAGATATTGCAGGATATGCAGAAACGAAGTGAAAAGAAGAGTCGAAGCTCCTCTAAGCAGAAAACCGGAGCGGCAGCTGTCGTTGAAGAGCCCACGACTGCGGCACTTCCCGCTTCTGAGAGGCATGATTCAGATACAGATTCCCTGGACGACTATTGGGACAGAGTTCTTGATTCTGGCTCGCAAATCGACGCCAATGATACCACAAAGCTGGAATACAAGGTCGACAAAATGGAGATAATCATAGAGGATAGCGATTTCGACGACCCAATGTTTTGTTGATTGAGCAACTGGAGTCTATCAACATACTTTCTTGGCGACTCGCGATTGCAACTATCGGTGACACTAGGGGAACCCCGGAGCTACGAGCCGACTTCGGCAAGCCATGGCGGCCCCAAAGACCAGTGAAGATGCTCGTTATTGTTCAACCGGGTTGGTAAAAAGCTTCGCTCTGCTGCCAACTCGGGCCCGGAAGTGACCACCAACCTCTGGTTGTGCTCTGATCTTATAGTATTACAGATATGTTGTGCATGCATGACAATGCGAAGCCGGAACTAAATCCGGGGCTTACAGCTGGAAGCAGACAAAGCTCTTTTATGCGCGACTGAGAAAGCTGCGCGGAGAGTTCCAGGTGTACTCCGACGAAGGAAGCTTTTGCGGCGCAGAAATTGAGTGGTTGGGAATCTTAAGATGCAGGAAACATTGAAACATGAGCCTGGTATTGCGATTACATGTATTGCGCGATTATCTACCATGCGGCGGAATCATGTGGCTCATCAAGCGCCGCTAAGAAGAGGCCTCGGTCATCGCTTTGGGCTTAGGTTAATATCAGTAGATATTCGATCACCAGTAGTAGCGCATTCTTTTATTGTCTGCAGAAAAAACGGGGAAAATTGACTTGGCTGGGGAATTATTATTGTTTGAAACTACCTAGCAGTTACTACCCGTTGCCGTTTGCGGACTTTGATAAGTATCTTTTCCGTACCGTATCGAGGGTACAGGGCCGTAATGTGCCTGAGGCAGAACTTTCGAGTCGTGACTAAATCTTGTCCATAACTTTTAAGCTCGAGTCGAAACTTTGTCAGTGAAGGCCCAAGGGAGGGTGAAGGCGTGACATAAAACTTTTTTTTTTAAACTTTCTCTCGCCTGTAGAGCTCGGATTCCCTGTGAGTTTGTTCTGGGATCTGAACCAGTCGTCGAGACAAGGTGTGTCAGACCACCCTAGGCCGGCCTGAGCAGCAGCTAGTTTTCCCTTTTTGGCCCGACTTGCTGGCTGTCCACGAACCATCTTCTCTATCAATCCCTCCAATCGTCGCTCCTGCTTTCTGCCAGTACAACTAGTACCTGGGTATTGACTTGGCTATAATAGTAGTCGGCTCACGACCACTAATTTCTGATAGACTCGTATCGAATCTTGACAGACCCCGAGTGAGCAGCTGTGCTTGTTCTCGTTGCTCTTCCGAGACTCCACACTAGCCCTCCCGGGTCCATCTCGGTCTTCCCTTCGACATCCGTGCTTGTACTCTTTCGTCGCTCGCAATCATCATCCACTCACTTGTCCAGCATCTCTCAGCCTCTGCTGCCCCCTCCTCCACCTCTTCCCCTTCTCCTCATCCCTCCCAATATCCCCACTCAACGCTTACCTGTCTCATCTCCACTTTGACTTGGTGTGACTCGTCTCATCGCTTGTTCCTAGTCAACTTTCTCATGGGTTTTTCGCATCGGACCCTGGCCTCCTTCCCTCCGCGATAAACGCACGCGCACCCCTCGCCTAGCCGTCAATTTGACCATCACTCAAAAGACATGGTGGCTCCGGCCGCTGCGGGAGGAAACTCGACAGGCACCCAGCCGTCAGTAAACCGTCAACCCGCTCGCTCCTCGAGCACCCACCCGTCCCATTCCCACAATGTACCCTTGAGCGCTCGACGATCCGCGCCCCTCGATCTCTCGACAGTCGAACGACGAGGCCAGCCGAACGCACCTCGAGAACCGACGAAACGAGTTCGCCCTCATAACGTGGAGGAGGCGCCTACATTTCGTCCAACCGAGGAGGAATTCAAAGATCCTGAGGCCTACATTCGCAAGATCGCGCCGGAAGGAAGGAAATATGGCATATGCAGGATTATTCCGCCAGAGAACTGGCAACCACCGTTTGCCATTGATACAGAGGTAGGAGAGCGTCACCATTCTCGCGTGGGGGTGATTTTCGGGGGTCATCCCTTGCGACGGCAGCTCTATCTGGAGTATAACAGCTAATCATCGGCTTCTCTTAGCGATTCCATTTCAAAACTCGACGACAGGAACTAAATTCGGTTGAAGGAGGTATGCCCCCGCGCTCAGCGTTGCTTGCTGCCGGTGGTACTCCGCAGCCCAGTTCTGACCCAGACCCAGGAACTCGTGCAAACTTGAACTACCTTGACCAGCTAGCCAAGTTTCACAAACAGCATGGTACCAATCTAAACCGTTTCCCAAGCGTCGACAAGCGTCCCTTGGACCTGTACAGGCTGAAAAAAGCTGTCGAGGTCCGCGGTGGTTTCGACCAGGTGTGTAAGATGAAAAAGTGGGCAGAAATCGGTCGCGATCTCGGTTACAGCGGCAAGATCATGTCCTCGCTGTCAACTTCGCTCAAGAATTCGTACCAGAGATGGCTGCAGCCCTATGAAGAATACCTACGATTGGCGAAGCCTGGTGTGCAACAGCAGCTTGAGTTGGAGCATGGCGGTCCTTACACACCTTCGCCGAACCACTCGCCGATGCCAAAGAATCCTACGCCGCTCGAAGCGGACACGCGGTCGGCAACACCCCAGGGCCCAATGATACCGCCTCCCGCAACCACACAGAGCGCTCCGAAGGAACTTTCTGCGACGCCTAACAAGAACCCAACTCCACCAGTCGATCCTACACCGCCCCCTCGACCAATAACCACTGGATTTACGCCTGTAAATACTGGTGGATTCACAGCCGTTAATCGATCGCCTTCATTCATCGCAGTAAATAGCGCGCCTCCGGTAAAGCGGGAAACCGAGCATGAATCCCTCACGCCGAAAAGCGTTGCTGAGCACCCAAAGGATGCGACACCGGTTTCAAATGGTCACGGGGCACAAACGATGAAGCGCGCAATTAGCACCGAAAGTGGGTCTCAGGCGGAGGCGGGAGAGTTGGATGCGAACGGGAGAAGAAGCAAGAGATTACGAAAGGGTATGTCCCCGATGTACTAATTTGACATACTATAGGGACGGATTCTAAAATCAGACTATTACTAGATGCCCCTCTGCCCACAATTGCCGGCTCACAGATGACTTCTCTTCGGCCAGCCCCCCCACGATCGAGGAAGAGTGACGCCCGTAAATTTGGTGATGTATGTTACGTTCTATGTCCTTTTCAGGCGGCAATCGCTAACATGATAATGAAGAAATGCGAGACTTGTGGCAAATCGGAAGACCGAAACGCAATCCTTGTGTGCGACAGCTGTGACAACGGCTACCATCGGTATTGCTTAGATCCTCCCCTTCATCACATCCCGGAATTTGACTGGCACTGTCCGAAGTGCTTGGTTGGAACCGGAGAGTTTGGGTTCGAGGAGGGCGGTGTTTACTCCTTGAAGCAATTCCAAGAAAAGGCGAATAACTTCAAGAAGAACTATTTCTCAGGGAAACTGCCTTTTGACCCTGTTCTCAATACCCACCGGCGTGAATCCGAAGATGATGTGGAGAAGGAGTTCTGGAAGCTGGTTGAGAATCTGACGGAGACGGTCGAAGTTGAATATGGTGCCGATATTCACTCAACCACCCACGGCAGTGGTTTCCCCACCATTGAGCGAAACCGCCTTGATCCATATTCACAAGATCCGTGGAATCTGAATAATCTTCCATTCCATGGTGAATCTCTGTTCCGTCATATCAAATCGGATATTTCAGGCATGACTGTCCCGTGGGTCTATGTCGGTATGTGCTTTTCGACATTTTGCTGGCATAACGAGGATCATTACGCGTATTCCGCCAACTACCAACACTTCGGAGCCACCAAGACTTGGTACGGAATCCCAGGAGAGGATGCCGAGAGGTTTGAGGAAGCAATGCGAGAGGCCGTTCCAGAGCTCTTTGAGGGCCAGCCTGATCTGCTTTTCCAACTCGTCACTTTGATGCCACCCGATAAGCTAAAGGCCGCCAATGTCCGCGTCTATGCTCTTGATCAAAGGGCCGGACAATTCGTCATCACCTTCCCTCAGGCCTACCATGCTGGCTTCAACCACGGGTTCAATTTCAACGAAGCAGTGAACTTTGCTCCTGTGGACTGGGAACCGTTTGGTGCCGCGGGTGTTGATCGCCTGCAGGCTTTCCGGAGACACCCATGTTTCTCTCACGATGAACTACTCTTCACGGCAGCCGCCCGAGATGCTTCGATTTCCACTGCCAAATGGCTTGCTCCAGCCCTCCAAAGGACCACCCACCGGGAAATAGGCCAACGGGAATCATTCGCTAACCGCCACCGCGATGCCGCGCCTCATAACTGTACTCTGTTTTCTGCAGACCCTGCAGTTAAAGGTGATTGCCAGCTGAAGTTTGTGGTCGAGAACAAGGATCTTCCCGAGGATGAGTACCAATGCCATTACTGCAAGTCGTACATATTCTTGACACAATTCCATTGCAACAAGTCTGGCAAGACGCTCTGCTTGATACACTTGGATGCGCATGATTGCTGTGGAGAGCCAATGTCGCAGAAGCTACTTGGACCTGACCACACATTGCGTTACCGCGTGAGCGACGATGAATTGAAAGATATAATTTCAAGGGTCCAAGAGCGGTCCAGGATTCCGGAAGCATGGGGCCAGAAACTCGAAAATACTCTGGAAGATGAGCCGAAGCCCCAATTGAAGGTCCTTCATAACCTACTTAGTGAAGGTGAGAAAATCCCATACCATTTACCTGGTCTTGAAGATCTTGCGGCCTTCGTTTCACGCTGCGACAAATGGGTTGAGGAAGCAACCAACTACATTACGCGAAAGCAGCAGAACCGAAGGAAGAACGAGAAGGCTTGGCGCAAGGCTACTTCCAAGGCCTCGCAGCTGGAAGAACGTGACCGTGAAGTTCGCAGGGTAGAAAACATCTACGCCCTTCTAGCAGAGGCTGATAAACTGTCATTCGACTGTCCACAGATGGCGGCTCTGGAAGAGAAAACCCGCGAGATCGAGAAATTCCGCCAGGACGTTAAAGTTGCGCTCATGAACCCCGCTCTCCGGTCCGTACAGGAAGTCGAGGAGCTTGTGGAGAACTCCCGGAATTTTAACGTGGAAATACCCGAGGTTGAGAGATTGGAGCACATATTACGACAGATGAAGTGGAATGAGGATGCGGCTCGGAGACGTGATAATTATATGAGCCTTAAGGACTGCCAGGAGCTCATCCAGGCTGGCGAACAACTGGGACTCTCGGGGACAAACGAACACCTCTTGCATTTCAAGGAATTGTTTCGCCATGGTGAGGCCTGGGAGGCGAAAGCTAAGGAGTTGATGTCCGTAGAGGCGGTACACTACCAACAGCTGGAGGCTTTATCTGCGCAGGCGTCTCGCTTTCCCGTCTCCCCAGAGACACTCGCAGCCGTAGATGCCATATTGACCAAACAACGCGAAGCGCAGAAACGAATACAGAGCCTTTACGAAAGGAGCAAGGACGAGAATTTCAGGAACCGGCCCAAGTACAAGGAAGTGAAGGAACTGATGGACTCCCTGGAGGAGCTGAACAGTCGGCCCACGGGCGCTATCGACCTGGAGCGCGAGCAAAAGCGCCATGAGGACTGGATGCGCAAGGGGAAGAAGCTGTTTGGAAAGGCCAATGCTCCTCTGCATATCCTCAAGTCCCACATGGAGTATGTCGAGAAGCGAAATCACTATTGCTTTGACCTGGAAGATCGTTTCCGGCCGCCGGTTGAGCCTGCGTCAAGGGACAACAGCCCAGATGGGCCCAATTCGACTGCAGTCTTTCAACCAATCTGGGGCAGCGGGCAATCGATGGCCAAGCGGGATGTTTTCTGTATCTGCAGACACTCAGAAGCTGGGATGATGATCGAGTGCGAGATTTGTCGGGAATGGTGAGCTCTCTCTCGTCTGCATCCCAATTAGTCTGATCGCTAATTGTATTAGGTATCATGGAAAGTGTCTGAAGATAGCACGAGGCAAGGTCAAGGAATGCGACAAGTACACTTGCCCAATCTGCGACTGGCGACAGAAGATTCCCCGTGACGCTGCTCGTCCGAAGCTGGAGGATCTCCAAGACTGGCAAGCCGAGATGGCTGGTCTTCCCTTCCAGCCCGATGAAGAGCAGCTCCTCGATAGCATCATCAACCAAGCGACTTCATTCCGAGAATTCCTGCAAAACTTCACCAACGCTGCATGCACAACTACTGAAGAGGTCCCCACTTTGATTTTCTATCTCCGCAAGATTGAGGGAGCCGAGGTCCTTCTTGCATATGAGACGAATCTGTTCCGACAGGAGATCCACAAGTGGCAGCCTGTCGCTCCAGACCCGCCACCAATCCTCGAACAATCGCTCTCAACCAGGAAGCCGCGGCCAACCAAGCAGCAGAAGATCATGGCCCAGCTTGGTGTGGAACGACCGGAAGATCTCCCTGCTCATCTCCGCCCGAAGCAGCAGAACTTAGCGAAGCGCAAGTCTATTGACAATACTCAGCCTGGTCGCCCGCCAATTCTTCAGCCTGCACCTCAAACTCCTGGCGCTGGCTCTAATGCAGGGCCAACGTTGACGCCGAGCGATGCGCAAAATGCTCCATACCCGTTCTCCGCAAATTACTCACTCCCCGCGAGCGACTCCACCCCCGCGTTTCCGCACGAGTCCTCGGCCTTCCTACCACATGTTGGTGCTGATTCACCGCCGTTCCCTACACGCTCTCCGACCCCTCCCGCTCACCATGCTCTCAATTCGGCACTGTTCAGTCCTCCCCGCTTTCCGCGAAATACTGCAGGCGGACCGCCGGGTGTCGATGTCGATCATTCAAATCCATTCGGCAGCAGCCCTCGGGCGAACCTCGATGATGTCTTTGCCGATCTGACGAACCAAGATGATGGGGAGCCAGAGCAAGACCCAGAACCAATGGAGAACACGCATGCCAATGAGGCCTTGGAGGCGCTCGTCGTCGGTCATGACAGGGAAAGCTCTGCGACAGTGGCTGAAGGCGACGGTGAGAAATCGCACGAGATCAATGGCCATCCCGAGCCCGAAGCTGGCCTCAATAATTGATGCGGCTTGATTTCCCTTCTCTTCCCTTCATTCTTCTAGATATTGTGTTCCAACCTCTTATAACCGGTGTGTTTCCACGATGATTGCACGGCGTGCGCTTCATTAGCATTTTCATCGTCCCTACCAAACCGCAATGTATGATTCGTTATGCCTGATGTTTCCGGTATGCCTGTTCGAGTTCGTCTTCCCATCTTTCTTGTTTCTGCTTTATTCTTTTTATCTCGCGGAGTCCGGTCTGCCTGCTCGCTTTTCTGGCAAAACCATCCCAAAGACTTGCCAGGTTTCATTCCAAGGTGTTATGTCAGTTGATGTCATTGCGTTTCTTCTTTTCTAATGTCGGTGTATTAAACGAAACGGAGAATTCGGCGAGATGGAGAAGATGGGCTGTGTCGTTTGTTTTCGTTCTTATTCTTTATCTTCTGGGGAGGGACGGATGTGTTGTGCTTTGCAGAGGCCTGAGATTATTCAACTCTCTCTTTCAATACAGTGTACGAGTAGTTCGAGCTCCTTCTTCACCTGCTGTTGTTCTTTCCTTCGTGTTCTACTTTATCCACAGATGTATCTTTAATTGATAGATTTTATTCGATTCACTTCGATTCTATCACTCTGTTTCTTTCCTTCCTTTCGCTATAGTCCAGGTATGCTTGGGTAGATCAAGTGTCCACGTATGCCCCAAGAGCAGATTGTCCCCCTGTATGGATGAATAGCGCGTTAACATGCCCTTGCTCCCCTTCATCCTCGAAATTCCAACCCATAACCCCCCTCATCACCTTGGCCGTATACACCGGATCCAAAATAACCTCTTCCTTCTCCGTCACAAATTCCAACGCCTCCTTCGTCCCAGGATCAAGGATACCATACCCCGAGCCGACGAACCGATCATCCAGCCGGACATCAGCCATCGTGATATCTTTCTCCGGGTCTAGCCCAATTAACGAGCCCGCTTGCCGCGCGAACCGCAGGATGCGTTCTTCGTGGTAGGGTTTTGGCTGTGTGGGCGACGTGAGGATTCCGATTATTCGGCGGGGCCCTGTATTTGTTAACTGTTGCTGGTGGTGGTGCTGCTGCGTCTTCTCGAGGAGCTTGAAACCTGCGATTAACCCGGCCAGTGTACTTCCGCTTCCACACGCAACGAGGATGTAATCGAACCTGCCGGATGCGAGACCCCGTTGACCGGAGGATAGGGCAGAGGAAGAGTCATGGAGTAGTAGCTCATCACTCATCTCCTTTTCCTGCGCTGCAATCTCAAACGCACACCTCGCATACCCCAACCCACCGAGCGGGTGCAAACTCGCCCCCGACGGAATCCAATACGGATTCTTGCCCTCACTCCTCAAACCCTGTAGCACCTCCTCAACAAGATCATCCTGCGTCTTCGTCTCTCCCGAGACCAGATCTGGTTCCGGCGGATCCAGAATCCTCACATCACTAGCCAACAACTTGACGATCTGGACATTCCCCGTCCTGGAAAACGCCGCTGGGTCCGATGAACTTCGTAATCCACCGCCCGTCCCCTTGTGCAAGAGGACAACAGACTCGAGACCAAGCTTGCGCGCGACGGAGGCGACTTGGACGGTGTGGTTGCTCTGCAGGGCACCTTCTGTTACGAGGGTCGTTATCCTTCTATCTCGAGATTCATCTCCACCCTTAGGAATACCGGCGGAGCTGGGAATCGCGGGAAGTTCACCACCAACACCAGCGCCGAACCTCGGTTGCGAAGAGAGGATGTCGGGGACGATGTACTCTAGTTTGCGGTACTTGTTCCCTGCGCAGGCGAGCGGGGAGGAATGGTCTTCGCGTTTTGTGTAAAGGGAGACTTGGGCTTCCCTTCTAGTTCTGTCTTGGCTTTTGTTGCCAGCTCTGCTTTTGTTGAGATGTGATGAGAGAGAGGGGAGTGGGTGGATTGGGGAGAAGAGGAATGGGTAGAGGAGAGTGTGGCGCGGGATTGAGGCGAGGGGTTCTGGGAGGGGGAGGGGGAGTTTTGGAGACATATTTTCGTCTACTCTCTCTCTCGGGCTCTGCGTAATTGACTGAAGACGTAGGAAGTATATGCTGTGATGTTGGATGTAAATAAGTGGTGCGGGATGTATATCGAGTGGAGTGATCTATATAATTGTGAGTAGGTGATAGGAAGGAAGTATCAGAACTCGCTAGCTTGCAAAGGCGGCTTGCTTTACGTCATTAAGTCTTCAAGAATTATAGAGCAAAAAAAAGTAAAGTGCATGAATGAGCTCAAGGAACAGCTGCTGTTATTGGGATGATGCGGGGAGGGGTTGCACCTTCCTATTTCGGACGATGAGACCATAGGCGGTGAACAGGGCGGTTCAAAGCCATACTATTCTGACGGATTTATTTCTGTTGACGATGACATGAGGTATTCACTTGTTGAATCACAGTATGGATAGACACTAGTATTCCTACATCGAGCTTCACATGTGCCGCTTTCAGGAAGCAAAATACAAAAACAAAAAAGACCCAAGCAGAACGCAAAATGGAGAGAGAAGCGGAAACAAAAACCGGACTCTATAGCACAGCCAGAGATCTAGTTTAGCGTACATGCGAGTGCCCAAGTATCACGACAAAAGCAGGTGAGTATGATGCAAAGACAAAAAAGCACAGATGAACACCAACATAATGAGACCCAACTCCGGTCATGTACTATGGCAGCAGCGTAGAAAAGGGAAATGCTATGATGCACATAAATTGACTCCCACCTGAGAAATGCAATGCAACCATATGTGAGGCAAAATATATCAGAATCAAAGACCGATTGGTAAATAAAACGCAATGCAGAGAACCTATCAGAAACATTCCCACTCGGCAAACACACACCAGCGCGCGACCCGGTCGGCGAGGACAAGACCTCGCCAGACGCCACGCTCGCCAATTTTGATCACAGTTTCCCAGACGCTACCGTCGGCGGTGCATTCGCTGGGAGACTCGGAGAGGTTGGGGCTGCTGATCATATGGTCTGCTTTGCGGGTCAGGCGCAAGATCTTGCCTGATGGCGACTGGATGGCCAGCTTGGCAGGCTTCTCTCTGCCCGAGGCTGACCGGGTGGAAGAGATGGCCGAGGTCGAGGCCGAAAACTCGTTCGACACTGTTGATACCGTACTCGAGACCATACTGAGTGCACTTGCAGGTCGAGAAAAGACAGACGGAGAGACACGCCCACTGAAACTATTGTCGGTGCTAACTGGCAGCGGAGTGGGCGAAGAGGGGTGTTGTCGCACGGCGAAGACGAATGTGTTGTTGACAGCTAGTTTGCCGCACTGGGGCTGTATAATGTACAGATCATGGCGCTGCGCATGCGGCGTCGGATGCCGCAGAACAAATTCGTAAGGAGGATTCTCTCCAGAGTGTAGGATCGGAAGCGCAAAAGCAAGCGGGTGAGGGATATCTCGACTCGAGTGCATGAGACCCTTTTTGCCGGCATAAATCTTGACCATGCCCTGTCCTTCGTCGCCTGGAAGGACAGCTTTGATAGTGATGCGCTTGTTGCCATTGACCCAGTCGGGCTGGACGAGTGCACGCTTCCGGACAATTTCGCCGCTTTCGAAGAAGTCTCCATCGGCATCCGTGGCGAAACCAGGCGCCTCAACTTCCGCCGCGCATTCTACGTCTGCTGGAACCAGGATGCGAATCTGGAGAACTTCTAAGCCTTCCAGATGGAAGACACTAGTGTCATAGTCGGGGAATTGTATGCCTTCTTTGAAGTATGTGGGGCAGGTAGTTGGGAGTGCGAGGAGGACGTCGGGAGAGATGGCAGGGCAGATATGCTGTCCTTCAGGCTCCAGAGGTACGTGGGTATAGCAGAACTCAAGAGGCCGAGCAAGGAAATACCATGGTTCGGCTGTGGAGACGTTGGTAGTGACGAACTGGTTCCTTCGCGGATTTGTCGGGCTTGCGAGAGAACAATCCATGAAGCGCCATTCACCATCGACTAGCACCGAATTCCACCAGTGATTCGGTCGCGATAGGCTGTCCAGTTCAAACATATCCCCTGGAGTCTTGAGGAACCCTTCAATCGCCTCCGCGTGCAGACCGACCGCATTACACATCTCCTTGACCAGGTATGCCACTTCCTGCGCACAGCCCCTTTTGGTTTGCAAAACACGTTTAAGGTCGATATCGGCGTCAATGCCATCAATTGGCTCGTCCCAAGCAATTTTCTCGCTTACCCAAGTGAATATGGCGCGTAGTCTCTGGACGTCGCTCTTGTAGGGGCGACAGACATAGCCTTGAGCAAGGCTCATCGGGTTTGTCATTGGCGGGAGGCTGTTAACGAAACGAGCGCTTTTGTCGACGAGCGTGAGATTCCCGGCAGCAAAGTTTGTAGGCTCACTGATCGGTAAGCCGTCGATGCTTTCCTCTCCCTCGGCGGTTTCATGAAGTTCTTCCACCGCGTAGATCACCGGATGGTCCATCATCTGACACCTCTCTGCTCTTTCCACCCTCTCATTCCGGCTTGGGGAGCTTGCCCGGTTGACATCGCGTCGAACCTGGACCCAATCTACAGGACTGTTGCCAGTCCCCATCTCGCGAGCGACGGTCTCCCGGTACGAGTGCGAGGAGTGGATCGGCGAGATTGCTCTCCCCTTCGTGGGAGAATAGGGTCCTCCACTTTGACCGATGGCAATGCTACTCCTGGCGTTGGCGGCACCAGTTTTGGCCGATTCAAGTATTTTCTTGAAAAAGCCCTGCTTCTTGGCCTTAGGAGTTGAGAGCCCGCCAAAGACACCGGTCGGTTCCTCAGGAGTCGTGGCCGAAGCTGACCAAGGGATGGCCGAAGACGCGCCCTGCCTGGAGGTATTGTGACTCGAATGGTATGATATTCCGCTCACGGGTGTTTCAGGACGTGTCCGGGTTAAATCGCTGAAGCCCCTCGCACGGAAGGAATCCATTGCTGTATTTGGTCTCTCGCTCGTGCCAAGGCCTCGTTTGGCATAACTTCCGGCGCTGGTTGCGCTGAATCCCCCAGCGGATATGCCGCTCAGCAAGCTATGGCTTGTCCGGTCCGTGCTAGATGTCTGGTTGGTGGCGTTGCTCTGCACGCCGCTTGAAGAGTTTGTTGCACTCGAAGACTTGGTGCAGCTTCGATTCAACATATCACTCCTGAGATCCTGTCCAGATCGCCGGCTCTTCAGTGACGGATAATGCGCGGGCGTTGAGTTGTGGCGGCCATGATAGGAAATATGCCTCGGCGGTGGTGGAGGCGGCTCATCATCATCATCATCATCATCCCCAGGCTGTGCGCCCTGGGATCCTCGACGGCCCTGTTCTTGCATCTGGCGGAGTCGGCTCTCCATACGTTGCACATAGTTGTTGATTTGCGGTGGGCCTTCGATGAATGGGTCGTGCGTGTAGACGCTGTTACGATGGACCGAATTGCCATTGTAGTAGTCTTTCTCCCCTTCTTCCTCAAAGCCCAGCGATGTCAGAGGTCTCACAGACCTCTGCTGATGATTGCTGTCCTGATACGAGCCGTAAGCATCTGGGGACCAGGGAGTATTGAACTCCGGCTGTGGAGACGGCGAGTGTGAGCCTCGCGACATTCCCATATCTTCAAGCGATGTCATAACGTCTTCCATTGCATCTCGGAGGGGTGAAGGCGTCTGGCCGTTAGCGTCCGAGTGCGCAGCTGGTGATGGCGTTCTTCCAAATACGACATAGCGATCATTCATATCCAAATGCTGGGGCACACCGGGGTTTGGAGAAGGTTCACGGCGAACCGCAACTCGGTGTGGAGGCGGGGGCGGTGGGGGTGGGGATTCTTCACGTTCCGTCAGCTGTAGAGGGGAAATCTCACGGGACGAGTGGTGCGACAGCTGGAGATGGTGTTGCGGAGCAGGGACGGAGGGAGACGTAGACGGATGACGCGAGAGTTGGAGATGATTTTGTGGAACAGGTATTGAGGAAGTCAGAGGCGAATGATGGGAGATCTCGGGGAGCTGAGGCCGAGGCGAGATTGCACGAGACGGAGGCCGCGAGCGTGAGCGGATAGAAGCCTCGCGTTGTTGGGGAGCAGGTTCCTGTTGTGCGCGAGGCGGGCGCGGCGAAACGCCTCGGGACGGAGGCCTGGAGTCTCTGGATATTGATAGAGGGCGAGATAGGGAACTCTGCTGCTTGACGGCGCTGGTTGGTGTGCGTAATGGCTTTGTTTTCCTAGAGAGGCTGCCATCTCGCGGAGGCGTTTGGGGAATTGTACTCCCAATCGGTGACGTTGAAGATGAGCTCCCTCCGGAAGGAGCTAGAGCTTCCTTGTGAGCTTGGAAGGGCTTTCTGAAGACAGTCTTCTGCTTTTTGGGTGCAGAGGTGGGGTTTGTGATCGGAGACACGGCCGCTGGAACCATGGGACTTATTGACCGGCTTACTGGAACAAAGTTCTCCTCCAACACCTGGACAAAATTCGAGGGAAACAATCCGACCATGCGACGGTCTCTCCGCAGCCGACCCATCCACCACTGGCCATCCCCCGCATTTAGACATTCGATCAAATCACCTTCCACAAACCCCAAATCGCGCTTGCTTTCTCCGCCCCAGGAATATACGGCCCGACACCAGCATGGAAACCGGGTTGGGAGCTGTGGAGCGGCTGGTGGCATCACCGCAAGCTAGGGAACATTAAGCGCCCGCAAACACGTTGATGTAGCTTCAACACTGGCGAGGGATGACGCAAAGGGAGATGACGACGCCTAGATCGCTCAATTGGATCCGCAAGGAGTCGGCGAGCTATGCTGTTGAACAACAGAAGCACAGCGCCTATTGAAGGTGAGGTTAGATCCGGGGTCGTTGGCTGAGCGATACAAACATGGGACACGGCAGAAGCGGAGAGGAGCGCGGACGGACTGGCGAGGAAGAGAGAGGGCGGGAGAGAGTGAATCCAAAGCAGCGCCCGCCCTGTTGTGAGATAAGGGTAGGAAGAAGGGGAGGAAACGAGCGAGAAGAGAGTGCGAGGAGGAATAGTGAGGCGGACGAGGAGGAGCTGAAAGGCGACCAAGGAACAGCGCGCTGAGCGGACGGACGGTGAGGCCCGAACGACAGCCTTGTTTTGCTGGTTGTGACTGGACAAGGGCCCGTGTTTACATGGCCGCCCATTTGGGACTAGCGCATCCTTGCTTATCGATAAGCTTATTGCCCAGCCATCTCGTTTTCTCTTCGGTTCTCCTCCTGTTCTCAGCTTTGTTTTCCTTTGCTGCTAAACTCAGAAAATCCGTATATCGGTTGGTTCTATTTTTCTTGGTTGTTGATAACCGAGCCTTACGACAGCTCTAGCCCGGATGAAACCCCCGATCGTCGAGATGAGGTCATAAAACGACCCTGCCAGAACCCAGTGCGCGCCATCCATGGTTCTCGCTCAGATCCCGCACCGCCATCCATGGTCAGGGGCCGGCGCTTCGAATTGGCCTTCATTCGCGGGCGCTACTCGCACACCTGCAATCTCGATCACTAACCTTGGCGGCTCAAGAGCTTAGTTTGACCGTCCACCTGATGACCTCCCAAAGCTACTGCCGGACGTACGGGACACAACAACTAGTTACCGCAATTAGCTTGAGTTGGCTAACAAATTCTGTCGACCGAAATGAATTAATCTCGAACAGTCGAGTTTCCCTCAAAAGGGTCGAAGATCACTTGCTGTCCTTACCTTCACGAGTCATTACATGGGCTTCCTCCTTTGTTCCTGCGCCAGAGACTCGCACCTTGAGAGATTGATCAGCACTCGACTAGGAAAGCCGCATGCCATACATAATGGCCTGCATAACAGTACTCGATCAACATTCCCTGTTACGCGGCATACTTAGGATGGATTAGCATGAACTTGGATGCTTGAGTGATCCTTAGTCAGTATCTTCGTCTGGGGGGCATTGAATTCGGCTCGTGCTCGATCGTCGAGGTGACATGAGCTTGACACAAGTGCTAAGCAAGCTGGCACGGAAACCATATCCGAGGAAGCACCGGCAGCAAAGCGACACAAGCGATGGGGCCGACACAGTCTGGATTTCTCTGATTGCCATGCTTGATGTATTCACTATCGAATCTCGTGTCCACTGACGAATCTCCTCGTGGAAAGCGGCATATCTCACGAAACACCTCATATCATGACTACTATTGGGGTCTAGATGGCTCCAAGGTATAGCTTGCCCAACGTCGCTCCACGAGAGGATAATATTAGAAACGTAGGTGTGATGACAATGGACCATTATAGTTTAGGGGCACTTTGAGAGCCATGTGCGGTCTTATCCCCCGAGCACCCTCACTGTCGTACATATCCTTAAAGCTGTATCGGCGTCGCCGGGAGTATATGATCATCAAGCCACCCCTGACAGGAGTCCACATATTCCACAAGAGGCCAAGGCAACAAAGTCGTCAGGTTGGATCATGACTAGTGAACGGTGATGACGTCCATTCTACTTCAGTCTTCCTTTCTCAGATGGACAATGTAACCCTACGGGTAGTATACAGGACTAGCTGTGCGGGATCGCGACCAAGCCAACAAACGCCAACCATGAATCTCCTAAATTTTGAGCGCTCTTATCGGGAAACATGCTTTATTTTAGTAAATTCTGACCTGGCAACAAAAGATAAGGATCTTATTTGTCGTTGTCGATCTAGAAGAAGGACTCACTTATCACGATTGGCATGTGACGGGCTTCGATCGACGGATGCGGCAACCCTTAATCAACCTCGACCTCTGGAAGCGCCCGGCAAGTGGACTTGGAACTGCCAAGTTTTTGCACACGAGAACTGAATGCATCCATGGATCTTGGGCCTCCGATACACTCCTGTTTACCATACGGGACTGTCGATGTTTGACCAAGCTGCTCCCTTATACACGGCCTTCAATGCATCTTGCAGGGTAAATGATCGAGTGCTTTCTGCGCGTCAAGTTTTGATGAGTCTGGGACTGAGAACCGACGTCTTTCGTTCAACATGACAAGCTCAACTAAGCTCCTGCGATCTGTGCCAAGGCAATGGGGAAAGTGGAGATCTCCACTGCCTGACCCTGGGAAACCCCGATCTAGAACTCTTGCCTCGAGAATCAACCACAGATAAGACCAATTCTCCGCTCATTGACCCACATTACAGCGACTGTCGTATCTCTGCGGCCTGCTTGTGACTGTTTGGCAATGCTACCTTGGCCTTGGTCCCGAACCATACTACCATGGTCGGTGATGTGATGTGTATAGTCCGTTAGCGCATGTTGCAGTCAAGTCAATCGGCGCAGTCAAGAGGAAAATAGGGACTGCCCGATCGGTATAAATAAAGCCTCTAGCCGAGGGCCGCGCGTTTTCCAGCTTTGACTTGAGTTTGACTTGACCGTCCTGGATAGATATAACCTAGTACTTCCCAGTATGGACGGCTCGTATCATGTCTATCTCTTCGGAGATCAGACGGGTGATTTCGAGGTCGGCCTTCGCCGTCTTTTACAGGCAAAGAACCATACGGTTGTCTCGGCTTTCTTCCAAAGAAGCTATCATGCATTGCGTCAGGAAATTGCTAGTCTTCCTCCGGCTGAGCGCAGTATGTTTCCTCGATTCACCAGCATTGTGGATCTACTCGCACGGCACTGTGAGTCCCGAGGGAACTCGGCGATGGAGAGCGCATTGACTTGCATCTACCAATTGGGATGCTTTATCAAGTATGTCACAAGTTAGCTTGGCCTTGCTGGCCGCGTTCTGAGCTCTATGCTAACCAGGCCCAGCTACCATGGTGACCTTGGTCATGCCTACCCTTCATCTTCAAAGAGTCACCTCATTGGATTATGTACAGGGCTACTCAGTTGTGCTGCTGTCAGCTCTGCCACCAATATTGGAGAACTCATTACCCCCGCTGTCGAGGCAGTTGTTGTGGCATTCCGGCTCGGGCTGTGCGTCCTTCGAGTTCGAGGACTGGTTGACGGAGAGCAAGCAGCATCGCTCAGCTGGTCCGCTTTAGTGTCAGGAATCAATGAAGCTGAAGGGACTGACATGATTGCTAAGTTCAGCAGCGAGAAGGTGAGTTATCGTTTTCCACAGATAACTCGTCAATATTAATTACCGAAAGGCTATTCCTCCTTCCTCTCGACCCTACATCAGTGCAGTGTGTGCGAATACGTTGACTATCAGTGGACCACCACTTGTTCTTGACAAGTTTCTTGATGCCTCCCTATCAAAACAACACAAGGCTGTCAGAGCTCCCATCCATGGCCCGTATCATGCTGCTCATATGTACGATGACCGAGATGTTGATAGGATTCTTGACGCCTGCAATCCAGACATTGTATGCAAGTACAATCCTCATATTTCTATATTGTCAAGTCACACCGGAAAGCCTATGGCAGTCGACACCATGAAAGACTTTCTCCGCCTTGCGTTGGAGGAGATTCTCCTACGTCAAATGTGCTGGGACAAAGTCACAGACTCATGCGTATCCATGCTGAGATCAGTCGGCAATCATACATCCAAGAGAGTGTTCCCCGTCTCTACTACAGCCACCCAGAGTTTGATGAACTCTTTGAAGAAGGCTGGCCAAACCGATATAGAAGTGGACGGAAGCCTTGGTGACATCTCTGCTGAGCCTCAATGGCACAATGCCACCGGGAAAGCAGAGCTTTCGAAGATCGCTATCATCGGAATGTCAGGGCGGTTCCCCGAAGCGGACAGCCCTCAGGATTTTTGGAATCTTCTGTACAAGGGCCTTGACGTACACCGAAAAGTCCCAAAAGAGCGCTGGGATGCCGATGCCCATGTCGATCTCACTGGTTCCGCAAAGAACACTAGCAAAGTTCCCTATGGATGCTGGATCCGGGAGCCAGGCATGTTCGACCCTCGGTTCTTCAACATGTCACCCCGTGAGGCACTTCAAGCGGACCCCGCACAGCGCCTTGCACTGCTCACGGCATATGAAGCCCTAGAAGGGGCCGGTTTTGTTCCAGATAGCACTCCTTCAACCCAAAGAGATCGAGTTGGAATATTCTATGGAATGACAAGTGACGACTATCGTGAAATAAATAGTGGTCAAGACATCGACACCTACTTTATCCCCGGTGGAAACCGCGCCTTTACGCCTGGCCGAATCAACTATTACTTCAAATTCAGCGGTCCTAGTGTGAGTGTTGATACAGCGTGTTCTTCTAGCTTGGCTGCTATCCATCTCGCGTGCAACTCGATCTGGAGGAATGATTGTGATGCTGCTATTACCGGAGGTGTGAACATCCTAACCAACCCAGACAACCATGCTGGGCTCGACCGTGGCCATTTCCTATCGAGGACTGGGAATTGCAACACCTTTGACGATGGGGCCGATGGATACTGCAGAGCAGATGGAGTCGGTACTATCGTACTCAAGCGACTCGAAGATGCTCAAGCAGATAATGATCCCATTCTAGGGATTATCAACGGCGCCTATACCAACCATTCGGCCGAGGCGGTTTCGATAACCCGACCACACGTGGGAGCGCAAGCGTTCATCTTCAAAAAGCTGCTAAATGAAGCAAACGTCGACCCTAAAAGCATCAGCTATGTAGAGATGCACGGGACTGGCACTCAGGCTGGCGATGCTGTAGAAATGCAGTCTGTTTTGGACGTCTTTGCACCGGACTATAGACGAGGACCGGGTCAATCACTCCATCTGGGCTCAGCCAAATCAAACATTGGTCACGGTGAATCAGCTTCCGGTGTGACTTCTCTCGTCAAGGTTCTGTTGATGATGAAGGAAAACATGATACCTCCCCATTGTGGGATCAAGACCAAAATCAATCATAACTTCCCTACTGACTTGGCCCAACGAAACGTCCACATCGCCCTTCAGCCCACGCCTTGGAATCGCCCAGAATCCGGAGAACGTCGAATTTTCTTGAACAACTTCTCCGCTGCCGGTGGAAACACTGCTCTGCTGTTGGAAGACGCGCCTCTTTCAGGGTGTGACGAGCAGGATACCCGACCTGTACACGTTGTCGCAGTATCTGCACGGTCTCAGACTGCTCTCAAAAATAATACTGAGTCACTGATCCAGTACATCAATGAACAACGAAGCGCTTTTGGAGTCAAGGAGAGCGGCATTCTACCTAGTCTCGCGTACACCACCACAGCGCGTCGCATTCACCACCCTTTCCGGATCACAGCAACAGGATCTAACCTGCAAGAGCTCTTGGACTCACTAAATGCAAGCACTAAAAAAGAAGTTTTCGCAGTTTCTAGCAAGCCACCTGCTGTCGGATTCCTTTTTACTGGCCAAGGGGCCCAATACGCAGGAATGGGCAAGCAGCTCTACCAAGGTTGCTCTCAATTCCGGGACACGATCCAGCATCTTGACTGCATTTGCCAGAGTCAGGATCTTCCATCTATTATTCCACTTGTTGATGGCAGCGTACCTTTGGGCGAACTAAGTCCTGTGGTGGTGCAACTCGGAACCGCGTGCGTGCAAATGGCCTTGACCAGCCTCTGGTCCTCTTTGGGTGTCAAGCCCTCATTCGTCTTGGGCCACAGTCTTGGTGACTACGCTGCATTGAATGCCGCTGGTGTTCTCTCTCCCAGTGATGCTATTTACGCCTGTGGCCGCAGAGCCCAGCTTCTTACAAGCCAGTGCCAAGCTGGGACACATGCCATGTTAGCCATCAAGGCTCCACTTCTTGCAGTCAAGCAATTCCTCCGTGAGGATGTGCATGATATCGCTTGCATTAACTCGCCTTCTGAGACTGTTATCAGCGGTCCTAAGGCTTCCATTGATGAACTCAATCAAGAATGCTCAAGGCAAGGCCTGAAGTCCACGATGTTGACGGTGCCATATGCCTTCCACTCCGCCCAGGTTGATCCAATCCTTGGAAGCTTGGAAGAAATCATGAAGGGCGTCACTTTCAATAAGCCATCAGTAGCATTCGTCTCAGCTCTGCTTAGTGATGTGATTACCGAAACCAACTGCGAGATCCTGACCGGGAAGTATCTGTCGCGGCATTGCCGGGAGACCGTCAACTTCTTGAGCGCATTTGAAGCAATCAGGAACGCCAAGTTGAGCAATGACCAAACCATGTGGTTGGAGATTGGTCCGCATACGATCTGCTCAGGAATGGTGAAAGCGACGCTTGGCCCACAAGCAAGCACAGTTGCATCTCTCCGGCGCGATGAGGACGCATGGAAGATCCTCGCAACTAGCCTTTCAACTCTTCATCTCGCGGGAATTGACATCAACTGGAAGCAATACCATCAGGACTTCAACTCCAGTCATCGTGTGCTTCCATTACCCGCCTACAAGTGGGACCTGAAGAGCTATTGGATTCCTTACAGGAACAACTTCTGCCTGACGAAAGGTGACCCCGTGGCTACAACGGAGGCTCCGGCACAGACCACGTTCCTGACGACGTCCGCTCAAAAGGTTGTTGAGAGCAGCAGTGACGGAGCATCCGCAACAGTTGTTGTGCAGAATGACATTGCCGACCCAGAGCTTAACCGAGTTATCCAGGGCCACAAGGTCAACGGAGCCGCCCTTTGCCCCTCTGTAAGCCTTCTCTAGATTCATCGTGGCCAATGCCTGCTAACACACGTTACAGTCCCTCTATGCAGATATCGCCCAAACCCTGGCAGACTATCTAATTGAGAAATACAAGCCCGAGTTCAAGGGTCTAGGCTTGGACGTCTGCAACATGACAGTACCCAAGCCTCTCCTCGCAAAGACTGGCAAGGAGCTGTTCAGAGTATCTGCAACTGCCAACTGGGCTAACCAATCCGCATCGGTGCGAGTATGGTCGGTGACACCAGAGGGAAAGAAGATCCTTGACCATGCATCCTGCGAGGTCAAGTTCTTTGACTGCGCTGCCTCTGAGATGGAGTGGAGGCGTAGCTCTTACTTGATCAAGCGGAGCATTGAGCTACTTGAAGAGAATGTCCTTAAGGGAGATGCCCACCGTCTGAAGAGAGGGATGGTCTACAAGCTCTTCAGCGCACTAGTCGACTATGATGAGAACTATCAATCGATCCGGGAAGTGGTTCTCGACAGCGAGCATCACGAGGCTACCGCGTGTGTCAAGTTCCAAGCACCACCGGCAAACTTCCACCGTAACCCGTACTGGATCGACAGCTTTGGACACTTGTCCGGATTTATCATGAACGCGAGCGATGGGACGGATTCCAAGAACCAGGTCTTTGTCAATCACGGATGGGATTCCATGCGATGCCTGAAGAAGTTCTCACCCGATGTCACATATCGCACGTACGTGAGGATGCAGCCATGGCGAGACTCGATCTGGGCAGGCGATGTCTACATCTTTGAAGGAGAAGACATTGTTGCTGTGTATGGGGGTGTCAAGGTAGGTTCCGTCGTTCTCTTTGTGTGGACTATTACTGACTCTGTCGACAGTTCCAAGCTCTGTCGCGCAAGATTCTTGACACGGCTCTTCCGCCAGCAGGGGCTGCCAAGGCAAAGAGTGCACCACTACAGTCTTCAACCCCTCAGAAAATAAAGCTTCCTACGAATACAGTGGCTCGGCCCAACCCACCCGCTCCTACTAAATCCTTCACCAAGAAGTCGGCAGGTCCCAGTGTGATAGTGCGGGCACTTAGCATTCTGGCCTCGGAAGTAGGCTTGTCAGAAGCGGACATGTCGGATGACATGGTTTTCGCAGACTACGGCGTCGACTCATTACTTTCTTTGACGGTCACCGGCAGATACCGAGAGGAACTCAACCTGGACTTGGAATCATCTGTGTTTATAGATCAGCCGACAGTCCGTGACTTCAAACAATTCGTGATCCAGATGAGCCCGTCAGAGTCAAGCGATGGCTCCGCCAGTGAGCCTGAGACTGAGTTCTCGTTCAACGGTGACGTCTCGTCCGGAGCATCAAGCCCGGCGTTCGCAGGCACGATCTCGCCACCAAATGAGAAGATGATCATGCCCGTCCAAGAGAACAACACTATGAAAGGAATTCGGGCTATCTTGGCGGATGAGATTGGTGTACCAGCCGAGGAAATCAAGGCTGATGAGAGTCTGAGTGAGATGGGAATGGACTCATTGCTTTCCCTTACCGTCCTAGGCAGGATTCGAGAGTCCTTGGATCTGGACTTGCCGGGAGAATTCTTCGTCGAGAATCAGACCATAGCACAGATTGAAACTGCACTGGGCTTGAAGCCAAAGGCTGCACCGACCCCGGTTGCTGTACCACCTCCCATTGCGTTGCCAGAGACGGTTCCAGCAAACAATCTGAGCACACAGTCGGTGGCAAGTGGCAGCCATCCGCAAGCGACATCTATCCTGCTACAAGGTAACCCAAGGACTGCTACCAAGACGCTCTTCCTCTTCCCCGATGGTTCCGGTTCTGCAACGTCCTATGCCACAATTCCCGGTGTCTCTCCAGACGTCTGCATCTACGGACTGAACTGCCCATACATGAAGACACCCGAGAAGCTCAACTGCAGCCTCGATGAACTCACAATCCCCTACCTCGCCGAAATCCGCCGCCGCCAGCCCAAGGGCCCTTATAACTTCGGCGGATGGTCCGCAGGAGGCATATGTGCCTACGACGCCGCGCGAACCCTCATCCTTCAAGAGAACGAAGAGGTAGACCGTCTCCTCCTCCTCGACTCGCCCTTCCCCATCGGCCTCGAAAAGCTCCCAACGCGCCTCTACAACTTCTTCGATAAAATCGGCCTCTTCGGCGAGGGCAAAGCCGCCCCTCCAGCCTGGCTCCTTCCTCACTTCCTCGCCTTCATCGACTCCCTCGACGCCTACAAGGCCGTCCCACTCCCCTTCAACGAAACGCAGTGGGCGAAGAAAATGCCAAAGACGTACCTCATTTGGGCCAAGGACGGCGTCTGCCCTAGTCCATCCGACCCTTGGCCTGAGCCAGCCCCCGATGGAAGCAAGGACCCCAAGGAGATGGTGTGGCTCCTCAACAACAGGACGGATCTCGGTCCGAACAAGTGGGATTCCCTAGTTGGGCCGCAGAATATTGGTGGCATTACTGTTCTGCAGGGGGCAAACCATTTCACCATGACCAGGGGCGAGAAGGCGAAGGAGCTCGCTTCCTTCATGGCGGATGCTCTGGGTGCCTAGTCTGTGTGTGTTGGTTCAGAAAGGAAAGGTAATTTGCAGTGTCACAATATTTTTTTCTGACTGATCTACCACGCGTATGTTGCTTTTCCTATCACTTACTCTCCTTGATAGCATGGCTGTTGTTTTTTCAATCTCTATTTGTGTACTAATCATATTTGTACCAATAATCGCAAACCAACTATATAGCTCTCAAAAGACATTCCATTTATAAAAGCGTTTATCGTTCCGATATCTTATTGCTGGGCAGCAGAATCATGAAAACCCCTAATATTTGTTTGCCTCGGGCATTTGGCTAGTCTTCTGTAGCAAAGCAGTGCGATAGATACCACCCCCCTGCCACTCACGTCAACAAGCGCTATATCAAAAGCACCAAGCTTGAGTCAAGGACACAGTTGCATCACTAGACCCACCATGATGGTTCCTACCGTCCGGATGCTACTATAACACCCAACTCAATGTCCGCGTAGAAAAATCGGTACGGTAGCATTCATTCCTCTAAGTAAACGTCATAGAGTCGGGCAAGTATTTGCACATTCCAGGCTCTGTCTTTCCCACTATGTAACAGACCAGCGAAAACAAGTAAAGTGGACTAGATACAGCGCCAGAAACGCAAATGAGAAACTCAGAAGGACAAGAAAAAAAGACGTGGCTTGACATAAGAGATAGATCATAGAAATAAAGATAAGATTTGCGTGCAGGGAGGTAGCACGGCAGAAGACGAAATCGAGCGGTTTCTAGATATAAGAGCTGTGTTCGCTCGCATGAGTGACGTCCTTACTAGGTCTAGCCGGACTTTCACGGTCAACACTGGAGGCCCAAGAGGGGTCCTGGGTGTGGGTGTTGGGTGGGTGGGTTGAGGGCAGTCGACTTGTTGGTTTAGAGAGACATCTCGGAACTAAATCTCAGCGCGCTCCCACGGCCAGGAAAGTTGGAGCCATTGTTGATCCCCGGGCTTGTTGGGCGGCTATTACCAGCTGTGAGTTTAGGGCTTCGAGGCTGTGTGCTTGTTGAGCGAGTCGATGGACGATTCCTGCGAATCTCTCGCAGTTCATCTTCCTTCCTATGGAGAAGGTCTTCCCTCGACGAGAGCAGCGCTTCGAGTTCCGCGATGCGTGCCAAGTGACGAGACTCATCACTCTTGATATTCAGTTCGCGTAGACGGGACGCTTCGCCAGCGACCTTGCGCCTTAGGGCCTCGTTTTCTTCCTTGAGCGTTCGTAGTTCCGTACCCGACTGAGCGGCGACATTGGAAGCGGTTTGGTACTGCTCGCGGGTGTATTCGGCCTGCTTATGTTCGTATTCAGATTTGCGCTCCAGGCTCGCGTTCTCCTTTGTCAGACGGCGGATCTCCTCTCTTGCCTTCTCGAGTTCGGCCATGTCGCCGCCGCCAGCTTTTAGGGCTTCGCGAGCTTTTTCGAGGTCATGGCGAAGTTCGGTTCGTTCATCTTTTAGTCGTGACATTTCTTCTTTCTGTCTTTGTAGTCTCTGCTCAGCTGTTGTTTTAGTCTCAAGCAGACGGTCCCGCTCTTGTCGGAGCTTGTGGAGATCTTTAGTCCGAGTTTCATAACGATGTTGTAGCGATTCAAGGATTTTTTCCCTTTCTTGAAGACAGGTCTGGGCGGCGGCTAGTGAGGTCTGGAGCTTTTTGATATCTGCCGCGTGAGAACTCTTCATTTCTACCACCTTCTTTTCAATGTCGAGTAGACCGCCATTTAGGGTCTGGGATGGCCCACCGGAAATGTCCGTAAACTGGGTTGTTTCTTGAGACTCTTCCATCCTCGGCCGTTTCGAGGCCGGCTCGCTGGTATCTGACATCTAGTAATAGTTAGTAAAACGCTGTTTGAAGACTATAAAGTCTACTCACGAATACCCGTTTTTGGGCCGTGGGGTTAACGGGCTTGGAAATTTGAGTGCTTGGTTTGATGAAGCCTTCGTCTTCAATTATTTGCCGGAGGGCTTCAACTGGAGGCAATGTCCAATGCAAGTTAAAATTGTCGGAGAGCAGACAGGCCAAAATTTCGTTTGCGTCTTCCTGCACCCCCAAGGCGTCGTCCTGCAACTCCCCGATGATATCACGTAGTTGCCTGATATACTTGAAGACCAAAGCAAGCCTTTGGGATGTTGGAGACCCTGGGAAGCACAGCTCCACGTGTTCGCTTGAGTTGGCGATAATAAGTCTGATGACAGGCAGTAGATGGCCATTGCGAGCAAAAGTCGTGCGCATGTGCTCCATAGAAGGCTTCTTTACATCCAACGAGGAGTCAAAGGCAATGACTGCTAACGGCGGTTTGTATGTTTCCATAATGCCCTCATCTTGCGCATTTTGTATCCCAAAACTCAGAGAACCTTTGGCCATGGAGACCTCCACATTTGTGCCTGATCCCATATCCACGCGTGGGCGAGTATATGCGAATCCCTTACCTTCAAGGTAGCGCTCAACAACTCGCTGCGTTTTCTCTCCTCGCACTGCTATCACTAGATGCATCTCATGTTCACCCGGGGCCTGAGCCTTGATAAGGTAGCTCAATACAAGGAATTTGGCACTGGAATACTCTGCCCACGTAGCCTGGTTTTCCAGATTTTCGTCCGCGTCTTTCAAATGTTCACCAAAATTTAGGTCTGGATGAGTCGCTGCGTTGCTCAGGCGCTCCAGCACCCGTTCTGCCAAAGATACAACATCACTCTTCTGGTTGGTCGTTAGTCTAGACAAAATACGACAGGTTGCAGTTTCATTACCTCAGTGCCTGAATTGCCCGAATTCTGGTTGAAACTTTCCTCATTGATAAGAGCATAAATAATGTGTTGCCCCTCTGTGAGAACCTTGTCATAGTCGTCCTTTACCCGCGAGTCCATTGGAAGTGGTACGGCGAACTCGGAGGGGCCCAAATGAAGGGAGCCTGGAGTTACTTGTTCCTGATAGGCTATCGTCAATGCGCTGGGCTGGATAGTCTGAACTTCATGTGGTTCGAGTACTGGTTCGGGCAAAGGCTCTAGAGTTGGCACTTTCAAGGGTTCTGGATGATGGGAAGTATCCTTGTCGACCCTCACACTGAGCGGAGCCACAGTTTCTGGTATTGACAGCGGTGCAGAAGGTTCTATGTCTCCAACCGAGGATGGTGTTGCGCTTGGTTCGATTGACTGGGGCTCGAGCGTGCTTTTCTCCCGTGTGCTAGCCCATAGATTTCTCATCTTTTCGCGCGGTGTCGCACCTTCAAGATGGCTATATTTCTCCAGTGTCTCCTTCAGAGAAAGCGCCCCCTTCTGACTTTGGTCATTCATGGTGGCAGCTGTCTCCGAGAGACGGGGAATGGAAAACCTAGACGTGTTATTAGCTCCACGCTCTAGCAAGGACGTTGAACGACCAATTATATTTCGTAGGTTGGCGAACGGGGAACCGGGTGTGAGCGTCCTGGAGTTGATTGAGTGTTGTGTGGCGAGTACAACAGGAGATTGACGTAGGGAAGGCACTGAATCTCTCGCTACTAGTGTCTCCGGTGTAGAAGCCGTATGGCCTCTTTCAAGGCGAGTGGGACTAACACTGGGATTGGTTTCGTCCAGCGTAGTTCTTGGATGGACTGTAGCCGGGGATCTACTGAGCTCTGAGTTCCGTGAAGGAGTGTTTGGCGAATCTGTGGGCAAAGCTGCCGTGCGCCGGGGACTAGATGCCGCTCGATTAGGGTTCGTCTGCGACCCTCCGGTGGGCTGAAGGTTCAGTAGGATGGACGGAGTCTCCGGAATTTCTGTCCCCGGACTGCTCTGCGCAATAGGGGGTGGCCTAGGTTCAATTGATCTAGGGTTTTCGGTTGTCGCACTACCCAGGTTCAGGCTACCACTGGCCTTCGGAGTTGATGTCCTTGTAGGAGCTGCGGTGTGCTGGACCGGTAAAAAGGGCTCTTCGGATTCACCCGGCAGGAGATATTCGGGGGGTATAGGTGATCTAGCGTAGTACTCAAACACGCGATGAGTACGCTTAGTTGCTGGTTTCTTGATATCGTAGGTTTGATTATAGTCCTGTCTTCCAAAGCTTGATTGTGAAAGGCCGTTCGTCTCCTGGGTGTACGACTGGGATACGGGGTCCGGAGACACAAATAATGGTGAGTCGGGTGTATTCTGCACGGCAGCGTCTTGTTCTGGAGTCTCGAGCCGTTGTTCGTGCGCCGGTGGGGTATGCGATTGCGCGGGGGCCGCTTCGTTGGTCTTCGAGGCAAGTTGATCTTTCTTCTGCTTCTTTTTGGTTTGCCAAATTTCTACTGCTGTTTCGCTTGCGTTTTCCTTGGGCTCCTAATATAGTACAGCGTTTAAACAGTGTTTCAACAAGATGCCGCGCTCTGTGTGGGTAGGTCGAACGCACCCAACTTGGGGGGTAGTTCCCAACCCAGTCTATCAAGTATTGGGACTCGGACTCGTCGAGAATACCGTTGATTTCCCACTCTTCGTCATCAAGTTCTTCCGGGTTTGACTCTGTCTCTTCGTCGTCGTCGTCGCTCGAAGTAACAATGAACTGGTTGTTCCAATTATTGCGACGTGATTTGTTCGGAGATCCGGTACACACTGAGCGCATCATGCGTGCGGAGAAAGGATGGCGGTTAGTCGGCCCATTATGGGAGGCAGGATATGTCAGAGGGAGGTGCTGTAGGAGATATATGGACGCGAAGCTAGCAATAACTTTGTAGAGCCAGCCAACCTAGAACAAAGAGAACGAGTGAGGAGGGATAGAGAGGAAGACGAGCGAGTATGAACTTTGGTTGACGGAGAGCTTCACGGGTGATCGCCCACACGTGACGTCCTATCAGCGCCTAACTCCACTCGGTATACTTGAAAGATTCTCGTTGATTCTTTTTGCAAAATAGGGAATAATGGATAGGTGAGTGATGGTATTGTCAGAGATTAACTGGCGAGTGTGTGGTTATTGTTTCATACCCATTGTGGCCGTGAATTAAGACGAAAACCTCACATTCACTCGAGTTAGGCAAAGATCTAAGTAATCTATGGAACATCAAGAAAGTCTCACTACATATTTATCATGGGCAGTGTTGCTGCTCGTTTTCCCACGTTTCGAAGTCATACCCAAGCTCTTTAAGGGTTTTGATCGAGCGTCGCGCTTCGCCTTTAGAAAAGAATGCCTTCCGCGTTTCTGCAATCCCCTCTCGCATCCATCTTTCCTTCTTGCCCCAGTGATTACACTGTTTCCCGTGCCCGTTGTTGGTAAGTCCGGGGCGAGTCTGCGCTGTGGAGGCCCATTCATGCAGCATGTTCAGATGGTCTGCGTCTCGCGGGAACGGCAAGAGGTGAAATGCAGGGCCATCACCTTTCTCAGCAACTACCGAAGCTTCCCATGCCTCCATCTCGGCTGTAGATGGAAGGCTAAGACGGCCGGACCACACGCGTGAGAATACTGCAGCCTGATTCTCAGATAGAGGAAATGGAACAACCCTCTGAGGTAATGCAGGGAAGACAAGCGTAGGGTCATGGATGTAGAACAGGTGCTGGTAGGTGTTTTGAGCTCTGCGGCCGTGCGTTATAACAGGCGGGTTTAGCGAGGATAGGAAGGGGAAAGAGTAAAGAAAACCCGTGCAGAAAACAATCGCGTCGATATCCTGCTCGACTCTACCATCCGCGAATCGGACAGCCCTCTCGTGGGTACTTGGTGGGAGAAATTCGGATATCTCGGGATAGTAGGCCTTGTCCGTTGCGCTTGGAGACAGATAGGCCTCTGTGCGCTGCGAGGCCAGGACTTTGTCTTTGCTCACTTCGTTGATCTGGTTTCCAATATCGAGTCCAGACGCAGAGCTTCCAATGACAATCACCTTTTTATCTTTGAACGCAGCCGGCGAATCATAAAATTTGGAATGGATTATCACATTCGGATACGCCTCATTCCACTCCTTAATTCCGAGAATCTCCGGCAGATATGGGACGTCAAAGTGCCCACTCGCGGCAACTACGGCATCATATGAGCCGGTTGTAGTGGCTCGAGTGCGTAGATTTTTGGTTGTTATTGTCCAGCCTGTCATATCTTGTTTGTTCCTTCGGACGTCGGTCACTTGGGTCTCGAACTGGATGAACTCTTTGACCTCCTCTCCATACTCTCTCAAGTATTCCTTGACTGTGAAATGTCGAGGAAAGTCCTGGACATCGGGTGGAAACTCCTTCTCTCCATATGCCATCAATTCCTTGGGCAGGTTTGTATCCAACGTATCATATACGGGAGAGATGAATGTTGGTTCTTCCTCTTTGGAGCCCGCTTTAGGAAGCCATACCGGCTCTTCTAGTACTCCAGTCGGACTGAGCTGTGGTATTGGGATAGAAGTGGACTCCTTGAGCGTAGCCGGACTGTGGTTCCAGACTCCAGACATATGGCTCCTTCTCTCATAGACATCTATCCTCTCAAAGCATTTCTCGGCCAGTAGATACCTAGGATACGAATAAGCAACCGTTTCGTCCCATCATAAGCAGGATCGCATACTTTACCGCAGCCAGGCCGGCCGGCCCAGCTCCGATTACAGCTATGCGACGAATCTGTTTAGACAGGTCCATATTTTGGTCCAACCTTGAAGGATGAAAGTGTGACAACAAGGTGGTGTCGAAGTTCCATAGGTACCGCGAAGTACTTATCATGGCATTACTGCCATGGCACCACTGAAGGGCGTACGGAGTATGCATTTCCGATGCCGGGGGAGTAGAACGAAGGGACACTAACCCCGAGTGGGTAAAAAACGTCGGGCGGTGGTGCCTCGATAGAGTATAGATACAGCTCGACGGCGCGTCAAGGTGGTCTCGCCGGGATATGGTCAGTTCATCGGAGAACCACTTGAAGGATGCAGAAAGAGGTAATTAATCTGCTCGGAGGTCCACTGCAGTCCAACTCGATGCCGATGAAAGTCACATCGTGTTGTAACCAGGTCCGAAAAGCTCATGGAGAACCGAATAACGCCGCGGTCTGGGTAGGTAACCACCAGAGCTTTAGCTTGCAGAGGCTCAAACAATGCTTCGAGTGCACTTAGTACAAGGAGATGAACCCTTTAAAGCTCTCAGAAATGCAAGTATCTTACAAAAACATCCAAGTACACAGCTTACCACATAAAACAGCACAAATACAGTATCATGACGGGTATGATACAACGAATGACTGGTTGACACCAGCTTCGGCGATTACGATCACAAAAAGCTCCCAAGAGTCCAAACGCGCCTTTGAGAAGATCGCTCTCTACAAAGGCTCGCCATTATTTATCAACATCTCGCGGTATTCGCAGATCGATCTTTCCAAGTCCATCGATAGTGTGCAACATTGATAATTTAGTTTATCCAGAAGCATGAGAGACACATCCTAATTCTCCGGCGCGACGATGAACACAAACGACCAGCCTCCATCCTCCGAGGCCTTACGTTCAACAGCCACCCCAATCGCACGAGTCTCGACCGACTTTCATTGTCTTGCGGAGAAGTCGATCCACTCAGTCGTCACGCTACTATGGCCGTATTCATCGTCCACCAAGTCGCTCAGCCTTCTCCTCGCCGAGCCTGATTTCCGTCTTCGCCGGTCGAACGGACAAGTAAAGGTACTATTTCATGGCCATATCGCGGAGGAAGTCGCTAAAACGCATATTGGGATTGGCGACAAGGTCTATCTGAGCTTGAATGGGTCGAGGTTGGTGGAAAGCAATGGGGTGGCCCAAACGCCTGGGAGTCGCTCCTTGTCGGAGCTCCATTTCAATGCTTCGGTATTCTTCGAGGTAAGTCCTTCGAAACGCAGTTGCTACTATACGGGGATTGTTCTCATTTATTATAGGTCTGGCGCGACTCCAAGCTCCTGACTATTGTCAAAGTCGATCGCTCCTCGTCACCACCCCCTTCAAATGACATACCCGCAACTCCAAGTACACCAATTACAAATGGGAACACATACATGGCCGGGCCGCTTGGCTCATCCTCATGGAAATCCCCGGCTTTTTTCGAGCGGTCACGGAAATCCTTCGGTCTTGCAGATACTGCCTTCGACCCTTTTGCGGAGGAGGATGGCTATGTACCAGGTAAAGGGAGGAAACGGCCGAGATTTAGCATGCGAAGCAACGAATGGCGCGTTATTGATGAGCCGGAAAGCCCTGGGGAGAAGGAGTTGCCGGATTGGACGGTCATATTTGACGAAGAACTGGCGACTGGGTCGGATGCCGGCGAGGAAAACACAACTCAGGCTCGAGATGTTGAGGAAAGCAGCATTTCAGTCCAACCTGAGGCTGTCCCAGGTGGCTCTCCATCTGCGTACGCCGACATTACCATGATAGACTTGCAGCCCAATGTCGCCGAGCCGGAACACGAGCGAACAGATGATCGCAGCACCGAAAACGCCAACTTCCTTCGTCCAGACAATGCCCCGAAAATGATCCCCGAACTCACCAAACGAAGCGATACGGGCGAATGTACTCATCTCCCGACCGATACACCACGGCTGCACCCAATTCCTTCTCCTGGACTTCCAGCTCCTTCGCCGCTTGTGTCGTCGAACAGTCCCAGCGGCTATTTCACGCCAGTAGTTGAAGCTGATGTCGCAATCCAATCAAAAACACCCTTAGTTTCCTCTTCGGAAGTAACATCTGAACACCGTGATATTACTTCTCCACCACATATCCAGTCCGACGGCGAGGCAATGCATATCGATGGGGACGATGCTGTGACTGTTTACACTGATGATATGCAGGTATTGCCTGACTCTATTTCTCCTTCTGGCAGGACACCGTCCAGTCCTCAAGTTTTGGGCGGCAAGGCCGTTGAAAGCGCGCCTGCGGCGGACCAGCAACCAGACGAACCAAGGGAAGAGACATCACCTCAGGCCGAAATGGAGGCAGCGGATGCAGTTACACCTATTGTTCATTCTGGCGGACCGGATTCAGACTCGGAGCGTCAAATTGAAGATAGGAAAAACGGAGAGATGAGTGTTGAACCTGAGAGCTCAGAGAAGGGAGAAGAATCCGAACGGGATCAGCGGCCTTTTGGAAGACAAAGCCAGGAATCAGAGGACGAGAGCGAGAGGTTCACAGATACGAGGAGTGAGCTTAAGGAATATGATGAAGAAGAGGATGAGGCGGCGGTGGAAGCAGCAGATAGTGAAGAAGCTCTCGTTGCCCGAAGGGCATCACACTCCCCAGAAAAGAGTCGAGATGTGTCCGAGGAGCCGGCTCCTCTCTACGATGATGAGGCTCAGGAAGAGGACGAGGCCGCGGGCTATCAAGATGAGTACGAAGGCGATTATGAGGAGGATTACGACGAGGAGGAGCTAGAAGATAAACCTCAATATGAGTATTATGGGTCAGGATCAGAGGACGAATCAGATTACGAAGGGGAGCCTCAACCTCGATCTGCGCCGAGGAGTACGGAACCAGAAGTCATTGTTCTAGACAGCGACAGCGAGGACGAACTCTCTACCCAGCAGCGCAACGATACGGGTCGCAGAGAAATGGAAGAAGATTCAGAAGGTTCTTACGGCTTGGAGGACGAGGTGGAACCGAGGAAGGAAGTCAATGATGAGCCAGATCTTGCCCATGAACTTGAAGACCAGGAGGGCATAGAGGATGCTGAGGATCTGGAGCAGGAAAGGGAAGCTCAAGACGTATCAAACCAAGCGTATGATGAAATGGAGGAGTACAATGACGACCAAGCGCAAGACCACGAAATCGAGGGTCAGTCGGAAAATGACAGCATGGGGGAAGATAGGTCTCCAATCTATGAACAAGCTGCAGAAGAACAGGGAACTGAAAGCGAACAATTGTACAGAAAAGCGCGCGATGAGGAACCGGTAGAGATTCTTCACGCGACTGGCCAGGATCGACCTGATGTGGAAATGGGCACAACTTCCGCAGGGCCGCGAGAGCATTATGAGCAGGAACCGACACATAATGAAGCGTCAGCGCCTTACGAGTACCTCGAAGATTCCCATTTCACCACTGACCATCCGCATGACTCCCTTGATTATCTTGCCGCAATATCAGAGTCTGCTGAGCGCATAGAGACTGTCTCCGAAAGTGTTCAACAGGCCTATGAGGCGGCCATTGATCCTAGCCTGTACGAAGTTGGGGCAGTGCAAAGCGATCTCGCTCGGGAAATGGGCGCCGATGACCGTCAGCAATCGGTCGCCAGCAACGGGGCCTCAGAATCCTCAGAATCACTAGAAAACAGACGCGCAAGAGATTTGGCCCTACAGCTGGATGGCGCCTCCCCAGCAGTATACGCTGAGTCCGCTGAGGCGACCGTGTCCATAACAACTGTTCACGCAGCCGAGCAATTGGTCACCCCAGGTCCTTCCCAGCTTGTCGAAACTGATAAGGCTCCTACCTTCATTGAGACTAGGGACCGAGTGCTACTGACGCCAGACATAACCCAGACTACGGATGAACAACCATCGACTCCTCCGGAAACTCGAACAAACGGCGTCTCAGAAGGAAGTCCTTCAGTGACAGTGGCAGTTAAAGTGGAGAATACCTCAAATGGCTTGGAACAGGAAATAGAAAGCGAACCTGAAGCACCTATGGTAGTAGTGGACGCTGCGGAGCCTACACTCTCTGACGAAAGCCAAAAGGTGCAAGCCAGCATCGAAGTCGACCACGAAACCGAGGCAGGCGTTGGCGCAACCCACCTTTCTCCGGTAGACAGACATTATCCCGGACTGCGAAGCAAACTCTCCTACTTTGCACCGCTTGCAACTCTTATCGATCACTATAACGCCTTGGTTGACACTATCTCCATAGCCTGTGATGTCCAGCCCGCGACGAAGGCTGCTGCCGGAAAGAAGGACTTTATATTGACCTTACAACTCACTGATCCCTCGATGGCCGGGACAGCCCTCTACGCCCAGATCTTACGTCCGTACAAGTCAGCCCTGCCATCGCTTCAAGAAGGTGACGCTGTCCTACTTCGAAACTTTCGCGTCAAAAGCTTCGACCACTCTGTCATCCTAGTCAGCGACAGCACAAGCGCATGGGCCGTTTACTCCGCCTCCTTCGGAGAGCCCGATGTAACCGGCCCACCTATCGAGGTTAGCAGTGAGGAAAAGACCTTCGCCACCGATTTGCGGCAGTGGTACCTGGAAGGCGGAATGGCCATGGTGGCAGATAATCAACTCCAAGCCTCCATAGGCAGGGAAAGCAGAGAAGGGACGCCGGATAGTAGCGTTGCGCAGAGCGATGCTGGGGATCTGGATATGGCCCTCCGTGAAGTCCGTGGGGATACAACTTCAAGTCGAGGGTCGAGGAGGAGAAAGTCGCATCGGAGGATTACAATTCATGAATTAAGAGATGGGAGGAGGTATACTGAGGTTGGGTCTTCGCCCGGGGAGGGAAGTATTCATGAGCTGCGGGATGGTACTGTTTATGCGAATCTTTGAGCGAGTGTAGCATTTCATGGTCTGGAGTTATGATTCGGATCTAGCATTGTGTAATTTGGGGAAAGAATCGGCGCTACTTTGGTTAAGCGTTCTAAATCAGCAAAAACGAATGCTGAATTTTTATATTCTCCATTTGTCTATGGCATATGTCCAAATCTAATCTACCAGAATATCTACCTACATCTTCGAGTTCTTGAGGAAATCGATATTGATAGCCGCCTGTATCAATTGGTTTGCGATAGCAGTTGGTGGCGGCAATCTCAATCCACCCTCCTTGTACTCTGGCCCCGCCTGTCCACCCAGATCGCTCGTACCAACTCTCAACGCTTTTTCGACCTCCTCAATCTCAAACCACCTTGCGTCCTCAAGCTCTGGATCGTGGTTCAGGCTGATCGTCTCATGAGCAGGATCACTAACTTGCGCGATGGCTCCAATCATCAGATTAGCCGGGTACGGCCACGGCTGAGTCGAGTGGATGACAACACGCGAGAGTGTCACGCCAGCCTCTTCCCAGACTTCTCTCCGCACAGCGTCCTCCACGGACTCGGCGGGCTCGATGAAACCAGCAAGAGTCGAGTACCAGTTCGGTGGGAAGCGCTTGGAGCGGCCGAGGAGGATTCGCTTTCCGTCCGTGGAAATAACGGCCACGATGATGGTCGGGTCCGTGCGGGGGAAAGATAGGTTGGAGAGGGTGGTGCGGGTGGTGCAAGCGGGCTTCTCGGCTGGTTTGCCCTCTGCTACGCGTGCGGCGTCTGTGGGTGGACAGGCGCGCTTTGTGCCGGAATTTACGGCGATGGTGCGGTGACCGCAGGTACCACAGTAGGTGTTGCGAGTGTTCCAGTCAGTTATGGCACGGGCTTGCGCGTAGATGGCAGCTGGATCCTATCAGTTATGAATATTCTACAAAGTCGGGGAGGAATGACGCCCACCTTCATCAGCAGAGAACGTCAAGGCCACTCTCGCCTGCAAGAAGCTTAATCCCTTGCCCTCGAATGCAGCAAGCACTTCTTTGGCATTAGCCTGCTGCTCCTCCGAGCCCTTCTCCGAGGCATCGAGAGCGAAATATGGCGTTCCAGAGTAAATCTTCCAGGTCAACCCATCCTCCTTTTGAGCCTCGTCCAGGCCCAGGAAGATAAGATGCGGCTCTGTTTTCCGCGAATCATGCTCCTTGATGAGATCCTCTTCCGACTTATCGTAGATCGTCTCGGGAACGAGCTTGCGCACTTCGTCGTATTTGGCATAATACAGTTCGGTGGGGGACCTTGTAAGCGGCGCTAGGTCCTTTAGGATGACGAATCGGGTCGAGGGGTGCTTGATTGCTGCGGAGAGGAAGGGATGATCTGAACGGAGAAACGAGAGACGGTTTAATGGCGAGCCTATAGAGATGATTAGTATCGCATGAGTGGAGGAATGAGGCTTTTCAGGAGGCTTACTCGAGTAATAGTTCACTGTCTCCTTGCCGAAACGCCGCGCTAGCATCGAGTCGGCTTGGATGTGCGCCGGGTTCGGAACTTGAGAGTTGTTGCTCATGTTGTATATATTTGCGGACTTGATCCGGTTGTCTATACCACAGAGAGGGTTTGGGGCGAGTTGAAGAAATCAAAGTGAGACCGCCACCAGACGAAATAAGTGGATTTCTCAACTCCCCGGGCTTGTTCTCTTTGCTTCCCCCAAATCGCGGCGACCCCTCCGATATCTGCGCATTAATCAGCGGCGCTGGGCCGAGGCGGCGCTGCGTGTGTCACCGTAATACGCATATTGCGCAATCCCTGGCACGTCTGTCCCGGTATTTCTCGAAATACGCGGACGATAGAGGGGTAATACAGAACAAACCCCACACACGTGATTTGCGTCATGCCGCCGATTCGGACATCTCCAAATTCGGTACCTTTCTGTGCAGTCAGAGTTGCTCGGAAGGTCTTATATTCTCTTTTCTAAGCTTACCGGATCCTCAATTGGCGCAACGTTGTTCAGAATGGGTCGTCTTGTCACCCTCGCAACTTGGTCTGTGGCTCCCAATGCGGACCCGAGTGCAAACTGACATCCAACTAGCTCCCTCAACCAGTGGGCTCTCGACTGGGAGGGCAACGCAGAGCGGATCATCGAGAGTATCCGTCAAGCAAAGACTGCCGGAGCTACCCTTCGAGTTGGACCGGAACTTGAGATTAGCGGTACAATACCCTTGAGCACATCTGGCGTCCCATTGTTGTACTGATAAGCGTAGGCTATGGAGTCCTAGACGGGTTCCTGGAGGGAGACACCTTCCTCCACTCGTGGGAAATGCTTGCCCGTATCATTGACCACCCCGATTGCCAGGATATTGTGGTGGATGTAGGTATGCCGGTTCGTCACAGGAACGTGCGGTATAACTGCCGGTTAGTGGTCACCTGTCGCTGGATTGGAGACGTCGCGTCCTGACTTTTTAAAAGAGTTATCTTTCATAACCGCAAGATCATCTTGATTCGACCGAAGATGTGGCTTGCTAACGGTAAGTTGAACTTGAGATATCCTTACTGTCATTGGACGTATACTGACATTATACTCATTAGATGGAAACTACCGAGAGATGAGGCATTTCACCCCGTGGCAGCGCCCCCAAGAAGTTGAGGACTACTATCTAGAATCGATCGTTGGCAAGATAACCGGGCAGTACAAGGTTCCCTTCGGCGACGCAGTGATTAGCACGAGAGACACTTGCTTGGGGTTGGAGACGTGTGAGGAGCTGTTTACTCCTAATGGGTATGTTGTTCGGTGTATGAAGGGAATAATCGCTGATGCCGTCTTGTAGTCCTCATATTCCATATGGGCTTGCTGGTAAGTTGGCTTCTTAGATGCTTCTCCGAAAGAGTGACTAACGCGAAGCGAAGGTGTTGAAATCATTTCGAACTCCTCCGGAAGTCATCATGAACTGAAGAAACTTGATACACGCGTCAACCTCATTACGCAGGCCACTAAGCTGGTATGATGGCCCGGTCTTCTCTCGAGAATCTCTACTTATACACCCTAGAGCGGCGGAATCTACCTATATGCAAACCAGCAAGGCTGCGATGGCGACAGGTTGTACTACGACGGTTGTGCCATGATTGTCATCAACGGCAACATTGTAGCTCAAGGATCTCAGTTCTCCCTCAACGATGTGGAAGTCGTCACAGCAACAGTCGACATCGAAGAGGTATGTCGACTCTGTCCAGCTTCCTAGCGTGTGTGCTAATAGTATGTAGGTAAGGACGTACCGCTCATCGGCAAGCAGAAGCATGCAAGCCAGCAAGCAAACGCCTTTTGTTCGTCTTGATCTAGACATACGACTATCTCGCTCAGACGAGGACGCTGATCCCGGTCTCGCTCCGTCTGACACACTCGTCCCCCGCTATCACGCCCCGGAGGAGGAAATCGCTCTCGGTCCTGCATGCTGGCTATGGGATTATCTGCGAAGAAGCGGTGCTGCCGGCTTCTTTCTCCCGCTCAGTGGTGGTATCGACAGCTGCGCTACTGCAGTCATCGTCCACTCCATGTGCAGGGAAGTTATCAAAGCTGTCTCACAAGGCAATGAGCAGGTGATCAAGGATGTCCGCAGGCTTTGCGCAGAGCCAGAAGGCTCGAAATGGATTCCCACCACGAGTCAGGAAGTCTGCAAGTAAGCTCTTTATCCTAAGACCCGCTTCCCGTTCTTCCGCAGTGGCTAACCTTTCCAGCCGCATCTTCCACACCAGCTTCATGGGCACACAGAACTCTAGCAAAGAGACAAGAGATAGAGCCAAGGGCCTCGCCACCGAAATTGGGTCCTACCACATCGATTTCAACTTTGACACCGTCGTGACCGCTCTCACGAACCTCTTCACCATCGTAACCAACTTTCAACCCAAGTTCAAGGTACACGGCGGTACTCGAGCAGAGAACCAGGCGCTCCAGAACATCCAAGCCCGTTTGAGAATGGTTCTCTCTTATCTTTTTGCGTCGCTTCTTCCAACAGTCCGTCAGCGTCCAGGTGGCGGTGGTCTCCTTGTTCTGGCTTCGTCTAATGTGGATGGTCAATACCCCTAAACCACTAAGTTTGAACTCCATGCTAACGCTCTGTAGAATGGTACGCTCCAACTCCGAATAGACCTGTCTAACATATCTCCCACCACCTGTACTTTGATCCATATTAACATGACGCAGTCTACGAGGCTACCTAACCAAATACGACGCCAGCAGCGCAGACGTAGGTTCCCTACCCTTCTTCGCAATTCACTCTCGTCCACAGTGCTAACCTCTCAAACAAACAACAGCTAAATCCCATCGGCTCTATCTCGAAAGTCGACCTCAAAAAGTTCATCTCCTGGGCCTCCTCGTCCTTCTCAATGCCAATCCTAACCTCCTTCCTAAACGCAACCCCCACGGCCGAACTCGAGCCCATCACCGCCACCTATGTGCAATCCGACGAAGCCGACATGGGCGTAACCTACGCTGAGCTCGGCACCTTTGGATATCTACGCAAAGTATCCAAATTGGGTCCTTGGTCCATGTACGAACGGCTGCTGCACCTGTGGGGGAATGAGTATAGTCCGCGGGAGATCTACGAGAAGACGCGCCACTTCTTTTATAACTATGCGATCAATCGCCATAAGATGACGGTGATCACGCCGAGTTATCATGCCGAGCAGTATTCGCCTGATGATAATCGGCATGATTTGAGGCAGTTTCTTTGTATGTTTCATTCATTGCCTCATGGTTATGGATGAAGCTAACCCCAACTTTCCAGATCCGTCGTTTACGTGGGCCTATAAGAAGATGGAGGATAGTGTGAAGTATTGGGAGGCGAAGGGGTGGACTGCCGGTAAAGCCCAGAAGAAGAGTGTGAAGGCGGACTAGAAATTGCCAGGTTTTTCTGAATGGAATTGGTATTATCTCAATATATCACTGCGAAGACTTGAGTACTGCTTCGATGGCTTCAGTAACTAAAAGGAGGAGGTTCCAAAATATATCTTAAAGCAACTTAGTCTTCGCTTAACGGTAACTCGGATACTGTCTCTAGAACAATACTATTTGGACAATTTGATCAAAGTACAATTACGTACCAACTCATACTCATGATCTTGTCAGTCGCACATTTTCAAGGATTACTTATCTTATACTAGATCTCCCAGACCGACTGTATACAGATCTTTAAGCCAATCAACGGTCGACTGATGCTTATGTACTCGGAATATCACGTGACGACTCAGCTGGCTTTTCGGATTCACGGTTGGAAACGTCGACCTGTCATCGAATCACCACACACGAGATGCTCTGCCAACAAGTTCATTATCATTTCACGACTTGACCAGTTCAGGCTGATACCTAACTGCTCGATACGCTAGTAATTCATACTCGATTTGATCAGATCTCTGGGTTGAGTCGGGCTTTTCTTGGATTGGATTCGATTGTTTCCAAGGTGATCGATCGCATCCCGCTTCCCACCGCCTTGCCTGCAACCTTTCGGCTCTATCCCAGCCTTCGTGTTACCGCTGGCTGCGTGACGATCCGTGGCCTCTATCCTGTTGGAACTGCTGGATATCAATATAGCTTCATTCCGCACATCTTTGATCACCACTATTGCTTGAGATGAATGTTATGAAATACAACCGGGCGCTCTCGCCTGCCGGCCTCGGGTTCGACCCGTTGATAGGGGGTATGTATCTCACTGGTCGTCTTAACTTCCACAGGACCCTGTTGGGCACGGCAATTTGGCAACTGGTCATGAAAACTGTGCCGTTGTTATCTCTTCGGTCGTTCTCTGCATTTGGGGCCGGCAGTCTTCAACCCGCAACTGTTATGTCTTGTCCCCTTCAACAGACCTCTCATAGCGTCTGATAGACTGGTGTCTGCTTTTGTTTCGTCTGTGAATTATTCCAGTAAAGCAGGTGGAATTGGAGCTCGTCTTCGCTCAAGCTGATGATGTCTTCTGTGGAAGACGTTCGGACTATCAACGTTGAATTACCGAGTTTGGTCTCGCTGGTTGAAAATCATGATGCCACCTTAAGTCACCAGAGATCACCGAAATGTTGCGCCTTCAAGAGGGACATCGCTTTATGAACGTCGTCCCCACGACATGACTGTCATTTGGAGTTTTCTCGCTGCCGTCCGACATTGCGCCCCTCAAAACGCCAGCTGTTTAATCAATGAGCTACCATCCTCGCCATGACTCAACTCAGGCGCGCGACCCTCTCCGAGACCTGTCGGCTTTTGGTCTGGCCCTCTATGTTGTGTTTTACTATCCGTAGATAGGTTCTCAGTGGCAGGCCAGAGACGGTCTTCTCCGCCAAGACCCGACCAACGATGCCTTTATTGGACGCAAGGGAACTGGTTTGCTGTGGGCTTGGGAGTCAATTATGCGAGACCCTGGAACCCGTCTCTCATAGCTGAAAGACCGCACCGCAGGTCCTATCTAGAAACGGGGCGTGGTTTGAAGAAGGTCGCGGGTATAGCGAGGGAAAACACCCAGGATTGTCATGAGATCACCCCGACAGGACTGGTGCAAGCTGAGGGGCTGCCCAGTGTCAACCTTACTCCTCGGACCATATCGCCAGCTTCTGAGTGACTAACGTTTATAGTGAATGTTGCGGGCCACATATTTTTCGTAGTTAGAGCCGCACACGAGTAGATTGGGGTCTTGTTCCTCGGTTGAGTGAATGATTGCTCCGTATGCCAGTGACTATCAGTAGAGGAGAAAACAACGGCCAACGCCCTCGTCAAAGCAGGGCTAAAGACTAGCAAGGTGCGTTTTCCCTCCCCATATCTCCATTTCCTCCACTTCTCGATTCTACATCCTAGGATTCTTCTTTATTGACGGCTCTCCATTTCCACCCCCAGAACACCCGCACTCACTTTCCTGTCCCGGAAAAACCGCCGTTCCGCACCACCCAATCCGACCGCAGAAAGACTCCAACACGGGCAACACGCTTTGCTACCGAGAGGAACGAGGACGCCGCCAAAATCTCCTGCCTTCGTTATCATCAACAAATTCCACAACATTGGAATAGCCAGACGCCCCATATCATTCACTGCAACCTCGGTTATTCATCTCGAGCCAGATGCAGCAGGGAGCGCAGATTACATGGCTGGGTCCCGTAGGAGTCCGGTGCTGAGAGACGAGTGGAGAGGCGCGCCCGAAGCTGGAGACCAGCCAGGTCGTGACAAGCACAGTAGGCCTCGCGGCTCCCACCGTGATAGGGGGAGGGACAGATTTCGCGATCGGGACCGCCGTCGCCGGCCCAAAGACTCTCGACCTGACCATTCGTCACGGTCGCCGCCATCGCGCTCCTTCTCCGGCCCAAACGACGAACCTCAACATCGTGAAGTTTTAGATATCGATCCCCATCGCGGTTCGCCGGGCCCGTCACACCCGGAAAACCACACCAGCCAAAAATCAAATCGCCACACTTCTCCCGAGCTCAAAGATTATCGCGGCCACGAATCACATATGAGAATTGTCGATAGAGAATTCCGCAGAGAGGATTCTCCATCAGCACCTGCCTCAAAACGCAAAAGGACACGGAGTCCATCACCGGGGCCAGGCCATCATCCTTCCAATCCCCGCGGTCCCCCGTCCAGGCAGGGAGAGGACTTCGATCGAAACTGGTCGCACAGTAAAAGACGCGGGCGTGTACCTGGTCGCGGCAGACCTAGTCGAAGACCTTCGCCTCGAAGAGGAAGAGACCACAGGAATAGCGAAGGCGGCCGTCGAGATTCATCGCGACTTGGGCGTTCTAGATCTCCTGGCTGGGAAGAAGATCCATACTTGCACCCAAGCCGGCGGCCTCACAGTCCCTACCCGGAAGACGATTTTGAAAAAGGGTCTCGTCACCGGTCGCCCTCACGCCATTCCGCAGGCACGATGGCTTCAAGACCTTCCGCATTCTCTCGTCGGGGTTCAAGAGATGGCTCGACAATGTATCCTTCTCGATCTGGCATGGACAGTTCTCACAAATCGCCTTCCCCGTCTCGACAAGGATCGAACCAAGACGCAGATCTAGGAGGACCTAAGGCGCGTAACCCGCAGCGGCGCCGACCGTCGCGATCACCAGCCAATTCTTACCATGGATCGACGCGCTCAACTTCCCCATATTCCGCTGGACGAGGTGGACGGAGCGGACAACAGCCACCACCTCATGGTCACCATGGGTTTGTTACTCTTCCGTCCGATCCTTCAACGCACACAACTGATTATAGACATAGCTCTAGGCAAAATCACCACTCCACAAATGATTCATCAACCCAGTACCACCACAACCAACCTCCAATTAAACCTTCTTCGCATCATGATGGGTTATCACACGGTTACCGAGACGGACCGTCAAGGAATCGAGAGCTTGGCCAAGGTCCAGGCTCGGAGCGTCACTTTCCTGCATCCGTACCCTCAGGGCCGGCATCTCATGGCAGAGGTCGTTTTCGCTCCCCTCAGTGGGATGCTTCAGACTCTCGGACTAGAGTCGCTCCCCCTAGTCCTCCTCCCCAGGGACCGCCGGCGGAAAGCCCTCCACCGCCACCTCCACCACCTTCAGAGCCTCGAGCGCACCGAGAGGCGTACAAAGTGTCTAATTACAGACCTGCGAGTCGAGAATCGCGAGCAGGGGATGAGGCGTCAAAACGTGAGACAGACAACGGGGGCGGTCAGCCAGAACAATCAGACGCGCGCCCAGCCGATACAGCTGCTCCCAGTAAGGGCGGCAAAATTAGTTTCGCTTTCAAGGCTAAGACTGGGCCACCATCGGCTCCCAAGCCTGTGCCGGACCTAGCTCAGCGAATGCTTGCTCGTGAACCACCTCCTCGAGTTACTGAACCCCCTCGCAGCCGAATGCCGTCTGGTCCACCTCCTAGGATCAAACCCGAAAGCCGTTACGACCGTCGTGAGCGAGACCGAGATCGGCACCGCGATCGTGACCGGAACAGAGGTAGAGGGGATCGAAGAGATTATAGAGAGCCGCGTGGTTTCCGTGAGCCTCCTCGAGAACCCCGTGATAGCCGGAGAGACGAGCGTCGATTCGAGCCCCGCCATAACGATAAAAGAAGAAATGACAGACCACCAGACGTTAGGCCTGAGCGGCCTGAACGCCGTCGTGAGCGCTCACCGGAACCCGTCAAGCGACCCAAAATCATGCTACGGCCCAAGCCGCGTCCTACCATCTCTGAAGAGTTCGCTAAGTCGGATTCTGTGTACTACCGCAAGCCTGGAAATGAGTCTGTGATAGGAGCCGGCACCTATGGAAAGGTGTTCAAGGCCATTCATGTCTACACTCAACGGAAGGTTGCGTTGAAGAAGATCCGAATGGAGGGTGAAAAAGATGGTTTCCCGGTCACTGCAGTTCGAGAGATCAAACTACTTCAACACCTTCGCAACCATAATGTTGTCAGCCTTCTGGAAGTCATGGTGGAAAGGAATGAGTGCTTCATGGTGTTCGAATATCTCTCGCATGACCTTACAGGCCTGATTAATCATCCGACCTTCACACTTACCGCTGCACATAAAAAGGATCTGGCGAAGCAAATGTTCGAAGGGTTGAATTATTTACACCACAGAGGCGTCCTACATCGGGATATCAAAGCTGCCAATATTCTCATCAGCAATCAGGGACAGCTGATGTTTGCCGATTTTGGTTTGGCTCGATTTTTCTCAAAAAGTCGGCAGCTCGATTATACAAACCGCGTGATCACTATATGGTATCGGCCGCCTGAGCTTCTCCTGGGTGAGACTCGATATGGACCGGCTGTCGATGTCTGGAGTGCGGCTTGTGTGTACGTTGAGATGTTTACAAAGAAGGCAGTATTCCCTGGAGAAGGAGGGGAGATCAGTCAGCTTGACAAGCTCTACCATACGCTAGGAACGCCAACTCGAGCAGAGTGGCCAGATATCGTCGAGATGCCTTGGTTCGAGCTCATGCGACCAACGGAGAGACGAAAGCGGTTATTCGAAGACGTCTATCGTGACATACTATCACCTGCTGCGCTGGAGATGATCTCTCAAGTATTCCGCTACGATCCATCTAAACGGCCCACTGCTGAAGAGGTCCTTGCCCATCCTTATTTCCATTCCGAAGAACCAACCCCTCAGCAGCCGACTGAGTAAGTCTCACTTACCCGCACATCCTACTCTTTGTCTAACCCTTTATACTATAGACTCGAAAATATCGAAGGCGACTGGCATGAGTTTGAGTCTAAGGCACTTCGGAAAGAAAGGGACAGGGAAGCCCGACGAGCAGAATACCAGAAGGACAAGGAGAAGCGGAAAACAGTATCCTCCACCCAAGATGAACGGGATCCCAAGCGTGTTAAACAAGACACGGGTGAGGGGTTCACCCCCGCTGCACAGCCGGTTGAACAATAGCCACATATATTTGCCGTTGGAAGGGCATGAGGATACGCATCCTTCAGGGCGGAACATAATAGCGATACCTCTTCTTTATCCGCAATGTACCGGTTAGAGTCATTTATAAGTTGTGTCTTGTATCACCTTCTCTCGCCGGCGAATAGCACGAATGAGGAATGCGTTATCGAAATACAAGTCTATAGAGGCTTTCTTACAGGTATTCCTTGCTTAGTATCTTCAATACAGCTAGCTCCTTTCCATGCTTATCGCCCTCCAGGACAGTATGGAAGTGTCGTCGCCTGAGGGCATCAATCCGCACCAGCGCCCAACCACACCACACCCACACCCACACATTCCTTAGTTAAAAGATGAGGAAAAGAGAGACCATACAGAGCAAAAATCCAGGTCGAAATAGAGATTTCGAAGATTAACCTTTGAAAGATGAGAAAAAAAAAATAATCGCCGAACCAACCGCCGGAATGCAAGATTCGCTCCAGTCGCCTGATTTATTTCCCAAAATGAGAGACTTGATACTTGCTATGTAACTATAGCTAGTAACTGCCCGAGTTGCTGAAGTAGTAGTCGTCGTCGTCGTCGTAGTAGTAGTAGTAGTAGTAGTAGTAGTAGTAGTAGTAGTAGTAGTAGTAGTAGTAGTAGTAGTAGTAGTAGTAGTAGTAGTAGTAGTAGTAGTAGTAGTAGTAGTAGTAGTAGTAGTAGTAGTAGTAGTAGTAGTAGTAGTAGTAGTAGTAGTAGTCCACTGATATTGTGTTGTTTTTCCTTTTCGCTTTCCTTTCTCCTTAAATAGTTACTGTACAGTACACGATTAATCAATCAGTCAAGAAGTTAATCAATCAGCCAGTCGAATCAGTCAAATCGATCAATCATAAACCTAGCCCGACCAACGTAAGCCAACATAAGCCAAGCAACCTAACCAACCCTACGGAACCTGGATTCGAAGATAAAATAAGCGTAAAAAAAGAAGAAGAAAAGCATGTCATGGAGGGTCATTCATCATGTCCGCATCAAGATGCTGGTCCTTTTCCTTTATCGCCTAATCCCGTTGGCGAGTCGTCCGTTGTTGTGGGCCTTCGGCGGTCTGCGCTGAATTGGTGATGTTGGTTGGGGTGAGTGTGGTGGTTGTTGGGGTTGGCATTGTGATGGTGGTTTTGGTTGTGGTGGTGAGCTGCTTTTTCCTGGCGGGCTTGGTCGATGGCGGACCGTTGAGCGATGCTGTCGTCGTGGCTCTTCCATACAATGTTTGTGTCTGCGGGGAATGCGAGGAGGCGTTTGATGGTTTCTCTGCGATGGTTTGTTAGTAGTGCGAAGTGTAGAGGGGCTGACTCGTTAAACATACCTGATCTTAATGTTCCGCCCTCCGTCGATCCGAGTCCAAACGCTCAGAACGTCCTCCCCACTCCGAACGCTAAGGACCGCACCGCAGACCTCATCACTGGCCTCTGCAAATTGGTCACCGACCATGGCCAAGAGGAGATCCTCCCAATAGCGGTCTGCGACGCCCTTCTTCAACCTCACCACCCACTTCCCACCTTTCTTATTAGCCTCGTCTTCCCATACAGGACGAATTCCCTTCTTGAAGATATGATAGTCGGATACGGTAGGGAGGAGGGAGGGCCTCTTAAGATGCGAGTATATCGACCAGAAACTCTCCACGGACGAGATCGACGCGAGAGGTGCGGTGGACTTTTCGTAATCGGAGTACTTGGGTGTGGGCGGGCGGTACCAGATGATCCAGGTGGACCGCAAAGGATGCTCCTCCCTAAGTGACGGCACGGAGATCTTCGACTTGATACCCTCCGCGGTTACTGTGACCCGGTCCGCTGGATTGTCCCGCTTCTCGCCAGGAGTCTTCAAGTCGGATGTGCCTCCAGGTGTCTTTGGAGCCCCGAAGGATGCAAAGGCACCTGAGCCGAGGCCGAATGCGGACGAGGCATTCGTCGAGGGCGAGGACACGCCAGCAGAGAGCGGGGAGAGGGCATTGAAGGGATTGGATCGGCCGCCGTGGGAACTGTCGGGACCGAAACGCTTCGATGTGCGGGAAAGGTTGGCGCCACTCTCTTTGTTATCAGTCCCCGTCATAGACAGAGACAACTTGGAGGAGCTAGCGACAATAGAGCCGGGTTAGTGGGACTCAGGCACGAGTGCGGCGGGATGGAGGGGCGAAGGGACAAAATCGGACATACTTGGATCGACGAGTCCATAGGTTTGCGTTCTCCATTGGGGGCAGGAAGTGACTTGAGGCGGCTCAAGAGGGAGCTATCATCGGGTGGTACAAGAGAAAAAAAATCCGGAGCCGTTGAACCGTACAATCGTCGATATAGCGAGGGAAAAACAAAGAACACAGACCCGACGCTAGAGCAATGCAAGTAACAGACCGAGCGATGCAGAATCGAACAATACGAAAACAAAGAAGGCGGGAGGCGAGCGGAAATTTAAAAGAGCACAGTGTAGAGAGGGGGGAATGAGGAGAAGGATCGTGGCAGAATCGTAATCGTGATGGTGAGACAGAGGTAAATTGAGAGGTTAGACAAGAAGTAGAGGTAAAGCGAGTATTTTGCCGGGAAGGATGGAAGCAGCGAAAGGGGATAGGGACTTTTTGAGCGGAATTAGTATCTTGGAAATGGACAATAGAAGTCGTTGGTTCAAGCAAAGCGAAGGCAGATGAAGTTTGGATTCTTCCGGCCTGAGGCAGCAATTTTCCTCAAGCTCCAAGTGGCGCCCGCCCAATCAACTTACGGCCCGCCTTCCTTAGTCCGTATCATTGTTAATCCCGCTCCGCGGCCCCAGTAAGTATTTTCTCTTCAACTTTTTTCCTTTCCTTAGTCTTCTTTTTCTTTTCTTTTCAACAAACCCAAGACCACCAACTCAAATCATCGCTGCCTGCAACATTTTCATACTGCACCGGCGATTCCGATGAGTGTGTCGAGAACAAGAATCCGCTTCTAAAACCATCATCACGAGGGCTCTCCAGCTCCATGATGCGTTGATGACCTGTATGACGGGACAAACTGCCACGATCCTATATTGTGTATGAAAGATGAGTGTCGCTGCGTTCCAGCGCCAACAGAGTAGATTATTCGGTGCGTACGACTCTCCTGTTGTACACCACTGCTTTTTCATGACGAATTGTATGACACAACATACTCTGGTAATCCGATGCGCTCAACCGCGATATGTTACGGCCAAAAGGTTGTTCGCTGGTTGAGTTTGAGGCCCAATGGCACAGTCTGATGTTATAAAATACCCCAAACACATTTGGATTTGGTCCTGTTGGTTTGCACAAGTAACAACCTCGCTGACATTGCCTTTCCGTACTAGATAGACTTCATTCTAGCGGATACGTAGGAGCATTGGTCAGACCAGGGACTGCAGCGTCATCAGTCAGCTGTTGTGGTAGATAGGGCGATCTACGGAGTATAACCTGCCTCCACCCGCGACTGTAATCTGAATATCGTGCCCTCTCAATGATTTCAAGAGCGCGAAAAAAAAAAAAATGAACAAATGCTGCTGTACTCCATCCTAGTACTCCGTAAAATGCGGGCAGAAAACATGCCGACCGCCTTCATAGACGATGGGGGGAGCTGCAGATCACTTGATGCCCTCCCACAAGCTCTACTCGAAGACGAACTGATTTGATAAACCCGCAATGACACCCGCGGCGATACATGCAGTTTCTCAAGAGAATCTCAGATCAAGTCCTTAACCGCACCCCTCAGCCCTCCTCGGAGCTCTCTCAGCCTGCCGACAATCCACTTCCGTCATCAGATGCGGCCGCCGCGCCGCCTGTGAGGGATGACCTTTTTTCCGTCCCTTCAGGCTCAGATTACGCTCCGTTTGACGGGTTCTCCTCACAAAGTGTATGATACCTTTCCCGCAAATACGTCGCTTTCATCTGTCTCTCTTGTGGTGCAGCCGGACTGTCAGATGGCGCATTTCCTCGTCATTCTATCGGATCTTTGGCTTATCGCGATTCCGTATTTTTTCACCTCTCTGCGCTACTCCCGTCACTGACTTGATTATCTGAATAGGCACCTCACAGATATGCCAACCGTCCCTCAACAAGTTGGAAATCTCCCTCCGTTCGTCGACTATTGCGCCAGTCCACCCCTCATTCCGGTTTAGGAATGCCTACTTTGTGAGTTGGACACGCGACAGGCCGAGGCCTGAAACGGCGCTGATGCATTGTCGTCCAGACCCTGGGAAAAGGAACAAATGCGTAAACCCAATGATTCTACTCGTGATGAGCTCAGACTATTTGGTTATGGCAATGGAAAGTATGTGCGCCGATTTGTTCACCCAAGTATGAAGTCTGGGGAATTGGTCAATAATAACTTTGACTTCTAGACCGGAACCCAATGCTGTTCCAATAGTCCCGGGGCAAATGGCTAGTACCAAGAAACCGGTTTGTCATTGCTTTTGTCAGAGAATTATCTTTCAGATTGCTGACGCACCGAGTACTTCAGAATATCCCTTCTGGGTTCAAGCCTGTGGACAAGATATCAAAGGGAGTCCGACAAAGCGGACCCGTACGTGCTCAAGGAAAGGAAAGACTATTTCATAGTCAGCCTCGCTCAGCATTAAGCCCTCCCCGTTCGAACCATATTGCGGACATATCGGAGAGATCTTCCAAACGTCGCCGTGTCGAAAGCCCGGAGGTACCGCCGAAGAGGATAAGCATATCCGACGATGATCCCATGGACCGTTTAACGACTAGAGGCTCCCCTGTCGGTACTCGCTCCACTGCTCTATCACCCACGCCAAGTCAGCGGTCGGGCCAAATGAAATGGCCGCGGGATTACAACAATGGCCAAGCTTCGGAGTATCGAAACGTTGACAAGACCACAAGAGTCCCCCGATCTAGCCCCCGGAAGGAAATCAGATCTGTCGACCGCTACTCATCAGAGGATAAAGACATTCGTTTTCTTCGTGAAGCGCGCGATGAGAGACGACGAGAATCTAGCATATCCGGAATAGACGCCCGTGAAGACCCTCCCAATTCCTCGCACGAAGGATCAAATCTTACAGTCGAAATCCCATCTCAACCGCTCGTTCGTGACAGTCAATGGATGAAAACACCTCAAGTCCACATACCGTCAATTGCGAAGGGAAGGCCGCCTGTATCAAGGGAAAGTCCCGATGAACTTCAAGGCGGTGCAACAGTTCAACCAGTACCGTCATCTTTAGACCGGTCTAAGAGGGACCACACCGGTCTACCTAACCAAAGCTCTCCCTCTGATATTCGACCAACAACTTTCGTATCCATCGAAAAGCGTGGTCCTAAACCCAAAAAAGGGAAGAGACCAGCATCTGAGACGTTTAGGCTCAATTCCTTCCGAACAGGCCCTCACATACATGATGTATTAGGGGGTGAGAATGATCTGCTGGTGTTGGACCCTTCCGGCCGCAAGATTACCATAACAGTGGGTGATGCAGGTATCAGACGTGACGTATTTTTTCGGAAAATATTGAGGGTCCTAGTGGGAGACAAACATAGTCGCAAGCTTCGATTGGAGTTGTCCAAAGAATCCGGCCAGGATAATAAGATGGACATTGAACTACTAACGTCAGATGAGAAGGCGCTTTTCAGCTCCATGATTCAGAAGCTCAATGAGCTGGGAACCCGAATTGAAGTTCAAGAAAAAAAAGAGTACGTTGTTCAAAGCTATTTCTTCCTCGATAGTCTTGCCGCGTTCCTGCTTAAAGTCTACGATATGCTAACACATGCTTGTCATAGGGAATGGCTGGATAAAGTATTCAATAAGGGCAAGCGCGACAGTAGGTTCTGTGACTCACCTGAAGACCCGTATAAACGCCCGCTTCAGGTATTCGACGCCACGGAGGAAGCACCTAAACAGCCGTGCGGGCCGCGTAAACGCGCAAGGCTCTCGGATGCACTCCGGGGCCATGATGGAAATACTGCTGCGGAAATTTCCGTCAACTCGGGCGGTGGCCCCGCGAAGCGTGCCAGCCCCTCGCCTCCCGCTACCCAAAACAGTCAAACCTTCAAGACCAAAACTGCTAAGGGGGTCGAAATTTCAGTCAAGAAGTACAATCCAGTCCCTCAGCCTCTAGGTCGGGCTACGAGATCCATGGCGCGCCGAACACCTACCACCCTCATCTGGTACGTGTTACCTTCATGGCTGATGAACTTAGCTAACTGGAGCTGTAGCGATGACGATGACATCGATGAAGATCACAATTTACTGTTGGATCTTGACGTAGATGCGAAGTGGACCAGGTATGTTATTGCACTTCTCTCATTTCAGATAAGCTTCTGATAAAGGCGAAGAAAACCTTTGGTGTATCCTCGTTACGGGAAAAAGAAAGCCGAAGTGAGCGCGTTGGATCTGGAGAGGCTTGCCCCTCACCAATTTCTCAACGACAATATCATCGGATTATACATGCGCTTTCTCGAAGATCACCTTCAGCGGTGCAACGTAGAAGTTGCGAAGAGGGTCTACTTTTTCAACTCGTACTTCTTTGCTACGCTCACAAACTCCCCCAGGGGCAAACGGACCATCAACTACGAAGGTGTCGAGAAGTGGACTCGCAACGTGGATCTTTTCAGCTATGACTATATCGTTGTGCCTATAAATGAGGACGCCCATTGGTACGTTGTTATCATATGCAATCTGCCATACTTGGATGGTATCTCGAAACAAGTGGAACCATCTACCTCTCGGCCACCGAGTGAAGTGCGTGAGGTACCAGAGACGCCGGAACCTATCAAGCCCGACGAGGGGCATGCAACACCGCTTTCGCAGTCCCCCCAAGAAGAAGTCGCCAGGCAGTCATTGGCCTCGATGATTTTAAGCGAAAAGCAAGCGCCTCAAGCAGAGGGTTCGAGGTCAGGAGAAGAAGATTGGCCAGAGCGCGAAGAGTACCCTGGGCCCTCTTGTGCATATTTCTCTGCGTCTTCGAGTCAGCCGCAACCTGACTCCCAGGTAGCCTCCGAGGCAGCAACGTCACCCAAGAAAGGTCGAAAACCGAAGAAGAAGGTTCCCCTTGGCCCAAAGTACGAAGTTTCCCAACCGATCATCATCACCTTCGACTCCCTGGGTGCACCTCGTACTGGTACCATCAGCACCCTTAAAGATTACCTTTACGCAGAGGCAAAGTCGAAACGAGGCACTGAAATCAACAAGACCTTAATCAAGGGCATGAAAGCACGAGAGGTTCCGCAACAGCCGAATTATTCTGATTGTGGTTTATATCTCTTAGCTTATATTGAGAAATTTGTCCAGGACCCTGATCAATTCGTTAAAAAGCTTCTTCGAAAAGAAATGCGCTCAGAAGACTGGCCTAAATTACGATCAAACCTTTTACGGTCTCGATTGCGCGAATTCATGGAGAAGCTCTATTCCGAGCAAGAAAAGCTCACCAAGGACAGAGCGGACGAATCCGGATTGATGGTAGATTTGCGACCAATATCATATTTACTCGAATCTTCTTCGGGCGATGATACCGGAACAGAGACCGATACCAAGAAGAGCGCGCAGACCGAGCGCTCGAAGCTGGCCAAACCGAAACCAGAGGAATCACCGCACCGAGCGCCGCTCGGTCAAGAACATGGCCCTGAACTTGAAAAGGTGGAAAAGCCGAATCCTATCGAACTCGAAGCGCAAGGGTCGGTGACTCAGACCGAGCCACAGGACGATTTACCCATCATCACGCCGCAGTCTGAGCCACGAGGGCAACCCCGCGATCGTGAAATAATCGAAGTACCCGACAGTCAAGACCAAGCCAACGTACCGGTGGTGGCAATCTCACAACGATTAGAGTCTAGTCCATCCTCACCAGCACCGAAGTTGCCGAAGCGCGCTGAGTCCGTGTACATTGACGACAGCGATGGCGTGGAGACAACGCCCACGAAACGAACAGCCAAACCCGATAAAAGCAACGGATTCGAAGTCCAAATCAAAGTTAAGGTAACACCGCCAGCGTCCCCAACATCCAGGTGATGGACGATCAACCGTGTCAGGCATTGTTTCTTTCAAATCATGCCTCGAGTTGGTACATTCTCCTATGTCGTTCGCATCACCCATTGTGCGCCACAATATCTTTATCAAGGGGCTTCGAGCTCTATCGTCATGTCACGGAGCATTTGAAACGTGCTACCCGCTGCTGTATCATTTTTGACCTCCACTGTCTTGGCCTTTTCCTCTTTTCCCTCTAGAGTTTCTAGAAGCTGCATTATGGGGCGTTCTGGTGTCAGTACTCGTTCCTGGAGCATGAGATACCAATTATTGCATTTGAATACTAGTATTGCTTACCGTCATGATTGCGGTTTTGATATTCTTCCCATTGTACGAATGCAGGGCTATACTACCATTTAGATGCGTCAAGTCTATCAAGCGCTAATTAGTGATAACAATGCAGCCAATCCATCACACCATGCGGTTCATGATCTACCAGTCACTCTCACTCGCCGATAGCCACCACATCATCTTCTCCTTCTTGAATTCCTCAAAGTCCCACTCCTCGTTCTGCAGCCTGTTGCTGTCCCCAATCCAAACATACGTCTCCGCATCAATCTCCTCCGCTTCATCAGTAAAATTCTGCGGAACAGCCTCCAGCACATCCTTTAGATACCTATCCGTGTTCTCTCTGCCGTTTCCATCCCCATTCCCGTTCCCATCCCTAGTTCCGAAGGCACTCCCCGGCAACGCTTCTTTCAGTACCCGCACAGAGACACGGATCCGTCTATATTCCAATCCCTCATAGACATCCAGCCTATAGATGTCGCCGTCTGTAAGGCCCGAGACGACTGTTCCCAGGACCGAGGCGGATGTGTTCGTCGTACTGCTATGGGTTGTATCTGTCGTTGCTGTTCCTGGAGTAGCTGTTGTGCTTTCAGAAGAAGCAGATGGCACGGGGATGATTGCTGGATAGTCCTCACGGCGGACGCGGTGCCGCCTATACCTGTATAAAATGGCGGGCTTGAAATGCAGCATGTCTTTCTGCCATTGCTGGGGATTCGGCGAGCCGTGGATTACACGGTGTAGCATTTCTGGGGCGAGAAGTGTGCCTGAGTTAGCATGTTAGCACTGTTCTTTGTATCCACCTGCTTGTATGCGGGGTAGAGAGACGGATATAGTAGTATGGTACATATAGGTATACTAGATGTGCCGGATAGCGGCAGGAGAAGGTAACGGGACGCACCATAGAAAAATAGGACGTGGTTGCCCATTTTGGGTGTGCTTTCGCCTTTGTCTCTTCTTCTTGCCTGAGAGGATTCTTGCACCTGCGATGTTGGGGATTTGGAGGAGCCTCGGAGGAGGGGGCTTGCATGGCGGTTATAGCGTAGCGCTAGTGGGGTTGTATCGGTGGGGAGCTAAGCCTCAAATTATACATTGTTCAGGCAAATAGTGAACGAATATGCAAAGATAGACCCGTGAGCAAGTAGACATATCTGCAAAATATCAATCTACTAGGTACACGCTAATAGACCCAAGACAAAACCTGGAGTAACCACATTCACCTCTCAAGCTCGTCCCCCATTGTTATTCTCGTGTCGAGCCAGCCTTATCGATAAGCTTTCCTAGAGCAATCGCAATCACCGCCTCCGAAAAACGTCCGGAGATCTGGCTTCATCATTGTTGATGCCCTCCGAATAATCGATTGGCATCTGCCCATCAACACATCCTTTACCTACCTACCCTCTAGGTAAAGAACAACCAGCATAAGCACATCCACGCGATGTATTCAACCCTTAACCGCGCCCAAGCGGTCTTCGGATTCTTCACGACAGTCGCGCTCTTCGTCGCTGGTATCGCCGCGCTTTCGGTGCTGCTGTATCCGACAGATGCGGCTTCGGCCAAGGTGCAGTTGAAGGACGCGAAGGTGTATGTTTTCCCGGATACTTTTCTATTAGGTAGAGTGATATATTGGATATGACATATGCTGATAAGATGACTCTACAGAACCAAAGGCCGTCCACACTACTACTCTACCAAGAAAGAAGAGTACGCGCAGCTGAAGTTTGACTTGGATGCCGGTATGTCTTGCTTTGCTATCCCTACTCAATTCACTTTAGAAACCTCCGCCAGCATACAGCTAACGCAGATACAGATCTCTCCCCCCTCTTCAACTGGAACACAAAACAACTCTTCGTCTACGTCTACGCCACCTATTCATCAGCGGACACCGAAGCCTCAAATGTACCAGCAACCCAATCAATAATCTGGGACACTATAATCGAGGCCCCGGAGTCGCCCTACTCCTTCGCGAACCTGCGCGAGCGGTTCTTCCCCGCAAAGTCGGCGGCGGGTTCCAAGCGCAGCACCTCGGCTGCTGCAAACAAGAACAAGAACAAGAACCAGAAGAAGAGCAACTCCAAGGAACCTGCGGCGCCGGGCGTCCTCCGTCTCCGCGACCAGAAGAGCAAGTACCAGATTAGTGATATCACAGGGCGGATCGCGGAGCGCACGAACGTGACGCTTTCTGTTGGGTGGAATGTGCAGCCGTGGGTTGGGGCGTTATGGTGGGCGCCTGGGTCTGGGGCTGTGCCTAGGACTGGTGGGAGCATTGTGGCGAGTAAGGCGTTTGATTTACCGGCGTTGAAGGGGTTGAAGCCGAAGGGCGAGGGGGCAGCGTCTATTTAGGGTGTATCTAGGGGTTCTAAATTCAAGGGATTTACTGCTTGATAATGGTATACAACCATGTATACCATCGCTACTTCATGAAGTCAAAAGAAGGCAAATCATTCTCGTTCTTGAGCCGTCCCATCCAATGCACGACGAAAGATACCTGGGACTGCAACCATTCACTAGGTGTGCCACCCGAAACTAATCTGTGCCATCAAACACCGAAAATCCAACAATGTGCGTCTTTACCCCAGTTGAATCAAGGAATCGTGCCGTAGTTATGCTGCCCTCCGCGCTGGATTCGGTCCGAGTATACACCAGGCGCGGGCTCTGCGATCACAGCTTGGCGATTCTTGTAGTAGACATATTCCAAGTAGTATGCGTGAATATGGCCGGGCAGATAGCTGAGTTCGTTAGCTCCGCATGTTTTCACGACCGTAGAGCGGAACAATGGAGGCTCATGATAAACGAACCCTAGTATCGTCAAGAGAATATTGATAAGGAAGTCGACGCTGCAACCTGAAATGAGGAAAACGCCTAGCGGTGGGACTGGATCGCCATGAGTCAAAGTGTCTCGTATTGAATGCATGTGTTGGGCACGTACTGAAGAGAGTAAGGATGATCAAGCAAAGCATGGAAGCTGTTCCAGCCATTTTGGTATGTTATTGGACTTTACGGTTGGCGATCTGCTGTAGATCGTGCTGCTGTTCGTTCGCTGGTATCTGAATACGTTCCGAGAAAGCTCAGGAAGAGGATCGTAAAGAGAAGGACGAAGATGTAGATGGGAACGTTGTCGTCGTGATCGGAGTTGAGGGGTTTCATCTCTCAAGGCACGGGTTCGGACGACGTCACCATAAACAGGGATGATTTGTTGTCTGAAAGAAGACATAATAGCACGAAGAGGGCGTTGCCAAAGGTCGAGAGTTGGGTGACGTCATTCGACTAAACTCAGTAGATCCATGGAGCGAAGTATCGGGGTGGTACAACAAAAGCATGCTTCCAGGCCTGATGCAGACTCTGCTTGGGAAGGTTGGTAGATTTTCCTGGGAAAAAGCCAAGGCCGCTCCCGCAGGATCTAGGTTTCGCAGTAGTGTAAGAGTGGAGGTCGTTCATACGGCATCAATTGCTGCTCTAGTCGTGACTTGCTCGTTCTTGTTACCGAGTTTTGAGATTGAAAGAAACGCGTCCACACCGTAGCCTTCCAGACTGTGTAGCTCCAGGCTGCCGGCCCAGTACTCTGCATAGACTCTGCTCATCGGAAGCCCTATCCCTAGCCGGAGATCTGGGAGCCGCGATGTCAGCGTGTCCAAGGAGCCTTCACGGAAGGTCTCCTTGTCCGCACGCTTCGTCTCCTTTGAGACTGATAGCTCTTGCAAGGTCGCTGCCATTGCTGGAACCTGTCCCAGGTTCTCAAGTCGTAGCTTGCTGTGAGGGCCTTTATTGAAAGACCACAGGTAGGGCAGGATCTCTCTAGGAATACCTCCCCCCTGGTCGGAAACACGCATGATCACATGTTGAGGTGCTTCGCAAATCAGCACTTCGATCGGAGGTGGTTTCTCATCTATTTCTTGGTATTTCTCGCTGACAGCCTGAACCGAGTTGCGCAGGAGTTCACCGATTATATACTCCAAATGACTGAGCATATACGGAAATGTCGCATCCAAATGCCCTTGGACTGATATTTCCGGAATTTTATCTGAGCCAGTGCTCTGCCTAATCATGTCTTGTACAAGCTTGCCGCATCGCTCGACGACCTCTTTGGCGTTGCATTTGAGAAACACTTCGCCAACAAAGTCCGCATTCAGGTCTGTCCGATCTTGCGATCCAGGGAAGTGCCACGGGGAATTGAAGGTTTCTGTTAGTGCTAGGTGTTGTTCCGCGATGACTCGACGAGAAATTCTCTGTGTAAAATGCCTTGTCAGTTATGCCTTCTACAGTGGGCGCGGGTCCCTTACTGCTCTGAGCAGAGTGTTCATGAAATGGTCCATAGCGTCTGGGGGTAGGAGATTGCGGCATTCCAGCACGCCCATGGCTAATCTCGGTATAACAACAAGGTGTTCTTGGAGCGTTTTGCGCAGGATATCACAGAAACGGTCATTGTCGTCGAGTGTGAGTATCTCCGGCACCGTCCGAAACCTTTCGAATGCTTTATAGTACAGTTCGTATACGAGGGAGAAATGAGGGTTAGCTACCACGACGTATGGCAGCTTCTGTATCTCCCGCAGACGGTGCGCTAATCTGTAAGCGACCACCTGAGTTAGCAAGAAGCTCAGGGCACTGAAACTAGTAGAACGTACCTAGTCGGAAGCTCCGTGCGCACATAGTTGGCAGAGCTAATCAGCCTCGATTCGGTCAAGGTCCGTCCGAAAAATGTAAGCTGTCGTAAACTGATCGGTCGAATCTGGCGCTCAACGAATCTAAAAGTAATGCATTAGCAAGAAACTACCTCGGCATTGCAAAAACCATACTCATCAAGAGCCGAGACAGGCCTCCATGGTGGAGGACTATGCGAGTAAGTCTCGGCACCAGTAGTATAGAGCGTTCGTGTTGAAAGAGGGCGTCTCTGGAAGGCGCGCCTGCATCGAGCTGGATGACTCCGCAACATCTCGTCCGCTTAGACTTCTCAACGGCGTTTCATGGGTTTCTCGAGGGCTCTCCCGGAGGGCTAGAATCTTGAGAAGCGAAGGGAAAAGCTGAATTTGAGATGAAGGCCTCACACATGACTCACTGCTAACTTCCAGGGGGATAGGCAGCTGGTTAAGTCTGCTGCGAGCTTGGGACCTGCCTGGATGGCGAGTGGGCTCACGCTATACATGCAAATGTTCACCGGGCGGTGAGGAAGCTCCGATTGCGCCTGGCATGTGACCAATGCAGTATAGAGACCGGGGTAAAACGATGGTCGCGATCGCCTGTGCAACCGGCGAAATGCGGAGAGAAGGCCTGTTTTACGTACTTCTCTTAGTCGTTTAGAAGTTGGATTATTCATTATTCCTCGAGACCTAATCTCCAGCACGAGAGCTTGGTCTATTCGAGATTCTGTCACCATGCTCATCTCAAAGTAACAGATGCAGCGAGACTATGTTTACATCTAGCATCGAATCGCACTGATGACGGATAATGACAGTAGGTACAGGGCCTTGCTTCTTCAATGGGCCTTGAGAGATCGTCCTGAAGGTTTCCGTCTGCTTGTATCCGGGCGACTCGAATCATTCGACAGCTTCTGACCGTCGGGTCTGTGTTGTTCAAAAATTCGAGTGGAGCAACAAAATCAAAATGATATCACCGGACGCGCCCTCAGGATACTTCTTCAACTTTGCCAACGGCTTCGATGTACAATTAGGGGGTTCAATCTGGAGTTAGGAAAGGAAAAGTAGATTTCTCTGGGCATAGAATTATCAGAATGCGATAGGATTTGGTTTGCCCACGCGATAAGAGAAATCTCGGCAGCGAGAAACGTCGTCAGACCCAGCTTACTCTGAAGCACGCTTTGCGTCGCGATTGAATAGACATCATAAGATGGCAAGATTCGAGGACTCCAAGGAAGAGAAATTCATCAAGCATTTATAGAGCCAAGGACAACTCGAGAGACTTCCTCGCTTGATCCTCGAGAAGTTGTGCAGTGCCTTAATAATCTGGGACACTGTTGTGTCCCGCAAGTCCGCTGTTATTATTGGGCCTCGCAGACTCCGCCACAGGCTTCAACTCCTTTGAAACTGGAACCTGTTAGGAACCCAGGCTCTTCCGATACCCTCACTGTCTGTAATCTTCACCATACACATATCTCCCTCTTCGCCCACTCTCTGCGATTTGTGGAATATATAGAACTTTCCCCTTATCTCTGGGTCTTGCCCCCCACCCTCACGCTGCAGCGAGCACCTTCCATACTCGGTGCTTGAGCGCACTTTTCTATCTTCATGGACACCGTGAGTTTTCGCTTGGAGATTTTCCTGCAACCCAGAAATTTACAAAATGACGGACAACGCTGTTGAGCCCGAGCTAGAAACGCTAGCTAACCTAGTCCTTTCTCCGGCCTGCCAGCCTACAGATAATCAAATGCTGGTTGATGAATACGAACGATACCACCATGACAGAACCGACGACGTCGTTGTCTCCCACTCGGGCTCTGAGGAGCCGGAGACAGAACCCCCAGCGGATGACTGTAAGACCCTTGCTATACCTGCTCCCCGTCGCCGTCGACCGTCTGCACTCTGCGAAACCACCGGTTTCGCGAAAAAGAGATTTTTTGGCGGCCTCGACGCTGCCTGTCTTCTGGCAACTATTCCTCATTACATTCAATTGCTTTGGAAATGAATTCTAAATGGTGCATGTGCTATAGTCCCGGCGATGATGGCCCGCGTCCTCCCGAAAGACCCTGAATTGGAAACTATCGAGGAAACATGGCATACATGGCACATTCAGGACTGGCGGAAGTTGAAAAAGAAGGAACACGGTCCGGCATTCAAGTGCGGCGGTTTCCCATGGTAAGTGACGCTGGGCGCATGGTTGTCCGAGTGCTTCATCCTTAACCACTGCTCCCAGGCGGATACTTTTCTTCCCGTACGGAAATCACGTCGAACACGCTTCGTTCTACCTAGAGCATGCTTGGGAAACTGAACCTCCAGAGAACTGGTATGCATGTGTGCAGTTCGCCCTGGTCCTGTGGAACGTCAACGATCCCACCATTCATATTTCCCATGGTAGGTTGACCATCGCACTCTGCTGTATGCCGAGTATGCTCACCAGAAGTAGTCGCAACCCATCGATTTAATGTGGACGAAGGAGATTGGGGGTTCACTCGGTTTTGTGAATTGCGCAGACTCTTCAGCATGCCTTGGGAAGATCGTGGGGTTCCGCTAGTCCAGAATGACGAGGCCAAGGTCACGGCATACGTTCGTGTTGTCAAAGATCCAACAGGTGTCTTATGGCACAGCTTCCAGAAGTAAGGGTCCTAGCAAACTGTCTATTTACGGCAGTACTGACAGCACATAGTTACGATTCCAAGAAAGAAACCGGCATGGTCGGACTGAAGAACCAAGGCGCAACATGCTACCTTAACTCTCTATTGCAATCATTATATTTTACAAACGCTTTCCGCAAAGCCGTCTATCAAATTCCCACAGAAGCAGAGGCGTCGCGAGATAACAGCGCCTGGACTCTTCAGCGGCTGTTCAATAACCTCCAGACAAGCGATTTCCCCGTCTCGACAACTGAACTTACGGCCTCGTTTGGTTGGGAATCACGGCAAATTTTCGAGCAGCAAGATGTTCAGGAGTTGTCGCGGAAGCTAATGGAGAGATTAGAAGAGAAGATGAAGGGCACACCTGCAGAGAAGGCACTTCCGGACCTGTTCGTCGGCAAAACGAAGACCTATATCTCATGCATAAATGTCGACTACGAATCATCGCGTGTGGAAGATTTCTGGGATATCCAACTCAACGTGCGAGGTAACAAGACACTTGATGATAGTTTCAGGGACTATATTCAGGTGGAGACTCTTGAGGGCGAGAACAAGTACGACGCGGGTTCTCCATACGGCCTGCAAGATGCCAAGAAAGGAGAGATTTTCGAAAGCTTTCCTCCGGTGCTGCACCTTCACCTGAAGCGCTTTGAGTATGATATCCATCGCGATGCGATGATGAAAATCAACGATCGACACGCCTTCCCGATGGAGTTTGACGCGTCGCCCTACCTCTCCAAGGATGCCGACAAGTCAGAATCATGGGTCTATCAATTACATGGTGTTCTTGTTCACAGCGGTGATTTGAACGCGGGCCACTATTTCGCCTTCTTGAAACCGACTAAAGACGGATATTGGTATCGCTTCGATGATGACCGTGTAACGAGGGCGACAGACAAGGAAGTGCTTGAAGAAAACTATGGGGGCGAATATGAGCTGCCGAACGGCACAGTCGGGGTGAGGCAGCCGTACACTCGAGGGCTCTCTACCAAACGATCGACAAATGCCTACATGTTGGTCTACATCCGCAAATCTAGGTCCGATGACGTTCTCCTTCCTATTACCACTGAGGATGTTCCTGCCCACATCGGTATGTCCGCACTCTTATTGGCGTATATGTCATTTCTCAGCGTTAACCCTCACATTCTTTGCAGAGAAACGATTAGTCGAGGAACGCGCCGAATGGTTGCGCAAGAAGAAAGAAAAAGAAGAGGCGCACTTGTACCTCAGTGTCGGAGTCTTGTCTGAGGAGACTTTTAGGAACCACAACGGATTCGATCTAACGAGCTTCGACCAGTCGACTGCCGAAGCGGCGCTCCCCAAGCAGTATCGGATCCTCAAGACGACCAAGGTCAGTGAATTCGCTGAGAAGATAGCGGAGGAGAAGAACATTAACCCTCACCAACTCCGCTTCTGGGTCATGGTTAATCGCCAAAACAAGACGATGCGCCCGGATCAAGTCATCAAGGATCCAGAAATGACGGTCGAGGAGGCGTATAGCAGATATGGCACCAAGGGTAACCCATTCAGAGTCTGGCTTGAGGTTGGCCAAGCGTCTGCTGATGGTACCGTTTCCTGGCCGGATGGTAACGGCTCGGTGCTTGTCTTTTTGAAACATTTTGATGCGCAAAAGCAGACTCTGGCTGGTGTTCGTGCAGTATACGTTCGAAAGACCCAGAAGGTCGCCGACCTGGCGCCCACGATTCTCGAGATCATGAATTGGCCCGCTGGGACAGAATTCATCCTCTATGAGGAGATCAAACACAATATGATCGAACTCATGAAGCCAAAACAGACATTCCAGCAATCGGAGATTCAGGATGGCGACATTATCACTTTCCAAAAGTCTATCAAAGAGTCAGAACTCCCTCCCACGGCACTGTACACGGACGCGAAGCTTTACTACGACTACCTTCTAAACCGGATAACCGTTACTTTCGCGCCTCTGAAAGCGAACGACGGTGATGAAATATCCTTGGTTCTGAGCCGGAAGATGTCTTACGACCAGTTTTCTAAGAAAGTTGGTGAGGCCTTGAGCGTGGACTACACACATCTGCGTTTCGCTCCAGTCATCGCCACTACCGGGAAGCCGAGGGCGTACATCAAGAGGAACCCCAATCAAAACGCTCAAACTCTCCAAAACATCCTCTTCGGACAGATGGGCGCCTACGCAATTAATAACATTCGCCAAGATGCCCTGTACTATGAAGTCTTGGAGACGAGCCTGAGTGACTTTGAGTCGAAGATCACTCTCTCAGTAACGTGGCTTCCCGAGGGTATTTCCAAAGAAGTGAGTCAAGCGACACCACTAGCCTTTTTCGTGGATACTAACAATCATATTAGCAAACCGTCGAAGTCCTCGTGCCCCGGGAAGGAACAATTTCGGACGTCCTGGCTGGGTTACAGAAAAAGGCCAGCATCGACGACGAATCAATCCGCAATGTACGAGTTTACGAAGCACACAACCATAGGATATCCAGGGACTTGCAGCCCGACTCCAAGATTCCTACCAGCTACCAAGATTATCTCACCATCTACGCAGAAAAGGTACCCGAGGAAGAGTTGAACCTGGAGAGCGGTGACCAGACGGTGAATGCTTTCAACTTCGAGAAGGAAGCCTCAAGGACACATGGTGTGCCTTTCAAGTTCGTTGTGAAGCCAGTAAGTTTGCAAGTCAACCATATAAATGCGCCCTGCTAATTCCTCGAAGGGAGAAATCTTCAAACAAACCAAGGAACGACTGTCGAAGCGAACCGGCCTTAAGGGGAAGCGGTTTGAAAAGATAAAGTTTGCTGTTGTACAGCGTCTGCACCCCTCAAACCCACGGTATCTTGAAGACGGTAAGTACTACATACCATCATGAGTGTATTAGCTGGCGTTACTGACAAGTACAACAGATGATATACTATCAGATATAATTGGTGATTCTGGTGATCTGCTCGGCCTCGACCATCCGAATAGTAAAAGCAGGAGCTTTTGGAACAGCAGCCAGTCCTTCTTCATCAGATAAGAGTTGAGCATAATGATACACCCCCCATATATTTTATACGGCTGGATAACCACACCTTCTGCTTGTGGCTCTGATCAGCCGTGATACAATCTCTCATTGTTGCTGTAGACACTGGTTATGATATGATTACGAGGATACTAGGTGCTCCAAAGAGGGACTAGTTCTTGCGACACAGACGCAGGAATATGCATCAATAAGATTTTCAAAGTCATGCATTAAAAAGATACCCAAAGATAGTAAAATCGGCCCAAACCCTAGACTTGTCGGAATAATATACAGGTACGAGATCTACCTAGCTATACCGATGTACGCTGCCGGTTTTCTTGGCGGCGACCAATGATAACGCGGGGGATGCAAACAAATCAAACAGCGCAACAACACAGCTGGCCAGAACTTCATCTCCTTTGCGTGTTTCAATCAGCCAGCGAAAACAACATTGAGCCCAGCTCTCAATCCGTCCAATATGCGATTCACAGCTCTGGTCCTAGGCCTTTTGGCCTGCCTGGTGTCCTCCGTCACAGCAACCGCCCTCACATACCGACTCGAGGCCAACGAGAAAGCCTGCTTCTACAAATTCGTCGAACAGCAAAACACGAAAGTCGCCTTCTACTTTGCTGTCAGTCTATCAATGCAATTCCACTAATTACTGGAGTAAAAAGCTAACAATTGTTACCCTGTAGGTTCAATCCGGTGGTTCTTTTGATGTGGACTACGCTGTCGTCGGACCCGGTGAGAAGCCCGTCCTTGACGGCACCAAGGAGCGCCAGGGCGACTTTGTCTTCACAGCCCAGAGCATCGGCGAGTACCGATTTTGCTTCAACAATGAGATGTCCACGTTTGCCGAGAAGATGGTTGATTTCGAGATCGCGGTACGCAGCCCTTTGCGCTACCTCCTGTATACACCAACATAACAAAACTAACTCTATTCCCACCCACAGCTCGAGAATGAACAACGCGCCGAACTCCCCTCGCGCCAGGGCGCCAACCCCGAACAAGCCTCCGCTATCGAAGAATCCATCTTCAAGCTCTCGGCCCAGCTCTCCACCATCTCCCGCAACCAGAAATACTTCCGGACCCGCGAAAACCGCAACTTCAGTACCGTGCGCAGCACTGAGCGCCGTATCTGGAACTTTAGCGTGATTGAGGGATTGATGATGGTTTCTATGGCTGGGTTGCAGGTGTTTATCGTCCGGTTCTTCTTCCAGGGGGCGAGGAAAGGTACGTACACCCGCTCAGTCAGACAGAATAATATCTGGCTCTGCCCGGATTTTGTGGAGGGACAAGGGCAAGGGAACTCGCTGGCTAACTTTTGCGCGCAGGTTATGTGTGATGAGTGAGCAATGACTATAGTATATGATTCTCTGAATTGTGGCGTCTGTATCTGTGTCTACCTTTATCCTCTGCATGTCTAGATCTCAAATCTTACCGCCCTCATTCTCCATCTGAGCCCGGGCAATATTGACGAAAGGAAAGTACCAAGGTTAACCTACTAGGGCGATAAGCGGAGAGTTAGCATAAGTGGTGCCCATCGGTGGGGTGGACCTTGAACCGCATGAAAGCCAGCAATCCCCGTTTCTGCGGTGATTCAACCCCCTCCCATCCCTCCGCTACTCTTCACGTATCCACCCCACAGTCAATCGCCTAACAGAGTCGGACCAGGACACGATCCACCCCAGTTTCACCATCAATCATCGCGAAGGACGAGATAGGTCAACTGACTAGACAAATGGCAGCAAGGAATCAGAACAGCAGGTGTGGCGTGAGCACAGAGTGTCCGCCCTTCCACATCGAGCATCAATTCTTCTCACCATAACATAGCCATCATCTACCCACCTAATCATCTTCACCTTCACGGAACAGGATACATGCATGTCTCTTCTGGGAAGGAAGGTCCTGAACGACCATCGTACACATTGAGCTCATGGGTTAAACAGGAACCGAAACAGAATAGACATGCAACGACCGCTGACAATGACGTTCACCGGACCATCCATTGCTCCATCCGGACGCACCTTCACCTGCCTGCAACTGCAACCCGAAACAAGCTTGCCTGCTTACCTGCTTACCTGCTTGCCTCGTCAGCCCTCGACGTTAAAAGGCAAGATTCGACTCATTTGGGCTCAGCTGGAATTGGGGATTCTCGGCAGTACGTCAGAAGGAAACCATGCACGGCGCATCCGTGACACGGAACCAACTCGAGAAAGAAAATATACATCATATTCTCCAACTCGACAATTTCTTGGAATGGAACGGCATGAAGATCTCGCTGGTCTGGACCTTTTTTTTTTTTCTTCAAGCTCGCCTTTTGCTTCCAGCAATAATAATCAGACTAACTAAACAGGTAGCTGGGCAGCGCTAATGTGCTACGTTGCAGAGTCGGACTAATGGAGCCCACGTCTCCGCTCGAAAAACGAGGCGAAGTATGAAAGCGGATTCAAATTGTGGATGAGTATCCACGGTCTTCGCGTGTCATATCATGTAGGGAAAGGCAGGCGAGCCAATGCTATGTCGGTATGGGGCTTCGGTGTTCAACACCGCCCTCTTGATATCGATATTGATCACTTCCAACTCGGTCAATGCACAATGCATGGAGACGGTTGGTGGGCAACGAAAGGACGAAGCAGATTTGAGGTTGAGCTGGCCAAAGCCTTGAATGAATGAATGAGGTATGCATGGTCAGGGTCAGGATTTCCCGGTTTCGAGTTGGAGGCGAAACAGGGCTGGCGGAGAAGGTTGTATCATAGGAAGCATGCTATGGGATGCTTGATTCAGGGTCCTAGGACTACTCCGCTACGCAAAGCAGTCCCGATCTATCTGCTACCTACTCCATGGAAGATTCGCCCTCGACCAATTATGATAATATATGACGTTTCGCGTTCCTCCACTAACCGGATGGATATCTGGGTGTTCTCCTTTTTTTTTTTTTTTGTTTTTTTCGGTTGGTTGGGGATCTGGAGCGAGAATCTCCTGTTTTACTCGATCAATAGTGTCTGTCCAATATTTTCCAGAATCCGGGGTGCATTATCACTCGTCAGGCCTGTGGAATATCAGAAAACACTAGTTGTTGAAAGGGTCTTTCAAGTTCTCGCAGTCGCCACTTCGATGGTGGCACGACGATACGGGATTACATCACGCGTTCGAGTGTTGTAGGGCTTGGTCGAGTTTCATTTTTGTCCATTGAGCTCTATGCTGCTATGGAACAAAAGCAAAGCAGTAAATCAGATTATTGTCGTGCATTCTCAAATCTAAGTCTGCTGACTTTGAAACTCTATAGTAACATTCTAACCTATCAAACTGCGCTTCCATCTATACATGATTCGAGCTCAAGGCACGGATGCCTTTTGACACCATCCTGGTTGCTTCAATCCCTTACGGCAGCAGTAAAGTCCGTTAAGTATTTAGTTTGTCGCCTGCGCTCAGAGAACGTTTCGTCTGTACAAGGGAAGGGGTCAAGGTAGGGTTTGGTGGGGCTGGGCTTGCTAGTTCGTTGGGACTTCGTGGATAAACAGCCACTGTGCTGCACACTCAAGATGCCTAAGAGGCGTTGCACACTACGCATCAAGGGGCAATCCAGATCCACTGCTTCTTCAAGCATTAAATAAAGGATGTCGGCGTAGCTCCTCTTCGCTTCGAAGCCCGAGGGGAGAGGAAGACATCGCTAGATCGAGCTCACCTAGTATCAGGCAGGTCCCGTATTTGTCTTGCAAGGACTTATTGGCAGGCCATCCTTTGCATAAAGGTTATCCAGCGAGGCATTCTGGAAGATGTGGCACTTTGTCGATGCTGATTGATCCTGCGAGAACAGTCACGAGCCTCAGCCGACAAGTGAGTTGTATGAATCCGCGATGGGTGACAGGTGATCTGGTTCCTTTCTAGCACCTATGGTTCGAAGCACACGAGGTTAGCATACGATAACTCGTTTATTATCTCGGAAGTGGTAGCTAGGAAATGGCCCCGTTGAAGTTCAGCCTCCGTATTAGGGTTCGGACGCAACAGGCGACCGACTTGCTATGCACGGTACTTCAGGCATCACGATTCTGAATAGTTGGTTCTGAGATCTGGTGTAGGCTCGAGGGACGAGTTTCGACTAAATCGAGACGCACAGGAAGAGACTTTGGGAAACGAGAAGGAGGAGGATGAGAAGAAGGTCGAGTCCTGTTTTCGGTCAGTCACAAATGGCGGCTTCTAAGTGGGATAGGGCTATTGATACTGGCAAAGTAGACGCGATGAGGTTTTGCTGGCCAGACTTTGGGAAAAGTTGAGGGTTGAAGGCTTTCGTAGTTAGGCCAAGGAGCACAGGTATAGGGGGGGTCAGGGCATGAGGCTCATGATCACTATATTCCTAAACGTCATGGCCACAGGCTGACTGCAGGCGGAGAATTTGTATCTCGTACGAAAATGAAGAATAGTGAGTCTCGAAGACGGAAAGGAGAACATGCTGCCCGGACTTCGCAAGAATGAGGCGTCGATCCCAGACGTCACTCCAAGCGGATATCCAAGCCCTCCCGAGAGTCGCAGGGGTTAGCTTGACGTGAACGCGGCTAGCAGTTTACACAGCTACTAGCCATAAGCACTAGTAGTAGCATGACATACAGCTTGAATTCTGCAGTGAAACAATACCCCGATACCCCGAGGTTGGTAGCAGGACATGATCCTAGACGGTCTGTTGCTGTAGAATGACGTTGGGTCCTTCCCGATATCGTTGCCCACGCAACAGGACGTGGCTATCCGCTATCCACTGTCTGCTGTCGTCACAAGCAGGCGTCCTACATCGTACAAAGTCCTTTGACGTTCTATGCACGGAGGAAAATGGAGTACTTGCAAACGAACTGTTTAGTATGACGTTTCCCCACAGCTAGGCCCATGGGATGAGTTAGCGAGCCGGTTACCGAAGTCATTGATCGGCTATCTGATGTAGGACCCTCCAGCGGCTTTCTAGATGTGCTGGAGGAGAGAGTGACATCAACCTAGACAGCTACGGCGGCGACGAGGATGGTCGAGACTCGGAGGCAGGGAGAAGGGGTATGACGAGCATCCTCCACACGAGGGATCGGTCGCTGATTCTAGTCGCATGGTAAATCCTCAGGAACATTGTGTGATTGGTGTACAATGTAAAGCATATTCTTGCACAATTCCTCCGCGTGGACTTCTCAGTGCCTCTGTATAGCAAGGGTGTATCTGAGAAATATGAAGCTGTTCTTGTCGATAGCTGTAGTGGCAGAAGCACGATAATACGAAGTATGACAGTTTAGTCGAGCAGGATCGGCAGACGCTGGGTCGACTCGTTCCCTGTCGTTAACTTGTGCAGTTTACTGGTCCAGATAGCCCATAGATCCAGCCCATTCTATCAATGGTTCAATTAGAGCTTGCAATACGGCGGTTGACCCACTTCCTCCACATGAGAAGGAAAAGCAGAGCAGTGCCGAAGACCCCTTTGACGTCTTTTGGCCTGGTCAGTGTTCAGATTAGGTAGAGCTACCGAACGGTCTCGCGGAGAGCTACTCCCCTGGCAGAAAGGGTCCAGGCCATGACTTCATCCGATCTGGCAATGACATATCTCGACTCTATCCTTTGGTCGAGCATTTGAGACGAATATCCTCAACTTATCGTGTCTGGGGTAGCTGCCGCGGAAAACCATATGCAAAGAGGGGTAAAATCGAAAGCACCTAGAATTATTCAGCTCTTCTAAAGTTGTCCATGAAGCTCCATGTCCTACTCCATGTAACTAGTGAGGCTAGCTGAGGAGTAGGAGTTCTCGTATACGGAGGACTAGTATACTCCGGAGGAGCACACAGAAAACGAGTACATGAGGCGTCAGCAGGCTGACGTCATTGGCTGGGGAGCAGCCTCAGCCCGAGCCAGTCTAGAGGCTAACACCACACTGCCTGCGACTTCCGTCAATTTCTTCAACGTCAATCAATTCTCGTTACAGAAACATTTTGGGGTCAAAGTCTGGAAATTATTTGTGCCCATCTTGACCTCCCCGGACAGCTTCTCCAGGGCTGTGATCTTGTCGTCTGCAGCCGGCGATCGTTTGACGCCAAGAAGGCATTCCACCATGCCTCCTGGCCCAAACTTCGCTTCAAACCTTACAAGCCGAAACTGCAGCTCTTAATCCCCTCTGCGTAATTCGCCTTGCCGTCCACCTCGTCGGGACCCTTTTCCTACTTTTGCTGGTCCGTCTGACGTGCAAGTGGATGCCTTAGAGCACTCATTCCGTGGTCAGTCGACCATCTGCTTGGGGCGCTCCCGGCCTCCAGCCCGTCAGGTCGAGAAGGAAGATGTCCTTATCCAGCTGATCTACAGCTGTACAACTCTGTACTGGATCCTCGAATCGGAAATTGTGTTTGTCCTGCAGCAGCTCGTTGTATAAAGAAAGGCCCGCTGTCCACCCGGCGGGAAGTACGGTGACCTCATTCTGGCTCCGCTGCATGAAGCCAGAGTGGGTCAAGCGAACCATCGCTGCGAGAGCTTGCTGAACCGCTCCAATTGCCATTAGGATCCTCGGTGCAGCGTCGCTGTTGTACTCCGACCGCTGGGGGCATTGCGGCTAGCGCCTCCGGAAGGGACGCCCCAGGAACTCTGATGTCATAGCGCACTTTGTCCATTTGCGATGGCGAATCCCAGCGTCAACGCTCCTCTGATCGCCATGTGGTTGGATCCAGTCAATGGTTAGCCTTTTTTTCTAGGTCTTTTACTACTGCTGGGCTAACTCCGCCGTTGTTCGGCCACTAGGGCTGTGAAATCATACTCGATCTGGGTATTGGATTGATAGATATAAGTTTCCGCTAACCTTGTTCCGATCTTTCTCACTTCCATATCTCTCGGAACTCTTTCACGCGAACCTGACTCTAAGCTACTACATCTTGACTTCCTAAGCCTGAAGGTGAGCGCGTGCAAACCAAGCCGTCATACTCAACGTACCCCCTCCCTCCCAAAAGCGTCACACCCTTACCTGGGCGTTCAGAGACAGATCGTGGCCACACGTCGGATGGAATCCTTATTCCTCCAGAACCAAACGAATGTCTCCACCTCACCCAACGGCAGATAACTGATGACAGCCATCACGTTGCGTGGTCGTCCACGTCCAGTGCATGCTTGTAAAAGCTGATGATGATGATGATGAATGCGACTGACGTTGAGCCTGCAGACCTTTTCAGTACCTGCCTGATGTCTACTTCTGTCAATCCCCAAACCTCCTCCCCAACAGGCGGAGAGCCCGGTCGTCCTCCCGGCAACATTATACAAACAGATCGGTCTATGGATCGTCACCATGGAGCATCCGTCGAAGACTACAGCCGCATCATGCTCGAGTATACCCAACGTCGCATGGCCGGCTTCGCAGACACAAGCGACAAAGGATACGCTAGCAGTCGCAGCAGCAGAGCCAGCAATGGCAGCGGCCAGAGCGGCAAGTCCACCAGCGGCGGCTTCGCTAGTCAAGCAGCCGGTCAAGTCCCGCTGAATTTCCGCCACAACAGCGACGACGATTCCAGTGCTCTCGCCGCCGGTCCCGCAGTATAGTAGTCTGCAACAACAACCTACCGGCTCCCAGCTTTCTGCGCTGTGAACGCACTTCAGCATCAACGCAGTCGACGAGTCTACTATTGCTTTGTTCAGCGCGGAGTCTTGATTCATTCTACTGGAGGCTTGGAAGCGATGTTGCACACATCGGAGTCCATTGATCGGCCAAGGTCGTGACTGCTATCCATTTCAATTCAGCGTTTTCCTTTCTGTGATAGCGATCGAGCGGAGCGACACCCAGCGACAGCGATTCAGGCTTTCACGCCTTTGCCCTTCCATGCCCTCCCTACCTACCTTTTCTTCCCTATTTTACCCTTTTTCATGTTCATCCAACACCGAGCGGTATGCCCTCATTTATATACTGCCATACGTTTTCCCCCTTACCAGAGCAGGCTGATGGTGTCGTTTTTGAGGGCTGACCTGACGTCCAGTTATGACATGCTCACTGGCTTGGCTTGTCTGGACGTTTGCTCAGCTCTCTGCCATTTCCTTACGATTTGATACAGATAGTTGAGTTAGACGAGCTCAGTCCAGAAACCTTTTTCCCAGTAACGACTGATACGATCCAAAAGCACGGGTCAAAAGCACGGATGTCGAGATTGATCCTGGCATCCTGTGCTTCTGGTTCCCCCTGTACGATATGCCTGTATGATATGTGTACGATATGTCTTGTACTATATTCTTTTCTGTATACTACGGAGCGACTGTATCTTCTGTCAATTTGACCTTTTCGACCTAACTTGCAATTTGAGCCTATAAAGTGTCTATCAACGTCGCCAACCGCGTTAACTCCGTCGGTGCATGACATCAACATATCCCTTGCGTATCCAACCTCGTTCTGTCAAGCGAAGGGCAAGGCACTCCCCTGTAGCAACTCGTGACCCCTCACATACGTATCTAGTGCGTACCTGCTGCACCTTATCTTGGTTTTCGAGTGGAAATATCATCCACCAACCTGATATGCCACCATGCAGCTGTATACTCATGCAGTCAATGGGCAGGGAAACTTGCCTCGCGTAGACTTTCCAGGTCTAGTTACCCGATTGATGCTTCCACACAATCTATCTAGGCAGGACTAGTTTCTCAGCCAGCATTCCATTCTATCAAGGGGCGCGGGTGGTGGCTGGCCCGGTTCATTCTAAGCTCCACCGTGTCTTACCCTCTTAGTACTCCTGACCCTATCTTGTTATCCCAGGCTGCACCTTGCGAGTTCTCTGTACGCGCACGCAACAGCCTCAGGCATTTCTTGTCTTCGTTAATCTCTTGCTTTTTATTCTGTTCTCTTCTTTGTTATGCTTTGGCTGCCTTTCCTGATGTTCTTTCTTTGAACCCACTATATTCACTCTTTATATCTATATACTCAGCACCCACTAGTGTACGGATACTGTGACTAAACCAAACCACTCTCATTTCTAGACAAAGCTTTTTATACACTCATTACTACATACAAAACCACCAGAAAGCAACACCACCAAAATGCACCAAACCCTCCTCCTCACCACCCTAACAACCTTGCTCACTCTAATATCCGCAATCCCCCTTTCCTCGTCATCCCCCAACGCCAATGCCAAAGCGAACCCAAACTCGAAAACCCCACACATCCACTCCCTCAACGTCCCATTGAGCCCCTCAAAACCCTCCCCAACAATGCCCACGGGTGACAGCGTGGCATCGACAAAGGCCTCCTCGCTAACCCACACCCTCGCAACGCTAATCGCCCACGACGCAAGCGCTTCCTACGACCTGACGACGTGTCCGATGACGCATGCCTCGCGCCAGTGCTGTACATCGATTACGAAGCTTGCAGATGATACGACCTCTCAGCTTGGGGATATTGTGCCCTGGGTTTCGGGCGTCAAGGTTTCAAGTTTAATTGGGTTGCAGTGTATGTATTCTACCTACCTAAACATATACCTCACTCTGGTTGTCCTCTTTGAGGTGATTGGGGGAATTTGAGGAATTGGTAGAGGACCTGTGGTGCTAACGCGATTCTGGATGAATGTCGACAGGCAAAGGAATGGCCCGCGAAACACCAAACGACGATTGCTACGAGAGCGTAATGTGCTGCTCGGGTAACGGCGTGAGTGCGAAGGGTGCAGGCGCAGGCGGTAATACCAATGGGACTCCAGTATGTACCACCATCCACCCTCCCTCTTTTCAGTCGAAAGAAGAGAACCCTTGGAGGTATGCCATCTAATACGGAAACGACGTGTAGGATGGTTCACCGGCCCTCTTCAAGAGCGGCTGCATCCCCTTTGACGAGGCAATCGAGGATAAGAAGAAGGCGATTGAGAAGAGTAAGAGTGAGGTTAGCTTTCTGGCGGAGATGAGTCCGACGCCGAGGCCGACTGCGTCTGCTTCTGCGTCTCCTACTGCGACGGCGGCGAGGGGGTAGGTTAATGCCAGGGTTGGCTGGGGCCTAGGTTGAGGGAGGTTGTTTTGGCGTGGTATTTGGAATAATTTAGATTCGAACGTTCATCGGGGACTGCGAGTTGATTCTGTCGGATGCTAAGTTGAAGACCTTCTATTCCTCATTGTTAGGTTGTCTTGAATATTTTTTGCACACTCGGTACTATTGATAACAAGTAATTCTTCATCATTGTTCAATTGGTATTGTACATGTTCACTAGTTACTCAAAATCCAAAAACGTAGGTCAACGCCATCCCCGCCCACCCGTTGGAGGCGGCGGCGGATGCCAGCCCTGTCCGCCAGGTGGAGGGGCAGGGGGAAAGTTATATGATCCCGGTGGCATCTGCGGCTGTGGCGGCATCTGCTGCGGGAATGGCGGGGGAAAGTTGGGGAAGTTGCCCATGGGCGGCGGTGGCGGAGGCCACGGGCCTTGGTGATTTGGCGGAGGTGGTGGGGGAAACGCGCCACCGCCTAGTGGCATTGGGAATGGCATCTGGGGTTGTTGTGGAGGGTAGCCCGAGGGTGCGCCATAGGAGTTGATGTGTTGAGGGGGTGGATAGGGGTGCTGGGGCCGGTGTTGCGGTTGATGGTGTTGAGCAGGAGGTGGGGGTGGTGAGTAGGATTTCTCGCGCGGAGGAGACCTCGGGTATGAACGGTTTCGAGATGGTGAACGAGAGTCGTAGCGCCTATTTCGGCGGGCTGGGGTGCGGCTCCGCGATGTGCTGTCATATCTGCTGTCGTTGCTGCTATTGCTAAACCGTCTGCGCTTAGGAGGACTGCGGCTTCGGCTCTCACTGCGTCGTGGGCTGCGGTTGTCCCCAGCGTTTCTCTTCTTCATTTGCTGGCAGAACGCGCGGGACCAGCCGTAGTACGTTTCGCCTTCTAGGATTTCTCCCGTGGCAGCGTCGCGAATAACAGTCTGACCGAGCTCGTCCACGTCTACAACTTCACCCTCTTTCCGATCTAGCTCAGTAGAACCGTATATCCGATCGACGTCTTTGAAAAAGACCTTGAGCGCATTCACCAGCTTCTCATCAGCGGGGCCAGCTAGAAACTGCAGAGGCTTGATCATGTCAGGCCGAAGAGGGATTGTTGAGTTCGGTATTATATGCGGCATGAGGTTGCCGGCCGGCAAATCGTAATAAGGTGTCGATGGATCACCATGAGTCGGAGGCATCACAAATGGCGCATCTCGCGGAATCTTACGCTCTGACTCTGCAGTTCCGGCGCCAGGAGTAGCCGACGTCCTGACAGGGCCAGACACAGCAGAGTTGGCGACCACCTCGCGGAGCTTTCCCACATAGTCTGCACTGAAATAGCCATGCTCCTGCCATATATCCAAGAGGTCCGCCAACCGTCGGTGGAGCTTCGGGTTCTTTTCTCGATCGTATGACGCAGCGTAGCTCAGTATCTCGATAATATGCGGCTGCAGCGACCCGCTGAGAGTCGAAAACGCCGCAGTCGACGAACCATGGTATTTCGTGTGGTGAAAAAGATCATTTAGCAGGTATAAGATATGTAACCGCTTCCGTTTCGCCGAGGTTCCTCGTCCATTGCGTCCACCTCCTTGTTCTCGAGAGCTCTTGTCTTGTGCATTGGTACTGTTTGCGCCATCCTCAAACGACCCCGACAACGCAACCAAGTATTTTGCCAGGAGGCTAACCCGGTTAGACGACGGGATAACATATCCGAGAAGCCAATTTTTGCATGTCTATGTGCCGCCGAAAGAGAAGAGAGTCAAGATTTAGTAAATAGCGGTAACCGACAGGCAAGGAACACGGCAGATTGATCAAACCTGGATGTTTGCGGGCGAGCAGTGCGAAAGTGCTCGGTCGAGGTAATTGTGTAGGGTTGTGATCTCGTCGCGGGAGACGGAAGTGGGGTCCGGGCGCAGAAGACCAGCGGCAAGCGAGGCCTTTGCTATGGCAACTTGGTGCGAGGCCATGCTCGCGCTTGTGAGTGAAGTTGAGTTGCGATAGGTTGTTGTGGTTTGGGATTCGGGAGTTGTAGAGAGTCACGTGCCCTGGCCAAGCTGGCCCGTGCTCTGCCTTGCTTGATGTCGTCACGGCCGAAACAACGCCGGGCCGAATCGAAATCTCCAGTAATTAATATTTTCAGACTTCACCACCATTTCCAGCTTCTTTTCCTAGTCAGAGGTACATCCTGGTAGCACAATGAATACAGTAAGTGCTACTGCACCCAAGATCCTCAATTCAAACAGATGGACTAATCAATCCGCCCTTCTAGATTCGATCAACCTGGTGAGCGGACCTCGAATACCCTCAAACACTCCACAAAACCAGGAATAGATAGCTGACCGAAGCTCCTCAATGGCAACAGGATAGGCTGGGGCACCCTTTGCGTCGGTAATTGACCCCCCCATACCCTATCGCACATACCTCCCCCATACACCACCCAGCCCTCAAGCGCCGAACCCATCCAGCTAACACCAACTTCAACCTCCAGCCGGCGGCGGTGCCTACTACTTCGCTAAGAAATCCATCAACGCCGACCGCGCCTCGCGATATGAAGCCGAAATAAAAAAGAAAGCCCAGCTAGCCGCAATGGAAGCCGAGCACCGACACCAGGCCAACGTCAAGCAATCACAGCAGATCACATCGCCGTCCGAGGACCCGAGCTACAAGCGTGCGAAACAGTCTCGGTTTCAGAATGCTGCGGACGATGTAGCGTCGCCGAGCGAGGAGGCGGGTCACGACCCGGCGCCCACGCGCCACGAGCCGGAGACGGAGGAGGATCGGTTGTTGGAGAAGGGGAAGTATGAGGCGTCGAGGCCGTTTAGACCTCCGCCGGGGAATCGGCTCTAGAGGATTGTGTATGTGGGGTGGTTTAGTGGTTCCGAGGTGATAGTAGTTTATTGGCTAGGGCCGTCAGGTGGTCGCGGGGAGAGGGTCTCATGACCTGTACTATATTTGTATCTAACTCATAGCGCTCATTACCGGATTCAGATTGAAATGTCTCCCAAGTCAGAAGCATATCCTGGAAAGATTCATCATTGCCCGGTTGATAAGCAGCAGGTTATAGCTCATCTATGGTGCTCATTCGTAGAATACTCCAGCATGCGGTAGTAGTATACCTTGCAGCAGCCAATGATCACGAAGCGTTAAAGCTCTAAATCGCAAATGCAAGATAATGCTTCAATATAAAGCCAAGTTAAAGGGAAGCCCTAGGAGGAATAACAACACTAGGGGACCTCGACAAATAGATAAGGGTGATATAGCCAACGCCAACCAAACTCCTGCCCGAGAACGAAAAAGGAAATGCATCGTATCGCCCAGATTGTATGCAGCACCGAAACGCCCAGAAATGAAGCCTGAAATACCAGCGAATCATAGTCGTTGTTTTATTAAGCAGAGTCCGTCTCATCGGAAATCGGCGTTAAGACCGTCATAGTTCGGAAGCGGTTTCCGATGGACTAGCTTCACATATTTTTCTGATATTTCAGCGAGCGTGGAAACAGAGAGGCGGATGCGGCCTGCGGTCAAGTTTATTAGACTGTTTGTCTCTATTTGATGTTGATGGAACTTGTAACTCACTTGCTGTGATTCGGATATCCCTTATTTTTCTCGCGCGAGCTCTCGAGGGCTGGTGGGACGAATGGAAGCACGACGGCAGAAACGAGACATGATGAAGTGACAAATCGAGATGCGCGGCTAGTTTGTTGAGGACGGTGCACTGAGAAATGGCGGATTGTTGGACGAGCGAGTTGGATAGTAGTCATGATGCCGGGTTGACTGTTAGAGTTGACAATTTGGAGTATGTTGTAGACGCGGAGAATACTGGAATAGTAATAGCGTTGTACGTTGGACACCGTGTGGCTGGGCAGTAGGGTTGCTAATGTGTAAAGATATGGTGGGAGATAAAGTTCAACCGGAAAGAAGAAAAACAAAAGAAAGGGTCTCCTCGAGGCTATATACTCTAGGCTCCCTGGGTCGTCCCAGCACGCACAGCTTGTACTGTATATCTGCAGCCTGAGCCAGCCTATCCTGTGGGGGTCGGTCATGCGGGGCCTCTCCACTTTCTGGCCTTTCCTACAGGCCATGACATCGCAAACAATGTGGCCGTACAACTTGAAGTGTGCTACTCGACCGGTTGTCGGTTTACTTGTCGATGATACCCATACATCTACAGCCCTCGTTCGGATTTCTTGAGGCCTTCCACGATTGAGAAATCTCGAAAGTTTCCTGTGCGAAGTCAAGAACGCGTGTCGAGGCGATTCTCACGCCATCGGCGATAGCAGTCCCGGCCGAAGACGCTGCGGGGCGATTAGCCTCAGCCCAGGAACGACGCAAATCAGTCAACTGATGGCAGCATCTCTGCACTAAATGGCGATTTTATGCTGAGAAATCAAGCCATTTTCCAAATGATTGGGCTGCGATGACGCGACAGCAGAAGATGACTCTGTGACTGCGTATCCAAATTCTTTGCCTGCAAGCTGGAATGGAGAAATGACCCTGTGCACCTTGGTCCTTTGGAGTTTGTCCAGCGGGAAAAAGGAAGTCCGCTCTGCAGAGATCATGCCACTTCCCCGCTCATCCACTTGACATCATCCGCATTCCTCAAGTCGCAACTCATGACTCAATATAAACAGGTGACAGACGGAATCAATGTCCCGAAGCCACCGCTCCAGGAAACCGTCCTGGCCGACTCGGTCGAGACCTCAATCTCTGCAAAGGATGCCCAGGATATACCTTCAGTCTTATGGACTTAGTCCAGGTCCAAGGCTCAAGCTCGGCTCAGGGGTAAGATCCTCTGGACGAATAGAAGCGTCTCCCATTGTCATCTCATCTGGGACACAAACTAGTGGATACGGCCGGTTCGAAACTATGGCACTGAGGCTCGACGATGGCCGTTCCACATCTTGCGGTCGCTGAGCCACATCTTCTCGGACAATATGGAAGGCATCGGTCTGAATGAGAATGCGAAGACAATTTGTCTCTTTTGAAGAAGATTCGAGGATCGACAATGTCAATTGTCAGCGCAACCATAATGGGGCCGTTTGCTCTTCTCTTCACAACACGAGTATCAGAGTGTTCCTTTCAACCCATGAGATTATCAACCACTGCCCTTCGCTTGCCAGAGCTTGGATTCCTTGTCCACCCATGACCCAAGATGCTTGTTTGATGAGTGCATGGTAGACAAATATAGAAACGCCTAATTGCTCAAACCCACCTCACAAATTTGCTTTTTCGCCGAGACCCCCACTGCCAGTTCTTAGTGGTAAGTTAAATCTTCACTAATTTTGTATAGTGAAATGAACACGCAATTTGCCTAAGGCCTCTGAATGAAGGCCTTGATGAGCGCCTCGATGAAGCTTGATGAAGGTCTTGATGAAGGTCTTGGCCTACGTTGTATAGAGACCTAAGGTGGTGAGGAAGCATGTACCTCTCACTACGGAGTATACGAAGACCAGTGCCGAAGCGAACATCCCTACCTAAATAAGCAGGGGGGTGCGGCACAAAAAAAGCAAAAGTGCGAGGGTTTGTGAGGAATCAGGCGAATATAGAAATCGTATTCGATGCAGATCTGGGAAGGGTCGAAACCCTGATTCACTCGCGACACGAGCCACAATTTAAGATCATCCCTCGTACCTGTCTGGAGATGAAAGGGTAGTATTCTAAGAATAAACCCTGACAGATGTTATCCACTCATCAAACCTGAAACGGGCGCAGTGATCGGCGCCGAGGACAGCCACAACGGCAACCATATACGAGGACTCTCCAACATGAGTCCCACCCAAAGACTTATCGTCCAACAAGAGTTTAGGAACCGACCATCTGATACACCGATGTACAGCCTCGCAGATTGTGTTAACAAAATAGTTGGGATCGCTGATGCTTTCCGTCACAACCGGCATGTCAGAGTATGTTAAGATCTTCCTGGATACGAGCGTCTGCCGTCTTTGAGCTCCAATGCAACCCACCATTGAGTCTGAGATTTGTATGATCACTGTCTTGGGTCTTGCAACGGGTGAATCGTTGTAACTCAAGATGACAGGAGGTGATCGTGGATATGTTACTCCAGGCATTGAACATAAATAAGCGGAAGCCCTCAAGGCTTGTCTTTTCACAAAACAACAATCGCATTCTTGTTTTTGTGATACCTAAGCATCAAGATGGCGAGACTATCTCGAAGCTGGCTCAGTGCCTACCTCTTGCCTCTTTTCTTCCAAATTAGCTTCTCTCTTGTCTTTAAGGAGATACCCGCCCCTGATGCCGTTCCCCCGTATCTCCGCACAAGGACCACGGAAGATCTTGACTTTTCTATGCTGGAGCTGCTCAGCAGAGACTCATTCTACTGGACTGGTATGACTTTTGAGACCGCGTCTGCCTTAGACTAACTGGCCCAAGGAGCCCAAAATGGACATCCAACCCTCGCCAATCTGACCATCGATCTACCTGGCGATGATGAGACTGTCATATCTATCGACAGATTCAAGCACTTACTCACGTCGATTCAATGCACAAACAGAAGCATGACTGTGGCATTCAAGAATGACAAGGCCTACGGTTATATCAAGCGCGGATGGCAATGGCTGAATGATGTCGACCCACACAAGCTAGTTGTCGTCGCTGGAGCTGGTGATTGCGGCTGGAACCCGACAAGAATTCCCTTCGCTGCATCAACAGTTGTCTTTGACGATGCCGCCAATACCGCCAAGCTCGTCGGCAAGACGATGGCGTGGAAGGACTTTCAGAACTACGAGCTCACCGTTGGGAAATACCGACCTGTTTCTGGATCAAATTATGTATCCCAGAGGGACATTGATAAAACAATGACTCTCCCTTTCGACCTTCCTCTGCCCTTCAGTAGTGGGAAGATCCAAACTCCTGTCGACAACCTCGACCTCACATGGTTCTGCGCTGACTGTGGCACGCAAGGATCCTTCGACTTTGGTTTCCATATCGAAACCAAGAATGGAGTTCCAAACGGCGCCTCGATATCACTCTCGCCAAATGGGGTAAAGGCTGTCCTTACACCTAGGATCGCTATCCAGGCCGACATTGGAGGCGATATCGATGACGAGTGGGAGATTGGCAAAATCCCTGTCGGTGGCGTCTCAATTCCGGGTGGTATTCTCGATGTTGGCCCACAGATCACCTTCAGTCTTGGCTATTCAATAGGTCCTCTTCAAGGCTCCGCAGGCATTACGACAGGTGTCACTGTGAGCATTCCCGATGATTCGGAGCTCGAGATTGGCTTGATATCACCGGATGTCTCGTCTACTGGCTGGTCGCCAGAGCTTGAGACAAAGCCTGTCACAGTCGATGCCCGTTTACTAGGAGAGGTCCTTGTATACGTCAAAGCATCAATTGATCTATCTGCTGAAGCACTTGGTAAGCATATCCTCTCTGCCCAAGTTAGATTACTAATATCTCTTAGGACAAGGGTTCGAAGCTGGCATCAATCTCAAGCCCTATGTTGGTGGCGCTCTTATGGCTCAGGCCAGTAAGTATTTCTGAAACCAGCATTGTATTTCACAGCTAACAAATAAAGCATCCGGTGAGGTGTGTGAAGGTGAAGGCGACCATTACGGGGTCAAGGTTTCCCCCAAGGCTGGTGTCGCGCTCAATGCAGATGTGGCCAAGGCCGATGATCCTGAGGATCCTCTAGCGGAAGCAGTCATTGCGGTAAGTCAGATATTGCATTTCGACCATGAATTGTTTCTAATAGTTCAGTCTGTTACTGCTTCTCTGCCAACGTATTGTGCTGGCTTTGGAGGCGCCAAAGATCCTTCAAGCACCGGCATTCCATCCAGCAGTGTCCCTTCGCCTCCTGGAACACCTACCCCTACTGGATCTTCTTCTCCAATCTCTACGCCTACCTCTACACCCAGCTCATCGTCGAATCTCATTCGTCGTGAGCCCTATGTGACGAGAGTGTTCTAGGATGAAATGCGCGAATTGCTTTTGCCTCTTATTTGCTATATAGTAGGTGTATATATTTTCTGAAAGATGTGTTGGTACTGCGTTTCTTGACTGGAACCATGCGCCACGTAATTTCGTATTGATTCACATAATACCCACTGTATATATATCCAGTAGCCATGGTATTGAGTTCCAAACCATCTCGAGGTCGCGAAACGCGCGCTCGTCTTTCAGTAGGTTTTTGATGTATGAATGACGTGACTGACGGGCTTGAGCATTCCTCATTCTTATGGAACGAATTTCGTTTTCTACGCTACTCGATTCAATTTCAAGGCCACTGGTCTTTGCTTAGAGCTTTTCTTGGCTGGGTTACTGGAACATAGCGAGACTGCTGAATACTGACTGTGTGGAATTGTCATCTTGTAAACTCGACCAACAAAGACAGTGACAAGCTTGTGCAACCACAGACTTCCTGGAGCACATACATAAATTTAGGCTGCTGCAGTCTTATTCCATCGCCTGCTCGGGTACTAGAACTTTCCTGCAAGTGTGAGCAGGCTTGGTTCAATTATTCTCCAAATAAGGTCTCCGGCTCGACTTCAGGGTTGGCATTTGTGGGGCCTTTTGGAACTGTAGAGAGATCTACCCCGTACTGTACGGAGTACCCAGACTATCAGAAGACAGCAAGGTCGACCATCTTCACTGACGACTTATTCACACCAGTGAGAGAACATGTATGGTGTGGCTCGCCTGACCCACCAATCATAACGTTGCTGGATAGAATCTGGACAGACAAAGAGACATGGAGTGACAATGTAGCCACGAAGAGCGTTACCGAAACATATCGCCTCGGGACCATGACAAAGAAATATTCGCCCGGATTGGGGGTAGACCGTAGTTGGAACAAAGAAGAAGCCGGTCAAAGCGACTTGAGATCCTCTTTTATCCCAACAACCCTTCGAGAGCTCTGAGTCCTGTGTAAGGTCACCCACCCGCTCTCAGTTTTCCTCATATTGCCGTTGGGAGACTTTTCAATCGAATTTTCTGATCCTATAACAACTCAAAATGGCCGACGAGTTCCCTGAGATGCAGTACCGAACCCTCGGGCTGACCGGTTTAAAGATCTCTGTAATTGGATTTGGTGGATGGCTCACCAGGCAGGGAAGTCTTGCGGATAAAGGTAATTTCCTCATAAAAGAGGCTCATTGGTGTTTTTATATTCTTCAACGTCGCTGCCAGTATGCTAATCTCGTCTGGCTATGAACAGACACTGCATTTGAATGCATAAAATGGGCATACGATTTGGGTGTGAACTTTTTTGACACAGCCGAAGGCCATCCAGCCGCTCTGTCGGAGACCTTCCTTGGGCAGGCGATCAAAAGATTTGGTTGGAAACAAACTGATCTTGTTATATCCACAAAGGTTAGTAGAGAGAGAGCCTGTGTGCGTCCCTTGCTGCTGTTCAGCATAAGCGAGGTCCTTCAGGAGCAGCTGAATGCTTACGGGTTTATAATATAGATCTTCCAAGGAAGCGTAGGCTCTAGGCCTTCGCCAAATCCTCCCAACAACATGAGTTCAGCTCGAAAGCATATCCTCGAGGGCATGGAAGATTCATTGAGAAGACTCGACCTGCCGTACGTCGATATCGTTTACGCACATAAACCAGACCCCGACACACCCATGGAGGAAATTGTGCGCGCCTTCAACCACTTGATTAACGCCGGAAAGACCATCTACTGGGGAACTTATGACTGGAGCCTAACCGAGATCACGGACGCCGTGGATACTGCAGAAAGACTACACCTCGTTGGCCCGGCCGCTCATCAGCCCGAGTATAGCCTGCTGGCGCAGCTTCGAGTAACCCGCGAATACACGCCGCTCTACGGGGTAGACCCCTATGGGTTGACGACACACTCTCCCCTCAAAAAAGGCATCCTCACGGGCAAGTACAATATCGTTACTTCTCCGCCACCAGGCAGTCGTCTGGCCGAGTCTAGGGCGAAATTTATCGAGGAGTATCGAAAGACCTTTGGTGATGCGGCTTGGGAAAAAGATGCCGCGAAGGTTGAGAAGCTGAGGGAGATAGTGAAAGACTTGGGCGTGTCAGTCGCCCAGCTGTCTATTGCATGGACTTTGTTTAATCAAGATGTATCTTGCGTTATCACCGGAGCCTCAAGGGTGGACCAGGTGATGGAAAGCGTCAGGTCTCTGGATGTATTGCCCAAATTCACAGTTGATATCAGTGCGCGAATTCGGGAGGTGACAGGGTGAAAGCAGGAAACCTTAACGCTCTAAGGGCAGCCTTCTGTATGAAATTTGTCATGTTTTGCCTTGCTTGAAGGAGATTCGCGTTTCAAAGACAGAGTTGAGACCAGGAGTTCATGTGCCAAGGGATCTTTGCCAATCCCACGCGCGTCGTCTATTAGATTAGGGAAGAGTTAAGACACACCAGCCAGACTGTTCTCGAATCCGGATTAATGTGTCGTAAGGGCGATGGAGTCCACAAGCCGACGCCAGGGACCTGTACACGGGTTATATGCAGATCGGTCGCGTGGGAGCCTTCATCTGAGGTTCCCACAAGTTCTGCGTGCAAGAGTCAAAAGATGAGCGATCAGTTGGAAGTCAGACTTCGTCCAGGTCATGATGTGGCGCTAGTCTAAAGCCGGGTTAGTATCTACAAGTTAGTAGCTAATCAGTGTGCCGAACGCCACCGGAGCCTCAGGCTACAAAGATTACCTCCGCCTTGACCTCCGATCAGGTTCGCCTCTCTTTCACTTCATCCTTCTCTTCTCGACTGACCTTGACGCCGTCCTCACGCCATCCTCTACTGTGCAACATCACGGCTCGAAAAAGCCCAAGGCATCGGAAAGGAATGATCTGCCGTCCTTGAAGTCCAACTGGGGCGCTGGCAGCCCGCCGGAGCTTCGCGCTCGCTCACTTCGTGATTCAGATCCCAGCAAAATAGACGTTAGAATTTTCATAAAGAAACAAACCATTCCAGACAGTCCTCCATCATGCCGGCCAAACGCAAGGCGACCGACAGTATGGGTTCACATATAGATCCAATCCCGGTGAGTGACAGGGCTGACTCGCATAGGTGGTCGGTCCAGTAGAGCGTCAAAGCGAGCAACCCCCGTGCCTGATCTCGGCAGTAGCGATGAGTATTCCGACTATGAGGAGGATGCAAAGGCAGATAAGATCAAAGGTAATGAAATGCAGGAGCGTTACTACCCAATATAAAGCTCTCAATAACTGACGTCCGAAGATATGGTGGACAAGTTCTCCCTCGAATCGTTCAGCAAGAAGTCCCAGAAACAAGATCCAAACTTCGGCTACAAGGACTTCTCCTCCCTTCCCTTGAAGTCCGACCATGCGAACCGTCCCCTGTGGATCGATCCGTTAAAAGGCACCATTACGCTCGAGAGCTTCTCGCCGCTCGCTCCCCAGGCGCAAGATTTCCTCACGACGATCGCCGAACCGCTCTCGCGTCCCACGCATTTGCATGAATACCGGTTGACGGGAAACAGTCTGTATGCTGCTGTGTCGGTTGGGCTTCAGCCCCAGGATATCATCAACTTCCTGGACAGACTGTCGAAGACTCCTCTTCCGGATGCGATTAAGTCGTTTATCGTCGATTTCACAAAGTCATATGGAAAGATCAAGGTGGTGCTGAAGCATAACAAGTTTTTCGTTGAGAGTACGGATCCGGCCATGCTTCAAATGCTTCTTCAGGATGAAGTCATCGGGCCTCAGCGGGTGCACGGCTCCGAGGGAATCATCCAGCAAGCAGCGCCGAAGATGGGAGGTCTTGTCATTCCTGGAACTAAGGATGCGGCGGGTGTCAGGCAGAATCTGGAGCAGAAGCCTGCGGAAGATGGGGCAGACAGACGTCCAGAGGACGATGCAATCATGCTCGCCATTCGCGATGACGATGATGATGACGAGCAGGCTCAAGTCCACAGCTTTGAGATCCCGAACGAAGCCGTTGAACCTGTCAAAGCACGTTGTCAAGCCATGGGCTGCCCTGCGCTGGAAGAATATGACTTTCGGAATGACGAGATCAACCCGACTCTTGATATCGACCTGAAGCCGAACGCGCGTATTCGAAGCTACCAGGAAAAGAGCTTGAGTAAGATGTTTGGTAATGGGCGTGCGAAGAGTGGTATCATCGTCCTGCCTTGTGGCGCGGGAAAGACACTCGTTGGTATCACAGCTGCTTGCACGATCAAGAAAGGTACCATCATCCTTTGCACTAGTTCCATGTCTGTCGTGCAATGGAGGAACGAGTTCCTTCGGTGGTCCAACATCGATCCCGGTGATATCGCCGTTTTCACATCCGACAATAAGGAGAAATTCCGCCGGTCGACCGGAATCATCGTCTCGACATACTCCATGGTTTCCCAAACACGAGCTCGGTCTCACGATGCGCAGAAGATGATGGACTGGATTCAGTCACGGGAATGGGGTCTTATGATTCTGGACGAGGTGCACGTCGTGCCTGCGTCCATGTTCCGAAAGGTCACCTCCGCCATTGCCACGCAGAGTAAACTCGGCCTGACCGCTACGCTCCTGCGTGAAGATGATAAAATCAAAGATCTAAACTTCCTTATTGGCCCTAAGCTGTATGAAGCTAACTGGATGGAGCTTGCGGAGCAGGGCCATATTGCCAAGGTGCAGTGCGCTGAAGTCTGGTGCCCAATGACAACCGAGTTCTACACGGAGTACATGCGAGAGAAGTCAAGAAAGGCTGCTCTTTTATACATCATGAATCCACGGAAATTCCAGGCTTGCCAGTTCCTCATCGACTATCACGAGAAGCGGGGAGATAAGGTTATTGTGTTCTCAGATAACGTATATGCGCTTGAACGATATGCCCTCAAGTTGAACAAGGCCTACATTTACGGCGGAACGCCTCAGAACGAGCGCATGCGAATTCTTGAGAACTTCCAGCACAACGAGCAAGTGAACACTATCTTCCTTTCCAAGATTGGAGACACCTCTCTCGATCTACCCGAGGCAACGTGCCTTATTCAGATCTCTTCCCATTACGGTTCGCGTCGTCAGGAAGCCCAGCGCCTCGGTCGTATTTTACGAGCCAAACGCCGAAATGACGAGGGCTTCAACGCCTTCTTCTATTCCCTCGTCTCGAAGGATACAGATGAGATGTTCTATTCGTCGAAACGGCAGGCTTTCTTGGTCGACCAGGGCTACGCTTTTAAAGTCATCACTCACCTTCAGGGCATAGAGAACCTGAGCGGCCTCGCGTATGCTACTCCGTCGGAGCGCCGTGAACTGCTGCAAGAAGTCATGCTGCAGAACGAAACTTCGGCCGAAGTGGAGAATGTTGTCGACGACCTCTTCTCTGATCGCTCTGGTGGCCGAGCAAGAGCCAAAGCAGGCGTCAAGCGAAGTGCGGCTACGCTTAGTGGTCTGGCTGGTGGTGAGGACATGGCATACATTGAGTACAATAGGAGCAGAAACAAGCAGTTGAAGGATAAGGGACATCATCCACTATTCCGGAAGCTCGAGCGGGATCGCCTGAAGAGGAAGAAGGAAATGGAGGACTTCAATCGGTAGAGTTGACTCCAGATATATATCATTACTTGCAATTTGTGCTAGACTGAACCTTGGATACCATATATTGATTGCTAAATTTGTTATTTGTAGTCTTAAGGCTTTCTGCTAGTACAACATGAGTATAGTAAACGTAATGGTTGAACTCTCGAAGCTGTGTGTGGAGTCATTACCCCATCCACATCACGTGGTGATTAGAGCGAGTGGGGCGATTTCCCAACAGCTTCAAGAAGATTCCAACTCTCTTCATCAGCAACGCCCTTCAAGATTCACAAATCTCGCTTTTATCATCTAGATCACTGTACATTCGCCGACGCACCCGTCGATTGTCAGGATAAAATCATACGCAATGGCAGGCGAGGAAGATCCCAACCGCAACAAGCAGACTCCTTCCTCGCCTGAGCGCTCTCGGCAGTGGCCTGACGATGAGAATCCGTTTGTCGCTTTCCGCCGATTTGCCGATGAACAGATATCTTCGATGCTACAGTCGGTAATGGGGCTCCCCTCCATCTCAACGCACCCGCAGTCCGATCGATGGACCATCTTCGCCGACGAACAGAGTTACCGGGACGCGCAAATGCGCCAACGGCAGCGCCAGGACTACAACAATAACAATAACGGGAGTGAGAATGGAGATACCTCGGAATCCAGAACTCAGGAACGCTCGTCAACACAGGATAATAGCTTCCCGCTGGGTCCCTCTCGATCGCGCTGGTCAGGACCAGAGAACCTCTTCGACATTGACATGTTCTTCGATTCCTTCTTCGACCGCTTCTGGCTCGATGATCACGTCTCGTCTCGCTTCTTCCAGCCATACCACCGTCCTCTTTTTTCTAGCATGATGAGTGCCGATTCACCGGCGTGGCCGGTCAACTATCTCATGTTCAGTCCATATTCGCCTCTACACCTGGAACGCCAGGCGCGTTATCAGTCTCAGCGTGACCGTGGGGTCTTTTCGTCTATCATGTCGTCCATGAGTCCTTCGTCTGAATTTGAATCTGAAGAGCCGAGGTGGAGGGAAGCTTTTGAGGACCTGTTGCGGCTTGAGAACGGAAAGCCTATGCTAGATCGCGAACCGAATGCCGTTGTCAAGCCGGAATCAGGGAAGGACTGGCTACAAGGACTGGTGAAACGGGGCAGCTTGGGTGACCACTGGAAGTATGCTGCTGGATCAGACAGTCAGCCCTGGTCCAGGATAACATTGGAGCGTGCGGACCGCGGTAAAGAAACTGATCGCGCCTTGCCGGAGGGAGAGAAATCTGATACGTCTGTCACGAAGGAAACGGAATACCAGCCTTTGACTGAGCTGGATCTTTACGACCGTTTTCTTGCAGACATCGAAGCTCGCGAGCGCGACTTCTTCGGTGACTTTCACCACAGCCCTCTCTTACGCTTCCTCCTGGAAGACCGCCGCAGAGGCCGGGATGCTATTCTTCCCTCAGAGAAGGAGCATGGAGACGAAGATACAGAGACCTGGTTGGAGCTCGTTTCTGGTGGGAACAGGCATTCTGTCCCCGAGCCTCCTAAGGAGCTGACTCCCTCATCGGCTCCTGCTGTAGAAGCTCCTCCAGCTATCTCCCCGGCGGAGAAGACTTACGTGGTCTCGACCCAAATTAGCACAGACCGTGTACGCCTCCCCGATGGGTCTATCCAGACAAAGACCGTAAAAACCAAGCGGTTCTCGGACGGCCGCGAGGAAACGAACGAGGCCACCGAGGTTGTCAACCCGCCTCAGCGCGACCAGCACTCTAATGATCAGCAAGGTTCTACTCCTGACCAGAAGAACAACGGCTGGTTCTGGAAAGACTGAGCGCAGCATGTTAACGTCCGTTGTTTGAACTACCTCATATGTTTATATTTCTTGCGGTTTAGCGTGGATTTCTGGGTGTTGGTGTTTGTTTAATCAATTTTTTTGTCCAATGATCGTGTCCATGCTATATGACTGCTATGCTTCTCATATGCATGCTTTCTCTCATCTTTACTCCGTCAGAATGCCGATTTCATAGCAAGACGTCTTAAACGACCGTTGAACTAGCCAGTATCATTTGTATTTGCTTCTCTGACATTTACCAGTGTACCACTGCATTTCATGGGGTGGCTAATGGCAAGTCGAATGTGATATCTCCAAGGTAGCAGATCTTAAGAAGCCTTGGCTATCATCCTTGATAGCTCCCAAGGCCTGCAAGTTCACTCATTGCGGCGCTAATTGCTGTATTTGCTCCATAAACAGTTAAAAGACTTTGTACACGTACAGGGTATGATGCATTCGTCCTCCATAAATTTCATCCACGTTCAGGCGAAAGGTAAAGACATGATGTGGTTTTCCAGATCCTAGCCAAAAGCCAACCAAGGTAAAGCAGAAGTTAGGTTTTGAATGGCTAATCCAATTTGCAAGCGGCCTTGAGGTTATTGACCGAGTTCTTCAGCTCAAGCGCAATCTTCATCTCCTCGTCCCAGGGACTATGGTGGCGATCACATGCAGTAAACATCTTTTCCTGAGCGTGAATGAAGATGCGCTGGTACATATCCTTCAGGTCGAGGCGTCTTCTCTGTGCCTCGCGGAGAATAAGTTGATCGGGGCGAAGTAGCTCTGCTGTCCGGTCTTTGCCGTATCCCTCGTATTGCAGGGAGCCCACCTCGGCAAGTGGCACTCCGAAGATTTCCTCGTTGTTCATGTTCTGTTCGGGAAGAAGGTTGTACCGCCAGCGAACGAATGCCTTGAGAAGCTCCATGTCGTCCTTCAATGCCTCTCCGTTCAGGACCTTGTAGCAGAATGTGAGGCCTTTCTGAGCCATGATAAGACGTCTCTGGCCGCCGGTAGGGTTACTACGCTTCACCTTCACGTACATGTCCAGGCGGATGATGAAGAAGATTGCTCCAAACAGATCCAGATCCCGCCAGAGATTTTTGTTTTGAATGGTCCAAAGGCGCCGCTTCGTGTCTGGAATGTCCATCAGGAGCCATAGCTTTAGGAGGGCAGGCTTGAACCTGTGAGGAACATTGTAACCAGCAGCGTCAAGAGCTTTCATGATGTAGTAGACAGTGTGGTCGCGGTGTCTCACCATCTGCAGCCAGCGAAACGATGCAGAATATGCAACGAGACTGTCATTGGCGCACATGACAGTGCCCTCGGGAAGTTCAGTGTGCGCGGCAGGCCGGGTATACCACAGCTTCTGATAACAGCGCCACGGGAAGACGTAGGAAGCTGTGCGCAGTCTAGACTGGGTTTGTAATTTGATAATGCGTGGCAGGTATTTGACGACAAAAGCACGGAATGACCTCGACACGGCCTGTAGACTCATAACATCGTGGACTCGAAGGTGACCTGTGACATGCAAGGCGATCTCGGGATGGTCAAGAAGTGAAAGGAGGATGTTGAACTTGTGATACGAAAGCATAGGGTCCTGGGTCCTGACGGCGTTGGGCTGCTGCTGCTGCTGGATGTTCCAGCGCGGAGCTGGGGGTTCAACATCTATCATAGTGCGGACCACGTCTTCGACGCCATCAGTGTTTCCAGTCCCGTACTCCTCGTGTATGGGCTCGGTCTTCAGTTTCGGAATGCCTTGGAAGCCTTGAGTATGACTGGTCTCAGGGAGATGCACGAAATGTCCGTGCGGCCGCTGGCTTGCATCAGGATCAGGTTTCAAGGCCCATCCGTACGGATTATTCACGTAACCGTGGCCGTTTACGCTTGGAATTCTGGTTGGTGCTTCCATGAAACCATGTTGGTTGAGTGCATTTCCAGTATATGGCCCGAGATTCTGGGGATGAGGCGCCAGAGGTCCATAGTAACCCTGAGCTTGATGCATATTGTGCGGATAACCACCGAAATTGTGAGCAGGAGCTGGCGCCGGATAAGTTCGCACCCGGTTCATATCCAAAGCGGTTGCAGGGCGTTGAAAAACAGGAATTGGGTTGGTGTGTCCTTCGTATGGTAAGCCAGGGAACGGTCCAGCGAATGCGCCAGCTTGATTATTGAAAGCCGCGGCTTGAACATGGGGAACAGTAACACCGTCCCTGGTGAATTGGAGCAACGCCGGGGCCCTCCGTGGGATGATATTTTCTTGAGGAACATGAAGTGTATTCATGGGAAGAACATTCTGTGGAGCAATCCCAGCTATAAGCTGCTGTCGGACAAGATGTTCACGCAGGTTCTGTGGATTATGGTTCAAGACAGTTTGCTGATAATGCATTGGAGTTTGAGCATGTAGCATGACTGGTTGGTGGTGACCTTGATGGGGTGCTCCAGCTCCAACACCGTTGGCTGCATTGTGTTCTCTTTTTATGACCCTTTGTCTCGTAGGTCTGACAGTCCCAGGATGGTCGATTGCAGGGACATTCTGATCATCACCCGGAGTCGCCATGTGAAGCAGAGAACGGGCAACATCCATCTCACGAGTGTTAGGATGAGCCATTTCGGAATGCAGTAGGTCCAGAAAAAGATGAAAGTGGATGGGCGAGAGGTGAATCAAAAGGCAGATTCGAGATAGGTAGTGGTCAAACACCAAGGAAGACCAGAGGTGAAAGGTTATGAAAACAGATAAAAGAGGGGAGAAACGAGTAGAATAAGGCAAGACATTTCCAAGATTAGAGTAAAAATTGCTTGAGGAGGGGAAATTTTGTATGTTTTCATTCACCTATGGTGACGAAATAATTCGCGCTATCACTCTCAAACAAAACAAGGAGAAGGTGAAGAAATGACTAGACTCTACCAGCCAGATGCCATATTCATCGAATCGATGGTGGCCAGAAGATACATTCTGATGTTTCTGCTTATATATGACATATATCATCTAGATTATCCAATATTTAGCTAAAGTCAAGTTTTATACAGCACAAGAGAGCTGAGATCATGTTGATGAACGAACCACAGCACTTAGGACGGAGATCAAGGACATTCACCACGTATGTAGAGAGGCGAAATAATGCAACCTGATACTCCGGCACCCCGTTTCGTTCTATTGTCTGTTCGACGGCTCAAAGAAAGATGAATATCGTTCCGGACTTTTGACCGTTCTAAGTAGACATCGGTACTTAAATCTATGCGAGTAGTAATATATGCGAAATAGAAAAAGTTAAATAAACACGCAAGGGCATGAAACGAAAGTGTCAGGATGAGAAAGACTTGACCTGTTCGTTCCATGAAAAAAAGAGACTGCCAACACCCGGTCCTATTGAACATAACCTGTTGAGAGGTACCCGCCAAAACTCCAGAAAAAAGAATCATGAATACCAGCCACTGTTAAAATGAGGGGTAACAAATCGAGAGAGAAAAGGAAGGCGTAGATGTGTACAAGTCGTTGAGTTGAGCTGGGTTTGAACTACTTTCTGTTCAGAAGCGTAAGGAATTCCTCTCGGGTTTTCGCGCTGGAGCGCATGCAGCCAAGCATGCAGCTGGTGGTTGTCGTGCTACTAGTCTTTTGAACGCCGCGCATCACCATGCAGAGATGGGAGGATTCCATGACGACGCCGACGCCTCTGGGCTTAAGGACTTCAGAGATGGCGAGAGCGACCTGTTTGGTTAGGCGCTCTTGTACCTGGAGTCGGCGAGAGAACATTTCGGCAAGGCGGGCAAGCTTGGAAAGGCCAAGGACGCGGCGATCGGGGATATATCCAATGTGCATCTAGGAGGATAATCGATTAGAACGGAGCAAAGCCTAGCGGTTCGGAGGGGCTTTTACCTTTCCGGTAAAGGGAACCATATGATGCTCGCACAGTGAGAAGACATCGATATCCTTGACAATGACCAGCTCATCGTGATCCTCATGGAAGACGGCGCCATTGACCAGATCCCTAACGTTCTCCTCGTAACCCTTAGTGAAGTAGAGCATTGCTTTCGCATACCGCTCAGGCGTTCCCCTGAGACCCTCCCTCTCTGGATCTTCCCCGATACATTCAAGAATGGTCCTCACAGCTCCTGAAAGCTTCTTAATGCGCTCCTCATTTTCTTCTGGCGAAGACTCCAATCGTGCGCGAGTGCCAGGGCCTATCCACGAGGTCGACGTCAGCCGAGAGAGCGTGCAACGAGCTCGAGAAAGAACTTACAGGGCCAGCTGAGTCCATCAAAGTCGATCGGCGGGTTCAAGGTATACGGGCTGTCTGGACGGCTGACAGTTGCGGTGGGGGTTAGCGCACCGGCGTCATCTCTCGGATCGCGGGCTGGATCATTCAGCGTGGGCCTGTAACCGTGCCGCGTTAGTCAAGCACATAAGAAGACAAAGCTCAGAGACCGCATACTTTGTAACCACGGAGCTCCGGCGGCGAGGGCTGTCGTAGCTGCTAGCATGATCAGCCGCTGGCGCGTCCGACTCGGGTAGGTCAAACTCCGCGGGAATGCGAGGAGCGAAAGATGACCGGATCGAAGTTTGAACACTTTCTCGCTCACGCGCGTCTCGAGAGGCAACAGACGTATTATTCAAAGGAGAGCCGCCGTTCAGGAGATGAGAAGGTATCACCGACTTGGGCTTTGGACCTGTGGGAGGAGGAGATCCGGAACCCATAGCTATTTCTTACTATGGCGGCGGAGAAGACTGGGATGTGGGGTTTTGTAGGAAACTGGATGAGGAAATAAGAAGATGGTAGCACTGGATTGATCGATAGGCGACTGAAATAATAGAATATAATGATGAGAAATGAGATTAGTACATGGCTTGAGTCATTTTGGGTTTGTCGGAATTTTTTTTGGCTTCTAACGAGAGGGGAAAAAAGACACCACTAGTATGACAGGCTGAAGGCGATTCTTTTCGGAGTCTGGGACCCCTCCGAACACGCCGCACATGGGGTTGACGTGCATCGGTTTTTCACCGCCTGCGATCACGGCCACTCAGTGCATTGCAATGTTTAATCTTCCAAGAGTTCTAGAATAAGTGTTCGCATCTGCATTATGCGGGCTAATGGGACCTAGTACCTCAATGGCCAATCCACGAGGGTCAATTATTGGAGGCCGGAAGAGCAAAAAAACGGCGTGATTGCATCGTTAACTCCGAGAACGGGCGCTTAAGTTGCCCTCTCGAATTTACTGTATCAGTGATGGAGTGTAAGAGATTCTGCTACTAGTACTAAAACTAGCTTAAATATCTTCAAAGCGGCTTGAAATTGTAAGAGACGATGAAGATTGTATCCGAGTAGTTGATTTCACCGAGTGAGGTTTGGTATTATGATGTGCTTCTCACAGTGGAAAGTGATGGGAAGGTAAAAGGGCCATGAGATATTTCACCAGAAATCATATTTCTGCAAGGCAAGTTTGAACGAGAAAGAATTCTTCGCCGGACGCTAGATTAAATCAAGGCTCCAACTCCTCGGTCGGCACATCTTCCATATCCTTACCCACGATTGCATCGGCAACCTTCCATACTTGCAGAAGATTGTCCTCTGCGGCAGAGCAGAGTACCCAGGGGTCATTGAGGTTCCAGCTGAAGTCAGAGATACGATTGGTGTGACCACCGTGCATGAACAGACTGTTGAAGTGTCAGTGTGAGAAGTTGGTCTAGAGGGTTTCGGAAGGATAGGAAGAAAGATCACGTACAGCTCAGGTGGCCCATCCTGGGCATCTTCAGGGCTTTGCTCTTCGCCCGCCCGGCTGAGGTCCCAGAACATGATCTTGCGATCATAGCTTGCGCTGGCCAGCACGGCTTCCTCAAACGGATGCCACGAGATTGATGTGACAGAGTCGGTGTGATTTTCGAGAGTATGGAGCTTGGTGTTCAGGTTACGTAGATCCCATAAGCCGATGGTCTTATCAGCAGAACCAGTGGCTAGGACGGTCTCAGCGGCAGGGTTGAAAGCAAGAGCATTGATAGCGTCACGATGTTGGCCTGTGGCCGATGCCGCTGAGCGATTGTTGTCCGGCATCCGCGTGTCCAGAATTTGTAAAGTGATATCATCAGACACAGTTCCAATAAGGGATGAGTGAAGAGGATGGTGCTGAACGTCATTGACAATGGACTGATGGTGGGTATAGGTTCGGACGGGCTTCAGGGCCTTGTTGCTTTTGGTGTATGTGTTGAGATCCCTTCCAAGTGTTAGCAGTAGCCCAGGACAAGGAATATACCACAAGTAATTACCAGAGGCGCACAGTCTTGTCCTCGCTTCCTGTAGCCAGGTGACCTGCAACATGTGGACTCCAGCTGAGACCGAACCCTTCCCGCTCATGGCCAAGCAGCTCCATCTCGGGGTTCACTGTTCCTGTGGGGAGACTGGGGTGTTTTGAGCGGTCCCAGACCATGACTCTCCCATCCGTACACATCGTGGCAATTATGTTGGGGTTCTGTGGTTGATAGCGTGCTTTGTTGACCTCGCCCTTGTGGTCGATCTTCTGCACAATGTTGAACTTGATCTCCATAGGAGCTTTCTTGGAGCTGCCGCCATAACCGCCGATCTCTCCACGTTCCTCATCATAGTCATCGGGATTAGGAGCATTAGGGTTAGGTAACTGGATTTGAGCGATCTGAAGATAGTTTTGTGCGTCGCTGGACGTGTGAGTACCGAGGAGCAGGCGGTGGGTTGAGTATGGTTTGTCTGGGACTCTGTGATGGACGGGTTAGAGCTAGATCTATCGCCGCAACTAAGGGAGCGTCGCGTACTCTTGCTTGTCAGGCAACCATTGTGTTGTAAGAGTCGGCCACTCTAATGCCGTGCTGAGGATCATGTCGTAAAGGAACGGAGCGTTCTTTTTCCATGTTTTGTATTCTGGTCAATGCGTGTCAGCCTAGATTTTGGGTAGACCCATACATATCATGAGATGAACTACCTTCGTTAATGATCTTCTCCTCGGTGCGCTCCTCCTCTTGCTCCTCCTGCTCTTCAATGAAACCTAGTAGAAGTTAGAGAATTGGCCGCGCGCAACGGTTTTGAGATGATAAGCGCACCGTCATCATAGGGTTCCATATTTAGAGTTGTGTCTTGATCGATTATCGAATGACCGAAGGAGCAAAAGGCGACGCTGTTGTATAACACAGGATCGGCGGAGAGAGCTCTGCGGTTTGCGGATGGAGCTTCTTTTCAGAGACGCGAGATCTCGTCGCAGCGCGTTAATGGGCGTCAAGGGAGCTAAACCCAATTAGACTTAAAAGGGCTCGGTAGAGCTACACCTAACTTGGATTCCGCCTTAAGCCTCCACCCGTCCAGTTCTCGGTTTGAGCCCGAGGCGGTCTCAGCCACCTGGAGTGAATCATCTTCCCAATAGCTCCCCTCTACCTCGCGGCTGCTTCATCTTCCTTTTTCTTTGCTCTTCTAGTTTACTTACTGCTTGGAATCATCGTTCCTTATTTTGTATTATACTCTCACGCTCCCTGAGTATCCAGAGTTGTTTTTTGGGCCCGCGGTCTCCGAATAGTTTTGCCTTCGAAGCTTGAGTTTCTTCATTGGGGTTACTGACGACGACTACGACGGTCACGACACACCACGAGAATCGCACTTATTCGCTTGCGCTTTCACTACGATATCGAATCTCTTAATTTCCTTTGATTCGCCATGGGTGTCCCAAAATTCTTCCGCTGGCTGAGCGAGCGGTATCCTACGATCTCTATGCTGATCGCAGAGAACCGGATACCCGAGTTCGACAACCTATATCTCGACATGAACGGCATTATTCATAACTGTACACACAAAGACAGCGACTCCCCTGCGTTCCGATTGACCGAAGATAAGATGTTCATAGCCATCTTCAATTATATCGAGCATTTGTATGGCAAGATCAAGCCCAAGAAGCTTTTCTTCATGGCGGTGGATGGTGTTGCGCCACGCGCCAAAATGAATCAGCAGCGCGCGAGACGATTTCGAACGGCCCTGGATGCTGAAGTGGCGAGAGAGAAAGCGATTGCCCAAGGGGTTGAAATGCCAAAGGAAGATCCATTCGACAGCAACTGCATCACTCCTGGAACGGAGTTTATGGCGAAGCTTACAGAACAGCTGAAATATTTCATCAGCAAGAAGATTTCCGAGGATAAGGACTGGCAGGGGGTGGAAATTGTACTTTCAGGGCACGAAGTACCAGGTGAGGGTGAACATAAGATCATGGAATATATCCGACACGCGAAGGCGCAACCCGGATACGATCCCAATGTCCGCCACTGTTTGTATGGACTTGACGCCGACTTGATCATGTTGGGTCTATTGAGCCACGACCCGCACTTTGCCCTTCTCCGTGAGGAGGTGACCTTTGGCCGCCAGGTGCAGAAAAAGCCAAAGGAGCTCGAGCATCAGAATTTCTTCCTTTTACATTTGTCCATGGTTCGAGAATACCTGGAATTGGAGTTTCAGGAGCTGGAGCAAGAAGGGATTCTGAGCTTCCATTATGAGTTTGAGCGTGTGATCGACGACTTTATCTTGATGGCTTTCTTTGTTGGAAACGACTTTTTACCCAATTTGCCCAACCTTCATATTAATGAAGGTGCGTTGTCGTTGATGTTCAAGGTCTACAAGGAGGTGTTGCCGAAGATGGGTGGCTATATCAATGAGGAAGGTGTTATCAACCTGGAACGGCTTGGTATGCTTCTGGATGGATTAAGCCACGTGGAGTACCGCTTCTTCGAGGCTGAGAACTCGGATGCGGCATGGATTCGTGCAAAGCAAAATGGTGCGGAAGAAGATGGGGAGGCCGACGCGAAGCCAAAGACATTTACAATCACACCGGACCAGAAAACTATTCTGAAGTCGGTCAAGAAGTTTGTTCTGAATCGACCTGGAAAGGCGGCAGACTCGAAACCTCTTGATTTCCCACCGACACTCCCTGCTAGGGACCGCAAGTTTGTCGAGCAGCTCGCGGGTGACCTTCGACTGCCCTGGTCGACAGTCGCAAATGACGACGGGGACCGATTCATTCGTGTCGAGTTTCCTGCGAGTGAAGATGATGACAGCGAGGAGGAAGAAGACGAAGAGGCTTCTATGGCTGTGCAGCGCATTATCCGCAAATATGAGAACGCAAAAGTTCAAGAGTTATCTGCCGAAGAGGCCCAAGCAGCGGCTCAGAAGAAGTACGACGAGAAGTTTCAGGATTGGAAGGACAAGTACTATATGAACAAGTTCGGCTGGGGCTTGGACAACCACGAGGAAATGAGGAAACTGACCGAAAACTATGTGCAAGGCCTTCAATGGGTTCTGTACTACTATTACAGAGGAATTGCCTCTTGGCCATGGTTCTTCAGCTCACACTACGCACCAATGATATCCGGTAAGTTTGGTGGTTGTGGACATGTTTATTTCCCGTTTGGCTGACTGCGACCTAGATGTGAAGAAGGGCTTGAAGGCGGACGTAAACTTTCGCCTCGGGCGACCTTTCAGACCCTATGAACAGCTTATGGGTGTGCTTCCCGACCGTAGCAAAAAGACCGTGCCCAAGGCGTATCACGACTTGATGACTTCCCCGGATTCTCCCATTATTGACTTCTATCCGCGTGATTTCGAGTTAGATATGAACGGCAAGAAGATGGAATGGGAGGCTGTTGTCAAGATTCCGTTTATCGACGAGCGCCGCCTTCTTGATGCGCTTGCCACAAGAGAGCACCTCTTGACACCCGAAGAAAAGGCGCGCAACGGCTTTGGCGTAAGCCTGAAATTCACCTACTCGCCTGACACTCAGTATATCTATCCTTCTTCCTTCCCAGGAGTTTTCCCGGATCTTCCCAACTGCCACTGTGTGCAAAACGTTTTTGACCTCCCCACGATGGAAGGCTTGGAACCGTACGTTGGGCTGATGGAAGGAGTGCACATTGGCGCTTCCGCTCTCGCAGGTTTCCCAAGTCTGAAAACATTGCCGCATGTCGGCCAATTGGGATTCCATGGTGTTTGTGTCTTTCAGCAAGAGAGCCGCAATGAAAGCATGGTGGTCACGATTCTTGACCCTGGAAGCAGATCGTCTACTGAGCTGGCGAAGCAGAAGCTTGGCCAGCGTGTTTTTGTCGGCTATCCATTTTTGCAAGAAGCACTCGTCATCCGCGTTTCTGACGAACTATTTGACTACACTCTCCCGGAAGGGGAGCAACACGCTCTTGCGACACCCCATTCGGATGTGCAGATTGAGCAGTGGAAGAAGAAAGCTGACAAGATTGAGGGGACTTACAGCCGGAGATTTGGTATGATCATCGGCCCTGTTGAGGCGATGGTGCATGTTCAGCTGCTGAAAGGCCTCATCAAGACTGATGAAGGAGCCACGGTCAAAGAATTTGCAGATATTCCTGGACAGGAAACGGATTACGCTCTGCAGCTCGTTGTCGACGAAGTCATCAACCCTGATGAGCGCTTCATCGAACGCGATGCTCTGCCAATTGAAAAGGAGTTCCCAGAGGGCTCGCGAGCCTTTTTCCTGGGCGATTTCAACTACGGCAGGCCAGTCCATATCACCGGCCATGAAGATGGCAAAGTGACTGGTTTGATTGCCTCCATCAAGGGTCGAGAGCCCGACTTTGGAAGAGAGCGTGCCAAGAACGCCGAGGCGCTCAGCCCTTATATGCCATCCTTTGCGATTGCACGCAACTTGCGCTTGAATCCGCTGGTCCTCGCCAAGATCACTTCTTCATTCTCTGTGGACGTTGAAGGCTTCCGAGTCAATCTGGGTCTCAATCTCAAGTTCGAGGCCAAGAAGCAGAAAGTCCTTGGATATTCTCGGCGTGGAGATTCCGGCTGGGAGTTTAGTGCAAAGGCCGTCGGTCTGCTGCAGCAGTACATGATCAAGTTCCCCGAGTTCATTGCGGGTATCCAGCGTAACCCTCAAAACGATCGTTACACGCCAACCGATTTCTACCCACCAGACATTGCACTCCAAAAGATCAGCGAAATCAAGGCTTGGCTCAAGGAAATCGAAGCCAAGAGCTTTGAAAGGGTTCCGCTCGAGGCAGAACAACTTGATTCGGATGTTGTCAAGCTGATTGAACAAGACGCCGACCAACTCTTGCAGAGCCAGCCGGCTATGGAGGCGAAGAAAATGCGGGGCGTCCCGCGCAGTGCTCTTCTTCGGCCATCCGACGTTGAGCAGCGACTTGGTAACCAGACCTTCAAGCTAGGTGATCGTGTTGTATACGCCCAGGACTCTGGAAAAGTTCCCATCGCTACCCGAGGAACTGTAGTTGGGCTTACTAGAACTCCAAGAGCTACTCTACTTGACGTTGTCTTCGATGTCGCCTTCATGAGCGGCACAACCCTCGGCGATCGATGCTCTCCGTTCCGTGGACAAACCGTGCTCGCATCGTCTGTCCTCAACGTGTCGTACAGGCAACTGACTGCTAGTACGAGAGCCGCAGTGAGTCAGAAGCAACAAAATCAACCATCTCCCTTGACGGTAACTGGATACGGTGCTCCTATGGGAGCAGGCGGTGGCGGCCAGTTGAAAGAGGCTGCCACCCCGCCACCACTCAGAGGATCGTTCCGTGGTGCACTGTCTGGGAGAGGCCGCGGGCAGGGGGCACAGAACGGCACTACAACACTGCCTTTCAGACCGCAAGCCAACGGGGGCCGGGGCCAACACAACGATTTAGACGGCTCATCTCGTGGCAGAGGACGAGGTGGCCGCGGAAGCGCGGCGCGCGGACGAGGCGGGTACACGGCGGTTGACAGCGATCCCGACTCCGGCATCGTCCAAAACAACCCCAACTTCCGACCCAAGAACTATTCGCAAGTTCCACCACCTCAGTTCCAGCCGCGCGGACGTGGTCGAGGCAACGGGCGCGGCGGTGACCGAGGAAACGGATTCCGGGGTCGTGGTAACCGTGGAAGAGGCGCCGCCGGTGCCGCTCCTGGAAGTGCTGGAAATGCGTGATCATCATTACATACAAGGAGCATTTGGGGGATTCCATAGATTGTTTGGGCTAGACGGCATCCTGTACATTACCGTGGGCCTGTAAAGTTACGTGGAGGCAACGTTGGGCTAAGCAATTCAAGAAATCCTCACCCCACCTTTCCCCGCATCTCCATCATCGCGGCTTCTCTCCGAGATTTGCATACCTTCTCCAGGCGCTGGAAAATTATCCGTCGGCTGAATAACCGACCTCTCGATTATCCATCATATTCTCCCCAATTGTACTTTCCTTTCCATCTGAACCCTTTCTAAACCGCCCCTCTAGCATTCGTTCACACCGCACATCAATATGCCCGCAACAATTCCCTCCTTCGACTCCCTAACCCTCGACCCCTCGGGCCCGCCAGGAAACGCCTGGGGCCTTTTCGGCGCAGGCAACGAACTCGGGATGCTTAACCTCCTAACTCCAGAACTCGTTCGGAAAGCAGCTGCCGAAGAAATCCGCGAGGGAATTCGCATTTCTCTAGATTTACCCCTCAATCGCCTCAGCCATCCGAGTTTCGGACGCAAGCCGTTTACCCAGGAGCTTGTGAATAAGGCACCGAGGATTGTTAATGATGATATCCTTACGTTTAATACACAGACGAGTAGTCAGTGGGATGGGTTTCGGCATTATGGTTAGTGTTTTATGGTATCTGATGGGGATAGGGAACCGGATGTAGTTGGCGGGGGCATGTCTATGACAGGGAACCAGACGCATGGGTGTTACTTCAATGGACATTCGCTAGATGAGTTGAAAGAGTCGAGGGTTCTTGGAATCGACGGTTCGTGCTCTCCCCAGGACAAGAGACAATCCATCAAGCCTACTAACAAACACCCCAGCCTGGTCCAACGCAGGTGGCATCGTCGGCCGCGGCCTCCTAATCGACTACGCAACCTGGGCAGATGTAAACTCTATCCCCCTTACTCCCTTCACAAGCGCCACAATCCCGCTCTCCTCCCTCCAAACCATCCTCAGCGAAACCAACACGACCCCACGCCCAGGCGACATCCTCTTCGTGCGCACGGGCTTCACCCGCGCCTACAACGCCCTCTCCGCAGACGAAGAAGCGGCCCTGGCATCTCGGCCGACCCCGGACTTCGCGGGCGTCGAGAACGGTGAGCGCACGCTGCGCTGGCTGTGGGAGAACCAGTTCGCGGCAATTGCGAGCGATTCGCCGAGTTTTGAACCGGCGCCGCTGGTTCGGGAGGGCGTTCCGCCAGAGCAGACGCTGCATCAGTGGTGTTTGAGTGGGTGGGGGTTACCGATAGGAGAATATTTTCATTTGGAGGAATTGGCGGACAAGTGTAGGGAAAGGAAGAGGTGGACATTTTTCTTGAGTAGTGTGCCGTTGAAGGTTTGTTCCTCATCTTTTGTTCTGTCCTAATCCGAGTGCTGATAAAGTGGAATAGGTTCCTGGAGGCGTAGCGAGCCCGCCGAACGCGGTCGCTATACTTTAGATACCACATGGCAAACTATGAAAGAGCTATATTATCCTAATCTTCAAAGCTATCGAGGGAGCTATTTGACAACCAAATCCTGTTTACAGATGAAGACGAAGAGGAGATTGATATTCCAACCAGATGGATCGGAATCTCTGTAGAGTCATTTTGAACTCGCTTCTCATTCAATTTCCTCTCACATTTTTGTTTTCGATATTTTCCTTCTTCATCTGTTTACGTTGCGCATGGCGCCGGGCGTCATTTTCGGTTCGGGTCGGGCATGCACATCCCGGCATACTGTACCGTTTCATGGGGGTCTCAGCCCAATAGCCGCCACATTAGCCCTACCCCAACACAACATCGCTTCAGAGTTGACCCTAGCAGTATCATCAAATTTCATCTCGCGTCCTCCTAATAAGAACCTTCGCATAGAAGTTAGGCATAATCTGCTCCCCATTCCGAATATCCATCGGCCGTCTGGCCTCGCTCCCCTCCTCGAACTTCATATCGTACTCGACAAGTAGCCGACTCAAAATGGCCTTGGAAGTATTCGCGGCAAAGTGTCGGTCGGGGCAGACCTGGCGCCCGTAGCCAAAGTGCAGATTCGCCGCAGTTGTTCTGACGAGCTTGTTGTTCCGCGCATAGGGGTCACGGCACCAGCGAAAGCCATCGAAGGTCGAAGGGTCGAGGTTCGGGTAGGGGAGATTAATCGGGTCGCGGGAGAGAGAGCCCGAGGGGAAGCAGATATGTGTGTTTGAGGGGATGGTCGGACCATCAGAGAAGGTTATCGACTCTTTTGTTATGCGTTGGACGTTCACTGTTTAGCAGAAGGGCTTGTTAGAATGGTGCGCTAGTGCATAATTGGGCTATCTGAGAGGAAAACATACCTTCACTGGTAGGATGGAAACGCTGGGGCTCATGAAGGAAGCTGTCTAGGAGACACTGAGCATTAAAGCAAGCCTGGGTCGCATTCGACCATCCGCCCTTGAGCGTGCCCATAATTTCATGACGCAGCGGCGCGACATACTCCTGACGAACCAGAAGATCGTAGATACATTGGGTAATGAGTATAGTAGAAGTGTGTAACACAGCCAAAGCCATGATAATCATCAGTCCCTGTGCGATATTTTCCAACTTCTCGTCATACTCGTTGTCGGCTGTATCCATCATCCACTGCATAAGTCATCAGGCTTCCAATACTCCGGGTCATTGGCCTCCGCTTCGCGACGTGCAAGAATCATGGGCCCGAAGACTTCTTCCTTGAAGAGTTTTGTTCAGGTATCGGACGCTAGGCAGGAGTTTGGCGGCGAATGGGCGGAGGAACCGGGGTAGAGGACGTAGCAGAATGATGTTGAGCCATTTTTCGCTGCGACAGAGGGTTTCGCCGACGATAACGCGTGATGTGGACCGGTTGCTAAGTTTTAGGATCATGGAATATAGGTTCACGGAGACCCAGCGATCTATAGTAAAGTTTAATGTGATGCAGGGCAGGAGTAAGGCTGGTTTATACCAGTGCATTCGGGAACTTCCATCTTGAAAGCTTGTTGGAGATCATCAATCACCATTGGAACAATTCGGTCTGCCCCATAATTAGCAAGAAGAATGCGTCGAGAAGGGAGACTAAATACGCAGAGAAGGCGTCATTTTTTTGGCGACAGTATGTGCGGGCAGGTTGCTATCGTTGAGGATATTGGTATAGTTGCCGCAAACGCTCTGCCGACACATCAGTCCAGACTGAAACAGGGAGAGAAACAGGTTTACATTGAACTGCGCATCCAGTAGGCTAATCTTTGTATGAGGGAGGTATCGGACTTCAGGTAGATACTTGGTTGGCAGGACAATCATATCTGCATCGACCTTGAGGATCCGGAAGGGCTTGTTCTTATACTGGAATCGCTCCGTTAGCAAATAATATTGAATCCATCAGGGAGACAAGCTACGTACCTTATTGTATCCATAGTAGATCAAAGATGGCCCTTTCATGAAGAACAGGAGACGGTTGAGGAAGTCGGGTAGCAGCCGACAGACGGTCACAATGGGTATCTCCTCATGGTCGTCGGTGTACTTCTCCACAACATAGCCGAGTACTATGAGAAATAGAGCCAGGGCCACTAGTGTTGACATAATTAGAGAGAGCTTGGGAGGGGTCACTGATTGAAGCCACTTCCGTTTGGGTTCGCGATATGCACAGAGGGTTGTGATTCACAAAGGGCAGTCGAAACCCATCGCAGAAGGAGGATAAGGGTGAAGCAGATGTAACACATATAGGACAGACTAACTAGCAACAGAAGCCTTTCTAAGGATCACGTGTTTGAGCAAATTTTATGAGGTTGAGACAAGTACCTTGTGCTTCAGTGTTATCCATGGCTGCATGGGGATAGTGCGCTTGAGCTGCAGAGCCGCCTTGTTCTAACAACACTTGCGGTGGGTGCAACATGCACTGAAAGACCTCTGTGAGTTGAGCAGCAGCCTATATGAAGACCAGAGGGTGCATTCTTTGAAGCCAGAGCAATGTCAAATTGAGCCTGGGACACCTTGCGACACGGGAAGTTTGACTGTGAAGACATGCTGGACAGAGGAAAATCCCAAACTAAGTGAGAAGATGACGAGATGGCAAGCGGTCTTGCAGAATCTTGAATGACCCCTAATTTGCTTAATCCCGGACCAGTAAATGCTTGCGAAAGAAAGTCTATTACCTCGAAGTGTCGAGCTTTCCTTCCTTCCCCAAAGCGAGCCCTTGAACCTCAATTACTCTCTAGAGACTGGCCCTGAACATTATGTGCGCTCATCTACCAAAGGTCCACGCAATGTCAGGCTAGGCAGAGATTCTTCTCAGTCGAAGACTCCCAGAAGGGCTATCTTGCTGGTTTTTACCGAGGTGGCGAATTCGAACTCAGCGCACTGGCGAGGCCTTTCACACGTACACGGAATGTTAATATGACAAATCTGACCCCAGGAAGCATGCTCAAATTAGTTGGAAAGTATTGGTTGGAAGTAGCCGTGTATCAAGATTATGTACATTTCTATAACTTTTAATTGTCCCAGTCATCTTTCAAGGTATATGGCAACACTGTAATCACAACGCCAGACGCAAATGCAAGGTCACAAGAACGGCGAGAACATGAAATGTCGGGCGACAAACAGGAGGAAAGGGTACAAAAGGAGAATATACAGATCAACCTGCGCGCAATCATTCAAGGCCATGCCATTCGCCCTCTGAGTCGTCGTCGGCATCATTCGTCTTCTCTTCGCCGTTTCCTATGGCAGCCACATCACTGGTTTCAACCAATCTCGGGAAGGCAGGTGCCTTCTTATCAGCCAGCACGGGTTTTGCGAGAAGGTAGTTGAGACTGTAGAAATTCTTTTCGGAAAGGCGTTTGAGGTTCTCGTTGATCTCATCAAGAGCGCGCTGAACGGCACGAAGCTCGGGGCCCAATGTGCCTGCGTTGTCCTTGAAGTACCTGCCGTGGCTACTCAACAGTGATTCAATCCATAGAAGGTTGAATTCGAGATGGGGTGTTTCGTCGCACGAGTGGGCAATGAACCGAAGTAACCGAGGAAGATACACGGTCGGTATGGAGCGAACAACATGGGCGATGTCTGAGGGAGGAATAGCTTCGTGGACGGCACGGATGAGTTTAGACTCATTTAGTCGGAAGGCCATGACTAGTGCCTTCAAGAATGTGTCGTCGTTGTCACTTTCGCCGGTTGCAAGAGCTTTCTTTGCGCCTTCGACCGTAGCGAGAATTGTGGCGGGTGTAATGTCAATGTCAAGGTCGAATGGGTCAAATATAAATTCCGTGTCCAGGCTATAGATGAGAAGCCCTTCCGTGGAAGCTGCGCAGAATGACCGTCCAGTAGAGGAGAAGTCTACACAGCTGACACGCACTTCCGGCCGGGTGGTTCGAGAGCCGGCATCGCCACGCTTTGCACCAGGAAGAGAACGGTCGATGCGCTCCTCACGGTCTGACGCTTCTCCGGTTTCATCCAAGAGGCCGAGAGCACCCGCTTCGGTCATGTCACGACTGTTCAGGTATTCCAGTGTACCATCCAGCGATGTGTTCACGGATACCGTGTATTTCTTGACCAGGCAGCCCGACTGCACATCGTACAGACAGATGTATTTACTGTTACCAGCTGCAAGAATACAGGAACCATCGGCACTGTATGTGATGCAGTGGAAGGACTTTGTCCCCGCAGCATTGGCGGCAGTAGTGCGATCCGTGATTTTGCGTCCTCCAGAAACGTCACGGCGACCATCAATACCAGCAACTTGCACGGCATCAGCTACCGACCAGAAGGTCAGTTGGCCATCGAGGGAGGATGCTGCGATCTGTTTCCCATCGGGTCGGAATGCAACGCTCAGAATATCAGAAGTAAGCTGCAATGGCTCACTGGTTTGAGTGCGTCCGAAGATGCTCCAGACGCGGACAGTACGGTCCCAGCTGCCGCTAACCAGATGGTTTCCATCGGCGGCGAATGCCAGCGCCGAAACGGGACCCTCGTGACCAGACAGTTGGTCAAGAAGTTGTCCGGTTTGGACTGACCACACGTGAATATCAAATGAGTCCGGAGATCCCGCACAAATGACCTCTCCACTAGGGTCAACTGCGAGGGAGGAGAACGAGAGTCGAGATGGGGCGGTAAATGTTCGGAAGTTCCGGTAACGAATGAGATCCCAGGCTCTTACAGAGCCGTCCAAAGATGCTGTAAACAAAACATTGCCCTTTTTCGAGAACTGACAAGCAGTCACTCCACTCGAGTGTTCCGTGAATGTGACAAGGCAGAAGCCGGACTTGACGTCCCAGACTTTGACCTTGCCATCGTCGGCAGCCGTCACGATCCTTTGGCCGTCGGGAGAGTAGGCAAGCGCATTCATCGAATCTAAGTGCCCTTGTTGCTTCAGGATGTACGACTCTGATTGCCATTCCCAAACTAGCAATTGGCCATATTTCGAAGATCCGAAGGCCAACCACTCTCCGGATTTGTTAATCGCAACGACGTCGATATTACTTTGTGAGACACTGCGAACTAATTAGTGTCACTGGCAGTGACCGGAAGATAAGCGACTGACCTTAGGAGATGGATAGTGTTAAACTCTGGCAAGTCATACAGGCCGAACAGCCCGTTTGAGAAACCGACGACGAGCAAGTTGGAGGGCGCGTGAAATGCGGCGCACTTGACCGTGGCATGCGGCTGCTGGAAGAATTCTTTCTTGACGATTCGCCATCGCGGCTCATCTACATCTTCCATTGTGTCCGGATCCTTCTTGGAGACATACTCCCACTTCAAGAGTGTGCAGTCTCTACTGACAGTGTAAATCTATTTGGGGTTAGGAGAATAGTTCCGAATGAGCATTGGGGAACATACAATCTCTTGGTCGCCGGAGAAAAACGCTGCCTTCACTCCCTGTCGATGCCCGGAAAGTGTAGTAGGCTCGAAACCGTCCTCTGGATTCAGACTCCACACCCGCGACGTCATGTCTTTCGACGCGGTTAACAGGAACCGGGAATCACTGGACCACTCGATGTGCTCGACTTCGTCAAAGTGACCTGCAAGATCTCGATGCAGGACAAACGGGGCGAAATCGATTTCTCCGTCCGTACCGACGCTAGGGGTTTCCGGGGTATGCCATAATTGCAGCCGGCGTCCCACTCCTACGGCAAAATGACGACCATCTGGGGAGAATTTCAGGGCAGAGATGCGCCCCTTGAACGAAAAATTGTAAATCTGGACACGGCGGTGGAAGTTGGTCAAAATTGCGCGGCCATGTTCGTCGACGGAGAGGAGGATATTGCCTCGAGGAGTAAGGTCTAAGCGGTGGATATTTGTTCGATGCGCAAAAGGCAGGGTATAGGAAATGTTGCTGCAGGAGTATCCGGTCAGAAACAAGTGGTTATAGAAGAGACGGCAGCTAAGGAGATACATACTTGACCAGATCAAAAACTGTGACCTTGTTGCCGACCGGGGATATCAAGCAATTCCCATCCGGTGTGAAGAGAAGGTTTCCTTTGCGATATACCGTACCGAGGAGGTTTGAGAACTAAGCTTCCTGTTAGCCTTCTTGGAGTCTCCGGAGACAAATTCGAGGTCCCAATCTGGGCGCGGCCTTCGGAGCTCACCTTGAAATCGGTCTTCATTTTCAACAGCCAAATCGTCTCCCTCAGCGTTCGCAGTTCCCTCTCATGCTTGGATCTTCACAAAAAAAGTCGGCCTCCCGCGATAAGAGCTCGGATCAACTTCTTTCCCCGGCTCCGAAAGCTTAGACTCGAAGCGCACTAGCGTTAAAGCCTCAGGAATCAAGATCCCCGAAAAACGTGACTTGGGGGTCTCTGGAATCTTGGGATTCAGGGGCAGCAGGAGCCGAACTAAACTGAACCAGGCACAACCAAGAAGCGGGCGAACTGCTGTTGTCCTCTTGTCTTCTAATCTTCTCTCGACGACCATCCTCCGCTCCGACTTGTTCACCACTTGAAGGGTTTCTCCTCTTTCATCCCTTTCTCAATTCTCCCTTCTCCTTCCAAAGAAACCTCCCGGGTTGCTTTATCGGAACCCGACCGACCGTCTTCGAGCTCCCTCTCAATCAACCCCTTATCATCATGGCTCCCATCAACGAGACAGCTTCGCCGATTGGCATTGCCAACGTGAGTTTTGGACTTGACGATGCAACATATTTGAGCAATGCTAATTATAAATTATTTCTCAACAGCTCCCAAACCAGCGGTATGTACTATGCGAGCATTTGGATACATTGAGTCGGCGGGTGGTCTAACGAATATGCTTTAGACACAAGATTGTTGCTAAGCGGGGAGCGGCTTTCACTATCATGGTGCGTCGGGACCATCATTCCACTATTGAGAGCATTGGATTAATTCGACATTAGGTTGCTGGAGAGTCTGGGCTCGGAAAGACCACGTTTATCAACACCCTATTTTCCACCACCATCAAGAACTACGCCGACCACAAGCGCCGCCACCAGAAGCAGGTTGACCGAACTGTTGAGATTGAAATCACCAAGGCTGAATTGGAGGAGAAGTTTTTCAAAGGTTTATATTGGATTGACGCTCCAGAAATGAGCTTCGACTAACCGATTGCGCTCTATAGTCCGCTTGACTGTGATCGATACCCCCGGATTCGGTGACTACGTCAACAACCGCGATTCCTGGCAACCGATTATTGAGTTCCTCGACGACCAGCATGAGTCTTACATGCTGCAAGAGCAGCAGCCCCGCCGTACAGACAAGATCGATATGCGTGTGCACGCCTGCTTGTACTTCATCCGCCCCACCGGACACACTCTTAAGCCTCTGGACATTGAGGTCATGAAGCGCCTGAGCTCCCGTGTCAACCTTATCCCTGTTATCGCCAAGGCCGATACTCTCAGCCCCGCTGATCTGCTTCGTTACAAACAGAGGGTGAGGCAACCTTTTTGCACAGTCCTTCTCCTCCAACGTAACTAACCGCGCGACCCTTTGAAATAGGTCCAAGCTGTCATCGAAGCCCAGGGAATCAAGATCTACACGCCCCCAGTCGAGGAGGACGACGAGACCGCCGCCACCCACGCCCGCAGTCTCATGGCCGCCATGCCTTTTGCTGTGATCGGTTCCGAGAAGGATGTCAAGACCAACGATGGCCGTGTCGTCAAGGGTCGCCAATATGCTTGGGGTGTTGCCGAAGTCGAGGACGAGGAGCACTGCGACTTCAAGAAGCTGCGGTCAATCCTTATCCGCACCCACATGTTGGATCTCATCCACACAACTGAGGAGCAGCACTATGAGGCATACCGTGCACAACAGATGGAGACTCGGAAATTTGGCGAGGCCCGTCCCAGAAAGCTGGACAACCCCAAGTTCAAGGAAGAAGAGGAGAACCTGCGCAAGCGGTTCACCGAACAGGTCAAGGTCGAGGAATCGCGATTCCGACAGTGGGAGCAGAAGCTTATTGCAGAGCGGGATCGCCTCAACAAGGATCTGGAGGCTACCCATGCTGCGTATGTCCCTACATGTCCAAATTCTTTACAAACTCATCAAGCTAACTTGCGAATAGAATCAAAGCTCTCGAGCAAGAAATCGAGGGGCTTCAGGGCTCATCCACCCGGAGCCACGGCCGTCGTTAAGCATATTTTCAGCCACTGGAGGCAGGCGGCAGTGGTTGTCACGGACGGAAAAAGTAGAAGTGTGCATTCATCTCGACTAATATGGCTTTACTCTCGATTACCCCTTCATGGTTTCTTTTCCTTTTATCCTTATTCATCTTTTGACCTTCTCCGTGACTATTTCGGATTGCGTTTAGCTCAGAAGCTCACCTCATATCGGGGCTTCCCGTCCGGTCTGGCTAGGCCTGTGTTCTGAATTTGCTTGCTGGTAGCTAGCGATGGTTTCTACGTCCTTGATAATAACCCTCTTGTATCCGTATCATCTCAATACAGATTTAATCCTCGTGCCCTGGGAGAAATATATTTGCCCTCTCGTTGGGGCTTAGAACCTGCTCTACGGTGAAGAAGTTCCGCCAACTTTATACAATCAAGTGAACTGCTCGTTTTAACATAATTGTTACTCTGACGAAGCGTATATTTTGGTGTTTGAATTTGATGCTCTAGGGACACAGTCTTGCGGTAAGTAGAGTCGGCGGTGAACTTTTTCTCCGCCTTCGGATGGCTTTATTATCCCAAGAACCTCTCAAAGCCTCGGCCGTAACAAATATCATGCTCCGGTAGCCTGCGATCTCTAGGTGCTGCGGCTAAATCGTCAACTTTTCCCATTTCCCTTCGATAACCTGCCAATGACTGCGGCTGGGAAATTCCCGTCGCAGTTGGCTCACACCCTCAGGACACATAATGGTACGCCGCTCTCACTGCGCCCTTGAGCTTCCCCATTCTGATCCACGTCGCAGGGCCCGTGAATGCCGTGACCTTCTCCGGAGGCCCTGGAACATATATCCTTACCGGCTCGACTGATCGCGCCATCCACCTCTCTCGTGCAATCCCAAACAGCAACAATGCGTCCGCCGTCGAGACGACGTCACCGATCCAGAAATACGAGGCACATGGGTACTCGGTGCTAGACATTGCTGTTGCATCTGATAATTCGCGATTTGCAAGTGTTGGTGGGGATCGCCAGGTGTTTCTGTGGGATGTTGAACAGGGTATTACCACGAGACGCTGGGGTGGACATAATGCGAGGGTGGAAGCTGTACAGTTTGCCGGAGAGGACGACGCGGTGGTTGTCTCGGGTACGTATTTCAAATCTAGGATCTTGCGATCTTGAAGCGTGTCGACTGACTCTCCTTGCGTGTTCAGGTAGCGCAGATACGACCATCAACCTCTGGGACGGCCGATCGAACTCCCATAAGCCGATTCAGACTCTCACCGAGGCCAGTGACACGGTCTCCTCATTGCACGTCAATATGGCTACGTACTCTATCGCCAGCGGAAGTTATGACGGTCGCGTGAGGGTCTACGATATCCGTATGGGTCGAACAACGGTCGATGTTCTTGGGCACCCGGTTACCAGCGTCCGATGCTCGACGGACGGGAACGCGCTTCTGATATCAACGCTAGACAGCCGAATTCGCATGCTAGATCGGGATGACGGAAAGCTATTGAACGCTTTCGGCCAAGAAGACAGCTCCAAGCCTCCATCAATCACAGGGAAAAGAGCGGCCACTTATCACAACACGGAACTGCGCATCCGTTCCGTCTTCGCGAAAGCTGATGCGGTCGTCTTGAGCGGAAGTGAATCCAACAAAGATGAGCCCTACAGCCAAGCGCATGTGTTCGCCTGGGACGTATTGAGTGGAGAAGTCATCGCGGCGATCCCGGCCGGCGAGAGGGTCAAGGCTGTGAGTTCCGTGGCGTGGAATGAGAAAGGGAAATGCTGGGCGAGTGGCTGCTCCGATGGTATGTATTTTCTTTTTCCGACATTCCAGACTCGTTCAAGACGACGAACGTACGTACTTGGTTGGATGGATGCTTACTGCGGCGCTGCAGGAACCGTCAAAGTCTATCGGTAAAAACATCCGCGAGAGAAGGCTCGGACGCTTCGAGGCTGGCTGTGCCCACCGCTGGTGTGCCTCCATATCTCATCCGCAACCGAAGTAATGCCGAGCGTGCATTTCCAATTGCAGATATCAATGCGCCAGTTGAGAATCCTGTGCAGATTCTCCATCCTTCGACGCGTTCAAAAAACTGAGGCTATGGCGGCAAATCAAGAATGTACGCGGCCTCCCGACCACACGCTCTCGCTCGGATAACCACGTGCGCAGCCGTCAGTCCAGCATTCCGACTCGCTTATCCCACATCATCGAGGCCTGTCAAATCACTTGGTTCCAATATGAGTGATTTTACATCCTGCCTCTCGGATACGTCAGCTCCCCAAACCAAATAATCGCGCAAGTCACCAGTCACGACTCGCCTGTCAGCAGGCCACACTGAGTAAGGCCTAGAGGCCCATGCACGACACACACCCACCATCACGAGCAACGACACGACCGGGATTCCTGACCTCCAGAAGCTGAAACAAACTTCGTGGCTCAATCTTCCGTCTCGTCACAACCCTGTTCTCCACATCGAGGCTGAGAGGAGGCGCCGTTCCTTCGGTACTTGGCGTGTGGCCCTTTGCCCTATCACTGGCTCTGGCCTCAGCTCTCTGGTTACACAAATGCACAAGCTAATGGCGAACATGAGTTCGTGAGCTGAATGTATGAGTTCATTCTATTCCTTACAGCAGAAGCAACTACTGTACATCTGCGAGTAGCGAGCTAATGAGAGAAGGGAGGAGGCACATGTTTCTACTGTAGATATGATCTCATGATTGTGGAATCCGAGTCTGAAAACAGGATTCATATTGGCTTGATTTAGACCTCTCGAGCAATCGATGTACAACCTGTTTTCCCTCCTCCCAATCAATACCGTTATCATCTCTCGTCATCATTTTTCGTAGGAAGCAGCCTTCCAATATGCAAGCATTCTCATTCCAGCTGAACCTGACATCCCGCGCCTCAATTTGCCTCGCATTGCTTCGCCAAAGCCGTTCTGTGTCCCAGCTTCCCTTGCAAATGCAAAAAAAAAGGTAAACACCCATCAAGAATCCAACCGTACCTACATAAGTGGAGATTTTTCAATGTAGACAAAGCATCATGTAACAAAATAATCGTGATGTACCGTGGCTCGCTCGCTAGGGTGTAATATGCATCTCTTGGCAGGGCGTGACTCGTTAAAGAAGAAGAAAACAAATAATCGAGGGCGTGAGATAGACAAAGACAAACGGAAAGGCTATTTTTTGCACCGCTAAACATTTTTTTCCAGAATACAGAGGTAGAAGAAAACTGACAAAGGGGGACCAGAAAAGAGAAGAAAAGAGAAGAAAAAGAGAAAACGAAAAAGAAAAAAATGAATAGAGAACTTTTATCAAGACAACCAAATGAAGACAAAGCTTATGAATTCCGGATGGCGATTGGTAGCACAGTAGGAATGCTCGCTGGTTTTAGATCTCCAACGCTTCGATCGCCATCTCGGGTTCGTGGCTTTCGGCGTCGAGAGCGTCCATGGCGCGGTCAAGTTCGTGTTCACCGACGATGATTGTTCCTGCGCGCGCTGTGCTGAGGAAGCTGATCTCCACGGCGTCGAAAGAGGTATCCAAGTCTGGCTGTAGACGGTGGGTAGGCGGGTTGCTGCCATTGCTTTTGCGGCCCGGACTGTGGCTGTGGGGTTTTGAGGGGCGAGTGGAAGTATAGGCGTGGGCGTTAAACCGCTCAGAAACAGAGTCATCAGGTAGAAGTGAAGCAGTTGATCCACTGAGGTTGTCTTCACGTGCGTGCGTAGCATCAGCCAGTCGACTTGCTACGCCGCAGACAATACCGGTCGCTTCCAAGGGAAGTTTGCGTAGATCAAGCATGATAGGGAAAAGGATATCCTCTTTTGAACCGAGTAGAAGACTGGAGTCGTCTTCATCTGATCCACTGGGAGAGGATGGATTGCTCGAAAAACGGGGTAAAAGGCGATGTTCTAGGAGGAGAGACGCAGCAGGGTCGGCAGCTGTAAGGGTAAGGGAGAGGAACCGGGGCTTGTCCACGACGAGGGCTGTAGTTAGGGCATCACGAAGGATGGAAATCGAGCTGTCGTCGCTACTGTACCGATGGTGAGCTGCACATTGTACCAGACGCAACGATGTATCCACCGATGGAGTAATGCTATTTCGGCGCAGAGAAGAAAAGGTGCGCTTTTGGAGCTCATTGAGCGATGACGGTGGGGGTGTAGCTGGCGGGGAGCTCAGTGCGCTTGCGGAAAGCGAAGATCCCGGGCTAAAGGTACTGCTGAGGGAGTGATGATTGTTGTTAATAAAGGCTTCTGTCGAGATCTCAAACTTGAATCCCCGGTTTTCCAGCGCCTCGATGACCTGTGTCTTGCTTTTGAGGGGAACAATAATGTAGTCGGCGAAGTAGGTGGAGATGAAGAATATCGAGCTGTGTTGGCCGGGTTAGCACCTATAGTGACGGCATGAGGATAGGGGATTGCACGTACATCCCCGCCATAGCCAGTGGTGTTGTTAATTCAAGAACCCGCTGACCAGCCTCAAGCCCTTCACCATACACCTGCATGGCAATGAAATCATCCTTGCTTATCGACAGACGAGTTTTTGTGGACGAACTGACTTGGACAAACCGTTCGACCAAGGGAGCAAAGTACTCATCAGCGAGCTGACGGGGACACATAACTGAGCATTCCACTGGAGTTATTGAGAAATTCAAAAAGGCAGGCTGAAGGTGACTGGTTGCCTCGAGAGGGCTGTCACAGCCACGAGACTCAGCCTGAGCCTCAGTAATTGGGGGAATCTCATGGAAAAGCACCCGTAAAATAGGATCCAAAAAGAATGGATATAGTTCCAAGGGGATATGCACCAGGGCCAGTCGATCTTCCTGTAATTCCACAGTAGTTGTTAGTGAAACGAGTCGAGGCCGAGTTGGCTCCATGGTGGGCACATTGTAGGGCTTCGTGACCAATGGCATAAACTGATAGGAGGGAGACAGGGGTGGAAGTAAAGACAAGAAAGTGCGTAATGATAGATAGGTAAAAGAGTGTACAAACTCACCATGAACTGGACCTGGGCAGATATCAGTGACAGTGAATGATCCATTCTGGGTGGCACTGTTTGAGGATTGTGTTGGTTGTTCACCAGGGATGTGAATGGCGACAGGCTTAGCAGGAAGGAGGGCGTGGAAAGTGAGCGGGATTGAGGGCGAAGTCAGGATAGGCTGCAAGGCAGAACCACAGTCACCAAGCAGAAAGAAGTACCTTCTGAGGTAGGAAGAGCGAAGGTTAAGAGACGGCTTGAGTGCCTCGCCAGGCGAGCAAATGACCCTGGAGTATATTTCGAGAATGTAAGACGAAACTAGGCGCTTGGGTCCAGGCTCAACGTAGGGGAATGTTTCTTTTGTTCCTTTCTTTTCTTTTTTCGCTTGAGTCTTTTGTAGGGCACAAAGACTTGCGCCGTCATTGTCCTCGTCAGTCGAAACCGTGGAGTTACGCCATTGCTCGCAGCGATGGTATCAAGCAGCGGACGAGGGCTCGGAATGCGCAAGGCAACTGTTTCTGGCGATGATGCTATCCAAGGTACGGATTATGACAGAAGGCGACACAGGGCGCCGGACGGGGATGATGAGGGAGAAAAAGGATCGAGGGGAGGAATTGAGAGGAAGCAGGTGACTTGTGAGTCGTGACTCTGCTCTTGGACACTCAGCGATGACTCCGTCACTTCCCTCTCCAGTTGCCGTCGACTCCAGACAGACGACGTCAATTCCGCAAACTGCTCCCTTCCGAAAAAGAAAATACGCCCTGGACAGAAAAGATGGAGAGAGAGAAAAAAGGAAAGTGAGTCAACGAGAAGGAAAAGCTTGGCTATCGACGCTCTCCACCGTCAGGCTGTTGGGATTGCTTCAGATGGCACTGATAAGTACTGCTGTTTCCCTTTTAAATACAAAGCGTCGCTTTTACCTAATCCGCTTTGCAATCCAAAATGCCCACTTCCCAGACCCTGGTTCAGGCCGTTCGTCTGACTTTATCTCCAGCTCCAGAGTTCTCCACCAGCGACTGCCTTATCAACACCTCCTCCCTTCCCATTGATGATTGCCACGCTCACTCCGCGCTAGGCGCCGGACCCGATAATGCGCTGTGTCCTGGTGCCAATTCAAACCCTCCGGCCGCGCATTTCACGTTTGGTAGGCAGATCCAGCGCATTAGCCGGGTGGTCAGAGCAGCGAAAGCTCGTGCCGCTCCCCGCACTTGACGAGTACAAGGATGTGGTGAACCTGTGGGAGCTAGTCAGGCACATCGCTGCAAATCAACCTACCCGGTCACACACATTCTCGATCCTCCGCAGCGTGGCATCAGCCACTGAGAGATCTCGAATGGCCGCATCCGTCAGTCGCAGAGGGGTTCGCGGGAACCCGCAGTGATTGGGGACTGATAACGAGATGTGAAGGGTGGGTGGTATCATGGTGGAGTCTTCCAGCATTCTTCCTCCGCTTGAAGACTCCAGGACTTCTCGGATCTCAGCATCTGCTCTGTGCCGTGGGAAAAGGAGCATTTGAGTTCCGGCAATACGGGGTACATTCTTCGCAACGGATCGTGCCACCACTCAACTCTGCGATTGATTTCTTTTCCCACTCTTTTCTTTTTCCTGTGCCAAACTTTGCTTCTCCCCAATCGAATCCAAAGCAGATCATTTTCCGTCTTATTCAACGGTGCTACTATCAGCTGGAACTTCCCCGCTTATTCGCACCGGCAATTATCAGCCGAGCTCTAACCTCAGCTCAAATCTCCGCATTCCGGTTTCAAACTTTCAGGGCTTCCAAGTTTCAATCGTCTTATTTTACCAAGTAGTCCGGGTATATTCTCACCAGCGCTTGGAGCGGTACAATCAGAAAGCCAAAAAGTCCGGCGATCTCCCATGACCTTGTCAAAGGGATCCGTGGGTCAGGCTTGTGCCTTGGAAGTCGCGAATCTCGTGGCTTGGTTGGCTGGCGTTCAGCTTCCCTGCCACAGACCACGGGATTATCTCCCCTCTTTTCGCGACTAACATCCTGACAAACAAATGACCACCCTTACTAACCCTTTTCCCATCCAATCAAAACACCTGTCAGGCGATCTACCTGGTCAGGATACCTGGGTAGATATGTATGTCATAGCGACAGGATTGGGAAGGCGTCCTTGATCCTCTCCCTCGGCATGAAGATTGATTGATTAATTACCAGTATCGTCGCATTTTAGCTCAAACTCCCTCATCTTTCCGTCATTACTACCCTGCCCTTTTTCCGACTCTAGCAACTCGTCATCATCGCCGTTATCAGCAAGACCCTGTTCTTGTCGGGTCGATGTTGATCCCTGCATCGTGATAGATATCTACGTAGTCTATCCGCGTTGCCCTCTCGGAGCCTGGGAAGACCCCATTCCAGCAGAGGTATGACCTCGGCGTTTCATGAGTCGTCGTCATTGCCCTTGTGCATAAAAATACGTTGTTTGCATAGAAGCAGAAGATACACTCCGCCACCGGCGTAGCCTTTGCAGAAATATTAGATTCTTGCCTAGACCCCCTCCGCTACTATATATAACGAACCCCATGAGCAGTAGCGGAACAAATTCGGACAGCACTCGGACCTCTTCAACGCCTCACCTACGAAGTAAACCCAGGGGCCTACATATATATCTGCTACGTACTACAATTCCTCAATGAATCCTACCTGACCCCCTCCTCTACAAGGCGCATCGCACCGTACCCTGGTGAGTAAGATGAGTTGGAGACAAGACTACACGACCGTACAAACCAGACATATCTCTCCACCCAGTCTAAAGGAACCGTGGTCTATCTTACTCCGCAGATAAGCTCTTGTCTCCAACGAAAAAGTTGGAGGAGGAGCTGAGAGAATCATCTCCCATATCTCGTCCGTCGGAGCCTGGAACACGGATAGAAATCAATGCATATCTCTATGAATGCAGCTGCTGCCTGCATGCGCGGGACGGACAGGCGAGTGTCAATGTTACTCCAGCTGGAGGCTTTGCTTACCTATCAGTACGACTTGCTCGACGAGTGTTAGCAGCAGAAGCATTGCGAGGCGGTTGGTTTCATGTCGTCTTGCATGGCCATCATAGCATACCATAGCGTACACAGTCCTGAGATTTTTGATCGGGTATTATTTTATTTTGTTTATTTATAGGTACCCCGTAGATACAGCACTCTGCGCCTCCCGACCAACCAACCAACCAAGAAATCGACGTCAATTGCTGCGCAAAGCATCCATGATATGTAATACATGTAAACAAGGAGAACCGCCGCTAGATGTTGTAATGAGCAAACAACCTTGAAATCACCGAACAATCACTCAGTCAATCAATCACCTAATCGTCCTCATCGACCCTCGCGCGCTTCGATCCCCGATTCTCGGTATCAGCTTCCTGGATTCCGTAGCGCTTCTGGCCGGCTCCACTGCCGCTGCCTCCGCCCGCGGTCACATCGGCAATCATGCTGTCGATGCCGAATGGGTCGGCTGTGTCTTTTTCGAACTGGACGGGGCCGCTTCTTTCCTGTACGGGGTGATGCGTTAGTTCCGGCTTTTCGAGAACATACTTGAAAGTATATTGGGTAGAGCTTACCTCTGCGTCAGCGGCACCGCGGAATCCCTCCTTCGCCTTGCCGAGGACTTCAAACCGGTTCGACTTTTCAATTTTGCCTATCTCGCCCTCCGCGTCGGCTTCGTCGTCAAAGTCTGCTTGTGCCCTGGGACGGTAGATGCTGTTGATGGCGTCCTGCGCGGCAAACAGCGGCTTGTCGTAGGGGTTGTCTTCGTTGAATCCGGTGCTCATTCCGCTTGTCTGGTTGAACAGGCGGGAATCCCACATGGACTCGGAGGATTGTGTTGGCTTCGCTAGACCGAGAGCGACCTTTTCTGAAATGTCACGGTTCTGTTCGCGGGCCATTGCTTGGATTCGTCGCTCGGTACCCATGCGCGATTGGCGGAGCTGTCGCTCAGCGTCTTGGCGTCGCTCGCGACGGATGCGTTCGCGCTCCCGGGCGGCTTCTTCGTCTTCGCTGGGGGTGCGGGATCGGTAGGACGCTTCGGACAGACTGCGGCTTCGGCTGCGGCTGGGTGAACGTGAAACGCGAGAATCACGACGACCGGTGGTACGCTCCTCGCGCGCCTTTTGAGCCAGAGCACGGAGATGCTCTTCCTTTTGCAACTTCTCCTTCTCCGCCAATCTCTGTTGCATCTGAGCACGTAGACGCACCTCCTCACGAGCATGCCGATCGGCCGTGAACAGCGCCTCCGCAAACTGCGCAAACTTGTCATTAATCGTAACATCCTGTAGACCCCGCCCATCAGCCGCCAACCGTTTATCCAGCGGCACCGTGTAACCCTTCGGATTCTTCCAATTCGACACAGGCGGCGGGATCTTCCACGCCTCCTGATCCTCCGCGGTGAGCTTCCTAGGGGGCGAATGCATAATCGGCGGAGGCGGCGACGGCGGCCCGCGAGGAATCTTCTTATGCTTGAACTTTGGTGGCTCCATCGGATCCTGCTGGCGCTCCACAATCTTCATAATGCGGTCGTTCTTCCGACTCATATCCCCCATCTGGTTCGCCGGCGTATACCGGACAAACGTCGGCTCCGCCCGACTTCCGCCCTTGACGTTCTTCGGCTTCTGAGCCGCCACAGCACCGGATACCAGACTCGCAAGCGCGTTTTTCGTCTTCTCCATCTGCGCCTCGACTTCTTCCTCCGACGGCCTGTCCAGCGAGACCTCGCCCATGTCCACCCGTTGCCGGAGCGGGATCAGATCCTTGAACGAGGCGTGCACGATCCGGTCATCGCCGTGTCCGCGTCGCGCGATGGCGTCGTATTTGACCTTTCCCTCCGCGTCGACTTGTACCGCGAGCGCATTCGATTTCGATTGTGTGCCCTTCCGGCCCATGTCGAGGGGGTATTGCGCGACGAGGATTTCCGGGAACGCGCCGCCGTCGCCGAAATCTTCGGGGGCTCGGGGTCGCCATCCTGCACGATTGCCGTAGGGAGGGGGGCCGGTCCTCTGCACAGAGAACCAAGTTAGTACTGCTACAGCGGAAAATACGAGAGAAAGATCATCGGATGGACAAACCCGGAGAACAATCTGTGTATCATCGAGCTGGCCCGGCCCTACGATTCGCGGTCCACGCTGGCCATGTTGTGGCAGCTCCTCTTCTTCGCCCGTGTATTTTGGTTTAGGTAGCGATTTAAACAGGCCCTCCGCAATGGATGTCATTGTGAATAGGGAGGGATATATAGGGGAAGAGAGACAAAGAAAGTTGTGATGATGAAGTGATGAAATGCTTTGCTGCTTTTTCGTTGGGTCGAGTTTGGCGGCGGGTTGCGGATCTGGTGGCTGTGGCCGGCCGTTTGATTAGATAACGTCCGGAAAGGGAAATTCATCGCCAGAGCCCTGAGGGTAGAAGGGTGTTGGTTAAGAGAAGAGTATCTGGAATATTTAGATTGGGTATAGATAGTGGATAATCTTGATGCGACAGTATATATATAGCTAGTAGTACAGTTCGAGGAGTTGAACACCAGGATATGCGTACATGAGAGTGAATTCGATATAGTACATGATAGCGAGGTGACACTACCAAGATGCATAGATTGGCGCTCAAACGGCTTGCAAATGCAGCCTCATAGGGCAAGAAACGCCCTCTCCATCGTCGACTTCAACGTAGTGCTCTTTCCCATGGTACTGGTACCATATCTTCAAGGTCTTCGACTGAAGAGGCGCCGGGTCGTGGAAACCAAGAATATGGATCTATTAACAGGTCAGCGAAAAGCACTAAATAATAAAGAAGAGACTCCCAAAATAACGTACCTTTGTCGTCGTCTTGGAAATGATAAGCTGTCCATGATCGACCAACGCAGCCACCGGGATGGTCACATCCGCGACATCAGGTTCCCTTGCATCCCCGCCCCTCGTCCACAACCTGCTAGGATAGTGGCCATACTCGGCCTTGGTGATAACCAACCCACCGCGAGCAGCTTCTTTCTCCTGTCGTCGCCGCACTTGATCAGCCATAAGCTCGATGGCTTGTGCGCTCTCTGCTTTCCGTTGAGGAATCAACTTCCTGAGCTGCTTCTGTCGCCGCGCAATCATCTTGCGGCGGTTACGTCGTTCTCTTGGGCGGATGAATCCAAACTCCACCGCGCAGTATGTCAGAAATGGCAGTAGAACTGCCAATGCTGCCGAGTCTCGATTGACCGCGTCCATGGGACAGACGGCGATAGGCAGCTTGATTGTCTGCCTGAGCCTGCTCCATGAGACTGTCATAACCAGACCCCTGGGCTGCAATCCAACGCCAAGACCCATGCGGGTCAATTCGCTAACCTGTCGGGACCCATGTATATTCCAGGAAGGTGAGAGATCCGTGTTGATGGTAGAGGAGATATCCAGTCGCACGGATCGAGGTTCGTTCTCCGGTGGCACTGAGTAGTGTTTCTCCGAGCTCCATCGGGAAAGGGCATTGGATGGTGACTTTCCAGAGAAAATGTTCCGCGAGTACTTGAGAATCACCCCGGTCTCTACCGGAGAAGAAGAGACCGCAATTTGCCAAGCTTCGGCGATTCTGTTTTCTTCGCGCTGCCTGGCACGTAAAGATTCCTGCTCGTCCTGTGCGGGATCCTCATTGGGTGAAACATCGTCGTCGTCATCTGAGCTAGGTACTGCCGCCGTCACGGTGGGTCGTGATGCAATTCCGAACTGAAATTGGCTTACTTCCTGGCCTTCGAACAGGATGTCGTCGGGGGCCTGGCCAAAGTATGGGGCAAAGAGTGTTTGAATGATCTCGGGCCACCCGATGAATCCACTCGACCAATGACAGAATGCAATTTTTTGCTCCCCAATTTGCCTGGTCAATTGAAGATTGATCGTAGGTAGCGCGTTGAAGATCGAGCGACTGAATATAGTGTCAAAAACAACAGTGAATGGTCTCGTCCCTTGGGCTAAGGCGAAGCTCTTCGCAACGCTCATTTGTATCGTTGCTGCTGGCAAAAGTGTGGCACTCACAGTTGCAACGGAATTCTGAAGAAGTGAAAGCGGCCACCGGTTTAGAATGCCTTTCGTGCCTGTTTGCTCTTTGAACACGCGGCTTGTGCTTGCACCAAGGCTGACACTCTGCGTAGCCAGTGTCAAGGGCAAGGGAATCTTTAGTCTCATTAGCGGCAAGGTACCAGCGTTGGGAGTGGTAGATCCTACAGTTCGAGTCTCCGTCTCTCCATCCTCAAACTCTAACTCAACCTTGTTGAAGAGGCGCTGGAAGCCGCCAGCGACTCCCGCCGAAATCGTCAGTTCGGAGTCCTCATCCTCTTGTAGCGTCGACACATCGCCTTCCTGGTCAGTTCCATCCTCATCGTCCTTCTCATCCTCCCCAAAGACAGCCCGGAAAGTGGGAAAAGGCGTCACAAACTCATATCGGAGCGCAATGTTCGACACCTTCGGATGGGGTACGTGCAGATATACCTCTCCAAGCTCCTCGTCGACCGAAATGGTATTCGTAGCATCAACCCCAAGCAATAGGACACCCTGTCAATTAGACATCAGTCAACAGCTAACCTCAGTCAATCCCACATCACGTAACCCCGTCCATCGCAACGCTCGTCCCAGTCCAGAAATGCACAGCAAGAACAACCCACCTTACTCCTAACCATCCCCTCGACAATCCCCCTCTCCCTCCTCTTCATCGTCCCAAAAAACCACCTCCGAAACTCCTCCGGTTTCATCGCACTGACCCCGACCTCCTTCTTCTCTCCCTCCCCACCCACTCCCATCGCCCCTCCCTTCCCCCACTCCCTCCGTACCCCCTCCGCCCCTAGCGCATCATAAACAATCCTCTTCTTGGGGTCAATCAGCGTCTCGTACGCATCCTGTATTTGCGCAAAATGCCGCTTCGCCGCTTCCTGGAGCTCCGCCGGTTGCTTGTCTGGGTGGAAGCTTAGCGTGAGTGTTCGGTACGCGGAGCGAATTGAAGCGTCGCTGGGCGGAGGGTCGCGCGCGAGACCGAGGAGCGCGTAGTAGTCGGCTTCGGTGGGGTAGGTTGTCAGGTGGGAGTAGGTTTCTGCGTCGGAGAGGTCGTGGTCGACATTGTGGCTCTGGCTCCGGACATCGTCGTGGTCGTCGGGGTGTGGGACTTGCTCGTACGCGCTGTTGTCCATTGTTGCTGAGTGTGGAGGCGTCGACGTGGCCTCTCAGCTGAAGTCGCTGCTCTTCTCCGCTGGTCTGTCGGGGAGTGAAGGCTCGCGCATGCGCAGATGAAGGCACGGCGGGTCTCAATTGTCTCAGAGCCACAAGATACGATAGTCCATGTTCTATTCTAAGTGGTTCTAGACACCCCCGTGGCGCGTCGTTGCTATCTTTTTTCCTCTCCGGCGGAGTGGTTGGGAGGGAGGGATAACGGCGGGATTATTTTCCTGGTGACGTCGGCTCGGGTGGGCCCGCTTTTCGGCGTTTCGGCGGCTTTTGAGCTATCGAGGGGAGGGGGTGGCTCAGGTGTGAAAGCCTCAGTTTCTTGCTGTGACTCTTACTCTTCGAAGGGTGGGTTGTTTTTGCTTTTTCTCAGAAATAATCCAGTCATCTCAATAATGCGAGCCCAGACAGTCTATGTACTGCCATGACAGAACACTTCGTTCAAAAGTGGAAAAGCTCCGCTTCATCCTCCAGCTAGTATCACGAAATTTGAATATTTTACATCATATAAGAAAACAAAGTAATGGGCCTCTCATCAACACCATATTACAGTTTTTGCCATACCAGAGCATAAAAAAAGTAAGCAACGGCCCGCACCAAAAGTATACAAGAAAACAGGATCCCAAAAAATTGGATGAAGAATAAGCCACGCGGGGCCAGGAGTTGCATCAAACCTTAGCCATGTGACATGTCGCATCATTACGCCGAATTGTTTCAAAACGGCGTTCACGAATCATGAAGGGAGCGCCGAGCCCCCTACTCTGACTCGCGCAACAGTCTCAACCGAGTACGGGACATCTCCAAGCCCAAACGCGGCAAAGAGTTGCTCACGCGGAAGACCGCCGTACATGAGATCCTCGTTGGTCGACGTGTCCTGCTTCTGGACGCCGTTGTGAATCTGAGAGTCCACTGACGGTCCGTCGAGGAAGAAGGCGAGTTTCCCTTCAGACGCCATCTGGTGTTGCGCTTCCGTCAGTGCGTCGAGGCGGGATTCAATCAGCGAAACTAGAGGCTTTGTACTGCCCCAGAAGCAGCTGAGTTCGCGGACGACTTCTAGGCCGCCGCGGATGAGGTTAATGCATTCCGGTAAGTCGAGCATTTGGCCACCTGCGCTGAGAACGTCGACGGCGGATAGGATGATGTAGCCGAGGAAAGGGTTGAGGAGGGTTCCTTTTGGAGTTACGGGATCTGTTGTCATGGAGGATACGTCATACTCCGAGGCGTAGCGGACGAGGGCGAGGGCTGTGCGGAGGATCTCTGCGGCATGGTTCCTGGCCGTGTGGACGTACTGTTGGGTCATTCCAGGCCGGAGAAGCTGGGCCCGGGCGTATCGGTTCAGTTTTAGAAGCGTCGCATGGTATAGTAAATGTATGGATATGAACGGATCGACTTTGTGTCCTCGTATACTTCGCTCTAGGTTCACTGCTGTGAATGAGAGATGGTTTGGGAGCCGTGAGAGCCACTGGTCCGATCGACGGACAATGGTACTGTAGAATTCCTCGAAAAGCCCGTTGTATGATTCGGCCGGAATCAGCGACAATCGGAAGACGTGATCCGAGACATCGCCCCATATGGATATAACGTCTATCAAGAGCGCCATTGCGCTCAACCCAGAGAGTTCATCGTCCTGGGATACTGGAAGCTGGTTCAAGAAGTGCTGGAAGAATGGCACGGTCGTATACTCTTGGGCTTCGTAGATCTCTTCCCGACACGGCAGTCTGAGGAATGCGGTCTGGGAAGAAATGGAGGTTGTCGACGGTGCATAGAAGCATGAGAGGCGCTAAACATATCCAGGTTAGAGATATACGTGAAACAGTTGTTGGATTCGGGGGGCGACCTACGTCCATCAAGAAGGCGGTCCAGAAAGTCCGTCGACGACACTCTATCAGAGCTTGAGGATGCAGGCCGTACTCGCACTGCTGGCTTTGCTCTACAATCACCCCTCCCATCTCGACGTTATACCGTAACCCACATACCGTGCGCACCGCAGCTCCCGCAGCATCCCAGGATTTCACCAAGGCTCCGATTGCGTAGTACCACAGACTCATGATGATGCGGCTTTGGGCGAGCTGCAACGAAAGTCTGTGCTGATTATATTCGAGGGCATATCTCGCAGTACGCGAGTATCGCTTCAAGGCCGTCATCCTGTCGGGCCGGTCCGAGAATACAGATCCCAACGTCATCATGGAGTACAACAGCATGTTGTCGTCGAGCGACTTTGTGTGACATGATCTCAACCACAACAGGAACCGCCTCCGAGGGAACATATAGTATAAGCGATCGTTGATGAACGTGAAATACGCTTCGATGTAGTGGGTTGCAAGCTCCGGGTCGATACCGTACGGGTCTGCTCTCCAATCATTAGCGAGTGGATCTTGAGCATCTAGGTCTTTGAGCTCCGTCAGTATCTCTGCGTAGTCGGTGGACGACGATCCAGCGCTATCCATGGAGTGCCTAGAGACATGCTCATGCCCGCTAGACATGCGCTGAAATCTTGCTACATATTGCTGGTCGGAGTCGGTAACGCTCTCATGGTTGCTATCCACAGCAGAAGGCGTAAGCATGGAACCATCAGACAAGGGAGACTGCGAATTCGTCCCGGGAAGGGAGGTAGAGCTCTCCGAAGCCCTCGCAATAGAATATAACGAACTGGATGTACCTGCATTGTTAGAAGCTCCGGTCATAAAGTCGTCCCGGATGTCATATCTCCTGGCGAACTGAGATGCCCTCGACGCGGCACGGTGACCACGAGGCCTAGAGGCCGGTTAGCACTCAAGCTCCTGTCCTCCTAGCACAGTGAGTTAGATGCTTACGCGCTCTCAAATCTGCATTCCCTGCCAGATTTCTGACATTGGTCACACTTTGGCAAGTTCGGATGGCACTTGATCTTCTTTTCTCGACACGTCAGGCAAGCCTGTGCGAGTCGTTTCCGTGGCTTTCCGGCTTTGGTAATGCCCCAGTTGGCGTTGACCGGGACGCCGTCTATGATCTTCGGGCAATGGGAGCCATCGGCATAAATGTAGCATAAACCTTCTCCCTCAATGTACCGTTCATCCACGACGTGTGGTCTAACGTTTGATTTCCTCGATTTCTCAGCACCTGGAGATCCTGAGTCTGCTGTAACAGAGGTCGGTATCCCTGCGCTGGCCCGGTCGTTTGGGTCGCTGCTGTGCCTATGGAGCAATCTAGGAGGGTATGGCGAGTGTGATGGAGCAGACCCAAGACCTAGATGGCTTGATGTATTTCCACCAAGAGCCTGTGCAGAGATGTGGGATATCGGAGGTAGATTCTGGGACTGCGGTGCGGGAGTAGACTCCAAATACGATCTCGAGCTGTCATAGATACTTGACCGTGCTTCGAAAGGAAGAGTACTAGAGTCGCCGTGCCGCTGCCGGTCTGGTGACTCGCGGGAGTCGTTCGACGGGAGGATAATCCCGAAAACGCGTGGGCTATAAGGTGATGGTGACCGACTTAATTGTGCGGTAGGCGTCAAAAGTTGACTGACGGAGGGCAGCTGCTCGCTGGTCTGTTGATAGCCAGGGCTCCTAGGATAGCCTGAGATTTCTTCCCCTTCGTCAGCCCTCTCACCACGGTTCCTTGGTCGTAGAAAGGGGTCTGTCCCAAATTGCAGAGGTGCTGAAGTACGAGGCAAAGGTAGTTGATAGGGGTGAGTTCCCGGAACTGACAGGTTAGCTGCTCGATCCGGTTCTTGCTCCGCAGGTCCATCGGTGGCGGGTAACATACGGCCGAAAGGTCCAATGTAGTAAGTCGACGACATTGCGTTTACGAGTTCGCTCGAGGAGTAATCAGTGCAACCGCCCAACCCTGATTATCAAAGCAAGATACTCGTTCCTGCGAGACCCTGCTTGACGTCTCCTGAACACTCTTTCAAAGGATTGGGAAAGCCTCGAATAGAAATAGGTAAGTATCGCGGAGATTGCCCTAACCAAGGATCTAGAAAGCTAACCAGAGGAAAGAATATTAGCCACAGAGGTGGAAAGCTTTCGAGCTACTGCTTGAGTGAGCCGGAAGGTACACGAATGTACACACCTTTTATCTCCTTTGGTTCCTCCTCGACGTACCTAGGGCAGGCAGTCACCCAATGCAGGATTTGAGTAAGCAATAGAAAGAGATGACCGGAAGAAGTACACAAAAGATAGCTGTCAAAACACCACCCAAATGCTCGGGTCGAGGCCTGAAATCCCGTCCCTTAGATAAAGAAGCCTCCGGATCAAGGCTCGGTGTAGGACCCGGCGGCAGGACGGGAATGTGATGCGGGTCAAAAACTGAAGTGCCCAGGATAAGCCACTAATAAAAGGAATCTCTTAACAGAGAGGGCCGGATCTTTGCCACACGGGATTGTTTGGAAGCTCCCGTAGACTAGGAACGGGATAAATCAGAGCGAGTGGAGACCTAGCAGAGATCTAGAGGTGAAATCTCACAACGCAAACGGGCCTGAAACTTGTTCGTCTTGGTTTCTTTCCCGGAGCGAGCTTCCCATCCCAGGTATACTGCAGGATCCCAGCAGATTACCCAGGGCATTGAACAACGAGTGGCAATTCAGAAGAGGGCTTGGAATCCACGCAGAACAGCAGTTCTGAGCAACGTCCAAGCCGCAAACAGTTAGGTCGCCGGGCAAGCGATCTGTGCGTAGAATACAGACAACAAAGTAAGGCAGATAGTGGCTTTTCGGCTGCAGATTGGCGACGTCGTCAGAAAGAGAAAGACTCGGCGGCCATGCACCAGAAAGGAAAAAGAGGAGGAAAACAGGCGCCGTTTGTCAAGAGCAAGGCTTCCGCATCCAGGGTCACCGGTAAACGAATGGCAAACCAGAGAGATGGCGAGGTGGGCTAATTCTATAAATATTCCGATTAATTTGCGTTTCCGCTCTTTTTGCTCCCCTGTGGCATTTGAGTCAAGGTCCTCTCACAGGGGAGACACAGCACCAACACTGGGGAGCCGCCCGTACGCACCTTATTGGACCAACGGGCCTGATGCTGGCAAGATTCCTGCCACTAACGGGGAACAATGAATGCTGGGAAGGATGTCATGCTGGCGGCAAAATCTTGATGGAGCAAGACTAGGGGCCGGCGATCAGCGATTCGCCGCCAGGGCCACTACTGGTATATTCTAGGCTTGGAAGGGCGGGGGAGGATCCAAGTCCAGTGCGGAAGTGGTCTTTAGTGCTGGGAATATGGATGCCCTGGTACAGGAACCCTGTCGCTGACAGGGGGAGGGCGGAGAAGACACAAGAGCGACGGAATGGGACTAGAGTGGGAACAGACGGGCCAGGATGTCCAAGACGAATTGAATTCAAGCCACCAGAAAGTGCAGACAGAAGAGGAGGACTCGAAGCGAGAGAAGGATGAAGAGGAGGAAAAGTGGTGGTGGACGGGAGAAGAGGAGGAGGAGGGGCCGTTCGAGCTCACGGGGGATCTTTAGGTAGAGTCTGGGTCTGTGATTCTTCGCGATACGAACCACCAACCGGCACGATGGGGCATCCTCTGGAGTCTTGTTGCTGCTCCAGGGCTGATTTAGGCTTGCCGCGTTTCGCTTCTGGGTCCTCTTAGTTCCATCTTCTCTTACTCCCACTGATTCACCTTTTTTTACCCGCCCAAATGATACCAGTCTGGCCTCTCTCCGACAGGCTGCTCCCGCTTCAAGCTGTCAGGAGATGCTGAAGAAATCCCTCCTTCAGCCGTTTCTTCTCGCATCAACCCCATTCTTTGCTTTTTCTCCTGGCTTCATTTCGCTTCGGGTTTGCATGCGTTGCGGTCCACCTGCGCCCCGCAAGAAGGATTTTCTGACGGCGTTTCAAACGATCCTTTCATCTCCATCTCTCCATCCGGAGACCATAGGAAGAGCTGGAGCCTCCTGGCATCCTCGGAACGGCATTTGGAAATAACCTTGTTTTGTCTTGTCTAAATGTCAGAACCACCACAAAGATCCCGTGATGTTTTGACCTCCTTTCATTTCGTTTTACGCGGTTCGCTGCCCCGGTCGATCATCTCGAGGCACTTCGGCCGTTCCAGCTGGATGCACTGACGGCAATCTAAGATCATCAAGCTCTAACTATTGGAGAGTCGTCACTTCTTAGTCAGTTTTGAGGGCCAAGAACGGCTCTTCGGTATGACGAGACTGCCATCCTTCATAGTTTGTGCTCTTGTGTTGTAAGGAAATGACCACGGACTAAACCCTGAAGCCACCCTTTTACCGACGGTTGAAGCAGTCGTCTAGCCTCGAGATTTCCACATCAGTGCCGCGACTCGCCAGTTTCAACATCGGTTTTGCAAGTGTGTCGTCGTTCGCGGGGTGGGCTGCGCTAAAGGCCTGGTGGAAACAAGGGTCCTGCAAGCGGACAAACTACACACGCGCACTCGGAGGATGACTCGAGACTGAATCCCAGTTTCACGCTCTTCTTGCTCTCAAGTCTCCATTCTGGGGCCATGCTTGTCTTGTTCCGTCTCAAGCTCTGGCGATCCGATCTGCATCCTCGTTGTCACTGAAAAGTTTTCTTTATCTTCTTTATGCACATCTTATGCACTCGCAGTCGCTCTTTGTTGCTATATCCCTGTGCTGAGCTCTGTTTTTTTTTTTTTTTTTTTTTTTTTTTTTTTTTTTTTCGGATTCGTTTTGCAAAGATGTGATGATTCTGTCTTCTCCAAAAGCGATATTGTTGACATGTGTCAACTTGATTTTCGGTTCACCACCGTTTTTTGACCAGAAGAAAGTCTCCGCCTCGCAGATAATTGGTGCGATGTGAGTCGAGATCCAATTTATCCGCGTGCGTGGACCGAAATTGCTCGCCCCATCAAGACCGACTCCTTCCGTTCCCCTCACAGAGCCCTGTCGGAATTATTTATCGAATGGGAGTGGCAAGCGCCTTACCAGCGATCTCATTCCAGGTTGTTCCCCATGCCGCCGCTCGGACCTAGGCACGGTACGGAGTTTAAACTCGTCAACCTTGAGGAAGCGAGGGAACTCTGATCTTGATCATCATTCGAAAAGTACGACGCCTGCGCCCGAAATCCTTCGATGTAGGCGGAGGCCAAGTTCTCCGCTCTGGGGCCGGCATGTCAACGAGAGGGATTGGACTGGGATTGCGGCGCTGCGCTCGTGCAGTTAGCTCGTGTCCTAGCGTCAACGGCAGCCATGACCTCGTCCGGCACTCCCGTCTGAGGTGTTGGTCTCTAGTTTGGCCTGGTTCAACTCCGATAGGACTGCCACGCCCCTTGGGCATGGTGGTCGACACAATCGACAGAAGAGGGTCGGGAAACGCAAACGACGAGTTAGTCTACCCATGGCACTCACCCGTTAGCAGGGCACTAAAAATGCAGACGAAGGGCTGCAGCAGAAGGAAGAGGCTAAAGCATCACAATAGCGCCCGTGCTGCGTAGATTCAGACCAACCCCGTTTACCGAGCAGACAACCAGGATCCCTGTGCACTAGCCCGTCGATCACTGACTCTTCGGAGGGCTGGCACCTGAAATTGTGCAAGATTGATTCGCAAGCGATTCATCAACTCCAGACACTATCCGCTTCGACACATGCGGATTGACTGTCGCGCCCAAATGATGTTGTGTCTGGTACCGTAAACCTGGGAGCCAGGGGAAAGAAGGATGATCAAAATGTAGTCTGCCGCTGGGGCTGCATGCAGGAGCATGTACTAGCGAAGAAGATGGTTGTGGCTGGGTGCGCATCGTCCCCGACTTTCTTGTGTTACTTGGTTCCTCGGAAGGAGGACTCAAATTTTCTGGTCAAGCACTGAGCAGTCAGGTACTCCGTACTGGATGAGTTACGTCAATGTGTTGAGGCTGTTGTGTTGAGCTACACTCACGTGCTTCGCTGCAAGTGATATTTCCCTCTTGCCAACTTTGGCCTGCTTCCTCCTGCTCGCCTGCTCGGCTTGACTTCGTATCCCCAGCCTGCCGGTTGGCTGACGACCCCGGTCACTACTTGTGCAGATTCACTAACTTCTCCACACTTTCATATCGCCTGTTTCTCGCTTCTTCATCTGTCAGGATGCACCTATTTTGGGTTTCTCGTGGCCAGAATCGACGGCTGCCACAGGACGAGGAACCCTGCAAGCCTTTTCATTGACACAAAATCCCTCTCAACATTGTCGGCCGCGAATACCTGATCGAGATAATGCACGACTCAACCGAGCCTGTCGAAGCGAACTAGTTTTTATGCCATCGTCTAACCTCCGTCTACGTTTAGGCGAGAGAGATATACTGATCGAACACCGGGAGCAGTATCCCAATCTGGACAAAGCCTGGAGGCCTTTCTGACACTACTTCATCCGCAGTTTAAGACAGGGGTTGACGGCGGGCGATGTGCCAATGGTAGCTTTCATAATGACCCGTGATTGCGAGCTTTAACACGCGGATACAGTCCGTCAACAGTTGATCGAGCAGGACACGGGCATGGCTGAGGACTATGTGATCGGGGATATCAACACGCCTGCAACCGATTTTTCTGGACCGATGCAGAGAGAGAGAAATTGCCAACGCATCGCACTGAGATTTACGTCTGCTTCTACATGAGCCTCGTTTTTGTCCATGGACGAAAATGAGAAGTCGGCCTGTCCGCCCGTTCGAGGCATTAATGGGAGTCCTTTGGCGAAAACTGCATAGTGACTAAGTATCCCAGTTCAAAGCTGCAGTCCACAACAGGGTAGCGAGGGAGGTATCCATGATTCGTTTGTGTCCACCCTCTGGATAAATCTACTAATCCCTTGGCAATACAGCATCAGGGGCGGTTCAGAATTCCCTCATGTTTGACAGACAGGGTTCCCCATGCGCAAGCTCTTATGGAACCAACTGCCGAGCAGAAACGCTTCGATTTCTTGGAAGAAAACCAATGTTTGGCGTTAGCTTTAGCATCCTTCAAATTTCGGCAGTCGACGAAAGGCCGCGGCCAATCGATCAGCACTTGGCACCCGAAGGCTGCTCCTCAGTAATACAAAGTACCAACCCTCCCACTTGGTAGCCACCATTCGACTGACACGCATGGCTGACGCTCGATGACCCTCTTGCCTTGGCACGATTACTACCAACGCTCTTGTCCTCAACGAATCGGGAAGGTGACAAGAGAAACGGTTAAACTTGGGCAGATATTCCAGGAGTCTCGCAAGTATATAGTCCATAGTCCATCCTGTGGCGACAAAGTCGTACAACTAACACTCTTGTTGTGTAGAGATGAGAGCATAAGAATTTCTAAAATCGGGACAAACTTCTCTGTGCAATAGGGCCTGGGAGTGAACGTTTCTTTACTTCGCCCACCCATGGCTTATTGGGTCGCCGTACATTAAACAATCTTTCGATTCGCATGCTCAACAGCTCAGCGGTGCTACTCGTTGACCGGTCAGGGATCGGGAAAGTCGGAACAACGTGCCTATTCCGCCGATTCGCTCCAGAAGCGAACGACTCCGGTCAAATCCCAGTCTACTTCAGCTGCAACCTCGAGAGACTAAGCATTGAGCGCCGAGATGCAACAGCGGAAACTACCCATACGCCCCATTTCTTGACAGGCCTGTCTCGGCGACGAGACTCGAGTACGAATGTGGAACCGCCAAACAAATTACTGCGTGTCTATGAAAGAAAATTCACTTCATTCTGTGTCATCTGAGAAGCTGTTGAACTGCGATGGAAGATGGACTCTCTCAGCAAGCGTTGTGCTGCTTGTCCTCAAAATCACAGTGGTGCACTATTCGCGTAATGCGCCTCCGACGTGCCTGGAACTGAGGCATGCAAACTCAGTTCGGACCGAGCCGAGTCCTCTTCGGGTAGCACCTCGGATAATCGCAGATAAACGGCACAATACGAGCAGTGGCCAGTGAATTACGCTCGTCTTCCACGTTATCATTTAGGCTTCGATGCCTGGTGATTGCAAGTGGATCTCCGAAAACGACGCATGGCAGAATCAAATGGCTGAGGAGTACACCGACAGTGTATGTCCTCGAGACAGACAAGCCCACTTCTCCCGGCGAGATGAACTCATTTCCTGATGCTCTTCTACCCGACTCCTTCCAACCTACCCAGCTCCGGCCCCACCTATGGCTATAATCGTGTCCCTATCATACGTCCTGTACACTGCAAGGCCTCCAGCACCCCCGGAAGAGATCCCGCAATTGACGCGCGCCGTGGAACACCGGACGTAGGATCTCCAGCCAGGACGAAGTCGACCTGGATATCGCCACCCGGAGAAATTGCCTTTTCCCTGAGCATTTTCTCCGTCTTTGACGAAAGTGTACACCGGTAGGTTTGCTACCGGCATGGCTTTCCGTGGGTTTAGCTCCGGCAGCTGGATGTAACTCCCGACATTCCGTACCCTAAGTCGACGATTCGGTAGTTTGAGTGGCAAATTCGGAGAGCATTGAATCGAGGACGAACGGTTGCAAACTTCAAGGTTGCAGGTGAGATAAACGGTGAGCTAGTCGTAGCGCGCTTTCGATATTAATCCGCCGGCGATTGTCCACTAGCAAGACGCCAGTTGAAACAAGAGACCTTAAGCGATATGATCTAGTGGGCGCAACTAGACTAAACTGAGATATACTTGCGAGCCCAGACTTTAGAACATCAGGTCGACGTCTGCTCTGAAGCTTTTGATTTCATGCTGCCAATATGGTGGGGAATCGGTTGCCTACGATGTACTTGATATATATATATATCTGTGGAGTTAGGCAGGATAATTCCGTATTCGGGATTATATTATTGACTTACGTATGCTTCTCACACTGCCCATAAGACTGTAATTAGTAATTGGCTCAAAATCTGGGATCGTGGTATAATCTTTGGTGCATCCGGTCAAAACTTGCATCTGTCAACCTGATACTGATAACCCCGCGGCAAGTCGAATCCATTCAGACGACCCCAGTCAAAGAATCCAAGTCAAACTCCCCATACATCTACTTCAAACAAGTTTAGTTGATCGACAAATTCCCCGGGGCTTGGTCTACATTACAAGCGAGCGCGTCCAGAGCACAACAAACTTGCCACTGGAAACGACTGAACGCAAGGGCCATGCAACCATGGGAAAATCAGGTCGTCAACTGTCTACAGTCTAGTCTACACACCTCAAACCATGAATGACGTTACTCATAAGTATTATTGAGGCTAAAAGAAAAGCAAATGGGTATTGCAAATCCCTTTATTTGCACGGTGCTACCATTTTTAAGAGAAAAAACCAACCATAACCATTTGTCACCTAAAAACGAAGAAGAAGGCCGCGACGGATACTTTCTATCTTAACAACATAATCTACTCCTCGTGGAGAGTGTTGATGAAAGCAGCCGAAGTAGCCTCGGGCTTACCGCCGTCAAGAGGCTTCTGGCCGAGCTTCTCCTTGGAGAACGCAGCAGCGTAGGGGTTAAGACGGAGCATAACCTGCTTGTTGCGGAGCGGGTTCTTCTTCTGGACGTTGGCGCGCTTGGTGCGGGCCTCGCCCTTGGGGGCGCGGAGCACGGACTGGATCTCAGAGGAGTTGATGAGGCGGGCGAGATCGGCGTTGGCGACGAGGTTGGAGGGGAGGAGGAAGTCCTTCTTGAGGGCGGAGGGGGTGGTGGTTGTGCCGTAGACGGTGTCGAGGGCTTCGAAGGCGGAGGAGGTCCAGACGATGAAGCGGCCGAGGTGGCCACCGGGGGCGAGCTGGAGGAGGTTGAGGGCGAAGACGGACGAGGTCTCGACGCCGGGGATGTTGCGGAAGGCGCGGACGAGTTCCTTGCCGTCGGTCTCGGGGTTGTAGACGACGAGGGGTCCACGGCGCTGGCGGAAGCGGCGGTTACGGAGCTTACCCTTACCGGCGCGCAGCTTGCGGGACTTGGAGACCTTGACGAGCTCCTGGCCGGCACCAACAGCCTGGAGGAGGGCGACGGCGGCCTTGGTCTTGGTGATGGCGGCGTTCTCAAAGGTCTTGGAGTCGATGACAAGGGGGACCTCGGCGACGTTGCCGATGCGGTGGCCGCGGGCGAAGAGGAGAGAGGGGACGGAGGAGGCGGCCAGAGCAGAGGCGGTAGCGAAACGTCTATCATCTCGTCAGTCTTCTATCCTCTGGTCTCTAGACGTTGAATTTCCAGATTCAGAATCGTCATACCTCTGTCCCTGGTTCACCTTCTGGTGCCACTTGCGCCAGACCTTGGTGGGAGCGAACATGCGACCGGAACGGCACTGGTTACCAAAGGCAGCCTGACCAGCACGGTGAGTACCACCACCGGAGACACGGGGGATACGGGCGACAGCACGGCCTGGAGTCGTGAAGAAAAATCTGATCAGCCACGAATTCCTTTCTCTCCCAATTCAATTGGCGTCGTTCGTAAACATACCGGTACCCCAGGACTCAGCGGAAGTCTGTTCACCAGCCTTCTCGCTCACGGCGTAGGGCTGTCTCTTGTTCTTGGCCAAACCGGTGTGAACCTGCCTGTAGTTCAAAACAGTCAGTCCGATGTTCTCTCTCATCCTCTCTGCTGAATCCGCAATTCTGCATCGCAATATTCCTGCTCTTCCTCTCGCTTTTTTCTCTCATCTCCCACCCGCACAACAAATCAAGGGTCGCACATACTGGACGATGTCAGGACGGATGGGCGCGGTGAAAACAGCCGGGAGGGGAGCGGTAGCCCCGGTGGGCTTGCCCTCGGCCGAGGCGATAGAGACGGTAGGACGAGACGCCATTGTTGTCGACGGTGAGGTTGGTCGGGTTGTCGTCCTTCGAGGTTGCGGATCGAAGTTCTTTTCGAGATCGCCTGGTGGAATTTTTCGCTTAGTGCGTTAGTGTCTGCCCGGCCGTCGTCGTGTGCGGGAATGCCCTAAGCCCTGTTCTGCCGCTTTGGGAGAGAATGTTCTTGGCGGATACCTCAGGCAGACAGTCCACCACCACATCGAAGTTCATCTTGATTAGTTGACAGAAAGAATCCAAGTACCTAGTAATCCGTACACTTCATCGTGTATTCACTCTATCACAGCTTTATGAAAATGGATATATGTACAAGTCATTGGTGGCCGCAATTTATGATCATGATCATGTATACCAGCTCTTGCCATACTCGCCCTGTTCAGCGATAAACAAATCAACCAGCGTGGCATTGCTCAAACTCCCCTTGCCTTTTTGGGCCACCCCCAGCCAACTACGGAAAGATGTTTACTTCTCCACTAATTTTTGTATAGTAAACTAAATATACTTCCTTACCACCTTCGGTTTCTTTATAGAATAGGTTGAGGCCTTCCATAAGACCTTCATAAAGACCTTCATCAAACGGCCTTTGTTAAGAGGCCGGCCTCAGCCCAAATTCCCTGTCCATTTACCATATAAAAACTAGCAGAGACTTTAACTTACCACTAAAATCTAGAAAGGGGGGTCTAAGCACAAAAGCACATTTCTTGGTCGGATCTGAGCAATTACGCTGATTTCGAAATCAATCCGCTTTCAGATTGGGTATCTGCTTCAAGTAGGCCCTTAGTGGCCATCGACAAAGCCGGTTCACCATCATTGTTCCGAGCCTCAGGATCGGCGCCAGAACTCAGCAATACCCGTACTACATCCAACCGATCTCTCTGACCAGCAACAGCAAGCACGGTATCGCCACTGTTGTTCCGGGCCTCGGATGTTGGCTCCGTGCTCAAGCAGCAGCTGTACTGTGTGCCGATTGCCTCTCTGAGCAGCTAGAGACAAGGGCGTGTCACCACCGTTGTTTCTCGCCTCGATATCTGCGCCTTTTGCAAGCAGCAACCGCGCCGCGTCTTCCATACCACCCCTCGCGGCAATTGACAGGGCTGTATTCCCCTTATTGTTTCTTGCTTCTGTACTCGCGCCCCTCAAGTAGTAGCTGAGCTATGTGCGAAAAGGCAGGCCTATTAGATGCTGTGTAAAGAGGAGTGTTGCCTTCATCATTCTTGCTTTCAATATCGGCCCCTTTGTCAATAAATAGCCGTACCAAGCTCTCATTGCCTTCATAAGCAGCTATGCCCAGTGGCGTATCTCCCTGTTCATCTCTGGCTTCGATATCTGCGCCCTTCTCGAGAAGTACTCGTGCCACGGCCTCGCAGCTACTGTCCTCTGCAGCTCTAGCCAGAGGTGTGCGATAGGAAAAAGATCTTGCTTCGAGGTTGACACCGCGATCGGCCAGCAGCCGAACAGTATTCACGTGGCGAACGACTTCGTCGTCGTCCCAAGGTATGACGCTCGGAGTACTAGCACCCAAGATAGGAGTGGTTCCCATCGACTCGTACTCTCAATCGCAGCGCCACGCTCCAAAAGTCGTCGGACTATAGCGTCGTATCCGGCGTGAGCAGCTGCGCTCAGTGCAGTTCCAGTCTGAGCGGCCCGTGTTTCGTGATCAGCCCCCTGGTCTAGAAGTAACTTCACAATCGCCGTATGACCACGAGATGCTGCGAGGATCAGTGGTGTCTTGCCTGGGCGGGATGAGGCCTCTGAAGATTCGCCGGGGGTCATCAGCGGGCTAGTAGCTCCGCTCTCCAAGTATACTTCTGACCGAGCATTTGCATCCGCCCCAAAGGCTGAGCAGCTGGGACACCATGGCCATGTCGCCTCTATCCGCAGCTCGGGATAGGGCGGTTTCGCCCTTGAATGTTCTCGCGTTGATATCGGCACCGTGGTTCATAAGCAGCTCGACCACATCGCCATGGCCATTGTCTGAGGCTCGTAGTAAAGGTGTCGAACCCACAAGATTGTGCCTGTCTATCCGATCACGTTGCTGATATAGCGCCTGTACCATACGCTCAACTATGACTGTTTCACTCTGAACTTGCGGCCCCCAGTCTGCCTTTCTCTTCGCTTGGACACAAGTTCCCTTGTCCAAGAGGGCTTTGGCGGACCGTTTCAGTCCAAAGTGAGACGCGATATGCAAGCCAATCCCCTCGGGGAGGCCCAACGGTGGATAAAGCAAGTGCTTTCCTATCTCCCACATTAACTCATCCTCTTCAAGAAAGTCCATAATAAACTTTTCCCCATCTGCCGATGAGGCCCGGGCGTGGTGGCCCTAGTTGAGGAATGCATAGTCGTACAAAGCATCACCAGTCAGAGAGTGCAACAGGGGTAGTTTGGCGTTGCCTCTTTCCAGAAAACTGTTGAGTTTCGTCATGTTCGATTCAATCAACGTACACCCAAGTATAATCTGAGAGCCTGACCAGCAGTCAAAAGGGGTATCCGAGTATGTAGTGAACTGTGATTGACAGATCCGCTCTCTGTACGGTCAGCTTGTTCTTCCTCTTCAGAAGTTGATTGATCATGATCAGGCTCGCGTGACTGATCCGTACCGCTTGACTCATTAGCACCCCATTCTGCATCACACTCGGAGACCGGCGTCTCCGGATCTTCCTCATACTCTGACTCGGAGATGGTGGTGTGAAAGCTTGACGCAGATGAAGCAGTTGGGGCCATTGAAGCTCCGGAGCTCCACCAGCCTGCGACGATGGCAAGCTAGACAGGGAAGGCATGCCGAAATCGAAACTGCTATAGTCAAATGAACTATGGCTCCAGCGCCGAGGCCTGGATCCCCTTTTGGGCGGAAAATGTTGACGATGCCGGACAGTAAAGCTGATATAAGTGATACAGGTCTTTGCGATTCGAGACTCGGCATCGGAAAACCAAGCCTCGGCTCTTTGCGAGAAGTACTCCTGTGTCGTGTAATGGACTAGTCGAATTGTTGCTATCTTCATCGACTGCAACCAAGCCTGCGCATACCGACACTATACTTCCCACCTCTGGTCAATTGGTAGGATCAAATTCAGTGTCTTCTAATTCCACGGCAAGGGCGTCCTGCAAGACTGAGGCCCGAAGTGCTTTTTTTGAGAAGACGATCCACGACAAGGCATTCCGAGCGAGCTTGCGGTAGTCCTGGCGTTGGCTCTTTATCCTCTCCATAGCTTGACCGTACGCCTCGGATAATGCATTCAGCGATCCTCGCCTAATTTCCCTTGGGCACGTCTCTGTAGCTCATCTAAAGCGTTTCTCATGGCCCTGGGGGTCATTTTGTCCTCAAGGAACTCAATGTATAAACGAGCGAGCAGGAGCCTTGATGTTCTTAGTTCACGTACAGAGTTAACAGGACGTACAACTTACATGCTGTCAATGGCCTCAAGAATGGCGGTCTTGATACTGTCTTGAAGGGGTTCGCTCCTCCGTACGGAGGCTGGCATGTTTGCCATGTTCGCAGCCAAGAAGACTCCTACATCTTCGGGATTTGCGCGAATCTCCAGCAAGGTCGCCTGCTGAAATCTCTCCGCGACATCGTTGATCAATCTTGAAGTAACAAGAATGTTTGCGTCGTGTCGTGACTGAAGGCTGAGGAGCTCGTCGATGAACTTCGTGCGGGTGCTGCTCGCGGTCTGGCACTCATCTAGCGCATCTACCACGATTAAAAATCAATCATATAGTTCAGACAGGCTGTGGATATCATTAACAACCTCACCTAGCCCAGGCTGCGTTTTCATTTGACGGTGTCCTTCGTAGCGATTCAAAATTACATGCCATACGCTTGGTCTTTGCCATAATAGTTGTTTGAGTACATCAAGGAGGAGGTCATGGAGAGTCTGTTCCTCCTGGCGCCGATAATTGCAATAGATGTATACGATAGCCACATCTTGCTTATGTCGAAGGCACTGATGGAGGTCATCAATGACGATAGCTGCCATGATTGTTTTGCCACCGCCTGGTATCCCAGGGCAGAACAAGATTTGGCCCGCCATTTTTACCCAGTGGCTGTACAGACTCGGTAGAGCTCAGTAGCCACGGACCAGTGCTTGGTTCACGTCTTCGCAAATGGTCGGCCTGCTGCGGACCATAGTCGGTTAGTGTGAGCCAGTTCAGAATATCAGAGGTCTTCTGTTCATCCACAAAAGACCTAAATGCTCAACGTCATTTTGCGTTCTGAGTACTGCGTTTGCCACTGTTGATACATGCTAGACATGACGAAAACCCTTGAATAGAGTAGAAATGCTACCTTGGTCAAGCACATCCTTCACCGACCGTTCGCGGTTCAACTCGATTGGCTGAACCACGAGCAATTCCTTTGTAAAAGCAGCAGCTACTCCAGCAGCATATTCCTGCCAATCTTTGTTCTTGCCCTCGTCTGCATAATCGCAGATGCCGTGAATGGCCAAGCAAGGGAAGTTGTTGGCGACTCCTGCGGCCTCCATCTCAATGCACAATATCTCCCCTCCCAGGCTTGTGTTCAGCGAGTCGCGGTATCTTGCGTCCTTGATGACTTGGTTTCCGGAGGCGATTAGGCCGTAATGGACTTTTGGCTCCTCCAATGACTCGATCTTTGCGCCCTGGCCATTAGCACGTGGCGGAGTGTAAGCCCACCGCCCAAGCAGAAATCCGAGGAAGGTCAAAATAGACGCCTATATGGTCTCAAAGGCCGTCCAGTGCTGAGTTTGGGGCAACACATCTAGCGGGTCGTGAAGATGATCGCGCCGAGTGAATCTCAAAGCCAACTTCTTTCCCTTGCTCTCCACCACATCCAGATGATGCCGAATCCTCGAGCCTTCCACCTGATGGCGAGCCTCTAAATTCGACAGCGCAGTCAGCAGCGGTGCTGGGGGATTATTCAAAGCCCCAATACGCTTGAAGCCTTCGGACTCGGTCTTGCCAAAATCCCACTGCACAAGCCCAGGCCACTGACCACTCGGGGGTGCCCACGACAACGTCACCCAGTCGAACTTTGGGAGGAGTGCCGCCGCCGATACCCACCATGAGACCTGTCCGAATAGAGGGGAATGTGTTAACAATCCGTGTTGCTACAGCCGCGGCGGAGTTGGTGCCCAAGTTGACCCTTTGGCAGACATGCGATCACGACGTTGTGGCTTCCAATTGAGCCTAGAGTGTAAGTGTTGTGGTCGCCGATTGGGTTTGCCAGGTTTTCGTGCAGCTCATCAAGCATCACGGTCGCGGCCGCTTGCTCCTGGGGGAGCGCGCAGATCCAGCCCACCGTATAGTCATGGTGGGCGAGTCTGGGCGGGGATTGTTTAATGAGAGGAACGGATTTTATGGACATCGCTCCGAGAGTCGATGGAGGCATCGGCGACCAGAAACGCTCCTGCCATTTGGAGAAATTGGGAAAGTGGTGAGGAGGTTGTGAGGGGGAACCGCGAGCCTCAGCCCGCTCCCAACTTGCAAGCGCTGGCTGTCACGGGACTCGCTAATTGGAGGGAGAGCTTTCGTAACCCCCGAGCTCAATGAAAATAGGCTACTGCAGTATTAAAACCGTTATGCATCCTCGAGGACAGTATGAACCATGTGAGAATGCCATTGCCTACGGGGCGACTTACTGGAACTGACTACTCTAAGAATATGTATAGAGACTATACCACGTAACGCCACTTAGTTTCTTCATGATTCTGACTCTTAGACTGTTAGCCAAGTCTCCTGGGCTAGAAAACCAGGCTTATAGAAAGCTGTTTTCCTTAGTGGCTTTGTTGAGCTTTCCCTATTTCAAGGGGTTGACTACTCCAGTCTACCTATTTGCGTGGACTTGCTTTGCCCCCAGTGATCCTCATCCTCTGGAGAATAGAAATACAGGTATAGAAAGAATGGTTCTATTACCCGAGAAACAACTTCCAAGACACAAAGAACTAGCTAGAGTGACTCTCAAGGCTCTATTATCGTAGATTAACCCTAAGCGTACGTTATACCGGTTTACGTTGGATTACTATGCGACGAGCCAAGTTTTGATAATGATTGGGTTGACCGTTAAATGAGTAACAACAAGCTAACAAATATTTACCATGGAGATTGAGTCCAATTCAGCTGGCCATCAAATACTGGCTGCTTGGTATTAGAATAGGGGACTGGACCGGGGCATGATATCAAGTTATTACTAGTGTCCACTGCGAAGCAAACATATACCTAGAACCGACTGCCATGCAGATTTAGATTAACCCATCCGGATCAAAATCATTAGCAGAGAAGGAAAGCGGACATTAAACCAAGCTAGGCCCATAGAACAACGTAAAGAAAGACTCGAGTCTAGTTCACATGTCTAGTATCCGATAAAGCTCCACAGAAGCACACCCTATAAAGGTTCGAATCGCCCTTCTAGATAAGGCATTCATTATATCCCTAATAGAACCAACTGACTTCTGCGATGCGCTACCCCAGGACCTAAACACGACTAGGAAGAGAATTGAGGTTGATGATATCGACATGCTTCTACGCTCAGTGCCCATCCTGTAATGTCTCTGTTCCACCCTGAATATTGAACGCAGCTTGCGCAGACATTCTACCTGATCCATATTGCGTATACAATGCATCATGTGTGTTGGGAACACGCTCGACACCTAAACACCCCACCACCTTGTCTTATGATTCGTCACTATATTATGCGACTACGTCCCTCACAGACGAATTGAAACGTCTCTACATGTGTGATGAGTATCATTATGGCTAAAAGCATAGGTCTAAGCTAAGGGGGTTTTTAATAAAGATGCTGCAGGCGCATTATCAGCACTCAGGGCCTGGAAAGTATGCGGCTGCACTATAGGTGCATAACAATGCTTGGGAGGCAAGGGACTTGGGAGTGAACTAGATTGCTCTTATACCAAGGTAGAGGTATTTAATTATGCACTTTTTATAAGCATGATATAGATTCCTTGTTATAGGCTATATAACTGTGAACTATAGACTAGGCAAGACAGTAAAAACAGCAAGGATCAATTCAGATGCCTTACTATTACTTCTTTGTCTGCCATAACCTAACTATCAGATAGGTACTGTACCTTGTAAATGCTTTTGGAAATTAGTTCGACCAACTTTGAATCGTCTTCAATTTTCTTCTCTAAGCTCGGCCCGGCATAACAATGGGCGGAGAACTACCTCGACGCTCTACATCATTATTTTGCTGTCAAGCGCCATAGACCACGTAACCGTCCGACGTATAAGCTAATCGAAGAGGTCTTCGCATTCCCGACTTTCAAAGCGAGTGGTATGGGTTGTCCGGCCATTCCTGTATGGTCCCTAGTATGCAGCCAGGATTGCCAAATCCGGCCTGGTGCATCCAAAATGCGAAACGTATGCATGGCCGGAGGCTTTCGGGGTTATATCTGATTCGATGAGCGGGTGTATGCAGGGCCATCCATTGTAACGGATGCTTTCTGAAGGTTGGGAGTTACCCTACTTCGCTTGGCACCCCCAGCTGGCTTTTCTGTCGGGCTATCTGGGACTGCAGGACTGCACTTTGGATACTAGTAGTGGGCTACCCTGGCCCTGACACGCGCAGGAGTGTCTAACCTGACAAGTGATGAAATCAACTTGGAAAGATCTTAATATCCTCCTCCGGGCAAGGCGGCTTACACCCACAACCAAGATATTCCTTCCTGGCCTCGTAAATCTACATAGACAGCCCTGCCCCTGAAGTGTTCGTTTCCCCTCCCCAAGAAATCACAAGTCAACACCAAACCGCGACAATGACCACCAACCCAGCCTACACCCTCCCCCCACCCAACCACGCCGCCCTGCTGATCTCCCTCAACGCCCGCCCCCTGTCCATCGAAGAAACCCCCGACCGCTACCCCAACGAAAACGAACTCGTGATCCGCGTCCACGCCGTCGCAATCAACCAAATCGACTGGAAGATGCAAGACGAACCCTGGACAGATTTCAAGTACCCGCTGATCCTAGGCGTCGATGTTGCCGGGGAAGTCGTGCATGTTGGCAGCCAAGTCAACGACAGCGCCGAGGGCCTCCACCAGATTACCGTCGGCGGCCGCGTCGCAGGGCACGCGCTGCGCCTTGCAACGGGCGATGATCGCCACGCCGCGTTTCAGGAACATGCCGTGCTGTGGAATAATATGGCCGCTGTGATCCCTGCGGGTATGCCCTTTGAGCAGGCTGTCGTGCTGCCGCTGGGTGTTTCGACGGCGTCGGCGGCGTTGTTTCAGCCGGTGCCGGATGGGATGGGATTAGAGCTCCCGACGCTGGACCAGGAGCAGCGGGATAGGGTGTCTGCGACTAAGGCGGCGGTTCTGGTTTGGGGTGCGACGAGCAGTGTCGGGAGTAATGCTGTGCAGATGGCGGCTGCGGCGGGGTATGATGTGATTGCGACGGCGTCGAGGACAAACTTTGAGACTGTGCGGCGGCTGGGGGCGAGGGTTGTGATTGATTATAGGAGTGAGGGCGAGGAAGTGGTCAAGCAAGTCCGAGAGGCGCTTGTAAGAGGGGGACATCTCGTGGGTATCTTTGATGCGATCGGGGCGAAAGGTTCGATTGGGCCGATACTCAAGATCTTTGAGGCGGACCCGCCAATCTACGCAGTCAAGAGGGTTCATACGACGGGGGATGGGGTGGATGATGATTGGAAGTTGACAGTCCCACACGGCGTGGAAGTGCAGCCGATCCAGGCGATTGATATTCGGGGGGAGGAGGGAGAGGACCGAGCTGAAACTGTGGGATGGAAGATCTACAGGGACTTTCTTCCCAAGGCCTTTGAAGCTGGCATGTATGAAACCTTTCCTGAGCCGGCCGTTGCTGGTGAGGGTCTTGGGTCGATTCAAGCTGCACTCGAGACCAGCAAAAAGGGCCGCGGGGGGAAGGTCGTTGTCACCATCAAGTGATCTATGATGCTAGCACGTAACATATATGGAATGCAGTGCCTTGTACAATGCTGATACTATGCCATCTTTATGGAACAAGACTGGAATCCCGATACGTCGTCACCGTCAGTCGGTCCCCCATGATCGGCGCCATGCCAGCAAACAGAGTCCAGTAATTGATGTGCGTGATGGGCGCCTTGATTGCTCTCCTCACTCCCCCAGTCTTTCTGCCATTAGCGTACACTACGAATTCATCTTCCGCAATCTCGACGCTGAGCGTCAGATTCTGTTGACCAAGCCATGGCTGCGGCTTGAGCGTTGTTCGTCCTTGATAGCCACGATACGCCTGCTTGCTCTTGCACTCTATAGCTCGGTCCACGCGGTCAATTGTCATCTGCAAAGGCATGTCGAAGGATTCTTCATCGCTTGCGTCGCCGGTACTGCTGTCCAAATACATCAAGTCGATCCCTGCTTCCGCCCTGTTACGTGGAGCATCATCTATCATGAATGGCGCTTGGATGACGATGGTGCCGCCTGCAGCGACGGGCTCTCGGAGTACAGCCAGCTCATTGGCGGAGACATAGTGGATGAACACACCACTGTAGTTAGAAGTTAGAAGAATCGTACGCGGAAGAAGAAAGGGGAGACTTGCGGTATCTTTGTTCGTTTTGATGCCGAGACAAACGCATCCAACGTCTCCTTCTTTTCCTCCTCCGGTAGAAGATCCACCAATCTCCGCGCGGACTTGCCGTCCCCGTTTGTCTTATCCAGCGAGGCTCCCGCCTCAACGAGCTGCTTGACGATTCTGGGATTTCGCGCCACAGCTATAGCAGCCATCAGTGGGGTTTCATTCTTCTTTAACGGGACCGGAGCATCGAGGGTCTTGGGGTTCCTGCCCAGAAGTAGCTGAAGGAGTCGTTCGCTGTTGTCAGGCGCAATCACTGCGAGGTACGTGGGCGTCAACCCTTCCGATAACGTATCTGGGTCGGCAGTGTTCTTCATGAGCAGTTCCACCACCGAGGCCTTGGATGCCTTGAGGGCGTGTCCCAATGGAGTAGTACCGGTCGTATCTGGGCCGTCGAGGGACTCGGGGTCTTCCATCATGTGGTCCAGCAGTCTTTTTTCCGTGAGTTTCCCGGTGCGTGCATCTTCCCATATGGACTGCATTTTTGTTGTGGAAACACGCCAGAGGAGATGAAAGATAGATGGGATCCTGTGAAACAGTAGAGCTACCTAGGTATGGTTATATGCGGTTAGGTCTGAGCTCTGCGGTCCGCTGTGTATAGATTCTGTCGATGATTTTACCATAAAGTGCAAGGTTTGGGGGAAGAGGGGAAGCCTGATTATCCAGCTTCGCCGTCAAGTCCTCTCTCGCAGCCACGTCGCCAGGGAGCTCTGATTTGATCAGCCATCCATGAGTCAGTCGGACGTGATGTTCCTCTCCAGATAGTTGTGCTAACCTGGACAGCGAGGGTGCTACAAGAGCAGAGCCATTTCGTCATCATGCGCTTTCCTATCAGACGAATACAATCAGGAGAAGGAAGCCACTGGCTCAGTATTGCGCCTTGTGCAGCAGGCATCCCGCTCATCTTTGGAAAGGCGCGCCCGCCAACCGGTTGCCTGTGACGAGCTCTGCAGACATCTACGCTCCCTCGCTCACCATCCATGAAATAATTCCGAGTCCTCAAAATTCGATATCCGCGAGTCTCAATCCTTTGCATCCCGCTCAAGCACAACCATACCCGTTGCTCCCATGCGTTTTCGCAGAGAGTGGATGAGACAATTAATAACGCTGCCGCTTGAAGAACGTGGCTGGCTGTATCCCCGCAGTTCGTACCCAGTACCAAAAACTTTCATCGTCCTCACCACCATCATCATCCATTATTTCATTGTCGACTGGACGATAGCAGGCATCCAGCTGACCGGTAGCCTACTTCTCTCAGCCATACAGACTTCACCTCGGAGGTGCTCCTCTTGGCACCCGATGGATCTGAACCAAAGGCTGCAAGTTCTATTGAGCAGCAAACACCGGGATTAAGTTCCCTCGAGTCTTCATGCAGTCTGAAACAAACCAGTGGTTACGTGGACGAATCAACGTACTCTGCATCCCATCACCCGCATGAGATTGCACCGCAACTAGGCTCATGGTGCAATTAGCCGATTCCATCATCGCCCGTGAAGAATCCTCGGACTTTAGTGAATCTTGGCTTCATTTTTCGGCCAGGCCGCATTTCGCGGGGTCCGTTAGTAATCTTGGAAAAAGGGCTCATAATAGGCGTTGGTCCGCCTGGGTTTCAGACTGATTACGAGCAATAATGTGCGCACACCGGTACTATCCGATCCAAGGAATCAAGGACGGCCTGTCCCCTGATGGGCAAGTGCCCATCCGGCGAGAGATCAATGAATGGATTGAAAGCAAGGACCAAGCAGACAGGGATCAGGTGGTTCTGTTTGTCCTGGCGCTGGACTACTTTCAGCAGATGGACCCGAAGGATAGGGACTCGTATTTCCAGATCGCAGGTAATTCAGACTGAAATACTCCAAGCATCATATGGGATCGTCTGCTGACTGTGTTTTTCCAGGTATTCATGGCATGCCGTACAAGTCCTGGGATGAACCGGAGGCTACAGTCGATGAGGTCCATGGGAAGGGATACTGTGTGCATGCCAATTGTCTGTTCCCGCTATGGCATCGGCCGTATCTCCTCCTCTATGAGGTAAGTGCTCTGATATCTTCAACCTCGATATCCATCTCTGTTACTGAATCATAGTGGATAGCAAAGGATTTATGAGATCATAGTCGGAGAAATTATCCCAAAGATGCAAGCCAGCAAAACCAAGAAGGATGAGCTGCGGAAAGCTGCCAGCACTTGGAGACTCCCGTACTGGGACTGGGCGAAGAACCCCACAATACCAAAGCTCTTGGATCGGGAGACGCTCAATATGAAAGTGCTCGGCAAGTCAATGGCCAAGGATAACCCACTCTTCAAGTTCCGCATGCCGCAGCAGCAGAAGATGGCGGATTTTGGTGTGGGTTCCCTGAAATGGTGGGAGTTTCCCGAACCCCTACGCGTAAGTGTCCATCAGACCCTTGTCCATCGTGGGCTATCTCCTCTGACAGTCCCATAGTACGGCGAGTGTCTCGCGACCAGCCGATGCCCGACGAACAAAGAGCGGACTGACAGCAAATCCTGGGCAAATGGTGTTGTAAACACCAAAACAGCCAACGAATTCTTGAACAAGCAGCCGTCAATTACAGGCTTCGAGTACGGCGAGGCCACTGAGCTGGTGTATAGACTGCTGACCTATCCGATGAACTTTGTGAGCTTTGCAACCACTGCCCGCGACGCCAGCGAAGACTCCTCCAGCAAGACCAAAGTGACCAACGATATGAATCTCGAATTCATCCATAATAACATCCACTATTGGGTCGGCGGGGACGGAGGCCACATGTCGCAGATCCCCGTGGCGACATTCGACCCTGTCTTCTGGTTCCATCACTGGCAAGTGCAGTTGGACATCCTGCTGCTCTCTTCTCTACTCTGTCAACTAATGGGCTGATTGAATGATAGCAACCTGGACCGGCTGTATGCAATCTGGCAGACTCTGCATCCCGAGGAGTGGTTCAAAGCAGACACCACTCGAATCTTCAATCAAGAGACCATCGGAATGGGCAAGATCATCACCAACAAAACCGCATTCCGGCCCTTTCACAAGGACGAGGCTGGCACACTCTGGACCCCTAATGACGCCCGCGATTGGTTCAAGCTAGGGTACACGTATCCGGAGCTCAAGCGCTGGGATTACGCCACAGACCAGGATCAAACACTGGCTCTCCACGAGTATATCAACAACAGTTATGGTGTGACGCGGCGCCAGGCGCTTGGGATCGCAAAGTCTGATGCACCGATTGACGGCATAATCGCGACGGTGGATGGCGTCAAGACTAAAGACTACGCTGTTAGTATTCGATATGCCAAGTATGTGATCCTGCCCTTGATATTACTATTGAAACCGCCCGCTGAGTATGTCAGATTCGCCATGGGGGGAAACCCTTTCAATCTCAAAGTCTACCTCCTGCCAAAGGGCGAGACACAGAAAACATTCGCAGATGCTCATTTTGTGACCAACGTCTACAACTTCAGCCAGCCGGCCACGCAAAACGGCGAAACGGTCTGTTCCAATTGCGCTGATCTAGAGGCGCAAAATGTCCAGGTGACGGCCTACATCCCACTGACTACGTTCCTGATCAAGAAGATTCAGCAGCAGCAATTGCAGAGCCTGGAACCTGTTCACGTCGAGGATTTACTAAACGGGCGGCTCTACTGGGAGGTGGACATGGTGATCCCTCCTGCTATGCTCTGGTGTTTGAGATGGCTTCACTAACGAGAGGAACAGATGGGGACACAAATCCCCGAAGAAAGATGGAAGGACAAGTTGAATCTGGATGTCCAGGTTTCAGTCACGGAGATGTCCTACGCTGAAGATCCCAAGGCTCCAGCAGACTTTCAGGAGCCCGAGATCATCCCCACCCTTGGCACTGTAAGGAACTATTCGAATTGTCTTGCACTCTATGCTAGACTGCTAACGGGAGATTGCATGTAGGAGGCTGACAGGGCTCCTGAGCCAGGAAGTGCCGCTGATATCAATCAATCAGTGAACGATACCGTCAAGGATAACGGCCTTGGAGACTTCTTCCCTCCCGGCGACACGTACCCCGAAGAAGTGGCCAAGAAGGCTGCTGAGTTGAAAAACGACCCAAACAACCCTTTGAAGTCGCCCGAACAACTGAAAGACCTTGCGACACTGGCTCTGTACCAGCCTGTTATCTACTGCGGTAGATTTACCTCCTCTCTAGGTCAAGGCGATGCTGACTGCCACCAGACGACAGCGGATCGATGAGCGACACGGGCCCCTGGCGCAACACTGAACAGCGCTGGGCAAAGCAGAGAGAACTCGTCACACGCATGACGAGCATCACCAACCGCGCTGTCCCCAACAACCAGCGGAAAGGCGTCCATCTCCGCATGATCAACCAACACTTGTCCAACGCCGACAATCTGGACAGCGACGCCGTCGCACGCATTATATCCAACATGTATCCGCACCCTTACCACTCCACCCCCATCGGGACAAACCTCAAGCAAAAGGTCCTCGACCCACTCGTCTACTCCGTCATCAAGTCTGGCAGGAAGTTGGAACGCCCGTATCTTATCCTCATTCTTACCGATGGGTGCCCCTGGATGGAGCCTGAAGATGCCTTTCGCAATGCGATTGTCGATTGTGCGAGGTTCTTGGATAGGAATGGGTATCGGAAGGATGGTGAGTCCTCCCATCTAATTCGCTCTCTCTTGCGTTGAGTGCAGCATGGACCTGGAGATGCGATTCGTCCCTTTCTTGTATGCTAATACTGTCATAACCAGCCGTCCGTTTCTGTCTCAGTACAATCGGAACGCATGAAGACGCTGAATGGTTCCTGGACAGTTTCGACACGGACAGGCAGGCGTTGGAGGTACTGCATCGGACTGCAGGTGAGGATCCAATACCCACCGACTCTTGACATGCGTATCGGGATTCGAGGTCGGATGCTAGGCTGACACGCACCAAAATCCATTAGGACACATTGACCAGAGATACGACCAGCTCAGACAGAACGAGAAAGAGCTCGAGAGTTGGGTGAGTATATTCCGTGATTCGACTCGATAGCTCCTGTTTTCAATATACTAAGTATGCATCATCTAGTTGTTATCGATGCTTATGAGTCCCGTGCAGCTGTTGAAAGCGGGCTAAGTATCTAACGGCCAGTGCGTCACTGGTGGTTGTTCAACGACTGATGAGTTATGATAGTATGAGTGCCCAAATTATGTTAGCAGGGCCGGACGGTAGCGATGACTGGCGATTTGACATGGTCGGGCTCTTCTTATCAAATGTGCCTAGTTAACAGTATACTATGGAGTAATCTTCGCCCTAGAGGCGCATTTGCGTAGTGAATGGAGACCAGCAGGATGCGCAGGTGCCGCATGTCCGCGGGGGGTGTCGCGTTGTCGTTGGGCTCTGGGCCTACTGCAAGACGTGCCTGACGACGTTGTCGGCAGTTGTCCGCTGGGTCATGTAGCCAGAGGCACTGTCGTTGTAGCGGATAGGAGAACGGTCAGACCTTGACGGCGAAGAATATGGTTGCCTTGGCCCTGCAAAGCGGATCCTGACTTGAAATCAACCACGAGTCTCTGCACGCCAACAAGCCCATTTAGTGATGGCCTCACTGAGTCTGTCAGCGCTAGTGGCAAGGGAGATGGCGGAGGGACCAGACTAAATGAAAGATGTCGGTGCATTGGCTGATGAACCTGTAATCTGTGTGGCTGTGGGGCGCTGAATGCTTGTTGGCGACCGAGTGTTTCATGTATAGATTGATAATCTCGGTCCTTGACATTTACGGCAAGGATAGCATCAACCAAGGGTGGGGCCATCACTTCAGGACAGTAGATACAGCCTGCCCATGGAGGGAGCTGAGGGGATGGAAAGACGAAGAAAGTTGGGCTCTAGTGGTGTTCGTTTGAACCCGGCTTCGAGGAGGATCAACGTGGTTGTTGATTCGATCTCGTCAGTGCCTAAATTAAGCGCCCAATTGGTGTAGAATCTGATGATCTTACCTATCCTGCTCAACCCCTCTCAGGTAATCAAACATGAAACACGAGGTCCGACACTCGACGAATGCCGTTAACCAAAGACTCACCCAAGCTTCCAGAGATCCACTGCTTAAAAATCTTGTCGAATCTCAGTTGCTGATCCGGTTGGTGCCGGATCATCTGTCAGGATCACTCCACCTTTCAGCTTTTCAGGTTCACCTTTGAAGAAACGGTGCATCCATGGATGCCATGCAGATACCCAGTCTGATACTAGCACTGACATCGGCCATATGGCGTCTTCAAGACACGACTTATTCTGCATACCGGACCTACTTGGAGTCCTTGATTAGTTGGATGTTGGTCGATCTTGGTAAATATCTTATCATGACATGTTGTCTGTCAGTGGCTCCATCTGGGTGTATATTAAGGGGGCTTATTATCGAATATATTCGGGAGGCGACCCAGGTGTCCGGCACCTCCTTTCATCTTAATTAATATAACCGTCAGTGAGTCCTAGGGTCTCGTAGTATATAAGAATAAGATAGCTCATCATGTTCCTGGTTCTCTTACTGCGACAACACCAGAGTGCATCTCAACTGGCCTAAAAGTGCCCATATTACAATGTTGCCACGCACTCACTACCTCATCGCGGGCTTAGCCCTAGGAATCCCCTCCCAGGTCGCTGCTTCATTCAAGTGTATGTGCCTATCCCTCCATACAACGTTCAGAACCTGCCTGTCGGGCGGGGCTTTCTCTTCAGATACTTACTGACGACCCTCAGGGTTTGGCACCAGCGAATCCGGCGCCGAATTCGGCAGCGCATACCCCGGCACGCTGGGCACCGACTACACCTGGCCCGATCTCAGCAAAATTAAAACCCTCCAGAATGCGGGGATGAACATTTTCCGCGTTCCCTTTCGCATGGAGAGGCTTGTCCCGAGTTCCCTATCCGGGCCCGCCGATGCGACATATTTGGGTGATTTGAAGGATGTAAGCGTGTTAGATGTGCTCTTTTTGTGTGCTTGCAAGGTACTAAGTGTCTTGGATAGCTCGTCAATAGCATCACCGCTCTCGGTGCCTATGCTGTTCTTGATCCGCATAACTACGGGCGATAGTACGTGTCCTACAGTCTCCCTGTCGCGGAACCAGTCTACTGACTAAAGAGGAACAAAAGCTTTGGAAACATCATTACCTCCACTGATGATTTTGCCGCATTCTGGACGCTCGTTGCTAACGAGTTTGCTGACAATGACCTGGTCATCTTTGATACTAGTACGCACCGTTCCCTCCCCCTCCCCCTCCCCCTCGTTCCCTGCATTAGCCACCTAGGTACCCTCTCATATTGGAATCCATACTGAACAAATCCAGACAACGAATACAACAGCATGGACCAAACCCTCGTTCTGAACCTCAACCAAGCCGCCATCGACGCCATCCGCGACGTCACCACCTCGCAGTACATCTTCGTCGAAGGCAACTCCTGGTCCGGCGCCTGGGACTGGACAAGCTACAACGACAACCTGGCGAACCTGGTCGACCCCTCCGACAAGCTCATCTACGAGATGCACCAGTACCTCGACGGCGACTCGTCCGGCACATCCGAGACCTGCACGAGCTCCACAATCGGCAGTGAGCGCCTCGCCAAGGCGACAGCCTGGCTCCGCGAGAACGGCAAGATTGGCGTCCTGGGTGAGTTTGCGGGCGGGAATAATGATGTCTGCAAGAGTGCCGTCACCGATCTGCTGAACTACCTGGAGGACAATGAGGATGTGTGGCACGGTGCGCTTTGGTGGTCGGCTGGGCCGTGGTGGGGGGATTACATGTACAGTCTGGAGCCGGCGTCGGGTGTCGCTTATGGGGCGTACTTGGATCTGCTGTCGCAGTACTTCCCTGATGGGTCTTCGTCTTCGTCTCCCTCTTCGTCATCGTCATCCAAAACAACGACGACTACGACTACGACGACGACCACCGCAAAGAGTGCTAGCACGACCACAACCTCTGCTACAGAGACAACTACAAAGACGACCACCACTTCTGCTGCCGAAACTACCACCGCTCCTACCACCACGACCAGTGCTGCAACGACCTCGACCACGACCAAGACGGCCAAGCCTGTAAGCGACCAGACGACTTCCACTTCCACTTCGACTTCCACCACAAAGACCAGAACCGGCTGCTCTGCTCCTTCCGGAACCGCTGAGCGGTGGGGACAGTGCGGCGGAAAGGGCTGGACAGGGCCGACTGCCTGTGCGAGCCCGTACACTTGCCAGGTTCAGAATGACTGGTATTGGCAGTGCTTGTAGATAGCCCTAGGGAAGGCTGAAAGTAGAGAGGGGATTGGGCTCCAAGGACCTCCCTTGGAGGACCATTCCAGTCGAAACGGTAAAGGGGTATCCAGATTGCATGTTGAGAAAGATTACATTCTTGTATATTAGAGGACTTCAGGTCGGAAGTCCAGTTTTCACTTGGCATTTTATATATCATTCAGTATGAGTATGGCCTGTTACATGATGAAGGCACTTTTGCTACTTACATACACAATCCTTAGATCAAGTTAACACTCCTATTCAAGCTGGCGCTATGACGAGAGCCATTAATCTAGAGACTTTATGTGGTGAGTATCCCCTGCATCTGGCGTCAGCTGTAGAACTGTAGTATCACTATCTCGATCACAAGTTGGGCAGTATTAAGACTCTAACAGGCTGCGTATCTGTAATGGAGAGAGCCCAGCGCCAGGCAAGCCCTCTACATCATAACCATCCTCGACTGCATCACAGACGCCCCTTTGTCATCAGCAATCAACAATCTCCAAAAGAAAGAAAAAATAGACCATACATTAGAGCATGCAAGCGCTCAAAACTCGGCGCAATACGCATCCACCCTCGAAAGAAGAGCGCGCCTGGCCTGTTCATCCAAAAACGAGGCCGCGATGCTATTCCGAGCAAGGACGGTAATCTGGCCAAAGTCAAGGCCCAGCGCCGCCTGACACCGCAAAAAGTTCTCATTGATATACGCCCCAAAGTACGGCGGGTCATCTGAGTTGATCGTCACCACGAGCCCCGCATCGAGCAAGTCGCGCAACGGGTGCGCCTCCAGCGACGGCACGACGCCGAGTTTGACATTCGACACGGGACACACGGTCAGTGGCGTGCGCCTGGCAACCAGCACGGCGACCAGCGCCGCGTCCGACGCACACGCGATCCCGTGGTCGATCCGGTCGACCTGGAGGTCCTCGACGGCCTGGCGCACATAGTCGCTGGGACCCTCCTCGCCAGCGTGGATACAGGTGCGGAAGCCACGCTCGCGGCAGGCCGCAAAGAATCGCGCGAACTTGGAGGGTGGGTTGGGCAACTCGGCACCGCCCATGCCGATGCCGATGATATGTTCTTTCCACGGCGTGATCAGGTCGAGCAAGTGCAGCGCGTCCGCTTCGGACCGATGCCGGTGTGTACTGATGATCAGCCCGGCGCTGATCCCCCCCAGCGCGCGCTCGGCATCGCGGAAAGCGCCCAGGACCCCCTCCATGAGGTCGCTGAGCGGGATCCCCTTTTCGAGAAACGTCTGGGGCCCGATGAAGAGCTCGGCGCGGACGACATTGTCCGCGTGCGCCCGCTGCAGGTAGGCGTACGTCACGTCGTAAAAGTCCTGCTTCTTGACCAGCACTTTGCACCCTTCAAAGTATAAGTTGAGGAACGACTGTAGGTTATTGAACTGGTACGCGGCTCGCAATGTCTCCGGGGATTCCCAGGGCAGGGGAACGCCGTTGCGCTGGGCGAGGGCAAACATTAGGTCTGGTTCAATGCATCCCTCGATGTGCATGTGGAGCTCCGCTTTAGGGATGCCTCGGATGAAGTCCTGGATTCTGTCCATTTGATCGCTTTTTTGGGTTGCAAGACTGTATTCAGAATCTAGGTTGGTCAGAGGAAGTAGCTACAGAGTAAGCACTAAGTGGCTGTCGAGTTGTAGAACAGAAAGAAGATTGCTAATGTCAGATACACTTAGTTATATAGCCCCGCACTAGTGGAACATTGATTACTCCAACTCCGAGCGCTGCAGGATCATGATGCCATTCCAGCATCGCGGATGGTGAGGGTGGAAAGTCGCAGCCACCTGCAACAAGTGAATCTCTGAACTAAGACTAACTGTCCAAGCAACCCGATAGGGGCATATGAGGCTTAGGCCGCTGAGTTCTAGGACAGATTAAGAGTGAGGACGTGTTTAGGTCTTCTTCAACTTGGAAGAGCCTGGCCAATCCAAATAGGATTAGCGGGGGGTGTGGCTAGCCAAAAGGGGTGTGCAGGAAGCAGAGGGGGTCATGGCTGCAGATGCAGCTTGCATCTGGGGAGAAAGGCCCAATGTTTCCGCACGTGCTTAATTACTCCTTGAATGAGCCTGTAGAGCAAGTTCCAGAGGAGTATGTGGCTCGTGGTATGGCAGGTTTACGGAAATTACAACAGCGCCTGCTTTTTTGGAGGGTTGGAACAGAGGCGAAGGAGGCTATTGATATTGTGGTAAGGCGACTGAGAGCGCGGAAAGCACAGTTGTGATGTATCAGATTGCATAGTTGATAATGGGAATTTAATAAAGCTGTGTGTATCATTATCTACAGATTATCCAGCCGCTTCTGATGTGTTGCATTAATATCCAAATGCAAAATACAGAGAGATATTTTACAAGAATAGTAACCCAACCATCTGACGTCTGTTACTGAAAATCTATACTATAGTAATATCAGCAGCGCTGACTAGGACTGGGCGTGCGTTGCAGGGCACCGGAGGTATGGTTGAATACATTCCATCTGCGCTCTAACCAAGTCTTGCAAACCAAGTTTCTAAATTGCATAGACGACTCGGCTCTGCCTAAGGAGGTTTGCGCAGAGAGGATGTTTTTCAATCAACCTGCTCTAAAGGGAACAAATGGTGCCGCTGCCAGACGTTAGCAGAAGGGTAGGTAATGGACGACCTGGTCAGGGATCTCACTCGTAACGTGATGCATTATATTCTATAGCGCCTCTGTAGCAACTTAGGCCCTCAACGAGGAATCCTAGGTAATATTTACACACATTTAGGATGCCGCGTAGCTCTGACTACAAGTTCGTGTATGTGCGTTGAGAAATGGACGAAGCCTATCCATGGCATCAGTGGGCGGTTTATCAGGGGGGCAAATTGCAGGCGTGACCAGGGCCTTGTCCGCGACTTGCGGAGCGATAACATACGAAGCTACAGGGGTTCGAAAAGGGAGGGGGGGATGGCCCTGCACTTGGTTGAGTTGTTGAATAGCAGGTTCGGATAGTTGTGGACTTGGTTTCTCCCATCTCTCTCCTCTTTCAGATCCCGTAGATTGAGGACGGGCCGGCGCGGTGTCCTTTCCAGACATTTGGCCGTGTCGGTGAGGAGTTGGATGATCGTGGAACTGTATAATGGTCTCCATCTGTTCCACCAACAAACGGAGTGCCTTCAGTAGAGTGATATTCACCCTGTGGGGAGACTCAGGTGACTGTTTAGCCTGAAGAAATGGACACTACATAACTAGCGGACACTTATCCCTGCATCGCTGGGACTAGATGCAGCACGGAGCCCGCCGGAAATTTACTGAATTCTCCTGGCGTCTCACTTGTTAGGGTTTTCAGAGCATGATTGCTTGCTTATTGGTGTGCTTATCCAGCTGAAGAAACGCGGAGCATCCATGGCCGCGAGGTTAATATTCCTGGGCCTACCCGATCATTATTTAGCTGATCATCACGTAGCAGCTGGGCTATTTGAAATAGGCAAAGATGATTGATCATAACCTCCAGAGCAGGCGTTCAGTGAACTGCCTTGCGGGTGAATGATAATTGTCGTCCGTAATGATAACTATCGAGCATTTCCAGAGGCCCAGGCCCTCTCTGGCAACCGGGGCCTGGTAAAGTCCTCCACTTGCGACGCAGCCAAGGGACCCAGGACGCGTATGCCTTTTCAAAAGCATGAAACTGCCTTTCCAAGCAATACCAGTGCTGGCCCCGTGCCTAATCCACATTGGCAACGGGTAGAACCATGTGTCCCGTTGCTTGGCGCTTGCTTGAAACCATCAAGTATTGACACGAAGGCTTCCACCACTCGGTGCTGTCTAGCGCAGCTTAAAGATCACTAGCAAGATCGATTCTGGCAACCCCGTCTGCAGATCATCCCAGCCTTGTTGAGCTCCACGAATCGGGATGGACTGATTACGACGACTATCTTTCTATACCTGAAACGCTCGGAGCTTGGCATGACAACCACGGGTTTGCTCCGGCCTTGGCGTCTTGTTAGTACACAGGAGGTACATGGAGGAGAGTTGGCTGAAAGACGTATAAGAACCCGGCTGGGCCTGGTGAAGGTGTAGTCTGCAGCTCTCTTCTATCACTACCTCCTCTCATCACTCCTGTATCCATATTGAATCTTGAACATCATGGTGCGCATCACTCCCACGGCTCTTGCCTCTCTGGCCCTCTTCTTCGGTCTGTCCGCTGCCCACCCAGGCCATGACGTCGCGGAAGAAGCTGCTGAGCGCGCAGCATTTATCAAACGCACCCCTCTGGAGAAGCGAAGCCTGTCCCACTGCTCTGCGACTCTGGAAGCCCGCGGCCATGCCAAGCGCAGCATCGACCGCCGCGACGCGATAGTCCAGAATCTGCGACGCAGACTCAATGTTTCTCCTAGTGAGTGTTGAACTGGAACGCACCCTTCTTGTATAGCGCACTTGAGGGTGGGACTATGACTGACCCACTGCATTTGCCTTGTGTAGCGGCCCCAATTCGAGCCCGCGATCTCGAGTCTGCTCTTGCCACCTCCCATCTTTCCGATCTTGTCGGCGTGACCCAGGACTATGATCCCGCTCTGCTGTTCACAGGCAACTCGACATGTGTCCTGGCCGATGATACCACCGAGGGTCCTTACTGTGAGTCCTCTATCCTTCTTGACCAGCCAGATAACTCCTGTGCTTACTGTCACTAGATGTATCTGGCGAATACGTCCGCTCCGACATCTCTGAAGACCAGGGTGGCGTTCCTCTCTACATGGACATCCAGATTGTCAACTCCAACACCTGTGAGCCCGAGCCTGAGATCTACATGGACCTCTGGCACTGCAATGCGACTGTATGGCAGCCCCATCTGTGAACTCCTCGAGACATGCACAACTGAAAGTAACCAACAGGGCGTCTACTCGGGCGTCGAGGCCAGCGGCAACGGCAACAGCGAAGCCGGCAACCTAGACGCGACCTTCCTCCGCGGCATCCAGAAATCGGACGAGGACGGCGTCGTCTACTTCCAGTCCGTCTTTCCGGGACACTACACCGGACGCGCCACACACATTCACGGTATGTATCGTTGGACCCTAGACAATGGACACACGGGCTGGAATGAATAGCTGACAAAGCTCGTTTCTTTCCCCTACAGTCCTAACCCACAACGCCGACGGCCTGACCGAGCTCGAGAACGGCACAATCTCCGACACCTACGACACGCACTCGTCGCACATCGGCCAGCTCTTCTTCGACCAGGATCTCATAACGCAGGTCGAGCTCCTCAGCCCCTACAGCGACAACGCGCAGCAGCTCACCACCAACGCCGAAGACAGTATTCTCGCTGGCGAGGCGGAGGACATTGATCCATTCATGGAGTATGTTCTGCTGGGCGACAGCCTTGCCGATGGGATCTTTGCTTGGATTTCTGTTGCTATTGATCCAACTGTCGATAAGGAGGTTAGTACCGCTGCGTACTATACCGAGGATGGGGGCGTTGAGAATGCGGATAGTGGTATGGGCGGTGGTGGTGCTGGAGGGGGTAGTGGTGGCCCCGGCGGCTCGGGTCCAGGTGGATTCTAGGGCTAGGGAAACTTCCGCGCCATCGGTAGACGGGGTCGCTGGTGAGAGGTCCTCCCAGGATGAGGCTTGCGACAGGAGGTTGTGATATGAGCGCAAAGTGTGCATTCCTTTCTTTGTTTTCTTAGCTTTCTAAGTTCTTGTCACCCGACCATGAACCAAGACGACTGGCTCGCAGTTCGTCTCGAAGTCAAATCGCATTCCTTTCTTGCGTCTTGTCAAATTCAGAGTAGGTTGCGATGTCTGTAGCAGCTGGTGGATGATTAGCAAGCCGCTGAGCGGTTACGCTCTCGCTCAGTCGCCACCATTCGGAACCCTTGCCCGCTGTATTGCTCGTAGAACCCCTGGGTGTATGCGGCGTTCACGCGTGAATAACGTGCTCGTTGGAGTCAGATAGTCGGGGGACAGTAACTATATGATAGCTCTCACTCTTGTGTCCAGAAGACTGGTCCTGAGGAAAAAATGGCTTCGCTCGTAAAGGGTAGAGAGATAGGGAAGAAACGAAGACCGGCCGAGACCCGCGCGTACCGCTTCGATGATCGACGATGATGCATTCCGACTCGTGGGCGAAGAACTCGGAACAGGGGTCTCTAGGCGGATTAGGAGGCAGTCGACGGGTCCGATCAGGACAGGACAGGACAGGGCAAATGGCGATGGTATGCATGCGCGGAAAACGACGGCGCGTACTATACCACGTTTCGGTGGAGGGGCGGGCGTTCCGGACGATTTCTTGTGGCCCGAGCGAATGGGTCTGAGTTTGCTCTTCTTGGAGGGGGTGAAAATGGTCCTAGCAGAGACAAGAAGAGAAGTTGGACTCCCGAGAGGGGTTGCGTCGGCGGAGGGCGCATAATTATACGGGGGACTCGAACTAGCGCTAGTACCCAGTCAGTTCGCTGGGGTGTGGGCAAGGAGTCAGAATCCCAGCGACGGCAACGATTTCCTTTTTTCCGGCATACAACCGTCCACAAGCTGATTTGTGTCCTCGGCGAGGCTGATGGCGATTCGCTGGTTGCTCCCCACTTGTTAAGCCGCAAGAAGCAAACTGCATGAGTGATGGAAGCTCAGGCTTTCGCAGTGCTGTCCACACCTGTTTCCGTATTATAGAATGGTTATCACATTCCTCTCCGCCCGAGTTTCGAGCTATTCATTGGCTTACCTGGCCGCAGTTTCCATCTTACAGGTCATATATACTGTAAGCTATTTCTCGGCAGCTCAAAGCCCTCGGGCGCTAAGGCGGTTGGCAAGGAATGATCCCCGTGCGTCGAAAAGCACCGTGACGGGTAATGATCGCCCTCAAAGCCTAAGAATTTGGGGGTCTGGCTGTGCAAACGTAGCTTCTTTGCAACCCCAGCCAATAGGATAAACAGCTTGTGCCCTGTTTGTCTTTTTTAAAATCTTTCAGCCACATCGATCGACACCGATCGACATCGATCGCCTAGTCCTCCGACTCCCGTCGCTTTCTTATGTTGTACAAATGGAGCCCCATTACCAGCTATAAAGTGGCATCTATCAGTCGGGCTTTCTCTACAATGAACCAGCACATTTACCTTCTTTTACTCACATCTAATCTGTTCAGAAAACCTTCTTTCTTCATTGCGATTCTGCCACTTAGAAGACGATTCGAATAGATATACATACTCTCACAATGGCCCAACGCACTATTCCCTCGTCCCAGCCAGGAGAAGAAGACGATGCCTTCTCCCTTGACAGCTACGTTGATCTCCCTGACAATGGGTTCATGCTCGCAACCACTTCCTTGGAAGACTTGGGTCCAAACCCATCCAATTTCGCGTCCGACGCCATGAATGTTTCTTCCCTCGCTACTGGGGGCTCTTCAATGGAGGTCCCATCTCATGGAAGCGATACTACCATGACCTGGATCCCACGGGACATGCAGATCAACAATACCCCCCAGATGGATCTCAGTACCGCGTATCTACATTTCAATGGCACCGGTGCAGGCTACACTGCGCATCATCCCCAGCACCATGCTTCTGAAGTCTCGACCCACCATACCGAGCAACATGAGGGCGCCACCAATTACCCAAGCGGGACTGGTTATACGAGCACATACCAACGACCATTCTTCAACCCCGACAATCTTCTCCGCACTCGTTCAGCTGGTACCCCCGCCAGGACGGCGAATCGGCGCCTAGGGTAAGAATACACCCAATTTTCCTTCTACTTGCTGGTTGACGGGACATATGTTCTCATCCCCCTTACTAACCATTATATATAGACCTCGCATACCAACAGCTACAACGGCAAGCATTCATGTTGGAGTCTACCAATGCCGCTGGGAAGGCTGCCATCCGCCGCGCTATTTCGCTCGGGAGGGCGACCTGTGGCGACACATACGATCAATCCACGTCTCCCCGCGTGCGCACGCCTGTCGAGGCTGCGGCAGGCCTTTCGGCCGGAAGGACCACTTGGATCCTCACGAGGCGCGCTGTGGTGAATTACGACTGGAGGCGGGACATATGCTATGAGCTTGGCCGATGAGGATTTCGGCTCCTTGGTTTCTTCTTTTAGTTCTACTAGCCTCCCTTGCCCTTCTCCGCTTCTTTTCCTTCTTCTTTCTTTCTTTTCTTTTCTTTTTCTTTTCGTCCGTGGGTCGGTTTATGATGATTATTATTTGGGGTCATGAGTTCGAACCTGAGCGAGATTTGCCCTGCTTGACAAAAATTTCTATATATTTACATATTTGCTTAGTAATAACATGGTATTAACTAACTATAAAGGAGCCGATAGATTTCATAGATAAGTCATTCACCTGGGCCTTTCCACTGATCACATAGATCGGCGCCAGCTTCCGACTGCCCAACTCAATGTTCAGGCAATCGTTTCAGGCGCAACGTGACCCGCCATGCAGTGAGTCTAACGAGGTACAATGTCTCGTTAGTGCTAATTAATTCTAGCAGCCTCGACTCTGAAGCTTACAGTTAGGGAAGGACTCCCAACTAAACAGCCGCTGACTTGATAATTCCTGCATTCACCCACAGGTCACAAACCAGACCGAGTATAGCGGCTGGAATATGCCGAGTATCGTTGTGAGGGTTCAGCCTGCTATATACGACATTCCTCAATGAACCCAGACATGGCAGTTAACTTGTGGATGCATAACCTCTCATCTTCTCAATCGTGTGGTGAGGGTCCAGTGGTATCTCCAGTACTCGCAAGGGTATATAGGTATTCGATCGATAGTGGGATTTGCCCTTCCATAGGATACAAACCCTGGGCACTGACTTGGAGTTCTATCAAGGTGGCAAATGGGCCAGTGGCCCTATCTCGTGATTGGGGATGTCACGGGTTTGTGCAACTAGCAATTGGTGGAGGACTGGGCTTTGTCAATCTCGAGTCTTAGAGAGAGAGGGGGGCAAGTAAGCCAAGTACGAGAACCCCCCCACACATGATTGAGGATGCCCGGACTGGCCGCGCCCAGTATAGTTATACTACGACCTCATCATAACATCGGGACTTCGATCCTACAATTTACATTACAATGGACTCGGTGCCGCGCAGAATACACCTGGATCTCAGCAGGATACTTCGAACCTGTCCACTCCTCAAATGGGTCAAAAAAAAGCTACTCCACGAGAATAAACGGAACCATGAGCGGAGCGAACGTTCCTGGCCCTCAATGGCTTGCCACGTTGTGACCCGAGAGCTACCTCTGCCATGATCAGACACTGGCGCCCTAGATATGTGACTTTTGTTCTTGCCCCTTGACCCCGGCATCTCTTCAACATACACCGCATCTCTAATCATGGTTCCGCCATCGCTTACTTGTCTCACTCTGACCCAAACATGAACCCAAGATCCACTAATGTGATTGAAAGGGCTGTAACACTTCGCGTTGGGTATACTGTGAGATGTTCAATAGCTATATTTAGATACTTGAATGCTTTGTTTCCCGTTAGCGAGGCGTATACCCACGCCACTTACAACAAGGTACTAGTTATAGGAAACATACAATAGGCCTCACACATACCCGCCCGCTGATACAACATGTACCCACGCTGCTAGGACTTGCGAACCCCGAGAGGAGGGTCCCCCAGTCGACCTCGGTGCGTACTGTCGAAAAGGGGACAGAAAAGGATTAGCAATCGTGAGGCATGCGAAGTTTATTATAAATCAAGACGGCCATATCTTCTTTTACCCTCTTAGGTACGCATTCACGCACCTTCCGGTAAGCTCACCTATGCCATTGGTGTGGGTTGATCTGGTTGTTTGGCATAGCCCCAAGTAAGCGTCTACTCAGTGCTGGGCTGGTCTGGTCTGTGTTTGATAGCCCTACTCTGTATTGCCCTTTCACGCAAGGATAGTCAGCGGGCCTTTGATTAGTCGCACACCCGACATCCATCTCCGTCAGCCTTGTGCGGACGAGTCCTACGTATATAGGAGGTACTACGTACATCTGCAGCGAAATAGCTCACCGCCGGCATTCAGGGGTGGCACCCATATCGAAGAAGCCTGCTCGTGTTAGGTATATGAAAGTCGATATACTCACTATTAGCTTCCAACCTGCCTCTTGTGCTGTTGATTTGTCCACATCACCATCAAAAAGCCCAAGGCCATCTAACAAGAGGAGGGACTTCTGGCGAGACTAGTCATCTTGATAGAGTTTTATGAATAACGGTGCAAAGGCAGAATAACAGGATAACAGTACGTTATTGCTGGTTTTACTTATCCCTATACGTTGCTGTCTAAAAGAAGGATTTGCTTTAGATTCCTGCTACGTAAAGTCACAGTAGTTGGTGCACAGAAAGCAAGATCAGACCGCCACGGATAGTGCTATCTTTTTGGCCGTTGACGGCAAACTGCTCGTAGAGAGCACAAACAAGAATGTGAACTTTATGTAAAACTATATACAACTCGAAGGAGTAGCTTGTTCGAGTCAATGAAGAATTAAGAGGCAGAACCCCGAAAGAGCATATACCCATTACATCTGACAGGCGTTTCCCATCAATGCAATACTATTTACAAGTAAAAGACGCTGGCTTGCTGGGATCCCCGCCCACATAGACCTGCTGAAGAGGATACTGGCACAGATTCCTCTCCGTCCCATTGCTCCCGCGATCTGCACGCAGAGTATCAGGTGCAGCGCCGTTCTCAACCCACTCGACCAGCTGATCGAGCGCCGCGTTTGGAACAGGTCCCAACCCGCCAGAGCAGTGACCAACCCCCGGAGCCTCAAAGAACCGGAAGAAATCATGCGCCCTGCGGTCTTTCTTCAGTACCTCCCCATAGTAGGATACGATTCCCTTGGGTGGGATCGCTTCATCTGCTAGCCCGTGCCAGGCGATCATCTTGCCGCCGGCGGCTTTGAATGCCGAGAGATCAGGGCTGTTGGTCGCGAGCATTGACGCATACGTGGCCTGGGAATATCTGATGGCGTCGAAGAACTCTGCATTGGTCATGTCGGAGACGGAAAAATGCGGGTCTTTAGCAGCAAGGTACACAATCCAGTTCGGGAAAAGGTCGCCACCCCAGAACTCGATCCCGTCAACAGCGTTGCTGCCCGTTGGGATGTAAAAGGATGTCAGGTCTGCGTCCTTGTTCAGGCCGTAGTAGCCTGACACTCCAGACCCGCTCCATGCAGCCTGCACTGCCTTGGCACCGGACACTGTCAACGTATACTCTGTCCCGTTGCAGTTGTACTTTTGGCCCACAAAGTCGCGGGCAGAGACCTTGCATTTGCTCGGCAGGCTGATGGTGCTATCCCCCACCCCATCAAGCGCATCGCAGGCACGGACGGCGGCCTGGGTAAAGCCCTCCACTTCACAAGCCGACAGGGAGATATTATCCCGATTCATGACTTGACTTGGCCAGTATCCTGCCGGAATGAAGGTCTCGATGTTGATGGCGGGGGCAACAGCAAGGATGCCGTCAAATGCACCAGGGAAGGCCTGCGCCATGGCGAGCGCCTGCCTGCCGCCCCCGGAGCACCCATTGAAATACGAATATCTCGGCGGAGCCTTGTAGTAGGCCTCGATAACCTGCTTCCCAATTTCGGCCATGTCATTCGTAGCCTTGGAGGCGTAATTCTCCAACAGGAACCAATTCACATTGTTCGTGCTGCTGAGGGCCCATGAGAGGTCAAGCGTGGCGGTAATGACTCCTCCAGCGTGGCCGCCGTCCGTCGACGCAGAGGCATAGCCCTGTGCCACAGCGTAGGGGAGATACACGGAGTCGATGCCAGTGCTGTAGCCGCCGCCACCGAGGCCTTGGAACCGCCCGTTCCAGTTTTCGAGAGGCAGCCACACTTGGGTGGTGACTGTATCGTTCCAACCCGGATGGGTATAAATCACGGTCACGTTGCAGAAGCTAATGGTTTGAAGGCCGCCGTCGTTGGTGCCGGGACCAGTGCCGTAGGTCGTGTAGTTGTGGGTTTCGTGGGCGTGCACGTCGATAATGCTGGCGCCGAGGAGCTTGGGCTTGCCAATGGCCAAGGGGGAGCATTCGAGGGCAGCGCAAGCGCCGGACAAGAGGGCACCAAGCGTAGCCCCAATGGCTGGTTTGAGAAACATGATCAGACGTAACGCTTGGAGGATGGAGGGGGTGGAATGAATAGCAACTGAACAGGCCAAGCAGCGAATATTTATGTTCGAGATCGGGAGGCGCTGTGGGGTGCAGATACGTACCCACCCCCGCATTTTTCATCGAAGTCTTGAAACCTTGGCTGTCTGTCTAGAATGTGGGGAAATCTCTGTATGGCACCTCATGGCCCGATTCCTCCCTGCTCTTCCCCGGCAAGACCGGCTAGCGGCCTCTGCTCTTCCTCGGCCAGACTGGCTAGCGGTTCCTGTGCATCCCGTCCATGCCGATCTAATGCATACTCTAATGACGGAGACCCTGCCATCAACCTGCCCGTTGCTCTCATAGCGCCTACCATGCTCCGCCTTTTACATTTACATAGACACCTTTGGACCTTTGGGGATAGTGGCGAGTTTGTGATCCGGTCTACTGCACAACATCTAGGGGCGGAGTGGGAAACTTGGATGCATTGGCCCCAGCAGGCATTGAAGAGCTGAGACGTTGATTATGGTGATAACCTTGCAGACCCTTTGATTGGAGTCTTGTCCCCTACTGGTATACGTGGTCTGGCTGCCAGGTGGTGCCTTGGTCTGTGCATACGTCTCGGTTCCACTTTATTCACCGAGGTCCATGAATCTACGGAGTAGATGCCTGTTGTATGCGGGGCCCCCGGACCCTGTTGCACGGGCCAGGAACGGCCAAAAAAAAGGTCTAAAGATTCAAACTAGGAGTCTAGAAATATTCCTCTCTATACACCTTCTAAGGTCTCTCTCGCGGCCGTACGATTTTGACCGCAGCACACAACTCACAAACCGAATAACCAAATCCACGACCATGGGAGACCTCAAGCCATACACGGGAGGCTACTACTTGTGGCACTATGTCCCTCCATTGGAGCAGAAGTCGCGTTTCTGCTCGCCTTTACCGCGCTCACAGCCTTGCACATCTACCGCCTCATCAAGACTCGAGCCTGGTTCAGCATCCCCTTTGCCCTGGGCGGCATATGTACGTCACTGTAACCCCGCCAGTCCCCCTGGAACGCCATTTTATATCCATAATATCGTACCCTACCTACTCTAGTCAGATATCCTATTCTAACACTCACACACTCGAATGCAACTCTACGGCTACGGCGGCCGCACCAGCACCTGCTCTCTACGTCGCAACAAGCTACATGACCCTCGGCCGTCTCATCTGCGCCCTTGCCGCTGAAAATTCTCCCCGCCCAGTCCCACCGGGATGACACGCGCGTTGGTCCTCGGAGGCGTCCTCTCCTTTGCCGTGCAGGGGCCCTCTGTTCGCCCTAGTGTGACAGGGCATAATACGGCCGCGACAGTTATTATACTGCTAGGCCTCTTCATCCAGATTGTATCCTTTGGTCTATTCTACCAGAGCATTCGGCGCAGTCTGACGACAAGATGCGTTGAGCCGGGTATCCCCTGGGAAGGTGAGCAGCAGATGCTCTTTGCAGTGAGTGTGCTTATCATGGTGCGCTCAGTGTCTGGTGTCAACCGAGTTTGCGATGGGGAATGAGGAGTATCTGCTTCGGCATGAGTGGGCAATGTATATCCTTGATAGTGTGCCTATGCTGGTCGTCATGGTGGTATCCGAGTTGGATCCCTGTGCGGGATGGAGTGGAGGATCTGTTCGGGTCGCTGCACCAGTATAGATAGCTATAGGTAGGGCTTAGCGGACGACGTGAGTGTATATACATTCAGTGTACTTCTTCTCCGTACGATCCAACTTGGTTAGGCAAGTCTGGTATTCAATTTCTTCCTGAATACTTGGATAGACAGGCTTTTTGGAGTCGCCAGCGCGCGCTCGTACCATGTTCGAGACACATACAGTGTCACCAAGAAAAGGCTGGTTTATGGACTAGTAGAAACAAGGAGCAAAAGGACGTAGAGGAGACACGACTAGGAAACCGCGTGTTATTGATTCACGCAGGCGTGGGGTTCGGATGACATCCAAGGCATACTCGCCAAGGGACATTGTCCAACAAATCAAGACACAAGAGGCTGCAGCTGCTTGAGCAACCGCCGCGAACCCTTCTCACCCCCCGCGTCGACGCGCGTAGTGCCAGGGGCTACACGCTGGTGCCCAAAGGGGAAATGGCAGGATGAAATCCAAAGCATCATTGCGAGGACCATGTCAATTCGGACATATTCCTCGCCATCCAATTTTATTCATGGCAATGTTTCCGTATGGCCGCCTCTCATTACACCTAGCTGCCGGTCCTTATGATGCAGCTCATTCCTGGACACCAAGGGCTCTTGAGACGCAAGTAAGATCAATATCAAACCACGCGTTTAGTTCTCATTGGTAGGGAGAGGAGGGCAAGTTACGCGGACTGTATACCCCTTCCAGTCTTCCCCTCAGACAAAGGCAATGTGAGATTGAGCCCAGACGATCATCACTATCGAGCCAAACCAGTCTATAAGCACCAGAAGCAGCCCTGACCACAGTCAGATAAGAAGCAGTCAATCAAGCACTGAACGACTCTCGAAGTCGCCTCAGCCGCGTGATAGGATACTGCAGCGAGCTGAGGGAGGAGACGAGACAACGGTGGGTGGAACTGGAGACACACAGGCACTGCTGATGGGAAAATACTAAACATTAAAGTATATAGACAGATAAGATGAAGACCTCTTTGATGAACAGTCCACTAGGAACTTGACCGTGAAGAGCGGGCAGACTGTAGCTATGAGCTGTTCAACCACATATTTTGAACTGGTCACCAACCAGTAGAGGGGCGAATCCCTTGCGCAGGAGACCTTTACCGACAGTAATAATAAGCAGTCTAACGGAGCCCAAATAAAGCTGCGTGACCCACGCTGCCATACAGGCTCACTCGTCAAGAAAAGTTGCTCTTCAACGCCGGGACATGTCCTGATGCGGAAGCATCCCGATGTTGCACAGCAGCGCTACTAGTGACCCCTGGATATCTGCTAATTGGATAGAAAGGAAACGGACACCCGGGCCGCGAACCTTACGTGGATAAAAAGAATTATCCGACTGGACCCCGACATTGATGGGAACCACGTACCAATAGTCTACAGGGTCTTCAAGTCCACTAAACCTGAAGAGAGATGGAAAGTTATTAGAGACCGCAATACAAGAGCTCGATGAGGCATATCGCTCAATTTGGATAAACTCCGTTACACGGCTTATTTGCATCTGTTTGCGGCCCATTGAAGTCAAGACTGCATGATCATCATGTTGCTGGTACGCAATTGGAGGAGCCTACCCCGCTTCTGAGCCATCATGACCTGTCTGTCCGCCTAACTGGCCACCTGGTTCATATTTAGTCTTTATTTCCCTTGCTCTGTGCTCAAAGGTCGGTGTCCCCAGTTAAAGTAGCCGCGGCCATACACGAAATCCGGCCCAAACATGCCGTTGCTCTCCCTTCTTGATCTGGGGCATCTCCCAGGAACTGGGAAACTCATCCGCTACATCACCTGCCTGGCGTTGGGGTGGTTGACTGCTCGTAGCATCTATCGCCTGTGGTTTCACCCGCTTCGCAGAATCCCCGGACCCAAGCTTGCAGCCGTCACTCATCTGTACGAGCTGTACTTTGACGCGATCAAGGGCGGCAGATATCTCTGGGAAATCGAGAGACTGCACGAGAAATATGGTGAGAAGCGGCCACCAGGTCTCCCCGTTGGTTAACCCGATCGCTAATTGAGTGCGTGTCGTGGTATAGGCCCCGTGGTTCGCATCAATCCTCGCGAGGTGCACATCAAAGACTCGGACTTCTTCCACGTCATCTACGGCGGCGGAAGGCGTGATAGGGATCCCAAGTGGTTCATCAATGAGATGCTCCCCACCTCTCTCGTCACGACTGTTAGCCACGACCACCACAAGCTCCGCCGACACATCGTATCCGGGTTCTTCTCCAAATTGTCCGTGATACGGCTTGACGAGATGATCCGGGACAAAGTCAGGACTCTGCTTCGCCGCCTCGACCAAGCGCGCATTAGCCGCACCCCGGTCGAGCTGCACTCTGCGCTCAATGCTCTGACCTCGGACATCATCTCCGAGTACATGTATGGAGAGAGCCTGGGCTATCTGGATTCGGACCTGGCATCCTCGACGAACACCGTCGCCCATGGGGCCCTCAGCTCCATCCGGTGGCTGCACTACGTCCGGGGCTTCCCATCCGTGTTACGACTCTTGCGGGCTGTACCAACGAACCTGCTCCGCGGGGATCAGTCCCTCGTTGGCCCTTTCCTCCGTGTATTCCAGCTCACCCGCGACAAGGCCACCGAGTGTCTTGCCACTACCGGATCCAGCGATGGCCATGGAAAACGCGAGAAAACCATCTTTAGTGCCATGGTTGCAGGGGATGTTCCGCCGCAGGAAAAGTCCTTTGAGCGGTTGACCGTCGAGTCAGTCGCCATACTCATTGCGGGGACAGACACAACTGCCAGAACCGCGGCGGTGGCGATTTTCCATCTCGCGCACAATCCGGCCATCCTCAAGGCGTTGCGCACAGAGTTGTTGAAGGTATTTCCCGTCTCTGTGGACAACGTCCCTTGGTCCAAACGGGATGTCTCGGCGAGCCAACTCGAGAAACTGCCGTATCTTGTAAGCATTTCTTCCTCGTTCTCCTTGAAGAGTCCTAGCTTACGCGCGAGTACAGACAGCCATTATTCAGGAAAGCATTCGGGTGACCCATCCTGTGATACTCCGATCTGCCAGAGTGGCTGCCGAACCAGTTATGTACAAGGATATTGTCATCCCTCCTGGTGTATGTTCTGCATCCCTCATTGACTATACATCTTCTTGCCAAAACAGACCCCATGCCAACGTAACACCTCCCTCCAGACCCCCATGAGCCAGTCGGTCCACTTCGTCTGCATGGACCCCAAAGTCTTCCCTTCCCCCGAGACCTTTAATCCAGAACGGTGGATCCAAGCAGCTGCAAACGGAGTAAACCTGACCAAGTACCTGGCAGCATTTGGGACTGGACACAGGTCATGCTTGGGTATACAGTATGTCTCCTCTCCCACGGCCGCTCAATCCATCGCTCTTTTATTCTAACATAGCTACGTTCCCTCCTTCGCAGCCTTGCCTACGCGGAATTATACCACGTCATTGCAGCATTCGCCTGTTCGTTTGAGTGGGAGCTACACGAGACGGGCCTCGAGGACGTCCAGACCACAAGAGACTTTCAACTCGCTGTGCCTGAGAGCGGATCCCTTGCGATCAAGATTGGTTTGACGGGGACTGTGCGGTGGCTGTAGACGTGGACCGTGTGGGCGACTTCCTGTTGGATCTTTGGTGTATTGCGCATGTCTATCAAGCTGAAGTGACCCCGAATCGCCTAGTACCTGCGGCTTCGATGTCCTCTTCCGTGGCAACCAGGCGCTGGCCATTTCAAAGCTGATCCATGCATCTCGGGTATCTCTTCGCAGCAGGAATCAAGCTGTTTCCTTTTCTTTCTTACTCATGCACCATGCTAAGAGCTGGAATTGTGGTGTCTTGTAGCCTCAACCGAATAGAACCCCCTATCAGCCCAACAGACCCGTCATATCCATCCATCCATCCGTCCCACCTGGCCACACCTAACCCTACCTTATCTCCCCCAAGATCAAATCCGCGGCCTTCTCTGCAACCGCATACAGCGCAGCCTGATAGTGTGCAACAATCGGCACAGGCAAAATACTCGCATCTGCGACACGCAGCCCCTTCACGCCTTTAACGCGTAATTGAGTATCAACCACCTTCCCCATCACCGCTGTGCCGCCTGGATGCATGAATGTGATACCTGCGCGCCTGACGTTATCGTCAATCTCCCCATCTGTCAAGTCAAGCCTCGCAGGTACATTTCCAGGCCGCGGGATTTCGTGGCCAACTATATCTTGGCCCTCCGGTGTATCAAGGAGCTTGGCTACAGTTCGAATTCCCTCCCGCACAATCGCGCGGTCGACCTCGGCGGCAAGTTAATTCGGGTCGATGACTGGTGCACTTGCTGGGTCCGCATCTGCAAGCTTAATCTGCCCACGAGACGTTGGAGCCATCAACAGGACCAGTGTACTTATATGAGTGCCGTCCATCGCAGCTTCGAACTCAGCATATCCCTCGCTTATTGGCGCATAGATTACAATAACCTCGGCGTGTGCGAACGCGGGATTGAGGTATGGATGATCCTTCGGCGACTCTGCATCTCCTTCATCAACACGCAATGCCCGCCTCAAATCCTCGGTGGGGGTCTGCAGAGTAACATTCCAATCGAGCGGCATACCCATGGCGTATGCAGGACTAGTCCACAGCGGGGTCCCCGTCGCAAGACCCTGCTCCGGGTGGTGAAGCTTCCACCACTGCGGGAAGCAGAAGTGGTCATGGAGGTTGCGGCCTACGTCATGGGACTCCACGAGGACTGGAATATCATGGCGCGAGAGTCCTTCGGCGGGTCCGATTCCAGAGAGCATGAGGAGCTGTGGGGTGCGGTAGGCGCCAGCGGATATGATCACTTCTTTGGATGCGTTGTATATCTCACCAATGGCGGTTTCCACGCCTGTTGCGACCCGTTCGCCATCTTGGTCTTTGAGAATCACTTTCGACACCAGTGTATTCGTGAGAACCGTTATGCCTGGCTACATTGGGGCCCGCTTCGATGATGAGGATTCGTAGCGATGAGTTCTTAGAAGACAGTCGGCCAGCCAGGGCGCAGCGGGTGAGGCCGCCGCCGACGATGATGTAGTCGTAGGGATCTGACATGGCGGATCGGCGGGGCTAGTGTGTGAATTCAAAATGGGGCAATAGAAGGGTAGGATTCAGATGAAAGTGGGATGGAGGGGGTCGTTGGCCTTTAACTAGCCTCAGAGGGGTTTGTCGAGTCTCACATCGGCGTGGGCGGGATCACCAGACTTGCAGTCGCACAGCCAACTGCGTGGACTAAGAAGGCAATTGGCGGCTGGATTCATGACACGGATTTGCCATTTCCCAGAGCCCTTGTGCGCCAACGTGGCTCAAATCAGGTAGCGGCACTCGCGAGTTAATGGCCCATGCATCTCTGCCATTTACGCAAGCCATAATCTGTAGACACTCGGCATCATTTTCCAACCACCGTAGTAGTTGATGATAATGAGCCAGTCCTACCTACCTAGTATCAGGTACGTACTTGCGATTACTGCATTCGAAAAGGCGGCGGCTAGATCCCATCCCCTTCCCGCCTTCCCACTTTCTATACGCAACCGTGGCCGCATGATGCAACTGGCTTAGCTCCGATGTATACCGATAGGGCTTGCGCTTTGCCTCACCCTGGAGATCGCGCTGGACCAGGCGCGCAAATAGTGTTGGGATATGTTTGATGTCAACCTTTAGCGGTGGTTGAACTCCGGTCCCAGCCTCATGTTGGAGCTCAGGCTCAGGCTCAGCTAACCAGACATACGGCCTCACCGTCTCGCGGGAGCCGAACGCCTCCTCATCCACGTACAGGAAGGCGTCACGACGAAAGCCATCAGGGATCTGGGAGTTCAAGAGCATTGTGCGAAATTGGCTCCGTAGTGCGTCCCCAACGTCGCCTTCCCTATTGTTATTACCCAACGTTAGAGGAACAGCCACCCAGTGCAAGGCGAACCGGGCCCTCATCTCCTCCTTGACTAATCTAAGCGGATAGTGCAAGGCGTTACGCCGACTATTAGGATTCTGGCTTCTATTTTGCTCAGGGGGAGGTCGGTTAGGCTGAGGATGTTATCATTGCCGTTTCCATTATTGGTGTCATTGGTATCATTGAATTTGCTGTTGATCGCTTTGCCCATTAGCTCGTCCATGGACAGCCCGCAGGCACCTCGACAGAGCCTGTCTTCCTCCTCTGGTGGCGGGCGGTTGGTGATGAGTCGGCGTTCCTGATCAGTTAGTGAGTCAGGGTTGGAGATGGCGCGGGTGTACAGGGCGCGGGTCGCCTCGTCGAGGGCTAGAGGGGTTGTGTCTCTGATTATGGGGGGTGCTGTCTGTCCCTTTGCTTGTTAAATGTATCTGGTATTTATCCAGGTGTATTAGCTAAATATCTGATATCTTTTGCAACACCGAGCCCCCTCCAACCAGGTAGCCAGTCATACATTTTGTCTACGGTACTGGTAGTACTCGTATGTCTCAGTTTTTGTCCGCCTGTAATAAAGGGCGCCTCATCTTCATCCCCGGCTAAAAGTCATGGATTCGCCCCTGACAATATGGAAGCTGGTATAGAGCACGTTATGTCAGCATATTACTCAGGAATATTCGCGTACCATTTTCCTGAAGATGACGACAGGAAGAAACATCTAATTACCTCCTCCAATAGAAAGGAAGGAGAGAACAGGCGGCATCTGTCCGTCGAACCCAAACGGAACCATTCTAAACATTCATGAGTTGGTCTACATTACTGTCGAGACCGGCGCGATCCTACTACCACAAAAGGATTTGACTGTGTTGGAAGACCCAAGCTTAAACATCCAACCGCGAGGCATTGTCAGTGACCCCTGAGAGATCCAAAATGCGATTACGTTATAGATCCTGCTTATTTACTAGTATAACTCTTCCCTTAGTTCCTTATCTACTAAACACCCTTCTCTAATTATCCTAGGCCACTTTATTTCCCTTGGAGCTGTACTTTGCAGAAAGGGGGGTATGTTTCTGCTAAATGAGATATCAATTAGGTTTTGGCGAAGGAGGCGGAGATTGTGCAAGGGGCATAGATTGAGAGTTCGGATGGTTGTTTAGCGAGTTGGTTGGTAGATGGAAATTCAGCAACAGCCCTAATATGACTCTTTCCCTGGTCTTCTACTGCTTGGGCTACTTGGAGCCCTGGACATAAACCTCTGAAACCATCAATCTCAAGATTCTCCGGATACACCCGGCCCTGGGGATAACCCAATATCTGAACTTATAAGCCTTGACTTCCCCGCCAAACGACTGGATTCCAGTTGCCGTTCCACCACGGTTCACCTCCAGCCCCAAAGATTTTATCCAAGCCACGTAAACTACAAGGGCTGATACGTCCCCGAGGCATCATACAGCAATGCATAAACGAAATAGGGATACAGAATCAGATCCCACACCCGCAGCCCATGAGCGACACCCAGCCTAGAGTCCGTCGTAACCGAGTCCCTTCGCATGCTCCGCCCCCACTCCTCCAGACTCCTCCGGACTCTCTCCATTCCTATATTGGTAAAGCCTCGACAGCTCGCCCACGGGCTTCAGCGTAATATTCTCCAGCCCGCCTTCCTCTGGCGCCTCAACTATACTTTTCATAAACGCACTCCCCTCCCCAAACATGGGATCGAGATAGTGCATGTTGAACAAATGACCAGACCCCTGCCTTACAAACAGACTTCCCGAGAACAAACTCTCACTCGAATACGCTGCGACAGGCGTCGTGAACTGCAGAACCCCGATGTTCGCTACGAAGTCCTTCGTGTTTGCGTAATGCTCGATATACCGCAGGACTCGCTCGCCATGGTCCTGTCGACGAGGCTGCGGTGTCTCTTTGGTGCCGGTACGTTCCCCATGGTCGAGGTCGCGGCCGCCGTGGATGCGGGGATCCTCAAACATGGGCGGGTTACGGAATTGGCGCGCCGCGTTGCCGAACGTGTATACCTCCAATTTCTGCATTTGGGCGTATGAGAGCTCGCCGAAGAGCCAGTCGATAATCGAGGCCGCGATGATCCCGCCTTGCGAGTGCGCGATTAGGACGACCTTTTTTGTTGCAGGGGCGGCGAGGGCGGCGCGCAGGTGGGCGCGGCCTTGTCGGATGGCGACGGTTTTGTAGTCGAGGTCTCGCTGGATGAGGCATTCGACTAAGTCGAGGATGATTCCTTTGCTTCAGGATGTTAGTGCTGAGGGTTTCACTGGGGCCAAGGGGAGGTGCACGTTGGGTTGTGGATGCCCACGATTTCCCGGCCAAAGTTTTCTGCTAGGGCGTCGAGGTTTGACTGATGCCAGTGGTCTCTGTGATACAGAATCAGTACAGTCAGGCTGGAGGAGAGATGGGGTAAGTGCTCGGCATACCCAGTTGCGATTCCGTTTATGAAGAACCACAGTTCGCTCTCGTCATTGACTGGTGGTCTTGTCTTTGGGACACCGATGAGAGACCTCCGACTAGGAGGCCCGTTCAGCAGTCTGACAACGATCGATGTTATGACGGCAAATGCTGCATAGAACGCCGCATGAGCTACGAAAGGTAACGCCCAGAGAGCTAACAGGCCGACTGGCAATGAGAAAAGCAAGAGAATCTGACTGATGAACAGAAAAACTTGGAGAGCGAGAGCCCGCAGGTTGGGGGGACTTGGGTAAAGCTCATCCAGCTTCCCGGATAGGAATGGACCCAGGGGGAGGATGATGCGGGGGATGAGGTTTGCTAGACGGGGAACAGAGCAGAGATCCTCCCAGACCCAGTGGAATGGGTTGCTGTCCATATCGGACGGGATGTCAAGGAATGGGTTCCCACGGACGGGAATATTAGGGTTGTAACTGGCCATTTTGCTTTGAAGACGCAAGAGTTTAAGGTGAGGTTGGGAGACTACGGTGCTTATGCTACTACATTTATATATTCGGAGTCGAACCAGCCACTATTGTGTCATTGACTCTGTTCTAGATCTTTTCCAACCCAATGTCACGTATGGTGGCATGACCGTTGAGTTTGCGTCAACTTTTTACTCTCCCAACAGATCCAACCCATCGAAAATCACTTTTTTATCTGCTCAAAGTTAGCGCTGGTTGAGTTCTGAGAGCAGTGATAGGGAAAACTGACTACAAGGGAATGGCGTCCACTCGCTTCCATCCTCCGGCAGATACATCTTGAAGGCCCCATTTACCATCTTACTCTTCATCTCTCCCGAAGGGCCAGGAGCTCGTCGGACGTTACGCAGCCTGCCCAGAACACGTAGCAGACAAGCTCCAGCAATGGTGACGATTGCCCGCCCGAGACATGAGTGGGGGCCCCAGCCATGATGGATATAGAGCTCCATGGGCCGATCGAGCCGAATTTCCTCCGGATCGGGGAATTTGGAGGGGTCAAGGCCGGCTGTGATAAAGTCTGCGAAGATCGTATCTCCTTTCCTTATTTTCTTTGTGGTTCTCCCGTCCTTAATGGAGGTATTGTCCGCCGCTGTGCGCAGGACTCCGAAGGCAGGGGTTGAGAGGCGGAATCTATACAACTGATGAGCATAATTTCGGCAATACGGTCAGTACTCACCCCTCAAGAGCGTATTTCTTGAGTTTCTCGAAAGCCTCGGGGTCGTCCGAGCGTGCGAGGTTGCAAATGGTCGGCCAGTGACTGGAGTATCTGTCCGAGAAGTAGAGCTCGAGCATTTGCGCCCACTGCTCTATGTTAATATGATTCGTGGAGCTTTATTGGGGAACCGGAACGTACACCTTGAGCTTGAGTCGCACAAGCAGCAGCAGCGGTAGGGATGATTGTCCAGACGGCCTCCTCGACACTCTTTCCCCCCTCGCGCAGCCTTTTGACCAACTGCGGGCCAAACCCAGGCAGCAGGGACTTTGAGCCAAAGATCCGCGACGGATGGCGGAAGAAACGGCCCGAGGAGTCTGAGACGGCTTTGGTCATGACTTCACCCATCCGCTCCGTCTCTCTAGTCGCCACAATCCTGTTCTTGTACGATTGCGGTGGGTCGACGTCTAGGAATACATAGCCGAATAGCTGAAAGAGCGCGTCAGACAGCTCTCTGACTGTGTATGCATCGGCTGGCGAATAAGAACTGCCTTTCAGCGGCATGTTGAAGAATTCCGCACAGAAATACGCGTGCGCGACGTTTCCGACGCTGGCCGTGTTATTAGAATTCTGTCCCTGGCTGGCATATCAAAAGGGAGCTTACTCTCGGACGATGTCAATCTGGTAGGAGCCGCCCAGCTTCCGGCTATTTCGACGGATCAGATCCGCCGTGATGAACTCGTAGAACCGCTGCACCTGCTCCAGTCCATCGGGCGGCCTGTACAGGCGCTCTGAGACGAACGCTCGTTGATCTGCATTCGCCGCCGAATCTCCACTCAGCATGTAATCATGCTGGGTGAGCTGGAACGTGTGTTCACCCCCTATCCATATCAGCATCTCCAAATCACTCAAGATAGCACTGGACATACAAGGAACCTTGAAGGTTTTCTGATCATCCAGAAGATCAACTACGCCCTTCCATGTAGTAACAGGGACTGGCGGCCGGACATATGACGGCCTCCCAAAGTCCAGAGTATCCGCCCTTCCGTACTTGGTGAAGATCTCGCGGTTCTTCTCCGGGGTGGTGAACGGATATAGAGCATAAACACTGTTCGGCTGGTACCACCCGGGGAATGCCCTCATCAGCAGCTTATACATGACCCCGCCGTTTGCGACGTCAAAGTCGGATTCTGCTGCGTTGAACCTGCTGAAGATTAGCTCATTTTCGTACATTATGCTCGACACAACTTACCCAAAATTGGTCAAGTTGACAGGGCTATAGTCGATGGTGTAAAACCGGTCACCACGCACGAGGGCAACGGCATCGGATAAGATCGCCACTGAGATCGTGAATCCAGGACACAGCCCAGAGCCAGGGAGGAAAGGTTTCTTAGCTTCTTCGGCTTGGACGCCCACGTATAGCTCGATGTTGTCGGGGTGGCCATACAAAGCTTCCACTGGTGATTGTGAGTATGGTTGAGTTGAATCAGGTCGCGGTCGGCGAGCAACTTACATGCCTCAGCAACGGAAGGGTCCGAATTCACCTCCTCTAAAGGGGATTAGATTGGATCCGCGGTGCACGGAATTAGGTCTTACCGAAAGTGCTATGTGGCTTTAGTTTGAAGAACGTCCTGAGTTCATTCAGGGTGGCCAATCCCCATTGCCGGCCTTGCTGGATACCAAGCATCTCAATGGCCTTCATTACCTTTGGGGTATTTCTCGCTCCAAAAGCACCTGGGAAGTGTCAGCTAAAAGTCGGGTCCTAATATTTCAAGGGGACGCCCACCAGCTCCAAACTCACAACCGTCCTGCAACAGGGTCGCAAGATCCTCGTCCGCAAATCTGCCGGTTTTATCCCTTTTCAGGGTTGAGAATGTCCAGGTCGACGGCTCTCCCGGTACGGCCGTCTCGAAAAACTGCCTCAACCCGGCGAGGTATTTTTCCACAGACAGTTTGCCTACGCGCGTTAGCCAAGTAACCGCCAGTCCTCCAGAGGGTGCGTACTGGGATCAACTTTTGAACCGAATATTCTTGCAGAGAGCTCATTAGCCCATTCTTCGTCTTCGTTACTGATTGTAGCATGCCATCGGTATATCATGTTAAACTCGGCACTGACCTGGTTCCCGATGCCGCGGGGGACACCCTCCTGGTCGAATACGGAGAGCGTCTGCCTTGGGTCGAGTTTCCAGTCCGAGTCAACGGGATTCTCGTTCAGATTCAAGATTGTCCGGAGGTAGTCGTTAAGGATTATATTGACGTATAGGGCGCATGTTACACTAAAACACGTCAGCACCGGCCTCCCAGAAGGGCCCCCAAACGTACAGCCTTCCCGTTTGAAACAAATCGTTATCCCTCTTCTTCATAGCCCTCGCAAACTCCGCAGTTCCTTCCTTCAACCCTAATTGGGAGGGTAAACTGAACCTCCCAGCTTCATTGATGAGCGCCAGCTCCCCGACGACATAGTTATGGAATCGGTTAAATGCAATCATCAACGCGCAAACGCCAGGAGGCTGCGAGAGGAGTCGTTTCTCTGCGAAGGTATCTGGTTTGAGGAGACCGCCACTGAAAGCTCGCACTTGGTCCTGCTCGGTTTGGTTGTGTCCGTATAAGGGACCGAGATCGAGATATGAGGAGTTCTTGACGCGCGTTCCGTCTGTTTCGTCGGTGTGGAAGAGATCTATATAGGTGTCAGTGACGATTCCCAGGTACCAAGTGTGAATGAGTGGATACCTACCGTGGATTATCACCGTGGCGAGGTAGAACAGGTTGCTTGATATCTTGGCTGGGTGTTCCCTTGCTGGACCCTTGCGGGCTAATAAGGCTGAGCATCATTCCAGTCAGTATATATTGATCGCCCTGCATGAGATCGGGCAGCTTACTATCAAACACAAGGCCTGGATCCGGCAACACGGCGGGCCGGGGATGCTGAGGCGTCACCGAACGCGCATAGTGGCTACCACTGGCCCCGAGATAGGGGGCCGTAATATTCTACCATGGACAGTCAGTACGTGTTCGCGAAGCACTCTCCCATTTCAGGGACTCGGGGGTGCTTACGTTGAAGCTCCCATCCGCCCGTCTATAGCGAAACTCATCGCCCAGATGTGCTAACGGTGGGTGCTGCAAGTTATTCCAAAGAGTACTAACAAACGCATCTGTAATTTTGGTTCGCAATGTGGAGTTATTTGGGAGAGACGCTGTCACTTGGAGTATATTCTCGATCTGTCGGAGACTAACCGTTAGCCAGCGCGTGCTATCTTGTTTGAGTGAGACGAACTAGGTACTTCCTATCATCAACCAAACCCCCATTCGTGAGTGTCTGGGTTAGCTCACGGATGGTCCGTAAATCTGGGATTATACGCCCAGCTTGGCTGACAAGATCGCGGTTGATTTCGCCGATTAGGGAAGCGAGGGTGTGGGGCTTGGATTTGGTTGGCGTTGTGTTTGTGCTGAGGTAGGCTTCACCGTTCTGCATGAAGGGGGCCATGTTGGCTCGATGATCGTAAATGACTGTGGAATAGGTTGAATTTAGTGAGAATTGGGATGGATGGCACGGAGAGGAAGGAGACAGACGTTGGTTATATACCTATTGTATACACTTAGGTCCGCTAAGACAGTGGGATTGATTGCATCATGCTTAGAGAAGGAGGAGGGCGAGCGTTCTCCTTGACTACGCTTTGATTAGTATACTTGCCCAATTCTATAGGCATTATGATCCACTTATTTAGGTGTGGCGATGGGGTTCTGCGCTGAACGGGACTCGATCCGGATCTAGATCGCGCCTGAACCGTGGATTCGAGTTTGCTGGTGACGCTTATAGGGGAGTGGTTATCTCAGTGAAGTAAATTGGACCTTGGGATTCGGTGGTGCGACTCTATCATGATCTGTTATATCACTTCTAGTATTAGTATTTGTACACGTGAAAGGGCATTTTTGTTCAAATATCGTATACCCAAGCGTGGAAAGCTATGCTATGGCTTTGCCGACCGACGGTTGGTTCGTAGCCTTGAAAATACGATAATTAGAGTGGACAACACCTCAGGAAGAAACATGAGCACCACGCGGACAACGGTTGTCCTATATACCGGGCTGTAACTTGGCGTCTTAAACTCGTCCAGTACTAAGCAACTAACGCTGGGTCACAACACAGATAGCCCTCTTTAGCTCATACCCATCCTGGAAGCCACGTCGTGGTCACTTCAATGAACAAGTAAAGCATCATTTTATATGATCGAGGATCAGTGCAGTTGTGGCATGTAGAGCTGCAGCTGACCAGGGGCAATTATATGGCACTTTAGACATCCTTCACTTGAATGCCATAAAATAATTAGCTCCAGCAGATGCTAGTTCCAAGCCTTATGCTTACACTCATCCATTTTGTCATACATCCGATCACATATCTATAAGGCTCTCATGGCGGTTGACGAATTGCGTGACCCAGTTCTTTCCAATAGGCTTGGGAAGAAGGGGGGGTTCTTGGAATCCTCTTCAAGGATTATATCTGGCATTTGCCGTACATGCGATGGCCTGAGAAAGACTCCTCCTGAGTTCCAGTAAGTCTATGCTGGTGGTTGCGGAGTTCTGGTTGGAAATGGCGGCCCTTTGGTCGATCTTGGAGCGTACCACGCGGGACATCAAAAAGCTTTGCCAGACGCGTAATATTTGGAATTTCGCGACTTTGAAAATATTGAATCGCGGGTTGGATTCTCCCCTCATGCTTCACCAGGTTTTGACCCGATTTCCGCGATTTTGATGGCATGGTGGTTGTGTAATTGAAGGGGGTCGGTGACGCGTGGAGTTTTTGAGATGGTTGGCGGATCGCCCCGGAAAGGCGAACCGCTCGGGAAATTCGTTAGGCTGTTCTAGATCCCATTAGTTACACAAAGTCAATACTGACATCATCACCGCCTACTTTATCTACATACTACTGATATTGGAAAACAAACGGTTTTCTGGTAGGGCACCGATGCTGAAGGGTACGGACGACCTCCACACCAAATCCGATACCTCCGTATCCTAACATCTGGGGAAAGGGAATGCCTGAACCTGATATCTCCGAGTCGGCGGGTGGCTACAGGGCGCATTAATCCGTATATGTCCAGTACCAGAAGAGACGCGAGGGAGCGGGGCCGCTGGATAGGACGTATATGGGGGAACCCCTGTGAAGGTCACATCAGAACTATCCCATCTGACCTCGCCACACAACCCAAATCTCACCTCACCGAATAGAAGAGAAACCGACCCGCCCATGATAACCGCGCCCCAAACATAGTCCATAGAACATCACCACCTAGGTAGTAGCAAAACAGCATCTCTCCCATCCACAAGCTCCTCATCTCCCGGAGCCTCAACAGTCGGCGCCGGCAAATGCTTAAATGGAATACCAAGCGAAATCAGAACCGTGGCCACCGCACCCGCCAACGAAAACGCAAAAACATCCCTGATGCCCATGATATATGCCTGGTGCACGGCGATGAGCTCCGCACCCTAAAGAACGCGGGTGATTTCAGAAGCGCCAGTGGCAAGGACCTGGATTGGATCGATGGTGGGGTATTTGCTTGCAAGAGTTGAGACCATGCGGTTGGCGAAGAGAGATTGCGCGGCTGTTACTAAGTACGCGCCGCTTATAGAGTTGCACACTAAAGGGAAGCGCATGTTAGTTTAGTAAACTTGAGGTAGGATTGATAGAGCGGACTGACTGAGAGGGAGGTGGGGGAGCTTACTGAGCATAACTCCCGTTGTCGGCGCAATATGCTCTGGCTTAGCGAAGCTCTGCAACGCCGTGATAGGAACCTGGTTCCCCAGCCCAACGCCAAGCCCAAAGATAGCCTGGGGACCAATATAGCGTGCTTTGGATGAGTCGATGGCCATGGTATACAGTAGAGCTGCACCGACAGTCGCGAGAAGACCACTGACTAGTTCATAGGGTTGCAAGAGACGCGTTCTTATAACGAGGAACCCGCTTAGCATGGAGCCGACGGCGAGGTAGGCCATAAAGGGGAGACTATTGACGCCGGTTGCGATGGCGGATTGGTCGTGGATGGATTGAAAGTAGATGGGGAGGTAAAAGAGGACTTGGAAGTTGGCGAGGTTGGCGCTGCGCTGGTGGTTAGCACCGTGATCCTGAGGTCGAAAACATGAGTTTGGGTCAATTTGAGTCTTACATCCAGCCGTACAAGGCGTTCGTCCATACGAGACGAGACACGGTTTCAGCAGATCTAAGGGGACCATAGCGCAGTCTCCCTGGAACCACTCAATGAAAAAGAATCCTATCGCTAGACCAATCCACAGGACTAAAGTAGCGATTATGGAACGATCACTCCATGGTTTAGTCTAACCACCCTACTGCAGCGCTAGGAATAAAGCAAATAAGCAGGGCAAGCTGGACTGAAAAACCAGGCAGATTGAGCTGGCGCAGAATCTCTAATCATAACTCCGCTAGGGGCATAACATGCTTTGGCACCTTAAAAAAAGAGTAAAACTAACATGATAATCAGCCTACTAATAGGTAGATTAATCTAAAATTCCCAGCGCTAGGTGACCTTGCTTGTGAAAGCCCTACTAATCAAGGGCCTGATGATATAAAGGCAGGGCCGCACGGGCGCTAAACCTAACAAGTCAGAGCCAAAAACATACAACAGTAGGGATTCGCATGTGGTCACCCACCATACTACTAACCTACCGGCGTGTGGCTTAAGTACGGCTGAGCGGACGGGAAGCCCTGTTCTCCACACCCTGTGGTCGTATGTACCAAGTAAGAAGAGACATTAGTTTATATTCTTTGCTCTAGAGAGTTACGAATTGCCAAGCCTACCTAGCAAACTCGGTATTGTGATTGTTGTCGAGCGACTTGTCACCCCCCTATGGAGCCGCGGTTATTTACACCACATGCTGCCCGCCATGCCGGGTCTAAAAGAGGAGCGTAATTAACTGTTGGCTTAGACTTTCCCTTTGAGAAGGTCCGGCCGCTGCAAATAATAGCCCTGATTACTATAAACACGGGTGGCTTGATACTATCAATCAGACCAACTACGTCAAATTCCCAGCCGTCGGCTCTTCGTCGAGATTAGAGGGCAAATGATGATGATATAAAACACTAGCAGGAAGCACTACCAGAAGAAAACTTGGTTGGAAGAGGAACTAGGGTGGCCGTTGATATCATCCAATTGGAACCCCATCAAGCAGGCGTGGAACCGACTATAAGAGATACGTGAGCTCAATCTGGCGCTTGCAATATATACGGGCGATCGAACCTTTCCACTTGAGCCCTACGGTGTCCTGACCACACCATGTGGCTTATCCTATTGTAACCACTATTAAGGTCCAAAAGATACATTTCTCGCGTCTATACTCTTTCCTCACATGCACACCGAACCACCCGGAGCGTTTAATAATTAAACTCTGAAGTAGCGTCAATCGTCAAGCGCTGATACTAGCCATGAAGGGAACGTGCGAAGGAAGCATAGCTTCCCCACTATAGTTTCCTCATAGGGTGAAAATAACAGACTTACTACTATTATGCCCCTTAAATAAATACTAGACCTTTTCTTTGTCCACCTAGATGCTAAATTCAAATATTAGGTTCTCTACTATACCCTAATATTCTGAACCCATCCTCAAGCGCGCACCTAGTAGTAAGAGATGATAATATGCAGGATATTAGAGCCCTGGCAGGCTTCAGCGAGTCCGTAGTTGCCTGGTATAGTCCATAGGGGGCTTCATGCACATGCTGGAAAAGCAACGGGCACTAAAAAGGGGCAGGAAAAGATGGGTAAAGGTAAGAGGGAAATGTTTGATTAGTAATTAAGCAAGGCTCTCGTTTCTTTACTTGTCCATGCAATACGGCCCTCACCTAGACGCAGTAGGTATTAGTTAGTATAATATCAATGTGTCCCATCCTTATCGTTCTAGGTGTGCTCGCTGTGGTCCTCCCTGGATGATTACTAGCCCAGCGCTCAGCACCCGCGATTAATAGGTCCACGTGCAGCTAGACTTTTATAAGAGGTGTGTCACTTCTATTAACCTTTTCCTCTTTATCTATAACTAATTAACTCTAGCAAATAGAATCCATGACACTCTTTATCTACAAGGAGGAACACTAGAGTGGTAGATATAAGTTAGCTAAGTTAGAGAGACCTAAAGGGCCGGCATTCTATTAAATCAGAGATAGAGGATACGCTAATAGCATTATTAGTCTCTAAAGCCGGGGTAACAAGTGTAGGGCTATTACTCTCATGGCAAATTAGTTAATGCCTTCCAGGAGATGACGCGAACGTGATGTATACCTTGAGACTCAACCCATTGTTCAACATAGTAACCATGAATCTCACGTCCCTGTTCGGCACTATCCCCATGCCTGGGCCATCTAAATTCGTAGATGGAGCTATGTTTGCCGATGATAATTCCATTTTCGGTATCCTCCCTTCCCCAGTAGGTAACCCAGGGCCAAGGCCACGATGGGTCAGGACAGGTCAGGTAGGCCCTCTAGGGTACTATCACCGAGCAAACCTCTAGGGTAGAGCATTCAAAGAAACTGAGCAATCCAGCAAAGCCAGGTAATACAATCTGATCTATATCCAATGTGTCCACCCCCGGCCTCCTCCGGGCCATAACGGACCGCGACGACGACTTCGAGCCGCACCTCGACGTGTACTTCCTCCCGGGCGCCAGCGAATCGGACTGCGTGTCGCACTACACACAGCAACAGGTGGCACGCGGGACCTTGCGACGCAGGTGCGCGCATTCAAGCGGTATCTTACTGCGTCGGCAGCGATGGGACTTGTTCCGCCGCCGCCGACACCGGCGCAATTCAAGTTACCGGGCATGATGGCATCGTATCCCGAGGTTAACTCGTAGGGCCTCTTTTTCATCTGCCATGGGCGGGACTGGCAGGATAGGGATGGGCGCATGACGCTGGGGTGTGTAAACTTGGTCTCGCAGGATCTGCTCGCTCGATTCCGATGATGATAATGATGGCCATGATGGTAATAGCGATGGGCCGGGCGACCTCAATCCCAATAAGTCCACCACAACGGCCCCAGCTGGGGGTGAAAAGGAGAAAGAGAAGGGAGGATAGAACCCGCCTGCGGCGGCGACGCCCGACGGCACCAGACCCAGAGAACCCCTCATGGACCACGCAGTCTGGCCACTCAACGACTCCAGCCAGGCCGTGGATGAGGCCTACGGCGACTGGCCGATGGACAAGTGGATGACCAAGTCATTTTACTATGCCGATGACGGGTTGAAGCATACGTGGCAAAGGCGTCGAGTTTGGGAGCTGGGTTGAGGGGGAGGGGCCTGGGTTCGGGTGTGTGAAGTAGATGACGATCGGGAATAGTGGGGGAAGTGGGATTGGGGTGTAGTTGTTGAAGACCATGTACGCGCGTGGTGTACACGTGCTGGTGCGGCGGTCCGCTGCGGTATGATCCGTGATGGGATGACGTGGGTTTTGTGCCTATAGGGAAGGCCAGGCCCTGTATCATCTTCCTCTTCCGGGAATAGCGCACTCAGATTGTATGTAGACGCATCTCGTTCTTCTCTACTCATTAAACCACAGGCCATCAAAGACCTCTCGTGCCGAACCTCTCGCGGACGGTTTGAAACACACCATTCGTGCAGTAATCTGGCCGAGCCTCTCTATATCTGCTTTATCAAAATCTGGTGTCAGAGATCCCTCGAAGTATACCTCCTGCAACTATTCTTACAGGTTGGGACTAGGACTCCCCTCCTCCACCTCATTAATCATGTATATTGTCTCTTCTATCTCCTGCCACCTCTCAGGAAGCTCGTCACTGGCCATCACTCGCATTTGGCTAATGAGGATCGCGGGCGTTATCATGAAGCTGTTAGTGGGTGGTTAGCCCGTGAATAGCTTAAAGAGCCACCCAGTTCAGGTGTGTCAGTTTGGGTTGTCTAGATGTATCTTGGTTGGTTGGCTTGTTTCACCCACCAAGCAGCCCATCCTCCACAAGTAAACTCGATAATCAAGATGATCCTGGAGGAGACCTACCGGCACCAAAGTAACAATGGAGTGTTTAGTGTTTGGACAATATTATTCCACGAGAATAACTTGCTGAAGTCAATTAATTTAATGGGCTAAGCACGATCCCATAACCATATCTAAGGTGCGGCAGGCCTAATAATATACTCAGGTTTTCCTAATGAGCCCTCCGTAGGAAGGGTATCTCTAGCTTGCCTAAGGCTTTATAAACCCCGCCTTAGAAAGATTGTTCTTGCAAGGCATGGTAAAGGCTAGGTTATAGGTGTATAGATCTATGAATATTAAAAGGGATTTAGTCCGTGATCTATTATTAGAGAGTGCCCGCGATATACCTCCATAACAGATGCTGAGTAGATGCAACTTGTCTAACCCTAACAAGACTTTCCTTCACAATGCTTTTGGCAAGCGTTCAAGGAAGTCTACTGCTAATGGACTTTGCACTACAATTATATGCGAGGGTCAGGCTTAGAAGCTCGTGGACTAGGCACTAGTGAGACCTATTTAGACCTTCTAAAATTAACTTATCAAGTATTTTCTCGCTCTATATATTTTAGACAAGGATAGTAAAATGCTAGTTTTACCATGGTCTAGAGTTCTTATATTTGATTTTCGTGGTGACGCTTTGCGATGCATTTCTTGACAGCAACGTACGATCCTTTGCTGTAGAAGCAACCACATTGCCATTTATTAGCCATAGTTGGGGGCGATCATATTGACCTCGTGTCCCTCGCTGCCTAGACAATGGAGTAGCCTCCCCATCCCAGTTTGCGCAGAATCTTGTATCTTCCAGAATGAAAAACATTACCTAACTGAGTTGAGTGACAACCACCATGTTTATAGCAATGGAGTGGCTCGGCATCCCCAGACGAAATGTACAGGGGCTGCTTTATTTCATTGTTGGCGGGACAGGTAGTCATGCATGTGGAAAAGACTGCAACCCTCCTAGAATTTGTCAAGACAGTGAGAGATCGCAAGAAGAGGCGCGGAAAGGCCATTTGGATTTCCATGCCAGTGGAATATGTGGAGATAATTCGATCAAGTTACTATCTCCTTGCCTCAGGCACAAAGGCCCCATCTGAAGTGGGGCCTGGGGATTCCACCCAATCAATCCTGGCCCTGGCGGCACTGCCCCACCTCCTGCCAAACGATTCTGGACCCGACCAATGGTTGCTGGCCAGTCCGTTGACACTGCAGGGTTGGGCCATGATCAGATCGCGAGGCTTTGGGGGCTCATGCTGCATATAAGACGGCGCATTTCCTTTCCTTTTCCTGTGCACGCGATCCAAGGACTAGCACCGTTTTCTTTTCCCTTCGCCACAGCTATCTGATAACTATTCCAAGGCACTGCATCGATCCGAATACACATCCAACACTGGCTGGACTGTTTGCCGACTCCAAGGATCATGCCTAGTCAGGACGACACGATCGACTGGGCCAAACACAGGAAGATCCTCCGGCGACTGTGGCTCGTCGAAGACAAGAAGCGAGATGACATAATGAAATTCATGGCTGAGAATTTCAACTTTCGGGCAACGTATAAAGGACCATCAAATCTTGTATACCTGCGAAGCAGAACTAATATCCTGTCAGCCGGACCCAATACGATCGCAAGTTCCGAGAATGGGGCTGGAGGAAGAATCTAAAGAGTCAGGAATGGAGGATCATCGGGTCTCAGATTGCGCAGTCCAAAAATGCCGGGAAACTCCCCAGCGTGTATATTAACGGCATGTTGGTTCCGGAGGAAACCGTCTGGAGGTCGACTCGGCGTCATGACTTCCCGACTATCAAAGAGCGTTATTGTCCAGGTATGTCGTCTGTGGATAGGCATGATCATCGGGTGTGGCTAACCATAACCACTTCTTCCAGCCCCCAGGCCTAAAACACCAGGAGGGGTCTATATATGCACGCCCCCAGCTCTAGCCAGCCAATCCTCCTTTTGGGACAACACTCCATGGATCCAGTTCTTACGCACAATCAGCGGAAACGGTAAGGCAGTGGTGTGGCCTGTAGTATTTTGAAAGGTACTTATGCTGATGTAGAAAATCCTTTGCCAAACCTGGGCCGGCTCGCCGCAAATTTACCCGACGTCGTTCGAGGGTTTTTGACACCTGTACCAAATTCAGTAAGGTGGTATCGTGCGAGTGAGCTTTCCTGGATACTGGACAGGGCCTCTAGCTCGCAAATAAGCCCTCGCCTCCCTGAAATGTCCGCGATTATCAAGTCTTTCCATTCAGACCTTCGGGCACTATTACCTGACGCTGGTCCACTAGATCAGAATAGGATGTCCACGGAGTCTGGACCGATCGTCGTGAAGGGAATAACAGGAGATTACATCAGTCTTTTCGTTTACCTTGTGTCAAACAACAGGGCCGGGATCTTCACCAGTGCGGATTTGATTAGATCCATCCAGAATCTGCTTGGTGCTACGCCTACGATAATCTCATATTATAGTCAACCACCTACCGTCCAAGCGACGTTGGAACATCTGCTCGCCCAGGCTGTTAAGGATGGAAATACACTCCTTGTCAAGGAGCTCCTCCGCTGCAGAATCCCGGCTGATGTTAATGTTCGCGGAAAACGATCCCCCGACGAAACGGCTCTTCAACATGCAGTAAGAATGGCCTATGGGGATATTATACGACTGCTACTCGCAGCCGGCGCTAATCCAGATGCACGGCCGTCCGGCCAGAAAACAGCCCTTCAGGTTGCAGTTGACAACGGTGATATCGAGGTAGCCCGGGTACTCTTGGAGGCCGGCGCAGATCCCAATTATACTGGAAAAATCAATGATACTCATTACTCTGATACGGCTCTCCACCATGCTGCATGGCGCATGAATACCCCAATGGTTGAGCTGCTTCTCCTTTCAGGAGCTGATATCAACTCCATTGCGGATGTGCAAGTAACCACAGCTCTCTATTGGGCCGCGGGGGCCGGAGGCCTCGATATGGTGAATCTTTTGCTGAAGCATGGCGCTGAGCTTAACGACGACCTCTCCGAGAATTTGCCGATTGCCGGAGCAGCAAGATCAGGAAATATCGCTATTGTGCAGCGTTTAGTAGAGGTTGGTGCAGACGTTAATCTGGCCCGGGGTCCGTCGGGTAAGACTGCTCTTCAGGGGCCAGCTGGATTTGGAGGAACTTTCGAGATGGTTCGGGTTCTATTGGATGCAGGCACGGATGTTAACGCTCGTGCAAGTTTTCGAGTTGCCACAGCACTACAGTCTGCAGTGTGTTCGAATAGAATCGAGGTGGTCCAGATCATACTCGATCACGGTGCTGAGGTCAATGCCCCGCCTGCTATACCTGAATGAAGGACCGCTCTTGAAGGAGCCGTGTACAAACAAGATCTTGCCATTATCGAGGCTTTGATCAAAGCAGGCGTGGATGTTAGCGGTGACAGGCGCGCACTGCCGGCCGCAGTATCTCGAAATAACCTACATCTAGTGAGGTTATTGTTGGATCTCGGGGCAGATATAAATGCCCCCGCGGATGATTGGGATGAGCTGAGCCCCCTTGCTACCGCCGCAGACCGGGGCAATTTGGAGATGACGCGGCGTTTGCTGGAGCTGGGCGCGCAGCCTGACTGTTCAATGGGCTCGGCGAGCAGGGGACGAACACCTCTTCAAGCGGCAGCCGAGCGCGGGCATTTCGAGATTGTGAGACTCCTTATCGAGTATGGCGCTAATGTAATGCACACGCTGCTCCGTACAATGGTCTGACCGCGCTGCAGGCAGCAGTCCTCGGGCGGAAAACTGCGTTGATCCGACCTGTCTTACAAGCTGGTGCTGATGTTAATGCGCCTCCGGCAGCATCCGGAGGGCGAACTGCATTGCAGGCAGCTTGCAGGGACGGAGATCTGACGACGGCCAAGTTACTGATAGATGCCGGGGCAGATGTCAATGGCTCTCCTGCCACAATCTCCGGGTCTACTCCCCTTTCATATGCTGTCAAGTGTCAGAATATCGAGTTGGTTCAGGCCCTGATCCAGCACGGTGCTACACCTAACCATACCGGAGACTTGGACAGTGGGACAGCACTGCAGATAGCAGTATCCTATCAGAGTTCTGACTTGATTCGACTGCTGTTAGATGCTGGGGCCAATATTAATGCTCCCGCTGGGAATTCAGGCGGTCGAACTGCCCTTCAGCACGCAGTGGAGTGTGGCAACTTCAATCTTGTCCAGCAGCTTATCGATGCTGGTGCTGACGTTAATGCACCTTCTAGCCCGACAGAAGGAACAACTGCGCTTCAGGCTGCTGCAGGAGCAGGATATCTGGGAATCGCGATAAAGCTTCTAGAAGCCGGGGCCAGCGTTAATGAGTCGCCTTCACCACAAGGAAGCAGAACGGCTTTGCAGGAAGCATCAATGCATGGAAGGCTTGATATGGTGAAGCTGCTTTTGAATACAGGTCTCAATCGAGATGGCGTACGAGAACTATGGTTTCAAAGCGCCATAGCTCTTGCGTTGGATTCTGGACATTTCGCTATCGCTGAGATGTTGTCAAACCATGTAAGATGAAAAGAGTAATTGCGCCAGGCGTTGGAGAAGATGGAAATCGTACGAATGTGCCAGGTGTTGGTAGCGGGCATATGGCCCCTTTGGCAGAGGATTCGGCAATGGCAGGCGCGATGGAGACTTGCCGCGCTCCATGGAGACCTGGAAAACCAACTCGATAGGCGCTTTCTATTTTAATATCGAGTGTCCCTACTAGTCTCTGGTGAGAACGTTGCTGGAATTAATAAGCAAAATTTTAGAAGGCTTTTCGAACGAATCGGCAGACGAAGTGTGGGAAAAGGTACATTCTCAGGCACTGATATCTCAACAGCGCCGTCGACCCCGAGCTGTCAGGATGGTGCCCGGCTGCAGCGACCTCCCCGGCGCACCGGGGCAACGCTAGCAACCGACCAATTGGCAAAATTGCCATCTCATGTGCAATCGAGGCGAAATATAGTACCCAGGTCTTTGAAGAGCTCCATACGTTGAGAAAGCCTGGGGTGGTGAGGCTGGTACCCCCTGTTCATGAACCTCGGCTCACCGGCGGCTCACCAAAGCTCCACCCGAGGGCGCTAGGAACCCCTCAACAATGGTCCATCACTGCGATAAAATCGGTCCAACCGACTCCTTGACAGACTTTTGCCATCTCAAGTCTCGGGTCCTTGATTCAATTAACGCAAATGCCCGCCCTGACCCCCGCGGAGCCCCCGAGCTTCGCGCAAGCCCTGCACCTGGTCAAACTCCGCACCGCCACGGAGCGCTACATGTCCACCTTCCCCGCGCTGTCCTACGACTACGCCCCCAACCAGCCATTGAGCATCGCACGCTCGTACGGCGGCCACGCATTTGCACAGGCAGTCTGGGCCGCCAGCCAAGGGATCAGTACCTCAAACCCAGACCTCCACGCCCACGAAGCAAATGGATACTGGACGCAAGCGGGCTTCGCAAACCGCCCATTCATCTACGAGGCCACGACACTATCGCTCACGCGGTCTTTCGCGCTTTGCCAGGTTACCGCGCGACAGCCCACGACACCATCAGAGGAATGTCCGTTTCCGGAGTCTGATGCCGACAAGGAGTTGGGGCCCGTTGCCTTTGTTCTCACGTGCTCGTTTAAGCGAAGAGAACAAGGGGTCGGGTATGGGTTGAAGTTCGATGCAGAGAAATACGGCGATATTCTGCGCAATGATCTGGAGAGGCATCCGCGCCATGTGTATCTCCGGGGCCCGAATGGAGCGGGTTTGATTCGGCTGGCGGATTTCCCGAGCATTGATGTGCGCACGCCGGATTTGCGGGGCTTCAATGCGGGGAAGAAGGGTACTAGCCATCGGCGGTTGCATGTATACAGGGCCTCTTCTGGACGGCTCGATCTGCATCCGAATATCCTAGCGGCGCTGCATGCGTACGTCTCGGACCGAGCTGGCTTGGATGTATTGAGGCATGCGTTTGGAGTGGACGAGTTTGGAGTGTCAGGGAGTCTGAACCATAAGATCGTCTTCCACGTCAGTCCGGAGGAGATGGAGATCAACGACAAGGCGTGGTTCGTGCAGGAGATGTCGAGCTCTCGCGGCGGAGAGGGCCGGGGCCTGATTGAGAGTCGGATCTGGAGTCCGTCGGGGACGCTGGTTGCTACGACGGTGCAAGATGCGCTTTTTAGAAGAACCCAGGCGAAGCTGGCGTAGATTTGCCGTATAGATACTCCGGGCGTTCATAGCTAGCTATAGACATGGTAAACAGTTAGTTTGCTAGATATGTATTTGACACAGGGCTTCTGGACCAAGCCGTCAAGCTGTGTAAGCCTAAAGCCCATATCAAGCTCGCTCACTTGCCCCTCGCCCACGGGGCCTCTGAGCCCATGGTAACTGTGGGTTGTAAGTGAGTCGGCAAGCTTGTGGCCCTTGTGTATGACAAGGGCTGTGCGCGGATGTTTCTAACCTTGATTTGTACAAGGCGACCGCCAAGGTTGGCCCATTTAAGCACGAGCTTCAGGAACAAGCTTTGCTGCTGAGAAATCCCTGAAGATGAAGTGCCATAATCTCGTTGAGCATTTTCTCTACCAGTGGATGTTTAGACTGGAAATCGACTGTGAAGACAGGGTAGGGAAGGAGAGTAATCCAGAACTGTTTGTAATCGATTAGCCTTGCGGTTAGATTGTCAACAAAAGATCCTAGACAAAGGGATAGGTTCGCGATAGAGATAATGCATTAATGCCGATGTTTGCGTCCATTGAGGAACAATCTCTGAGCAGCAATGCCGGCTAACCTCTCTTGCTCGCAAGCTGGATCCTTGGCCAGATCTCCGTGTCAATTCAAACGGGGCGATTCAAGAGCCTGCTAGGCAGTGTCTTGGTCCAAATTCCTCAAAGAGGAATAGAATTTTATTGTGGTGGCCTTGGATGCGACAGCCCAAGACTAGCTATGAAACCCTGTTGACCTGGAATACCGCTTACCGTGAGCTATTGTACAATCCATCGCTTGATTGGTTGTTATAGCACCCGTTTGGCTGAAAGGAAAAGTGCGATAAGCCTGGAGGGGAAAGGAATCTGCCAGAACTGCAAGAGAATCATGCAGGGGACAGGTCAAGCTCAGAGCGCACGGACCGTGGAGTAAGAGATGGGCAAACCTAGGCCTGGGTACTCGCAGCCGAGAGCCTGTTGGAAGCCCTGCTCATCATTCCTTTATCTTCCACGGAAGGTTCTAGCATACATGTGTCACATGTGTTCTTTCATCTCATCTAGCGATATCTAGCAGTGCCTTAGTTACTTCATCTTTCCGACACATCCGAATCCGCCATCTTTGCCCTGGCCGAGTTCTCTCCTGGAGCCGTAGCGAGCTCTGTCAGAGCCCGATTCTCCTGGGATAAAAGTGTCTCTCCATCCTCGGATCCCAGGAGATCCCCCAACTGACAAGCTTTGGTGAAGCCCTTTGCCTTGCAGGGATAAGTCGCCTAGAACGCATTCGAATGTCTTCGAGCAGGGTTATTCCCCGCTGCGTTCAACAAACTTCGTCAGGAAATTGGCCCCAATGGCAATTTTCCATCGTTATCATGACGACGGGACCCTTTTCCGAGCGCGCTGATCTTGTAGACGTGGGCAGCCGGGGATTGCGAGGACCGGACCAAATAGACTTTGAGCCTGCATTACGTGAGCTTTGGGGATGGACGAGAAGTTCCAGGACAGGATTCCTTGAATCTTCACTTTTCTTCGGCCCCCGAACACCGCGGATACGCTAGGCGAGAGGTCAGTTCTGTTCAAGGAGAGTTTGCGGCTCCCAGGATCTCCTTGTGAAAGATTAGGCGGGAATGATTTTAAGTCGGGTCGTCTGAGAGCCAGGCAACTACCGGCCCCAGCCCCCTTTTCTCATCGTTTTCTTTTCCTTTTGCTTTTTCGCCTTCTTCTTGTCTTGCGATGCGCCCCCTTGGTGTACAGAGAAAAGCACGAGCTAAAAGGCAAGCCAAGAACATTTCCCGGTTGGAAGTGACCCGCTTTTCTGCAAAAGGGCCAAGGCGAATGGGCGATCAGCACTTTCAATGCGGGCGCATCCTCTCTGGACTCGTACTTTATGAAGTTGACGGACATGTCCATGAATAAAATTATGCTATTATGCACAAGAAGAAACCTTTGCTTGAAATGGCTCCTAACAAGGCCAGCTGTTTCTTCAACACCCACAAGTCATATCCATCGTACTTTCGTGTCTCTGAGCATTTCCCTAACAAATTCCGGCATTGGCTGGTCTATCCGTGGCTCCTTGTGCCCGGGCTGGTCTAAAATACTGGTCTTTGTGAGATCTGCTTTTTGTTTTGGAACGGTGCTCTTCGCATCCATGGATCTCCTTGATTAGCCCTAACCTATTCCCGCTACCTGGTCTCCATTGAGAATTTCCCTCACTAATATGACCACCGTTGTCCAACCCTGCTTATCATGCGCTAGTCTTTTATCTTGGGAGGCTTCTAGACGCCAAATCACCGACTGAAAATTTGCCATTTATATGCAAGCTTTACCCTGATTACTAAAGAGCTGTTAAATATAGACACTTAGGTCCCACCTCCGTGCCTTTTGGTTTATTTTCAAAAAGCCGTCCAGATTGAGCGGTAACAACAGACTGATCTCTGCCCCCTTGTTCTAGATCGTTTCGGGCCGCTATCGAAGCATGCTCCCGCTTTGCAGCAGAGCGTACTTTGGATACGTGCATCAACCGATCTCCATGCAACCATCCAAGTGCCCATTGCAGCAGATTCTCTCCTGTTGGAGAGCAGCTGCAGTGCGACAAGCTTCATAGAAAGCGCTTCGTAGTCTGGGTTGATCAACTTATGCAACGCCATGGTGAATGCCTTCCCTTCTTGCAAGGCTCCTCCTTGTATACGTGCTGTTAAACCCAGCTTCATCCTGGTATAAACTCTCACGGAGACCCCAGCCATTTCGTACGCTTTCTATCTTTCCGATGGTCATAACATAATAAATCGGCTCATGGCGCTCTGCCCCTCTGAGTCTCAAAATTTGCCCCATTACTTACTATTCGTCCACACTTGCACTTCCACTTGCCTCCAGCCATCGGCTACTGCTTGAGTGAAACTTGCCACAATTTCCAGTTACTTTACTATTGCACCATGGCCAATTCCTGCCCCAGACATCTCTTTGGCATTACGCAGGCCACAAATGGGAATATCCTCACCTGGCGATGCCACGACTGTGTTTCAGGACCGTTCCTGGCGATCTGGCGGTGCAAGATCTGCGGGTACTGCCGCTGCCAAAGTTGCCACAGGAGGAAGTCCTAGAAGACAGCGCAGTAGGACCTGAGATGGGATGGGACGAGCATAGTCAGGACCGTGAGTGACTGCTCAATCCTGAGCTGTTATACCCCCCCACTCTTCTTCGGTGAGGTGGTTTGAGGCCTGAGCTGACATTAACAGTGGGAACTCTGCCCCTTTTAACTTGGTCTTTCGCCCTCGACTCTCGACGTTGGTGATGATGGCCATGGACACGGCCAGCCATATGGATGAGGCTCCTCTTCAATTGTTCTTGCTTCTTCAAACATCATCTGCGTTGTTTCCTTGGCTCCTCACGACCCTTTTCATGTTGACAGATTTTCAGGACGAGGTGAACCTGGTCGAGAAGAACAGTGCAGTGCCTTAATTCACGTCACATGTTAATATGAAGTCCAAAAATAGACTATCTAGGACAATGTGCATTTTGATCCCGCTCTATAGCTATGCTATCTTACTAGGTAGTCCTTTTGCCATCTAATCATTCAGCTCGCTTCCCCGGGAAGTCAGAGAACTGGGGCTGGTCGATGTCCGTCGCGTACTGTACTCCGAGCGTTGGCTGAAGGAAGACACTTGATGGCTTGCAGAGGGAAGCAGATCAACAGCCCAGTTTAACTCTCTGCCCCATTATGGATTTGCGCATATTGTCTGAGAAATAACGTGACGCTCTAGTGTGGCCTGGAAGAGTCTGCGATTTCTCGTGCATCTATGCTGTTACACAGATCGATCACACTGCGACCTGGCCTTGCGGCCTACGGCCATAGAGGGATGGGACATGGTTGTCTTTTGATAATCAGTATGCTTAAACAATACCATTGCACGGTTAAGTATACGACCTGGAGATTTTTATCTTGCGAGAGCGGGATTTTCAACCGCATCAGATACCGGTCGTCCGTAGAGGCGCGATAAATATGCACCATTCGCAATGACTTCTCAGTAACAGATACTCAATAAATTCCGCTCTACTGTGGCACCGACTCTGCTGATCTACTTGGGGATCTCATCACTCACCAGAACCCATACACAGTCCAAGGGATCGAGACCAATATCTGGCCAGGTCCTCTACATTACAATTAAAAGGCTTGAAATCCCCGTGTACCCAGGACGAACTCTGATAGTATCCAGTCTCGACAGATTTCACCCCTGTAGGCCGCAACACCACCAAGAGTGAGATCCGCTGCGTTCCGTGGCAGTACCAATTCCGGTGCCCTCAGTCTCGTAGAAGATGTTGATTGAATGGATGGCACCAGTTATGTCGGATTTATCGCCCAGAACGTTGAAGAAAGAGAGCCCCGTGCCGCCAGCTGCAATAGGGAGTTTTGTTGCAAGGTCATATGCGATCTTGTTTGGCATGTGAGGGGCGTTGCGGACGGCCTGCACATAGTCGCCGCGGTCGACCGGGGTGTAATCGCCACCGTCCTCATCGGCGGGGATATACAGACCAAAGTCATCAGGACCATATAGCCCGTTGTAGATGACTACGAGGGCCATCCATATGTCGGCCGTGCACCGAATGGGGCTGTGGACCTGCGACCACTTATTCAGCCCCGGTCCACAAGTGGAGGCAGTCCCATTTCCCGCATACGGATTTCCTCGTTTTCACGGATTTTCCTGCGGTTTATGCATTTATACTTTTCAATGGCTCTGGATACGGACCCTGTGATGCATCTCTTATTGACCGGTTCCTTGATGGTAACCGTGAGAACTGGGTGCGCTTGATGGAAGAGCCCTGCTCACCGGGCGAGTTACCGCGGGATGCTGTTATGGATGGTGTACACGCGTTCCCCGTGCCTCTATCCGGAGTCCATCATCGTGTGCTATTCCGGCCTCGCTTGAAAAAATCTTTCTGGAGAAGATGGTTGTGGACTTTAGAGGGGTTGGGGAATGCTACCTTAGGCTGCTACAAAGCTTTTATTACTAATTCAAGTACATGTGGATTCTCCTGGCAACTAGTAGTTATTTGCTAGGGTTTGGCCACGCTCACGTCCAAAAGGCCCCAATCCAAGTTGGGAAACCAACCACGACTTGGTTGCAGAGGGTTCGGTCGGTGGATTTGAGGGAGACGTTTGATACAGTGAGATGATGGAGTCCGCCATTGTAGTACGAGCCGAGCCCCAAGTCAGGGAACGACTCCCCCGGAGAGCGTTAGAATATCTGTACTGAAAATAGATCCACGGATGGCTGTGCATTCGCGTGGCTGCAATATGTAATTCATAGTTGATGCAATTAGGAAAAACAAAAACCTCCTTAGGAATTAGAACTCGCAGCGCTCTTATACCACAGCCGCATAAATTAACTTGGCAATTGAAATCCAGGATGGACTACCCTCCCTTCTATTCCACGAGAACCTAGGCGCCAGCCAAATCAATACCCTAGTGATGGTACATTCCGGCGAGATGAACGTTCTTACCCAGCTCTCTGACTCCTTCCCCAAACTACCCCTCACCCACCGCTAGCCGGGCCCCTAGTTGGCACCGCAACGGACACGACAGGTGTACCGACAAAGGCTGCAATCCTCGCGCCTGCCGTGGCAAAAGTGTGTATTGCAATCCTCGTAGCATTCGCTAAGGCAAGGCGAGAGCTGACGCTGTTCCAGTTCCGTTTCGCCGCGTGCTTCGCTCAGACTTGCTGCCGGGAGGGATGCGAGGAAGAGGATGGAGACGAGAGTAAAGGTCTGCATACTTCTGAGATGAGATGATTCTTCAATGAGGTATAATTGGTGCTTCAGTGGGGAATCTCAGTTATGGGGGTATTGCAAGACTTGATAGTGGTTTTAGTAGCCTCGAGGCGTCGCGAGAGTGGATGGGTGGATGGCCTCTAAATAGCAGTAGATAGAGGAGTCCACGGAATGCTGTGTGATTGATACAATCGGATCGGCTGACTTAACCAGCGATTCTTGCGGTATTTTCTCGGTTCCAACTACCACATGCAGCTGGATACCGAGGGTGGGTAGCACCGCATCCGTAAGAATACGGGACCAGAGTAATAAGATCCCCTTTATGCCTTAGGCTCCGCCTACGGTTATTACAGATAGATTGTCCACTGAAATTCAGAGGAAGCAAACTTACAATCTTCTTGACTAGTTATGACAATCTATGCGCATGCGGAGGCATTGTCCATGGGTATCTTGACGGCGGCAAATATTGATCCATTGATAATATAAACTACCCCAGGTCACAGAAGAAGTTATCCGACAGGCAACTCAAGCGCGTAGAGAATCAACTAGTCCAACAGCCAACGACCATGGCCGCAGGGTCCCGTCCAGCAACTTAAGGAAGGCGAATAGAAACATGATTATTGAGTACAGTTAGCTTCTGATATAAGAATATGCGCAGACTTACCGAGGGCCTTTAGGACAGCCTCGATGCTATTCATTAAGCTATTAAGTGATTACTCCTTTATCCGAACTTCTGTAGTTTGGCAGTGGACCCCTTTAAAAACCATATCTCATCCCCTTTCTCTATTGATTTTCTCATTTCCCGTTTCTAATATATGCTGTACGCGACCTAGTAAGCTATGTGAATTATTCTTGGCTGGGAATGTAAAACCATGCAAGGGTCACTCATAGATGCTATTTTACTCGATAAGCGAGACTAAGGGAGATATATGGCGCTATACTATACGTGCCCTATAATAGTGCTGATTGGAAAAATAAATAGAAGAATGCAAAGCAAAAGCTGAACATGGCAAACATCAGAGCCTGGTTTTATAGCCAAGAGATTATTTACGTGGTGTAAGAGTGCCAGGATAAAAACATCAAGTGCTCATGTATACAAACAATATGTGACCACCATAGTGAACCTGCTCCAACACCCCTTTTGCTCGTGAATTACGGGTCGTATCAGGATCCATTATCAGGCACAGGAAGCTCAGCAGCTGCTCCATGGTTTCGATCTGGATAAACGGTATTAGTGACAATTGCAATGTCTATTTATCAGCATACAACATACCATGCATCTCATAAATAGGCAGGCTCCCTGCCTCTCCAGGTGTTGGAGCCAACAGTTCAGCCGGACCATCAGAGGGAGTGGCCTTCTTGGGAGGGTTTCCTTGTAGTCGGGTGGCAGTGGCAGTAGCATTGTGCTTGCGACGCCGTATCAGCCAGAACATCGACAGGCCCACGATCACAGCAAAACCAAGAATCCCTGCAATGACGCCGCCGGCCCAGCCGGGGAAGCTGAGGGAGTTGCCGCCGGCGTTTTGTGTAGTCGCACGGTCGTCAATGTACCATGTCGCGATCGGCCGAGTGTATGTGGCGGCGAACACCTGCCTTAGGGATGTATTAGTCCAGTATACAGGTGAGGTACGAGTTGCGCCGCCGGAGGAACTGCAGCTGGGTTAGCGTCAAGTGTATGTAGGATGGAAGATCAGCTCTGTTGAACGGCTTACTCTCCGCCGATTCTTCCCGACACGAGGACGGGCACCCGGTAGTCACTCCAAGAAACAGTATCGTAGCTGTCTTGGAACGTGGCGGTGTTCAGGTTGAATACCCGGATCATCTCTATACAATCCGCGCCGCAAAGCCCCCTCCCACCCAAAACCAACATCTGGTCAGGGTAGTGCCTAATGCAAGCGTGTTCGCTTCGCGTATCAACCTGTCCGCCCCCGCTATATAGCAGAATCCATTCGAAAGACGGGAGAGAGAGAACGTAGACGTTGTCAGATGATTCAGCGAGAGGTGTGCCACCCGAGTAGCCACCGTAAATGTAAATATTATGGGAGGAGCCGTCGGGTGCGCTGGCGTATACTGAGCAAAACCGTGTGAGCGGTGGGGGGATATCGCCAGTCGTGTTTTGATTGTACCTGCGTGCTGTTAGAGTCCCTGGATCATGCAGTCTGGAACCACGCTCTAATGCATACCACCTATCAGTCGCAATATCATACACTGAAACCGTCTGCATGAACGCAGCGCTGGCACGAATGCTTTCAGCCTCTTGCTCATCGGTCAAGCCCCCTGGATAGATTGACTCAAGCTGGATCACTCCGCCAATAAGAACGAGAATCCCACGCATCGAAATGGGCAGCCAGACAGCTCCACCACCCTCCCGACCAGGAACATGCTCTGGCAGTGTAACATTCGCCCAACGAGCATCATCCCGGCTTGACATGTCAACTGTGATCACTTGCTGGGAGAGATTGGTGGCAGTCGTGTTCTGCCAAATGGGGCCCCAGTCTGGAGCTCGCAGTCCACTTACGTAGAATCCTAGATCCTCGCTAGGAATGGAAACTCGGGCTCCGTGGGTAATGTAGCGAGAAATGTTCCCCAGGCTCGGATTTTCAAGTCGAGGACTCCACTGAGCCAGGGTAGATTCTTGGAGACATCTCTGGTATAAGAAGGCCCTGTCTGCCGGAGGTAGATACGGTTCCAACAAAAGCTCGGCATTGAAACTAACCAAAAATCTCACTAGGTATGGTTCCAACAAAAGCTTGGCATTGAAACTAACCAAAAATCTCACTAGATATGGTTCCAACAAAAGCTAAGAATTGAAGCTAACCAAAAATCTCACTAGATATGGTTCCAACAAAAGCTAAGGATTGAAGCTAACCAAAAATCTCACTAGATATGGTTCCAATAAAAGCTCTGCATTGAAGCTAACCAAAATGCCAATTAATCTACTAAAAGACTGCGCTCGAAGCTGTATGGGCTCATCTCAGCACACTTATCTTCATAGTAGCGTATTGTAATTACATGCATACCCGCATGCATACAGGAGCGGATAACCTTGAAAACCCCCGACTTTGTTGCAACGCCAGAATCAAGGCGGCCGGCCGTTTAGATGATGTTCGGTTTGCAAAGTAGCTAGGGAAAAAAGGCCACTGCAAGAAGTCAGAGACCGTAAACAAAGGGGAGAAGGCCTGTACCCATAGAGATAGAAAGCATCATCGTTCGCAAACATAACCCCATTTTCAAACTGAGGTACCCCGACCGAGGGTATCGTGCCAACAGGGATATGTGGTTTGCGGTTGCTGTGTTGAATGATGTGTTTAGTGCCAGCGTATAGATTGTCTCCCCGTTGGCTTCATCTAAAGGTTGTTAATAAATCTGGACATGAAAGGAACAGCGCTGTACTTATTACTCTCGCTTTCGGGACGGATGGTGCCATCATCGTAACCTCTGGTCTAGATTTAGTGAAAACCCGGACCTGCAGTGCTCTGACTTTGTTGACTCACATCTGCCACCACAGAGATCCTCCATGCAGATAAACCGTATCGCGGATTATGTTCACTGGGGTTAGGTTATTAGTGGACGAGGAAATAGGATTACCACAAGCAACACACCTCTCGCTGCGGTCCAAGTGCACATGGATGCATTGACTGTGTTTTGCCACACCTGCGCCTGCGACTGTCCAGGAAGAACCGCAGCGATCACGCCCAGCACCACCAGACCATATATTAGTTCCATAGTACCTTAGAGCCGCCGCAAAGCGAAGGAAGCGTTGGGTACTGTTGAACCCCGTAAAATGTCCAAGGTCGTTTTCATCGCTGACAGGACTTTTCCTTCCTAGCTTACCCCTCCTTCCTGCCCCTTTTCAATCATTGTTGCTTTTTCCGCCGCCCGCCTCACCTGGCCCAACGCCCAACAGAGGCTGCATCCGGATTATCCGGGGCTGCTGCCGCCCCAATGAGAGCCGCCGCGGTTCTCGCATCCTGCATCTCGCGTCTCTCGTTGCTTGGTGGGCACATGACGGCTGTAATGAGCCTGTTGTCTGGTTTCTATATCCTGGTGGACGTAGAGGGAAAGGAAGAAAGTCCAGTGTTTGTCAAGGGCAAAATATTAGTAGGTCCGTTGTTTTCACCCTGTGGGGAAACTGCAATGGCGAGGATATCTATGGTTCCTTCGCACTTTGCCCTACTGGGCCAGCTCCTTGTCCGTTGGTAACTCGACAATCCCCCTCCGCACAATGGGCGGCATACTCTCTCGCTTGTCACCGCTGCCGCAGATCACCGGCGCCGACCGGGCGGACTGGGAACGACGGCGACAATGGGAAGAAGCGCATCCGCCCCCACTACTCGTCCCACCGGAAGCCGATGAAGGTGCGGGTGTTTCGCATGGTTTATCAACCCCGTTAAGGTCGTCCCGCACAGGGATGGGACGTGTCTGGTTGCATATGCTGAACGTGAAGACCGTGACTTGCTTGGACAGCCGAATCCATATAAGGTCAACGCACGAGACGCGAATGAATATCTTCTTCGCGGTGTTGGCGTGGAGGACCCGGAAGAAAACGGTGGGCAGGCTCACCCGCGGATTGTCAAATAAGCCCATATGATATTGCGGTCGCGAGATGATAAATAAAAGATAAAGCATAACTTCCAGCTAACCATGCACTAATCATAGATACCTGGGCCGCCTTACCCTAGGATTTAAACTCAAATTCATGAGCCCGGGCCTCCTGGAAGTAATGCACCTGCTAGTCCTCCCAGTCCCTGTCGAGAACAGCACCTCGGGCCCGGACAGTCTACCCCCCCTTCTACTTTAATACTACTGCTGGGCCCTGTAAGCCCTCTTAGCCCTCTACTTCCTATACTTGCATTCCGTCTACCTAAGTAGCTTCTGCACCTTCTCTGTCTAGGTCCACCTGGACTTCTCTACCGCGCTAATAGGCTTTATCTACGCGACCCTGCTAACCACTAAACAGCCCTTAGCCTAGTGCGGGTATCACTCTAGTAGGAGCCATCTTAATTTCTGCGAGGCTGAAGTTGAATATAACCTGAAGATAGGGAGCCAGCTCAAGGTAATATTTATAACTAGGCGACGCTTCTCTAGCGGCTGCTTCTAAAGACAAGTACTCTCTATATCTACCGCCTAGGGCGAGTAAGGTCGACTAGCTAATGCTTTTCTTAGGGGATAATTTAGATAATTAGCCTAGGGATTAGAGCCGGGATCTTGAAAGGGAGCGGCTGGAGGAGGCGAGGATGAGGGGTATTTTTGTCAAGGCGTGGAGTGGGGAGTTCAATGATGTTGGCGAGGTGATGTCAGACTTGAGAGTGCTGTTGGAGAAGATGGGAGTTGAGGTTATTGGTGAGAATGAGATCCTACCAGATGATGGAAAGTTTTGGGAGGATATTATAGTTGTGGTCCCCCCACATGACGAGCAGGGGTATTGGAGCGATATTAGGCTGCGTGAGAGCGGAGGTCTAGACTCTAGGGCTCGGACAACGTTGAGAGAGAGGCTGAGATTCAACCAAGGATACTCTTCTGGGAGGCGCATTTCCACCAGCAGTTAAGTCCTTCGTAGACCACTGCTTTTTCCAGTACATTACACTGCAGTCTTTATGGGCCAACAGACAGACCATAGAAACCATGCTTTACTGTCACCTCTAAAGCTACCGATTCAGGAACAGGCGTACGAACCCAGGTTAGATACCAAACCGAGCTTACCAATTGAATCATGTGAAGTTGGATTGCCCGGGTGGGACTGTGAGATCCAAGGCCCAAGACAGGACAAGCAAGCTGGCTGGGGCGGAGAATAAGCCAAGGCGTGGCCAATTCACCTTGTGCTTGCACATCTTTCTCGTGGATGCTTACAGCTCAGCCTCAGTCCCACGTCGCTTACAGTATTTCCCGAGTCTTCATTGCTCCATCTCTAGATTGTTCCCCGTATTCCTCCCTACCGTGTCGTGTTCTCCACATTTACTCGTATTATAGTGGCATGGCCACCTTAATCGAGAAGCGCACGGACATCGAGGCTACACATATAAAGCGCCCCGCGCCTGTAACAGGTTCTAGTCAGCCCAGCTCCACAGATCCCAAGAATCTCCATTCAACCGTTGCCTCATTCCCTGGAAATGAAGTTCCTGACCACAGCCTTCGCCCTCGCTCTCCTCCCCCTTACCCTCGTCGCCGCAGACAGCCATCGCCCTGCCCCTGAAGAAGGCGACCCCTCGGTGAGCCCTGTGATCTCGCCCGCCGAGCTCTTCGAGCGCGCAACGCTCGTCACCTGCTCGATCATCAACGTCTCCTCATACGTCAACTGCCGCGATGGGCCGGGAACCGCCAACAAGGTCATAGCGACGGCGCGTAATGGGGACAAGTACAAGTTCTCGTGCTTTGCGAAGGGAGAGTGTATCAATGGCAATTGGTGAGATTCGGATTCCCTTTTGTGTTTGTTTCGATTTGACCCCCTGTCTGTTGCTGCTTGCTCCAAGGTATTTGCGATTAACTAACGTACTATACTTTGTGTGTAGCACCTGGGACCTCCTCGTCTGGAACGGTGGCCGCTGCTGGATTAATGGGTATTATACCTCTGCGGCGTGTAGCATGGGTGAGCCCCTCGGACGCCATTTATTCCTCGTCCCCCACATTTTTTTTGTTCCTCGCTGGAACGGACCTGCCTCGCAAGCTGTCCGGCTAATATTGCTACTAGCGAACCTCGGGACTGATTGCTGAGCAATAACCTCTTGTTCAACCCCAATATGCGCAGATCAAACCTGTAGGCTTTTTCGGTCATTAACGTAGCATTTTGTGTGTCTTCTCCCGATAGCCTCATATGTCATGTTCAACTTTCACCCGTGACCCGCTAAAAATAGATGAGGTGTTTGGTAGAGAGAGCGCGACTGGATCTGGTGGTTGATTGAGGAGAAAGTGGAATGAGCAAGCGTGTTGGTCTCTGCTGTTATCTGTGGGTTTTGTAAACACGCTAGATCACATAATCATATTTATCAGGAGTTTGGATCTATGTATGTGCTAATACAAGCTTTGGTAACTTTCTTCCATAGGCCAAATATTCAAGACTATATTATCACTACATGGTAAACCCGGGAGTAAAGAGACATACATTTAGCATTGGTCCCTCAACTATATGCCCTTCCTAGCCCTTGGATTAAGAGATTACTACCATACATTTTATACATACTCATTAATCTTATCAACCAAGCAAGCTCTATTCTGTCACAAACCATGGCCTCTAACCACAAGTCAAACAAAAAGATGCAGCCCTCTCGCTTGGCCAAGTACTGCATCATATATTCCAAGACCTTGTTCCAGATGAAGAGATCGACGCCACCTAAAGCGTGTGCGCATCACCAGGCCATCTTACTCGCACTCACCCAGCACTTCCAAGGTTAGCATCTCTCGCTCCTAAAAGCAGCAACACGCCCAGGTCCCGTGGCACTTCTGACCACGCTGACCATGGTGGTGGCATAAAGTACGGCTGAGCGGACGGACGGGAAACCGGGTCTGTTCTCCACACCCTGTAGTTGTATGTATACTAGATTGAACCATTTTTAAGAAACATATTGGATGCTTCAAACCCTGAAGATGTGAGCCTGATGATGCATTGGTTTCAAATTGTTGTCGATGAGCTGGTACCTATCTGCCGCCTTGTCGACGGAGGGGCTACAGACAGACTCCCACAATGCTTTTTTTATATGAGTCTTTCATCATTCTTATAAAGACAAGGTATTCTAGCTGTTTGTTGCGCTTTCACTTGCCCTTGGGAACCGCGTCCATGCTAATATATATTACAAGATTATTCCCTTTAATACTTTTCCTTGACACTGCAGTTCACCCTTCTTTCAAGGATTAAGGTAGAGTAGGACTGGCAAAATATGGCATTTACCTGGCACTGAGTTCAAAAGATAAGCCCTCCTGCTTATCCTACTCTACAACTTCTGGGAAGTCTAGATATATGAAAGCTTGGCCATATTCAGTAGTCAGTACTACCTTCCTTTTCTAGAGATTTTTGCAAAGCAGTGGGTATCAGCTCATCCATGGCCTGCTTGCATTGGCTTCTTTATACACTTTCCATTGAATATCATGGTAGTAAAGGCAAAGAAAGAGGGCAGAATATACAACAAAAAGCGTTTTCTCAAAGCGTCAACAAAGACATTCTCGGGAACAAAAGAACACGGCAAAGAAAGACAGTCAGGTTCAAAGCATATACAAAGCCCCCAAACGGCAAATATATAACAGACCCAGAATCCCCCCGCCACCCAACTCGAATAGTCTGAATCATCTACACGACCGCCAAAATGCCCCGGCTACCTCCAGACGACCTCTGGATCGCGTATGGACAGCGCCACATCAAGCTCCAAACGGGCAAAGACGAGTTTCTCCCCTGGATAGTCGACCACCCCGCGCACTGGATCCTCGCAGTAGGCCCCTCCGACGACCGCGACCACTGCACGGTCTACCACGTCAAGGGCGGACCGAGAAACTACAAACACGCAGTTGAGCAAGACGTCTCGCTCAATGCAGAGGCGATCGAATCCATCGCCAAGGTCGGCACGATCCCTGTTGCGCAGCGTGCGGCATTCAAGAAGATTGTCGAAACGCCAGTACCGCAGCGGTGTCAGGATTATGTTGCCCATGTCCTGTTGCTCTTAGCACGGGAGAAGATTATTTCCATGGAGGTTGCGGAGTATCATGGTAGGCAGGTTGACAAGTCTGTATATGCGCAGTTGGTTGATGGGCCGGATCCGGCTGTTGATGTTGACCCAAAGGATGTGGAGCCTGTAAATGCTGCAGGGGCTTCTAGAAAATGTGAGCGGTTTGCGAGGAAGAATAGGTTGGGCTTGTTGGTGTATGATGCGTGTTTACAGTGATTGCTCGTCAGTTTCAGTCATATCCAATATGTTGTTTATGTAGTCATGGAGCGTTGGTAGCAGTTCTGTTCAATAGTATTCTGTTTTCTTGATTGGTGGCATATTTGTGTCTTTAACCTAGAGTAGTCACTGGTACTAGGTATTTGATGAGCGTTTGTAAGAGATAAAACCCCTGTGTTTTTTCATATCTGTTCTTATGTCTACAAGCCTATCATAAGGAATAAGCCCGCCATTTCCAAGTATAAAACTAAAACGACGAAGAGATACAAGGGAGATAATGGTATCAAGCGGCCCTTGTGATCGCACGTGGAGAGTATACATGAGGGCTACTAGGCATCTATGGATCCATTATAAACACTTAATATAGCATGCCAGATTACGGCGCCTGCACATCAACCAACAACAAAATAATCAGCCTAAGCGCCGAATTCCTCGCTCCAAGCCTTTCCTCAACAACTCCCAACGCAGCCCGAATCTCCTCAATCAAGCACTGGATAACCTCCCACGTCCGATGCAGCGCGCCCGAGTCCAGAATCAGTCGGAGCATCTGCATCTTCTGAGCCTCGGACACGCGCTTCCCCTGTTTCTTTGCGCCGAGGAGGTTTAGCATCGACGCACGCGCAGAGGGGTCTGCCTCGCAGCATGCAATCACAGGGAACGAGATCTTGCCCTCGTCTAGGTCCTCACAGAACCCCTTTTGCTTGGCGTATGTCTCGTCTCGAAGGTTCTGATAGTCGTCACGGACTTGGAAGAGGCGGCCTAGAAGTTGCATGAGGCGCTCGAGGTCGGAAAGAGGCCATGATTTTACTGATATTGTTGGGGTTGCACTCTGCGATTGCGTCTGTGTCTCCGTCTCTGTCTGTGTCTGTGTCTCCATCGTCGTCTTCGCCGGAGCGAAAACAACCATCATGCGGAGCAACATGACAAACATGGCCCCTGTTTTTCCATCGATCATGGCCATATACTCCTGGACAGACGGACACCGCGCCTCAAACTTCCACTGCAAATCCCAGCTCTGGCCCTTGGCAAGCTCCGCCAACCCATCTAGAAACACCGGCATCAGGTCCGGATAAACGATGCTTGCGCTATGCGCCCTTTGCGCCGCATGCACGACCATGTACGTCGCACTGTTAATGCACTGCGCAGACCCAAAGACGCGGTGCGTCGTAGGACTGCCCCTGCGGAGCTCAGAGTCGTCTTGGATGTCGTCGAGGATGAGGCTAGAGTTGTGGAGGTCGGTTATGATTTCTTTGATGACAGTCAGTTGTTGAGGTGAGAGGTTGAGCCAGGTGTTCAGCGCTGCTACGAGCTTTGTGCGGATGTTTTTCGAGGGGAGCGCGTTGATGTAGTCGATTGGGCCGTTGAGGGCCGTGTCGTCAAGCTCGGTTGAGCTGGTGATGTCGGCCATCTTGACGGGGGTGCTATTGTGTGAGAGCTGCATTCTGTCCTGTGGTACAGTTACTAAAGAGTTGCTCCTGGCATTCAATGGCGCTGGTATGCTGAGGCTGAAGGTGATGCGACAGGGCGTGGGCTTAGACGTTGGTGTACCTCGACTTTGACCACAACGTTCGTGTCGCAGTGATGGCCTGGAAACTGAATTACCGGGTGATGCTATTGGCTTCGTCTCGTCAGGATGGCGATCGCCCTGCCATCACATCTGACAGCGCCGGAAAAAGCGAGGCCTCGAGACTGTCAAAAAAAGCAAAGACCCAATGACAGGCGACATGCAGAGCGGGGTGTGAGGAGCAGAGTCCTCCAAACCTCGTGCATCCTTCAGTTCGCCACAGTGGACTGCAGACACGAGAGACGAGAGGAATATGATGCCTCACAATGCGGTGCTACTAACCCAGCGTGGGCAGCGGGCTCCTGCCGTATCAGGAAATGATCCCCAGGGCTCGCGGGCGACGCCAAGCATCCAGTTCTTCAGCCTTGGTAGCTGCATATGCACCGTGACAGCTCCGCGAACCGCGCAGAGTCCGGCCTCCAGGTCGTCCAAGACCTCGCCTCACATCCGTATTCCCCCGAATTCCGACGTCGAGTCATGCCCATTTCGCATTCGCAACAGAACTGAGCCCAAAAGTCAGACTCCAGAGCTCAGCCAGCCAGATACCTGCGGACCCTGAGGAAATGCCCTCCGGTTCTTCTTTTTGAGGTCTGGCCCGGGCCGTTTGTCGTGTGACTTAGCACTGCAGGCCAACTCGGATTACTCACGCTGAGTTTCATGCATGTAAGAATGGTTTGTGCGATGTCAGTTATGGGGTTGGATTCAGCTCAGCCACCCTCAAGGTCCTGATCGTGTGTCTGCGGTATCGCTCTCTAGGGCTCGCCGGTCATTATATCTCTGCATTGATGATTGTGCGCTTGATGATGGCTTACCAATTCATCCATCGGTCACATTAGGTATCAGTGCTTAAACACGCCCTGGACGCCAAAGCTATGATCATAGAATCTTTTGGACAGCCACTACAGAAGTCATTTTACGGCTGACAAGCCACTTAGCGCCAAAAGAAGAAAAGACAGCGCCACAGGATCCGCGGGCATTGAATGGTGTTTGCCTCTGTTCAAGGATTCAGCGACAGCTCACGAGACGGTACCAGGCTACACACCGCCCACTGAGTTCTGGAGAATCGGGATGATCGGATTCAAGACCCATCCACTCACTAAGGTAGTCATGGTTCCAAGATCAGAGCGATCCACTGGCCCCGGTAGGAGTAGCCCGTCGGTAGTAGAGAGGCTGTCTGAACTCGCCTGAAGGTATAAATACCAAGTAGGAAATACAGATCATGGAACATTGAAACTTCCCCAAGGACAGCAGCATCATCAGTTCGACTAGTTGATCTAATTGCCTCTATCTTTGACTTGATCCCAAGATGCATTTCCCAATCTTCACCACCACTCTGACCCCCCTTCTCCTCCTCTCCGCCACCACAACAGCCCTCAACTTCAACCTCCGCCAAACCTTCATCCCCCTCCCGGCCTGCCTGAACGTCCGCACCGTTCTCGAAGCAACCGACACATCCGCCGTCGTAACGTCCCTCTTCACCGAAATCTGCTCTGCCTCCAACTCGCAGCCCCTCCCCGTGGACCTCATCAGCTACAACGCCCAAATCCGGCCCTTCCTCGAGAGCGTCGTAACCACCGAAACAGCCAACATGGGCGCTCCGCAACTCGCCCCCAGCTACCTCGTCCTCATCGACGCGCTCTTTGATCTTGCGCGCACCCGGTGTGGCCTCGATGCATTTGAAAGCGATGTTTGTGCGGCAGACCAGGCGGCGCTCGCGCCTGTCGGGGATTGTATCCGTCGGAATGGGTGGCAGGTGGCGATTAGGAATGCGTTGAGGATTTTGCCGCTTTTCTCCCTGGATGCTTGCAACAGGCAGGTGGAGTTCTTTGGGAGGGATGAGGTTGTTGATGTGCTTGTTCCGCAGTATGCAAGGCAGTTCGCGGCGGAGCGTCAGGCGGCTAGATAGGGGTTGGGACGAGATTGATATACTCTTAGTAGTGGGTGGTTGAGATAGTAGAAGGGATTTAGAGCACGAGTGCGGTTGATCTCAAGATTGGTGGGTTGGGGCTGAGAATGATGGGGTGGAACATGTGTGGATATTCACATTGACTTATTCAACATAAGTATATAACTACATGAGACAAAAAGCAGTCCTGCACTCAGTAACGACACAGCTATAGGCCAAGCCTGCGTCTGTCTCCGAGGCACGGCCTGGACACCCTCCCCCTCCTCGGAACATGAGTCCCCGCTCAAAGGTGGGCCATCCCTTCTGTCCCTCCTCTGCCTTCTCTGCCACCCAATAAACACCCAAAACAGCTGAATGAACCGAAACTCGGGCCAGAGACACCGCACAGTGACAACCTCAGTGTTATCCCGGATGCACTGCCACAGCAGGAAATCACTCAGCCGCCGCTCGCCCGAAGTCCGCACGATCATGTCCAGCGGCGGGCAGCCTGCCGTGTACATGTTCTCGGACAGCGAGTCCACGCTGATCGAGTCCGAGCACAAACCCGTACTCGCATTGCTGCTGTTACTGCTACCATCGACAGCAAGAGTACAATCGGCGACAGTCCTCCTCATCGCCGTCGCAATCTCTTCTTGCGCGGTATATCCCACGCAAAAGTTAAGGACCGCGTTGGTATTATATCTCGTCCGCTCCACAACACGCCTTATATATTGCTGCACATCCTCCGGCAAGAGATCCAAGCGTCCCAGAAACTGCACTCGGGCTTTGTAGCCATGCTGGCAAAGGTGCTCTATGAGCTCCATGTCGCTTCTGACGAGGCTCAAAAGGGCCTTAATCTCGGCCTTGGGCCTCTTGAAGTTCTCGATGCTGAATACGTACACGGTTATTGCTCTTAAGCCGTAGATGAGGCAGTTGTCGATTGACTGTTGTTTTCTTTTAGTAACTTGCGCTTTGTGAATGGCGGCGGGCCTTGCGTGCAGGGATACAGAAGAGTATATGCATACCTCTTTCATCACCTGTGCGCCCAGCATATAGCCATCAATAAGTGGAAGCTTCTTGGTCCTTGCGTAGCGCCGGTTCCCGTCCATGATGAAGGCGACATGTTGCGGGATGGGGCCTGTACGAAGGACGTTGAGGAGAAACTCTTTGGTATATCGCTCGATTCGGTCTCTGAGGCGCGATTCTCGGGAATCCTGCGAAAGTACTGACGATGACATGATAAAGAGACTGGGCGTACTCTGTAGGAATTGAGGTTCAAGGTCTTGTCCATGTACAAGTCGTGCAAGAACGATCCGAGAAGCGCAAATCTTAGAAGAACGAGTACAGAATGTACTTCCCTGCTCATGTCAAGCTATGCAATGTGAGGGGATGGAGAGCGCGAGACTATTTTATTACTGGTGTGTCTAATTGGGTGAACTGCGTCGGTTTCTGCGACCTGCACCGACTGACACCTGTCCAGGGATTTTCCACGAGCACATCTGCTTCTTGCGTCGGTCTCCAACTTCTGTCGGGCTTGATTGGCGTACGGAGCACTTCAACATTCAGCGTGACCTGCCGTGTACTTTTGCTTATTTTGACTTAGCTGTGGTATGGGGTTATCGCACTACATATGCAGCTAGTGCAGAAGGAGCGAACTATTGTCTTTAGGTTCAACGTGATGTGATGTGTCAGAACCATCCTCCACCTTGCAAGTCCAGACTCCAGAGCCAGTTCAAAGATATGCTAGTCTCCATGTGGTTATCGCTGGCTGACTGAAAAATCCGACCAGATCAATGATCACCCCCATCAGCGCGGAACTCGGCCGATCTTCTTCGAGACAGTCAGCAGAAACGAACGGAACAATTCGTACATAGTACTTCGTACTGCGACAGCGGAATCTTTTCCAACTTTCTATTGACTTTGACACAATTCTTCTTCCAGATACAGCACAGCACTACCAATGGAAAAACCCCAATGCTCCTCGCCTCTCAGTCCAGATGAGCTGGCCCGGCTTGCACCAGCGGCATTCACCACGCTCCCCGTCCGGATCAACCGACACGACCAGCAGGCGCGAAAGAGTAGTTTTCATTTCGTGAAAGCTTGGAGAGATGCTTCGCAGCAGTCGCCTTTGAGCAAGCAATCCACGATCAATTGGGAGAATCTCAGCTCGTCTAGTCCCATCGGCCACTTGGCGTCCCTGGTACACCCGGAATGTCGACCAGAACTACTCGTCTTTATGGCAAAGGTGTTTGATTATGCTCAGATACACCATGGTATGTGTATCCTGCCAGATTCTGTTTGGTGTAGATGTGGTATGCCGCGGACCACTCAGTAACTGACTGCGAGCAGAGATTGTGCAGCCGGGAAACGAGTCAATAGCCAAGGTACGTAAAGGTCCTCAAAATAATTATTTTTCTCTAATTTCAAAGACTAACCCGGTCAAGCCAAGCTTAACTCCCGAGTCAAACCCGCAATCACAGGCCCCTTCAGAACCAGAGGCAGCGGACACCTTGGCCGCAATGTTATCTCCCAACCCTGTATACAAGCGCATTCAGCTCTCCCTCGCATCCGAGTTAATGGAAGTCCACGAGGACAACCTGCAGGCTGCTCTTGATTCCGCATCCGTTGTTGTTAAAGCGATTTGGCTGAATCAACAGGATGCGTGTGAACCCACGACGTTTGACCAGTACTTCCTGAGCCAGCAGGCCAAGGGGAAGTAAGTTATTTCTCCCGCCTATTTTCTTGGGCTAGAGGAGCCATAGTGTGCCAGTTGTCTCACAAATTTTATTAGAGCCCTGGAGACGACGCTCCTCCTCGAGGTGGATCTCCGACCTACCTCTGCTGAGCTTGTATGTGCAGAAGATGTTCTTGCGCCGCTTCGCGTTGCACAAACTCTTGCCCTTGAGTATTTCAGCTACGTCCAGACTGTGGAAGAACAGAATGTCGGAACCACGTCTAGTTTATCATCTTCGTTGCCGACGAAAGGCGTCCCTCTGCTCATGGCTGAACACGGCATATCCAAGAAGGAGGCACTGGCAATTCTTCAGCGGAAGATTGTAGCCGCGGAGCAGGAACACAGCGATAACTATATATCGTTCTCTGAAGACAAGACTATGCCCGACAATATCCGACAGTATGTCGAGCTGATACGATTGGCAACTGGGGGTCTTCATGTTTGGGCCTCGTGCACGCCTCGGTACCAGCGCAATGCGATGAGAAGTGAAAATGCGAAGGGAGCGGGGCTTATAGGGACCAACTACGAGCGGCTGTCGTGGATAGGGCCCAGATCTGGATCCGGCTTCGTTTTGGGTTTCTGGATTCTAATTGTGGTGTTGGTGTTTCTGGCGCAAGGGGCGTTTTCCTCTTCGTATCGATTCAGGCTCTAGGAATGAAACATCGATACCAATATATGACTACACCTCGTGCAGGAATGAGCCTTCTATCTACGTAGCTCTGTTTCCCGCAGCTATACAACCGTAGCCACAAATAGCCCTAACTACATTCATGGATTATATAATCAGCACTATAGTGATGAACGACAACAACTCGAGAGATTAGCAGCTCATTTCCAAGCTGTACAAAACGTTACCAGACAACCAAACCGCGACTCTGACCGCAAGTACCCTATACAGACTTTCCCCCTTGCATCCACCCACCATCCGCTCCCTTCCCCTCCCTGATCCCATCCCCCTCAACAGAAAATCCCCAATCAACTAAATCCACCACAACACCACCTAGGTGAGAACCAAGAAAGACCGCAAGTTCCTCGGCAGAACATAACCGAACTCATCGGAAGCAAAGTGGGTGATTTCGTCTCTGCAGATGCCATCGGCGTAGAGCGAGAACTCGATGGCGCGGCCCGGGGAACCGGCGTTAAAATCAACAATTTCGCCCGCGGCGCAGGAAACCCTCGTGCAGGCGCCTGTGCCCGTGCCCGTGAAGGTTTGGCCGCAGGCGTTGATTGTCCAGGCGTTTGCCATGGGGAGGGCGGCGAGGGTTGTCGCGACAATCGAGGAGATCATGGTGGTTTTCATTTTGAGATTGTGTTGTTTGCTTTCGGGGATTAATCGCTTTGGCTCGATTGGTTTTGGTATTGGGAAGGCGGTAAATTAATGTATTCGTTTGTAGTTTGGAAAGTGTGCTGTTGATGAATCGAAGAGAGAAATACTGTATGCAGGGAAAGTCGAGGCCTTATATATTCCTCCGTCGAACACTTCATTCATGCACTGTGAAACAACACGTCAAAGAAAAGCTAATATTAGACCTCTCGCAAGCATCAATCGTGGCTGAGCCTTACAGACCGCACTGGCGAGCTTATGCCAATGCCAGGGTGCCTTACGTCGATCTGTAGATCTTGTCCTACTGCAGCTCTGACTCGACGAATCAACAAGAGAAGATCAGAACACCAAGGTCTTAGCGTCCTTTGAATTGGCAGCCTTATTTTAGGCCCGATCTCACGGGACTAATTACTTTAAAGATCTTGGGGTAGTATGGGGCTCAGATGGACTCGCCAAGTGCATTGCCTCTCACTCGACATATTTGAAGTGAGACACGGCCAATTGCTGTATGGTCGCTGCATATTGCCCGAAGAAGTCGGCGAGCGTAGCATACAGATGACGAAGAGGGATTCGGAGATTTCCCCCCCTAAAATGACTGCATGGCTCGTGCGACGTGGTCATACTGCTGGACACTCTGGAACCGAGCCTCAACCTCGGGGCTTGCGAAAACCCCTAATGATCCCGGCTGTCAGCAGCAGCGCAAATAGTTTCTAGAAAAGAGTCTTTTGGATTGAACGGCCTACGACCCCAAGGATTAAGTGCCTTCCGTGGGATTGACGCATAACCCTCAATCCCTGCTAGCACTATCCATTCCTTTGTCATTCATCGGCAGCAGCTACCTTCCATATATTTTAAACTTCGGCGTGGCTGCTGGAAGACCTGCTCTGCAATGTTTTGATACTGAGTTGCCTTGTTAGACGAAACTATTCAAACGGCTGGCCTGACACCCCAAACCGGCAGGGCTGTGGTTACTATAGCAGGTAGAGCGATACGATCTGAGGTTGTGCAAGGGGCGGGGAATGGGGACGACGAGATGGGATTGCCTATCATGGATATAGCAGAGATTGACCCTACATTTGGGAGTTGGTTTCTGGGTTTAGATCGTGGTGTGGTTTTAAAAAGATAGAGCACATTCGTATCTTTTGTACGCATTTTATGCTTTGGGGAGAAGTTGTCATATGGTAGCCACATGGTATGAAAGAGGGCTCAGGGCCATAGTTTTAGTACAGGCTGCAGAACAAACCCACCAAAGAAACAGAAGTTTACTACCAAGCAGACCTTTGGAAGAATCATGGTTGGGAACTACTGGCTGCCATCGCGAGTCTGGGCTTGAATGCCTGTTGTTGCACTGCAGCTCTGAGTTGGCGAATAAACAAGCGTTGAGTTGGAACGCCAGGGTTGAGCTGGTACATGAGGGTCAGGCTTACTATCGGCGGAGCCCATGAGACTTGTGGATTCACGTTGCAACTATGCTCGGCAATCTACACTGCCGAGACAAGATGATCTAGCTCAGACAGTTCCGGTCTGAATGGCATAAGACAGGATGAGCAAAGTATCTCGAATGTAAATAACCCTGTGGACAGTACTATTCCTTTCCTGTGCTTCTGACAGTAGCCACCTCCACATCATCCCTGTCCCCATGAAACCTCTGGAACCTCCTTCTGAGATGCCTCATCCCAGCCCCCTCTCGTACCTCACTCGGACTACCCCCTCGGGTCCCAGTAACCGGCAGCGCCCCATTTGTGGACTCAGACGCGCGTCTGCCGCTACTATTAACTTCCAAATCAAGTCTTCGCTCGGTATACCAGGAATAAGCAAAATACATCGCGAGAACAAAGAAGGTTAGCGGGGCCGTGATCGCCCAGTATACCCAAAAGGTTCCCCGCGCTATAGAGTGACCGGCTGGGGCAGTGAAGTCGAAGACTGGCATTGCGAGAAATGTCTAGATAGTTGTGAGCATTCCAACACGAGTTGCATTAGTGGACTGGTCATAGATATGGCCTTGGGCAGGAACTTTTGCTTACTGCTGCAAATGTCGGCGGGAGAAAGAACATGGTCAACAGGGCAATTGCCTTCATCGCGGACGTATCACGTTTCGAGGCTGTGGCGATCTGTTGCGCTGTGTGGTTGTAGACCTGCTCGACATTATCTTCGTTACTTGAAGACACTTACTTGGGTGTTAGCTGGGAGTTGGGTGGTCTCACGTACAGCGGTCATTTGCGCTTGGGCTCTTTTCTCAATGAACCGGAAATCGGACAGCAGCACCTGGGACTTGCGCTTCGTAAACTGTATTGATGCAGATAGAATGCGCCCTGTTTCTGGGATACTGTCAGGTGCTGTTGCACTCCCGGCTTGGTGGTTAATGAGAGCATCTAGACTGCTCTGGATACAATCAATCATAACATCCAGAGTCTCGCAGTGTGTTTCCCAATATGTGGCAATCTGGATAATCCCAAGGACCTCGTTGGTGACATCCGTCTTCCTGAAAGCCTTGGTAGTGGACGATGAACCCATTTGCCCTTCTTCGTGTGGGTTGGCAGACGCCCGTATCAGCGGCGCCCCTGTTCTGCCGCTCGTGGTTTCGACTTCGAGCAATCCCTTCCAGAGGTATAGATTCCGGTCATTCAGGAATGTGTGCTGATATTCGGCGAAGAGGACTGGCAGCAAAAGAGGGTGACGGGCCAACATGGGAAGGCTCGTCAGCTGCTTATGGAGAAATCCCTGCTGAGACTCGGTGCAGCCCAAAAGGAGTGCATATGTCACGGCGCTCTTGTGGTCGTAGGTAATAGCCAGTGCGATATCCATCGCTGAAACGCCTCGCGTGGATCGTCTCATTGTATATCCTGGTCGGTGACGGGATCAGCGCTGCCGGGACGAAGATAAAATGATTCAGGGTATTAGTAGTGTACCGGTCAAAGATGGATCCCTCAGTTGGTGCTCTTGGAAGTGGGATACTTGAGTCAGGAGATTCCATGTCGTCGCAGCTGGCAGCCGAAACACACGCAGTAGCTGCCGATATCTTTGTTGCGAGAATGGAACGGTTGTCGTGCTCGAAGAGGCGTATTCATTTCCTCGGACAGGAAAGTTGACCGTCGGGATTACTGATGGGGGGAATGGCTTATTCGCTGGTCCAAATCTGTTTTTATCACGTTAATCTCAGCCGCTATATCCATATGGGCTTCGAGATTCATTTTACATTAAGCGAAGACCTCCTGTTGCTCGCTCCGGTAGATCAGCTGCCTAAAATATAGTATGTCAGATCTGATACATTCATCAGCTTCCTGATTCAGATTGTCTTACACTTTTTAGGCTCTCTCCTAACTCCTGATCATTCACACTATCCAGGCCAACGGTGGCTCGTTTCTAGAATCCCTTTATCAGAATTCGTGGCCCATAATTGAAGAATAGACTTACAGCATAGAAGTCGATTCTAACAAAGTTCACAGTCGCTGGCTTGTATGTACAGTAGTCCAGGAGCTCGGCCCTAGCATATCCAGAGAGAATTTCAGGATCCATATCTCACATGCCAGAGTCTCTTAGCAGCTTAGGCGATGAGTACAGCCAAGGGTTGCGTCTTATAAGTGGGTAGGGGAGGCTGATTTCACCTGATTATAGCTAGATTTTGGGGTAATAATTGCCGTGAAAGCTCGTTGGACAAAAGACTCCTTCTTACGAGGTTCCTTGCGGCTTACACCATTTCTCGGGTCTCTATTGGCTTTATCCCCTTGGGCCCCTGTCATTGCCATCTTACCTGCTGCAAGCTTTTCGCGCTGACGTGTTTCAGGAGCCAGCTGACAGCCAGCCAGCCAGTCAGCCTTGCCATCATTTATCAGGCTTTCCCCTCGCCCCACCCGCAGTTCATCGTCAGCTCAATGCATTTCTCACAATGGCTTCACTCGATATAATTCATGACCCCGGCACAGCAGCAGACTTGGAGTACGCAATTTCCCCTACCACGGAACAAATGACCCAAAAAGCTAACCGATAACAAGTATCGTTCTAGTTCACGGACTCGAAGGGGACAGTCAAAGCACTTGGACATATGAGCCCACAAATCTATTCTGGCCTCGCGATCTCCTCCCAAAAGACTTTCCCAATGCGCGGATCTTGTTCTTTTCTTATCCCGCCAGTCTCACGTACTTCTTCCCCGACGCAGGCGATCATGATCCGACAACCACACCTGGTCGTCATACTCTTGAGCTACGCGATGCCCTAACTCGACTGCGGGAATTACCTGAATCCGTGAGTCTTCCAGGCCTCTATGAATAGATCCTTCTTTTGAGGCGGTGCGAGGAGCCCACGTGGCCCTCTAAAGCTCCTTGGTCACTGACCGTCTTCCTGATTCTACTGGTTCATGTGCTCATGGCCTGTCTACGCGCATAGAAAAATCGGCCGGTTATCTTCATCGCACATGGCCTAGGAGGTCTGATATGCGCTGAGCTCGCGTCGATTTGCCCACGGGACGTCCAGTCCCGCATCAAGGGGATTATCTTCCTCAGCACGCCATTTGGAGACGGACAGGACGAGTCATGGGAGAGCATCATCCGAGCATACTATATACTCTTCAGCGCCACGAACCCCGCAGTTCTCCCCTCGGACTCCGCAGCAGCGCAATCGACAAACGCCCAAAGAATTATCAAAAACTTCGACGCTGTCAAGTGCTCGCGTGACGATGACGAGTCTCCCCTGAGAGTCGCTTTCCTGCTCCCGAGAAACGCAACGGAAGACCGCGATGGGAACGCCGCGATGATCGTCGAGCACGACTACGCCGTCCTAGACGATTACGACGGCACGATTGTTCTTGGGGACCAGGTTTCCATGACAAAGTTCCCCAATGGGGACTCGAGGGGGTATAAAGTCCTTTGCCAGAGAATACGCGAGTGGACCGAGAGCGTGCTCAAAATTACGGATGAGTTTTGGGGCCATTATACTGGTCATACTGCCATCATGAATAATGTGGGCTCGTTCTATGGGCTCATTAGTGGTGACATTCGATTCCCAGAGGGTTGGGGCCAGGAAAGATAATGGTATTTACATCCTTTCCCCTCTCCCATAGCTCTGAAAGGCCTGCGTTTAGTGAACCGGACCCTTGAGGTGAGCTCTGAGTGCACAAGTCACGCAGTCAAGCTCAATCTTCGTCAACCTTGAGTCAATTACCTTCTTCCAGTATCCCAGTGACCAGATGATTGCTCCCTACAACTCTATGGTTTCCCCATCTCCTCTTCTTTCACTTTTTCTCCCTTGATGGCGTTGGCAACGATTCACCTCATCTTTTGTGGAGCCCCAGGTAGTTATCTAGGGTGATACAATGTTCCAGGGTTCTCTGCACAACCTACCTCGATTCGCGACAGAGAATAAGCCTGTCTCGTTGCCACAGTCAAGTCCGCCGCGATCTTTACAACAGAACTGGTCACTTAGCGTTTCGCCGGATTGTCGATTCGTTGCAATACCCAAGCTATCAGGCTAGAGGAAGAAAGCTACAGCGAGATGTATGCATCGTGCATTGGTCTTGATTTTCTGATAATGTAGACTTCTGAAACGCGAACACTATGGCTATTTAATACGGCAAATTGAATGATATGATACGCTCTTTCTACGACAACTACTTTTTTGTGGAACTTGTGGTCTCTACTGAAACGTGGCTAGTCGTTGCAACATAGGACACATCTAATTATAGAGCATGAAGAACTCGAGTAGCCCTAGGGCGTAGACTTACTATTCTGTCATCTAACTAGTGCTCTACCAATAAAATTATTTGTTTCTTGAGTATTAGAGCATTACCAATGGCCCGTGCGCCACATGTCCTGAGGATATCTCAAATACATTTAATAGAGTGAACGATAACCATCACGGAAAACCCAGCGCTTAAACGAGATGCCGTATGACTCAAGCAATGAAGGGTTTCTGAAATCCGGATGACCCATCGCCTGCACTGTGCTTCCAAGTTGTCTGCGGAGCAAGACCACTCCAAGGCCATGGCTCCTTTTCAATCATCATTGGATCGGACCCTGTCGCTGAAGTCGCTGAAAAGTAAAACATGCAGGGAAATACGTTTCATAAATTCCCCGAATCAATCAATCAGCATTTAGAACCAGAGAATGGCATTGTCTGACATTTTCAGGGATGCATCTTCTAAGCGCCGACACCTGCATCCCGCGACATGCCGTTTAGTGTGTGTGGGAGGTGAGGGGCAACCCCCAACGCCAAGTCAACGCCCGCTCGGCACTTCCTCCGACCCTGGACGTCGACCTGCATGAGGAGAATGGTTATTCTTGGATGTGGGGATATCATTGGTTCCGGTGTCGTTTGTCGGCGGTTAAATTCGTCAGATGATTGTAGGCTTTTTCCTGACGATTTGGCAGCATCGCCTGCGGCTGCGTTTTGTGAAACTTGGTGAGGCGTGCTGCAGACCTAGGATCGGGTAGCAAGGGAAGGGGAAGCGAATGGTGGATGGAAGACGGAAGGTACAGTAGTGCTCTGTGTGACGAGGATGCCAATTTGTCTTGCTTAGCCGCTGGGTTCTGTGCATTGTGATCTGAGATCTGAGTTGGAGTAACGTTCCGCGGATGGGAGAATCCTGCGGTGTCTCAGTCTGTTGAGGGCCAGACGCCACTTGGGTTTCGGATCAATAGGCCATTGTCCATGGCGGATGACTGACAATGCCAAGTGGGAGAGAGCCTCCTTTGTAGCGACTTGGCGATCGAGCTCGTAAATTCCACGGAGGGAACCACTCTAGTTGTCAACGCCAGAGCTCGTCGTACTAGGAAGTGTAACCCGGAGTACGAAGGATATTCTTAGGACAAGCAGTGTTTGTACAACGATGACAAATGTCACTCTATAATTTCATGCAGTTTCAATGTTTCATCCATGAATAGAGAACCCAAAGACAAGGGTAACCATGAAGATGTGGTATCTAGCGCTCAATGCCGTGTATTCGAGATTTTGCTAACTCAAACCCGCCGTCGCCAGGAAAATGTTGTTGTTAAATACAGGAGAACGAAAAATCAAGGTGTTAAGTACAAGGTCCAATCATGCGGAACGAAGTGCGAGTGGAAACGAATGGAAGCACGCGTGAGTTGTACAACGTGCCATCCGAACCAGCGGATGGTGGATTGTTTACTCAGAGTACGCGTGGACGTGGCCGTGCGAGCGCCGGCGGGAGCGCTTCTCCTTGAGCATGCGAGACTTGATCTCGATTGCCTTGACGGTGAAATCCTTGGTCTGGCCGGGGGTGCACTCGGTACCCATGGCCAGGGGCTGGACTGGAGTCCAAGCGCCGCTCGCGCAGCGCTGGAAGGAGGAGCCGCCAATGCAGTGCCAGACACCGTCCTCTGTGCAGGGTCCAGAGAGAGCTCCCTCAGTGGAAGTGGGAGGGGTGCTAGGTGCAGCGGTGGGTGCAGGAGCGACGGACTCGACGACCGATGAAGTGGGCACGACTGGGCTCGGTAGAGCAGTCAGGGTAGTGGGCACGGGAGCGGCAGTGAAGTCTGGAACGGGAGCACCGATTGTGAGGCCGACACTGATAGAGGAAGTGGGATCTTCCGTGGGAGCGGCAACCGGCGTGGAAGTAGTGGCAGGCTCAGTGGTAGCGGGCTCGGTAAGAGTGGGTTCAGGGGCGGAGCCGCCACCACTGCTGTAACCAGCATCGCCCCATGTTGGGGCACCCTCGTTGCAGACATTCTCACCCTCACCGATGAGGTTCACCTCGTTGAAAGACTCGACGCTACCGGGATTAGGGAAGCGGGGCGACTTGGTCTCCTTGGTCTTGCAGCCGTTGATGTTTGCGATGAACAGGGGAGGGAATTCCTCGCGCTTCTCCAGAGCAGAGACCTCGGATCGCTTCGTCGAACCACCAGTGATGGTGATAGGCGCACAGTTCATGTACATCTCGCGGTTTCCAATTCGGTTGAACCAGGTCCAGGCAAGTGTATATTGGCCGTCGGCGAAGCTGTCGGGAATGGTGAACGAGGGGGAGAACGCGCTCTTCATGGCAGCGTTGTCACCAACGTTGGTCGCACCTTCATTGGGGTCCATGCATCCTCCCTCAATCGACTTGATGACGCTCCATTGGGTGTCCTTGGTAGGAGCACGATCCGAGGTGATACTGATTTGGCACGAACCACCACCATGGGTGGCGCTACCCTGGAACGTCAAGGAGTGGGTCTGACCCTTTGCCAAGATATTCTCCTCGGTGACAGTGTAGTCGGTTTCCTTGCAAGGGAAGTTGCTTCCGTCTTCCAGGAGCGGGGAGTTATCCCACGACTTGAAGTTGTAGGGAACGGGGTCGACCAGAAGCATGTGGGCCCTGACAAGGGAGGCACCGAGCAAGGTAGCTGCAACGACGTTGGATTTGCCGAACATTGTGAGGGATTTTTGGACGATTTCGCTGAATTCAAGAACAGTTCAACAGTTGAAAGAGTGGACTGTATCCTGATCGTACCAGACGTATCAGAATATATATATCGGATTGATGAGCACGAAGAGGTCAAGAGTGTCTGCAGGTTCGTTAGTAAAGTCCGAGGTTAAGGTGCAACTATATCATGCTGAAAGGAGCACACAAATGTACTGTTGCCAAGGAGGTCAAACTAGGCTGTACCTTAGTGCTAGAGCAGAAGGATAGATAGAATCCGCTGAGTATACAGGAAGACAGAATCTCTTTGTTGCTTTTCGTGGTCCAGAAAGGAATGTCGGTGTATGCCACAGGCAGAACACCAAAGTTTTGGAAAGGAATGTAACAGGACTAGCCTGTGCAACTGTCGAAAAAGTCTGGTTGAAAAGATCGAACCGGTCCAGCGTGATAGGAAGAGAGAGAGAAAGAGGTCACAGCATTGGCATTGAGGGGAGTCTTATATCAGGCAGTTCCCTCCCACCACCACCTGGGCACACAGACCCAAACTCTAGCCGACGAAGGGGGCATCAAGTGGGGTGACGGGGAAAGTCGTGCGCCATCAGGGACCCTGAGGTGCATTGCGAATGGATGCGTTCCGCTTGCGATGAAACAACCCGTATCGCAGGTCCACCACGATCCATCGCCTCCAGTGCAGTAAAAGACAGAGGTTGAGGTTGCTATTCGACTCCTGTTGATACTCGCTAAGCTGCATTTGGTGCTAGACCGAATACCGAGATTCTCAACGGCCCACTGCTTGTGAAGAAACCCGACCAATCAGGAAAAGCCGATACCGTAATTACCCAGTAAAGTGCAGGGTTTCAGCACAAAATCTGCGGAGTAAAGATGTACTGGCATGTATGACGAGTAGAAATTCTCCGCGTGGGATGCTTTGTCTCTCAGACTTGGCCTGTCGCACCATCCGACCCAAGGCTCCAAGTGCCTGGTTCAGCACCCTCTTTTTGCAACCATATTGGCTGGGGCAACGGCTGACATGTCACCAATCAGCTCCCTGGCATGCGCATTCAGGTCCAAATTCCCCTTGACTGAGGCGGGAAACTTTGGTCAAGACGCCTCGCATCTTGGAAGTCAGCTCCTCAGTTACATTCGGCAGGGACGACCGTCGAGGAATCATATCCTCGGCCCTGGCTGGATATATTATCTCGTATTAATCCTCATGAAGCGAGATTATCACATCTCTCAAGGTGATAAATCGCTGTTCTCCATGTCCGATGTTACGTGTACTCATCACCTCTATTCCACAATGAGTACGAAGGTGAAATGGAAGGAGAGAAGCCTTGAGCAAGACAAAGGCAATCGCCTTGGGACAACACACCACTCATGGATTCGATCATCCTTCCAGCTTCAATCGTATTCCAGAAAGCAAATGCTCGAAGGATGCATCGCCGCCGACCGCCTCACGTGGGGCGGCTACCGTGAAAGAACTCAGCCACTGACATGATCATACTTGCCGTGGGGTCTCATCAAGATGATCAACTTTTTTGGACTGGAGATCTGTTTCAGACTGGTGGGTTTTTCTGTCAATCATTTTTCTGGCGGAGAACTCCGTCTACTCCTACTACAACAGAAGCTTTACGTCCGAGAACTTTGACTCTCGCAAGAAATGTTCGGCCAACCGAGCGAGCGATGGGTTTCATCGCGTTCCCCGATATTTCTCTTACTCAATCCTAATTTCAGCTGGCAAAGTGTGGCTGAATCGGTATCATTGACAGTCTGAGCCTCTTTCAGCGCAACGCGACTCGGCAAACTTCAGTGGCGAACGAGACCAGTCCACATGTACTTTTTTACCGCCCTCGTATTTGGCAGGTACACCAATCATTAATCTGCACAAAGCACATTATCTCTCATTTGCCCTGTCAAAGGAATAAGGTTGAGATTGGGAGTCAAGGGCGGTAAATTCGAACCTTGTTCCTGACTCTCGAGATGTGCCTGACTTCCCCATTTCCACTGTTTTGCTCGCGATCACATCAAGAGTTGATCAATGAACCACGGTTCTGATGACGGTTCCGCATCCTATGATCCATGCCCAATTTTTGGAACCGGTTCGGTTACGCCCACGTTCCAATCTTCTCCCCTTCATATTATGTCCATCGGTTCTTTCAACTCCTTCAGCACCAAACCACCGGTAAGAATGGCTCAAAAACGCGTTTCATGATTTTCACCGGCTGCGATCGATTCGACAATCTTTTAAGAAGCTTCTAGGCATCGCTTGCAGTCTCAGTAGTGGGCCGCTCAAGAATAAGCGAACTCTATGGGGACTTGACGTTTCAGATAGAGGCATCCCCGCGTTGATGCGATGAGCGAGCCGGGAGCGAGACCTCACACTGACAGCCACGGAATTCGCTTGTGACATGTGCTTGGCAAGCAGAGCAGATAAGGTTTTTTCCCTCCTTTCTGCCCAGGGAAATTATGTCAAGCAAGCCATCACCATTATTGTTTATTTCCCCGTTCGTGAGCTCTCGCAACCAGTGCATGAGTGCCCGAGAATGCCCTGAACACTCTTTCATCATCAGCAAAATGGGCCGTATGAGGCAGCCGACTGGCCCTCGCAATTCTTGACTTTTGCCATGAGTCAGAAATCGAAATTTGGGACTTTCGCTTGTCAAGGGAAGAGTCAGAAGTACGAGACTGCGCCTTCATCGGGTTGCAAGTTTGAGTTGCATGCGAAATCAAGGCTTCACTACTCTTTCGACTGAATCATATACTTGAAAGTATTATAGCCTTGGGGGTTTTAAGGCACCATGAGTCTAGAGGATCGGACTCGGACATGTGTCAACCACCTTGGCACACACAAAGTGTCTACTCTACTATCTCAGAGAGCCAAGATCTAGATCTCCCGACTCGAGACTCGCGAGAGAATGAGACTTTATGGGATCCAGCATCCTAACCGAACAGTGGTCCTGGAGTATCCAGCCATGACTCCACAATGCTCCGTATATGAGCGGCCAATCTCGCTTGCTTTCCCCGCCCAATACTATTCAGCACGCTTGCTTTATTTGAGCTTCAATTGAGTATCTTTGAGGTGGCATCGGATTACCCAGGCACGGCCCCATATGAGCTCCCTGGCCAATCTCGCTTACCCTCGGTACCGATATTAGTATCGAGGTTGTCTACTTGAGCTTCATTAATTTGAACTAGTAACCTCAAATGAGGTCCTAAAGATTCCCACGGCTCCGCAGTGGTGATGAGAGAAGTACTTTTCTGAGTGTGAATTCTACTCAGCCACTTAGGTAAGGCCAGGGAGTCCAGGTACGAGCTTCCTGCATGAGTGGGAAATAACTCATCTTGTCACGAAGCACGAGTTGCTGATCACAACGTGTGACAGGCGCCAGGCGTGTGTACCTGAGCGCTAGAAAAATTCATCTGAAGTTGGAATCAAGCTTCTCCAAAAGGGCCCAACCCTGGCGCCACTTGGGCACCTTACTGACACACTGGGCAAGGATATGCATAGAATCTCTCTAGGTTGCCTGTACACCAACCCTCCCAAGCCTTTCCAAGCCGCGCATTGCTTGCAGGACAAGCATCATTCCATATAGGCGGTAGTTGCATCTCTCCAAGCCCTGAATGACACACTTACATCGGCTTGTCCGCGACTTGATCCTTATCCGTTGAATAGAAAAAGACCATTCGTTCTCCCAAAGCTGTCGGCTCAGATCCTTCGCTGGTTTGACTATGCGCTCTCCTCCAAGCAAAATGATCGAATTCAACTTGCGAATAATATCTTTTTCTCAGGGGTATTCCTTCAATACCATGAGTTTCTTTGTCTGTACCAAAACACCCAGAATGCCAGAATCAAGCGCAGTCGCAAAAGTCGTAGCAGTTTCCGTCGCTGGGGGTTAAGCGCCGACTAGAGACGATCACCAACACGATCCGCTCCCGCAAGCGCACACCATTGGGCATCGCAAGTCTAACCGCCGCCGAGCCCTGTGAGATGTTAAAAATGGACCATATATGCAGGCGTGCTCTGTTGGCTCGGCGGCTGTTGCACAGCGGGGGGGCTACACCGTCGGCGATTTAAGAGACGCAAACACCTCGCAGAAAATATGGGCTCCTCCCAAACACTGTTGATTGACGCCCGCTCCTATGGCTCGATACACAGAAGGAAGGCCATACCTGGCCACGTCACAAAGCTTCCGCCATGATCGGAGCGTCTCGTCGACAACGCTGCGGTCGGAAGCGCCCACGAAAACGGTCTTCTCCAACCAGGCGTCGGTCTCGGTCTCGGTGCGTGGTGGGTCGGGTAGGATGTTGAGGAAGCCGGCTGGATCTATTATTGCTCTCGTTTTTGAGATGTTTCTTTGTTTGGTGGCTCTATGCTTTATTGGTAGGATCCTGGAATGTCTTGTCGACGCTGACGCTTGGGATACTGACCGCTTGTTTAGCACTCGCTCTCGTGGCGATTAGTATACGTGATAGGCCAACCGGCGATAGCCTGGGGTCAGCTATGGAGCAAGCGATGCGGCTGGTACATAGACCAGCAAACCCTCTCCTCAATGGACTTTACCTAATGGAGTATAGGGACCTACGATCTATCCTATCCTCTTCGCTGCTCTACTCTCACGCTCCCTCAAGAGCATCGGGCGATATTGTGCCCAACGATCCGTTCGGATGTCGGTGGGTCTCCCATAAGCGCTTTGAGATCTCACGTCGTATTGATAGGTGGTCCAGACCTTATGGGCCTTGATGAACACCAATGCTACCGCAGACCCCATCTTACACCTTACCAGCATGCCTGCGTCGATCCTCGTCTGGATGTTATTGGTGCTATGGGCCATGTCGCCGCTCGGAGGCCAAAGCACTATCCGCCTGATGTACACAACTAATACGACTGATGTGAGCCACACAGAGCTGCGGTACTGGGACAATGGCCCTTTGGGCAATATGTTTTTTTATGCAGGTATCATGGTTGGGAACGACGGCAGCTGGCCCACGTCGATGCGCGATATGTATGCCGCTAGCATGATGCAGAGCACGAATATCAAAGCCGGGCCGCTTGACCAATGGGGGAACGTGAAGATCCCGCGCATTGAAGCTGGAAATGCCTCTGCAGCCAGCGCCGATGGCTGGATGCCCGTCCCAGCCGCAAACAGTATCGACTCATTCACGTCCCTGTTCGGCATGCCTATGGTTGGTCTCGCCGAAATCAAGCAGCAGGGAGATATCAACTTCACGATTGAGTCGACATACGTGGAGGTGTCCCATCCCACGACGTTCCAGCGAAACAGAACCCTAGACCAGCTGTATGGGATGACCCTAGAGTGTGTGGACTGCTATATGTCCCAAGGGCTCTCAGGGTTTTCGATCCGCGCACAGAGGTTTCTCGGGCTGCCCGTTCCTGAAAGAGAGAAGAGGCTCAATCCGAACACGGCGAATTATACGGACGCACGTACCCTGCGCTTCAACAACAGCGTCGAAATCTGGACCACAGTGACGACTTGCCAGGTGACCCAGCGAATGGTCGAAGCCCTAATCGAGTGCAAGGACGGGAACTGCGCCGCGACCAAAGTCCGGGAGTCAACCACGGACCACCGCGACAAGAACTACACCAGCTTCGACCTCTGGGCGTGGCTCGTTCTCCAGATGATCAGCGGAGCTAGCTCACAGCAGCCCGCACGCGAAGTGAGCTGGGGCACGGCGCCAACGGGCCTCTTCCTCAACGACTCACAAGCATTCCCCATGCAATCAGGAATGGACTACTCTAAAACAGACGTAAACTTCACCGCCATTGACCCAGATGTCTTCTCAGCTAGAGTCTCCATCCTCCTGAACACAGGCCTCCAGGCGTTCATGGCTCCAACCGGCTTTGCAGGCGACCTGCCAACCAACTTTAGCTTATATGGCCCGCCACATATACCTGGCAACGGCCTACTAGCAGTCGCGAACCAATCTTCATACGATACAGGGCTTTACACAGCGTGGTACCCACCAAAGACCGTCGGAAGGCTGGTCGATGACCTCGCGCCCTTCGTCGGCGCCTCGACAAACGCCACAGTAGCCCACTACACTGAGGTCTGGCGGCCTGACTACGCCTGGGCAGCTATCCTCATCGTATCATCAGTCCTCTTATTCGGGGTTGGAGTCGCAGGAATCTGCGTCAGGTTAAAGACGTTGGCGCCGAATATGTTCGATCCCGTTGTTGGGCTGACCTACGGGAATCCGTACATGTCGTTGACGGGGAGGGACAACGATCCAATCGATGCAGACGAACGAGCTAGCATCATCCGCGACAAGACGGTCCAGTTAGGAGAGGTCGATGACTATAAGGGGGTTAAGGTTGTCTTTGGTGAGGCGAGCTATGTTACACCGCTGCGGTTGGGCGTGCCGTATCATTGAGCGTCGTCGATTCTTTGGTCGCGAAGCGCCAGTCTTGGATTTGATCTGTAAGCGATAGCGATTCGTCTGTATGCTATTCGCGCTATGCGTAGCATTGGACTTCTTAGGTTCTGTGGTGAAACGAATTGGCCATTGGGACATGATGTGACATTTGAATCCTTCGCTACAGCTCCAAGCAACCGTAGCCAAGCGGTGACATTCCAGGAGCTATCCTAAAACAAGGATCCGGAGGAAGCTCAGCATAGCCGACTTACTCCTCCGTCTCCTGTGGCGATCATGTAACGTCGCGAGGAGGCCTGGCCCGGAACTCTGGAGCGTCTGAGTACTAGCGTGTTTGAGGTTGCTGTATACGAGGCATAGCCTTTGGGCGGGGGTTCGTCAGTGGAAAAATCGTGAAACAGGGATTAGTTTCCATATTTTGAGCTTACTCCGCGATATTATATCAAGCTTTATCTGGAACGTAGCTTGGAATCTTGATTAGCATGTGAAAGTGCCAAAGATGATGAGCTAGTGGCAGGCTCCGCCTCGATTTCTTCTCGCGCGATCTATGCGATTGAGTGTCAGGTGAAAAACTCAAATATCTCGAGTCAACCTGGGGCATTTCTGAAATGGACATGCCATGATGGGGTATTTCGTCGGTGAACCGCACTGTATGTCGACGCAGAAAGAAGAAAAAAACTCGGACTCCATTCTCTAGTGTCATCTCATCGTGTAGCGCTCTATAAGTCTATTCTTCCGTATCTGAGAGTGAAGCTCGAGCTTCCCATTGGGGCGCGAGAAACCCTCATTCATCTCCTCTTGTTGATCGGCGCTGCGCGGAAGCCAGCCCGATAGGCTCGTACCCTGACGGTCTCAATAATGTCCCTAAGTCATGGCATATCGATACGCTCGACCTGCTGAATTTCCATGCAATTGACTATGCTGGAGATTCGAGCGAGGATTGACCGAAGCTATCCGAACCACTCAGGGCCGCGAACTCAGCCTCGTATGTGCCGTCTTCTAAGATACCGACAGTCACGCGAGGGGCTAGAGTCTCTGGCCAAATCAGTCAAACCCGTACGACGATGACGGAGACCCCGGGCCGTGGTTACGGTCGTAGGTCGTATCGCTTGAACCATGCCATCTGCATCACATCCGCCTTGCGAGTCACGGCGTGCGTTTCCCAGAACCAGCAATGCCCCGGTTTCCAGAGCTCACGCTCACGCTCACGCTCATCTCTTTCCCTTCTTCTTCCCCTTTTCGCCCCCAGTATTCTCCTTCTCCTTCTCCCGGCCAAACCCACCTCTCACAAGGGCATCCCTCCCCACAGCATTAATGATGCGGAACCGATCCGGCCCCAAGTGAATCCCACCATACCATCTCGTCACGACCACAACAACATCCCACACATCCATCAACTGCATCAGATGCAAGAGACGCCCACCCGCCGCTGTCTCGCCGTCATCGTCGCAGTCCTGGATGATCATTTCGCCAGGCGTGTTATTGTTATCCTTCGATGTCGGTTTCTTTTGCTGCCGGATCCGCCACGCGCTGATATTATGCGTCGCGGACGCAACCTTCTTATCGCTCGCGAGCAGGTAATCTAAGTATGCCTGCGCCTGGTCCAAACTGGTAACGTGTGCAGCGCGACCGACGAAGACGGATTTCTTCTCTGTGACGACCTCAGACAGGATCCAGTCGGGCGGGTGAGTAAGTCCGAAAGTCTCGTGGAGGGACAAGGAAGCGAGAGTCGTGTCAAGGGATGTTATATGGTCCTGTCCATGTCCACCGGAACTGTTCGCTGTAGCTGTCATAGATGCATTCGTCGTACTTGTTGTATCCTCTGTATTCGCGCTCACACTCGCGCTAGAGCCGCCAATGCTCAATTCTTCAAATGCTTCGGTCGCTTCGTTTATAACGTCAAACAGGCACACGGCGCCCGGCTGGTATGTTCGTCCGAGAATATCTTCGAGGACATCGATTGCAATTTTCCCTTCCCCGCGCGCCGCCGTCGATGCGGTTCCGAGGATCTTTGGTGGTGTTTCCGGGTACGTAGGTTCAAAGGCGAGGAGGAAGGAGAGGTTCGGATGGTTGGGGATCTGCAGTTTTATTGCTGTCGCGGGTGATGTCGAGGAGGTCGAAGGCGAGGATGTGTATGAGGATGAGGAGGATATCGTGATCGTGTCGGGGTCGTAGATGGCGTTTATGGCTTCGACTTCATCAGCCAGTTCAGAGTTGGCTATATCAAGTGCGGAGGACATTTTGTTGCGTAGGATTGAGCCATGTATGAGGGGTGGATTGTGTGGTTTGCGAAAGAGGAGGTTTGTGTCGTGTGGTGATTGTTGGAGATTTGATTCTCCCCGCATTGCATAAAACTTTTATGTGTACAACGATTTGATGACTAATGTGCATATCGCTCAAATAACTATGTATACTTCTGCTGTATGAGGCGAAAGATCGCAGACAGTTGGGCCATCATCTTTCTCTTGTGGCGTCTCGACTCTAAATCAGCAGGCTTTTGTCCTATGTTCGCGCCCTTCATTTCTCATGCGACAGCATTAGGATCTAGAGCATGCTGAGGTCCACAACATCAGCCCCCTGTTGATCTCTTAAGATTTATACAGTGTCAAGCTAAGCGGGAGTAATGGTAAGGTGCCATCAAGGTCTGCCGAATGCTATGTAGAGTACATAATAATTCCAACCGGTTACCACTTTCGAACCGACCAGTCCATCACCCGAACGTGCCTTGAGCAGATTACAATCCACCCCCAGGTTCTTCCCACCCTCACAGCGGCCTAGATACTCGCCCACTCATCAGAGTTCGTCATGGGGCAATGTGTGAGGCTGGTAGCCGCGCCACGCAGAATTAGGACCGCAATGTAGTGCCATCCATTGTCGTCGAGGAGTCTTACAAGGCGCTCACGCAACGGGCGGTAGTCACGGTTCTCAGCCTTAACACCAATTTGAAGTTTTGCAGTTACCGGGTTCTGCGCATAGTCCTTGCTTTTGCCCATGTGACATAGTGCCAAAGACATAACCTAGTACTCCTTACCACTCTGTGCGATCTCGTCCGATATCCTTTTCCATAAGTCCCAGAATCGATCGTCTGCGACCACCGGCGAGAACTCATATGGCAAGAACACTTGCATATCTGCGATTTCGACGTTGATTTTGGGGAGATCCTGCCTGCGGATGTAGTGGAAAAGTTCTCTGGCTGTATCAAGCCATGTTGAATCAAGGGCTTTTCTCTCCGCAATCACCAAAAGTGTGAGAAACGGAATATCTTCGTTGTCGACTTCCGATATCCTTCCACCGAACTGGAGGCTAGCGGGTGTTATACCGGCCGCCACAAGAATCGTTCAATCTCGGCCTTTATGTCGGCGGCATCTTCAACGAGACGCTGGTACTGGCTGTGGTGTTTGGCGAGCGGAATCCATAGGCAAGGGATGCGGCACATGTATGGTCCGCCGACTCTGAGGTCCTCTTCGATGAACCCGTCGAATTGATGGCCCGCAGAATCTTCTTTGGATGAGCCCTTGTTCCGTCTTTCGCGACCGTCGGGGGAGTTTCTGCTGGGATACCAAACCCTGGGGCTGACGTAGCACTCTTCGTAGCGGGACCCTGTGGAATACTCAGCATGTGCAATGTGGATATATGTTGTGCCTGTGAGCCGCATTGGTTTCCGCCACGTCAGGTGTTCGATATCCCAATAGATATGTTGAGTGTCCATGTCCATTGTAACGTCCGTGAGAATCCTGCTTGGCAATATGAGGTGTAGAGATGGTCGAAGGAGGGAGTCTACTCAAAAGAATGGAGTCGGAAGATGCAGATGAATATGAGAGCTTCCTCGTATGAACGATTGGACGCGTCAAAGTACTCTTTGGCGACAGTAGTTGAGCTATAATCAGATAGAGCGTGAGAAGCTAAGTAATTGTTGTGTTGGGTAAACAGTCGTGCGGGTTCCTTCAGGAGATTCGGGATGTGCCACCCTGCATGCTGTTGAGGAAGGCACGAACGGCCCCCGTGTTCTTGCTGAGGGTGATATCGGCCAGCCTCTCGACATGTGGCAGGCCGGGATGGCCCAAGGCTTCTACGCTAAGTCCGATTAGCCTCGGGACTCTTGCAGCAAAGGTAACTTCTTCATCAAAGTCGCAGATAGTTTAGAGTAGAGCACTATACGACACGGGCTCAATAGCAAATTCAGCACCCAATACCCAGAAAATTAGCAGCAGGACGTATCTGCAGCCGGTCCATCGCCTGCGTTAGACCATCCTCATCCTCAAGACCATCCAGATCCTTCCGCTGCCAAAACGCTCTAAACCCTTCAACCAACCGCTCGCTGACCGGCACCACGTCATCTTCAGGCATCGCCGCAAAGCAGAGACGAAGATACTGCCAGCCACGGCGCTGAGTTTCCTCCGTCGGCGAGAACATCGTGCCGGGTCCAAGCAAACAGAGGTACGGTTTGTGTGTAAAGTGCACCCACATGGCTTTGGCCAGCCGCTCTGGGGCATACTTCTGACGCAAGGGATGAGTGTCGTAGCGCACTTTGAGCCAGATAAACATGCCTCCGGTGGGCCAGGAAAAGTCGTACATTTGTACTTTATCCAAAACCTCCCAGGAGTCTTCTTCGTCGTCAGTGAGCGACGACTCGCCGGTGTGTTTCCCTGCATCAACCGTGGTATATTGGCCCTCCTCTAGACGAATGCACATCTGCTGCATCCGATGTTCGTATCCGGCGCGGAGACCCTCCAGCCATCGGACCCAGCCGTCCATCTGCCAGCCTTCTTTCGGAGTCTTCTCTTTGCTACGAGAACTGACCGACCCGTCATCTACCTGCTGGCCGAGGATCAAATCCGCAACCATTGCCTGTACAAACCCGGATGGTTGTTGGGTAGATGTCTCTATGATGCGTGAGATTCTTTCAATCACCGCCGGCTGCGCTGTGATCCAGCCGAGGCGACAGCCAGGAGCAATGGTCTTGGAGAAAGTATCCAAACGGACAACGCGGCCGTCTGTGTCGATGGACAGGTACGAGGGCACGAGCGAATCGAGGAACTCGTATCCGGAAGATTTTCCTCCTGCATTATAGTTCCGTTTCGAGAGACTGTTCTTGTCGATCACCGTGTTCCGGTACTGTGCCTGCATCTCTGGTGCTGATGGGTACTGCAGGTTCCAGTAAGGATCGTCCTCGACGATGATCACATCGAATTTTTGACAGATCGCATAGATCTCTTTGCGACGCTCAACTGACAGCGTACCGCCGGTTGGGTTTTGTCCGATACTGTGTCGAAGCGAACTGTTAGCTGCTAAGGCTCCTTCCCAAAAGCCCGTTAGCCTTACGTTATAGTATACATCAAGTGCGGGCGACGGCCTTTGCGGTAGTCCCAGTTTTGCAAAACATCCAACAATCCGCCGGGGCCATATGGGAGCATGCCCTCTGCATCGATAGCCACCGGTGCAACGTTGAGTCCTCTCGGCTGAATGGTCTGTATCGCATTCATATAGACAAATTCCTCGCAAAGAACACCCTGGCGCAAGTGTGCCCAGTCGCGATCGGGATTCCATGTGTTTGTGAATGTCTCGATGGCCTTGGCGAACCCATCTGTTGACCCGGCGCTCAGAATAGTGGCTGGACCGTCGGCGTACGGGACGTTCGGATGAAGATGCTCGCGAACGAATTGGTTGACGAACGTCGCAAGGGGAGGTATTCCTTCGACGGTGCCATATTGTAGAGCTGTTGTGATATCTATCTTCTTCGGTGTGGCGCTCGGAGACTCTTTAGGGATGGTCAAGCGATCGGACGGATGAGGCTCTTTGGTCTTTCTTCCACCTGGGACAGTCGGGAATCGTTGTGAATGAGCGGCAGACGCTTCTAGGGTGTCATACGGAAAATAGGAGGCATTTGGCAGTCCTGGATAGTTTTCAAGAGTCAGAATGTCGAGCAGCTCGTGTGAGTTGCGAAGTGATGAGCCATACCGCCAGCCAGATTCGCAATGCCCGGAATTTGAAAGTACTTGTAAAAGCCCTTGACAGCACTAGGAGCGCGCTGCTTGGTTGTATAGCTAAAGTGATGGGACAAGTCCAAAGGAGGTGACAGCGACGCCATGATGGTTGATGGTGTGGTTGATGTTTCCAGAGCACATCTGGGGTTCAGAGTGGCCATGATGTGCCCATGAGTTAAATGAGACCATGATCTCCAAGCTGCTTGATAAGCAACTGGACCCAACGGTCGCTTTGATCTCCACAGCCAATGGAGGCGATCCGCTGGAGGTTCGCCCAACATCCTTGGTTCGTCGCTATGCCTAATAGAGGGCAAGCCGGAGATAACGGATCTTGGGTTCTTTCCCCGGATATCAAGGATGGGACGTTGCCGGTGCTGTAGGCCGGTTTAAAAAGAGAACTGATGTCTCGGATCAGTATGGAGACAACTGCTGGATAGCCGTTGAAACGGTTGGGTCTTCCGTACTCCGTACTTTGTCTAATCGAAGCAGCAACTTGAGAGAAGATCCCCCACGCGAGTTGGAGCCGATTGCTCGCCCACTGTCCTGCATATCCAAGCCAGCACGCCAACTCTATAATTTCAGGTACGCTTCAAAAACTGGAAAATCCATGTTTTCTTCTTCTGCGTTATTGGAACGTCAGGATCGGCCTCTTCGCGAATCGCTGGACAACTTGAACACGCCGACCAGGCACTGCCGATGACATAATCGCCAGTGATTGGCGCCAGCCTCCGCGCTGAAGTTATCAAGCCCGCCTCGCCGTCATCTTCGCTTCTTCTCTCCTCCAACACCTCGCTCATTCATCCTCCCTTCGCTATCTTTATCCGTTCTACCATCGCTATCCGGTTTCGCGAGTCCGTATTGATTGCGCCGCTTCCGCCGCTTCCGCCGCTTCCGCCGCTAAGACCGACCCTTCCGCTGGTTGTGAGGGTCTGTTCTAGACCACTTCCGACAATCCCGCCACCTCTTGGCTATCGTTATCTAGACCGATCGTTTTCCAACGCTCTCTCATCGCCGCTCGACCGATTTCCCTATAACATTTCTCAGAATGCTTGGTGATGGGCGCGAGGACGGTTCTCGGTCCTACATACCTCCTTCGGTAGAGGTTGACGACCAATTTGACGATCCCGACGGTGCCGATAACCTACTGCCCCGCGATGTTGACACTGGCAACACAATTCTCCCCGTCTGGTTACGGGAGTCTTCCAAGTCATTCCGCTACAGATGGGTTCCTCTACCAATTCGAAAAGCTGCTCGCGCGACAGCCAACTTCGTCAAAGGCCCGGACCCGCCGAACCCTCTCTTATTGACGCCATTGATCCCCCAAATACAAGAACTGCCGGTCCGGTACCTGAACAAATTCTTCCCGAAGCGCAAATACAAGATCTCGCTCCTCTTACTCCTCTACCTTGCGTGGTTCCTGCCGTGGACGATACTTTTCCTACACTCCCGGTCTGCAGGGTATATTGCTGGCTATGGTCGACCGCGGACGTTATCGTGCTCAACGAGTTTCTGGTAAGTCGAGTTCGGAAACTGCATTCGATCAAACTAACGAGAAATGTTAGGGCCCATGGAAATAGATGCGGACTTAATGGGAACGACTGCCGTCCATTCACAGCCGCCTCGATGGCCTTCCGATGCCCTGCGAACTGTCGAGACACGAAGATGCTTGAGCCATACACAGTTGGAAATGAAACAATCAGCTACAGAGGGCTTGTGATCGGTGGTCCGGAGCCAGGGTCAGATGACCCGGGCATTTACCGGGCCGACAGCTTCATCTGTCAATCCGCTCTTCACGCTGGGGTCATTGATAACGACGGTGGCTGTGGCGTCGTTCGCCTCGAAGGAGCAGTGCACTCCTTCCACGCTTCAAAGAAGAATGGTATCAGCTCTCTTGGGTTCCCATCGACGTTTCCTAAATCTTTCAGCTTCGTCGAGCCTTCATCGGATGCGACTTGCCCGCAAGATCCCCGATGGCCGCTGCTGAGCATCACCATTGCTGCGTTGGTTGTGCTATGGCTTTTCTGCACCTCGCCTGCGGTGCTCTTCTTCAGCACATTTTTCATGGTTTTTACCCAGATTGGATTGGTATCAGATCCTCCTCCTAAGGCTCAGGTAGCCGATCTGCTCTCTGTCTTCCTTTCGCGGCTACTTCCAGCCTCATTCGTTGCCTATGTCCTGTACAGGTACTGCGCGCGACCCCTCCTGAGCCCGTTATCTCCGCCCATATACCAGCTTAGCAAGACTTTCCTCTTCTTGCCGCCTTTGTTCTTTGCCGCACTGAACAACTACACTTTCGCACGGTTGATTCCTCTTGAACGCCTTACACCTCATGATATCCAACAACAACCCGGCGCAAAGCTGGCACTAGCTCTGGTGATCCCGACCATAATCTGCATTGTTGTGACTCAGGCCAACCAAATCCGCTTGGGTGGATTGATGCCTCACTATCTCAAGGTCTACGGAGCCATGGCGCTGATTCTCCTGATTCTGCTCGTCCTTCCCGGACTCCGCCTTCGCATCCATCACTACATCCTTGCGATTCTCCTAATGTATGGCACTGCGTTCCCGACTCGCCCGTCTCTCCTCTACCAGGGCTTGCTTCTCGGCCTCTTCATCAACGGCATCGCCAGATGGGGTTTCGCCTCAATAATCGAAACGCCTACCGCACTGGGTGAACAACCAGGCGGATCAAACGGATGGTGGGGAAGCACATCGCCTCACATCAATGACTCCTCCGTCTCCATCTCTCTCCCAGACAAACACTCCGATGAGCCCTACCACGGCAATGGCAACATCACATTTACCCTCTGGGAGCGCGAGCGCATGGAGAAGCTCGGCGTAGACGGCGTATCAGTCCTAGTCAACGACGTGGAGCGCTGGCGCGGCTACCTGGACGAGGATCCCCGCGGTGAATTTACCTGGCACCGCCACGGCCACTCGGGCCTAGAGCTCCAACACGCATCCTTCATCAATGACAACTTTGCCTCGCCCGTTCCCCTAGACCTCGAGGAAGTCTTCAAGAAAGACGTCAATGGAGAACGGGAGCAAGACCTCTCCGCGTTATGGCTTGACCGCGACGACGACGACAAGCCCGAAACGCTCTTCTTCCGCTTTGCGTTCCTGCGCGGCGCCGAAGCAGGCACGTACGGCGGCCCGGGCATCTGGTTCGACAACGGCGACTGGGTTTCGCCGCCGGAGCCGAAAAACTAGAGGGCGCTCTCCTTGTCCTTTCCCTCTGTCTCTTTGCTTTTGCCTTACCTCTGCTTGGGGGCGGAGCCGGAGACGAAGAAGGGCATGCATTTTCTGTAGTTGTACTGGAACGACATCTACCAGTGGGCCTATACCTGGCCGTGGCTGTGATTCGCCTTGGGGTAGGGGCGGGGAGGGTGGTGGCGACCTCCGGTATCTTACGTGTGACATGGTGTCGTGCGATTGGTTCGGTTTTCTCATATAATGAATTACGAATGGAATACGATATCATCTATGTTAGATATTAGATCCAAACACGTCTAGCTCGTGCCGTGGGCAACTTTGCGAGAGGCCAGGTACCGTGTGAGATTTCCTCCGCCTCCAATCTTACGATGGACTTGTCCTGCTTAGCCCTCCCCAGAAAGTCTCCTTAGATAAATCTACGTAATAGCTTCTCTGAAAACGTATCCATAACTCCAATATTCAGATCTAAGTAGAAAGGGGGAATCATATACAAGGTAAACGAGTCGAAATGAGGATGCGACACCAGTACGCATCCACGCATACATTGGCTATATGTAAAACCAAGACCGCGTGAAAACCTTGCCCTTTCGTATCTCTCCCCATCAAGGGAAGCCCGATAGAAGGCAAGGGCGAGAGGATCGAGGTCCTATCCTACTGCAAGTAGTTTTGTGTCATGTCATGCTTTCTGGTCCCCCGCCCCTCCCTCGAGACGAGGACAAAGGCGGGTAGGTAAGTCGAGTTATGCATGTACATGGGAAACGGAACGGAAGGTGTGTGAGGTAAGAGAGAAAAGGGTATTGACAGGAGAGGGAGATCAGGTCAGGTAGAAAAAAAGTGTAAGTGGTAGCTATCAAAAGTATATTCGAGAAGTGAAATCAAAAGGATCGGACCACAGCTGGGAGGGTGGAAACGAGTGTGTGAGGGGCCGGTCGAAGGGGTTGAAAATAAATGCAAAAGGTAGGTACAGATCGCAGGCGATACGGTGGCTTCCATCCGAGGCATAAGCGTTCATTTCTGAACGCCTACCATGGGCTCATAAGATCGTACCCGATCTCCTGTCTACTGCGCGTGGTGGCCGTGCTGGTGACGCTTGTGAGCCTTAAGGTGGTCGTGGTGATCACGCTTGGCGGGAGCTTCAGCCGGCGGCTCGGTGGGAATAGTCACAACGGTATCGACAGTGCGTGTGACCGTTTTGTAGGCAGTGGAGAGAATCTCGACGACACCGGTCTCGGTCTTCACAGGGATGTCGTTCTCATCCACCATGACGACAATCTGCTGTTCCACCCAGACAATCTCTTGAGTGACGGTGCTCTTAACATAAGATGTCGTGGGAGTTGGAGTCCAGGTCGAAGTAGAGGTCGTTGATGTCGTAGTGGGAGGTGGTGGAGGCTGGGTGGTCGAAGTGGTTGTAGAAGTAGACTCAGTCTTGGATTCGGCAGCATGGATGTTGCCGGCGACGGCTCCAAGGTCAATGGAGACGCTCAACCCTAGGTCGGCATCATTGGTAGGCTTGGGCGTGGCGCTGGTCGTGCTTGGTTGGTTGCCGTTAGCGTATTGGATAGGGAAGGCATACTCCGGTCCCCATTCAACAACAATGTCGTTGGGGAATCCACCCTTTATCGTGGTGAGGTCCTCGTCTTTCAGGATGCTGGGGATGTCGAAAGAGCAGAGGCCCTGCTCAAGCTCGCTTTGAAGTTCAAAAACAGGGCAGTCTTCGACCTGGCCAGATGGGTTTGTGCAGGTCTTGACAGCTTCCTCCAGAACACCGGACTCCCAACCGTGCATAAAGTCGCCGTGGTAGCCGAATCCGGTAGGGTCACCAGTGGACAGGGCAAAGTAACCGTTGCGGTCCTTGAAGGCATAGGTGTTCCAGATGGTCTCGAAGAAGATGGAAACAACACGAGTTTCGAAGCCCTCCGGGCAAGTACCATCCATGACTAGCGAGGGATAGGCCATGTGCGACTTGTGGTCATCCGAGTCCACATCCTTGCCGTTCCAGCACGAGGGGAACATCAGTTCGAATCGAACACCGTCCGTGCAGTGTTCGTCCAGGTAGGACTTCTCGGGCAAGAAGTGACGGCCGAGAGATGGTTCGGCTGTGGCAGCGTAGTTCAAGCAGTTGAACCCCAATGCCTTCTGGGCAAGGGCGGCCTGGCTACCTTGGTCACCAGTCCACTCGGACTTTGGTGGATCGGGGACGGGCCATGTGAAGTTCCTCTGGAATGGGTCGCCGGCAATCATGCGGAAGTTATCAGGGAACGCCTGGACATCATCTCCATACAAAAGGTAGTATCTAGATGCATATGTCAGTTAGTCATTATTTGCTAAATTGGAGAACTCTCATCACGCACGCAAGCAGGCCTCCAACTTCGTCGACCAGTTCAGAGTCTCCTGTATCTTCGTCAACGAAGTACAGAGCAGGAGCCCAGTACGCCGATTTGTCCTGCTTAACGGCGCAAGATGTGCAGCTTCCTCCGAGAAGGGAATTCATATCCGCTTCCATGCCAAAGCCTAGCGTTGGTTTCAGTGAGCGGCGTTCGAACATTACTTCAAGGAGCCAACAAACCGTTCGATCCGTGGACGGTGTGGACGTGGTACGAGGGCTCGCCGGGGCTCACAAGAGGGTCCAGCCGGGCGAGACCACTTCGTCCACGGCAAGGAAGACGCCAGAAGGCATCCGCTACGCCTGAAAAGGCGGCCAAAAAAGCTACCACGCTGGTATCAAACCGCATGTTGGTAGGCATAGTGGTGGCAGTCGATATAGAGCGAAGGAGCGACAAGGGTTGGTTTAAAGGAGTGAAAAGTGTTCGACAGTGCGTGTTTACGACTCAGTCGCGCTGCAAGCTAATCCCCGCGGGCGATGGTTAGATTCAATTCAATTCAGCATAGCGAGAAACATCATCAAGACGTATTGCATTCAGCGTGAAGAACAAAGGGTTTCGAAAGTCGGCGCCGTCGAGGTGTGTCGTGTGTCGTGTCGTTTGTCAAGTCGAGTAGGAGGTAGATGCGGCAGACGAGTATAACAATAACAAAGGAAAACAACAAAGGAAACCAGAAGCGGTGCACATTCTCTCCTTGAATCGTAAACAGGAACATTGGCCAGGGACAAGGTGTAGTGGCCAATAGGAGTGAACTCTGAAGCGCAAAGCCAACGCAAGTGGCTGGTGGGCTGCGTGCAAGGGAGGCTCCCTTGCAGGGGGGAATGGAGTCTGTGACCCTGCAGCGCCACGAGGAGAGAGCGATTGGGACGCAGGCACCGTCAAGTGCGTCAGGGGATAAAGCGAATGGTTCGAGAAAATGGAAGAAGGGGCAATGAAAGACCACAGAACCTCTGAAGACGTGCAAATGCTGAGAAAACTGAAAAATATTGACATACCTAGTGGTGACTGTAGGAGGAAGCCAGCTGGAGTGGGATGCGACCTACAACGAGGGATCAGTGTTAGGAATCCAGGGCACTTCAGCGCCGATAACACTTTTCTCGATCGGACATACCTGGAGTGTGAAACAGGCCACACCCTTCGCGAACAGCAACAACAGCAATAACGTGGGTTAAAGAGAGACTGGAAGGCAGAAAAGCGACGGGAAATGGAGAAGAAGTTGAAGCAGGAACAGAAGCAGATGAAAAGGAGCGGAAGACGAGACTAAGCGCCGTCTGATAGTGTTGGAAACGGGGAAGGAGGGAGGGACAAGAGAAAGATCAAACGGTTCTCATACAACCAAGCGGGCGACCCGATTACTTTTACAAGGGGACCCAATCACCTGGCAGTGACCATTATTTCGCTTCGATACCTTCTTCACCTTACAATCTCCTCTCTCTCTCGCTCCCCCCGCCTTGGCCGCTTGACCAGCGCGCCTGCTAAGAGCCTAACAAGTTCACTATTGATTTTATTTCTTGTCAATCATCCGTCCCAAACTCTGCAGAGAAGATCCGAATCTCTCGAGGCTCCTCCTGTGACGATGCGCCCAAGGTAAGGAGCGGTGTCTGCCCGGCCCCGGCTGCCATCTTGAAAACACTCGAATCTGACAAGATAGAGCCGCTTGCGATCCAATAGCCAAGCGCCACTGAGCTCACGATGCGGGGTCCTGCTGGCACTGCACTCGATTAATCTCCGTCGAAATCACAGGATCGCCGCCAGGGGCGCCTCAACTCTGGCATATTGAACCTCTTGAAAGCAGCCCTCGTGCAACAGAAAAATCGAGAAGACAAACGAGTTCTTGCTCTCATTTCGCAAAAGAGGCCAAGAGAGGCAGTGCCTTCGTTCACATCCCCACTGTGGTCCACCAAGAAATTGGCCTGATCTCCAGGGGAAGCCAACTTATCCATGGAACGGCGCTCCTCTGGAAGTTAAGAATTCCAGGAGGCAGGGGCCACAGGGTTCGGGTGGATGAACCTGAAACAGGAACCGGGCGAATCACGTTTCTCCCCCGACCAATCCCTGACGAGGGAGGAAAAGAAAGCACAAGGAGCCGACCACTTGAAACGGCGGACTGGGGCCAAAACGTCATCGCTCTGCATCGAAGAACGCGCCTCGCAGCCGCCTCGCAGGTCGGAATGAGATGCGAATATCGTACATTTATGGTCAGGAAGGTCTTCGTTGCTCGATTCCAGGTGGCCTCTGTCTCTTTGCACTCTTGTCGTCTTGTTGTTCTAACGTGCTGGTTCCCTAACATAGAAGCCCCGCAAGCGAGTCAGCGACCGGTAACACGGAGGATATCCCACGCGAACTGTGGACCGGCAGAATATGTATGCTTCGAGGGACGCCGTCAGGCCTAAAAAAGAAGCCAGCAATGGAATCGCACTCGATGAAGCGAGTCAATCCGTCGCATCAATGATCAGACATCTCTCCAGCAAGATGAAACCTTTGTGCGACACAAGTATACTCCGAGAGCAAGGAATAATTTGGTCGCCACTCATCCCACGTTCTCCAATTCTTCAACCTCTTCAGGAGATGCGGGAACGGGATGGACCATCATGAATCTGTCATCTCTCCTTCAGACTTTTCGAGGTCCAAGTTCTCTTCTCGCCGGAATAATATCCAGTTCTTCTCGAGAGCAGGCTTTCTTCCCCATGACAGGACAATCTTGCGAGTTTCCAGAAGCTGGTTTGAAGATCATAGCTGTTGATCCCAATCTACAACCCTTGAATATAGAAGCTTAAGCCGACAAAGTCGCAGGGGAAGGGCAACCTCATTTGTCGCCCATGGACAGACTCGTGGCCTCCCTGCCCGCTCTGCCCCTATTTGCGCTGATCCCTTTTCCGTCCCGAAATGCGGCATACGTTGTATGTAGTAGAAGAACCATGTCCGGCTTCAAGATAAAGCCCGAAACACGGCCATGCCAGGGACTCGAGAACCAGAGTGCCAACGGAATTGCAAGTTCCCGTTCGTGAATTCTTCAGCTCTCACAAGAACAGTCCGGGGTCCAAGATCGTTTCATCTATTCTTGATCTTGACTATGCCTCCGGCTGTATGAGGGTGAAACAAGTGCGGATTCTTATCTTGAGTCAGTTGCAAGACGCGATTTACGATTACGAGTCGACCAGTTCTGAGTCTCGAGTCCTATCACTAAAATGAGGTAAGTGGCTTCTCATAGATAAGCACTATCGCGATAGACTTCTCTTGAGCCGCCATGTGGCATGCAAGCTGGAGAATCACACTGCGAAGTTGGAGTCTAATTATCGACTTTACTATGGTACCTCGACATTCTGATTAGTGCGGTTAAATGTGTCGCTCAATGTAAGCTTCTTTCCTGCATGTCCATGATCGTAGGCAACCTCCGCAGGACCGCCTGTGAGGAAAATCTGCCAAAAAGACTGCGCTCGAGCAGGGTCGAACCTGGACTGATCCCAAGGAAGAAAAAAAAAAAGGAAAAAGGAAAAAGGTAAAAGGAAAAAGGAAAAAGGTAAAAGAAAAAAGGAAAAAGGTAAAAGGAAAATATCACATTAATCAGAGACCAGTCGGCCAACGAAGGATTAACATAAAAAACCTTAACCCTTTTATGGTTGAGGACTCTCAATCAACTCATCAACCCGCAACAACAGCCAAGCTTTTGGGGCACATCACTGGGAAGTGACAATTTGACTCTGAAGGTATAGCTGAATTCCTCTTTTCGTATGTGACTGCTCATATACGTGGAAGAAACCAATGATGCAATCGTTGATTGATGGTTCCGAGGGGTGAGCTGTGAAGAAGCCGGTACTTGCAGATAAATATATATCAGGTCAAGTACACATCTCAACCACAATGCCCCGCCGAAACCATCAGAAGACTCGAATGAGACAATTGAGTCCGTAAAAGACCGACTTGATCTATATCTAGATGGTATATGTATTGTTTATTGAATGAAGATTCCAAACAACCACTTCTTATTGACTACGTGCATTCAACAGGGACGGACCACCAACCTCGCGTATTGTTCCGAGCAGATAATCTGGCGGGCTATGAAATGAGACATTGATTCGTCCTGGAATTGAGAAGCCTCGTTAGGTCACGAATTGCAGTCGACAAGGAAAGAGCCGAGCACATGCTCTATTCGCCAGGTCAACAAAGCATACCGTGACCCCGGCGAGGCCGCGAGATGGACAGGCTTTACAAGCGCCGTATATTTGAAAACTGGAGTCAGAACAAAGTCTTTGGTCGGAAACATATAATGCGACGAGAAGCGTACTGCGAGACCATATCGGCGCACAGAGTACGTCCCTTGTAGCTCGAAAGAGTCACGTATAGTGATTCCAGACAACATCAGGCCAGCAGGTGTCAGTAGAATGGAGAGTCCAGAAGGCCGAAAACCTCTTTCAAGGTACCCGCTCAATGCTTCCCCGGATTTGGGGTATGAGGCAAGCAAAAGAGCAATGACGAACATCTGCATCCTAACGCTTCCGAGCATCTCGTAATGAAAACACTTGACTGGCCGAAGAGCGGAGCAAGAAGCATGGAGTAAGTTCGACTAAATGGGGAAAAAAACAGTCTTTCAAGGTCGAAAAGTCCGCTTTGGAGGTAAGAAGACATCACCTTGCATTGTAATGCTAGATTCTGATTGAATCGAGAGAGAAGGCGAAGAATATCTGACTCGATTGAAAGCGATTTGCTTGTTTCTTCCAAAGCTCGTGGAGGCAAAGGCTCTTGCAACTGCAGATGGTGGAATTGCTGCGAGGAAAGCATCTCACTTTCGTGAAACAATCCTCGATTTTGCAACAGACCAAGTGTAAAATCCGAATGGATGACAGAAAAGAGCGTCTGGACCTGCAATGTGGTGATCACATGAGCGCATTTGACAGCATTTCTATTTCTGGCTGATCAGCTCCCGGATTCTTGTCGCCACTCGAATCCGGGGATCGTTCACGAAAAACCGCGCGCTGATGATCGAGGTAAGAGTCAAACATCCGGCCGAATGTGGAGATTTCTTCCAGGGGCGATTTCTGACTTGATGATTTGTGCAGGCGTTCATCACCGACTTCGAAATGCTCTCGTGACAATCGTTGTTGTGGCTCGTTTTGAACCCGAAAGTCCAAACGCGTGATCGAGGTTTTCGACCCCGAGAATTCAGCGGCAATTCCAGCACCTCACGGAAGCAGAATTTGTGGAGAAGATGGACCAAGTCGACAGACGTTGTCCATCCTTTCGGAGAGTCGAGGTGAGGAAGGAGTGGCGGGCAGAAAATCTCGCAATGGTACGCTAACACGGAGTGGCACCCAGGATCTCCTTGCCGGCATCCACAGAAGCGCATTCCGTACGTAATAACGACCGCCGTTGAAAACTTTCCTCAACACCACAAAGAAGAATCAGGGAAAGAAGGAAGGTCATGCCCTCACCGTCTTTCCGAAGCCTTATTCCGATTTTATAAAGGCAAAAGAGACGACACAGCACCCCGCGATCTGTGATTGCATTCTGGTCTAGGCTCTTATCTCGACCGTGATCGACCGTTGAGGCTACCGGAAAGATTTTCCAAGCGCAGACCCATTTCAAGCACCTTATTTTGGGCTCTTCGTAGGGCTCCGAAGACCGCTTGTCGCTGCTGTTTTGCACTGTGCGATTTTGACCTCGCCATAAGCGTGCTCTGGTTGGCAAAAGGCCTTATCAGTAATTCTGCTACGACGTTATACTCGGCTGTCTACAGCTGTCGCTCACCATGGTCGCCGCTGATGATTTCATCCCGGAGCTGGCTGAGGGCCCCGCGGACCAGCCAGTCCCCGAGTCAAGGGTCCTGATCATTATGACTGGAGGCACGATTTGTATGCGACCATCGCCAGCCGGGCTGGTGCCTGCCCGGGATTTCCAGGAACAGTGCCTCGCACGGGTGCCTACGTTCAACGATAGATCGAATTCCACAATGATGGATGTTGTGACCAACGGCGAGGGGGATATTAAACCTCACCCTAGTCTGCGGACTCCGATGACGGCGTACGGCCGGCGAGTGAGATACACCGTGTTCGAGTTCGATGAGCTTCTCGACAGCAGTTCCATTGACGCCAAGGGATGGGCTCAGATTGCGATGACCATTGAGCGAAACTATACGCTCTTTGACGGATTCGTGGTCCTCCACGGAACAGACAGCTTGGCATATACCTGCTCTGCATTGAGCTTCATGCTGCAAAACCTCGGAAAGCCGGTGATTCTTACTGGAGCCCAAGCGCCCATGCTCGAGCTACAGAATGACGCCACCGATAACCTTCTCGGATCCCTCGTTGTGGCTGGCCACTTTATGATCCCCGAAGTGTGCCTGTATTTCAACAACAAACTGCTTCGCGGCAACCGATCCACCAAGATCGCGGCGAGCGACTTTAATGCGTTTGATTCACCAAACTGCGCGCCGCTGGCTGTGACCACATCCATGCGTACGAATGTCAACTGGGAGATTGTGAACCGGCCGAAAAGCCTTGAGCACTTTAGCATTCAGACAAACTTGGACACGACCCATGTCGCGTGCCTTCGCATCTTCCCCGGTATCAAGCCGGAAATGGTGGATGCAGTCCTAAAACTAGACGGCCTTCGTGGCTTGGTTCTGGAAACATTCGGAGCCGGAAACGCACCGCACGGACAGGATAACGCAATGACCAAGGTGTTTGCTGACGCCATCTCTCGGGGAATTGTCATTGTCAATGTCACTCAATGTGAGCGGTTACTTGCGTCAGATAGCGATCGATAGTAATAGTGCTGACTCGCGAGAACAGGTTTGACAGGAAGCGTCAGTCCAGTTTATGCCCCCGGCATGAGCTTGTCCAAGGCCGGGGTGGTTGCAGGACTCGACATGACGACAGAAGGCGCACTGACAAAGCTAGCTTACCTTCTGGCTCTACCCGGGTCGACACCCCGGTCCGTGGCAAACAACATGTTCGTGTCCCTTCGTGGCGAATTAACAGAGTCGTCGCAGCCAGTCTTCCGCCATCCCGACGGAGCTCTGCCTGAGCGCGTTCAAGCGCTCACGATTCTGGGGTACGCCATCGCGCAGGGGGACCTTGCTCGGGTCGAGGAGATCATAAGGAGCGAGCACCATTGGCTGCTGAACGACGCGGACTACTCCGGAAATACTCCAGTGGTAAGCCTCCACACCATGAACCATCCCTTCAAATTCAAAGTAGCAGTCGCAGCCGCTGACAGCCGGTCTATAGCATCTCGCCGCAACTTCACCCTCGATCAGCATCCTTGAGTTCCTGCTCCTCCAAGGCGGGTCGGTGCACATACGGAACCGCAACGGACGCACCCCGCTGTTCCTGGCTGCTAACGCTGGGCTCTCAGAGCACGTTGTGCTTCTGCGCAAGTCGGGTGCACATTTGCACAGCGACGAGCGGACGGCCGCGCAGTTGCTGGCCCGACGCCGGCCTGGCATCTGGGGGCTGGCCGGAATTGGGCCACGTGAAGTCAGCGACAGGGAGATGGAGGAAGTTGTCGGCAGCGGGTATCGCGCGGGGTCGTCGCACTGGTCGATGGCGGGATCGGCGCCTTGAGATGAACACTGCTGATCAACTTTGACTACAATCTTAATTTTACAACGGCGATAGAGTCGGATAGACTACGGATAATTGTTGCATAGACTAGATGATCTTTTTTGTCGCTTCTTGGAGAGGAAGGTTCAATGGCAAAAGTCGGGGTATGCATCCAAACCTGGGGATGCAGTCTAAGAGGGCGCCAGAGCAATAGTGGTTACAACTGGAGATCACGCGTGCCAGGGAAACGGACTGGGATCGGGGTCTGAACCGGCGGGCGGGAAAATCGATGAGTGCAGAGAATGACAGAATCCCGCGGAGATTGCTGTTGCTCCTCTCCGCACCTCATACGCCTCCAAGATTGCCATGACAGAGCGACAGAAGTTTAACCCCGCTTCGAGAACGATTGCGCCATTATTCGAGATTTGGCCTCCAAGGTTGCGACTATAAGAGCGAGAGATAACAACCCAACAAGACAGACTAGAGGCTAGAGCGCACTTGTTAGCTGGAGAAGACAGTGGAACTTTTTATACGCTAGCAAGGTCCCCAGATGCCGACCAAAATAATTCACTCGTTGATTTTCTCCTAGAATACTCCGGAGCTTGGCGACGGCGTGGAATACCGCGGTGCACAGATTGGCTGGTTCGTGCTGTCCAAGGTGAATGGAGGCCTCGGAGGATTCAGCTTGGGCCTGGAGTCAACGTGGGTGGTCGGCGCTTTTGATAGGGGTAGGGGTGTGACTTTTCTGACTGCTGCTTCTCCCTGGACCTTCTGTTTTGAGCAGGCTCGACAGTAAGCCTAAGCCCTGGAGGCTGGAGGGTATACTGCAGCGCACCCTATACTTCTTGGGCCTGTCGATGTTGTCATTTGTTCCTGGAGCTTTTTTTTTTTGCTTTTTCCCCGCCCTAAAATTCTCTAAGAGGCTTAGATTGGGATATCTACCTAGTCCAGTAATTGAGTCCGGCCAGGAACTGTTTCTCTTTCAAGGCCACCGCTGGAATTGCGCATTCCTCAAAGAGCCCTGGAATGAGGGACGCTGCCTCTTCCCCTGCCTGACAAACTGGATCCATCTGGAGTGTAGTCGACGTGTCCCAGTTTCCGCCGCCTGAGGCACATCCAGGCTGGCCCGTTACGTAAAGGAAAGAAATCAATGGCCAGACGGCGAACCCATCACCATCCCCAGCAAGTTCTGAGCTTCTCGGGCCTTCTGCAAGTTCGACGTGCGATCGTCGGTCTGGGCCTGACTGGATTATGATTCCGCTGGCGTCATTTCAGGGCTTCGGATTCAGATTTTGCGCGCGGTGCGCACAGTGTTTTGCTGTATATGGTTCGTACGTAGTAGGCTCCGAGGGTACTATATGACTATAAAATCGGAGAAAAAGCAATGACGAGCTCGTGCAGATGATCCTCGCAGTTACTGATCTCTGAGGAGTCCATTACTTGATGCGAGATCGGCTGGCGTTGTATAGTGCTAATAGTCGACTCTGGTGTCGACCACCTGACACGGTGCGACGACTCGGAACCAGTGCCAGGCTTGAACCAGTCTTGATCCCCCAACAATCCACGCCCTGGAGAGTTGCCCAAAAAAGCTTTCAGAATTTTCACTGGCATAATCTTAATCACAAGGCCTGCCTCTGGTGTCCACCCTGCGCCGCTGCTGGATCCTCTCATTATTCATAAAATCCATGGTTAGCTAACAGAAACGCACCTTGCGAGGCACGCCCGCTGAGCTGCACCACGACGGAGATCATATCATCGCTGCTGCTGCTGCTTGTATTTCTTCTTCCTCTTGCACCATCTATTTCGGCGATTGCGGCATTATCGAATCATCGCTCGTTCGGCCCTCATATACATCATTCCGCTGCCTCTGTCCTCGTCGCAGGTGAGTCTTATCTGCTTCTTTATCTCTTCGCCGTGCCTCTGCCTTCCCCACCTGCGCCTGTCGCCCTCTCCAGACTTTGGAGTCCAGCGACGCTGCGACGCCCTTTTCTGCGCAGACCCATTTCTCCTCTGGTTGAACTCGCACTACGGAGGCCTTGCCGATTCCCACCTGACCTTTCTCCAGATTCCGTTCGAACCCTCCTCCAGGACCAGCGCCGCTTCGGTTCCTCGTCCACGTCCACTACCCCGCATAACTTTTTATCGATTTTTTTCCCATTCCTTATCTCTCCGACACTCGCTCCCACCGCACCACCACCCCTCAATTCGTCCACCACGGTTTCGGAGGGTCTCCTACCCTATTGCCCTGAGCTGAGAAGAGACACACAGAGTCGCCGGTCCGAATGACACAACAAAAGAAGACAATCGCCGTCGTCAACGCGACAGGCCGCCAAGCCGCCTCCCTCATCCGCGTCGCTTCTGCCGTTGGACACCATGTACGTGCGCAGGTCCATTCGCTCAAGGGCCTCATCGCAGACGAGCTCCAGGCTATCCCGAATGTCACACTCATCCAGGGCCCGCTGCTGAACAATGTCCCGCTCATGGACACCCTGTTCCAGGGAGCAAACATCGCGTTCATCAACACAACGTCGCAAGCCGGCGACGAGATTGCCATTGGGAAGGCGCTGGCCGATGCCGCCAAGCGAGCGGGCACAATCACACACTACATCTACAGCAGCATGCCTGACCACTCGCTCTACGGCCCGTACCCCGCCGTGCCCCAATGGGCTCCCAAATTCACAGTGGAGAACTACATCCGGCAGCTGGGCCTCCCGTCGACTTTTGTGTACGCCGGTATCTACAACAACAACTTTACGAGTCTACCATACCCGCTGTTCCAGATGGAGCTCATGCCGGATGGCAGTTTCGAATGGCATGCGCCTTTTGACCCGGACATTCCGCTACCGTGGCTAGACGCGGAGCACGATGTTGGTCCGGCGTTGCTGCAGATCTTCAAGGATGGGCCTCAGAAGTGGAACGGCCATCGGTAGGGTTGCGCCTGCTGTAGATTTGATGAGTGGTGGATTGCTGACTCACGTGTAGGATCGCTCTCACATTCGAAACGTTATCGCCAGTACAAGTATGCAACGCCTTTTCGCGCGCGCTCAACCGCCGAGTAAAGTACGTGCACACACCCAAGATCGAAATCAAAGTCAACATCCCGCCTGGATACCGGGAACAGCTCGAAGCCATTGAGATTGTCTTTGGCCACTACAAGGCACCTTACTTCCCTCAGCCCGAATTCTCCCGTCCGGCCGCAGGATCACCAAAGGGGTTAGGCCCGGCCAATGGCAAGGGCGCCGGTGCGGGAATGATGCAAGGACCCGGAGGGGTAATCTCTCAGCGTGTCACGGACGAGGCCCGGAAGCTGTGGCAGGGCTGGCGCGACATGGAAGAGTACGCATGCGAGGTGTTCCCCGTGGAAGAAGAAGCCAACGGGCTAGACTGGATGCTGTGATCGCGAGGGAAATTTTCCCAGGAAACCGGAGCCTGCCCGACTCACTCGCTCGGTCGCTTCGGTCTGACCGCGCGAAATAAACACTGCAGGTGATGTGGTGTCGCAGTTCCGTCAGTCGGTGAGCGACGGACGGGCCTCTTTATCAGTGCGCTGATATGAGCCGCGGACTGCGATTGGCCGATAGGGAGGCTGCATGCCCTCGCAACCCAGCAAACGTCACCTTGCCTGCCTCCTTCTCCTCTTTTTCTCTTTCTCAACTCCTCCAATTCCAACCCAGCCCCAATCAATCCACCTTGCACCACCCAATCGCTCTGCACTATCTTTCTCCTCGCTGTCTGACACAAACCAAACGACATCTAAATCGCGCAATCTCTGTCATGCATTAATGGCGAATTTGGCTTGGGTTTATACCTCATTGAAATGATCATCATTGGAGCGAAAAACAAAACAATCACCTCCCCTGCAAGATTAAAAAACACCCGTTCTTCTCATCATCAACCTTTTCCGATATCGGAGAGCTTCCCCCTCTCCCCGCGCCTGTCTCTCTGTGGCAGAGGCCTACCTGAGAGCAACAATTCTCACTACTCCCTATTTATCTAATGGTTTGACTAGCAAACATCGATCAATGCATAGGGGGATGGATCCGGATCCATACTACTATGTAGGATGATGTTGAAACGCAGTTACGACTTATTGTATTTGCAGCATGAGACGAAAAAAGTTACTTTTATCTTCTATCACCTCTTCTCTTTTTTCTCTTGTGGTTTTAGGTCAGCCCAACACGAGGCTACATTTTCTCGATTGTTTTTTGCTTTCTTCGTTTGAGATATCTACATCTTGAAGGCGTTTTATTATCACCATCATCTTGCCGGTGGCTGTCTGATATTGAATTCAATTCAGATTCAAACCAGCATTCTTCTTCCTTCTTCTTCCTCTTTCATTCTCTTATTTCCAAACAAGGTGCATAGGAGTTGCCTTTACAGGTAGTCGTTTGCTTTGATACTATACTAGACTTTGTCCATGATGAATTCAACTCAGATACGGTACCACAAAGCTTTGCTCTGAACCCCGTAACAACTCAATGTCATTACCACTATACAACGAAGTAGGTAGCCTCACAATCCTCTTAGAAGTCAGATGAACTCCCACCCAACTCCATACTAAAGCCCTAAACGCTAAACCCCGAAGCTAAAGCACGTAAGGAATGATCATCACTTTACTAACCACCTACCAACCCGTATCCCCGACATTCATTAGTGCCATAGATAGTGCCATGAACCCCCAGCCTGGGGAGCCGTTCGATCCCATCCCCGCCCCCGCACGCCCGTCATTTCTCCTCATTTGCGTCTACAAACTTGGCTTCCGAACTTACGACCTTACGTACAGTAGTCGAATCTAAGTTCCTCTAGCCTCGCACTTTAATGAGTGGATTCCACGTCTGGAGATGTACCACAGTGGAGGCGTTCGTCCGCAGAGCAGCGAAGGGGGTTGTCTACCGAGCAAAAGGAATATGGAATCGATCTAGACCGGCGCTGGCTTCGTCTTGCGGCGTATGGGTTCGGGGTAGGAGGGGAGGCGTACAAGGTGGCGACTCGGAGTGGCAAGGCCACTACTGCGAGGAATCATAGATGGGGAGCCCAAGAGACCGATAAGGATAAGGATACGGCTTACCTTATGTATAGTCAGCCTCTTTGCTATCCCGCGGAGTTGAAGACACTCTTACTTCCTGGTCTACGGACCTGCGCGGGGAAAAGATAAGATCCCCATTCCCCACAGGCTAACTTATCTTGGGGCCCGGTGGCACGGTGTAGGTTACGGGTAAGGATGGCCGATGGGCTGGTGTTTTGCTTTTTCTCGAGCCCTTGGTAGACGATCTCATTGATGGAGTATTAGCGGTGGTGTGGGGAGTGGAGAGCGCGAGTCGCCGGATGGTGGCTCAAGTTGGAAATTGTTGCATGGCCGGGGGAATGTGGTTGGATTGGATCTTCAATACCACTGGGTACTCTGCTCTATATGCTCTGCATGCTTCGAGATGTGTCGGTGGGCGAAGAGAGAGGCTTTGAGTATGTTTTGCGACGGTATCGACTAGAATATGCCGGTGCTATCTACGCCCTATGCGTTTCGTCCGCTTCCTCGCGCTGGTGAGATGACATGTTTGAGAATGGATTTTGAAAGACTGGGCCGTCGAATCACGCAGGATATCTTGTCTCCCGTCGGTATAGTAATACTGTCTTCTGATGTCATCCTGTAGCTCGCGATGTTCTATCCTTGTCTCAATTTCCTCAGCTATCTTATCGCTTCCAGAATGCGCTTCCAGAGGAAGGACAGTGTACCGTCTGTAGTATACCATACGATATCCGTCTTGGCCATACTGACGGCCAGGAGAGCACCAACAACCTCTTTATTCACTCGGTGAGATTGTTTAGTAGGGTAGAAAGAGGCGGACACCATTCTCCTAGTCTGCGCTGGGTTGCCATCGGTAAGTTTATATGAGTACAGTCTGGGGGTTTGGAGAGTAGGAGTGTGTCGCGAGGAAATACGAATGTCATTCTAGGAGCAGAAGCATTACCTTGACTATTGGCCAATGCTGCACAGTACTGTAGAATATGGAGTAATTGGCGTTCAAGTCACTGAAGTTCTATTATTTTTGTTTTCGTTGGGCGGCGGCTCTATAGTTGAACAATTGCAGGTGACCCAAGCTTAGTTTGTATAGAAATCGCGGAGAGTACAGACTCTTAAGTAAGATAATTACTTCAAAGAGAACTAACCAACTTTATAAGAAGACATTTGACCCTATTCACTTACCAAGTCCTATGGATTCCCAAAATATCCCGAGTGACCATCGTGGTGAACCGCATCCGGCCGGAATTGCCGCCGCCCTATTGTCCCCTTCCAGCGACACTAAAGAAGCATGGGCTTTCTCCCTCATCCGGTAACTGAGCTCTTCGCTGACTCAGTCCTTCTCCGCCTTGAAGCTCCAGCCAGCCAGCCACAAGCCTCCATCGTCGCAGTGGCCGCTTCGCCGCCTGCAGCTCGGAGCTTTACCTTCTTGGACGAAACCGAATGGGAAATTGAGTGACGAAATCCGGACCTTACTAAGGTTCTGCAACGCGGCAACAGAATTTTTTTTCACCTACTAGTATCGTCCAATTCTTAGGACTGATTGATTGTTTGATTTTCGATCTTCATCAACCCCTAATTCAATTTCTGCTACGTATTTAATTGATCTCGACTGCCGGACGACTCCAACTTTTACGCCAGACGCGACTTTCTTCAACTTATATATAACCCATCATAATGTCGAGCGGTCAGGATTTGGCGGAGCGCATCAGCGAGCCTGTTGTGCCGCAGGAGGTTCAGAGGGATATCACTGTGCTGGAGCAGCAGTTTGTTCGCGCGGAGGTTGAGCAGTGTAAGTTGTTCGCGCTCTTACGAAAATCGCAAAAAAAACAACCATTTTGTCTTCGTCAAATGCTTCTTATCGTACATTGCTGACTGCTTCAAGTGCGCCAGTCCATCGTCTCCTTCCGTCCCCTCTTCGAGAAGCGCGCCAAGATCGTTGCGCACCCCGAGGTCCAGAGCAACTTCTGGCTCCGCGTTCTGTCAAATGCGCCCGCTGATATCGACGAGTACATCACCCCCGCCGATGCTGCGATCCTCGGGTCCCTGAAGAACCTCAACGTCGAGCGGTTCGAGGTCAACGAAAAGGGCGAGGGCGAGCCGCGCAGCATCCGCTTCACATTCGAGTTCAACGGGGAGAACCCGGCCTTTGACGAGACCACACTGGTCAAGGAGTTCTACTGGCGCAAGCAGGTCCTCACCACTCCCAGCGGCAAGAAGAGGACTTGGGATGGTCTCGTCTCGGAGCCCGTTCGTATCAACTGGAAGAAGGACATGGATCTCACCAAGGGTCTGCTCGATGCCGCGTGCGACCTGTTCGACGCCGAGAAGAAGGGCGGTGTTCGCCATGAGCTGCCCGAGTTTGAAAAGCTTGTGGTCAAGCTCGCCGAGGTGGAGGCTCTCAACGACGAGGAGGAGGACGAGGAGGATGAGTACCCTCTCCAGGGACAGACCCAGAGCGGCAGCTTCTTCAACTTCTTCGGCTACCGTGGAAGTGACGTGACTGCCGAACAGTCCGCGACTGCGACTAAGGAGGAGAACGAGAGGCTGGAGAAGCTTCTCAAGGGCGAAAAGGTGGACGACGACGAGGCCGATGACGATGACGAGGATGTTGATGACGATTTCGACACCATCGAAGTGTTCCCCGAAGGACAGGATTTGGCCATTGCTCTGGCCGAAGACCTCTGGCCCAACGCCCTCAAGTATTATGGTATGTGCTGCCGTGACGGTTGTCACGACACGGGCTGTTGCTAACCGGCTCCAGTCCAATCCTTCGAAGAAGCCCCAGACTTTGACGAGGACGACCTTGAGGAGTTTGACGATGAGTCCGAAGACGACGAAGCCCCTCCACTCAAGAAGGCCAAGAAATGATTTGTCGCTCCCACACATGCCATTTCAACACACGACCGGCCAACTGTATTTACAGGGCGATGACTAGTATTAATAACAGAACGAGAACGAAAATGAGGATTGCGATGCAGAATGAGGACGCGGTATCTAAAGCCCCTTGGTTAGCAAGTTGAACCACTTAATGCGCACTGAATAATGAACCTCCTTCAACACCAATATCAAGAAAGCGTAACTCACCCTCATTCTTCCTGATGATATACTTCAACTTGGACATCCCACTCTGTAGCTTCCCCCCAACCCGATCAGCCAACGTATCCACCTCCCCAATCATAACCGCCTGCTCCTCCAGCTCCCTCCCCATATCATCTGCCTGCTGCCGCAGATTCCCCACCGTGCGAAACACCCCGTCCAGCTGCTCATCCTGCTCATGCATAAGCTCCAACTGCCTCTGCTGCTCCATCTCCGCATAGTAATCGTCCCCACCGCCTTCCCCAGGCGACGCAAGACTATCAAACTCCGCCGGATTCGGCAGTCCTCCTCCTGAGCCTGGACCTCCCCCCGCAGCAGCATGCGCATGTGCATCCGAACTCGCAACAACCTTGTGCAACTCCTGCCTCATATTCTCAATCTCGGCCCCGACATCGTCGACGAGTTGGCGGCGGCGCTGCACCTCCTCTAATTCCAGGCCATAGCGGTAGGGGTCTTGCTCGACGGCGCGGACGCTCTCGACGAGGTCGTCGAGGTCCGCGGTGAGGTCTGTGAGGGTTGTTTCGAGTTCGGAGCGCGATTGCTGGAGTTCGGGATTTGAGGGGGATTTGGCGAGCGAGCGGATGCGGAGGTAGGAGGAGAAGAGGGGGCGTGTTGTGTTGAGGGTTGAGAGGACCTCGCTGGTGATGGATACGTCAGCTGGTTTGGTCTGGTTATGCGGAGGATTGGGGGGGATGGAGAGGGCGGCTTACGCTTGGACTTGGAGGAAGGGATCCATGTGATCCATTATTGTAGTCTAGGGGTATCTCGGAACAAAGCAAAGCTGAAAACAAGGGATTTGCTGATTAGTTTATGATGTTGATGGGTTGGGAGAGGATGCAGTACTGTTGATGACGGGAAGGGACGAGCCGGGCGGTCTTGCTAGCGGTGAGGCCGCCAAGATAAGCTACATCGATGGGCCACAGCCTGTTTTGACCTTTACTCTCGCTCTATGTTATACGGAGTGCTCCATTATTCTAACTCACGCCTTTGCTCCATCGAACCTCAGAGCACAGTTGCGAAAACACTCATTGTAAATGCCTGATGGAGGCCAACGTGCCGCTGACTCCACATCTCCTTCAGATACCGCTCCGCAGCACGATTGAAGTCTCGCCCTCTCGCGTCCATCAATGTTGGCTTTACGCTCCAGCTTCTGACACGTCGCTTACAATCGCACTCGGCGCACCCTAGCTCCGGCACATCCTTCCATGCGTTCCAATAATCGTCCAGCGGGTCGGAGAAACAGCATTTCCTCGAGTCGGACATCGACTGCCCATCGAAATGGCAGCAGTTGTCTTGGGGACTGAGGAGCAGCTTTTCTAGGGCTTGTGGTGGTTGGTTTAGGAGAAACCAAGAGAGCACGCTCTGCTCGTTTCTGGTGTCCCGGTGCCAGTATTTTGGGCCGTGGCGCAGAAGCATCCGCTCAAGCAGTTCGCGTAGCATACGCACGACGCAGTGGAAGGCGATCTCCGTTTCGTCATCAAGGTAGCTTCGGAACTCGAGTCGCTTTTTCCCGATTTCGGCTTCGGTGTAGCCCCATTTCATAACGGTATAGACGTGCTTCGTATGCTCCTCGAATGACAACGGCTTTCGCTCTTCAATCGGGAACTCGCTGTATTCGTCTAGCATTCTGGCAAGGATGACAAGTCGTTTTGTCACCATGGAAGGTAGCGATGGCTTTTTATGCTTCTCCTGTTCGATGGCACGGGAGATATCGGACATGTGAAAGAGCACGAATAGTCCACGTTCCAAACGTTTGGCCAGCTTGAGCTCTGCCTCAAAGTTCATCTCCACCTTGTCATCTTCAGAGAACGGACCCCATACGGAGGGGATAATATCAGTGGACAATCGTCGCGCGAGCTCATGGCGATAAAGAAACCGCACCAGAGTGTGCACCGTCAGATCATTCTGCCTTCCAGTCAATGGGTTTATGGTGAGTACTGGATCGAATGCGTCGATGCCATGGAGACGTATGAACCATATACAGATGTGTGGCTCTAGAAGCTTGATTGTATCGTATGTTGCCTTGTTGAGTAGACAGAGACTTGGTACGGTGCTCGCATCGCCGTTGATGATAATCTGGAAGAGGATGTCGGCGATGAAACCGAATGGTAGAGTGCTTTGCTTTGTTCTCTGGGAAACAAGCCAAGTCAGTGTCGCGTGCCTCTTTCCCTTGGCAGTCACTGTGACACTCACCATCATTTCGATATCATCCAACTTGCATTGCGTTCTGGGGGTACAAGGCAAAATGGTCCATCGAAGGGATCTTAGTAAGATGCTGTCTTTCTTCTTGAAGGCGACGACCACAATTTCGACGAATTCTCGGAGAGTATCTAGTGTACGATAGGAGGTATCATGTGCAATGGTATGACGCGTTGGCCGAATCGCCTGCCCTCCCTACGCTGCACGAAGAGCCCGAGTATGCAGGGTGCAGGACCAAGTCCTAAGAGGCGGTATCATCCGGTTATATAGCTTACGTGGAGTCGTATCATCCCTCGCCGTCTGTCCATCTCCCTGCAGAACTGAGGGACGTGCCCTGATGCCGCGCAAACTAGCATTGATCGAGGAGCGAGTGGGCTGGAGGGAGGGTCAAATTTGACGCCCAGGTTGCACGGAGGAGAGGCATCTGCCGCGATAGCCTGGTGGCAGAGACGTGGAAAACCTGTGAGTGGTCTACTATAAATAAGATCAGCAGTTGCCCTGGACCACTAGTTATTCGCTTCGCCAATAGCGTCGCCCTACTAGTGGCGATTGAGATGGTGCCATTGCGGCCAGAACACACCGCCAGGAACGGACTGGTTCGTGATATCAAAATTCGAGTTTGCGTAAGCATGTCCCTATGGAGTTCAGAAATTGCCCGGCCGTTCAGGAGATCAGGAGGTCAGGAGGTGAGGAGCTGTGCTGGGGAAGATGAAGGTTACGGAACGGCCTCCGCAGTCCCCAGAGCGGCGCCCAAAGCCCAGACTGCGCCGAATTTTACCCCACCAAGAACCGCTTCTGCCAAGCCCAGATTTTTTTTGGAAGGAGTTTTCCGCCAACACTTTTCGCGAGTGCTTCCATTAGGCCGGCTTGGGTTGGCTGATGTTTGATTACTCCTCTTGATACTACGTTCATTGGATATACAGTTTGTCAAAATCAAGAGTCATCTGATGATATTTTGGACTCCAGCACCTGATAAACTCTCGACTTTCGCACGGCAGTCCTATCCAACGGACCAAGAAGAGCCAATATGTCCGGCACAAGGAGCCTCCCACTACCAAAAGAGTGGACTGATCCAGATGCTTATGTTGAAGCCTTGCTGTCTTTTGCAACATCATCTGACCTCTTCAGGCACCTCTGCGGAGGTATACACATGCTGGATTTCCTGACACGTGAGCCCGACCTGTATACCACGCTTCTGCCTGAAGACTGGAGAGCCTTCTTCGAACAGCATGAGATCGGGGATATCATAGACCTGATGCTGCGGGAGGATATCGAACCATTTTTCGCTGCACACAAGCAAGGAAATGCTGCAGCGCACGAGTGGAAAGGAGTAGCCGCTCTTCCTCCACTCTCTCTGCTAGACTACATCTACAATGTCCGGCGACTTACCTTGCGTAGGGACTTTACGCCCGAGTCAGGAGAAGCCACTATACCTAGGCGCATTGCTGTTGGTATGAAGGTCAAGAAGCACCATGAAGTCGCGCACTTTTCCAAATATGTCAACTCGCTGTGTAACACCGTTCAAAAAGAACGGGGGCAGGATATAACACATATTGTGGATTTTGGGTCTGGTCAGAGCTACCTTGGGCGTACACTGGCCAGTCCTCCATACAACAAGCATATTGTTGCTATAGAGCGCAAACACCAGTTCATAAACGGGGCTAACCGCATGGATGTCTATGCACAGCTGGCGGAGAAGAAAAAGGTACGGATGTACAACAAGAAGGAAGAGAAATGCAAGACGTGTGAAGACACGGAATCGCCTGCGGCAGTGGTATCGGGTTCCCTTTCCCAGGTCGCGCCAGAGACAGGCGGACCCAATTCCGAGGGAACGCAAAGGACAGACGAAGATGAAGAAGAGGGCGTTGCTGAGATTAGTATATTCCGCGATATTAGCGTGACGTCTGATGAACTCGGGTCTTTTCCACAACAGCATAAGGAAACTCAAAAACGTGTCACAAGTGCGGGCACGTTGAACACCTCCCGAGGAGCCATGGACTACATTGAACACGAAATCAAGGATGGCTATTTGGAGCCGATCATCAAGAATGTTGTCGCCGCGCCCACTAGCACAAATACGGCCGACACAACAGACTCCATCGAAGAAAACCAAGGTCCCAATGTCATGGTTGTTTCATTGCATTCTTGCGGCAATCTTTTGCACCATGGAGTTCGAGCTTTGGTACTTAACCCTTCAGTCAAGGCTATTGCCATGATCGGGTGCTGTTACAACCTGATGACTGAGCGTCTGGGACCTGCTACATACAAGATGCCCATCCTACGGACTATGCACCCACGATTGTCCCGAGATGCCGCCGCGTATGATTCGCATGGATTTCCAATGTCGAAGCGCTTGGAAGAGTATGAGCACAGCAGCGGGACTGGTGTCAAGATGAACATCACCGCCAGATCAATGGCCGTCCAAGCTCCATACAACTGGGACCGAGAAGGCGCAGAAGACTTCTTCACCCGTCACTATTACCGCACTCTTCTTCAGCGCGTACTGGTTGACCGTGGTGTCATACCGAAGCCCAACATTCCCGAAGAACTCTATAGTGACGACCCCAATCAAATGGAGGTTGCAGGAAATCCTCTCATTGTCGGGTCCCTGCGCAAGGCGGCCTTTACTTCTTTCCAGGCATACATCCGCGCTGCGATTGTCAAACTGAGCCGGGATCCGGTTTATGGCCAGAAAGTGCAGGACGGAATGGCTGAAATTACTGACGAAGAGCTCGACCGTTACGCTCATGACTATTGGCCGTCGAAGAAGAGACTCAGCGTGACCTGGACCCTGATGGCTTTCAGCGCTGCAGTGGCCGAAGCCATCATTGTCGTTGATCGATGGCAATATCTGCGTGAACAAGACTGCGTCAAGGAGTGTTGGGTGGAACCGGTGTTCGACTATGGCCTAAGTCCCCGGAACTTGGCTGTCATTGGGATCAAAAAATGATTCTGTCCTAATATAACGAGTCCATGAGATATGCGTTAGATTCGTCGCTTTTGCCGGCTGTCATGGAAATTTTAGAGAATTTTAGAGAGTATATAGATGGTCGGATTCGCAGTATATATCCACACTGCTGTGGGTCAGGTGTTGCCAACAGAACAGCCTTTCCTCCTCAACTCGAGATGGATTAAAATAGACATGAACACAAGAGACAAAAGCCCAGAGTACAAGTATGAAGCCTGAGATTGGCTACATCCTTCTGCTGTTCAACACGTCCACAGAGAAATTTTCTAGTTCGTACAACCTTGAGGTCTTGGCGTTCGGCGGCCGCGGGATGCGTTTCTTCCGACAAAGGGAAATCGTCCACTCTGACAAGTCTCCCCTTACTCACCCAAGGCTTCACAAGACAGCCTCTAGTACCCGCATTCCATTGGCAAACTCGCATAATAGCCGATATATCGATGAAAATGGACAAGGAAAGTCTCGATAGCGATAGTAAGGACTCCATCGTCCGACGTGCGGTAAGTATCACAACTCTGACCGAGCGGAATGTGGCAGCCTTCTGATCTCAAACAGTGCGACCAATGCCGCCAACGAAAGGTGAATCCATCACTGTAAATGCCATTGTGCTTGCGGCGCCTGCTAAACGAATCGTATGGCTAGATCCGATGTGATAAACGGTCCCCTTGCTCCAACTGTCGCACCTCGAAGATTATATGTAGTTCGACAGGGGCAGGCCAGAAACCCCGGGAGCCGCGGAAACGCGTCCTGATCTCCAACGAATAGTGCGTCCCCTTTTGACTTTTTCGAGCGGGGACTGACCCCTCTAGTGAACGAAAGATTGATGACATCGGTGAGCGCTTGGGCGGCATTGAGCAGATCCTCCGCGAACTCAAGGCGGGCTTGGGCTCGAGCTCGAATGCGGGCGCTCACTCTTGTGCTCAGGCGACACCAGTCTCAAGACACATCAGCCCAAGTGCCCACGATTATAACTCCGATCCAACCGAAGCAATGGATCAGCAAGAGTCCAAGACTGGGCTGGACGGAGTGATGGCCACCCAGTCGGCTTATGCGAGCAAATTCCTGGAGACGGCAGTCTCTCGCAGCCCGGTGCAGATGTCTGTTTCTTCCAAGGTCAATGCCGCGGTTGCGACTCTCAAGCAGCTTGTCAGCATCCAGGATAATAATGCCTCTTCTTCTGCCCGCTCGAAACAGAAGCCGCTCTCTGGCTGTAACTTGGGAGAAATGTCCATGCCTCCGATCCATGTTGTTCTTCCGTTGCTCCGCAAAGCCAGAGAGAATTATGGAAATGCTTTGCAATCATATTGTCCCTTCATTCCCTTTGATCGCCTCACCGAAAAGTGCCGTGAAGTGTACTTTGCTACAGAGGATTATTCTGATGCGACATTCATCGTGGCGAACGGAGGCCTATATCAACTCTTCGGTGCAGCTAGCTTCATGAGCGAGGATCCCGCCGTGCAAGAAGAGTACCAAAGATATGTTGCTATGTGCAAAGGTAATCTCGACAAGACGCTGGCGAACCTGCACCTTTTGATGCCCGCCACCCCGGACTCTATTGAGGCTTTAACCATGGGTGTGAGTATCCTTATCATCGGTATCAACTGAACGCTCTCTGACTGCAGCAGGCATCACATGCTATTGAGATTTCTAAGCCTTCCTTCGCATTTACTCTGACATCGACTGCGTCACGACTGTGCCAGGCATTGGACTTTCACCGAAAGTCATCGCTGGAAGGTACCAGCGCGAAGGAGAAAGAGCGTAGACTAGCTGTTTTCTGGTCAATCTACTGCATGGACCGAGCGCTCTCACTGCGACTAGGAAGAGCTCCAACAATTCCAGACTACGACATTGATTTACCATCGAATTTCGGACCGACCGATGTGGGCGAACCATGGATAACTGCCTTCGGTCTGTGGGTGCAGTTGGCAAGGATTCAGGGTTTGGTTTACGAAAAACTGTACAGCCCTGCTGCCCTTCGCCAGGACCCGAAGTTCAGAATGGCAGAGGCTCGCAGCTTGGCTGCCAGAATGCAGGATGATGTTATGTACCCATTCGAGGTCAGTGTTTGCTCTCCTTTTTATGATGAATCTAACACTAGGCAGAAGATATACCCCCTTCTGAATAACATGAATCGCGTCGAATCGATATACATTCAATGCGACGAAGTTTGCCGATATTCGACACTGACTTTGATCTACCGAGCCATCCCACCACAGGCAGGTGCCACGGGCACTTTTATCAACGAGTGCATTCAATCTGCTAGGAACGCTCTCCAGTCGCACAAATCGTGCATGGCAGTTTTGAAGGAGGCCACACCAGCCACAAAGCTCTCGTATCTGCATTGGTAATTAGCCCAAAGCGCTGTAAAGATTTTGAAACGACAAGGTCTAATGCTTTCAGGTCTATTTTATACTCGCCATTCGTTCCGTTTATTGTCCTATTCTGCCATGCGATCGAGGTCTCCTCCTGGGGAGATTTGGATCTGCTCGATGACTTCGTGGTCTCCCTAGAACCAAACTGTCCCCTCTCAACTGCTATTGCCAAGCTTCACCGGCTCTGCCAGGCCCTTAGCAATGTCGCGCGGCTGTATATCGAGGCCAAAGCGGAGAGTCAGAAACAAGAGGGCCAAGCTCTCGCGTCGGTCGGCCACGAGTTTGATACCTACCTCAGTGCTCTTGGCCTGGCTCCTCTCGCCGACGAGGGCGATGCACGGTGGGCTACAGCCCCTGTACCTGGCACAATGTCTGGAGACTTGAGATATCCTGAGGCAAACACCATGAATCAACCGGTGCAGCACATGACACAACTAGGAAATTGGTTCTCAGGAAACCAGTACATGATGGGCCTGCTGGAGGAGGATATACCGATGTTCAATCAGCCCCATCTCGGCTAGCGCGAAGCGGAGGATGCATAGTTGCTTAGATTGCCTTGATATTTATACCCATACCGCAAATCAGGACGACTTAGATACACTTTCCTCCGTCAACAATCATTTCTGCACCGTTCACAAATGCTCCCTCATCACTAGCCAGGTACAAGCACATGTTTGCGATATCGTTCGGGTCCGTTAGCCGACCTAACGGCACGTTGCCAATGAACTTCGCCCGGTTCTCAGGCGTATCCTCCATTCCAGTGAACATGCTGAATAGGCCTGTTCCCGAGAGGAGAGGCGACACAGTGTTGACACGGATATTGTACTGGCCGTACTCTGCTGCGAGACCCTTTGTAGCCTGTTCAGATCATTAGCCATCTCTTCTCGTTGCGGTAGATGGTCAGAAAGGAAGGAATGTGCATACATTCGAAACAGCACCCTTGCTCGCATTATACCAGACCAAACCAGGCCTTGGCCTCGATGCGCCCGTCGACGAAATATTGATGATCGACCCGCCTTGCCCCTGCTCAATCAATTTTCCAATGACCGCCTGCGACCCATGGAAGATACTCTTGACGTTTACATTGAAGACGCGCTCCCATTCCGCCTCGGTGACCTCGAGCGTTGGCTACCATTACTCATCAGCCTTCGATCCCCAGCGTCTTCCTAGCAATGGGATAAAAAACAGGGCATCGCACCTTATTCCGATAACTTGTCCCCGCGTTATTCACAAGCACATCCAATCGTCCAAACTTGGAAAACGCCAACGCGACAACGCTATCCCAATCTTGTTTGCTCGTGACGTCGACGCGCTGGAAGACGATATTCGCGGGGTCCGCAGATGCGACTTTTTCGGAGCCTTCAACGTTGATATCTGCGATGATTACTTTTCCACCCTCTTGGGCGAAGCGTGTTGCGATTGCGGCACCGAAGCCGGAGCCACCACCTGTTCTTTGTTAGACAAAGTGGGTGTGTAGCGATGGAGGGGATGGTCGGGTAGAGGAAGAGGACGAACCGGTGACGATGGCGACTTTGCCTTGGAGACGGGGCATTGCGCAATTCTTCTTGGGTTGAGTGTTTGTTATGAGAACTGAAAGTTTCGATAAGCGACTAGAAGATGATGTTGCTACTGCTTTATACAAGAGTAAGGTGGGGGAGGGGCTTATCCGAGGAAGAGGAACTTGGAGATGATCGGGATGAAAGCCGACATGGCTATTTGCTCCACGTACAACGTAAGCTCCCTGAAGCTGGCTGGTGTGGCAATGCGATCATCTCCCGTGGCTTCCCCGCGCCCCCGTTCCTGTGACCTGGACCACAACCAGCAAGTGACGGATCCGATCTGCGCAAACGCGGAGGAATTCCGACCCCGCATCTGAGGAGCAGCTCACTTCCGTGGAACTTTGCAAGATCTCCCCACGACGCCCTGAATCTTGCTCGCCTCACACACAGTCGCATTCAATGCACGTTCTTCCACCGACTATACCAATCAAATATCCTCCTGCTCGTTTGCCTTGCGCGCCAGGATGTTGGTCGAGGATATCCTAGCATGACGATCGAATGAGCATCGACAACCTGCCCAGGCGATGGTCACGGTTCGCTTTGTCGTACTGCGGGCGAATAATGAACGCATGCCGTGGGGTCTGAGCCCTGGGTTGCAAACAGGTCTGCTTGGTCTGTGTAACATGGTTTGTGTATCTGTTGCGGCGATAAGGGGGTTGGTTTGAATAGTCGAGGGAAAGGACCCGAACGGACGCGGAGTTTCGGGGGACCTTTGAGTGCTATAAGAAGGCTATAAGAAGCGGAGCTTTATAAAACTTCTGGGGCGTCATATAGGCACGATGTACGAACCTTGCTAGGACACCTAGGGCTGGTGAGATGAGTTCCGGCCAAGGCACCAGAAAATGGTAAGCTGACTCGATCGCATGTGAACCAACCTTTGTGTAACTCACCATCCTCTCCTAGAGTTGAGAGCGCTGCCCCCAACATGGGAACATCGCCTACTTAAGGGCAGGACGCCCTTCTACATGCGCGGGTCGTCTTCCGAGGCTGATCAACCTGAACCATGCGTTTCTCTTTCAGCACAGCAAGACTGGTGCTACTACTCGGCTGGCTTGGCTCTACTCTCTCGCTGCCAAGCCCCGGCCCGGACCTCGAGAATGACGAGCAGAACGGGCCGGAAAGGGGTCCGAAAGTTATCACCCGCGATGTCTGTATCATAGGCGGCGGCGCCTCAGGCACGTATGCTGCAGTTCGACTACGAGAGCTTGGTCACAGTGTTGCCCTTGTCGAGAGAGAGGACCACTTGGGAGGTCACACGCGGACATACTATGACCCTGAAGGGAGACCAATCGACTACGGGGTCTGGGTGTACTCGAACAATACAGACGCGGCTCGGTTCTTCGCGCATTTCAACATCGCCACGGCACGCCAGGACTTCACCAGGATCTCTGAGGGGAGTCAGCGGATTGATCTTCGGACGGGCCAGCGTGTCCCACCCCCGAGTGGGAGTGTTGTCGAGGCAATGACACGATATGCTCAAATTCTCTTGCAGTTTCCTTACCTTGCCGACGGATGGGACCTTCCGGACCCTGTCCCCGAGGATCTGCTGTTGTCGTTTCGCGACTTCATCGCGCGGCATAACCTCGGTCCGGCCGTGGAGACGCTGACGCTGTATGTCCAGGGACTAGGAGATATTCTGGACTACCCTGCTGTCTATGTTATGAAGTATTTCAGCTTCGCCGTGCTCCTCGGTATCCAGCAGGGCTTCACGACGTCGGCAAGCCTAGCCAATGGGAGGCTCTACGAGGCGGCACAGGCCGAGCTGGGAGACGATGTCCTGCTCAGCAGCACGGCTATAGCAGCCTCTCGCTCAGCTGATGGCCACCGCATCCTCGTCTCTACTCCCGAGGGAAAGCAGCTTATCCAAGCCGATAAGCTCATCATCGCGATTCCACCGTTGCCACAAAACTTGGAACCATTCGACCTCGACGACCGCGAATCAGAAACATTCGCCCAGTTCGGCAACAGCTACTACTACACCACCGTCATACGTCTCCCTGGAGTGCCCAACAACGTCCAGATCCTCAACCGGGCAGTCGACACAGAGTACAACGCCCCGGTCCTCCCGGGTGCATACGTCTTCTACCCATCTCAAGTCCCAACCCTCTTCATGGGGTTCTTCGGCGGCGGCGACCAAGACCTCAGTGAGGAAGAGGTTCGAGAGACGATAATCGACAATGCGCTGCAGTTGCGCAATGCCGGGTATGATGTCGCCGACCCGGAGATCCTGGCGTATGGGAACCATAGTCCCTTTCAGCTGTTTGTGTCTTCCGAGGCGATTGCGAATGGCTTCTATCGGGATTTGTACTCGCTGCAGGGGTTGCGAAAGACCTGGTATACAGGTGCGGCGTGGCATGCGCATGACTCGGCGGCGTTATGGAGATTTACGGAACGGTTGCTGAATGAGAGGGTTATTGGTGGTTAGTTAGTTAGTTGTTGAGATTGTTGTTTCAACTGGAGATAGGTTTTTTTTGGTTCTCAATAGCTATTCGTGTCACGGATTATGATGTACCTCCTCGCGCTCAATCCCCGCCCTCCTGCAACAGACCCCTAGGAGGCTATTACAGCGCTAGCCCTATCAGTTGTAGTCGGGGTGGCCCCTTCACCAATGGCTGTAGCAATACAGTCGCTGAACTCAGATAGATGACTTGGAGATAAACCGCGTTGGCCCTAAGCTCCAACGTCTCCGCATTCGCATTAGAAGGGGTCTCTCCTGTCGACTCCAGCTCTCTCATCTTTGCTTCGCGTATGCTTCGCTTTTACTTGTTTCTCGGTCATGCCATGGATAAGTCTGATGGCGCTCGGCGCCAGAAGGCTCGCGTTTTGAGTACTTGTGAGTTATTCCTATCCTTCGTTGAGACTTTGCGATGCGGAAGAATTGATGAAATCATTGCCGGGTCATCGCTGCAAGTCAAAGAAAATGTGATGTCACTTGACGGGTCAGACGCAGCAGTTTGTCCGCCCAATTATCAGCAACGTTTCATCGAGAGACTTACTGGATCAGTAGCTTGGGTGAATAGGGGATAGGCTCTGGAGTGGCATCTACAAGAACATTGCAATCATGTATCTCAGCTACCTTTGAGCGAATCTGTATTCTTTTCTCTTCTAGATAGCCATGAGATAGAGCCAGGCTTCTTTTACTTTCCCACGAGACTCGGTATCAATAGATGTCACAAGCTACCCTGCACCATGTAAAATCCTGCGGTTCTAAACGATTTCCGGGTTTCAAATCAAAATCCCTCACTTGGGTAACCTGAACCCCCCAGGCGTCTTCGTCTGAAACACTCCCGCGGGGTCCTACTTCCCCGAGACACGCTACATCTGCTCAACAACATCCGAGCCATACGCAGTAATCGGATCCTGCCACTTTGACGCGTAGTTCATATACCGAAACCGCACGCGGAACCCCCTGGTGGCCGTCAGTTCATTGACGGCGGTGATCGCGTCCTGTGCCGCACGCTCGATGGCCGACGTGTGCTTGGGCGAGGACTAGTAGTTTGCTAAGAGAAGCAGCACGTGGGCTGTCTCTTTGTGGCTGTCTGGAGGGAAGCCGAGACTGTTGGCGGAGGTTGGAGTGCTTGATTGCGGCGGGAGAGGCTGGAAGGTCCGCGAGCTTAGGAGGTCGACGCCCGGTAGGTCGGAGTGGACTTTTACTGTAATCGCGCCAAATTGAGAGGATTTTGCTGGACATGCCGGCCCCTGGAGCGAGGCGGAATGTTGTCGTGACAAAGTTGAGGCTGTGTCAGTTAGTGGAATACGTGGAGGCGTCGCGTAGGGGAGATAGGGTAGGTAGGGTAGGCAGGTATGGTAGAGCAGTGCACGCACCACTTATCAGCAGGCTGATACCTGGTCAACTCCCCCGTAATCTCTTCCAGCGCCCCCAAGCGCATCGTGCTATGCTCCTGCGGCTGGATCTGCGTGAACGGCCGCAGTGCAGGCGCGTCCACGACGGGCTTTGTGTAGTACACGAGGTTGCAGCTATACTCATGTGCAGCCTCGTGCTCATCAGACCCAGATTGGAACAAAAAGCTCTGCTCAACCGCAACATGCGGGTCTCGCGTCTCCGCGCCCATGACGGCCTCGTACGCCGCAAGCTGTTCGTCATTGGCCGAGGAGGGATATTGCACCACGCCACCACAGAAGGACCCCTGGGCGAAGGAGCGGACGTCAAACTGCGTGACGACGCCGAAGTTGCTCTGGCCGCCCTTGAGCGCGATAAAGAGCTCGCTGTTTTCTGTCGCGTTGGCGTTGACGATTGCGCCGGAGGCCAACACCACCTGCATGTTGATCACGCTGTCGCACGCGAAGCCGCGCTCTTCCGAGAACATGGAGATGCCTCCTGCGATGGGCGGATTTGTTTATTAGTAAAAACTAATATTCTTGGGTAAGTATGCAACGTACTACCGGTAAGGAACCCGCCGACGATAGCGAGCCCCTTTGGGCCAAGAACAGCATGTACATCGCCGAAGCAGGCTCCACCGCCAATCGACACAATTGACGTCTCCTCATCGACGCTGACCAGGTTGAGGTTCCGCATGTCAATCGTGACCCCGCCGTCGATGTTGGCTGCACCGGGGTTCCACGAGCGGCCGCCTCCGCGGATGGCAAAGGCCGCATCGGGAGTCTTGGCTGGCTTTTGGACGGAGATGGATACATCCTCGGCGGAGGTGGGGAGGACGTAGCAGGCTGGATGTAGGCGGCTCTGTTGCGCAAAGTACGAGCCTGTTAGGGTGCTGTAGGCTTCGTCCGAGGGGATGATAACCTTTCCGGGGAGAAGCGTGGCGAGGTCTGCAGGAACTGGCGACATGGGTGGCGTTTACGAAGAGGATGGCGAGGGAGGGAGAGCCGAGTAAGATGACAATCTGGTCGTTCTTTCAGTCGCTTTATCTCTTGCGCTGCCTCCTTTGAGCATGTTGGGTCCGACCAGGTCCAAGCTTACGAGTGCTGACATTGATGATCTGCGCAGCGCGCAAACGGGGACTTTGCCCTAGATTGGTCACAGCAGCTGCGAAGGTTTCAAACCAACAAGACATCCCAGCTGTTTGCAGGGTTGCACCAAGTTCTCTGGCCGGAACCAAAGACGTGAGGGCCAACATCTCAGGCTGGCAGGACGGATAGGGGCATTTCTGACCTACTCCGTTGGCTTTCAATCTGGCCCACATAGGGCTACCTACTGCAAACTTGACTGCTTACTTTATTCTGGTTTAAGCACAAAGAAAAGCCCCTGGCTTGGAGTGATATTCAACTCGATGAAGAGGGATGGGCCAGAAGGTTATTTAATACCTTGTAGATCCTGGGCTTGCTTATACATTTCGATGTGCTCGGCTGACATAGTTTCATTTGGCCATCGCCAAAAAGGCCATCAATATCTAAGCAGCCACGAAACTATATACGGCCTCCGTTGTTCTTTGCTTCTCAGGGAGAGATTGAAGAATCAGTGCGAGCACCATGCTGCGCAATAGCTGCTGGCAGCGGAGTGTCTCTGACATGCCCGGACGAGAAATTGATTACCTTTGTATACCATGCTGCAAACTCCAAAGCAGGCACAGGGCAAGACATTACTTGAATAAGCGCAGAGCAGTATGCATGGTCCCATCTCCGAAACGGAAGCGACTATTCTAGTACAAACTCCAATAAGATGGACAACGCAGAGATTGTGTACATAACTCGCCAAGCTTGCCCGTATACCCTCGGAGATGTGCATAAGAAAATGATGCAAGGCGAGTCCGTGCCCACCCACGTAGCTGCAGATGAAGGTAGGGTTGTTGTCGACTCTTTCCTTACGGGGCATGGATCGGCATGGGAATTCAATGCTTGGCGCTCTTGTATGTCGCAGCAACTCTACATGAGACGCAATTATGCACTTGCATAATGCAACTGGTCAATCAATCGAGTTACACCGTTACACGCCGAGCCATTAAGCGGGATCATTGCAGGATGCTACCTAGGTATGAATAGTAAAGGGGTTTATGTGACATTACGTCAATTAACGGGTTGGGGTAGTCGCGCTATAAGTACCGTGCAACAGCTGCCATTTTGATCATGTTCAGTCGATTTATGCTTCAAGCGTCATTTGAACATGGCGTACATCTCAAACATTGTCGGGACGCAGGTCTCTCCAAGCATGATTTAGATTGTTGGGTGCAGCTTGATAACGGTAAGAGGCAGCCCCGAGCCTTCTGGAAATTGATCGAGGTTAGGCTGACCATGAGCATACCAGTGCCAGATCACGCTTTATTTCATCGCCCTCATCCTCTACAATGTCTACTTCCATCCGTTAGCCAAATATCCTGGTCCGAAATCCATGGCCGCCACGCGCATCCCTTACATGCGAATAACCATGGGCGGCCGGTTCCCGCAAGCCATCAAGAAGCTACACCAGGAATACGGTGATGTTATCCGCATCGCTCCCAACGAGCTCTCCTTTACTCACGGCGACGCCTGGAAGGCCATCTACGGAACCCGCGCCGGGCATGGTCAAAAGACCAAGGACTTCCGCTTCTACACACCCACCCCTGGCGGAGCGCCGAGCATAATCGTCTCCAACGACGCCGACCATTCTCGCTTCCGCCAGTTAATGTCACATGGGTTCTCGGATAGCTCGTTGCGTGGACAGGAGTCGATCATCAAGGGTTATATCAATCTTTTGATGCAGCGTTTACGTGAGAAGATTAGCGAGGGCACAAGGGCTGTTAACCTGGTCAAATGGTACAATTTCACGACCTTTGATATCATCGGTGACCTGGCTTTTAGGGAGCCATTTGACTGTCTAAAGAACTCGGATTACCACCAATGGGTATTCATTCTACTGAGCCAGCTCAGGATGGCTGGTTATGCGAACGTGTCTCGGCATCTACCTGGGTCCAAGCATCTCCTCCGACTCATCACGCCACGGCACATCCTCTCGCAGAGGAGTACACACGTGGCATTGACTACGGCAAAGGTCAAGGCACGGCTACACAAGCCCCACGACAGACCAGACTTCTTCAGTAATATCCTAAAACACGACAACACGGAAAAAGGGTTCAGCTTCCAAGAGTTAGTCAGTAATGGGAGCACGCTTATCATCACTAATTCTAAAACGACTGCAACTCTACTATCAGGTGTGACCTATCTACTCTTGAGGAATCCACGCGTCCTCGCCAAGCTTCAAAACGAGATCAGGTTCACCTTCACCAACGAGAGTGAGATCAACTTGGAATCCTGCAACAAACTCGAATACTGTCTTGCTGTCCTCACCAAGGCTCTTCGCGTGTATCCCCCCGTCGCACCCGGACTACCCCGGATCGTGGATGCACAGGGTGATATAATCGCTAGAAACTAGGTACCAGGAGGCGTAAGTGCACGTGGAGTCTCCTATCACGGCCCCGTTATAGTAAAGACACCTGTCAGTGACGAATTCTCTAGACCATGGTATCCATCTCCCAACTAGCCGCCAACCACTCCCCCACAAACTTCACCGACCCCGAGCAATTTATCCCAGAACGCCATCTCGGAGACCCTCGCTTCGCAAACAATAGCAAAACAGCAATGCAGCCATTCAGCTTTGGCCCGAGAAACTATATTAGACGCAAGTACGTTCCGCCTCTACACATATTTACTCCCCTTAGCCCCTTTCGCTTTGTCTGCAAGCCAATGATCTAATCTATTCTTTGTCTATCCAGCCTGGCATACGTCGAAATGCGGTTGATCCTTGCTCGCATGGTTTTCAACTTTGATATGGAAATGGATCAGCCAGCGCAGAACTGGTTGGATCAGGAGTGTTTTGTCTTATGGGAGAAGCCGGCTTTGCCGGTCAGATTATTGCCGAGGAAAGTATGAGCGAGCATAGTCAGCTATCTGGTCCGATGGCAGTCCCCTGATTTAGGCTTATGATAGGATGAACCAAGATGACTAGGTGCTGATGGCACTGGCGATTAGTGGGCTCTAGGAAGCTGTCAGTGGTAGAATAGAACGTTCAATTTGCGAGCTTTAGTTAGCCTTGATCCTTGAGATGGCAAGTGGAACTGAATCCATCTAGTACAGGACATAGTAACTCAGGCGCATACGATATGCAGGAAAGCGGCTGATATACCAAGGCAGTACATCAAGGCGACTGATAGGGCTGCAGGTCACATAGCTATCCACCAGAATTAACCTGAGTGCAAAATATTGGACTGGACGGGAGAATCTTGACAGCGGCCAGCTGATATGCAGCACTTCAGAGTCATACGCTCTCCTCAATCATGACTGAGGGATTCTATGCATTATGGGAAGCCTGCATGTTGACAATCTGTATCATGTAAAAAGAGTACCACTGTACGTCAGTTCTAACTAAACTCGGACATGATGGGTTTGCCCACCACCGAAGGATAGTGCCATCGAAGGTTAGATTGCCGGTGCATGGTGGACACCTCAAGATCTGGTGCAACCATATTCTATAGAAGATAGCAGTAAATGTTGGAAGGCCGGTCTCTTTTGTCTTCCACATTGAGTTTCGCGCCTCACGTGTGACCTTTCCTTTATTCGCTGGGACCAACGCAATGCCTAACAGATTCAGCCCTAGGAGCACCAAGAATCCGCGTTTATATCTAGGGGCGTCGTCAGCCCGGAAGACCTTGTTGCTGATGATATTGCCTAGTTGGATGCTTACTATCACACACACCAGTTAGATACCATATATAATAAGAAAATAGAGAAAAAGGAAAAGGAAAACGAGGGAGAAGGTACATACTATTATAAATAGCCGCCAAAACTATCCTCATGCATCTTGTGATACGGTTGTAGTGTTTGCTCGTAATTAGTGACCTTGTGCGTTTGTTGGACAACGCTTATTCTTCCCAGGAAGGAAGGGACATAAATTCAAACCTTTCCTTAGGTTCTAGGAACAGGTCTCTTCTACGGCCAACGTTGGGAGTGCAGAGCCTCTCTACGAGGTAGAGCAGGTCAAGGCCAGTCCGCTAGGCCGAGGTAATGTTGGAAGAACTGACGGTCCCCCCTCAACCTAGATCGTAGGACTTTGACCTAGGACTTTCTAGGACTCAGTTCCTAGAAGGGGCCAGTCGAAGATATAAGGTCTCAAATGTCCATCGATGGAAAGAAGATAGCAACAGTAAGAACAACCTTTTGTCAAGTGCACTCAGCATCCCTACGCGATCTAACAACAAGAGCTAGCAGCTGCGCCCTGCCAGCATTTACTAATTTATTCCTCTAGGTGCCATAAAGAAATAAACAATACAACAGAGAATCCAGGCTAGTAGATAGGCTCAGTCCGGAGGTCATAATCTTTCCGGCTAGTGCTCAGGATGCAGTCAATTCTTGGAACCCCGTCTACGTACACATTTTTGCTTAAGAACACCCAACCCACCCCTTCAAGTCATTTTGTATCGCGTGCCGCCATCTCTCTGCAGAAGGAAGCGCCGGAAGGGACATGAATGCATGTGGAACGCCTGCGTAAATGTGCAAGGTTGTTTCAACTCTGTAAATCAAGTCAGCTCCTCGCTACCCAGCCTTCTTCTTCTCTCGAAGCATGCTCTTTCAGTATGACTTACCCAACTTCCCGCATCTTTTCTTCCATCAAGTGCCCTTCATCACGAAGTGGATCGAGCCCTGCGATGTGAAACGACACTGGACACAGGCCGACAAACTCCTGACAAGGACGCAGTAGAGGTGAACATGTCGGATGTGTCGGGATTGGGTTATAGAGGTCCATAAAGCCCCGGAGCTTCTGCATGTTGATAAAGGGCGCGTCGGCGAGTAGATCAAGAGAGCTCGGTCGACCCTTTAGAAGTTCAACGGGAAAGTGAGCTGGGTGAACAGTAGACGGCGTACCAAGAATGAGTCCCCTGGCGTTTGGAACGGTATCGTCTCCGAGGGCTTCAAGAGCTACAGAGATGGCGAGGTTGGCGCCAGCACTGACACCCCCGACGAAGATTTGCTGACTGTTGAAGTGATACTGAGAGGCGTTCCGAGTCGCCCATTGGAACGCCGACCAGCTGTCCTCAACGGGGGCTGGAAACGTCCAGTCAGGAGTATGCCGATAGTCGACGTTGAGAACCATGAAGCCAGTCTTTAGCGCGATCTGGCGACAATGCGGATCTTCTGTCTCCAGGTTTCCGAGATGGTAACCGCCCCCGTGGAAGGATATGTACAGGGGTAGAAGTTTCGGTTGGTTCTTCGAGTCATCTTTGGTAGGCCTATAGAGACGGGTGGGGATTTGGACACCATTGGTTTTGGAATTTTTGAGATCAGTGACTTGAAGGCCGACATCTGGAAAAATATGCAGGTTAGCTCGGGGCTCTCCAAAATGATCAAGTCAACGAGTATGAGAACAACGGAGAGGGAGTCCGTAATTGTAAGGAGGACTAGTCCAACAGTTTGATCGCTCACCGGGTCTTCCCAAAACGTCAGCAAAGAGCTTTGCGGTCCTGGCATTCGCCTTGTCACGCGCCTCCTTGAGCGTGTCGGTGGAAGATGCGGCAGGCCGCTTCCACGTCTTCTCATAGAGGAGCCACTCAGCGGATGGTGCTGTTGAGTACAGGGAACTATCGGCCATGGTGAATATGATGTACCTGCTGGCTTGAATGGCCTGAGACGGGAAGATCGAGAAGGAGTTTGCTCAGGAAGCTTGACCACATCATCGAGAGATGCGCTATCAGGGGTTACACTAAGTTACAACTCCGATCTGTTCGCCTTAGCTGATGTACTGGACGCAGTAAATTACTTAAAGCAGTATCGCCGAGGCTGGCTGGCCCTTGAGGCCATCCCGTGCCTGCCTCGTACGTCTCAGAAACGGTATCGATTGAGGTAACCTGTCTACAAAGTAGGTACTTAGAGTAAGTGCTTCATGTTTCACGGACATTCTGAAACAAGAAGCGACTTGAACAACCCATAGACTTCTACAAAGTCACGAAGCTGCTTCGTAACTCTACAGCGTGGTTTAGAACAGCTTGATCTAGGTCCCTCTAGAAGTCTTCCGCATCATGCCCAAATAACCAATCCCTCCTCGCCTTGTATCCCCAGAATATCGGGTTCCTCTCGTCATCTTTGGTAATCCACACATCTCTCTCCCGCTGTGCCTCGCCGTCAGGCAAGTGATATGCATCCTGAAGCACTCTTCCGGCTTTCTGGGCTTTGGAAGCTCTGGACTGGCGCAGACCCTGGTACGCTCGGAGTGCCGAGCCGAGATTGGCTTTCGTGGTGCGCTGGAGGACCTTCCGAAGCACAGCTGCGTCTTCGCAAGCCATGGCCGCACCGGACGACATGTATGGTAGCATTGGGTGGACAGCGTCACCAAGCAGGACGGCCTTGGATTTGGGATGAACCCAGTTATCGACAAGATCCAAATCGTACAGCCGCCACTTGAGGAACTCCTGCAGAGAGTCACGGTTAGTGTCGCGTTCGGAATCTTCTACAACATCGACGGGTCTTCCATACCTTGCCAGAGTGCTCGACGAGCTTCTTCACTCGTGGCTCCCAGTCAACGAACCGCCGTCGAAGCTCCGAGTTGTCTGAGATGAGCAGCTTGTTCTCTCCGAACTGAAAAGGTTGGTCTTGCATCGAAGACTCGGAGCAACAAAAGACAACGTTGTATACTTCACCTCCCCGCACGGGATATCCTATGACATGTGCTTCAGGACCGCACCATGATGTTACCCAAGGCTGAGATATCAAGTCACGCATTTCCGGATCCGCAAGCAGGTCTTGGCCCGGAATCAATATGCGGTAGACGATATCGCCTGTGTCGGTGGGTGGCAGTTCGTGCCCTTGGAACTCGGCTCTCGCACTGCTCTGGACGCCTAGAAGGTTGCGTCAGGTTGGCCGATATGCATGATATCCTCCAAGGTTCTGAGCCGCTCTTTTCTCGCGTGACGAGGGATCTTGACTGATCGACGTACCATCTGCAACGACAACGAGGTCTCCCGTTACCCTCTCGCCTCCTTGCAATATCGCGGCCGGTGCATCCCAATCGTACTCGTCCACCCGACATCCACCCCTAACGCGAACACCAAGGGCCAGAGCTTTCTGCAGCAAGAGAGAATGATAATCGGCTCGATGCACCATCAGATAACTCCCGCCAAAATCTAGTTCCGGTACCCCATGAGGCATATCCGCCAACAGAGCGCCGTTGTCATATCGTAAGAAACGGTTACCGTTGGAGTGCGTTTTCTTGAGGTATGTTGCGTCGATGCCCCACCGGCGGAGGATTCTGAAGCAGTTGGGAGGGATACGCATGCCGGCGCCGACCTCCCCAAAGGTTGTGGCTTGCTCAAGGAACATTACCTGATGGCCATCAAGGGCGAGGCCGATGGCGGCAAGAAGACCACCCAAGCCTGCGCCTACGATGACGATGCGGAGATTCTCGCCCCCTTGAGAGGGTTTGGTTTCTGATGAAGCCGGCTGTATGGCGGCCATGATGGAAAAAAAAAAAAAATCTTGAAGGTGTCAGTGTTCCTGGAATGGGCATTTGATTTGAAGTATATGCGCCTGTTCGGCTCATGGTCGATGAGTCAACATTTTGGAGCTCTCGTTCTCCTGGCGACTCTCGAAAATGCCCGAGTCGGCGCAAGTTGTTGCTTATCACAAACTGGCGAAGCTCACCTTCCCGCGACCCTAAAATGGTTTCGCCGAGACCGCAACGTTGAATCGCTTGACGTAGTGAAGACGCGCCATTGGGGTATTCAATGGCGTGCTTTAGTGTCGGCCGTCAACTCCGACTTCGATGTTCGACACGTCTCTTGATCATGTTCTGCCTGCAGATAGCAACCTCTTTGTGACCCGGCAGACACCCTGATGCCTCCTATCTCATCCATTCTAGTCCAAAATGCTTAGTATCAATCTTGTTCAGGTCGATCCCGGGTCCTTTACCAAAAAAAGAAAGCCCAACAGCAATGCCTGCGCGCGATGCCATGAGAGAAAGGTCAAATGCAATCCAGGTACGTACGCAAGGATGCATACGCAGGACTTTCAATGGTCGCTTTCCCCAGGCAGCCGTAGGTTATTAACAAGCAGAAATATAGGACGCCGAAATGGTGGACATGGCCCTTGCAAGGTTATTCAACACGTATCGCCGGCGGTATTTCCGCTAAGGCTAATTTCTTTAACAGAACTGCCTTGCGTCCGGCGAAACTTGTCGGTGAGTTGATTGGTGAAAGACATGCCCTCGCAAGCTGACGAGGATTCACTAAAGGACCCATCTTGACGGTCGATTGAGAGGTAGTCAACCAAACTTGGAAACTTCTACAGACCTCGTGTATGTCGCCTGCTTTCACATATTATATATTCTTGTACCCTATGAAGATTGCTTATCACTGGATGTTTGTAAGGGCAGTGAGCCGGGCGACGACCTTCAATTGTTTCCAATGGCCGTTAATCAATCAGACCTGGGCCCTAACCGGGCTGCATCACCAGTACTCGATGCTTCCTCAGTAGATCCACTTGCTCGCACGAGCATGGAGAACGATCAGGTTGTTACTGATGGGCGTGATACCCTACAACGCATGGAGTTAGTCGGTGACACCCATACCGATATACCGGTCCCTGGCCCAACACCCTACGACGAAACATCTCATCAGGATTCGACCTCCTCTTCGAGAACGACTCAATTGCCGCTCTCCAGCAATCATGCCTTATCAAACTCGTCAACAGTTCCTCCAATGCGTATAGATCGGTTCGAGGCCTACGTCGAGGATAGTCTTGGATCATACGCACCGTCCTTTATGCAGCAGCAACAGCACAACCAGGCACCCGCTAACGGCAACCAGACAGCGAGTCTTTGGCCGAGCGACAACTTGTTGCATAACAGGGAGCCAATCGGCTACTTGCGTCCTTTGGAGGTCAACATGTCCTCTCGTTCCACCCTCGACCTGGAGCACCAGGTTCTTACGCTTGACTCGGCAGACATGGCATACCTCAAGGCAAAGGGTGCCTTTGACCTGCCACCTCGCAAACTGCAGGAGGATCTCGTCGAGGCATACTTTTCGGACGTCCATCCAACTGCCCCAGTGATCAACCGACATGAGTTTCTCTCTGCCTTCTACGGTGGTGGGAGCCCAAGTCCACTCCTGCTCTTTGCCATCTTTACGTCTGGGTCTCGGGCATGTCGACATCCGGCGCTTCTAGATAGCTGGGGAACCAACCAGAGCAGTGCGCAGCGGTTTTACAAGGCTACCAAGGTGAGACCGAATCCTTCCTTCTCTACAGGCCGTTGTGATGCTCTATGCCGCTTGATCAGTCGTTGACAGATCCTAGGCTTTACTAGATACGGGCTACGAGCGGAGTCGGCTTGTCCGCGTCCAGGCATTGCTGCTGCTTACTTGGTGGTGGGACAAGAAGGACGACGGAGGGAGAAACATGCGGTCATGCGCGGTTGATGCGATCAATACTGCGCAAAGTATTGGGATGCATCGATGGTATATTCAAAGAGCCCTGCGATGACCTTTGATGTGCGGAACTGACTTGCGCTCTCAGGAACCATTATCCCAAAAGCGACTTGGTATTGGGGCGCCTGTGGAAACGAATATGGTGGACGTGTTTTGTAAGTGCTCGAGCTTGACCAATAACTGATTACTCTGGACGTCTAACTTCAGACAGAACCGCGATGTGGCAGTGGCCGTCTCTCACGGTCTTCCCTGTATCATCGCCATCTCCGACTTTGACGTCCACCCTTTAACTGCAGACGATTTCAACGAGGAGCCCAACGTCGCTGAGCATCTACACCGCTATCCCTATCAACCCGTTGAAGTAGCCTTCTCGATAGAAATCATCAGGGTTGCCGAAGCGCTGCATCATGTCCACCAGACGCACTTTATTAGGCAGCACCTCGAAATGTCCATGACTGTCTCCATCGCTGAGCGCGAGGCAAATCTGACGTCTTTGAGAGCGATCGGTCAGGTACCCGTGCCGCCTGGCTCAGAGGGGGTCAAAAGAGGGATTCCCGATGACTATAGTGACAAGGGTCTTCAACTCTGTCGCGACTGGCTTGACCGGGTACCCGACGTGCTGAAGTATGACCTGGACGATATTCAGAAACACGAGTTCTGGCCAGCTTTCCTGCACATTCTGTATTTGTGAGTTCCTTGTGCCCATCCGTCACCCAGACAGCTAAGCCCAGCAGCACAAACATCATGTTACGCTTCCGAGAGAGGGCAGTCTCGCGTCCGGCCCAGGGGCGGGCTGAAGCCGAACGGCTCTACTGCCAGGCTCAAGGGATCGCTGCAGCAACCGTGATTAGCAAGATTCTTCGCAACGTGAGGGCGTATAATCATGTCCTCCGCTTCACCGGTCAACTGTAAGTCATTCTACCACACCCATTTTCAACGCTGACCAGGAGTTAATGCTAGTACCATCTCGCTCTTCAATTGTCTGATATTCTTCCTCATCGAAGGACAGTCACCAAATGACCATGTCCGCGCTGACGCTCAGGCAAAGTACTCGATGTGTCTGCACATGCTGTATGAGTTTAGTCAACTTTGGGTCAGCGCGTCGCTAGTCCACCGACTGTTTGAGGCCTTGCAGGCCCACATGCAGCTTGCGAGAGGGGTAGCCTCGCCCTTCTTTTATGCGGATCAGTGGGAGTCCCCTCTTCCCGGTCTGCGGGTGTCCAGCGACATTACCGAATCTTACATGAAGCAGTGAGCCGAGCAGGGCAACCGAACGGTAGATGGAATTCTGACATGACGTAGGTTGCTGGCCACCGATTTCTACTACGACGGCAACAGCGTAGCTGGATCGAGTCTCGGCCAGTCGTCCACAGGGCCAGGCACAGAGTTCTCTTCGCCCACCGGGATGACTCAGTACTTCCTCGAGGATACGTCACAGCCGTCTCTAGATCTGTCCCTACCCCTTGGAGGAGGTGTCCCCGATTCATTGGACGTCGAGCAGTGGTACGCCTTCTCAGAGCCTCCTGAAGCCTGGTCGTGTTTCTCTGAAGCTGACGTCTATCTGCCAACTAGGGTGAACTTTTTTGGTCTTGGTGGGAGCCCGGCTGAGGAGACGAATATGTTTATGTTTCAGCAGAAGGGCACTGGTGCTAGCAGGACGTAAACATGAAGTGAGAAACGACGGCCAGGACACCTTGGACTTACCTTTTCTGGTATCACCGCGAGCCACTGCCTGAATCCCGCAAGGCTTGGTATATCCCGGCTACTAAACCAGTACCTGCCATTTTATCTTCCTATAGCGCCTAGAAGGATCGATCAGAGCAGCACAGCTCCAAGACAGTAGGCTTATGGATTTGTATCTGGTGTCTGGGTAGCAAAGAGAGACAGGCTGGAGAGCTGCGGTCGCGAAGGGAAAGATAGATAGCAACGATTTGTGTAAAGACACCCGGCAGATTGTAAAATCCTTGAAACAAAACGTCGCCTGGACGTAGGGCAAAGACCACTGGGCTTGATATCCAGCCAATGATCTCGGCAATACGGATAGATCGAGCTTCAAACTTCCAATACCGGGATTGTTGGCACGCGCTACCTGACCGATAGCCTGTGGGGGCGCATTGTTTCCCCCGCGATCAGGCCATTCCTGTGCAAATCACGTCATTCCCATCTTTCCAGATAGAGCATCGCCGAAGGTGACATGACTCGCGCCCAGGCACTTGCATGGTGGGGCTATAAGTATCTTGGAAATACAACGTCACATGCATTTGATCATTGTAATCCACAAGGATGGCTTCTTCGGGTGACACGGGTTTCCTCGTCGTGTCCGAGAACCCGCCCATTAAAATCTTCTTCGAGGCTACAACAAGGCTTCCTCTGCCCCAAAACAAACCCATCTTGGTCCTTTCCAACTCGCTCTCTGCCGCTACCTGGCTCTGGGACCAATTCGTCGACACCTTCTCCCAAGACTACACCATCATTCGGTATGACACCCGCTTTCATGGTCAATCCCCGTTATCTGCGACACAAGACTTCGATTACGAGGCGGGCCACACCCTTGATGACCTCGCTGCGGATGTGATCCAGCTACTGGACTACCTCGGAATCAACCAAGCCGAAGCATTCATCGGTCTGAGCATTGGCGGTGGCATCGGCGTCGTCCTAGCCGCAACACATCCAGAACGCTTCCGTCACTTTCTCGTCGTTGGCAGCCGTGCCCACGCGACACCTGCGGATGACAAGGTGTGGGATGAACGAGTTGCTCTCGCGAGACAAAAAGGGGTCGCAGAACTAGCAAAGCAGAGCGTGGCCCGATGGTTCAATGACGAGTGGCGCGCGGCGCATGCTGAGCTGGCCGCCGATATTACGGCCAAGGTTGGGGCTCAGCCGCTGGAGGGATACCTCGCCAGCGTGGCCGCACTGCGGAAGCTAAACTTGTGGCCTCATGCGGGAGTTATCAGAGACTCCGGAAGCGGTGGAAAGGTGCTGTTTGTTGTTGGGGATCAAGATGCGGTCTCCGTCGTGGAAGAAACCAAGGCGCTTGCTGCGCAAACGGGAAGTTCAGTGGTGGTTATCAAGGATGCGGGACATATTGTCCATATTCAGCAACCTGGAAGATTTAATCAAGTAGTTAAGGAAGCGTTAGAAGGAAGTGTGGAATAACTGCGTGGCAGGTTTGGACTTTGAACGGCGTCTGTGGATGAAAAAGCCTCTACACACCTCTAAATTGCCCGAGTCCTCATTCGATGTAGATTCCGAGACTTCCAAATAGGATGGACTCATTCATCCTGCTTCCCCAGATTTACCTTGGCAGCCTTCTTCTGATCATCCCAAGCCGTGTTCTGTTTACCCAGCCAGATCTCTCTCGATGCTTGAACCCCATCTTCAAGCTCGGTATACTTGCCATCAGCCACATAAATCGACTTGCCATGATATCCGGAATGCAGTGCCAGGAATGCAATAGCCCGTGCTACGTCTATGGGCTCATTAACTGGCAGGCCATTTTCTTCCCATCTCTTTATCACCTTGGTTGTAAACGGCGTCTTCGTAAACCACGGCGCAACAACATTTGCTCGGATCAAACCCTCCGCGCTCAAGGTATCACGCAGCGAGCGCACGAGGCCAATGACGCCGTGCTTGGCCGCGTTGTAGACTGGGATTCCGGGCGTGTCGAGGTAAGACGCCGCTGAGCCTGTAAGTACAAGAGAACCCTGGATGTTGAGGCGTCGGAAATAGCTCAGCGCCAGCTTGGTCGTGTAGATGGCGCCACGAATGTTGACATCGAAAACGACGAGCGCGGGCGCTTCCAGCTTATGCTGCTGGTCAAAAGTGTCGACAAAGACGTCCTCGGTGCTCTCTCCAATCCCGGCATTTGCGAGGACGATGTCTACCCGGCCATACTTCTGGGTTGTTTTCTCGAAGATGTTGAGCTGGTCGTCCCAGCTGAGAACCGAACCGTGGAAGAATTGAACATTCCTAAGCAGATGAGCACTTCAGAGCCAGCAGAGAGATTGCGAGACACATAACATACCCTCCTAGCTCGGCCACCAGCTTTTCGCCGGCGGTCTTGTTCGTGTCTAGGAAAGACACCCTGGCACCACGTCCAGCTAGAAGCCGCACCCTGTGAATGGGCCGAGTCAATCAATCATCGTGGAATTCGGTACCAGAACAGTAGGACTGATACGTACGTTTCTGCTCCAATGCCGGTTGAACCACCTATAATTCTGATCAGCTTCTAATTAGCACAATGGGCAATCGCTTTGATGGACTAACCAGTGAGAATAACGACCTTGTCTCGCGCCTCCTCAAAGACTGGGCTATAGACGGATATGTCTACGGAAGTCATGGTAGAAAACCTCAATGTGGAGAAATACGTTGAACTCGAAGCTTCAATCAAGTAGGTGGATGAGGATTTAGAAAAGTCCAAATTGACTTCGCGATTCTCAAATATTTGAATATCAGTCGGAAATGTCGTTGGAGATGGCGAATATTGACCCTCGGCGTTGTCATTCACGCATTGGCTCATGTCAGTGGATCTGCGCCTCATGTGTCGTGGTGTGGCTTGATCAGAACGGCGATGCCCATTTAGGTATGGCCCATGCTCTTGCGCTAGGCCAATGAGAGATGTCGCGTGTTTTGGGGTTTGAGACGGCCTCCATTGACGTGATCGACTAGTAGCCTACTACTTGGCCGGCGGAAACTAAAAGACTGGGCTATGCGGACCGACGAGATCCCTGATTCACGATCTCCCGTCACACCAAACGGGCAAGCATTTCTAGTCTCCGGATTTTACATCACACTGGCATCATGATAAGCACGAATTGGGTAACAGAGGAAAGCGGCATCCTCGCCAATCACTATGTCAACCAGCCCAAGCCCATCCGAGTCATAGTCCTGGGCGCCGGCATCGCGGGCATCGCATTTGCCTACAAGGCCAGAGAGATTGAGAATGTTTTTTTCCAGATTTATGAGAAGAACTCGGACGTCGGAGGCACCTTGTTTGAGTCGAGATATCCTGGAGTATCTTGTGATGTGCCTGCTCATAGTTATACCTTTACTTGGGAAGGGTAGGTGACGGCACTGGACGGCTCTCTATCCTCTCGGTCGTATAGTCGTTAACTTGTTATGCTCCAGGAACCCGGACTGGACCAAGTTCTACGCAAGCGGCGAAGAGATCGAGGCATTCTACCAGCGACTTGCAAAGGAGTATGGCGTCTACCAACAAACCAAGTTCAAGCACCAGATCGAGGGTGCAGTATGGGATGATGAAGCCGGCCTCTGGAGGATAACCGTGAAGCATCTCGAGACAGGCGAGTCTTTTGTTGATTCCGCCGAGGTGTTCGTCAACTGCGGAGGAGTTCTCAAGTGCGTAGCCCCCCAACACACGCCGCTTTCTATACAGAGATTTAATACTGATACGATGACATACTTGTGTAGCAATTGGCAATGGCCCTCTATTGAGGGCCTAGACAAGTTCCGAGGGGCTCTCGTGCACACTGCTAGCTGGGATGATGGGCTCGACTTGAAGGGCAAGCGAGTGGCCGTCATTGGATCAGGGGCGTCAGCCATACAGGTGGTGCCGACCATTCAGCCAAGTGAGTTCCGCGAAGCGCAAGACCTGCTTCGGTATCCCTCTGACTGCTCCCGTAGTTGTCCAACAGCTGGTTAGCTTCCATCGGTCTCCCTCTTGGGTCGCCGCCGAATTTGCCGGCCAACTCGCCTCCCAAGGCCGTAACACGATCTACACCGAGAAGGAAAAGCAGCGATTCCGCCAGGACCCCGAATATTTCCTCTCTTACCGACGTGAGATTGAGCATGGCATGAATGCACGCTTCCCCTCCTTCTACCGTGACTCGGATGCGCAGAAACTGGGTATCGAGAACGTCACCAAGTCGATGCGCACGCGTCTCGGTAACAATCCGGAGCTGTGCGAGAAACTCATCCCCAAGTTTCCACTGGGCTGTCGACGAGTCACGCCGGGGCATGGATACCTCGAGGCTCTCACGGCGGGTAATGTGGTTGTTGAGACATCACACATTGCTCGGATCACCGAGACGGGAGTTACGACGGTAGATGGCAAGCTCCACGAGGTGGATGTTATTGTCACAGCAACTGGATACGTCACTTCATTTGTGCCCCGATTTCCTATTGTCGGATTAGAAGGCCGGGACTTGCAGCAGGAGTGGACTAAAAAGGGTGCTCGGGGGTATCTCTCAGTTACAGTGCCAGGAATGCCCAACTACTTCTGTAAGTCGGTCTCTGCTCTGGCCCTAGTTACAGAGTTGCGCAACTCGGTTTGCTAATCGGTTGGTGAAAATGCAGCAACCACTGGTCCGAATTCGCCCATTAGCAATGGGTCCTTGATTCCAGTCATCGAGCACCAGGTGGACTTTGCTCTCAAATTTAAAAGAAAAAAAAAAAACCAAGATCTACACCATGTCGTTGTGACAGAGAAGGCGACAGCCGAGTTCAACGAGTGGAAAGACGAGTTTATGAAAGGCATGACATGGACAGGTAATTGTACTAGTTGGTGAGTTTCTCCCTCCGCAGATCGATGTGATGAGGAGCAAGATGGATGTCAGTATGGGAAATGCTCATGCTCATCAGGTACAAGAACGGTACGGTGGATGGCACCGTTATTGGTAAGTAACTGATTCTGCGTTTACAATAACTAAACATCAGGACTGACGTGAGATTCCGCTTTTTCACAGGGCCATGGCCGGGATCTGTGAACCACTTTCTCTCAATTCTAAAACAACCCCGATTCGAGGATTTCGAGTACAGGTACCGCTCGCGGAATCGTTTCAGATACTTTGGGGATGGGAGGGCTGCGAATGAGGCCAAGGGCCAGCCTTTGGGTGCTTACATATCTTAGCATTTGATAGAACAGTCGCACAATAGAGAATACTCTTGCTTCACTCACATTTTGAAACCCAAGTGATGAGACCTCAATAGGTAAGGCCTCTACGGCGCAGTAAGACTACCAACCGATTCAACCGGGTCATTGAATCGCGAAACGCTTGACTCAACACCGAGTTGGAGACATGTGCCCTCAGCTAGACGACCGTTAGTCTAGCCCCGGTTCAGGATAGTAGGGGCCCACTCGCTCGGCGATGCTCAATCGGGAATCGCCCAGGTTTGAGCTGGGTCTTGCGACAGGCCCCTTGACTCCCTATCGCTTCATCTCGTTCTCGTCGGTGGTCTGGCCTGGCTGTGATGATTCTTGCGTGATTGCCAATGGCCTGGATCTCGATACTTCAGGACTCGGCGAATTCCACTTTAAAAACATGACGAGGCCACCGCAAGCGACGTTTTTAAACTGGAGAGACGCTAAGCTCGTCAGAAGAATATCCTCACTCTTCACTAGACCGACGACAGGGCTATCGCCACCAATATAAATCTGCATCCGTCGATAATCTCCTTGACCGCGGCCGCCCTCAACAATGGGTTTGTGGGTTCTGGAACCGAAGTCATGCGACAAAGTCCCAGGGACTGTGTACATCGAACGCGAAGATGAGCAGTCACGCATCAGGACTGCCCATCTCAAGATGGGTACTGGCCGTCATGAGGGCGTCATTCTGGTGCCGCAGCCATCGGACTCGCCCAACGATCCCTTGAGTACGTAGTATGATCCCTTCGCCGCTCAGATTCCTTTTTCAGTCCATGATGTGATACTGATAACGTCAATCAGACTGGCCAGAGCGTGAAAAGGTCTTCCACAGCGTCTTCCTCGCCATCGGCAGCGGCCTCTCCTCTGGAACCGCCTTCTTCCTGAACCCTTCCCACGGCGTCATGGCCAAGGAAATCGGCACCACGGTCACTCAGCTCTCCCGCTCGGTCAGCTTCTTGATGCTCACCCTCGGCATCGCCGGTATCCTCACGACGCCGCTGGCACGCATTTACGGCAAGAGGCCCGTCTTTGTCGGGCTGGGAATCATTGGCATTGTTGGATACGGTGTGATTCTCGCGAACCCGCGTGATATGCGCTACATCTACGCTGGCCGCTCTCTCTGGGGTGCCTGCGTCGCCGCTCTGCAGTATCTTGTCAGCTCCAGCGTCGGCGACCTGTTCTTTGTCCACCAGCGGGGCTTCCATCTCGCCCTGTGGCATTTTGGACTCTCTGGTGGGAATGCGCTGGGTCAGGTCATAGCAAGCCAGGTTGTGCAGGGGCAGAGCTATGTTTGGGCATTCCGATACGCGTAAGTCTCCTGGGTATAACCACTCCGACGGCCCTCAACAGTCCACTTGGTTTGGGTGCAATCCAGCTGACTATCCCCTCCAGCGTAATCTTCATGTCAGCGTACAATTTCCTCCTCTTCCTACTAATTCCAGAGACAACCTACAATCGCCCAAAAAAGTTTGACACGGACGTGCGTGAGGTTCTAGCAGACGAGTCAGACCACGCCGGTAGCCAGTTGCCAGATGGCGAGAAATCCCGACTCGAAGCTACAGCTGTTGTCGACGCCTCGGATGCCGAGAGCGGCAGCCCACCCGAGAGACGCAAGACCTGGATTCAAGGACTTAAGCTCTACAACGGCCGCTTCAGCGACGAAAACTACCTCCGCGCCGTCCTCTCACCCTTCGTTACGCTCATCCTCCCGGCCGTCCACTGGGCCGCATACTCATACGGCCTGACCGTGGCCTTTGCAGCAGCGATCTCCGTCTGCCTGGCGCAGATCTTCACGGTGGCTCCCTACAACTTCTCGACCGGCGCTGTCGGACTAACAGCGCTCTCCCCGTTTGTCGGAAATATCATCGGCAACTTCATCCCCGGCCCCGTGGCCGACTGGCTGGTGACGTACATGGCCCGCAAGAACGACGGCATCTACGAGCCCGAGTTCCGCAACATCCTCTGCGTGCCGGCGCTCGTAGCGGGCGCCGCAGGCTTCTGGGGATTCGGCCTGTCGATCCACTACCGCATCAACTGGTTTGCCCCCGTCTTCTTCTTTGGCTTGTCGGCGTTCGGCGGCGCCATCATGTCGTTGGTCTCGAATACGTACTTGCTCGACTGCCACCGCAAGTACGCCCAGGATTCGTATGCCGCCGTGACGTTGATCAAGGCGGTCTCGACCTTCGCCATTTCCTTCTTTGTCAATGACTGGCTGGCCAAGTATGGGCCGATCAACGTCTTTTTCGTCATTGGTTCCATCCATGTGGTCGGTTGCCTCTACGGGTTGTTTCTCTATGTATATGGCAAGAGGGTACGTTTTTATCGATTCCAATTCCTGGGCTCGGATGTACTTGCGAGACTAACCGGACGGCTTGAGCAGCTTCGCCTTGCAATCCATCAATCTCAATCAATCCAGAAGCTCCTTCGCTGGTGTGGAAATGGCGAGTAACGGTGGGAGAAACCGGTGGTTCCTGAAACATACTGGGTGGTGAGTGGTCAGCCTGGCAAAAACGGTCTGCAATCGAATCATCGTCGGTCCAATCAGGAGAATGTTAAGATATTCCTATATAAGGAGACCTCTATAGCCCTTCACATTGACAAATCAGACCTTTCATTGTTGAAGTTACCGTTAATTTACCACTGTGAGCACTAAGCGAGGTTCTCGATATTAGTTTACCTTTTGCATAGCCTCTAGTACTCAAGATTACATGGAGGACGCAATAACACCGCATTATTTTTTTTTAGAACCGGCAACCATAACTCTCAACTGAGTGTCGCTTTCCTCGTTCATTCGTTCATTGACGCGCAGCGCAGTCGGGGGCAAGCCATGGTGGCAGGTCCAGATCGCATGCGCTAGTGGCCGTATCACAACCATGTAAACATCACCGACAATCGAAAAGACCCATTTAGATACTAGAATAAAGGAATCGTACACTTGTCCAAGGTTCTCTCAGCCCCGAATCAGCGTCATCAGCCTGCTGTGACTCAGGCAGATGCCACAGTGCTCATGTGTCTCTGCCAGCTCTCCATGAGACTCCACGAATAGAAGCAAAGAACACATTAATGTACACGAGATATTGTTGTGCCCAATCATGAGAAACACCACAGCGTTAACGTTATCAGCTCCACTATCCAAGTCCACAGCTCACTTCGCTAAATCTGGTAGACATGGCCATCTATGTCTGATCCTCCCATCACAGCTATAACACTGCTGCCATAATATAACATATAACAGGTTTACTCTGGCCAGCTTATACACCGCGTAGTAAGACCAGTTGGCGCTAGACAGCATTTACTCATCGGCGGTGACTTTCATCCCACTCGGCCACAAGCTGCCCATACACAGAAGCAGACTCGAGCTCCGGAGGCGGCGTCAGCCCTTCGGACTGCTTCCTAATAAACTGTCGCACCTTTTCACTGCGCGGTGTCACAGAACACTCGAAAGGTGCGAGCGCAACCACGAGCGGGGATGGGACTTGGGGACACGAGATGTGTTAGCGATGAGCATCAACGTCCCAAGTGCTGTTGCGGATCGAGGGCAGCTTACCTGTTTCCAGACGAGGTGGGCCGGTGGACGCTGCCGAGATATCAAACCCCCAGAGGATACGACTTAAAACAATGTAGAGGCTGGCGTTGGCAACTTGTTGCCCGGGACAGGCCCGGCGTCCAACTCCAAAGGCAAAATGGTTGGACAAACTCGCCATTTCTTTGGCCCGGAACGGATGGCCGTCACGGAGAAACCGCTCGGGGAGGAACCGATGGGGTTCCTGGTAGGAATTGGGATCGTGGTGGACGGCGTAGGTATTCGCCATGACGGTGGCGCCCTTGGGCACCCTGTACCCCCTGTACACATCTGCCTCTGTCGTAGCATGCGGCACAGCAAGTGGGCTGACGGAAGCCCAGCGATGCAACTCCTGGATAAGAGCTTCGACATAGGGCAGGTTCGGCCGGTCCTGCCACTCGGGCAGTCTGTCTGGGCCGACGACCGCATCGATCTCTTGCTGGGCCCTCTTGGCCGCGTCTGGAAAATATATCGCCGCTCGAAAGAACCATTGAACCGAGGCGATGGTGGTCTCAGACCCGGCCGAAAGAATTTCAGCAACGATGCCAACCGAGTCCATATGGCTCCAGCGTCCAACATCGGGATCGTCGAGGAAACGAGCCATGAAGCAGTCTTGGGCAATGCCCTTCTTGTGTCGTTCATTCATTCGATCGAAGAACAGGGACCAGAAGCTTACCCAGCGGCGGTGCATCCAGTCTGCTCTCTTCCTCCAGGGGGCAAGGGCCGGAGGTAAGTAGTCGAGGAAGGAGAACCAGTCTGTGACCCACACTCCGGGTGAAATATCTACGAGTCGATGGTCAGCTCTACCGCTTGAAGTACTGACTGGGAAAACTTACGTTGCCAAAAAAGAATCATCTCCTCTCGAATCCTGGTTGGAACGAAGGAGTCGGAATTCTCAAAGCGTGCACCAAGTCTACTCATCACGTTGCATTAGATGCAGACAGACCAAACATCACCTGTGGCACTCGGAAGTCGGGAAAGGGGAGAAGAGATAGGACAGGACCGTACAGCATGCTAAAGTTGACGCTGCTCGCGTATCTTGCCGCCTCCTTGAAAAACGTCTCCGGTTGATTCAAAAGGTTAACCAGAACAATCTTGCTCTCATAGTCTTGGTACGGCTGGAACATCTTGGTGTTCTGCCCACTCAAGAGCGACTGCAAAACTCTTCTTCTGTCCTAGAGGCATGGAGTACTTGATTAGCATCAGAACTGCGCAATGATGCGCTGAGGCACCTACTTTCCAAGGCTCGCCGTAGGGCAACGCAACACCTCTGGAATCCCCAGTCACGCGACGAGTTTGTTTTGAAGTCTGAGGTCTCGAGTTGTACAGTGCGCCCTTTTTATTAAACAGCTCATCAAAGGCATGAGCGGAGCTGACGACGAATACAGGTTGAGTACCGGCATGGTAGGAGAAAAAGTCGCCGTATGTGCGGCTCCATCCAGACAGAATGAGATGGAGGGCCCCTTCACGGAGCTGCCGCAGGTTCCCGAGGAGGGGGAAGCCAGGCGGGCTGGGTGGCAGGCCCTTTCTGTGTCTCCGCCGGATTAGATAGGCCGCAATGGAGAGTACAATGACCGCCCCTATTATGGGAGACATGGCAAGCGGAGGATCGTTCTGCAAGCTACTTAGTTGCTCGCCTTGGCTGGGCCGGTTTTGATGTCAACTTATATCCTGAAGTGCCTCTCACCGCAGCTACGGCTCGGCGGTACCCAAAAGGGCTTCAAACTGTCGGGACCGAATTCTGGCAGTTCGGCGATGTCTCATTCCAGGTACACATCGCATCAAATCACGTCATTTCTTTTAGCGCCGCAATCCTGGAGCTGCGACCTGAGGTTCTGGCCGCTCCATTGTCACTTCGAGGCCTTTGGTTGCTGCCCTTGCGATGCGCTGCTTGGAGTGGAGCCGCGAGCTCATGATAAGCTTGACCTGATCGCCTTTGATCGTGAACGGTTCCGAGTCTATGGCCATTGGCAAACTCTACTCAATGTGCCTCAAATCTGCTTTATAAGATCTTGTGGCATGGAGAATGCCTGTCGCCGGCATTTGGGCGGAAATCTCTAATTAATGGACATCTGCTCCCGTGGCTCTGGGGTCTAAACCCGGTTTGCCTTCAGATTACACCTACACCTACACCTACACCTACTGCTATAGCGGAGAATGAAGTCACTACTAGCACTAACATCCCCGACTATAGGACCGAAACCGTTTGGGACTGGGATCGACTCGCCCGACAATTGGCCCAGGTTGAGGTCTTTGCATCCAGCGGTGCAAAGGAGCCCAGACCACTGGGACTGAGTCCTGGTGCCAGAGCTGCTTGACCTGTTCGAGGAAGATCAGCTGGGTTTAGCGTCCCGAACTGCAAAAGCGTTTTGTCGCCTGGGTGAAAAGGAGCGCTCGGAATGCGCGATGCGCACGATGGGCTCGAATTGATCCATGGAGAGCCTTGATCCGGAGGTGGTGGCTTCCATTGGCCAGCGAGAGGAGCCAGGCTAGTCCGGCGAAGGTCCAGGTCTTTGTGGATGGCGCGGCCAACGAGGAACTGTAGCTGCGTGGGCTTCGGGTCTCTATTTCCATGTCCCCTACCTACCGAGAATTCTAGGGCCAGAAGAAGCAAGGTATTTGACATTGTGGACAATCCGTTCCAGACGGCGGACAGCAATCAAGCTCGACTCCGGGCCGATCGTGGCATCTTATATCTTCCCCTCACCTCATGCCAGTTGGGTTTTAGAATGGACTGGACTGTGCTGCCAGGGCCGACGCCTGTTGACGATCACACAGTCGCCCCAGAGCCCTGTGCGTACAGCGGACCTCTCACGAGGGTCTTATGTTGGCTTACATCCTACCCCTTGATTAGCCAGTTATTTCTTTTCTTGGACCGACAGCTGCTGCATTCTCGGCCGCTACTGCTACACTAACCAGTCTCAGCCTTTGCCCAGCAAGAGCCCCACGATCGAAGCCACTCATTCGCCACTGAGCATACTAGCTCTGGTTGCTAGGTCCAGACGCAGTGGCTGCACCAGGGTCGTTTCCCGTCGCTGTTCAAATGGCACCAGTGACAGAAGAGGCATGAGTGAGCCACTCCAGATTGACTCTGGGTTGGAGTAATGCGTGGGTGGAATCCTAGAGAAGAGGGAATGTTTGTGGTGAGGAGACCGCAATCAAGACCCAAGGAGGCCTGTATGTTTCACGCCATACCATTTATTTGTGCTGTAATGATACCCAAGCTTAAACCTGCCTTCGATATCGACCCTTCCGTTCAAAAACTCCCGGGTCTCTGTTCCTCATACCGCGAAGCATGAGCGGCCTCTTAGCCGATCACCCTGATCATCCAGTCATGGGTGATCCGGGTGAGCGTCGCGCGACCCGCACCCCCCACTCAGCTTGTTCACCCAGATCGCGCGAGGTAGAGGATGATATCAGGAATAAATCTGCCCTGCAGAACACCAACAATCACGCGCAGCGCAAGGAACGATGCCCTGCTGTTAAGCCAGAATTCTGCAGCAGATGCCATGCTCCAGAGAATCATCTGGGCTGGAATCCATCGATCTGGACCTATCTTTTTACTGATGAGCTGGGATGGAAGCTCGGCGAGGAGGAAAGCGGTTTTGAACAGGGTGTTTCCCAAGTTGTAGTCTGACAGTCTCAGCATTACTTGTCCAATATGAATAGGTTGGTACCTACCATTGGTATCCAATCCCATATTATCCAAGAAGTTATTGGTATTGGCCTGGCTAAGATTGCTTTGATCCAAGTCGAGTGCGAAAAAGGCAAGCGCCACTCACAAAGTCACTTTCCAGTCAATCTTCCAGACCAGAGGCTAATCGCTTGTTAATCTTGCGTTTTCAGTAGGTTAAGGCAAACATACCCTTTCGTCCTTCCAAGTCCACTTGAAACTAGGTCGAAGAGGTGCAAATTCTTATACATAACCGGCTATCTTGCTCTGGCAATTCCTCTGTGAGGCAGATTCTCAGCTAAAAGAGGTTCTTTTCACAGAGGTTAAGGCACCGACTTCCATTGAAGATTTGCAATTCATAGTCTCGTTGGCTAGTCAGAGGCCTTTCCCAAAAATGAGCGCACAAGGTGAGTAGGCTGCGTCATTGGCTGGTCTGTTATTTATAAAGCTTACGTTGCGTTTGGGACTCTGAAAATGGTGTACCGGGCAGTGTTGAGGCTGGTACGGGAAGGATTACCTGCTACGAGGATGGGAGACCTACGCGGTTTACTTTCAAGGAACCATTTAGCCGGGTGCCCCACATAGAGCTCACTCTAGACTTTAGTAATGACCCAGATAAAGAGTTCTAAGACTTTTAGATCTACTTTCTGAGCGAGGGAGGGCTGGCAGTAGACCAGGAAGGGTTTAGTCTAGGAGTAATATATAAAGACAGGCTAAGCTTATATTCAGGTAATACGCGATAGAGATTAATGAGGACAAGGATCCTTGAGTAGAATAGATAGGGCGTGCCTTTAAACTAGGTTAGCTGTTGGCTAAAGACGTATAACTATGTATTAATATAATTGACAAGGCTATCCGTATCTGTGGACTTTTGAATACCTTAAAAGGATGGGTGCAGTGGTATACTAACGTAAGACAAGGGTCTGCAGACGTGGCCACTGGCTCCCCATTCCGCAAATGGCTTCAGCGTACTGCAGCGAGACGGCATGGGCTGGAAAGGAGAATTACAACAGGTGCATCTTTATGGATTATGCAACCAAGTTGCATTGACATCTCCAGGCTCGCAATGCCCTAAATGATATAGATGCCATTGAGGATGTCGTCTTGAAATAATAGTATTTGTCCTGCGGTTCGCATTATCTGACTTTATCAAAATATTTGTCAAACAGTTCTTAGGGTCCATACCAGCAAGACAATTTTTAAACTTTTCACTCTGATAGCTATGAGGAATAGGAGCTTCGGCGATCATATTGTCATGTTGTTAGCTGGCCGATCCACAGGCGTCTTGGCACTACCTCGCATCACTCATGATAGGAAACGAAATACTAAAGGTTACGTCAGCTGTGATATATTTTGGAACCCAGTCTACAGTCTGGCTTGGTAGGTTGGCGTTTGGGTTCTTACGACCATTTTTTACGAGCGCTTACAAGTTATGACGCTACCAGTATATGTATGACGTTGTTGAGGAAGGTTTCTTGACTGCTTTTAGTGTATTAAGGCTAGTGGAAAGACTAATCTTAGCTATCTCTGCAATTTAGATGTGGAAGTTGCTGATTTAGTAGGCGGGCGCCAAACCCTAATCCTAATTATAGATAAGAGTAAATTAGATCTGTAGATATGGCTCCTAATCTTTCAGCGAGGCTTAATACATCAGAAGTAGTCTAGGAATCATACTTTTATTATCTAATTATTAATTCACAGCCTAATCGCTGCAGTTATGACGGAATGCAAGTGGTAATGCATACTGGCTTTGTGACAACAGCATGTCTTTCTGTCACAAGCCTCAACAGCTGAAACTGGAATAGGTTTACATTAGTCTGCGTTTACCAAGGGTTACGCAGTCACCTGAGGAACTAGGCCACAGCTATGACCTCCGATGGCTCTGGTGAAATAACCGCGTGCGGGAAAGGCCTTGTCATTGACTTCCTGGACTAGCTAATACTCCCTACTTAAGACACTTCTCTTAGTGAAATTTAGGCCAGTGACTATAACTATACCTAGGCTACCATATGTAGCTTTTAGGCTGTGTATATATTTATACCACTTTAAAGATGGGCTCGCTCTAAAGAATAAAACTAACTAGTATATATTAGGAAAACTGAAGTGAGCTAGGCGCTGGTGTAGCTTCAGAAAACACTCTGGTCATACAACTGCATCTTGGCAAAGCTTAGGCAGCCAGCTAGCCTGCATCTAGTTAGAGATGGCTGACCCGCTGGCCATCGTTTGCATCTCAAGACCATGTCTAGAATCAGCCTACTTGGGGTTCGCGTCCAAACGCCCCAGACCCAAGCTGTGAGCAAACGACGAAAGCGGAAAGCTCGTGATATCACCATCATAGCTTAGCAGCAGTATCAGAAACTTTAAATCTAGCAGAGCTTAGGTATATTTTCACATCAATTCATCTGCACTGGACCAGTTTCAAAGGTTACCCCTTCAAATTTTTTACACAGTATTTAATCAAAACTGTCCTTCTAGGATTCATTGCTGTTTCAGATCCAAGAAGAGTCATTCAAAACGGATACCAACTTTAGAAAAATGGTTGAAGAGACACTCAAAGCTGGAATAAGTGATTTACCATTACAAATGTAAAAGATACTATAATATAATGCTGACTTATATATATAAACAGCCAAAACCGGACAAGTCAGGAATGGCAGCCGCTATCATGGGTATTGAATTGCCGGGCGGAAAAACTGTCGGAGACGCATTGAGCGAAGGATATTTTGGATCGAGTACTGGAACGGGATTCGAAGAAGTGGCAAAGATCTTCACAGACGCATTCAAGGTAATAGGATTTGGAGGACAAGGAGGCAAGGCAGAAATCGGTCAAAACTTGGATATATTCAACGAAGTGAGGAAAAAAATTGATGCCGGAGAAGTCGACGATTTTGTTGATATTGGAAAAAGCATTGGGAACTTGAAAACAATGATGGGATTGAAAAATGAAATAAAAAAAGAGATGCCGAATCTTGGTGAGAAACAAGCAAGAGCATTGACATTGCAAGCGATGGAAGCAATGGAAGCACTGGGAATCAAGCCGTCAAAATAAAACGCTTAATAAGTTAAGTAATTCCGCGAGCTGGATAACAGTTGCTATATTACAGCGTTGATGGAGATGGATATACAGGAGAAACTGAAACTTGTCTGTCATCTGAGTGCTTGAATGCTGGCTGCAGTCCTGCAATGTTAAAATTACCTTGTTTTTGGAACAGTCTTGTGCAAAACTAGAACTCTTGTTCAGTACCTGTCTTTAAAATCCAGTTCTCTGAGGAAAAGGCTTAACCTGTGGTATGCTGCTTTATATGTGATGCCATTTTGCTTTCTTTTTGCCTTGGTATAGGTTTTTTTCCTATTAGCTAGGTTTTCCCTATACTATTATGCAACTGCAAAGGCTAGTTATATTAAGGCAAAGCACTTGAATGGATAACCTTCCCACCAAGTGATTGACTGGTGTCTCAGCATGCACGCTGATGCATATCTAGACAATGGACAAATCAAGCAGGCAGCGGATCTACTAAAGGACGTGGTCATTGTAGAGGAGAGAATCCTTGCCAAAGAAGCTCCCTGATGTTGGATGCCTTCTGAGCCGATCTCCCCGTGTCAGATACCTTCATATAAGGCCACAGCCATGAACATCTAATCATGACTGGCTTTATGTAGCATACTACATAATAAGTTTGAGATATTCCATAAATCAACCTAAGAAACGTCTTTCCAGCAGTTAGCTATTCTAAGATGTTCTACTCATAGTATTATAACTCATGTTTATGCAAGCTGCTCAGGTTAAGCCATGTATACATATATTATACCTAGAAAGGGATTTATGTTCCCTTGAATAGACGGGAACAGATCCAAGTGGGGCCCGGGAGACGGCTGTGGAGGAGAGAGATGCAACCCTGGTCACCCAAGCGGCACTGGCACGCTGCACGAGAGGCCTGGTAGCTGTTTTTATATTAGCTAGATAGCCTTATTTAACTAGGGGGCTATATTAGAAGCCTAGTCTCCTTTATCTTTTATATTAAGTTTAGCGCCTTAGATGTGACCTTTCCTTTATTAGTAAAGAGCTTCTAGCAGCTTTATCTTTCCTTCTTCCCTTAGCAGCTAAATTACCAAATAGATCATTTTTGTGTGCATAGCCTTTTTATCAGTAAAATCATCAAAGAGAGCTGGGTGTGCTGAAGAATTTTGACACCAGCGCGAGAGAGGGGTTAAATCCTTCAGCATTAGTGCGGGGCAACTTTGATCTTCAGCCATCGCACTTTTGCACATCCAACAGTCGTACATCTCGCATATACCTCTCCTGCCACTCTTTGGTCAAGCCAATCTCGAGGGCACATATGATAAATGTCTCTATGGACCCGCGACGACTACACAGCCGTGTGGATATGCGCCATCCCACTGGAGCTCGCCGCCGCCTGCGCAATGCTCGACGAGCGCCATGATCCACTGCCCCTCGACCCGGACTCGCGAGATACAAACAATTACGTTCTCGGCCGTGTGGGGTCTCACAATACCGTCGTTGCATGTCTGCCGTACGGTGTAACGGGTACAGTCTCCGCTGCACGCGTGGTAAACCAGATGCTCGCGACATTCAAGCGCATCAAATTCGGGCTTATGATCGGAATCGGAGGCGGAGCGCCGAGTGAGAGGCACGATATCCGACTGGGAGATGTCGTTGTGGGCAGTCCGACCGGGCTTTTCGGGGGTGTTGTTCAGTATGATTTTGGCAAGACGGTGCAGAGGGGTCGGTTCCAGCGCACGGGGATGCTCAATAAGCCGCCAGAGGTCTTGCTCACGGCTTTGAGTAATCTGCAGGCGCGGCATCTGATGGAGGGACATAGGGTCGAAAGCAGCCTGGAGGAGATGGTTAGGAAGTACCCGCCCATGAGTTTCCAGTACGCGCGTCCTACTACTGATGTTCTCTATCGGGCGGACTATGAGCATCCGGAGAATCAGCCCACGTGTGCGTCGTGCGATACTGCGCAGCTTGTACCGCGTCCCCCTCGGCCATTGGGCGTCTCGCAGTTGCGGATTCACTATGGACTTATTGCTTCGGGCGATCAGGTTGTGAAACACGGTCGGATGCGAGATCAACTGCGGGAGGAACTCGATGTGCTTTGTTTCGAGATGGAAGCCGCCGGTCTGGTTGATAGCCTTCCTTGTCTGGTTATTAGGGGAATCAGCGATTACGCCGACTCTCACAAGAATGATATGTGGCAGGGCTATGCGGCAGCTGCTGCTGCTGCTTATGCAAAGGAATTGATGCATGTCATCCCAGTGGCGATCAGCGAGAGACAGCCTGTTCGTGTTGGAGCCGACAGTAGCAAGTCTCCTCTATCAAGCAAAATTTCTATTGGCATCACTAATGAGAATAGGCACAAGCGAGATGCGCTTCAAAGTCCAGCAATGGCTGTCTCCTGCCAGTTTCAAAGACGACCTGTATAACCACCAGAAGGAATACATGGACGGCAGCTGCGACTGGGCGCTTGAACGGCCCGAGATTGCGTCCTTCCAAAGTTTCTCTGATGGCTCGGAAATTCTCAGCATACGCGGGCCTCCTGGTATTGGAAAGTCCACATTGACAGCCTTTCTCATCCGCCGGCTTATTGACGCTGGCCACTCTGTGCTCTACTTTTTCTGCAAAGACACCGAGGGGGGCAAGAGTAAACCCTACCAGGCACTCCGGACTATAATCTCTCAGATTCTTGCGGCAGAGGATGGGCAAGACCTTGTGTCGTGGTTGGATAAGGTCCGATTGGAAAGTGGACAACGACAGGCCGAATCGTTTGCAACCCTTCACGACTCATTCTGTCACGCACTTGCTGTTCGTTCGGTTTCAGAAAGACCAATTTATCTTGTTGTCGACGCTCTCGATGAATGCCAAGATGGCCGTCTGCTAGCCTCGACCTTGACTGCTGCGCTGAATGCATCCAAACGGCCCTTCAAACTTCTACTAACCAGTCGCGAAGAACCTGACCTGCTGGAATTCTTCCAAAAGTATAAAGAACATAGCTCGGAGGCAGGATTGGCGGCGTTACACGAACTGACCATCCTCCCCTTAACAATCCAAGCGCCCGTAGTTGCCTACGTCAAGCAACGCGTCGCTCACTTCCAGCACATCCGCGCAACGCCCCTCGGCCAACAAGTGTTTAATAATGTCTCGGCAGCATCTGATGGCTCCTGGCTCTACGCAAAGCTCATCCTTGATGAGATCGAGCGCCTACCCAGTCCAGTCTCGATAGCTCGACACTTGAAGAACATCCCCACGGGCCTTGTGCAGCTATACCATACGATCTTCGCCACCGTTGAAAAGTCGCTGTCTCCCGCGGAGCTTTATCTCGCGCAGCAGTTGTTTATCTGGATCGATATGAAGGATTTCGTTCTTGTGGGGAGGAATGCACTAGATAGGGATGTCTTGGATATCGTCTTCCAGGCTGCGAATGACGGGGATGAGGTTTTTGATTCGATTGGGCTTGCGAGGAAGCTTTGTTCGCCGCTGATTACGCTCAAATCAAGCCGGAAGAGTGAGGAGACCGAGACGAGCGTGATCGTTAGCTTTGTTCATCATACAGCGATGCAATTCGTACGCCAGAGCGCTGTGCGGAATACCCCCTCGATGAGCATACCAGTGATTCTCAAGCCACAACCGCTCAAAGCGCTCCACCGCGCAAGCACAGCGATGTGGTATTTCAGGGAGAGCAAAAAGTGCATGAAATTGCTCCAAGGGCTCGCCAAAGAACCCGATAACACCGATACGCTCGAGCCAGGCGCGTACTTCGAGATGGCATACGCACTTTGGGGCGCATTCTACCTCGATACTCTACCAGAGCAACTCGACGACGACGATCTCCAGCAGGCGTCTAAGCTGTGCACGCAACTGACGGAATTCCTCCTCTCGGCTCCGTGTCTCCGCTGGGTTGAGCTGGCCATTATCATTAATTACCGCTGGGGCTACGTCCATCTTTTCAATAATGTGACGGCGGCACTGAGGGCCGCGGAGGCTGCCGTAAAGCCACGTTTTGACCATGGGCATGAGAAGAAGGACCTTGCAGCCTTCCAAGTCTTCTCCGTCGTCCGCCTTGAATTTTTTGCTGATTTCGCATACGTCATTTCCTGTACTGGGCCGGCCTATCGTCGGAGGTCGCTGGCTATGCCCGACGGGTTTGGGAGTCGGCCCGCGGCGATGAGTCTAATGAGGCTGGGGAATAAGTGGGCGCACCTGTACACAAATAAGATAGGATAGAGCGTATCAAAGTGTCTTTGAAAATCTTATGACTGCGGCGACAAGAAAAAAAAAAAAATTACTGGCGTTGATTGAAAAAAACACCCCCAGCGAAACCGACCCCCTTCCCAGGAAGAAAGACCAAGGAAAACAACAAAAAAGAAAGTATCCCAGGTGATCCGCTCCCACATAAAGCGTGTGACAACAAGAAAGTGCTGCTTTCTTTTTTTTTTTTCAGAAGACATTACGCCCCCGGGTCCTGAGCACCAAGGGGTCCGCCTCGTCCGTCTCTTCTCCCTTTGGCTGAGATTGTACTAGCGGCAGGTTTTCACAGTTTGAGGAACGGCCGCAGCGGGGACCGCTGGCACCCGCAAGAACTCCCGATTTCCTTCCTCCTGCTCCTTCTCGGCTTCCCAGAGAATATCCTCGTCCTACTGCACGGAGATCGGGAGGTCGAGGCCCAATGGCTCGTCCGGATCTAGCTCTTCGTCGGGTACAGCGGCGGCACCCGAAAGGGACACCAGTACATAACCTCCAGTGTCGGGTTTGAGAAGTTTCATAAACTTGGACAATATCATTCTTTGTTGTGTCAATCAAGAGCCTTGTAAAAGTGATGCCCCTATTCAGGGACTAAGAAGATCATCCAAGAGCTTCCCTTGAACTTTCCCTAAAGGCCAGTTTTTACCACTGCAGACTCAATCCAGCCCTCCACTAAACCTCCGCTTTTACCATCACTTGAACCTTCATTATTCAAAGACATTGTAAATTAATGCCTTGTGCTTCGTGATCTCGAAGTCCTCCTGCAGAGGGATTCTTCTATACAGTAGCGAGCTTATATACGGCGAGGTCTTCTCATCAGAATTGCGTTTATTCAGTCTATAACCTGATCATATATGCTCGAAAGAACAGTGTCTCTAGCTCAGTCCATCAAACCATCCGCTCCAACGTCCTCAGCAGCCCATTCGGCTCGGCAACACCCTGGGTAGCAATATCATCCGCACGCTCCTGCGAGTCCGCAACCGCATAAATACGAAGCTCATCCGCATTTCCCGATGGCCGAATATGCGCTACATCGCCGTTGGCAAAGGTCATGCGGATCCCGTCGGTGTAGTTCAGTCGGACGATCTCGGGGAATCCAGACTTGTCAGAGAATACGGTCTGCAGCTGCGTTTTGATCGACTTGAATTGATCGATTTGCGAGTCGGAGAGTGGGATTGCGGATACGTTGGCATCGTATGCGGTTATCTCGTCGCTAAATGACACTTGCTGGATGGTGGATTCAGAAGGCGAGAAGCGCCCTACAATCTTCATGCTTGTTGGCCGGGGAAAGTTTCGGATTAGGGATGCACGGCTGTATCGGTTGGGGAGTGTGGCGAAGAGGGCCGGAAGGGTGGCTTTCTGTCCGCGGGCGGCAAAGAGTGCACAGAGGAGCGGAAGCACAGCGTCGCGCGTCGGAAGAGCGGTTAGAGTCTTGCCATTCCGCTCAATATCCGAGCCCGTGAGGAAGCCGCCGTTCGCTTCCCATCCACAGACACGGCTGCGGCCCTTATCCAGCGCAGTCTGCATCCCACTGATCACATAGGGACTTCCAATCTTGGTCTTTGGCTCCAGGACTGAAGCCAGAGCGCCCTTGTCGATGGCATCGTTCGAGCTGATGGGCACGACGACAGCGTCGACGCCGAGGAATCCAGCGACAATCATGCCGAGCAGGTCGCCGCCGAAAAACTGGACTTTCTGCTCGGCTCCGCTGGGGGCGACGAGGAGGGGGCGGTCGCTGTCACCGTCTGTGGAGACGATTGCATCGAAGGGTCCGCTGTTCTCGTTGTACAGGGTTTGCAGCGTGGCTAGCTGGGCGGCGTCAATGGCTTCAGTGTCAATCGGGACGAAGGTCTCGCTGCGGCCGGCGGGCGTTACGTCTGCGCCAAGTTTTCTGAGGATATCCACGAGCGTGTCGCGACCGACGGCGGAGTGCTGGTAGACCAGAATCTTCATCCCCTGGAGCGTTTCGCCCGCGAAGAAATCGAGGTATCGCTGGACGTAGGCTGATAGGCCTTTATCCGTAGCAGGCAGGATTTCCCGTGGTCGGTTGCGAAGCATACCCTGCTCGTCAAAGAGAGATTCCGAGAATGGCTGCTGCAGGAGCTCTTCGCGGACTTTGGCGACAGCAGCATTGATGGGCTGTTCGTGCTCCTTCAACAGTTCACCCTTGGAAGTGTTGAGCTTGTACCCATTGCGGTCGAAGGGGATATGGCTTCCCGTTACCATGATACTGCCCTTTCCATGCTTGAGGGCGTAATAAGTCAAAGCAGGCGTCGGGATCGCACCCAGGTTAATGGCATGCATGTCCGCATCTTTCAGCGCCTGCTCGACAGCCTGGCAGAGACCGCCACGACCATTTTCACTTTCGACATACGCTGTGGAGCTTGGTCGGAGATCATGAGCAAAGTAAAAGTCGTCGCCTGCTTTGATTCCACCCTGTTCAATGGGAAGGGATTGGAGGTAGCGGATCTCGGCGAGGACGTTGGTATATATTTCCAACTGGGTCAGGTGGATGACCAGGCCGCGCCGACCGCTTGTGCCGAACTTCAGGGGTTGAGGCTCGTAGGCGAGATGAAAGCGAAGGGGATCAGTTGGGGATGGCATGATGGTCTATTTATTTGTCTGAATGTGTTTTGAGATAGTTCTCAGACGACAGAATCGAGGGGTAGTGAAAGAAACACAGTTGGCCAGGGGCAGCGCCACGTGACGGTCGCCGCAACTGAGGCAACGCCAACAAGCTTTTCAATTTTTTTTTTTTCCTTTTTCCCTTGCCTATATACCACAGATAGACAAGGTCTTACAGCAAGAACAGTCGCGTGGTCTAATGGTCATGATTTTCCGTTAACACGTGATCATTAATATGATTACTTCTACAACTGTAGATGCCGGAACGGTTCCCGGTTCGATCCCGGGCGTGACTAGTCTTTTTTTGTATTTATTTTTCTCACCATTATTTTCACTCTGCTAAAGAGTAACAGACAGACAGACCCTGTCCACCATCAGACAATAACACCCAGCTCAGCAGCATCCAACACCTCCCTGACTGTGCGGAATTTGACATCCTTGAAGTACCTCTCCCGATCCCGCTCAATAACCCCCTCCTCAAACCCCGCTGAACCACTCGGAATCACAATCTTATACTCGGCGGCGATCCTTTCAAAGTCGTCCTTTGCATCCCGAACAGCATTGACCAGCACCCTCAGCGACAGATACTCAGCCTCAAACTCGATATCCGGATACTTCTCCTTGACAGCAGCAGCAAGCTCATCAGAGCTCATCCGCTCCCCAGAGAGATAGATATACCTCCCCCACTGCCCCTTCGGGACCTTCACAAGACTAACAATGCCCCTCGCAAGATCCCGCGCAGAAATCCAATCGACCTTCTCACTCCCCGTCCCAGGGATAACCATCCTCTTCTCGGCAAGGTTGATCGGAAACGCATCGCCGATATCCTTCATGTACCGGTTTGCGGGCGGGAGGATATAATCCATAATCCACCCGCAGCAGACCAGCGTCCATTCGAGCTTGGACTGATCTCGGAGGATTTCACGAATTGGCTCGCGCGTTTCCCAGTAGAAGCCTGGTTGGTCGGGATACTTGGCGATGTCGACTCCGTACTCGGAGGGGATGAAGCGGGTTACGGTCTTCGAGGCCTGGGCGGCCGCAATGAGGTTCTTTTGCGTGGTCACAAACGCCGAGGTGTCGTAGGAGAGGATTGTAGAGATGAGCGTTGTTGCTCCGGCTTGGTTCAGTGCGGAGGTTAGGGAGCTGATCGAGGTGTAGTCGACAGTCAGCTGGGTGAGATTGGGGACATTGGTGAAATGAGGCTTCGTGGTGCGGACGAGGAGAGCGACGGGGACGTTGGCCGCGAGGAATTCTTCGACGAGGTAGCGGGTGAGGTCGCCGGAGCCGGCAATTGCGATGGTCATTTTGATATCTTTGCTGGTATCAAGACTTGATTGAGTGAGTCCGAGATTGAGGTTGCTCAAGGAGGTCTTCGGTTTAAGATGGAGCCGATGCAGCCATAGTTTGCTGTCGCTACTCTGCCATTTTATACCAACCACTCTTCCCCAATGTTCGGCGACTTTCCAATCGCGCTTGATAATCAAAGACAGATTTATAATAAATACCAAGAGCTTTGACAGCAGTCGAATCCTTGAGAATCTCATGACCGGCCGGTGGTCAAGGTTTCTCGGGGCCCGCGGGCTCCCGGGCTTGGCTGACGTCCCCAACGCTGAAGTAGGGCAGGACTGGACTGGCTGATGCTGATTTGGCTTTGACAAGCACGCCGCTGGCCAACTACTGGTAGGCTGCTCATTTACTTGCTTGTCAGCTTAAGTGGTAGGGGAGAAAAGAAGAAAAAAAAAAGTCACAACTACGGCTCTTCGAAAGCTCGCTAAATGTCGGTCAAGATCCAGATACTTTCACCAACCTAACCACCAACTCTGGCGCTGGAAACGTGAAAAGCGCCTCGGTAGGCACAAAAACCTGCTGCGCATTCTCCAGCGAGGCCTCATACTCATGAACAAAGGCTGCAGTTATACACATCAACATGAGCCGTGCAAGCGACCAACCAGGACACCTCTGCGGACCATGTCCAAACGTCATAATCGAACATGTCTGCTGGCCGCCACTGGTAGTCGAGCGGCTGGCGGATTTTGCCCCCAGCCACCGATCAGGGTTGAAAACAGCAGCATCATCGCCCCAAATTCGGGTATTCCATTCGTTGCAATAGGCGGGATCTTTAACATTGTCCCCTTGGGAATCGAAATACCGGTGATTGTCATATCCCGTCTCGCTCTTCGCTGCGTGACCATGGTTGCCGGGTGTATGCGAAGTACCTCGTCGACGACGGCGCGCAGGTATGGTATGTTTTCGATTTGTGAAAAGAGGGACTTTTCATCGTTGTCTTTCGTATGTTGTGGTGAGAGGGTCGGCCAGCGCGCGCGAACCTCGTTTCAAAGCCGCGTCTGCACCGCTGGATGTCTGCAGAGCTCGATGATGAGCCACTGGAAGGTCGCAGAGGTCGTCTCGGAGCCCCCGGCGAGAAAAACAGAGACGTGGCCTAGGATTTCTTCCTGAGAGATTCAGACTGGGATTGCCGTCATTGAGCATAGCCCTGATGAGGTTCGGAGGAGAGTTGCTGTTGGAGTTTGGAGCACGTTGGCCCAGCTCTTGTTCTTGTTTCGCCGTCGCCGTCTGCACCAAATCCCTCGCAACGGATTCCAGATAGGCAAGATCCGAGAGCTCCCTGCGCCCGAATAGCGTCGGCATGAGGAGTGAGCGGACGGGACGAGGGAAGAGGATGGCCTTTGCATGCTGGCCGTTTGCGTGCCGGCGGGTGAAGGTTTCGGCGAGATCGGGATACCACGCCAGCCATCCGCTGCTCTGACCGAGGATGCCGATTCCCACGAGCTCCAGGATGGAGCGTGAGGCCCATTGGCCAATTTGCAGGGGCGCAGCAGGATGATGGTGCTCGTCGTCGATCTCCTGAATCATTGCGAGGCAGCGCGACCAGAGAGAGTTGTTACAGACCATCGCGAGCGTTGCCGCAGTGAAGACTGGCGCAAACATTTTTCGGAGCCGCTATACAATTCATCGTAAACTACAATGTTTGTTTTTGGGATCTGATCAACTCCACCCACCTTGTGCGTCTGCCCCCTGGCGCCAAACAACCCAGCATGCCCCACGGCAGCTCCTATCAGAAGCTCAGCCTCCTGCGAGTGCGTAAATCCATCGGACTTGGTTAGACAGATCTCGGAAATGGCTTCTGGACCGACGACCATGATCAGCTCGATGTTGAGCAGGGTATAGAACCGCACAATCTGCTCTCCAGCGAACTCGGTACAGAGCTGAGGGATGACACCATTGATCCATTTGATGGGGCGGCAGTGATTGCCAAGCAGATAGCTACGGCGCTATATTGTTTTTTCATCAGCTTTCGTCCTGGATTTGTGTGTCGTGATATCGGGAAGGAATCCTTTACCTTGAGCGATGGCAGAGGTTTAAACGGGGTCGTGTAGGCGGGGTAGATGTGACACTGGTACATCAGAGCAAGAATGCAGGCTATAATTATGGAGATAATGTACGGCGCTTTATTATCCAGGATCTTGAGCGACCATAAGATGGTCATCCACGGCACTGTGGAGAAGAGCAACACTCGATACACGGAGTGGGCCATACTTGCAAGTCGACTTGGAGCGAGAAATCAGCCGTGTCCGCTGGCAGCCAGGTGGCTTGTTGTACGTATTTGAAAGCTCTGATGCAGATTCATTACGGTGTCACCAGGCGTTTATGCTCTGCAGATCTTGCAGATCGACTCGGTTCGGAGTAAAGAGGGGGGGGGGGGAGGTGGGGGTTTGTCTGCATGAGAGTCAAGAAGAAAAAAGCAAACATGATACAAAATTTATTCCATAATCCTCCTTTTTCTTGACTTCGCCTCATTGTACTCTTTATTTCTCTCATTTCTTTCGTTCCCTCAGGACTTTTGCACAACAACCAATCTATCCCAACACCCCTCAAGCCCCAACAAGTCCTACCTCCTGATGGATCCCGGCTCCGCCTCTGCCTCAATCCAGGTCTGCAGCCTGTACATCTTGATCTGCCTCATCGTCGGCCTGGTAGCCACCTTCACACAGGCGACATCCCCCCTCCGCCCCGCAGCCACAGCCACAATCCTGGCCCTGGCCACCTCCATCCAAAGCACCTCTCAAAGCAGCACCACTGCTCTGCCATTCTTTTTCCAAATGACGGCGCCCTTGGGCGCGTGGGTCCAGTTCTTTAGTAGCGTGGACATTTTGATCCACAGACGAATTTCCTACGCGGAGCATAGGCGCTGGAAGGGCGTGAAAAAGGCGGATGAGGACGTGGAGTTGGACTTTTCGAGCCCCAGCCGCGAGGCCCTCTACTTTGCCTTGTGGCTCCCATTTTAACTTTCGGCGCATTGGTACCAAGTGGCAGGTCAGTCCCATTTATGCACTCAACAACGGATTTTCGGCTCCGTCGAGAGGACAGTTCATCCAGACGAGAGTGCGCAGCGTCCTCGCCAATCTCTGCGCTGTGGCACTGGTCTACTGCGCTTGCTCCTGGCCCACAGGCGGCTGGACGGGGAAACCCAAGGTCTCACTCTGTGCAGGTTTAGACTACACCTCTCTCTCCCCCCTCAATGTCCCCTGGCAAGCTCTATACAGACTGATGCCAATCTCCGTATTGCTCATCACCGCCATATTCACGACCGAAAATCTAATCTACGACATCCTATCCATTGCCGCGGTCTCGCTCCGCATCTCGGACCCGCCAGACTGGCCGCCATTCCAGGCCTCGGTGCGCGAAGCCTGGACTATTCGGCGGTTTTGGGGGTGAGTGATATACCCTGTCCACGCCAAAGCTATGCTATGCTTAAATGTATACCGAAGCGAAGTGGTTTCCATCATTCTAACTAGTTCCCAACGCGGGGTGAAACAAAAAAAATTAGACGCTTCTGGCACCAGGCATTCCACAGCTTCCTTGCGTCGAATGCAGACTATGTCGTCTCAAGACTCCCCCTCCCCCTCCTGGATCTTTCCCCGGGTAGCAAAACGGCAATAACAATGTTGCGCTACGCCCTCTGCTTCCTCATCTCAGGCCTAATCCACCACTTATTCGATCTGGGCATGCGAATCCCATGTGAAAATACAGGCGCCTTCCGGGTCTTCCTTGTGCAGCCGCTCGCCTTTGCAATCGAAGATATCGCCGCCTATTTCTCCCGACGGTTCTCCGTCCTGACGCGGGATACAGCTCTCAGGCGGGGGATTGGGTATCTTTGGGTTCTGCTCTTCTCGGCGTGGACCTGGCACGCCTGGACGTTTCCCGTGCTTCGGAGGGCGCTTGAGGTTGGCGAGCTTTGCGTGGATGGGGTGCGGGAGTGAGGTTGGGTCTAGAGGAAGATAGAATGGGTAGGTGGTGTGGATGTTAATGCTGGGATTTCCAGCCCCAGAGGACGAAGAGGGCGTAGGAGAGCAGTCGGTACGTCTTGACAAGCAGCATTCTTCAGCCTTCGGTTGCCCATCCACTAATAAGACTCTGTGGATGAATTTTACTATCTGTGTGGTCATCTGATCGTCGTCGACAAATCTTGAGGATCGAGGATCGTCCTGTCCAGCAGGGATCCGCCACGATACCCCGAACTCCGAGTAACCACAATCTCGGGCCCTTTGAGTACTTTTTTTTATATACTGTTCAGAATCCTGAAGTTAGGACTACCTGGTATTTTTGTACCTTTGTCACGCGACAAGATGACCACCACCAATGGCCACAACCCGCGAAGAACGACGATCCTCCTGGACCTCGGCGGCGTTCTCTTCCACCCGCCAGTCCATCACACACTAGCCACGACCGGCTCCCCCGTCACACTAGGTAGAATCATGTCAACCGCAACGTGGATGGACTACGAGGTGGGTAATCTCGACGATGAGCAGTGCTTCAACAAGCTCGCAGCCCAATTCGGCTTCAAAGCAAGCGACCTTACATCCATAATCCACAACCTCCGCGAAACAACCACCTACGACGAAGAAATGCTGTCTACATTCCGAACCCTCAAACAGACGCCCGGGGTGGAGATCATCCTCGTCTCAAACATCTCCACCAGGGACTACGAGGCCCTGCGTAAGATCTTTGATGATTCATTCTGGTCTATATTCGATCACATCTTCACCTCGTCGATGCTCGGTGTCCGCAAGCCAAGTCCCCGCTTCTACCGCCATGTCCTGCGCGCCCTAAGGGTCGCACCGCAAAATACGTTTCTTATCGACGATCGGCAGGAGAATGTCCTCTCGGCGAGATCACTTGGTATGCGCGGGACAGCGGACCTGGTTGGTCTCCCGCGCAGACTCGCGAATCTAGTCGGCGACCCCGTTGAGCGGGGCATGGCGTTTCTGCGGAAGCAGGCGGGAGAGTTTCCGTCTGTTACGCCGGAGGGGGTGCTGATTGAAGAGAATTATGCACCGCTTTTGATTCTGGAGGTGATGAAAGACCGGTGAGTTTCGCATGGCCTATTTATCTAGATTGAATGGCCCCTTGCTGACCATGCTCAGAAGCCTGGTTACTCTGAAGCAACCACCGCGATTGTGGAACTTCTTCTCGGGGACGCCCAAGTATACCACCAAAGTATACCCCGATGACCTGGACACGACCTCGCTCGCTCTGAGCACCCTCCACTACGAGCAAGACCTCGCACACTCGATCCTCGACGAGATGCTCGACTACGTCGATGAAGATGGCTTCGTGCAGGTACGAAATCCTCCTATCAATCCAGATCTACAACAAAGAAAACAAGAATACAACGAAAAACCACCACTAACCCCTCCACCAGGCCTACACTGACAAATCCCGCCCGCGCGTCGACGCAGTAATAGCCCTCAACGTCCTGATCGCATTCCACACCTTCAACCGCGGCTACGAGCTCCCACAGACCTTCGACTGGATGCACAACATCCTCACGCACCGCGCGTACATCGACGGGACGCGCTACTACCCGACGGCAGAATGGTTCCTGTATTACCTCAACCGCCTCCTCGCCGCGTCAAACGATGCACTCTTGCGCGAGAGACTCGAACCACTGCTAAAGACGCGCGTCCTCGAGCGCGTCGGGGTCGCCGGGGATGCGTGCTGTCTCGGGATGCGGTTGCTGACCTGTCGGCTTCTGGGGATAGAGGATTACCAGGATCGGGAGCGGCTGGTCGAGATGCAGCATATGGACGGCGGGTGGGAGGCGTCGTGCATGTATCGCTTCCGGTCCGAGGGCAAGGAGATTGGGAATCGGGCCGTTGCGACGGCGTTTGCGGTTGCTGCGTTGGGAGGGGGTGCGGTGGAGGTGTAGATGTGGCGTAGGATCTAACCATCCATGATGGGCCTGCGTCTATGATTCTGGGTTGGTTCCAAGTTGTAGGGAGGGTTTCTTTTTCTTTTCTTGTGTCTTTTGGTACTATGAAGGGAGGGTTTCTCTACTTTTCCCCTGCTGAGAAGGTGGACATTTGATTTGTACTTGCTATATCTCTTGCACTCGTTCCCGTATGTAATTTGGAAGCGATTGTTCTATCTGCGAAGAATTCCCTGCTACTACAAGCTGGAAAGGGTGAAGAGTAGAGAGTGGACAGCGGGCCATACTGGTTCGGTAAAATCATCGATAGGGAAACAAAGCAGCAAATGATAAAGAACCAGACACAGGTCGCGTTGGAGCGTTCAACAATGAAATCACAAGGTGGGTCAATAAGAAGCAATGCCCACCCAAGAGAAGATGTTTGGGCCGAGGTCAAAGACGACATTCGGCACACAAAGGCACCTTGTCCAGCGAGGACGCGCATGGTAAAGGGAAACAACCTTGTAGAAAGGAACGTTTTAAACGGTGAACAATACCAGGCACAGACATGACATGATGACAAAGACCAGGTGCGAGAAGCGCCACTCGAGGGAGAAGATATTTAAACTCCCCCGGTCTCGCAGAAGAGTTGTTACAGCCATCTCGTTCTAACAGCAACTTTCTTACAATTTCATACCTTTAACTACTTTTTTTTCTCACAGATATATTGCTTCGGCACAATCCAGACATTCACCATGACCTCACGCAGGACCAGCAAGCGGTCTCGAGAGGCCCGCAGGAATACTCAAAAAAGCAGCAAGAACTCTGCAGAGACCAGCAAACAGTCTCAAAACACCCAAAAGAATACTCAAAACACAAGCACGGTTGCGCAGTCCGTGGAGGATAAAAGCACAGCCAAGGAATTCTTCGAGTTCCAGACGAAAAAGAAAGAGCTTTGCAGCAGCAAGACTCCTGCAGCCGAGCGCTGGAAGGCTCTCAAGGCTCCCTACCCACTCCCAGGCTCGCAGCACCGAGGCATCTTCATCCCGCCGAATGCGCCAGAAGGCAAATTCTACATCGGACTCGGGACGGTCGTCGAGGTAGGGCTCAATGCACGCGGGGGCATCTACGTGTGGGTCGTGCCAAATGCGAAAAACGACCGCAAGTGCAGCAGACTCCACCGCTTCTTCGACCCCGACACCGAACAGCCCATCCCCCGCAAGTACCTGCCGGCCCGACGGCGGATCTTTACAGCTGAGAGGAAACCCAACCCCTGGCAGGGTCTCAGGACGGACCTCTTCTGGACTGTCAAGGGTTATGAAGCCGACTGGGATAAAGACTACGAAGAGTGGAAGAAACCTGCCAAGCTGGGCGACGAGGCCCGTGGGTACTACTGGTGCTTTACACACAGGCGGTACGAAGGTGTGGGCCGGGTGAGCCGAGTCGTTGGTGTGTGCGATCGCTTCGTGGACCCTATTCCAGGCAAGGTTGGAGGGGTCATGAATCGGTTTTACTACGACCAGGATGACAGATTCTTTGAGGCGAGGGAGTCTGTCTATGAGGTGCATTATATGGATCTCCCTCGGTGGGTCAAAACGGACGCCACGACTACTGCTGGAAAGCCTGATGAGAAGAACAACCACGACGCAGCACGCCAGGAGCCGCCGCGCTCGGCCGCATCTAAGAATTCTCTGATGGCTTACATGTTTGCCGAGGGAAACTACCGTGAGACGATTCTCCCGGAGCTCGGCTCGAGGGATTACGGGGCCTATCTGGCACCCGATGGAAAGTGGTACTTTGGCTTTGGCAAGGTCGTTGCGATTGGGATGAGGTACTCTGACTGGGGCTACACTCTTGTTGAGCCCATTGGAGGCAAGGAAGGCCATGACCATGAGTTCTTTCATCCCATCAGTGGCGAGCCTATGCCCAGGTTTTCGGTGGACGTTACCACGGCGATGAGATGGCCATGGCGTGCACACTTTACTCGGACACTCAGTGAGCTGAATCCAAAGTACGAGGATGCGGTTTGACACCGTTGACTGGCCGTAGATGGGACTGCCGGGGTGGTGATTGAAAGTGTCCTTTATTTAGTTATTACTCGCAATTTATCGTCTCAATGAATATCTCAGGTCCATGGATCTGTAGGTCACATTCCAAAACACCAATTCGTTGCCCAACCTCAGTCGATGACATACATGAACCAAAAGCAGTCCACATAGGGACTATTAGTAAATAAACAGTCCCCAAAGCCGGAAATATACACCCACATGCAAGCCTAAGATGAATCCGACCACCCCTTCCTTAACTGCCCTGGTTTGCCTTCCTCCTTGCCTTTCTTCTCGCTTTTCTCCGGATAGTTCCTTTGGTATTGAAAGAAGTGCGCCTTTACCCTCCGCGCGACCTTCATGACATCTTCTACCTCTTTCATCATGTGAGCGTTGTAAGCGCCCACAAGTCGTGTGACTCGTGCAATGTCCCGCTGAAAGACTTGCTCAATGTTCTCTGCGTTGCCTTCCACACCAGCATTGCCCAATTTAGAATGGAACGTGGAGTTCCTGCGAGTGTACTCTTTCAAACAAAGTAAAACCAGCTTGTGCGATAATTCAATTTGATCACTTTTCTTGTTAATCCAGTTGACGCATTCATACATCTGACGGATCCGCCCCGGTGATGGTCTGGGCTTGTCGGGGCCGCCGGTGGAAATCCATGCTTCGTACTAGTTGTCGACCAGCGCTCTGTAGAGGGCCGAGGAATCCAATGGTGTATAGCCCAACTCCTTCTGAGCTACCCGGAGGCTTCTGTACACAATTTGGGCACAATCGCCCAGGAAAGGGACAACTTGTAAGGTGTAAAGCGCAGTCTGGTGTACGTTGTTCCTGCAATCCTCTGGTCGACAATGCGCCCCGCGTTCTTGTGCGGTGCTCAGCAGCCCCATCAAGTCTGATAGGTAGGCGTCACCCTCGTGTGAGCTTGTGGGTATCTCCGTGGCGGGGCCGGTCGTGGATGGGGATGGACTAGGAGCGGTATCTGGTACGGTCTCGCTTGTGTCGGGGGATTCGCTCGCGTCGGGAGATTGCGTAGGAGCGGCATCCTGTGCGCTGTCGCCTGTGTTGGGACTGGCCCCCGTTGTAGATGGTGCTGTTGAGGAATGGATGGATTGGACATTCTGCGGGCTCTCGCCTGCATCAGGATCGGAGTTCGTCGTCGATGGTGCTGCTGGGCAATTCGTGGGTGCTTCTGCCTCGGTAGCCTGCGCTGGAACTTCTTCAGAGGTGACAGGTTGAGTGGAACTGCCACCAGGTTCGTGTGCAGGATCGGGTGTTTCTCGTCTTTGTTGTGCCAGTAAGGAAGCTCTGGATTCCAATTGTTTGCGCTTGCGTCGACTTTTGTTTGAGTTTGGATTGATAGAGGGTACTGTGCCCGAGGTGAGGAATGCTTTTGAGAAGGGACTTGGACAGGATGAATGGTAGCAGAACAGACAGGCATACCTTGACGCTTATATCCACAGACAGACAAAGGAGACTACCTTGGCACTTTGACATGATGTCTATTCCTGTCTATTGACAGTTGAAACGGATGCTTCAAACTGTCTCTCCATCTGGGCGACGGTCGTCCAATCGGACGGGGCCCTGCTGAGCTTCCATCACCCTTCTGTGGCGTCCCAGTCGCTGAATAACAGGGATCTAGTGGGGAAGCCCGAGTCGTTTCAGAATGTTGTAGTCTGCTGCTTTCACCGTCAATGACTCAGGAAAGCCACGCCGGAGTCCGGAGAAATGGATTGAAACTCCGAAGCTGGCGCATCGGGCAAGTTGGCAGAGTCCTGGGCCTGTGGTGGAGCAGCTCAGAGTGTTCATGCATCTTTGTTCGTGGCCTTTCTCTCGACCCAAGTCCATCGGCTGCCCTCCCCGTCTGCTTAGCTGTCGGTTGGTAACTCACTGCGCCTTCCGTATCTCGCATGTGGACATTATTACAAGGTTCCGTAGCCGACCCCGGTTTTCTGATGGAGGGAAATTGGACGTCTTGATGGGGCTCTTTCTCCTCAAGGCTGCGGGGGATCACCATGTCATCATGGGGAGCTTGTGTGGATCTTCAGGAAGCTGTGGTGGGTCTGAACAGGGGTCCCGCTGCTCGGAAAGGTTTATAAAAAAAAGAAGATCCGGCAGCCAGGGTAGCTTGGCATGAACCAGCGCTTGCAGCTCCAGCGCCACCATGATTGAGCTGACGCTTGTTCTGGGTGACCCCTTATCACTGTCAGATTCGCCTCCCTGGTGCCCAACATCCTGCCCTCCCGTCCTGCCCCTCTAAATACCGAACGAGTGTCTCTGAGCCCTCGCCAGACAACAGTAAACATAGAAGCAGCAGCGCAAGGCTAGTTGAATCCGCGGGCCTGTTGCCTGATTACTTTCAAGTCCAGCGGGAGGGAAAAGGGGTTCGTCTGGACCGGCCTGAGACATGCCCGTCTGCACTTTCTGCTCTGGGCAGCCTGTGTTCACCTCAGGGAGGCAAAGAGAGTTTCCATACGTCATGTAATTTTGAGTTTACTCTTTGAATCTCCTGTTTTGGCTATCCAACACGTGCCTAGCACCATTTGGCGTCCTACACGACATGAATATAGCCCTAGTAGGTTACAGACCAACAGTTATTACAAGCTACCTCGAAATCTTCTGTCAGGTATCCTAAGTCTACCATGATGAACCTCAAATCCGGCTCCCCGAATGGTTGTCAGTGCGACCACGTGATGCATTATACTTTGTGAACTCTTCTTTGACTCACTCTCCGACTTGCCTTCGCCTGACATCATTATCCTCCAACCTCTCTTGAATCAAGCATCTGCCCTGACACCATCAAAATGAACCTCAGCGAGTCTACACCTCAATTGCCAGAGGCAACACCGTTCACACTTTCGCCTGCGAGGGAGCTCGTCCTTTATTTCGACTTGCACCAATCTCCCAACAAGTTTTACCACCGCGAGTGCAGGAAGCTTCTCCTAGACGCCTTCCCTGGCGCGCACGCAATCGAATTTGACGACAGACTCCTTGTTTACCGCTTCCACCAACTCCCGCCGAAGCCATGGCCGAAGAAAATCGCCGGCGTACCCTGCTACTTCACAGACCACGATAATGATCTCGGACCGATCGTTTCCCTCATCCGCCGCCGCGATTGCTCGAGAATACGTTTGTCTCAACACCTGGATCTTCGCAATAACGAGGCGGCAGTTCATCTGGTGTTCGACCTGGTCAAGGATTTCTTCATGCACCGTGCTATATCGATTACGGAAATTCAGTTTTGGGGTCGGCTGGTCATCATCGTCCTTGAGGGCAAAAGGACGATACCATTTTCAGTACAGGTAGACTTCTTCAGTCAGTAGCGCAGTGCAACTGCTTCTATCTGTTTGAGGAGCAGATGTCGCGACCAGGGGCTTTGTCGACATTCCAACACGTCGAGTTCCGCAACACACCATTCGAGAACACAGTGATACCGGGATCCCCATCCAAGTTCAACGGATTGTCGCTGACAGCGGAGACAAAGCTTGGAGACAGTATCTTTCTCGATAGCCCTTTCTCCGGCTTCCTAGAAGGTACTACGCTATGTCACGCAACTCTTCGGGTCCCTACTAGCGACGACCCAAGTGCGCCGCAGCAGAGCACGTGGATAAGATGTCAGTGGCACGACATAGGCCAAGGCTCCAGCCGAGCGATGAGTGATAAGATATGTGGCTCGCCCATCTTGAGTAAAGAGCACAAAGTTCAGGCGCTGTTTCGTTATGCTCCTACGTTGGGCGTCTTCATGGACTCTTGTTTGAGTGTCGCTGCTGACGAGCTTTTCAGTGATGGGGAATGATGCTTTTTAATGCAGTTGCCAATGCGATACTAGCCGTTTTGTTTTTGTTTTGGCTTATTCCTAACCTCTGCGAATATCATCCAGTTGCGAGAAGCGAGGCCCTCAGTCTCTCAGCTGTGGCCTTGCGCCATGCAAGATGGGCTGTCCAAGATCACAGATCCCTCTCATCGATCGAGGCTGACGGAACCCCGCTCTCAACCTCATCTCGTCGAGGGCAGACCCTTTCCTCCCTCCCATTAATAAACCCGCACCTGACCCGAGACACACTACAAGATGCTCACAGCCCTTTGCGACAAGCTCCTATGTTCGAAGGTTGAGCCATCTTCAGTAAGTCGGCCACAAAGACTATCAAGAAGCTCCTCGAATCCAGACCAGACATACGGGTAGACACAGATCTCGTCCAGGTTCTACAGGCCAATCCACGGGGAGATACGGAAGCTTTGGCGCCATTGCTTTCTCTGATCTTGGGCCTAGAATTCCACATCCGATTTATAAAAACCTTCCATCGGTTACTTGGTATTTTGAGCCTTGCGATTTCCAAAGCCTATATTATAAGTTCATCCCCCATCCACTGACATGGTAAATGGTACTTACTTGAATACTCGCACATCTATATACCACGTACATGGGGGAAAACCACTAAAAGGTCGCCTCTAGGGCAACCTATACATACTATAGCGTACTAAAAATCTACTAAGCTCACTTGATTGCCTACCAAGGACACTCCGTCCCATCAATAACGTTCCAGAATCTACCCGACGTCGCCTCACGGGTGGCCTCGTCAATCTACACGAAAATCCCCCATTAGATATCCTTCCGAACCCGCCATGGAATAGTAGCATAGAAGCGAATGACTCACCTTGGCTGTAGTCTTTGTAATCGCCTCTTCGATGGTGTTTGGCGCCTCCTCCATACCGAACTCGCGCGCGCCCTTGTTTCCCATGTCTGTTTGGACGAGTCTATCTTTTGTCAGACTCGGAATATGCAGTAGGCTGGTAGTAACCCAAAGGGAGTGATAACCTACCCAGGATGCACAGCAAAAGCCGTCAACCACTCCTCGGAGTTGTGGATTGCGCTGTAGTCGAAACATGGTTAGCAAGCCTCCGCCAGGTGAATGTAAATAGGGAATTGACAAACATACACAGTCAGCCAATTCATCCCTGCCTTACTCATCCCATACATCGAAAACCACTGCGTCCCATACGTCTTGACCCCCTCAATCGACCCGGCCCCCGAAGACATGGACACCCACTTCGGGCCCCGCGTCGACTTCTCCAACAGATCCCGCGTCGCCTGCCACAGCCTCAGCGTCCCAACAGTATTCACATCATAGCCATGCAACACGTCCTCGGGGGAGATGGTCGCAAGCGGCGTGGGCGAGCACGAGATCCCCGAATTCGCAATGACGAGGTCGAGGTGCGGTATCTCCAGGGCTTTGAGGGAAGATGGCAGAGAGGCGTAGTCGGGTGCGTGTGTGGCTTCGAGTTTGAGGAGGTGAAGCTTTGAGCCGGGGGCGGCGCTCGTGCGTGCGGAGGACAGCAGGGCTTGGGCGTTTGGGGCGGCGGGGTCCCGGACTGTGCCGATTACGGTGTGGTTGGGTCGCGCGAGGTAGAATTCTGTGAGGGCTTTGCCGAGGCCTGAAGGATTAGAGTTGTTAGTTGTGAGGGTATGTGGGGAGCAGGGTGAAGGAGGTGGAGGGTACCTCGGGCAACCCCGGTGATGAGGACGATGGTTGAGTCGGACATGGTGGTGATTGTGGCTAGAGTTGTGGAAGCTTGCTTGAAGCGGCCGAGTGCGGATTGATCGAGTGAGATCTGAGTGAAGTTGACCAAATCGCAACAGGGACAGAGGCATTATATAGACGTCTGACAACGAGGATCAATAACTAATAGTTAAGACAAGGTGCGATTGGTAATCCACGTCAGTCTCGGCGGAAGGACGATTAGGGCTCGGCGGAAGACAAGCCCCGTGACTAATACGACACGTATGGACGATCTTCGGGGGCGGAGCGCTCAATAAGCATACGCCTCCTGATTGCTTGCGTCGTATAATCGTATAACCACAGTCCTGTCAACCTTCCCCTGGGCATTGCTAATCTCGTTAGCCTGCAAATGTGACTTCTGAGGATCCTGGACCAGCGGGGCTGCTATTCAGGCCTCCCAGCTTCTCAAAGTCTTCCCCCGAGGCTAGACGTGCCAAGGCTGTTGCACCGAAGCCAAAGAACATGTGGAGGATGGGCATTGCCCTCATGGATTTTTCCTACAGTTACGGCTAACTATGTGTTTCATAATCCATGAAGTATACTTACGTAGGTCCATTTACATCCGCGGCAGTTTGCACTCGCTACCTAAGCGCCTTGAAGCGTATTCGCATTCCCAGATACGGTAGCCTCTTGAGTCAAACTATCAAAGAACGCCAAATCCAAGCCCGGAAAAGTATAATCTTGTCCTCCAATATTCGACTGGGCGTCGGAATACCACGGCTGCGGGGGCCTCCTTGATGGTTGGGGAAGATTGGAAGTAATGGGCTGGCCAGTGGTCGTTGAGGCCCGGGTCGCTGTGACGGCATCCGGCAAGTTAAGGCCACCAGTCTCACCCTGACCCTGACCCTCACCCCAGGTGACTGCCTCCTGTGGCGGCGCCACGCCCTGATGAAGAATGTGCACTTTACCATAATACGGGACGCAAAAGCGAAGCACGGTCGCGCCGTGGGGTACGTTCTCCACTCCCTCCTGCGGCGCCTCCTCGCCACGCTGGATACTCTGCGTGGTATATACCATTCCCCTCGCAGCTTCCGCCTCGATTTCCAACAGCCGACTCACGATGCCAGCGCTCATAGCTGTGAGTTTATCTTCCGTCACCCAGCTGACCTCCTGCAAGCGTGCGATTGCCTGTTTCACCATCGCGCGATCACCATGCCGCTGGTGTAGCAGGGGATTGAACTCTGATGAATCTGAGTGCTGCCGGATATGCCCGACCAGAAGCAGGAGCGCCGCAGTCAGGGCGAAGAAATCAGCTATCCGGCCGGAGAACGCGACGCGGTTGAATGCGCGGAATGAAATGTATCGGGAGAGGACCTCTCGAGATGCGTTGATGCATGTGGTTTGTGAGTATGTTTGGAGTTCCGCGGCGATTGTAAAGCCGAGCATAAAGGGGACGTGGAGCTGGTTTATGAGGCCAAAATGGTAAATCTGTGCGACGAGGCGGAGCATGTCCCAGACGACGGCTGGTGGTTTATTCGTGCCGTCTCTGTAGTTGTTTGCCGCGTCCAGGGGGGTGGGCGACATCCACCAGCCGCTGGGCATCGTTTCTGCGGCTTTGTTGATTTCGCTGTCGATCGTTCTGAGAGTTTCTATCGGGTTGGTATCTAGCCCGGAGTCGTTGCGCTCGAGGACCCGCGAGGCAATGGCACAATGCAGACGCTCTAACCGACCGAGCGGAGTATCAAGTCCAAGCGCCCGCTCGGAAGCCATACTCCGATCCAGCGAACCCTGCGGCAGGCCCATAAACAAACATATCGACCGATCAAGGTATACGATGCGATGCCAGATATGCGATCTATCGACTTTATACTGCGGGTTAATCGTTCGCACCGGAACACCCGGACGATGAACGCCCATAACCTGAGCGACTGCCATCGCCCTTCGGATAGCCGTCCAGACCGGGCGCCAGTTCCCGCGGTTCATGTGGTAACATGCCTCCATGACCACGCACTCGAGGCCTTCGACGTTGTTCAGTAGTTCGTCGCGAGTAGTCACCAGGCGGATCGCGGTCTCCGCGAGATATCGTGACATGTTCTGCGGCGCGTCTGAGAGGCCTACGATTTGTTTAGAGGATTTCTTGAAATCGAGATGTTGCAGGACCCTGATGATGGAGAACATGTACTTTGCCAGCAGTACCGGATGCGAGGCTGCAGAGGGGATGGGTAATAGCGACTCCGTTCCATCCGACCAATTGTTTTCCATGTCGGAGTATGGCCGCATGATGGCCACATCGAACGCAATGGAGACATGGGCACCAGCCTCACGTAGTCTGTTGACATCTTCGCTCGGTGGTAGACTCGCGTGCAGCTCCCGGGAGAGATCAGCGTACGGGATTTGGTCGTGGGGTGAAAGTACAATCTGGGCCGCAGAGCCTCTCGGTCCCCCATCCTAGACTTTTCGTTAGCGAGCGGTATGAATCATTGTAAGTGACGCTCACCACTCGCGATCGCAAGTCCCTATGCGCCCCCTCGTTGCCTTCACTGGTCGTGCTCACCGTCTGAGCGGGAGTCGGCGTCACCGATGTACCCGTAAACGTATACGTATTCGGCGCAGCTGTTGGAGTCGGCGTGGCACACCCAGTCAGCCCATCAACCATCGCATCTACCCACCCAATGCGCTCGTTGAGAGGTGGAAGATTGTGATTCCCATCCCCATCTCCAGCCCCTTCAGGATTATCCTGCGTCAAGCACTTGGTCCCCCTCCGCCGACAAGCAGCACACACGGGCTGCGGGTCATCGACGAGACTGCAGCGCACTTTTCTCCGCTTGCATTCCCAGCAGCTTGTCGTTCCTTTACGGATTTTGCGGCGCTTGCTAGTAGGTGTTGGGGTAGATGACATTTGGTTGCGTTGTTTGAGATGGGCGATGATTCGGAGGATTCGAGTTGGCTCGGAGGAAGCCCCTTCTTCTTCCGCCGAGCTCGGGGATTGGCTGAGTCATGCTCGGGGGAAGGACGCCTCGCTATTGGTTCTGGTGTGGGGGACCAGACATACAATAAATACTAGAACAAACATAAGAATGTTGAGGTAATTTTGCGGCAGAAGGTCAAAGAATTTCCCAAGTGACATGGTCAGCGACTTACCACTATATGTGATGAAGAGCCTCTAAACTGTAATATTAAGCCCGTTATTTAATTTCTTTCATCTGGCTTCTACCAGACACAATTATATATATAACCCGACGGGTCTACTCTACGGGACTCAGCGTCACATAATCTTTTTAGTCTAGTATCTAGACACGAATTCGAAGTCACTTGCAACAAAGAATTTTGAGTATTTCTATGGCTTATGTGCTGGATGCTTAAAATGTAGGCACAGACCGCCATTGTTGGAAGATCTGCTACCTGAGCGACCTCGAACGTCCCGAGTGTAGATCTTGGTGGTGGAGACAAACGGCTCAATCAGACTTTAGGACCTGAAGATTGGGAGCATATCACTGTTTTATCCGGGATAGATGTGCGGCTCATGATAGGGCGGATAGTACAGGATTACCATATACCAGGTGTTGTTGGAAGCTCGACAGATAAAACAGAGAGGAAGATGCAATATCAGCCAAAGTTGGTGGACAAAGGCTATACATAACAGAAAACAGACATCACTAGCATATCAACACTCCACAGGATCCACCGACAGCAACAGACATAAAGCACCAACAAAGAAGTTCATAGCATAGCAACAACACCCGCCAGAACAACCGGCGCCCCCGTAATCATCGCCTGCACAGGCCCCGCAAAGACAGCCGCCGCACCCCCGGGCGTCTCGGTGGCCTCGGGCTTATCAAACTTATCCAACCCCCCCGTAACCTCCAGCTCATAATACGTGACCTGCCCGGTCTCCAGCGAAGTATGCGTGCTCCACGAGCTCGACTGCTCGGCCCCACTCGCGCTGCCGGACCACGAGAACGAAAGCGAGCACGCGGCACTTGTGCTCCACGTCTCAAACGAGCAGTCATAGTCGAGTGTTGCCGTCAGCGGAATCTGGCCCGCGAAGTCGGTGTAGCCGGCGTTCAGGCGGTAGGTGCTGATGCCCTGTGTGACCGTCCAAGGGTCCTTGATTGAGCAGGATTCAGTGGGGGCGTCCTTGAGGCAGGAGACTTCGTAGGTGGTGGCGACGGCGTTGACAGAGACGACCGAGGCGCCGGTGGAGGTGAAGGAGGGGATTGCAATGGAGTCGAGGTCTGAGTCGTGGATGCCAAAGGTGCCGACTGTGCTGGTTTCGTCGGCGGTGGCGAGCGCCGCGAGGGCGAGGGCGAGGAGGGTTGCGCGCATCTTGGTAGATTAAATGGGAGGATTTCAGTCAGGGTTTTCAAGAAAATATGGTTGCTCGCTCGTGAGAACCAGGGGGACGGAGCATTTTTATGTTACACTGGGAGAGTCAGAAATCAACCGGAGATTAGCCTGCGAGCCAAGTATTGATTGAGGTGAAACATGGCCAACGAGAGGCTTCAATTGTCCAACAATTCAGTGTCGTCTAGCCGTTGTTGATCTAGTCCGCTGTTCGGCTACAATCTAGTGCGGCTCTTAGCGCAGCCAAGCATCCAATTTCTCCCTCGAATCATCCCCAATTGGCCATCCCACGCTCTTGACCCCTCGGGGCCATGCAAATAGTGAGGGATATTTGAGTCACACAGTCACGGATGACGGAACATGTGAACGAGGATTCCCAGTTTGGGGGTTAGCAGAGGCTTGGGAGTCTTGGACGTTTCGGCTGGCGCCTGGGGAAGGGGTTTTGCCTGGAGAGAATGCTCGGAAAAATCTCCACATTGATGGATGAACTGTGGGTCAACCTTGAGGCTAAGAAGCTTGGGCACTCGGCTCAGACCCTTTTGGGGCAGAGCAGCGGATATCCGGCAACTGTCCTTCCGAAAGTCCGAGCTGTGCGAAGAAACAGTGAGACTATAAGTTGTTCCCTTTCATAGCCAATGCCAGGCGATTTCTGGCAAGTGCCAGTCTAAGAGCACCCATTTTTGGCGGCCTCCTGAATTCATCGGGGATTGAGATCCCTCCACGTGCTTCGAGGAGATGCATGAACTCCGGCCATTTCTTCCAGCCAGCCTTGGTCAACTTGGCGCCGTGGCGTAGGAGAAGGCTGCAGTCTCGTATGCACCAACCGGCGAGACATGATCTCCAATCTCGTGCACGTTCTCGCCGACGCCGCAGGAAAGGTCCAGCGGAGTCAGACCTCGACTGTCCATGATGTTGGTCTTCGCACCGGACTGGAGTAACAATACTGCCAGATCCGGCCTCGCGACATGCAGCGGGGAGCAAAGAACCCTTTCGCTCGGCGTTCTGGAGATTTTCCTCCTTTTCACCAGAACCACGTTTGGTTCTTGACCGGCTTTGAGGAACTGATGGACTAACTCTAGAATCGCGGGTCGTGTATTTTGGGGACCAGAACTGCCTGTAAACCGACGGTAGTTGAACTCCTCAAACAAGAGCTGGAAGGGTGTATATCCTTGGTACTTGGCGTCTAGTCTCGCTCCATGCCTGACCAATATGGCTACTACGTCCACGGATGCTTTGTCCACAGAGTGGCCCCTTAGGTCCATCTCCTTCCGTTTTATGTGGTTCGGTGTTGCACCAAAAACGTCAATGTATGTTAGGCAATGAAGGAGAGAGAAAGGTCCTGTATCGGAAAGAACCCCATTGCGCGAGTGAATAATGTCTTGCAGCAGCGTGGTGAGGTTGTAGATGACCGCGAATGCCAGTTTTGGATCGTGGATATCAGTTGTTGGCCAGCCCTGAGACCCGAGAAACCCGTCGATTGCATCCTCTTCGACATCATCCCAAAAGGCTTTCATGGATCTACCGGTTGTAGCCTCAGCCCGACTCAGGTAGTTTGCTCGACCGGAAATATACTTGGCAGAGCTGGTCAAATAGCCCATTTGTAAGTAACTGTACGCACGCTTCGACAGCCACGTGTAACCGTTGTCGAGGGGCAAAGAAAGGGGTTGTTGCAGAATCAGGCTGCGGAATCCCGGTTACGCAACAAAGTCTAGAACACTTTGGTGTATGAACTGCACTATCTTTAGACCGGTTGTCTTGTCACGAACCTCTTCGACCAAACCAGCTCCCCGATCTTGAACCCATTGCAGGAGGTTCTGGTCCAGCTCATGTGAATGCATAGCTTCAATATAGCTGGGGATGTTGTTGCGGGTGGCACACTGCACAGTGGCGATTAGTTCTTCAATGAGCAACTGATGCTCGCAACGGAGGATAACCTCAAACATGACGAAGGATTCCTCGCGATACTCGGACGGAATGCGCCGAATCGCATCCGTGTAGAATTCCCCCAAGTCTTCAGGAAAGGATTCGGCGTTCTTTGATAATTGCAGTATAGATACGCCTTGAAGGTAATCTTGTCTGAGGATGCCCGTAATTGCTCTGACCCAGATAAAGACGCCTTGGGCTCTTGTAGCAATGTTCTCCTCGATATCGCACAAGGTCGCTTTATCGTACACGCCAAGGCTGCCAGACTCATAGATATTGGACAGGCGAGCGGAGAGATACGTTCGAATATCCTGCTCGGTATGTTCATGGATTCTGAGCCCTGGGCAGTCGGAGAAAGTGTTCTCAAAGGTAGACCATTCTCTACTCGAGAAGCAGGCTTTTAAACGCGTTTTCGCACCTGAACGACTTCTGACGGAGCATTGAATGAAGTCGACAATCACTTCTGGCCGCCCTTCATATTCGTCCAACGCGTCAAGGAATAGGTGCCATGTTGTCAGTCTGGACAGCACTGGAGATGGATCTTGCCCAGTAATTTGGGGAGAGAATTGGCTAAGAAGATGTGCGGCAACAGTAGCTATCTTCTGACTTCCCGCTGGTAACCTGAGGATGTCATGGTCGGGTTTGTTGACTGAGCAGTTGCGTGGCGAAATGGACCTTCCAGTCGAGGAGCGATCCGCAGGCTGGTGGCACAGGCATTAGTGACCGTGCACGCCATTGTATCGGCAGGGCTTACCTCTAGAACGCCATCTGGAATCGTATCGTAGCCGGAGCAAATACTGATGTTCTGGCTTTGAGCAATCCCGCTCATCATGCGATCTAATTTGGCCATATAATTCGGCTTCGTGTCCAACTTCGCCAGAAGGTGCTTGAAGCGGGAGTTGCCCACCATGGAAGCAAGTATCTCTTTCCCAGGATAAGAATTGGGAACTCCCAAGAAAAGGCAAGACCTGACGGTCTTCAGGATGAACATTTCTGTCTGACCGCTATTCGCCAGTTCGATCAATGCCTGCTTGAGTACAACTCCCGCGAGGGCGTGGGCGACGACAACAACGGGCTTCGCTGCCAAAGATGCCCGATCGATAACTCTCAGTTGTGAAATGAGCGATATCACCAGGCCTTCGACGGTCGCAGGGTTACCGCGATGGGCTCTGGCATCGTAGCCATACAGCAGCACCCGCGTCCCTCTGGCAAGCGGCGGCAAGCTGTCCCGCAGCCACATGAATGGATCGGAGGCGGGATCATGTTGCCAGATGGAGAAAGGGTGGTGTCCTAGACCGGGGATGGCGATGAAGCTTCCGAGGGGTCAGAACGGTGGTTCAATTTTGAGTAGAGGATCTTACTCGAGAGAGTGGCTGTCCTCGGGGACGTCATTGAGAACGGTAAACCCATCAAAGTGTGTGTCAATCACAAGAGTTCCGTAGGAAGAGTTGTGGCAAAAGGACAGACTCCACTGGGACGATCTGCTACGCAGAAGCCGCGGCACCTCCTCAAAGGTCGCGGCGGGCGTTTTGGTGGATTGCGCCTGCCCGCTGAGTGCAGCCAGCGAATGGATCCGGATCTCCTGCACCGACTGGATTTGCAGCTCTCTACAGCTCAGAAGGAAATACGGCAGCTGCTCCCGGCTCACATCATTTGGAACCTGTGATATTCGGTATGTGGCTAAAGATCCAACTAATTAGGTCGACTTAAGCACACGAGCGCATTCGAGACTGGCACTCGTGAGACGATCCTTACGAACCTTGACGAGCTTCCAAAGCATCCAATTCATCATGGGCCATGTCCTGGATTCTCTGCCGGATGGACTGAAAGGTGTCATCCTGTTCGTTTCGAAACTTTGTCATGTCCGCATGTTCAGCAGCAATTGGCTCCTCTCTCTCGTTTAGATAATGCAGCACGGCCATCGAACGAGGAACGACCTAAAATACATTAAACTCATCCAGGTGAGATTATGCTATTACTCGTACCTATTCTTTCCCAGCAAACCTTGTTGTTTTTGTCTCATAGTATGTGCACATCTCGATCTCATGCCGGGTGAAGATCGTCGTCTTTTCGAAATTGGTGCTCAAATCTTGCAGTTCGTTCGAATGGGCCGACAATGCTTTCAGCAGTTTCTCGGGTGCATTCATAAATGTGGCTTTGCCAATCGCCTTGAGCACCTGTATCCGGGCCTTGTCTGCGATGTGGCTGCCGAAATGTGGAGTGCCCATGAACACGATGCCCGCTATCGAGTCATAGATCGCCTTTTGCTCCTTGACCCTGCGCGTTTGGAGACCGGAGTTGCATTCTGCGTGTATATTCGCGATCGCCTATCCAGTCCAGGTCAGCGGATTTGTTCCAGATATTTCGGAAACGGACCGTACTCGTTTCACAACCAACCCACCGAGACTATGCGCGATAAACACCAGAGGCCGATTCAGCTGCGCAGCATCCTTCCTCTTATCAATCAGGCGACTCACAAATGTCTACGCGATCGCATTTATTGTCGTGGTATTCTCCACCAGCGCCCGTTCGAATAGAGCGTTGTACCCAAACATCATGACCCGACACCCCGGGATATCGGTCAAGATCTGCGCTGGCCAGAAGAACCCGCCCTCGCCCGACTCGTATGTCCATGTTCGCTTCGAATTGCCGTTCAGCCCGTGGAGTGGGACATAACTATCGAATGACTCGCGTCAGAACAGCCTGGGAAGCAGAAAATAAGGACAAACTCACTCAACCGCTGTTGCCCCTTCCACAGCGCCTTCGAGCACAGTCAGCCCCTCGTCAGCTATACTCAAGCTTGGGTGCGGCTCCTGGAATGATGAGTTCATGTCAAAAATAGTGGCAACTTCTAGATACTGACCATGAGTACACGGCTCCAGCAAGTGCTGTCAAGCTGTGGGGAGCGCTGTTTCTTGGAGAAGAAAACGAGGTCAGCCGCCAGCTGAAGTTCTACCCATCTTACCGGCTCATGACTTCAAGTGCCCAGCGCTGAAGCGCGCATGTTGACAAGGATTTGCAGGACACTCGCCGAATGGGCGGCTCTGCACCACGCCACGGCGCTTAGCGAATACCCTCATCCAGCTCTGATCGGCGTAGAATAATGCCTATGGCAACTACGGAGTACAAACTTAACTAACACTATTTAGATAGACGTGTACGCCTAGGGAAGGGATATGGCCACCCAATGGTGTGCATCAGCGCTGTAGAAGTTCCTGCACTATAATGGGAGGGATTTACCCCCTTGAGACGTACAAACACCGAATTATACATATACCTAGAGATCTTGCGATACAGGATATCATTAATAGCTTTCCTAGTCTGTATATCCAGTACAAATTATGCCACGAATGCTATATATGAGCCCCAATCGTCTCTGAAAATCCATTAGATTACAGGAAGAAGAAATTATGTCTCTAAAAAGCTCTACTGTTACTATATTTCGTCGTCACTAACTCCTTACCTTGTACTCAGTAGAGAAGCACATTGGGGAGCCTCCGTTCAACATACTACAATCAGTCAGCAGCAGTCATAGACTCATAATCCAAGATACTCACATCACGATACTTGCCCTCCATCCTCATCCTCAAAAAGCACTTGAACGGCATCGTCTCCTCCATCAAAAACCCATAAAGCCCCTCCGCATGCAACCCACAACCCTTCCCTCGCCCACTCGGAAACAAAACCCTCCGAACCTCATCCCTAACAACCCCCCACCCACCATCCTCCTCCAGACCCAACGCCACGACAAGTTGTCCAATATGGTTTTGGAACAAGTAGTGATGCACTTTACTCCACACGTCATGCAAGTCATCTGTCGTCGTCGCCGCTCCAGGGGGGATGGTATGCAGGTCATACCCCTGGCTTCGGAGCGTGGGCATGTGTAGTCTTATTCCGCCAAAGTCGCGAACAGCGAAGCCCTTTATTGTCCGTGATGCGCGGCAGATGCGCACGCAGGTGTTTTGGCCGTGCGCTTCGAGGCCGATGCCATGGTTGACCAGTGGGGGGAGGGTCAGGTTGAGGAGGATGGAGATGTAACAGCGAGAACCAAAATATGAGGAGGTGCGGTAGTGGGATTGAGCACTAGTAGGCCAGACGACGGACTCAACACTTACCTGCGGAACCACTCCTTCTTTTCCCTCTGCTCGTTCGCCGGTGGAAAGAGCGCCTCGGGGTGTGCCGTCGTCTCCTTCTCAAACCCAGTGACGGGGAGCTGGCTAAACGCAGACGCAATGATGAGCGACTCACCCTGTGTGTTGGCTCGCAGCTCAAGATCCTCTCGGAGGATACACGAGAAATGCTTCGCGTCGTTGAAATCCTCCTGCGCGCCGGTCACCGCAGCCACCTCTTTGAACAGCCACATATCGGGCGGGAGCAGCTTCTCAAGCAGCGCCGAGACCTCGGCGCCACCGAGCGCCGTCCAGGGGGTGATTGTTCGCAGCGCAGATGTGATCTGGCACGCGAGCGAGAGTTTAAGGTGGTATTTGAAGTTGAGTTCGGGACGGAGGGTGAGGGTTCGCATTGAGGCTTGGGCGGATGCGCGCTCTGAGCCGACGATTTGCACGTCGTGGAAGCGGGATAGGATGGAGGGACTTTGCTGCGCGAGACTGGGGACTATGATTCGGTCTTCTGAGGAATTGGGGATATCGAGTTTGGTGAGGAGGCTGCTGAGAAGATTCTCGAATGGTCCGGAGACTCGGACTTGGGAGCGAGGCACGGAGAGGAAGGTCACTTGGGGGGACAGCATGTCCCAAATCTGGGCGGGTTGTATTTGAGGGAGCGGGGGTTGTGTGTAGAGGGTCTTATGGAGCTTCGAAGCCTGTTAGCCGTGGTGAAATATTGCGCTCGTCCACAACGTACAGGATGCGTTGGATGTCCGGTCACCAGGGTTCTCTCCCATTCGATCGCGGGACTCATCAAAGCCAACGGCGGTAACTGGGCGGCGACGTCCAGCCAGGTTTCTATTCGTATCAGTTGACGCTTACTCGACTAGCTACTCGCCTACCTTGGTTGGCTGAAGCATTTTGGAGTTCTTGGGCGATTGCATCTCTCATGCTTTCAATTTCAGGTTGTGCGAACCAGGGAAACACGAATTGGAAGATGACCCCGGGGTCAAGCTCTGGCCGGGACTGAAGATTCTCAAAAAGAAGCACCGGAGGCCTGAGCTGACAAGGCCGAAGCAGGGAATTGACTTGCCCATTCTCGTTCAGTCCGAGTTGGGCTGGCTCGATCCGCACCTTGACCATGGAGTGCTCTGGAGGCTGGGAAGTGAAGCTAACCAATCGCATCCATTGCAGCTGCTCAGTGTCAGCGGACTCCAGATATGCTGCGCAAAGGCCTTCGTTGACCAGGTGCGAGAGGAGTCGCCTGGTGGTCTCGAAGCGAGCCACTTCTGGTTGGGAAAGAATACTCATAGCAGGGCTCAGATCTCAAACGCGGGGAGATCCGACCGATCTGGAGCGACGACTTGTATTTATCCCTTCGTGGTGGACCTGGACGACCGTGGACGCTGTGGCTTTTGACCTTCTTCGGAGTGGATCGGCCTGTGAGGAAAGCCTGCATCAAGTCACCATTGCAACGCATGAATTACGAAGCAGGATGCCCATTGTGTGCTATGGAGAACTGCAGTCACTTGCAGATGACATGGAACCACTTGGGCCGTGTTTTGGGCAAACGTGCGAAGGCAGCCTTTGTACGCTGACGAGTCACAAGAGCCCCGAATCAGAGGATCAATTGAGTGTGTCGGAGTACATTATACGCCCGCGAGGCAAACAGGACCGACCCAGGCCATGTTTCTGATTGGTCACAAAGCACAGACTGTGCCTTCCCCGCTGGCAACAGATCCAGTCAATCATATCGTATATGGGCTGCCCGTGCTCCGATCTGCAGGCGGCAATCCAGCCAGCTCTGTCAGATCTCAGAAGAAAGCAGACCGAGCAACACTCAGCTTCCCTGCAGAAGAAGCGCTGAACGCAAGGCGTGTGTGCCATCCCACCCAACGAAGAACACCTGGTAGTCCTAGAGCCAGACACCGTAAGTTTAGTAAGCCAATCCTTCCCTATAGTTATACCCCAATGTTATTCAACCATGCGCAAATCAGTAAAAGGAAAGCGCGCAGAGCTTGTCTTCCTCTAGCGACTGGCTGCCAGCCTGGCCCACCGACGCCTTGTGACATCCTCTTTCAATGACACATCCCAAATCTGAGGAGACCATAACCGTTCACCTGCCGAAGCGTCTGATTTAACCAAGCCATCCGCGCCTCCGGGATCTCTAGTGAAATCGTCCATATGCGTGAGTGATATCTCTTAGCGACAACTTGATGCCGATTTTGGGCAACTTGGCCAAACTTCCGAATATGACTACTAATTAAGTGACGTAGACTTCGCTTGCGTCAGGCAAATTGGCTGCATAAGAAGGTACATACTATTCGAAACCACGATAGGCCTCGTACCAATGGTCCAAAGGCATCGAGATCCGTCGGCCATCTCCCAAGCAGAATTGAGTCGATGAATAGTCAGGTACTGTCCGGGAGAGGTATTATATTACTTTGCTTAGAGTATTTGTCTTGCTCGGAGTTCTATCGCTATAGTCGCACCTCTCCACCCTGCAGCTTTTGATAATCCTGCGCGGTAAAAGGGATATAGGACACCGCATGTGGCGGGAGCCAGTACATCTTATCCCCAGCCCTCTCCACCAGTGCCACATCACACCCCTCTTGCCGCAGTTTCCCCTTTTGCATCTTCATTGTGCTCGTATACCCAAGGGCTGGCGTGATCCGCAGAAAGATCGGAACTGCATACCTTGGCAACACCCGTAATGCATGTTCTGCCAAAGCCCCAAAATCAAACTCGCTCTCCACGACCCCCTCCGCCAGAACAATGGCTGCGCAACCCGCTCGTCCGTCAGCATGGGGCACCAGCACCCCATACACATTGCACTCTGCAATCAAGGGGAATTTCCCTAACAGATCGGACACTTCGTTCGTCGAGACGTTCTCTGATTTCCAGCGGAAGGTATCGCCCAGTCGATCCACGAAATAGACCCGCCCCTCACTGTCCTGCTTCATCATATCCCCGGACCGGAACCACAGGTCACCCTTCTTCAAGACATCGCGGATGAACCGCTTCTCCGTGGCCGTGTCGTTCTTGTAATACCCCTCGAACTGCGCGCGCGGGTTCTCCGGATCAATCCAGTGGATAACCTCCCCAGGTGCACCGACCTTGCACTCCCTCGCAAACCCCCCCTCGCGGATAATCTCCTGCGTATCAATATCAATCTCCACAATCTTCTCCCGGAACCCCGCAAGCATCTTCCAAAGCAACCCCCTAACCCCAATTGCGTGTGCGCTAAACTCCCCTCGATTGGCGTTAAACGTCGCGCCCATCCCGTCCGAGGCTGCGTAGAGCTCGTGGATGATGGGGATGTTAAAGCGCTGCCGGAACGGCTCCCACACGTCGGGCCGCATCCCGTTGCCCCAGGCCATCTTTACTCCGTGAGCGCGGTCCAGCGCGCTGGGAGGCGCGTTGAGCAGGTACCGGCAGAGTTCGCCGACGTATTGGATGATGTCGGCTTTGTGTCTCGTAACCTCGGGCCAGAAGGTTGAGTGCGAGAATTTCTTCCTGGGAATCATCAAAGTCCGCATTAGCATTGTTCGAAGAAAGGAAACCGAAAAAGGACAAATGTGAATGGAAGGGAAGAGAGGGAAGTCATCCATCCATCCGTAATGGACGGTGCGATGCAGTGCAGTGCCTACCCTAGAATCAGCGTACACCCCGCATGAAGCACGGGGCCAACGCCCAACCCATGCGCGGCGCCGTGGAACAGCGGCAAACACGTATAGAATCGTGTCTCGGGCCGGAGGCCCAGGTGAGTTGCCATGGCGCGCCCCGTGTATAGCTCGGACGCGGCTGCGAAGATCACGGCCTTTGGGAGGCCCGTCGTGCCGCTGGTGTACAGGAGGGTCTTGATGGAGTCCGGAGCTATACCCGTGCGTCGTTCCTCGGGGGGCGCAGTTTTGGGAAAGTCCAAACTGGCGAAGAGCTCGGGTGAGTAGTAAATGATTTTGCAAGAGGGACATTCGGGTGCGACGGGGTCGACGCGGGGTCGCAGTTGCGAGTCGGCGAGGCAGTAGCGTGCTTCGCAGAGCTAACGGGGTTAGTTTGAGTATTGCGACGCCCAGTGATGCAGGGGCATACATACCTTCAAACAATGCACTAGCGACTCGCCCGTCAAACTATGATTAACCAAAGACGGACACGCCCCGATGGCATCAAGCGCAAGCCAAAGAATCAGAAACTCGGGACTATTCAGCCCGTCCAGCGCAACGAGTTCGCCTTTCGCTAGATCTGTCTCCTTTAACAACCAGTTCGCAACCCTGTTCACGTCCGCAAGGAACTCGCGGTACGTCCACTGCCGCCCATCCGCCGCGAAGACCAGAAAGGTATTATCTGCGATCGCGGGGTTCGCGACCTGGTCTTCCAGCACGTGGTAGAGGAGCAGTCGGTCCTGCTGTGCTCGCTGCTCGATGTACTTGCGCGCGCTGCGTGCGTTGCGCGAGTACAGGAACGTGTGGAGATCATGGCGGATGTGGAATTTGGCGTCGAGGTAGGTGGCCAACGTGAGGGCGCCTGCGCCGATGGCGGCGGCTGTGAGGGGGTCTGTTGGTGATTAGTTGGCTTTCTAACCATGTTTGATAGAAATGTGTTTCTTACCTGCCATTGTGAAGTGTACTTGGATGCTACATAATCCGTCTCGGATGCGCCCGAGGGGTCTATATCTGCGTCTTGGGGAATGCGGGGGTTTGGGCCAACGAATTCCCGAGGTCCGAGTAGCCAATCGTGGGCTACACAACTAACAGGCCAGGGATTATAGGATCATTCTTAAAATAGGGTTCTTGTCATTTATAGTAAGAGCATTTCAATTCTAATTCCACCTTAGCCGGGTTATGTGAATCTTAATGAGGTATGCATAGTAGGGCCAGCTTACTCGTCGTGGTGCCCGTAGTCCTGTACATCCAACAAATGGGACTGCCAGTGCGGGGCAAAAAACCAAGAGAATAAAAGTTGGACTATTCTTATCGAATCGAAGGGCAAGCATCATTCATTTATTTCATGTATTTCATCATAATTTCTAGCATCTCACCATTCCCCGTTCAAACCTCCAAGTCTTTCCGTCTTTCACTAGAGCAATGACCATGCCTCTCTCATCCACAGCCTTATCTCTACCTCGTGAAATTATGTACCGTTTCGAAGAGTTATGCGAGCCCTCGCAGATATCAATTGTAGCCTGTAACTGGTCATCTGGAGCTGGCTCTACTATGACTCAGCTATCCCCAGACAGGCAAAGGCTGGGGCGCCGAGTGACTCACAGCGGATCGCCCCAGGAATTGCTTCTCAGCCGCAAAGTGGCTCTGCATATATTCATGTTTCCCCTGTAAGCCCACTTAAACCTGCCTAAGCATTCAATACTCTGCAAGTATACAGCCCTCCCTCCAGCCACCTACCTACTATGTACGTGTACCCTCTGCCCCGCCTGGTCGGCCGAGGTCGACGACGCAGTCCGACAGGCGAGTTCTTATTACCAAATCTCAGACATGCTAACAAGAGTACTAGTATACAAAACCGAGCTAGACACACCCTAGCTCGTTCTTCTTGCCCAGGCAAGATACCGCGAGGAAGCAGCATGACGATGGACTCTCTCCTAACACGTGCACGAACAATCCGAATCTCCCTTTTCTCGTATGGTCATTCCAACGGACCCATCGTGCTGCAACAGCAGCCCGGAGAGGCACGATATCACAGAACAGTCGCATACAATATCCGACACTTGCCAAACCCGCCACGCCACCTGCGAGCCAACGGAGCAACCGGTCTGTCTCGGCGGCTCCAGAAGGAGTTTCTCCAGAATGATAGCGTTGAAGCATTCTTGGTGAAGGTCCAGGGGGAGATATCTGATGCAGTTAGAGAAGGGTGTGGCCTCGACCAACCATTCAAAGCGACTAAGCCGGATGAGATCGATAAAGAGGGTTGCGACGCGGAGGAAGCTGGTACGCCCACGGAGTTGGGTGCAGATTCAAACGACAAAGACGCTGCCCTCGAAGAAGATGCAGACATCGATCTAATTGTGACAATATGCTGTGAAGAGGGTCGTCATCGAAGTGTTGCTTTTGTTGAGGAGCTGGCCAGAAGGCTGACTACTATGCTCAAAGATGGAGACGGCATCTCCCGACACTGGCAACTGGATATCCACGTTACACACCGTGATATCGAAGATCAAAACGAAGATTGCGCGCAGTCGGTAGGCAAGAGTAAGCGCCCAAGCAAGGCTCAGGCAAAGGTTAGACAAAGAGAACGCCGCGAAAAGGGGAATAGGTATACATCCGGTCTTGAAGGGGAGGATGATCTGGACTAGCCAGCAATTGGGCGAAGCGAGGAACTGAAACCAGGTCGACTGTATGGTTTCCACAGTACTTTATGGGCTTATGTATTAGTTCAGAAGCAAGCCTTCCAATGCTCGCTCGTCTGGAATGGTAGTGGGGTGCCGATAATCCGTGTATGTATGAAACGATATACGAAGCAGCCTAGGCCTGAGCGAGACATAAGCCCTTCGGCCAGAGTCAAGTCACGCTACTACGGAGGTATCTAGAAACCAACAACCCGAATAGAGCAACCACGCAGGCGCAAAAAAAAAACAAAAACAAAAAAAAAAAAAGGCTAAAAAACATACAGTCGACTGGCCGGCATGATACACTTAGTAGCTCACTTTTCGCGTCTAGGTGTGATTTTCGTCATTTGCTGAACATCACCCAGGAGCGAGGCGGACTGAAGGTATGGGTATCCTTGCTTAGGCTCATTTCATTGGCGACTGGTTTAAAGTTGATGCTACAGCGTGTGGCCAGGCAGCCGGCTTTATTGTTGGATCAGAGCTGTTAATGCAGGTCAATGTACCATTAGTGCTGATCCGCGAGGGCGGAAAGCTTCCTCCACCAACTGCTTGCGTTCTCAGCCACGGGTCCCATATCTTGTCCATGGGATCACATGATGGCACCGTGAAAATAATGGAAATGGAAGATGGTTTGTTCGCCAGGGACGCGTTTGTTATTATCCTTAACCATGTGCTTGCTATCACGTGCACCTTTTGTGTGCTACTGCAGTTACTGGAACAAGTTGGAATCAGCCCGGAGAAGACCCAGGCGATTGTTGTCGCTGGGTTCCTCGCACATGGTGGCCGGGGTTTCTGCACGAGCAGGGTTTTGGAAGAGTCATTATCTAAAGCCTTCTGGTCCTGGGAGGCTCTACGTAGGTTAAGCAGAATTTTTCTACTTTTAAGTTTGTCATCAATTTAAATTCCACTTATGTCGGCCAACATCAGTTTTGGCCAAAAGGAAAGTCTCTAGCCTGTTGGGGCGGTCGCAATGCGAAACAGTTACTCAGAATATGCAGAACCACGTTTCTTTACGCGCCCCAGAAATGGGGAAGAGCTCAGAATCAATGTGGGAACGTTGAATGCCTTCGCCGGATCAAAGTACGACTGTAGCACAATTACCAACAGTAATCTTTCTTCCTGGCAACTGGATTCCTTGTGATCATGTCCAGTTCTATGATTCGTTATAAGCCCCTGCATAAGGCTGGCGTTGCATGACAGTCTTCCCACTCTGACTTTTAATGCTGACTAGAGATTTGTGTGTGGAAGCCGGGCTACAAGTTTACCTCGATATTCTCAGCCCCCGTCATCTTCTAGCTCGATCTAATTCGATGTTCAGCCTTAGTTGCCTATAAACAAGAACTGCCGATCTATCGTCGTAAGACCTTGGTGGGCCAGGCTTGCAAACCCCAGATGGATATTGTAATGCAGCAGGAAAGATGTTTGCTACCGGACTGCCACGTCATGGTGTGGACAAGCGACCAGTACAATGGCCCAAATACATGCTACCACAGGCTGAATACTTATTGCAAGCGCCCAGTGGAATTGCTAATATGCTGCGCCCTCTTTGGCACATGTCAGCGAACCATTTAGTCTAGAAGGGCACCGTACAGCTGCAGTCATGACCCAAAGGGGTTCGCAGCAAGGCTGAGCAAAGTGAGATCTGTGTGCCGATCGCTATTTTTTACCCTTGACCCTTCCCCGGTGTCCTGTCGTTTGGTTTTATTTCAAAGAGCCCCCACCCCCAGCGCGTAGTGAAAAATTTGGGCGCTTAATCTAGATACAAAGGCAACACGCGTGACCAATTCAGTTTTAACCTTCTTACACCTCTGTTGCGCACTTCTGCATTTTACACTCCTGCCATCACGGGTTTCGACCCTTTATATTGAGCTCGCATAAGATCTGTACTGGACAGGGCAAGTGATCCGCCCACGAACCGATTATGGACGAATTTGTGGTATCAAGAAGTAGGGAAGACACCGCATTTCTAGTGGAGAGAAGTAATTCCGGATCCCGAGACCAGGGACCTAGGCAACAAGGAAAGTGTGGAAATCCAAAGCTGAGACATGAGGAGTATACGGTGGGGTGGCTCTGTGCTCTCAAGTGCGAGTTCAACGCAGCAAGGCTCTTACTAGAGGAAATACATAAGACGCTTGCCCAGGTTAGGCGGGATGACAACATCTACCTCCTCGGTCGCATGAAAGGACACAATGTTGTGATCGCACAGGTGGGGAGGGGTACCAATGCTGCAGCGCATGCGGCCACGAATCTTCTTCGCACTTTCCCCAACATTCGATTCGGGCTCATGGTTGGGATCGGTGGGGGAGCTCCCTCAGCGCCAAACACCAGAGATCCACAGAAGGACATTCGGCTCGGGGATGTTATTGTCAGTAGGGCGAAGGGAAGTCACGGTAGGCTGGACCCACTCTAAGTTGCTGACACTTTTGCCTGACGGTGCTAATCTGCCCGTCACCAAGGTGGTGTCATCCAATACGACGAGGGAAGATTGACGCACAATGGCGAATTTGTTATTGAATCCCATTTGAACAAGCCACCAAGCATTCTCGCCCACGCAGTTGAACGATTGAGATCCGACCAAGACGTTGGAGAAGGGGAAATGATCGAATACATTAATTATATAGAGAACCAATCCACCCAGCGCTCTACCCTACGTGACTATCGATTTCCAGGGCGAGATCAAGATTTACTCTTCAAACCCAATTACCCGCATGCTGGTGGAGGAGATTGTTCGGCATGCGACGTGGGAGAGTTGCATGCTCGACTAGATCGTGAGTCGAACGATCCTGTGGTACATTACAGACTAATCGGCTCGAGCAATACCCTCATGAAGTCCGCACAATGCCGGGATACATTGCGATCCAACTGGAAGGTTATTTGCTTCGAGATGGAGGCAGCAGGCCTAATGGATGACTTTCCCTGTATTGTCATCCGAGGTATAAGCGACTATTCAGATGATCACAAACACGACGGCTGGCAGTCCTACGCTGCTGCTGTAGCGGCTGCGTATGCAAAGGATCTTCTTAGGGTTATCGAGCCCGAGCAAGTGGATGAAATGGAATTGGTGGTAGAGGTGACCAGGCGATGTAAGTTAAATTTCAACGAAAACTCATAAACCTTGTCTGAGAAGGAAACCTATACGCTCTAGATCCTGACGATGAATAGTCAATGGTCTGCAAAATCAGGTGCATGAAGGATTTTCGCAGACATATCGCCGCGTTGAACCTCTGCTTGAAGGCAAGTCATGACGAAGTTATTTTAGTATCTGAGCTAATGGGTTCAAGAACAGGAAAAGAGGAAGATCGCGGAAGCCCTGGATTGGTTGCGTTCAACGGACTACGGGTCACTACAGAGTGACCACCTCAGCAAACGACACCCAGGCACAGGGCAGTGGTTTCTTGAGTCTACCGAATTTCGGCGTTTCCTTGACGAAGACAGGCAAACCTTGCTCTGTACGGGCATACCAGGGGCGGGGAAAACAATTCTTGCCTCTAGTATTGTTGATCATCTCCTTACAAGATTTTACCATGACCCGAGCATCGCTATCGCCTACGTCTATTGCAGTTACCAGCGAAGCAATGACCAAAATGCCCACCACATGCTTGCCAGCCTTCTTAAGCAGATAATTCTCAAGCGTTCTTTGCTACCAGACGACGTAAAGGAGCTCCATCTGCGACATAGGAAACAGGGGACCCGACCATCCGCCCATGAGATATCCATCGCATTGCAGTCAGTAGCCGCCACCTATTCAAAGATCTTTATCATTATCGATGCGCTTGATGAATTTCACACAACTGATTGTTCCCTTACAACGTTCTTGTCAGAGCTGGTGTCATTACAAAAGAGAGCGAACGCCAGCATCCTTGTTACCTTTCGATTCGTCCCCCAAAACACAGACGCGTTTGACGCAAGTCCAATCCTACAAGTCCGTGCCCATGAATGGGATTTACGCAAGTACGTAGAAGGCCAGATGGTTCGACTGCCTAGATTTGTCGCTCGCTGCCCAGAGCTCCAAGATGAGATCAAAGCCGCGGTCACCAAATCTGCCGACGGCATGTATGCGAATATCCACATTTTCAAACTAGTTTGAGACGATATTTTGACCACTATCATAGGTTTCTCTTAGCGTATCTGAACGTCAACAATCTGGTTGGACAGCAATCACCGAAAACAACACGCGCTGCTTTGAAGAATCTACCAACAGGACCCAAGGCAATTCACAAGACGTATGATGTGGCAATGGAGCTTGTTGAAGCGCAAATAGGCAACCAGCCCTTGCTTGCCAAAAAGGTCCTAGCCTGGCTTACATGCGCACGACGGGCTCTCACAACCAAGGAGCTCCAACACGCGCTTGCAACCGAAGTGGGTGAGAGTAAATTCGATGAACATAATCTACCACAATTGGATGATTTGGTTTCAGTATGTCGCGGGCTTGTCACAGTTGACCACGAAAGCCACATCATCCGTTTAGTTCACTACACAACACAGGAATACTTTGAACGGACGCAGAATAGGTGGTTTCCTGACGCCCATAATGCGATTACAGACACTTGTGCCACATATCTATCGTTTGACATATTTGCGAGCGGCCGCTGTGCCGACTCGTATGCGATCCAACAACGACTGAAGCATAGCCCGCTATATTTGTACGCGTCATACAACTGGGGATACCACGCATGCTTATCGTCCGCTTCCTGCGATAGCGTGATCAGGTTTCTCCAGAAAACGGCCCAAACGGAAGCCGCCAGTCAGATCTTATTCGCTAGCAAGGTGGGCCCGATCGACCTGCTATATCCGCTCCACCTGAGAGGTCGCCGCTTGGTCAAAATCGACAAAGAGGTGATGCTTGATAGAGACGAAGACGTAATGGAAGCCACAGGCCTTCATTTAGCAGCATATTTTGGAGTTACAGGGGCAGTTCAGATCCTTCTCGACCGAATGGATATCAATGCTCGGGATTCCAAATGGCGAACACCGTTGTCGTATGCCGCAGAGAGTGGCCGCGTCCGGGCAGTTGAGCTGCTTCTAGAGAGGAACGCAGACCTCCACCTACCGGATATCAATGGAAACACGCCGCTGATATATGCAGCACAAGCTGGATTCCAGAAAACCGTACGGTCACTTATTAATCACGGTGCAGACGTGAACAACACTGACGAAAGTGGAAGAACACCGTTAGTGTTAGCCGCGTCAATGGACTGCCGCCCCATGATTCAGATCCTAATCGGCAATGGTGCCAGCCTTCATCCTGTGGACTCTTTTTGAAACACATGTCTCAAATGGGCAGTGTTCAACAATAGCCCCGAGACGCTCTCATTCTTCTTAAGAAGGACCCAGAGGCGACCACCCATCCTGGCGGCTGGCTAACCGTATTCAACTGGGCAGTAGAGCATAGCCATCAAAACCTTCTCAGTGTCCTTATTGAGCTAGGACTAGCACATGACTCAGAGGCGCAAACCGGGCATAGACGTTCGGCTATATTGAAAGCGGCTGAACACGGCAATGAAGCAGCAGTAAAATTACTGCTTGCTGCAGGTGCAACTGTCAACACGGAAGCCATCGTTGGGGTCTCGCCCTTATCACTTGCAGCGCTTAATGGACACCAGGATATGGTTTTGCTGCTTCTTGAGAATGGCGCCGAAGTCAATCAGGAACTCGAACTTGGCCGAACGCCTCTGGTGTCTGCGGTTCGCTCCGGCAATCCAGGCGTGGTGAAGGTGCTTCTTGGTTACGGCGCGGACATCGAGGCCGAGGATCAGAACCACTGGACCCCATTATCCCATGCCATTGATAATCGTAATTCAGCCATAGCAGAGTTACTCTTGGTGAACGGCGCTAATCCTAACTTCATGGTTACCAATGGGCGAACGTTGCTAATGTCGGCAGTGGCCAATGGGGATCGAGAGATGGTGAATCTCCTACTCCAATATGAGGCTAATATCGATTCCCAAGACAGCAATGGCCATGTGACATTGTACTATGCTTCTCGAAACCACCGCCTTGAAATGGCCAGACTACTATTGCATGAGGGCGCGAATCGCGAAGCAAAAGATAAAAATGGCCAAACACCCTTGATACACGCCGTAGTGGAAGAGCAGGAGGAGACTGTTCGACTACTTCTTGATCATGACGCCCAGTATGATGCTCAGGGCTTACATGGTCGAACCTCTCTGTCGCATGCTGCTGGACAAGGGAATGAGACTATAGTCAGACTCCTCCTCGAGAAAAATGCCATGTTCGATTCAAGGGATGATGATGGCTACACGCCGTTGGCTAGAGCCATTATGGGTGGGCACATGAACGTCGCAAAGCTGCTCCTGGATTGTCACAAGGACACTATTTTGATTGACGCTTCTCAAAGCCAAGCCTTTCTTGCGTGGGCGGCGAAGACCGGAGATGTTGTCGTGGTGCGATCTCTGTTGCAGAAAGGAATAAGCGCCAATTTAAGAACAGGCGAAGGTGGCCAGACTACACTAAATTTGGCTGCGGAAGAAGGGCATACTGCAGTAGTGAGGCTGCTTCTTGCGAGAGACGCCGACCCAGACGTGCCGGGTAGACTTGGCCAGACGCCACTGATCCAGGCAGCAAAGGAAGGGCACGAGAAGGTGGTCAGACTACTCCTTGAGACGGGCGCCGCGGTGGACACAGCGGATTGGGATTGCCGAACGGCACTTCTATATGCTGCAAAAGGAGGGCATGATGGAGTGCTCGAGCTCCTGCTCAAGCGCAAAGCGAACGTAAATTTGGCCGACCAGAACGGTCGATCGCCACTATCGTGGGCGGCAATGCATGGACATGATACCACTATAATAAAGCTCCTTGCCCATGACGCCACTGTCGATCATAAGGACCACAGCTACAAGACTCCGCTCGCGTTCGCGTCGCTGAAGGGCCATGCGTCTACAGTCCAACTTCTGCTGAGACGAGAAGTGAACATCGAATCGGAAGACGAATCGGGCCGTACACCGTTGTTTTGGGCAGTTTATTGGAACAGCATAGCAACCGCGCAAGTGCTACTCACCAATGAAGCCGATCCACGGCGGCGGGATAGATCTGGCCGGACCCCCCTCGCATGGGCTGTGGAACGGGGCCAAGCGACAATGGTGAACGTCTTTCTCGACCACGACGAGACGTTGGTCAACCAAGATGAATATAGGACACCTTTTCTCCTAAGTGCAGCCAAGCATGGGCATGCAGGCGTGGCCCAGATCCTTCTTGAGAAAGGTCAGGATGTGGACTTGCTTGATCTTGAGCACGGGAGGTCAGCGCTGTGGTACGCTGCGGACGGTGGGCATCTAGAAGTGGTGCGGCTCCTTCTTGCCAGTAATGCGACGATAGACTTGCCCGATAATGATAGTCGTACACCATTGGCGAGAGCTATGGGGAAGGGCCATAGGGCAGTTGTGGCTCTTCTGGCAGAACACACAGAACGGTCTATTGCTGAAGTTTCAGCCTCGAGTTCTTTCGACATGCGGCTTTGGGAGTGAGGGTCCCAATAATCGGCATTTGAGGGCAATACATTGCCTTGTGTTTTGTTGTTGTCTTTTTCTGTCAAGGATAATTCATGCAACACGCGCGAGTCACCCCATCACAACATAGAACACACGGTAAAAGTAAATATGCAATTTAATTAAAACTTTCCAAACCCTAGATGTAGATGGCCTCTCTTCTGCTGAAGGTTGAGAAGATGTAGTATTTTCAACGAGTACAATACATGGGAGCTTGAATGCCGCATCTTCGCGAGTTTCATTGCTTTCGTCTCATGTCTCATCACACAAGGAGAGTGGCTCAGTCTCAGGTGTCTTTGGCAGTTTGGTAGCGTTACTAGAGATAGCACGCGACGCCTTATAGAAAGTTTATTTTAAACTGGGAGTACTTAAAGGTAGTCCTAAAGCACTCTAGGCAGGGACCTAGAGTAATCTTGGAGTACTCTAGGACTACTTCCTAAGTACTTAGGGCAAGAGGGTAAAGCAGGTGTTATTACCCACCCTAATCTAGCATGGCCATGTTTTAGTTAGGCGGGTAAAAGGTGATCTTAAATCAAGCCGTCAGGATACCGCAAATTTCGACTTTGTCCTGAGAACCGACCCATACTGATATAATAAGAAAATCCCAATAATACCAAGCGTGCTCAACCCGCCCAAAAGACTTATTCCCCGCCCAATCCCTAGATTATCAAACATCGGCCTTGCATACAAAACAGAAGCGCAGGCCATGGCAGAGCGAAAGAAATCGTTGGCTGCAAATAACGATGCCGCGTACATCGGATACGACATGGGCACATACACAAATACACACTGCAGCACGATGAATGCTGACCCGGCGTAGATCGTTATCCCAGTTGTTGGGACAACCCAGTGGATATTCTTATTTGCGGTCCAGCCGAACAGGAAGAGCCCGACGGGTGGTCCAAAGCTGGCGATTAGGGCGGGGACAAGCCGGCTTTCTTGCGACATTGGTCGGTCCTGCTTCAGCCGGGGGAGGAGGTAATACAATAGGTAACCGAAATAAAATGCGACGCCGAGGAAGCAGGCCACGAGGATACAGAGGAAGACGAGGCCGACCGTGCCGATGGTGAATCCGTATATGGGTGGATAGACTAAGGGAAATACCTCAAAGAACTGTATGACAATAATTGTTGTTAGCAAAGTCACAGATTACGAAACGTGCGGCGGATTGGTCAGGTGGAGCGGAGTTGGAATTGACTTGACTTACTGAATAGTAGATACTGTACACAATTGCCGTGTACAGCTGGACAAACAAGACGGCCGGGTCCTTGATAGATATCTCCAAAGGTTTGATGATAGCTTCCGTGGCAGAAGCGAGTGGTTCAAGTTCACCTTGGCTAATCTCAGACTGCGACATCAGGCTTTGAGTACCCAGCAATTTGCGCAGGCGGATTGCACGCCTGTGAAGAAGGGTAGGCGCTGATGTCTCAGGAAGAAAGACAAACATAATCACGAAGACGGGCGCAGCACCCCAAAGGATTTCCCACAGAGACCAGCGCCAGCCCATCTTTTCCACGGCAAAGCCGGAAAGGAGCGGGCCCAGAGCCGGACCACAATACGCGGCTGTTACCCAAATGCTAAGCGCAAAGGGGAGATAAAGGGGCGAGTACAAGTCTTGCATTGTAGCCCCGCCGGTTGCAAGACATGGGCTACCGAAGAATCCTTGCAGGAAGCGAAGGACGAGAAGTCCGGCGAAGTTATTGACCATCGGGAGTGGAATGGAGACGATCACGAAGAGGAACATCGTGATACAGTAGATAGGTGATCGGCCGATGGAGGGGATCTCGGAGAGAGGTGAGAAGATAAGGGGACCGATGCCATAGCCCAGCACGTATAACGAGAGACCAAGAGACGTGGCAGTTATCGAAACGCCAAAGACCTTGACCACGTCTTCTGAAGATGATGTATAGATTGCGGATCCAATATAGACGATAAATGTGTAGATGAAGATAATGAACGCGACTGCGGACTTTTTGGTCTGCGACCATGCCTGCGGGTTCTCTGCGTCGTCTGATGCATACCAGTCGACGACCACGAGGCCATCTTTAATTTCAACAGGCAAGGGGAACTTGGCTGTTTCTTTCGCCAGTTCCTCATCGCCCAGCGTGTCTCTTGCAATGTTGCTTGTGTTTATTATTTCTCCTGGCGGCACCAGAGTGCTCGAGTCTGACGGCTGTGGCTGGGATTTCTTCGCTCTCGACAAGGCCAGTTCGTAGTTTGTAGGTAAAGCAAAGTCCGGTTCTTCCTCGGGGTATCTCAAGACTCGGTTACCTGTTACCCAACGAATTAATTGCCCGGCTGGGGCATCGCGAAGAAGTTGGAACATTCGGTTGGAGTGAAAGGCTGAGATATGGTGTCAGGCTAAGGGCTAGTCTTGCGCTGGCGGAATCGAACAAAAAATAGGCTTCCAGAGTGAACAGCCATTGTTACTTTTTAAACTCAAGTTGAAGAACCCAGAAGGAAAAAAAAAATTCTGCATAGAATTTTCCATTATCAATCTTGAGATGATCTCTCGGACTTAAGCTTTGTATGCCGACGTCGTGTTCCGTAAGGCCATGCGAAACCAGACCGTGGATCGCCGCTGACAGAGAAACTTCCGGGCTAATCTACTGGCAAATCTAAGTTTACCCCTTGATAGGGTTGAAATTGACGCTTGGGAAATCTTCGGTGATCCGTAAGCAGTAAGAGTCTTGGGGAACAGTTCTCCGGGCCCGCTCAACCAACGGTCAGTTGTGGCGAAAACACCACCCGGCCCCTCCCCACCTCCCTTCCTAGATAGAGTAAATAGAGTGTAAGCTAATGCAAGTTACTGACGCTCCAACATTTTCTGGTGGAGAAGCTGCCTTTTTCGGTGTTATGTAATGTCGATTTGGCTGGATGTGCAAAGTAGGCACAATCAATGAAAGAAAAGGTAACTAATTAAACTGAGTGTTCAAACTTTTCGCAGAGAGGTCAAAAAAAAAAGGAATTTGGAATTGAAATTGAAATAATACTCTCTTCGCTTCTTGGCAGTCTTCTTTTTTACTCTTTTCCTCCCACCAAGATTGCATTACCAGAACAATTCAACAGTACATCGCGACAATAATCCGGCAATTACACATCCTCCCTGATTTCTTGAACGCGTGGATGCTCCCCAAGATTATTCACCATGTGACACTGGAAATGAAGTGCAGACTCATGCCTCTTTGCACGCCAGTGGTTGCTCGATTGAAGCAAACTCCGATTTCCCCGAACAACCCAAGGCCACTTCTGCGCAAAAGCCTCGGTCACTTCCCAGCCTTCCGGGTCCCATGGATCCCCCCACACAATCACGCCGCCGTATCCACTACTCACGGCTTGAAACCCACGCATGTCGCGACATAGCTGCCGTGCATCATACGTAGTTTCACCCTGACGTAAGAGATTGTCGCGGAGCTCGGAAACTGGAAGTAGATCAATCCAGGGGTGGTGGGGTACACTGCATTGAAGAGCAGTGGGCCGAAGACTAGCCGGGAGACTGTTAGAGAGGGACTTGTTAAGGTCCGCTGGACTGAAGTGGGATCGCGCGCTGGGTGACATGAGCCACGAGGTGTACCCGAGGGTCTGAGCATTAGCAACAAAAGACCGTGTGGTATTGAATTGAACTAGGCTTGGGAGGGTCTCTGTCTCCAGACACCCCTGCAGATACCGTTGGGATATCCACGCGGAAAATCGGTTGATAAGCTGCTGTGTCTCTTCGGAATCCGGTCGGCAAGCGGTAAAGGAGCTTAGATCGTCGATGAACGGAAGGCCATTGTCATGCAGCTGCAAAAGCGTGTTTGGATCAAAGGTAGTGGAGTGTCGACTAGTAGGTGATATATCTGTACAATGGTCCCTTGCGCTTGGTGCGGGATAAGGTACAGCTCTGGCCCTTTTTCGTTGACCTTTGTGCGTTGGAGGATTAGTAGCTGCTATTTCAGTGGTCATTAGAAAGTAGGACAAACGGCTAATTCTCTGATTGATCCGATCTTGCAGCTTCTTCCTCTCCCTGGGGTCGCTTTTGCCTGTCCAATCGTCTCCCTTGCCTGCCTGCAGCTGCTGCGGCATGAGCTGCAGTGGAATATGCTCAGCCGACATTGTGCTTCGACGGTGGTCCTCTCCTGACTATTTGCAATTTGCAGATCCTCCCATTCGTGCAGTCTCTAGGTTGAGGTTTATGACGCCGATGGGTGGTGAGAGAGAGTTGACTTACGATTGGAAGGGATATTACTAATCAAAACTGGGAGAGTTAACGTCATCAAGAGCTTTTTTTTTGCAAACCAACTTCAAGAACAAACCAAACAATCTCTTGTCAAACATGGGAAAGTTTCAAGCCGAATAATCCAACTTTTGCTGTAGATTGGTATTTACTATTTTAATATTAGGTTCATTCGCGGATAATATCCAGAAGCCTCATATCTTCAGCCGCAGACACCACCACATATATCCACAAGATCTGCCCATCATGTGCTGCGATATCCCAGTTTTTCATCCGCACGATGAATTTCCTGCACCGGATGTTTAAGGTAGAACTCTCTAAGATCAATAGGGCTGACGTTCGAATACCGGTAATTATCCAGCTTATCACCTAGATGCACTTGAGGTTGAATACACCAGTAGGCAAAGCACCTGGAAGTAAATTGGTATCAGCATCAATCCAATTGTAGTCCATTACGAAACCTACTTTGGCGCCCAGCTCATGACATCACTTGGATTCTCCTTGAAAGCCGCCTGGACCTGTTTGTAGAGCTCTTCGACAGTTCCCATTTGTTCAATGCGAAGTGGAATATGATATACTTCTTCGAAAAGCTCTTTCATTTCTCGAATACTTTTTCGGTCACCTCGGACTAGCAGTAACGGTCAGTATAGGCAGTATCTTTATTCAGAGCAATATGGATGTTCCAAACTCACACCGCATCACCCCCACCGCAGTTCGGTCGAGGGCTACAGCCGCCGTGTAGGCTGCTGCTGTTTCATAGCTTGTCAAGTCCCACATCTCATCGCCTGTTCCCCAGAAGGACAGGCACCGGGTTGTAGCGTCCCAACACCCGAAGAATTCACTCCAGAAGGTCTCAAGCAAAGCACCAGTGAGGATATGTACCCCCGCAACATCCTTGGAAGAGATATATTCCTTGATGATTCGAGCTGACTCTTTCGGGAAAAGGGCACCAGAGGGGATCTGGGTATAGTCCACCGCAAAGTCACTGGCGATATAGCGTGGGACGCCTGCCTTTTCGCAGGCATCTATCAGAATCTTCTGTCCGGTGATCATCACATCCAGACTGCCAAAGTAACAACAGATAACTACATCTGCGCCTCGCACGAATTCAAGAGCGGCAATTTCGTCGTCGAATTCGCCTCTGGCGATTTTAACGCTCTCCTCAGACAGCAGTGATTCTGGTAGCTTCTCTGGGCTCCGACAAAAGCCGCGAATCAACACGTTAGGATAGGTCTGCAGTGCACTGGCTATACACTGCGCAAATTTGCCGGTAAGGCCAGCGATTGCTACTGTTGTTGACATAATGTGAGATAGAAACGAGGGGCGCAGTGACAAAAATGAAAGAGGAGCGGAAGTGTGAGTATTTAGAAAGATGTGACCCCATACCTCCCAAGTTGGGGTTCGTATAGCTCAGCATATCTCCTAAACTGGCGGCAAGTGGCAGGTAGTGGGGTATCCCTATTTAGCTGGATTTATAATCATTATACATGGTGTCAATCAAAAAATGCAGCGGAATCAATAGTCGGATAAATATGGTTTCCATATCACGAAGGATGGAGCCATTCTCACCTTTCCCTACTTCTGCAACAATCCACTACTCCGCTGCAAAGTTGTACTAATCTAAACAATTACTAATCTAAAATCTTTCCATGACCCCGTACGTTCTTGGTGGGGTATTTGCGTTGCCTGACCTTCACGGCGCTTACGCTCTTTACCACACAGTCTTTGGTAGTCCTCTCAACAGTGACTGAACTAAATTGATGACATTTTAGCCTAATCTCAGGAATGCACGAGAGTTTTTACCACCACTAATGCTGTGAGAGAGACTATTTTATAGTACATCCGAATAACTTTCGTCCACAAACGAAAATATCCCTAGTAATTACAGTGGCAACTATGCGCTCCCTCCTGGCGGAGAAACGCGCACCTCGATCATTTTCGGCTCCCCAAAGACCTGCTTCACCTTATCCTGTTCAATAACACGGAGGTACCATTGCACAGTGACAGGATATCTCCCACGCATCTCCTTATCCACAACCTGTCCAAACCCCCAAACCATGGCAGCTGCAACGGAAAGGTCTGCCAGACTCAGGAGGCTCGACACCAAGTATTCCCGGCCACGGAGGTGGCGCTCCAAAACATCAAGCGAGACTTCCAGCCGGCGCAGCGAAGTTGCTTCAACACCTTCATTATACGGGCCCATCCCGTACCGCCAGAGAACCATACTCTGCAATGGCTCGAAGAGCTCGTGGTCGGCGAATCCAATCCATTGGCGGATTAGAGCGCGCTCGTCTGCACTGGAGCCGAGAAGCTGAGTGCTCATGGGCCCCATTTCGGCGGCGTATTGGGCGATGGCGTCAGATTCGAAGAGCTGGATTCCAGTGACGCTCCTGAAGGCTGGGACTTTGCCGAGGGGGAAATCGTGTAGAAATTCGGGGGATCGGTTGGTTTCGGTCATGATGAAGTTGGGGGCGATGCTCACCGTGCGGCCATTTAGGGCTGCGGCTGCTTGGACCTGTTATAACTGATCAGACAGAACATCGAAATGTTGTATAGGCAGCAGAAGGCTTTAGTACCTTCATCACCCGGGGATTGTATGGGTAGGTATAGATTGTTCCGATCGAGCCCATGTTGCCAGATTCTGCCGTATAAAGTGACTGTTAGGTATCTTCTGATGAGTGATACTTTTGGCTTTTTGAGAACTCCTATCCTTCCGCTCTGCTATGGTTCTGCTTATAGCGACTGTCTCCGAATTTCTGACCTGCTGAATAATGTGGGTATCCATTCTGGAAGTTTTCGCCTACAATTTTGATTTGTAACGCAGCCCATTGTTTGGTGTCCATTCTTTATTCACCGGATATGCAGCGTGGCGTCTTCTTTACGACAATTGTGTAGTCGCCCAGATGTAGGTTAATTTCTATCTAGAGACACACCGAAAAGCGACAATCACCAATGCGGCGGGCCCATGTCAGTGACTTGCATTAGCGCAAAAGCTAGAGGCGCATCCGGCCAATCGTAGGCTACCATCATAGCGGGCCTCAGATCTCGAATCCACCGGCGCCATTGGAACGTTAACCCCGCTTGAGCCTTGCACTAAGGTGGCGGAATCAGACGTAACAGATACGCTACAGAAAACCAGCATACTGGGATATTAATCCGTAAATCCATGAGACAATTTTGGACAGTCCTTCTAATTCCAATTATTGCTTGCTTTCTCTGCCAAGGAAAGTATTGACTACATTAGAAATCACAGAGTGACAACCACCTTCTTTGCCGAAACCCCTTTCTTCTGCACATCGAGGGCGTATTGAATGTCCTTAACTCCGTTACCCACTATATAGGAGTCCGGCTTTGCTTGAAACTGCCCGCTGGCCAGTGCTTTCGGCAAGAACTCGCCCCAAATCCAGTCGCCGACGTCCTTGTGCGGATCTTGAATAATAGAGTAAGCAATCACTGTAATTCCTCTAATATCAGTAAAGGGCATGCGAGCAGTCATCTGAAGTTCGGGGTGGACCAACCGTATTTCGGAGCAAAAAGCGGAGTCTGCTTCTCGCAAGGCAGGACGCTTGCAACCTCAATAGGCCTATTTAGAAGATCTGCAAGTGCAGAAATAGGTGTGAAGCTCATCTCCTCACTGATAGCGTCGTAAACTCCCACGAATTCGGTGTTGGTGATCGCCTTCGCGATGTCTTTGACGACGGATGGGGACCGATAGTCAAAGACAATATTTGCAGCCAGGGATTTAACAAGGTCATGGTTCGCGGGGGATGCAGTAGTAATAACAGTTGCACCCGAGGCAGCAGCTAGCTGGATTGCCGTTGCGCCTACAGAGGAAGCGCCGCCCCAGATCAGGATACTTTGTCCAGATTTGTCTTGCTTACCCGCTGTAAGCGAAGGCAGAGGGAGGTTCAGGTAGTCCTTTCTATAGAGTCCGGCACATGCGGTTGATACAGCCAGTGGGAGAACGACCGCGTGCTCTAGTTCGAGCGAGAAAGGAACTTCCGCCACAAGCTGTTCCGTGACGACTGTGTACAGTTGGAAGGCGGCGTTGGCGTGATCCTGGGTCATGAGAGCATTGCAGTGACTAGTAACCTGGTTAGTCCAAGGATCTTTTGGAGGGAACAATACTCGGAGGATGGAGTGTCTCCATAAACTCACGCAATGACCCGCTGGCCCTTCTTGAATTTAGTCACTCCACTTCCCACTTCCTCGATGATTCCTGCGGAATCCTCTCCCAAGATAAATGGGTACGTATTGAGGTACCTGCCGTGAGTCCTATTTTGTGGCTATTAGCAAACGGAGGACGGTTTTTAGTCATAGAAGAAGGTGGGCAAGGAGCCATACTGAATTTTCCAGTCAACCGGATTCTTGCAAGATTAGGTTAGTAGCACTTTGACAATCATGGTAAATATAGACTTACTATAGCAACAGCGACATTTCTGATAAGGACTTGTCCCTCGGCGGGTTGCGGCTTCGGTCCATCTTTTACAACAAATGGATAAGCCGCGGCCTGAGTAATCCAAGCAGATAGATTTTCCATCATCAGAGAGTTGATTAAGCTTGATTAAATTGAAATAGCAAAGATAGTGAGGAGCAAACAAGAAAGAAGAGCCTGGGCCAAGGTTTAAATACACCTTGCATCACACGCGAACGACCTAAAGGAGGGCTAGGGTAGCATTACTTTGTCATCGATAAGCTGAACCAATTTTAGGTGTTCGAAAGGGACATACTCTCGGACTTCCGAACTTAATTCCGGCGAAATAGGAAAGATCTCGACCTCAGCTCCACATGTCCATGACATCAGTGGATTTCTCTATGCGTAGATTTATAATTCGATTTCACCGCTAAATGATTTTCCAACTGGGTGAGATCGTACGGTATAAAGAAGCATCGCCAAGTGTCTCCTTTGTGATTCATTCCCTCGCCTTCCCAGATTACATTGCCTTGGTTGTCTGTCTCCATTGATTATGCCTCCTATTCACAGCTCAACAATCCTTATCTTCGGCGGCAGCTCTGGAATTGGCTATGCCGTGGCAGAGAAGTGCCTTACAGAAGGCGGCGTAGTTCACATTGCGTCCTCCAATGAGTCCAAAGTCAACGCGAGTGTCCAAGCCTTGAAGAAAAAGCACAACGGCGCTCCGATATCCGGCCATGTATGCGACCTATCCGGCAGCGAAGTCGAAAAAGACCTTGAGCGACTTCTGAGTGCGGTGGCCCCTATCGATCATATTGTTTTCACTGCTGGAGAGAGTCTCGCTGTCAAACCATTGGACAGCATCAATTTGGGTCTGATACAGAGGGCTGGGCATATCCGTTTCGCTGTGCCGCTGTTGATTGCGAAACTCGCACCACGATTCATGAAGCCCGGTTATACGTCCTCTATCACACTCACCACCGGCGCTGGCTCCCAGAAGCCCTTTCCCGGCTGGGCATTGGTTGCTGAATATTTGACTGGGCTGCATGGAATTACCCGCACCCTGGCATTGGATCTAAAGCCGCTCAGGGTCAACCTCGTCAGCCCTGGGGTGGTGGCAACGCCGCTGTGGGGGAGTGACGTGCCACCGGAGGAAGTGAAGAATCAGACTGCGCTGCGCAAGGTCGGCAGCCCAGAGGAGGTCGCGGAGGCTTATGTCTACCTGATGAAGGATACCAATGCTACCGGAAGCTGTGTCAGTACTAATGGCGGTTCTTTGTTACTGTAGTTGTGAAGCCACTTTCTACCTGTATCTAGAAATTACGTATACCTTTATCTCCATTTCTAGGGTATATTCCTCGAGCCTGCCTACTCCGTACCTAGTCTATGCACTATTATACTACTATGCCCGAGTCATGTCAAATGCGGACCCTGAATTGATGATCAACAGGTACATACACATGAGTGGCTATTATATCACCCATCCACAACTGATTAAAGCCCTCCAAAAGAAAACCAACATCACAGCCATCTCAAACACCAATACACACAAAGTAGCCCTGCCACAAGCTCGTGCACGAGCTTCCCACTGTGGGATTCCAGTAATTAAACTATGCCGTGGTGATGCCATATTTCTACTAAATCAAGAAGCAGGTATTAGCCGCCTTGACTTGATAGTAGCTTTTATAGGTATTAATAATACCTGGCATTAGTTAATGTAACTCTATTACCACGTAGTAGTAGTACCCACTTAGTAGGTTTATATAGCTATTACTAACAGCTGGATTCTATCAGACAAATAGAGGTATTAAGTTAATATAAGGGTATTTCTGCTTCATGATAATATCGCATATGTCACCTACTACTACTTTATAGAAGCTTGTACACGTCTTGTCGAGTCTAGATTGGGTAGGGGAGGGCCCTGGTGCTGTTGTGGTGGTCGCGGTGGTTGTGATTCTTGTGGTCGTGGTCGTGGTTGGCTGCGAGGCTATAAAGAATGTTTTAAAATATAGTACTCCTAGAATAGGGCCTTACTTGAACTCCCAACGCAAACATAGTATCCAAGCTAGAGCGAGCCGCACGATGACCTGATTACAGGATTCTAGTTATAAAAGTTTAATAGTAAGATACCATAGGTGCTGGTAATAGATGCACAGCCATCACCTGATTTAATAAGATGGTATTTATTGTAGCTTGAGATGATACCAGATTATTAAGGAGTAGGACTGGTCCCTGGTGTAGTGGTAGTTGTCGTTATCATTGCAGAGGTACTTGTGGCTCCGCCAGGAACATGGACACAGATGTAGTAGTCAAGCCAGAGGTTGGAGCACTCTGTTGCCGCATAGGGTGGTTAGAGCAGATATGCGACTTTGGTGGTATGAGATAGATGGTGGAGCTTGGAAAGGGGGCATACCAGCGTATTTCGCTATTCTAGCTCTGGAGCTGAGTAATGGTAACTCCATGCTTCTGGGCAATGGAGCTACACTGATCACTGGATGAGATCTTCTAGAACCCGTCGCAGTTGTCTGCAATACCAGGCATGGTAGGGGTCGGGCCTGTGGGATTGGTTGTGGTTGGAGGCTGTGTGGATGTTGCGGTGGAGGTCGTCGTCGTAAGCGTGGTGCCAGGGGGATCTTCAATGACACTGCTGATGACGCAGAATGAACCGCTTGGATCAAGATTGGGACAGGTAATTCCAGGGTTCAATTCCTACAACTTGGTGATAGACAGTCCCCAGGAACTTGCAAAACTCTCGCATGTAGCACCATTACCGGGCGTTGTGGCAAACAGACAGTCAACGGCGCGGCGGGATAGGGCAAATCCAAGCCCTGGGACAAGCCCAGCGACAAGTACGTGAATCAAGTGCATTCTCATTAATGACGAATGGTTTTATCTGTAGAAACGACAAACGTCAGTGAATGTATGGTGGTTGAGTTAACAACAATTGCGTACAGCTCTCAGATTCGAATGAATGGATGAATAGTGGCCGACTAACTTAGACTTGTCTCAAAATTTATATAGTCATCCTAGATCTCACATAGTCTCTCCCTCGGCCGATAGTATGATTACACTGCCATCGCGCCCACCGTGCCTCATCTAATTCTCCCGTCCTTTTGGAATACTTGAACCACTAAGACGTCCGGCCCTTAAAATCTTACCAGCGACGTTTCGATACTGTATCATGTACTCGCTTAGGACTATAAGATCCGTGTATACAAACCGGGAATGTGAAACAGCGAGCCGGAACTATCCAGAAAGAGGAAATGCGCGTCTGGCAACCCTGGCGATTTGTGTTAGTATCTGTTCCTTGGGTCGGCGATAATGGTGTGATTCTGCCGCTTCAAGGCCTCCTCGACAGGGACCAGCACTTGAGCAAGCCCGCATCCATACCCTACCGCACACCGGGCGCCCGCGCTAGGAGCCTAAATTCAAATGATTCCGCGGCTAGAGCATCGTACAAAAAGCCCTGTGCTTCAGAAATTGGCCAGGAGATACCTGCATTATTTCGCTCATCCGGTAGGTAGGTGGGGTGACCTTGGGAATGTATTAGACGGATATGTGGACAGCGTGATGCGGAGGCCAGACAATAACGAAGCTAAACGCAAGCTTTACTCCCGCGGTGCAGGAACCCATGTCTGGATCCAGGTACAGGGAAAAAATAGCCGACCAGAAACCATGCTGAGCATATCATTGGATCGGGGCACGTCTGCTCGGGGTTGGACCCCCGGCCGTGATGAGAGAGCCGATGTAACACTGCGCTGCATGTCTCGCCACATCAAGGGAAGGCTCGCCAATAATGAGTGCTGCAGCATTTGGCGCCACCTAATTTGCTTCCGCCCAGGCTTGGCAAGTAGTCTTACTCTGTGCGACTTGGCAAGGCGGTTCAATTGGTGGGTTACGGAAATTGCATCGAGCCGTCGATGCCAAGCCGTCCTCTGCTCCCAAAGACGGTCCCTTTCAAGATGTTTCTCTGGCCACTTGGTCGGTTCGTACTACGCCTGCCGAGGAACTGACCAGAACAAACAAATAGGAATTGCGCCGGGGCCTCGTTAATCCCACAGGGGGACTCCGCGGACCGTAGGATTCGGGAGATCAGCTTCTCTCGGCACAGCTTAGCTTAGCCTCCAGAGCAGGACCCCTATTTTCTCTCACACTCCCACTACAAATCCCTCACTCACCTGCCCCGGGCAATTGCTAACATAAAAAAACCCCCAAAGAAAACAGCCTCTCTTTTCCACACGCTCGTTTGGCGACCTGTTGCCGACCTCGGCCTGCCACCCTGTCTCTCCTAATAAGTTTTTCGAATCATTTTTCTTGGCATGAGAATGCAGTTTTTACAGGCGAGCTGGCTGTTTGCCGCGTCCATGGTGATTATCGTGAATGCTATCAGTGTGGTCGAGGTGGACTTGGTCTTCCCGCGCAACGAGACATATGCACCCGCCCAGGTGTTTCCTATCGTTTTTGCTATCCAGAATTCCGACCAGGCTCAATTACTCAACCCAGCTCTCACCTACCGAATTCTGAAAACGGACAACCGCAGCGACAACCTTGTTCCCCTTACAGCATATGTCCATCTGGAGCGAGAAAATGTTTCCACCAGTGACCCCTACCTTACATACCGATTCTTCAGTGGCTTACAGCCCGGTCGCTGGTTCCTGGCCTGGGAACTGGAATACCAGACCTGCAACGTCGGAGCAGAATATCTATCTGATGCGCTCACGTACAACTCCTATAAGTCGACCAGAATCTTCACCATCACGAACTCGACATCTACCCCTAACAAAGAAATCGATCTCGTTGCTGCCACGGCCGATAATAGATGCCCAGCGGATTCGAATGCTGTTGCCATCAACGTAACTGATACAACAATGCAAACTATCCCATCAATGAACTGGGCCGGCCGCGACACATGTGTGGTTACCACAAATTCGACCACCGCCACCCCAGTTCACACGCCCAATCCTTGCGGGGTCTCAATTTCTCCCGAGATGGCCGCAAGCATCTCCGCTAATTTTACTGCGCAGAAGTGCAATGAGGCCAGACCTCCTGCTTGGGTTAATTGCCCTGCAGACGGCGAGAGTGCGGCCCAGCAGCTGATTATTCTTGCATTCACGGGAATGCTCGCTATATGTGGAGCATTTGCTTTCACCCTTGTGCAATCATGGTAGCTTCTTTTTTTATTTTTTATTTTTCTTGAATTTGCTATTTGATACGCCCGTGACTCTCTTCGTGGAGTTCGTCCGTTGGATGTTGTATACATATCTAGCTCGTAGAACGATGCTGAAGATGGCGCCCATGCCCGAGCATAATAGGACAGCCGTTGATGTGTATGCGGAGACGAGAATCAGGATGGCCCACTTCTTCCATGTTGGATAATTGAGCGGATCTATAACGCCATGGCATCAGAAATGAAGGACATGAGAATTTTGAGCGGAGGGAGGTTCAATGCCAACCTTTGGGGTCAGAGGATGGAGTTGGCACCAAGATAATATCGTCGCCGTGAAACAGCTTGATCTCAGTCTCCCTAGCAGCATCAGCCGTAGGCTGCTGCTCGAGTTGCGACGTATTCTCTTGATGCTCGACATAAGGGCAAGGTGAGGGTATCTTTTCCATGGCGTTGTACTTCCTATAATGGGCTTTATCTTCAGCTTATCGTAGGCGGTGGTTTCACATATGAGCACGACTTTATATGTGTACGAGATTTGAGTCTAGGGAACTATGTAATTATCAGAACCGGCCTACTTGACGAAGCCGAGAAAGACAGGCCTCATCTTGTGCTTGCTCAATCGATCAATATAGTCGTAAGAACTGCCGAAAAGTATGGAGAAGAGCCATCTTGCGGGGTGTGGGGACGCCGCTGTTGCCGGTGGGGTTGTACCCTTGTGATTAGTCGAGGAAAGGAGCTAAGCTACTGGTGAGGGGATCTGACTCCCCATGTCATGACTCTCCCCAGGATCGCCGTCGATAGTTTTGTATTTGAGACCCGTGCTAGGAAGCCGCAAAAAGAAATTCACCAATCGCCTTTTGCGTTTAAGTCGTGGGTTATGACTAATTAGTAGAGGTCCTAGTCCTCATTCGAGTCTTTCCTGGTGGGCATTTCCCCGCGTCGGAGCTGGGCGAAGCTGCCAGCAAGGGCGAGGGAAAACCCGCGCCAGGCAATCTGAGATGATAGTGTCTTCTCAACATCGCGGAGAAAACGGACGCATTGGTCGGAGCCGTCGAGGAGCCCGACTCCCGTCAGGTGGACGATGCTGTCGGCACCGCTCTCAATCCACCGCTCTATAGCTGACTTCTCATGAAGTTGATCGAGGCGCACGACCGATGGCCGCGCCTGTCCTCGAGGAGCCCCATCTGAAGCTGGAAGCATCTGAGCTGACGATTGAGTGACCGCCATGCACAGCTCACTGTAGCAATATATGTAACAAATTGCCACCATCAGGCTCAATGCATCGTAGCACGCAAACCTGCGGCAGTTGCGGGTTGTTTTGAAGATGTAGGCGGCGTGCCATAGGCATTCGCGAGCTCTAGCACCGCTTTGAAGGAAGAAGTCTTTCAGCCTCGTTTTCGATTCCAACATCTGCTCCTCATCCGTCTGCCACCCAGTTGCCGAATGTAATGTCTCCAGCGGTACGCGTCTCAGGATAGCGAGAACATGAAAAATGGTCGCACAACCGTCAGGTATAACATCCGCCAACAGGCTGATTGCGGTATCAAGATAATTGCTTTCGCTTTTGCTAATATCTAGCCCGAGCATAGCGGGGTTGACTTCTGCGTGCACGCTACCCTGCCCAAGAGTGCTTAGGTGCGAGGTAAATGATGATCGCAGGAGCTGTGAAGAACATAATTGACGAGCAATACTTCTCTCGTCAATAAACAACTCGAGCAGGATGACCTTTGAGGCAAACGGCTGACACTCCAGCATTAGTCTAGCCCATTCCTGATCTGAATGCCCACGTCTTTGGTCGGCCTGGTGCTCTATAGATCAAATCAGCTAGCGAATTTTGTATGACAAATTCATCATGGTATACCTACCAGGCAGAGTCCTTTGATGTGTCTTCCAGTCTCGCGCATTTCGACACTGCCACAAAGCTTCCGAACACGGGAGTTGTCGTGTAAAGTCGCGGAGGCAAAAGAAGAGTGGGGTACCAAGGAAAATAGATCCCAGACATTCAAGCACTGTTTATTTTTCAGCTCTCCTCTCAGATCAACACGGTAAAGATTGATCTCCTACCTCTCACACAGGTGACAAGGCGTATCCGGCTCTCTGCAGAGAGCCAGTCCTGCCATTCCTTCTCAGGGCCTGGCTCTACTGGCATTGAGTTCGTGCGCTTGTCTGCTTTGCCAAGTAATGCCCAACAGAGAGTGACGAGGATGCTTCTCTTGCGCTGTAATATGATTTTGTCTTGATGCGAACCGGAGAACATCCACAGGATATGAAGCAGAAAGACACTCTGTGCTGTCACTATGTTCTCTGCATCCACCTGAACGTAGAGTGGAAATTGGCCCATCAGCAATCCCCACGCAGACGAGAGGCGAGGGCCACGCAGGGCAACTCAACTTACTGTGGATTCTACAGCTCGGGCAAGCAAATCACAAAGAGCCACGCTGTACTGTTCCGCGCCTTGAATCTCCGAGTACTGACTGCCGACCGCCGCCGTGGCGAGCAGCAGAATCCAGGGCAGCTCAGGATCTTCTAAACGGGATGGATGCAGGAAGGGAAACTGGGGGTTAAAGTACTCAAAGTACAGCTCGACAAATGCGTGCAGGATACGCTGCGTGATGGCCACAGAGGTTGGCTCAACATGTTGCGACATGTAAAAGCGATGCAAGCTTTCAGAGGCTTGTTCTGGGATGCCCTGGACGTGGCCATAAATCTCGGTTCCCGCCATCTCGACACTCGCAGCTTGAGGCTCAGGAAATCTTCGGCATGGCCGTGTATATCCTCCACATATATTCTCTGGACTTAGATAAGTCTGGACACATGGAGCCCTGCCAAGGTGAGTGGCTTCATTTGTCCAACCCGCCGGGGGGCTAGAGCCAGGGAAATGGGCAGCAGGAGGTGATTTGTCCTCCAAACCTGAGAGCACTGGTTGCTCCATAGAGAGTTCGGAGCCGTCCATCAACCACGGGAGTGAAAGGCTGGTTAGCAATGGGTTCCAGGGCATCCAAAGCTCATCTGCTGTGCAGGCGAAATTGCACGCCGCATCGTTGGCTGGCATGTCCGCGGGCAAGGTAGAGGGGTGCTGCCAGTGGACGATCCTATCTAGCGGTGGCGAGCATAGCGTGCTAACTGCAATATTGGTGATATTACTCGATGCTGAAGACCCCAGAGGGTGATTGCTCCATTCCTCTGAGAAGACATTTAGCTCGCCGCCCCTCACACGCTGGGCAGAAACGTCGGCCGCCTGGGCCACACAGTTGGAAAGATCAGATGGCCGTAGATAATCCCCGCCTGTTAGCCTTGTTACAGCCCCTTGCGTCTTGCTTTGGAGATGATCGTCGTTATCGGTACCAGGAGGTGGAGCTGCCCGACCAGAGGGCCTAGGCGGGTTGTAGCTGCACTCCGAGTCTCTAACGGAGCATCGTGCGCATGGAAGCCCTCCATCGCACCGTTGCTTGAGTTTAGAGCAAGGCAGACACGCCTGCCCCCGACGCCGACCTTGGCTGCTCGAATCGCGCGAGTGAGCTCCATGCAACGAGCGATGACGAACCAGACTATCACTGTTGGGGATTTGTCAGCAAGACCAAGGGAACTATTTACAGGCCCACGGGCAACGGACTTTCTGGAAAAGGACTTTGAGCAGATGTGGCACAGGAACGGTTTGAGGCCAGTATGGCGCAGCAGGTGGCGGTCCCGGTGCTCCCGGCGCTGAAATGTCTCGCCGCAATACTCACACGACAAATTCTTTGGCTCGGTATGCATCTCTTCGTCCCGCTACCATCCCGGTGTGGTCCGCATGTTCGGTGCGTGTGTGCAAGATGTTGCGTGCCGTTCGAGTCCCGTCTTAGCACTTGGTGGAACGAAATGTCTTTTTGTCAGACGGAGACGAGTTTACCTCGGCGAAAAATGCTAAGCTCCTCCTCTCTCACCTTTGAGTCGACAAGTGTAATCGTAAGGTTGCGTTTAAACAATCGCAGCCGGTGTACCCATGTCTGGCAACAAGTGGCTCGGGAAACTCGATTCCTGGGGAAATAGAAGTGCGAGAATCGCTCAACCTCCACATCATATGCGGGGCATCCGGAGTGTACCCGAGCAGCCAAGGTTGTACCCCGCCGGCCCCGTCCGTCTCTAGCACTACGTTAGTCCTTCGCTGTTGCCGTTGCTGCCAATGAAGTATCAAAACCATATAACCAGCAACTCCTGACGGCAAGAAGACCTGAACCTGACCACTGCCTTGCGATTTTGGATGAGCATTACGCTCTACTTACAACTTGGCCATAGGGATTCAAGAGAGCAGTTGGATCCGTCCCGCAGCCACTGCAACAGCAGTAATGGAATCTCAGTCGGCAATGGAAGAGTCTGTCCTGGAATGGTTTGGTGCGTTTGCCTCAGTCGATGATGGGGATTCTTGCCATTAATCTACACAAGGCGCGACGACGTTCCGGCTGCGTACCAAGGGCGTTACGATTTTTCTCGATACTTGGCTTGAGAAGCCATCAGTCCTACCATCGTATTTGTCGGTTGATGAGGTAGAGGAGGCTGATTATATTTTCATTTCACATGCGCACTTTGACCAGTTAGTACCACTGAGCTTTTCAGCAAATGGCCCGGCGTACTGATGAGACTTTGCATGGAGCCTCCCCGGCGCCGACCGTATCGCCATAAAAACCGGCGCTCTAGTCATAGCAAACAACGAAGCCATCCACCTCTTGAAAGAAGCCGGGGTCCCAGAGCACCAGCTGGTAGCCGTTCAGGGAGGCGAGCGTATCCCACTCTTCACACGCGAGACTCGCGACAAAGCCAACTCTGATCCATCGCTCCTGGCTCCCAGCCTGCCCGGTGCGCCTAAGCGTCCACTGCAACCGCTTGCCGCGCTTTCAGTAGATGTGTGGCCGTCTCTACACTGCTTCATGCCCGAAGATCATCCCGAGGTCATCGACACAGCAACAGTCTACAAGGGCGTCGCGAACCCCTACAGCTGCAGTCTTGACATCAACATAGGCATGCAGTACGGCCTTTTAAGAATAGGCGAGCTCATGCCAGCCGAGAAGATGACCCCAGGTCACCGCTCTTTTGTCGAGTACGTGAATGATCGGCGGCGGAACGTCTTCTCGCACAGTGACGGGGGCCAACTAATGTTCAACTTGATCATTGGTGACAAGGCGCTGCTATGGAGCGCACATCTGGGTGGATACGAGGGCATCCTGCGAGATTTGGTGCCGAAACCTGACATAGCCATTCTAGCCATTGCGGGGAGAGCGAATCTCAACGGCCGGCCTTTTGACGGCTCTTCAGCTGACTTTGCCTCGATGAAGGTAGAGTGGTTAGGGCGCCCACTTGAGGTGATCTGGTGCTTGCACGACGAAGCGTAAGTCTTTTACTATACCCTTTAAAGCAACCCCTATAACCAACGTTCTGCGCGTTGTGTATACGCAAATGATGATTGACTTGTTTGCATAGCTGTATTCCGCCGTGGCGGATTGACACCGCGGCAGCCACACGGGCTGTGGAAAAGAACGGCAAGACAAGAGTCTTGTCGCTGCGTCACGCTGAACCGATTGTATTGAATATATAAATGTTCTAGCACTGGATTTGTTGTAGAAACTGAGCCTCCTGAAGTGCTTTTTTTTACAACTTCTTCAAATTGAGATCTTAGTATCCGGACCGATCATCCTCTTCCACAGTGTTGCACAGTAGAGCTGGAACTTGTGACACATGTAGTTTAATCACCTATTGGTTCAAAATTCTTGCTCAAGTGCTCCAGATGTTTAGCAGTAGAGTTTCGCGCAGAGCTCTCGGACTCCAACTGAACGCAAGATCAGGCGTTTCCCAACTTGTTTCGCCAGAAGATCCTTAGTTATTCTGTCAAACCTGTTCCACGTCCGGAGTTAAGCCCACCCCGGTACGTTTTTGTCTAGTTCCGGACAATGATGGCGAGGGTCGGATTTGCCCAGCTCAACCCCAAATTTCTACCCCACACGGCCCCGTCGGCTGCATGATATGCATTAAGCCAATATGTTCTTGGTGGGTGTCAATAGTACTCCGAGACAATACTCCCTTACCACTACGGTGTCCCGGCCTGGGATCCACTGCGTTCTCTCCCTTGATTTGTAATTCTCGTGCCTTGTTGTTGGTGAATATATTGTAGCTTATATTGATCAAAAATTGTGCTGTTCCGACTGGGACTTTTTGTCGTCGTCCGGCTTGCAAAAAGCAAGATCACCAGGGTACACACTTCTTGGAAGAGGCAAATTCCCAAGTTTCTCTATCTTCATCATCATCTCGTTTTCACCCTTGTCGATTCCTTTTCCTTCTTTCTCACGGAGTACAGCTAGACGGGGTTTCTCCTACAATCCCTCCACCCTCCATGAATCGAGACTCATTTCAAAGGGAGAGAAATAAAACCATTTCTCCATCATGTCCCATACTGCCCCCGGTGATGCAGATTCCAGCGATGCCAAAGAAGGTCCCCATATCGAAGCGGAGGGGAGTGGGCAGTCGGTGCCCACTGCGAACGAGTCTGACTATCCTGAGGGTGGTCTCTCCGCGTGGCTTGTCGTCATTGGGGCGTGGTTTGGCCTATTTTGCACTTTTGGACTTGTTACCTGTGTTGGCGTCTTCCTTGAGTACTATCAGACTGGACCGCTGGCTCGGTACAGTGCCAGCACCATCAGCTGGATTACGAGCTTGCAAGTGTTCTTTCAAGTTGGAGGTACAGCAATAGTAAGCACTACCATGCTTTTCCACATCAAATAGACATGCGATCTGGCTGACGCGAGAGGAACCCATTGTTGCAGTGGGGGAGATTCTATGATTCGTACGGTCCCCGTTGGCTACTTCTGATCGGGACACCGGTCTACTGCCTCGGATTGATGATGCTGTCATTGTCAAAGGAGTACTATCAGGTCCTGTTTTCTCAGGCCGTCCTGAGCTCTATCGGCTCCGGCGCCATCTTCACGGCCTCGTTGGCCTCACCAACATCATGGTTTAACAAGCGGCGGGGGACGGTGTTCGGCATCGTCAACTCAGGATCATCTGCCGGCGGCATCGTCTTGCCTATTATGCTATCTCGGCTATTCAAGTCAATCGGTTTTGCCTGGACTTTGAGGGTGGTTGCTTTTATGTTCTCGGCATTCTGCGCGGTCTCATGTTTCCTAATCAAAACCCGTGTCCAACCGAAGCCGCGGCCATTGAGGGTGGCTGATTATCAGCGTTGCTTCCAAGAACCACTTATGCTTCTCACCATGGCCGGGGGCTTCCTTTTCTTCTGGGGAATGTTTCTACCGCTGAGCTACATTATCATCCAAGCGCAGGCGAATGGTATCTCGCCCGAACTTGTCCCCTACCTCTTACCCATACTCAACGTGGTCAGTCTCGTTGGTCGCTTGGTGGCAGGCGTACTCGGCGATTTTATCGGTCAATACAACTGCATGCTGATGATTGCGGCTTTTACCGGCACATTGACGCTCGTGCTGTGGATCCCGGGCAGCGACAGCACAGGAGCCATCATCGCATATGCAATTGCGTTTGGCTTCGGCTCTGGCGGCTACGTTACCATGTTCCCGGGCTGTGTGTCTCAGATCAGCCCCATCAAAGAAATTGGGACTAGGATTGGCCTTGCTGCGCTCGTCAATGCGTTTGGCTCGTTGACAGGCAGTCCGCTTGGCGGCGCTTTGATATCGAATAAGTCTGGGAGTGGTAACAGCTTTCTGGGCCTGCAACTGTTCTGTGGATCCACTATGGTTGCTTCTGTTTTTGCCTACGGCGCTGCTCGTTATCTACAGGCCGGATTCAGGTGGATGAAGGTGTAGCCTACGTCGCTGAGCGGAGTTTATGTCGTTACCGACATATTTTGAGAGCCTTCCTCACAAGCTCCCGGTTCTCTCCTTCCCTGGTTTTATTTCATGGTGTATATATGGTGGTTCGGCATTTTGTAAATAGGTAACATGACGGATTAGAGGCTGTCTGCCTTGACTGCCGCCTTTTCATCCTTGACTTCGGGTGATTGGATTCGATCATTGTGCACGACTGTGTCCCCACTAGGAAATTACACAAGTAGTATGGCTACTTAATGGACAAAATTCAAAACCTGACAGTACTATAGGCATATTTACGGCAGTGGCACGGTGTACCGGAAATGGCTCATTCTTGATTTGGGCAAGTAGGATTCTCAGTCATCTCCGATCATGAAATAGCACTTGTGGGTTCACTTTCTGATCATGGTGTATTCAGTTCGGCCTTCAACGCGACCTCCAATGGGAAACATGCCCGGCAACGTTTTCTGATGGTATTTCCTCCTAAGGAAGCTCCGGGGCGTCATCCTTTGGCCTCCAACCAAACAGCCTGAGGCAGTTCATGAATCCACCAAGCACGAATAGTACCACGCGAAGCCCAACGATGATTGCTCTCCCCTTCAAGCTATCTAGGTCCGGTAACTGTTGCTCACTGTTAGCCTGGATTTATTCTCTGGTTTCAAGGGGGAAACTGAGCGCCGCCTACCTGCTGGCTGTTGCTTTTCTTGACCCAACTGAAGGCTCTTGGGATCATGGCATTCTCGAATCTTGCTAACTGGGTACAAACCTGATCATCGGTCAAGCCACCATGCAACTCGTTCAACCTTGCGAGGTCCAAGAGTGGTCCTAGTGCGTCCGCCGTGTCATGAATGGCATTGTTGGCTCCCATGCCCCTCGAGGGCAGCATCGGGTGAATCGCGTCTCCTATCAACCACACTCGCGGGTTTCCGATCGCCCGGTTTGGCCCGTTTTCGTCTTGCGCCAAAAGCCTTCGTCTCCAATCGACTGGCGTGTCACTTCTGGCGTATCTCCACGGGGTAGTGATGAGTGCTTCCTCATCCACCGCATCCACGAGCTTATGGAAGTCCGGATGAAAGCCTGCCTCGGTCAGCTTCTGCCGCATGAGGGCCTTTTTGTCGCGGATCAGCGCCAGTTCTGCTGCAGAAGGCCCTGTCGTCCATGATAACCCGAGAAACAGCGATGCCTGCTCCTCGTCGTAATTTTTGGGCTTCAAGTCCGAGTCATTTGTATGTGAAGCTCGGTTTTGAGTAGACACGTTATCGGGTAGATACGCGGCGGCAAATACCATGGCCTTCGAGTTCCCCGTGTAAATGGTGCCCTTCTCCAAAAGCTGCTTTGGTAAGCCCTGGAGAACAGGCCATGGTAAGTGGCATTTCCCTATGAAACCACCACGGCCCGGTTTGGCCTCTGTGACGATGTTGTTCAAGCCAATTTGCCTGTTTGTCCGGCTCCCGCTTCCCTCTGCAGAAATAAGCACGTCGCACTCCTCCTGAGATCCGTCGTCGAAATAAATTCTGATCTTGCTCTGCCCACCTGCGTTCCCTCCCAGGACCTCGTACCCGACATATTTCTTGCCGTATCGTATCACCTTTCGCTCACGGAGCGGGCCCTGGAGGAATTCGCGAAGTCGGGTTCGTGCAATGGGGGCGCTCTTCTCGTATATTGGCGCCTTCCTCAGGTCCACCAGGACCTTCAGGTCGGAGGGGGTGAAGATGCAGGGCGCTGATGCCACCACGCCGCCTGACTTGCCAAAACAGGGAAGCAAATCGGCGTACTGTTTCGCAGTCAGGCAGGCTTTGAACCCGGTCAGCGCATGCGCTCCAAGCCGAATCTGGTAGCCACCTCGCTCGGAACCTTGCTTGTCGCTCTCGAAGATTGTCACATCTATGGCGCCGTCGGAGTTGTTGATTAGGCCATTTGCCAGGCACGCGCCGGCGAGCCCGCCACCGATTATGATGACCTCGAGCGGCGCCATCGGCTGAGATGATCAAGGTATTTGTCTGTTTGTCTCGTAGGATGACTGGAGCAATAATATTGAGAGGCACGGCTGCGCGAACTGTGAGCGACAAGGGCACCTTAATGTCGCCTCACTAGACTAGTCGATTCAAGCAGTCTGAAGTTTGGGCGCGGCCTGATGGACGACACGGGGGCCAAAACCAAGACATGCGGGGGATTGTAGAAGTTCGGATAAAATGTGGTATAGACTCTTAAATAGCGGCCAGAGCATCTCACTCCCATTGTTGGTTGACCCCCTATTTTGGGCTAGTACCCCGCCGGCACGGTAGAGCCACGAAACCCGATTGTGGGGGTGGAGAGCAGAGCACCCAGAGTTCCGCTCATCGCTTATCCCCACTTGACCGCTGGGATTCAGAGGCGGGAAACACAGAATGCCCTTTGCTGTTCTACGCACGGCAGTTCGAACATCACCGGTGGAGGCGAACAGTGGATGGCCGATTTTCCGATCTCGGAAGCACTCGCGCAGTATTGACCTGCCAGGGGTCTCCCTGTCAAGTCGCACATCACTGCGGACGTCGTTAGAATTCCCTTCCCTGTAGCCCGCACGTGAACCACATGGTCGGATGCTGCAAGATACGGCCTATCTTAATAGGTATATAAATACTGCCATGGTTAGGTTCCTGTTAGTTGAGGGCTTTAAGATATAATAACATATAAATAGAATAAGGTGTTAAGGAATAGTAAAAGCCACAAGGCATTCTTATTAACTATATTACGTCCTGATAATCCATCTTTCCTTTGGCCGGACACCTTTATTGCTTGTTGAACAAGGGGGGTGGCATGGTTAAGTGAAGCTATTGCTTCAAACGGGCAAAGTGGATGTCAAGCCCAGGGATTGAATATCTGTCTGCTCCTTAATGCTTCTGTTAATTCACCGTAATTCTCCCAAAGTACCCAACAACCAGGACATTCAGTATAAGCAAGAGAAAATATCGGCCGTATGGTCTTTGCCTGGCTTCTTCTTCCCTCCCTCATAGCTGTTGAATGGCTGGTCTAGGGCATTCGCCCGGGTGCCGAATACGTCCGGCCGCTAAACAACAGGAAACGGCGAAGGGAACGTCCTTGTGCACATCCTATGGCGCTTCCGCAACGCCGTCGCCGTCCCAAGTTCTGTCTCAACGAGGCCGCGGATAGACTAGTGAAGAATCAGGCACAATCCCCATTTCTCCAAATTCCCACCAGAAATTCGAAACACCGGTTAGCAGGAGATGCTCATTTATCATGCTCCACTCTCCATCTGGCGGACTCATAAGAAATTCTCCAGCAGACTTTATGGAGTACAGACCGTTAGGGAGAACTCTCGAGTTATGGCGCATGAATAGTGCTAACCACCAACCGCACGAAATGGTAGCGTTCAACGGCGTTCCAATAAAGACGCCCGGCGTCAGCATAGGGTTATCCCCTATTCTCTAGCTATCAGCAAATGTTAGTGCTTCTTCCATGCCCTACCATGTCTTAGTCTTACTGCGGCGCAGGTATTCCGAAAGTATTGGTCTACTTTATATTCAGAATAAGCTGATTTTTGATGACTCGCGCTCACTTACTGTCCTGCCACCAGTAATTCCTAGGCACCGTTTCAAGTCAATCCAATTTATTCCTTTGCTGCTGTGCTTCTTTTGGGACACTAGCATAGATTTGGACACTTGAAGCTCATTGCCCGGGTTATGCGCATTCCTGACAACTAGGTTGATGATGATATCGCCCAGTGAGATTCAAAGTCACCCTCTCCCCACCTTCTCGAGCGGTGAGCGGACTCGAGGTCCCAGACAGCGACCAGGATGCCAGATACAAAACAAAATAGCAACAAGCGCGATGGGCGCCATTTCGAGACATGCAAAATATACCTCGTGGGTTGACAGGTTCCCACCTAACCCTTCTGCCGTCTCAATGAGGCGGAAAATACTCCGCATGTAGATCATAAGTGTAGACATGGAAAAGAACACGCAAAAGACGTGAAGACCATGTTCTTTTATTGCCCGGCGAGCTCGGAACTCGAATGTCGCCGTCAACAGGACGAAGATACTAATCGCGAAGACTTGGTATGCGAGGCCTGCGAGAAGAATGTTGTTTGCCGTCGCGGGATCTTCCTGCCGAGACTGTTTCACGCCGATAAGAGAGGCGCCAGCAACCTGCACAATGGTCGAGATCGCATCCGAGGTGATGAAGAATCCGAGGATAAACGTGGGACGAAGCGGAGAGTACTTATTCCCCAATCTTGCGATCAACGCAGATAGAATCGTATATACGCCCGCGGCGAGAAACACCGGCGCAGTGACGATGAAGAAGTACTGGATGATGAAGTAAATGAGGTTATACGGATTCTTCTTGGCCGACAGACTGCGCGCGATGTACCCGATGATTTCAAAGACCAAGCCCGTGGAGAACGTCAGCCACCACCAGCTTCTGTATTTCCAGGTTTGCACGGTGTGAGTAATGAGATGCAAGAAGAACCATGCTGCCGCGAATGCTGCAATCGCAATCGAGGGCGTGTAGCCGTAGATGATGACACTCGTGTCGTTCTCGCCACCGGGATTGGGGAAGTTCGGGTCTACATAGCCGAATGACCGTGCTATTAAACAGTTAGCCATGTGTATGCTAAAAGCCGTTTATCGCGGTGAGCTTCACATGGATCAACATACCGACAACATCTCCCACGCCCATCTCGTGCAGCGGATGGAAAGTTGGGTAGATAATTATTGCCTTGCCGCACCCAATGTCAACCGGAGGCGATATCCTCGAGACAAGAACTGCATCGTGAGTATTTAACTGTGATGCCTCGCTGTCTCCGCATCCTGATTGCGCACCTCGTCAGTGGCGTCATGGTGAAATGATAAATCTAAGCGAGGCTGCTAAAGTAGGACTGTTCAGTCAACAACGCGTCTAATTGGCTAGGAATGCATGACATTCCCACTCCCAAGCCTTGGCCCAGACTCGATCATGTCCCGATCACCAATGATCGAGCGGAGGAGCGGACCAGCTCGTGTCTGTCTGGTCATGCCAAGTGAACACCGCCATCGCCCACGTGGCCCTCATGATTCGAGACTTGCGAGTCAGTTGTTCTTCTAAGCGAGCCCTACATCACCTCTCACTTCGACAACAGATTGCGTGAACGTGGAAATAGTCAGAGACTAGCTTAAGGCTAATTAAAAGTGTTCCGGAATATTTTCCAGGCACGTTCCAGAGACTCTAGACTTTGTTTCCCACATCCTGTTCATTAATGTGATACAAGAACTATCAACGCATTATTATTATAGACAAATAATAATAGTTCGTACTCTTATCCTTTACTCAGTCTCTCAAGAGGCATTGAACCACCCTGGCCCAGATGGCAACATTTCGACCTGCCTGTCCAGTGCGTCATTTAATATCGAGAATCCATGGAATCTCTATAAATCTCCTTCCAAGGCCCTGGTCGAGCCACATTCCGCAATCGGCCCCTCCGCCGGGCTACCCTGCAGACTTGAGCGCGCCTTCCATGATCAGACATGGGGGGAAGCGTGCCTAAGCTACAAGGTGCGCCTGGTGGGTTGGGCGATCTGCCTTGGTATACATTAAATGGCTGTCAGGGGTTTCCAGAATGCTTGGCGGTGTCGTGATACCATTCGTGATGCTTTAGCAGGAATTATATTTCTTCAAACAGATGCTCTAGGTGCGGCCTCTATGTGTGGCGCTAATCTAGCTCTTGCCCTCATGCCCCTTCCGAAAGAGACTAAAGGAATATCACATCTGCGAGTCATTATGCACGTTGGTCATTAATGATGCTTTTGCTGGAGTCAACTAGAGAAAGGGAGAGACACGAACTGTAAAGAAGTCATTTCGCATGTCACTAATGTGAGCTTTGGTAGGTCGTGCGGTCCTCTTCCTTGTGGTAATAATGTATTTACAACATAATTAGGGCAATGAGACAAGTGCACCGAGGGGTTCTCTGGCCTGTGTGGCGTTCAAGCATTGGAGACTAATGAGCGATATATATATAATGGATGGGTTGGTATAAATCTAATCACATTTTCCCCTTCCATTGCGAAAATAAAACTGAATCTATCACTCGTGGTGGACATATCCCAAGGCAAAGTAGAAGTCACTTCAGTACCTCTTTCTTTTCGCAACGCGAAGATTTATTACTCGCATCCAGTGGAAATGTCATCAGTATGGAGCCCGAGACCAGAGACGTGGAGACTACTGGTCATCATTGCGTGTACCCAACTATTTCCCAATGGCCACGCTAGCGAGTCAGTGATTTGTCGGCCTGTTGTTAGGAGGCTTGGCCTGAAACCTTGAAGTCTGAACTTAACGCTCCTTGCACAAGACCCCAGGGACTTGCTCCCGTGAGCTGGTACCTGAGCCCTGTCGCACAAGCATTCAAAAACATCTCCGAACTAACATACATTGTACCTGCGTGGAGGGGTCTGACTGCCAATAAGAAAGGTCTGGAAGTATAGACTCCTAACAGCTCCGCCTATAGAGATGTCAGAAAGCTGCAGGCGCGTAGTATGAGTATGCAGGGGTAGGGGAATGTTGAATCCTACATTTCCTACCGGAAAAACCGTCCCGGCCCAAATGACGCGACTTTTCGCTTGGAAGGAATGAGCCCAGCATACCAAGTTAGCTGCCTTCTATGAACGACAACAACAACAAGCTTTAAGCCATGTCCAACGCGCGTAGTATGGTAGAGCTCGAGGCGTTAAAGTTATAAGTAGATGCGATGGTCACACGACTAATTGTATTTCGACAAGCGACAAACACCAACTCGACAGCAGCGGCAATAGCAGCACCACGGTCGACCCCAGCCCATTGCTAACTCGGCATCTGATCCAACTTTTCTACACTCTTTTAACCTACCATTTACTTCTCGTGTATCTATAATACTTTAACAGAAGAGTATATACGTACGTCATCCAAGCCTCTCGCCAGCATCCAATTTTCTTAACCTTACTTACCATTCCCATACTAAACTCACCCGTCCAGTACCATTAAAGATGCGCATGCTATCCAACGCTACCCTAAAAGCCTTAACTGGCCTTTCCGCTGCCCTGCTCATCCCCACCATCTCCGCGGCCCCCAACGGCCGGTGCGAAGTCGGCGAAACCTGGAGAGACTGGAAAGACTGCCACGGGTTCTTCGAATGCGCGGCTGGTGGGATCCCCGTCCGCAAGGTCTGCGGGCCCGGTACCGCCTACAGCCCTCATATCGGTGTTTGTGACTATGAGTGGAAGGTTCCTACTTGTCATCGCTCCGGTCACGGGAAGGAGGGAGATCGCCACGGTCATGGAGATGACAAGAAGAAGGACCGTCAAGGCCATGGAGGAGATGACAAGAAGAAGGACCGTCAAGGCCATGGAGGAGATGACAAGCAGAAGGACCGTCAAGGCCATGGCGGAGACGACAAAAAGAAGGGCCACGAAGAGCATGGCAATGACAGGAAGAAAGAGAATAATCATGGCTGGAAGCAAGGCTATAAGATATCTGCCAATGAGGAAAAGCAGGACGAAGGCAAATGCCATGTCGGATCCGCGTGGCCCGACAAAGATGACTGCCGCAAGTTCTGGGAGTGTGCTGCTGGCGGCATTCTTGTCCGCAAGTCCTGCGGGCCTGGGACTGCGTATAGCCCAGAACTTGGGGTTTGTGATTATGAGTGGAAGGTTCGGTCCTGCCGGCGGCATCATAATAACGATCACGGTGAATCTTCCGCTAACGACGATAACGAGAAATGGGAGGAGCTTGGTCAAAATGGCGATGACGAAGGTGACAAAATCTCGCAGCACGATGAATCGTCTCGTGGCGACGACCACTAGTGGGCTGAGCATGGCACTGCTCCTGGATATTAGACCACTTTCATTCTCAGGAATCAGGATGGAGCCTTGAAGGTTCCGTGTGATTCTCTCTATTTTTGCGGATTTTTCCGTTTTTCTATTTTTATTATTTGTAATACTGTCGAGACCAGGTCTAGTCTTAGTTATTAGCCGTCTTCATACTAATCAAAGTCGGGATGCATTTTTCTACGAAGAACTCTATGACTCCACATATTTATTGAAATACAGACTAAGTCACAGTAGTGCATAGTCCATGTAGCCATATACACCTCTAATCCGAAGACTGCAAATCCCAAACGCATGGCTTGTCGACACTTTCCAACCACGACAAAGGCGACGACTTATGGTTTCTGTCTACGACCAGACCATGGGCTGAAGAGCCATGAGCAGGGGACTACACTAATCCTCTTGTTCTCTTCGAGCTATTCTTTGATCTCATTGATCCGAGCTATAGTGCGAAGTGTTGCCTGATCTTGTAGAAGTCGCCCTGGAAATTTGTCTACGTTAGGGGCGAGATATATATATGTCGTATCAACGTTGACTGAATACCCTTAATTTTTGTTTTCTTTTCGTTTCTGCTGCTCTCAGAAGACTCATTCATTAAATCAGAGGGGAAGTATCATCTGAACCTACTCCGGAGTAAGCATGTGTGGAGCCCAGGGGCAAATGGCCGTCCCACGGTTTCCTCCCGGTTGAATCTCCACAGCCTCTTGATCTCGGCTGTTGATTGGCATTTACTGGAAAATTGATCTTCGGATGCCACTCTTTTCAAAATTTTCTTCCCGCTGGAACCCCGAAGAAGCACCGGAGCGAAGAATTACAAATCGAGGCCCAGGCCAGGTACAGTGTCTCAGCTTGTCGACACCCTGAAGTATCTTTCCTTTCCACATCTTGTACCATCACGCCCACGGCCCATCACAATGCCATCAACCCTCTTCACACCCCTCCGCATTGGCAATGTCCCACTGCAGCACCGCGTCGTCATGGCGCCCCTAACGCGCCTCCGCGCAGACGCCAACCACGTCCAACTCCCAATCACACCAACCTACTACGAACAACGCGCCTCCGTCCCAGGGACACTCCTCATCGCCGAAGCAGTCCAGATCTCCGCTGCGCACGGCGGCTGCCCTCACCTCCCTGGAGTCTATACAGAGGCCCAGATTCAAGCGTGGAAGAAGATTACGGATGCAGTCCACGCCAAGGGCAGCTACATCTTCGCGCAGTTGTTCGCACCGGGACGGGCCGCGGACCCCGAGACGTTGAAGCGCGAAGGCGGGCTTGATTTTGTTGCACCGAGCGCTGTACCCATGGACCCGGGGAGTTCTACGAATGTCCCGAAGGAGATGACCGAGGTTCAGATCCAAGGCTGTATCGGGGACTTTGCTACCGCTGCCAAGAATGCTATTCGGGCAGGATTTGACGGTGTTGAGGTGCATGGTGCGAATGGGTATTTGGTTGACCAATTCCTGCAGGATGTCACGAACCGTCGCTCTGATCGGTGGGGAGGCAGTGTACCCAATCGCGCGCGATTTGCAGTGGAAGTCGCGCGTGTGCTTGTTGAGGCAGTTGGAGCTGAACGTGTTGGGTTCCGTGTTAGTCCCTGGAACACCTGGCAGGGGATGAGGATGGTTGATCCCGTGCCGCAGTTTACATACCTTGTTGAGCAGCTGAAGGAGCTGAAGTTGGCGTACCTGCATGTCATCGAATCGCGTGTCATCAACAATGTGGATACCGAGAAGACTGAAGGTATCGAGTTCCTTCTCGATATCTGGGGCAAGACCTCTCCAGTCCTCGTAGCAGGTGGATATAACCCGCAGAACGCAGAGGCAGCATTTGAAGAGTACAAGAACAACGACATCGCTGTTGTCTTTGGTCGACACTTCCTGTCAAACCCGGATTTGCCATTTAGGATTCAAAAAGGACTTGCTCTGAACAAGTACGATCGATCGACGTTTTATGCGGCGATGAGTGAGGAGGGATATGCGGATTATCCATTCAGTGCTCAATTTCTGGAGCTGAAGAACTAGATTAAATCATGAGCAAGCCGGACTTGATGTACGATAGACATAGACGAAGACTCTTTATAATTAGAATACAGCCAATAGAACTATATACAGGAAAGCTTGAAGTGCTCAAGTTATTAAACCAAGCTTGCTTAGGCTAGTGAAAATTGGCAGATGCCTGGGGACAAGCTCATTAGGTGACGCAAGCTCCGGGATTCGTTCCGGTGATTCGGGTGCCATCCCGAAGCCGGGCCCGATTGTGCGGAGCCCATTGGAAAATGCTATATCCCACCTCGGGTCCACGCATACCGTGAGCGGCCAAGTTCCGCCAAGTGTCCGGAATTACCAGTTTGGTCTGCGTCCAGTATCCACCAAGAATACACCCCTTGGCCCTTGAGACCCTCCCGTGCCCTAGGACCAGCCAACCAGGGTGGCTTACGGCATGGTTTATCATGACCCAGGTCTATTTTATGTTCTCTATCAACAGCCCCTTAACGTCCCCGTGGGGATATGGCCCACCAGAGTGCGGAATTGAAGGGCTGTGGAACGGGAATGGCATTTTAGGATGCCCGGAGGTCCTCTATAATACTGCTTCGCCTGTGGTGCAAGGTCCAAACTGTGCACTACCCAGGCTTCCTCTTTCTAACCACCATTCCCGCACCCTTTATCTGTGTTCCATCAATTGAGACTCGAAAATGTTCTCCCCAGAGACCCTCAGGGGCAAAGATTCCCAGAGCTCGATCCATATGGAAGATGTCGCTCCGACGCCACTACAAGAGCCGATCGAGCATGACTCCTACACGAGGGAAGACCCTGCCAACCCGCGAAACTGGCCTGGCTGGAAGAAGAATGCCCAGATCCTGATGGTGGCATTCCACTCGATGTCTGCGACTTTCGTCGCTGCGGGTATCATACCCGCGTATGAGTCTCTGGCAGAAGAATATGGCATTACTGTGCCCCAGGCCAGCTATCTCACCTCGGCGCAGGTGGGTACAGGCATACCCGCCCTATCTTTGCATATATGAGTCTGAGGAAAGCTTACTGACTGTTGGTTTTCATTCATACTAGATCCTTCTCTTCGGAATCGCCCCGTTCGTATGGAAACCAATTACCGCAATCTACGGCCGATACCATGTCTTTTTGCTCTCAGTCTTTGGGGCGATGCTGTGCAACATTGGCTCTGCCCGGTCCACCACATTCGGCGCCCAAATGACTGCCAGGGTCCTCGGCGCGATTCTCATCTCGCCACCATTCGGTATCGGCAGCGGCGTCATTAACGATCTGTGCGAGCCGGAGCACCGGGCCCAGAAGCTGGGCTGGTGGACATTGATGCTGACGCTCGGAACGCCCTGCGGGCCCTTCATCATGGGCTTTGTGACGGAGCATATCGGCGTCGAGTGGATCTTCTGGATCTTCACTATCATAAACTTCGTCCAGCTGGCCCTCTATGTCGCCATCGGCGAGGAAACTCTGTATATCCCTCCGGGACAGCAGCGGAAGGCAAATGAGACGGTCAAACGCGGATTCTTCACCAAGTTCATCCCTAAACGCATCGACCAGCGCCCCCTGCGACCCCGCGAGTTCATCGAACCGCTCTTCCTCTCGCGCCACCCCCGCATCCTGATCCCCGCCGTAGCGCACGCCGTCGTCTTCTGCTACGCGAACATCGCCCTAATCGTCGAAATGCCCATCGTCTTTGGCGAAAAGTTCCACTTCACCGCGCAGCAAATTGGCCTGCAGTTCATCGCCATCATCATCGGGTGCGTACTGGGCGAGCAGGTCAGCGGGCCCGTCTCCGACTGGTTCCTGGTTGCTTTGAAGCGGAGAAGGGGGAGGAACCTGAAAGAAGGAGAGGGAGAGAACGTCCGCGACGCAGACCGGCTGTGGCTCTCGTACATTGGCTACGCAACGGTTGTTGCGGGCTTGCTCGTTTGGGGAGTCCAGCTGGAAAAGGCGGACAGGACGTGGAATGTCACGCCCTGCGTTGGCGCGGCGATTGCGAGCTTTGGGAATCAGGTTGTTACGACCATCCTCATCGCGTTTGCGGTCGATAGCTACAAGGAGCGGGCGACGGATGTCGGTGTGTGCATTAACCTGTATCGCCAGGTTTATGGATTTGTGAGTTTTTTCTTCCTCTTGTTGTTCCTTCCCTCCTTCATGTCATTGCTTCTCGAACTCGAACTCGGACCGTGTGAGATCATCAGCTAATGATTGATTCTGGCAAGATCGGCCCGTTCTACTTTCCCGACATGTTTGAGACGCTCAAGCTTTCCGGTGCAGCAGGTGTCATGTGCGGAATTGTCGCTCTCGCTGCTTTGCTCCCCACTGTCGCGATACAGTTTGCGGCTTCGCGGTCCAAGTAGTTTTCTACGGCAAGAGACGCTTCTTTTCCCTCGAGAATCTAGCTTAGAATAGACTGTATTGGTATAGTTGCACTTCGCATCCTGAAGGTCCACGGTGTGATAATTTATGGTCGTACCCTAGGTACGATTCGTACCAATTCGGACCGCTATATGCCGCCCTGGACCACAAGGATTATGAATCAAATGCAAACGGAGAATATAATGCATCCTGAGTATACACCTGAATGTACTTTAGGCACCTCGACTGTCCATTAAAGCTTCACAAAGATTCCATATTATATATACTATACCATGCATTTTTCGCTATGCTGCCCTGGCCCAGAAACTATACCAAGCAGCCTACTACTATCCAACTATAAATCTGCGTTAGACCTGCTTGCGTGTAATGTATGAGGACAAGACTGTACAACCATGAGTTACCCAATTAGAACTCGTTATCCTACATATCATTCTCCTCCAGAGCTGCTAGGTATTATCATAACTTCTAGCCGCTTATAGGGTATGGCGAGTCGTTAGGATTGAGGTAGACTATACGCTTGGTGCAGGAAGCTCTGCCATCATTAACCAAGATTTCGAGGGGCCTCGGTATTGCCGGTTCTGGAAGTACGTCTTGCCCTCGGAGCTGCTGCTCCCTAGGTTGGTTCTACTCCACTCACGCTTTACTGATAGAGCGTTTCCCTTGAACTTGGGATAGGCTCTGTCAAGCATAGGCGCAGGTTGATAGTACCTTGTATAAGTGGATTATTTGTAAATAAAGAGAAGAGCGAAAATATATACCGCATTTGTGTCCCTTGCTATAAATATTATGCTACTCCCCGCGACAACCCCTGGTTTTGTAACTAGAATAAAAGGCACCCCACCATTATTTCCTCCTGCTTTCCATAGTAGTTCGCTATAACCCCAAAAGCCAAATTATTTGCCTACTTAGCACTTCCCAAGAGACGCTGCAGCATCAAATCAGTATACTGTCACATGTGGCCAGCGCAACTTGCTGGAGAGTACAGTACATACCCATAGTGCACTTGTTGTCAGTATAATATCCATTAACATAGCATGTCCTTCCACTCCATGTAATCCTCTGCCAAGTGCTGTATGAATCAGAACAGGATTAGTAACATTGTTCATCCTGGCCATCCATCCCATACCAGACACTCCGCGCAGGAAAAAAAAAAAAAACAAAAACAAAAAAAAAAAAAAACACATAGGCAAACTCACCAATTGCCCTTATAGCAAGACCCCTTCTTATAGCAATCAAACCCATACGCCTTGCCAGGGATCACGTAGGCCTCGACGCCGTAGCTAAAGCCAGGGCCCTTGCGGCACTTGACGCTCGCCGAGCCAGAGTTGACGATCTTGCAGACGGCTCTGTCGCGTTTCTCTAAGCCAAGGGCTTCGGGAGAGATATCGGCTTCGGCGTCGCGGGCGTCGAGGTCGAGGTCAACAGGGAACTCGATGATTTCGAGGTCTGGGGCGGGGACGGCTTCGGCGATGGCCTCGGGGTTGGCGTTGGGGTTTGGCATGGCCATTGCGGCCAGGGGGAGGAGGAGGGCGGCGAGGGCGGTGGCCTGGAACTTCATGGTTTTGGTTTTTGGGAATTTCTTTTCTTTTCGTGAGGAAGGATATTAATGAAGGGAAGGGTTGCTCTTGCTGGGACGGGACGTGGAGGGAGTTCTTATACCCTGCCCAATTCTGCCTCGAAATCACCCCGGATCAAATTCATTTCCAGGAATAGCTCCTTGGCCGAGGTCTTCACGGATCTGAAACTCGCCCCTGGCGCCCCCTCGTATTCATGGAAAGCCCAACATATCCCCAAAGCGAGCAACGGCGGTTCCCCGTTATTACGAGCTCCGCCCCCTCCTAGCACGAATCAGCATACAGGGGTGGGCAGCTGAGAGTCCGCGTAACCGCTAAGCCTCCGCGCTTATGCAGCAGCGTTCCTGGAGATTAAGGTACGGCGAGCAGGTGATTGGACAGGGCAGGAAACGAATTCCGAGGCGGGAGGGTTCGAGCAACGGCCAGCGAGTCAGGAAGCGCAAGAGCCCCATGACGGAGGACTCTCTGGCGACTGCTGTCCATTCACTACGAACTGGTATCTCGTAGAAAATGCCAGTCAATCATCTGGAGGCAACAGTGTTTATAATTAGCACAAGTAGGCACAAGTAGAAGTTGCCATCTTCTGAAACTTTAGGATGAGCTTTTTGGCAGTCTGCCGAGTACATTTGCGTGTTTAAGCAATTTGAGGACGAGCTAGTTATTCTTCCATATCAACAGAACCACATGCCCCGGGGGCATCTCCTTGGGAAAGAGAGCGGATTTTGTGTCCTTTCACAGGCATCGCGCCGGGCAGGGCGGGGTTAAAGGTTTCGCCCGTAATTGCAAGACGAGGGAGCGGGCTTGCACTCCTTGGAGTGACTTTCGGCGAACACGAGAGTTGGATTCGAATGCCACTGGCAATTCGGCGGTACGAGATGAGGGTTTTCCTGCTAGACCCAAACAGGGAAGTGTGGTGTGCCTGTGGACGATGTTGAATACGAGGCGCCAGCCCCAGGCGAATCAAGCTCAGCCGCCCAGCCTTTCTGGGGAAAACATTCTTCTCTCTTTCCCCCACGCCACACTGGAGATGTTTACGCGGCATGGCTCAGTGTTCGCTCGAAAACACATCCTGCCAACTTAGTTGCATATTATACGCCAGTGCTTATAAAGCTCCACCTATAGTAAGCTGCGAGGCGAGCCCGCCTCGCAACTGCTTCTCTATTATTTTTGCAGCGGGCCTTAGCACAGGAGCGGGGTCAAAGGCTGATTTGATTTAACAGATGACTTTTGGTGCCATGGAACTCTAGTACATATAAAGTAGCCTCGCATGGATAGACACCGGTTTACTCCTCCCGGCACCAAATCAAAACGTCCATCTTAACTGCCTCGCTGCCTGCAATCAGCCGTGCAGACTTCTATCGGGTAATATTCAACCTGCCGAGCGCGCATTGCATGGCCTGCTGGATCGGAAGGATGGCAGCGTGGGGCAAGGATAAAGATGAGGTTTGTGCGCAAGGGAAGATCAACGTGGTGTTCGTGATTGACAAGAAATGTGGTTGTGGCGAGGGAGTCTGGTTCAATAACAACGTCTTTCCGTGCGCAATGGCTCTCGTCAGCTCTAACTGCGGGGCTGGGAATTGTCCAGTTACGCCGATTATTGATCCCTGCGACAAAGGTGCCTACAGCTTCCTCGTCCTCGCGGTGCTGCAAGCTCGGCGAGACAGTGCCTGGAAGCAGATTGACTCACCTCTTGTAGTAGAGATGGTGTTGGCTCTGGCGGGATTCCGTCTTTTCCATCTTGGCGATGCCATACTCCTTCACGGCAATAGGATCCACTTTGTAAACCAACTTTCTACACGAGAGCATGGTTTAACTTGCATCTCTACTACTTTGGCCCTGGGCGACGCAGCGAGTGACAGGCGATCAATGCTGGTCTCATTGGATAGTGAAGAGGATGGGCCTCAGATTTCCCTTGGGACGAGGCAGCGCGAGGAAAGGGGGGACAATCCAAAGGGTAAGTCATATCCTGAGATCAGTTGGACGAACTGGTCGAATGGTAGAGACACGAGTCTACATGTGTGTGTGTGTGTTGAACTGAGGGCGGCCATTCAGCGACATGATTCGAAGTGCAACAGCACATCAAGCCCTGGTTAACACCAATATAACCAACAACCCCCTGCAACGGCAGGCCAGAAGCTTGCCCTTATAAAAGTACAGTAACGAGCCGATCACCTGATAGTTTCTTGGCCAGCCCTTGGCCTCCATATGTCGGCGGCTAAATACCGAAAGCCTCCCTTTCCCTCTTTCTCTTCCCCAGGATGCATTAAGATGTTGCAAGAATTGCCAGTAGAACTCCGTGTTATCATCGCACAACAGCTTGAGCGGAAGATCTCTTTAATCTGGCTCTGACCTCGCATCACTTCCATGCCCTCGTCAACATCATTCTTTACCGAAACCTCGAGTGGAGCCATCACATTCAGCGACTAATAGACACTCTTGCCCGAAACCCTCACTTCGCAGTTTTCCCCGCTCCCTCACACTCTCAGCACGGGAGCCGATACAGTCTCCCAACGGTATATAGTCTCCCAACGGTATATAGTCTCCCAACGGTATATAGTCTCCCAACGGTATATAGTCTCCCAACGGTGTTACTCGCCTGTCGGACGACTGGTGCGCAGGCGTACGGCGCCTCGACAAGTTAATTGCAATCGGCCAAAACTCCAATCATACCACCACATCTATTCCGCGCCCGAGTACGGCTCCTAGCCACTTGATCCTCGCAGTCTTTATCCAGCGCTGTTCCTCGCTAGACACACCGGGAAATAATTATGGCTCCAGATCATGTCAAGCGAGTTAATTGAGAATGCTAATGGCTTGACGCCGGCTAAGCGTGCTGTCCCAGCAATTAGATATGCGGCGGAGTTATCGAATATCTGCGCTCGGCGCAAGGTGCGGTTTGAGATACGGAGAAACAATTCCAAGGCTTTCGGGCATTGGAGACATTTCGACCCTTTTGAAGAGACGTGGTGAAATGGAATCTATTCGGTTCTTGGTGCTTGTGCGGGGCCACGATCAGGACGGGCATGCAGAAGGCTGATCTGGAATGGGTCCACGGTAATGAGGCTATCTTCTACCCATTCGGAAGTTCACCCACTTCGAATGTCAGTCTCACCGGAGGTATAGAGTTTATAAGTTCTCAGTGTTCCCGATTTTCTGGGGACAAACCTCGCGTGGCCAGGTTGATTCGCCACCCGCGTCGGAATGTGGACATGACCCGACGATTAGGTTCGCAGTGCCCCTGAAGGCGTTCGCAGCGACCAACCAAGTCAACGGGCCCTAACTCCAAGAAGACAAAGAGGCACCTCCCTCGTGTCAACAGCCCCCAGATTCCTCCCGACAAACACCACCACCCCCACAGTGACCCCCGACCTTGGCCTTTCAAAGACAAATCCTCATAATGTGGCTCCACATCGCTCCCCGGCCTTCGCCCGCGTGTGCCCTTTCTCTGCTCTCTCCCGTCCCCAGAGCCTGATTCTGTTAATATCCATGAGACCCATACGGCCACTCCGGCGCCGACATCATGCCATACGACCCGCTGGCCTGCGCGGTGATCTGCATTGTGCTGTATGCGATATCGGTGGTCTCGGTTGTCCTGCGCTTCTATGTCAGGTTTTATCTGTTGAACAATACCTCGACCGATGATTATCTTGCGGCAGGTGCGGCGGTACGTTTCCATTCTACAATTACTAGTAGGAGAAGGGAGAGGGGGTTGAGGAGCTAACAATCCATCCTGAACAGATTGTGTATACGGGCTTCTCGCTAAGCTACATCCTCGGCGTCCTGGTCTACGGCGTTGGGCGATATAGCTCGGAGGTTTCGCCTGGTGACTATGAGAATGGATTGAAGGTATGTAATACGTCCGGTTCTCACTCTTGCCTTGTCACTCTATCCCAAGCCATATGCCTGTTCCCGTTCTCTCAAGCATACTGGACCGAGTCTCAGAATAACAAATGCTTCTCGTCCCTAACAAGACCGTCTTCATCGGCGAACTCCTCTACTTCACCACAAACCTCCTCGTCAAGCTCTCCATCATCTTCACCCTCTCCCGCATCATCACAACCCCAGCGCACCGCCTAACCCTCTACATCCTCGCGGGTTCCGGATTCGTCGTGACGATATTTACCTTCTTCTGGGCGGTCTTCTACTGCGACCCCGTGCGGTATTTTTGGACACAACGGCATGATTTCGCTCTCGGAGAAGAGGGACCCGCAATGGGTAGCGACGTTTCCGGATCCTGCAAGCCAATATCCGCAGTCATGGCCGTGGTCATCGTGCACGCGTCGTGGACACTCATCGCGGATCTGACGCTGGGTCTTGTCCTCCCCGTATTGATCTTATGGTCCTCGCAGATGCGGACTCGCGTCAAGTTTTCTGTCGGTGTGCTGCTGGGAGTTGGGTCTGTGTACGTCGACATCTCCTCTCTACGTTCAAAAATTGACCTCTGCAAATATGTATCCCCTTACCCGTCCTTTCCCCCGCTAACAATCATTCCTGGCTGTACAGTGCCGCAATCGCAACAATCATCCGAATAATCTACCTCCCCTCCATCTCCCTCTCCGAAAGCCTATTGACAAACAACCCCGTCATCTTCTGGAGTATAGTCGAGAGTGCAGTGGGGATCATTGCCTCGGCGGGCGCGACGTGGAGGCCGCTGCTTCGAGGCGATTCGCTGGGCGGATCGGGGTCCGGGTCCTCGGGGGCGCGCAGGTATATGGGGTCGGAAGATGGTGCGTTTAGTGGAGCTGGGTCGAGAGTTTCGAGAGGGAGGCAGTCGTACAGGTCGGGATTTGAGGGTGGTGGTAGTGGGGGTGGGAGAGTAAAGGGGCTAGTAGGGCTGAGGTCTTTGACGGAGGAAGAGGAGGGGATTTTACTGGATGGAGTTGGAGTTGGGAAGGGAGGAGGCATCTTTGCGAGTCAAGCAAGTGTCTAGCAGTGGGTGTAAAAAGCTGGTTCTTTAAAAATGGCATCGTAATTCATTCAATCTCCTTGGGTAGCCATTTCTCCAAGGGGCTCACATTCACGGGTCCAATCGCTGAACCGAGACGGAGGACTCCTATTCTATCACTAAAGACCATGGCAAACGCTCTACAACACCTTCCCAAGAACCTCCAAAACCTCCCCCGCAACAAGATCCGCCCGATCCTTCTGGATAAAATGGCCCGCCCCCTCCGCAATAACCGGCCCCTTGCCCCTCTCCTCCTCTCGGGTAATCTTCACAAGACCCTCATTATACCTATTCCAATACGGGTTCACATAGGTCTTCGTGAGTTCCTCCCCCCTGCCACCAATCGGCATCCGCGCAGACTCCTTTGCAAAGGTGTCAAAGTCATGCCCGACAACCGTAACCCACGGTCCCTTCCCATCCGGTCCAATGAGGGCAGGCCCGTCGGAGTCCGGGAGGAGCGACGCGAGGTTCTTCCGGGAGAGACCCTCCTTGCTCCCGACAGAGGGGTGGAAGATACGTGCGATGCCTTCGCGCGCGGCGCGGAGGGCGTCCGCTGGGATCCCCTCGGGGAGAGACGCGGGGTCGAAATCCGCAGCGTCAGGGTCCGGGAATATCGAGACAAAATCCGAGTTGGCAAGGACGCTGTCGAGCAATACCAGTCCCGCGACGGTGCGCGGGTACTCGTGCGCATAGAGGCGCGCGAGCGCGCACCCTATTGAGTTTGCGACGAGGATTAGCGGGATGCTATTGACATCGTCGGATTTGACGTCAAGCTTCTCACTCGCGATCTGTGCGATCAGTTGTCTCAGATCCCGCACGACGGCGAGACAGTCGTGCCCGTGTGTAGGGTCTTCAGCGCCGGCGTCGGCGGGGTCGCGGTCTGTTGTGGCGCCTTGCCCGTAGCGGTCGTAGGTTAGGAGGGCGGGGAGGGGCGCATTGGATTCTTGGAGTTTGGCAATTGTTGCGAACCAGGAGGCTTGGGGGAGGCCAAGACCGTTGAGGAAGATTAGGAGGGGTGGTGGGGTTGTTGATGAGGGGGTGGTTGGTGGGTGGAAGGTGTAGGAGATCTGGGCGGTTGGTTTGGTGGTGAGGGTGATGTGCTGGAGGTCGGCCATTTTGATAGTGGGTATGTCGGTAGGTGGCAGATGTGATCTGGTCAGTATTAATCGCGACCCGCCAGAGAAAGTGTCGGCTTTTAATAAGAAACTCGGCGTCGGAGATAGCGGAGGGCGAGCTGGCGGCCTAAAAAAATGGACATGATTCAGCTGCGTGGAGCAGGGCTGAGCAGCTGAACCTGGATCACTGAATCATTGCTTAGCACAACCAAGCTTACTCCACTTGGAATAGGCTGCGCCGCTGCTAACTCGACCCCTATACCTCTCTAGCTTTAGCCTGTGCCGATAATCCTGCCCAGTCCACCATTGGTGTGCTCACCTCTGGCTTGCTAATCTCGGTGACGTGCCGTATTTCCATGTCTGATTGCTACCTTTAGATCATCTGATATAGTTGGGAATCTAAACGGGAAACACATCAACAATCCGATACCCAGGTTGGATCTGCTTATGATGCTATTGTCAGCCAAGCTTTGTAAGCGGGGCCAAATTGTGAATAGTAGACAGCTTACCGGGCTGCTTGAGCAACTTTTACTTCTAGACTCCGATCAAGGGGGCATTCTTCATCTCTATCTTGCTAGCGGGCCGATACATGTAGACGATAGGGCCTTCTGCTTCAATGGCCCTCAGTCAATCGGTTACGATAAAATGGTGGTCTCTTTAAACTAGACTGTGTGTCGTTAGCCGACCTACATTTGACCTGGCGCTCAAGGGCCAAGCCTGTTCAGCACAGCATACATTATATGAATATGACTTTACTTTGGGCACCTGTACTAGATTATGGCAAACCCGAAAATGAGACGAAATCCATCTGTTCAATTCACAAAGCCGACCCCTAACGATACCACACGAGGGGTTTCTGCAAGTTCAGATAGTATGTCTTCCCTGTTTATGATAACGTTGCATGAGGCCTTGCCAGTACTAGGTATGTTTGAAAAGCATCCCGCGAGGAAGCTTTGGTTGATGTCTATGGATCATTCGCGTAAGGAATAGCTTGATGCGTGCTGGGTACGGACGTGGCGATGAGCAAGGATGTCCACATATCTTCCGTTATCATGGGCATGATTCATTGCCCGTAAACTCAGGATCGCTCTTACATACTTCTTTGAAATGAAGTATAGATACATATTATAGTGCTCTTTCCAAATAGACTGCGGGACGCGGAAATCTCAGCAGCCACAGTATGCCACTATCATGATAAGTCCGCAGCGCCAGAAAAAGCACACCTGCAGAGATCCCAATAAAAAAAAAAAAAGAACTGGGAAATGTTAATCTAGTTCAATCTTCGCGGAGTTGGCACTTCAAGCGAAAAGGCAGCGATTGTTAGTTGTTATATCAGGAAAGGTAAAACTCTCGATATAGTCAACTCTCTAATATGATAGACCTTTCTGGGCGGCGATGAGATCGCCAACAAGTGCTCATCTCCCTATGTACTGACACCAACTCCCTGGTTCAGATTACGCCCGCACTACCGCTCATTCTGAAAGCTTATGTGTACGATCCACACCAATCACTAATCGTACATTGAGATGAGTAAGACTATGCTTAAACGCCACCATACTAAGCTTCACACATAGTCCCCGCTGACCGGATCGCAATACCCTAGCGGAGGCTGCGGAAGAACGAATAGTCAGCATGGTAGACCTGTTCTGCAGTATGCGCATACCAAGACCCTCCGCATGTGCGTTTCGCAACTCTGATCGCTATCGACCCTATCACGTCGTCGCAGCGGCGTATGCGTATGCGTATTAGCGGAATGTACCGCTCCCGCTAGTCCGTCTTTTGCTCAGCTCAGAGCGGAGGTCCAGTGCGGGTGATGATGTGGTTACTCAGAGAGGGGTGGAAGGGGGGTAGTATATCTTTGCGCAATCCTCGCCCCTGTCGTGGGAGGGGTGTTGAGCTTCTTACTTGAAAATCATCCTCCTTACTCCGTCACATCAACCAACCAAAACCATGGCGCCCATTCGCAAAGGGGAATATATGATCCAGACGAACAGCCAATCAAGTGCGCGGTCAGTATGACGCCGCCTGGCTCGATTATGCTTCTAAGCCACCTCCTTCAACCCTCGCATGCTCCAGTACACCCCAGTCTCGCGTGTCCATGCTAACCAAGCTCTTCTGTGGCTAGGCTCAACCTCCAACACTACTGGGTCAAAGAGTCCCTGGGCTACCTCCTGCACCCGGACATCCCGGTCCCCGAAAATGCAAAGGTCGCGGATATAGCTACAGGGACTGGGTACGTTCCCATCCACTCCACTCCCAAACACACACGGAGCAAGGGGGAAAAAAACCAACCTGTCGTCCATCAGAATATGGCCCGTCTCCTTCTCCCGCCTCCCCGCGGTCCCATCCACAGTCCAAATCGACGGCTTCGACATCACAGACGCCATGTTCCCGCCGCCCGACTGGCTACCGTCCAACGTCTCCCTGCGCACCCTCGACATCCTACAGCCAGTCCCGGACGAGCTCAAGGGGCAATACGACGTCGTGTGTATTCGGTATTTTGGGGTTCTGATCCGGAATAATGATCCCGAGTTTGTGTTGAGGAATTTGGTCGATCTGCTCAGTATGATTCTCCCATTGATTAAGAACGGGTATATTGCGGAATGAAGTGGGGGTGGAGGGGGGTATTTGGTTTGAACGATGGATGAACTGACGAGACATACCCAGAGCCTGGTGGATACATCCAATGGATGGAATCGGACATCTACAACCAGACCGTCGTCAAGTCCACGCACAGCGCGCTGTACGGAGTCACGACAACGCTAGAGCAGCATCTCCCGTCCTGGCGGCAGTATCTCGATTCGTCCGAGTTGCGCTATGAGTCCGTCCATCTCACCAACATGCCCTCTCGCCCTAGTTTTGGACTTGGCCCATGTGCTAATCGTTCTATTTCGATTTCTTAGCTGGCTTAAGACTCTCCCAACGATCTGCAAGTCCATCGGCATGTCCGAGGCGAAGCTCTACACGCCGAAAATCTTCCCCGCCATGCGATTCACCGCGTCGTATGCTGTGCTTGGTGCGTGGGAGGAGCTCAGCTACAAGTTTCTGGATGAGCGTCCCGATAAATTTTTGGGCTCGGGGCCGGAACTCAGGGAGAAGATTGACGGGTTCCGGAGAGAGGTTGCGCAGGGCGCGGCGCTGGATTTGGGGTTTTATGTTACTGTTGCAAGGAAATGAGGATGATATGTTGTAGTGAATAGTGAATATTAAATAGTATGGAATGGGGTTCTTCTATTCTGAATCCTTTTTGTATAGAGGGAGTTTTGGTTACTCGTTTGGTTGTCCAACGGGCCTTCCTATCGTCTTCCTCGTATTATTTATTATCTGTTGACGCTGCTGAGGAAAACGTCCGGCTGACATGGGCAGAGAGCCTTGCAATGGACATAATGAGAGGAGAATGTCTTATATAGTCTCCAGCCCTCCTCTCCGCCTCTCTCAGCCACTCGCGTTCAAGATACCTTCGTACTTAAGCACCAGCCACAAGGACCTCTTGTGCCTCAAGCAACCTCAAATACATCCCTATCCAAACAATACAAAAATTAGCAGACAGACAAAGTCCTTCCCGGCACTCTACTACACCAGCCAGCAAATAGGGGAATAGAATAGACCTTACCACCAACCCTCCACCGCCTCGCAACAACCTCAAACGCCGCCTTCATCGCCCCAACAATCTCCTCCAGCGCCGCCTTCTCGACCGTCTCCTCGGGCTCGCCATCATGATCGATCCGGACTCTAGTCTGAGGACCAGTTGGGCATTTCAGACTCCTCGCCTCCCGCAATGTCTGCATGTGCACGCCCAGCGTGCGGTACGCAAAGTACACCCGCCACGGGGACAGCCCCGCCGCGTCGCGGGTGGAGAGACAGTCCTTGGCGAGAAGGTTCGTGTAAATGGTGTCGGTGGTCTCGGCGATGAGCTCCAACGCGCGGGTCGGTGCGTGCAGGATTGGTTCCTGGGTGGTTGGCGTTGTTGCGCTCGCGCTCGTTGCGCTGGACAGATGCGGGGTGTAGAGGGCCATCGTGGTGCTTTGGGTATATTAGTTAGGTAAAATGTAGGACAGAACAGTGAAAGTAGGGATCATCGGGTGTGATTCAAAGTGTGATGGAGAGCAGAAAGGGACGGTGTGTGCGCACCCGTAGATAAAAGTAATCGTGTCCAGATCCGGTTCGTCGAGCTGCATAGCGGCGGTGAGCATCGCCTGCAGGGTCGTGTCGAGTTGTATCCGCTCTATATCATCCTGGCGTGCGTTTACATCCTCGTTGCTGCTGCTGTTGCTGGTGCTATTGCGCGGGCCAGATCTATTGAGGAAACAGATGACTTTGCCCAGAACCCGGGCAGCCTGGCAGAGAAGGGAAAACTTGCTCATGTGTTTGGTGCTGGGCGTCGCGACGGTCCAGAGGTCTGTGGCACTGACGATCTACCCCAGTATATGTTAGCGGCGGTAGGCAGGGGTCACTATGGAGTAAGGCCGTACCCCGTTATTCCAATCCTCATCATCAACCGGTAGAAGATCGTCCAGCTCCGGATCCGGTGTTGCGAAAGGACGGGTTGGGGCGGCGATGCTCACGAAGCTATATATAAAAAAGGCCAGTGAGCATCGCGTAGCGCATAGTGAACTTGGAAGGCGCAAGCTACCGGTCGAGAATTACAACAGCCCACCACGCTCTCCTTCTTTCCTCGACCTCAATCAGCGACGTTGGTCTCGGTGGATTCATATTCACGTTGCGAGAACTTGTCCCGTTGATCCCAAGGACATACAGATACCGCGCACAGGCCCCAATCGTCATATACGCGTTAGGATACAGTCCATGGCCAAGCTCATAAATGGCGATGAAGATATTCGCCTGCAGTACCAAGATTGAAGGAGTCCCTGACCCCTCGACCCTTTGGTAAAATTGTTTGGTCCAATCGTAAATCCCCAGCCGTGGATCTTGGATTGGGGCTGATATGATCAGTCGGAATACGAGCAAGAGAAGGACTACATCCCCCTTATTGTGGTGGAGATTATCGCGGAGATAGACGTCGTGGAAGCGGACTTTTGAGAGAATGGGCATCCAGGGATGAATGGTTTCGAAAAACGTATCGGCTGTCTCTCGGATCATCTCGAGGCTACCGACAGCGGCTGAAATGTGGCCGGGAATCTGTGTCCCGTGGTGGTCAACTTGGACTTGAAGCGGTCCATGTCGGAGGAGCGTCGGGTCTAGGAAGAGTATGGAGGAGAGCGTTAGGGGAGGGAGCTCAGGTTTGGTGCTGTCGCTGATGGTGTCAACCGCTGTAGGTGCGGCAGGGGATGCTGGCGATAGCAATGTGTTTGACTGAGTCCGGTTATACCGGTAATCGCACTGCAGATTCTTCCTGGACAGAGTCAGCCGAGAACATTCGACAAAACGGCAGGCGATAAGCACCTAGAGCACAGCGAGCACTTTGGGAGTGCTTTGTCACATCTGCGCTTCCTGTCCTTGCACGACTTGCAGGCTTGAAGAGCTGGTGCGTGTCTCGTAGTGGCTTCCATGGCTGGTGGGCGGGGATGAGGGGAGAGAGAGTCGGCCGCCGGTTGCGGGCGCAATGTGGACGATCTGCGGACGGGCTGACGGCCGCCGGCGGCCGAGCATCAGGTGGAGTTTGAACCCCTGCGCACTGGCATCTGATTGGTTGGCTGTGAATCAGTCTCTTGTGTAGAGCTGTTGATGACCGAGAATGGAGTGCGTTAACTAATGATTCAGAAGCCGATGGAATGGGAAGCCGTAGCTGTAAAGGACCCGAGCTATAGTAAGATATCCCAAAGCAAAAAGTCATATAAACTCTCAATACTCTCCTCATGAACTCTCCTCATCCGTCTCTCTTCTCCAATACTATCACATCCCACTCAATTCCAACCTTTTTAGAGCCAGCCACCATGTCCCCCGCTCAGCCCTACGCCCACCTGCACACCAACCCCGGCGGCCCGGGCGACGCCCGCCCAACAGCCCTGCAAATCCTCGCCGACGAGTCTCTGACCAACGCGCTCCCCGGCACAAACATCGTCCTCACAGGCGCGTCGTCCGGGATCGGCCTCGAAACCGCACGCGCACTCTTAACAACGGGCGCAACACTCTACCTGCCCGTCCGAAACCTCGAGTCAGCAAAGACTGCCCTCTCCACTCTCCTCCAGTCCTCCCCCCACAATGAATCACGCATCCACCTGGTGCAAATGGACATTGCCTCTCTCGCAAGTGTCAGGCAGGCCGCCGCCGAGATTCTCCGCCTCTCGAGCGGCAAGATCAACACTCTCATCGCCAACGCAGGCATAATGGGGCTCCCGGAGCTGACCCTCTCCGCGGACGGACACGAGATGCACTTTGCGACGAATTACCTCGGCCATTTCTATCTGTTCCATTTGCTCAAGGATGCGTTGCTGAGCGCAGCCTCGGCGGCGAAATCGTCTCGGGTCGTTGTCGTCTCCTCGTCTGCAGCGCGGGCCGCGAGGCTTGACGGCGATGGCGACAACGAGAATAGGTATTCTGACTACAATTTCACGCGGGCGACATCCACATACGACATGCAGACCGCATATGCCCGCGCAAAGCTCGCGGAAATCTACATGGCAAACACGATTGAACGGCGGTACGGGGCTCGCAATCTGCACGCGACGAGCCTGCACCCTGGCGCGATAGATACTGCGATCTCGCGGCATGTCGGCAGGGGATTTGTGGATATACTCATGAGTAACCCGGCCATTGCGCGGATTGCCAAGAGCCCCGAGCAGGGGGCTGCGACGACGGTTTGGGCGGCTGTTGCGGCGGAGTGGGAGGGGCGGGGAGGGCGGTACCTGGAGGATTGTGGGGAGGCGGGGGAGGGGGTTGATGATGGGGATGCGTTTGGGGTTGGGTTTGTTCCAAGGATGTATGATGTGGATGCCGAGGAGAAGGTTTGGAAGGATATGTGTGGGTTGGTGGGGGTTGCAGAGAACTGAACTAGGATGCTAGCCTCGTTGAACAACAGGCAGGTCATGCAAGAGGCAGAGGGCAGTAGGGGGTGGTAGTAGAGAATTCTACTGCTGGTAGCACTGTACTGTTGGTTCGGTTCTAGTATTAAGTGGGTTCGGCCGCGAGGCCTGGGCTTGACAAAACTTCCCACGTCGCATGGTCTGGGAAGAATAAGCGGTCGATCCCCAGGTCAAGTCAAGTGAGGTCAGAGCAAGATGATCCTGGTTTGATTGGCTGCCAATGGCAGGTCTCCTCAGCTGAGGTCTGCTGTCCAAGTAGGGTATATTCCGGATATATGAGCTCATGTGATAGTAGGCTTTAGATCTTCTTTGCCGTCCCATTGTTACACGCAGGGTCTGACATGGATGATGCTCATCTGTCATCGTATCATCATATAGAGTAAGGATTTCTCCTGCCAGAGAAATATGACTCTAGAGTGTAGGTCTAGCCGCTTCAAAAAGCCAATATGCAAGTAAATCCAAGCCAAACTCCCAACTCCCCATCTATCGACTGCCACCCTCCCTTCCCTTTCCTTCTTCTCATTCTCACCACTGCACCCGAACCCCCGGCCATGATCACGCCTTACTCTGATAGCTCCCCATACTCAACAACTGCGCCCCGGCAGCCTCCTGTCTAATCGTCCCAGGATGCCAATACCCCCAGATAACCATAACAGCAACCATCAACACCGCATCGAAGACAAACATCGGCCACTCGTTCGCAAGCAGATACCCCTTTTGCCCCATGGCATACTCAATCACCCGGAAAATAGATCGCACCATGATCAGCCAACTAACCGCATAAAGCGGATACAGATGCGTCTTCCAGACCGTATCCCCAGTCGTCGGCCCGCGCTTCATCCTCCTCTCAAACACAATCGACGTAACAATGAAGAACCCAAAGACGACAATCTGCACCATAAGCCCCCCAATCACAATCCCCTTGGCCATCTCGCCCATCCCGTCCATGGCCATCATCCCCGCGCCAGTGCCTTGTACGAGGAAGGAGATGATGTCGCCGGACACAAAGGTCTTTGTTACCCAGTTTATGCGGATGAGCGAGTACTTTTCTGCGCCGACGCTGCGGATTAGGCGCGCGAGGACCATGTAGACGGAGGCGGCGAAGAGGACGGGGCCGAGGAGGATAAAGACGCTTTGGATTATGTATGGGATCAATTCGGCGGTTTGGTTTGTGCATGCGGCGCGGGCGGCGAAGCCGATTATTTCGACTGAGCGCTCTGAGTTAGCAAGGGATTTTGAGCAGGGTACCTGGAAATGATGGATCGTGGAGAGAAATACGTACAGATACCGCCAATGCAGAATGGGATGCAGAAGCGTGCTCGTGTCTTCCAGGCCTTCCAGCAGTGGAAAGCTGTTGGGATGAAGAAGAGAATGAGGAAGACGATGGAGGCGGCGATGGAGGGGACGTATTCCCAGAGGTAGTAGTCGCCGCGGAAGGGTTCGAGTTTGGCCATTTTCGACTGTGATAATTGAGCGTCTCTTTTGGTGGTTGGTTTACTTTCCTCGTGCGGAATGGACGCCGTCTCCTTTATAATCTGCAGCTCGATTCGGCCAGGGTCTATACGCGTATAGCAAAGATAAAATTAGGGCTCCGGGTGGAGCCTCCCGCACCAAAGAAAACCGCACTAAACTGCGTGGCCCGTGCATACGCGGACTTCCTTGTCTCCCATTTGCGCAAATTTTCCTGAACCCTGCGCCTCACAGATCAATCAGCCTAAGGTTCTGATTCCACGCGGCCGATCTCGAGACTCACTGCATTGGTGAGGAGAGAGATCAGAAATCTTCATCTCCCTGCCCCTGATTTCTTTTCCCACGATAGGCGCCAGGATAACGGTCGCTTAATATCCTGCTCTCGCCACTCCACCACCCTCGTGCAGCAATACGCGTACTCGGACTCGGTCCTCGGAATGGCACGACGAACCCATAGGAAATCGCGGAATGGCTGCCTCGAGTGTAAGCGGCGGCATGTCAAGGTGTGCAATAGAGTCGTACACTCCAGTCACCCCGCAGGATTATTAACCTTTTCCTGTACCCTCAGTGCGACGAGCGCCAGCCCATCTGCTCCAACTGCATCGCCTCGGAGCGCGTATGCGAATACGGCAGCCGCTTCCTCAGCGCAAATCCTCGGTCTCCTTTTCCGGGATCGGGAGCTCGATCTCAAGCCCACGCTCAAACACAAGCGCACTCGGCGCCCACAACTCCAGGCTCCGGCGTCGGCATCTCCCCGCATCGCCAGCAGCGTCCCTCGCCCTCCTCGGCATCTTCCAATTTTTCCGACCAGCCCGTCAACATGCTCCACGTCGAACTCTTCCACAACCTCTGCACCCGGACCCTCGAGACATTCAACCCTACGCGGTCGATCCCCTGGATAGCTGATATTGTCAGCCAATCAACCACAACACCCTACCTCGTCAACGAGCTCCTCGCGTTCAGCGCACTACATATGAGCACGACGCGGCCGCCCATTCAACGGCCATTCTACCGTTACCACGCGGCTCAACTTCAAACTCACGCGCTGGCCATATACAAGGAGATGAATCCCCCCGTCACGCACGAGACATGCGTCCCGCTCTTCGTCTTTGCTGCCGTGTTGGGGATCCATATGCTTTGCGACACGCTGATTTACCGCGACGACAACGAAGAACAAGGGCGGCATACGGGGGGGAACCAAGGCAGTAATAATGGCAGCCAGCCGCACGACTTCCGCGCCTTCCTCACCCGCTTCGTCCACTTCTTCCGGCTATACCACGGCGTCCGCGCGATCATCGGCGAGGCGTGGCACTTCATCCAGGAGACACCACTAGCCCCACACTTTAAGTACAACATGGACCTGTACAAGCTCCTAGGCCGGCTTGGCCTGGGTCCCGGATGCGCGAAACTCCTCGGCCTAGTCGAGCGCGCGAATCTCGGCAACGACCTCACGAAGATGTACAAGCAGGCCATCGAGTCGCTGCAGACCTGCCTAAACGTCATCGACGGCTCAACCTCAACCTCGACCCCACCATCATCATCATCATCAACAACATCAACATCACCCGGATCCGGCTCCCCCCGTCGCGATCTCATGCACCAACACAACGCCGCAATAAACGGCGTAACGACATGGCCGCTCCTGCTGGATATCGAGTTCGGGGATCTGCTTGAGCAGGGACGGCCCGAGGCGTTGGTGATCCTTGCGCATTATGGGATGTTGCTCCATCGGTTCCGGGACTCGTGGCTGTTTGGCGATTCGGGGCGGTTCGTTGTGCAGGGGGTCATGAGGTTCTTGGGGCAAGGGTGCGGGTGGGAGGAGTGGTTGGAGTGGCCGAATGAGGTTGTTAGTCGTTGAGCGTTGGATTTAATGTACATGAGAATATATGTTCTGTTCATGAGCTGTGTTTCTTCTGCGGTAAGATGGTTTGCCGTTTGGATCCTTCGTCGCGAGCTCCGGACTGCGGCTTGTGCACCTAGTGGATGAGTAAGGTGAGTAGAGCAGGCGGAAGGTAGGGAAGGAGAGGGAGCTGAGATGGGAAGGGTCAAATATGGGCATTTTATTTGCAATCCACGGTAGATCCGGTGGGTATGATTTTATTAGAAGCCGTAATGACCAGAATATATACAGATCAAGGCATATGTAGTCATAAAACATAATAAAAAGGGTATACATGTCGTGGAAAATCAGATCGGCTCGAATGATGTCAAGCACCACTAGAGCGCCGATTGGAAAACCGCCACAACAGCGACGAAGACAACCAGCCTCACACCACCCAGCACCTCCAGCACAGGCGCCGCACTCTCCTCGCGTACCGCAAACCGCATCTCCGAGTTCCCAAAGTCAAACACAGACACAACGCCCTTGAGAAAGCTCGCGCCAAGGATATACAGCTCCGTCGTATTCGTCGCATCACCCTCACCTGTACCCATCTGCAGCGGGTGGGTAATCGCAGAGAGGCACACGTCGTCGTCGCCAGCATGCAGGATGAGATCGTCACTGCTCGTCCCGAACGTCGTTCCGCCCAGCGTGACGGAGAATTTCGGCGGGCTAGCGTCGCATTTGACCAGGTATGCTTGCTGGATCTCACTCCAGGAACCGGGCGGGTCGAAGAGCGCATTGTACTCCTCGGCGACCCTGGTCGGGACGGAGGACAGTGGAGCCCCCGTGTCGACGATCGTCTGGTACTCGTCGGTGTACTCGCCGTTGTCGCCGTAGTTTAGCCGCTCGACGGTCGTCGCCCAGTACGAGCGGAGTCGCGTCCCGTTGGGTGTGCGGTACGGCGCATCATCGTAGTACTCCGCGGGGACAGCCGTGTAGTCACCAACTGTGTCGACGTCCGGCAACCCGCCGAGCACCATGTACCCGCCATGTCCGGTCTCGTCGTCCGAAGAGAGGCGGTTGAGGGCAAGGGAGAAGTAAGGCGCGACGAGGCCGCGGCGAAACATGTTTACAAAGAGCGGGATGTAGGGCTGGTTCTCGCCCTGGTACGTCAGGCTCTCTTCGTCGATTGTCCCGTTGAGTTCCCACGCGTTTGTGATGACCGGGTATGCGAGGCCAAGGACACCGCTGGACCCGAGGTTCACGGGGGTCGACCAGTTGACGAGACCGAAGCGCTGGTCGGTCACGGTGACGCCGCCGAGCTCAATGTCCTCGAGACCCATCAGGCCGCGCACCATGCCTGCGCCGTAGATCACCTGGAAGGACTCGTTCGAGAGGCGTTGGAAGGTATTGCTATCGCCGAGCTCGTACTCGTCATCTGCGTACCCGCAGGACTCTTGCGAGACGGTGACAAGGGTATCCCCGAGCCCCGTGGGCGTCGTGCACTCGAAATCGTCTTCGATGACAAACGTGTCGCTGCTCCCCGTGTCGACGAGCAGGTTGAATGTTTCGCCGCCGATCGTGACGGGTGCGTGGAAGCGCGAGCCCCACAGTGTTGCCCGGAGCTCGATGGTGTGGGAGGAGGTGTTGGTGTTTTGGCGGATGGACAGGTCCCGTGGGATGTGGAGCGCTGCAGCGCTGGCACTGGCCAGCAAGCCGCCGGCGACGAGGGCGCGAAGATTCATGGTGAGGTTGGGTGTTGCAAGTCCATAGACAGGGAAAACCGGACGAGGGAAGTGTCTCATAAATAGGCAACCGTCAATCCGGATCGATCGGGGTAACACACGGCGGTAAACTGAGAGTACAGCCCCGCGAGTGGGGCCTGCGCCCGCCGCGCCCGATTGGGGTCGCCTGAGGCTGTCCCCAGCAGTTTATCTTGTACAGGATAAGGGTGGCTGCAGTGGTCAAAGCTAATTCTTTGAATCAAGCTTGTCTCGCTCGGATCTGAGAATACGAGGGCCGATTCAGTTCGAAAAGTTCAACAAAAAGCAACCCAAAAACCGGTCGGCGGACACCGAGTCAGACAAACGGCCCCCATTGGTGGAACCCTTGGCAGGCTGTCTCAGCCTGTGGCACGTGTGCCTGACCTCAATGACCTCAGCCAAGGTTCACTCCCGCTAACAAAGCCTTCTCCACAGACTCCACAAGGCAGATTTCGTGATTCACCATCTCACAGCCTCAATGGAAGTGGATCTATCCCAGCTCTCCGGCTTAGTTGCCTTTGAATGGATACCTAAGCTTCAACCTTACCAGCCATATTATTACGAGTAGCCAATGGTCCAGCAACTACCTACTCCGCGTGTCACCGCGTTGCCGAAAATTTACCCAATGTACATACTCGATGCATATAGACGACCAATATCCCGGATAACTTGTCTGCCTCTCTATATATACACTACCATAGCCTATTGACCGAACATCGAATTACATTGGCTAAATATCGTGGCCAGTTTCAACAGACTCAGGTTGCATATCACCTTCGGGCCATATATATGATCCCGCACCCGGGAGTGATCATGCATGCTACATATCACCCGCAATGTAGAGAACAGCTTTCGTTACCTTGTCTGAGTATAGGTTCACACCGTCGGTCTCATGACGTTCTATGATAAAGTAAACGAGCAAATCCCCATGCCCCTACTATCTCCATTTAGCTTGGACACTATATTCTGTGGCTAATCTTGATTGTTACGTATAGATGACAAGATACAGATATCAAGGGAGGGAACATATTGATTCCGAAAAGTAACATTGTAAAAAGGGTATCTATCATGTGAAGTGAAGTCAACAGAAGGTAAGCCGCCCGAAAAAAAGAATAACCAGAATAGAATATATGTACACTACCCATCGTGGTCATAAGAAAAGGCACCCGTGGAAAGATCTTCCAGACTCTCAAGCGAAGATTTCCCCGACCGAGAACGGCATAACGAGGGAGGTATGATGTAGGCAAAGTGCCCGACAAGCCTGTTCTCTGGATACGGTCGAAGCTCGTGATTGGCCAGGATTCTGGGTTCGAGAAGGTGTCCAGAGTTGTATTAGCCAATTGTAGCCGAGAGAACAAGACCGGGCAGTCTGAAGGAGAAGACGAGGCGGGGAAAATTACTTGCGAAGCGAATACAAATAGACTTTTGCAAGGCGAATGCAGTGGGTGTGCTGTGGCCACCTATCCCACCCATCCACCATGCAATCCAGGTCCCAGAAGAAGTATACCAGGCATGCCGAGAAAGAGCCTCAGCTACTCCATCTTCCGCTCGAACCGCTCATACGTAACCTCGACCTCATCCGTCCTCTCGATCCCCGCCGCCCCGCGCAAGATATCCTCATTGCTCCCGTTACTCCCACTTGTCGGATGACTGTGGCTGATAACCGTCTTCTGGTGATACGTATCAATGCCAAGATCCACCGTCGTCGTCCCATCTAGCTCCGAGGTCTTGAAGCCAGATTTGTTCGACGAGAATCCACCATAGTGTCGGTTCCGTGCATACATCGGGAGCTGGTACGAGGAGTCGCCCGTCCCAGCTGAGCTGCCTTTGCTGCCGTAGCGGAGGCGGGTGTAGAGTGGGCGCAGGACGGGGATCGACGAGCACATTATTGTTGCGCAGCTTTCGGCGGCGGACCAGATGAGCATGGGGACTGTGTCGTCTGCGGTCAAAAGAGGGACTGTTAGTTCTGATTCCAATGCAAGGGGTGACGTTCAAGTGGGATGGGTATGGGGTCGGGGTGCGTACAGATGTACTCGTTGGCGTTGAGGCCTGACAGCGCTTCTGTGCGAATGATGCCGCAGATTCCGGCGCTGGAATATCCATGTCAGTATCCTAGACAGTTGGTAATCACGAGTATTGGAGCCGCGTACATGATTCCGAGACTCAATCCACAAGCGACAGTGATCTTCTCCTTGTGCTTCATGTTGAGGTCCCATACCACGAACCACGGAAGAATGGCAAACGCAAAGTCCATGGCGACGAACCAAGCTGCAACAGCGATCAAGTCAGCGACCAAGAACTAAATACAGCAGCCGCAACCGCAACCGGCAAACCCACATCCAACAGTATACCCAATATTCGAGAAATTAATCCAGCACGTTCCCTCAACCCTGCGGTCCCAGCTCCTCTTGACCGGGGAGCACTGGACTATAACAACAATGCTAGCGAAGAGCGTGATGATGACCGTGATGACGAGGCAAATGCGGATAAAGGCGATCTGGATCTTGTTGCGGATGATTCGGAGGAGGAACATGCCGACGGCACACTTGCCAATCCCAATGACCATGATCCCTGCAAATTGGCTGAAGATTTCATACTTGACGGCCTCAAAGTAGATGTCCAGGTTGCCGACGTCGCCAGAGAGTCGGCCCAGGCCGAAGACGCTCGCTATCGTCACGAAGATGGTGTAGAGGATGTGGAGGGCCTGTGGTAAGTCAGCGCTTTTTGTCAGTGAGATATCGATGTCGTCAGTGGTCTGACCAGTGCTACAACGCATAGCCAGTCGTCAATGCCGACCGCATTCAGGATTTGGTGGCGGGTGTAGAGTCTGAGGCCGACGAAGAGGGCAAAGACGACGACCAGCATCCAGAGGACGCCATTGACCATGGGGCCTTGGCCTCCGTAGTAGCCCATGCTGACGATGCCACAGAAACTGAACAAGTCTCGGGGAGGGAAAAGTGGGAGAGCTCTGTGCGGCCAGGCTCAAAGCATCGTGGCATTATTTATTCCGATGCATTGATCAGGGAAGTCACCGTCTTTGTCGGAATGAAACACGCCACCAGAGCTGATCTCATCCAGCTCGAGTGCAATGGTCCCGTCCTCTTGGTGGAAATAGACCTGTCAATACTGACTCTTCAACGGTGGTCCGTGAGAAGCCCCGACCCACTGGACACGGGCCAGCCCAAGCCCCGGCCCGGCGCCCGCGACTCAGCGGCGGCCAGTGACGAGCCCGTATTCGTCTCTGGCCAATGGCCACGCTGCCTCCATCCGGTTTCCTTCGGGTCGATCGTTTTGACAGATAACGCTCGGTGACAGGTGCTGCGGGGCCAGTAGCAGGTCTGGCCTCTGGGGTGGTAGCTTGCGTCGCTTTAGCTTTGGAGTCAGGGGGACGGGAACTCGGGAACTCGCAGCACTCAGTCCGGACTCGACTCGACTCGACTCCTCGAAAGACCCCCAGATACAGAAAAGGGAAGCCCCTTTTTCCCAATCAGTCTGTGGCTTCGGCCACCGAGTCCTCAACGGGCTAACCTTTACGATGTAGACAAGCCATATATATGGAGAACGAGCCCGCAGCAGCCAGGCGCTACACACCTGAAGCACTCCCGTCGGACCCCTGCTGATCCACATTCTGCACACGTCGAATTCCGCAAAAGCACCAACCATGTCATCTAAAACCCAGGAAATCATTGCCGCTCTCGATGCAATCCAGCCCGAGGCCTTTGGCGACAACGAAGTCGAGCGCCTGCAGGTACGCGCTGCCACACGCCGCCTCCTGGCTCGTCTCGAGTCGCCCTATGAGCGGGCATGGGGATTCTGCTTTGAGCATCCTGTCGTCTTTGCGGCGCTGCAGACGTGCATCGATCTTGGGCTGTGGAAGGCCTGGACTGCTCTTGGGGGTGGTGAGAAGACGATAGATGAGTTGGTGCAGCTTACCACTCCTGCCATTGAGACAAACTTACTGCGTAGGCTTTCCTACACTGATATCTTTTAATTTCGCGGCACTCATGGAGGCATGCAGGACGATTCTTCCGCTTAATGGCGGCCTTTTACGTCGTCGAAGAAACCGGCGAAGACAAGTTCAAGCCGACGCCATTCTCGTACGCTATCGGTGATGAGAGCACCAAGGTTCGCGCCTCACTTCAGGCTGCGTAAGACCAACCTCCACGCCATCTCTACTATCTATACTTCAACCTACATCATGACTCCATACTCACGATACTCCGCATCTAGATCCTACCAATACATCGCAGCCGGCCACAACCTCCCCGGCTACCTCGCCAAAACCTCGTACAAAGAGCCCACCGACTTCCAGGTCAACAACTACTCCGACTCCGACGCCGACGGCCTCAACTTCTTCGGCCGCCTCCAGAAGAGCCCGACGCACTATGAAGCATTCACAGGACACATGGAGGCCTGGACGGCGTGGAAGACGCCCTGGACCAAGGTGTACGATACGTCACGGTTACTCGAGGGAGCGGAACTCGATAACGGTACCCCCTTTGTCGTCGATGTAGGCGGGAACACGGGGATTGATATCTCGCATGTCCTCAAGAAACACCCAGATCTCCCCGCGGGGTCTCTGGTTCTGCAGGACCTTCCAGAGATTATTGCCAAGGCACAGGTTGATGAGAAGATTACCGCCATGGTGCATGATTTCTTCCTCCCGCAGCCTGTTACTGGTAAGGCAGCACAACCAGGCCACTTACCCCCAAAGCTTCACCCGCTTAACATAATACTAATAACTATCAGGCGCCCGCGCCTACTTTATGCACGCCGTCCTGCACGACTGGCCCGACGACAAAGCGCATCAACTCCTCTCCAACACCCGCGCCGCAATGACGCCGGGGTACAGCAAGCTGTTCGTCTACGACATAGTCCTCCCGCCGACAGGCGCAAGCATCAGCCAGGCGACCATGGATGTCAACATGATGTCGCTGCTCTCGGCGGCAGAGCGCACGCAGAAGGCGTGGGAGAAGTTGCTAAGCGAGGCCGGGTTCCGCATTGTGAAGTTTTGGCCGGATCCGCAGCAGTATGAGATGGTTATTGAGGCGGAGGTTGCGTAGGATTTCGATTAGCTTGGGGTTTTTGGGGTTAGAGGTATATGTATATGGTATCCATGACACGATGTATGTAGTCAGGTAGGGTTCGTTATGGTCTGGGAAATCGACAAGATTTTGTTAAGTTGCTTGCTGGAATCTATGTGTACCAGCTAGTGAGTGGCCTTGGCGCGCTGGGCAATAGTTTACGTACCTACGAAGCAGATTCGTGGCTGTGATCGAGCGTTAGCTCGATTGTTTTATTGTGTGACATGGGGTCCTAGAATCACTCTCTAATAGATATCCTATCAACTTGGCTGATACGTACCACGACCTAGAAGGACGGAAAACACGAGAGGCGTGATGTATCAAAATGTTGAAAGATCCTGCCTGCCGCCGATTGTAAACCAGTCCTGAGTTTACCACACCTGGAACAGCGCTCAAGTCTTTCGAGGTACCAAATGTAGTCACTAGTCATTACTGTTCGCCATGTTTTATATAAAGTCAACTGCTGAATCTAACATTCGACTCATCCAGGCTCGACAAACTACAATTTCCCGTAACCCACTCTATCAGTCTACCAAAAGCGTCTACCCCTCAAAATCTACTAGACCAGAATACGTCATAACCTATTATTGGAGGGCATGCCGATAGCATCCCTAACTGTCATGCCCAGGGATATCTCACTCGCTTGTCTGAGGACATCACGCCCGTGGTAGCCACCGGGGTCTCAAGCATAATTCCTAGGTGCTACTACTAGTTATTAAATCTTGTGTTGGCTGTTAAGCCTTCGCCCCCCGCATTGGCATCCATCATCTGTGCTTGTCAGATTATTACTTTCGAAGCTGTTGCTCAGCTTCCTGGTACCATAAGCGTCAGCCAGTGCGATTCGGGGATTCTCCTTACTATACTAGTTTCCCAAGATCAATGACGAGAAACTAGTCAGAAAGATAGCAGTTGTAATAGTTCGGGTAGAGGGGCGCAATCAGACACAAAATCGAACAGAGCGCGTGGATTTCCATTTAGATATCCAAGGCTGGAGAGTCCTCAGCAATGTCTTTCTCCAGAACAGTAAGCACAACCACAGAACAGAAGAACCCCATGAACTGGCTCTCTAGCAATAACAAACTACAGATGTGTGGCCGCGCGGCCCGGTATCTATATACAATCTGCTCCTACGGTGCACCGAGAAACAGGATCAATCCCTCGGCAGCCCAGGTCGCAATCAGCATCCACTTCCAAGTATACCGTGCAGCGACACTCCATAAATCATGTACCCTCGCTTCACCCTTCACCCTCACATACGAAGAAAACGGGTGCGGCGGGCGTGGTACAAACGCAACTCAGTCGGAGGCCGACTGCCACATAACGCCCGGCATGCTTCGTTAAACATACCAGGTACTGTTATCGCAGTATCTACCTCGAGTGGGCATAGTTACCTCGGCTGCCATCGTCCCATCAATATCTTATCTAATCTACAGATGAAAAGATCAGTATTAGGCACTTCGCAGGTTTGGAGAGATGCCGCATTGCTGCTGGTACTCGATGCGATGGCCTGTTCTGACCGTTTCGTGTACTCAGCTCTGCTTGACAGCGCCACTCCACCGATGTCCCAAACCCTTGCAGCCTGACACCGAGGCCGGGTTGGAATGCAGCAGCTATTGCGTTCCCGGTGAGCTCCCAGTGGATGAGAGTCTTCACTCCCTCCAGGGAAGCGCACCTTTTCCAAGTTCTGTCCTACCAGGAACTATATCAGTTGGTAATGTGGACTCGGATGGGAGCCGGTGTCGGCGCCCTTTGATTTCGTCGTGAATGGCGAACAGACCTTCAAGTCTCATTTTTGAGTTTCCAGTCCTTGGGGGTAAATGTATCTGTTAAGATACCCTTCCGTCCTTCCTTACCCACCCGACGCATAACTCCCCTATTTTATCGCATTATTAGGCAGAAAATTGGTATGGCGACTTTGAGAATGTAACCCACCGCGAGGCCTCGCCATCGCACGCCTCCACTTTATCCTTCCTCCCCAACGTTCATTCAGTCGCTTAACTCAGACATGATGTCTACCGACATATCGAGGATTGGCCTGTTCTACAATGCACCGTTGATTGATGGTACATATCTACCTCCTCGGGGGGCGAGTATGTTTGCTGTCTGTCGATCTGTCCTGCCTCACTTCACTTCACCTCGCCTCACCATATCATGTCCCAAACGGAGCGCAACGCCCTGACACGCACCTCATAGATAGAACCCCCAATCACGCCGCGACGTTGCACCAAGGCCGGCGGATGATCCAGACGCCCACTTACGAGCAGACCAGAATCTTACGACATGACGGAAGCCGCCACGCACAGTTCCGCAGCAAACCACAGCATCCTTAGATGTCTGGAGGTGTAGATTCCGAGTGCCGAAACCAATCTTTGCTCACTCATCCTTCGTGGTACGCTCGCTGGAATGTCTATATAGCGAGGGTCGAAGCAACGGGTCGGATCGCGCGATGTGGCTTCTAGAGAAGCATACTCTTCGCGTTCGCAGCTGAGAAGCATGGGGATGCTGGTGCCCATCTCTGGCCCTGTGCATCGCCGGTAACCCGCTCTGGCGCTGTACCAGGAAGAAGAAAACATTCCTTTTGATAAGTACCTACCGTGATGAGGGTCGAGTCAGCCAACAGAAATGCAAGCCTTCGCTTCCCACCTCCAACGGCAACCCGTGCCATGCAAGCGCGCATTGACCGTCTCACCTTTCCTTCCTTTCATGGATTTTCCCTTCCGCACCCAAGCCCAATTGCTTGCTCCGCCCGCCTACTTGCTCTACCCACGATCACCACCCGGCCACCGAGCTCGAACTAAGCAAGGTTGTTGTTTATCCGGAATGCAGTTTCCTTTGCTCCTGCCGTCTGGATAGACAAAGCTGGTTGGTGCTTGAATTCTCAACAAGTGGAACAGTGGTGGGCGAGGCGGGCAAAACCTCGAGAGGGGTCGAGAGGTCGAGGGGTTTGGGCTTTTCCTTCTCGCCGCCATCTGTTGCCATCTGTGCTTGTTGTTCAGGCCTGTCTGGTTCCAACGGATATGTATTGACCAACGCAATGGTGCAGTTTCCATCACTATTGGATGTTCAGGACACTAGGCTTTCAGGTCGGTTCTATGGTTCAATATAACGCTGAAGGTCTAGAAGAGGAGCGGTAAGAGTACATAGAGGACGATCAGAGACAACGCGATAAAACAGTGAGGTGGGACTTTTGTTATCTGACGATGTGGAGTTTTCGTTGACAGGCAGGTTCACCCGTCAAGGAGCTCAGATAGTGGACCCCTTCAGGATTCTCGAAAAAAAGCGAGAGCAAAAAAAAAAAAAAAAAAAAAAAAAATCGTTGTCCAGAATAGCATCATCTCTGCTCGTTATAATGAGTGGCGGTGTTATCGGACTAGGATGGTCAACAATCCAGGTCCGTCTGGATGGTCTGGAGCTGTTCAAATGATTTGCTCCCCTGCGATGTTCCCACGTCTGGATTTGTTGGAATGGCCTGTTAGAATAGGAAATTCGAAGCTTCAAGGTCTAGGACATATCACCCGCTATCAGCGCCTTGAGGTCGGTGAATCCAGACCTCACGACGGGCAGCAACCGTAATCTCGATACCTAGTATAGCGGGACCAGAGGTACAAGAATAGACAATGCTAAATCACCAACGCGACTGGCCAGTTCCAATCGCGCCCAGTGTGTCTGTCAGCATCACCCTTTATGACCTCAATGGCTTACCCTGGTGAATGCAGACCTCTAATCGATAACGCACCTCCCGGCATGCGTCTAAACATAGCATGGTCAGAACTCCGGTGGTCGCACAGATCACCACTTCGAGAGTCGCCCCAGCCAATCACTCAGCTCAAGAACACATGGTTCATGAGCGAGGATGTACAGCATCATGCTCGGAGGTTGACAGGTGAAGTAAAATCCAGGGTTAGGGTTGCGATGGTGGGGTGGCTGTCCCACCTCGGAGTTTAGCGTTGCGTCTGGGTCGAGTTGAGGAGGAGGTACGGGATATAAGTACCTCTCTCAGGCGGTTCTATCTGGTGGTGATATGCTGGTTCAGTGAATATGTTATAGTCAGGATGCCGGCAAAACATGTTCAGACTGAGCAGAGCCAGAAGCAGGACCCGACGGAGAGAAGAAGGTTGCAGAATCGGCTTTCCCAGAGAAATCACCGTGCGTCCTCCACTTTCTCACCAATGTTGGTACTAATGTGTGGTAGGCAGGAAGATCCGCGACCGTATCGCTAAGCTACAAGAACGAGTAATCGCCAGCGAACTCCGAGCTGCAGCGACACTTCACGGGTGGCAGTCGGCACCATGCATTCCGTACGCAGTCAAGCCCTCGCCGTCGTCTACTTCCTCGTCGTTGTCGTTGTCACCATCGGTCTCGTCCTCTCCTCCAGAATTACAGTGTCCGCCGACGGCCACCTGCGCTTCGTATAATATGAGTCTCAACCCGATGGCTCCTTTGCCTGTTTTGTCGACGCCGCCAATGTATGACGATCCGAGTGGAGGGGCGGGAGGAAGCGTCGGAAGCAGCGGCACAACAACTCCACTAGTCGCTCCAGACAGTGACGGCGGCGCTGGGCTCTTGGGTACCGGCTTTGGACTCGATGCGATGCAAATGTGCGAGCAATGGGGATTTCAGGGGTCTGTGTATTTAGCCACGGGTATGTTGTCCGTCCTGGTACCGATGCCGGACAATGCTAACGGAAGCAGAGACATCGCTACCGCAGATTCTGCAGACACTCGGCCCGTCGTCGAATGCGATTATTCTTGTTCCAACACCCGGATACCCGGTGGGTGTGGATTCAGGCGCGGTCGGGTATACACAGGGTCAGACGATGGATATGGCGACATGCCAGTGCCAGAGCTTTGGGTGGATGAACTGCCCGCTGCATTTGGGATAGCGTGTGTGCTGGAAAAGCGGTCTGGCGTATGTAGCTCTTAGAATGGTAATCAATCGGTCGGCATTGAAGGATCAGTCTTGGTGTAGGGTATCTGCGGCCTGATTCTGGTCGATCAAGCGATGATTCGTAGATAAGGAGACAAAGACAGTCTGGTCAGTAAAAGAGGTTCTTGAGGATTAAGTGTTCTCCAACCTTTCCAGAGGACAAGACAGAAGAGCGACAACACAAGAAGAGTGAGTGGCAGGCACAAAAGGACCAAAGGACGCGGGGAAAGCGGGAGCGGGGGTGACTAATCAGGATTTGGGTTTCTCAGTCTCCGGACGAGGAGGCCCGTCCGTCTTCCCTCGTTGTGTTTCCATCGCTCTTCTCTCCCCCTCGCCCTCTTGCGTCCCCTCGAAATGTTGCGTCTCCCCGTTGAGGTGCTCGTCCTCATTGGGAACGCTCTCGAGCCCTCACAGCGGCCACGCCTGCTCCAGGTCTGCCGCCGTCTGAGAACCATCTTTTTCCGTCTCGTGTACACCGAGCTTCACCTGACAGGTCGCCGCATCGATCTTCTCACCCGGACCATCCAATCATATCCTGAGCTTGCCTCAACGGTCCAGAAGCTGGCTCTGAAAGACTTGGCCCTGCGGAGCTATGGCCCCCTGGAGCTGTCTGTGAACAGGCCCCATTATTACTCTTCCTGGGTCGACGAGCGCGTGCAGCAAGCCAGCCGTTCGCCTTGTGCACGAAAACGCTGGCGCAATGGACTCGTTCTGGGAGCTGGTGATAATTGGGGTGCTCTCATCCTCACATTGCTGGACAATCTGGTTGACTTGCACATCCAATATCCTCCCATCCCAGCTCACATCCGCGAAATCATATTTCACGCTGCCGCCCCCGCTCGCGACTCGAAGCCTGCGCTGCAAAAATTGCAAAAGGTGAATATTGATCTTCCAGAAGACAGGTTTCTAGATCCTGCTCGAGATCTTTTCCCATTCTTCCATCTGCCTTCAATACGGAGTGTTTCTGCTAGCGGGATTATTGACAGTGATTATGTCCACACGGTCGGTTCCAAGCGCAAGGACAAGGGCAAACTGTCAGCCCCACGCCGCTCAAGCGTCGAGGAAATCAAGCTGGAATGCACTTGTGGAGAGGCTTTCGGAATGCCGGATTATATCACCCCATGCGCAAACTTGAAGAGATTCTCCTTTACAAACCTGTACAAGGACTCCTTCGGTGCACCAAGGGATCGCTTACTCCGATCAGAGTTTTACGTACCCCTGTTGAGCCAGAAAAGCAGCCTCGAGGTTCTGGATTTGAACTACCTAGGCCTGGCCTACGACGATACGTTTGACAACGAGGCGGGGCTGCGAGAAAACTTTCGTCTTGGTCAGGGCCATACCGCGTGACTTTGACTGACCGCAGCTGACAGATAATAACAGGAGTTGCGCCCGACCGATCCTACGGTCGTTGGTTCGGGTCATTCGCGGAGTTTTCCCGCCTAAGAGAGCTCTGCATCCGTGCGCCTAACCTACTCAACCTCTCGGATAACAAGCAGAGCCTAAAAACCCCACTGGTCGACATCCTACCAAGAAGTCTACAGAGCCTCTTTGTATCATACTCTTCTGATGTCTACGTTAATATCCTTGTCGACGGCCTGACTGAGCTGGTCCATGTGCACAAGGAGAGATTTCCCAGTTTAAGGAGGATCACCGTCTGTTGCCACGAAGCAGAAATAAGATGCGTATTTTCCCAGTTCGAACGGCTAGATGGCCTGCGCCTCGTCTGTAGTAATGCAGGCCTCAAGTTTGAGATGCACCACAAGGAGCGTCGTACTTTCCACAGCCAGGACGGTTCAACAACTTTCAACTCCTCCCATGGGCCCAATGGTAGTGAGGTTAGGCCACACCGCTTCCTTGAACGCGACTTCTCCTCCCTGTTGGACTTTGAAGCCTGGTTACATTGCCGGCCTTCTGTTTCGTTTTGATGTCGATCGTTTGGAGTGGATTCATCCATGACATCTTGCCCAGCGCTGTTCCTGCCGATCCGCTCGGGATGTGGACAACCCCGGGAGTGTGGGGAGCAGAGCCCCATTCATACTTATACCTCGTCTACCCGGCGCACTTCTTGTAACTCAATCACAGTTGCAGAATCAAGATGACTTCGACAGCCTACAGCCACCATTTCTCCATCCAAAACCTTCCCTACGGGGTCGCTTCCTCCCCCGCCCACGCCCCGCAATGCGCCACCCGTCTGAACAATACGGTCATCTTTCTCGGCGCCCTTCAGAACGTCGCATTTTTCGGCAGCGTCTCCGATCTTCCTAATAATGTCTTCTCGGAAAACACGCTAAACGCCTTCGCTGCGCTTCCGGCCTCTGTCCATGAGGCTGTTCGTAATCACCTCCAATCCGCTCTACAGTCCGGCACCAACTCCCTCCCGTCAAACACAACAGCAGAGGTCACGGTGGTTACTTTGCACCTCCCCGTCTCAATTGGCGCATTCACTGGTACCCCACTCCTTATTTTACCCCATTTCCCCCAGCAAAATGGAACTCAATCGAACTTACAAGAAAACCAGACTTCTCCTGCTCCCTAAACCACGTCCGCAACGCCGGTCGCGCAATCCTAAACGACCCCTCTCCACCCCCGGGCTTCTTCCACTTCCCAATCGGCTACGCCGGGCGTGCCTCGACCATCGTTGTCTCAGGGACCCCCATCACCCGCCCAAATGGCCACTTCTACGACCGCACGAACCCAACCCCAAAGACGGTAATCTATGGGCCCTCTCGCGCACTTGATTACGAGATGGAGCTTGGCGTCGTTATTGGACGTCCGCTTGGGCCCGGAAAGGGCGTTAATGCGAAGGATGCCGAGGGGCATGTTTTTGGGTTTGTGGTGCTTAATGATTGGAGCGGTACGTTTTCTTCTGCATCGCTTTTCGAGGGCTCCGATCCAACTTTCTAACTTAATGCTAAAATCAAATCCAGCCCGCGACATTCAAGGCCTCGAAATGATCCCGCTTGGTCCCCTAAACGGCAAAGCCTTCAAAACAACCATCTCCCCATGGATTGTAACAGTCGAAGCCCTAACGCCCTTCAAGGCCGCGGGCCCGAAACCCCAGTCCTCGCTTCCCGAACACCTACAGGAAGAAGAAAACTTCAACTACGACATCACCATGAGCGTCGAAATCCTGCACAACACCAGCGACCCTGCCGCACACTCAACAACAATCGCAACCTCTGCGGCGAAATCGCTCTTCTGGTCCCACCGCCAAATGGCCGCGCACCTCGCGAGCTCCGGCTGTGATCTGCGGACGGGAGATATCCTGGGCACGGGGACGGTTAGTGGTGAGGAGGACGGGTCGTATGGGTGTCTTTTGGAGAGTACGAAAGGTGGTAAGGAGAGTGTTAAGCTTGCTGGTGGGGCCGGGGAGAGGGTTTATCTTCTTGATGGGGACGTTATTCGGATGAGTGCTTTTGTCGGGTCCGAGGGGAGTGGGTTGGGCTTCGGGGAGTGTGTGGGGGAGGTTAGGGCGGCGAGGTGATTTGGTTTGGTTTAGTTGGTTTTGGAATGGGAGTTGGGTTTTGTTGAGAGATAGAAGGGTAGTGGAGGGAGGGTATGTCGGGTGTGGAGGGTGGAGGTGCAGCTGCTTGCATTTAACTCTTTGGGTTTATTTTGTTATGCATCAGAGGGCTTAATGATCAGATTATGAATGCACGCAATGCAATTAAGTTATGATGAAGGTTATCGGGACTAAATGAGTAGGTTAGATCGGACGCCACCGCCAACTAGAAGTACTGCAAGATACCTCGAGAGATAAATAACGCCATCTTCAGCACGAAACACGTTTTCCGAACCATCATCTACCAAAGTACTCCAAAGTACTCCAAAGAAAGACAAAAGCCGACATAGCTCATATAACAGACCTAAGCAAGCAATCAAAGGCAGGCAAGGGTAATCAACTCCACAACGGCGGATGGATATACTCCTGTGCACGATCGAGGATATTCGGAATCGACCACTCCCCACTCGTCGAACTCTCTGGCGTTGGCGGCGGCAACGACGACACACCAGGGGTCATTGCGGACGCCGGTGCCGACGCTCCTGCTCCGGTCATGGGTGGAAAAGCATTGCCGCCGGTATTGGCGTACGCAGCAGATGCCGGGTTCAGGTATGATGGGGAGGCGCCCGTTGAAAGGAGCGAGGGGGAGGGGCGGGTGTGGAAGGCGGCTTCGAGTTTTTCCAGTGCGCGAAGAGTTTTCGTGAGTGGTTTTGCCCATTGGGTTTGTGTGTCTGCTGCTGCGGCGGCCGCCGCTGGGGAGCTGAGGGATCCTCCAGCGGTCGTTGTTGCTGCGGTAGCGGCTGCGGGAGAGATTGTGGAATTCAAAGGTGTACCGAGTAGCGTGCTAAAGGAGGGGCTGCGGTTTGTTGGGTCGGTGGAGGCTGGAGGGGCGGTTGAGGGGTCTGCGGCGGCCGTGCCGCCGTAGTCGAATTCGGCATTTGCGCGCTCGTAGACGATGGCTTTGAGTTTGCGTAGGAGTGTCCAAAAGTGGGTGTTTGATTTGCATTCATCGGTGACGGCGAGAAGGAAGATAGAGCTTATTGCGCGTTGCAGGGCGATCCACGAGCGTGAGGCATGCGAGCTCACGGTATGCATGTCGATGTAAGCTTCGACGGTCATCATGAGGTTTTCGAGGCAGTCGGAGCGCATGCGAGCAGTTGCCGGGTCGTGGGTGTCGGCGGTGGATTTGAGCGCTGGCCGGCAGAGCTCGGAGAGGAAGTAGGAGGAGTGGAGTTTGAGAACTGCACGCTCGAGGTGTTCCGTTGCGGTTGTGCAGTAGTTTTGGTCGCGGAGGTACGGGGCTGCTTGGATCATGGTTCTTTGAATTCGTTCTTTGAAATCCTGAATTGTTCGCCAGCTCATTTGAGAATGCGGGGACAGCATTCGACTTCGGACGACTTCAAGAGCAAGGTTAATCACCTGGCAGAGCGTCTCAAAGTATGATCGTTCGCCGGTCTTTGAGTCTTCACGGTATGCTATCTCCGGCTGGCACACTGCGGTAGTGGACGGTCGATCATAAGATAGCGAGAAATGGCTATCCTGCCACGCCATGGACCACCATACGTGCCGTCTGCGGTATCGCTCTGCAGAGGAAAAGTGGCTTGATTCGACATGCAGACCGAGCGCCAGTCCCATTCGAAGAGTCATGCCAAGCAGCACGTATGAGATTCCAGGATTCATATTATACGACAAGACGTTACCAATAACAAGTAAAGTCTGGATCGCCTCTATCGTGGGTTGGGAGAGGAAGTTGGTCATTCGAAGACATTGATAAGAACAGCACACTATACGGTCAGCGATTGCAAACCAAAAACTGAATAAGTCCTACCATAAACTTGTGAAGTAAGCTCTCGTTCCTTTCCAGGCAAGTCAGACGACTGACAGCCAGATGCCAGAACCGCAAATAGAAGCCCCAGGTAAGCGATGGAGATTCCAAATGGCCTTTGCGCTTGATCATTGTCCGCTCGGTAGACCCCACCTGTTGCAGTCCGATTGTGTAACATGAGGTCAAGATCCTTTTCGAACTGCACCACATCTTCAATAACTGGGTATATCGCACCGGCAATGTCGCGATAGTAGCAGAAGAATCTACAAAGTTAGCATACGTCGCATCAATGAATCTGATGACTCACTCCTTGCATTGCTGGTCCGTCGGGAGGGCGTAGCAGACAGCACTGATGTCAAAGGTGGACATGTCCGAGGACCACAGGTCAACAAACGGATAAGTCGCCGACTCGTTATCCAGTCCCAACTTCGGCAATATCCCGCCCTCTAATAACGTCTGCAACTGATCGGAGCCGGACTTGTTATTTAAAATGTAAGCGAGGACCGATCTCGAACCCAAATGGACAGTCCCTTCACCGAGCGTGTTTGGTGCATGGATCCCCTCTCTTTCCGGCGACGCCCCCTTGGACCGGGTACTTGCATCACCACTCTGCACACTGCCAGTCTCCAGTGTCGACGTCTGCCCCTCCTCATTCGCTTTATCCAGTCCCGCCCGAAGGGTCGCCAGCATCTGTTCCATCTCCTTTAGTCTGGTCCGCGTGTTATCCCAGTCCTCGCGCGCAATCGAAATCCGCCCTCCACTCATTGCCGGGCTCGCCTGGTTGCTCATTCCGGGTTCTTGCTTCAGCCGGACATGCCCATCACCGAACCCCACTCCGTCGCCTAGACTAACACCTGCACCTGTACCACCGAACGGTGTGCCCCCAGAAGGCCCAAGCCCAAACCCGTGTCCAGGTCCAGGTCCAACCTCAGCACCGACCCCATCTGTATAAGCCGACGCACCCGTATCCGCTGTCGTCCTCCTCTTCGACGGCCTCTCATATGAACAAAGCTCCGCATGGTCCCGCTTCACGCACCCATCACAGGGCAAATTCCGATCACATTTGACCTTCCGCGCGTGGCACGGGTAGCAGGCCTTGGGCTCGCGCGCCTTGCGTTTTGCGCGGATAATCGCATCGACTTGCGCTTGCGGGAGGTCTGAGACTGCGCGTGATGCTCCACCGGCGGTAGTAGAATCATGAGGTCCCGGTCCGGGCACCGACGGCGAGAACGACATGGAGGGCTGGTGGGAACGCGGGGAGGTCATTGCTGTATGTAGATATGCGTCTTCGGTGGAGATCTTGGGTTTCGATTCGAGCTGCTCCGTAAGCAGAATCGATGATTCGTTCCTCCAGCGTCAATTGGGTCGGGTGCTTTTCAGTCTTCCCTCATTTCATGAGAACATTGGGGGCGGAGAGGAGAGCCTCGGTCGCGGGTAGTCTTGGAGGGAGCGCTGGTTCTCAAAGGAGTTAATGTCAATGCGTAATCATCAGGTCATTAGCTTCGAAAGAGGAGGAGAAAGTAAATAAAGCGCTAGCGCTGGGAAACTCGTCCTTTGCGAGAAATTGTCGTGAATCGGATTCGTCCGACTTGATCTGCCGCGAAAACGAAACCGGCGGAGTCGGAAGCCGTGAGTCAGCATAGCTCTCACGTGACCTGCTGCTTTCCAATGACATCACGGCTTAGCCCTAAGTATGGACGGACCAGCGGTTGGATAATCTGCATGAAAATCCATATTTAAGGGTATTATTATAGTCTATATCTTTTAAAAATATTCTACGATGCATGCCAAGCTCTCTATGTACATTTTTGAAGCAAGGAACAAAAACGAAACACCATAATCAAGCAAAATAATGCTGCCAATCGCACAAGAGAAGGTCTATTGTCGTTGAGAATCCGTAGCTCAGGCCTTCGGGTTAGCTTGCTCCTCGTCGTCGGCAAATGCAAACCGGGAGAAGCGGCGGATCGAGGCACCCTTGAAGTAGAAGACGTAGGGGATCGCACAGCAGGCGAGAGCAATGAAGGCAAGAAGCGAACTTGCCCATTGGTCGCCGAGTCGCTCATACATTTGCTCGGTGAAGAGCACAGTGGAGGCACCCCACATAGAACGGAGGAAAGTCTTGGCCGCGAGCGCAGACGCTGCCTGGTGTTGGTAGGTATCAACTAGATAGATGTCAGCGATACCCTGATTTCCGTGGGTGAGAGCGGGAACTTACCGAGATAGTTGTTGGCGGAGTTGTAAAGAAAGATAAAGCCGAATCCAACTGGCCAACCGCCGATAGCAGGGCCGAACCAGTGGAGCTGGGGATATGAGGTCCAGGCAAAGATAAACAATCCGATGGGAATGAACCAGCAGGATAGCATCATCGGGATAAGGCGAGCTTCGGCAGGGGGTTTGCCGCCGTACTTTGTGTACAGGGAGAGGTAGTGTTTGTTGACGAATGGAGAGCAGGCGGCACTCATCACGACACCGATGGCAAGGGGAATGAACATGAGACCGGTAGATCCAGCGCTCCAGCCTTTCCCACCCTGGTAGATGATCGGGTATGCAACGAAGAACATGTATAGAAGGCCGTAAAGAACGGACATGTAGAGAGAGATGAAAAGGACGATTGGCTCCAGGAATAGAAGCTGGAAAGGACGTAGCAGGAAGACGCGCATTCGCTCACCCATCGGCCTCGCGTCAAGCTCGGTCTCGGTCACGTATCTGGGGTCATTCTCAGTCTTCCTCAGCTTCTTTGCTCGCTTCTTAAGAATTTGTGGGGCGGAGGTCTCGGGCACGGTGAAGGTAATTAGGACCCAGGCCACGAACGAAAGGATCAAGGTCAGCCAGTAAAGCCACCTCCAGTTGGTTGCGTCGGCGAGGTAGCCACCCGCAAGCGGTCCAATGGCCGGGCCGAGAAATGGACTAGCCGAGAAGGCTGCCATGGGAACACCACGCTCCTCGTTCTTCCACATATCTGCAAGTGTACCTCCGACAAGGGTCATAGGGGCGCTGAATGCGATTCCGTCGATTGCTCGGCAGACGATCAACGTTCCGATGTTCTGAGCGACAGCGCAGGGAATGACAAAGATGAAAGCCAGAAGAAGCGTAATCGCGTAGACGGGACGACGGCCAAACATTTCTGACATGGGAGCGAACGCCATGGGACCTAGACAGTCAGGACGGCACTCCAGATAGACAAGGGATGTGTGAACATACCAACTCCGAATCCAACAACAAATACTGTCACGACAACAAGACTTGCTTCACGGCTAACCCCAAGATCCTCCATTGGACCCTCGATATCGGCTGTGATAACACTACTGGCGAAGGCGACGACGAAGCATGTGAACGCGACGATCATAGTCACATACCACTTCTTCCACTTGGGCCAGTTCTTTGGATTTTCCGGGTCGTCGATTTTGAATGTGACAAGTTTCCAGTCTTCCATCTTGCCTTTGGCGGATCGAACAGGCTTGATGATTTCGCCTGCCTGCGTTTCGTTGACATATTCTTCGACATTGGCGTTGTCCGTCAGGGTGCGGAAAGGTAGGTCTCTCGGATCAACTTCTCCTCTGGCCGAGCCCAGGGATAGTGTGTGAGAAAGGTCGTCGCCATGGTGGTCTGTGTGGTGTGGTGTTGACATCTTGACTATTGACGAATAGTGTTGCAGGATGCGAACAAAGACCAGGGCTGTTTATGCTGATGGAAATCCACGTAAAGCGGGGGCTTAATGGCCTTTATATAACTCGCCATGGTTTTGATTTGCACCGGAATTTTTGGAACCAGGATTAGTGGACAAGCAGAAAAAACAAAACTGTAGTAGAATCATGCTTATCCTGGTAAGTTGGTGAATCTACTCGGCCCGGCAGTGCCAGCCCGCCCGCCTCTCGGTTTCCCGATTGAGTAAGGGACGCTAGCCCGTTTCTAGTAATATGCTACGAGGCGTGATGCTTCGAAATCTAGAATCACTCGCTTTGATTCCAACCTTGGGTCAATTGCAAAACGGAGCCAAACGGTAACGATCCTGAGAAGTGAACACGGTTAATCCACCAGGTACCCTGCTTAGCAAGTATTATGAGCTCAACGTTTCCGCAATTATGCTTATGATTGAGCTGCTAGAAAGGCTATGTATACGCCTCCCCAAGGGCCCCTATCAAGTGGCAACGTCATCTCCTGTCCTGATCTGCGTTCTGGAGCTGCACATTGGTCAGTATACCATTAGGGCTTCATGAGGAAAAACTTCAGTTGTCGTCCAATTTGCGTGTTGAGAGAGCGGATCCAGAAAAACGACAGCAGGCCCAAGCTTCCGGACCCGCTGGAATTTCCACATTGTGGCACTCGGAGCATATCGCTATTTTCGGTAGGACGCTCCGCTTGCATATCTGACTCCATTTTTTCCGCCTTACGAATGGACAAGAAGCCGAGACCTCTGGGATGTGTTAATCGTTCTTGATCAAGTGTGTTATTGATGTCAGTAGTTGATACGGCTGGCCTTAAGGTGTGCCAATCTCTTTCAGGGTCTTGAGATATCAACGGGCCGAGATCCACAAACATTTATCAATCCTCAATTACACTCCTTAGAAGAGCTGGGGGCTCGACTAGACTCTTTTATGGACCTCTTGCCTAGAGTTGCATCGCCCAGGCACTGGGTGGTGTCTCCAATTTCTCTCTTCATTAAGGTTTCGACTGCTGGTCTGAGGATATATATCTTGGATCGAGCTGATAACAAACTCACTATATTGAATAACTTTACACGATTGATGGCAGGGAACATCATATACGAGTACTATAAAGCACCAAGAATGATCAGGGTACTCACCGAGGTCCACATAGGTTGTTGTACTGTTCTCTGGTTTGAAGGGCAGGCTGCCTGATTATGCCTGAGGCAAAAACACGTGACTGATAAGAGATAAGCCGAGATCGGACTAGGGCGGGGCAGTGATTTGAAGAAATCGTGAATTTTCCCCAGCAGACTTGACGAACAGCTCAGCTCAACCCCTTCGCTGCACCCCTCGACCGGTCGGAGCTCGCTCCCAGAGGAGTCTCATCGCTCTCCTCCCACTCGAGGATTCGATTGAACCTCAACTTCGACAACTCGCCGCATTTGCCCCACCAACTACCCCGTCGAGTCATTCAGTTGCCTCCGTACGGTTCACCATGGCCGACTCGAACTACCTCGCCCTGCCGGGCTCTGTTGCGTTCTCTCGCTCTCGAGGACGCGCTGTCGCTGCTTCCATCGGTGCTCTCGACGTCCGTGCCCAATGGATTCATTACGTCCACGCTACCGAGCGTTTGGCCTCGTCTCAACAAGACGTCCTCGAACAGCTCCTCCGTTACGGTGACATCAACGATATCCCTCCCACTTTCAGCGAGAAGGACGGAGAATTCGACGTTTTCTACGTTTGCCCGCGAACCGGAACCATCTCTCCATGGAGCTCGCAAGCCACCGGTATTGCCCACGTCTGCGGCCTCAACAAGTACGTCAAGCGAATCGAGCGTGGAATGAAGATTTCTTGCCTTCGCCCCCAGAATGGAGAATACAAGTCGGGATTCAAGGACATTCTGCATGATCGAATGACCCAGCTTATCGGCCAGGAAGAGCCCGATTTGCACCTGATGTTCTCCGAGCACAGCCCGTTGCCACTCGAAACCGTTCCCCTCACTGGCAGTGATAAGTCGCCAAAGGAGGTATTGCAAGAAGCGAACAAGCGCATGGGACTGGCATTGGAGGAATCTGAAATTGATTATCTTGCCGAAGCCTATGGCCCCAACGGCCCCCTCGCCCGTGACCCTACCGACGTCGAGCTCTTCATGTTCGCTCAGGTCAACTCGGAGCACTGCCGTCACAAGCAGTTCAACGCGTCTTGGACAATTGACGGGATGGAGATGCCGAACAGTCTTTTCTCGATGATTCGAAACACCCACCGAAAGAATCCTGAATACACTGTCAGCGCATACAGCGACAATGCTGCCGTACTTGAGGGCTTTGAGTCATCTTTCTGGGCTCCCGACGCTACCACTGGGGAGTGGAACCATACAAAGGAAATCGTCCACTTCCTCGCCAAGGTGGAGACCCATAACCATCCTACTGCAGTCTCACCTTACCCCGGTGCTGCGACCGGATCAGGTGGTGAAATCCGTGACGAAGGCGCTGTCGGACGAGGCTCCAAGCCCAAGGCTGGTCTTTCCGGTTACTGTGTCTCCGACCTCCTCATCCCAGGCTTGGAACAGCCATGGGAGTTGAATGTCGGTAAGCCGAACCATATTGCTAGCGCTCTCGACATCATGCTCGAAGCACCCATCGGAAGTGCCGCTTTCAACAACGAGTTCGGTCGGCCCTGTATCTCTGGTTACTTCCGTACTCTTTTAACGGAGATCGATGTTGGAAATGGTGAGAAGGAGGTGCGCGGATACCACAAGCCCATCATGATTGCTGGCGGTGTTGGAACAGTCCGACCCCAACACGCGATCAAGAAGCCTGATGCCGTCAAGCCCGGTGCGTTCCTTGTGGTTCTCGGCGGCCCCGCCATGCTCATCGGTCTCGGAGGAGGTGCTGCCTCCAGTATCACCTCCGGTGAAGGGTCTGTCGACCTCGACTTTGCCAGTGTGCAGAGAGGCAATGCCGAAGTCCAGAGAAGGGCTCAAGAGGTCATCAACGCTTGTACCTCCATGGGCGATAACAACCCAATCAAGTTCATTCACGATGTTGGCGCCGGCGGTCTCTCCAACGCACTCCCCGAGTTGATTCACGACTCAGGCCTAGGCGCCACATTCGAACTTCGTGAAATTGACAGCGCAGACAGGAGTATGAGCCCCATGCAGATCTGGTGTTGCGAGGCCCAAGAGCGCTATGTCATGGCTGTTGGTGAGGAGAGCATGAACAAGTTCACTGCTATCTGTCACCGAGAACGTTGTGGCTTCTCCGTCGTCGGCCGCGGCGCTGGATCGTCAGAGCAAGAGGAAAAGAAACTCATCCTCCTCGACAGAGAGTCCAAGGACCACGCAACCGTCATTGACATGCCCCTCTCAGTGCTGTTCGGAAAGCCACCCCGGATGACTCGCACTGTTGACTCCCGCAAGCTGAAACTTCCCACCGTGGACTCCAGCCTGACCACCTACCTCCCGTCGCTTGCTGCTAACCGCGCGGAGCTCATCGGCGAAGCCGCCAAGAGAGTCCTCTCCCTGCCAGCTGTCGGTTCCAAGTCTTTCCTCATCACCATTGGCGACCGAACCGTCGGCGGTCTCACTGCCCGCGACCAGATGGTTGGTCGTTGGCAGACTCCCGTTTCCGACGTTGCTGTCACTGCCACTGCTCTGGCTCAGGGCCTGAAGACTGGTGAGGCCATGGCGATGGGCGAAAAGCCCACACTCGCACTGATCTCTCCTGGAGCTTCTGCTCGCATGGCCGTTGCTGAGTCGCTCATGAACCTTGCCGCTGCTGATTTGGTTGACCGTTTGAGCCGCGTCAAGCTTTCCGCTAACTGGATGTCCGCCAGCAGCCACCCTGGAGAGGGTGCCGCTATCTACGAGGCAGTCGAGGCGATCGGTATGCATTTGTGCCCTCAACTTGGCATTAGCATCCCGGTCGGTAAGGACTCCATGTCCATGAAGATGAAGTGGAAGGATGAGTCCGGACCCAAGGAAGTCACTGCTCCCATGTCTTGTGTGATTACCGCCTTTGCACCAGTCCAGAACTTCCGCAAGACTTGGACCCCTGCGCTCCGCCACCCCGAGGATGTCGGTGACACTGTTCTCATGTTCGTTGACCTGTCCTTTGGACGCAAGGCTCTTGGTGGATCTGCCCTCGCTCAGGTCTTCAACCAAGTTGGTTCCGAGTGCCCAGATATCCGTGACATCGAGATCTTCAAGGACTTCTTCGATGCCACCCAACAGCTCCAGGAGGCAGGCATTGTCCTCGCCTACCACGACCGCTCAGACGGTGGTCTTTTCACAACCCTCGCCGAGATGATGTTCGCTGGTCGCTGCGGTCTGGAGATCATGCTCGACGGCATCTGCCCTGACCTCAATACCAGCAGCTTCGTCGAGACCCTGTTCAACGAGGAACTTGGAGCCGTCTTCCAAGTGCGCAAGGAACACGAGATGCAATTCCGCTCCTGCTTCGCAACCTGCGGCCCACCCGCCGGCCTCATTCACAAGATCGGCCGCGTCTCCGAGCGCCCCAAGCAGAACCTCGCCATCTACTACAAGGCCAGCGTCGTCTACCGCAACACCCGCGCCAACCTCCAGCAAACCTGGGCCTCAACCTCCTACCACATGCAGAAGATGCGCGACAACGCCGCCTGCGCCGACCAAGAGTTCGCCAACATCCTCGACGATGCCGACCCCGGTCTTTCCTGGAACCCCACCTTCGACCCCAAGGACCGCGCCCAGCCCTTCCTCTCAAGCCTCACCTCCCTCTCCCCCTTCGCCAACAAGCCCCGCGTCGCCATTCTCCGCGAACAGGGCGTAAACAGCCAAGCCGAGATGGCCTTTGCCTTCAACACCGCCGGCTTCGCCGCCGTCGACGTCCACATGACAGACATCATCTCCGGCCGCGTCTCGCTTTCCTCCTTCGTCGGCCTCGCCGCCTGCGGCGGCTTCTCCTACGGCGACGTTCTCGGCGCCGGACAGGGCTGGGCCAAATCCGTGCTCCTGCACGAAGCCACCCGCGCCGAATTCCAGTCCTTCTTCCAGCGGCCCGACACCTTCGCCCTGGGCGTCTGCAATGGCTGCCAGTTCCTCTCCCGCCTCTCATCGCTCATCCCCGGCGCTGAGAACTGGCCTACGTTCGAACGCAACGCCTCGGAGCAGTACGAGGGTCGTGTCGCCATGGTCCGCATCTCTGATCCCGACCCGTCGAAGCCCTCCGTCTTCCTGCACGGCATGCATGGTTCCTCTTTCCCTATTGCCGTTGCGCACGGCGAGGGCCGCGCTTCGTTCATCGCGTCCCCGACGGACCCGCAGTCCTTCGTTGCCAGTGGCCTCGCACCGGTCCGCTACGTCGATAACGCTACCCTCAATCCGACCATGAAGTACCCCTTCAACCCCAACGGTAGCCCTGAGGGTATTGCTGGTGTGCGTAGTGCTGATGGTCGTGTCTTGGCAATCATGCCTCATCCTGAGCGTACTGTCATGAACGGTATTGCGAGCTGGTTGCCAGCTAAGGCCGAGGAGTGGGGTGATATTGGGCCCTGGGGCAGGGTCTTCTTCAGTGCGAGACGCTGGGTTGGTTAGATTGTGGAAATGTGTGCTGAGGTGGTTTGTTGTTTGTCACACTTATGTGTTTTACGTTTTTATGAGATTGGAGAAAATGTTGCGAGGTACTATATGCCATATGTTGACGTTTTTGATTGCTTCGCTCTTGATTCAATAGATAACCACATACATAGTTTCAAAAGAATTGTTCATAATTCGTTTCCATGGTGTAAGGGGTGGGCAGAATCAACTCAGGCATCCCGTCATTATCTTCGTGGCATTACATTCTGTCTAGGTCGTACCTTCCACCACAATAGCGATCAGCTCCTTAAACGCCTATCGTTAAACCAATTTCGAACCCTGCTTGACGCCACATTACAACCAAAAGAGAAGAGCTGTGAAATGAATTCGGGTTTCAAGACCAAGCCCCTTGTTTCTCCTTCCTCCACTCCAGCTTCTCTGCCAGCATCTCCCAGCTAACCTGCCCATCAACACGGCCAACGCCCTTAAGCCCCGCTGTTAGGAACGCAACAAGGTGGTTAAATTGGTTTTGGATATCATTCAAGCGCTGGGTGTACTGTGTGTCATTCAGAGGCGTATGGCGAAGAGTAGATTCCTTCTCTGGATCATCGTTCTCATCTCCGTCATCGGAGGCATCGTTTTCTCCGTCGGAATCGTCATCGGTGTCATCCTCATCGCCATAGGAATACTCGTAGCGCGCTTTTCGGGGTGTTGGTGTTAAGCCTGCCCTGAGAGGCTTGAAGATTGGTTGCCTGCGCGGTGTCCGTGCGAGGTCGAAGGTGTTCTGATGTAGGTGGTGAGATCGCGCTATGTGAAGGTCGGCGAAGGCGATACAGAGATCAAGGAGTGTGAGGGTTGCTTGGTGGAGCGGACTGAAGTTAGAGGAAAGAAGGCATTGCTCTTCTAACGAGTCCATGTACGAGCGATGTGCGGCGATCATGGCGTCAACATCGCTAGCTGTCGAGAGGGATTTGCAAAGTGAGTCTGTGGTAGAGGAAATGACAAAGTCTGTGAGATGGCTGTAGAGGGTATTGAGGAACCAGAGCATGTTATGGCGGAGGGCATAGCTGAGCGTCTTTCCTCTCGAGTCTGTGTTTTGCTCGTCGGCTCCAAGGTGGGAGTATTGGAGACGTTGTTTGACGATTGTATGCTTGGCCCGGCGAATCTGCATGAGGAACGTTGAGATACGCTGGTAGGCGGCTATTCCATCCTTGGTGATAATGTTGGCGACAGGCCAGGGGAGAATGTAGTCGAAGGAGAGACTATCGAGGATCTTCACAGATCGTGGGCGGGTCGAACTGTTGGCATTTTTGTTGGATCGCACGATCAAACGAGTTGGATCGATGAGTAGCATGGAGCTGAATGCACTTTGGGCAAGCTCTGTAAGTAGAAATCGATCACTCCATCCACCCTTTCCTCGATCAATCAGTTCAAAAACTTTGGCATCGATCGGGCCGATCATACTCATGTCTTTGCAAAGATAGATATGCTCCAAGGCTTGAAGGGATATCCATAACCCGCATCGCTCGTCTAGTTCATTTCGCAACATAGTAGACGTAAATGCGTAGTGCTCGTTGATGGCGTTGGTAAGAGCAGATTCGAGCAATGCATAAAAGGGAAGGCAGACTGAGGATGGCTCAGGAGTGAGGATATCCTCGAAAGACAGCGTGGTGTTCGCTGGGGGTTCAAAGTCTTGAGCTGCATTCAGCCGATTCAAAAAGACCATGCTTTTCCCGGTGATGAAGATCCTGTCAGCGAAGGGCCGTATAAACCTTGGTGTGTTCGCAGACTCGGACTGTTTCTCGAGCGTGTACCAATCGTGCCATAAAGTCCGCAAGTCAGGCTTGTCGCGATTCTCCCTGACAAAGAATACATGCGCAGATGATTCCAATTGACCTGTCTCCATCCAACGACGAATTGGCCGAGCGTATGTTTCGAAGCAGCTGCAGAAAATGCGAACAAGGACGGCATAATTCTCATCGTCCCCTGACGCTTGAGTGTTGCACACCAAACCATACAGCAAATCAAGGCACCGAACAGCGCTGTCTGTAGTCCCGCTTTCGAGGTTAGAGATAAGATCCGCTAGGAGCACGAGCAGTGTCGACTCGCGATGGACATCGTCAGACAATTGTAAAAGGCTAACAGCGAAGTTAGAGCGTTGATCGAGATATCGAGACTGCAGATCTGAGAGAAATTTGTCGAACTCAGATAAGTGATTCTCGACGCTGCGACGAAATGTCTGCATGTAAGTATTCGTCTGTGGTGACTTTGTGAAGCGCCTCAGTATGTCGACCTTGGTCCCGCACAAGCTTATGGAGCGCAGTAAAGAAGAGAGGGCAGCAGGCGACAAATGTGCGAGCGTGTATCTGCGGTCCAACTGGACTTGCCCGTCCAACCGCCAGAATAGTGAGGTTGGTAGGCCTTGTAGCATGAATATCGTCTCTCTCGCAAGCTGAAGTTCAGTGAGAACACGAGAAGACCCCCTCTCGTCCTCAGTAGCGTCCTGAACATTATCCTCTCTCCAGAACTGAACGCTTTGGATGGATTTTACCAGATCTTCATCCTCCCCTGAGGAGAAGACATCGTCCGGAATCACGTAGTCGTCGTCTGGGGCTATCGATGTTCGAGTGACACTTCGGCCAATCTGAGAGTCGCTAGATATCGATGATACATCATCTTCAGACGAACCAGCACCATAGTCGACGCTTTCCCATATATCCTCGTCGCAATATGCAGTCCCTGACGCATCCAAATCCGTCCAAGAGAGCTGCTGGTCGACTGTCTCGGCATCGGCCTTTGCGATCCGTTCGACCCTTGAAAGCTGGGCCGGTCGATCCGCAAGCTGTAGTAGAAGGGAGAGGACTTCAGGAAACAGAGCGCCGCGATGCCCATCTAACTCAGTTAGTCGTAATTGAAGAGCGTCCGCCAAGTCGTCTCGGCTAAGGACTCGGAACTTTTCTTGAAGCCCGTCTAGTAGTTTCGCTACAGCAAACTGGTCGGTACGTCCATACAATGAAGACTTCAGCGTGTCGTCCACGCGCCGTTTCAGGACCCGATAACGAGGGTTGTCCTGTAGAGATTCGTTAGCGGGAATTTCATACTATGAAAGACGCGCGTACCTTGCCCACATTCGCGAAGGTAGCGATCAAACGCTCCATGAGGCTCAGACCATCGGTATCAGCCATTGTGCAACTTGAGCAAAGACAGCATCAAAGGTGCAACAGGAAGAGTCTTACAGCGCCCCATCGCGCGTAAAAAGGCAGAAATAAAGTTGATGACAGAGAGAGAGAGCCAGAGAGTGGCCCTGGGGCAGTTGACGTGTTGCCCGATTTGTTAAGGCTATTGCCACACTAGTCCCGATCGGGCCAAGGCGGCGTCGAGTCTCAAAAGGACAATTCGAGACTCTGGCGACTTTCTCTCTCCTCGACGATTCTCAGCGCCGCTGTCGTATCTCCCGAGGCCGTCAATATGGCTGTGGCTAGACCTATTCGCATGCTCTCGATAGCATGTGTCGTTCTTGTCATCTTCCTGGTGTTCCAGATGAACAGAGGACCTTCGTATGTCGGCACGGGGTCAGGCCCGTACAATGGCATGCAGGTCGATCCTCTTAAAGAGAGTATGTCCTCCTTTCGCTCTCGTTTCGGATCTATCGTGAACATAACAGCTTTCATTATGCTAACACTGCCGTCCTCGCGCTCCAGTTACCGGTGAACCCGAAGGCTATTTGTGGCGCGCCGACGAACACGACTATGCTCCTGACAGCACCGACTCCGCCCGGACCAACGCGGCCATCATCTCCCTCGTACGAAACGAAGAATTGGACGACCTGATTCCGAGTATTCGCGATCTAGAGAGGACATGGAACCACAAGTTCAACTACCCCTGGATCTTCTTCAATGACAAGCCATTCACCGAGGAGTTTAAGAAGCGGACTAGGGCGGAGATCAAAGCCAGAGTTCAATTTGGTAATATACCATGATTCGTCTGCTTGCGGGCTCGACTGATACGTCTACAGAACTGATACCGGCGGATCATTGGGCGGTGCCAAAATGGATTGACATGGATCTTTTCAAAGACGCCGCGGAAGAACTAAAAGAGAAGGGGCTACAGTACGCCGACAAGATCTCATATCACCAAATGTGCCGCTGGAATAGTGGAATGTTCTACAAGCACCCTGCATTGGAGACATACCGCTACTACTGGCGCGTGGAACCCAAGGTTCAGTTCTTTTGCGATGTCGATTACGATGTGTTCCGCTTCATGGAGGACCGCAACCAAACCTACGGCTTCACGATCAACCTCTTCGACGCTCCCGAGAGTATCCCGAGCCTGTGGCCCACGACGCAGGAATTTCTCGCCGCGAACCCTTCCTACCTCTCTGAGAACAACATGATGGCCTGGTTGACCGATGATCAACTCCGGCCTGACCATACCCGCGAGGCCAACGGGTACTCGACCTGCCATTTCTGGTCCAACTTCGAAATCGGTGATATGGACTTCTTCCGCGGCGACAAATACTCTGCCTACTTTGATTATCTGGACAAGGCTGGCGGCTTCTTCTACGAGAGATGGGGCGATGCGCCGGTGCATTCGATTGGGTTAGGATTATTAGAGGATGCTAGTAAGGTTCATTGGTACGTCATCGAACCACTATGACATTTATACACACATACTGACAGAAATTAGGTTCCGCGACATTGGATACCGTCACATCCCCTACTTCAACTGCCCCAACTCGCCTAAATGCTCCGCCTGCACACCTGGAAAGTTCTACGACGGCGAGCCCTTCCTCGCGAAAGAGGACTGCCGACCAAGCTACTTCAAGCACGTCGGAACCCATTAATCTCTTCCCTTAAATACCTCGCATTATCCCCTGAAGCAGTGGAGGCTCAAAGTATCACTACCCCTCCTTTGCACGATTGGACTGCCACGATGATAGTCACTCGCGTTCATACATACTGCATCCTTAGGACTTACGACCTTGCATTACTTGAAAATTCCTATAACAATTCGGTGGCGTTTTTTGACTTGTCTTGACTTCTATCAACCTACTTCATTTAACTTAACCCTACCCAAATGTTTCTTGTATTCCCAAGGTCTATATCTCACCATCTTCTTTGAATACTTCTTCACTTTTTCTGCTGTTGACTCCACATATCTTCTTCACCCAATTCTTCATTGTACTGGTTAATGGGTTATACAAAGGGGAAAGGTTGCGTACCGGCTTGCTTTACTTCCTGTGTGTATATTGGTTTGTCCTTCTAATGCCCCAATTCTTCTCTGCTGCTGCTTCTCGCCTGGAGCAAAATCCAAGCTGTACATCTTTCGCCCACATCCGTACCAAGTACGCAGGATAGGAGAACAAATTGATAGAACAATATGTCTTTATAAGAGATCTTTAGAAGTACAACAGCTGCTCAAAGGGAAGTAGAAAGCGAGGTCAGATCAGGGTCAAAGTAACTTCGTCGTAGCTGGTATAGAAAAATCTCCTCAACGTCCACCCGCTCTCAATAATGGATAAACAAGACAACAGCAACAGTAGTGGTAGCGGCAACAACAACAACTCTTCCAAACTGCATTCTAGAGCATGAGTACGGTATGTATACAGCTTTCACATCTCGTCGACCGGAGGATCGGATCGCGGGAATGATGTTACAATGGAATTTATGCAGGGTTTCTTTAAGGCGCATCTCTCCCATGTATTTCGTCTATTCCTGCTCGGGGTAGAGTTCCTCCCGCAGGGCGACGCCCAGCTCCTGGCGGAGACCCTCGAGGGCTTCGAGGTATTGCTTGTACTGATCCTGGTTCTCGACCTTGGCCTTGATGCCTGTTTCATCTAGTGTAAGTATAGTGCTTTCCGACAGAGGGGTGGAGGGAAGGGAAACGGGATGGATGCGCACCCTCGAAGATTCGGACAGCGGTGGGGAAGTCGTTGACGCGGCGGGCGGCCCGCAGAGCAGCGGAGAGGACCTCGACGGAGGGGACGAGATCGTAAGCGAAGCAGTTGTTGAGGTTACGCTGGATGATAGCGACGAGGATTAGCACTGCTGATACCCGATGCCTCATACGATGACGACACGATCTGTGTTTGTTTGTCCGGCGGGTATTGACTCACCTGGAGCTCGAAAACATCCTGCACACCATCGAATTCCTTCTCGAATCTATCATTTGGGCGAACGTCAGCGGGGATTGGCAACGATTTCGGAGGACCCGAATGGGGGATGCAGAGAGCCAGGGTGTTGTAGCAGCCCCCATTCCCGCCCCTGCGATCGACGATCACGTCGTCTGGCCGGTGCCAGGTGAACTCAATGGCTCCCGGATAGATATGGCATACCTAGCAGAGAACTCCTCGTATGTCTCGTCGTCGTGCTGGCCGGAGCGGAGCTTCATTGAGGTGCTGAAGGCCGGGCGACCGAGGGACCACGCAGCGGGAGCCTGCACCCGAGACCGGGGCAATTGGGTAGCTCTGAAGAGGCCGGAAGGGCGGACGGCGCGCGTCGCAAGACGGAAGACGGAGATGGGAGCCATGGCGAAGAGGAAGTGGATGGGTGAGGTGGAGGCAGCGAATTGACGAGAGTGGGAAGTCGGGGCGAGATGTTGACGAAGTTCGAGTTGAAGGTTGAGCCGGCGGCGCTAGGTTTTTTGCGGGCGGGTGGTGTGAGGTCGTGCTGCCTCAGGCAATCCAGTAGCTGGGAGCCTTCGATGCCTGAGTAATTCGCGGCTTTCCGTTCGAGCCCGACAATTATTGCCTGAGGCATCACCGATGATTTCTATCTGGAGTCTGTGATTGGCAGCGGTCATAGTCAGGTTGGACATCTATTCTGATTGGTTGAAAGCCGGATCAGAGCCCTCTGGTCAGAGTTGATAATTGCTGGTCGCCTTGACTTCGAGTCGATGGGTTACACACATGCCCTCTTCTCAGAGCATACTTGGGAACAGTCTGTGGGTTGGGCACCTTTTGTGCAACGAGTACAGCCTCACCTAGATAACAATTTGACAAGTCCCAAGGCGTGTTCCAATATATATATTGAGGGCCGTATGCTGCAGTCCTGCAGCCTTCCCTCATGTACAACCTTACACTCAGTCTATCTGGTATACATGTACCTCCGTAGTCTGAAGTGTAAGGTCTGGTTAAAACCAGCAGCCTCGGCAACACAGCATCAACAGAGCCATTCTAATCATTGATTAGAGTAGGATTGAAGCAAGGTTGGGCTTCTCCCACAAACTGGGATATCCATCATGGAGATTAAGTTCGACATCCGATTGGCCAATTTTGGGATAACATGAACGATGCCAATCTTAAACAGGCAGAGGAGCAGCCAACAAGATTATTCTCACATGTGAAGGTTGATACCTCAATTGACGACTCCAGAGCGCGTGCCCCCTTCCTCCTGTCGAGGCTACTACTTTTCTAAACATGTCAATTACTCCGTATGTGTTGCTGTCAGCATGACTTGAACTCCGCTCAGATTCATTTTACAGTGAGCCAATGGATGATGCATCGAGGTGTTCTCCAAAATAATGAAGCCGAGTCACGGGCGCACATGATTTCCGGCCCCTTTCTCGGCGACGCTAAACCCGATACGGCTGCTCTGCGGACGCGCCGGAGGCAGAGCAACCAAAAAAGACACGCTGATCGACAGGTTCAGTTTCTCCTGGCTCCTCAACCTTCTTCTTTCTTTCCCTCAACCACTTCGCTTCTTGCTGGAAAGAGTCCTCTGCCACTGGGGCCCTTCTTTCCCTTTTTTGCTTCCTTCATTCCCTTCTGCCTTTTTGCCCTTCTTCATCGCTTTTAATTTCTTACCCTTTAATCGCGATTTCGCCTGGTCAGCAACGGAAAAAATCGAAAAGCCCTTTCCTGCATTCTTCGCCTGGTCAGCTCCTTTCCCCGGCGCAATTCTCTCTCCTTGTGCGCCTGTGCAGCCATACACGCTCTAGATCCTCGATATAATCGCAGCCATGGACCTCCTACAGAAAATCCCCAAGCCGACCATCGAGCGGCCATTTGGCATCGAATTATGGCCCATCTTCGACAAGGCCTACGAGGTCGTCATGGGCTATCCCGCCAGCGAATTCCGCTTCGTTGAGGGTGTGACGCCCATGTCCACTTTGCGCGAGACTTCCATCATGCTTGTCGCCTACTACGTGATCATCTTCGGTGGTCGAGAGGTGATGAAGAATCGCCCAGCATTCAAGCTTAACGCCCTGTTCATGATCCACAACTTTATCTTGACCGCCGTCAGCGCTATTCTTCTCGCTCTTTTCGTCGAGCAGCTTCTGCCTACTCTCTGGAACCACGGTGTCTTCTACGCTATTTGCGACCACGATGGTGGCTGGACTCAGCCCCTGATTGTCCTGTACTATGTGAGTGCACCATTTCTGCGATATAGAGCGACAACGCGAAAACTAACACTGGCAACAGCTCAACTACCTGAACAAGTACCTCGAATTCCTCGACACCGTTTTCCTGTTCCTCAAGAAGAAGCCTCTGACCTTCCTCCACACCTACCACCACGGTGCCACCGCTCTCCTGTGCTATACTCAGCTGATTGGTTTGACTGCCGTCTCATGGGTGCCTATTACCATCAACCTCCTCGTTCACGTTGTCATGTACTGGTACTACTTCCAGAGTGCTCGTGGTATCCGCGTCTGGTGGAAGGAATGGATCACTCGTCTTCAGATCATCCAGTTCGTCATTGATCTTGGTGAGTAACTTAAACCGCGCAGTTTCGTTGAGATTTGCGGCTAACACATGACGCATTAGGCTTCGTTTACTTCGCCTCCTATACCTACTTCTCCTCGACCTACTTCCCCTGGGCTCCCAACATGGGCCGCTGCGCTGGTGAGGAATTCGCCGCTTTCGCTGGAATGGCCATCCTTACCTCCTACCTCGTCCTCTTCATCTCCTTCTACATTGTCACCTACAAAAAGGCTGCCAAGTCCGGCCGTCCCCGCCGCAACACCGGAAAGCAAGCTCTCATCGACATGGCCCGCCAAGAGGTGGTTCCCGCTTCTCCCAATGCCAAAGGCAGTGCCAAGTCGAACGGTGCCGCTGTCTCAACCGGACGCTCCAACGGCCCCGTCACTCGCTCCCGCAAAGCCTAAATTCGCCGTTAGGTTAGACAATCATAGAGCATATTCATTGCGTTGAGCAGTTTTATTCGTCTGCGCTGGTCGGCCGCCAATGCTCGGGAAATCAATCTCGAACGGACATAACCATTGATTTTGACGCGCACACCATGTCGCATCCACGAACCAAAGGCGATAAACGGTCAAGTTTCTTCTGCGATTGTATTGCGGTGCCCAATTATCCTTTTTAATGTATGACCTTGATGACACTGGTCGCCATTGCTCGACGACCAGATGATGCATGTCGCAGCGCAGCTTTGAGCCTCGGTAGGTTTCGAAGCTGGGTCCAGATGTTATGTATGAAGAAGGTTAAGTTCTTTTCTGTCGGGAAATGGGTAATCTTGGACTTTTTTCCCTTGAGCTATTTCCCGCTGTATTCTACTGTTGTTTATTCTTGGGGTTCTTTTCGCTTCTTCTGCTGGCTGCAGATCTTTTCATTTTCCCTGTTCTTTTTGACCTTGTTATTATTTATAGATCAGACAACATAAATGTAATCATCATGGCATGCCCTGCTTGCTGTATATAGTGAATGAAAGTTACCACTGTTTCATCCTGGGTCTGACCCCAGAATAATCGTAGTTCGGCGAGAACTTGCAGGTGCCTGTTATGTCTCTTGCTCGCCACACGGACATGATGACTATCCAGCGAGTGTCTTTTGTCACATGTAATCCATGAGGGTGGCGGCCTATGTACATACCAGGTAAGTTAGTAGCACACAACTACCGACAATGGCAGTGGTTCTAGGTAGGATTCCGAGGGGCGGCTTGATATAGACAAGCTGGTATGAAGCTCCACCGTCCAATTCGAGGGTAGATATACAAGAATATGATGTGGTCCGAGCGATAAACTCCGAATTCAACCCTCCCTTCACAAGTATGCAATGCTGTACTCTACACCTGTTCCATGCAGTGCAGTGGAAGATATGATATACAATAAGTGCAATGTGGGAGATCAGAATGGCGAAGAGGAGTTCCAATATCGATAGACGAAGTCGGCTGAAGCCCTCTTGGCTCGGAGGAAGAACTGCCGTTGGCTATTGCATTTGATATGTATACGCTTTGGGCGAATATATACCAGGTCTTCTCGCAGATAGAGCAGTGCTCCATCACTCCTACGTTATGCGTATCTCGAATGATTGTTTAGTGAGCCTGTAGTGAGTCTGCTTGGACACTGGCAACGCAGAGGAACGATAATGAAGCTCAACCTGTGGCGACGCCGACAATTTACCATGACCACCAAAGGATGAGGTATCTAGTTGCACAATCGATAACTCCCAGATCGAAAGGACCGTGCTGGCCGTCATAGGAACTGATGCAGGTACTTTCGAACGAAGAACCTTTGTGGCGAACCTCAGAGTCCTTCTCAATACCACAAAGTCCGCACCTGAGATCGGAAGGGAAAGTGGGATTTTGATGAATTGGACCTGCTCTGCTGGTCAAGTCAGGTCCTACGGTCCAGAGAAATTTATACCTAGTAATAAGTATGAAACGACCTTTCCCTCGCTCGCCCGGCATAGAATTCTCGAAAGTGGATAATCAGGCCCCAGGTCAACGAAACTCCGTCGCCTGCTCTGACGAACCTATCCGTATGCCCGAGCGAGGAGAGGAGCGAACCACTCCAGGGTCGAATCGACCAGCATAATCCAGGAAGTTGTAGCTGGGGCCAAGGGAATACTGCTGACGGAGTAGTATCAAACAGTGATGGAAAGACAAACTGAAACCGAGCCAGGAACAGGAGAAATCGGAGAGAACCACTTCAGGAGTCGGAAATCAGGAACGGAAACTTCGAAACAAGGGAGAAGCTTAGTATATGGAGTAGTAACCCGTGACCCTATCTAGGTTGGCAGGTTCGAAGAAAGTTCCTTAAGTCCTTCCGCTAGCGGGACTTGCGGGGCCGGTTAGATATGACATGACATCCGATGACATGATATGTTACGATATGTCGGATATGTATGACCATTCCGGTAAATGTCCGGACTCCGGAGGATCCGAGTGCTGAGAATCAGGTTCTTATTGGAAGCCAGAATGGATACTTCGTATTGTCGTCGAAGGGAAGGTTCAATTGAACCCCCACTGGCGGCCCAGTTGGTGATCATTGTTTCAAAGTTTAATATCTGCAGCTTGCCCAAGCAGAAAATGATTTCTCCTGCGTCAATAGTGTTTTGCGTGGGTGGTATTCGGGAGATGATTATGCGGGGATGAGTTGATGTTCGTTTCAAAGGGAGGGGGAAACCGAGGTCAGCTGGGTGATGAGGAGCGAGATTTCCGCCGGCGCAACACAAACGTAGGGCAACGGATTATGCTGTACGAGGTGACACCCAGCTTCGCGTCGGCTCCGAGTGCAGTTCTTGCAGCGGAAGTTCAAGCAAGGCTGGTGTTTGAGAAGTATGAGATGGGCGTTTCACACTAATGGCGAAAGGAGACGAACGAAGGAAGTTCGGCAACGGCGATAAGAACGTCACCAGTGACCCGGGGTCTCCATAATCCAAGCGAAGCCGGTTGAATCCCTGTCATGCAGCCTACTATAAAATATCCTCAATCGGCAACAGCTCCGCTCTGGGCATTGTCATGTCGCCAATAGCTGGTCGTCCGTCCGAGCTGATAACTTATTTTGGGATGAGGGGCTCCCGAATGGAGAGTGTCAACACTCAGTAAGGCAGTAGGCCAGCAAGCCGGAGAGCATCCGTCATTCTTCACGGAATGTCAGGGTTGTTCGAGCTTCGTGGTTCTGGACCTGTCACACACCATTATGGTGCGCCACGGCGCTTGGGGACTCGCGTTCAAGGGAAGGTTTGCTGACCGCTGCATTGATGGTGGGATTCAAATCAACCTTGATTGTAGTGCTGAGAATAGACTCCCGGATTGGTCGACTCGATATCACAATTTGGAAGGTTAATTTTGATGAGGGGTTATCGAATCTGGGTCGTGAGCCGGGGTTTGGACTTGGACTCGCAGCGAAGACTGCTTCGTCTCATGGTTTTGGGCTGGGACAGTTGGAAAGGAAGGGGCACGGCTGCTTTCATACTCCAGATGTTCTTCACCAAGAAGAAGAGCGTTCATCATCTGAAACACCACGCTGCAAAGCCATGCTGTAGTCGCGGGGCTGGGAGAGCACGGACTGCTCCATGCTGCACGCATGATCTGGGGTTTTCATCACCACAACTCAGGAGAGGCTGGGACACTAGACCAATAGAATTTACCATAGTGGACGCAAGGGGAGCAAAAGCGAAGCGCCAAAGAAACAGCAAGCAAAGGGGAAATAACCCTGCGTGTCGGTGTGTGTATGGGCATAGCGAGGAGCTCTGCAGGAGGAGGCGCATTGCAGCCGGTTTCTGGTGCATAGGCAATGCATTAAGCAGCTTGGATAAGGGCAACATGCCCAGCCACGCAACAAAGGCTAATTCGTGGCCGAATCAGGTGTTCGCGGGCAGGGAATCGGGGGCTGTTTCACACTGCAACCGCTGGGGCGTTCCTGCAGCCGAGTGCAGAACGACGGCCCTGCCCCTCTTTTTTTTTTTTTCTTGTTTCTTTTGTGGGTTCGTTGGCGACCAAATTTTGGTGTTTGCCTTTCAACTTGGCTTGTGCAAATGATGCCAGAATTTGAGCTCGTATCGCGTCGTTGCAATTTCGCCTTGGAGGGCGGCTCAACTCCTGCGGCGGGAGGAAGGCAGGATCGACTCCTTCGTATGAAGGACGGAATCCGGCAGCAGTAGTGACGAGACGAACTCAGATTCGCTATGTGAAACGATCATTCCGGACCGCGATCGGCGAGTCATGGCTGACTGTAAGGAGGATAGAATCTGCACGGAGCAGGGAGGCAGCGTCTATCCGAGTCTATCGGGAGACGAGGGAGGGGAAATTCTCCCATTCGCCGAGCAGGTCAAGCGGCGGGCGTTAGGCGGTTTAAAATAAAGAGCAATGAGTAAAGCTGGAACGTAGCGCAGTGGCCCTGGCGTGTTTGAGGTAAAAATGGGGAAGCGACCGCGGCTTGGCGTTTTCTTTCTTTGATGGGGTTTTGATGTTTCTTTTTTTTTTTTTTCCAGTTTCTCTCAGTGTTGGTATCAGACACCGTTTGGGTGAGTTTGTTGAAGCAACATCATCAACTCTCAGGACCATCGACACATGGACCCCATTGACTGGCTGATGGCTGATGCACTGGACAGCTCACCCACTGATACGTCAGAACAAGTTGAAGGTCCGATGCAAGGGTTCGCCATCCTGAGGCAGTCGCGGCCCACAGTGGCCCTCCTGGCGCTGCATGGGCCAGAGCAAGGCGCTCAGCTTACGTCCGTCTCTGCCAGTCTGGACGCGCCGCACGTGTGGAGGAGTGAACATGCCAACCGGAGTGGGACACCCAAGGCTGCTTAATATATTCTGCGGCTTCTTTCCTCTTGCGGCATCGTTCCTCTATCCCCTGGCGTGTGGATTCTTCGTCTTCATATTCTCCCCTTCCTCCCGCGCCTTTTATGCCTCCTGTCACCCCGGTCCTGTCGTGGATGACCGCCACGCCCAATTGACACCCTCCTCTTCTCACCACCCTTCTCTACGATGTACGGCACAGGTTTGCCTCTCGACGTTAGCTACATCACCGAGCCCGCACTGCCACGGCATTACGAGTCGGACGAGGAGGAAATTTCCGAGTCTGAGACCGGGCACGCCTTCTCTCCTGTCGACTTCCACAAGAGGTCTGGGACCCTCGACTCGATCATGAGTATAGAGTCGTCGCATTCTGCCATGCTGGATCCCGTGGACAGACCGGCCTATCATCGCCTGCTTTCGCCTTTCCCTTCCACTGGAAAACGATCACGACCTGTATCTATGGACACCGTCAAGCGGAGCAGCACTGCGACCTTTGCGACAGACGCCTGCACCATCTTTGACCATGACGACGACATGATAATTGAACTCCCCTCTCCAAACTCGACGACACCCCTCCAGTCGCCCATCTTTTTGCAGCCCGCGGTCTATGTACCGTCCGAACCACTCACATCGCCAAGAAACTCCTTTAGATCTTCTTCCTCCATCTCACTCTACTCTGACGACGAAAGCGATGTCTTTGTGGCCGAAAAGGTCACGTACGTTGAACACGCCAAACCTAATCTAATCCTAATCTCTCCCACTTCAGAGCAGTCCTCCCCACGGGAAGGGTCTGCCTCGCCAGTGTCACTTGATGGCTCAGTCTATTCTAATAACGAAGCCACAAGATCACAGCCTTTGCTCTCTGAGTCTTCTCTGAATGCTCACTCGGCATCTTGGGACTCATCAGACGGCTCAATATATTCTAATGACGACGCTACAAAGTCTCAACCACTTCTGAGCGAAACAAATCTGGATCGAGGCCGCTCAAGACTCCACACCCGACCATCGCGCGGCAAAGTGCAAGGAAGTCTCAGTGCCCTCGACACAATGCAACAATTTGGACCACGCCGGCTTGACATCTGCGAGCCCATGAGCGCATCAGCTGCCGAAGCACCCCACTCAATGTCCTTCCGCGCACGATCCATGTCTTTCTCGCGTCCCCAGACTCCTGTCGCTGAAAGGCATCGTCGACTGCAAAAGGAACCTCCCACCCCTCGTCCACCATCCGCCCAGAGCTTGGCCACGTTTTCACTATTTCCACAAGGCCAGTCTCAGTCCTACGGATATGCCCGAGACGACTCGCGCAACCGCTCAACCTCCTGCTCGCACTCTGCCGCTAGCTCGGAGTACTCCCTTCCTTCAAGCCAGCCAACCTCTCGCACCGGCAGCCCCAGCCCCTACTGCTCTCCCGTGTACAACCGCAGTCGGTCTGGTTCTATTTACAGTGTGTCCAGCATGTCGACAACGACAGGAAAGCGACCTTCCATGCCTTACCGCGGTTCAATCATTAAGGGATCCGGAATGCTCAGCGGCTACTCTTCCAGCAGCTTGCGAGCCGAGCTTGACAACGGACCCATGGAGCAGCTGGCTGAAGTGCAAGAGCCGAAGTCCAAGACCAAGCGCAAGAAGAGCCTGAAGCAGTTGAAGCCTTTGAAGACGGAGTCGTCGGAGTCATCGACGAAGAGTTTCGTCGACTTTATGCTGCGCGGGAAGCGAAAATCTGTCATCAAAAATTTCTAATGCTTAATACCTTACCTACTTGTCCCACCCCGGCTGCTACAACGAACACAGACGCCTTTGATTATTTGACTCCCTTGTTGCATGAATGTGCGAGTCGCAAGCAAAATATGTTTGTCATTTCGTCTGTTCTCTCTCTCTCCCTCAATTTCTCTCTCGATCTCTCACCGACCAAATACCTGGTGGCGTGGCTGTACATCCTACTTAGCGGTTTGTTTTCTTTTTATATTATTCGGGTGGTTATGTCCTAATTCGTTGTTTCTTACTGTACGATATATTTATCAGGACATTCTGGTCCTTGGCTGGTAGGCGTGGTCCTTCCTTGCCCCCTGACTGAACAGGGAATGAAAGACTTTCTCCAACCTTCAGAATTTTAGTAATGGTGCCTTCTTTGAGCTCAAGGCCTCCTGGCTAAGCTCTCGGAGTAAGGAACCGAGCAAGTACACAGATCACATGCGCACCCCTGGTTCAGTAGCCTCTTGGCACCAGTTTGACATATAGTACTCACCCTATAGGATTCTTAGCCGGAGACCCCGTTCACTTAGCGAGCTTTATCATTTGATGAGATATCGACCATACTCTGGAGAGCTCCCGATTATTTCGTACCTTTCCATTGCAACCAAGGATCTCGATATCCTTTCTCAACATTCCTTTGTCTGCTTCCTTGGCTCTAGCCTGTATGCTAGATATTCATCTTAATCCAACTCAATCCTTTTCGATCTATCAACAGGAGCATGACTTTTCCGTGAAGCTAGCTAGCCCCTGATATCTTGTCTCGTAGGTGAGGGCAAACCCAGTGTCATAGTTGTACTCTAGCTCCGTATTTTTCAGATTCGCTGACTTGATAGATATTTTCTCAAGGCATATTTTCCAGGATCGCTATCAGATACTCGCGAAGTTTGGCTTTGGTTCATCGTCTACTACATGACTAGCCCGGGACCTAGAGTGCGCAGTTCTGAAATCTTATCTTACGCTGAGCTGACTACTTGTACAGAGCTCATCGGTATGTTACGCTCAAAATATACATTCGTTCGTCATTGGTTCACCGTGAACTGTCGTCTTATCACCATATCGCCAGCCGTGTAGGATGTAGCTCGCACCAAGGGCGACGTAATCTTCGCAGCTTACTCGACTCCTTCGAGATCCAAGTCCCTGATGGCAGTCATGATGTGCTGGTCCTCGGACCTGCGCAAATGAGCTTACATGACATGAAGGTTTTATTGAGCCCAGATGGATTTGATCAGGATTCTGTCAAAGGCGCCATAATCGAGCTTCTGAAGGCGCTTGACTTTTCACATACACAAGCGGAAATTGTCCATACCGGTACTATCTTTCCCACCATCGTGCCCGAATCCCTCGCTGATTCGGCCAGATATACACCCGGGAAATATGCTCCTCGGCGCTTATGATAATAACATTTTCAGGTCTCTCGAGGAAGTTGAATTCATAATCCCAGTACCACGCCAAAAAGTACCTGACGGCCGGACGATCTATATATCTCGTGTTATGCCACCCAGGAAAGTCCCAATGCTGCTTTCAGACTTCGGCGAAGCTAGAATTGGACCCGGCCCGCTGGTGGCGATATCATGCCTCTGGAATACCGGGCGCCTGAAACGTTGCTTTACATAGGCTGGAGTTACCCAGTTGATATATGGAGTGTCGGTCTCACAGTACGTTCAAACCGCTAGTTTTGCCCATGATTATTCATAGTACCTTTCGGTCAATATTCAAATTCGAAAGGCCTGGGATCTCCTTGGTCCCAAGAGCCTTTTTACAGCCCGCGATGAGGATGGTGGTCTCTACGACGCCGCCCACCTCGCTCAATTGATCGCTGCTCTGGGCCCTCCACCCCCGGAGTTCCTAGTAAAGAACCCTGTGAGGAGAGCTGACTTCTGGGATGATCAAGGTATGATGCCATAGAGATCGGCCCTCCTCCGTGTATGATCTTGTCTAACCTCCTCCGAAAGGGAAATGGCTGGGTCTTGCGCCCATTCCAGAGGACCGGACAATGGAATCGCTCCAGAATCGGTTAGAGGATAAAACAGGCTTTCTCAGGTTTATTCGGAGAGCACTGACCTGGCTGCCTGAAGAGCGAGCCACGGCAAGGGAGCTTTTGCAGGATCCTTGGTTGGCTGCGAAGGAACCCCAGAACGGCACTACAATATGAGCACTGCGCCGTCCTTATCTCCCTTGCCTGTTGCTCTACATACAAGACTGATAAGGGCGGCCAAGCGTGCCTTCCATTTTCGTGACATCAAAAATTGCGCTTCCACATCTGAAAGTAGGCTGGTCCGTACGTTCTCATGGCTGGTGTATAGTTCAATAGTTACAGAAGGAGTGACTAGTTAGCGTAACTGCATGTGGCCATATCATGTCGTGCAAGTGGTACACAGCGGCATGATTCGATCAATATCCCTCTGGATCAACTTTCCAATAGTCAAACATCTATGCTAGTCCCAACAAGCTTGTTCTCGCACAAGATGGATCCGTTGTATTTCCGGCTAGTATAAGCGAGAATGCCGCGCCACTGACCTGTCGACGTGTCGGTTTTCGCCACAGTTCCAAAGCCTTGGCTTCAGCTCCCCTTGTCGACCAGCGGGGTATAGATTTGACCTGGCTCCAAACCACTCAAATAGGTGCGAGATGCTTCCAGCTTTTATATGATGGATTCAACAATTTCTGACTCTGCTACGCAAAACCAGATAAGCTTACAGACGAACAACCTACCTGCACTGACGGAACCCGCGCCTTTGCGTCTGCTACCTATGAGGGTGTCAATCCTCCGAAACAGCACGTCGGCACACTGTTTTCACCGTCATTTAATTACCAGGAACCACACCGTTAGAGGAGAATAGCGGGGCTGTTCTATAGTTGTAGTACATGATAATATTGCACCAACTAGTATTAGAGTAAGCTTGGCACATCCAATATCCTGCAATAATGGTCAATAAGTATTAGATGATTATAACCAAATACACCAACCTGAGGATACACAACGAAAGTGGAGAAAATATTGCGCAAATGTTTTATGTTTCGGTGCAGCGAGTTCCATTATTGGTGGACGTCGCCTGGGCTGGCAAGGAATATCTGGGGTTCGTGTGGGGGACTCGGAAGAAAATCCGACGGGAAACGTAGATGGAGAGATTTGAATTGTCGATACAAAGATGAACACTCAGAGCTCAGTTATTTGGGATCACTGCAAGGCTCAAGCATCAGTGGTTCTGTGTGAGCGGCGCATTGTACCTGTAGCGTTTCCGAGCTAGGCGTGGCACTAGCTTCTGCTGTTTATGTAGGTTGGTTGAGAGACAGGGCGATAGCTCTGGTTCTCGTGTTTTCGTTGTTCCGTGAGCGGGCGATAAGCGCTCTGAATAGTATCGTTTGAAACACATCACGACCGAATAAGTAGCATTGCTCTGACCATGGGAGGTGCCTCCCTGGCACTGCGAGGCGAAAGCAGAAGGAAGCTGAGAGGAAAACCGTCACATAATCGGTCCTAGAAACTCAACAATGAAGGATCTCTCGTGTCTGGAACAGGGCCTCTCAATGGTATCCTGGTAGTACAATCAGATGCTCACTCAGCATGGGATACTGTGGCCAGGGGACGCAGGCCGTAGCCTGTGGCCGTTCCATCTTATAGTGAATCACTGATTTGATCACCGCTAATAGCTCTCCAAGTCTTTCGACCGAGTAATCAAAGCCATATACTCGGTTCCTTCGTGGCGGTTGCATCTGAACGGTCGGGGCCTTGTCTGCAACACGGTCATGCCCGGAGACCCTTGCCTTTTGTGGCGCCTGACATTGTTGACTAGTCGAGTGTTCCGACGTAACCCAAACCACGCTCTGCCATCCTATTCTTCTTAGTGAAGCTTTGGTCGCCCCTTGATAGGCTATCGGATGAAACAATCGAATTGCCGACAGGACATGATGCCCAAGCAAAGCTTCGTTCCCGAGTAATCTCGATCACTAGCGGCCGTTGCGTATGCTTGTTATATATCAAAGAATACCCAGGTCATAAGTCCTTCTTCTTGACATATTGGTTCGATCCATCACTCTTGATCAGGGGTACTCCTGATAACGAGGTTGTGTGGTTCGATTTCAGGTCCGTCGCTTGGCTGTGTGGAAATGCGACGATCTCATACCATAGTATGCATTGCACCGAGAGGGCTATCTGCGTCAGTGCATCACCTTCGCTGATTTGATTTCAGAACATACCTAGGCTGATGAGATCAGCCGTCCTGACCCGGATACTGCTCACAAGCAGAGCCAAATAATAAGCGCGAGGCTGACGGTGGGCTAGTCCTACTCGGGCACATTGTGGCGTGCGCTAGAGCAACCTCGGAATAGCGGTTCCTTGGCGATCTCTTCATCGAAGGCTTGATAAACACAGCGTGTGCCGACGGAGGAAACGGAGGAAATCTGGTTGTTTAAATGATTCTTCCAGCCTTCTAACCTCTCTCTAACGTTCTTCGAATAGAAGTTCACAGCCGCAGGTACTCCAGCGTTTTGACTCGGCTCGTTCGGCTGCGATGGCATGTTTTGACCTTGTCCTTTGCTCGTTCCCGACCTGATTCTAACACTTCTAACCCCCAGGTTCTCTTCCTCCACCCTCTATGAAACTCCAGCATCAACATTCTTCTTGAAGCTGCCTCGAAAGGTTTCCGCTCCCTTTTCGTCGCTCCGCCGACCTAGGTGTACCGCGAATCCTCACCTCGTCCCACGAGCCTTAAATAAACGACCTGTCTGCAATGTGACGTCCGATCATAGTTCCTCCGTCGCTCCTTGTCGGACTCCGGTGTCCAATCGCCGAAAACAGCGCCCGTCGATAGTCAGTCAAAATCCTTCACCATGCGAAGAGCGAAAGAAGGACCAGTGGGAAGACACTCATAGGGCTGGGCAGCAAGAGGAGGCGGACGCGGATTTACAGCTCAGACCGTCGCCCTGCGGCCAGGTGATGACAGGGTCAACTATACGGGATGAGGGCCCGCGCCAGTGCGCACGCATCCCAAGAAGGGACAAGATCGATTTTAGCGGCCGCCTACTTGGGATTTGTGTGCTGACAAAATTGACACTCTTCACGAATTTCCAAGGTTTGCTCGATGTCGGCCTATGCTGCGAGAGACACTGCTGGAAGCTTCGTTATGACTCGTTGCGCCGTTTTTAGCTCCCTGTCGCAAAATTTGCCCAATTGACCCCCGCAAATGGTTTTCACCCAGCCAATCCACGGCCCAGCCGGCAGCTGCCCCCAGGCTCTTCAGACTTCTTGGAGGGCCGGCCGGAGATGACCGATTGGCCGTGCTGTCGGCCCCTCAATCACGCCGCGATAAGCAAGGGTCCAGGCTTCGCACGAGAAAATCTGGGTCTCACGCCGCTTCTCTCTCGCCGCTTACGATTGCAGGATCGGAGTCGAGCATTCGTCACAGTCGGCACCACAGCACGCTAGCGGCCAGTTTCACCCTATGCTATATCTACGCCGATCGCCTTGTTAAATTGCAGGGAACCGGTTCTTTGTGGTCGCTCGATTGTGCGGTCGTGTAAAATGGAAGAATGGCGCCTCCTGCCAAATCCAAACCCGCGGTTTTGTCCTGGAGAATCGGCGCAGCACCATCGAAGCAGAAGCAGAAGGAGAAGAAGCAGGCAGTAGTACCTGCACAGCCAGCGACAGGACAAATACCAACGCCGCCGCCAGATGAGACACAGCAACAAGCGCTTGTTCCACAGCGGTTCGCCCCAGACATACGTGAAATAACAGCATCGCTTGACCCGTTGTGCAGGCTGCCCTGCGCTCTCACCCCAGGCGACCGTTCTTTACTACATTCTTGTGAGCTTACCAAGCACATTCATTGGTAGCCAAGCTAATAGCTAGAAGACCTCCTACACGTACCGGCTCGAGTTTACGGAACGCGATCAGACACGATTTTTAGTTCCGTTCGCGATGTCAGCTTTCCGATCTCCTTGGGCTCGAGCTTGACCATGTGGTGGATGCTGATCGCGGCAGACGGTCTCTTTACAAACGCGGGCAGAACCAATGGGCACGCGTCAGTCGTTGAGCGTAAGCAGAGAGCTTATCAACTTCTGAATGAAGCACTCTGCCGGAGCGGCGGCCAGATAACTGACGAAATTCTTGGTGGAATCATTATGGCTGCTATAACGGAGGCCCGCTTGCTGGACCCGGTGGCTACCAACGCGCATCTTCAAGGCTTCGAGGCTGCAATCCGCTCTCGCGGAGGCCTGAGGTTGAGTCTGCTTGGGTGCGCAATCCCCGCCCTGCGGTTTGCACATGTGATGCCTTATCTGGTCTGTGGCCCGGTGCAGGACACGGGCGAGAGCGAGCATGAGCAGCTCCAAGGATTTGTGCAGTTTTTAATGTCAGAAATGCGACATCGAGGGTTCTCGCCATTCCCCACCGAATCTTCGCCTGTAGCCGGCCTCATGCAGCTGAAGAATATTATCATCGTGCCGGCGCTGCTGCACAGTTCCTTGGGGTCATACCTTCAGCCAGAGGAGCGCCTTATCACACGCTTCGTCGATGAGGCTGCGTGTTTTCTCTCTATCTTCCTGATTACATTGACCCTGTGGCGCGTGAGCGAGTCGCTCCTGAGCACTCAGCTTTTTGTTACGAGACTAGACACAGTCCTGGAAAGCAGCTCGGCTTTTGATGAGCATGGAGCTCCCATGTTAACGTTGCAGGGGTTCATGTGGGTTGTCACAAAAGCTATTCAGGATTTCCAGGCTGTGTACCATGAGCTGAGTGAGGATCACGGACTGTGGCCAATCCTACATGGAATTGATGCTTTGCGGGTGTTTCGTGGAATGACTTCTTACAAAGCCCGACAGCAGGCGAGAAGGTTACTTCTGAGTATTCTCTATGGCGAGGATCTTACGTTGACGATAGGAAGAATATGTTAGAGGAATATGAGATGGGATTATCTATGCAATCCGTGCATTGTCAAGAACATTCCTTATCTACCATATCGTTCAATATGGACCCAACTTGTATTACTCCATCAGTTACGCCCAAGAAGCCTCCTCTCTATATGGGGCAGTACCTGTATGCCGTGTAGCAAAGACATGCCGCAGCAAGCCTAATCACCAGCTCGACCTCAAGACATTCGATTACTAATTCAGAGGCATGATCCAGTCAACGTGGCTTGGTGCGAAGTGCGAACCCGTACCCCGCCATTAGGCACGTTGGCCGTCGATCACATCATGATGGCCTGAGAAGTACCCTGGATACTTCGCAAAACCTACCTATCCCGGTTGTTCAGCCCAGCTATTCAGTTCTAAACTGGTTCTTCTTGTATTCGTTCGCTGCTACCTAGCGCTGATCTCTCAGATCTCCCTCCTATCTCGTATTCATCTCATTTCAGCCCTGTGCTAACGCAAAACCTTCCTATTGTGGTTAGCCTGGTTGTTTTAAGCATTACAGGACAAGTTGCCGCTTGAATCCGCTCCAACTTGAATATCCACATTCTTCGACTACTGTAGTATCGGCAGTGCGCCTGCGGCAGGAACGTCTCAAAAAGTCGAAAAGGATTGGTAATTCGCATCGATTTTGCCCCTGCCACCTACGTCACATCCATGAGGACCTGCTGCCCCTTCTGTGGTCTATTTTCACGATGGCCGGGAAGCCAAGGTCCTTGAAGGTCAGATCCCACGTTCGGTGCTAACAATAGGTGGTCAACGGCGAGCTACGGGTGATAAGGATCACAATGACCGACCGGAGCACCATTGAACTTTGGAATTCCCGATCCAAATCTCAGTGAGGATCAAACAGGATTCTTGATACGCATACGGATACTCTGTCTCTGGTACGATGGGCACCGCCACTCATCGCTGAGCGCTCCGCGCCAGCATATCATAATCTGAGGAGAATCCATTCAGACGAGCAGAAAAGAAGAAATCTCTCTTCAATCTCTTCATATTCTCTCCTGAAAGCCAATATATACCACTAATGCTGCAACCAACAATCAATCGTCTTCGTCCCAGGGGCTTTCCACACCCCGGACTACTACAAGACCGTTTGGGGCCTCCTCGAGGCAAAAGGATATGCCACAACAGCAGTTTCTCTTCCATCTGTCGGAAACACTACCTCGTCAATGAATGATGATGCCACAGCTACCCGCGCTGTAACCACGAAACTCGCCGATGAAGGCCATCAAGTCGTCCTTGTGATGCACTCCTATGGCGGAATACCCGGTACAGAGAGCGCGGAAGAGCTCGGCTGCGAATTCTGCCAGAACGCAGGCAAGCCTGGTGGGAGTATCGCGCTTGTCTATCTAGCCGCATACTTCCTCACGAAGGGGATGGGCGTAAGAAACGCTTCATGATGCTCAAAGGTCCCCAGGGACTTTGTATTCAAGGTTTCGAGATCAATCTATACACCTTATTTTCTACTTCCCAGACACGACGCGTGGAGCTGAGACTAACTAGCACATGGTTCTGGGCGGTTTGATCTTCCATGACAAGATGGCAGCCCTCGAGACCTTCTACAACGACTTCACGCCGGAGATGGATCCCCTGGGGTGGGAATCGACGTTACAGACGCAGTCCGCAACAACCATGCGCAGGGGAACTCGGTTACGAGTCGTACCGCGATGTCCCAACGACATATTTATTCTGTACGCAGGACAGAGCGATCCCGATTGATATCCAGAAGAAGTTTGTGGGGTTTGCGGAGGGAAAGATCTCAACCATTACGTGTGGTGCTGGACATAGTCCGATGATTTCGATGCCTGAGCTTGTTGTCGATGTTATATTGGGAGCAGCTCAGGCTTCGAAAAGCGAAGAGTGATTGATATAACTAGACGTTGGAGTCCTCTCGGTCTCAGCCGGATGCACACGCAGGCCGAGTCGGCCTCGCCGCAGCTTTGTCAGAACTGAAGGCAATCAAGCAGAGGACCAACTCTCTTTCTCCTGCAACCCATCTTTCTCTCTAAAGCTCGTATAGAGTAAGCATCTCACTAGCGCCGCAAAAACTGCCAGAATGTAGCTAGCGCACAATCTTAAACTAGCGGCCGCCTCAGGGGTTGGACCCCACAGGTCGAAAGTTCATTGGCTGAAAGACTCTATGATGCGATGCAGGGCTGCGCCGCTGGCTTGGCCAAATGGTCTCTCTTGAATGCTATAGATAGGTGCCAGCAGATATTTACGAGGCAAGTTGAGAATGTGGCGGTCTTTGCCGCTGTCGATTTCGCAATTCGCAACTTCGCTGGAGCGGCGGAGTGTTCAGCTGTACCTGAGCTGACATTTAGGAGACGCCGATTGGGTAGACGCTGATTTTTGATAGGTGATCTTAAGCTCTTACCTAGGTATAAATACAGCTGGGCATCGCGTTCATGGCCAAAAGAATCTTTTACAACACTTACACTAAGAACCAACTTTCTACGACGCCATGGCCCCAACCACAGCCCCGTGGGCAGATACGCCCTTCGACCTCGTCCCCAGTCCACGATTCACAGAGAAAAATGTCAGTTCCCAATTCCTCCTTGAACGTCCTTTCCCTTCCTTACCCATTACTAAATACCCATAATAGGCCGACCCTAAAACAATCTTCACAGCAAACGAAATGGCCGTCTCGCACAACATCTACATCCGCGGCCTAAACGCCATCTACAACCAGGCTCCACAAGTTACATCACCGGCAGAGATAAAAGATTTCCTCACATTCTGCCAGATCTGGCTGGAGGTTATTCATCACCACCACAGCCTTGAAGAGGAGATCATGTTCCTGGGAATTGAGCGGGATTTGGGGAAGGAAGGGATTATGCAGGGGAATCTCGAGCAGCACCGGGCTTTTGAGGGGGCGATGGAGGAGTTTAGAAGGTATGTTGAGAAGATAAGCACGAACCAGGGTAAGGGGGAGGAGTGTGAGAGGTATGATGGGGTCGTGCTCCGGGGTTTGGTTGATAAGTTTGGGGCGGTGCTTGTCGAGCATTTACATGAGGAGATTCGGAATCTGCTGCAGGTTGCGAGGGAATATGATGTCTCGGGGGAGGTGCTCAAGAAGAATTATTTGGCGTTTGAGAAGAGGTTGGTTGCGGAGAGTTCTTGGGTGAGTCTGCCTCACTCGCCTTATTCACTGAGCAGTGGCCTACTACTTCCTCGGGCGAGATTCAGTCTCTGTGAGAGATATACTAACAATCCCAGACCCGCCACCATCCATTCATCTTCGGCAGTCGCGACGCTACCTTCGAGAATGGCGTGAACGGCAACTGGCCTGCGGATGTGCCGTTCTTCATCCCGTATGTGATTTCAGGCGTGCTCTCGAGGAAGTTGGGGAATGGCGTGTGGCGGTTCTTGCCGAGTGATTTTCATGGGAAGCCGAGGTCCTTGCCGTTTGCTAAGCCATAGACCAGTTTGTGCTTATGAGAGTGGGGGAGAGAAGTAGGGAGAGTCTGGCGTGGTGGTTGCGACCTGGGCAGGCTCAGCGGGTTGTAAGTACGGAGTTGGTAAGGAAGAGCGCCTGTGTATGAGTGTCTACTGCTCTGGTAATATAGATATAATAATTCTCCGATTAAGCGAATTCGCATTTCACAACCTCTTGCCTAAGGTCTGACATATGGGCTATAGCTGAATCATCTGTAGCGCCGTGAGAAGAGATATATATAATGAAAGTGATCTCAAGTAGAGGGATCCAGGAGGAGACGCTCAAGGTGTATGCTTTTGTCGTTCGCGCATTGCCATAGACAAAGGATCGACTCGTTGAATGTCTGAGAATGGTTAAATGAGACTGAAATGCTTGGGGTTCGTTCCTGTTCGGGGAAGAGCCTGAATGGGGAAGGAGCGAGTATTCATGGCAATCAGATATCAGCGTAGTAGGTACTTTGCTCGAGAGCGATGCTGCAGGAGTTATTTCGATATAAATGAGGTTCTCAGCGTGGGACTTTGTCATGAGGAAAAGTGGTGCAGGAGGGAGTAAAGCCGTCTAAAGCACACCCGCCAAGCCCGGGGAGCGAAATGTAGCGGTGGCTGTCTCGTTAAAGCTTTTTAGAGCCTCATAATGGTTAGTCAGTGATGGTCGGCTACCCTATTGCCCCAGTGGCCTAGTGGTAAGGCGTGTGACTTCTATCCATGAATTCTTCTGAATGGAAATCTCAAGATCGCGGGTTCGACCCCCGCCTGGGGTTCTTTTTTTTTTTTTTTTTCCTGCCGCGAGAACAAAAAATCGTCCAACCTGGGTATATAAAGAGAGGTACGCATCTAATGTTTCAGTCTCTTGATTTCTTCAATTAAAGTACATGGATGGGCTCGGCCAACTAGGTCGTGTACGGTTGTGGAAGGCGCGAGGGGGCGGCGCTCGACAACTCTCATCAGAACCTCGTCTCGTCACCAAAACTCTGCCATTAAAGCAACCATTCTTATCACCATATGCACTACTAAGGAGGTAGCTCAGTGTTCAGTGTACTCATATCCTTTCTTCACCATCCGACTGACACATGTTCCACATCTACCATGACCTCGCAGCGTCTTGATATTTCGCCAACAGCGACACCCCCAACACAAGCGAGAGCGGGACTATACCCCACCATACCCAGTTCGAACCACCGCGCTTCTACGCAGTACGGCTGCCCTACTTCTCCCATCCATCCATTCTCCGCGCCGGCAGAGGCAGGAATCCAACAACCGGCCCGCCTGCTATTAACTTCGACATTCCATCAGCCATGTAGTTGGTCAGGTATGGCATGATATAGCGCCCTATCACCCGCTTGATAAAGCCCTTGCATGTCTGGAATTGACCAGCGAGCCTTGTTTCCTTGTATATCGCATGTGACCGGTCGTACCGCGCTTCTCGGAATTCGGCGACGAGGGCCTTGATATCTTGGTCGGTTGGAATCTGGTGGGATTTCGCTCTCGTATCGTGGACGAGTCGATCGAGCAGCGTGGATAGCACGGCGCTGTCTTCGATTGTGGCGTTTGCTCCTTGGCCTAGCGTGACTGTCATCAGGAGGTATTATCAGTCTCACGACATTGGACATTATATGCCATGAGGTGAAGTTAACCTTGCGCACAGCATCCCCTATCAACACAATCCGCCCAGATCCCCACGTCTCAAAAATCCCCTGTTCCGTCGCAATCATCGACGCAACCTTCTTATACTCCCAAAGATGCCTCACATAGACGCCCTCCGCGATCCTCACGCCCCCATACTTTCGCATACACATGTCCTCTGCGTCCTGCGTCGTAAAGCGCGGGACATCCTGATACGCATACACACGATCCATTGGACGGATCACAAACCAATAGACACTCTCTCTGTTATGGAAGCTCAAGACCACGTACCCGTCACCGTACACTGCTCCTTGTGGTAATAATATGCGCGGATCTGTGCTGACCTGGTGCTGCACCTGATCAATAGTTACTTATGCGGTTCAGCCCAGCTGGGCTTGCACTTTGCTTCGTCAACTCTTTGTGTGATCTCGCGTCCTCTTGGTTTCGCACCCTCGCTGCAGTAGAAAGAGACTTTCTGCTAGATATGTACGGGGGCCACGGCTAATAAGCCCTGAGCTTCCTTATCCCCTGATGTGCTCTCTCCAAGAGCGCGGTGTCCGCAATCTGCAAGACCTCACTCACCCTGCAGATCTTATCTCGGTCCGTGCGTGACGTCGAGTCCCCAGCTTCTGGTTTCGGCGAACACCCGATCGCCCCACTCCCTTCTGCAAGATCGGAATCAGTGCTCAATTTGGGTCTTGCGGAACGATCTCTAGGATCTCGGTGTTCCTCTTTCAGATACAATCTGTGGGCTTTGTCGGTAGAAGTGTCGCTCGGCTCCAAGCCTCAAACTGCGAATTAGCCGGCGAAGATCCAGCGTGCTACGAACGATCGAGTTTAGCTTGGGCGCCCACGAGTGGTATTAGAGGAAGAAAGATGCGTGGCCCGGTAAGTGAACGCTCCAATATGTTTTGTGTAGGGATCGGTAGGTATCGATTGTTTTGAGTCTTGGTTGTGCTTGGATGCGGCCGAATATACCCAACCCGACCGCTTTGTTACTCTACAAGAAGCGAGGAAATCCTGCCAGTACGCAATCCATGGGAACGGGCTAAACAAAGATTCTCGGGAATGCAGACAGATAAGCACTGGTTGTATCTTGTAGACTGTATGTATATCAACTGATAATGAATGCAATATATCTCGCGCAGAATGACTGACGGGTAAGTCGCAGAAGTAAATCGCAATCACGCCGCATGATCTAGCCTCAAATAACCTACTTGCGCGCCTCAAGGCTCGCTTTGATAGCTGCGAGATGTTAGTTATACTGATCGCTCACAAGGATCTGAGGTTGCGCTTACCATCACAGCTCGTCTTGGCGTCCCCAAATAACATCCGCGTCCCGGGCATGTAGAACATTGGGTTCGGCACATCAGCTATGCCTCGTTAGCTTCCTCGCTCACTGTTATAAATAGAACAGTTGGGAAACAAACCATATCCGCTTGACATGCCGCGCTTCATCACGATAACCTCCTTACTCTTCCAGGCCTGCAGCACGGGCATACCCGAGATTGGGGAATCCGGCTCCAGGGCGATGGGGTTGACGGTATCGTTGGCGCCAATGACGAGGGTGACGTCTGTGTCGGCAAAGTCATCGTTGATTTCGTCCATTTCCAACACGACTATGTTGATGTTAGTGGTGGAATTGGAGGGTAAGAGTGAGGGAAATGGAGACAGAGGGCCACGCACTATCATAAGGAACGGATGCCTCAGCGAGCAAAACGTTGCACTGACCCGGCATGCGGCCGGCGACAGGGTGAATTGCGAATCGGACGTTTATGCCCTTTGCGCGGAGCATGTGGGTGATTTCAGCGAGCGCGTACTGGGCTTTTGCGACGGCCATGCCGTACCCGACGATCTGGACGGGTTAGTATGGGGAATGAAGCTATTGCGCAGGATAAAGTACTTACGATTATGACACTTTCGGCGTTCGCCAGGGCATCGACTGTTTCTTCAACGTTTGTCTGGGTGACCTCGCCTTCAATCTTCTTGGCGGATTGCTGTGGTGCGGCGATCCCGCCGAAGAGGACGTTTGTCAAGGATCGGTTCATGGCCACGCACTGGATTTGCATTAGTAAAGTATTCAGACAAAGTAGGGTAGGAAAAATCTTACCATGATGTACGATAGAATCGAACCGCTAACTCCAATCAACGACCCGACGCTGGTTAGAAGAGGATTGTTAAGCATTAGACCTTCAGCGACTAGGGCGAACCCGGAGTACGCGTTCAAGACGGTGATCACGACCGCTACAAGCGATCAGCGAAAGTAAAGTAGAGCTGGGCTGGGAGAACGTACGCATATCAGCGCCGCCAATAGCAGCTGTCGTGGTGTATCCCTTCAAGAAGCTGAGCAGGGTATTCGCACCCAGACAAGCCGCGGCAATGCCCGGATTAGCCGGTGCCATGGTCACAAATGCACCCATTGTAGCCATATTAGTGCCGAGTAAGGTGGAATTGAGAAGGTGCCGTCCAGGGAGAATTAGTGGCCTCGACGAGATGCGACCTGCAAGTTTCAAGAATGCCACGATTGAGCCAGTAAAAGTGACGCCACCTATTAAAGTTAGCGAAAGCTTTTATGGGCATGGGTACAGTCCGTACCTATCAGTACTCCGAGGTATGCGGTAACCATGTGGAGAGTTGTGATATGACCAATATCAGCCAGAACACTTCCCACGCTGGTCAGCACAGCCGCAAGACCAACAACCGAGTGGAGTGCAGCAACAGTTTGAGGAAGCCCAGTGGGTGTGATGCGACGTCCAATCAACGCGCCTGATAAATGTTAGAATGTTAAAACTTATCTCATAATGAAAGCAACTTACCAACAACAGCACCCACACCAGCAACACCCGCAAACTGGGTCAATACCTCGGTAGAAAAGCCCACAGCCGCAAGCGACGCAAGAATACCAGCAGCAACACCGAGAATACCAAAGATATTTCCTCGTCGGGCAGTTTGCTGGGAGGCAAGTCCGGAGATGGAGCTGATGCAAAGAACACTACTGACGAGGTACCCAGCCTGCACGATACCAGCCATACCGGTGCTTGCAGCTGCAAGGAACCCGCCTCCAAACACGACGGCTGGAATAGCGTAGAGCCAGGGGTACTCTGGAGGATCGGTAGGACGTTTGAACATGTCCAGCATACGCTTCGTGATGACAAAACCGCCCGAGACGTTCATGAACGCGAGTAGAACGGACGCTGCTCCAAAGAATTCTGGAATCGTCGTGGGGGTATATCCACCGCCCATGATAAAGAAACCGCCTATTCCGACCATACCTGAAATTGCGTTGGTAACACTCATTAACGGAGAGTGCAGCGCCGGTGCTACACCCCAGACCGCACGGTATCCGACAAGACCAGCGAGGCTGAACGTGAGCATGTTGCTCATGAAGACGGGACCAGTTGCTTTGCCCAGCGCGAGCACGGTTCCCATTCCTGCAGTCGTAGCTGCCACTTCACGAGTGACCTTTTGCCACGGTGTCAAAGCAAGTTCTGCCTTTTCCGTCGACAGGGTTGCCGCAGCTTGTGGCGCGGGGGTTGGCGGCGGAGCAGGACGCGGCGCCGGAGGCAGAATATTACCATCGTGTGTGACTATCGACCCGCGGACAACTTCGTCGTTCAAGTCGATACCAAAAGCTTTGTCCTGTGGTGCCATGGAGAGCAGGAACTTGGTGATGTTGTTGGAGTATAGCGTCGAAGATTGCGTCGGTAGACGAGAAGGAAAGTCGGTATATCCTGAGCTTGTTAGCTAATATCTTCAATTTCTCCTGGGAGAAATACCAATGACAGTCACATCGTTGTACTTGGTTAATTGACCTGGAACAGTGGCTTCGCAGTTCCCACCAGCTTCGGCCGCCAGATCGACAACCACAGAGCCAGGTTTCATCGCGGCAATCATCTATGGTATGTTAGGTCGCTACTTTTCTTTGGTAGTAATATGCTTACCTCCTTCGTGATGAGCTTCGGAGCTGGCTTTCCCGGAATGAGGGCTGTCGTAATAACGATGTCAACCTCCTTGCATTGCTCGAGGAATAGTTTCATCTCCGCTTCGATAAACTCCTTGGACATTTCCTTCGCGTAGCCGCCTTGACCAGAACCGTCTTCTTGGATGCCAACTTCGATGAACTCGGCACCAAGAGATTGGACTTGTTCGCGAACCGCAGGTCTAGTGTCGAATCCACGCACGATGGCGCCGAGTCGGCGAGCCGAAGCGATGGCACTCAATCCCGCGACTCCAGCTCCAATGACCAGAACCTTACTCGGGGGAATCTTGCCTGCAGCGGTGACTTGACCGGTCAAGAAACGACCAAAATGGTTTGAAGCCTCAAGAACAGCCTTGTAACCAGCAATGTTTGCCATAGAACTGTCCGTTGTTAGCGTAATTCCCGGTATTCCAGTCGGAAACCTACCTCAGAGCATCGAAAACCTGAGCACGCGAGATTCTCGGAACCATATCCATAGCAAACGTAGTTGCGCCGCGGGAAGCGATCTTTTCTACAAGGGACTTATTCTGGGCCGGGTAGAGAAACGAAATGACGGTGCTCCCTGGATTCAGAGCCTCGACTTCGTTGAACGCGGCATCTTGCTGTGGTCCTCGTACTTTGAGGATGATGTTACTTTCGGTCCATACGGTAGCTTGATCGACTAGGGTAGCTCCAGCTTTTTCGTATTCCTGGTCTAGTAGCTGAGCCGCTTCTCCGGCACCGCGCTCTACGAGCACGCGCGAAAAGCCTTTCTTCCGCAGCAACGCGACATTCTGAGGTGTAATAGCGACTCGGCGTTCGTTCGGGAAAATCTCGCGAGGCACTCCGACTGTCAAGGACGAATACGGGACAACGGGAACGGGAGACGGGGCAGAGGAACTGGTGGCATATGCTCGAGTGAGGCGCGAAACACAAGAGCCAAACAGATTGTGGTGAAATGCGGAATGCGAAGCCGGCTGAACGCGATGGACTTGCAAGCGGTTAGAAACGCGTCCCAGGAGTTGAAGGCTCATTACTCACGCGACGGCTTAAACTGTTGACTACCTGCGAAGGTACTGGAAATCGCTCGGCACGGCCCCAGAGCCCAACGCAGGGAAAGAGACGCACGCATGTTGCATTCGGCGCGCTCAGCCTAAGAATGGTGGCTCATTCCAGGGTAGAGGTAAGTAAGAGAGTGTCCTCAGGTCATCCAGGGCGAAGTGGTGAGATTAAAAGAGGGGAAAGCAGTGCCGAGAATATAGCAGAGGAGGGGAAGTGTTGGTCGCATGAGCTTTGATCTCGAAACCAAGGCTAGTGGAAGGCTGTGCGGAGGAAGAAGAGGGGAACGGAGTTGCGGGGAGATCGCCGGCACCATTGCTAGGGATAAATAGAGCACATTCTTCCACGAGTCCCCGGTTTAGACGGACAATAGCCGGGGAGACTGGGCACCAACTCCATGGGTTCAGGCTGGACGATGAAACGGTAGACGGTGCCGCTAACAATGCGACCAGGAGCCAGGGCCGCCAAACGACCTCGGAAAACAGAAGCGATCAACATTCGGCACAAACCAGCAGTCATTGATCCTGCGGCTCCACTGTGAGTCAGGAGCCGAAGTGTACGGCATCTTGGTTGAGCAGAGAGACTTGAGGCATGACTGGTTGTGTTGGAGTTATGATCTCATCCGCCCCAAAGTTGAAGCTGCATTTAAGGTGGTTTACCCCACGGCCCGATCAGGTGATGCTGCACTTTCTGGATGGCTCCTGGGTGACAGCGGCTGTGTTATCAACCCGACCTTCTACACATTGCAGTTGCAGAGATGATTCAGCGGTGGATATGTGAAGCTCTGGATCCACCTCCACAGCTAAACGCTGCTTAAACCCGCCGCCGGAGTTGGCTCCCATCTCCAGCTCCACTGCCAAAACCTTACTGCCTCAGGCAGGAACAAGGCAGCAACATAACGTGACCAGCCCTGTTTTTCGGCGTCAACCTTCAACATCAACACTGTGGACTTGGGAGCCTTGATCAGGCTCAACCAGCCAACAATTGAGCTCTTTCGGATCCCCATAGATATGGATCTGGAGAATGGCCCAACACAAAGTTTTCATGCAGTGGGGCGATCAAGTCCCCTGTTCCGCTCCCTTGCTGCCAGTCTGTCTGCCAGCTGTTGCAGAGTCTTGTCTGTGATTCCCGCATCTTGCCTTCAACTCCCTCCCTTGTCTCATCAAATAATAACTCAGCCCTGACAAATTGAGATCAAGATCTTACGATTTGCCGCTCGAGTCTCAACAGCTGCTTTGTGACCGTGCTCTGCGACATCCCTGGTCACTAACGGTCTTAGTGGCTCTACTAAGCTCCCGGTGCCGACCCACGGAAACGCAGTCCACCCAGTCGCAGCCTCTGATTGGGATTTTTCTTCGCGCTGTGGCTCTGGTGGATGCGCGAGGACGTTCCTGAAGGCCTGGCTGGAATTGCGTGCGTTGAATTCTGGCGGAAGAGACATCTCCGATCATCTTATCCATCAGCGTCAGGGACCAAGCTGCAGTCAATTTCGACCTCGATGCGAGCCTGCGTAGAGGTTACGTTGTGAATCGCGATCTAACTGGGAGCAGTTAATCAATTTTTTTTTTTTTCTTTTCTTTTTTTCCCGCTCGTGACTGAAGGTGGGGTTGGCTTGACAGGATCCTGCTTCTATCATCAAACTTTAAAGCAAGCGCGAAGAAGTTTTTTCCTTTTCCCTGTCCTTTTCCGAGGTCGCCCTTTCGGACTTTCTCTTCGTTGCACCGCATCTTCTTTGCAGTGTTGATCGGTTGAATCCGTTCGCTTCGGCTACATTCGGCACCATGTCCTCGCGGCAACACGAACAGCTCATCGAGCAAGACCCTGTCGGGGAAGAGACCAGGAGTCAGACCGAATCCCAAGATGATGCGGCCCTCTTGGTACGTGCTTCAACCGCGCGGAATGATGAATGCTAACAAATTTTAGAGGACCATGGGCTACAAGCCAGTAAGTGACGGAACGGACGGCACAACTGTTGAATGAAGCGTACTCAATGCCAAGGACAGGTTTTACATCGGACGTATTCATTTTTCGAGAACTTTGCGACAACATTTGGTAGGTTCTACAACTTTATCTGTCCACGGCGAACAACCACGTTCTAACATATCGGGTAGCTGCACTGTACTTCATCGGTGGTGTCCGTGTCACCTTCAGTACCGGTATTGCGGCGGGAGGAAACTTGGCTTACTGGTATGCCCCTCGAGTTTGATGCCGAAACGAGGCTAACAGGCACAGGACGAGTTACATTGTCACAGTTGTCTTCACCTTCATCTCCGCAGCAGTTATCGCAGAAGTCTGTTCAGCGTCACCTTCGGCTGGTTCGATCTATCTGTGGGCAGCCGAGGCTGGCGGTCCCAAATTCGGACGACTGCTGGGGTTTATCGTCGCTTGGTGGTCTACCACCGCATGGACCACCTTTTGCGCCAGTAACACCCAGGCCGCGACAAACTACATGCTTTCCGTGCGTCATGAGTCTCCTTGCCTCATTACTTTTACTGACCTTTCATACAGGAGTTGACCGTATTCGAAGTCGACTTCCCGAAAGATGTATCGGACGTCAAGTTCCGGGCAGTGCAATGGATCGTCACCGAAGTGCTACTCGCCCTTGCAGCGTTCCTGAATTTTATGCCTCGTAAGCTCCTCACAACCCCTGACTCAGGCATATACTTATCCCGGCTAGCCAAATACTTCCGCTATGTCTTCTGGTTCTCGTCCGCAGTCGTCATGCTAGACTTTATCCTGAACGTCATCTGGCTCCCCATAGGAGTCGCAAACACCTGGGGCTTCCGAACCGCCGAGGAGGCCTTTATGTCTACCTATAACGGCACCGGCGCGCCTGCAGGCTGGAACTGGTGTCTTTCTTACCTCGCCACTGCGGGTATTCTGATTGGTTTCGATGCCTCAGGGCACGTCGCTGAAGAGACCAAGCATGCGTCCATTACCGCAGCACGCGGAATTTTCTGGAGCACAGTAGCTAGCGGAATCGGCGGTCTTGCATCGATTATCCTCTTCCTCTTCTGCGCGGTAGGTTATGCTTGGTTTTACGCGCCGCGGCTTGTGCTAACACATCTTTAGCCTACACCCGATGTCCTCTTCGGTTTCGGATCTCCCCAACCCTTTGTTCCCCTTTACGCCGTCGTGCTCGGCAAAGGCGGGCACATCTTCATGAACATAATCTGCATTTCTGCCCTCTGGCTTGTACGTACATTCCCCTTCTTTCCCCTGACCCCATCAAAATTTGCTAACCAGGCAAAATCAGAACACAGCCGTCGCCATAACCGCCGCGTCGCGCCTCGTCTTCGCTGTGGCCCGCGACGGCGTCCTCCCCTTCTCATCCTGGGTTTCAGCCGTGCATAACGGTCAACCGCGCAACGCTGTGATCGTCGTCTGGACAGTCGCCTCAATCATTACCTGTACCCTCCTCCCCTCTGCCGTCGCATTCACATCGCTCGTCTCCGCAGCTGGTGTTCCCAGCGCCGCAGCCTACGGGCTCATCTGCCTCGCCAGACTATTCCTCACACCCAACCGGTTCCCCAAGCCCGCGTGGAGTCTGGGCAGACTTAGCAAGCCATTCCAGGTTATTGGCGTCTTCTGGAATGGTTGGGTTGTTGCTGTGTTGTTCTCCCCGTACGCGTTTCCGGTTACCGGCGAGAATCTGAATTGTACGTTCACCGCCCATCCATCCCTCTTTAGCATATCTGCTGCTGTTTTCGGGGGAGTATCATGTACTAACAGACGTTCTAGATGCCCCCGTCATCATGGCCGCAGTCACGATCTTCGCTCTCGTCTCGTACTTCCTCATGCCCGAGGACGCCTGGTTACCCGCGAGCCGCATCTCCCGATTCGTCGACAGCAAGGGCGTCGTCAGCGAGACGGTTGAGGAAGTCGATTCCCGGGACCAACGGAAGGATGGAGAGGAGTCTGGGAACGCCTCTGCTACGAACGACACACCGGTCTCGAATTAGAATACTCCCGCCCTTCTCATGGCGGTGCGTCGAGTTGAGTTGAGCTCTGCCTTTGTTGGTAGATCGAAACGGTCTATATATCTGCTTGACTGGGTCGGTAATCGGTAATGGAGAAGAGTATGTAATAAAATGGTTGAATAGGGAAGGGGATTCTGTACGATTTCAGTGCAGCAGTGGTTCTACGAGCACTAGTGATGTATTGCTGGAACTGATCATACGAGGATGATAGAATAGACAACTAACTATAGTTCTAATGCCAAATGGCTTTTGTTGCTTAGTCAAGATCGTACCTAGCAGAAGGTTTCGTTAACTTTTGTTTTCCTGCGTAGATTCATCAATGTGATCTATATATGTAGGGGCTATGTGTGCCAAGATCCCGATCATGGAAGCTCCGCAGTATATATAGTGACTCGTTGCCGAAGAGCATTTCGAGACGAAGCTAGGAACAGATTCACCAATATAAGTTCCAAGTGTATCCTTATTTATCGCCCAAGCACGCGTATTTCGCACGCTGTATGTAAAGGAGATGGTATATATAGTATGTACGTGTTGGCGTCACTTGTAAAGATGGAATTTGGGGTTAGAGGGTATAAGCGATTAGTTGTAGAGGTTGTGTTTTGGATAAGGATGGGGTATCACTAAATCCGATGGCTTGCATCAGATACGACGAGAATTTGGGTGCTGGGGGGGCCGCAAGTCAGCTTTGGTGGTCAGGTGACGTGACGCCCGTCAAGGAAGGAGGATCGCCGATCGCACATCGTCCATGGTATCGACCCAGCCATCAGGAAAAGCCCGCTGCTTGAACCAGGCTTTTTCTAGCTCTTCTAGGCCCTTTTCGACGTTCTCGATATAGTCAGTATCGGCCAAGGTAGATCATTATGACATAGTAAGGACAGCATACCTTGAACCCATACCGCTGCATATCAAGCATCATCTCGCGAACAAACTTCTGTTCGTGCTCGTCGCGGGATTCTCGGCCCGCGATGAAGAGGGGCCAGGGAATCGCCAGGCGTCCAACGTCCTTCGCCAACTTTCGGATCAGGGTGAGGGTTCTTGTGCAGAGCGCAGCTAGTAACTCTCTCTGCGGCTGGATATCGGGACGGGCGGCGGCTGCTACTTTGTGGAGGTAGATATTCGTCGCTTTCTCGTAGGCCTCGATGCACCCGACGTACTCTAATCCTTCCGGGTGAGGATACCGGGCTAAGCTTTCGTCGTCAAGATCGCCGAGCTCCTGCAGGCAATCCGGGGCATCAAGGCGCCATTGGACGAGTCGCTGTAACAGATCAGCGTAGACTGCGTCTTGTTGCTCCGGGGTCATCCAGCCATGCTGTTTCGCTTTCCCGAATGAGCTGATGGCGGCCTGGATTTCCATCATTACCGACCAGCATTGTCGGAGGTTGAGAAGGACGTCATGAACGGGTGACGTATCCGGCGACGAGAGGCTTGGGATGCCGAGGTTATATTCCCATCCACCGCCGAGTGTTTGCCAGTAGCTGCCTTCGACGACGGTTCCCTCACTTGTTGCACACGCGCCCGCAACGTCGAGGTAGGAAAGGAGCGAGACGAGGAACTGTCGGAGCGGGTGGTTCATTTCGGCGACGCGTTTCGCCTCCTGGGCTGGATCGCTGTCCGGGGTGAACATTGCTCGATAGATTTCGCGGGCGCCCTTGAGGTGGATCGCCCAGTTGTGGTGTTGAGAGTCCATCATCTGCTAGATTTAGTATAATAGGAGCCAGAAAGGCGAAAGAAAATACCTCGAATAATGCTAAGAGCAGACAAGTAGCAAAATCCGGGAGCCGAGGGTGCTGATCGCCATCGTTATACCTAGTCCGAAAGGACTTGACAACCTCGCCGTACCTGCTCATGGCGTTCTGAAAGTGTACATTTCGCTGCTGCCCACTCGACGTGTTTGCAAGGTGTAGTGCACCAAGAGCTTCCATGGCGCTCGCCATTGACGGCGATGATTGTGACAGGTCAGGGAAACATCTTCGAAAAGGATTGATGCTCAGAGAGTTATCGTAAATAAGCAAGAGCGTGGAAACTTCATCAATAAAATGTGTATAATAGCGACCTTGGAGAGAATCCATTGACGAAACAGACGGCTTGTAGTGTTCAAATAAGAACTGTATCGGCTTCGGGTTCGTATTTCCGGTAGTCGGGACCAGCGCCAGATCTACAGCATCCTCCTCGTGCTCCTGTTTCACCACCTTTCTGTTCTCGACGGAAGACGATCGATACGATAAAACCGGGTCTTCGAAGCGAAACGTGATCGGTTTCGAGTCGGGAGCCGTTGTCGGCGACACGACCAATCCATCAACGTTCTCGTTCTCATTGTGTTCTTTCTTGACCCGTCGCTGGTTCGCTCGTGCCGTCGACTTTTCGCGTTTTTTCGAGGAGGTAGTAGGTTGTTCGGTCGGCGGCGGTGGCCCGTATACTTTGAATGTCATCCGCCCTTGACTTCCATCGCATTCAAGTCCGAGTCGCGTGCAGTTCTTGCACGAGGGCGAAGCTTCGTCGCAACGCACATGGCGCCGGCGGCAGGTGGAGCAGCCGGTGAAGCCTCGATGATGCCATCGCCGAACGCGCTTCTTCTTCTCTGGTTGTGTAGGTACGGAGGGATCGTCCGATGCGGGAGGCTGAGGAGGCTGTACCGGGTCACAGACCATCGTACGAATCTCCATGGGGAGACAAAGCGACGCCGGGAGGAAAGCTGTAAGACAAAGACATGGAGGGGTGAGCTGGCGGGCGAGGGGGTGAGATTAGGGGGCCAAAAGTTACGGGCGCAATCAGGTCGGGCGAGGCATGATGGGAAGGGAAGATGACTGGAATTGAAGGAGCGGAGGAGGAAGAACGGAAAAGAGAAGCGCAGTGAAAGAACCTTGGAACGGTCGGCGAGTGTTGAGCTGGAGGATGAGACTCTCTGACATGCTCGAGTCGGCGGCAAACCGCTGGATCCAGTGGGGGCCAACCCAGCTTCCACCTCGCACTTTGCCCACACTCCCACCACCAGTATTCACCCTTGCACCACGCTATTGGCGCTTCCTGATTCTGATGGGAGTAATCTCTTACTCATGGTCGGAGATCTTCCGTTGGAACACCTCGGCAATTTATTGAAGCCGATATGATGTACGTGCGGCCCTGGCCTCACCGGCATAACGGCCCCCAAAACGTCGCTTTCATTTACTCGATTCAGAAAGCCAGAACCAGACTTGACTGGAAAGTCACGACTCGGAGAGCTCCACGTCTCTCCACTTTTCTACACTTTTAACGTTTGATGGACGATGATCGCCTGGTTGTTGAGCGCAGTGTCCACAGCAATCCCCACATATAGCTTCAAGATATATTTTGAGCAGGATGTGAAATTCTGCAAGCACGCTATTGACAGCAGTGATCCAATTCTCCGCCCCATGGAGCTACTTAGCACCGTTTCTGAATCATTCGGCTGTCGCTTATTCGTTGCTTTCATCTGATTTGACTCATTGGCTCGCATCGAAAATCGACTAAGCCTGGGGTAATGCTAGGCCACGCTGAAGAACTTCGGACGGAAGGATCAAGGATCTGATCCTCTGCAGCGTTCGAGATCTGAAGAAACTGCGTAAGCGATCATTGCAAGGAATAGCTTCTGAAACAACGAATGGCAAGAATCATAACCGAGAAATGCCCGCGATTCGCAACGTCAAGGCCATGCTCAATATCAGGTCAGTAAATCGCTACCCTCCAAGACCAGAAGACCATCGTTATCAGTCGGATTTACAGTAAGACGTCAACAAGCTCAAAGAAATCGATTACGGAAGATAGTGCACCTTGTTTGGGCCAAGCCCTAAAGCATATATACTACTTATTTAGTTCAACCAGCGGGAATGGTGCCCCATGCACTTCCTCAGTTGTTCGATATAGGCGGCGTACTCTGCGCCATGTGAGTAATATATCATAATGCAACATGTAACACCGCTGCTGCTGTGCCTGATTTACGGCCTCGTGGCAAATAGGGCTGGTGTAGATCTTGGTGCTAAGGATGCTCTCAAATAAACGTTTTATGAAAATAACAAGACCCTCTAAATACTCCTTTATCTGATACACTCAGATTATCTAAGTATGGACACTGCCGTTCGCTTATTGTCTGAACTAGCATCGCAGAAAAAGTGACACTTCGCTTGTCATCAGGGGCATCTACGACTATGGTAGCTCTGACAAGAATAAAGAGTGGCAGGGATACAACCGCGCTTGCTACTACTACTTATGCGAGACGACTTCTACACATTGTCCCATGGTTGCATCTGAGGGGAGGCAGAAACAGCCCGAGGGTAGGTTTCGATCCGACTTAGACGGCGTTAAAGTAACAAGAGCTACAATGCCTGCGCAGCCTCTTCATTACGGATCGAGCGACGACAAAAATGATATAAAATAGAGGAAAGGAGACCACGTTGCTGGTACATGTAGCTTGATTTTCGAAAACGAACAAAGTGCGGCATTGGCTGAGCCTTAATGGGGTACGTAGCAGAGACGGCCGAAATATCTTATGGCTTCATGAAAGACCTGGAACCGGAAAAACGACGTTAATCGTCGTGTCTGTTAATAATTCCAAGAGAAGCCCTACTTTCGTGATGAGGATAAAATCCGTGTATACTTTTTCTGCGATGCTAGTTCAGACAACAAGCGAACGGCAATGTCTATACTCAGGGCCCTTTTCCACCACCTGACTAGACAGCGTTCGGAATTCATCCGGCACCTTCTGTTAAGATACCAACAGGGGTGCCTAGTTGTTTACCTCTTTCTATGGGCTATGGGGTGTTCTGATGGATAGCAGCCGTGGATCCGGCGATATGGATATCTTCTGTCTTATTGATGTACTGGACGAATGGGATGCAGAGCTACAGCAGACACTCAAACTTGAATATCCTGCCCACGAGCAGACAATGCCCCCAAATCGGGCAGTATTTATTCTCTTACAAACACATAAATGCCCAGGCCGCCTACTCCACTGTGAATGAGGAGTTGAGGAAGGTCATACGCTCCGGGGTCAGTACTTTGGCGAGGCATAAGGACTATCCGAAGCGAGTAGCTACAGAGGTAGCACGAGTACTCGAGCAGAGAGCGGAACGAACGTTCCTCTGTGTCGGCATTGCTTGTGATTTACTACAGCTACGCGGTGTTTTGGCAAGTGAGCCAGTCACCACTTTGAAACATCTGCCACGCGGTCTACACTGTCTGTATTCGCAACTCCTGCATGCCGCAATCAAGAGGAAGAAACACAATGAGGCTACTAGATATCAGATGCTTGGCTTTATCATCACTTCTGGCAAGCCACTGACCGTGGAGCAGCTATGTGGTGCATGCCACTTGTATCCCAACAAAGACTAAAACAGTCGCTTGTAACTCACCTGTGAGATCATTGCTCTGTGTCTCTCATCTATTATTATTAACAAGAGACATGTCCGACTCCTTCTTGAAAACGTAGAGACTTTCTTGTCAAGGGAAGTGAAGCAAGCCATAAGCTGGAATCCCAGACGCTGTTACGCTAGCACTGTATTGGGAACATACAGTTAACGCTCAATTTCTTTCTCGACAGGGTCAATTTGTTCAAGTTCTTGGACTGGGAGATCCTAGAGGACTTTTACCAGTATAGTTTGTGGATTGGCCTGTACATGCTAGACTCACGCTAAACAGGTTCATCGTTGCGTAGCAATATTGAAGATTCTTCACAGTGACAAGAAACAGGCATTCCAAGATATATCCGGCCAAAAAGAACATGTTGGTGGTTATGTATCATGATGGGGCATTCCCACTGCGCGGCCTACTCCCGCGCAGTCTTTTAGATCGAGATGCGTCTGTATTGAACCGCCGAGTGATAATCCCCATTGTTGGCTATGACTATGAGCTCCAGATGAGCACTTGGATTTGAGGCGACTGTTAGTCATCTTGGCCCCGCCCCCCTTCCCGCTAACAGTCGGTATTGGCGAACTTGACAGAGCGCCACGGCTTCAGGAAAGAACGCAGCCATGGCCAAAGACGATGCATCATTCATGTGGGCAGTAACGATGAAGCTATCTAGCTGGGAAGCTGATAGATATAGCTGGATGACATGGAAGAAGCATGTGTGCTAGAACCTTCTACGGGAGAGAAAGGAACTGGGCTTCCAACAGAACTACTCCGTAGTAGGTTGTTTTAGAAACCCTCGAGCGGACTTTCAGTGGCTACTGATTTCTTGTCCTTAAAGCGTTCGACTCCATGCACAAGGATTAGAAAATGAGCAGCCAAGTCCCCTGCAAAGGCGAACCCGGTGACGATAAGAGAATCTTTTGCTGCCGCGGCAAGAGCGTGGAAGTGACAATTTACTTCAGAGCAAGTCATCCTTCGGAACGGGCAAAGTATCTATACAGGTGCACTATGGATTCGGCAACAGAGGCGTAGTTCCACGCCGTTACGGATGCCACGCGACGAGCTGTAAGGTGTAAGTTGTGGTTTGGTAAGCGGGACTTAGTTTGTGTCACTGTATGCTGTATATTATTTCTCATCGTGTTGCTGAGCAGCATTCCCTGAAAGGAGGATTTAAAAAAAAGCCTTGTCTATAGGTGCTATTATTATTCCTCAGCCCCCCTCAGAGCGCCCAGTGCCAGGCTCAGCCACCCTCCTGCCCGTGAATCAAGTAAATATTTAATCCCCGTGTTGTCCGCTCGTTCCTCCGAAGTTTATTTTCAGTTTCTCTTAGCTCTCCACATCCTTACTCGCCGTACTTGGGCTGACATGAGCATTAGACTCCTAGCAATTATTCAAACGCAAGGACTCCTGCGGAAGCGTCGTCAACATCATGCTGCGCTGCAAAACGAACCGCCTAAGCGCCCCATATGGCACCTTCTCTGCCTAGACTGACGAGGAGACAGAACAAGCGAAGGAACAAGAAACAAGCTACTCAGACCGAGCACTACAGAAATCTATTCTTCGCAGCATTGCGCATACCTGGTTAGTCTTAGGACGTTGAGCGATCTAGGAAAACCATCGGACCTACTTCAATATCGACCGATCATTGACATAGATTCCATAACCTCTCAGCTGGCCGAACTAGCTTTGACATGCACGCCCCAAGATCGCGTTGAGGTATCCAAATTTAGAAGACATTTGGAGAAGCTGGGCCGAGAAGAACTCATTACCAGAGTCACTCAGCTACAGAATGCAGAATTCCACGCTAAAGCAATGTCACTTCTGAAGACCTTCGTTCAGGACTTTTCTGAGGGTGGGCGCCCCGGTGAGGAACTAGAAGATGCATATACTGCAAGTAGAAATAGCGACATCTTGTTCTATGACCCTGACTTGGACTCCCTTGTGAGCGGATGGAAGGATTCATTGGAGCGTGAAGATAGTTTATACCTGCTTGATTTTGATAGGGGCCAAATGACGCTGCTGTTGATTATACTGAAATCACAAGCTCTTCAGAAGGCCGTTAGGGAGGTGTTTGAGAATAACTACTTTGACAGACCAACCAGGTCGTCACTGATGTCGAGGCTGGAGGTGCTGGACACGTATTTTGAGGCTGCGTGCTATACATTGGATATCCCCGCCAAGCCTCTCGCATACCTTGGCCGTGACAAAGACCAGTAAGTGTCCACAGTTACTACCATATAGGTGCGAAATATTGACATTTAACCTATGGGAGCAGCCCGGATGCAGAATCTAAGCGCGATGACGAAAACGACTCGAATACCACCACAACTCCCACCTCCAGACCAACCAACCGCCGCACCCCTTTCGTGTCCGCGTTCCTCGTGCCTACGGTCTGCATATTATCATGCATACCTGCAGCCCTCGCCTGGATCCGCGCCAACGACAAAGAGGGAACTGTTGCAGACGTGGATTTCTTCCAGTTGCTCTCCTCGGCTTGCCTCCAGTTACTCGGTATAGCCACCGCGCTTTGGCCCGCCATCACAAATCTTCACGAACCACACTGCACGTATCATAACCTAAGCCATAGCGATATTGAACGGGATTCTTACTCTGGACGCGATCCCTTTATACCTTGCCATTCCTATCCGCTGGTCCGCGCTGCTCCTGTTTGGTGGTTCTATTCTCCAGGCGTTGGTTCAACTGCAGCTTGTACTTGGCATCTATGCTTTCAAGGAGCATCACAGCTAGTGCACTTCTTTAAGAAAGGATGCGGTACTTCGCGTCTGTTTGGCGACAGTCTCATTATTGTGCATGTTCACGGTTTGCCGACTCGAACAAACGGGACTACTTTGGAAACATCGAGACACTCGCACTAGGACTGAGTACAAAGATACCAAGAAAGTACCACGTTAGCACATCTCTGCCAACATATGCTGTAAGACAGCCTGATAAATCTAGCCGCAGAAATAGCAGAAGCGTGTGCGTACCAGGGCTTTGGCCTATGCACCAGCACTACCTGAATAAACGTACCACGCGCGATATTCACCATGGAGTGGACTGTGAAATACGATGATAAGTACATGTATTAACAGAGTTTCCTGAGAAATATGCATTGCACACCCCAGTGAAACCATTCGTATAACGCAGCCTAGGGCTCGGCGTCCGCGGAACTGGTGTACTCCACAAGTTCGCATAGCTCAATCTAGGCCTCGGCGTCCGCGGAACTGATGTACTCCATAAGTGGTTAAGACTATACAAGATCTGGTCTAGTGGCTTCCCGGCGTCCGCGGAGTCACTCTTCAACCCTAACCTTGAGCTATGTCTAGAGATTAGCTATCCTGCCATAATCAACGTGTAGAGTTGCCCGGATCTGAATCTTTCCGTATCCGACCAGGATCCCTCCTGGCTCCTGTTCCATCAGCTCCAGAGATATAAATTCCGAGTCAACCGCCTCCCTTTCCCTAAAAGCAGATAAAGGAAGAGAAGCAGAGTTTGGAAGCCCGCCACAGTCACGGTCATATTCGTGTCTATAGCTCACCAAGCGTTCATCTCTACAAATACACTAAACCAACTCTCAACTACCATGGTCGTCGTCGCAGTAGCGGGTGGAACAGGTGGGCTGGGCAAAACAATCGTCCAAGAGCTACGGCTCCACGGCTCTCATCATACGTGCTATGTTCTGGGGCGAAAGGTTTATCATGAAAACAAGAATCCGCTGTCCCAAACAAACACAAGCTGACCCCAGCTCATAGGCTCCAAAAGACGCAACTTTCGGCTCTGCCTCGTTCGTTCAGGTCGACTACGCAGATGTCGTGTCCCTTACCAAGATCCTAGAAGACCACCATATTGACACCGTCATCTCGACTATCAACCTAGAGACCGATGCGGGGAGTGAGGCGCAACTAAATCTCATCGCTGCTGCAGATGAGTCCAGGGTCACACGCCGTTTCATTCCCAGTGAGTTCGTACACGTCATTAACGAAGAGTAAGTACTCAACACCATTGAAACAAAACGCGGGCTAATACGCAGTCAGCAGTTCAACGTCGGACCCTACCATGGCCGGCTGGGCTTTGAATGCACGAGCTCTCAAGAAGACCGGACTCGAATACATCCGTATCTCGAATGGATTGTTCTCTGACTACTGGGGTCTACCTCATATTGAGAGCAACCTTTGGCCCTTACATTGGTTCCTAGACATTGAGAAGGGGCTGGCTGCGATTCCCGGCACTGGAGATGAAAGGTTTACTGTTACGTACAGCAAGGATTTCGCTCTAGTCATTCTGAAGCTCCTCGATGTTGAAGAAAGGTGGCCTGAACGCCTGTACTTATCTGGGTCGGACATTACCCTCAATGAGCTCGTTGCCCATGCAGAGAAAATTCGAGGTATTTGGTCTCCACACATTATCTTATCTCCAATGCGCCACCTAACAAATCAGCAGGTTCGAAGATCAGAGTCATTTATGACCCCGTTGAGAAATTGGAACGAGGAGATGTGACCCTCTTGTGGCAACCTGACGATGTCCCTGAAGAACAATTCAAGCCATTTTTTGTTGGTCTTTGTCAAATGATCCTCGCTGGGCACTACCTGCTGCCCAAGGACAGCGATTGGCTTGCCGCAAAGTTCCCCGACCTTCATCTTACAACCGCGAATGAGGTTCTGGATAGGGCCTGGAAGGGGAAAGAGTTTGCAACCTGATCATCATTTGACCTTGCGAATATTGGAAGCCTCATTCCTTTGTCTTCCACGGAAGGTTCTAGATACATGTATCACATGTCTTCTTTCATGTCATCTAGCTATATCTAGCGGTTCCCTAGCTAGATAGCTTCATCGTTCTACACAAATGCATGCATCATATTTGGCTAAGGCTGAGTTCTTTCCTGGAGCCGTAGCGCGCTCCATCAGCAATGTATTGCACGTTGCTGTGGGGTTACAATCCGGCCATAGCTTGTCTCTAGATTAACTTCGAACACGCCGAGGACTTGTGCATACGAGCTTATGCATACAAACTGTATCATACGACTTGACCCCACTCGGATCGGAGCAAAATGGCGTAGTTGTACTTTGCACAGGAAATGATTGGGATACTGGTGTCGCAATTGTAACACACCTGATGCGATTTTTATAATAAGGCGTGATTATGGCGTGCCAAGTGCAGATCGCAGATTGATAATCACAACCCACTTACCGACGGGCCGCTGATAGTTGGTGTAACCGAGGAAAGCTTGGAACGTTTGACTAACTTAAGAGCAGGGCCCTACCCGCAATACGATGATAATGATGATGATGCAGGACCAGCCTTCTGGACCATGGTATAGGGTTGTACATCCCTGGTCGGATTATACCAACCACAATCCATGTACTTGCGGACAGTTGAGAGGAGGCGTTGGAAGAGGCTTCTTAAGACCCACGCATTCATTTCAATGTCCTTCTCCACGCTGGCTGTTGATTGTATCATTCGCCTGTCTCATGTTGACATCCCTTAGTCCCACGCCAATGGAATAGAAATGGAGACAATAGGCGAGAGGATCATCGGACATTCCTGGCCCAAGTATATAGTGAGCTCATACGCCAGATGCTTTGTTTTTTTCTCCAATCGCCGGCTCCTCTCCATTCTTGGTGTAACCACCCCTTGCTTCGATTATTTGACAACGTCAATTTCTAACCCCGTCGCTATCAGCGACCACCCCCCCAAAAAAATATCGAGGGCAGAGTTAATTTTCTCAAGAATCCTCAATGTCCCCACGACACCGTTTCATCGGTCGCGCCGACAGTGTCCAGCAAGTACATAATACCAGCGTGCAGTATGTCAGCGAAAAGGGTGGCAATGATGCACCACCCACATACCAGGACGCCTCTGGTGCACCGGTCGAAAAGGCCTCGCCGTTGGGGTACTCTGTTGGTCCTGTCACCATCACCCTCCTGAATATCACCATGATGATTGGGGCTGGTATCTATGTTACACGTGAGTGATTCAGCCGTTCATGGCACGTCCCGAATGCAGTGCAAGAGGACTAAGTTGCTCCAGCGCAATCAATCTTGGCTGGCACTGGCTCTGTCGGAGTGAGTTTTGTATATTGGACGCTTGGATACCTGGTAAGCATCGCATGTATCCCGCCTCAATGGCTTTTACCTGACATCAATGCAGCTGTGCCTCGCGTCCGGCGCCGTGTATCTAGAATTTACGGCCTACTTCCCCAGTCGCTCTGGGTCCGAAGTCGCGTACCTAGAACAGGCCTATCCCCGTCCAGCATGGTTCTTCCCGACAACCTTTGCGGTGCAGAGCGTGATCCTCTCATTTGGGAGCGCCAATGCTACTGTAATGGCGAACTATCTCTGGGCTATCTCGGGACGTGTGGCGACCGACTGGCAAATCAAGGGGACTGCTTTGGGCTGTTATACCCTTTCCACGTTGAGTACGTCCTGATTTCCATTCATCGTTCTGCATGATCTCCGGAATTCAAACTTATTTGACCTTGTTAGGCCTGATCTTCAACACAAAATACTCGTACTGGTTCTCCAACGCAATAGGCATCGTCAAGGTCTGCACTTTGCTCTTCATCATTGTCACTGGCTGGGTTATTCTGGGTGATAATACGAGGGTTGAGAACCCCAAGGCTCACTTCCAGGACGCGTGGTCTGGGAGTTCGACTGCTACGGCGTATGGTTTTACCATTGCGCTCTACCGGATCATCTTCTCCTATGGTGGGTATAATAATGCGTTTAATGTTGTGAATGAGGTCAAAGTATGTAATGATCTATATCCAAGGCTCAGAAAGACTTTGGTACTACGGAGTAGCTAATGCTGCGTGTGTAGAACCCCGTCAAGTCACTGCGTTTGTACGCCACCATCGCCCTGACTACAGTGTATATCCTGTACATGTTCGCAAATGTCGCCTTCTTTGCCGCCGGTTAGTTTAAGCTCTACTCATAGTCAGCCACTGTCTCAGCCAGTGGCGCAGTCACGACTGACAGAACATTCCACAGTCCCTCCCGAAGAACTCAAATCCTCCAGCCTCACCGTCGCCAGCCTCTTCTTCAGCAAAGTCTTCGGCAACGCGTCCGGAATCCGCGGACTAAACTTTCTCATCGCCCTCTCCTCCTTCGGCAACATCCTGGCCGTGCAGGTCGGCCTCTCCCGCCGCATTCGCGAATGCGGCCGCCAGGGCGTCCTCCCCTTCACGCGCTTCTGGGTCTCCACCCGGCCCTTTGGGACTCCACTCGGTCCCTACGCCGTAATCTGGTTCATGACCGCCCTGCTGATCCTAGCGGTTCCCGCGGGTGATGCGTTTACGTTCGTCAACGACCTTGCCATCTATCCCCGAGCGTTATTTGATCTTGCCATGGCGGTGGGGATTTATGTTGTACGGTGGAGGCGGCGCCGTGCGGCTGTGCCGTTGCCTGAGCCGGAGTTCAAGGCATGGCATGTGGCGATCTTGTTTAATATCCTTGTCCAGGCGTATTTGCTCATCATGCCGTGGTATCCGCCGCCTGGTGGGCGGTATGCGGGGGACGTGAGCTTTTGGTATGCGACGTATGCGGTCACGGGGATTGCAATGTAAGTCCGTCATTTTCCTGGTTACATACGCAGAGTGCTAATCTTATCACAACAACAGCCTCGTCGCATGCGCAATCTACTACGCCATCTGGGCATACGGCCTACCCAAGTGGAAGGGATACCAGCTTCGACAAGAGCTCATTGCGCTCGACGACAACGGGACACAGACGAACCGACTGAAGAAGGTTCCGAATGCCGAGGTCGCCGCGTGGGACGCTGTGCATGACGCTGCCGGGCGCCGGATTGATTCTGAGCGCCAGGACTCCGAGTCACAGCCGTCGTTTGTTGACCAGATTCCGGTTGAGACGAAAGTGGCTGCTGTGTAGACTGACAGTAAGCTGGGATATACGTATGCTATCTTGTATGGATTTTTGGTTGATTGATGGAGGGCGGAGTGTAGTGAGAGCGTTTGCACTTGAAGGTTGAGTTTTGCGAGGTGTGATGCCTGCGGTGCACTATAGCTTAGCTAGGTATCTCTGGTAAAGAAACCGGGCATCCGGCCTAACGAGAAATCAATCGCATGGTATACCGCAATACCTTACTTTAACTCGCTGTGGGAAGTATCTTTGTGGAGGTTCTGCCCATCCTAATCAGATGGTGGGCATCGGTAGGAAATAGAATCTGGGACAGTGTGACGATATGCGAGCACCGACTGAGCGACCTCTTTGCCTTCAGGTGTCTTACCTGTTTGCCGCTGTTTCCATCCATCCAACAAAACAGGACAAGGGCGGCTGATCAGGGGAGGAGGCCTTGGCGTAAATGGATTCTTTGAGACAAGGCAATGTTGAAAGGATATATCCCGCCATACCAAGCCAATGGGACGGTTTTGGACCGCGGCGAATAGCTGTATAAAGAGGCTTTGAAGGCGTTTCGAGTCCAGTTATAAATACAACCGCAACTAACCTACTAGAGTGGTCTTTGCCATGTTCTGGTTACCACTTTCAAATTGGGCTATCCACTCAATTATCCCCGAATCCGATCCAGATATATCAAAATACCCTTGAAGAGTCCCTACTACTAATCACCATGAAAGAAGCAAAGCGAACTCAAGTCCCGGATTTCGTCAAGAGAAAAGGCCAAAAGGGCTGCTTTGGTAAGCAAACCCGCACCACCCTTTTTTTCAATCCTAAACATTTGCACTACAAAAACGTTTCAAGCATGTTGACTAACCTTGACCTACTCACAGATGTTGATTCTGCGGAGGAGTTCGCATGGAATGGCGCCCACTATGAGCAACAGCCAGAGGACTGGCGCCCGCGGCATGCTAGTTCCACCAACTATTCGGACAAGTTGGTCCAGTTCCAGGTTGACATGGAACACGAAGTGAACCGTCTTGTAAAGCTGCTGAAACAGCAGGGGATCCCTCGCGGGACAGAGTCGATGGTCCGAACTGACGTGTTTTCCCGCTACGCCATGCTGCTAAACTACCTGGTGGCGATTCGAGGGTATGTCTGCAGATGTCGGATTCGAAAGGCCCCCATCAACATGGGGTGGGACAAGGCAAGTGAACTCTCTACTACGGTGCTTTATTACTGGGTAGTGCCGAGGCCAACGGTCGGAGCTGGGGAGACCTATGAATGGGAAGCTTATGTGAGTGCTGATAGGTGGCAAGATTAGAATGGATGTTAGCATTCCGTCAGTATGGAACTTGGTTATCTACTACTTAGTTTTGGAGTGTTGTAATACAGTTCATCTCCAGTGATATAGTAGCTTCATGAAATCGTGGCCTCTGTTGAACAAGGCCACGTTAAGACACGAGAAATGTGCAATATTTTGTAGGCCTGTACGATAGTTCAAGATGCCTCAAACATAAAGCTAGTGTAGAGAAAGGATACAACTTCGACCAGGCTCTATTTAGTTTCTGAGGTGTTACGAGAAGAACCTAAAGTGTCCATTAAGATAACTACATACAAGGAAAAAACCACCTGGCATGTCAAATCCCGCGCCGTTTAACAGTGCAAGTTCCACAAGTTTGGATCGCACAACGCCGGATGTTTTGAGGGGCCATCCTAGGGTACTATCTGTCGCGCACATGGTCTATAGTGTTCTTGACAACCACGCAGACGACAAGAAACAGTCCACTAGAACCAAGCATTATCCCTCCAATTGCCGCGTTGTAAAACATACCTACCGTGACCGGCACATGCCCAAGGCAGCCCACGGAACAAGGAGCTGCCAATAGCCGGGTGGTAAATTCCACCAGGCTGTCTGGACCGCCCACATCGTCAATCGTGTCACGAAGCTTAGCACCGCGCGTTTCAGGAACAGTGCAACGATGGCAGTAATGTTGGCAATCAGAAACGCCGTTCCGACGAAGTCTAGGAGAAGAGACTTGAGGTCGATGACTCTAGTAGACATGCCGAGGAGCGAAGAGGCCAGCGCGCAGGGTAAAAAAAAGATGTTGATTAGGCTAATCGTCCTGAGGTCCGAAGCTGTTTGGATATCGCGCATAATCTCCAAAAAACTTCACAAAGCTCTGAAGCTGGTTGGAAATGCGGTCGGCGCGCGTGTTGACTTGATCTTTGATGGTCTTAATCTCAAGAAGAAGCTCTATCAAGTCGAGGGACGGCTGTGCATTCTCGCCGAGTGATGAGGCCTCGATCAGAGTTCCGGCCTCCGAGGTGAACTGGGAGATGATACGAATGAGTTGACACCAAAAGTGCGAGTCATCTGAAACGGTCTGCACCAGAGTCGCGCTCAGAGTGGTGCGGCATGGCGCGTGCATCTCGGCAAACGAAAGGAAGCGTGTTTCAATTGAGTCGAGAAACTTGGAATATTGGAGCAGCAGGGCATGGACAATCGACAGAATCAGAAGACGTCGCTGTAGGCCCTTCTCCACAGCAATTGCCTCTAGGTCGCCATAAGACAAGTCAAGGTTCATCAGAATGTTGACGAACCTCCCAACCTCGTCATGAAGGCGAGCCTGAAACGGTTGCTGCTGGGTGGGTTGATAGGTGCAATGGACCGCTCGGTAGTAGAAAAGGCCTTGGGTGATGTAAGTTGACAAGAACGTAAGACAACGGTGGGCAGGGTTTGTGATCACATACAGAATAGACGACCGTCGACGTGCCGATAGCATTGAAGACTAATGCCAGATCGCAGAAGATTATTCAATGCTCCATGAAAGGGGACTGGGTTATATTGTGTGAAGAGGCTAAGGTCAACCTTCACCACAGTAGAGCATCAGGATTTTTGATGTAACGCAGGGAGCTCCTTACGGGGACCTCAGTCACAAAGGTCGGCATGCTGCGTCCGATCAAGCTGTCCAGGTGACTGGCGAATTCTGTGGAATCGCCCATGTTACTGATGAAATACATCCGACATGAAGAGGGGCTCTGGGGAGGGAGATCATCGAGAGCAGTTGTAATAGGCGTGTGACCACACCAGCTTGCATGCTGTTCCGGGGGGGTATTCGGCAATAAAGATACATCAATAACATCAAAGAATTGATCTGCAACGTAGGATTCGCTCCATAGCGTGTATTGCACGTCCGAGTCGGGTCCGTGTCGCCGCAAGGGCTTTAGGGGATTTGAGGATGGGAAAAGGTTCTCATCCATGACAGATACCTGGTCTCTGTAGCTGGCAGGGAGCCTGGGAAACAAAAGGGACATAAGTATTCATAGTATGAAACTCAGAGGATATGCGCCATGAGACGCAGGTAAAGACTTGGTCCCTCGGAGTAATGAGCGCAACCTCCTTTTGAAGATGCCTTATACAGAGGCTGAAGCTAAATGACATGTTCTAATGTGATATCAGCGAGTCTCCCCAACGCGCCAGGGAATGTTCCTACTGAGAGTTGTATTATTTGATTGAATCCCTGCAGCTATGGAGTAGGATAAACGACTTTGTACAAATAATAACACGCCAGCAATCTTAGAAATCAAACAGCAGAGAATGATCCCACATGGTATCACAGGGCGTGCCGGATGTATGGGTCCCCCAGGGCCACAACTGATCACGATGGGCCGGTCACGTCCACCGGCCCAGAGGGCTGATTTTGGGCTATCAGAATCAAAACACTGTCACGCAACTAGCAAGACCCAGACACTGACGCAGAGAGTTTGATGGACACGCGAAATCATTCTGATTGGCCACCATGCGGGCCTGCAGAAACCTACGGTCCGGGGTTCGAACTACTCCGAGATTTTGTTGCGCGAGGCTGACGTTGGCTGGGCGAACTGCACTCCACTCTGTGAGGGGCTCCTTTGGGGCTGTTTTGGTGAGTTCTGGTGGAGCATGGGCTCCTTCAATGTCTTCTCAACCGTTACTGTGGATTTGTCCGGGGTTACCCTCCGCCCCGGCTGTATAGGTACCGTAATATCGTGTACACTTCTTTAAGGAGAAGAATACGTCAACTTGAGTACCCAGTTCTGTCGACTTTGCCCTTCTAGCAGCTTCTGTGTGCTAATTTACCAGGGGCTGACTGCCGGGTGTCTTGGTACCCAGGCTAATGGCTCTGCAAACGCACGTTACGAACCACTATTGATTCTCAAGCCCAACCCCCAGTTGCCTTCCGACTTTCCCCGCGTTGAGACAACTTGAGGCTTTCCTCGCCGACCAGACACAGAGAGACCTGTTCGTCTTAACTTTTGCGATACATCCTAGTGTCCCAGATAGCAGAGCGAGCGGCTTTGGCGATCCTGTAGCACAGCGAGGCGGCTCCGCGGCCATCTTCTCGCAGGTGGGAAGCCGTTTCCTGTCTGTCAGTCATCTCGGACTTTTCCTTGGCCCAATTTTGGCACGTCAGCGGCTGTCAGTGGATGCTCGTTTAGACATCATTAATCTCGTGGCGTCGCTCATCCATCCAGATCTCCCTGGTCCCCTGACTGTTCATCTATGCGGCCAGATCTTCGGCCAGTCCAACCGACAATAACGCCACCCCATGACTTCGTCCCAACTCCCTGGCCCCTGAGGCAAGCTGACAGTAAAATGAGGCAGCTCAACATTTGCGCAGCGTCAGACACTGAGCACCAGTCAGGGTCCCGCAAACTCGCTGATCAGTTTCCTCCTCCGCCAATGTCTCGGGAGCCTGCTGCCCTCTCCCCCAACAGATGCAGACCCAGCAGTCGCATAACTTGGGACCCAGGAGAAGCCCCTGATTTTTCGTCAGATGGCACACCCCCCGACATGATGGCGACTTTCTCTCACGTTCCCCAGCCGCGCATTTTGCCCGCGATTCTACCATGCGGTTGCCGCTGGTGATCGGATGCCTCCGCCGCACATCTCCGCTTTTCGGGCCCTCGCACACCAGCAAGTTTCTTTTTTGAGCAAGCACAGTGAGTAGTCTAGTATCGTCTAGTAGTTGGTGTCCCATGCACTATACCGTGGCTCGCCGAGCCTCTTCCGAGCACATCCGTATCAAGCCGGAACGTGGACACGACTGAGCCAAGTCAGAGATCGCACTTACTCCGGAAAAGGGCAGAGCAGCAATTGGCTTAGTCGTATCGCTTCATACATTGGACTGCATGATCTGTTCCAATCTTCCTCGTTCAACGGCTATATGTGGCCAGTATCTCTGTTCACCCCTTCATATGTGGCTTGATGCTACGTAGATGTCCACGTACATGTGCGTACGACCTGAAAGCGCATCTTGGTCACTATTATGTGGACTAGATTCATGACGATATATATCTTGGCTATTTATGGAACGTAACGTGAGATCAATATATCAGGGTAGTCTATGACAGTAAGCGGTGTCCGCAATCTAGCGTACGTGCTCTGACCCCGCACCAACGGCTTGCTGGAGTCGATAGATGCCTTCCTTAGTCCAGTTCGAAGGTCGATGGTAATGATGGGCATAATATGGCTTTATCAAATAACTGCTGCTAATCCTCGAGATGTTCTAGACTTTGGCCCAGGGCGCAGTGAATTGGACCCGTTTTAAAAGCACGTCCACGATTGAACCAAGCCGAGAGTAAACAAGCTTGATCTTGTACTTCCAAGGTTGGCCTGGCAAGGGTGCAGAGTGTTACATTCTGCTAGCACAAACGCAGGAATCACAAAGAGTCTATGGTGAGAGAAGCGAGGGAGATAGATCACGAGCCTCGGCGGGTGTTCAGTGGGATGACTACTTCTTTCCTCGGCTTTACAGTGAGCTGGCGCTGTCTCTATCCTACCACACTTAACCTACAATGGACTAGTTACAACATAGGGACTTGATAGGAAGACGTAAGAGCTAATATTGGTAAAGACTGTGGAAAGATTAAGTGGCCATGATGAAGCGGGGTCGGTACCACAAGGATTGGAACCTCGTCGTCCAAGGGCAAAAGGCACACGAACTGATGAGAAAGAGAGTGGACTTCCCGTGGAAGGGAACAATAAAATAAAATCAAAACAAAAAAAAGAAACAGAATAGCAGAAAGCAAAGGGTGAGTTTGGCTAGCTGTTCCGATCCAGCATTTCGAACGAAATCTCAGTGGTCTTTGTTCTCGCTGGCCTCGGGATCCTCCAGTATAGCGGGGGCAGGGCAGATGGCCATCTCTTCTTCCTCCACTCCATAAAGGTTTCCCACGCGGAAGACGTACGGATGTTCGATGAGCAGCGGGCGGCGCCCGTCAAGGCTGGTGTCGATCCCCTGGCCCCCCTCCCACCGATCCTGCCACTCCGCCGCCTCAACCTCCACGTGGGTGTAGGCCTTCATGGTACCCGAGGCACGGTCGAAGCGCGGCGAAAGATCATGGAGGGTATGATACCGCAGGCATGGATTCTGCGAGTGCATGTTGGCGGCGATATCCGAGATCTGCCCGAGTTCCCTCGCGAGCAAGTTCTCCCTGGCCGCCAGGTCCGTTGTGGGCTTCAACAGGTGCTTGAAGACGTTGTCGACGAGAAGTTGCTGGGCCAGGGAACGACACCGAGCCCATCGACGGGCGCGGAGGTTCTTTTCGTAATCCGCGGGACGGTCCTTTTGGTTGCAGAGGCGGGTCGTTAGGCTGCGCCAGATGCGGGCATACTGGATGTTGACTGTAAACAAGGTCAGAGAGGACTGGATTGCTCGATGGACAACTGGTTGGCATGTTGAGGGCAGCGAGAAGATGATGAAACGTACCAGTCTGGAATTGTGCGAATAGGTCCTCCAGAACTACGCCGTAAGGAGAGACACCCTGCCACTCGGCGTCCCCTGAGATCTCTCGTCCCTCTAGTAGAACTTCAACATACCAGAACGGGTGCTGAAAAAATTCCTTAATGACCCTTTTCATCAAGAAAGCCGTTGCTAGCCGATCCGGGAACCCGGAGCAATCCCTGTGGCTAAGGCGCGAGATAATGCTGTCGAAATCTTCCTGCACAATGTAGCCATCAAGGCTAGCAACAAGCTGTTTTTTCTGTGCTTTGGTCCACTTCATATCGCTGAGCGATTTGTAAGCCCAGTTATGGCTGAACGCGCCGGCACAATACCACGCATAGTGAAACTCCTTTGGCCAGTAGGCAGGCATCGTTCGGGCCCATTCGTCGGGGGTGTGAGAGGTCAGGAACTCCTCCTCGTCAAAAAACTGGCCGATGTTGTGTGCGAGGGCGATGTAGCGGGCTTTCAGTTGCTCGAGCTGCGTTTCGACCGGGGCGCTTTCATCAACCATGCAATTGTAGACATTGGTGTGCTGGAAAAATTGTCGAGGAGGAATTTTGGGATCCTCCTTCTCGCTCGTGGCTTCGCTCATGGCGGGTTTGTTGGACCGATTCTGGTGGGAAGAGGATCGAGGAGGCTGCTGGGCATTCAACTCTGTTAGCAGAGGTCGGGGGGACGAAGGGAGGGGCGAGCAGACTTTGACTTTTTTCCTGCGTTTGTCAATGATTCTCCTGGCGGTGCCCATTATGGAATCTGCTGGCTTGAGCGGTGAGGGGGCGATGGCGATGGCGATGGCGATGGCGATGGCGATGGCTGGAGGATTGGCAGTCGGTGGGAAGGAATGCGGAACTTTGCATCCTGTCGAGATCCGAGACACGGTCGGGGATTTAAGTCCAGCGCCGGGAGAAAGAGGCGGCCTGGATCGATGAACAGCTATTTTGGGTCGTGGCTTTGCTTCTTTGTTGATGTTCAAAGGACCCGGTGGCCAAGACTAGCACGAGATGGGATGCGCAAAGGGCTTGGAGCCGTCTTCAAAGGTGAGGATGTTGATCCTTGGGCCCTGCAACTCATCCCGTTCATCTCGGTGTCGAGTTAATGGAACAAACGGGCAACATCATTTCACAGACGGCTTGGATAGTCATGGGCCATTGCCCAACGTACGCAAACTTCCGAAACCACTTTCCTTTTCCAGCGATGTTTCACGCAGAGCAAGAGGAGAGGAAAGAAAGGTCTAAGACCCAAGACGTTTCCCACCTACGGTTTCCTTCTTCTCCCCAAGTCGATCCCATCAACAGGTCTGGACTTTTCTTTATCCAACGATTTCCTCCCGTCAAATTTGATAGCCAAACCAGTCGATCAAGCTCCGAGATCAAGATGAACGCACCGATTGTTGTTGGCATCGACATGGGGACATACGGCACTGGTATACACTCTGGTTTGGTCGCCCTCACCCACTGCTAACGTTATTGCTCTTCTAGCCGTCTCCTACTCAAAGCCTCTGAAATCGAATCCCAACCGTTGCGGGACGGTTTTCACAACATCGCAGTGGCCATCTGGCGGACCCGAAACCAAGGTCCCTACGCGAATTGCGTATAGAAACGAGAACCACGGACACTTTGGCTTTGGCAACGATGATTTCGTTTGGGGATTTCGCGTCCAACCAGGCATGACTGCCTCCTCTTGGTTTAAGCTGCACTACAACCGCGCTGCAGCCTTCACCGAGTACAGCGACCAAAAGATGAATGGGGGCCTGGAACCTGGGTGTCTTACGGCTTCCCAATGGCAAGAACGAGATCGACGTCACCGTCGACGACTTCCTCAGCCCCATCTTCCAAGCAGTGCTTCGGCTCTGCGGCTCCGAAGACCCCGCGAGGCAGCCCTTGATTCTGACCATGACCAGGCCTATAACGTGGCCCGAAGCCACGATCAGTTCCTTCGAGACCGCCGTCAAGCGGGCCGGATTCGGGCAAAGGCCCATCGACCAGCTTGACGGGACCACTGAGCCCGTGGCCGCGATGTACTACATGGCACCAAAGTTGGCAACTCAATTGAGGGTGGGGGAGGGAGTGGTGATATGTGATGTTGGAGGTGGCACCACCGTAAGTTGAGTGGCACTTTTCGTTGACAGCCTCTCATCCGTCTCTCCAGGATATTTGCAGCTTCCGAATTACTGGCAACGGCGCCCGCTTTCAATGGGAGGCGATCCAGACGAACCACGGTTAGTAGCGCCCATCCTCTCTCTCCGCGGATTCTGGACGCTGAATGGATGATTTGGCAGTGGGAGGTCGGTGTGCAGGTGCTGCAGTGGACTGCCACCTGTACCGTCTGCTTGTTGAGCGCTTTGGCCCTGCGTTCCAAAACCTGCCAATTGCCCTAAAGGCTCCCGGCAGCGCCTTGATGAATGCTTCTGAAGGCGTTAAGCGGGACTTTGCTGAAGGATCGGGGGAGCCCCGTCAGTTACCCTTGCCCATGGACCCGGGGTTGCTGCCAAACAGCCCTTACTACGACAGCAGCCGCGGGTTGATACGTATCACCCGGCAGGATCTTTACGACTGCTTTAACCCGGTCATAAACGAGATCATCAAGCTAGTCAATCTCCAATTTGGACTGACCGAGATGCAAGCCCCCTCGCTCAACATCCGCGTAGGTTTCACCCCATTCCATCCTTGCCACAAGTGTCCACGCTAACCGAGGCGACAAACTCAGCGGCTCGCTTTCGTCGGCGGGCTACTTAACTCCAGTTATGTACGCGGCAGACTGGGCGTCGCGTTCCAGAACCGACCCCTACTTGAAGTTGTGATCCCTGACCAGCCGTACGTCTGCTTCCGCCTCGTCTTGTCCAAACGCTCATCTTTCCACAGCCAGCTTGCCGTTACCAAAGGTGCTGTCCTATACAAGACGGTCAACTGAGGCACTCGGTAGGTGGAGTGTCGCTTGTGTCACGGTCAGTGTTGGGTTCCCGTTCAAGTTGTCGCAAACTCCTGCCTCTCCGTGGTCTTGTTTCGTCGCTGCCAATGGTTCCTTGTTAAATGGCGTCGTACCGCAATGCGCCAAGGCATTCGCAGTCTAGCTGTTAGAGACCTGAACACGTTCGTTGATCGTTTTGCTCAAATTTTGCTTCTCCGTAGCCCTCCTTCAGTCCATCGCTACCGCTACATTCAGGAGTACGTCGCCTGGGTAGCGTAAAACGGTGGTGATGCACTTTCATGTCCTCCTTGACGAACCCGTGAGTGCAAGTCATCCAGACTAGATCTCCCTGTGGGGGATACCAAATCTCATTCGACGCACCGCTCGTTCAGCGCCGTCCATGGAACGAAGCTAGGAAAGTATTCTCCTCTCATTCCACGCGACAAGGCTGCGTTTACGCTTAAAACGACCCAAGGAACGACAAAGGATTGGAGTAGGTAGGGTTCATTTCGAGGTAGTATATGGACTCTTATACTTTTTTCAAGCAGCGGCTGAATGCCAGCACCGGATCTATCTACCAACCAGGCCCAACTCCAACAACAGATTCCCCAGCAGCAGGAAGTAATAATCCGCATAGACCAGCCCGTGGTCCGCCCAGCGCCGCGACGCAAACTCGTAATTGCAGACGGTCGCCGCGTCGAGAATCGTCTCGGGACATTGGGCAGATACTCCGTTGACACCGTTGATGGTGTGTTTGGGCGAAAGCGTCAAAACCCCGGGTTGCTTTGCGGGCTCATTGTCTGGGAACGTGGCAAGGTCCGTCCCGGACAGATCGACGCCAAACCGCGCGGGCGAGGACATCATGAACTTGGACTCGGTCCCATCGAGGATCCGGAATGCACTGTCCAAATAATGCCGCGCTGCCTTTTCATCGCTGCCCTTCAGGGCCTTGTACAGCAGAACCAACCCGCAGCACGCCACCATACCCGCAGACGTATCCCTTGGACAAGCCGCATCAACCGGCGCATCAAAGTCCCAGTACGGCACCGCGTCCTCGGGCAAGTGGTCGAGGAAGTAGTCCGCCAGGTCCCGCGCAGTCTGCAAGAACTCGCCCTCGCGCGTCCACCCGTACGTCTGCATGAACCCCAGAATGCCCCAGGCCTGCCCTCGACTCCAGCAGCTCTCGTCGCCGTAACCCTGATGCGTAAACTTGGCTTTCACCTCGCCGTTTTGATGATAATTCACCACGTGACATGTACTCTTGTCCGCACGGATGTGATGCCGCTGCGTCGTCCGCGCATGCGCAATGGCAATGTCGTACAATGAGGTCTGCCCCGTCTCGCGCGCAACCCAGAACAGCAGATCCAGATTCAGCATGTTATCAATAATCACAAGGAAATCCTTGCTCGTGTCCGTGAACGAGTACCGCTTCGTATGGCAGATGTCCCACGAGCGCAGCGACTGAACCCGCTCATCGAACCGACTCGCCAGCGAATGCGCCGCGAGAACGAGGCTGCTGTACGCCTGCGGATCCCGATGCAGCTCCCACGCTTTGATTGCCCACGGCGCAATCATGAATCCCACATCGTGTGTGTCCCGCTTCGCGGCGTTCTGGTGCAGGTTTGCACTCCACCATTGGCAGAGGTGTTGGAGGAGGAGACGGTGCGGGAGGGGCGTTTCGCCATCGCGGCTGTAGAAAGATGGATAGAGGATCTGGCGCTCGAGGAGGAGGTACAGCGACCCAGGGAAGAAGCCCGATGTCCAAAAGTCCAGCGCGCGGTAGACGTATGTCTTGTCTTTGCCGGTGTATTCGGGGTAGAGGACTGGGGGTTCGGTGGCGCCGAGGGCTTTGCGGGCCACGGTCCAGATCTTGAGGACGTTGGATTCGGCGTACAGGGCGTTGATGAGCGGATGTGGGATGGTTGGGTCGGAGGTTATTCTCCTGGCGCGCTTGGATCGGGTGTGCCCATTCGCGACAGCTGGTTCGGGGGCGGACTCTTCGAGGGCCCGCTTTGCAGCCATCGCACTGGGAGGCATCGTAAGGTAACGAAAGTAGAGTTTCCCCGTGCGGAGGGCAAGAACAGACTTCTCTCACTAACTGATCAAGCCATATTGAGTTTACCCGTTCATCCTGTTTAATATCAACGCCGCCATCCGGGCACCGGGACAATCACCGGAGGCAGCGCCGTGGCGCAGCCAGCGCTCCGCAAACCGGACGATCGCCGGAGTCTCTCCGTCTGGCTTTTCGCTCCCTCGCCAGCCCAACCGAACCACATGCCGCATCCCGGGTGACTGGTTAAAACCATGGGCTGCATCCCCGGATTCTGCCCCAGACGTCCAAGAAACAACTGACTCAAAAAGACGACAATACACAATGGCCGATATTGCTGCTGCTCGGAAGACGGGCTCCGCCTCTTTGCATGAGGAGCACGCCGACACAGTCCCTGAAAAGGGTCTGGGTCTGGGACATCAGGCCGCTGATGATGAGACTGCGGCGTATACTGCTGGAAGTCCTGTGGAGATCGACAAGGCGACGAACCGGAGGTTGTTTTGGCAGATCAATAAGCGGATTCTTGTTTGTATGCTGGGGGTATGTTTCAGCGTCTTTTCTTCGTGATCCGCTTTGTCTGAGGATATGTCTTTCTGACGCTTTCAGACCTACTTTTGCCAATCGCTCGACAAAGGAACTCTGGGTTTCAGTTCGATTATGGGTATTCAGAAGGATGCAGGTCTTGATGGAGACAAGTACAACTGGCTGGGTGGGTTTCTTGCCGTTGGGAGTGAATCTCGCTGACTTTCTAGGGACGATTCTGTACATTGGTGTCTTGGTGGGCGAGTACCCGACCAACTTTCTCCTGCAGAAGTTGCCTGTCGCAAAGTATCTTGCTGGAAAGTATGTGGGCCTGTCCCCAAAATATAGACCGGGCTGACGATGTACAGTGTATTCCTCTGGGGAGTTGTCATCATGGTATGCACTGTCACTACCCAATCAATGATCACTTCTAACATCGTCTAGTGCAGCGCAGCCGCTACCAATTTCCCAGGTCTAATGGTCGTCCGATTCCTCCTGGGGTACGTTCATCACTTTCACTCCTCTAGTGCGTCTACTGACGAATCAGTGTCTTTGAATCCTGCGTCCAACCCGCCTTTATCATCATGACATCCATGTGGTTCACCCGCGAGGAACAGACCGTCCTCACGAGTCTATGGTATTGCAGTACGTCTCTTAACCTTTCCCTTCGAAACTCTCGCTAATATTCTCAGTGACCGGTGTTCAACTCATGGTACATCGCCCCCTTCCCTTACCCTGCATCCTCCCTTCATCTCTAACAATCTTAGATTGGTGGTATCCTCGCCTGGGGCACAAGCCACTACATTGGCCACCACATCAAATCCTGGCAACTGCTCTTCCTCGTCCTCGGCGCCGCCACCTGCGCGTGGGGCCTGTTTTTGGGGTGGTACCTCCCCGACAGCCCCATGAAAGCCAAATGTTTCAGCGAAGACGACAAACGGTTGATGATTGAGCGCGTGCGCGCCAATGACACTGGCATCCAGAATAAGCAGTTTAAAAAGTACCAGATGCTCGAGGCCCTCACGGACCCGATTGTCTGGCTGTATGTGCTGTTGCAGCTGAGCAGTACGCTTATCATCGGTGGTCTCGGCGTGTTTTCGAATATCATCATCAAGAGCTTTGGGTTCACGACGCTGCAGACGCAATTGTTGAATATTGCGCAGGGTGGCGTTACCATTTCAGTTATGGTGGGCGGGGCGTCGCTCGCGACGTGGAGTCGCCGGACGGTTTTTGTTATGCATCTGTGGACTTTGTATGTCGCTTCCACTTCCCCTTCCTCTTGCACCTTCACTCGCTCCCTCCACGCTCCGTCATCCGATTGACAAGGCTAACCAATATTCAGCCCTGCCATCGCAGGCACAGCCGTCATCTATTCAATCTCCCCAACCTCGGCCACACGCGTCGGCCTGCTCATCGCCTTCTACTGCACGCAATTCATCCTCGCAGAGGGAAACCTGCTCTTCTCGCTCATCTCCCGCAATGTCGCGGGGCAGACGAAGAAATCGACCGTCCTCGCTATAACCTTTATCGCGTGGGCCGCCGGAAATGCCACTGCGCCGCAGGTACGCTATATATACGTGTCCCGTCCATCCATCCATCCATTTCCCTTACCCACGTGCCCAGTCCCATTCTCAAGCACCCTTACTAAGTATTGATTTTTGCGGTCTAGATCTTCCAATCAACCGACGCCCCCCGCTACGCAAAGGGCTTCACAGCGCACTTCTGCCTGTACGGGCTGTTCAACGTCCTTCTCGTCGCGATCCGGTTCCTGTATATGCAGAGGAATAAGCAGAAGGTTGCCGTTCGCGGTGAAGGGGAACGGGACCACGCGAATGCGTTTTTGGATCTTACTGATAAGGAGAATGTGGATTTTGTGGTAAGTAGTCCTTCTTCTTCCGGCATCTGGCGGGCTTGCGGCTTGATTGTGCGAGGCTGACGTTGGGGACTAGTATGTTTATTAGGGATGCTTCAAAGCTCGAGGGTTTGATGGTGGGGGAAGTTGTGATGTGAGTGGATAGCTCGATATGTGGACGTATGGGGGAGGGGCAATTACGCTGGGCTGATTGAGGTGGGAGGCGCGGAGTTGGTTGGTCAGTGGGATTTATCGCCTAGGGCTTATGAAGCAAGCGTCAATTTTGTTTACCATCTATTCGAGTTCGAAAGCCAGTGCCAGGTACCTCTTATGTATGGAGTTCGCGGCCGATATTTTCCCCTCTCCATAACTCTCCGGAAGTAAATATATATGCGTAGGGTGGAAGTCGCCAAAGCCGATAATCTAGACTTATGTCCAGATAAATCATTAGTATCAAGAGGGCAACAGCTACCTAGATTATACATCGCAACACATGAAACTGAATCAACTTCCCAACCCACCACCCGCACCCTCCTCCCCAACACCTCCATGTCCAAACCGACTGATCCTTTGCCCCGGACTCAACGTATCCGCTGACCCAGGTGACCCACTCGTGGGACCATTCATGGTCCCATTTGCAGCAGCACCATAACCATCCGGCACGGGAACGGCAACTGGAACCCTTTGATAAAACGAGGACGTATCGCCCATCGCACCCCAGCCACTCGCACTCGCACTCGAATCCTGGTCTCGCATCCCGGGCGTCCCGAGGTGGAGGTTGAATGGATCTGCGTCCGTATCTGTGAAGGGGGCGAAGTTATGCTGGAAGGAGAGTGGGAGTGGAGGGAAGGCGAGAGTTAGTGAGGGGTCCGGGGTGAGGTCAAAGGGGTGTTGGAGTGTCGTTAAATCTGTGTTTGGGTGCGCGGAAGAGTGGGAGCCTGCAGACGGGTTGATACAGTGGTTCGGGCCGGCGCCGGGGCCCGGGGTTGTCATGCCCATGCCGATGGTCATGCCGTTCGCCGTTCCCGCGGTGTGTGCCTGCATACGGCCCGCTGCATCTGCAGGATGGGGACCTGAAGGCTGTGCGACGTCTTCAGTGCCGGAGTATACCGTCTGCCGGATATCAAGACTCAAACTGCCCCTCGCCATCGGCGAGACATTGTCCCTTGCACTGACGAGCCGTTTCGCAAACACCGATGCCAAATTCTCCTTCTCGGATCCGTCAACATCTCTCGGTCCCGCCCACCTCCCCGAAATCTCAAAGAGGCTAGCAATCAGCGTATCCAATGCGCCCGGAACAGCCGAAATGCCATTCCCATGCCCATTATACTTCGCATGCGTAAGCAGCATTCTCCCCGCAATAAACAGACAAAACGAAAACTGCGGGTTCGTGAGCATGGGCGAGTACAAGAGGAACTGCTGCCCGATCATGGAAATTTCGTTGGCGGCCTCAATGCATGTTTCTGCGGAGGACGAGGAAGGGAGTTTTACGGGCGAGGATTTCCAGTGGTGTGGTGGGTAGGCGATTGCTTGGTGGAGCAGAATTACGGCGGTGTTGTGCGTTATGTGCGCGAGGGTCAGGTTGGAGTCCATTATCCCGTCGGCGTTGAGGGTTGAGGCGTCGCGCCATTTGGGGGGAAGGAAGAGTTTCCATCTGTAGATTTGTGAGTGGAATTGTCATAATGGAATTGGGGTGGGTCATGGACGGACTGTACTAGACGGAGATCAAGCTCTTTAAACCGCATGAGCCACAGTTGGGCCTCGTCGGCATTTTGCACATTGAGCGGTTGGTGGACGAAGAAATTGGACACGAGGCCAAGTGACTCGGTTGCTTCGATGCAGTATGCGAAGCCGCCGATGCAGTCGCGCTCACTTGGATCGGTCGTGAGTTGGCTGTTGACGAGTAGAGACCGGTGTGGTCCGGTCCCTTTTGTGTCGGAGATGCCAAAGTACGGCGCCCGCGCTTCGTCCTCACGCTGCCACAGCGCCCCCTCGCATGGTAATCGGCGCTTCACATCAGCGCTCGTCAGACTGACGTTCCACCCGGTCGAGACGCTGCAGAAGCGATCCATGAGAAAAACAGTCCAGAACACGCGCCGCCGCTCTTCCGCCTCTCGCCAGCACGTCGATGGTTTCAGGAATGCCATCCTTCGAATCAGCGTCTCACCTGTCTGGTTTCGCCCGTACAGATCGTCCTCTTCAACGCTGAGCTGCAGCTGCTCCACTGTCCTCGCCATGCTCCCGACAACAGACCAAGAAGACGGCCCCCGACCGCGCGCAATCTATCAATCAGCAAACGTCAAAGACAGTGAAAGGCCGGGTCGTACTGTATCAAACGCAATAATAACCAGCGCCTGCAGATTCTCCACGGAGAACGACTCCATGCTGCACAGGACAACCTTTTGCCGACAGCTCTCGGCGACGCGCGCTTTGCGGTCTTCATCGGGTATTCGGGGGTCGATTACGAAGCGGATGCAGACGGCGATTAAGGCATAGAGGATGTATATTGCGCTTTCGCGGCCTTCGGACGATTGGATCTGGTGGCGGAAGCGGCGGACGTGGAGGATGGGGATCCAGTGGTGGATGTTTTGGAAGTAGAACTCGACGAGTTGGCCAAGTAAGTCTGAATCGATGATCTCTGCTGCGGTCATCCCATTTGATCCCTGTTCCGGTGAGGAAGCGACTGAGATATCCACGCGCTGCCTCTTGACCGGTCTCGCGACTTCCTCATCTACCCTTCGAGTGGCCGCAACCTGTAACAACGACCTCTTCAACTCGTCCTGCCTATCGCGAATCTCATCCCGTGCCGACTCCTCTCCCTCACCCCGAGTCTCCTCCGCCGAAGTGCCGGGAAATTTCAGATTCGGATGCAGCGTCTCCCACATCTGCTTCCACAATATTTCCTGGCCGAGAAACATATTCTCCAGTGTCTCGATGCGGCGCGATAAGCTGTCGACCACGCCCGCGCGCAGACCGGGTTTTAACCGTCGATCATCGTATATACATTGTACGTCGAATCGCACGCACTGCGAGCATGGCTGTTCGCGGCTGCAGCGCGCTTTTTTCCGGCGGCATGACTGACATGCGGGGATGTCGTCTTCGGATTTGAGGGAGTCGGCTTGGGCCTGTTGTTGTTGTTGCTGTTGCTGTTGTTGCGCGGCGCGACCGTTTAATCTGGCGCCCATGATTGCGATTGGAAGTGTATCGATGCGACGCGCCGAAAAGTTGCAGAGGCACAATCGCGCGGGCGCAAAAATCCGGGGGAAAATCTTATCAGACGAGACGGTTCCCCACACGCACAGCAGCGAGATCGGCGGTTTCTTGACCCCAACGCTGTCCCCGCATTTGGTAGCGGTGGCGTTGCGTGGTTGTGTTTTCCTCGTGTCGGGGCAATCGCCGGACACCCTCCGGATCAGTCAGACTGCCTCATTTGCTACGGTTCATTTGCCATGAGGGAAACGTCTCAAATCATCGAATCACCCCACGCTCCGCAGTTGCCTCGTCAGGTAATTTTCCGGGGAAGACGCGTACTTTACGGACAAGGTAAGAATATAGACAACCACCTCATTTTGTCGCATTTGCCATGGAATGATGATCCGCACAGGAATCTCCATCTCACCGAGTAATCCTAAAAACAAGCGTTTGGTACGCCCCAAGTTGGGCCTTGACCCTGTCAATCTTCCCCCAAGACTTGCCCGACCACAGCTCCCTCGCACGCACTGGCCGCTCAATCCCCAGCCCCAGCTCCTTCAACGACACATGCACATCCTGAGGATAACTCTTCTCATTAAACACAAGCACCACGTTGCCCCCCTTGACTTCCCCCGCCCAAACCTGCACCGACCCCTCAACACTCACCCCCTCAATAAAGTGCACCGGCTTTCCCAACGAGTCCTGATTAATCGCTATAATATCGCGATTCGTCAAGACGGCAAGACTCTCATTGCGCAGCGTCCGCAAATCGGCCCCAATAATCAGCGGCGACTTGAGCGCCGCCCAGAATGCAAAATGCGTCTGCTCCATGTAGACTGTCATCTCGCCGACGCCGACTTCGAGCATGTCCATGTCCAGCCAGTGCCCGCGTTCCTGGTACACGCTGATCTCGCGCATTTTGCGCAGGATGCTTGTCACAGAGCAGCCCGCGTACCCGGTGTTTAGGCAGTAGGCTGTTTTGCAGGGGCAGCCGGTTTCGTTGATGAATTTGGCGGTGATGTCACCAGACATGCGGTACGAGTGGCCGATATCTGTACATGGAACAAGTTAGCACCAAGTTTAGTGCTGCATCAGATAACTCGAGAACAAAACAAAAAGGAGCGCAACATACCACCACCCCAGTGCCATGGAAACTGAAACCCCCACTCGCAAACCGAGTAGAAAATCTCCCTCCCACTCCTCTCCAACGCATCCCTCATAAGCCCAAACCTCTCCTGCGGCGCATTGCTCATAGCCTGAAACCCACCGCAATTGTCATACTTCCAATAATCGACTCCCCAACTGGCCAAGGTGCGCGCATCCCGCTCCTCATACCCCCAACTCCCCGGGCGGAACCCACAGGTAAGAATCCCCGAGTCGCCGTAGAGCCCCAGCTTGAGACCCATATCGTGTACGCGGTCTGCAAGCGGCGCGATTCCGTCTGGGAAGGTGGTCTGGTTCGATTGGAGGTATCCGTCGTCTGTGCGCGACATGTCGGACCAGCCTTCGTCGAGGAGGAGGTAATTGTATCCGGCATCGTGCAGGCCGAGGGAGATGAGGAGCGAGGCGATGTGCGTGATTGTGGACTCGTTGTAGTTGGCTTTGAACGAGTTCCACGTGTTGAAGCCCATTTGTGGGGTTTGCGCGAGTTTGCTGGCCGTGGTGCCTGCGGCGGCCAGGAGAAGGGCCGCGAGGGAGAATCGCATTGTGCCGTTGGGTTGCTGTTCACCTTCACGGTCAGGGCGTTCTGGACAGCTTTTGTTTCCTGCAGTTGCACTCATGCAAGTGTCAAGTTACTTATTGTCCTAGATGCTGGGGTGACTTCGGATTGTTTCCGGCAGTTCGTCCGTCGGAGCTCCTGAGCAATATACCCCGAACGAATCTAATGTCTTTCCCCAGACCCCCGCTTCATGTATCCCGGAGATCTTGATCTCCGCGCATTGCCCCCTCATCCGGCGGTACCTGACAGCTCAGGGGCACGCCATAAACCCGCAAAGGCACATGGGCTTCGAGTTCGAGGTCATCTTGTGTCCAATCATTACACGATCATATCTTTAATGACGTTCCGATCATGCCGGGATGTCTGGAGTGGTGTATCCCCTTCAATCAATATACCTTGTCTATAGTATCAACCCTCTCAGCTTGATAAGCTTGTCGCAAGAATTAGCTAGAATAGTACCCGAGCCAGGAATGTTCAGGTACTGTATAATCGTCCAGCGCCATCGATGGCATCGCGATGAAAACCTGTGCTTGAATCAGGTTATTCGATCACTCGACCTGTAATCATTTCGCTTCCGCCAGTTGCTCCCATTTCCTGATACCTGGTTATGCAACTATAGTTCTATGCAATGCCATCATACTACTACTACTACTACTACTACTACTACTACTACTACTACTACTACTACTACTACTACTACTACTACTACTACTATTATTATTATTATTACTGATGGAAGGGTTGCTTCGTGTGAGGGGATCTTGCTCTGACATTGTATTGATCGCTATTGACGGAGAAAGAACAGAGTTCTTACTGACTCTTCGCGAGGAGAATGCAAAGATGATTCCATGTACAGAACTGCCAACACGCACATACCTCGCTAATAAGCCCAGATCAAATCACCCCAGCTGGGATGATCATTGGAGCTCACAGCGCCCTCGAACCCCTCCTCCTCCCACGCCTTGGTCGTCCACGGCGCCTTCCTCCCCCTCTTCTTGACATACTGATAATACAGCACGTCCCACACCGGATTCGCATTCGTCACTCCCCTCTTCTCCTCTGAAATCTCATTCCACGGCCCATTCACCAGCACCGCCTCGCACCGGTACCAACTAGGATCATATGGCACGCTCTCATTCAGGTTATACTTGGCCGCATACTCCGCACCCTTGAGCAGCAGATTGTCACCTAGCCCATAGAGATCAAACCCCTGACTCTGTCCAACGCGCGCCGCATACGCCGCCCAGCCGAGCCCAGACATCGCATGGCTCTGGTCCCGTCCCGCCTCCCCGCTCTGCCCAGTCTTGGGCTCATACGTAGCAAAGAGCCCCGCACAGTTATCCTGGATATACGCATCAACCGCATAATTCCACAACTGCACATCGTCAAGATAAACCGCAAAGCTGAGCAGCGCCTTGATACTCGCCATGCCGTAATTCGCTTGCCCGATCGGAATCGATTGTCTCGAGAAGAGCCAGTAGAGCTGGATACTGAACCCGCTCCCTCCTTGCCACTTCGCGCCGGATTCCGTCCAGTTGCCTTCCCAGCGCATAATCTCCGCAGCGTTTACGAACAGATCGCCGTCTAGCCCGATCATCAGTGATCGGTCTGTTCCGATGATGTTCGTCAATGTCGACCCCCACCCGTCGAGGATCCGAGTGCTCGTATCCCAATGGCCCTGGTCTCGAGTGATATACCACATCCAGGCATTCTGCCACGCTGCGCGCGCGTCGTGCGCGAAGGATGTGTAGTTCGATTTGGACCCGCGACTTATGACAGGGTACGGCCCTTCCATCGTATAGTTCGCCTGCGAGTACGGATCCGCTGCGAAACGGGCGTATGCGGAGGCCCAGGGCTCTTTACCCGCCTTGACATTTTTGCGCACGCGCTCGAGATCGTCGTGTGTGTGCCACAGGCCTGGGTGTTGGAAGTCGCCAGGGTGCTTTTTGAAGTATTTCGATGTGTCCACGTTGGCCATGTCTGCGACGCGGGGGATTGGGGGGATGATGCCCGGGACGTCGGTCACTGTCGCCAGCGTTATCCGGGTGAGCCAGATGGCTGCTGTGAGGAGGGTTTTCTAAGATCTGTTAGAGGGTCAACTGCGTAAGTGGGTTGGTGCACTACCTTGAGCATCTTGTCTCGCTTCAAAAGCTCGCAGCTCAATCTTTGTCTCTCTTCCTGCGTTGTGAATCACTGCCACACTCGGGTGCCTGGTCCAATTTATTTGCAGGGAAGAAGAAGCCCGGGAATAATTTACCCGAGTCTTGGTTTCCCCACGCACATTGAACCTTTCTCCAAGTCTCTCCATCTGGGGTTCTCCGCAGTTTCCCCCGGTGCTCATTCCACTCCACCGGCGCAAGTCTCGGACACGCTCCGGGTACCAACCCATATACAACCTCACCATCATTGAGCGAGAAGACCAGCGCAGTCCATACACGAAAAACAAAACTAGTGGCAAGATGAAAGTCACATCTCTCCTTTTCGCATTGATTCCTATTTTGGCTGCCGCAGTCCAAGACCCCCTCTCCTACCGCTCCATCGAACCGGTCTACACCCTCCCCAAACCAGACAATGTAACGACCCTGCTCGACTTTATCGCCTCGCGCTCAGACCTGAGCAAGCTGCACAAGTCCATCCAGCAGAGCGGCGGCTTTGAAGAGGCATTCGATACGAACCCGACGTGGAAATTCACCTTCTTTGCGCCGAATGACGAGGCGTTTAATCATACCGGGAGATATTTTGAGACGTTTGAGGCGACGCCGTATGTTAGCCCAATCCGACTATATGATGGTTTGAAAAGGAGAGGATATTGACGAGTGGAAAGAAAGGGCAAGTGGTGGCTAGGAAATACGATCATCCACCACTACGTCCCGAATACGATCTTGGAGTCGTCGGTCTTTAATGAGACGTATCAGAGATTTCAGGTATGTTTTTCGGACCGGACGGTCTTGGACTAGCTTGGAGGCTAAAGGTCTATTGCAGACCGGCACATACCTCTTCGTCGGCGCGCAAACTCAAGGGGATGACCTAGTCCTCAATAAAGTTGCGCGGGTCGTGGAGAGCGATATTCAACTCACAAACGTAAGTTTCCGATACTTACTAGGGTCATGAACAGCTGTTGTTCAAGATTTCGGGGAAATTATAGCCGGTTGTGGCGCTGTGACTGACAGCTGAGTAGGGCGTTGTCCACATCATCGACCGAATTCTAGAACCCTCGGCGCAGATCCACGAGGCTGATATTCCCTGGCTGAAGCAGTCCTTTATCGCGGGCAGCTGCTCCAACCCGGCGCTGCCATATTGTTAAACCGCTGTCTTATGACGTTCAACCTCGCAAGGTTTATGGTCCATGGTGTTGGATTCAGAGTTTGCCACGAGAGCATGCAGGGAATACATCGGCCAGGCAATGCGGGCCGACGGACGCACTGCCGGTGAGGGAGATTAATACATGGAACAACAGGTCCTGTTTGCGAGACTCAATTGGCGGGTTATGCCGGTGGCCGTTAAGACTGCAGCTGAAAACAAAATGAAATTGGCCACTAAGAATGCGTGGTACGCGGTTTTCTTCTCCCCATTACCAGACTCAGCTCGCCTCGTAGAGTGTTCGCGAATCCTGTGGGATTATTTCTGTGTCCGTAGCCTGTACTCACTCTTGGACCCTGAGGGTTGACCCTGGTTGTTTTGCCAACGGTCAACTCGGGCCAGATCCATGGAAAAGGGATCCATGTCCGGGTATAAGAACCAGAGATCGCTTTACTTTATTTCGAGTCTTTAAATCACCCTTTCGTCACTCGTAAATGTCGTATAAGAGCATAAGCCCGACTTAACAACAAGAAAACTACGCTCCAAAATGTCTCTCCCGCTGTCGCAGATAACCTTCACCTTCACGGTCCTGGTCACTACATATCTCATCCGCTATACAGGCCAGGATCCCAACCCACCCAAGCCCGAGGATAAATCTACAGCCAGAGAGAAGTCATCAGCACGACCACTACCAGCAAAGGATAAAGGACCCAAGAAATCAGGCACGCGCCATGTATCAACCGACTCGCTTATAAGCACATACTTCAACGTGACGCCGGCACGATACATCAACATAATAACCGCCATCGGCGTCGCACACGCTATATTCGCACTCATCCCAGACGCCGGAAGAGAAGCGATATGCCCGAATTACCACTCCAGCAGGACGAGCCCATCGCCCATGTACTTCACCTGGAACACCTACACAAGCTCAACCCTCCTCTTCATCTGGACATCCCTCCTCCTCCGCATAGCGGCATACCGGAGCCTGGGATCGTCATTCACATTCCGCATCACGAAGCCGACCTCGGGTCTGAAGACGACTGGGGTGCACAGATTCATCCGCCACCCGTCGTACACGGGGTACTTTGGGAGCACGATTGGGATGGTGATGCTTTTTCTCCGGGCGCGCGGGTTGATGGGGTGTATTGTTGGTCCGGGCTTTGTGGGGAAGGTGGTGGAAGGGCTGTTTTGGGTGTGGGCGGTGGCGCTCGTCCCAGCGGTTTTCTGGGTCAGAGTCAGGGAGGAGGAGGCGTTTCTTGCGGAGGAGTTTGGGGAGGAGTGGGAGGCGTATGTGGAGAGGACGTGGATGTTTGTTCCGGGGGTTTTGTAGGGCGGGCGTTTAGCTCATTGAGCTCATTGAGCAAGCGTTTTGAGCAGGTTGGGGGCGTTGATGGACAATGTTGAGATCACAGCTGGTCAGTAGAGTCGATTAAAGATTGACTCTGTCTTTGGCTAGAACGTAATGCAAGGCTGAGATGTCTAGACCGGATGCATAGAGGAGTGAGTATACGCATGCAGGACCTGTGAGTAGACTTGAGGTCACCTCAGGACACTGATGACACGTCCGTGCAGCTCTACACTACAGGAGAAAAGCCAGCACAACTAATCTCGCTTCGTATTCTCGCATTATTTTGACCTCAGTCCCAGCTTTAATAGTGTATCCCTTCCCGTACAATAACTGACCGGTCTGGGTCATTCAATCGAAATGCTGAATGTAAAGAAAAAAAGCGGAAAAAAAGAATCGCAAGGAGCCCACGCCCTTAAATCGCGCTTTCCCGGCCATGTCACGGCACAATATTGGACGGCGGGCGACGTTTCAAAACGCTGTCCTCAGGCCCGGGTCAGTCATTCGTGGATGGTCATTGTAGCAGACGGTCGCTATCCCTGTTCATGTCGACAGAGCATTTTCAGTGCGCAGCATTCAAAGCATTTGCCGGCAGTGAATCCTTCCTTGACTGAGCAGTACTTACATGTCGCAGGAGGATCATATGTAGAAATACGCACTCGGCAGATGACACATTTTGCGACAAAGCCAGCCATTTGTGTCTGGTCAGGTCCTTTCCAGCCTATCTTGATGTCTGCTGGCGATGAGGCCCGAAGTAACTGTATGATGGTTTCGATGTCTCGTACCGCCGATTGGAGGATTGGGACTGTGCTAGTCTTAAACTTGTCCCGCTGGGTCTCTGCGAATGATAATGGAGTTCGGCCGGTGCATGTGGGGGTATACACAGCATTACTTCCGTAGTTTAGCAGTAGCTGGACAACATCTGGGGCTCCATACTGAGTGGCCAAGAAGAGTGGGGTACGGCCCCGTGAGTCCGGTTTGTCGATTAGCAGCCTATTTCCAGAGCTATCTGCAGTGGCCCCTTTTTGCGCCTGGCCTGCTGCCTTGTCGGCCTTTAATAGTGCTTTCACAGCACGGATGTTATCGCCTTGGATGGCGATGGAGAGCGCTGTATAACCGTGGGGATCCAACACATTAATGTCAGCTCTGGGAAGTAAATGATGTATCATACCAGGCGATCCTCGCATTGCAGCGCAGAGTAACGCAGTGTAGCCGTCACTGTCTCGAGCTTCCGGTTCCGCCGCTCGATCAAGAAGCAAATCCACCATCCCTAGATCCTCTTCATACACAGCGGCAATGAGTGGCGTCCTCCCATTCAAGCTCCTTGTGTCCGTAGAAACCCCTCTATCGATGAGTATCCCGGTAGTTTTCTTATCGCCCCTCATCACCGCAGTGTGTATTGCAGACCATGATTCTCCATGATTCTCATGGTCAACTAAGCCACCATGGTCGAGAATTGAGTTGATGCAGCCCGAGAAGCCTTCTGTCACCGCAATCTTAAGAGGCGTATGTTTCCTACACAACTGATCGTTTACGCTGTTCATGGCCTCGAGGAACGGGTCGATTGCTTGTTTACGTCCTCCAAGCATAGCGAGCACCAGCGCGTCCTCGAACTCCGAAGTTTTCGGATGAAACACAGAACCAGTGGCCTCCTGCCGCTGCGCAACAAGAGCTCGAATTCCACCAATCCATCCATGCGAAATGGCGTATGTAAGAAGGTTATCATATCCCCAGAGGGGAAAGTCGATTCTTGCGCCTGAGTTGATGAGCAAATCCAGCATCTCCACCTGCTTTGACTCCATCGCCCAAATAATTGGAAGACGACCAGCTTTTGTATGAGCGTTCACGTTGGCACCCCCGTCCAGAAGCAATTTGGCCACACCAAGATGGCCACGACGGACAGCGGAGGATAAAGGCGTCGTTGATTTCCAACGCATTCTTTCCTGCAAGATTTGTTCCTCACCTATACAGGTGAGTGAGTGCTCACGGTGCCCAGCACTCTCCTCGATGGTAGCACCGTCCATAATTCTCGGATTGGCTCCATGTGCGAGCAGGCTGCCAATACAATCCTCTCTGCCGTTCAACGCGGCCCATAGCATGGGCCTCCTCGCTCCTCGTTTGTGGCGGTGGATATAGTAATCGTAAAAGTCGTCATTGAAGGTGTTGTAGAGCCGGCGGCATGTCTGAATGAGGGCGTTGCAAATCCCGGGATTGTACTGCAACTCGGCCCATACCGCCCACAAGAGCTCCGCGGGCAGTTCAGTAAGCATCCTGTCGGCTGAGATCCTAGAAGAAACAGAAAGGTTAGCATGGCCACCAATGAATCCCAACTCCTCTTCTGAGAGATAGATACCGGATAAATACTCATGTGATGATGAGTAGATGGTTGCTTGCGTTGTGTTGATCAAGCCCGATCGCTGGACTAGAAGATCGCCAGGTCCCACAGGACGCTAGTCCGAATTCCGGTCGACTGCGTCAAGCTTGGTGCCTGCCAAGACTCAATCTGCAACTAGGCTTGGCATTCGTCCCTCAAGCGGCGTTGTGATCTGTGTTGCTCCGCCCTTGAGCATCACCGAGTTTGCTAGAAGCTCGACTGCATGTGAGATGGTTCTTTTATACAATGGTCTTTATTCAATGATTATCTTCCTTACTGCCAGACATCTTCAGTACATTTCAGTCTTGGTATTTCCCAGCTACCCCACAATAAATATATTTCTCTCTTGATTACGGCTCAGTTACGCGCACTTCCCCGCAACCTCTCCAACAGCAGGCGTATGACATTCTTCCAAAACACTCCTGGACAGTGATACAGACTTCTCACTGATTATAATTATCCAGCGGCGAATCCTTCTCAACAAGCCTCCACACTTCCTCAATTCTCTCCACAACCTTGTCGCTCAACGGCCCCTTTTCAATCGCAGCAAGAGTCTCCCGCAACTGCTGCAAATTCCTCGCCCCAAAGACAACCTTGTCCCCGTACTCCCTCTTCAGGCCCGAGTTATAGACAATCCACCTATACGCGAGCTCAACCTTCGGAATCCCCGTGTCATTCGAGATACTCTCCCAGAGCCGCAATCCCTCGAGCATACTCGGCTTGTTGTACAGCCTGTGGTACAAGCTTCCCAGGAAGGAGGAGGGGTCCCAGCGTCCAGATGCCTTTAGCAGTTCTTCCACAGTCTTCGTCAAAAAGCCACCCGCGATTGGAGAATACGCGTAGAACTGGATACCGTGCTGTCGGAGGAGAGGGAACAGACGCATTTCGGCATGTCGTGCAACGGCAGAGTAATTCCCCTGGAAGACAGATGGAAGGACCCAGTTGTTCTCCTTTGCAACGCGGATAACTTCTTCAACCTCGCTGGGGAGAAAGTTCGATAGACCGAAGCGCTTGATCTTACCGGACTCGTACAGTGTGTTGATGGCCTCGAGCTGGACCTCAAGAGGAACTCGACGATCGGGGGCGTGGATGTAGTACACGTCGAAGGACTCCGCTTTGGATTTCTCGAGGCCCTTTTCGGCAGTCGTAATGATATCTTCTTTCGTCGCGGGTTTGGGGCTGAATCCGCCGGGGTACTTTGAGTCGATGGCGTGGGTTTTCGCGGCGCCAAGAATACCAAGGACTTCTTCGTTGTCGCCGTAATTGGCGGCGGAATCGATGGTTTTGATTCCAGCTGCTGTTATGACAGCCAGACCCTCCTTTTGCTTTTCGAGGCCTTCGAAGTCCGTTGGGGGAGTCGAGGTCCAGGTTGCGCCTCCGAAAACGAGTTCAGCGCCGGACATCTTGACTGAGTAGTTGAATGACTTTCGAAATGGGGCAGTGAAAGTGAGTTCGAAACTGGGTGGAATAGTGAGTGATGGAGTTAAGTGATTCGCAAGACACTTTGTGACTGTTTACACATCTCTGACCAAAGCCGAAGACGACGACACCATTTTATATCCCCCTTCTTGCGCCAGCCTTCCGTGTACTTCCTTCTCAAACGTCCTAAGCCCGACAGGCGGGATTAGAAATCAAGGCAAATGGAAATACGAACTTTTTGCTTCCAAATCAATCCACACTTCCACGACCAAGCGTGATTGCCAAGAAATGGTGTCATTAGGAACAGGGATACTCGGAGTTTATAACAAATCGACCCGAAACAAGACCGTCTCCACAGTTCGACAGGGTCCAATGCGATTGTCCAATTTGACGGCAACTCGCGCCGATGGTCGATTTCTTGGTAATCGGTTTCCACCAGCCGCGGTGCAGCGTTATACGAGAGGGTTTTCATTGGCTAGTTTGCGAACAAGGATCGTGCCGCCTCAACGCTTTCACACCGCTAGCGCGCCGCCCATGCAGCGCCGCTGCTAACTCGGACATAAGCTTGTTGGCTACGAAAGGGGGGCGGACAGACGTCCTGCGGGATTCGGATTTGGGACTCCGTACTCCGTATTTCGACCGCATTCCGGTGAAACGTAAGCAGGAGCGGAGCGGGAATTTGGCGTGTTAAGTGTGATGGTAAGCGGGATGTGCAGTCATGTTGGCGGATTCGATGCCATTGCCTGCTACACCTGCAAGTACCCTCTTTGCTGTTTTGCTACTTCTATACGTTCTGATACATACTGTCCGACTTTCGGAAAACTAGGGACGCTTATTGCTGATCGCGTTTCGATTGCTGTTGACCTCCTTTTCACACCAAAAGTGCTCGATCGCCCTCAACTGCTAGAGGAAGTATGTATTGATTCTGGAAGAACTGCGCTATGCTTATACAATCACCGCATCCGCTTGTCCTTATCAGGAAACGGCTTCTCGAACCTCCACCCTTTCTTCAAAGTGCGCGGATCGCGCGGATCGCATTTCGCAAAGCTGATACGGAGCCGACGACAAAGATCAGCGAGTCTTAGCAACAACTCCATATCAGATACGGACGGCGGCATAGCCACTAGGAGGGGAACAGAAAGATTAGCCCACGTGCACCAAACGACCAGGAGGCGAAGAACAGGGGCTGGTGCGCCTACACTCGACGGGTACCGGTGTGGTGAAAACCACAATGTCCGTCATATGAACTCCTTTCGACTGAATATAATTTATCAAAGACTGGGCGACGACGTTGATGGCACCAGCGCCGTGGATCTTGGTGATGTGGAGTTCTTTGAGTGATGGTGGGAGAATCCTCGTGAGGTCAGGGACCGGGGCTTGGGCGTGAATACCACTACGATAAAACTGACCGAGGAGCCGATGTGGCGCGTGCAGAAATTGGAGGATTGTGAACTCGGCAAATGACGGAAATATCGGCTCTTCTAGCTCTGATACAAGTTCGATGTCGAGCCATAGTGTTTTGAGAGTGTGTCGTGCTTGAAGGAGAGCGGGATAGATGGGGTGGTCCATTCCGGGGGGAGGCCAAACATTGAAGGGGAAGAAACCATGCCGGTAGGACTCGAGCTTCGGGCAGTTCTTGATCAGATTACTGAGACTCCTCAAACCACCCCCACAGTCACCGATCGAGAGGTGTTTGACCGGCGAAGAGCCGATTGCGACTCCGCTCTCGCCGTCGAAGAGCGCATCCGTGAACACCGACCGCAGGGCTGGTAACCCAAAGAAGGGCAGCATCAAGGATGTGACAAGGCCATAGGGCGCGAAAGCCGCAGATACAAGCACCTCTTCCAGGTGCTGAAGTACAGGCATCGAGAACTGCCCCGCCGCGGCTCTCAGGATGACCTGGGGGACATAGGTGCTGCGATCGGGGAACTGGATCTCGAGCCGGCGGAGGTTCGGCAGAAGAGTGAGAAGCAGTGCAATCCACGCATCGGGGTTCTCTTTATTGAGATCCCTCTCCCACCTCATTGCTTCCTTCTCTGAGAGGCTCGCTTCTCGCGCTTTTACCAGCACCGGCGAAATGTCATATCGCCGGAGTATCATGTGGAGATCCATGTTCCTGCCATCATCTCTGGCCCATGGGTAGGGGGTGTCCCATGCTGTCAGATGGAGGCAGCGCGGATATTTGCATAAAGTTGGCTTTCGTACCAGGGTGTCTACGAGGCCGTGTGAACTGCGCGGGCTGAGATTCTCGTAAATCAGCGGCTGGACGCAGTTGTAAAAGTGGCGCGATGTGCGAAGCAGGCTTACTTTGTCGTGGTCGCCCAACTGCTGGGTTATTATCAGCTGGATCTCCGTGGGAATGGCTTGCAACATTATCGAAAATGTCTTGGCAGAACGTCTTCGCGAGGGGCGGAGGGGGACATGAGCCTCGTATACAAATGTCTGCCTAATCATGTGACACCCTAGACGGCATGGCCGTTTCTCCAACGAGACACCGAGATGGCACCACTCCCAAGAGAAAACCGATCTGAAAAAACGAACTGCTCAATCGCAAAACTTGGTTTCATGAAAATCCAGGATATACCACGCTATTGTGATCAACGCGGGGATGCCGTTCCATTTCGACGACACTTCTCGGAATTAACTGCGGGACACGAAGGTCGTCATGTAGCCAAAGGCAAGACTACCCGACCAAGGGGCCTCTGGACGAGGAAAGTAGGGCCCAAACTGGTTGTGATAGCCATGGTCTCATTACCTTCTTTTGAACCCGTGGACGATGACCCAAATGCTGCCATTGACTGGGAGTTGTTCAAGATTGATCCGCAATAGAGTCGGGACCTGCCCGGCGTGTGCCTTCCCGCGGAGCTGACGGACAGGGCGAGGCATTTGCTTTCTAGATCTACGCCACTACAACATTCACCTTGAAGTTGTGACTGACAAACTTGTTGATTTCTCCTTCTGCGGACAAATCTTTCCGCCCGAGCTGTGTGGCGATGCTTGTTCTGACTTCTCGGGCTCAATATGGTCAGGTGTTTTCTCCGACGAGATATGTGAGATATCACCTGACCCTGTTTCGTTAATGATGACCCTAATAAATACTGCCCAGATTCATAGCGCTCAGAATATCTTCAGAGCCCATCTAGAATTTGCACTACAGCTGGGACTGCGCAGCACAGTATAATGCTATCGATACACCCTGCCATGGGTGGTGCCAGGACTTGAGGTCAGTACGATTGGGTGCCGAGACCACTGTCCCTCAGCTTCGTGCTCCTTCAAGATGTGGATCAGCAGCATCCAGAGGCATTCTCAGCCGTCTCAAGCTTCACCTGGTACCTAAGCGGCAGGTCGAGCAGTGGACCTCAGCTGTGGTCGAGACTTTCACAACATATAGGGTACACGCTCATCCGCGTGGAACCATTAGCCCAGGTACGTCTGTTGAAAATGCTTGAATTTAGTCCCCTGCTCGGCATCCTGTGTTTTATGGTCCAATTTACGGTCGGGCTCAACCGAAAGATACCGGGGTTTGGTCTCCTCACTGAGACGGCGCCTACAATCCTTCATACACGAGGGAAGAGCAAGAGTTGATCCTTTGGTCTTGGGCCTGGGGTATTCACTGTTCCTCGGTACAGGCGATGGGACATTACTCCCCGAGAGACTCAACCAGACAGTCTCCATATTCAATATACAGGTATGGGAGGATTTACGTGCTTGAGTAGAGCAAAGTTCCATGTTTCAAGGAATTCACCTATATCCCTGCTAAAGATCTTTCGCCGCACATAATATGGTCACAGAACGGTTCAATCACATTATAAGAGCTAGACTCGCCATACGCTGAGAAAGTCCAGATGGTGTACAAGAGAAAAATCAAAACCCGACATGGTCTCACGACGAGGATTACCGAAACTTCGACATGGATCAACCACCACAATTTACCCTTCCTGTGAGATTTTGAAACACAGCCTGATGCCTTTACCCGTCAAAATTTACCAATCGAAGTGAAGCCTGCTCACTTCCGGACTCCGCATAGCTTTGGCTCTTTATCTCGCGAGTTGCTGGACAATCGAAGCAGCGCCTGCAAACTCAAGTTCTTTCATTGTTTCCTCCCATAATTGCTTCATGGCCTTGTCCCCCGTCTCGCCATACACGACAGCCGGATACCTATTACCAAGTTATTAGCAGCATTGGGAGCGGGGCGAGTTCAGTTCAACTTACGGTTGAAACTTCCAATCGCTCACATACGACCCATGACTCTCTTTCCCCTGGAGAACAGTCGCATAGATATAAGTACTCGCGCCAACCTCGACGGTCCTCGCCATGAGACCTTTCGCCCTAGAAGCGATGGCCCTCAGCACAGGATTGAATTTGGAGAACGTCTCCGTGTTCAATGAGGTTCCGTCGGTCAGGCCGGGATTCGTCAGGTTGATGGTGACATTGTCGGCGGACACGACCTCTGCGAGCTTGACAACGAACCAGAATAAGAGAAGCTTTGATCTCTGGTAGTTCGTGTGATTAAATGTTTTTGGGTTGTCGAGTTGTGCGATGAAGGGTTTGTTGAGGTCAAACTTGGCCCAGTATGCCGTATCTGATGCGACGATTGACAGGATTGGCGATTTTGAATCCTCCGAATTGTGCTTGGCTTTCAGGACCGGTAGCAGCAGGATCGTCAGGAGTGCCGTCGAGATGTAGTTGACCTGAACGGTCTTCTCGTGTCCCGTCGCCTCAACTTGCTCAAAGACATCCTTCTGCAGTCCCGCATTCAAAATAACGATATCAATTCTTGACAACGTGTCGCATTGTCGAACAAACCGCTGAATAGATTCATACGACTCCATATCGAGCAGCCACGCTGAGATCGTCGCGTCCGGAAACTCTTTCTGTAGTTTCGCAGTGAGCTCATCGCCCTTGGCCTGCGACCGAACAGTAACTATCAAGTGGGCAGGACGGAGTCGAAGGAACTGGCGACTGGCCTCCACCCCGAGACCGCCACTTCCGCCCGTTATAATCACCGTGCGACCGGTGAGATCTGTTCCGGCCGGTAGGGGCGGAGGGTGCATGCGGAACTGTCGTCGGAAGAAGGCAAGCACCCCAGCTTCCCTTTTCGCAAGTTTCTGGAGGCTCTGTGACATTCTTATACTCCCATAAGAGATCGCGCTGGTAAACAGGACCTCCGAGTCGGGATTAATGGGTGCTGGATGGTTACCGATCGCTCGATCGCTCGATCGCAGCAGGAGCTCTTTCAATCCCGGCGGGGCGCAGAGCACTCTTTATATATCCTTTCCTACCGGAATATGACCACCATGTGTAACGCAAGATTGCGATTCCGACTGGACGCTCAAAACTTGGAAGCAAACTTCTGCACATTAATTCCTTTATGTCCGAAGCCTGCCTGTGCGGGGCCACATTTGATGGAGGTGGTGGCGCTCGTCCCGTGAGCAGATTGGGTGGCTCTACCCGGAATCCGGAGTTAACTGAAGCAAGAGGAACTTTCCTGCTGTGGTTATGCGTCATTTGGTCCAAGCTCCTGAGGCCAAGGCCTGTAGTACTTCCGTTGTAGACCATTCCTGCTATGGGTACTACCTTAGTTGTGGACTATGTAAGCCATGGTTGTCTCGGATCCTAAATGCACTCAAGAGGTAGATACCCGGGTAGGTGCAGTCCAAACCCCCTTCCCGATGTATTATATCCCAACTGCCGACCTGACAACGAGCGGCCTCCGGTGTATAGATATGGAATCTTGCATCAACGAGAACAACGAACACTGAACAATGGTGACACAGACTACACGAATGGTACACGTGACATGGGCATTCTGAGCCTGATGGGCCGGATGCCGAGGTTGAGTATAGAAATGCCAGGTCGAGCACAGCGGAAATCTATGTAGAGCGGTAGAATAGTACTAGTTATGTATCAGGAGGAATAATACTCGTCACAAATCCCAGATACAGCGCTAGTCTTCTAGTTACTAGCAGTCCGCTGGCCTTGCAGGTGCACACTGGTAGGGCGCGACGTGACAGAAATGTTATCCAAAAGTAGCTATTTAATTCAGAATAAAAGTTTGGTTTGGTTTGCAGATGTCCTCGATCATTCAAACTCCGCCACTGGTAATGGCCAAGTGCATCAAGTGTAGGATCTTGAGGTATTTATCTGATGCCCGAGCCAAACTAGCCAATGAATACATCGAGAAAATATAGTACCAGTGCTTCGCCAAGTCCCAAGCAGGCCAAGGCGCAGCCTCGTTAACAGCATCACGTGATGGCGGGGTCTTCTTTGTCCACAAGATCCGAGGTGGAGCTCAGTCCTCTGCTCCGCTTGACGACATTTTCCTCCGCCAAAGCCTGCCAATAATGACCTTCCAAGACCTCCCGCCGGAAATCCAGATCCTAGTGGCACGGGAGCTGGACCGCGCGGACAAGGTGAACTTGGTCTACACATGCCGATACTTCTACGAGCTGGTTATCCCCCAGCTTTATGAAGCTCTTCCTGATGCGACGCGATATTCCAAACGTCTGGTGGATAGTCTTGTGCGAAATCCGGCACTGAGGAATTATCCCCGTATATCAGGCTTGAGGCCTGCCATGTGCGGGGGCCAGATGAAGAGAAGGGGGATGACGGTGACAGCAGCGACGCCAACGGCGATATAAAAGACGTAGGTACAGACAAAGCTAAGGGAGACGATGATCCAGCTACCTGGTTATACAACGTGCCGCTGCAGACCCAGTACGCCAAAGAAATATGCATCTCAGAGAGAGACGGCAACACCCTCTCTTGTGCAATATGGAAGAACGAGGACGGCGCACATGCCTTGTTCCTCACGCTCGTTCCCAGTCTCGTGCGGCTCGACTTACAGTTCCCCAAGCACGGCCGCTTAACCGATATGGTCATCAATTGGGCTAGGCAAGGGAGATTCGCGGCGCCCGTTCTCCAAAACTTACAAGAGGTCTTTGTATCGTCTGAATGGTGCAAGTTCCAGAAGGAAGGTGCGGACGAGATCATCACGGACTGGGCACTGACATTCCTATGGTTACCGTCGCTTCGGCGGTTCAAGACTGACGCGTTCCGGGACGTGGTTTATGAGTGTTGTATGCCCGACCGTCGATCCTCAGTAACTCACATTGAGATCAGCAAGTGTCCGGGCTTCAAGGATGTTAAGGGCTTCATGCAGCTTTTCCGAATCTCCAGTCGTACAGGCACAGCTATGTGACCTCGAAATGGAACAAACCGCTGAGCTCACGGCGGATGTATGAGGCGCTTTTGCAAGCTAAAGAGACGCTACGGGAGATCTGGCTTGATATCTGCCTGCAGAACTTGGCGCGCGAGCCGGCGGGACTAAAGTGGCCGACTTTTACCAACTTTACAGCCCTTGAAGTGCTGCACATCTCCATATTTCTACTCGAGGACTTTACCGGCGAGCCACGAACAATCAGACTCACCGAGCTTCTCCCGCGAACACTCGAAACCATGCATATCTTCGATGCAGCATACGATACCCTCCCAAACCTCTTACCTTCCCCTCCCTACGTGAATATATTACCTCCCCACACAGCCAGAATCTAACCAAACTCATCATCGCAACCACCCCGTACTACCAGGAGGGTGGTCTCTTTATTATTCTCAATGAGTCAGTCAAGAGGGCATTTACAGACGACCGTTCCAGGTCGGATGAACTTGCCAACCCACTCTCCAAGCCCCTAAGAGAGCTAGAGGAGGCCTGCCACGCCCGACGTGTCACATTCGACTTTCATATTTTGGACGGGTCGTCGGAGTTGGCGCGGGCTTGGGAGTTTGAGGATCCGTTTGAGAAATCCCGGTGAGCGTGAGGGTCTTTGTGTTGTGGCCGTAGTAGTGACTTTGGGATACCCATATATATGTCTCTACGCCGTGCATTAAAATGCCTCTATACTTTTGTTCTTGCCTTATTTCCTCCTCTCGGGAGATCCAGGTGAGGTTGACCGCCCAGATCAGAGTCCAGTCACCGTCTGCTGGTGGAAGCTGACCTTGTTCAAGATGCTCATTTGCGTAAAAGCAAGGGCTGCACCCCCTGGTTCACATAATGGTGGTTGCAAAGCTTTATGGATCAACGAGACTCCCTCGAAAAGTGAAACCAGATTGAGATTTCCCAACCTATCCTTTCCGCAAGGCACAGGCGGAAAGCCGAGGATGGCCTGCCACAGCATAGAGTTACCCCAGCGGCATTTGTTCGGGGCCGGAGTTGCTGGGAGTGTGTGGTGAAATGCGGATACTACCTAGGACTCATGATACAAAGCCTCAGGCGACCAGATATCCATTTACATGACTCAGTCTCCCTCCTGTGCCTTGCGTTGGGGCTGTAGTGGTGGAGTGGTTATGGGGATCCCACCAGGAAACATCCTTATTGCTTATAAAGTGGGCTAATCAAGTTTCGAGAAAATTCGCGAGATGGGTCACAGTCTCTCAGAAAGTTGCAGTCAGGCGTCCTGCCTGACAAAGCGTCCTGGCACTAGCGGAATGAACTCCGACGAGTCTAATGACTCTATGAAACCCCTACCAGAGACCCTGGGTTTGATTTATGTACAGGGGTTCGCTTGAGGTGCGATGCAAAGCCAAACTGCTAACAAAAAAAGAAATCTGAAGAACCTGAGCCCTTTGGCCGCTTGGCAAGAAGCTTATATCGCCCAACTTTGTACCCGAGCATCCATGTACATAAGCCGGCTATGGGACCAGAATTCTTCAGTGCGAGTGAGGAACCGTGGCAGACTGGAGAAGGAAAGTGGATAGGGACGCCCTGATTCTTATTCGTCGACAATTGCGGCCGGCTTCGCGGTGATTAGTGATGCGTGTCTATGAGGATCAATAATCACTTTATTTAATAGTGCTTACTATCATGCCCCCTTAAGTATACGCACATTCCTTCCAGCTTTCATTTGCTTTTCCAGTCTCTCTTTTGTATTCTCTTCTCGACTCTCCTTAATCGTCTTGTCTTGACCACCATGCCTCCATACCTTCCGCTCCTCTTCTCCTCCCTCCTGGGGGCAGCCTCAGCCCTCCCGTCCACCACTCATGGCTCGTCCCTCGGGAGCAGGGAAAACATCCTCCTCTTCGACGCTCCCGCGTACGAAACCTCTACATGTCCCATCCAGCACCTCTCCACCATCCAGGCCTACACCTACACCAACGGCTCCGTCGACGAGGTCGTCGCCACTTTTAGTGCCTTCGCCGCAGCCAGTGGAATTGACATCGACGAGCAGGGGTACAAGATCCTGCAGGAGCGCTCGAGGTGGTTTGCGACTACCCCTGTTGGAGGCAAGACGGTTGAGGTGCAGGTTGATGGGTGTAGTCGGGGCTTCAGCGTGGGAAAGACTGCCCCCGCGCGCAATGGCAGCGATGATGTGGGGATGGCGGAGGGTCAGGGGAGCTTTGGGGCTTGTGAGCGTGGCCATATCGCCACTGGAAGAGCTGTCCTAGGAAAATGGGACAAGAGGGCGTTTACGAATACGGTGTACAAGTCTGGGAAGAAGGGGTGGGGTGTTATTTCCGGTATGCTTTCCTTACCCCTAACCCTGACCCTAATCCCAAGCCCATCCCTCATTCCGAAACGCTTCAATTGACACGAGACTGGTCTAGACATCGACGACACAATCAAAATAACCGGAGGCGGCCTCGACGCCATAAAAGCAACCTTGATCGAAGAAGCCACCCCGGTCGCCGGAATGCCCGCCCTGTATTCCACCATCACCGACCTCATCGACCCAGCCTGGATCTACCTCACCGGATCCCCATGGCAGTTGTACAGCATGCTGCACGACTTCATCCACACGGAGTTTAGCGCGTCGACTGGACCAATCCTCATGAAGAATCTGACGTACACGGGCGTCGAGGGACTCCTCGAGTTCCTGGCTGCGGGGACGAGTCTCGAGTACAAGGCCGGTCGGATCGATGATATTCACGCGTGGTACCCCGGGAAGATGTATCTCGGTATTGGGGACTCGAGTGGGTATGATCCGGAGGTGTATGCCTATGCGTGAGTGGCTGCTGTCGAGTCTACTATCTTGTGAAATGGAAGGGTGCTAATGGCTTCTGTGTAGGTACCGCCAGTACGGCCCCGAGTGGATGAAGTGCATTTGGATCCACGTTGTTGAAGAAGGTAACAACACCGATGCTCGCTGGGAGGAGGCCTTCAAGGGGATTCCGGAAACGGCTTACTACCTCTACTCCGATCCCGAGGAGCTGAACCCTGCTGCTCTGGCTGAGGGTGCCTGCTTCTAGTGATGGGAAGGCTCTCGAACGGGAAGCCTGGAAAGTCTTGCCAGATACCAACCCGTGGTGATATACAAGGCCTGAACGCATATGTACGGATTATTAGCGATCTCTTCATTTCGTAACTCCCCCGTGGCCGCACATGATGTCAACCGGGACTTCTTATGCTTGTACCTTCTTTAATCATTCTTGAGATCCGAAATAAAAGCTTGCAAGGCACTAGCGAGCAGGTGGATAAAATGCAGAACATAGACTTCGACCAACTCTCTCCCACGGAATCCAATCGTTGACCGGGTGCCGATCGTCATCGACGGCAGTGTGACAAAACTCGCGTCCCCAACAGGGAAACAAGTCCTGGTGGAGCTTCGCTACTCGAAAATATCTTTCACCTTCTGGACAAACTCCTCAACGTCCTCCAGGAACGCCTTTGGCTGTTCCAAGCCCCCGAAATGCCCTCCCTGTAAATACAAGTCAGCCCACGTCCATCCACCCACCACCCAACGAGCAGAAAAAAGAAAAAGGTCGAGAGCGCACTCACCTTATCATGCGTTTCATAAAGCACCAAGTTCGGATAGATCTCTCTCGCCCACGCTTTCGGAAGCAGGACAAGGTCATACGGGAACAGCGAGTATCCCATTGGTTTCTCGTTTGAAATCGGATGCGGTTTTCCCGCGAGGACATTTTTCACAAGTTCAGCGTGGTACAGGGCTCGCGGGAACGTCGACGTGAACCAGTATAGGGCTGTCATGGCGAGGATTGTGTCGAGGGGGATTGGGTAGCGGGGGTCGCTCCATTCGAGGTGTTTTTCGCCGATCCTATACATCGCTGTGTCAATTATCTGCTCCATGTAGTATACTATAGCGGGCAGTTCTATGTACTTACCAGGCTAACAGGGCAAGCGGACTCGATGAGATAACGAGACCGATCGTGGACGGTCGAGTACCATGCTCGAGGGCGTATGCGAAGCCCGTCTCCCGCCATCTGTCCGACCGGTCCATGTGCTCTTTTTCCCTCTCGGTTAAGTCGTCGATGGATCCAGCCTTCTGGTCCGGGTTGAGCACGAGCATGTTGACTGCAGAGCATGGTTAGCATTGACGGGGCCAGGATGGATGGATGAATGGGGGTCGAGCGTACCATGAAAGGCTTTACATGCCTCGTATTGAACAGCCATGATCCTCGCCAACATACTGCCCAGATCTCCTCCCTGGGCAACATACCCACTCCCAAACCCCAGATCCAGCATGAGCTGGTTCAGTATGCGCGCCGCGCGGTCAAGCGTCATCTCGACGTTTTTGCTCGCCCCGCCCGACAGACCATAATCAGGTAGAGACGGAACAATGACATGATACGGCAGTGTCTCGGGCGTATACTTTTCAGCAAGAATCTCCAGCATGGGCAAGAACTCCATAAAGGACCCCGGGTACCCATGCAGGAATACAATCGGGATGGCATCGACCTTTTTCGAGAAAAACGCTGCGAAGTGGATATCGACGACTCCAGTTTCGGAGTCCGTGATTGGGATCTTGAAGTTCGGGAAGCTGTTGATGTAGTTTTCGTGCGTGCGCCAGTTGAATTTCGGCGAGAGCCAGGTCTCTTTTGCCGTCGTGAGCCACTCGCGCGAGACGCCGAATTTGCCCGTTGTATCTTGGTTCCACCATGTTGCGGGGCCGATGGGGGAGAGGCGGAGGAGGTGTTGGAATTCTGCTAGGGCTTCCTCGGGGATGTGCAAGGTAAATGGGGATGGGGCTCCCGGGATGTTTCCGGGGAGAGCGTTGAAGTTCTTGGCCATCGTGGTGGGCAAGTTGGGGTGGCGGATAGTCGAACCAGTGCCACTATGCAGACAAGCATCCGAGGCGAACAACGCATTCCCAAGCGAGACGACTTTTCTAGAAATACCTCAGCATCTCAGAATCCTGACTCACACGCGTAGATGGAATCTTACAGATGCTTCGCGAACATTCACTGCCGTTGACCACTAAGAGTCAGCGGTTGACGCATCAGCAGGCCGCTATGACTAGTCGGGTAAGATGAATCACCTTTTCTGTCTGTCCACCAACGTCTACCTGGATGATTCGTCGCAGTGGTAATAAAAGTATATCAGCAAGCGAGCCGTGGGACTTTTCTTTAACGAAGTATACGCGATCTGCGGCGGGTACGAAAGAAGCTCGCGATGCGTGCTGCTCGCGCGAAATCCGATTTCTGCCACAGCCGCAAGTTGCCCTACCACAGCCGACACAGGGGAGAACTGCATGGTGCGTAGGAACATCAGATACATATAACATAGGATGAATGATCTGTTTGGGTACTGCCAGTGCAAAGGGCCGAGGCGAAATGGACAAAGGAGAAGCTAGAATGGAGGGAAGTAGCCGTGGAGGGCAGTGTCAGTCACTCTAAGACTTGCTGTGTACGCCATGTCTCCAGATCGTCTCCTAAGACAAGCAAAAAGCTACCCCTGGCCGAAACGTTTGCCGCCTTCTCCTGAAGAATCCTACCATAGCATCAGCGAACGAGCCCCTGTGGCTCCGGATGTATGTATCTCGGGATAACATACGTTCGGCCCGTAGGTGCGTCCGCTGGACTGTGACGAGAGCCGCGGTACAGTGGCTCTCAACGAGGCCGTTGTTCACAGGCGCAATGGTGTTGCAGGTGGTATAGCTACCAACTCTGAAATTCCCGTCACCAACTGCCGGATATAGTTCCCGTGCCACGTTCGCCAAGAGTCGTCAGGATCCAGGGCGCAGCCAGGGCGTTTCACATGCCCTGTAGATCACTTGATGACAGACCACGGGGCACGCTGACCCTGTACGGGCCGGAGCCGGAAACACGTTGACGGGCTGGCGATGTGGGTCGTGCGGTCGGTAGGTACCCGAGGGTGCCTGACGAAACGGCTTGAAAGTTGTGGAGTGCAGCGTAGCTTGATTTACCCTGTCATCATTCTGCATGCCCCAGGCTTGTCCGGGGCGGGGTACCAGGGTACTCCAGGTTTCTCCATGTATATATAGCTGCAGGGAAAGCAAGAAGTACCATGATACAACAGCATCGACAACTACAACAACCCACCCGCTTCTCTCACTGTCCATCATGAAGTTCCTCCACCACCTGGCGTTTGCCATGGCGGCGATGGCCTCGCCGCTTGAGAAACGCGACCCCTCCGTGACCATCGCCAACGGCACCATCGTTGGCGGGACCAAGGGCAACGTCGAGTTCTTCAAGGGCATCCCCTTTGCGCAGCCACCGGTTGGCAAACTGCGATTCAAGCACCCGGTGCCATACGACTCAAACTTCGGGACCTTGAAGGGCACCGAGACTGCGCCCCTCTGTATACAAGGCGACGGCACTGGATCCGAAGACTGTCTGAAGCTCCTTGTGCTGCGACCCGCGAGTCGCCCGGCTAAGAAGCTGCCAGTGGTCGTGTTCATCCACGGTGGCGCGTTCTCGGGCGGTGGCGCCGAAGAGGGAAACGACGGCACTCCGCTTGTTGAGAAGAGCGTCTCGCTGGGACAGCCGTTCATCTTTGTCTCGATCCAGTACCGTCTGGGTCTCTTTGGATTCTTACCAGGAAAGGAGGCGATTGGGAATGCGAACCTAGGACTTAGGGATCAGCGATTGGCAATTGAATGGGTCCACGGTGAGCAGAGTGTCAGAGCTTAGTTGTCGACCTGCGACTAACACAGATCACAGACAACATTGCTGCGTTTGGCGGAGACCCTGACCAGGTTGTCCTCTACGGCTTCAGCGCAGGATCCATGTCCACCCTTGACCACACCATCATTAACGGTGGCAACGCAGAGGGCCTCTTCCGCGGCATCGTGCTGGGCTCGGGATCCGTCCTCCCTGCGCTTGATGTGGACCATCCCAAGGCACAGGACGTGTATGACACGCTGGCTTCGAAAGTGGGATGCAGCTCCAGCGCCAACTCATTGGAGTGTCTCCGGTCAGCGGACGCCAAAACGCTGCAAAAGGCCGGGTACAGCCTGAGCACCTCGTACAAGCATCTCGGAATCAACCTGGCCTGGCTCCCCCGCCCCGATCCATCCGACAACTTCTTCCCCGTCAGCCCCGACGCCGCGATCCGCGCAGGCAAATTCGCCAAGGTGCCCGTCCTGAGCGGCGACACGGAAGACGAGGGCACCTTGTTCGCACTCACCCAGGCCAACATAACCAACAACGCCCAGCTCGCCAGCTACATCTCGACCTTCTTCCCAGACTACCCCCAGGACGCCAAGACCCTCGTCTCCAAGTACCCCGACGACCTCGGCGTCAGCGGCTCCCCCTACGGTACGGGCCTCGAGGGCAACGTCTTCGGCCAGTTCAAGCGCATGGCATCCATCTTTGGCGACCTGGCATTCATCTTCCAGCGCCGCTTCCACCTGCAGACCGTCTGCAACCAGGTCCCCTGCTACTCGTACATCAACTCTGCCCTGCACGGCTCCACCCCGCTGGGCTCCTTCCACGGCTCGGACGGGATGGTGCTTCTTTCGGGTCTCTCGACCGTTCCGGCTGTGACGCAGCAGCGCACTGTGCTCGCGTTCGTCAGTACCCTCGACCCCAACGGCGCCGGGGTTTCCAGCCCCTTGATCCGCTGGCCCAAGTATACCCCGAACGATGCGCAGATTGTTCTGCAAGAGGGATTCTGGAATGAGCTGGGCAAGGATGATTTCCGCGCGACGCAGTATAGCTACTGGAGCCAGAACATTGCCAAGTTTAGGCTTTAGAGCGCCCCTCTGGTCGGTGGATAGGATTTGGTGGTGGTGGCCCTGCCATCATGAGGTCCTGGACGGTGAGAGGGCCCTTGTATAGATAGCCTGAAGGGCGCCACAGGCCAATGTTCCCGCCATCGAAGACGCTGAGAGAGAGCACATGTGCTCAACTATCCCTATACTCCTTTCCGATTTGCTTCCATTCCATTCCTTCATTGGCATTTTTCTTACTTGACATGCATACTCCATGTAATACGCGCAACGGCGCCGTCAGTCCTTACAATTCATCTAAAATGCATTTTCCCTGTACATAAACAATATTGCCTCCAAATGAATATATTGGGATCAACAACGCAATACGAATCTTTGGAAGGTTGATATCAAACTCAATCCCCACCGAAAGACCATGTACATCATGCTGTGAAGTACTCTCTCTCACGCACCCCACAACAGGCACAATTCACCCGGGAGAAATGATCCCTAATCCGAAGCAGGCATCTGCACCATATCCGTAGCACAGACCATGCCCTGGCCTAGCAAAGCAATAGCGAGGTCCGAAGCCACAGTTGCTGTAGGCTTTGACCGTCTTCCTACATTCATACCTTGGAGCTCGTGGTGTGAGGGATTGTTTCCTCGCCAAGATTTGCACCATGCTCATATTACTCCAGATAAGGATTCAACCACCCAGAACGAAAGACGAAAGTCGCGGGCCTTCCATCTCGTCTTCCATCCCTGCCGCACCACAGCTGCATAGTCAGAATCCGGGGAGCCCGGATCCCATGTGCTGACACGTCACGCTGCACCTGCAAGACACGCAGCTAGCAATAGCCATGTGGCATGTGCATGTGCCCGTTGACGGATGAACCAACGCCCTACCTGACTGTAACCCCACATTTCAGATGAAATAACCTCGGATGCTTCGCCCAGGTACATTGCTTGCATGATTAGGCTTGTTCATCATCCTTCTCCTCCTTGTCCTCATCCCTGTCCTGTCTCGGTGGGCGGGAGAATGTGCGGCGAGTTGAGGCCGAAGTTCTCCCGGACGGGATGGGAAGGAGTGTAGTAGTTCAAGCTTTCAGGTAGTATCCTACTCCTAGTAGCATAGAGGAGGTTTGCGGTACATGCGGCCGGGACCCTTCATGCAGAGGTCCATCCGGGTTCTGTTCGTAGACTTACTTTTGCAGGGTGCGTATGGAGTGACTGAGAAAATATTGACCATCACATTATGCTGGCGGGACCGTGATGAATCATTTTCAATTCTTTATAGTTCTACTATCTACTAGCCAACGTGAATGCTCCTATTTCGACGTTGAAATGATTAATCACCCTGTTGTTCGTTGCAACCCTTTCGTGATCCATGGCCGGCCCCCCAGCAACCTTTGTCTCATCCGAGGATCCAAATTCTCCTCAAGGACATTGACACGGCCATTGCATGATTGGTAGAGCTGTCAGTCCATCTCATGCCCACGTGGTTGCCTTTCTACGGCCCACAGTCAGCCACGCAATGCCAAACCGTGCCATGCTACATATAGGGAATGCACTGCGGAGGCAGCGTCGCTATTGGACAGGAAACCCCGGTCTGCATACGGAGTACTCCACATCCCCGGCCTAGTATCCATTGTTATTGCCTGCAGCCCCCGGACCCGGATCCGACGTCTGCTCATCTTGCTGGGGTAGCGTAACCTGGTATCACCAACGTTGGTCATCGCGCACGGCCCATGGAGTACGTGAGGTATTAAGTTTAGACCCACAAGGCCACAGTAGAAGAGACTGCCATGGAGCTGTCGCCGTTTTCGACCTCCCGGCCGCTCGGGCATGCAATCCGGACGCCGTGGTGACGCGATTGATTTGTGGCGGCCGGGCCGGACGGGGCGGGCCCGTTCGGGCCGGATGCCTTTTTTTTTTCCGCCTTTGCACCTAGCCAGGCACTGTCGGGCAAGATAAGAGGCAACAGGCTACAGGCAAGCCCAGTCTAAAGTCAGGTAGGGTGTTTTCAGGTTCAACTGGGGTTGGGGTTTGAATGTGAGTTCGAGGGTTGGGACTTGCCCACTTGCCCATGAATGCTATGAGGCCCGCGTGCGCTACCTAGTAGCTGCCAGGTACGTCCTGTGCAGCTACAACGATGAGGGTGGTGGATTAAAAATAGATACCTTTTCAGAGTCTGGGGGTATGAATTAACAAGATTAAAGTAGACAAACGAACCAAGCAAATGAATGATGACCACAAAGGAAAACGAGAGAAAGACCCATCCATAACCCGCCCACATGTATCTACACGTAAAACTTCCCATACCCGCTCCCCCCCTCCCTCTCCTCAAAAACAACAACCCCCTCCGCCTGCGCCTCGGACCAAATCGCAATCTCCTCCTCCACCTGGATCCGCATCCCCCCACCACCACCCCGCCCAGCACCCCCTGGACCGGTAGCCGTACCCCCGCGCCCCAAATGCATCGGGATCGAGTGGTGCGTCCCGTACCCGGACGGCAGCGACGCCGTGAGGATGCCTGTCTTTCGGAGGAGGGGCTTGAGCGTGATTGCGGCGGTGCAGATGATGTTCACGGCGATCTCGACGTCCATCCAGATGTTGAGGGGTTCGGAGGAGCCCGCGGGGTTGTCGAAGAGGCGGTGGGTGTAGAATATTCGGGCGATTGTGGCGAGGCTTGCTCTGTTTGTGGGCAGTGTAGTGGTTAGCTAGTGGTGCGGAAACGAGGGGACGGGATCTTGTAATGGATGGGGGTGGCCCGGCGTAGGGATGGGAGTTGCAGAGTACAGCGATTGTGGCAAGGGGAGCCAAGGACCATCCATCCATGGAGCTCGAGGCGGGGGAAAACACCGAGGCAAAACGGCGCGGCGCCTGGATGTGACGGCCGTAAGGATGGAAAACTCACAGCGACCCGACAGCAATAGTAACGCCCACGGAGACTCTCAACAGCGTGCGCATCTGCAGCTTGCGCAACACAGCAACGGGAACAACAATCCCCAACGCAAGATCAACAACCAGCAGAACACCCCCATGAACAAGCAGAGAAATCCCCCACGTTGTCCCCGAATGACAGCTCCCGTCGACAGCAGGGCCCTTCCACAGCTTTTCAATGGGGTTGCATAAGAAGAGTGTCCAGAAAAATTCAAAGATTGTGATAATTGTTGTCGCGAGTGCGAGGACGATGATTGTCACTGTGAGTACACGGCTGCGCACGATTCGGTAGAGGGTCACGGAGAAGGAGAGTTTAATTAGCCACGTTCCTATCGCGTAGAGGAGGATCATGAGCCAGTTGGCTATCTACCGAAGACAGATGTGCGTTAGTGAGGGTTGCGATTGCGATAGCAGGCATGATAGCATGCGCGCGATGTTGACTGGTTGCTTCGAATGATATGTGAGTGGACAAAGAGGGAGGGAGAGCAGGGCTCACAACGACTCTATACGCATTTGAGAGTCGGCTCGCGCTGCGTAGGCCGACGTAGAGGGTAATCGCGCGGGCGAGATACACGACCTTGGGCAAAGTCAGCAAGAAATAAACAATGGTATATCTCCTCCAGGAGCAGCTCCAACTCACATAGGCGACAATACTCAAGTAATCATCAAGCGCAAGCGCCTTCATAAGGCCCAACCGCGTAAAGACACGGAGGGCCATGAACAGCGTGACGAAAGTGAGCAGCACCGTCTGGACACGCTGTGGGGTCTGCATTGCATTGCGTGCGGTGCCGTATACCAAGCGGAGCAAACAAGAGACCAAGAAGAGTAATGGGCATGATCTGAACAAAAAGGGATATTGCAGGGTTCGGCGACGGGGCGAGCGGGCGGGCAGGCGTTCATAAATGCGGGGGAAAAACGCCTGTAAAAAAAAATGCGAATCGTGGAGAAACTCTGTCCGTCGCGTGGGGGACCTGCACTGTTACTCGACGGATCCAGGGTTGGTTGACCGTTGGCCGTTGACCTCTGGCTGGGCCTGCATCTTGGGATCCTTCAGCCTGTCGGCAGTGTGCAGGTAAACTCTAACTTTGAGTTCTCGGGTGACTCTGATAGGGCAGGCCGGCGAAATGCACAAACTGGGAACCCATGGCTTGAGAGTAAGTTGGTGGGCGTTGAACTACTTGAGCTACTGGGGTGCTTGGGCCTCTGCTCATATATTGCACCGTGAGACGCCGACTCGATTCCCTGCGACGAGGAGGAAGCCATTACTCACCAAGTCAGGTATTTATTTCGAAGTTAGTACAGTGGCAGGAATCACCCACCGTTAACCCTGGGGCCCAAACCCCAGACAGTGCCGCGTGGTCTTGATTGCCAATGTGCGGAGGTTCCCCGGCATTTGGCAGGGCAGATTAGGGGCACTGAGACTGGAGAACTCCAGATTCGCTGCAGGGCTAGAGGACTCGGGGAACAGTGTATCCACCAGGTGATTTGAAATCGAAATCCTCCTCGGCAGATGGATTCAGGCCAGGGTATCTAATAAAGTACTCCGCAATCCTTACACGAGTCAATGACGTCAAGAGTGCACATAAGCCAGTCCCGTGCGAGGCAATCGCCATCGCAATATCATGGCTATGGTAGACAGAGTCATTGGATTTTTGGACTTTGAGATCTATTTCCCGGAACCCTGGACCCTGAACCTGGACCCTTCAGAGTTGCAACAAACTGGCATCGCCGCATCTGGACTCCGAATCCGCTGACCGCATCATGAATTGATACCAAACGAGAAATGAGGCCGAGACTACTAATATAGAACAAAAATCATCTACGGCCGGAGATAAGATGTAGTGGCGTGTTATTTAGGCTATATACCAACCAACAAGCCTGCCTAATATCCGCACAGGGGGCTTATACTGAGACTGAGACTAATATGGAGCAGAACGGGGGCTTGGAAATGTCCATGGCCGGAGCTAAGGGGTGTATCCTCTCTCATGAGTCCCAGCTGGAAGAGTACCGTCTAGGCTTCTGGTTACCTAACTGTGCACATCACGGCCCGGCTAATATCCGCACAGCAGGGGCTAGACCGAGAGGCAAATTTCCCAGGCCAATGCAGTCCAGACCCAGACTAGATGCGGACAAGAACCCAGTATGAAGATGAAGAATGGGGTTGTGAGAAACAGGTAATACTCTCGGGTCGGTGGCACAACGAGCAATCTTGACGAGCGTAGGAGGCAGAGGACAGCACAGCAAGCGGCCAGCCCTCAGCACAGCTCCAGGCCCAGGTCCTCGTATGCGTCTGGGTCTCGGAAAACAGAGTTTGAGGAAAAGGGGGCCGGGGCCGTGTCAGGGAAGTCATGGTGGGAAGGGTGGAGATTATATGGTATGAATAGGGGACTCTTAAATTATTAGAGCTGGGATACTACTGATATGAAAGTGGCGGCGTGCTGGTGAGGCTGGCCAGCCGGCGCAGACTCGGTGAGAGGTTGGCTGACGCAGCCAGAATTCGCACAGATGTCCGGATATACTCTGGGAGTAACTGGTATCATGTCCCGACCCGGGAAAGGCAGCAATCTACCTGGCGTGAGGGCGGCATTCCGTGGGGTAAACCCGATGTCTTCAAGGTTTGTGGCTTTCTACTGACGCACCGGCCCGTTCGCTTTGCGTTCACCTTGTTTCAATTTATGCATACCTAAATCAATCCATGCTACCTTGTACCCAGCGGTGTTCAACGACCACAAGACGGTAGACATTAATCATCCTGGAGAGCTGACAAGCCGAAGAGCCTAGACCCCGACCAGGTCCCTTGTCTTCGCCCCGGCTTCAGTCGGAGGAGCCCGGGCCGGACCGGCCGGCCGGTCGGGTCGATACAGTGCTTGTGTACATCGGGAGTGGAGGCTGATCTATATCAAGACATGGGAGAGTTCTCTATGATGATGGGAGCTAAAAGAAGAAGAAAATCCAGCCTAAGCTCGCGTCCAAGTTACTTCCGCGACACTCCTTTGTTCAACCCTCGTCCGATTCGGAGACTTGCCATCTCAACAACAATGGCGCAGAATGTCAACTTTCAACGCTCGGTAGAGTCCGTGAAAGGCGGCCAGGAACCCGCGCTGGCTGCCCGCGAGCTGCTCCGTGAGCTCACCGACGAGGAAAAGCTCTCCTTGCTCCAGGGCGACCCGAGCTTCTGGGAGGGCCTGTACAAACTGTACGCGGGATACTACCTCCTCAACCCATATGTACACGGTGAGGTCAAACGGCTGGGTATTCCGGGCATTCGATTCAGCGATGGTCCGCGCGGCATCAATATCAACAAGGCAACCGCCTTCCCGGTCTCGATGGCGCGAGGAGCGACATGGGACCCGAGCTTGGAAGAACAGGTCGGTCACGTCATCGGCCTCGAGGGCCGTGCGTACAAGGCCAACACCGTTGGCAGCGTCTCGATCAACCTGCCCCGTCACCCTGCGTGGGGCCGTGCCCAGGAGACATACAGTGAAGATCCGCTGCTGCTCGGAGAGTTTGGAGCGGCCCATGTGCGTGGTCTGAAGCCAAACGTCATGCCATGTGTCAAGCATCTCGCACTCAACTCGATGGAGACCGCCCGGTTTCGTGTCAATGTGACTGTGGACGAGGCTGCCCTGCATGAAGTGTACCTGCCGCATTTCCGGCGTGTTGTGGAGGAAGGCGCGCCTATTATCATGTCGGCATACAACTCTGTCAACGGCGAGTGGGCCAGTGAGAATAAACACCTAATGACCGACATCTTGCGCAATCAATGGGGCTTCCAGGGCATCGTCATATCCGATTGGGTGTATGGAGTGCATGACGGCGTCAAGTCCATCAAGGCCGGCCTTGACATTGAAGCTCCCTTCCAGAATCTCCGAGCGGCCTCTGTGCGCCCAGCCCTCGAGTCCGGGGAGCTCAGCTGGACAGAGATCGACCAGGCCGCCCATCGGATCCTGACCACGCAACTGCTTCACTATGCCAGGCGCAATCCAGAGGAACCAACCACCGACATGGTTTTCAATCAGCGCGCGCGCGAGCTCGCCCGCGAAGTCGCCTCAAAGTCGGTGGTACTGCTCAAGAACACTCCTGTCAATGCTGAAAAGCTACTACCATTGCCGGAAAGGATAGAAAGCCTCGCAATTATTGGCCGCCTGGCCACATCGCGCCACACTGGGGATCGGGCGTCGTCCTTGGTAACCTGCCCCAAGGTGATCTCCCCATATGACGGGATCAGGATGGCTCTGCCCCATGTAAAGCTTCTGCTTTCCGACTCTGATGATGAGGAAGCTGCTGGTGACGCCGCAACCAAGGCGGATGCGGTTGTCTTGATCGTTGGGTATGATGGAGAGGACGAGGGTGAGTTCTTGCGACCATCGAAGGACACGGATCCCATTGCCCAGGCCTTGTTACCAGCGCCCGATAATTCATACTGGTCGCGGCGGGTTCAGGCCGCCAGGAAGGCCGCAGTCTCCGAGTCCACGTCAACCCCAGGGGAGCCAGAAGGCCTCAAGTCAAGACCTACCGGGGGTGACCGACGTTCGGTGCGACTTCGAGATGAGGATGTGCGGCTGATACACGCTGTGGCGACTGTCAACCCTCGAGTCATCGTCTCGGTCGTCACTGGAGGTGCAATCATCGCCGAGGAGTGGAGATTCAAGGTTCCAGCTTTGCTGGTGAGCTGGTACAATGGCTGCCAAGGTGGGAGGGCACTGGCGGACGTCCTGACGGGTGCAGTGAACCCGAGTGGGCATCTACCATGGAGCATGCCGCGCAGCGAGGCCGATCTACCTGCCTTTGACCCCGACGCAAATGAAATCACCTACACCAAGTGGGTGGGACAGCGTCTGCTGGACCGCCGAGGAGTGACGGCCGCATACCCGCTCGGATTTGGCCTGTCCTACACCCAGTTTGCCGTCGCAAGGGCAGTCATCGGAGGGGCACATACCAAGGGAATCCGACTGCAAGTTCAGGTGCAGAATACCGGCGAGCGAGCGGGTCGATGCGTTGTGCAAGTGTATGGACGCCCCCAGTTCCGCACCAAAGCAGACGATTTCCCCACGCGGGTGTTGGCCGGGTTCCAGGCTGTTGAGCTGCGCGCCCACGAGACGAAATCGATCGAGGTCGTTGCGGCCTTTGCACCGTTCCAGCGGTGGGTGAAGGGGAACCTGGTATGGGATGTGACGCAGGTTGACCTGGAGGTTGGTCAATTTGCGGGAGACTGTGACGCAGTCAGCGTGGTCTATCGCCCATCGCGTTCACGGATGTGAGAGTACTGTCTAATCACGATGAACCGTGCGCCAAACTAGAGCGAATTAGCTTTCAGCAGCCGCCATATGCGCTGCCAATGTATGAATACCTTTCGAGTTTCCTCTATTATTCCGCCCCGTCAGGGACCGGGATACCAGCCATTATCCCGTCGAAAACGGAGAGGTCGGGATCCAGCGTCCAGAAACCGGGAGATACTCGGCTCTGGCGGAGGATTTCCTCGTCTATGATGCCATCCGTTGCCATTGGGAGGTCCATGTTTACCTGCGAGGGTTGAGTAAGACTCAGCACAGCGCCTGCCGTCTGGAGACCAAGGGCAGGATTGGTAGGCAGTCCTTCAAATTTTGAAGCTTGATATTGTTTGCACATACTGTCCAGCGCATGCCCATACACTGTTGGCCGTGTATCAGCTCTCGCGCCTAATGACCGCATAAGTGCCGCCACGTCATGGACAAGCTTTAGTAGCTCGTCTTCGTTGTCAGGCAAGACTACGTTGCCCTGTAGGGCTCGGAGAACATACAGGCAGACGTAGGCCATGAGTACGAACGCAAAGTCGGTGAGGTAGCGAAGACGGTCCTTGGATATCGGCGAGAGGCTTCCGATCCAGTGTAGAAAATCGCGTGCGGCATCCAGACTTTCCCTGGTGGCAATATACGGCTGGCCACTCTCATTGACCAAGTGTGTAAGGAGATGGAAGCGCGTGAAGAAGTAGTGGAAATACAAGTGTCGGCCTGGTGCCGCGGCTGGAACAGCATTGATCAGCAGAGTCATCGACAGGATTAGACGACAGGTGCCCCTACCACCGGACAGGAAACTCTGCCACTCCGTTTTCCAGCAGTCCAGAGCCTCATACACCGTCTGTGGGGTGCTGCCTTGAACCGCAGAGGTTCTTTCCCACAGCAGACAAAGCTCGCATTCGCCAAGCAGCAGGCGGATACGTGGATGGTCGACTGTCTGCTCTAAAGCAGCTTTGACCCGGAGGAGCTCTATAGATCCAGAGAGGTTTCGTGGACAGCCGTGAAGGACGGCGCAGCTGGTGTTTATTAGCCACAGATGGCCAACAGGGAGTCAAGGGAGGGACCTTACTGATGGCTCATGGTGTACAGCCAAACCACCCATATCAAGGGCAGCTTCTCGGTCGAGAATTGATTCAGAGCACAATTAACGCCCAGCTTTAGTTTGACGGCGTACGCCTCTGCGATTCCTTTCAGAGTCAGCATGTCGAGGCTGGCGCCCTGTGGCTGGTCGGAGATGGCGCCGGTCGCTTCACAGCACGAGTACAAAAGGACCAGCCCCTGCATGTTCTCCACCATCGCTGCACCATCCCGATCTGTCACAGGCTGCAGGATAAGCTCCGAGAGCAGCCGACGGAGAATTCGACAAATGCTATCGCGCAGGGCGTCCGAGGCTGGCAGGTAGCGCGAGACGGCGTGGATTGCCGCCAGGACGAGCACCGGTCGGCTGGGGAGAGTGTGGAAATCGGTCGCATAGAACGAGGGGAGGAACGGAGACAGTCGCTCCCCAAAGAGCCTGAACAGTTCTTGGGCGTCGGTGGTGGTGATGCCAGCCTCGGCGAGACACGACAGCAGGCAGGAGCGATCCGCGGTGCTCCCTTCTCTTTCTCGATCCCCCGCCGGCGACGGTACCGACCCATCTCGTCTCTCTTGGCCGTCGGACGGGGTTTGATATTCTCCGTGCCACAGCTGCCGGTTGCTTTCGAGCTCCTGGACGCTGGAATAGGGGGTCGCGGCGCTGGGCAGCAGGCCGCCGTGTCGCGAAGGCGGCGGTCGCGTACGTGTCCCCGGGCTGGTATGCCCGGTGGTGCCCGCGTCGAGGCTTCGTTTCCGGGTATTCGGTGTGCGGCGGCGCTGGGGGTCGCGATAGTCCAGGGTGAGGGAGGCCTCGGAGGGGGTCAGCGGGGGCCGGTGGTGATGGCCCGTCTGGGGCGCAAAGGCCGGGTTCGTGTTGACCGGTTCAAAGACGCATTCGCGACCGAACCTGGCGCAGCGCTCGCAAGGGGCCGGATCGCCCGAGCATTTCATCTGAAATCGTCAATCATCACAATCGGTCGGTCGTGGGGGTTTCGTGGCCAACGCACCTTTTGCTGGCGACAGCGCGAACACGCCTGGACGGAGCGCTTGGGGGTAACATTTGCGGCAGCCATGGTAAAGTGACACCTCGATGCGATAGACCAGCTGGTTTTAGAGGTGAAAGCGAGGAGAAAAGGAGCATTAATGGCCCGTCAGAGACCCAGGGGATGTCTGGGGCGCCCACGTTGCTCGGATGCGGAGAAGAATCCTGCCCAATCCATGGCGAGCCAAGAAGACGCCCCACCTGAGACACTGACAGGATTTGGAATGGGCGACTAGTCAAGCCTTCGGCGTAGTGCTGACCGAGGGCCTGAACACGGTGACCAGCCAGTCCCAGTCCCCCTGTCTGTCGGCCCGGATCCGGCCCGGCGGCCCAGGGGGGGAAATGGCAGAGTTCGTGGATCACCCCTACAAGTCTTCGCTGCAAAGGCTATTTCCCACGTGGCATGTGATGGTGTACGGCCAAATAAAGTCAGCCAATCCCGTGAATACATGGCTTCAACGCCATTAGCGCAATTACCTTCTGAAAGGCTATGATGGGCAGTGTTCCGAGTACCTCCAACTGCACAAGCCTGGCCGCGCCGCAGGTGCCCGGTGCAGTCATTACCTCGTTTGTTGCAAGTGAGATCCATGGAATCAGCAAAACCTTTCCAGGGAGTACCTTCGACGACGCCATCACCGTCCGCGACTTTCGGGTCTGCGATATCAAGGTTACCCTGACCCATCCGGGCGTCAACGACGAGGTCAACTTCCAGCTCTGGCTCCCTTTGACCAAATGGAACGGCCGATTCCAGGCTATGGGAGGAGGTGGCTTTGCGGCCGGCGCGGGCGAAGAGGGACTCGGCAATGCGGCCGCCCATGGATTCGCCGTGGGTACTACAGATGGGGGCGGCTTGGGGGAAAATGAGGTGACCGTCTCGCCTGATATCCTGAGCCCCGATGGTCAAGTCGATCTTGGTGTCTTTGCCGACTTTTCCTCTCGTGCCCTGCATGAACTGGCGATCGTGGGCAAGGCGGCCGCTTCCAGCTTCTATGGCAAACCACCTCACCATTCCTACTGGGCTGGCTGTTCGACCGGTGGCCGCCAGGGGTATATCATGGCTCAACGCTACCCAGGTGACTTTGACGGCATTGCGGCGCACGCCCCGGCCATCCGCTGGCCCAGCGTCATCACGAGTCTGCAGTGGCCGCAGGTGGTCATGGACACCTACCGAAAGTGGCCCAGCAGTTGCGAGTTTCAGTACCTTGTCGACGAAACAATTGCCGCGTGCGACAAACTGGACGGAGTCACTGATGGAATCATCTCAGATCCCTTCAACTGCGCCTTTGACCCACAAACCCTTGTCGGGCGAACAGTCGAGTGCAGTGGCCGCAAGATCGGCATCTCCAACGACACCGCCGACATCTTCCAGCACATCTACGACGGGCCCAAGAGCCCAGCAGGCACATCCCTCGAGCCAGGTCTGACTTGGGGCACCACGCCACTGTACCTCGCGAGTACCCTGAACCTCGGCGACATCAGCACCGGTATCGACTTTCCGCTCGCTGCAGGGTGGTTTCAATTCTTCCTCGAAAAGAACCCCTCCTTCAACCTCTCCTCCATCACCACAGACGAGTTCCCCAGCTACCTCGCCCAAGCCTGGGCAGAGTACGGCGGCCTAATCGGCACATCCAACCCAGACCTGGGGCCCTTTCGCGACAGCGGTGGTAAACTCCTCACCTGGCACGGGCTGGCAGATGGCCTTCTTACAGCAAAGAACACCCTCTTCTACCGCGACCAAGTCGAGCGAGTCATGGGCGGAGCAGAAAACACCAACAAGTTCTACCGCCTCTTCCTTGCGCCGGGCGTTGATCACTGCGCAGGTGGCAACGGCCCGCTCCCGACCAAGACCCTGGACGCATTAATCGCATGGGTTGAACAGGGCAAGGCCCCAGATGTGCTGCATGGCCAAATCAAGAACCCAAGCGGCACCACGGTGACCCGCGACATCTGCCTCTATCCCCTCGTGGCGCGATATGATGGCAAGGGGGATCCGAACAAGGCGAGCAGCTATTCTTGCCAGGCTTCATTCTAATAGAGCGAGATTCATCCTGTTGAGGCCGTCCACTCTTTTGCTTTTCTTTTCTCTTCTGGGTCTCTCATCTTCTTCTTTTTCATTATCTTTTGTGTAGCATAAGCCCCAACACGGCGCGCTTGTACATACTTGATCATCTATAATGGCCACGGCGAGTGTGCCTGGGCACATGGGATGACGTTTTTATTTAATCCTGCGCTATATATTTGACGAGAAGTGCGCAGATGGCTAGATCCATGACTACCTAGGTCCCATAATCAGCTAGCGCCTAGCTTGATATAACATATACCCTTCAAAGGGTTAACAACTTCACCAGTCGACTAAAAAGGTGCCATGACTCCAGTCTAGTGACCGATGTGGCAATGTAGCTCAGATTTCCGGCTGACAGGGGTATATCTCATTGTAAGCTAGACTCAGCGCTGCTAAAGCTTCGTGCTAGGATACATTCTGGTTGTGGACAAAGGAGGTTCGGTTCGGGACCTGAACATTACTCATCTATATACATGTTCACGAACCGTGGGGATAGCTGAGTGGACGTGAGGTGGATATATATATATTCAGTCATTGCAAAATCACACTGCCCCAAACAGCCTCTAATACAAGCTACATACATGTACTTACCTAGTAGGTGGCGAGGCAAGTTGCCTCCACGAAGCAGAGGCCAACAGGCGCCGTGGTCATTGGAGTCAGGATGGAACGGACGGACGGAGAGAGGTTTATGCGTAGCAGAGTACTCCGTAGAGTAGGTTGGATTACAATTTCAAACACTCTAGCTTCGGAGACACTACAGAAGATCTTCAAGGGCCACATATATATATTGGTTGAGGAAGGTAAGGGCAGACGGGGAATTTTATGGTGCGTGGACTGTTGGAAGGACGTTGTGCGAGGCTCATATTAGCAGGAAAGGATGATCGTCATGCCACACTAAAAGCATCAGAGATGTAGAGTGGAGCTACCAATGCCGTCTACCCAGCCCCGTCGAGCCAAACTCACCCCGCGAGGCCATGAATGACCAAAGCAAGCGATAGTCATGTATCGACTACACTTGGTGGGCTACACCCGCATCATTCAGGGCACGCGATTCAAACCCCCTCCGCCCGCGCAGCATCCTTCCTGTCCCCTTCCTCCTGCCCCAGCTTGCCCGCCTCACCTCCAAAGACAAAACTCCCAAACTTCCTCGCAGGCAGCTTCAAGTCAAACATCTCATCCAACTCAAGATAACTACGCCCCTTGGTTTCCGGGAACTCGACCCACACCACCACCGCGCCGAGCGCACAGAGCGCCGCGAAGACGAACCCAGTGCGGGCGCCGAGGTTCCCCTCGTCCGTGTTGAACATGTAGGGAACGACAAAGGAGAACAGCCAGGTTGAGAAGCCGCCGCTCATGTATGCGATTCCCTGGGTTTGGGCGCGCAGCTGGGAGGCGGAGACTTCGGCTGCGATGACCGGGTATGCGCCGCCGACCCCGAGGCCAAAGGTGAACATGATGATTATCATGGCGATGCCGACGAACCTGTGGACTGTTAGTGTTGAGATATATTGTGGGGTAGGGGGATATGCCACTTACCAAAGGGCCGTGTGGTTGCCCGAAAAGCAGCCCGCGATACCAGACGCGAGCCAGAGGAATCCAACCGCAACCGTACTGTGAAAGATGATAGTCCTCCTCCCCAGCGTAGCCATCAAGAACCAGGAGATGATGTTGGCGGGTAGTCCCACAGCGATCGCCACCTGCATCAACATGAGGGTTCTATCGGCAGCCATGCCGGCCTGCTGAAGGATATAGGCGCAATGACCGACATAACTCATTCCCAGGCACTGCTGCAGCGAGACAGCAAGGATGGCGATGCGTGTGCGGCGCCAGTTGACTCCGCGGAAGCACTCGAGGAGCAGCGAAGACTGCTTGCCGTGCAACTCGTTGGTCTGTTCGTAGTCGAGGGTTTCTTTCATCTTGGTGATTGCGGCGGTGTGGTCGGTGCCAAAGTACAGGCGGCGGTAGCAGCGCGCGGCCTTGTCCATGTTGTTCTTTTTCAGGTAGTAGACTGGGCTTTCGGGAATGATGAGGCCGATGAGGATGATTGCTCCGGAGAAGGCCCATTGCGAGGCGAGTGGGACTTGGTAGGAAGAGGGCTCGAGCATCTTGACGCGGGCGTACACGATGGATGTGCCGATGAGCTGGCCGACCACGCTCATCAGGGTATAGCTCGACAGCAGTGGCCCGCGGATCCTCGCCGGAGCAATTTCGGAGATGTATGTCTGGCTGGTGGACTGGAAGATGCCCAGCCCGGCCCCGAGGAGAATCTTCCCGCCAAGGAACATGTTGCGACGGTCTCCCAGGGAATCTCTCCGGTCGCTGATGTAGCAGATGGCAATTCCAACGGTCGCGATAGCTCCACCGAGCGAAAACGACCAGCGGCGCCCGAAACGGTCCTGGACATACCCATTGGTAACCGCGCCGACCATGATGCCGACGGCGGTCATGGCATTCCAGAGCGCGAGCCAGAGCGAGGGGATGAAGAGCTTGCCGTCGATCATGTCTCCAAAGACCATCCTGCCCACAGTTAGAACACACACCAGGATCGCGGTGGGGGTAGGCCACTCACTGGAAACCGGGCATCGAGGCAACCAGACCGACGACCAGATTGTCAAACCCAAACGCGGTGGGCCCGACGGACATGAGAAACGAGTAGAAGATCGCCTTGGGGTTCTGCTTCACGCACTCCCACACACTGCTGCCGTCCATGCTGTCGTCGGCGGCGTCGTGCTTGGGCTTCTGGTCGGGCACAGGAGGTGAAGCCTGCACGTCCTCAACAGTCTCCGTGCTCCCCTCAGAGCCTTTCTTCTCGTTAGACGACATGGTGACTGCGCTGGTCTCGATGAATCCCGTGTGGATCCAGGGGCCGGCGATATGGATGAATCGGTTCTAGAGGATGTAACAGGGAGAGACTAGAGTCAAATACCTGCGATGCCAAGGAGATCGAGTCGGAATCTACCCGATTATCTTGTCTGGCCTGAGAGCTGTCAAATACTCTGCGGGGTCGATGGCATGAGCTTCAGAGATGGGGAGACCGGCCCGGACGAGTCTCTTGCCGGCTTCGGCATCGGGATCGGGATCGGGACGGACGTGCAGTCTGGAGGTGGCAAAGAGGCTTCGATAACAATCACGTTGGAAACAATATCACAGACACCGCCACCAGCCGAGGCAAGCACCATGGGAATATCACTAGGTCAGCGAAACAAAGTGTTCAAGGAGCTGTCAAAAGCAGTCGGCAACTAGCAACGGCTTCCATTGATGACCGAGCTTCAACGAACGAGATGCATCCCCTAGTTTCACCAAGCGCCCCCCAATTCGAGCACCACACGACCGGGTTCGGTATCGGACATGTTTCCCCGCGCCTGTCGTGGAAGTTCGTCACCCCCGGCCCCAGATGCCCCGAAAACTGGACGCAAACGGCCTATGACCTCCAGATAGTGCGGGGCGCGCACGACCAGGAACAAACGCATCATGTGAGAGGGGACCAGTCTGTTCTGGCCGCGTGGCCATGGACGCCCCTCCAGTCCCGCGAAGCCGCCCGCGTCCGGGTGCGCTGCTACGGCAAGGAAAGCGCCGCAGACGAGGAGACCGCGACTGAATGGTCGGAGTGGTCAACTGTCGAGGCGAGCCTGCTGAGCCAGGATGACTGGAATGCAGCCTTCATCACATCCACTCGCACTGTCGACCCTGCGGCGCCGCTGGCACCAATTCGCTTCCGCAAGGTGTTTGAGATACCGCGCACCTGCTTCCCTACATCCAGAGCGCGGCTGTACATCACTGCCCTTGGAGTCTACCACGCCTTTTTAAATGGAACCCGCATCGGGGACCACTGCCTGGCACCCGGTTGGACAGCGTACGATCATCGACTGAACTTCCAGACGTTTGATGTGACTGAGCTGTTGCGGGACGACGGCGATAATGTGCTCGCCGTAGAGGCTGGCGCGGGATGGTATGCAGGGCGCTTGGGATTCCATGGCGGCAAGCGGTGCTGCTATAAAAGCGCAGATCTGGCTTTGCTCGCCCAGCTGGAGATTGCGACGGAGATACCTGGAGTCTGTTGGGTGTTGCCCTCGAATGATACTTGGGAATGTCTGCCAAGCGCAATCCAGTCGAGTGAGATCTATGACGGCGAGGTTTATGATATGAGACGGGAGGATCTGACTTGGACCACGAGTGGCAGCAATCGGGAGGCCTCGCAGGCTGCCCCCGTGCGTGTGGTCCCCTGGCCCCTCGAGAGGCTTGTATCCCCAGATGCACCCCCGGTCCGAATTGTCCAGGAAGTCGCAGTTGCGGAGATTCATATTAGCCCCAGCGGCAAGGTCATTCTGGACTTTGGCCAGAACCTCGTTGGAAAGGTTCGCATTCGGTCGATGACAATTGGACAGGACAGGCAACTGTCTCTCACGCATGCAGAAGTCCTCGAGGACGGCGAGCTGTGCACACGGCCCCTTCGCACGGCAAAATGCACAGATTTCATTCTGGGGAATGGGGAAAAGCTGGAGAACTGGACACCAGCATTCACATATCACGGGTTTCGGTACGTCCAGGTTGACGGCTGGCCCGGCGAACAGCCCTCGCCAGATGATTTTGTTGCGCTTGTTATGCACACGGATATACCCCGTCGAGGCTGGTTCGCATGTTCGAATACCCACGTCAACCGTCTGCACGAGAATATCGTCTGGGGCATGCGTGGCAACTTTGTCTCAGTCCCTACCGACTGCCCGCAGCGCGATGAGCGTCTGGGGTGGACCGGCGACCTGCAGGTGTTCGCCAACACCGCGGCGTATCTCTACCATACCACGGGTATGCTATCTGAGTGGCTACAGGACCTGTCGTCGGAGCACCTGGAAGATCACCGCCGGGGTATCCCGCCCCTGACCGTGCCAGATGTGCTGCAAAAAGCCGGTGGAAGCTTCCCACAGGCTGTCTGGGGTGATGCGGTTGTTGTAATACCAGATGTCCTTCACCAATATTCAGCCGATACGCGTATTCTGCGGCGCCAGCACAAAAGTATGACAGCATGGCTCGACCAGGGAATACCGCGGGGCGCTGATGGACTCTGGGACCCGGAGAAATGGCAACTGGGCGATTGGCTCGACCCAACGGCTCCTCCGGATAATCCCAAAGATGCCCGCACCGACGGGGCGCTGGTGGCAGATGCTTACCTTGTTCATGTAACGGCAGCTCTTGCACAGATATGCAGGACCATTGGACATACAGCGGAGGCAGAACGCTATGCAAATGACGCAGAGCGACTCAAGTCCACCTTTGGCGCAAAGTACATTTCGCCCGAGGGCAACATCATGTCGAACACACAGACCGCAATCTCGCTCGCAATCTGCTTTTCACTTTATCAGAACATCGAGCAGAGACGTACCGCGGCCGCCAGCCTCTCTCGGCTCGTCCGCCGCGGTAAATTCGCCCTAACGACCGGGTTCGTCGGCACGAAGTTCATTACTAAAGCACTCACCCTTACTTGTCAGCCTTCTCTGGCATACCGGATGCTCCTGCACAAGAAATGTCCCTCTTGGCTATACCCTTTGACGCAAGGCGCCACAACCATCTGGGAACGCTGGGACAGTATCCGCCCCGACGGCTCCATCAACTCCGGCGAAATGACCAGCTTCAACCACTACGCGCTCGGGTCAGTTGCCAACTGGCTGCATACGAGCGTCGGGGGTATATCACCCCTGGAGCCCGGCTGGAAGGCGGTGCGTGTTCGGCCGGTGGTCGGAGGCGAGCTCAAGTGGGCCGAGGCCCGTTTTGACGGACCCTATGGCGAGATCATATCGCGGTGGGAACTTGGGGATGGGGAGTTCCGGCTGGTCGTGCAAATTCCGCCGAATACGAGGGCGTTTGTGACCCTTCCACCCGAGCAACATACAGAAATCAGGGAAGAAGATGAAGCTGGGATGTGGATTGGGTCGGGTGTGCATGAATTTCGCTCTGCGTATACAGTGAAGGAGGCATGGCCACCCCGGCCACTGCTTGGCCCGTTTGAGCGAGATGATCCGGAAGATGTCTGGGTGGATGCAACCGGCAAAGGGCAGTTTACGGTGGTTGATTTGTTGGCCAGGCGTGGTGGCCTTTGCTGAAGAGCAATAAGGCTGCGACACTCGATAATGAATTGGATGCACTTGCACAGTCTCCTCTTATGTGTCTTCTCACTAGCACGTAGCATCCCCTCCATTGATGCGTCCGCCACGTAACCCTAGCACCTCATCTATGTTTATATTCTCAATGTCTCCCATTACCTCACACCACACCAAGGAGAGACTTTGCCCAGAATCTGCCAAGATACGACATGCGGTAGATAGAGTTAGTCTTGTCGGTGAATGGATCGAGACCCTCGTCGAAGCACTGTGTCTTTTTCTCAGGACCTTAGCGACCAGAGGCGACTCATCGTAGCGTGTTTCTTGTGTCAGACGAGCTTCTTCTTGTCTACCTAGCAATGTATCAAACAGGTGGGAAACTCGAGAGACGCCGTTGAGTACGTATAACACGCCACAGTTTCACTAGCAGTCCCCTGACCTAGTTTAACTATGCTTCCAGATGTTATCCCACCTTCGCGGCATCTGTAGGGCTACTCTCTATGTAGTCCGGACCGGTAGCCAGGCGTCCGGTCGAGAGAGAAAGCCACATTGAGATCCGGCATCGATGCCCAACTGGCTATCCAACAGCTAGCTACTATACTATAGTCACACAGGCCGTGCATTGAGTCATGGACGTTCTCAATGATCCACACCGATTTCCTCTACTCCCCACATTGCCTCCCACCCCGCCCCTCATCAATCCGACATTCTACAAAGGGCACAACCCTCACTTCGCCAACAAGCCCGTACTCCGCCTGAACGGGCACAGGCGCGATATTCTCCGAGCCCTCGGCGTAAAAGTGCCCGCCGGTCACGAGCTTCTTCCAGATCGGTCGCAATGCGTTTCCCAGTGGTGTTGCGATGACAATCTGCACCGTGTTCTTACCATCCACGAGGTACGAGGTGATGTCGATGCTCGGGCGGTAGATGTTTATCGGGGGAAGGGGCTTCGAATTGATTGAGACCTGCACGGTGTGCGAGACGGGAGGGAGTTCGAGGTACGCGCCGCTACTCTTCCTTCGGGCGCCGGTGTCCCAAGTAAAGCTCGTGGTGTAGAAGCCACGGCCGCTGGTTGCGTCGAGATCTCTTGAGATATCCGTCCAGGGTTTCAGGGTGTTCAGGCGTTTATACGTAGAGTTCCACTTCACGGTTCCGTAGGTATCGTATAGATCTTCTGGCGGATCCCAGTGTTCGACGGTAAGTGTCCAGTCCTGTAGGCGACGAGGGGGCTCGACGAGGACTTTGAATGCGTGGATCTCCCCATTCGAGTCTTTGATGGTAGCGCGTGATGGGAGACCGGGGATGGCATTGCGGATCTTGACTATTTTGGCATTGCTTCTGCTTGAATCAAAGGGCGCTGCGATATCGAGGATAGGCCCAGTGGTAAACGTTAGGTGGTCTTGCGGTGGCGGCCCCGGGATAAAGGCGAGAAGAACACTTTCACCCTCCGCGAGCTTGAAGAAGATGCGCGTTGTATGCGTCGTTTGCGTGTATGTCGGGATAGCCGTGTGCGCGCCCGTCCATGGATCGAGGTGGTATGGGACGCCAGTTGTCTCGAACTCGACGAACCCGCTGCTGATCACGGTCTTTGAGGAGGAGCGCTCGAGGTTGTTGAATACGAACACATAATCAGCTCCATTTTCCGGGTCATGCCGCCACTGTGTGAACCACGGGCTGCGCGTGGCTAGCTGGGTTCGTGACTGGATGCGGAGCTTCTTGAGTGTCTTTGCCAGGCTCCCATCTGGTGCGTCGTGGACGTTGGTGAGACGGGAGATCTTGTTGAGAACCTTGGTAACATGTTCAGTGCATGCCGCATCAAATCCCAAGCATCCCGTCGGTTGGCCACCGAGGAATATCACGGGCAGACCTGCGCGTGCGTATTCAGCGATGTGGTCGACCCCCTTAATAGTCATGCTCTGGTGAGCGGGAATGACCAGGGCGCGGAAGGCCTGGTGCTCTGGCGCGAGGACACCATGGGAGACGTGTGCGGAGGGGAGATCAAAGTTGTCAGGGCTCAGGTACTCGTAGGTATACCCTGTACATACGTTAGAGCGAGACAGCAAAGGTTATTGAAGAGGGTAAGGAACCTGCTTGATTGAGGTCCTCGGATGTATACTCGGGCGCCACCTGCGGATACGTTGTATATTTCGAATAGAAGGCAACGTCCTTCTTTGCGACACCCGTCTGGGCTATCGCAGACACACGTGCAATGTAATCCATGGCAGGTCGATAGTAATCCCATCCCGGCTGGTGTGGACCGTGCATGTCGGAGACAAAGTACACAAACGTGTTGATACTGGGCCATGTCGTATTCGGATACTATGAAAAGGATCAGCTATGGCTACAGCGACATCGAACATGGGAAAGTGGAGGCTTACCGGCCCGGAGTGTGGAAATCCATGCAGCACGAACTGATTCACCGAGCCGACAATTGACCGATTCACCTCCCACAGCAGCCGCGTAAAGTTCTGTTGGTACGCGATGGGGTAGTTGGCCCCGAGCTCCGAGGAGATGACATTTCTGCCCGCGAGGTTGGCGGGTCCGGCATATTGTCGGTAGGCGTCGATTTCATTATTGAAGCCCAGGCTTTCACATTCGGGGACATCTACCAGTGGAATATTCGAAAGCTACGAATTGTGGTTAGCGGTGTCGGATTGTTTGACGTTCACGGTAGGTGCTCACCATATCGACGGGCATGTTGTAGCCTACTTGTGTCGAGAACTTGACCCCCAGCGATTTGGACCACTCGCTGAGAGTCTTGAGGTATTCGCCGTTTAGCTCTCCAAGCTGCCACTGTCAGCACGTTTCCAGCATCATCTCGTCACACAGCATTTGGAAATGCCCATACCGTCGCTCGATAATCAGCCACATGCCTATTGCCCGCATCCTCCTCATCCGTGATCCACCAGGTCGACAGCTGAGGCTTAAACCCAAGGCCATTCTGGTGAAATAGAAGCGGCAACCACTTTGAAATCCCGTAGCCCGTTCGCTTCCGGAAAGCCTCTGGCAGTCCCGGCGTCCAGTATACCTTATTCGGGATCTCCTGGCTGTCCTCCCACGCCGAGTTTCCGACTTCAGCAATCAGCTCGCGCGTCCCATTGCTGAGTAGGTACTTTTCCCAGAAATTCGCTGTAACTCGCGCCCCCTTCTTGGAGAAGTGGTCGACGACCCAGGAGCCATTGTTCAGGAAGCTCGTCGGCTCGCCCTGTGGGCCGCCTAGCACTGATGGGGACTGGTAAACCGCGTGGCGGAATATATGCTCGTAGATGACGAATACCACATTTTCAATCCCTTTCCCCTTGGGGAAGCTGATCGACAAGCGGCCGTCGGAGGTGACGTTTGAGGTGATGTCGATGAGACTATCAGCCGCGAGGGTGACTTGGGTGCGTTCACCCGGGACCCCATGCGGCAGGGTCGGCTCAGAACCAGATGTCTTGACAGAGGAGACAGCGGTTCCGGCAACGACGGCGAGGAGATTTCCCGCTCGCGGTTCAGGTCCAGGACCCCAGCCTGGGATCTTCCCGTGGAATGACCCGCCGATGGGGACGGTGAAGTTGTACGAGGTAAGGTCCCAGGCTAAGCCCTCGTTATCCACCTCCGCAGGGACACCCTGGCCCATGGAAGCTCCAATGGCAAAGTCCATGACCAGGCCGTTGTCGCGGTGCGCCTGTAGTAGCTCCTTGAACAGGATCTCTGTAGAGCATTGTTAATATCATCTCCAATAACAAATTCCACTTGTACGGGACACTTACGCCACGGCTCACTACCCCAGTAATACTTTGACCAGTCAACTGGGACATAGTACCAAGGGGTCGTTTCGTATCCGTAGAATGGTAGTATCTCTAGGCCGCCGGCGCCGACATGCTTTGCGCGAGCAACATCTTGCACTGCTGGTGCAACTTGCACCGAGGCGTCGGGAATCCAGTAGCGGAATCGAGGGCGTACAGCTACGGGAGGGTCTTTGAAACGAGCCCAGTCCGGCTCAGGGGTGCCCCTGGAGCAGGTTGCGTGCCCGGCGAGGGCAAGGATGCCAGTCAGACAGGAGAGCTGGAACACATTAGATTAGCATTTCTCCCTCCGGAGCAAACCGATATTTGGACACAGTAGTACTCACCATGAACCGCATCGGCAGCATGGGTGTATGGTCGATTGCAACCTCAATCCCCAATCTGAACGTGGTGACGATGAAACAACACAACTGCCCCTGGGTCAGGGGTCAGAAAATTCAGTCATATACCGTCTCGGTAACGGCCAATGACACGAGGATGATGCTCCTCACCCCATCCTCTCAATTGACAGGCATCTTCCCGGTTTTCCCCAGAGTCCGGGGTAATGGGCGCCGAGCTGCATGTGATCGCTCACTCCTCCAGGTCCCAGTATCTGCCGGATGACTTGCCGGGTCAACAAACTATCTTTCGGCATCCCCGTCACCCGGATCCGGTCCGATCGGGATGAACTTTTTGTACCAGCATCTAGGCTGGATCGTGGCGCTGTCGGACGGTTGGCGTTTCGACCAAAAGAGCAGGCCCGGACAACCTCCGCGGTTACCGAGTACTGCAGATCTTGCATCTCGCCGGGACGAGGAGCTCAAATGTCTGACCTTGTGAGGAGACTACGGGGGAGCGGGATCTTCACATGAGCGGCTACAAGAGCATAATTACGATTTTGCACGCCTTGTCTTGGTAATATTCTATGCCTTGAAGTCAATCCCCTAGTGGAATCGGCACTACAGTATCCGTGCTATCCAACTCTCAAACACCCATCGTCGGCGCCAACCTCTTCCACATGTCACACCTCTCTCGATCTGCCCTCGAAAGCGTCTCCATCCCAGTCATGTTGGTCTGTATCCTAAGTCTCCCGCCGGCACCCCAGGGTTGCCAAACCGGCGCGGTCGAATCCCGCAACGTGTTCGGGTCCAACGTCCGCACAAAACTGATATAGTAATTCATGACTACGGGCACAATCCCCGCATTAGTCGTCCGGATACTCGGCGTCGTAAACGAACCATAATCTGGACCGAAGATCGCCTCCGTTTCGATCGTGTGCGGGACCCCGCGGCCGGCCGCTACCAGCGTCGGGTCTTGCACGTTGTACCGGTAGTTCCAGACCTTGGATTTCCTGCTGTGGAAGGAGTGTGTCATCCTGCTTGTCATTTCTATTCCTGGGCATGTCAACGCAGCGTCTCCCAAGGCTGCAGAGGCGGAGGGGAAGTACGCTGCGTGTAGGGGGACAGGGGCGCGTTTGGGGTAGTGGCTGTTTATTAGCTGAAGTTGGCGACGATTTAGGTCTGGGTAAAGGGCATTGATGAAGTGCGACACCTCCGCTGGGGTAGATGCATTGGGCGCGAAGATCGAGCCCTCGTCCGTATCACTTCCAACGATAAGCGGCAGCCGCAAGAACCGGCCCTGCCCGTATAGTCGATACAGCCGGTCCCGGATAAGATCCCCATCGATGACCGGCGAGAATTGTGCTAGGGACAACGCGTTGCTCCCTCCAGCCGGCACATCCGGGTTGGACAATGCGGACTGCAGGACGGCTGCGTCTGCGGCCCGGAGACAGGACAGTGTGGAGCAGTTCGTGCCGGCCTTGAGTTGGTTGTAGGTTCCCTGGGCTTCTGCGACTGTTTTTTGGTTTGGCCAGTAGGGGCTTTGTGCGATTGCTCCGACGAACAGCCTCTCGTCATGACCTCCATAAGCAGCCAGATGGTAGGCGACTGAACCTGCGCCTGCGGAGGCGCCGTGGATGACGACGTGGTCGGGATCTCCACCAAACTATATGCCCAACACACCATGTAAGCGATCTTGTGCAACCAAGATAACGGGGCACAAGAACGCTTACCTTAGATATATGCTCCTTGACCCACTTCAGTGCCTTTCGCTGATCCAGCAGTCCAGCATTCAAATCACCATCACGAGCAAGCTCTTTGCTCGCGAGGAACCCCAACGCCCCGACCCTGTAGTTGAAATTTACAAGGATAACATTCGCCCCAGATTCGCGGACTACCTCGGTGCCGTTGTAGTCCGCGTTTGCATTACTGCTGTAGCCGCCTCCTTGGATATACACCCAGACTGGCAGATTCGATTTGGGTGTTGCGGTGGATGGCGCAAAGACGTTGATGAAGAGGCAGTCCTCGTCGATGCCCTCTGAAATGGTTTGGCCTGCACCGATGCAGATTGGGCCGTGCTGCAGCTGTGTTAGCATTTACCTCATTCCGGTCTTGGGAAATAAACGTCACGGACAGCGGACGCCTCCTGGACCGTCCCAGTTCGGGGCGGATCTTGGGGAGCTCGAAAGCGGAGATCCCCAACTGGTGGTGCGGCATATCGCATGCCGAGATACTGAACTACCCCATCTGAAACACTCACACCCTGATACCTGGAATAACCCAGGTCAACGGTGAACGAGCCTGGAGTCGGGCGAACGGTGTACCCCAAGACGGGTGCGAGTAGCGCCAGCAGATATGTTTTTAGGGCCATTGCTGAAGTCGGACGCAGGAGCATTGTGATCAGGGCGTGAAATTAGAATGTTCGCACCTTCGAACACCCTTTGGCGTCTTTATATATCTAGTAGACAGTTGAAAGCCAATTTTGGACATCCGAATAGCAACTAACCGGATCGGATGCACCGGTGACTGGGTCAATTGGCTTCGGCCCGGCTACATTTACACGTGCCCTGGGGATGGATTGTGGAGAAAACCCGAGGCAGCCTGGAGTGATATCGGTCTAACTGGTATATTCCGGGGGAAACGTCTTAGCATTCCTTGGTTCACATGCTGCACGCTCGCCCCAGGCTCAACCCGCGGATTCTCCATATACTTCCGGCTATATACATTGTACCAAACTAAGAGTCCCCTTAGATGCGTAGAGTGTCTCTGAGCTGAATATCCAAGACGCTCTTACCCACATAGATCTGATACTGTCCGCGCTGCAAAACCCAAGTCTGCCTCTTGACATCCCACGTGCTCAGGTCCCTCCGCGTCAGTTCGAAATCGAACGTCCTCCGCTGCCCGGGCCGCAGACTCTGTTTCTCGAAGCCACGGAGGACCTTCTTTGGCCCACCGGGGATACCCACATACAGCTGCGCGACCTCGGCAGCTTCGGCCTTGCCCACGTTGGCGACGGTACAGCTCACCTGCGCGACAACGTCCCAGAGGGACGGCAGACCTCCTTCCTTGATCACTTTGCCCGGGGGCAGTTCCGCCAGATTGACGCCGTGCCTGCGGTGGACTGATAGCTGGGAGTATTTGAAGGTCGTGTAGGTCAGCCCGTATCCGAATTCGTACCGTGGAGTGATCCCCGCCTTTTCAAAGGCCTTGTAGTCGATGTAAACACCCTCGGTGAAATTCGACTGCGGGTAGTAGGCATTCAGATCACCCCTGGGCACCTCAGGACCAAGCAGATCCCCATAGTCCGACGCCTTCCGAGCAACAGTGTACGGCAGGCGTCCAGACGGCGACTGTTTCCCGTACATGACTTCGACCAGCGCGCGACCACTGTCCTGGCCTGGGAGGTGTGCATAGAGGACTGCTGTGATGTTTTCGTTGTCGATCCAGCGGTCGACCAGACGGATACCAGCATTGTGGATAACGACAATGGTGTTCTTGCACTGCCTTGCCACGTTCTCCACCAGCCCGTCCGAGTACGGGTCCGCGAGATACGGCCTGTCCCAGCCCTCGGACGACTGCTCGTTGATAAACACGATGCACGCGTCGCTGGCAGGGTTTGCCACGGGGTTCTGCGAGTAAAAGTCCCAAGAGAGAAAGGTGCCGTCCTCATATGCCTGGCGCTGGAAAGCATCGAATGGAGCGTCAATGTACGCGGGGGTAACGGAGCCAGAACCGCCGCCAGAAATCAGTGTGCCGTTGAGGGCGACACCCGGTCCGTGGCTGTTGGGCTCTGCGCTCGAGGTGATGATATACGCCAGTGTGTAATAATCGGCGAGACGACCGTCCGGGTAAATGAGGGTGTTGTCGAGCCCCATCCACCGTCCAGTGAAATGTGTGGCAGCCACTGCGTCGTATCCGAACAGCGAAAGGAGCTTCGGTTTCCGCAGGGGCAGGGCGTTGTTGATATTCTTCACCAGCACATGGCCCTCCACTGCGCTCTGCAGGCGTGTCTCTTTGGACTTCTGGTCGCGCGCGTCAGTTTGGGCGTGTGGAAGGGACAGATTCACGGGCATTCCGTGTCCGGGGTTCTCCAGGGGCGAGTATCTGTACCATGCGGCAAGAATCCGCGTGGCCATGTCATCGAGTCTGGCCTGGGACAATGATCCATTCTTGACAGCCAAGGCCAGTGTCTCGTTCTCCCAGTAAGGCGAAATCGGCATCGCCAGGTCAAGACCAGCAGCCGCACTCGCAATCCCAGTATGCTGACCATCCCAGTCGGAGACCACGAACCCCTGGAATCCAAGCTCGCCCTTGAGCAGCCCATTCATCACCTTGCTATTCTGGCATCCGTAGCTGTTGTTGATGCGCTGATAGCTGCACATCGCGGAACCCGCCCCAGCCTTGACAGCATCCTGGAACGGCCACAGATACAGCTCGTGCATGGCCTTGTCGTCGATATTCGAAGAAACGGAATTGTTGGCACTCTCCGGGAAGAGCATCGGCGGCATGCGGTTCGTCTCCTGCTCGTTTCCAATCAAATGCTTTACGCACGCAATCACCGAGCGCTGCAGCCCGCGCACACTGTCTCCCGTCATCGCCCCCGCCAGATACGGATCGTTGCTGAACCCTTCCCAGTTCCGGCCTCCTCTCGCGATCCGCCCAATAGCACCCGCAACAGGCCCCAGCGCAACATTGATCCCCTTGCGCCGAAACTCCGCACCCATATAGTACGCCCGCGCGTAGGCAAGGTCTCGATTCCAGGACGCGCCGGCATGGATGCCGGACGGGTACGCGTTGACCAATTCGGCGCCTCGGATCCCCTGCCCGGCATCCTGCAGGCAGATCCCGGGGAATCCGACACGGGGTGCGCCATAGGATGTTCCTGAGCATCCAGTGGTGTTGGACCTGTAGCCGTAGGTTATCTTGTTCTTCTCGTCGCTTGTCATTTTCCCCACGAGGGTTTTGGCCTTTTTGTAGGCTGTTACCCAGTCGTCCCAGCCCTTTATCTCGGCTACAAGTGCGGTAAATCGAATTAGCCAGGGGCCAATTCAAGACATGATCTTGTCTTGCACTTACGGCTGGGGTAAACGGGTTCCGATCGGCCATATGACCAAAATCTTTCCAATGCTGCGGCATCCACTGAATTGTCCTGGCCCTGGCAGCAGACAAGCGCCAGCTGTACGGCCAGTAAAAGCCACATCTTGAGGCCGATCATGATTTGTTGTGGTAATGGTATGCTGACTCGATCAGGCCCTTCGGTTGATCCTGGTGCTTTTTTTTTTTTTGATTTTTTGCAAAGAAACAACTACAACAGCAACTTGTACACTACAGATTTAAGTCTCTCGCTTCAACCGCCAAGTACAAGGTTCCAAGCAAAGGAGTATCTCCGAGTATAGTCCCTGCATGATTTCGGGCGCCGTCTCTCCACTCCGGGCCGGGTCCGGTCGGTGCAGCTTAGGGCTTGTCATCCGGGGGCGGCATGTGCTTGCTTTGGCTTTTCTCTTCCAAAAGCAGAGGCTACTTAGGATCGGGCTCTCTCTCTCGTTTGCCGGAACTAGTTCCCCCAAATGCCTTTCTTCCCCCTTTCCATGAATCCTCTCTCCCGTCCGATTTCAAGTGCACCGGACCGGACTGCGACTGATAAGATCCGTCGTCTTTTCACTCGAGCCCAGCCGGGATCAGTAGGTTCTGAGATTATTGTACTATCCACTCAGCAATAGGCCGCACCGTACTTCGGCTTAGGGTAGTGTCCCTTGCTTGATACGCCTCGCTATTCGCTCAAGCGAACCGGTGCCTCACTACCAACTCCTTCCCAATTTTCTGACTGCCCAACCCGTGTCGCTTAGCCACTTGAGGTGGTGTAGCTCTCTTTCCTTATGCCGCGGAAACGTTCATGGTATGGGTGGTCATCCTCAGATGCTGAACTTATGTACCCTATCTCGGACTTGGGGAACCCGCAAGGCACCGGGGTAAACAAACATTCATACTAGCTATTACCGGAGACAGTGCATCTCGCGTCGATTGTGTCCTCGAAGAGACCCGACCAAGGACTGTATACACACATACGCTCTCCACAGGCAGCGCTGAATGTGCTCCCAAATGGTCCCTTGATTGAACTGGTCATCAAGGCGGCTGCAATGGCAGGGGTGGATAACCAGATTATAGCCAGAATTGTTCTCGGGCGACGATAGATGGTCAAGTCTACCCTTTCACAGCCCGAGGGTGGTCACAGTCGGGTATGATCATTCGTTTGCAGCGTTGCGCCCGCCCGAGTTGGTCGGTGTTCTACCTACATCAGTTGCCCTTGCTCTGCTTGGCCTGGCCCTCGACTGTCTGTCAACGGCTATATATCACGGCCAAATTCATGAAAGTCGAATTGGTTCCAAGTTGTTGAGCAGTACCGGACGAGTGGTGGAGAACAGCAGCCTGGGATCGTCGGCCGTGATTGGGGCGATTTCGTCGGGCCAGATCGAGCCCATGTGGCGAACGTTATCCTGACCGGATGATGACCTCATACCTCCAGAACTATATATACACCAACACATCCTGTTCTCCAACCACAAGTCACCGAAACTGATATATTTCGATACTATAACTATCAACGTCTACCACTACAAAATGTCATCCGGAACACAAGGAAAAGGCGCCACGCCCACCGGCAACCAGCCCACAACAGCCACCCGCGGCGGCGCAAGCGCCTATCCAACACCCGCCAACAACTCCGGCGGCGGTGCGGGCTGGGGCGATAGCGGGATAATCAAGGGTGGTCTTGAAGGAATCGTATGTTGGCCCATTTGCTTTCCCTCTCCGTCCCCCACCTTACGTCGTTCCCATGAACTCCACTAACAGGCCTCTAGGGCAACCGCCTCTCCAGCGGCTCCGGCGAATCCTCAACCTCCAAGCTATCAAGTATATCCGGCGAACTGTCCGGACTCCGCGAGCAAAAGGCCGCCGGCGAGCAGAGGTATAAGAGTGACGTTGCTGAGGCCGGCGCGATCCCGGCTGAGGCGGAGGGCGATCCGAGCTTTGCGAAGCGCAAGCCTGGGGGCGCGGATACGCTGCCTGGGTGGAATAAGGCCAAGGGGGCTTTTGGGAGGTAGGTTCTCTTTCTTTATTTGCTTTATTTTAGTCTATAAGAGGTGTTCTGGCTTGAGTGGGTTTGGCTAACGTTTGTTCATTAGCCTTCTAGGGAATGAGTAGGGTTTCTAGGGCTTGGGGTGTAGTAGTGTTGGATAGTGAGGTTTGGTTTTCCTGCATTTCGAGTTGTTTTTTTTTTTTCGTCTGTGACAGTATTGTATAATAGAACATGAATCTGCAAACTCAGACATGGGTGTTGTAAAGGACTGTAGGCTGTAATGTGGCTTCTTGATGCAACCATGACATCACATTTTCAAGCAATAACAACGCGTCTCCCACAACTTTCTCCCCAAGACATGCAACACTCGCAACTCACTTAACAAAGATCAGAGACACAGGAACCATGGGAATCCTCGCTCTTGTTCACGCGGCGGTGGATTATCTGCTGTCGTGGGTTAAACTAGTACATCACTCCAGCATCCCAAGGAACACAAGCTGACTGCCCAGATCCAAAACCGCGAGATCGGATGGCTCACGATCAATCGAAAGGTGAGTCTAGCCGACCAATCTGTTGCGTCAATGCGCGAACAGCGGAATTCTAATTCTCTTACAGACCGGTCAATACATGCGCGAGCAACAGCCCCTCATGAAGAAAATCAAGCTCCTCCTCCTCTTCAACCCGCTGACGACATGGCTCGACACGACGCATGCGATGAGGTTGTATATGCATAGTAGTGCGGTCAAAGAGGGTCCGTAGCACCTGCTTCATTTCGTCCCTTCCCATAGACTTGGAACTGAGACGGATTGCTGACTGGTATCGCTTCCGTAGGCAAGAGAGAAGCAACCCCGGCGTCACGCAACCGCATCCAGCAGTTCGTCGACACCTTCAACATCAACATGGATGACTTTGAGCCCTCGGATATCAACGCCTACCCGACCTTCGAGGACTTTTTCATCCGCCGCCACAAACCGGGTAGTCGACCGATCTACGAACCCGACAACAACAGCTCTGCGGTCGTAGTCGCAGACTCGCGCGTCGTCGTCTACGAAGCCGTGGCCGAGAGCAAAAAGATCTGGATAAAAGGCGAGGACTTTTCAATCACGAATCTGGTCATGGATAAGAAGATAGGCCCACAGTTCCATGATGGGCCCATTGCGAGCTTTAGGCTCTCCCCGCAGGACTATCATCGGTATCACAGTCCTGTTTCGGGACGGGTGAAGGTGTACAGGAGCATGCCGGGGGATTACTATGATGTTGATCCGCTGGCGATTCAGAGTGGGGTGGATATTTTGACAAGGAATGCGAGGGATTATGTCGTGATTGAGACGGAGGAGTTTGGGGAGGTCCTCTTTGTTGCGATTGGGGCGAGTCAGGTGGGGACTGTTGAGTGCGTTTTCACCTACTGCTATTTCTACTGGTTTAGCTTTATGCTTCCTCTATCCGTGAGTACTAATGCTGTGCCAACAGGATCCACGAAAAGTGGCAAACGCCCGGCGCGGAGATCAAAAAGGGCGACGAGGTGGGACTCTTCCAGTTTGGGGGATCAAGTATCATTGTTGCGTTTCAGAGGGGAAGGATTCAATTTGATGAGGATTTGATTAGGCCTTCGAAGAATGCTATTGCAGTTGATGTTGAGGTGGGGATGAGCCTCGGGCGTGCCGTGCCGGCGGGGGATGAGAAGGGTCCACATAATTCGTGATCCAGAGCTTCTAGACCTTGAGAGCATGGCATGGGAATGATTGCGAGTCCTTCATCCTCCAAGATATGAAAATCGATTCCTGAATGCTAGGGGATTTATGCTGTGCTTCTTTGCTGTCTGATTCAGCCATCTTCACACATGTAGACTCTGACATCATGACTTGCCTCCACCGAGATCGATTGATAAGCCCGCCCTATTGATCTGGGGTAAGCTCTAGAAGCGCCTGGTGGCGGATTCTGGAGTCCCTGGATTCTTCCATGTGACTCTAATCTGACTTGACTTTGAGAACATGTAGACAAGCCAGTTCCATTTCCACGTCCGATCTCAAGCACACAACTACCACAATCACATTCAGCCCACCATGGCCGAGTGCATCACCAGATCAGCCACCGATCCTCCAAGCCCAGACGACCTCCGAGACGCTTACGAGCTTGAATTGCGCTCTCCGAACGGCAACCCTGTTCGTCTCGGAGAGCTCATTTGTGAAAAGGGTGACAATATCACGACGATTATTGTTTTTAGTACGAACGATCCTGCCTCTCATCTCATCATCCTTCAGTTCATCCATATCCAACTGATATAAATACTAACTCGAGGCTTTTAGTCCGCCACTTCTTCTGCGTCTACGACCAAGACTACGTCCGCACAATCTCGCACCACCTAACAGACTCCCTGCTCAAATCCCTCCCGTCAACTTCCTCAACGGGCCCCTCGCAACTAATAATAATCGGCTGCGGCGACCCGGCGCTGATAACCCCCTACGTCTCGGAAACATCCACCCCCTTCCCAGTCTACAGCGACCCTCGCGGGCGAATCTACGAGAAGCTACACATGACACGTACAATGTCGAATGTCATGAAGCAGCCGAGCTACAGCACCGTGGGGTTTTGGAGGGCGTTGGGCAAGACCTTCCGGCAGATGGCGGCGAGTGGGTGGAGGGGGTTGAGGGGTGGTGGGTGGGGGCAAAATGGGGGCGAGTGGGTGTTCAAGGGCGGGAAGTGTGTTTATGTACATCGCATGAAGGATGTAGGGGATCATTTGACGGCAGGGGAGTTGTTGGAGGTTTTGGGATGCGGGGCTGGGGATGATACGGCGAAGGAGGAGATGAGGGAGGAGGTTGAGAGGAGGTTGGATTAGGTAGGGCCTGTCTATGTGTGGGACGTACTAGGAGTTTTGGAGTGTACACGAGAGGGTTTTTATTTCATCTTCAGGGAGTTTATGTCTTGTGTTGGACCAGCGTATGTTTTGGTGGGCTTTGACACAAGTGATTGTCCAGCCTATACTCCTACCTTTGAGGTAGTAACAAAGTCTCGTCCATCTCAGGAAGGTACCATATGCTCGCTGGAAACTCCAGTACTTACTAATCCAAAGTACCCCCGACAGTCCAAGCGGAACTGACCAAAGACACATCCAAAAATGGCCCTGATTCTCCTCTTTGGCGAGCCACGAGCGATTCTAAGTGAGCACGAACCTGTTCAGCTTTCAGCTCACAGGTTCCTCACTTTGAATCTCCCGGGTACAGATCCTTGTTTGTACGTCGAGGAAATATCGGTCATTGAGTTGGTGTGTAGTGGCTTCTCTCATACTCTCACTTCACGTTCGCCTCACTTCAGATTTGCCCTCTCGTCGACTCCTCACTCCTGTCCTAACTCACGTCTATAAATTGATCTCTCATTCTCCCTAGTCGTACTCCTTGTGCATTCTTTCCCTCCTCTCCTTTCTCAAACAGCTCCCCTTGGCCTTGTCTTTCAGATTCCACCGCTTCGGAACACCACCATCTCGTTTCACCTCGAACGTCCCTACATCAACCTCACCTTCGAAGGCGACATTCGGCTATAGAAGCTTCCTCCTCGCCAGAAACCTCCCTCTTCTCTACATCTATCTGGATTCTACATTGCCTCCGGGAAATCGCCCATCTTCCAAATCTCGACCCACGGTCCATACCCTCTTCCCTTCTGCCACTCAGCACAACTCGAGCGGACAGGACCTCAATCCACTATTTTCGGCATACATTCTTCTTGTCAACCATTTGGATACCCGCTTGTGCCATAAGCACTTCAATCAGTATGAGCTCCTTTTTACTACCTGTGGTATGCTTGGAAGACTAACAGTACGCAGCCGGTCACCATTCGCCATCTTCGGCTGCATAAGACCTTTCTCCAGTCTCGGCATCATAGCCATGCCGGAAACTATCCATGAACCACTCGACCCCCGTACTTCAAAGAACGAGTTACAAAGGTAAGCTTCAATCACAATATGCAAAAGGTGTCCCTAACCACACTTTACATCTACAGGACCATGGTTTTCGTTCCAGGAGACAAACTGGCAGTTTACACCATAGAGGAGGGACACCTCCGCGCTGTCTCCAAGTTCTTTGAACCAACTCAGAACCGCCTACTCCCAGAGCCGGAAAGGCAATGGATCTTCCTGGACGAGCACGATTCTCACACCTTCAAACTCTTTGTCCACTGGCTCTATTCCGGTACACTCCCCGTCGTGAGCAAAGACAAAGATGATGACGGAGAACGCGAATACCTGGAACTTGCAAAGGCATGGGCTCTCGGCAACGACTTGAAATGTGCTAGATTCCAGAACATTGTTATCGATGCTCTCAGCGCCAGACGAGCCCAAGATTATGATCAGCGTCGGGGTCATCCCCTGATCGAAACGGTGGAATACGTCTATAGCCACACGGAAGAAGACTCTCAACTCCGCAGCTTGATGATCAGCATCTATGCTCAGGAAGATGCCACCAACCGCATCTCACGCTGGAAGGATAGGGGCCGTATTCCACACGCTTTCCTTGCCGAGCTTGCGGATGAGCTCACCGAGTGCTTGTATAACCCCAACGATGAATTGCCGGAAGCCGAAATTTTTTATGTCTCACCATAGCGGGCTTATTTCGTTCTTCGAGGCCATTGACGGTGATACATAGGAACTATCAACAATCAAAGCCTACTCCATACCTTCAGTGCAAGTTCGCAAGTTGTTCAAAAATCTCAGCCACACTCCCTGGTTTGCCATCTGTCATCCGCTCTAGTCGAAATCGTGCACTCTGCGCTCAGCATTACACCCACGGAATTTCTCTATTTTCATCACAAATTGCAATGCGGTCTTAGATTTGAATCCAACATGCATTGGATATGCAACAATGGTCAGGTCCAAAAAAGAAAAAGCAAGTTTCACTTGCTGGGGTTACAAAAGAGCTCTTGCTCAGTGAAAGGTACTTAGGGCTGGAAAATATTCGTTTTCGAGCAGTTGGTATTTTCACAATGCTATTTGTTTAGTGCCCAGTCCAAATTACTACTAGGTAGTGCTCCTCACCTTCCAACAAAGTAGACTCCTTGAAACAAATGGCGGGTCTGGGTTTGGGCAGTACTCCCTCCGCGAGCAGTATACACAGACCCTTTTGCGATCCACATGCCCGATTCTCGTACTTTGAACTATTTTCCCGTTTCTCGTAGATTTCATAGGCCGCTGGAAGATCATCCCTTGCCAATAACCGATATCAACTTAAGGAGCCTATATTCCTGCCAACGTCCCCAAACCTAACGCCGTGATTGTACGTAGACTCACTCACCTTGAAGCTATAAACACTCGTAGTAGAACGTTCGTTCAACACTCTTGATTTTCTCGGCATAACTGGCTGCGGAGATCATTCTCATTGTCTGAAAAACTCCAGACCAACATTTCCCTGCGAGACAAAGATACTTTCCGTGCAAGATGGCATTTTCCCAGAACCCTCGCACTCACCAATCTTGGATACCATCCCATCATCACCACTCCAGAACATATACTTGTCACGAACAAAACTCGATAAACCAGAGGGGTCGTAGGTCACAGCCCACAGCCTAGTATACTAGGATAGATTCAATTCCATTCAATGAGCACGGCATACCAGCCTCAATCTCTTGTTCATCCGCCTCGATCTTGAGATCTATGGTGCAAGAAGGCCAATATATCGCGCAACTTCTTGACAATGTCTTGACCTTGGTTGGCATCTCCACGTGTACTATTTGTCCCCATCATCGCCACCACAGCTCGGGATTGCGCCATTGCAGCGTGGTTTGGCATTCAGTAGGGTTGTTTATTGGTGTCTGGGGTCCCCGGATTTGATGTGAGAATCCAGGGTTCGGTCGAGTGAGCATTTCTGTGAGATAACCCTGTTAGACCATCTGCAGGGCGTCTGAGGCCTGATCGCCTTTTGGAGGGAGAAGATAATAAACGAGATATGCCGGGTTTCATATAGGGTCAAAATACGTCCAAGATGCCACCTAGCAAGGACAGAATTTCACTTGGTAGGATCCACGTCCAAGGGCCTCTGATTGGTACTGATTTCCTCCCTCCTTGGATTTCCCTGCTCGGTTTCGATGCTTCCTGCCGCTCCTACGCTGCACTTCAACGAGGCAAACCCAATATCACGCAACCATCCTCGGCCAACACTCGAACACAGAGTTTTCACAAGAAGGGATTATAGATCTATCCCTTCACTACCTGGTAAGTTGCCCCTCAACGTTCGGCAGGGGAACGGCTCGTTAAGGTAGCATCCGGGAATGCCCAAGTGGGCTGTGGAATGCGACAACCCCCTTCGCCACACCATACAATGGCCGTGCCTGAGGCGCGGAGATTTTCCGCGAGGGATAGGGTTACGTCCGACCCCTTCTCCTGGAAAATCGAACCACTGGATGAGGTACCCTCTGACGTCTCAGGTTTTGAAGGGTATGTAACTGAGTCATTTTTTGCATCGCGACCCTGCGCTGCAGATCACTCTCCGGGTTCCATATCATCTGGAGTAGTGACGACAACGATCAGGAATCGACTGCCATGTAGGTTCGATATTTGCTTTTCTCCGTCTTGTATCATAGCACTCTGTGGGCTAGCTGATGGTTAGGATTCTAGAGGCTAGGGTTGGCATTGCAGCTACAATCCCGTACAATCGAGGGCTGCAGGCACTTGTTGATGTATCTACCCAATAACACCAGAGGACTTTTAGCGAGTCATCCGAAGCAGGTTGCACAGTCAGTAATCCACTACAGTCTACTCGATCTCTCCACTGGTTTTCGGCGAGGAATCCCAACGGCAGATCTTCCAGGAAGCACTGACCACCCCTTCCCAATCCGGCGAGATCCGGGGCAGGAATGTTCGCCCGAGGCCTTCATCCAGTACCAGCACACACCCCCAAGCTCTACGGAGTAGACCCGACCTCAAGCCCCTGCGGCTGTGGCGCCTCCGATCCGAGCAATGCACCCCTAAATCATGTCCTATCAATTACGCCTCTAACTTGGTCCCTGCAGGTACGCTTTCGTCCATAACCAACTACAGACGTTACACAATGAAAAGACTTTTCACTGTCAGCTGCTGCTTCCATAATCAATGACATGTCGAATCATATTGGATCTCCGCGCCTCGTACCTTGACTTTGCCGGCATGAACCTGGGTTCGCCCGGCCGAGCTGTTTGCGGCGGTTTAATCTACGTTGACCCATGGAACCGGGGTTGTGGCTTGCCAAACAGTTGCTTGTATAGTGCGAATGTTGTATTCCGATGTCGTACTCTTCAAATAGATGATGGAGATGTCTCTCTGTCTCTCAACTGCTAAGACGAGTGCTAAGACATCTATATAAACCCCTCCAATCCTCATCACATTTATCCCTCATCCAGCAACACAACAGCTCAATCTCATCCCACAAAACCACCACCACCGACTCACCCCAACCCAACCCTTAAAATGCGCTTCACGCTGCCCGTTCTTGCCCTGGCCTCCGCGGCCCTCGCCCTCCCCGAGTCCGCCCAAACGATGGCCAAGCTCAGCAACTCGGCCGCCTTCGCCAAGCAGGCCGAGGGCGCGACCTGCGACGTCGGCTCCATCTCGTGCTGCAACGCGGCCACCCAGACCGAGAACGGTCTCCTGGGCGGTCTCCTTGGTGGAGGACTTATCCGCTCGCTTTCGGGTAATGATGGGAGTGCTTGTGCCAAGGCGAGTTTGATTGATGAGTTGGGACTTCTTGGTATGTTCTCACGTGGTTTTTGACGGGGTGGAGGGGAGGGTATGGATGGGGAGAGGAGAAGAGAGATGAGATAAGATGAGATGTGCTAATGGAGCTATTGCAGCTCTCGTCGAACACACCGAGACCGGCCCCGTCTGCAAAAACATTGTCGCTTGCTGCCCTGAAGGCACTACCACTGTATGTTGACTTCCCTTCCCACAGACGCACACACACACACACACATATATCTACCTTTGAAGGGAGTCGAGCTAATGAGAGACAGTGCATTGCCGTCGACAACGCTGCCGGTACCGCTGAGGGAAGCGCCTAAACGCTGAGGCTCAGATAAAGCTCCCTCTACTAGTTATGCGCCTGCCCACAGTCCAGCTGGAGCGCTGGCGAGGCTAGATACTCAAGCTTGGGTTTCGGGGAAAGCGGGCGCAAAAAGTTGTTTTCTAGTTACCAGATTGATAATAATATGATTTAATCGCTATAGTTACGTTCCGGAGTGCTCGTAGTGCACCATGCCTCTCTCGATGGAGTCCCTACAGAGAATCACGGATAGGGTGAGGTGTGCTCGGGGATACCTTCCCCGTCTCCAACCTGAAGTACACGCGATGTAGAGAGCAAGTATGCGTGACCGCTGCTGATACCGACGTAGCAAGCCCCATGACTCGAGCAAGCGACCTGCAGTCCCGACGCAAAAGGCAAAACTCCGACGAGGGAAGATCCCTGTTCACTCCAGCTGAGCTCTGAGGAGCATTTCCTCTGCGTCCGGATGGAAATCTACATGTAGACCTCGACAAGAGTCGCAGGCGCAAGTGCTGGAGTCCCGACCAACCTACTGAATCAGGAAACTAAAGCGACCGACCCAGCCTACATTGACCGACAAATCGACTGGCCAGCCGTGCCGAATGACCTTGCTCCAACCCATCGATGCGATCATCGTACATCTTTCTCCACACAGCAGAGCCTCGCTCGCTTGGACGGACTAGGTTGGAGTCGTCGACCGCACCAAGTAGTCCACAGCCATCACATATATACGTCAATCATGCGATGGAGAGAGAAATAGGAGTTAACCGAAAAGGCTCTATCCCCCGCTCTATTCTCCATCGCAGCGACATGGTCTCGAATCGGGAACTCGCAACACACAGCCTCGTGGGAATCAGGAAAGTTGATTCCTTCGTCCGTCCGCACAGACACACCGTAGGGCCCAGGGAGGAGAGAGATGGACTCTGGAGAGAGGAAGCCATGTCGATCTTACATCATCGGTGTCGGGAACAAGATGCACACCCCGCACTCAGAGACTGGCACGTGCGGGACTGACCTCAGACCGCTCGGCGAGGTGGATGATTCAGGATTCTTTATTCGTCCTACTTGTCTGGTTTACCCTTACCCTGCTTGCTGAGTCCGAGCTAGTAGTCCCTTCATTGTCTTGGCTCGCCCAGAAACTCTGACTGGGTGCAATGTGGGCGGCCTAAGCAGCAGCTCAACCGTGGGAGGGAGAGTGCTAAGAGAGTGTGGGGTAAAAAGCCACCGCCACCAGGGCTTTAGTTTATTCGGACTCATTCCTGCCGGCGTTGGGGCTCCTTGTGGGGGGTTAGGGTTGCTGTTTCTCTAAGAATATATATCGAATGGGGCCAAAACAGGAAGCGAGGTGGAGAGGCTATGTCAGGCGAAAATATATTGTTGAAGTCTGGACAGAGTGAAGTATTGCCAATCAAGTACGGAGTAGATGTATTTTTTTGTCGAATTCGGGGAAGGGAAATGCGGGGTCAGTGCTCTGCAAGTAATGAACAAGCAAAGAAGTCATTTGCGATGAGATGATGGTGTTATGCCATGCCATGTGTGCATGCAGCACCCTCTCTTCCCACAGCCAGCAGCCAAAGCGGCGTGTGACGAGATCAACTGATCTATATTCTGATTGAGTGAGCGACCGAGGCAAGGTTACTCGACCTCGACCTACCTTCTGTAAAGAGTCGAGAAGCCTGCCTGGTCATGCAGAGAAGTAGGAGTAAATGGATGAAAAGCCCGCGTCTGCCCGACTTGCATATTTCTACTGGAGTTGCAGTCGCAGAGCGGCACAGAGGTGATGATGGTGTGCTTTTGGGACTGGTTGCGCGATGAAAAGCACCGGCTATTGAAGGATGTCATCCAGGCGTGGTTAGTGCAGTGATCGACAGCCAGCAGATCTGGTGGATGGAAATGGCGTCGATGGAGTCGAAGCTGGCGCTCGGAGAATTCCCCGCCATTAGGCAACTTGGGTCAAAGTCCAGGCAGACCTGATTTGGATAAGCGCAGCGACTGGTCCGAGAATGGAGAAAGGCGAGCCCAGACCCGACCGTGAGAGCGACCCAACATTCGACTCTTGCACAAAAAGACGGGAAGGACGCGACGTGGTTCCAGCCATTCCGGCGATGCCTGTCCGGGCGGCATGAGCAGTCCAGGGCTCGGGGCAAGCCTCAGCCAAGATTCGGGCTGCGTGGTGGCTTGGGTGCCTGACTGCGAGCCAATAACAGGAGCCATAACACAGTGAAGAAAGGGATGCCACCCGGTGGGACAGAAAGGGGGAATTGAGATTCTGGTGCTGTGTAACTTCGGACAGGTGCGCTACCTATCCTCCGAGTGACATGTTGACAGCGGAGGAAAGACTGAATAATGGGTCGGGTGCTACAATGTATGAGTTGGGGAAATTACCTCCGCAGTAAGCAGCCACTGATGATGTTAATGGTTAACCATATATTTGAGCATAACCGGCGTCCAGTCGCTGGCCGCGATCTCCATTACGGCTGCCAATCAAGAGGGAGAGCAGAGGGATGGCATTCGCCCCTGATTGCAAGGATCAGCCTGCTCATCAAGGACAACTCACGTCCAAGAATCCCAAGACAGCCGCTGTCGATCGCCAACCTTGTCTGGAGGATACAGTTGGGTCAGACTTCAGTTGGTACAGACGCAGCCGGGGCCTGAGTCGCGTCTGTCGAGGTGACTGACCGTGTGACACGTCACTTGGATCCTTGCAGTCGGGGTGCAGCGCATGGAAGCTTTGCTAGTATACAATACTCGCCCGGCTCCCTTGCGTGACATCAACATGGACTCCAGTTCCAGTTATCCCAGTGCCGGGAGCCCCGAGACTGCCGCGCGAGATTATAAGTAGTCAACGAGAGCGCCCCTTCCTATTTCACCACTCGAGGCCAGTTCCAAATTCTTCCTCTTCCCCTTTCTGTTTTCCCTCTCTCTCACCACTGCCCACCACCATCCATTCACCCCAGTGGTCAGTCTCACATTCCGACAAGATGAAGATACCCACCTTTTCCTCCCTCGTCGCCACGGTCCTCGCCACGGCATCCCTCGTCCATGCCCAGTATCCAGCGCCCGGCGAATGCACAGGCGACTGCTGGGGGCACGATCCGGGCTTTCAAGTGCGCCAGTCGGACGGTCGCTACTTCCGGTTTTCGACGGGCGGAGGCATTCACATCCACTCGTCGGCCTCGCTGACGGGGCCGTGGGAGGCAGTAGGACAGGCGCTGCCGGGGGGTTCAGTCGTCGATCATGCTGGGAGGACAAACTTGTGGGTGAGTTCATCATTGCTTTTGTTTGGATTGTTATGATGTTTGCCCTTCTTTTCTCCGCGGTGTCGATCTGGTTGGCTGTGGATGCACATGCTTCCGGCCCTTCCAGCCCTAATCCTCCTCCTCTTCTCCCCGCACGATCAGCACCGCACATACCACACTCAACCATTCATGTGAACCCACGGGAGGAACCTCGATGCCGCTGCAACAACCATTCCATTCCATCGGCCCTCGGAGATCCACCTGGACACTCTGGACCAGACTAACAAGTCCAGGCCCCCGACCTCCACTACGACGCCGGCCGCAACACCTACTACATGTACTACAGCGTCTCAACCCTCGGCTCACGCGACAGCATCATCGGCGTCGCCTCCTCGCCCAACCTCGAATCCGGCTCGTGGGTCGACCACGGCGGCCTTTTCCGCTCGGAGCCCAACGGGCCATACAACGCCATCGACGCCAACTTTGCAAACATTGGCGGCGAGCCCATCCTCACGTTTGGCAGTTACTGGAACGGCATCCACCAGGTTCCGCTTGCGGGTCCGTTGGCTCTTGCACAGGGCGCGCAGGCTCGCAATGTCGCGTATAACAGTACGGGGAACCATGCGATCGAGGCTGGGTATGTCATTTATCGGCGTGGATGGTATTACCTGGTCTTTTCGAGTGGACGCGCTGGCGGGTATGTGGAAAACCCGGCGCCGCCAGGAGAGGAGTATCGGATTGTCGTTTGTCGGTCGAGTGACGGGCGAGGTGGATTTGTACGTTATCTACCATCTTATGTTTTATGGAGTCGTGCTGATAATGATCTAGGTCGACCGCGAAGGCCGCAACTGCCTCAATGGCAACGGCGGAACCACGATCCTCGCCTCGCACGGCAACGTCTACGGACCCGGTGGCCAGGGCTTGTTTGAAGATAGAGAGCGCGGGTGGGTGCTGTACTACCACTATGCGAACCCGACCATTGGCCTCGAGACGAGCCAGTACCAGTTTGGCTGGAATGTGCTGCAGTGGTCGGATGGGTGGCCCAGTGTATAGTTTGGCCATTCTTGCGAGATTCCATGTTTATATGGAGATGTTTGGAGCTATTGTTAGGGATTGGGATTGTCTGGTGATACCCATGCTCATGCACATTCGCTTGCACATTCATACTCGTGTCATATTCGTATCCATTATAATTACCAGCTCAATATACCACTGCATTACGCATTCTCTTCCTTTTCTCAGACATCTCCCATCTCCCAACTCAACTCGATAGATGGCTGGTTCACTTCGCCCTCGGACTCACCAACAAGAAAAACCCAAGCGGCCGCGTACTAAACGCCCCATTGTAGTTCACACCCCCAACATTATCGACCTTGTACCCCTTATCCGCAAGCTCCCAATCCACCTCGCGAATCAACCGCGCAAGCACGAGCAAGCTCCACTCCCACGCATGCCGCGTGCCAAAACACTGCCGCTTCCCATTCCCAAACCCCTTCTTGACACCACTGGGTAAAGCGTCGTACTTCTCGCCCATCATACGTTCCGGCTTGAACGCCAACGGCTCCTCGAATACCTCGGGATCCCGGTTCACTGCCGTCAACAGCGCGATCAACGGCTGCGTCCGAGCGATCTCGTACTCGCCGCCGGCAAGCAGGATCGGCGTCTTATCATTCGGATCCGTTGGTGGGATCGGCTCGATGTTGAAGCCGGGGGCTGTCGCGGAGAGCCGCAGTGTTTCGCGGAGGATGGCTTCCGTGTAGGGGATTCGAGAAAGGTGTTCGTGGCTGAATGGCGCGTCGCGACCGACCACCGAATCCAGCTCCTCGCGGGCTTTTGTGATGACCTCCGGGTGGTGCGCGAGGTAGTACAGTCCAAAGGAGAGCAGGTTCGGGGCCGTCGCGGACCCGATGAAGATGTTGATGATTTCATCGAGGACCTGCGATTCGGAGAGCGACCGACCGGTCTCGGCATCGACGCCGTGGAGGAGCGCATGCAGCATATCCTTCGGGACAGCCGCGGGGTCGGATTCTTCGAGGGATCGTCGCTTCGCGACGATGTCCGCGCCGTAGTCGCGCATCGTTTTCACATCCGCCTCGAAGCGCCGGTTGTGGCCCATTAGCCAGGAGAGGACTTTCGGGCGCGTGGAGCGGCGCGTCGCTTCGACGGTGGAGTTTTGCTGCGCGGCGATGACACCCGGCTCGGGCTCGGCTCCCGAGACTATGGACAGGGTTTGGTGGAAGAAGGCGAGCATGTTGGCTTCGTGGTTTGAGCGGTCGAGGTCATTCGTTACGTTGACGCGTTGCCGCGAGGACCCTGTCCACTTGGCTATGAGGTTGTCGGTTGTTCCATTGATATCGTTGAAGATCGCAGCAATCGCCTCGGGCGATACAAGCGGCTTCATGATCCGATGCGCGATGCCCCAAATCTCCGCCTCCTCGGGGAGAGCCGTAAACAGCGAATCGTGCACCGCGGCGCGGATCTCGCGGATGGGTCCCGACACGCATTTTCGGAAGCGCGTCTCGTCGCAGATTTCCTCGAGGAGGGACGCCGATGTGACGATGACGATTGTGCGGCCGAGGATGTTGAGTTTGAAGAGGGGGCGGTTGGCATTGTCGGCGGCGATCGCGTTGAAGGAGCCCCAGGGGTTTTTGGAGTCGAGGGCAAAGAGGTTGCCGACTAGGGGCAGGGGTTTTGGTTGCGGGATTGGGGAGGGCATTTTTGTTTTTGATGCTCCTTCCTTTTGTGTCGATTCTGGTTGTGTATAGTCTTTGTAGAGGTGAGTGGTGGGAGCGAACCGTGGAAAGAGAGAAAAGCGACCCAAGGAACAACCTCAGAAACCGGGGAAAGCTCCCCCTAGCCACGATTTAAATACGAAAACCTTTCCTCCAGCTGCAGCTCCAGCATCATCGAAATGCTCACAAAACCTCTCCCCTGATTCGCTCAGCCCCTTCAGTTCTGCATGTCTGTATGTCGACAATTCACTTGTAAAAGAGGATTGATTGGCCCCGCCAAGCCGATCGTCACACAGATCATGGGTTCGTCCGCGTCCTTGCGTTGCCAGATCATTTCTGAAGGCAGTGAAGAGGGCCTGGAGGAGCGAATCGGCGCTGGGGTCGTGGAGTCATCTCTGCAAAGTTCTCAAAGTGCCCAGCGTTTGCGCTGAGGGAGAGATATGGCTGGCTGAGGATATGCGCTTTTGGGTCATCGTGTTCGATAGTGGGCGGATGGCACGGGTCAAGGTGCAGACTGGTGGGGCCGATCGGTGAGGAGGAGTTGAGGAGCTGAGCTTGGGTGACCTTGCGGATGAAGGAGCTTTGGGCGCGTGGAGGAATGGAGGGATAAATTGAGCGTCAATGGCTGGGAGCAGCAGCAGTTGGTTTCATTTGACTCAGATGGAGGCAGGACCTTTACCACCCTCTTCTCTGCAAATATATTGATTTCCATCGCATCGTCAGAGGAAACGCTAAGACTCGCAGTGGGTCTCGCTCCCGATCTGCCGTTCCTTCGCCTCAGTTCAAGATTCCCAGTTGCAAAGCTCCTCGTATCCTCACCTCGTGACCAATGACGTTGCTCATGAATTAATCTCAGTGACATATCATCATAATACACGAACTGGAAGCTGAAAGAAGCTGTCTATCTCTAATGTCTATGAAAAAGGAACTACAGTTACACGCATCTCGTCATCGAGCATCAAACTCCAGCATCGCCTGACTGCTCTGTAGGACAAACGACTCGTACCGCATCCCCCGTCTCTTCCTCGACGGCCCTTTTCCGCCTCTTTCTAACAATTCTATCCCAGCACTTTCAGCACTCGAGACATCGACATCATCACCACCACTCGTCCCGTTCCAAACACCAGCATATCCATCCCATAACCCCCTCCAATAACACGCCTCAGCCGCAGGGGTAAGATACCGCTCGCGAAACGTGCGCACGCTATTATCCGCAATGGCCTGTGCGCGATCCGGGTCCGTCAGCAGCGGCGCAATCTTGGTTTCCAGATCGCTGAAATCGCGCTCGACCTCAACGTAGTTTTGCGACGGGCCCGAGGGGCTCAGGAGGTAGTGATGATGCTGGATGTATTGCAGCTTGTGTGCGACGATTACGGAGCGGCAGGCTTGGCGGTATTTCAGTGAGGCGGAGTAGGAGCGGCCTGGATATAGAGAGATCAAAGGTTAGTGGTGGTGAGGTAAAGAAGGTAAGGAGAAGAGATAGGTGGGCTTACCCTCAACATGCGCAATAAATCCATACCGACAATGCTCCCCAAGCCCCAGCACATTCCCCTCCCCTTCGCCCTCACTAGCATGGCGATGCCAATCCACAGCCTGAACATCCGCCCACTCCCTGCCCCTCGTCCGATCCAAAAGCGCGCGCCTCAACTTTGGCGCAAAACTCGGTTTTCCACGCCAGACGAGCTTCTGTACCCTCTCTCCCCACGGCAAAACATCATAATCGACCGCATCCTCCACGACAGCGTCGTACGGTCCAATCTCCGTGTGCGCGTGGTCCCAGCTCCAGAACCCGAAATCGGGCATGAGCCACGCGGCTTCTTCACCTGCTGTTCGAGCGAGGGACCAGATCGGGTCGTTGGCCGCGTCTGCGACGTCGGATAGTTTGTCCTCGATGCTGAAGATGAATTCAATGTCGATGTCCGGGATAGTCGTGCTCGTCGAGGTTCGGTCGTGTGTATCCGTGATGAGAGCGCGATGCATAGCCGAAAGCGCAGCGAGGATCTTCCGCCGATGATCTTCGCCTCTTGCGCGCGTCGCAAGCACATACAGCTGCCCATTCGCGATCCGCGCGCGTGCCATACCCGGGTTCAGCGTGATGGTGTCCAGCTCCGCATTCGAGATCCCGCCGCGATGACGCCAATACCTCCCCGCACGATGTACATCTTCAAACAACCCCGGAAACGCAGCGTCGCACTGCTCCCGACCGAGTCCCGCATTGTGGCCGTCGCGCGCGTACGAGAATTCCCATCTTTCCAACTCGGCTGATGGTGTCAACGCAAGGGTCTGGTGTGAACATGCCAGGCAGCTACTGCATTCAAAGACGGTTGCTGTTTCGCAGGCGCAGTGCCCCGCTGGGATGATTTGGGTGAGCAGTGGGTGCAGGTAGGCGCGGTCTGAGTTTACGGCGGTCCAGAGGAGGACGCCAAGGGTTATGCTGAGGAAGCTGAGGAGGCAGAGGGTTGTGAGGATGGGGTGTTGGCGGCAGCGCGAGCGTCGCGAGCTCGAATTGGCGGTGGGCATTGTTGCGAAGGATGCTCACGGCGAGGGCATCCAGGTAGGTATGATTCCAAGGTAGGTTAGGGAAGAGAGAGAAGAGAGGAAAGGTAGGAAGACCCCCAAACCTGGAGAAAATCAGGAGCGAAAGGAAAACCCTGTGGGAGGAGGAATTGGATGATCTGATTCTGCGCAAATGAGCTCAAAACAGCGACACAGTCACAGTGAATGAAAACCTCAAGCGCATCGCAAACAAGGAGAGCAAAACAAGACAAGCCAGCTCAGTCTCAATCTCAATCTGAATCGCAATCCAAGGGACAAGCACAGACACAGGAACACACTCAGGGATAGGATATATTCTCCATCTTAATTCCAAATGCCGCTTCTATTCGTATTTGGCCGATCGCAGTCTGTCCATCTTTTCCCTCTCCAATGCAAGTGTCTCAACTTCCAACTTTCGTTCCCACTTCCCCAATCCAAATAGAAGGATAAAAGACCGTTAGGGGCGCAACGCGACAATCCTGACGATCACAGGGGCCTTGGGCCGCCTTTGTGAGCCATTAGCTAAGAGCGGCCAGGGCCAAGATGATCTTTCCATGGAAGGCTCCATTGACGACGTGGCCAATCGTGGGGCTGTTTCAACTCTTTCGAGTATGCGTATGCGGACTACAATGGATTCTTGCAAGGTTTAGCAGCGGTTCTACGAGCGAAAACTGGCACGTCCAGCAGGGCAGAATTGCCGCGATGACGCTGGTGCCTGCTGCTAGTCTTGTCGGACAGTCCCTGGAAGGGACATGGATGTTGGCCGAATTCAGGGTCAAAACGTGGGTGCTGACGCCAGTCAGAGGCTTAGCAGCGACGCCGTCGAGGCTCAATGCGATCGTCCATTTTTGCGGCCAATGAGAGTGAGACAGTGGTCGGAGATGCTTGCTTCGAGGCCTGTCATTGACGGAGGGGCTTACTGATGTGGGGAGAAAAGGGTCCAGCGGCGCTTGGCGTTAATCTTTAACGGAGTCCCAGGCTCTGGTGAGGCCCACGAAACATACGGAGGAGACCCCTTCAACGAATTCTTCTGCCTGCGCCAGGTTCCAGGATTGTCTCAATAGCCTCTTGCGCCTTAGGCTGCTACAAATGTACACCGCATCGGGATTCAGGACAGCAGGCCAAAAGATTATCGTCTATGTTGGAATTTGCTATTTACGCCGCCCATGCGCTCAAAGCCTAAAAACAACCGTCCAGGGCAAACGCCCGGTCGCAACGCCAATCGTTACAGTTCCGCTCCAAACTCCAGTGTACAGTAAGAATAGAAACCTCATGATCGCGACTGCGCAAAATGTCGCCCTAATCGCCCTCCCTTTCGCACGTCATGGATCTCCGGACTGCTCGCGAGGAGTCTGTGGCGTCCGCGTTGGCCCCCACGGACCCGGCCCACTGTCTCGGCCAGCAGCCTCTCTGCGTCGTGATCCAGCTCCATCTCAATCGTGTCTTCCACGGTTGTGTGCTCGACCGGCAAGTCAACCCCAGCCTGTGCGACCTCATCTGTCCACTCCTCTGTGTAGGAATCATCCGCGGCTATGCGTCGCCGAGCCGCGTGGCCTTTGCCCTTGTCGCGCGACGATCGCGTCGAGGTTCGGAGCGGCGCTCGGCCATCTTCTGACATCACATTCTCTGATTCGCGCGTTTCTGACGCCCAGATCTCCAGAGCACGCGACAAAAGGGTTCCTGCAACGCCCGCTCCACCTGCAGCGTCCCCGCCACCACTGGCCCCAAGCACTCGCACTGCCTCGTGCAAGGCGGTCACGGCATCCATGGTGCGGCTCAGCTCCAGCAGTATAAGCCCACGAGCAGTATGTAGTGATCCGATGAGTCCTCTCTCCTCATACCCACTCACGCCCGATGATGCAACTCCAGAAGCATTGCCTCCACTTCCGCCTAGGAATGGAGTATACCCCAGGCTTGTACCGGCGGCGCCGATCCGCACACACTCGTCGAACTCTTCGAGTGCCTCGGGGTATCGTCCTAAGCGACGTAAGGCATGGCCGAGATTCGATCGCGTGGCTACCCAGGCGCCCGGTTCGCATTGGAGCGACGTCGCTAGCCCTAGTGACTGACGAAATAGTTCTACCGCGTTATCGAGATGATTTTGATGGTACAGAACGACGCCAAGCTCGTTCAGAACCAGAGGATCTCCTCCTAGCGTAGACAACTCAGAAGGCATGGAAGGTATTGAAGGTACTGTGCCGGCAGCCGTTCCCGTGGACATGGCATACGCTGCACACAAGTACTCTTGCGCTAGAGACATGTTGTTCAGCGCGAGATGCTGCATTCCAAGAAACAGCTGCGGTAAATGGTTGCCTTGGAACAGTCTAGCAGCGGTGCTATACGCGGCGATGGCCTGATCATGCTCACCTTCCGCTGCAAACGTATGAGCAAACCCGATCCAGGCTGGTGCAGAGTGAGGGTCCAGCAACGACGCTTTGGAGAAGAAGCGCCGGGCCTCTGCGATTTTGGACACTGATAGGTAGTATACTCCGATGGCCAGGTACGTGTAGGATTCTTCTGGTGAGTGGTCGGCAAGGGTGTGCGAGAGTAAAAAAAGGGCATTTGTGGCGCCTGTCTCGTATAGGCACGCCAGGTGTAGGGGGTATACGGCGGGCGAATGACCAAGATGGCTCTGAGCGGTGGGACCGGTGTGCGCCGAAGAAAGCGAGGACTGCGACGTTGAGAGAATCGAAGACGTCAGCTCCAGCGCTTCGGCAAAGCGGCATTGTGTGTATAAAGCTTCTGCCCGAGAGAGGAGGATGTCCGGATTCTCGGCCAGTTTGTAGTGTGTGGACAGCGTTTCGGTGGCATCGGTGAGGATAGCAGGCGATGAGTACTTCGATAAGCGAGTGGTATAGAGCATCTTCGTGAAATGTGCCGCTTCCTGCGAAATGGGCGCGTCCGCCCCTGTAATCGAGTCAAAGTCCAGCGATTCGAGAAACTCCAGCTCTTCCGTCGGCGACATGAGCGAGTTCTTCATGAGCTGATCAAACGCTTCGAAACACTGCACGTCAATGCGCACAGCATCCTTGTAGCAGTCCCGGGCCCGATCGAAAGCATTCTGCTTTGCAAAACACAGTCCCCGAAGGTAACACATCCCCGCCTCATACCGGATATTGGAAGCATCCTCGCGATCTCGTTCCTCCGAGCGGTCAATGCGCGACGCAGCGCCCTTCCCGTTGCGTAGTGTGATACGGCTTTGTCCGTTGATGTGTTGAAGCTTGCGACGGCTGTTGCTGCTGCGGATCAGGTGGGTGGGGTTCTGGTCGCCCAGAGTTGAAAGCGCCTGCTCATATTGGCCTTGTTTGATGTAGCAGTGGGCGGCGAGGTAGCGGCAGGCGGTGCTCCGGGATATGAGGTCTTGTCCAGAAAGGAGGGCAAGGGCTCGCGTGTAGTTGTTGTTCGAGAAGTGTACTTCGGCCAGCCAAAGGGCGTCCTCGTCGCTGTCTAAAATGAGGTTCCGTTAGTGTTGCTCGCGCGCGAACGCAGAGAGGAATCTCACTTGTCAACGCGAGCACTTTGTCTCCGATAAAGATGGCCGAGTCAAACTGGCCGCGGACCTTCGCCTGTTGTCGCCAGACCCGTAGGAAGTTCTCCATAACCAACGCGTTCAAAGGGAAGAGGGAGTCTCACGTGCGGCATGGGATGGAAGGGTAAACAAATACAGAAAGAGGCGTTCCCCCGCATGCGCAGAGAATGTGGACGACAAAGGAGGAAAAGTACGCGGTCGGAGCCTTGGCTCAGGCCTGACAGCAGCAGAAGGAATGGATATTATTGAAGATCAGCTGCGATCAAAGCTCTCGCCTTATCGGCGTTGCTGCTCGCCGCCGCCTCTTGGTCGCTGCTTTTTTTGGGGCAACTGCCGCGCACGTGATCACGTGCCCGGAGTTTAGCCACCAGACACCGCGAAGAGGCGTTGAACAACCACACCTCTGCGACTTACCACCTTTTTCTGTACGAATCTACTTCTAGACTCCTCTAAATCGACTGTCTACTTCTGGTCGAAACTTTGCTGCAATAGCTGTTGCCGCCTCTAACTCACCACTGAGTATAAAATCGCATTTGCCCTCCGTTTTCACTTGTCCAGCAACAACCATCCAGACAAGCCGCAACCATGTCCGAGCGAAAGGTCTTGTAAGTACTATTACCGTCGCCTCAATCTGCACTATCATCTAACCTGTTTTCCTCTCATTTAGGACGAAATACTACCCACCGGACTTCGATCCGTCAGCGATAACCCGCACCCCGAAACACCTGCGCTCAACAGGCCCGAAAGTCATAACCGTCCGCCTAATGGCCCCCTTCTCTATGAAATGCACACAATGCGGCGAGTTCATCTACAAGGGGCGCAAATTCAACGCGCGCAAAGAAACAACGGAGGAGAAATACTTTTCGATCCCAATCTACCGATTCTACATCCGGTGCACGCGGTGCAGCGGCGAGATTACGTTTGTCACGGACCCGAAGAATATGGACTACCGGGCGGAAAAGGGCGCGAAGCGGAACTTTGAGGCGTGGCGCGATGGCAAGGCGGATAACCATGAAGAAACCACGGATGAGGTGCTGGATCGGTTGGAGAGGGAGGAGGGTGAAGAGCAGGAGCAGTTAGACCGGGATAAAATGGCGGAGTTGGAGGAGAAGACGAAGGATGCAAAGAGGGAGATGGAAATTGCGGACAAGCTGGATGAAATTCGCGTGAGGAATGCGCGTATTGAGCGGAACGAGGCGCTTGGTAGCGATGTGGCGCTGGCGCTTGTTAAGGACGAGGTGGATGAGGCTGCTTTAAAGGCTCAGCAGGAGGATGAAGAGGCTGCTCGAAAGGCGTTCATGACGGAGACAGGGGAGAAGGTGAAGAGAATTGTGGAGGACGAGAGTACGCCAGAGACCCAGGCTCCTGCGCCGCCGCCTTCGTTTGCACGAGTCAAGAAGCCGAAGAAGCCTTTGGTAAACAGCTTGGGGATAAAGAAGAAGGCCAAGCCATCTCTGGTATAACGAAGTATACGTTTTTATTTATTGCTTTCTACCGGAGTTTACGCTGGGCATCAGACGGGGTATACAGGCGTTTACCTCAACTTAGCTGATTTCAATCTGTCGGCATTGCTTTTTATGCACCAATACCATACAACTAGCATTAAGCTGCAATTCAACGTAAATAAACATGGAGGGAGGTAACAAAAGATACGCAAAATTCAGGTCAACAACATTTGCCCCAAAGCGCCGCGCTAGAAACCAACCCGAATAGACCTTTTTGAATCCCTTTGTGGTGCATAGGAAGCAATTTTGCCGCCAGTCCACGACCCAATAACAAAACGCCATCGGAATAATTGAAAAGAACACTACACATACTCAGAGATACGGCATCCACAACGCGTCTCCGGCTGCCAGATGCTGAGGGTTCACAGCCTTTGAGATCAGATCGATAGTCGTCTGGTTCGCCGGCAGGTTTCCTTCTGGCGGGCTGGCGAGGCTTATCGCTCTGCTGACAATGAGTTCGCTATTGCTGTTCACCAGCTCCCGCAGGTGCGTCGGTGAAAGGACGCCACGGTCGCGATGGTGCGTCGTAGCCCAGAACATCATCTCATCGCGGACAAAGATGCTCAGCTGCTGGTCGAGGTCCTCGCGTTTTTCCGTCAGGCAGCGAGCAATAGCCATGATCGCACAGGCGAAGAGACCCTCGGTCGCGATCGGACCCATTAACGTCTGGATATTTGGAGTCAGGCGGAACGGAACCTGCTCTGGGTTGAAGAAGAAGGCCTTGGTCGGGTTGATGATCGGGATCAGCTCGGATCCCCAAATGTCGCCGGTTGCCCTAGAGATCAGGATCTTGTTCGGGTACCGGTTGCCCATGTGCATCATGTAGGTCATGAAAGCAATGGCCGCGTACTGATATGTGAATTGGCGGCGGAAGAGCCAGAAGTCCGCAAAGTTGGGATACGTCTTCTGGAAGTAATCCAGCACCATCGTAGGCGGAACCCACTTCTCCTGGATCGCCGTGAGCATCTCCGTTCGAAGAACCTGCTGCTGATCGGCAGTTCGCTGAAATTCATTAGCCAAAATCATGTGCAGCGGAGAGAAATTACTCACATTCTGTTTAGTCTCTGCCAGAGCCCTCATCTTCTCCATTGTAAACAGAACAGGCTCATCCTTGTTGATGCCAACGCGTCGGCAGTAATCCTCATAGATGCCTTGCATCGAAATGTATGACGAGTCGTCACGGACCAGACGAATGTGAGGCGCCACTGGAACCATGAGCGGCAAGTGGAAGTAGAGGTTCCTCCGACGGCTTTCCTTGCGCTTAGCCAAGACACCATTAAAGATGCGGAAGAGCTGAAGGATGCGCTCTTCACGTCGGCAGTGTCGGGCTGCAGGATGTTGCACAGCAAATGCATGAACGCTACCGTCATGGCCACGAATTTTGAGGCGACGGTGGCAAACGCCAATACCACGAACCAGTTCAATATCCGGCAGGAATCGATCAATGCGAATAAAGTCCTGATTCTTGTCCTTGTGCAGGAGATACTGTCCGGGAATCTCAACCTCATCGAACTTGAGGAACCGGAACTCGCTGAGATGCGGCGAATAGCTCTCCAAGAACTGCACCTGGGGTCGTCGGTCAAGCTTCTCCTCAAACTTGTCACGCCAGCGACGGAGCTTCTGGATGTACTCGTACATGGTAGGCTTCTTGACGACAAAGTCGGCTTCGAAGGACTTGCGGATATGAGCAGGGAGGATTGTCTCTGCAAAGCGGGTAATATTGGCTTCAGTCGCCGAGGGGAGCTTGAAGTCTTGGGCGTATGAGCCGGGCATGCGACCAACGTAGGCCAATCCATCGTTGAGAAGTGCAACAATAAGACGATACGCGTCCTCATCAGGGGGGCACTTGAAGTTCTTGTGGATCTGGTCGACCATTGTCTCCATAGACAGAGCAAGCAACGGGAAAGCAGTCTTGAGGCCAGACATGATCTCATCAGAGTACTCCCACGGTTTCTTGAGAGGCTCCTTCTCCGGCTCTCCTTCAGTGGTAGGGTTCGGCTGTTGCTGTTGTCCTGGAACCTGGAGATTGGATTGCTGCTGACCTTGCGGTAGCTGTGGTGCTTGACCCGGAGCAGGTGAGGGAACTTGAGCAGGCTTCTGAGCAGGACTCTGACCGTTCGCTTGAGGCTGGCCTTGAGTTTGTCCCTGCTGCTGGGGCTGCTGAGCCTGGCCCTGGGACTGATTCAGCGCAGGCTGTTGGCCAGCTGGTCGATTAGGTGTACCCTGCGTTGGAGTTGAGGTGGTTCCGTTCGCGGTCTGTGCAGGCGAGCTCTCCGCGTTTGCTTGCGGGGGCTTAGTCTGCGGCGAGGCTTGTTGACGCGCGCGGTTAAGCTTCTCTTGCTTCTGGTCATGTTGTTTCTTGATATTGAGCATGTCCTCTCGGTTCGTGCGGAGCAGGAAGAAGAGAGCCTGGGGGTACAACTTGGCAATCTTAACCAGGACAGCTTTGCAGAGACGGGCTTCGCGGTGTGATAAGCTGGTAAGTAACTGCGGAATAAAGGTGATCCAATACCAGACTGGCGTGTCGCCCTTGAAGTTCTCAAAGGCGGCCGCCACAACACCCTCGTCATTGTCCAAGCTGAGCAGCCACAGAATTCGGCTGAGAAGTTTTCGTGACTTTGCGCTCTTGTAAAGACCGGCGGCTTCCAGGTAACAGCTGACAGCATTGCTCGCGAGCTCATAGTCGGTGTTCTCCTTCTTGAATCGGAGATCGCTGTACTGACCCCATTCAGACCACGCCTTGGCCAGTCTGAGATCGTAATACAACGCGACACCGAATGCCTCGTTGGCCTCGGTTACCTGGTTCAGCTTGGCCAGGAACATGCCCTTGAGAGTGTAGAACTCGGCCTTCTGTTGCGCACCAAAGTAGTTGAGGTTGGTGTTGTTGATTACATCCAATCCGCTGTTGAGCTCCTTCGGGTTCTGGTAGTGACACTTGGCTTGCTCACGCAGTTTCAAGAACGCCTCTTGGATCTCGATGTTCGGGAGCGTGTAGATACGGCTGAGCTGATTGATGCAAACTTCCGGCATCTGGTGTTTCCGAGCAACATGGGCGAAGCGGTTGATGATCCATGCCGTTTCGTGGTATCCGCGATAAGCGTACGAGTTGCTGGCGACATTGTTCGTCTGAGGAGGCAGCAGGCCAAGATACGTTGCGTTGATGAGCTGGAAAATGTGTTGACGCCAGGTAACGAGATCTTGCCAGGCATTGATGTCGTCCCACAGATTAGGGAGACGGTCGCGCCATGTTCCCAGCAACAACTTCAGCTCCGCAGACTTGGTATCCAGATTTCGCTCATTGGTTTGTGACAGGCTGGAGCAGATGTGGCTGGCATCGTGAAGCTCAACCAAAAGCTGAAAGTGTTGCAAAATCGGGATATGGGCGTTGGTAATCCTCTTGGGTAGCTGAAGCCACTTGCGAATGGAGAGCTGAATGGACTCATCGCAGACACCGTTGAATTCCTGTATGTTTTCCTTCTTATTGTGGAACTGTAGCAGCGCCATGAAAGCTTGGAAGAACGTGCGCCTAGGAGTCGGGGCATCAGAGACAGACTTGACCAGGGACTCGAGTTGCTCCCGGTTGTTCTCGCTTTGCCAATTCTCAACATTTCTCCAAGCGGCCTCCAAGAGAAGATCGTTCAAGTTCTCATGTTTGGCGAAATCGCTGAGGATCTCCCACTGCTGCAATTTCTGGGCGCAAATAAGCCAATGGTCCTCCCACAAGAAGTATTCGCCTTGAGAAAATGGCATGGCTCCAGAGCGAGCCTTGATTTGGGCGTTTTCGTAAAGTTGCTGTGACTTATCCCACATGCCTTGCTGTTCATACGACAGAGCTGCATTGGTTTCCACGAACTTGCATCGGCGTCGCCAGGTACCGTAGAAGAAATCGTCCTCTTGTAGGCCTGCATAGACTTCAACTAGCGCGTCTAGATTACTCTCACGGAGAGTCGGGGTATCAATGATTGGGTTGATGGTGGCTTCTTCCAGATACTTGGCAGCGGTATACCAAGCATCATAGGTACGGCTAAGATACTTCAACGCGTGCGGGGGCATCTTGAAGCGGGGCGTAGCACGAACAACACCTTCGAGCAGGGCCTGGATAACGTTCGGCCGCTTGTCAATCTGTCGTTGGTGGTATTCGCGGTTGATCAGGCTGACCATTCCCTTCTCCAGATCGATACGATCTTCACGAGAAAGTGTTGACCAGAAGATAGGAAAGAGCGCAGTCCATAAGCTGTAAGCTGTGCTAGAGTCCGTGTGCTGGAGCTGGCAGAGCGGTTCAATGAGATCACGGGCCTTGACTTGAGCAATCTCACCAAGGAATCTCTTGCGATCCGCAATAAACGACTCAAGCTGATTATCGACCATGATTTCGGATCTTCTGGGATCCTTCTCTGCATTGCCGAACAAGAAGGATAGTGGGTATACCGTGAAGTCATCTGGATGAAGGCGCGCCGAGGCGTTCATGTCAATACATCCTAGAATCAAATGCGATGCTTGGGCCAGCCAGAATGAGTCCGCTAGGGTATCCCAGTTCTGACAAGTCAATACATAGCTGAGACGCGAACTTGCGAGGCGAGTCAGACTCCGATCGAAAATGGTCATGAAGCGGTTACGCATGTCCACATCCTTCGCTCTCGTTCCTATCAAGAACGCGTGCTCGAGTCTGACTGTCAGCTCAGTTCGGGTGATCTTGGAGTCTTCGTAGATCCGAATGACAAGTTCAAGGAACTTATGGAGCATGTCCGGCGTTTGTCGTGACTCAAAGAGCAGCATCTTGTGGAGGACGGCAGTCTTCTCTTTCAGGGTAGGCCATGATTCGGTGGAGTGGAAGATCCAGGACTCAACCATGGCCAGGATCTTTGTGCAAAGGCCCTCATTCTGAGAGCGCTCAACAAGTTGTGCCAGAACGCTTAAGAAGGGCCGTCTCTGCTCACCCAAGTGAGACATGCGCACGGAGATAAGCTCAATGGTCTTGAAGATAAGGTCGATACCGATCTCGTATTCCTGAGGATCCGGAGCACCCTCAGGAGGCTTTTGCCCTGCCTGGTTCTGTCCATTGATCGTAGAGCCGGCCACATGTTCCTTGGCCAATTTCTGTGAGAATACCTTCATAACCTGGGGAACATGAGGGTCCATCTCTGCCGGCTTCTTCTTCGAAAGGGACCAGAGAATATTGAGACTGGAGATGTAGTTATTGGCAGACAGTGTCTCCGTCGCGATCGCAGACAGGTATGTAACGAACTCAGAAGGCGAGTTTTCAACATCCATCGCGTCTTCATCTTCAGGCTGGTCATCGGGAAGAGCATCGAGAACCCGCTGGATCGGAGGTGGAAGCTTGGGCTCGATATCCATGTCCGTCTCAAGACCATGGAGAACGTCTTGAACTTCAGGGTTGTCCGAACGAAGGGGTTTCTCGAACAGCTTCTGGATAAGCGGGACCCGGGCAACGACCCAATCATCCGGCTTCGACGCGAGAAGAATGCGAATAACCTCCAGGGTATTCACAATACCCGTGACGTACTTTTCGATAGGCTTGTCTCCTCTATCCGCTGTAAGGATCGGCTCCGTGACCTTCTGATAGAGCTCAATGTTGAGATCGCCCCAGTAGGCTGGTTGCATCAGGTTGCGAAGCAATCCAACCGCTTTCTTTTGCATCTCGCTTGTGTGCACCGGCGTTTGCGGTTTAGAGGACTGGAGCTCGCGGAAGCGCGCTGCCGGCACCTGGAAACGATCTGTGGAGGTCGTGATAAACGAAATCAGGTACTTTGTCAGGGCAGCTCGGAGATCTTGAGGAACCATATACTCCGAGCGAGGAGGAGCAACAGCCGGGGAAGGAGAAGCCGTGCCTTGAGCTTCGTCAAGGGTGCGCTTCTTCGAGTTGGGCGATTCCATTGCACCGTTCATAACGGGCGGCATAGGCGTGGACGAGGGGGTGGGGGAGTTGACCCGCTTCTCTTCCCAGAGCCAAATGAGATTGATGAGATTAAGAGCAAGCTTCTTGCTATCGTGGGATGGGTTGGCTGGGGGTGAGGCGATCTTGATCAGGGAAGGAACAATAAGCGGCACGAAGTGCTCCCTGGATTCGTAGAACAAATCCGGTTGACGGACAAGGAACTGGAAGATGCTCATGACCTGCTGGAGGTTTGCCGTCTCTTCAGCCAGGATCCGGCGAGGCCATTTCGCCCATAAGGGGTACCTTGTGTCTTGTTGAGCTTGAGCTTGAGCCTGCGCTTGTGCCTGGGGATTGTTGGCATTTGTTGTATTGTTGTTGGGCGGTGGAGGCGCGAGAATCCTCTGGGGAAGAACAGGGGCAAGGACATCCAAAGCTTGAGTGACAAGCGCTTTGCCTTCGTTTTGATGCGCCCTCAAAAGCGCCACATAGACCTGGACTACAATCTTGAACGGCGTCTCATAGTGTGCAACGAAATAACTGATGAGGACATAGGCACCGTACTTGTTGATGATATCTTCAAGTCGGATGTAGTTCCATGCGAACTTGATAATGTCCTTTCTGCAATCCTGGATCGTGGTAGAATGATACTTAATCAACAATGCTGACAGTTGAAGAAGCTCCATTCGAGCATGGTCGACACCCGGCTGGCTCGATTCTTCACTCAAGTCCGTAACCTGCGGCTTCCAAAGACGGTTTGTAACGAACTCCGACATACTCTTATCCATCAACTTTGGACCATCAGACGTGTTATTCCAGGTATTTTGAACGTCCATCGCAAAGATAGGGTTAACGAGGTGACGGAAGGCGTAAGTCTTCATCTTCTGGGAACATGAACGCTGACCATAAAGATCAAGACAGCGCATGATTACGGACCGGCGATAATCAATCGATTCATTCGTGATGATGTGGCGGTAGATGAACTTTGGGAATGTGAGGCTGCGCTTGAGATCTCCCGCAGACAGACCGTCGATCACTTCGAAAAGGAAGTCGAGGTCCTGCATCGACTCCGCCAAGTAGATTGTGATGATGTCCATGAGTTGATCTTCCGCTTGTTCAACCCTCAGGCGTTCGGTGGGCAGGAGTTTGTCGCCACGTAACTTCCGTTGGAGGTCTCGAGCCGAGGTGAGTACTTTGGTCTTGAGCTCTGTGTGGGAAACAAGCCAGCCTTTAGTTGATTTGTGAGAGCAGATGGCATGCACAGCATAGATTCCGTTGATAGCGGCAGTATTCTTGCCCTCTGCTTGCTCCTGGCCAAACGCCGCCGTCATAAATCCTTCCGTGTCTGCAACGACAGCCGCCCGAAGGGCCTCACTTTCCGAATCTGCAAGGACTTGACCGAAGAAGCGACCAAAGCGCTCATCCTTGAAGCGAGCATAGAAGAATGACAAGCTTTCCTTCGGGTATCTGTTCAGATACTTGACAATCGGCTTTCTGAAAGGGCTGCTAGAGGTCCTGCGAAGCTTGTCTTCCAGATCCAGAACCTTGTTTACGAGGTGCTCCATGAATGAAGTAGCAGCTGGAGGCAGAAGATGGAAGATGTTGAAGATTGCAGCAACAATCTTCATGGAAGGATTCTGCTCCACAAGGCTGAATGAGACCTTTTGCAGAGTCGCATCATCTGCAATGACCTTCATATGGTCCAACAAGCGAGCTCCGATCTCGACCTTGAAGTAGTTGGTAAGTAGGGTCAATAGCCTAGCAAGCCCATCCAAGCCGGCAACACTCAAGCGCTTCGGATCCTGCAAGTTCATGAGAATCGGTCGTAATCCGTTCTGAAGCAGATCCTTAGGAAGCTTGTTCGTTTGGGTTAGAACATCTCGTAAGCCTGCGTTCGCCGCATCAATGACTTCAGGAGACCGGACGTAGAGCGACTTGAAGAACACGGAAATGATACGAGCGCGGCTTGAGCTCTGCGACGTATTGGCGAATTCGGGAAAACTCATCGCCATTGACAAGAGTCGAAGGCAGGCAACACGCAAGTTCACAATCATCTCAGCATTCTTGAACTCGTTCGGTTTCGAGGCAAGGTTCTCATCTTCCGCATCGGCCAAAGCGAGAGACTCCAACATGAGCCGGTTCAACGGCTCGTTGAATGTAACAATGTTATTCCGTAGGCTCAAGCAGTAGGTAATGGCGTCGATAAAGCCAATCTGGGTTGGGAAGGGCAGGGCGCGCAGAGGCTTGTTGAAGATCGACTGCAGTAGGCGATCCTTGACAGGTAAGATGAGTTCGTGGACTTGGCATTCCAAAATCTCTGCAATGGTAGAAAAGCTTCGGCGAGATGCTTCGCGAACATGCTTATTCATGTGGGAAAGCTCGTACACGAAGAAACCACAGAGGGAGTAGAGGCGACTCTTTTCGTTCTTCAGATCATCCTTGGACATGTTCTTGCAGCATCGTCGCAGGATCAAGTCAAGTGTCTCTGACGCGCGAGCGCGCGTGCATGCGGGCAGGTCAGCGGGAGTGTCTTTGATGACATACATCAATGCTCTGACGAATTCAGCCTGCTTCTCAAAGAGCCAAGCGTCACCGAGATCCAGCTCAGTGGCGTAGAGGTGAATACCTCGGCTCCCGCCTGCCTTTGTGAACCATTCCTCGCTATGGCAGCTGTGGCAGAAAACGCGGCCAAGATGCTGGAAGAACGGTAGCTTCGTAACGCGTTCGGATGATCCGAAAATTGTCACAGCCGCCTCCTTTAGCTCCAGCAAAGCCACCTTGGCGGCGTCGCGGACATCTGCATTGTCTGATGACAAAGATTCGACAATGGCTTCTGCGAAGACTCGTGAATCGAGGTAAACAGAACCTTCGCCACTGGAAACATCGAAGGGCCTCCGAGTATGTCTAGCCTGCGCGAGAGACCGTCCTACTTCCACCATGGCAAAGTGTTTGCAAACATCCGCTACAAATGTGGTTGCTTTCTCCTTAAGCGCGGGAAGAGTGGTGGCAAATATGGCGGCCTTGAGGAGCTTCTTGAGCGAGCCTTCCTGAGAAAGCTTCTTGGGAATCGAGCTAGTACGCTCGGACTTCTCAAGAATATCGGCCATTGCCGAAGTCTTGCTTTCGAAAAGGTCATTCGCGTGCAAACGAAGAAGGGACGCCATGTCATCCGGGATGTTCTCGTATCCGATGTACAGCTTAAGTTGAGACGAAACGAGGTGGAAGGCTTGCTGCTTGTAGTATGCATCCGACTGATGCTTGGAGATTTCCATTAGCTTGGCGATTGCCAGGTCGACACCGATCTCGATGGGGAACGGCCGCTTCTCACTCGGACCGATCAACTTGATGTCGAAGCTAGGAGCATCATCTGCGTATTGCTCAAAAGTAAGATCAGGCGGGTGGTTCAAGTACTTCCTGTTTCGCCCACCAAGCTTGCCCAGAATCCGCATGGTTGTGTGTGCATGGAAATGGTTGTAAGGGTGCGGTCGGAGATGGTCGAACAGCGCGGTCATTAGTTCATCCATAATGGGAGCCATTATGGGATCGAGATAGTCGGCCGTGAGATTGTCAACACAGAGCTCGAGCGTCCGCAAACCCTGTCCGACAAGGTCGGACTCCGCACGCAGGGCTACAACAATCGGACGCATAAGGTAGCTCAGGTGAGGAAGAAGATGACTTAGGCGAGCAGGAACGGTGAGTGTAAGCTCAACATACAAATCACGCTCCTGCGGCTTCCGGGCAGCAAGAAGCAGGTTGTTGAAGGTCTCGAGAAGCATTTCCAACAGAGGGAGAATTTCCTTGTACAGGAGCTCAAATCGGCCACCACCGATACTGCGGAAGAGAGAGCGCAGCAGAAGGAAGTAGTTCATGGGTTCTTCGGCAGTCACCGAGAGTTCGAGACACTTAGTGACAATCTTCGACACATGAGGATGTAGGACCTGTTCGTTCTGCGCCGAAAAGAGCGTCACAGCCATGAAAGACAGCTTGAACATTCTCAGAAGAATGCGAGCCTTGGCCATATCAGGTGTACCTACTTCATGAATCCTATCCATGAGATATTGCAAGACCATTCCCGAGAACGCCGGAGAAGTCGCTTCGCTCGCGAAGAAGAACTGCGGTAAATGAAGGAGAGCCCCATGTTCAAGCATAAGATCAAAGAGGTAGGGAATTTCAGTGTGGAAGACCTCATGAAAAGTCGCAGTGTCAATGCAATGGAAGACTGTTCCAAAGCTCTCCAAGAGTTCCTTCTCTTCACGGGGCATAGGAGCGGTGTACTGGCTAGTAAGGAAATCAAAAGGAGAAGAAAAGTTCACCTCCGGCTCCGGCTGGTCGACGCCATAGTATCTGAATACCCTCGCACCTTCATGGAAAAGCTTCTTGATGACACGCACTTCCTCAGCGTTGTAACCATACGAAACTTCAGACCAATTAATTGGAACATTAGCAGGGTCAATCTGAACGTTCTCCGGATTGCAGTTCTTGAGCTGGTGGAAGATGTTCTTCAAACCGTTAATCAGGTTCTTGAAGAGGAAGATATTCTCCGCAACTGGATCAGCGTTGCGATCCCGCGGGTTTGACGTCTTGAGAGGTGATGCTGAGAAGATATCAATCTCATCCCAGTCAGGCGGGTGGTCCTTGTCAGCCAGATACTTCTCCGGCGCCGGTTCCTCCTTCTTGTTGGCTTGATAGAGCTTGTGGAGCTTCACTATGTTGGGGAACTGGTAGTTCATAGCCGCCAGCTTGTCGCCAATCGCGTCTAGGATCATAAGCAGAAAGTAGCGCGCTTCTTGCTTGTTCTCCAGCTTGGATATCTTCTCTGCCATGTTAAGGAGAAGCTTGGCGCTCATCGTTTGGAAGCTTGTCCCTGGAAGGTCGTCGTGGAGGTTCTTGGTGTACACCTCGATTGTTCTCTTGATCTGATCGCGACTCAAATGCTCCCGGACATGGTGAATGAGATCCGCGAGCATACTGTACGCGAGGGGCCTCATAGTCTCATAAACAGTCAGGCCGTCACCAATCAAAGTCCGCTCATCAAGAAGCTGATCAATCTTGTCCAGGAAAATATTCCGGTATGTGCAGTTGATGATATGGCGGATAGCAACCAGAAGCTCTTTCCTAGCGCTGGACTTTTCCCGCGGGCAGTCTTGTAACAGCCGAACGACCACGGAGGGCAGTGTAGGAAGGAAGTCCTGAAGCTGGTGCGGTTGCAGGCGTAAAAGATATGCCAGAAAGCTCATCGTCTTAACCTGGAGTGTGATGAACTCTCCAAATGCCGCACGGTTCTTGATCTCTTTGCACACGCCTGTGAAAATGGTGCCCTGTGCAGCGGCTTCCGCATGCGCTCTCTCTTGCGGCTTCGCTTGCAGAAGCAAGATACTTTTGATTAAGGGTACGAAGAGTTTGACATTGTTGGAGACAGAATTCCGGTGCGTCTGGAAAATGGAAACGACGATAATTGGGCATTCAGCAAGAACCTTGAACGAGTGCATTCCCTTGAGAAGGACATTGTTCGACGTTTGCTGATCGGTGACGAGGTCTGGAACTGAGGCAGCGGGCGAAGTAGGACGGGGAGACTGGAAGGTTTGCGCAGAGGCACCGGGCGTTGAGGGCATCCCCGAGGGCGTCGCTTGGTTTGGTGTGTCGAAGGTATCACGAACGACCTGCTCCATAGTCTGAAACATCTCTTGGATCAATTCAAGGAATGGTTGTACCCGCGAGGCGGTCGCCCTCGCTTGATTGCGCTCCAGGTCCATTATTGTCTTCATGCAAAGAACAGCATTTTCTTCATTCTCGATCCGTACGAGGTCCATCAACAAATCCACCATGTCCGCGGCGTATGGTTCGACGTCGGAGGGCATCATCGGAAGCCGGTGTAGTGTCTCGAGAACGCAGTTTCGTAGTTTCTAACGGGTTGAGAACGTGTGAGCCTTGCTCAAAATTACCATGACCAAATTCGTGGGGCAAGGCTGTCCAACTCACCTGCTCCAGCGACAGATTTGTGAACACTGGCTCCCCCTGGAGTATTTTCTTGAAAACCGGCCATAGTTTGGAGAGGAAGATCGGATAGCTTGCACCGGAGCAGAGGGGTTCGATGTTATCGCGGAGTTCGACTGCGACATTGGCGCGGATTTTGATATCTAGGGACAATAGAGTTAGCACATGAGCGCGGAGATAACCGCAGCTGTCTGAGGGAGTTTAGAATGTAAACCGGTCAAGAAACGTACCAAGCTTCTCATCCCCAAGCTTGTTGGCGTAGATATCAATGTTCCGCTCCATGGCGACTGCTGTCCTCACCGGAGGTAATCACGGCGAGTAAAGCAGGAAGAAACACACTGCCAGGCCGCCAGGCCGGCCTTACTTAATAGCCAGCACTGGTATACGAGCGAGGTGTAGTCATAGGAGGGAAAGCGTTCTGGTAGGCGAGTTCAGTCTGCGCTCTGGTTTGGGATTTGTCGCATGGAAAGGAAGCTCCAAGGTGGTACAGCGAGGTCGTCAGGTCATTAATAATTAAGGAGAAAGTTATTAGGGAGCGAGAGGACGAGAGAGAAGGTGAATGGAAAAGAGTGTGGAGGAGAGGGCTGGAGGGGAGGGGAGGTGAAAGCTAAGGTACAAAGTCAAGATCGCGCAAATCCACGCCCGCGAAAGCCAGAACAGAAAGCAGCCTCAAAACGCGGGTATCGCAAAGACCCCGAAGAAAACGCTAGTCCGAGATAGGCAATTTTGGGGAATACATTAATCCGCGCCGAGTACCGCGCGCTGACATCGGCTAGAGAGATTGTTCGTCCAATGGCTGGTAATCCCGCGCTAGAGGCACGTGTGAGGACACAACAGGAACAGCCCAAAGCACATACAGGCTAATATTGAAGGTAATTGATCCAGGCTATGCCTTAAGTATTTCATGTTATAAACGTCACAAAAGTCATCGACATCAATGCCGAGTGAAGGGAACGCCATTTGCACCCGTTTTCCAGACCCGAACACAGTTCTAATAGTCCAACTAGGATGTCCGCTAACTCACAGAGCTAGCGAGTCACGCGGACAAAGAATAATATCGAAAGCCATGTACACAAAAGAATCTGAAATAATGAAATGAGATGGGAAAGATGAGGGACGAAAGCTGGGCGCGATGTTAAGAGGTGGTCCACCAATAGACAGATCGGTCGCTGGGACGAACGCATACGATGTTGCTAGTTGGGGGGCAATTATGTTATTTCATCGAGTTGCTCCGCACCAAACCTGTTACTGCAGAAGACCCAATGGGTCGTCGACGAGGCCGAATCTCACCACCACTGTTGCTTCGTCGCCTTCTACCATCTTCAAGGGCACCGCGGCGCCGTCTCTGGAATAGCGGACGTTGCAACGTTAGAATCACGCTTTCTGTAACCAAAATGACAAACTTAGCAGCGGATAATAAATCAGGAGATATAATAGTGCTTCGAAAGAGCATGAAAAGCTGATTCGCAGAAATAAACAAAGAATCAATAGCATTCAAGACCTACAGACGTGATTGAGCCCTCGCGTGGCCTTGGGCCGCTTCTTGCCGGACTGGACTCATCGAGTTTCAACGAGTTGAGGCGATTCTGGCTTTCTTGGGTGATGGCATCGAGATCGTCGAGCTGAAGCGGAATCTCAGCGGACGACGAACCCCGCGGGCGGGCAACACCATTCTGTCTCTGTGCCGCCTTTTCAGTAACCTTGGCCCAGCGACTCAACCGGGCTTTCTCGCGGAGTTCAGCGCTGTTCTGTCGTTCGTTATATTCATGTGAGCACTCATCGAAGAGCTGAGGGTTGATTTCCATGAACATCTTCATCGCGTTGTAGACCATGCTATGGATAGTTCTGCGAGGTCCATCAGCTATCACCGCCCACCATGGTATGATGTTGAAAGTCCACGTACCGGTTCCAGTGGCCCTTGGAGTTCTCAAATAGTGGAGGGAACATGATCGGTAGAATAACCTCGACATTATCGCTAACCAGGTTGCAAAAGTATTCGTTGTTCCAAAAGTAAAGTGCTCGTTCAGCGACCTTGTGAAGGCGAATTAGCAACCTGTCCAAAGAAGCGTCCCGACTCTCTTGACAAACCTGGAAGTGCGGGCTTGCGACCGATTTAGCCAGCTGGTGGAACAGCGGCTCTTGCACTTTTGCGAATTCCGCGGGGTCCATGACCTCAAAAATGTCCTCCACTTCATTCAGGTACATGACTTCCTTAGTGCTGTTTGTTTTAGGCCAGTATCGAAGCAAGCCGAGGACAACCTGATCAAGATTATTAGAGAATGGTCAGGAGGGAAACGGGGCAAGCCACGTACATCTTCTGTTAACGTGGAGTCCTTTTCAAGGAATTGAACGATGCAATAAGCCAGCTGCGGGTGATACATGCTGAGGCTCTTGACCTTGTGCATGGGAAGTAAGACCCTGGTCAAAAACAGCTTATGTTCCTCCTTGAGGGGAAGGGCGAAGCCGTTGATAATCGATCCCAAAATCTCCAATAGCTCCGCAATTCCGTTAAACCGCTCAGTCTCGTAGGTGAACTGGAAGAAGACGTTGTTTATAGATCGTCGGATATATGAGCGTAGATTGAGGAACTTTCCGTAGATACGATGCAGTGTTGTCTTGAGGAAATCGCGCTCGCGCGGGTCTTCGGAATCAAACAACTCTAGTAACTGCGGGGATCAGTGTGAGGTCGATGTGCGTACAATAAGCCGAGGAAGGATGAAATAACGTTACCTGAAGCACAAAATGATGGTCAATGTACGCTTTCGCGATGTTTGTATTAAAGTCTTGGCTTTCGATGAAACGCAAGAAGAACTCGTAGACCACTTGTATATGGGGCCACGCAACTTCCAAAACCGGTTCGTCTTCTTCAGGGTCGAATGCCTCTCCCTGAGGTGTGATTGGGGGCGGGATGGGTCGAAACAGGTTTTTGGCAAACATCTCAACCACGCGAGGGTACATGGGTTCCGTGATCACCGAGCGGTTGTTGGCAATATAGTCCAGGAGTTCGTGGAGAGCCAGCCTCTTTATTTCCTTCGACTTCATGTCTGCCGTCGGATCGTTGAAATCAAAGATAATGTTGCATTGGTCAATCTTCTGCATGAAAAGCTCTTGCCGGCGATTAGGCGGGACTTCGTGGAAGCCTGGAAGTTTCTCCAGTTCCCTCTGGCGCTGATCGGAAATATCAAATCGAGAAGAATGTTGACGCTTCGGAGTCCGAATACCTTCAGACAGATCTTTAGGTGTGGTTTGAAGGCGATCGAAGACATGGGATTTCCTCGGAGGGGCCAGGTCGCCCGGCATGGTCTCAGCGGCACCGGGTGGGGGAACGTGCTGCAACAAGGAGTCAAGGTCAGCGAGGATTCATAAGAATGAGACAACAGAGGTCAAGAAGAGGAGAGAATTGTGAATAGAGCACATACCGGTGCGCTGGGACTGATCACAACACTCGGGGCCATTGGCGCTTTCGTCGGAGTGCCTGGATCTCCGTTATTGACAGGTTTCCTGACGATACCTCCGCCCTGCGGGACATTATACTGACCAGGAGGATACGGTGCGCTCTGCGAGCCATCTTCAGTAGCCTTCGCTCTAATATCATTCACGGATGTGGTCGATGATGTAGGTGTAACCTGGCTCGGAGAGGTGGATTGTTGGCCATGGTGAACGCCGAGGCCGGTCGAGTTCTGGGAGGAGGCATTCGAGGCGTCTTTCTTCTTCGAGGACTTGTTATCTTTCGCCCTCGACAACTGCTCATGCTGGGTCATTTAGCTAGGTTCAGCGACCATTAAGGCGATCGGGTCCAGCCGAGTGACGACCAAAGGACCCTCGATCCGAACTCACCACTCTCTGTCTGAAACCCTTCATTGTCACCGCTAATCAAACTGCCACATGTACTCGAGCGAGGTTCTCGATGCCAGTGCAGCAAGGCGCCACACGCTAGCAAGAGGGGTTAAGGCGGGTGCGGTTTGGCGGAGTAAAGGCGAGTCTGGAGGATTTGTTTATGTCGGCCTAAAAACGACCACATGAGCATTTGCAGTACACCACGAGCGAAAATAACATTGGCGGAAGGGGAGTAGTAAAACAGTCTAAGGCACATATGCAGCAAGAAAATTGATAAAGTTGGGAGCTGAGACGCTGCTTCAAGCCACGGGCAGGATGGGGTATTTGGGTGGCCGAGGAGGTCGAAAGGCCAGCCCAAGGAGGTGGCAGGGGGGCAAACACGAATGGCTTCCGACGCGCGAGAGGAACAGGAAAGTATATACAAATGGGAGCTCACCTCGACGACGTGTGGACAGGGGCGATTGGCAGGCGATGGAAAGTTGTCGTACGCTGACGCCCGGTTGTTGGCGCGGTCGCAGTGGTCTGGGAGGAGCTCGCGAGTCGGTCAGGTCTGGAGAGGATCGACTTCCGTGTCGCTTATGAGAGGAGGCGGGGGTGCTTGGAAGAGCCCCAGGAACTGAATTGGAACTCGCGGAGCACGGTCGGGCGCAACAAACAAACACAGAACAGTTATGCGGCAAGAAGGAGAGGGCGCAAAGAAGGCAAGGGCATTGATAACGATTTCGACGTTGAGGATGGAGGCCGGTAGACTATCACGAGAGGAGGTCGACGGCCTGTGGCTGAAGAGCGCTCGGACGTGTGGTCAGTGGTCGTGGTGTGGATTCGTGGGACGGGCTCCCTGCCTCTGGTTTCAAGCAGGTTCCAAGTGAGCCGCGATGGCACTGATTACTGATTCACTGCGCTAAGACGCACCGCTGAGCTGCCAGCTTTTTGAGGACAGGATCTGAAAAGGGGCAACATATTCGATCGAGTTTTCGCTTCTTCCTGGTCTTTCTTATCAGAATCCTGTAAAGGCTACCTCTGTCGCTGCCCAGTCAACGACCTCTCTGGATTCAAGGTCGTCGACTATCGTATATTCCATCTCCGTATAAATTATTTACAAGTAAAATAGCAGTTTGGAGCTACGTGCATGTATGCCCTGCCTTCCAGTTCCAAAGACTATTAGCTTTCTTTGCTTGCTTTTGGCTTTCTTTGTTCCTGAGAGTTTGCGCGACAAAGGTCAGGTGACCTGGATCGTTTCCTCCAACTTCAAACACGAGGTTGTTCACCATTTACTATAGCGTCTGTAACTATCTAGTTAGGATTATTGATCACAAAGTGAGCCAAGTGCGGGGAGTGTGTCAGGCGCTGCGGCTATCTTTTTGCTGCCCAAGGCTCTGAGTGAAGAGAAATCTTGTTCGTCTGAAGAGACTCGATATATATATATATATATCGTGTTAGGTTCCCTCGCTCAAGTACTATTTCGAATCTAGCTCTCAACGCGCTCGACCCAGATGACTTCTGTATTTATTGAACTTGAACAATATAAGAATAGCTAGTCAACAGATTAACAATACTCGGAACACCAACACGAAATATAATACCACTCCTTATTTGGAGGGATTGGTATGAGTTGCAGCGTCAGGGAGCGAGAGAGCTCGGATTTTTCCCTAAACCGAGGCCGAGGACTTGAGGCTTGGCATCAAGACTTGCGTGCCAAGCTCTCAGGTGACCAAGAGTCCAAGCGCCCACGGTCCTCTAGTTATTCCCGTTCCCGCTCCATGATTTGCTTGAATCCCATCACAACCTCGGAATCAGTTTCCAGATCGAAACAGAATTTACAAATTGAAGCCTAATCTATCAATTTATGTCTATGAGTTGCTGGATACATTGAGTGGCAGCTTCTAAAAACAACAACACAGTTCGAGCAATGCTGCTAACATCCAACACGAGGATCGTAACCACCCACCCCCGTTCTTCATCTTCACTTTCATATTCATGAAGGACAGCAATCCCATGAACCTGGCTCAAGATGTAATCGCTGATCTTCGGCACTTCGCCTTTGATGGCCGGACTAGTTTGCCACTAGTGCTAGACTTCTGGCTCAGGTCAAACGGTGCCCCCCAGTTACTGACGTGCTGTTGACAACCACGACAGCGTTGGGAATGAATCGCACCGCGTCCATGAATTTCCTGATGGTGGCCTCGCTCAAGCGGGCTTCTTCAAGTGCCTTTGCCTGGGAGAGACTGTGAAAAATAGGTTCACAAACCATGTCCACGGTCGTGTTGGTCTTGGGAGGATCTTGACTGGCTCAGCTTGGACGGGGTTCCTTGGTATTTCGAGCATGTCGGCCGCAGGAGTGACTGCGAAATTGTCATAACAAGTTCCTGAGCTCTGCTCCTTCTCGATCATTCCGCATCTACGTCGTTCTGGGAGCTCTCGACAATGACCACGAGGCCCGAACACACGTAACAGTGCTCTTGGGAACAGCTTGTTGAGCAGCACTCAGCATGTTCTCAGCCCCTTGATGTCGTTCCAGACTCCGGCAATGGGCATTTCCATACGGATTTGTCGTCGACCGGAAAAGGGCCTGGCCCACAGTCACCTTTTAGCCGACGGACAGGCATACAAGCCCAATCAATTTTATCGAATACCCCGATCTCATTGAGAGTACCGCAGGATGACGGGCATATGATTCTGTGCCGAGCTGACTTGCTATCTCCCCTCTTCATCCCACTTCCTCAGCTCTTCTTCAAACTTTGCCCACTGGCCCTTCGCTTTACACGTCGAAGTCCAATAATTCCCCTTCTCATCCTTCCCCAGAATAAAAAAACCCATCTGCAGGCTTGATTGGCCCATGGTTCTCCTGGACGTACGACGGCCGACAAGGGCCACTTGCCTCATGACCCACGCGCAGGTGCAAAATCCAAATCAAACAGGCCAGCCTTGGACCAATTTCAGAACCCAATCTGTACCATCCCGCCGTCTCCGAAGATGACGATTGGTAGGCCCACTCCGGACGTTCGGACCATTTCGTAGTATGCCTCGTGCTGGGCGCGCGTTCCTTGCTCGTTGATGGCACGTCGCACTTGGCAAGCGAGCCAGCTTAGTGGTTTCGAGGCTATGTCGCCGGCTGTGACGAGGACATTGGCCCAGCCGAAAGCGTTGCCGAGGTAGGGATTTTCACTGGATTTGGGAATGAGGTCGCCTTCGAAAGCTTTGCGGAGCAACATCGCGACAGACGCGGCAACCTAGAAGATGTCAGAACATGGAGGAGGCTGTGGACCGGAGAATGCTAGGACTTACCGTCCTGTCTGGGCTCGCTTGCATCTCGCCAACCGTACAGCGCAGGATCCACGCCGTTAGCACATCATTTTCTGAGAAAAAGACTGTCAACGGATCCTCTCCCTTCTCGAGCGCTTTTGCTCGAAGCTCGTCAAGCGCCTTATCGAGCTGTGCTCGCCAAAACGTTTCCGGAATACAGACCATGCAGTTCTCCTTTGCGCGGAGCAGCATATCGACTCCTTACCTAAGCCCCCACTTAAGTATCCCTGCCCATCCGACTTGTCTATTCGTCAGAACGTGCTCTTCCGTCGGTGCGCGCGAGCCCGTCGCAAGCACATCAAACGGATCAATATCTATCCCGCACGAATCTCATCATTTTTGCCCCAGAGCATGGCGCTCCACCCCTCAACAACATATTGTAATCCGAGCGCATCAAATGTGACATGCTGCCATTGAAGAGTCACGATCGTTTTGTCAATAGAAGAGTTCACACGCAGTCCTAGAACAGGAATGTCGGATGTGAGGTAGTCTTTGATCCCTCCGGGCGTGTACTCAGGCTCCCATGCTAAGCCCGCCAGCGCATCCGTGTCGCCCACAACAGCGGATCGAACGCTTGGCTTGGGGATTTTGGACTCTGCCGGGTGTTGTTCGGCGGTAATGCCATAGTTGACGTGTTTGAAGCTGATTGCCGGTCTATCGAGCGTGAATTCAGCTGGGATGTGCCATTCTATTTTCCTGGAAGAAGCCTTTACAATTGAGCGTCAGTATTTATGCTTCGACTGCGCTCTATCCTCCGATAACAGGGGCACCTCTTTTTCATCATACATTTCTTCTCAGCCGACCTCCTAACCTCTGCCATCCTTCGCGCTTCACCAGGCCCTCAAGGGAGTTGCGCAACTTTTCTGGATCGAGTACAGCATCGAAACCAAGCGATACGGCCATGTTGTTTCCTTGAACGAGGAGGCTGTTTTCAAAATAGTGTAATGGCAGTACTCGGTCACCTGGCACCGTCTCCACGGCGGGCATGCGCCTAAAGAGCCAGTCCATGCTGAGGGCCCGTCAAGCTGAGTCGTTAATATGACTTGATGAGCGAATTAAATGTATCAAGAATAGGACGCAAAGTCGGTCAATTGGCAGCTCATATTCCCAACATCTTCAATTTTAGGGAGGAAGCCAGTATTTATAACCGATCACCAGACTAATCCTTAAGAATCTCAACCACTTTTAATGCCGAGGAAGCCGTTTCTTGATATGAAACGGCCTGGCTCCTTTGGCGGTATTGACTGCAAGACAAGACACCTGCCATGCTTGTTGTGGAGACGACGGCGCTGGGACTGTTCTTGATAGGATGAGCTACGCAACGCCGTTGCGCACGTCAGGTCGCTTTCATCTTAGCTCAGTACTCGGCCAGGTCTCCGAGGCATTGTTAGTTGCCAACGTGAGTGAGGTGAGTCTCTTAGATAGGGCCGGCTTGAAAGATATCTACCACCACCTACTTGGTCATTTGCGCGACAACGGTCTATGGAAGTGGGCAAGCTGGATTAGGAGAGTTCCTTGTGTGACGAACCTATATTTTCATGGACCGGGGAAACTCCCAGAAGGAATGAAGGGGAGTTTCGATTTTGAGGTCAACTCTTTAGTCCTTGAACGCGGCGCGCGGCCCGACTCATGGTTACGACAATGGAGGGTATTGACCTTACGACGACACTGGAGATGCTTGGGTATGGCCCTGCTCCAAGGGAGGAACCGAGAGCTAGCTCTCTTGTACTTGATCATGATGGTTGATTGATCGTATTCGACAGAGCAAGGCTGATCATATCCAACTGTCATGGTTTTCTGATATGGTTGGGGAAAGAACACGTGGTGGATATCGTGGGCGCGGCCAATTGAGCTATCCAAGTGTGCTCCCATTTTCCCTCTTATCAAGGGACGAGGCTAGCAAAGGCAAGCAGGCTCTGTTACCAAACATGCCGAGCTCCTTGATGTGTTCATCAACCGCGAATGTGGCCAGCCTCTCGTTCTTTCCCGCATCAACCATTGCTCATATACTGCCGTCTGGGGACCTGGGCTCCATAGACATGAGGAGCGACCTTCTATAGGGTAGCTGGATCCCTCAATGATTTCTTGGCCAGGTCTATAGTCTGCTCTCGACTCACGAGGCTCTTATAATATACCCTGGCGATACACTGTCGACAGATCACTCGTTATTACTCGATAGGGTTTTAGATAAACTTTCACCTTCATTAACGTGCTCGAACGGGGTGTGGTCAATCGACATTCAATCCCAACCCTCCGCTAGGTAGCAGATTGGCCGTTTACTAAAGCACCAGTTCACGAGCCTGTGCACGACAGGCGTTACACACTCGGCCTCATTAAATGTGACGTAGAATCAGTTATGCCTAACCGGATCAAGCAGAAAACCCAACCTTAGGGCTGGACTTGTCAGCGGCACCGCCCAACCAGGAAAATGGCGGCACGCCTACTTGATTAGGAAGGTCCGCCCATCGGCCGTGGGTTGACTTGGCGGCCTCCAAGACTTGAGTATAAGTACAATGTTCTCGCGCAATCTGCTTTTATGTGTATTCTAGCGCGCAGTTCACTTCCGGAATTGCTGTTATCTACAACTTGGCTGGTTTCCAATTTTTCCCACGCAAGCTCCCCGGTGTCATCATGCTATTTCGCGCGGATATAGCAAGCTGTGGTCTGCAGTACGAAACCATCCTCAAAATGTACCATCGCGATCAGAACTGACTTCTCAAACCAGGCTTGACAGATCAACTATATTCCTCCCAGCGAACCGATACGGCGAATCATTGCCATGCGTCACGGGCCGGTTCCACCTCTCGCTTACCCGGGCGACATCGGTAAAAGGCATCAGGGCCCGTGTCATTGGGACAATGAAGACGTCAGTACCCTCACCCGAAGCTCCAATAACCCCAAGGCCATTGCCATCCTCTAAACTAGTACATTTTTAGTCCCCGATACGGAATGTTTACGCCCGCGATCCACGAAGAAACGACCTTTGAGCGAAGCCAGAACCTGGTATTTTCAAAAACACTCGAGTCATTTACAATGCCCGCGGGCGATTACGAATTTCCAGTAGAAATATCTCTCAAGGACGTGCATCTTGAAACGCTCACGGGGCCGGGCCACGAGTACCATACCTATAAAGTGGAGGTTGTTGTCGAGCGGAGGATGCAGTGGGACTGGGTTGTGTCAGAGCCTTTGGGGATATACCGGTGGCGGCCGGGGGGTATCTCGGTACTTTCAGAGAAGGTAGTGCTCAATCTTCCTTATGCGCTCTTGTGCTTTCCGGGAGATACCATGCTTACAGAATTAAACAGGTCGTTGAAGACCATGACAACCAAGATCTGCAATACCATATTTCCATGCCCGACCCTCTCGTACGGCATGGCTCTGTCTTCCCGGTAGAGTGCTGGGTTGAGCCACTTTCGGAAGATATAATAATCGCTGGTATTACTATTAGTCTACACGAGAAACACGACCTGTGCTTTAGCGCAACGGCGGCCGAGACCATGAAGTACGATACAAACTTCATAACGTGGCATCTCGACTACGTGATTTGCAAAGAGAGGTGCGATGTCTCGCAACAAATCATCAGCAGAATCGAAGAGAAGCAACGGATACAGCAGGTCACTATTCCAGTGCAGCTACCAGGGAAATCAGATGCTTGTTCGCAAAGCTTTTCGTCGAGAAGCATCAAAATTGAGCATTTACTCGTTGTGGAGATCGACTATCACGACAAGGAAGCAGCAGAAATAAAAAAGGTGAGTAATAGAGCTACGCGGGCCTCCTGGGGAAGTTGTTTACCAAGGCTGATTTTGTGAGAAGGTCGCACAAACGCTTCCGGTTTATATATACAGGGCACCGCCGAAGACTAATGAGAGTCCCGAGTCCCTGACTGGCGCAGAGACTCAATGTCTCAAGAATGCCCAACACTGTCCGCCGTCATATGGGCAACATGAGCTAGACCAGATGCTTTCCGGGTTGCTGGAGACGGGAGAAGGAGTCTATTGACAGGGATGGGTATGTTTTGCGCGCTGCTCGACTTGATGCGCGGTGTGTAGATATGTATCTATTACTGAGAATGCAGCCGCGGATAAACGTCATGGCGCTGGTCGACTCATTGGATTTGAACCAGATTGAAAAGTTTTCTTTTCAATTTTTTCCTTAAGATAATATATATTAGTCTAATTAAAGATATAAGCTTCGAAAGCTTCATGAATGGTTTCTCAAATACAACCTCCAGTTTCTGCATACTTGCCCAGAGGCACATGCCTCGCCTAACATTGTCGCCAAGTAAAGGGCAAAGGCCCAAGTTCGCCGTCATGGACTTGAAAGAAATGAACACGGGAATCATTGGAAATGGCAGCTGTGATTTGTCAAGGGCGGGGAGCACGATCTGGGCCCCGCATTGAACCCGGAAGGCTCTCAGGGTTCAACGGGACGTGGTCCCATGAACCCTGGTTCCTCTCCATTTGAGCCGAATGCGTACCTAGCAACCAGGGTTGGAAGGGCCCTCCCTGGTCGCCGGTGAGAATAGAAAGATCCCATCTAGTCTGTTTGGGCAGATCAAGAACAAACTTGTCGGGAAGTTCCGTGGACAATACTTTATTCGAAATGACCTTTGCACTAGCGATAGAACTCAGGTTTCCCCGCAAGGGTGGAAGCGGTATATATTTTCATGGTGCGACCGTAGAAATCACGAAGAGCTTCTAGCAGGAGAACAGAGGGTTATACGTCTCTGGGAGACAGACAAGGTAGATGACAAACCTCCGAGGCTGTTTGCTGGCCTGGTAACTGCTTTCATCTGCTTTAGAGTGAGCTTCCACTGTCTCTACTACACGTAACCTACGATTCTAGTGTGTAGATAGTTACAGAGTGAGGGTTTGGTACGAAGACATAAGATTTAGGACTGGCAAGGACTGTGCAAGTAATGAGTGACTTTGATGAACGCTACGATCAGGGCCACAGAGAACCGAGTTTGCTGACTGAAAGAGTGACACGGTCAGCGAGCGAGCGAATGGGTTGCCCCGTAGCAGACATATCGCAGCATAGAATCGCAGAACAAGAGTTGAGTTTTGTCCCCTCCTCCCCACACCAGGTACTTTGCTCAACGGGCAACTCAGTGATGTTCCTTTGGCACATTGGTAAAATCCAGAACAGCAAGAGCAGGCCGCACCGTCACAGTTTCCCCCTCCATTCCATTCTCGTACCCGTCCCGGACGACGTGCGGATACTGGAGAAGTAGCACGCGGCATCCATCGAACTTGGTGTCGCCCTTGGGGAGGTCGACTTCGTACTCGGGCTCCATGGTCCCCGACGCCTCGGTGAAGCGTGGCTCGAGGTCGGGGAGGGTCTCGAATCGGAGGCAGGGGTTCTGCGAGTGCATGTTGGCAGCGATATCCGAAATCTTAGCGAGGTAATGAGCGAGGACGTCCTCCCTAGCTTGGACTTGATCGTCCGTGATGGGCTTCATCAGGTAGCTGAAGACTTTGTCGGCGAGGATCTCTTTGGCCAGGGACTGGCATCGCGCCCGCCGACGCGCTCGGAGGGTCTTTTCGTAGTCCGCTGGATAGTACTTCTGGTTACAGAGGCGGGTCGTCAGGGCGCGCCAGATGCGGGCAAACGAGATGTTGACTGCACATATTTGTCAGTGAAATCAGGTGAATGGTTGCCAGGCTGGTTCGCTCTGCAAAGCAATGGAAAGACAAAGGGTTGGATAAGAGAGAGCGGACATGAGGAAAAGAAGAGACGGGGACCACCACGGACCTTGTTTAAACTGTGCCAACAGCTCCTCCAGAACTACGCCGTGAGGCGAAACTCCCTGCCACTTGGCATCCCCGGTGAAAAACTCTTGCCCCTTGGGCAACGGTTCAACATACCAAAAGGGTTGGCGGAAGAAGGTGTCCACGGCCCTCTTCATTATGAAAGCGGCCACCAGGCACTTTGGAAACCATGCGCGGTCGTTCTCACGGAGGCAGGAGATAATACTATCCAAGTCCTCCTGCACACAGTAACCATCAAGCCTGGAAACAAGTTGTTTCTTCTGGGCCTTGGTCCACTTCATGTCACTAAGGGATAAATAGGCCCAGTTGAAACCAAATGTGTTAACATAGTAATGCGCAGAAGCGAATTCTTCTGGCCAGTAGCCTGGCATGGTCCTGGACCATTCACCTGCTCCAGCAACCGTTAGGAGCTCCTCCTCCTCAAGAAACTGCGCAATATTGTTCGCCAGCATAGTGTAGCGGGATTTCAGCTGGTTAAGTTGTTCTTCGGCGGGGGCGTTCTCATCGACAATGCAGTCGTAGACATCATGATGCGCTAGGAACCGGCGAGGGCTGATGTCCAGATCCCTCCAGTGGTTGGGTAAGAGAAACAAAGGAATCTCCTGATTCTTCTCCCTCTTACTTATGGCGTCGGCCATGGCAGTCTCTTTGTTCCGGTTCTGGAGGGGATGGGGTCGAGGAGACTTCTGGAGATGCAGGTTCAGCAATCAATGCCGCGAGGATAAAATTCATCGAACGATGTGATGGAGATTTGCAGGTGGATGGGAGGAAATCCGAACCTTTTTTTTGCCTTTGGCAATCTTTGCTTTGGCCATCCGCATTTGGGGCAACGGAAAGGAGACACCGACAAGAAAAAAAAATAAAAAATAGAATAAAAATAGATAGAGGGGAAAACAGGAGAGTAAACAAATCTTGAAGCAATCGTTGGGTAGAGACGGAAGGGTACAGGAGGTTTGCGTCCTGTCGAGATCCGAGACAAGATGAGGGATTTAAATGCGACGGACTGAGCAGTGCTGGATTTATTTCTACCAACAGCGAATTCTCGGGCGCTGTGGCTTTGGTTCTTTCAGCTTGGTGGACAAAGAAATCCGGGCGACATGAATGCGCCCCGTGACAAGGCCGCAAGAACTGCCAAAGAGATACCGACCAGCTCGGTTTCCCAAACGGTGGCAAGCTCGTGTAACATAGAGCTGAACTTTGTCTGCAGCTTCCCAAGGGCACAAACAACCGTGGCTTGGGTAGTCGTGCTTTAGCAGGCCCAGAGCAGTGACCGACGTTAGCGGACATCCGAAACACCCCCTCATAGCCCAGCCAGCAATTTGCGGCGGGCTCTGGGCACTGGGGCAGCTGTCTCAGGGAAAATCAGGAGAGGAAGAGGGCAAGAAAAAGTTCAAAGCCTGGCTGGCCATCTCCTTCTTGTCGTTTTGGTTGTTCACTCACTAGACGAAGATTTCGTTCCTACCAACTCCTGTCAACGTATTTGGACCCAAAACTCGTATCTTTTGTCAAGGATATCCTGTTACTGTGAAGAGCATTCAAGATGAACGCGGCAGCCAACTCGTTACCACAGCCGATCATTGTTGGGCTCGATTTCGGCACGTCGGGGACAGGTGAGCACCTGGCCTTGTTGCGTGAGTGCCCTATGCTAACCTTGCTCCAGCATTCTCTTACACGAAACCCGTGAGAACTGGCCCCAGCCGTTATGGCAGCGTCTTCACCCCGGCCCCCTGGCCGTCCGGAGGCTCCGAACAAAAAGTACCGACCCAGATCGCCTACAAAGACGAGAACCCTGGACACGGCGGTTTTGGGCTGGAGGACTTTGTGTGGGGGTTTTGGGTGAGGCCGGGAATGACCATGTCATCCTGGTTCAAGCTCTTTCTGCACATGGATCCCTCACGCACTCCTTGCAGCGACGGAATCATGGATGAAGCGGTGCGGATGGGCATTCTCCGATTGCCCCTGGGCAAATTCGGAATCGACTTAACCGCTGATTTCCTCAAGCGGATCCTCGAGACAATTCACAGGGTTGTGAGCCCCCACGGAGATCTGGCGAGCCAGCCCCTGGTGGTCTGGCTGACCGTTCCAGTAACGTGGAGCCCCGCTGCCGTCGGCGCGCTGGAGACGGCGGCCACCCGCGCTGGCTTTGGCCAGCGGACCATCGGCAAGCTTGAGCTGGCCACCGAGGCGGACGCGGCGATTCACCACGTTGTACATTCATTGGGAAACCGATTTGAAGTGAACGAAGGTGTTCTCGTGTGCGACGTAGGGGGCGGCACGACGGTAGGTTCCCTTCCCTATCCCCGGACTTTACGACCGGTTTTGTCACTGCTCTAACGTCTCCCTCTAAAGGACGTCTCCACCTTCCGGATCACTGGCAAGGCCAGCGGATCCAATGGACTAGTCTCCGGGACGACCAAGGTGAATTTCTACCATCCTTGCTGAAAACCCAGAATGCTGAAACGATCCCTCTATAGTGGGAGGTCGATGCGCGGGCGCTGCTGTCGAAAGCAACATATACCGCCTCTTGACCGAGCGGTTTGGGCGGGCATTCGAGTGCCTTCCGGTCGCAGACAAGTGTCCTGGCAGCCGCTTCGGGCGTCTCCTGGAGAAAGCCAAGCACGAGTTCGGACCGGCCTCGACAGAGCCCCGCCCTCTATACTTGCGCATGGACCCCACACTCTTGCAAAACAACGCATATTACCGCAATGACCAAGTTCACATAACGAAGCAGGATCTGCAGCGGTGCTTCGACCCGGTGTTACATGAGATCATCGAGCTAGTTGAGCTGGAGATCAAGATTACCCAGATGCAATACCGCGGGGTCAAGATCGACGTAGGTGTTATTCCTCCCACCACCTTCTCTGACAGAGCGACGCTGACCGCTGGGACAACACCAGCACCTCGTCTTCGTTGGGGGCATGACCGAGTCCGCGTACATGCGCTGGATGCTCGAGTTCAAATTCGGCAACTCCTACAGGCTCGCGATCCCAGAGCATCCGTACGTCTGCGCAGGTTTCCGCCTCGCGTTGCCGCATCACTAATGGGTCAGCAGACGTCTTGCAGTTACCAGGGGCGCGGCCCTACGCGGCACGGTCGGCGGGAGAACTGAACAGGCGTAGTCTCGCCTGCGTCACGGTCTGCATTGGGAGTTCACAGCTTCGGGGTCCTCTTTCTGTTGTGTTTGTTCTCGCTGCGAACGGTTCGTTGATTTCAAGGCGTGTTGCGCGGAGGAGACTGAGAACATGTACTTGGCGGTTTCATATCCCACGTCTCCCTCATCCGTTACATGGACACGAGTGCTTTGCTCAGAGTATCATTGGCAGTAGCATAGACTATCGTCTCTTGAACATGTGCAGAGGCGGGTGCCCTGTTGGTTTCTTGATTAGCAATATTCCTTGTTTTCTTGTTTCTCTCTTTTTGTTTTGGTTTGTTTTGTGCTTTAACGCGTGTGACTTTACAGGCTTGTCCTGTCCCTACTCATCACTTAAGAAAACGATTTCATTCCTGTCTCCTCCTTCGGTCGTGTACGGGCAGTTGGCGACAGCCCACCGGCGCTCGTCCTCGGGCAGGTCCGCAAGAAAATCGTCGTAGCCACCATCCGAGCCGAGTTGTCTGAGTTAAATGGTGTTTCTTGAGCTGGCGAGGATAGAAATGATGTACCTGTACGAACTTTTGAGTTTCAGCTCTTGGTACTTGGACATGTAGTCGCCATCGAGTTGCCGCCTGGCAAGAACTTATATCAGTCACGTTGATGAAGAGGTTGGGCGGGGAGAGCAGACGCACTGCCATGTTGAGACGAAGTTGGGTCGACTACTTGGTCAAGAATTGTGCGTGCAGAGAGTTGTTATTATGGGAAGCAAGGCAGAAGACCTCTCAGTGATGGGTGGAGGTGAGAAAATACGGGCGCGTCCTCAGTATTTCAGTTTTTCTTTCCTTTTCTTTTTCCCCCCCTTTCTCTTCTCTTTAACGCAAGACCCCTCACCACCCTCAGAGATCAATCTGAATGTCACCTGGTCACTGTGGTGGAGTAAGTAAGCTCTCAACATTATTGGCAAACTCTATCTCGTTCCTAATCCACGTAGGAATGCGGTAGCTGGCGAATGGAAAAGCAAAATGCCTAGACAGCTGATAAGTGGATAGGCCTACCTGATGAATAAGAATCATTATTTGCTCGTTACATGCGCCAGGGTTGTTGATAAGGAGGTTCTAGCAATGGGTGTTTTACAATACACGTCCATGGAATGTACTTGGAAGGTAGTATACGACTATGTACTATGTAGCCACTTTCTCTACTTATCCAGAGTCTAGCAAGGCTAGGGCTAGCATTACTTTAGCCTGGACTAGTTGCCTTAAGGAAGATTGTAGGAGATTCAGACACGGCTAGAGCATGGATCAACTGTTCAAGTATCCAATATTATCCTAAATCTCAACAAAACCCGTGACATATTCCCGGCACCTGCTCGCCGGATCTACAAAGGGCTTGCTTACTAGTGCCGGGCGGCCTTTTGAAGGACTAGACAAGCACAAATTAGTTCAAACCATGAGGATACTCAGAGCACACACTTATCAGTTTCATAAATGACGTCTGAGAACTCCGAAGCATGAATCTCACCCCATACCCCCGTGAGCGCCCTACTCAAAGTATCGTATCTCTGGAAGCAGAGAAGAACGTCTTTTCCCGAGCATTCCCGGCGTCTGGTAACTTGTTGGTTTGTTGATAGATTAGCAGAGCGTTCTTTTCTTTCATCGCCTGACGGCAATGACTTCAGCCCCCTCCCTACACACCAGGAAAAGAAGAATGTCTCCTGACACAGTGGGATAGTCGATGTTGTAGACAGCCCGGCGGCAGTCGTTCTCAGGCAGGTCCGCGAGCAAGGCATCAGAGTCATCATCGGTGCTGGTTTTCTCGACAATAATCGAGGTTCTCGTGGCGTTGATGGTGAAGATGATGTATCTGTATGATGGATGAAGTTTCAGGTCCTCAAACTTGGTCACACAGTCATCATCGACAGTTGCTCCGGAGGACACTAAGACCAAGAAAACACGTGGTGAGCTTTAAGACTAAAATTACTACTATTAAAAAAACAATGATTTGGCTTGACTACTTGGTTAAGAATGGCTACCGGTTGGAGTGGGTTACTATTATTGTTTAGTATTTCTGTTTTCCGCTCCTTAACGCTAGTTCTTTATACCGTACAACGACAGATAGAGCTCGAAACATTAGCTGGCGAAAAGCCCCGAATAACCACACGCTATCACCAGGACAGTACCCATGATCAATATATGAGATGACCGGCGTGCGGGGCGAGACCTAGATATAATGATCTATAGCTCGGTGAGCTTGTAGAGCAGAGACTGGTTGGGGCAAGCTGGCATGCAGGGTAAGATACCTAGGAAAGTATGACTCGGGGCTTATAGCCGTGCCTTCCTGATTTGTCACAGCAGACTAGGAAAGGACAAGATGGTTGCCCCTTCCTTTTATGGTGGTCTTACTGGCCACAGCTGCCGTATATACTTGTGACCGCTCCTTCGATATTAGAGTGCTTAGATTTTTATGGCAACCAAACCCTCGGATCGGCGCTCTGCTTCGGACCCCGAGTTGCTGTCTCGTGTATGCAGGAGCCAGGGTGGCACAGTGACTACTCCGCATATGCTCGGGTCTCGGGGGAGTACAAGAGCTTGTGATAGCCAATGATATTCGATATATGACAGGCGCCAGGTCAGAGCAGACACTCGGGAAAAGCAATAAGCACGCCGCGCCACCGTGTTGATTGCTGCATTCCTTGCCTTGTATTAGGCCCAGCTCGGATTTGAATCTCGACTGCTTTGCGAGCTCCCTTTGCTGTGTCGGTGCTTATAAGGGTGCAGGTGGTCCCTCCCCAGGCGTGAAATCTGGGAGCCCTTTACTCGAGTCCGCACCGTCCACGACGACTTGTAATATCCCAGCGAAAATGCCTAGAGCCAGCGACACTTCTCCGTCGCACAAACGCGCTCCATCAGAGGGTAGGAGCACTACGCACGTTTGGAAGGTCTTGTCTCGGACGCTTCCCTCTCGAGATGCAAACTCGGACGCCTGGTGGCAGCTTACGGGGAAGCACCTGGCCGTTTTACTGGACGCAGCCGGCTATCCGGTCGACAGGCAATATGAATGCCTCCTATACCACTATCACTACGCTGTAAGCCCTCACATTCTGCAGTACTCCCAAGCTTACTGAGTTGGACAGACACCTTACTTGGGACCCGCTCCTCGAGGAGATGACGCACCATCAAAATGGAAGTCGATGCTTCAGCTGGACGGCACTCCGTTCGAGTTCTCATGGAGGTGGGACACTTGCGATGGAGGGCCAGACGTACGGATCGGTCTCGAGCCCATCGGCCCCATGGCAGGAACTACGCTCGACCCTCTGAACCACCTGGCTATCCGCGAAGTTCTCTACAAACTCTCCTCGGCTGTTCCTGGCACCGATCTTACCTGGACACATCACTTTCTCGCTACACTATTCGATCATGACTACGCAAAGTACATCGAAGAGGCTTCTACCGGAACTCCCATCGGAACTAGCCTCTTCCTCTCCCTTGACTTTCTTCGAGACTCGACTCAGATCAAGACGTACTTCCAGCCACGCATGTTGCACCAGCCTGGATTGCTTGACATTCCCCGCTGGGAAGCCTCCTTCCAGAAACTGCACCCAGACGCACCTGCTCGTCGCACCGTCCACCACTTCCTCACCTCCAGCTCCGAAGGCAAGCTCCTCAAGCCCTTCTGCCTCAGTGTCGACAACTGCGAACCCGCAACAGCCCGCATCAAATGGTACTTTAACAGCCCCCACAACAACTTGGCATCCATACGCGAGATCATGACCCTCGGCGGCCGGATCGCGTCGACAGACGTAGATCACCAACTCTGCGAACTCTTCGATCTCCTCAAGACCGTCACCGAACAACCAGACTCGTTCCCCGAAACCTCCGAGTTTCCCCTCACCACTTCGAAGCCACCATCTGACACGCAAAACAGCACGGGCTGCGTCTACTTCTTCGACATCGCCCCGGGCGCCGGTCAGTCACTCCCCGCGATAAAACTCTACTTCCCAATCCGGAACCACGATCGCAACGACCTCGCCGCAACACAGAATCTGACAAGGTGGCTGGAATCGCGTGGGAGGGGGCAGTATGGTGATGCGTTCTTGCGCGCACTCGGGGCCGTCGCGGATTATAGACGGTTGGATGAGGGAGGGGGTCTGCTGAGCTTTCTGAGCTGCCAGTTTCGCTCTGATGGCGAGTTGGATCTCACGTCGTACTTTAATCCCGAGGCATATCATTCTGCAAGGGTTACGCAGCGCAGAGGGACGAGAAGGAGGGGGGATTGGTAGGGTATCCGGAAGATGTTTCCCGACACTTGAGTCGTTTAGTGATACCCACAACAGATGACTGCAACCTGGAGACCCATAGTTCCATCAAGGCCTTGAGAGGTAGGCCAGGTAGAATAGATAGCCCCAGAAGGAACTAAATAGCCAGGTTCCTACAATGAAGACATATTATCGATCACTCCCACCTACGGGCCTAATTTGGAACGCCCGACAGAGTGGCTTCAGAACTCGCCACGTAGATATTTCCAACAGCCAGTGATACTCACAGTATCGTGATAGTGTACCTCACTGTTATCTCTCTTTTAGGGCAAAAACACTAACTATATGGCGTTCGGGTGGAGTAGCTCCACGCTGACGCTGAAGATGTCGACAGAGAGAACACATGGCAACGTGGGCTAGTAGTACCACGATTGGCCAAACAGCCCCAAGCTGGCTTCTACTATGTAAAAAGGGCCGCAATCTCATCCTCGTACAGAGCAAGCGTCTGCAGCCTCGCCACACTATCCTTCACAGTAAGCACAAAAGGCTTCTCCTTCGTCGCGACAATAACCCGCTCTGGCGAAAGGCGGACACACTCGTGGACCCTTGCATTTACTCGCTGAATATAGGGCTGCAGACTCTCAATCAGAGCTTGATGGTCATCCCTATATTCCGTTCCCGGGTTCAGCTCGACAAGTAGAACCGGCGCTGGCCGACCATGGCCCCCAATCACGGCAGATTTCACACTCGGGTGGGCCGTTATCTCGGGCTCTAATGAGGACGCATGCAGCCCGTCCGCATGCGATAAATAGACATAATCATCAAGGCGCCCGATAATCTTCCACAACCCTTTATGGACCGGATGTTCTCTCCATAAATCCTTCGTCTCAAACCGCTCAAGCTCCGGATAGACCTTGAAGATCTGCTGGAACGGCAGGGCATCATCGCGGACCCAGATAAGCTCATGGAGATCATCCATCCTGCGCTCAAAGGTAACCCCCAGATGCCGGGGAAAACCCAGATACTCCCACGCGTCGCGTTCCTTGGGGACGGTCGTCCAGTACCCGCCTGCCTCCGTGGTCCCCACCGCCGAGACGACTTTCGTATAGGGGATGAGTAGCTCGGCGGATTTGGCGGAGAGGGTCGCGCCGGAGTATAGCAGGTGTTTCAGGCCTCGAATGGCTTCGAGTGCTGTGGGGGATAGGCAGCATGCGTCGATTAGTGCTGGGGGGAGGAGGGCTGCTTCTGCGCGGCCGTAGCGGATTGTATCCCGTATGATATCGGGAGTTGGTGGTCCGGAGGGCCCGATCACTGCGGTCATGTTTAGATATGTGGTCATGCCTATTGAGAGGAGCATTCCGACGTACTACGAAGCTCCTAGTCAGTAAGTGTCTGTAGGATTAGATGAACACGTGGATGGTGGTGGAAACATACGTGCATTGAGGGCAACGGTGTAAACCACCTCGAGCTCGCCATCTGATGGAGGATGCTCTCCTCTTCACCTGGCAGGGAAGCCGCAATGTCCACTCCAGCCATCATGTAGTGGGTATACGTGACAGGTTTCGGACTCCCTTTCTTGAAATTAGCTTTACTTTTTTTTTTTTTTTTTTTTTTTTTTTTTTCGATATCCAAAGCGACCGAGGAAGGCCTATAGAGGAGAACATACCTGTAGTCCCTGAGGTGTGATATACCAACCACGGATCATCCTTTCCTTCGTCCCACGTTTTGCTATATGTAATAGTCTCCGCTTCCTCTTCCCGGAAACATTCTTCAATACCCGGGACCTCGATAGCTTGAATATGAGAGGTCCCGTGGAGAATCGCCGTAACATGATCTGCCATTGAGGCGGGCCTCAAATAGATTGTGCAGCGTTTCTTCGCGAGAATGCGTAACTGCGCCTCCGCCGTGACGAGCGGCGAGGGAAGGACCAGCTACAGGAGATGCAGAGAGAAGATCAGCCTCGACATGTCCCTAAAGGTGCTTTCCGCCCGCATCTACTTACCACCTTCTGCAACTTGGCAGCCGCCAATGCAAGCAGCTGATAACGGAGATCCTTTGGACCGGCATACGCAAAGGCCTGAAATGGCTCCGAAGACTTGGGGAGGTTTTGAGCGAGCCAGTGAGCGGTATGGTTGGCGGCATTGTTCACTTGCTTGTACGTGATGTCTCTATAACCGCGGGACAGATCCTGATCGTCGACTGGGACAGACATCCAGGGGCTGTGGGGTTCATTTTTCGCTCGATGTTCGAGAGCTGAGATGAGGATGCGTTTACCCCGATTGGTAGAAGGTAGCGGGGATGTTGTCTGGGACATTGTGTATCTGACAGCGAGCGTGGTTCAAGATAATCACAAGGAGAAAGTACAAAATCTCTAGGTTGAACCGGACTTGCGTCCTTTATAATGATCCATTGCAGCCATGCATCGTTGACTGCCAATGGTTTGGCCCCCACCTTCGGCGTCAGCTCAGCTAGGGGGCAGCTGAACACGAGCGGAGTCCCCAGGGTCGTATCAAGGACGTAGGCAGTCAGACGATTTTCATACCCACAGATTGTAGGCTTATATCAAGGATTCTACGTATTCATAGATTCAATGTCTCCCCAAGGTAGCGCGTGCCGCTATATATAGAGCAGATCGTCGAAAACCCTTGGCTATGACGATAAGGCGTTGTGGCGCCGGGCAGGATCAGCCTTGTCAACGCATGGAATCAGGATATCAACCAGCGAGCATCGGACGAGGTTTGTCTGGGATGATAAGTACTACCTAGTATGATTAATTGCGCCCTGCGTTCAGAAAAATGTCCATCATCAGCAGTATAGTCGCATTGAGGATTGATATGGGCGTGTATCTGACCAAGGCCGGTTAGTACATGTGCTCTCCAGGAGCCCTTGAGCTAGTTCTGTGTACTGACCCACTTAGCACGAACGACTAGCGGCACACTGCAGCCAGCCAACGGGAGCCCTCAAGCAGGAGTATAGGCGTAAATTCGACCCGGAAGCCATCGCCATCACTCCCGGGGCCACCACCCCCAGCCGTCTTGTTTCCGAGGACCTTCCTCTTGCGGTCTAGGCGATTTGAAAACTTGAAAGTTCTAGGAACTTTGCTTCTCCATCCAAAGTGGTTACATAATGGTTCGCAAGGTGGGCGGGGGAACGGTTGCAGTGCACTGGAAATCAAATATAGTACGGCTCCATAGCAAGCACAGGAACAGGAAGGAAAATAGCAAGTGCCACATGAAGTGGGTTGCGGGCTTTATTCCAGACTTGAAAGTCAGTCATAGTCATCGTACAGTGTAATGGAATCCCTATCTATCATCTAGTTCCAGGTTTCTCCAGACAACGTAAAAAAGACTCCATCTATAAGAAAGGCACTCGATACCCTAACCCAAGTGAAAGGCTAAACTATGTATTCAGCGCAAAAGGGCAAGCCGCAATGACCCCTCTATCCCCTTCTCTCCCCCCCCCGCTCCCCCTCACGCTCAACATACTCCGCATGCCCCGTGGAAATCTCGTTCTTCTGCAACGTGGTCTCGACATCCGCGCGCCTCTGCTCCTCATCCACAGCGCCAAAGAGCACATCCATCTCCTCGAGGGTCCGTCCCTTGGTCTCCTTGACGAAGAAAATCACAAACAGACACATGGCCGTGCAGAAGATGCCGAACATCAGGAACGTCCTCCATCCAATGCTGTGCACCGCGCGTGGGGTCACCTCTGTGATGACGAAGTTGAAGAGCCACTGGGTTGCGGCGCCGAGGCCGACGCCGTAGGAGCGGAGGCGGGTTGGGAAGATCTAGCATTGCAAGTAGGGTTAGTACATGATGGGCTGGCACCAGGCTGAAGGGATTATCGGGGATAGGGGAGGGTGGTGGTGCTTACCTCGCCGAGATACACCCAGGGTGTCGGGCCCCAGGAGAAGGAGTATCCGATGACATAGAGGTAGATCATAGCAACCATAGCCGTCGAGGCACTCGAGACACTCGACGCATCGGGGTCCGGCGGGTTCGTCGCGAGGACAGCACCGATGATAAACATCATACTCGCCATCCACGCCGCACCACCGATAAGACTGTTCTTGCGTCCCCAGCGATCAATACCAATGAGCAAGAAGATAGCCGTCGCGACAACCTTCACCGTCCCATAAATCCCCGTCGCAAACAGCGACGCATTGGACCCACTGACACCAATCGACTGAAAGATCTGAGGTGCGTAGTATCCGATGGAATTCGTGCCGCTGAACTGCTGCCAGAACATGATGACAAACGCCAGGAAGAAGCGGTACCGGTTACTCTTGCGCAGGCACTCCTTCCAGGTGACGCCCTCGGTCGCGGCGCTTTCCTCGCGAATCGCGGCGTCGATCTCAGCGATCTCCTTCTGCACGGTTTCGGATGTTTCGGGCTCGTTGCGGATGTAGGCCAGTGAGTCGATGGCTTCCTCGCGGCGGCCCTGTTTCATGAGCCAGCGGGCAGATTCCTTGAGGAAGAAGAGGCCGATGAGCATGAGGCCGCCGGGGATGAGCTGGACGGCGACGGGGATGCGCCATTGCGGTGTTCCCTGGGGGACGTGCAGGGAGACGCCGTAGCCTAGCCAGTAGGCAAAGGTACTCCCGATGACGAGGAACTCCTGGAAGAGACCAGCGATACGCCCACGGTACTTGGCCGGCGCGTTCTCGCTAACAAAAACGGGCGTGATACTCGACATGCCACCAATGCCAAAGCCAGCAATGACGCGGCCGCCATAGATCATGCCGATTTCATGGAGAGCACCGACCTGCACGGCGGCTCCGACGAGGAAGATGACGGTGAACAGCATGAGGGAGTACCGGCGGCCGAGACGGTCGTTGATGTATGCGGCGAAGATTGCACCGAAGAAACAGCCTGCGGTCAGCAGACTGACGACGTTGGAGGAGACGTGGGAGTTTTTGTCGGAGGCGAAACCCGTTTCGCCGAGGGGGAGGCCAAAGTCGGTTTTGAAGCTGTCGAGGGCGAGGACAGAGCCCATCACTCCAGTGTCATAGCCTGAGGACATTCTCATTAGCTAGGGTGTACGTTGCAAGGTGGGAATTAGGCACGCACCAAACAGCAGTGACCCCATGTAGGCAACTGAAGTGAGGATATACACTCGATAATTCTGGAAAAAGCGTGCCTGCGCCATGATTGTGGTTGTCGTATTGTTTCGCCTGCGAGACCTGGGGAGAGAAACAATCGCTCGCTCGACGATGGACACGAGTCCTGGCCTGGTCCCTCTTATACAACTGGGGGCAGTGGAGCCGAACCCGAGACCTGACCAACCGGCTCGGCAATTGCTAAGCATTGTGAGCGATCCGGTGGCATTTCTTGACGGTGCTTGCCGGAGATGCCCAGCTGGGCTAGCGACGCCCACAAAACCACTCGAAACTGGGGTTCAGCCGTCGAATGAGGCCCCTTGGCGGGGGGATTCCCGTGGGGTCTTCTGGGGCACCAGCGCGGGGATTGGTGGAGTCTGGGGCATCCAGTTTTTCCGTCCACTCGTTGACCTGCTGCCAGGGATGGCGATGCAACGCTGTGATTTATGGAAATTGGATGGCCATCTCCGTCCGTTTTCTCCGTCTTGGATCCTCCCCATCGTTGCCAAAAAGGATCCTCTCTCAAACGCCGCCAACAGCATATTTGACTCTAATCCAATTGCCGATCCCGGTGTGGACAGATTAACCCCTGTCCGATGACGTGCCATCATGCAAGATAAGAGCCTGCTGCTTACGCCTGGTGAGCGTATTTATCTCCGGCCAGACTCGGGCAAATGGAATAATCATATTGTGAGAATTCTCTTACTGCACAGGTTTACGCTATCATCTAGTGATCACGCCAATAACTCGCCCACTTGCTCTCGCCCCCAACGACCTCTAGAAACTCTCTCGCAATAACCCGATCCGTCTGCTCGGAGGGATGCAGCTCATCATACCACATATAACTATCCCAACTGGACTTTGAAGAGCATTCTGACTCCAGACAATCGGCCACAAAGCCCGTCACGTTCAACGGTGCGGTTCCGTTTAGATAGGTAGAGGGGTGATTCCAGATGTCAGTCATCTATACCACGACACATTAGTCTCTCTCCTGACCGATTCATTCTCAACCCTGCAGAATGGGGGGATGGAATCTTACCAAGGAATGAGTATCAAAGACCGCAAAGCTACTCCTGGGATACCTCCCCGCAACCTTTAGCTCATAAGCGACCCGATACTCATACACCGCATTAACCAAAGTGCTATACTGCCTCATCTTCTCCGTCGTCTGCGTCAAATTCGCATTAAACTCCGCCTTGTCGCTCCAAAATTGCGAACTCTCCACACCCCCATTCTCCGGGCGGGCATACTGCGGACTCACATACAGCGGCGCAATATTCATAAGCACAAACCTCCGTGCCCCAACCTCATACAGCCGATCTAGCTGCTCAAAGACGCAATCCGTGTACGCCGTTATCGACATCCCATCGGGCTGGCTATCCGTGAAGAACGCCCGATTCCCAAGGTCGTTTGTGCCGATCCAGATTGCGTAGATGGTTTCCCGCGGTGGGTTGTAGATTGCGCCTTCACCCGTCGTGTTGCTTGTGTATGAGTTGTCTGCAAGAAAAGATGGGATCTGGTTTTGCTTCACGCCTTTCCGTTGGGAGGGCGAGAAGGCCGAATCGCAGACTGCGCCGCTGATTGCGTAGTCGTAGATGTTCGCGCCCGAGTATTGGGCTATGTATTGTGGCCACACGCGGCCGCCCGTTGAGAGGGATGTTCCCTGGTTGGGCGGGTTAGCTCGTCTCTGTTGGAGATACAGATCACGCGTTGTATAGAGAGCACAGGCTTACCGGCTCGGCAACCTCGCCATTTGAATCCGGTCGGTACTGGTATACCCCTTGGTCTGTATAACTATCCCCGAAAATAACCACCGACGAGAACGACTTTGAGCCGGATGTGGGTGCGGCCAAGGCAAGGCGAGACAATTCAGCCGATACCAGGAGAAGATTAAATGTGTAAAGACCCTTCATCTTGATCGGGAAGAAAACCAACCTTTTCCTTCAGGGTATACTTTGTCGATTTGTCTTTCTTCCCCGACGCAACTTGACGGAGCAGGGGAGTGCCCGGACAGATATATATACACACAGTCCATTCTCAGACTGTTTCCGCTCGTCCGGTACGGTGTTCATATTGTTTACTACGGTAGTATGCGAATGCATCTCCTGGGAAAATACCAATTGGTGGATCTGTCGGGATATCTCTTCGATCGGCTTTTCTTTCAGCACTCGATACAGAGCAGCGAGCGGGGAAACAAAAGTGAAACCCCGCATTTACCCAATGATCACCATTTGCCAAGATAACTGGACCCTGCTGTTGTCGGCTGTCGCTTGAATTCGAGAAATCTCATAACGTTGGTGTAAAAGCATGGTATGGCCAACCCACTGCCTGGAAGAGCGCAGGCTCCACCTGGGAGAGAATTCAGCCAAGATGAATGCATGTATTTAAAATATGAAGACATGTAAGTAGATGTCTGGCTGATGCAAGCACCTGGAGCTATCCACGCATGGCGCGTGGCTTAGCAACCACCGCTGGGCTAGTCATGGTATGGACTAAAAGTTTTAGGAGCTGCCTCACTGCCACGGGCATGCGAGTGTTTTGGACATCATTCATTCAGCGGCCTCTATGGGAACTATCCGTGCATGGCGACGGCGAGTAAGAGGGGTAAGTTTTGACTGGGGAATGCAGCCGCAAGTGTGTAGTTGATTTTTAGGATCCTCGTTAGAATATTCAGCCTATGGCATATAAGTCCCTGGATTAATATTCATGGGCCCCAACTTGATGGTTCTTTTTCCACTACCCACCCTGCCGACGGCAACGGCTGCTGCTCATGAACTGGTTTCGGTGTCGGCCTGAGGCCCTTCCAGACCGAACGGCTGATGCGTCGTTCTTTCCCTGTCCCGCTTGAAATGGTCCCTCCAAGCCGAGTACAGAACGGCCAGAACGGCCGAGACAAGACTGGCCATTTGATCGAGCTCTGTCACCTTTATTGCAGACCTAGGGACAACAGAAAATCTGAGATCATTCGGGAGGCACATCCCCACCTCCTCAACCCGGAGGCTTGAAATCGCACAGAAGAACAGGGTAACTACACCAAGCGACTGGAATACGTCAGCCCTAGAGCAACTATCAAACCCGGCGCATTCGAGCATTTTGACGGCATACAAAGTCGCGGCACAGATCAGGTTCACGACTGCTATGACGAGCGATATCCTAACCGATATCCTACCCGGTGCACCGGTTATTAGGGTAGAAAACCAGACGACAAAGCAGCCGCTGAACCAAAGAAGATTCCACATGAGGAGTCGCCCCTTGCTGCTGATGTGAGGCTTTTTCGAAGAGCCATTGATCATGGCCAGCTCCTCAATGTATCGCCAGAAAAGGGAAGGAAGGGCGAGGCATTGGGAGACCTGAGTCACAGTGATGGCTGCCGTCATCTTTGCCTGGATTTTGCGTAGCTCAGCTTCATCCATCGAGTCTGCCCGAGTGAAGTCAAGAGACATCGCGTAGATATTGGAGATGAGGGGATAAAGAATTGCGATGCATGTGCTCGGATCTAGCGTGACGGATGCAGCCTGAGCATGAGGCTGTGGAAGGACGTTTCTTAGCCGGCCTGAAAATGTCCTCCATTCGTGGGCATAAAGGACGTAGGTAATGGTGATTAGCCATGCGCAGAAAGTGCCTGGCCCGTAGTAGCTGTTGATGTTGCCCAAGTCCGTGAGCTCAAGGGAATCGTTGCACGCGAACATGTGTGATACGGCAATCGCGGCCCGTGTGCCATATTTGAAAAGGCAAAAGCCGAAATAAATGACATCCTCGAAGTCTATCCTTAGGTAGTGCATGTAGTTTGGCATTCTGATAGAATGGAGGCGGGGCGACTGTTTCCTAGGGGAGGTTGCGATACACCTTTCTGAAGAGGGTTGGCGGGAGTTGGTTAACGACTTATATATCAGCGACAGGATCTGCTTTAAATGTTCTTGTTGGGGTTCAGATTGTCTTATTCTGATACCCGAAGTGAGGCGCAGTACCTGCAGGACGCAGATTTGGCCCAAGCTGACAGGAGTCGTTTGCCACAGAGCAGCTGGCGAGGCTTAGACAAGGTCGAGTTATACAGCAGCAAGCAGAAAGCAGCAATAAGAAAAACAAAAACCAAAAAAACCAAAAAAAAAGAATATTACAACAGGCAACGGAGGACCATTTCACCCACTAATAACCGGGTTAGGCAGTTCAGGGGTCTGAGGTCACCTTTTGATAATAACTAAACTTTCCCTTCCAACCCACTAAGAATGTTTACGCTCTTATTCTACCATAGTAGCCGTGATTAAAGCTTCATATCCCCTAGCACTATTATCATAATAGGACAGTATGCTCATTAACGTAATGCTTTATGCATTACTACGCGAAATAATATAGCAGTTACGCAGTGTTGCCAACAAGTATAAAAAGGACATAGCGGCGCACACAGGAAACAAGCTTGGTATACAAGCATTACCTGGCAAAGCAGCTCCCGGTCAGCCACAGTAGACCATTACTACACATAGATTCCCAGACCATCATCAGCCTACTACCATCCATGTGAGTCCACAGAGTCCACAAGCTGTAGACAGAACACTTGATCTATCCTTTATCTCCTTCTTCTTATTCTGTCTCGAGCGGTTTGACCCAATACTCCTTTATGTCGTCCGTCTAGTTGTCAGTCGCGAGTAGCGCTGCTGGATTAGCCCCGGCCAGGGCCTGCACTACCTCGTCATCAATGACAATGCAGCGGATTTCGTGGATCTATGGGCGTGATTCTTTAGAAACTTTCACATAGGCCCGGGAATGAGCGTGAACCTTGTCCAGCGTCATTCATTCAAACTTGCCCTTGTCGTTCTTGATAATTGGTTGGTAGTACTCCTCGAGGGTGAGTTTTGCAGCAATTTGCCCCTCGTTTTATGTTTCTGGTACTCTCGGGCAACGTCCGGAAGGAGGACCTTAATAAACTCGAGAATTTGGACGAAGTGGGCGTCGAAAGGGAGTGTGGCTTGTGCGATAGATAGTGCAATCCCAGGGGCTTTTCGTCTACCGTACCACCGATGCAAGGCTTATGAGGGGGTTTTATCAAGTTGGAAGCTTGGAAGACAAAACAAAGAAACCAACTTCGTGTTAACTAACTAGTATGCGAATAAAATCGGTACATAACCTCAACAGTGATTGGTTAATCTAAGGTTCTGGGAAGAAAGCAACTTGTTATCATACACTACGAGAAAAAAAAGCAAAATTAACATTACATGAGTATGAACGTTGCTACATAATAAATCCAGCTTACACGCCAGCCATTCGGACCTGGGGAGAATAGCCACTCGCCATGTCTGATCCAGAGTGTATGAGTCACGCTTGCAGATGCCAAGCGATGTCCTCGTATTCCAGGAACAGAAGAAGACAAGCGGTTCCTGCATCTTCAAAACGCTGAAAATTCTGACTCTTCTTCAACAATCACACTATTCATCCACCATGGCCTCAGAAAACCCCTCGTTGACCCCCTGGGAGAAGTTCGCCTCCACCTGGGATGAAGGAATGGGCGATGAGGGGAACGACTACTTCCGCTACCTGGAACTGCCCATCCTCGAAAAGCTGGTCAAGCCAGCGCAGGGGTTTCGTGCGCTGGACCTTGCTACTGGGAATGGCCTTGTGGCTCGGTGGTTGGCTCAGAAGGGCGCTGCGTCTGTTGTCGCTACGGATGGTGCGCCTGCGATGCTTGAGTATGCGAAAGCACGGACGGAAGGCTCTGCGTTTTCCGATAGGATATCCTTTCATTGTCTTGATGTCACGAGCCAGGCGTCCTGGGATGACTTCATTGGAAGGGACCTTGGTTTGACGGTCAGTTTCAGACTACTTTAACGAAGAATTGTGGTTTCGGTCGGCCCTTCGTGACTGAAATCTTGATAGGACGGGGGCTTTGATGTTATTACAATGAATATGGCCCTCATGGACATCCAAGACCTGTACCCTCTGGCAAAGGCGTTGAAGCAGCTCCTCAAGCCAAACGGCTGGTGAGTGAACGGCCTCCATCCTCCTCTTCCTCAGCATTTCTTTTCGTCCTACCATACGATTCATCCACCAATTGATACTTGCCGCTAGCTTCGTGGCTACCCTACTCCATCCAATATTCTTTACATCCGGGGCGTCTCGCCAGATCCTCGTTCACGAGGACTCGGAAACGGGCGAACACAGTATCGAGCGCTCGATTGTGATGACCAGATATTGGAACGTCCCTCCAGCAAAGCAGATGGTCTTTCCAGGGCGGAAGGGCGAGGCGCCGGTGAGAGCTCTTTTGTCTGTCATGCGTTGGAATTCAGTTGCAGGTTAAATTCTGACACTTTGTAGTACATGTACCATCGCCCCTTGCACCAGCTCTTCACTCCTTTCTTCGAAGTAGGCCTTACCATGGATGCACTTGAGGAGACCAATTTCGACGAAAGCTTTCGCGACCCGGTTCGTGAACATTCGTCGAAGAACTTTACCGAGTTCCCAAAGATACTTGGCTTTCGGATGAGGCGCTTGGCTGATTCAAGTTCTATGTGATGTGAAACAAGGAATATATTCTCCAGACGGCATAACCCCTATAAAACCCCATCAAAGCAAGCGCAGGCCGGGTTGCTTGCGAGATTTCATACGTCCTGGTTCTAAAAACTTGTCGGCTAGATTCAACTGTTGGATATCGTTCTTTGCACCCGCGAGAAAAAGGCTGATGCCAGCTACGCCTGCTATATACTCTGACATGCCTGTGATCCTGGGGCGGTATGATATTCTTAGCGGAGTACACCCAGCCTCTCATTCAAGTATGCCGTACACTCCCCCTCTGCAAAAAGAGCAAGTATGCATTGGTATGGCATTATGAACTACAGGCAAGAGAGGCAAATTATTCAAAAACGCTATGTCCTAAGGAACCCCTGGGCTGGTTTAAGTCCTTTAGTCGCCCCGTGGGTTATTCCACCAGCCAGCCAAGACCTCCTCCCCTGCATATTCATCAACGGGCTCATCCCAGAATCGTATCGGACCCGTGCAGTAGGTCTTGCCGACTCTCAGACTGGCCGCACAATCACCAGAGCATTATGGATTGACACTTTCTTCTCCGCCTGCTGCCTGCCAAATAGATGGCGGAATTACTGGGCGGTTCTTGGCAGGGGCTTGCTCCTCGCTCGCCAGGGTAATCTTTCCACCCACTCCCTTCACTGTCTGTGCGTGAAAGATCTTAGTAAGGAGTACTCCGTAATCGCGATGGAAGGCGAAGGACTCAGATTGACGTATTTATTGCTTGTCGGACTTTTTGGATGGTGGAGTGGATATGTACATTTGAAATGCTTTCAAGCAAGATCTCCATTCTGCCTGATTAGAAATGTTTGTTGTCTGGTTGTGGTTTATTCATTCTGTTTGAATCCGCCTCGGGTGTTCACAGAGCAGAACCTCGAATCCGCATTGGAATTATACCCCTGCTATTTGAGGAAGACACACTGGCGGCTATTCAATCCATTTATTTTCCCATGCGTGCAGGCTTCGAAAAGGAAGAAGTACTTGATATCCTTGTAGACATGCGTGAAATCACTACGACAAGGAGGGAAAATAGGGAAAATAGTTATCCCTAAGCATCCCTAAACCTAACATAGTGCCACTCAATCTCATCCGTCTTGCCCTCCCCCTTGATCAAGTGATAATTCTGCTGCACGGCATCCGAGTCTTTGGCCGCCACGTGCAAGTCAATGGATTCCCAGGCCAGAAGAACAAACCATCCCCGTCCTTTCTGACCGCTTCCACCCGCAGAGATCTCCTCAACGACATCCGCATGCAGAAAGCCCAGACCTCCCTTGAACGAGCCGAGGATCTCCAAAAACTTCTCGCCTTCGACGGAGTAATCATCGGGAACCGAGAAGAACGTGGCGACTTCGACAACAGGGGCGCCCAGGATTTTGTCCCGCTCAGCGGGGTCGAGATAGACGTGGAACATAAACGGTGGCCCGGCGAGCACGGGTCCTAGAAAGGCACCCGCGGCAGCAGAGTCGGTTGCAGATTGCTCAAACGCCTTGTGGTAGCAGACATCATCCCAGCCTGGATAACACGTTTATTAGTCCTTATCTCTGGTAAGAATGCGCGCATGTAATCCGGGTCTGCTCGGAAGGTTGGAGAACATACCGATAATCAAGTTGACTTTGGTTTTATCCTGCTCCCAGCGCCCCCATTTGAGAGACTGGAATCCTTCCCGTCTTGATAGGACTGAGTTCAGACCCTTGATGGCTTCCTCGGCGTTGGCCCCAGGCAGCAAGGTGAGGGTGACGACTTCGGTCACTGGGCGGGACATCTTGGGTTGCGTGGGGATGAAGTATCCGATTGTCTAATCTTCTTTGGATTTTTGATTCGGCTACGAACTTAAGTGTAGCTGGAGCGTCCGGGCTCTATATATCCCCTTTGTTTCCCTGATGGTGACAGAGCTGGAGGGGTGATTTGTAATGCGGGGAAAGTTGCTTGGCTTCCTCCCATTTGCTCATCGATAGTCACACTTTGGTCAACGCCTATGCTGAATAGCAGAGCGAAAGAATCCTCCAAGTGTGATATAAATGACCAAATACCACCATGACATCTCAGCACTAACCTTTGGTCTTATTAATGATTATGTTGGAGCTTCGGGGCGTCTTGCTGTCTTCTGCAGGTTCCGCAACGGTCCCAGACTGGGCGCTATAGATCGAAACATCCGATGCACTCACATGTCTCAGTATCTTGCTAAAGTCCACCTAGTGTGATTCCCATCCCGGTGTGCCGATAGTTTGCCCTGTAGGTCGAACTACTCAATAGTTAGCAACAGTACCCAATACCTATGTACGGGTCCATCTGTCGTGCTTGGCGATCTGCCCCTCTGGCAGGTAGGGTTGAGTAACCCTTTCTTCGTCCAAGCATATGACGACGCTTGTTCGGATGTGTACGCCGTGGTGGCACAAGTGTCCCGCTATCGTGGTGCTGCCCCGAGGAGGCGAGGGAGCTTATTAGCGGGTGGAAGAAGAGGGAGGCCCATTATGTGCCGGGTGGCGTGCCTTCATGAGACGATTGAGTTTACGCCCGTTGTTGATAGTGCGAATCCTGCGTTGAATGTCTTGTTGCCAGCTGTGCCGTACCAATCCTGTGCACCTAGATAGCGTACATTGTCTCTCTGTTGGTTGAGGGACCTGAGGAATGCTTTTCAATTTCGCCTCTACAGGTTGCTTGTCATGTATGTATAAATGATCACAATTGATCTATATTATGTCCGCTTGTAATATGTACTGGCTGGAATGAATATGCAGATATTACCTACCTTGTACTGGTTATCCAGTAGTCGAGAAAAATATCGATACCACATCCTCATTCTATACCAGGAGACAATACACCCAAGAGGTCCTTCCGAACGGGCTCAGGTCAGACTCGGAGGGCGACATCTAAGCAGGCCTGTACCATGCATCCAACGGTTCACCAAGGCAGTCACCGACGGTGGTAGCTACAGCCATTAGCGAGTGCTCGCCACTCATCGCGATTGATTCATGAGGAAAAAGAAAAGAGGGAGAAGAAAACATACCCGTCAACCCGCGCTCCGAAATCTCAATCAGCATGCGCTCGACAAGGCTTGCTCCCGTCCAGTAGTGCGTATCATGCGAGAGGACAATGCTCCCGCCCGCGTCAAGCTCATTCAGGAACTTGTTGTAGCTGACAAGTACTCCGTCCTTGGTATCGTGCTCGTAGTCCTTTGTGTCAATACTAGCCGTGATAACCTTGTATCCCAGCTCGGACATGGTGGCGAGAACCTCGTCGCTGATGTCAAAGTAGGGCGGGCGCATGTACGTCGGAATCTGCTCGATGATCGGGATCAGCACGTCCTCGAGCCGCGTCATTTCCAAGACGATTGCATCGTGGCTGAGCGTGGGGAGGCTGGGATGGGAGAATCTGAGGAACGTCAGCTTCTTATAGAAGGGAAGGGAACAGAAAGCACCACAGGGGCAAAGTGGATGTGGACATACGTGTGGGAGCCGATCTGGTGGTGTTCGTCCTGCATGCGGCGCAGGAGCTCGGGATGTTTCTGGGCTGCCTCTCCGAGGACAAAGAACGTGGCGCGGGCGTCATAGTCCCTCAGTAAGTCGAGGACCTGCTCGGTGTACGCGCAGGGGCCGTCGTCAAATGTCAGGGCGATTGTGTTGGGTTCCACGCAGGACGTGATAACTTGGGCGACAGAACTGTGTATGCGCTTTGGAGCCAAGGAGAGAGAGGAGGGTATGAGGGTTGCGAAGAGGAGAGATATTAGGGCCCGCATTTGTGGTGGTGAGATCTAAAGCCGGAGCTTCAATGAAGGCAATTGTCTATTATTGAGTGTCAATTGTCGATTTATTGTCGATACAGTGTGTTATGATAGGAAAGCAGCTGAACTATATATGAGACAATGTGCCCCAAGATTCCAAAATAGAAAACAAGCCCCTGGTCCACGGGTGGACTATCCAGCCAATTATAGAACCACCAGAGCTTCTGGATTCATGGTTCGAGGCCAGCATATCTATCAAAAGGCTTGCCGAAGTTTGTCGCCCCTGCGGTTGGGCTTGACCTCGTGCGACGTTGCATAGCGCCATAGCGAATATATTGCTCATGCAACGCCACAGCCGTTCCTGAATCAAGGGATTTGTTTATCTCTAACAAGAAGAACCCTATACAAGGCAACCAAAAGACGAAAGGACTAAAAAGCCACGCATGAGTATACGTCTTGATGTTTATAAAAGCGAGGCCCTTAACGAAGTGGAGTCTTCAGTTATTATTCATCTGAGCATAAGGTGACTAATGAAATATAGGATCCACTATGTAGTTTCAACACTGGCGTTAGTAAACCTGTGGAATGTCGTCCACTCGGGGCCAGATATAGATCTGTAGTATTCGTAGTGAGTAACCGGCCTCAACCTAGTATTACTTGGATTGATAGAAATAGTAGAGGAAGCAGACAATCCATCACTGTATATCACTCTGCAGCAAGCGGGCTAGAATCAACAATTGGCCACCATATTATGCAACTATAAGGGCGACTTGCAGTTATCGACCGGCGAGTGCTCCGGCTCGCAAACTTACAGAGCATGTCGAATTCTTATTAAATATATTTTCTCAAGCGTATCAAGCACCAGCGTAGAAGCATCCAAAAAGTTCACGAGTAGAATTGTCTTGCACATATTAGGACTGGCTCTATTCATAGATGGCCGCCAACTGCAAGGCTTATAACTGCCACTCGGAAAATACATTTATCACAAGGAAAAATCGCGAAAATCCCTATGTTAGCCTTTCGTGCATTTATCCATATAGAAGTCGACTTTGGCACCAGAAGCCATGTTTGCGAGCTCATCACTTGTTTAAAGTCTAGAAGAGCCATGAGCAAATAAGAGAAACACGAAGGTAAGTCTCCCTGTGTGGCTCTGGCAGTGAACCTTGGCCGTGTGAGTGACGAAGCAAGGGGACTCGCTTGTGTATGCGGAATCTTGGCGGGGCAACAGGTCGGTATGCAGATCATTAAACATTAAGACGGAAGGAATTTTACATGGAGCGAATAGTCTGGTTCTCAGAAACAGCATTCCTCAAAGTAAGCCGAATAATTTCCAATCTGTGCTGGTTGTTATGGAGATGTATTGAGACTTGCTTGTCTAACCCAACCCATAAACCGGATGTTAGCTTACATCCTTGATATTCGATGGGCTCGCTTTGGTGCCGCTCCAGAAGGTTCTTGTTTTGAGGTAAGGGCAAGGAGACCTAGGTATTTATCGTAGGGGACCTCTGAACCATATTGGACAGCATGGGAACTTTGAGGGTTGGTACTTTTATCCCTTGTCGTGATAGTCTAGACCACTCGGTTGGCACCATACTAGCCATGAGTGGTGCAGTTTGACCTGTGAATGACTCTGACTCGAGTTCGGCATCACATTCAGTTAACAATTGTACAAGTTGCCGATATTCACACATCCGATGAAAATATGTGGGTACGCAGAGGTCTGGAGAGTAGAATCGTTGAGAAAGACTTGATCCATACACACCAGGTCACGACAATAACAATGGTACTTGACTCAGCTCGGAGACAGACTCCTGGGCGTTCACTTCCTGGTCAGCAGAAAGGTCGGCGTCGTCGAAATCGACACAACGCTGACATATCACAATGCGGGATCCTTGCAGAGACCGACAAGATCAGTTAGCGAGAAATTAGGGCGCTTAGCCAAATTGAGAGCAGCTGGGATATTCTGGGAACGCCAATCTCGCAAGTGTTTACTCTGCACACTAATCCGAGGGGTTGCCTTGGTAGGGAGTCTCCTTACGACCGATTCTGCAGACGTACAGCCGGTCCTGTACAACCCAAATAGGGGATAGGCCTTCAATTCAATAAGTCTACGTTTTTAGCACTGCTTCCCGACTCCGATTATGACATCGAGTGCTTCTGGGCCAGAGAACTATCAACCCCTGGGTCTGCCTGCGTGCGTGAGGGCATTGTGGTCGCGCCTCCACCGCGATTAGCTCGCTGGTTGGCTGAGAACACTCGGGCTTTAATCTACCGAATCCTCCGGCAAAATCCAACAGCACAAGGTTCCTGTCTGGAGGAAGTAGGGGACCACAGGAGAGGCCCGTGATAGGGTCCGCAACAGCCGGAAAGCGAAAAATCTATGATTGGGTGAAGCACCGAGTCTAGTAGCCGTAACGCCAAACCTTGAGTTGGGTCGCGCTATTCCAGAGTATTTGGAGGCGTTGTAGAATTGTCATCGCCGCTGTATTAGGGCGGGGTAGTGTCGGGTGCTGCATGGGCTGCATCCCATGATGTTAATCGAACAAACTGGTCTACATCCTCGAAGCGAAAATCACGGATTGATTTGTGGAAAGTCCCCCACACTGACGGTATGGACGCACGTCGAGGCATGTTCAACAGAAAACACAATACCAGCGTACACCACGGATGGAGATGTTGGCAGGACGGGGTTCAGAACTTGGCCACTACGAGGCAAAGCCTCCGATGACCCCTGGTCAGGTGGGTACTATCTGTGTCCACGGCCCGGTAACCATTAGCCTAAAGTTGACAGGCTAAGATGCAAGACCAAGAAGTAGCTTGGGTCAGAGTAAGCACCGTGAGGTTCCAGTTTCGGGCAGGCTTTTACCGAGACTATTTGCGACACAACCAACCGCCCTGCCGGCACTTGATAAATGCATCCGTCCCTCCTGGGTTGGCACTTTCTTTTGTCGACAACGCCGTGTATAATCTAGCCGCAACACACAATGGCTACTGGATTCTTAATAGTAAAAGGCACCGAGATTGTCGACGGCAATGGCGCATCCGTCATACTGCGTGGAACCTCTCTCGGAGGATGGATGAAGTACGCTTTGCTGTCCCATTCCAGGAAACAAAAACCTAACACGTACCAGCATGGAAAACTTCATGACGGGCTTCCCCGGCCACGAGTCAGGCGTCCGCACCGCGATGCGCGAGGTCCTTGGGACGGAGAACTACGAGTTCTTCTTCGACCGCTGGTTGCACCATTTTTTCACGGAGAGCGACGCAAAGCTCCTGCACTCGCTCGGGCTGAACCTTCTCCGTCTCCCTTTCAACCACCGACACCTGGAAGATGACCTGAATCCGCGCATTCTAAAAGAACCGGGATTCAAGCACCTTGATCGGGTGGTGGCTCTTTGCGCAAAGTATGGTATCTATACGATCCTAGACATGCACACCGTCCCCGGCGCTCAGAACCAGGATTGGCACTCGGATAACCCAACCAATTATGCAGCGTTCTGGGACTACAAAGATCACCAGGATCGAGTAGTGTGGCTGTGGGAACGCATTGCGGAGCGATACAAAGGGAACCCCTGGGTAGCTGGCTATAATCCCATCAACGAGCCTGCTGACCCTTCGCGCACCCTGCTCGCCCCCTTCTACGGCCGTCTCGAGAAGTCTATTCGCGCCATTGACCCGCACCACATCCTGTTTCTCGAGGGAAATACATACGCCATGGAATGGGAGGGGTTCACAGAGGTGTTACCAAACTCGGTGTACTCGATTCACGACTACAGCATGATGGGTTTCCCCGAAGGCGAGCTGTACCGTGGGACGAGGGAGCAAGACGAGAAACTGGAGCAGCAGTTTCTGCGCAAATGCGAGTTCCAGCTCCGGTTCAAGGTCCCCATCTGGAACGGCGAGTTCGGGCCGACGTATGCCTTTCTAGATGAGCCGAATCGAGAGGAGATCAATCGCTGCCGTGTCGGGATGCTCCGGAAGCAGTTGGAGATTTATGACCGAGCAAAGATTCACTGGTCGACCTGGCCGTACAAGGATATCGGGCTCATGGGGATGGTCTCTACGCGTCGGGACTCGGCCTGGAATAAGCTCATCTGGCCACATGTGGAGAGGAAGCAGCGCCTGTATGTGGACGGGTTTGTTATCAAGCAGTCGCCTGAGGTTGAAGGGCTCCTAGGGCCATTGGTAGAATGGATTGATAAGGTGGCGCCGGATGCGAAGAACACATACCCGCTGAACTGGGATACAAAAAACCATCTGATTCGCGCCGTGTTTCGCACGTTTGTTGCGCAATCGTTGTACAAGGAGTTTGCGGAGCTGTTTTGTGGGAAAAGCAGGGCTGAACTGGAGGCGCTGACAAAGAGCTTTGCTGCCGAAGAATGTGACCTGCGTGAGGATTTGAATGCGGCGCTGCGCGAGTATGCTAAGGATCGGTAATAATGCAAGTCCCGCATCCCCTCGCATGCAGTAGAGTATCATAGGACCTTGAGATAGAAAATTCAATCGTCCGTATCGAGACTTACAACCCAACCAAACTTATGTATTTCAAATCTATGTTGACCGCATTTCTAACTCGGGCCTCGCCCTTAGTCTGGCCCAAACCAGCGTCGAGCCAGTCGAATCAGCCAGGATCGCAATACCAGTTGATCACATCAATACCAGTAAGCAAGGTCCACCACGTGCCATTAAATGCAATCAAGAAGTCATCCAAAACCCCCCTACCAATCTTGAAACCCCCCAAAGACCCATGATGCTCTACATGAGCCATGAGGCCTGCCTGCCCCAATGGCCAAGAAATATACACTCTATAGGACAACGGAATTAGGTCACACAGCCGTGGTAAGAGCTTTCGCGGCCAGAGACGGAAGTACCCCTCGCGCTGCAGTGTAGTAAGCAAAACCGCATAGTAGCTTGGTAAAAGGAGGGTTTGCGCATCCTCTGCTGCAGACGGGTAGCAAAGCGGTCATCCATCGCGTAGAACCAGATAAAGACAAGTTGGAAAGGTGGGTTGCAGGCCGATGATGGGACAGGGTTGTCCTTGTCGTAGGCCGCGTCCTATATAACCTCTACTATCTTGTAGGCTGCCGGGCCGACCGCTCCTTTTTCGATGTCTGGATTCGGACCTGGTATGAGAAGTCCCCGCAGTTGTCGCAAAGGGTTCTTCCAAGTTCAGCCGTGGAAAGCCATGCTCTAGGAACCGCGGCTTGGCTGAAGAAAGAGGTTACTTTCTCTGCAATCTTTCTTTCTTTCTTATTTTTTTTTTTTTTTTTTCGAAAATTGCTCGCCCTCAAACTAAGCTCTCTCTTGCCTACTTCAGGAACTCCGGACGCCACTTAGATTTTAGCGTGTCGCATGGCGTGGGTGAGATGCTGTTGTTGAACAGATCCACCAAGGCCTGCTCTCCTAGAACGTATCCAAAAGCAGGACACCATGTCACCTTCATGTCAGCATAAAGCCTAATGTGGTGACTCTACTTAGAGTAGTATTTGTGGTGTTTGCAATATTTTGACATTTATACTGCAGCCTGGTCTATCAACTGTGTATGTAGAAAACATTCCCATAAGCGCAACCGCTAATACCCTACACAAAAGTCATTGGCCAAGACAACCCCTACGCCATCTCAATCTGCTCCTCATCCTCATTCTTCTTCTGGCCCGCAGTCTGACCATCATCAAGGATAACATACTTGGCCCACTCCCGAACAGGAACCTTATCCTGGAACAGCCGCTCAATATCCGCATTACTCCGTCCCGCCGTCTCACCCACACAGAACCAGGAGTAGGCAAGCAAGAGGGTCGTGGTACCACCATACACGAAGCCAATCTTCGGACCCAGGTCTCCATCATAGTACATGTAGGGGCTCGTAAAGACCATCAGCCAAACCGTAATGAAGAAAACAGCCATGGCACACGATGTAATCTTGTTCCGGTTCCGGCCAACGGACATCTCCGACGCGATCGAGTACGAGAGCGTTCCGATGGAGAAGTTGTAGAAGATGATGTTGATGTATGCGAGGACAACGATGCCGATTCCCACACCGCGCGAGAATGTTCCATCCGAAGACCGGGTTACGCCCAGTCCGCCGACGGTGATCAGCGAGACGAGGATCCCGATCGAGCAGATGATGAGATTCTTGCGGCGGCTGATCTTGTTCCCGAGCATGACCGACACACCGACTGTGATGATCTGCAGCACGTAGATAATGGTGTTGATTGTGAATGGGTCGGCGACGCCAATCGACTGCGCAAAGACAACGCCGTACGTGTACCAGAACTGGATCCCGTTGATCTGCTGCACGAACATGACGCCGCAGGCGTAGAACAGCTTCCGGCGTTCGACGGGGTCTGTGATGAGCGAGGTCCAGGTGGCGTCCTTGGCCTGCTCGCGCTCGAGAGCGACCTGCGTTTCGATGGCTTGCATATCGGCCGTCGGGTCGTAGGATTTGTTGCTGCGGTTGATCTTGCGGAGCGAGGCGAGGGCCTGTTGCGGCTTGTCCTTGTTCATGAACCAGACGGGGCTTTCGGGTGTGAAGAACAGGCATAGGAGCATGACGCCGGGGAGGACAACGAGGAGACACATGGGGATGCGGTAGGATTGCGAGCTTTTGATGCCTTGTGTACCCTGGTTCACGCACGCGCCGACGAGCTGCGAGATGGACTGCATGAACTGGAAGCACATGAGGGCTGGACCGCGGATTGCAGAGGGCGCGACTTCTCCGATGTAGATCAAGCAGGTTGCGGTGAACTGACCGACGCCCAGGCCGATGAGGACGCGGCCGACGTAGAAGACTGGGTGGGAGCCAAAGGAGCATGCTTGCACGATAGCTCCGGCGATGATGCAGAGGGAGGCGGAGAGGAAGACGGCGCGGCGGCCAAGGGCTTCGTTGATCGGGGCGGCGATGAGGGCTCCGACGAGCTCGCCGACGTAGATGATGCTAGCGGAGAGGGAGAGGAATGTTGTGCCGAGTGAGTAGGTGCCATCTGAGTCTTGCTCTCCGTAGTCTCTGGCAAACCATTCCATGCCTTGGATGCCGGTGTAGTAGATCGTGTCGTAACCGTAGCAGAGGGCACCGATGGCAGCCACTAGGCAGTAGGCGATTGCCCGTCGGTTCGACTTCCAGTCGACGTTGAGTTGGAGGCCTGCCATGTTGGGAAGTATGATGATGGTGCGAGGTCAGGCAGGCGGGGTATGGGGATTGAGGAAGGGAGAGGAAAAATTCTGTGACCCGCACAAGAAAAGCGCACAGTTTTGGGGGGATTGAGTTGGCGTCGAAGGGCCGGGGTTTTATATCCTGACTGAATGCGGGGCAGTGTACCAACTGGGCAATGGAAACCGAAGCCGGACATCGACCGCACTTGTTGACCTCATCTCCATGGGGTTGAGAGACACCCTGAGACAGGGAGGGGCCCGCGATCCGAATTTCTCTCAGCTATGGGGAACCTCGTCCAATCAAGCCATCGGGATTTGCCAGGGCACCACGATCCAAGGCGCGGTCAACCTCACCATTCCCGAAGGAGAGGTGATGAGCCCGCGGGTTGCACTCATTGCGGAGTAGGTGGTCTGGAGGGCGAATGAGGGGTGTACCGTGTACGTAGTCCGGTACGTATGGAGACCCCATACCGAAGATGTGCCGAAGGGGAGAGGGGAAAACCGGGCCGGGTGTGCAGCAACAACCCCCACGGCACGCCGATTTCGGGATACCCTCCTCCGATGCGAATCTTGGCACACAATACAGTACCCCCAGGCCGGATGCAGATCAGGCGAAAGGGTGGCTTTTTTGCACTCTTAATGTATTTGACATACGGGATTTCTTCCTCCCTCTAACCCTTTTCAAAACAATGCTGTCTAGCGACATGTCAAGGATGCAGATGCTACTGATTCTGCGCGATTTTCTCCCGCATCCGCCAAGACTCTTGGCTCGCGGACAGTGTCCGAAACTTTCTTCATTCCTGGGCACGATGCTCGAGGTCCTATTGGGAGAAATCTCCGATAACTGACCGCGACGACGTCCCTCAGGCGCTGGCCGCTTGCAGGTGGGGATTTTGTTCTGAATTGCCTGTTTCCTCGACGTCCATGAACATACGGTGCGGTGGGAGCACCGTATTCGCTGCAGCTTTGAAACAAAACGCACGCGCCTACAGATTCTTGTCCCTTGATATACATCAACTGATGCCCATGTTTGTGCTCGCGAAGCAGTCTCCGACGTTTCCTGGACTTGGCTGAGTGCTTCTGAATGCGTTGATGCTGATCTTCTCGTGCGCCCGGCGCCCGCCCCGCCGCCAAGACCTCTGGCTCAAGGAACAGGGTCCTTTCGACCATCCAGAGTGTGCCGATTTTCGTGGCCCAATGAACGAGAATAACGATGCGCAGTGCTTACCAAGGAATACAATGTAAGAGACGGCCAAAATTCTAGCGCCTTTCTAGGTCTTCCGCCCGCCTTGGTTGATTCTCATTCTGCGCGTGACCATTTTCCGTTGACAATATATATCTGTATCTTCAACTAACCCATCGCGGAAATGATACTTGGAGATACTCAAACATTCGTCCTCTTGTTCAGTAGCTGATGCACCCAAGATGTCAAAATAGCTGCCTAGGTACAGTAACAGTCGTAGTGTATGACGTAGCCATGATGTTGCCGTAGATAGAGCCCACCCCGAAAGACATCACTGCCACCACGAATCTCAAACAACACCACTATCCCGTTGCTGAAACGCACAATACAATGAAGATCGCTCTTCTCGGTCCAACAGGCCAAATAGGCCACTCCATTCTCCGAGCTCTGCTCACAACCACCTCACACGACCTCCTCCAAATAGTCTCCCCAGGATCCGAGTCCACCGCGAAATCCAATGCAGAGGAATTCACCCCCGAGCAGAAAAAGCGTCTATCGACGGAGGTCGCTGACCTCCTCTCCGCACGAGCAGATGATCTAACCGGACTCTTGGAGGGCGTCGAGATCGTCATCAGCGCTCTAAACGGCAAAGCCCTCTCCGCACAGCGGACAGTCCAAGACGCCGCAGCGCACGCAGGCGTGAAACGATTCTACCCAAGCGAGTATGGGATGCATCACGTCTACCGGTCTCCCGACGAGAGCGATCAGCGGGGGTACCTGCATTCAACGTGGAACCTCAAGTCGACCGCTAACGAGGAGTGTCTGCACCACTCCGCCATTGCTGAAGGCAAGATGACGTACACGCTTATTGGCTGCGGCGACTTCTATAACCAGCCGCGCGAGGAGACGTGGTGTCCGTGGGCGAAGCCCGATCGAGCCGAGTACACGATCCACATCGTGGGCAATGCCGATGCAAAGGTTGATTTCACGCATATTGACGATCTCGCTGCGTTTCTAGTTGAGACGATCGCGCATCCGGAGATCTCGGAGAATCGCACGCTGAACTTCGTGAGCGATCACATCTCGTATAACGAGATCGTGGAATTGCTTAGCAGATACTCTGGGAAGAAGGTTAGCAAGAATATTTATCCCATTGACGTCATGCACAAGGTCTGGAGAGATCCAGAGGCTGTACCCGAAGAGGTCAAGGGGAAGAGTGTATTTCCGGACGATTTCTGGATCCTGGTCAAGGGGATGCAGGGGTCAGGACGGTTTTGGAGGCCGCCCGGGGAGGTGCATAATGAGCTCTTTCCCAATGTACGTGTAAGGACCTTTGAGCGGTACTTTCAGGAGATGTTTGGCGAGAAATGACGGGGTTGATTGTACACCCATCCACAATATTCAATTTAGCATGCGATAGTCACAGGCGTAGGGGCGTATCCATTGAGGTCAATTATCGACGTACAAATAACGCTGCCCAGCAAGATAACTCATATAGCAAATACCTGAACCCGCGGCCTCGGCGCAATATACGGATCTACCACAAACCGGTCAGTCAGGAGAAAAATGATCCACCAGGTTTCTCAGAGAAAGAAAGACCCGAGCAAATGAAGAAAGACAAAGAAAGAGGGTCAAAACTCACAAGCAGCCTTCAACAACACTTCATTCCAAAGATCTCCGTCCAGCTGCTCGCCAGACCAATGCTGCTTCGTATAAAAGAAGCCCTCCAGTACTGCTTTAGCGTCATCCCAATCACCCAAATCCAACTGTTCGGGCGTCACAAGTGCAATCAGCCCATTGACGAACCAGCTGTGACACTTGTATCCCTGCGATGCCATACCGCCGATGAACAGAATCCAGAATAGGAGCGTCGGCGCGGTAGACTGGAGTTCAGCGTAGAGGGGGCTTAGTGTTCGCTGTAAGTTTGACACCATGTGGTTCATGAAGGGAAAGCATTGGAAGTGCCAGATCCGGAAATTGAGGTAGATGATTAGTGAGAGGCGGAGGGGTTCGTTTAGTATGGATGGGTGTTCAGCACTCAGCTCGTTATTGGAATCGGCCCCATCGTGGGCGCTATCTTGGCCTCTGGTTGCGGGAATGGAGTATGATGTGGAGAGGAGCTGGTGCTCGAAGATCAAAAAAGGATCGTTGTCTGTTGACTGGATGATCTCCGGGTGTACCTGGGCGGTCTCGTAGTGTAGAATGAGGCGTTGCGCGACCCGAAGGGAGGCGATCATTGTGGGGTCAAGCTGAGATGACCAAGGCGATGAGAAGAAGGAGCAGCCAAGGCGAGAGAGGGACTTGGGGAGGGACAATCCCTCCTTGGTGGACAGTGGGAGGATCTCATTGCGCCATTTCCGTGAGATGGTGAAGATGGGTCGGGTGTTTCTGAGCGCTGCACTTTTGACGTCACTTCTAGAGAAGACTCAGTAAGGCTGGACTGGAAGCGAGAGGATGGGTACACGTACTGGTATACTTTCGACAGCGTGAAATGATCAAAGACGTCAAGATCACCACAGAGAGGGATGAGTCTTTTCAGGCCTTGCTGATGGGCTTCGAGGGCCACAAAGTTGGCGCCTACAGCCTAGCTGGGTCAACTCATGTGTGCTCATGGGCACCAGAGACTTACCTCCATCGCGACGAGGGACGCGACAACAAGTGTAGTCGACTCTGCGACAGCCTTGACAGGATCGCGCATGATATTGTTTAGGGTCTGTAATGCGCCGCCTCGCAGTTGAAGCGAATCCCTCAACGACGTTTGAGCTGCTTGCGAGATCCCATTGTTGGACTCCAGAGTCGCCTGGTGCCCAGCTGTGAAGAAGAGGAGTGCTCGAAGCAGTGCAGGCTGGGTGATTGCCTTTTGCCACCATCCCATGCTAATCCGCACAGAGTCCAATGGGTAGCAGGCGGCCGTGGTATGGTATCGAACTGGGCTGGTTAGGTTCAGTACAGGCAGAAGTAGATTAACGTACAGTGATGGAAGTACAGATTCATCGAGTCTGACATCTGCACCCCTGTCACGTTGAAGGGATCGATATAGCTCTGGCCCAACAGATCCCTTGCAGGCCCTGACTTCGACCTCACGGCGATGGTTCGTGAATTATCCTGGCTACATGTACACAGAAACTCGGTACACTCCAGATGGCTGGATTTTTGCTGGGCAGCAGCTAGGCACGTCACATGGCGAGAAAGGGCTTGTAATTCCTTCGAAGAACGTAATCTATCGATAGCAGTCTGCTTTCTGTTGCGGTGATATTTCTTCAGCAGATACGCCTGCTTTTGTGCTTGGTGTTGCGGAAGATCAGATAGGGCGTCTATGAACAGGAATGTTGTCTGGGGCATTGCGCGGGGTGGACCAGCCCTGTAAGGGATAGCATTGGCTGGGAAGTGAGGTTCTTCAGACGAGGAGGAAGCCGAGGTGGAGCGAGAGCCGTTAGAGAACTGAGGCATGGTTGAATGGACATGCCCGTACGGGATTCAAACGAGAGGCCTTTCAAGCTAGTGGAGCTTTTAAAGTATGGAGTGAACAAATATATATAGTCAGTCCGTGACCTTTTCCCCAAGGTTGTGGCGTTGGAGGCACTTTGCAGTGCATGGAGCGGAAAACTCGCTTGACTCGAGTCAAGCGTGGCTAGATTATAGGAACACATGACTCTTCCTCGGAAGCGATTGGCAATTTGACACAGCCCTTCACCAGTTGCGAATTGCGGACTCGCGGAGAGCTGAAGCGCACCAAAAGCGCCATGGACCCCACCGGTCGTCTTTTGGTTGGAGGAGAACGACTTTAGTCAGGATTTTAGTCAGCGGGGGCTTAAATGACAATGCAGGGCGGCTGGACCGTCCAACAGTCGGAAAAGGATGTTATCATTAGTGTGTATCATCACGCTGGCTAAATTATTAAGGATGGAAGTGCTAGACACGGAATCATCGGGAACTTGGACAATTATCCTTTCAAGGAACGCATAAAATCCTCCAACTCGTCGTCCTGCGTGTTTCCAGCCAACAGCACAGAGAGGGCGATCAGTCTTTGCGCAGGTTGCAGAAGGGCAAGCATCGTTCGCCATCGCTCGCGTAACCGGTGTGTCTCGGCCTTCAGCCGTTTGTTTTCTGTCCGTAACTTCGCCGCCTCTGCCGTCTGTTGTTCCGTGTCTTTGAGTAACTCCTTGTACCTCTCCTCCGCGATGGCAGCTCGTTTCTCCAGCGTTGTCAGGTGTTCTTCTTTCCGTTCGCGGAAGCGCCGCTGTGCCTCTCGGTTTTGCATTCGTCGTTTCATCTGCAGGTTGCAATACCTGGTTAGTTCTGAGTAGAAAGGCAGTGGCGACTAGCTCAAGCAACTAACCGAGTAACTCCGATCATCAATGGCAAGTTTGTCATGGCGTGGCGCAGGACTACTTCGTGCAGAACTGCGCTCCACTGGTTGGGGCGACAGAGAAGAACTGATAGTTGAAGCGCTGGGCTCTGAGCCACTCGGACTAAGTCCGACTGGTAGGAGAGCCTCATTTTCTTGGAGATTGCTCGAATGCGAGATCATATCTTGGTAGAGAAACGTGTCCAAGTCATCTTCTGTAGATGGTGCGTCAGGGAACTGTAGCTGGGGTTAGTTTGCGTTGATTGCAGATCTCGCTGGCACGTACCATCCCGTATATGCATTGTAGGGTCGAGTCAAATGACATGTCGACGTTCTTGGCGATACCCGGTGGCAATTCAGACGGCGTAGGGCTCTGTATCGGCCAGAGGGGGTATTGTTCGGTGTCCATGGTATACATTGCACTGGCAGTGGGAGTTGAATGTGAGATGCGCAGTTCGAAGTGGATGCGAAGGCTCTATATAGCTGTTGAAGAGAGCCGAAAAGATTTGATTCTCGGAGTATACTGTTGTTTCTCTTAGGCCTGACCAAAAGCAATGTAGAGAGGCATTTCTAGAAAGGGGATAGTGTTTTCCTCAGCCTTGGGAAACGGGCCCAGTTGAGCTTGACTCGACTTGTTAACCTAAATATTTTGGCAGCGGCTCGACCCGCCTCCGGCCAAGGAGAGAGCAGAACGGTATTTCCTGAACGGGTTAGTGCTGCTGTAGTGCCTCAGGCCCCGGGCTTACTCCGGAGTACACTGTACAGACCTCTGGAGTGAGTAAGCAGATGCGCAACTTGAATAAAAGGCTTGCTGACTCTTGGCAGGTGCCACTTTGATTTCTATCGTAGATAAAGTGATTACTCTCTCTACGTCGGAGGCATGAAGCTAGTTTGTGACTAGAGAGGGGATATCCGAAGCCATCCAGGTGGTAGCATAGGTGGGAAACCCCATAGGAATTGTAAGAGAAAGAGACAAGACACTCGGCGGCAACATTATCATAGTAAGGTTCCAACGAGACGGACGGAGGCTTCCGTGAGACAAGATTTGTTGTTTTGCGGCTCTGCAGGGTCCGTGAAACAATTTGTGATCAAGCATAATTTGGGATTCGGAAAGGACCGCCTGCCACCAGTAGGGAGAAGCCTCGGGCCTACCGGAAATGTTCTGGTCTGTCGAGACCAACGGACGCTATCGCTAGGGCGGGGCAGTCATGCCGCCAAGCCCCATTTGGAGACGTGGCCTAAAAATATCACACACCCACACCCCTGAATTCGATTCCCACACCCACGGGATGGCTGCCCCGACAAGCCACGCCCTCCGGAGTTGTGTTGCCTGCAAATCCAAGAAGCGCCAGTGCGATAAGCTTCTCCCAAGCTGTTCAAGATGTATCCGGTACGAGCCCCGTGCCCCTTTTGGCCCACGGAGGCGCCTGGCTGATTACCATCTCTCCTCGCAGGGTAGAACAACCATGCTTGTACATGGGATATATGGAACTTGTCATAAGCGAAAGATGTGAAGTGAAGTCTCCGTTCGCCTGCCTGACATGTAAGAAGGCAAAGCGACCTTGTAGTAACGATATGCCTCGATGCTCTCGATGCACAAGGTCAGTCCTGGTTTTCTGGCGAATGGCTCGTTCTGACTGACAGAGTATTGCTGTGATCATTGGTGATACAGGCTGGACTTGGCGTGTGAGTATAATGTCAAACTAGCCTACATACAGAACACCCTACCCCCAGGGGAGGGCCTTCCGTCTCGGGATGGGTCTCTAATAGCACCCATGACTGGCGCTATTAGCCTCCCATATACCGAACCTGTCACGTTGAGGCCATATACCGAACCTGTCACGTTGAGGGTCCTTGAACCAACACCCGGGCACAACTACCCTATTGAGGACAGGACATACACCTCAAGCCTGATCAACCACTGTAGGTTTCCTGGCTTTATCCCAAGGCAATCTATGGTCTTTCTTGGGCTTACCTGTTTGATACCAATGCTAGTCTGTTCATATTCATTCGTGCCCATATCCTCTACAGTCCGAAACAGCCTGGCCGTGCATCTCCGGACCGCGTGGATGCGCCATGCGATGGTGGACCCATGCCTGTTCCACAGTACGCTGTTTAGCGCGTCAGCGCATATCGATAACCTCCACAACGTTCCAGAAAGCCGCCAGACAACTTATCACAGTATGCAGACGGTGAGATTACTTCGTCAGAAATTAGAGGATCCAATAACCCGGGGAAATTATGAAACCGCAGCTGCAGCTCTAGCATTGGCGCTGTTCAATGTAAGCGCTTGTGCCCTGTCGTTAGACGGTTCTGATATCGCTTATCTGACCACGTCCTTGCAGATGCGCTTGGATCGTCATGAGATCGCTCTGACCCACAGAAGTGGGCTAATGAAAGTGCTGGAATTTCTCAAGGGAGACGGACTGCATCTCGCAGAACTCGTTTCTTTAATCAAGATGTAAGCACACAGTCATTTCCTTTCTTGAGACTTCCCGAGCCAACATCTAACACGACGCGCACTGCACAGGATGCTCCTCGTTTTCTCGATGATTGCCCCTCAAGATCCTGCGTTTCCTCTATGGGACGCAGGAGCAGCACACGGCCTTGTTTACTCTACGCCGTCACTTGCTCCCACACCATCCGGTATACTCGAGAGTATCCTTGGAAGAGACGCACTCGCAGGCGACACTTCAGCTCTAACGAGTTCGGCTCGGTCCACGATACAAGGAATCATCAACTACATTGTCGATCATTCTCAAATGACCCATGGAACGACCCACGACCCACAAATTCCCACACCGCATGCCCGCCCTGCCGAAGCAGTCAAAGATACTACGATCTTACAGTCATCGTCCGACATAGGACAAGAATCCCAACATACAGCAACCACACGTGACATGAATAAATGTCTCCAATACGCCGCCACACTTTTCCACCACATGCTCGGCAACTCACAACAAACTGCAGCAGCAGCAATAACACCCAGAGTCACCACAACGAATCCACCACCCAACTCAAGAGACGAGTTACTCAACCTGACAAGGCTTCTTCGGAGCGTCGGATTCACTGCCTGGCTGCAACATGCCCCAGAGGGATATATATGGATCTGTCTAACTGCCGCTGCTTCAGCAGTGGACACGAATTCCCGGAGCGGGTTCATTATGATGGCCATGCCAGTTCTTCTGGCGCTGGAGACGACGGAGCTTGCTGTCACTCGACAGGCCTGGGTCTACTTCAACTGGTTGGAGAGGGCGCGTAATTTGTGTCATCAGCAATCGGTCGAGGAGGAGGGCTCACCGTGGGCTGGGCCAGTATTATATCAATCGGTCTAGCAGAGTGGTCATATCGAGACTCAAGGATCTATGCGTTGAAGATTCTCTACCTATGTCTCAATCAGATAACATTCCACGTCCTCAAGCTCCGGTGTATGGCCGATTCTTGACCTAATTGCAACTCGCAGCCAGTGTCATCGGCTACGTAAATCGGTAAGTATTATAGTAGACGGCGCGAAAAAAGGATTTACACTGGACACAGGGAGTAACAATTACCTATAACACCTGAACACATGAAGCAAGACAAAGTCCCCGCCCAGTACCATGAACTGCCCAACAGCAATCTGCACAGCAGCAAATCTGTCTGGTACGTTAGCAAGATTAGGAAACAGGGGGTTATGTGCCATTGAAGCCGCAAATATCTCAACGCGCCATGCGTTAGCCAGGATACCCGGTGATGATGGCGAACCCAATGTTGTAGAGGATGATAATGACCAATCTCGATATCTCACTGTTGCAAAGTATAGTACCAACATCGAGCTTGCAGGTAGCATTGCTGAAGTTACTATACTGACGATTTTGGTGGCTCGCATGATCTGGGCCTCGTCATTGATCTGTAGCACCCCTAACTCAATATCGGGCTTCTCGTGCAGTGTTAGAAACGCCACCACCGCAAACTTTCTAGTTGTGATGCGATTGGCAAGAAAACTACACGTTATCTCGGTACAGGACGTAGTCCCCGGTACGCTTTGCAATAGTAGGAGGTGGTGCTAGAACATTGTCTTCTAATGGGTCTCTAAGCGGCAAACTTCCTATAACAGCCAAGGTAGAAGCTCCAAACATGACAGCTTTTATCAGTTCCGTGATCTATAAATATATCTACATATAACACAACAGGCATTCTCAAGCACAAGCTAACTTCACCCCCATGCTCGATCCACCTCTACAAGAGAGCAACGGCAGCAGCCCCGATCGCCATCAGAGCAGCGCCGAGCCCAACTCCCGATATACGAGTCACAGCCCCGTTATCATCATCATCGGTTTGTTGTGCACCCGCACCGGTAGTCGTGTTAGTGCTCGACTGGCTCGAGTCCGCCTGAGTGGCGCTGCTAGTAGGGGTCGTCGACGTATGCGTCGCAGAACTAGAAGCCGGCGTCGACCCCGACGAGGGCGTCCCAGTCCCGGTGATGGTAACACCGTATGAAGTCACACTCTCGGTGTCGGTGACATACCACACCTCACCAGCCCCCATGGAGCATGTCGCGATCTCGTCATCGTGCGTGCAGGCTACGACTACCGGCCTAAGTGGTCTTAGTCATGTAGTCCCGTGACCGAGATATTGGCCAAAGGGCCAGCCAGGTGTGACTTACTCTCCGGACACATCGGCAATCAGGCTCACAGTAGATGGGGCCTGGATGACTGTTGCGGCGGCGGGCAGGTCGCACGTGGTGGTGACTGAGTCGGCACAGGCAATAAGATATGTCGTGGTGTCAGATTGCTGAGTACGCCTGTTAGTCGGGAACAATGAAGCAGAGCGCGACCACCAAAGTACGTAGCCAGGGGGAGGGGACGCACTGATCCAAGGACTCTGCCAGCTAGAGCTTGGGCGTCGTCGTTGTCTGGGAGGTACATGGTCACGACTTGGTCAGCCGCGAGGGCGCCGGTGAGGATGCTGAACCCGAGCAAAAGCATGTTGGAGTACATTGTGCGTGTTCTAGAATGCGCCTGAGGGTTGGTTTGTGTCAAAAGGAAGGAGTCGGGTTGATTTGATGGCGAATCGAGGATGGAGCGATGATGATCCTTGATATCAAGTGCGACTTGGGGCCTTAATATACCTTTCGAAGCTAGTCCAACGAGAATTAAAGAGCTGGTTGACAACGTCAATTTGTAAATTTGGGTCATTCAGCTGCTCAGCCCTGACAGCTCGCCCCACCCAACAATCTCCATAATGGGTCCGCAACACAAGACCATAAACGGCACAGCCAATGAGCATGCCGGCAATGGACACCGGCTGGAGAGGCTAGCGGGCGCTAGCCATTCAGCCCCTTTTCTGGGCTATTCTTGATCAAGATGATCTCCATTTTTTGTACCTGAACTGAACGCTGAATGCCTTACGGGGGTTGATATCGTGGCAGGGGCTCCACAGGCCACTACTCAAGGTTGCCGATAGGCTTACTCGTCCTCCTAGTTGAAGAACCATATTGCACCAGCCATGTTATGTTTCCTATCAAGATACTGAGCAGGTCAAGCCCCCGTGCTCACCTCTGGGGCATGACTATACCAAGCCCATATTCGCACAACCGCTCTCCTCCCGACAATTTCCCCAATCTCGACATGGCTGTGCAAGGCGCACTACACAGCATGCTTCATCGCCGCTCTACCCATCCGGCTGCTCGCACTTGCCCTTCATTATCTTCCACCAGCCGCCCGTCCTAACCGCACCTTCCGACAGGCCATAACTACCTAGATTTTCTACCCCTGGTTTTGCTTCGCCACCACCATGAAATTCCGGACTCCAAAACCTCTGAAGCCTGGCCCAGACAAGGAGCGGTTCGTCCTCAAACCCGGCCCAAATCAAGCACTCGGACAGCATATACACTGGCGTCCTCGATGTTAACCCCGCGATCCGTCCAGCAGCAATCGCAGGCTTCTGGTACGAGTCTCCACCGCCAGCAGACAAGGCCCCAGAGCTGGTCGTCTCCACTTCCACGGCGCAGCATTCGTGCTTGGGGGTGCAGAGTGCGGTTGGCGCCCCGCGGATTTGAGCAAGCGCCCCGAGTGTCCTGCGCTGGTGCCTTAGTATCGCCTCTCCGATGCCCGCGATCCAACAACGGCCTTCCGTGGCCCTGCAGGACGCCGTCACAGCGTACAAGTAGCTTCTATATATGCTCAAGGTGCGGCCCGAGAATACAATCCTATCGGGTGATTCAGCTGGTGGGAATCTTGTCCTCGCACAGCTTCGCTATGTCCACTATACACAGGAGCTCAAGGGTGCAGCTGACTCGCAGCTCCCCTCTCCCGCTGCGGCCCTCCCTTGGGCCCTTGGGTAGACGTCGACGCCCTAGGCGTCGAGATCGACCATAATCAAAATACGAGCCCGGACCTTATCTTTGGGGATCTAGTCGACTGGGGTGTCCGCGCCTAGGCGCCAGCGGGCTGGAACTCCAACCATGTGCTTTATGCGTACATAGGCCCAATGGGAAGGGAGTTCCATACAGACGTGCCGATTTTCGTAAACACGAGAGGGGCCGAGGTGCTGTATGATTCGAATTGTGAGTCTGTGGCGAATCTCATGAAGAAAGGCTGTATGTTTGAGCTTTTGGAAATCAACCATGCTACGCATGTTACGTTTGAAACGGAGGACCTTATCGGGTGGGAAGCCGAGCAGTGGGCCGCCATGGATCTGGCAGTGGAGTTTGTTAAGAGAGCGAGGACGCCCAACAGTCCCGAGTAGGTCATTCAACGGGTCAAATGGTGTAGGAAGACCGGAATTCATACGCTTCTGTCGTTTGTTCTTTCGGATTTCGCTGGCAGTACCGGGGAAGAAGTTGGCGCATACCTGAATGAAGGGGACTGGAATCAGCCAGATTGGCAGAATGTCTTCTATGGCGAGAATTATCCGCGCTTGCTGGCCATCAAGGATAAATATGACCCTGGGCATAACTTCTATGGCCGTACCGCGGTGGGGAGTGATCGATGGGGTGAGGATAGAGATGGACGGCTGTGCTGCGCTTGAGGATTTGGACTTGGGAATGCAAATGCAACATACGCTTTAAGATGAGCCCAGATTGCCTATTCCCCCTTGCTCGTCTATAGGACTGATGTCAACGAGAGATCCTTCGCAAGTGTTGTAGTCAAACCAAGGAACCGTTAGGTGAAGAAAGGCTCCATATACATTGTATGATCAATGCCCAACCCATCCCCCGATGTTTGCGGTCCCGTCTTGGTCGCAGTTGCTTCGATTTGTACATCCGTCGGAACTGTCATTAACCCATTCCCACTGTGCTACCAAAACCAAGTAACATCCGACATACGCAGCCCCCTTTTCCTAGTGCCTACCCTCATCCCAGCGTTCCCCGAGCCGGACCCAGCGCGAGATCCCAACTTTCTCAAGAAGGAACTACTTCCCGACGACGAGCCTAATCCGTTACCAGCAGACGTTCGCCCTGGGTCAGAAACGGACAGCGGATGGCATGTCGGCATCTCCGCAAGCACTGTACCGACGTCGACCTCGAGTATGAAAAAGGAGGATGTGGGAGCGCTCGGGAGTTCAGTCTCAGAATGGATTCACCAACCCTGATAGCCTCGCTCGGCTGTGCTTTTGGCTACGCCTCGACCCACCCGTTTCGACGGTTTGTGCTATGCCAGTTGGTTTATCTCCAGGAGCGGGGCACATTTGCAACTTGAGACATTTAGTTGGGACTATCGTCTTATGGACACTCTACGCTAAGGGTTCATATCTACTCAGGTTAGACTGGTCCGCCTGTGATATGTTGACGTAGGCGCCTGAGGCACCTTCAGCGAGCGAGGCGGGGTCACGTGCTTGATCTTCCACGTCTAGATAGAGAGTATGATGTGTCGGTATGTATGCCTGAGGCGTCAACAGCTGTAGCGAGGTCACGTGGTGCCACGCCACACTCTTAAGCTCGGCCTGCCCTTAAGAGGAATACCATCTCATCGTATACCTGTCAGGAACAAAGTGAATGCGGGTTGAACCACGCCATCCACCGAGTAGACGGAGTACGATTAATCCCTAGCATTATTATCATGGTGACAATTCCCTCCTTCGATACGGCTATGCTCGCTTATGGGCCAACCCTTCCCACTGAGCTCATCTGGCACATAATCGACTGCTTGATACATTCGGAGCGACCCTTGATTCCAAACGACCATATCGTAAGTCAAACCCTGCTTAGTCTCAGCTTGGCGTCTAGACTGACCCACCACCGCCGTGTGGAGGCCTGGCTCCGAGAGCACGCACTGGATGGAACGCGTTGGGAGTCTCATGGTCACATGTATGAGCCGACCACGTAGCATACTTTACTAGGCGGCTCTTGCTGCACTGAGTTCTCGGTCTTCTCTGTAGTGCCTGTCTGATTTGTCTTCCAAGCCCCTTGCTTAGCACCATACTCTGTCGTTTCTCCTTTTCTAGCCCTAATGGATTCTCTGTTCAAGCCGTTCACTCGATTCTCGCCTTGTCGGATCTAACCCCAATTGAAATTATACCTTTCGAACATCTCCCCTCCAGACTCGGCAATCAACATCCCCTTGGGAACTACGGGCTATTAATCATTCACCAGGCAGGATCCTGTAGTAACAAGGCTCTCAAATCCAATATAGCGCGAGAAATTGCGCAATGGCCCAGAGGTCGTACTGCTAAGCACACGGCTATTCGATCAACTCGATTGCGGTGTCTTCCGTTTCGCCTGCTTGGCAACATGAATTACCGACAGTAATAGGTAGAGCACTGACAGTTAACCCGATTGCAGTGGGTCTAAAGCGCCCGAAGGGTCCATAGGCCGTCAGGCATGGGGATTCCCGACTGCCCTGAGCCTGCAGTACCCGTGTGCCCGACTACCAGCCTATGCCTCCCTTTTAACTTGATTATCCACAACGCATAGAGCTGGTGGTAGAATAACGGCCCCTACAACAATCACCATGATGAGTCTCGAATCGCGCATTGCCATAGTCACAGGCTCATCGTCTGGACTCGGCCGATGCATTTCCCTCGCCCTCGCAGCTGAAGGCGCATCCATTGTGTGTGCCGACCTGACGCCTACAGCGCGGGCGGAAATTGCGTCTGAGACAACGGTTACAACGCACGAGCTTATTGCGCAACGCGGCGGAAAAGCCATCTTCGTCAAAACGGATGTTGGCGATGAGAGTGCGATGCAGCAGTTAATCAAGACCGCTGTCGAGTGGGGTGGGAGACTTGATATGTATGCTTTCCTCCTCCTTTCTATTGCCGGCTCTTCTCTTCTCCCCGTGTTTCCGCGCCGTTGCTAATCACCTGTTCTTGTTCTTGTTGTAGATTGATCAACAACGCCGGCATAGCCGTGGAATCCAAGACGCCGAACCCCATCCACCTCCTGGACGCGTCCGACTGGGACCTGACCATGCGCGTCAACGCCCGCTCTGTCTTCCTCGGCTGCAAATATGCGATTACACAGATGCTGGCGCAGGAGCCGCATGCCAGCGGGGATCGCGGGTGGATTGTGAATATGAGTAGTGTTTTCGGGCTGGTGGGTGGGCCGACGAACCGTATGTCTTTGACCAATATTAGGGGAAAGTTTGAAAGGATAAAGTGTCCTAACATGATGTGATCTGACATAGCATCCTACGCGGCGAGCAAAGGCGCGATCGCGAATCTAACCCGGCAGATTGCCTGCGACTACGGGAAGCAGCGAATTCACTGCAACGCTGTCTGCCCTGGATGTACGTCTATCCACACCTCTTCTGACAATATAGTTCACGAATCTCACTAACACTTCATCAACAGTTATTCAAACGGCCATATTCCACAACTCGAGCCTACAGCCCGGCGTGACACAGGAGTGGGTGGACAGCTTGCATCCGCTGGGTGGGCCTGGGAGGCCGGGCGACGTCGCAAGCGCAGTGCTATACCTGGTGAGCGATGCAGCGAGGTGGATTACGGGGGTTTGTTTGCCGATTGACGGCGGGTACAGTGCGCAGTAGCCCAGTTGTCCCGTCGCTTTGCTCACCGGCAGAGGCTCGACGATCGGCAACTGCTTCGGGGATGTCCTCGGGAATCCCCAGGTACAATCTCACGAGCCCTGCTGAGCTTGAAATAGAATTCTAGTTCTAGTGGGCCTTCTATCGTAGGATTATATTATACTCGCGGTACTGGACAATGCATCTTTTTCGATTCGGGGTACTTGTCGCAGGTGCCGAGGCGCTGGCCTCCCCAATGTGCAAATGCGTAAGCGCTCGCAATCTATACCCCCGTCACCATTCCCTTTAACCGGAACACGTTTAAATAGACTCCTAAGGATCCCTGCTGGCCATCCCCCGCCGACTTCGCCACCTTGAACGCAACAGTGAGCGGAAAATTGATCCGCAGCACACCCCCCGGCTCCGTCTGCTACCCCAACCAGCCCGACTACAACCCCGAGCGCTGCGCCTTCGTCCTCGAGAACTGGTTCGATTCCGACTTTCACGCCAACGACCCCGTGAGTATTGGGTTTCCCAAATTTGCGGGTAATCCGTGTCCGCCCATTTATGCCAACGGGACCAGCGTCACGCGCGGGAAAGCGACGGCCGGGTGCAGGCTCGGAGGGTATCCGGCCTATGTGCTGAATGCGACGAGTCACGAGGATATTCAGACCGTTGTACGGTTTGCGGGGGAAAGGAATCTCCGGCTGAATGTCAAGTCGACGGGGCATTCTGTTGAGGGGAGGAGTGCGTCGCCTGATAGTATCTCGTAGGTTCGCCCAGCCTATATGCGATTGTACGAGTTTCGCTAACAGGATCGGCCACACAGAATCTGGACACATCATCTCCTCTCCAACACATTCCATGCCGCCTTCCGACCACAGTCATGTCCGCCCTCGTCCCCCGAACACATGGCTATCTCCCTTGGAGCAGGCGCGAGAGTCCGCGAGGTCTACGAGTTCGCCTACGAGCACAACGCTGTCGTAGTCGGAGGCTCAGCAGAGGACGTGGGAATCGTCGGCTGGTTCACCGGGGGCGGCCACGGCCCGCTGACCAGTCGATACGGGCAGGGTTCAGACAATGTCTTGCAGGTGACGATTGTGACGCCCGATGGCGAGCTCGTCACTGCGAACGAATGTCAGAACACCGACCTGTTTTGGGCGATTAGAGGAGGTGGCGGTGGCACCTTTGGCGTCATCACGCATGTCACCATGAAAGCGTACCCGTCGCCGAGTGCTGTTGCTCATCGGTTGGAGGTGGTAGATATCAACGAGGAGGACGATGGGACTGCGTTCTGGAATGCAGTTGCTGGCGTGTATGCCCTGCTCCCTGAATTGAAGCGACAGGGCTTCGCGGGGAACATCTTCATGGACCGGCCGCCGCTCGTGCCTCGACGTAAGCTGTGGTGGAACATGAACTTCTTGAGCACCGAGTCTGACTCTCCGTCTACCGAGGCGGCGACACGAGCGGCAGAACGTGCCCTCGCGCCGCTCATGGCATATCTTGATTCCCAGTCTGCGGCTGTCACCTACACGTCCAAGTTGACCTTCTTCCCGCACTGGTTCCAATCGTGGAACGAGTCCGTCCGCACCGAACCGAGCGTCGTCGCGGCAAGCGGAATCGCAATGGCGTCGCGGCTGATCCCAGAGTCTGTCCTTGTAAACAGCACCTCCTCCTCATCCCCTAATCTGACAGCCATGGAGTCTCCTTTGCCAGGGTTTGCTGCCCAAGTCCAACAACAACCGTCCCTAGCGTCAACAATTCAAACAATCTCCGAGAGCGTGACCGGTTTCCAGGCCCATCTAGCAATCTACAACCCCTCCCCGCCCCTTACAGCTTCGGAAGTAAACCGCACCTCTCTCCCATCCTACTGGCGCACCACACCCCTCCAATTCTTCACGGTAACCACATACCCCGACGACGCGACAGCGGAAGAAGAACGTGCCGTGTTTGAGTCCGTCCGGAATGGAGTCGGCCGGGTGCTGGAGGAGCTCGCGCCAGATACAGGAGCGTACTTCAATGAGGGGGATCCGTATGATCCGGACTGGCAGCGGAGTTACTTTGGAGGTGGGGAGCATTACGAGGCCCTGAGGACGGTGAAGGAGAAGGTTGACCCGCAGGGGTTGTTGTGGTGTGTTGCGTGTGTGGGGAGTGAGGAGTGGGCGGTGCAGGCTGGGAGACTGTGTAGGGTTTAGTTTGTAGGGCTGTTAAGGTAGTTGCTATTTGTTGGTTCTACGGTGAATGGACCTCATCAGACTGCTTCTATCGTCCTGCTATGCTAGATGGTAACATATGGGTGTTTTGTAGGTAAGCGCAAGCATCATCTAGGTTTCTATTTGCATCAAATGGTCACAACGGGCTGATCGAGAAAGGGAGAAAGCTCTGATAGGATAGATATATGTATGTGTATTTCAGGATCAGGCTACCTAAAGCCAGGATCATGTGGTGCTAGCCACAGAACAAAGAGAGATATCCCAACAATGTGGACATGCGTACGTACTTGATTTTCTAAGACAGCTCGATGGCCTTCCCTTTCCGTTTTAGTGCTCACCCCTTGCTGCTTTTTACTTACTAAGTATATCTCAGTAACTACCCTAAGTAAAAAAACTTAATAAACTATACCCTAACTAATAATCCTCTTCTTACCTAGTTCTCTACCTTACACTTTACCTTTGCCTGCTACACTCCTACCCCCATACCCAGCACTGCTATTAAGGTAGAGATAAATAGATTAGGCTACTCTTCCTTCTAATACCTACTGCCCTTTACTCTAGTAGGACTCTACTATAGTTAATCATGCTGTACTAATATAGTAAAGATTTTTAGGAGGCTTTCTTAGATTGCAGGAACTCTGACTGCAGGAGCACAAGTATCATTCCCCCAGTACGAAATGTACTTCCTGCAGATCCCTGAGGCTGAAGAATACCAATTTTTCTCCAGGCCTAATCCGGCGGATGAAAATCGGATTACAGGGCCCGAGATGAGGCCCATTCTGGATGCAAGCGTTCAAGCCACCGCAACGTTTGACTTCCACATCACACCCGAGGTTAATCTAGAACCCGGGGATGGTCTTGTGAAGATGGAGAGCTCCATAGCACCCATGCCTGTAGAACTCCAGGTGTAAACAAGCAGTGCATAACCGTAGTACAGCCCAGTATAAAAATGAGGCCTACTTTGGTTGGAATGAAAAGGCGAATCAATCCAAATAAGGACAATCAGTAAAATAGCACGATCCCAAATACTTCATGTTCGGACTAGAGGCCTCGGCCTGTTGTGCGTCCCGCTATGTCACCTGACGTCTACTTCGTCTAGAATATAAAACAGGTCGAGTTCCCGCCCTGTTTCTTTGCCCCCACGGCTTCACGCCATCACAATGCTGCAACTACTACCATCTGAAGTCCAACTTCTTATCGCACAGCACCTCGGGACTGCCGATAAAGCAGCCTTGGTGCTCACATCGCACCATTTTTACAGCCTCGTTATTCCCTCTCTCTACGAAAATATCGAAAACACCTACGATCAGGGGCTGATGCGGCTTGTAGACACCCTTGCCCGGAACCCATCGCTCCGCGCATTCCCTCGCAGCCTCACATTGGAGGCATGGGACACGCCATCGACAGACAATCCCGCCGACGTTTGGATCGATCCCCATGAAGAGGAACTGGACTTTCCTGGATATAGACTAGGCTTGCTCTGTCGCCTCGCAAAGGCCGCGTGCCCTGTTGAGAACGAGGCGGTTACGTGGTGTAGGCATCTCAGAAACAGCAATGCGGATGCTTTGCTAGCACTGATTCTTACCCTCGTTCCTAACCTCTTCCGACTGGAGGTGCAATTTCCCAAATCCGTTGGCTGGGTACAGCGGGTTATCGAGTGGGCAGTAGCCCAGGCGCAGCCCATCGCATCGCTAGGTGCGCTCCAGCGCCTGAAAGAGGTTTATGTCTCAGCACAATGGCTCGAGTTTCAGGACAAGAATCAAGATGTCACGCGGTGGACGCTGATGTTCCTTGGCTTACCATCTCTACGCCGCATCACGACGGATGGACTCTTTCATGATGAGGACGAGACAATGTACAAGTCTACATCATCATCTGTTACTCAGATCAGGCTTGACTACTCCATCGGCGTCTATGACCTCGACAGGCTCATCAGGCATTGTCCGAACCTTGAGTCATACCGACACCACTATTCCGTGCGATCTCGACGTAGGCACTTTCTGAACCCTCGTGAGTTGTATCCTGGCTTCTTGCTAGCTTCGCACAGCCTGAAGGAACTTTGGCTGGATATCTTCCCCACATTTATTATTAAAAGTGACAGTGGCGTGCATTGGCAAACTTTCAAGACCTTTCCCCTGCTCGAGCTGCTCCATGTGCCTTATTTTCTCCTGGGACAGTATAAAGCGGACACTCTCGCAGATCTCGCGGCCATGCTCCCCTCCTCCCTCAAGAAACTCCATGTGACGGAGATTGACAAAACCACCCTGGAGAGTGTGCTAAGATCCTGTTTGGAATACGTGCTCGTTGCACCGGCCCAGCTCAGCCAGCTCATAATCGCAACTATGAGCACCTTGGCTGACAGAGACGGCATTATGACGGCGGTTGAGATGGATACGAACAGGCGAATACCGGATTTGACGCCTGCCGAGCGGGCTGCTCCCGCAATCAAGTATGCGACGGAACTGTCTACGCGCTGCAGCCCCCTCGGTATTCGCTTTGGCATCTACGAGCCTCAGCGATCCAACGTTCTGGCGCCTTGGGCCCCTTTTGACCCGTTTGAAGAGGCGCGATGATTTCCATTTCAATCACGAACTATGTGTCGCAACAAAATTATCGGTTGGTTTTCGAGAGGAGGTGGGTGGCTGGGGAGGGGTAGGGGTGCGGGACATGCTTTATGATTTTCAATAACGGGCATGAATAGCCCTTTTGGGGTTTTTTGCTACCTCCAATTTCTTTGCCGTTCTATTTATCTTGATGAGGTACGAGCATAGCAGTCGTCTTACTCTTGAACCCACAGTTCCCCTTTTTGGCCCGCTCTGCGCTACCTTGAACATGTATTTCACGCCTGGGTGACGTTGTAACCCAGCGCTGACCACGTTTAGTAAGAAACAGCGGTTGATATTGGCTACTCTGCCCAATATGACTTTGTACCGATTTAAAGCTAATCTTGGGCTTATCCTCTAGGTTAGCCACATAAATATGTAGTGGCCATAATGTGAAAGGGAAATGGGAGTTTCTAATGTCACAATCAAAAACACCCACCCTGCAGCTCCAACCCTCCCTCGTCTCTCACCACATCATCCATCTCCTACCCTTTCGCCATGTCCTCCATATCAGCAACAACAGCCGCCCAATGGTTCCCAACAACCAACATCTCCTCGCGATACAACCACACAACCCCCAGCAGCGCTCCATTCCCACCAAGCACGGTCACAGCCACAGCACATCCAATCAAGAAGACCCAGCTACGCCTGATATACCCAGCCCTCTTCATATCCCAAATCAGCAGCGCGATCCAGACCTCATTCGCGAATCCAAAGAACACCTGGTCCCATTTGAGCGTTTCGGCGAATAGCTCGGCGAAATTCATGCTACCCACCCCAGATGTGATCGGGCTGAAGAGCTGCAGGGCTTCGGAAATGGAAGGGGATGTCCAGAGGGTGTACTGCCAGACAGCGGCGGAGAAGAGCACGAGTGGGATGATGGTCCGGCGGATGGAGGGGAAGTCGCCCGTGGGATTTGGCATGAGGCGGTCTTGGAGGGATGTATTGGGGACAAGGTCCGACAGCCCGTATTGCATGGCGGCGATCCAGATGGGGAATAACTCCCAAATAAATGCGGCGGTTTGACGGGTGGACGGGCTCGGAGAGAGGTAGGCTGTCAGAAAAGGTGCGTAGTGGGCGAGCAGTAGCACGGGCAGGATGGTCTTGTTCAGGTTTGTATCTGTGAGGCGCATGTCGCGGGCGCCAAACGCGGACATGGGGCTGACGATGTAGTGCGCAAAGTAGTAGATCGGCACGAAGATGGCAATGCCTTTTAGGTTGAGGAGGCCCCAGAGAAGGGCACTGGGCACTGTTAGTATTATTCACATGTTGACGTAGGCAGGGGCTAATACTATTGCATGATGGTAAGACGCAATGACCGTCTCGAGGCTTCAACCAGCATAATGGCATACCAAACACCATAGTCGGCAAACAGTGACAAATTCTGTAGCATAAAATGCGCGCGACTGACAATGAATCGCATGACGCCTAGTCGGGCGAACTCGTCTACCATGGGAACCCCATAAAAGGTCTCTGGGATCTGATCTTCGACGTGCGTCCCGTTGGAGGAAGCCCAGCGATACACTCCTGCGTTGAGCACCTGCGCTGCGCCCTCCAGGGGAACCACTGCAGCCATAGACAAGAACCCGCCTAATGCCAAGAGCAGCAATGGGAGTGCGCGCAATGCCCGACCGCGTTTTGACTCGCCCAGTCCGATCCCCAGTTCCGGGTTGAAGGGCATCGTCCCTTGCAATGATCGTCTGGGAAGCGGCAAATATTCGATTCGCGCCGCGCCCACGGCATCACCACAGAGCTGGTCGGCTCGGGCATCGCCAGCACGCGGGAAGAGAAGGGCTGCAGCAATCTGGTCTAATGGGGTTCGCAGGGCCTGCAACCGGGCGAGGGCACCTGCCTGCCGGATCAGAGCCGTGGTTCGGATGTGTCGTCTTCGGGTGTCGAACTCGCTTACTGCATTCTCAATTGCACGCGTGGTCAAGGGTTTGGAATTATCCCGAGCACTGTTCAGCCTATGCAGGATATTGGCCAGGGCCGCCGCATGGTCAATGGCCAGCATGCCGCCAGACCCCGTCTGCGGCGTCATTTTGTGTGCGCCGTCGCCAATGATCACGAACCTGCCTGCCGTCCATCGCTTGTAGTCTGCTTCCTCCAGGGGCACGAGTGTTGCAGTACGCCGGGACTTCCAAAGTTGGCCCATGGTGATGCCTCCCTGCACAGGGAGGTTGGCGTGCTGCTGGGCGAACGCGGCAGTCTCCTGCGCAGAGAAGCGCGGAATCTCACCATGCTTGTAGACTCGATCGAGGCGACCGAATAGGAACCAGAATATCTTACCCCCTTTGGACGTCGCGACCATGGTCGACACGTCCTTTCCGATCGTGTCGTCGCTGCATCCGGGCGGGTAACCTGGAATGGGCGACGAGATGCCGAAGAGACAGCGATACTCGGCCGTCATAGCTGGACGTGTTAGACGTGGAGCAGGGGAACAGAGGCTCATGGAAAACTCACCGTCTCGTTCCCTCTGTACATCAAACCCTTTGGAGCAACAGAGTCCCTTATCAACGGCCCCCCACATCTCCTCACGAATCTTACTCCTCACCCCATCTGCCCCAACGACAATATCCCCCTCATACCTCGACCCATCCGCACAGACAGCCGTCACCGGCTTTTCCTGATCCACCTCATGCTCAACGCGGATCACCCTCTTTCCGGTGATGACGCACTCCTCCTTCCTCTTCAACCCCCTCAGCAGCGCAAGAACCACATTCCGCCTCTCCACCAGCCCAAACGGATACCCCATGCGGCGTCCAACAAGAAGCGCAGCGTCACTGCGCGCGGGGAGAAGCAATTTCCCATGGACATCGTGTACGGCACTGCTGGACACAGACGCCATTTGGTCTTCGAGCTCGGTGTAGACGCCGAGTTGGTCGAGGATGCGGCTGCCGCCCGGTGCGAGCGCGATTCCGGCGCCTTGCTGCGGGGCCAGCTCGGGGCGGCCCTCCAGGACGATGTACTCGATGGGTGGGGATGAAGCAGATTGCGGGATCTCCTCGAGGGCTTTTGCGAGGGTGAGGCCGGCGATGCCGGCGCCCACGATTATGATTTTGAGGGGGGGCGGTGTTGTGGCCATTGTTCTGGTGATGGTATAGTGAGATTGGGGGTCTTGGAGGCTGGGCTATAGTTATGGACTCATCGCATCAATAGGATATGTATTTTACTTCAATTTTACAGGGTGTTATTACTCTCTAGGCTGCCTGGTCGGAGCACCGAGTACGCCGGCACTCCGAGCGGGCTGCCGATGGCCGGTTCAGTCAGAGCAGTTTCCCAGGCTGTCTTTGAAGACGCAACAGGGAGAAGATCGGGCAGTGGTCAGCCAGCAGCTCGGGGATTGCTGTCCAATAAACATTGAGGGAACGGCCGAGCGAAAGGGCGCTTTCTTTGTTGCTGGTGGCGTTGCCGATCCTTCGGGGATTGCGTGGCCCCACACTGGGAAGAGCATCAATGGCCGTACAGTACCTTGCATAAGCACTAATAAAGTAGACACACAGATGCCCAAGCCTGCATGGTTCTCTAGTTCGGGCCTAGCTTCGAATACAACGGATGGTTGTAGACTTCAGACATGATTCTTCTGTATCAAGGGATCGTTGTATATTTCGATAAATTAGCTGTAGCTATGGGGGGAATATTGCGCAGCAGAGCAAAGATGCTGGCCTTCTGGCCGTGGCACTAGATAATCTGTACGCCAATACAACACATACTCCCCCGGGATCAATTGATATTGTAACAGATGTCTAGACACCGGCCACCCGTTTGAACAGCACCTCCCCCTCCGGATCGGGCGCAGACGTCAAGCCAAACTCCAAATTCTTCGGTCTGGCCCCTCTATCCTTCAACCGCATATCATACGTCACAATCGCCCTCGCAAGAATCATCTTCAACTCAACTGCCGCAAAGAACCTCCCGGGACAAGCATGGCGGCCATATCCAAACGACCCGAGCGTCTGCGACACGCTCACAAACTGCTGCCGCCCATCCTTTTCCGCCGCGGCCCCGCCATCATGGTTCTCTGCGACGAATCGCCACGGGTTAAAAGTCTCTGGGTCCTCGAATACTTCAGGATCGCGCGAGATCGCATGGTTTGGGACCTCGAGAATCGTTCCCTGCGGGATATATGTCCCGTCAGAGAGGGTAAATCCGCGGAGGACGCGGCGCTCAAAGGTTGCAAAGGTCAGCGGGTGCATGCGCAGGGACTCCTTCATGAAGCTATCGAGGCGCTTGAGGCGCTGGAGGGCGGTGTGGGTTAGAATGCCATTTTCGCATTCGGCCTGGACGGCCTGGATCTCGGCGCGCAGGGGCGCAATGCACTCTGGGTGGGCGGCGAGGTCGTAGAGGATATTTGTTAATGTTATTCCGGTTGTGTGAGACGCCACGAAGAACAGGCCCAGCTGGATCAGGGCGATTTCTCGCGTTCCATTGATTCCGTCGCGCGCGGCCTTGTTCACTAGCCAGGTGAGCATGTCCTCTGGCAGGTCCTCTGCGCCCTTGGCGGCCTTGGCGTCGATTCTCTGCTGCACGATCGGTGTGATGAATTTGAGGAAATCCTCCTCGCGCCTCCGCAACGCAGCGACAGATCCCAACCGTCCAGCAAGAAACTTCTTGAGCCAAAAATTCGCACTCTTGATCTCCATCACCGCCTGCCCGAGTTCCGCCGTATAATTCACCGCAGCATCGAGGTATCGCTCGTCATGGCACAGCTGCGGGCCGATGAAGACGCTCCCCGAGACGATGGCGATGATGCGGAGCATCCTGGGGTAGATCTTGATTGGGGTCCATCCTGCTGCGCATTCCCCGATTTCTGCGAGAACGGCGGCGTCGGCTTTGGCGGTCATGGACGGGTTTAGGCGTGTCAGTGCGGGACCAAGGTCAGCTTTTATGATGTGTGGCGTGAGGTCGAAGAACCTTGGGGGTGGGGAGTTGGTGTATTTTTGTTCGAAGGACTGGTAATGTTAGTGTTTTTGTTCAGTTTGGTGAGGAGGGGAGGAAGATTATGGCGCGAGATGAGCCCGACAGGACGAACCTCCTTGTGGGCTTCTTCAAAGCTGAGAACGCTGGGTGGGAGTTTGATCAGTTCGGGGAGATATTTCGGCGAGACAACGAGTTTCTCCCCAGCTTCAAGCAATACTTGGTCAATTCAATTCAATTTCTGGTGGGTGAAAGTGATGGGCTTACAGTCTTCAGTCGTGGATACGCGAAACCCCAGGGAGTGCTTGTACTAGTCGGAATATATCAGCTGTGCACAGCAGGAAGACATGTTCAATTTACATTTCATACCTTGAGGTAAGATTTCAAGTAAATCGACCTGGAATCCTTGAGCAAGGCATCTCGTCGGGCCTTTGCTGGAAGCTCCTCGCCCAATAGTGGGATCTTGGACAAGGCGCGTTTGGACCACCAGCCTGGGATAATGGTCGACAAGAGGGCAGCTAGGATCAGGGCAACAGCTGGAATAAGCGACGCGTCGCTGGATACGGCGGACATGATTTGGGATGCCATGTCTCGGTTAGTGATTATCGTACAACTGGGGGCGTTCTTTGCAAAGTGGGCGGGGGAATGCAGGAAGGTAGTTATAGTATGGCGGGCCGGTGATCCATCACCGATCGGTAACTGGGAGGAGGGGTTAAAAGAGGCCTTGGCATACAGACCATGAGTAAACAATGCTGAGCAGTGAAAGGTGTAATTCATTATTAGCTGAGCAAGTGACTGAGTGGAATATACGAGCATCAGTGCAATCGAACTAAACTCCAGATTCTGCAGATATCACTATATTACACCATGTGGCGCATGTATAAATGACGCCTAGTTGCTAAATGCGAGTCGCTGGCAATAGAAGGAGTATGCATGAATACTAGAGGCCATTCTTCTGTGGAAAATGGATCTGGGGGCCTCGACAGATGGCATTGTCCCTAGTTACATCCCTTTCATTCTACCCCTACACCCCCTGCCCTTCATAGTTGATCCCCAACACATGTCAATGAGAGCAGCTCAGTTGGGCGGAATAATCGGCCCAAAATACGCAAACTTGTTCTCGGGATCGTATTTGGCCTTTAACCCGCGTAGCCTCTCCAAGCGCCACGGCTCATACCCGTACGTCGCCTCGACCGACTCACGTCCGGAGCCATAGTTGACGTACGAGACAGGCTGACGACCGGGCTGGCCCGCGTTGAAGAGCCGCTGGTTCTGCGTCACCCAGTCAATCGCAAAGTCGGCGTAGAGGTCTTCGTCCCCCTTGGGGTAGCTGATTGTTGTTTGGCTGGAGATATCGTGTTAGATCTGGTGTTGGTACCTCGAAATGGAGAAAAGATGAAAGGGCTCGGCTTACAGGTACAGGTTCTCATCGCGCCAGGGATACGCAGACTCGGCTGCATCGACTGCCCTCACGGCATCCAGGGAGTACGCCTCCATGACCACAAACGAGTAATTCAGCGCGGGATGCACAAAGATTCTCTCGTTGAAGATCTCAAAGATCTCGCGCTGCGTGGTGAGATTGTACCTCAGCAACGTCGCGGGGGCCACAGCGCGCGTAACGCCCTCATCGCACAGCTGCTGGCCCACCGAGCTGCCCGCAGCCTCTGCCACCCGCGGATACGGCACCGTCAACTCCTCGACAAAGACGGGACCCAACGCATCAAACGGCGCAAGGTACGGCTCCGCCTCCTCCTGCGGTCCCGCCCACGAAAACTGCCAGCGGATCGTCGCCTGCGTCGCATCAATCGTCGGATCTAGCGCGTACGTCCCGGACTGCTCGGCCATCTGCAGCGGCTGGTTCCCGTTGTCGTTGAGCACGTTCAGCGCCTCAAAGAGGGGCTCGAGCTTGTCTGACGTGAAGACGTAGTTCTTTTGGTACCAGGTTTCGTAGATGGGCGGGTAAACGTTCATGTCGAAGGAGGTCACGACGCCAAAGTTGTGGCCCGCCCCACGCATGCCCCAGAACAGGTCTGGGTACGAGGTCGCGTTGACGGTGATGGCGCGACCATCGGCCAGCACGACGTTGAGGCTCCGGATGTTGTCGCTGATGAGCCCGTGGTGGCCCTGCCATTTGCCCCAGCCGCCGCCGAGGCCGGGGCCCAGCAGGCCCACGCAGGAGCAGCTTCCGGTGGCTGTTGGATTAGCATTAGGTTTCGTCTCGAATGATGTTCAGGCCAACTCACTGGCTGTGAGATTGTGCTCCCAGAGCTGATCGATGAATTCCTGCCCGTAGGCGCCTCCCTGGATAGTCGCGTATGTGCGGTCGTCGCTGAGCGTCCATCCGCGCAATTGCTGCATGTTGATCTGCAACCCGTGGAACTTGCCCCGGCTCTCCGTGACGGCGTGGCCGCGGTTGCGGGCGTAGAAGTTGATACCGTTGCGGTTGGCGTATTGGATCTGCTCCTGTCAGATGTATTCCTTCATTCCTTTTGCAGTCACACATACAATAATCGGAACATCAGCTTCCTGCCCAGCGACCACGACGACGGTAAAATGCGGCGCCCCGTACTCGTTCCAGTTGGCGTCGGCCGCGTCCCAGCGTCCATCGTCCGGGCCGAAGATGCTCGCGTCCTCGGAAAGGAGAGGCCCCAGTTCTTGCGCAACTTGTGCAGGGCCGATCGATGCCCTCGTCACCTGGCACAGCCCATCGGGACAGTTGACTTGATTCAGTGGAAAGGCGGAGATGGACCCGGTAAGAAGGGCGAGTGGCACAAACTTTGTTAGTTGGACCATGGCAGCGAGGGGATTACGCGGTCAAGGGGACAAGATATGAAAGGGGTGATCTGCTTCTGGAAGCCTACGAGCAGGGATTTGGCTTTATATACACATCAGGCTGCCCCCGTTCCTGCGCGCGTGGGAGCGCGTGCCACGCGGAGCTATTCTTAGACCAGGGGCATCGAGCCATACATCCTGCATGTCGTCTCGCGTGGCTATTGTTGAACCTTACGAACACTATTTTGGTAGATGCAGGCCAGGTAATTTTGGCCCCCAGCGTCCGCTGGAGCGATCGCCCTGCACTCATCTCGGGCACTCGGTCACTTCGGGAACTGCTGCCCAGTAACATGCGAGATGTAAGCACCAGCCACGCGGGCATCAGCATCCTTCCGCCGATCGCTTGTTAGTATCACAGTATCTGCAGTACTTTTCGAACCCCCCTAGTTTCAGTTTCCCCAGAGGTGACCGGCCCGATCGGTGCATACCTAGTAGAAGTGCGACAGCGCAGCCGCGGTTTTTTTTTGTGTTTCGTCTAGCTTATCCGTTTCCGTCAAACGACAGACTAGCTCGATTTCTCACCATACACCGCAGTAATCACTGAAGGTAATCCCACTATGGCGTATCTCGTTGATGGGGTCGCAGTTGTTACAGGCGCTGGTACGTTGAAGACATTCTTCCTCCGGAACCCCACGTTCAAAAAGCATCCCCCACCATCCGATCCGCCAGGAGGCACGAAAACGCTAAAAGCAAACCAGGAAGCGGAATTGGCAAAGCCTGTGCTCTTTCATACGCAGCCGAAGGCGCCCGGGGCGTAATAATCGGGGACCTGAACCTTACGGCCGCACAACAGACGGCGCAGGAAAGCGAGGCGGTAGCTGTAAACCCCGCGTATCGGGCCCTCGCGGTCGCCGTCGACGTGACCGACGGATCCAGCGTCGAGGAGATGGTCTCGAAGGCAGTGAGCGGCTTCGGCCGCATCGACTACCTCGTCAACAGCGCAGGAATCGGCGTCAAGGAGCACCGCAGTGTCGAGGAGGTGAGCGCCAGCGAGATGGAGCGGTTCTGGAAGGTCAATATCATGGGGACGGTGCATTGCACGCAGGCGGTGGCGCGGGTGATGAAGGGGCAGAGTGTTGCGACGTTTCAGAGTCCGGGGAGTGGTGCTGCTAGGGAGGTTGGGCGTGGCGTGATTGTGAACTTGGGCTCTGCAAACTCGTACATGGCCACCCCGGAGGTCGCGCCGTATGTCACTACGAAGCATGCTGTGATTGGGTTGACGAAGAATTCTGGTACGATGCACCGCAATGATACCTAGAGCAGATTGATTCTAACCATTGCCGACAGCGCTGGATCTCGCAAAGTACCAGATCCGCGTGAATGCCATTTGTCCCGGGTGGACGCGGACACCGATGGTGGAGGAGGCCTTGAACGGCAACCCGAACCTGGATGGAATGATGAAGTCGGTGGTCCCGATGAAGCGCATTGCGTTTCCAGAGGAGATTGCGGATGTCGTTGTGTTTATGACGAGTCCCAGATCGAGTTATGTGACGGGGGTTGGTTGGATTGTCGATGGGGGGTTGACGCTGCAGGTTCAGACTTGTTAGGATCGTGCTGGGTCAATAGTGTATTGGAGCATAGGGCTCTGGAGAATCAATATACTGCATTGTTTCACTCATGGACTCACGACTCTCCAATAAAGCAGATGTAGCGCGACGGTACCTGACGTAGAAAACCTGCTATAGCACTTAGTAAGTCCGTTGGATTGATGATACCTGATACGCGATACCAGCTGATTTTCGACCGGTTACAAAAAGATGAAAGGTCTAATCCTCATGGTCTGCACCAATCGCCTGGCACTAAATAGGAGACCATAGCACTGGATATTCTATAGCCGTAAATCACGACGGATAACTACCCAAAACCTCCCTCTCGGCCTTCTCCGCAGCCTCCATAATGACCTCTCTCCTCCTCTCCGACCTCACGTTTGCAGCCATCTCAAACGGATACACCTTGTTCAAGAACCCATCGCGATACGCCGTCTCAGGGTCGATATCAATAGGAATCGGCTTCCCCTGTTTATCCAACTTGTGCGAAAACTCGAACCCCCACAGCAACTTGGCAAAGAGGATCGTCAGCGACCGCTCGGCCAGGTGGATGCCCGGACAGATGCGCCGGCCGGAGCCGTAGGCGAAGTGATCCCGCTTGGGGCCGTCGTTGGCGTTGGCGTAGACCGAGGCCGATTTCAGGTGGTGGGCGAAGCGCGAGGGGTCGAAGCGGCTGGGGTCTGGGTAGCGGGCGGGGTCGTGGTGGATGCCCCAGATGTTCAGCAGGATTGTTGAGCCTTTGCGGAGGTGCATGCCCTCGTATGTTTCGTCTGAGCAGTAGTTTGTTAGTGGCGTGGCAGCGGTTTGAGGGACGAGGGTATACCTTTGGATAAGGCATGAGGCACGGATGCAGGAACAGGCGGACGCCACCGGAGACACTCCTTGACAATCTGCGTGACGATGGGCAAGCGATCCTTGTGCAACCAGGTGGGTATCTCGGTCTCGCTGCAGACCTCATCGACCTGTTTCCGTGCGGCAATCTGCACATCGGGAAAGTTGATCATCGCCTGGAAAAAGACGAGCGTGGTCGTGGCAACAGTATCCGTGCCCCCCTCGAGCAGATTGCCCAAGAGAAAGTCGATTTCTTCATCCGACAGCTGCAGCTTGTCCTGCTGGTCACGGATGGCGTCGTACATGCTCGGCGTCGACCCGACGGCCTCGCGGCGCTTTTGCGCCTTTTCGCGCATCGGCACGTACAAATCCAGCAGGTCCTTTCGGAGCTTTAGGGCTTTGGACTTCCAATTGCCAAAAATACCCTCGGGGACGTATTTCAGGATGGGCAGCCAATCGACCGGCGGGGTTGCGCCAATCTCCGCGAGCTCAAGAAACCCGTTGTTGAGATGCTCGAGGTCCAGCATGTGTTTTGTATCATGTCGCGGCGTCCGGCTGTGAAAGGCCAGCGCCATGACAATGCTGTTACTGTACCGCGGTGCATGCTCCATCATATGTTCGGGATACAGGCAGATATCCCGTAGGAACTGCGTCGCCTCGGCCTCGATAAGTGGGACATGATCCGCATCGCAGCGGGCCTCGGTCGCGATTTTGGAGATGAGCGCCCGACGGGCACGCAGGCGCTGGTCTGCTTTCATGAAGAGGAGGTGGTTGTTTCGAAAGGCGAGCTGGCCCACCGCATATACCTCCGGCCGGTCGCTGGTGACGGCGGCGCGCTTGTCCATGAGGGTAGTCCCGATCTTGTCATCGCTGAGGACGATGATGGAATCGCCGAAGGAGCCGATTTTGAGGGAGAAGATGCCGCCATATTTCTTGGCCCATTCGAAGTAGCGGAAGTGGATCCCGCGGCGGGGGAGTTGGTGGACGTTTCCGAGGAAAGGGAGGGTGGGGGGTCCTACAATCGTTAGCTGGAACTGGAGAACTGGTATGAGACTCCGGAGGGCTATCGACCTGGTGGTACACCTCTGACCGAGCGGACGTTGACCAGCCAAGCCGCCAGGACCAGGAGGGCAACAAAGAAGACGATGGTCGCGTACATCTGAGCTGTTGTATGCGGCTAGCCAGAGAGCTTACAGGTGTCGGTAGACAGACAAGGTGGGCGGGGCAAGCGGATATCAATGGCCAGTTTTGCTTCTTCCAGACTCGTTGATGCAATGCCCGAGCCCGACGACGATCCCGGGCACCTCGTGGATTGAAAGAAACGGCCCATGATGACAACCCCGATTAATGCGTAGATACTGCCCGCGTCCATTCTCCACATTGACTCGACATACCAGCCCAACGGCAATCATCAATCATGTCAGCCCTCTCCTTCCTACGCTCTCAACTGTTCGTCACCCCGCCGGTGCCAACGTACGACTTCACCGGGCAAACAATCATCATCACCGGTGCGAACAGGGGCATTGGTCTCGAAGCCGCCCGCCACCTGCTGAAGCTCAAAGCCGCCCGCGTCATCCTTGCCGTCCGCTCCGCAAAGAGAGGGCAGGATGCCGCCGACGAGCTGGAAAGGTCGACGGGGCGAGCGGGAGCCGTGTTGGTTGAGGAATTAGACATGGCATCCTACGAATCCGTCAAGGCATTTGCAGCCCGCATGGAGAGCAGATTAGAGCGACTTAATGCGGTCCTGCTCAATGCGGGCATGTACACGCACACGTTCTCCACGGCGGATGGCTTCGAGAGCCACCTGACCGTCAACGTCATCAATACGATCTTTCTCGCCTTGCTCTTGCTGCCGACGCTGAGGAAGGGGTCGCGATCCGAAAGACCGCGAATCAGTTTCGTCTCGTCCGATCGCCATGTCATGTTCAAGCTGCCCGAGTGGAAGGAGGAGAAGCCGTTTGAGTTCCTCAGTGACGAGAAACGCGCGCGGATGCAGGAGCGGTTAATCTCGCCCATTTCCTTGACGAACTCTAAATTTACTAACCGGGAACAAGGTACATGATCTCAAAGCTAATGCTCATCCTCCTCGCCCGCGAGATGGCCGTCCACGTCAAGGCATCCGACGTGATCATCAACTCATTCACCCCGGGCTACTGCGAGTCCGGCCTGATCGACGACATCAAGGGTCCCACGCGCGTTGCGCTGAATCTGCTCAAGAAGGCGACGGCTCGTACGGCCGAGGCTGGTGGCCGCACGCTCGTTGCAGCAATCGTCCCCTGGCCAGAGAGTCATGGAAGGTATCTGAATGATTCACGGATTGACGAGTAAGTATAGTTTGTTTGATTAGTTGAGTTGTAGCTGACAGCGACTCGATAGCTCGGCTCTATCCTCGTTTGTGCGGAGTGAAGAGGGTGCGCGGGCGCAGAAGAAGTTGTGGAAGGATTTGATGGAAATTCTGCGCAAGAGGGAGGGCTCGATTGAGTCATCAGTGGTACCTGCTGCTTGATGTCTTGGTTGTCTATACAGTAATCCATCCTAAATGCGTTTAATACTTGATTGCGGGTTTCGCAAGAGCCACACATGCACTCCATAAGATATGTTCTGATTTAGAATGCGACTTCTATAGGGCTAGTTTGCCTCGAATATGTGCTCTCCTCTCTCCTAGTACGAGCCTTCATGCACGACATCTCGAGGGGCCTTCAGGGCTGGCGCGGAAAGGATCTGCATCGCACTGCTTCCCTTGTGGCGGCGGTATTCCCGAATCCCGACATAACCGCCCAAACCCCGATGTAATCATCGAGAGACTCTCGTAGACCTGACAATAGTACTCGGCCATGAGTCCATACCTCGAGGAGTCGGCGAACCCACAAAAAACGTAAAAGAGTGCAGCGCCTGCCTCAAAGAACTCCCCACAACTCTTGCCTCAATCAATCCATCAACCCAACGAGCGAATCCCCACGACCCAAAACAACCCCAACCTTCCGCAACCATGGTTAAAGGCGCCCTCACGAAATTCCCCGCCGACGGACTGCGGTCCTGCCGGCGCTTCATCACCGGCCACAACGCCGAGGGCAAGGGCGTTTTCATCGTCGATGACACGGGCGACCACCACCGCCTCCTGGTCGATGGCGAGGCTGCCGCCAACATCATCTACAGCACCAATGAAAGCCCCGTGGATATGAACGACGACAAGGACGTCAAGTATGCGAGGGATAATGAGGTACGTAGAGAACCAAGTCTTATCCTTCAAACCAGCGGGCTGAGCCGTGGGCTAACTGGCCGACTTGCCCGCGACCAGCCCCCAATCCACGTCCCCAACGGCAGCGTTGTCCGACTGATCGACTTTGCCCCGGGGATGGAATCGCCCATCCATCGCGCCATGTCCATCGACTATGGTGTTGTCATCGAGGGCAAGTTCCAGCTTACCCTGGACAGTGGCGAGAAGAAGATTATGTTGCCTGGTGATATGAGTACGTTTGCTTTCGGGTCCTCGATAACTATTGCACACACACTAACATACCTTAGGTGTCAACCGTGGCTGCATGCACCTGTGGAAAAACCTGGACGAAGAGAAGCCAGGTCGCATGGTCTTTATCCTATTAGATGTTACCCCGCTCTATGTCAATGGCGAGCATATCAAGGAGTATCTGGGCGACATGGAGAAAGATTATGTCTCTATGAAGCACTAGAGTAGCCAGTGCAACTGGAAATATCATGCCGAATACCTGGCAGAGGATACTATTAGGCTGGTATTAAGATGAAGTTGAATAAGTTAACAACTGAATTTGCGCGTGTTCTTAAAATGGTGATTCGAGAAGCTAGGCTAGAAGAGAGTCAAACATAATCAAGATAAGTCACCGTGAATGTGGTGGACCGACCATCGTCTGTCCCGCGAAGGCAGAGGCAAGCACACTGGTACCTCTAAAGGGCATCACCACGAGCCTTGATCAACTTGTAGGGCGGATTGTTGGAAGGTTCCAGATCTATATAGATAGTGGAGGCGTTCTAAGTAAACAATGAGCGAGGTGTTGCCTTGGTTTATCGTAAAAGGAACAGAATTATGGCGTGTGCAAATGGTAGATTTCTTTGCAAACCCTTACTTGTGTATTTCCATGAGTCTACTCGACCCAGATATATAGTTCCAACCACTCGCCGTGAACTTTTGATATCTCGACGGGATAAAACGGCAAGACTGTCAGAAAAATAAGCTATCAGCACCCGAGTCATCAGTTCACATTATAAAATCGGCGCGGTTCGCACGTATGTAGTATGGCGGTGGTACGCAGTAATTTAATGCTGCTGGCGAGGCCTCGGCGTGTTCCGATGTACGCCAGGAATCGCCCTGTCGATGGAAACCCTTTCTCCCCCTTGCTGTCGATGACAGGGAGCGTAGTAATGCCGTGTACGCCACCCACACTTCCGATGAAGCCAAGTAAAATGACGATGGAGACTGCTTCGATGTAAGGCAGACAATTTACCAAGTGTGGAAGAACGCTTGGGAGACTAGACTGCAACAGGTGTCTATCTCAACCTCTGGCCTGCATAAATTGCGGCAGGGCCCGAGACACTAGTCATCTTGACAATACAAAAACCGGGCTAAATGAAAGATATGCCGCTGGAGAGCCGTGAGGTATTCCGAAAACGTGGTTAGCTGTATAGATCGTACAAGGCGCTAAGAGGCGAAATTAGACAAATTAGACCCCACATGATGGATGGTGACCTGAATGTGCAATAAGTACGTATTCAATCTCTAGGCTGAAAGCTGGGTGGCGCGTCCTGCCTACATGGTCATCTCTACACTATACTTGTGAATTAACATTGCAAAAACCAACTATTATATGGGCGTCTTTCTCTGGCCGAATTAACATCAAAATGGTTGTGGCTTAGAATCCCGAGCATCGGATCCCAATCCCGCCCTCAAGTCCCCGACCGCAGTTTATCCAGGCCAAACTCGCGGGAAAACAACCAATCCTGCATAAGAAGCACGTGAGTCAACAATCCAGTCGTACCAAGTAATTGAACTAAACCTACCCAAAAAGTCCGAGGAAAAAACGTATCCCAGAATCGCACCTCGCCCGCCCGTGCACCGGTCCAGAGCCACGCGGCCGGCTTCTTCTTGACCACCTCGCTGACAACCGACCGTGCGTATTCGGCAGCCGTTGTTGTAACTATATTCGAATTTTTTTTAGTGGTTCATTCTTGGGAGATTGTCGTTTTCCCATGGTAGGGATCACTGACCAGGTGTCCGATTAATATGCTTCTGGAACTCAGCCTCGAGTGGGCGATAGAATGAGTTCTCGGGGAGCTTGCGCAGCGACGTCTGGTCGCGTTTGAGAATATTCGTGCCGACTTCGCCGGAGATGACGTTGATGACTTTGACGCTGAAGAAGAATGATCAGCGATAGATATCGCACCAGGTGCGGTCGACGTACTCGAACGGCTTCATTTCCACCCGCAGCGTGTTTCCCCAGTGGTGCAATGCAGCTTTGGTCGCGTTGTAACTCGCTGTTTCAACATGTTAGCCACCGTTTGGTTTTGCTTGTGTTCACATTGTTATCGGACGGAACTTACATCCATATACGTAGGGCACAATCCCTCCCACGCTGCCAATGTTGACGACGGTACCCTTAGCCTGGATCAGGAGCGGGTGGAAGATGTGCACCATGCGCATGGGGCCAAAGACATTCACCGCGAACATCTTCTCCACTTCGCTGACTTGGGTGTCGATTGCCGTCATTGTGTAGCCTGCTGCGTGTTAGAATTGACCAGAAACTAGAGTTGGCAGCGGAAACCCACAGATTCCCCTGCAAACAGTAGCAGTGATTGGGTTAGTGATCCCGGATTTCCTTACGTGACCCGACACGAGGCAAGGGAAATTCGACATACGCGCAGTTGACCAACACATCCAGACTCCCACTCGTCTCGGACGAGATTGTCTCCTTTAACGAAATAATATCTGCATCCTTGGTGACGTCGGCTGTGAAAGCGTGGATACCCTCGTCTACGAGGTGCTCTCGGGGCTCGTGCGCCAGCAGGGTGGTGAAGACATCGTATCCTAGAGTATGCGGCATCAGTCTCCTTTGCCTTGGGCTAGGATTTGGAAAAGTTCGACCATACCGCGCCTCTTGAACTCGAGAGCGAGAGCATGGCCGATGCCCCCCTTGCCGCACCTGATCTGGTAAGTACCACACCATGTCGATACTAACGGGATAAGTGGGTTTACCCAGTGATGAGCACCGATTGCGTATACACTTCCTTGGACATGCTACCAGGTTTGATAGGAGGTACAGGAGCTAGGGGTTGTGAGAACATGGGCAGCTCGGATCAAGAATAGTCATTTGTGGTGCGCAGACGGGCGGCCTTCCTCGCGCTCGCTAAAAGAGAGTCGAGAAGTCGAAGAGATCGGTCATCCGGGAAATCGTAGAGACCAAAGCCTGGTTCTTCATGAGTGTCGAGGTAACTGCAGCCCAAGTCTCGGTGACACGGTAATGCAAGTGCGGAGAGTGGCAACGGTGATCGCCTTGTCTGCAGATCGGGAATCAACGCCGAGTGCAGTGCGCGGTATCTGCGTTGAGGGACTGGGAATACTGCCGGATGAGTCATCCAACCCTGGTGATTTCTGGCCGGTAAGTGTAGGGCTGCAATGGAGTTAATCACCGTGAATGGTATCCAAGGTGGTAGAAGTCTGAGAAGTGTATCACATATAAGAGTACCTATGTTCCTGGGGAGGCAGGCTGGATCGAAAGTGCCAACCGGACCCTACTTTCTCAACTTCTCTCTATACTCTGCTGGCCAGTTCATCCAATTCTCCACTCCACCTTCTAGATATATACCTTAATCCTATAGAATGTCTGATATACAGAAAGGCTCACAAGAGCCCATTGCCATTTGTGGCATTGGCTGCCGCCTCCCCGGCCAAGCCTCCAACCCCCAGGCCTTCTGGGAGCTCCTGTCCAACGCCCGCTCCGCTAATGGCAAAGTCCCTGCCTCGCGATTCAACCTCAATGGGTTCTACCACCCGCAGGGCAACGAGCGTGCTGGCAGCGTCAACACGGAGGGCGGGTACTTTCTCGACGAGGATATCCGGCAGTTTGAGAATTCATTCTTTGGGATTAATAACCTGGGTTAGTACCACTCACTTCCGTTGAGAAAGCAAGAGGAATGTACCTCGCTGATATCCGTGACAGAGGCAACATACATGGACCCCCAGCAACGCAAGCTCCTTGAGGTGGTCTACGAGTGTCTGGAGAACGCTGGCGTCCCGTTGACCAAGGCCTCGGGCTCGAATACCGGATGCTATGTTGGGAACTTTACCTTTGACTACATGGTCATGCAGATGCGGGATCCAGATTAGTGAGTCTCCATTTGGTTGAGAAGAGAATATGGTGGATGACTGACGCTAGACTCGCTGTGCAGTTTGAGCCGCTATTCAGCGACAGGGCTGGGAACGACAATCCTCTCCAACCGCATCAGCCACGTCTTCAATCTGATGGGACCAAGGTCCGCAATCCCCTTCCTATCACCTCGCTTTCATGCGGCCATAGCTAACGAACCCACAGCTTCGTCCTCGACACAGCCTGCTCTTCTTCCCTGTACTGTCTCCACGCAGCCTGCACCGCGCTGGAGAACGGCGAATGCGACGCGGCCATCGTCGCCGGCGCCAACCTGATCCAGTCCGCCGAGCAGCACATGGCGACGATGAAAGCCGGTGTCCTTTCTGCGACATCCCAATGCCATACCTTTGACACATCTGCCGATGGCTATGGGCGCGGCGACGGGATCGGCGCGCTGTATGTCAAGCGCCTGTCGGATGCGCTTCGCGATGGGGATCCGATTCGCAGCGTTATTCGGGGGTCTGCTGTTAACGCGTGAGTACTCAGAGACCCTTTTTTTATTCTCATCCGAAGAAAGCGCCGCTCTAACCACAATGGACCCTGTAGCAACGGCAAAACATCCGGAATCTCCCTCCCCAGCTCAACTGGCCAAACCGCCGTGATCCGCAAAGCCATGGCGCGCGCAAACCTTCTCCCCTGCGACATCACGTACGTCGAGTGCCACGGGACCGGCACAAAAGTCGGCGACGCAATCGAACTCGACGGCCTCGCGAGCGTCTTCAACGACCGCCGGGCCCGCGACCAGCCGCTCTACATCGGGTCTGTCAAGAGTAACGTCGGGCACTCTGAGGCGGCGAGTGGGATCTCGAGTGTGATCAAGGCGACGCTGGCGCTGGAGCATGGGCGCATTCCGCCGACGTATGGGTTGAAGAATGTGAATCCGAAGCTCAGGCTTGAGGAGCGGAACTTTTGTATTCCCACTGAGACAATCGAGTGGCCGGATGAGACGCGCGTTCGTAGGATTGGTGTTAATTCGTTTGGTTACGGTATGGGATGCTTTTGACAGATTTGGCATGTATAGCTGACCGACTCTTTACAGGTGGAGCCAATGCCCATGTCATCATCGAGGAGGCGCCTCGGAGAGCCGATGTACATGCTAACGGGCTCGCGGTTGCCAATGGACATTCGAATGGGCATGCCCTTAATGGCAGCGCGAACGGCTACACAAACGGCCATGCAAATGGCTCCAAGGCAACCAACGGCCATACCAACGGACACGCAAACGGCTTCAGTATCAACGGCCATTCCAACGAAACCAGCAACGGTGTCAAGGCCACCTCGCAGACAACATTGATCCTCCCCCTGTCCGCGGCGACAGGCGCTTCCCTCGAGCAGCGCAAGGCCGACTACGCCAGCCACGACTTTGGCAACACGTCTATGACCGATCTCGCATACACCCTCGGCTACAAAAGGACACACTTTCCTGAGCGAGGTTTCTTCATCGCGTCTCGCAACGACGACATCGCCAATGTCTTCAAGACCGGAACCCTCGTCACATCGCCTCGTCCAGCCCCCACGAGCCAATCACTTCCTTTTGCGTTTGTGTTCACAGGCCAAGGCTCCCAATGGCCCGGAATGTGCAGACAGCTCTTCGCAGAGTTTGACATTTTCCGCAATGCAATTGAGGAAATGGATCATGTTCTCAGGGCCATTCCCCACGCGCCCGAGTGGAGCCTCGTGGATGCCATTCTCGAGACCGACGACCCAACCCTGATCCACCGCCCCGAGCGCTCCCAGCCCTGCTGCACAGCAATCCAAGTCGGACTGGTGCGGCTCTTGGAATCGTGGGGACTGATGCCCACAACGACGGTCGGCCACTCCTCTGGGGAAATCGCTGCCGCCTTTGCAGCAGGATACCTCTCGGCCGCGGAGGCAATTGTCATCGCTTATTACCGCGGCTACTGCGCTGCCCGGAACACCCAGATCGGAGCCATGATGGCTGTCGGACTGTCGGAGGAGAAGGCCAACGAGGCGATCGCCGACGCCGGCCTCGAAGGGCAGGTGTGTGTTGCTTGCGTCAACTCCCCAGAGGGCGTGACTGTCTCTGGTGACCAGGAGCCGCTCGATACTCTCCTCGCGTCTCTGCAGGGTAAGAGCGTCTTTGCGCGCAAACTCAAGACGGGTGGGCAGGCCTACCACTCGCACCACATGGCCGTCCTGGGCCCCAAGTACCAGGCCTTGCTCGACCAGGTCCTTCCGACACTCGGCCCGTCCATCTCGCAGCCTTCTGGCGCGGCACTTGTGTCGACGGTGACGGGTGCGATCAAGGCCTCCGGCTTTGACAGCGCATACTGGCGCCGAAATCTGGAGAGCCAGGTGCGTTTCTCGCCGGCGATTGCAAGCATCCACAGCATGGCCGAGCACTTCTTCATCGAGCTGGGTCCCCACACCTCGATGGGAATGCCGATCGAGCAGACGCTCGCCAAGGCAGGTGCGGAGCTCAAGTATGCTGGCCCGATCAAGCGCAGCAGCGACAGTGTCGTCAGCGCGCTCAGCTTCGCGGGACAACTCTGGTTCCAAGGGTTCGAGGTCAACTGGGCCAAGGTCAACAACCTGATCCCTGCTGGGTCCAAGACGATGCCACGCGTCGTGACTGATCTTCCCCCTTACAAATTCGACTACGGAGAGACCCTGTGGAATGAGAGCAGGGCTAGTATTGAGTACCGCCAGCGCAAGTATCCTCGGCATGAACTGCTGGGGTCTCTGGTGCCCGGTGGCAATGCGCGCGACTTCATCTTCCGCAATGTGCTCAAGGTCGATGATGTTTCCTGGCTGAAGGACCATAAGCTGGTTGATACGATTGTCTTCCCTGGGGCTGGGTATCTTTGCATGGCCATGGAGGCTGCTTCGCAGGCCAGTGACGAGACTGGGCCCGAGACAACGTTTGAACTGACCAACGTCAACATCACCAACGCTCTCCCCCTCGACGAGGAGAGCAGCGTTGAGCTTTTCACCTCCCTGCATCGCGCCCCGATCACAAACGCGGCGACTTCGGATATCTGGTGGGACTGGACTGTGACGAGCCACACGAACGGCCAGTCGACAACTCACGCCTCTGGCTCGATCGCAGTCCATACGGAGGAGCATATCCTGGAATCAAAGTACGCACCGCCACAAGACACCCTCGAGACAACACACAAACGCGTCTGGTACGAGCGGTTTGTGAAGAGCGGGCTGAATTACGGGCCAACATTCGAGTCCATCTCCTCCTTCGAGACACCCCGCCTGAAGAACGAGACCTTTGCCAGCGCAACGGCTCCCCTCCTGACGACCTCTGGCGACCCCCTGGCCGTCTACCCCGTCCACCCAATCACCCTCGACGCCCTGATCCAGCTCGCCATTGTCTCAACCGCCAAGGGCGTCCCCAAGGAAATGCGCGCTCTCGTCCCAACGCGCCTCTCCTCGGTCCGCGTGAAGCGATCCAACTCCGCAGCGGAAGCCCAGCTAAACGCCCGAACCGACCGCACAGGATTCGGCTACTGCCAGGCCGACGCCGAGCTGATCGACGCCGCGGGACAGGTCACAGCGCAACTGGAGGGATTCCGCCTGGCACCGTACTCGTCGGCCGCACAGGGCGAAGACGCCGACGACGCGCGCCACCCTGTTCTCCGCGTGCTGTGGAAGCCAGACGTGCACGGGTTGGGTCTGATGACGGCATCGGCGGCTCAGGAGTATGCGCAGAAATTCGCGGACGAGGCGCACTCGCCCGTGGAGGATACGGATCTGCTCAAGCTCGGCGCAATGCTGGATCTGTTTGCGCACAAAGACCCCGTGTTGCGGATCCTCGAGGTTGGGAATGAGAGTCAAGACCTCACGCTGGCTGTGCTTGAGCTGCTGAAGTCGCAGACGGACTTTAAGAGGCTTGCGACGTATACCACCGCGCAGCTTGATGCGGATGGCGCTGCGCTTGTTGGGGGCGCTGTCAACTTGGAGACTGGGGAGCGGGCCTCCAAGGCTGAGGCGATCAACGGACAATACGACCTCATTCTATGCCTGACCAAGGATGAGGCAATGGTGGGATCACTCGTGGCCAAGGTAACGAACCTGATGACCGCGAACGCATACGTCCTGTCACTCTGCCCTAGTGCTGGCGGTGACGGTGTCATCACCTCGCAAGGCCTCGAAACCCTCCCTGTCAGCATCACCAAGGGTCAACCCAGTCTAGTTCTCGCACGGAAGCCACAGTCCTCTCACGTTGAAATCCTCAAAAAGCGCAAGAGCAAGTACCTCATCGTTGAGCGAGAAAAGACCAAGCTCGGCTCTGCCCTCGGCGACGCCCTGCGCTCCGTCCAGGGCCATTGGGTCTCGCGAGTCCGCCTCGAAGACCTCACAATCGCAAATATCCCACGCAACACAACTGTGTTTAACCTCTGCGAGCTCAAGACTCCTCTGCTCTCCGTTTGCACGGACGAGGAGATGGCCAAGATCAAGCTCATCACGGACAACGCCTCGTCCCTGATCTGGACAACGAATGCAAACACCCTCGAGGGCGAGCGTCCGGACTTTGCGCTGATTTCCGGTCTCTCGCGCGCGCTCATGCTTGAGCAGCCCTCGCTCAAGCTGTTTACGTACGACATTGACTCGCCGGATGAGTTTATTTCCGAGACCGCGGACCGACTCATCGCTCTGCTCACGCAGCCCGAGAAGAAGATCGACTATGAATTCGTGCAGCGCAACAATGTCGCGCATGTCAGTCGGTTTGCTCCCGACGACAGCGTCAACGGCGCGTTCCGCTCGAAGCAGGGTCTGACGACGGAGACGCGCCCCCTAAGCGACGCAGGCGACGCGAGGCTCTCTGTTGGTGAAGCTGGCCAGCTCGACTCGATCTACTTCATCCAGCAGGATCCCGAGAAGCAGGTGATCGGCCCCGAGGAGGTGCGGATCAAGGTTGCGTCTGTGGGGATCAATGCCAAGGACTACTATGTGCTTGTCGGTCGCGTGGACACGCCCGACGCGACCTGCCAGCTGGAGTGTGCTGGGACTGTTGTGGCGGTTGGTTCTGCTGTCACAGACTTTGCTGCGGGAGACAGGGTCGTTGCCATGGCGCCCTCGTACTTTGGCACCTACCAGACGCTGCCGCAGTGGGCTTGCTACAAGCTTGCCGAAGGCGAGAGCTTTGATGTCGCGGCTACGCTGCCCCTAGTGTATGCCACGGCCATCTATGCGTTGCAGCATCGTGCGCAGATCCAGTCTGGAGAGTCGGTGCTGATTCACTCTGGAGCTGGTGGTGTCGGTATCGCTGCGATTCAGCTGGCGTTGCGGATGGGCGCTGAAGTATGTCATTCCCTGTGATCTATACGACGGGTGAACCTGGGCTAACACATCTACAGGTCTATACAACCGTCTCCTCGGAAGAAAAGAAGAACTTCCTGGTCAACACCTTTGGCCTCAACCCCTCGCACATCTTCAGTTCACGCGACACCTCCTTCCTCCCCGCCCTCCTCTCCGCCACATCCAACCGGGGCGTCGACGTGATTCTCAACTCGCTGACCGGCGACCAGCTGCACGCAACCTGGAAATGCTGCGCTCCCTTTGGCCGCTTCATTGAAATCGGCAAGGCGGACTTGACCACCGCGGGCCGCCTGCAAATGGCCCCCTTCCTCAAGGACACCACCTTTTCGGCATTCGATCTGTCCCACCTGTACCACTCGGATTCCCCACGTCTGCATGTGCTCTGGCAGGATCTGCTCGCGCAGGTCTTCACGCTCTACCGCGCGGGTAAGATCGCCGCCTTTGACCCGCTCAAAGTTTTCCCCGTGACGGAAATCACCCAAGCATATCGTTACTTTTCCTCGCGGAGCCGCATGGGAAAGGTGGCGATTAGCCTCGAGGACGAGAAATCGACAGTCCCACTGCAGCCACTCAAGCACGCGATGCGCTTCGACCCAAGCAAGAGCTATGTGATGATCGGGTGCCTTGGTGGTCTCGGCCGAACCTTCTCGCGCTGGATGGTGGCCCGTGGGGCGCGCCGGTTCGCCTTTCTCGGTCGCTCGGGAATCGACAAGCCTGCGGCCCGCAGCCTCGTCGAGGATCTACAGGCCTCAGGCGCAGAGTGCTCGGTTGTCCGCGGGGACGTGTGCAACGCCGAGGATGTCGAGGCCGTGGTTACTGCCGCGGCGGGGATGGGCTCCATTGGGGGAGTCGTCCAGGCAGCCATGGGGCTGGACGAGGCGATCTTCAGCGTCATGTCGAACAAGTCGTGGCACACGGGAATCGACCCCAAGGTGCACGGGTCTTGGAATCTGCTCAACAGCCTGAAGAGAGATGACAGACAGTCCGCCCTGGACTTCTTCCTCATGACCTCGTCCGTCTCAGGCAGCGTGGGAACAGCCACCGAAGCAAACTACTGCGCAGGGAACCACTTCCTCGACCACTTTGCTCGGCACCTGCGGCGCACACACGACATCCCGGCCGTCGCAATCGGCTTCGGCATGATCTCCGAGGTCGGATACCTGCATGACAACCCCGAAATCGAGGCCCTGCTCGTGCGCAAGGGGATCCAGGCCATCGACGCCGACGAGCTGATCCAGCTCACGGACCTCGCGCTCTCCCCGTCCTCGAACGGCACCCTCGCAATCCCACACGCCCACGACACCCTCGCAGTCGCCCACATGCTCACGGGCATGGAACCGCACGGAATCCGCGAGCTCCGCCGGAAGGGCTTCGAGGGGACCCAACCTGCAATGGAGGACCCGCGCGCGAACCTCCTCGCCAGCGCCCTCGAGGGCAGCGACGCAACCTCGTCTGCATCCTCCGGGTCAACCGGCGGCCTCCCCGCCGAAGTCGCGGCGCTCGTGAAATCCGGACAGTCGCTGCGCGATGCGGTGCTGCACTTTATCCGCAAGCGGTTCGGGAACCTGGTGCTGCTGAAATTCGATGCCGTGGACGTGAAGAAGCCGCTGGCGCAGTATGGGATGGATTCAATGATTGGCGCCGAGTTCCGGATCTGGTTCTACAAGAGTATGGGCGTTGATATTCCGCTTGTCATGCTGCTCGGCGCGTCCTGTACGATTGAGAGCTTGAGGGATTTGGCCGTGCAGGTGATGGAGAGTGAATGAGTGAGTGATGCGACACGACTTGGACAGTATAGATCGTCTCTTGCTTTGTTGCTTAATTGCTGTTTGTTGGTTGTTATGTTTGGCTTGGTAGAACTCGTTCTTGCTTTCTTTACTCCATCTGTCTGTCATGGTTAATCTTGATCCACTGCTGCTACTACCAGGACGCGTAGATCCCCGTAAACTTGCATAATTCCCACTTCTAACACTTAAATCATTAATCTAAACGCGTCTTTACGTGTTGTTGCATATGCTTACTAAGAAATCTCTTTTATATTCAGTTTTGATGAGATTTGTGGTGTTTTACGTACAAATGGCTTGTAATATATATTCTATACCATCCTAACCCACTTTCCCTTGACCAAGTAACTCCCTCCATTGGTGCACTAAAATTCACATCCAATCTCAATAAGAGTAATTCCATGCCATCAAGCCTCACTTTACGCAGTTTAAGTCTCTAAAAGAAAAACTATTGTGAAATCTAGACTATCCCTGAACTTTGCGCGAGTGTTCGAGTCAAGCCAACAGCCTTTGTGGATTTTTATTATCCCCCAGGATTTGCCTAAAATATGCCAAGAATTGCCCAGTCGCAAAGAATGAACGTGGCAAGTTTAAAATATATTTTTTACCTAATAGTTACTCTAAAGACCACTAAGCTTTATAGACTTGTAAGGAAACTTGGTAGCAACTTTATTATAGCTTGTTTTGAGTGGAGTGTCTTGATGCTCTAAAAGTGTAAATATTAAGAGCTGGAAGCAGGAAGCTTGTAACTTGGACAGACAGACCTGTGTCGTGCTGGGCGTGATTCCTCTATCTGGGATACGACAGACGAGCCCAAGGAGGAACAACGACACATTGACCGTATCGACCATCTATTTGGTAGATCTGCAGAAAGTCTAGTCTAAGTTGACCAAGGAATACTCAAGTAAGGAGAGGGAGAGAGAGGGAGAGATGGAAACAAAACAAGAACAGCGCCGAGCCCTAGCCATGATATTGATGTACCCCCAACTCCAACAGACCAACCAGAGACTGACCTGACTTGACAAAAAAATGCCAGCAGCATCACAGAATGAGAGGGAAGAAACCATGACTCATCGATCCATCATTCGTCATCCATGAAATCAGTCAATCAATCAACCCCCTCCCCTCCCTCGCATCATACCGCGCCTTGAGCCCATCCGCCTTTTGCACCAGCCACATGTGAATGCACTGACACGCCATCACATGCGCCGAGTGCCCCCC